TACTGATCTATTATCTAAAAACTGGAAACGATGATACTCTGTAAAACCAGGAAAGATCTTTATTTCTTTCTGTTTCAATTCCTTTGGGTTATGAATTTCGACTGTTACTTTGATGGTAACAGCCTCCTTCTCTGATTCAGAAGTCAATTTGTATGTTCTTTGATAGTTGTTGTTGTCAGTGGTACTCTTGATTGCATTGATAACATCTTGATCTGTATAGATTGAATCTTTGAAACTCGACTTGTCTGCTATCGCTCTAGAAACCATTGAAAAATGTTGATCGCATTCACTCTTTCCGTGATAGGGTGCAAAAGTATTCAATTCGACGAGATACTTTCTTTTGGTTTTGTTTGGAGTGTTTGGATCAGCTACTTGCAACTTTGACAATGTATGCATATATGAAAGTATTTCATTTGACTTGAAGTGTCTAGCATTATCACACCAAAATGTAATTTTGTTGATATTTAGACTGGTGAATAATGGATCATTGATTAATTTGTCGAGACATGAAATTGCAAATGTCGAACAGTGATTAAGTACTTGTGAAAGACAGTCATAGTAGTGAATCTTCAGCTTGTCACCTTGCTTATAGAAGAGGACCATTCCAAAGAAGGTACGAGCAGGTTGTTGGTAAAATTCATGGCTTACTTGCACTTTGGATTTACCTAATGATATATTCTCTTTAAAATCACAGAGAATAATACACTCTCCTACCTTTAACTCATTTTTCTAAATAAAAAAAAAAAAAAATTTTCATTAATAAATCATTAGCTAAATGTATTAATAAAATTATAATTACACATGTCAAATAATCATTCTTTCTTTGCTGAACAAACATCTTGTGAATAGTCAAGATTTCAAACAGTTTATGATCTTGATCTGAAAGTTGCCCAAACTTAATTCGTTTTGACTCGAGAGCCTGATACTGAACACACATTGGACACATGTCGGTTCGATTCTTCATTTCTCTGACATACTCTGGTACGAAACTGTAAAATGCACTTCTACCCATGAGTGGATACTTGACTTGATCAACTTCACTCTTCTTGAGGTAATCTGTAAAGCAGGTATTTATGTTTCCTAAAGCAAGGTTCTTGATTGGCACCAACTCGAAAGCTCGTTTACCATCTGCGTCGAGTTCTTTGCTGTACAACCTCATGTTTTTACTTGATTCTTCAGTTATATCTTTCATATTGAAGTAACCTTCGACGGCTGTCCTTAGCATCGTGGTTCTTTGTCTTCTTGTCATTTGTCCATTGTGTGTAAATTTAGATCTCCAATTGCTGATCTCTTCTGCATTAATCAGTCTACCTGCACCATACTTGTGTACGTGTTGAATTGCACGATTCCACGCATTATTATCTATTGTGATTCCAAACTCTCTGATTTCCTTAGAAGTGTAAAAAGGAACTAAACTTGATAACAATCTAGATTGGGAATATTAGTATCAATGATATACAAAATCGCGAGCATTACAAAACACTTACCTTGTTTTTTCATATCCATCTCTATCTGTATATTGGCCACTCTGAAGTGATGAAATAACATATGACAACGCAACAGCATGTGTGGTTGCTCCAGGTATCTCTTCATATATCTCCTTATATCGCTTTCTGAATTCTTCTGTTGCAGCTATACTACCATCTTTCTTTAATTCTTCAAGAACCTGAATATATTTATAGTTAAAATATGAACAATAATCATTCAAAACAACAGTTTATGATATGTATAGTAGTCAATAGTGTACCTGCTTTCCAGTGGTATTCTTTGTTAACCAATCTTTCATTAAATGTGTCTGTTGATCAATCGTTACTTTGTTATGTTTTTTTGGTGATGCTATTACATTTACTGAAGTTGTTATTAAATTTAAAACTTTACTTTTATTACCAGACCTCTCTGATAATTTACTATAGTCCTTATAACGATTACTCTTGACTGGTTTAGTGTTTGGATCACTAACTGATTTTATTGAATTCAACACTCCTTGTGTATAATTATTGAAAGAGGGAGCCAATGATCGACTATTATTACTCTTATTTTGTTGTGTAGTTAATCTGCTTGCCATTTTAAAATAAAACTTAATTAAAATAACGAATCAAAAATCAAATATAAATAATTAAAAAGAATCACTAACTTTAAATTTTTTTTTTTTTTAAAAAAAGCAAAACACAAAAAAGCATAGCCACATGATAATAAGTATTAGTTTGATGCACCTCTTTAACAATATTTCTATTAATGATTAAATCTATAGATTGTTTTATTTTTTCTTTATTATTAAATTTTAATATATATATTGTGTTTTGTTTTTTAAATAACTAACTTTTGATCCATGTATAACCACATTACCAACAGTCTACCTGTTTGTAGAATACCAAAGAGGTTACGAGGGGTCATAATGTTCACGAATTGATTGAACATTATATTTTCTCGATATATTTTCTTTGACAATCGAAACAATGTTGAATTGCTCTAAGCATTATTAGTTAGCTAAAATAAAACCATTGGTTTTCACCATATCTTGACAATAATTAAAAGGTTCACGTTTCTCAGCTGCTCTTCTCCTATAGAATTCTCTGAATGATGATGATGGTTTAACCAGTCAGTTAATAGTTGTTTAAAAGTGAAAAAATAAAATAAATCTATACCTTTATAAATATTACATCCACTATCCTTTTTAGCCAATCTATGATTACATGTGCTTGTTTATATGTTTATTTTACTTTTTAGTTGAGCAATAGAACTAATTCTGTTATTAAACTCAAACTTTGTAATTGTTTCTGTTATTGAAACGCATGCTAATCGGTCATTGTCCAGTAATTAACCTTTATTTACTAATTTACTACATGTATATCTTGGTGATAAATATTCAAATAATAATTAAATTATAACTATATTTTAAAAGAATGAATTAAGATGTCTGTTTTCTTTTGTTTTTATTGCAAAAAAAAAACCAAACCAAAATATAATTAAAAAAAAATATTATTTTCAAATTCAACATTTTTTTTGCAAAACTTAGTTTTCATATGATCCAAACACAAAGTTTGGAAGAAAATTATAAAAATATCCCGATTTAGAATGTTTGCTAAATATATTGGTATAATCATACCAATCATATTAGATATTAGAAAAAGATTCTTTTTTTTTTCTTGATCCTCAATTCTTTGTAAAAAACTTTTGGAATTAAGTTTTCAACCTTTCTTTGTTAATACGGAGAGAATTTGCCTCAATACAACAAAACTATGCTTTTTTGTTTTGATCAAAACCAAATTTTTTCATTTTAATTTTTTTACTTTACAACCTTCAAATTTAACAACAAATACAATCTTCAAATTTATATAATAGTTATTATTTCTTTTATTTTTAAAATATTATTTTTTATATATTTATCTATTTTTATTATACTTATTAGATTTCTTTTTATTTGTTTACATTTTACTCTTACTTATTTTTTTGTTTAGTTTTATGAAAAACCTTTTTTTTAATAATTTTTTATTATTTTTTTATATAATATTTATTGTTTGTTTAAATATGAAATATGTATATTCCAATAATCAACATCTATCTGAAAATGAGATCAAATCGGAAACTATCGTTTATCCGTATAATCATTTATATAGAAATGTCAATAATAATAATAATCATCTCCAAAAAATTTTTATTCAATTATCGCAAATTAGTGGATTACTTTCCTATTGTTTTTCATTAATATATCACGACATTGTAAATAAAATCGATTTTGATATGAAAATGTTTAGTCAAACATTTAAAAAATCGGATATCCCAGAGGAATGGGTGGATATTAGGAAAGATGAAGCGAGCATTAGTAAATTTAGATTGCTTTTTGCAAAAAGTAAAATTTCACACAATACTGACCTTTGTGAGGTGATTCTTTTGCAGTTCCTCTCTGACAGTAAATTGTATGATTTGAAAGATAAGGAAAAAAAAGTAAGATTTAAAATTATAAATTATTCTTATTTCTATAAACTAATCAATTTTATTATTTACTCTAATTTAGATTATTAAAGAGTTAAAAGAAAGTGAAATTGCTAAAGATAAATTCATTTTGAAACCAGAAGTTCAAAAGTTAGTTGACAAGTAAGTTTGTTTTTGTTTTTCGTATTTTTTAAACAATTAAATTAATAAGAAATTTTTTTTTTTTTTAAAAAGATTTTTTAATTTTGTAGTTGTTCTACCATTACTGAGAGACGAGGAGAATGAGAATTACAAGTTTCTAAGAAAACTTTATCAAGATGTTTATCTGGCATTTCTCAAGGAACATGGTTTGGGAAAGAACAGACTTGGAAGTTTGAATAGAGACTGGTTCAACGAGATGGTCAACCAAATAGTACGAGACCACATGAAGAATCAATCCAATTTGAATCTGTTGAATATCGAAAGGATAAGTAAACACATTATGGAGCTGAATGGTTTTGGTCCGATCGTAACATCCATCAAGAAGTACCTTCTTGCAAAGCCAGAGGAAACCGTAGACTCGGCCTTGAGAGAGCCTTCAATTTTAATATGGTTACGACAACATGACGCCACAATCACCAAAGAATCGTTCGACCGATTCAAATCTTTCAAAAATGATTTTGAAACATACTTGGTGCCAGTGACAAAATCTAGTGAAACGAATTGTACGAGTGCATTGGAATTCATTCAATCTATTCTGAATCATCCAACTATTATTTGTATGTATACTTTAATTTTATTTAAAATTTTATTTATTATTTTTATTTATTTTCTAATTTATATAATTTTATAAATCACTTTAGTGCATAATCAAAGAGTACTTCAAAATATGGAGGAGAAGAAGAAGAAGAAAGAGAAAGAGAAAGAGAAAGAGAAAGAGAAAGAGAAAGAGAAAGAGGAAGAGGAGGAGAAGAAGAATCAACACAATAAAGTCAATTGGAATCAACACACAATTAATCAATTTCAAAATATTGAAAAAGAATTTGGAAAATATTACAATGAAGACAATTATAAAACTGAATCTCAAGCATGGATCAACTCAATCAAACAACCAACTTCACCAATTCCACTCAAAAATAATAATTCGCAATGGATAAAAGCCAATGACAACTACAACAAACTAATCATGATAAATGAATTTATACCAAAGTTTAAATTGGCACCACGCAACTTTATTTTATCTACAAAGTTTCTCCAACAGTTTCTTCTACAATTCTATAACGGTTCCGATTTCAATCGAGAAGGAAGTTATCTGGATCATCTTTCATTATTAATCAACATACCGGAACAGTTCAAACAAAATTTTTATACGTTTAAACATCCTCTTACCGTTTGTCAATTCAATTTGGATCGTGTATCACATTGTGGACACGTGCCACCAGTAGATTCAGTCGACCACACCAATGCACACACAATATGTATGTTTGCAGCATCCAACAATTTAACTCTAACTGTCCCGAAGCAAAAGAAAGTTGGTGCTATGCTTTGCCCTGAGCACTCTACATTCTCGAAGAAGTGCAAGCTAAGTAAATGTGGGAGCCGCTGCATTTCTAAATTCAAGGAGTCGGAATGGCGTATCCAGAGTATACGATGTGGATCACTGGATTCCGAACCTCATATTGAAAAGAAGAACCAATGGATTAGAGACCTATCAAAGCCAAATTCAATCATAGAGGTTACGTCTCAAAAACAAACGTCTATCAATTGGACATCAACCAACGCTTCAACCGCCTCTGTGAAACCCAACCAAGAACATTTCAATTCACCATTTTTTGTTGGCTGTGATATAAACTATCAAGGAATGGAATCAATTCCACCGAATTGTGATATAGGTGTCATATTCAGCGATCCAACCAGTAAATGGCATGTTGGACTTACCGCAGATGACACTGATTTCAATTCATCTTTTAAAAAGCTCGGTAAAATTATTAATACGGTGTTTAAAGATAAAAAGGTACTTCCAAAACTCTTTATAACCAATAGTTACTCCTCTACAAATTATTCACCTTTTGGAATTCCGGAGCAATCACTACCTCATATATTGGCATGGTTGGATCAGATAATTGAAGGGAACCACAAAGTGATTATATTGGCAGATTGGGAATCTCAGAGCTTCATCTTACATCTTTTCTCGGGCAAGCCAATTCAAAATTCACTCTATAACATCTCAAATCAGAACTCTGGTAATATCGAATCCTACATCCTTTACCACTCTGGACGACCAACAACATTGTTCATATTTGCCAACCATCCGACCCCAGGAGTTATGAAGCCTGAGTTGGAATTGGCAAGCAGACTATTGGCGAAGTATGATGGAGATTCCAAACATTTCATACTAGATCCAGCCAAGGAAAAGAAACTGAATTTTAAAACCAAACCATCGGATGCTACCAACACAGTCAGTTACGATTATGATGGTAATATTAATTAGAATCTATTGATTTTAGGATGATTTTATATTAATATTATTTTATCAAAACTATATATAGGACCGACTGTATCTTTGAATGGAATCACTTTCTCCATTACGTATAAGAAACCAAAGACACGAGAAGATGATGAAAGTATTCATCCCTCCAAACAGCCGTATCATTCATCGCTTAACGTGGATCTTAAAGAATTCCAATACATTCAAGATATGGTAAAGGAGTACAAATCTCCACCACCACCACCACCACCCTCAACAACTAAAACAACAACCACCACCTCAACAACATCTTTATCACCACCAATAACTTCTCCAAGTGCAGTTTCACCTTTAATTCCAACCATTCCAACATTATCATCATCATCATCCAAGCCAATACAATTCAACTATAACAAATTGTCGGCTGATACATCAGCAACAAGTAATAATAATAATACATATGATAAAGATTTCAAAATGGATATTGATTCTCAATCTACTTTGGCACATGTGTTTCCTTCACCCAAGACATCAATGGCATCATCTTCACAATCTAGCACTACCATTCATTCAACAGCATCCACTACAAACAGTGACAGCAGTACTCATTATTACAATGATAGTGATGAAGAATTCAATTTATTGGATTACTACCAGTATTGTCTTGAGAATAAATTGGAAGATCAGGCTTTTACAACACCATCAAAGTCAACACTACAAAAGAATTGTGAGAGTTTTTTGCCAGATATATCCTTTGAACTGGAGAGGTCGTCTTTTTCCAATAGTGGCTCTCTCTATATTCCACCACCACCACCTATTCCCGAGAAAACTTCTAAATTTGCATTTGTAATTCCCAATTCATCATCATCATCAACAAAATCATTGATATTACCAACATCCTCATTGTCAGCACCATCATCATCTAATCCCTCACCATCAACATCTAATCCCCCACCATCTACAACATCACCAACAACAACCATTTCATCTACAAAACCACAATCATCCAATACCTTACCAAAACTATTAAAACTCAAACCATCAGCAACAACAAAATCATTGATATTACCAACATCTTCTTTATCAGCACCATCACCAATCTCTAATTCTTTATCAGCACCATCATCATCTTCTAATTCTTTATCAGCACCATCACCAACCTCTAATTTTTTATCAGCACCATCATCATCTTCTAATTCTTTATCAGCACCATCATCATCTAATCCCTCACCATCAACATCTAATCCCCCACCATCTACAACATCACCAACAACAACCATTTCATCTACAAAACCACAATCATCCAATACCTTACCAAAACTATTAAAACTCAAACCATCAGCAACAACGAAATCATTGATATTACCAACATCTTCTTTATCAGCACCATCACCATCCTCTAATTTTTTATCAGCACCATCACCAACCTCTAATCCATCACCATCTACAACATCTACAACAACAACATCCACTACCGATAGTAGCCGTAGTAGAATTGAAACATACAATCATGTCGACAAGCGACCAAGAACGACGAATTATATTTTCCAGGGGAGGTAGATTCGTCAAGGAAAGAGACGAATATAGCCTTCAGTCCAATAACAACTCCACGGCTTTAGAAATGGAAATGGATATAGATTATCCTTCAACAACAACAACAACAACAACGACAACAACAACAACAACTACTACTACAACAACTCCTAATAATAATAATATTAATAATAAATATATATTTGGAATCGATTGCGGAAGATCATCACATGTATCCATCGATGAACACGGTAAAACTCACTCATTCTCTGTCCATGAACATTATCTTAACTTAAGAAGTCGTTTCAACTCGGAAGCTCAAAAGAAAATGTTGGGTCCAGCCATGTTAAAGTTTGAAAGTCTAATTCCACCTAGTAAGAGTAAGTAAACTATCACCTTTTATTTTTAATATAGATTGATATTAATTTATTATATTATTTATTATTTTTTCTTTAGATATCAATGATATCTGTTTGGATAGATCACTGATTAGTAACAGGATTAGTTATCTTAGATTACACCCAACAACAACAAAAAACTATGTCAACATTAGATTAGATGAGTACAACCTAATAATGAAGAAGAATAACTACTACAATAAGCGTAAATCCTACAATTCAATGGTGGACAAACTGGTTCCAATCAAAAATAGTATAGTCTTTATTGGTTCTGCCAAGTTCAGCCACAACAGTCGTGGCCAATCTTCTTTCATTTCTTCAGCCACTCTCTACAAGTGGGTGAAGAAAAAAAAACATAAAGCATTGTGGATCAATGAATGCTACACCTCAAAAGTAAGTACAACTTAAATTGTCACAAATTATAAATATATTTTTTAATAATTAAATAATTAATCTTTTTTTTTTTTATATTTATAATATAGGTTCATAATGCATGTTGGAACAAGACGGAAAAGGAAATTCTTGCTAAACTTAACAACAAAGTTAGCAATATGAAAGATCCTCCGCCATGTGCTCTTTCAAGTGGACCATACTCCAAATCAGTTAGCATCGATAGAAATCAAGTAGCTGAGTGTCACAAGCAACTATCAACACTACACCAGACAGTCACAGGATACATAGATGGTACGAATAAAGTCAATAGTTCTACTAATAAAAGTAATGAACGATTTGACTATATGAAACACCACTCTTTGTATTCCAATCAAATGTCTGGAAACAATGTAAATGTTGATGGCTTGGCTAAGGATCATCCGATCCTGAAAGTATTCCAAGAGAAAAAATGGAAAAGGCCACTCTGTCGCTGCTGTGGTCACTTCTACCACCGGGATAAGAACGCTTCTAGAAACATCTTACTTCTTGGGTTACTCAGTGTTCGATATCAATTCCGACCAGTCGTGTTCCAATACATCAAATTTATTAACAAATAGAATTTTACATTCTAACAACAAGTAAGTTAATTATTTTTTTTTAGAAAAAATTTTTGACACTAACCTTCAATTAAATTTTTTTTCACATTTTTTTTTCATAATTTCTCTGTCATTCAAAAAATAGTTTCATATTGGAAGAGATAAAATAACAATTTTATTATCCCCTAAAGTGTGCTAAATTCGCGTAACTAACAAAAGTTCATTCTTGGGATTTTTCCCAAACCAAATGTTGTGTAAAAAAATTAAAAAAAACGTTATTTCTAGTCAAAAAAAATTGAGTATTTATTAAATGTGTTTTAAATTATTAAATTTGAATAATGGATTGTGGAAATACATATTGCAATCTTTGTGAAGAGCGATGTTGTGGCAAAAGCATTTTTGTTTGGTTCTTTTTTCTTTATAGTTCGTGTTGACGTTATTTAAACAGTAAAAACAATACTCTTGTCCTCCTTCAATGTCTATTAGATCTGGTGTGACAATGGTGTATCTTGTGTTTCTTTCAATGCTTGGGTTTTTGAGTAGAATTTTGTTAACCACTTCCAAAAGATAGTTTTTGAATCTTAGCGAATTCTCCTTTTCTGACGTTGAGGAGCTGGTGCAATTATGTTCTAAAGATTGGAATGCCACAAATGAATTGTATAGAATTGCATAGAAAATATCATTTAATACGACTCTTGAATATGTGCGTGCACGATGGATATTTCTTAACGGATTGATGATCATCTTTGTTGAATCTACATAATTGTGGCAGTTATTATACACCCAGACGACTCTTGGTGTTGTTAACTGTTTTGTTGTGTAGGTTACTTCTCCTTTTACTGTTTTTTTAGTCCTAGAAACTCTCCTCAATTCATGTGTTTTATCTTGGCAGATTGGTTTTGGAATGTTGGTAAAGAAAAATACTGTTTTATCTTTCTTGGCCTGCCATGCTATTGCTGTGTGAAACTTATTGGAACCAAATGACATCTCTCCTTCAGTTGAAAAGTCATTTTTCTTTCGATTGCCTCCTTTTCTTGACGGGATGATTTGATCCATAACCTCCTTGCACTTATTCTTAGCAACTGAGACAATGAATGAATAACCTTTGCTTTGGAGGTGCTTAATATTGTCCATACTGCCAAGAATACCAGCATCAATTATAATACATGTACCAAAGTTAACAGGACAACCTAAATGTTTATCCAGTGCCTCTTCAGTTCTCTTGAGGATCTCTTGGTTTAAATTTACTGGAATGTTCTGAGACTTAATGATGTTCTTTACATAGTGCTCCAATTCGAAATGGTAAATATATGTAAAAGAGTCCACCAGTTTCCATAATATGTTGCCAACAGAGTCTGCTTTACCAGCTATGATCTTTTTGCTTCCACCCTTGCCAGTCCACTTGTACAAGTCATCGTCAAAAGAAAAAGTATCTCCTGGGGTCCAATTAGCTTTGAATATATCATTTACAGCATCCACAATTGGTTGGAAATCGGTACTTGTCAACTTTCCATCTTTGTCAATGGTTCCAAAGCCTTTATAGTGCAAACAACGATGAATAGCCTTGAATTTAGAGAATGATAGAATATTGAATACTGAATGGTTGTAAAATGAGATGTTATCATCTTTTTTCCACAACTCCTCCATATTCGGGGTCCTAACGAGGCCAGCATAAATGAATATAGCAAGGTATTGCTTAATATCATTTAAACTGAAGTAGGTGTAGCGTGTATACCATGGAGGTTGCTTTCTGTTTCTCAGAGCTACCAATTTATAATGTTCTTGATATTCATTAGTTGATATGTGTAGCTGTGATAGAAACTCTTTAAAGTAGGTATCAAAAACAATTTCTATTCTTTCGTGGAGAGAAAGGGTATTGTAGTTCGCGGGAACCTTAAACTTGACACCTTGGCTATTGCTAGTCTTCGGAAATGGATTATTCTTGAGGAAATCGATGTTCTCCATTTGTTCTGGTGTAAATCTCATTCCATTGGGCAAGTATTCAATATTTTGCTGATAGACAGAGCCATCGCCATCATTACTTGGCACTGCAGTGGAGCCACCATCACCATCACCACCATCACTACCATCTTCTTCTTCTTCTTTCTCCTCTTCTTCTTCACCAATGTATTCTTCGAACTCCATATCCATCAAATGAGAATAGCTCTCCTCTTGGTAAACTACCTCTTCTTGGTTTATAAATTCTCTAAGTATAATTCTACTTGATTTATTTATGTCAAAGTTCTGGAATGTCATAGGTTCGGGAACGAGTTTAAGTAGTTTAAATAATCGATCCAATGCCACTATATCATTCCATCCATCTCTGACAAAACTGATGATTTCGTTTAGTGGTATATCATATTTTCTCACCCAGTTTCCAAAGTTGGGATCAAAATAAACATTGTGATCTATCTTTCCTGTTGACACATCTTTGTTATGCTGTAAAGTAATTATAATATCTTTAAAACATTAACAATTTTGATAGAGATTTATTAATTAATTGATAAATTACCTTTTACTTCAACAAGTTTCTGTTTTTTATTACTACTTTGATTCTTTTGACTATTTGATTTTTTAGCCACAGCAACTCCACCTAAAAATGCAATTAAAACAAGTCCAAATATAAGATATAAATCGGTTATCGTAAAACCATTATGATTATAAGTGTAGTTCATTGTGAAAAAAGGTCAAAAAAAGAACAGAAATGATGATTTGGTAAAAAAAAAACAAATTTTTGTGTTCGCGTGTTGAAAGATCAAAAATCAAAAAAAAATTCTCAAATTTGTTTCAAAAGGGTTGATTTAAAAAAATTCAATTTTTTTTTTTATTTTTCCAACTGGTTTCTTGACGGCAACTGTGTCTGGGATAAAAACACGGTACACACACTTTAGGGGTTATTGGTGAAGCAATTATTTTTTGAAATTTACAGAATATCCACCAGAGTTTGGATCTTTAATGAATTGAAAGTTATCTGTGCTCAATCCAAATTTACCAAGAAAAGTATTACCAAGATCTTTTAGTTTCGACATCATCTCTTCACGTTCACGATCCTCTTTGGCTTTGATTATGGGTGGTAGACGTTGTGCTGCCTGTAGAGCGGGTTGGAATCGTGGGTCGATCTCCAAGCATGCTTTGTAGTCGCTGAGTGCATCCGTCAGTTTCTCTGTTGCTTCGTATGCTTGTGCACGACGGTGTCTCGACTTCATTTGTATGGTATTGCTAGGTTGTAACTCGAGTGATTCGCTGCAGTCCGACACAACCAAATCATATTGTTTTAAAGCCAGATGTGATGCCGCCCTATTGCAATGGTAGACTGCTACCTCTTCATTGCAAAGCGAACGACTCTCTTGATGATCTTCATCTTGATCATCGACAATCTCTACAATCTTCTTTGGTTTTGTTAGCAACTCTATTGCTTTTGTATAGATATCGATCGCTTCTTTATATTCAGTTGCACCATACAACATATTTCCTTGTGCTTTCAAATTGTTTGCTTTCTCTATATCCTCTTTATTTGCTTTATATATCTTTTTCTCTTTGATTATCTCTTTCTTTTCATCTTTACTTGTATTTTTATTATCATTATCTTTATTTTGATTATCATTTTTTTGATCTTGACTACCTATATCATTTGTATCATTATCTGTATTACAATTTGTATTTACTTTATTATTATCTATATCTGACTATAATGAAAAAAAGATAGTAAGTAAATATTTAAAAATTGAATTTATAAAAATAAATATCATTATTTACCATCTTTATTCTAATATAATATATATTATGTTTAAATAAAATTGAAAAACTGATTAATTAAAAAAAAAATAAGCATTAATCAAATTAAATACTAACACGATTATAAAAAAAAAGATAAATCTTTTTTTTTTTTTTTTTTTGTTGTTAGATTGATTTTAAAAAAAAAGAGTCAGTGTGATTGTATTCAGACAATCATCTAATTAATATGAGTAGTATCGATGAAATAGATATCTATTCTGATTTAGCGGGTACTTCAAATGTATCTTTGTCATATGAACAATTGGAAGAGAAACTTGATCAATTACAGTCAGAGTTTGATAAACTTAAACAAGATTCTCTAAATTCAAATCAATTATTAAATACAACTAAACAACAGGTAACTAGCTATCAATCTATTAATAATATTTAATAAACAAGAATAACTTTATTAACCTTTTTTTTTGTTCAAAAAAGTTACAACAAACAACAGTACAAAGAGATAATCTTCAAAAAATAAATGAAATTCTAATGAAGAATATCTCATCACTCTACAAAACAGCGTTAGCAGAGTCACAGAGAAAAGATAGAGAAATAGAATCACTCAGAGAGCAACTTGCAAACAACAACAGTGCAAGAAAACAACCATCATTACCAAAAATCAACATCAAGATAATGAATGGAAAGTAGTACTTTTCTTTATTTATAATCATTAAAAGATATCTAAAATGTACATAAATACAAAGTAAAATTAAAAATTAATCTTATTGTTGTTTTTTATTTTATTTTATTTTTAAAAGTGAAAGTGGTATACAATATCATCAAATCGTCATAATACTTTATTATTATAATGTTGTTATTATTATTATGATTTGATTATTTTTATGTTATTATTATTGTTGTTGTTATATAAAGTTGTCGAATGATATGCTATGTTGATTTTTTTAATTTAATTTGATGTCGGCTGGAGCGTTGTAGAAGAAACCAGCGTTAACCAATTCCTTTACGCTACTCTCCAAGACGATAACCGATTTGAAACCTTTGCTTTGCAATTTCAAAGCGGCTTCACATGCAACTGGGTAACCTTTCTCCTTTGGACCGAGTAAGAGCACCATCGATGACTTGTCGAGTTGCTCCGATGATTTGTCGAGGTGTTCGACTGGGTGACTGACTGAACCGACAACCGACTCTGCAGCAAACTCGGCGGCAGGACGGATATCGAGCAAATAGAAATCGAATCCCATCATTGCGATACGGTGGAGACCGGCAGTGGCCAGACGTGGGATATGTGCATACTGTGGGAACGATGGTGATTTCTGCTTGTTTGGACGACGACCTCTCTGTGGTGATGGTCTGGCAACCGATGCCTTGTATACATCCTCTTTGGTTGCAGTGGTGGTGGTGGTAGTCGATGTTGCTGTTGAATATGACTTGATTGCACTGTAGTTGTTACATTTCAACAGAGATGTTGGAACAACAACTGAATTAATTGTACTGTTCAACAAACAATTGCTATATGATGTTCTATTTAATCTAACCTATAATTATATTAATGAAAATCATTAATTTTGTTGTTCAACCTATGAGCACTCAATCAATCAACCAATCACAATCAAATTTCCAAAAAAAAAAAAAAAAAGAGGTAGTAAATATCTATTCCATCTCTTGTTTTAAAATGAAATGAATCAAACTGTGGTGCATCCATTTCAATATGTATCTATTGTTTAACATTAATATTGTCTACATTTTGTTGTGTGATTTAAGATTATATTATTTTATTGTTTATTGGATATTTCTGCTATAATAATGTTTTAATGTGTTCTATTTGTCTGTTTAAGTTCTCTCACTAATCAATAGTTGATTTGAGATTACTAGTGATAATGATGAATTCTTGAACGTTTGCTGATTGACTGATTGATTGCCTGATTGATTGATTGACTATATTAAAACTAAACATACCAATTGTCTACCAAACATTTTGATTATTATTATTAAAGTTATTAAATTATATAAAAATTAAAAAGAGATGCTAATCTGATGGTATGAGTAACAATGATCAAAGTCGAATCTCATTAAAAAAAAAAAAAAAAATTAAAAATTAAAAATTATTTTTTGAAAAAAAAATTGTGGTTTTAAAAAACATCACAAACAAATAATAGGTTTAAACACCAACTTATACAATCACATCCAACGTACACCTTATAAAGAAAATCAAATAGAGATTAACTTTAGTAGTTATCTCTCATTGTTATTTTAATTTTATTTTTTTGTTTTTGTTTTCATAACAAATTAGTTTTTTTTTTTTTTTTTTTGGTCAACAAATACATTTTTTTTTTCAACTATTTTATAAAACTAAAGTACGAGGGAATCGAGTCGATCGATTCACATTATATATATATATATACAAGTTCAAAATAATATCATATAGCATAATATTCGACTATTCTTATTATTTTAATTATATAGTATCGATATGGATGCATTGGCATCTCTGAGATTGAAGGTTTTGTCTTCAAAGAAGAAAAAGAATGATGACGATAAAGAAGATGGTGAAATAGATGATAATACTCCTTTACAGCAGCACCAGCAGCACCAGCAGCACCAGCAGCAACATCAGCAACATCAGCAACATCAGCACCAGCAATTTAGAAATAATAATAATAATAATAATAATAATAATAATAATAATAATAATAATAATAATAATAATAATAATAATAATAATAATAATAGCAATACATCATTTCATCCTTTTCATGGTGGTGGTATGCCACCACTGCCACCTCCCCCACCTCCTCCTTTAAATCAATCAAACAACAATATTCATAGTCATCATAATTTAAATCATAGCCATAATCATCTATTTGTAAGTTTCTATGCATCGCTAGAACAATAGTCTATCATCTCCCTCTAGTTACTAATGATAAATTGATTTTTAGATACAAGATAGTATCATCGATAAAGGACCCGTTGATATGGATTTAACGAATGAATCTGATATCAATATGTTACATCATATTCAACAACAACACATAATGCAACAACAACAACAGCAACAATCAAATCAATTCTTTAATCAAGGATTTCCACAGAATATGTTGTTTAAACAATCAAACTTTGTTACACCACTGCCTATTCCACCACCTCCTTTCATCCCACCACCACTGCCATCTTTCCAACCTGGCAATGGAATGTCTTCACAGTTTATTTCACCAACAATGGTCGACAATTTAAATATACAGCAACAAATTCAACAACAACAACAGCAACATCAACATATGAATGGTTACCTAAATGGATCGAGCAATAATATTAATAGCAATAATAATATGAATATGAACAACAGTAACAATGGTATGAATCAAGTCGAAAACTTACAATTACAACAGTTGTTGCAACGACAACAACAATTACATTTATTACAGCAGATTCAACAGCAGCAGCAACAACAACAACAACAACAACAACAACAACAACAACAACAACAACAACAACAACAACAACAACAACAACAGCAACAACAGCAACAACAGCAACAACAACAACAGCAACAACAGCAACAACAGCAAAATCAACAACTAGTTGGTGTTACACCAAAGAAACAAAAATTAGATAACAAGCGTGATTTACCATCACCACCTTCTACATTGTCGGTGTCAGCTACTTCTCCTTCTTCTGTTACTCCACCTACAGTTTCAACTCCACCAATAACGACGATCACCTCTGTAAACATGACAAAGAAAAAGGTAAAGAAATCGATAAAGGGATCATCTGGTTCTGTACCACCTGTATTGAACAAGACATCAGTTATCAGTACAAACAGTATTACACAACACAGCAAGAATATACCTAGTATGATTATCAATGTTGGTGAGGAAGATACTGACGATGATAACGACGACCTCAATCATCGACCTCAATCCAATCAACAAACAAACAATAGCATCAGCACCGCCGATCTGCTTGAAAATGATGTTAGCAACTATGAGGTTGAAGCCGCCCAAACAGGTCATTTTGATATTGCCACCGACGACTTGGTGGACAGCCTCGCTATGGCAAAGAAGAAAGAGTACACCAGCGAGATGGAGGATCTGAAACGACAGATCGCTGCCAAGGAAGAAGCTCTATTGCGAAAGAAGTTGGAGGAGAGAAAGAAATCAAAGTTATCCACCACCAATACACCATCGATGTCATCAGTCGCCACCGAGCCAAGCGGGTTGTCGCCAATGAATACAGCACCAACCAACGCATCTGCCACCCTTATGCTCTCGTCAGACGACGGTTCTCAGTCCTATGACAATCACAACAACAACAACAACCACACAACCAATATAGCTAGCGATAACAACATCAATAATAACAGCAGCAGCAACGATGCACCCTTTGAGAGTATAGACAACAGTCCTCTGACGAACGACGCATTGGCCGAAGAAAAGTCTGCTATGAAAAAGTTAACAACCGATCTTGTTGAAACCAATCGAATGATGGTCAAGAGTGAAGGTGAGATATTCAGAATCGAACTAGAGTTGGCCGGTGTCGAGTGTCACCGTAAGGAGTTGGAGATAAAGATCAACCAACTCAAGCAGACACTCGAGATTTACCAAGCTGACTTGGAGTCAACAGAGAAACAAGCTGAGGAATTCCAATCCAAATTGGAATCACTACGATCAACTTCTACTCTGTTACTCAAAGCATACAACAACAAGATTAAGACAATCAATCAAAAGAAACGTAAATTCGATGAACTAAGAGAATCATTCACAATGGATCCATTTTTATTGTCCGTAGTAGACAGAACAACCAACTCAATCATCCTAACTCCACACAATCAGAAAATAATAGACGAAATTTCAACCACCCCAATTTTATCACATTCAAGATTATCTAGATTTACCAACAACAACAACAATAATAATAATAATAATAATAATAATAATAATAATAATAATAATAATAATAATAATCATCAATCTTTAATAACTTCAACTTCTCTACCCTCCAATACAACAACAACTACATCAACCACAACAACTACTTCAAATAATAATAATGATATTAATAGTCCAGAGTTAAATATTGTAAGTAGAACAGCTGATGATAGTAATAGTTTGACAAATGTTTCTAGACCTAAACGTGTTATCTCGGTGGTAATGAATCCATCTATAAAGAAATCTAGTAATGTTATAGATTTATTACTTCAGGGCAAAACATTGGATCAATTTATCGATAGAATGATAAAGTATAGTGAAATCATAGTGCTGCCTAAAGTACCAGCTGGTAGCGGTGAGGCTGATTCAATGGACATAGACAATGCACTCACAGTTTATGTTGCCGAGCAGCCAACCTCTGTTTGGTGTAGCAATGATGGTTCCACAGATTTACACAAACCCATTATGAAGAGTATACTGCATGGTGTAGTTCCCGAAAAGTTAGAGACCATCTTGAATCCGATGACCATCACCAATACCTACGTCGGAAACAAGCCAATGCCCAAAGGGAAATACCAGTCGCCTCTTATGTGTCTCCGATCCTACCGATTCTCCCATACCTACACCAAGTTTTGTCCATTTACACTGACCTCCTCTATGTACTCGTCCAAGTTGAATCCAAAGAAGAAACTCTGCATGTATGAACTTGATGGTGTCTGCCGTGATCCTAAATGTACATTCCAACATCAACGTGATTATTCAATGTCCAGTAAGTAACTCTGAAAAGATGAGACATTATCAACTGATCAACTAACCCTATCTATCTATTTCTAGATAAGGAAATTATTGAGGATATTATTTCCTATGCCAACGATAAGGTAGTAGCTGTTCGAAAGGAATGTATGATGTTGTTGGATCAAAAGAAAGAGGATTCATTCCCTCAATCATTGAAGAAAGCATTTTTTAATGTGATCACAGAGAACAAACAACTCATTCTTCAAGTTGGACCATCACGTCAGAAGGTATTGGATCAAAGAAATCAACAGTTCTTGTCTGAATCGATTGCCAAGAGTAAAAAGAAAAAGAAGGAAGCTGTCGTTTATCAACCAATCAATCGTTTGCCTCAGGTTCGCACTGTTGTCAGTTCAACGGTAGTAGAAAAACCAGAGACAGAAGACTTCCTCAACATTGAGAAATATGTTGAGATTGTCAGACGTGAGAAGCACAACACTTCTAATTCACATAAAGATGAAATGAGTGATGATGAAGCACCGCCTCCCTCCGTTCCGCTCAGCTCAACAACTCGATCGATCACCACTGGCGATGACAAATCAGCTGAAGAGCCTGTCGATTCACATTGTCATGACTCGGAGGATCCAAGAGTAGAAGAGTTGGTTCATAGTTTTGGTGAGTTTGACGAGGAAGTCAGAGCTCGTTATGGAGTCACCAACGTTAGCTCCATCGAATATATGTCGAATCCAACAAGTCTGATGCTCTGCTTTGGTTATCTATGCTCATCGTCAGTCACAGACATTCTCAACAACTCTGACAAACGACAAGAAATCCTCGATAAACTCTATGACATTGTCAGTCATAATCCACACTCTGAGATCTTTTGGAAGATCTACATTGAGGTCTACTCTAGAAAGTACAGTAATTCCTCTACAGAGATCGACGAACTCATCAATGCCGCTCTCAGAACTTGCAACTCTATTGTTCTGATCTTGATGAAGCTGCAACTACCAAACACTCTGAGCCAAAAGATTTCTATAGCCACTCATACACTCACACAGATCTTCAACAAATCAGGACCATTCGAATCGCTTCCAGCGAATGAACTGTCATTCTGGTGTTTGGAGATCATTCTTACCTACTTGCGTGTCGTTCTTGAAGCTGGATGGCGTGACTCACTCATCATGGACTTCCTTCTCTTCTTTGAGCTCGACAGTAGCAAGTATGCAAATGTGTTCATGCCCAACTATAACCATTTCAAACAACGCGAACCATTCCTTCCAACCAATAGCAATGACTTGGAGTCGACACTGATGCCTCAAGAGCAGAGTTTTCTCAAGATGATATTCTTCTCGTTGGTCGTCTTCAATGAGATACCAGATGCCACTCAACTCTATGAGAATCAATCGGTCAATACGCTGGCGCCGAAGCTATTCATCATGAAATGGAAGTCTTACTTTGATGGCACTGCCTATCTTAAAGTGAGCAAAGAATATTCGGAAGCCATTGATTCAATGTTTACTGAACTCAGTGATGACACTGAAAACTATACGTTGAATCATCTTTACTTCCAATCATATGTAATACCTCAGGAGAAGTTAGTTTTTTCGGTGCAAACCAACCTTAAACAACACCCAAATCACACAAAGACTTGGTTGTTTTTAGCAAGAAGATACAGAGAGGTTAACACTCTGAAAAAGGCACTCAAAATCAATCAGGATTCATTCGAACTATTGAAAGAGTATGTTGTATCTTTAACTTTTATGAATAATACTGTAAACGCGATTGCAGCCATCGATAATAAGATATTAAAACTATTCTCAACAGATAAGGTATGTTATTTCTAAATGCATATTTAAAATTTAAAAAATATTTATTTATTTATTTATTTTTAATAATAGTCACAGGAACTATTAATTAAAGATGAAAAGATAACTACAAACTCATTATTTAATATAATACTTGGTAGAAATGATTTAACTGTATCTATAAATGCTCTGTCAATGAATTGTAAGTTAAACTAAAAAATATTTTTTATTTTTAAATTTTCTAATTTTTTTTAATTTGTTTTAAATTCATTAAAGATAAAACTATAAATGAAGATCAATATGTACACTTTTGGCTAGTCTATATAATTTATTTATATTTACAAAAGAACTACAATGATATTATACCTACAATGAAGCAAGCACTCACCCGTTTAACTTCGTTATCCGATAAGAAGTTAGTTTGGAAAGAGTATGATAAATTTATTTATTTAAATAATTACATCTTAATAACATCTCTCTATACTATTTAAGGTTACTCTATTTATCTATCAATTGTTTAAATACACCAGATATAGATTCATTGGTTGATCAATATTTCCAAGAGGTCCCAACTGAATTCAACTATCCACTGGAGAAGTATCTAAATATGGTGCCACATGAAACACCTCATATCTTTAGGAATGCACTTAAACCACCAGTTTTAAAGGTAAGTTATTGATTTTTGCGATAATGTATTTTTACATCAAACTTTAACTATTTTTTATATCCTAGGATTATCATTTACACAATGAGATATTGGAGCAATATATTGGAATCAAAAACTCCTCTGTACCACTGTTGAGAAAATGTGTTTTGCTTTTCCCAGATAACCATTTCATTTTTTCAAAGTTTGTCTTTTGTTTAATTTTTTTTGCTAAGATTTTCTTTTATAATCCATCCATCTCGATTAACCTATATATACTATTTCTATTTCTAAAAATTTCTACTTTTAGGTATATCAAGTCGATCGCTGAGAGTAAAAAACTTTGAAAATATAAAGAATATTCTGACGACCATCACACCAAAGCGAGACATTTCTCTGTCCATATGGAAACTGTATGGTCTCCACCTAACTCTATCCAGATGCCCCATAGCATCTCTACCTAAATTGAGTTCATCAATGAATTCTAAATTTCGGGTATATAGTTAAATGATTTTAACTAATTTGTTTTTTTTTTTCTTTTATATCTTTCTTTTTTTTTTTTTTTTATTTGTAAATTTCAGATCACTCCAAGCAGCCATTGAATTTAACCAGTCCAACCAACAGATATTGAAATTGTACAAGAATGTATTAAGTTACCATCCTTACAACTATGATATTTGGATCAAGAGAATTTTGTTTGAAAAGAAAATCAATCCTACCAGCTACCATTCCATAGTTTCGACAAGTATCGAGAGCGCACAACAATATGGGGTCAACCTTTGGATATCTAATAATTAAATCTTTTTTTGATTATTAAATTAATATTATTAACTTTAGATTATTTTCTTTTTTCTCTCTCTTCCTTTCTCACAGAGCACTTTCATCCACAACACACCTCCTTATTTTTCACTATCTCTTATTTTAGATATTTTATTTAAATATTTTAAAACAATGTATTCTTTAAAGAAAAAAAAAAATAAATAAAAAATTATATAATTTAGAATAAATAATTAGGTTTTTATTGTTATGGAGAAAGATATTAACAAAAAAAGAACAATTAATTGTTTTTTAACTCTATTGTTGATTAATAATTCTGAAGACAATTATTTATTTAACTGAAGAAAAGATACGTGACTCTTCATGTGCTATGTGATCAGAAAGATCGGTAATTGATTTATCGATCATTGGTTTCCAATAAATATTATCGTAGGATTGTGAAGTCTGTGGGTTTGATATACCAATAAATACCGCTCTTCTCCAAGATCTGCTGACTCGTGTACATATCATTAGTGATCGGAAATCTAAAAGTTTAAAGATTTTTTCTAGAGTTGCATTATCTGTACGTAGGTGGATGTCCACCATAGGGATTACCGTTAGACAAGATTCAAGAGGTGCAGGATGTGATAAAACATAAAGTGTTTGTAAAATTTTTTTGAAATTTGGTCTAACCAACGGATTGGCATTCCAACACTTTTGTATGAGATCGGAAATGATATTTGGGACTGAATCTGGTATTTTAGGTCTACCTCCCTGTAATACGAAATTTACTCTTGCAAATTCGTGCATATCTGCAAATGGTGTTTGTCTTGTAAACTAAAAGATCATTAAAATTGATTAATAAATGAAATGAGATAATGATAACATTTGAATGTCAACTTACCAACTCCCATAAAACTATACCAAATGAATATACGTCGGCAGATTGAGTATACTTTTCACCTTTGATAACTTCCTCTGCCATATAGACTGGTGTACCTATGACAGTCATATTCAATTGATTCTGGAATATCTTGGAGGTACCGAAATCAATCAACTTGACGCTATAGTCTTCTTTCACCAAGAAGTTGGCTGATTTCACGTCACGATGAATAAGAGATTTCGAATGGAGGAAATCGAGTGATTGTGCTGCCTCCACTGCCATATTATGAATAAGATAGAGTGGTGGTGGACTGTTGTTCTCCCTAACATAGGACTCCAGTGCTTGCATCAGATTACCACGACTGCAATATTCTGTGACAATGAATGGCGTCCCTGTGTTTTGTGTATGAGCACCCAAGCATTTGACAACACGTGGATGCTGAGATACACAAGCAATGGTTACCTCCTTGAAAAACAATGGCCACTCAAAGCCAAGACCCTCGATCGATAGCTGTTTGATAGCAACATCATTACCTTCGAAACGACCTTGATAGACTGTACACAACGGTGATTCATACAACATTTCACCGAAAATAACCTGTTGAGGATCCAACTCACGATGAACATTACAATTCCTTGTGGACGCTTTCAATATTAACTCTAACCAATCTGGATGTTTTTCAATAATACTTCTACATGGTTCTATTATATAACAAACACAGTATTAATAAATTGTGCCAACATCTTAAACCTACAGATACTCATTACCTTTTTTAAAATATGTGCCAAGAAGAGTAACAATACCATCACTACTACTAATTTCATCGACCTGTAACTTTTCAGATAGATTATCCTTCTCTACACATAATGTCGCCAATGCTTCAATAATTCTTGAACTAAAATATAAAGGTAATAATGTTTCTTGATATTATTTTTGTAAGTAAGCTATAAAAAGTAGGTTTCAATTAATTATACATACCATTTTCAAATAATTTTAATAGTATTGCAAATAATTTAAGTGATAATGTATTTAATATTGCTATTGTTTGTTGATTTATACTTTGATGACTGTTATTATTATTATTATTATTATTATTGTTGTTGTTGTTGTTATTATTTTGACTACTACTTAGTATAGGTGATAATGGTGTTGATTTTATAGTTTTTAAATAGAAAATGTACAGTGTGGATAGTGTATTAAGTGTTTCTTGATCGGCAAAATGAATGATATTCTCTGATGTGAACATCAGACGATAGAGAATCGATAGCATTATGAACTGTCCAATGTCATTCCTCGATGTTATACTGTAGTGAAGATCAGCACTGACCTTCATTTCACCGAGTATCTTTGATGATTTAGTATGTGTTTCTTTTGTCATTGACTTACTATGTATCTCTGTAGTAGTACCTATTTGACATGAATTAATAGTTGTTCCACTACCACCAAGTGTACTACCACTACCACCTCCGACTACACTATCCGCTGATCCAAATGATTCATATTGCAACGATAATATATATCTGAATGTTGTATCATCTACTCTCACCTTACTAGAATAGAATGAATGAATAAAGAATAATATTAATAAGTTGATCAATAAATATAATACTTATTGTTTAACGATATCAAATCAAACCTACTTGAATATATCATAGTATTTCTTATTATAAATTTTCTTGATTGTATCTTCAGCGGTGATCATCTTTATCCATGTTTTTAAGTTATCTTTTAGAAGCTGTCCAGACTGTACCATTGTCTCACCATATTTTACAAATAGATCTAAATTGTTTTTGATACCAATATAATTGCCAATAAGATATTTTGATTGCAATGCCTCTATTGTTATTCTAATAATACATACGTTTTGAAGACTTTGAAAACATCTTTTTAAATTTATTTGACAATCCAGATGATTTCTTTTGGTGTTTTGAAACGGTACCACCACAATGATGATTACTATACTCCTTTAATTGTATACATTTATTATGAACAACAATCTGACATTCTATTTGATAAAGTAGATATTGAGTGTTAATACAAGTAGAGTTAGATTGATAGTAGTAAGAAAATGACAAATGATAGATTACTTGAACACATTGCTATTTGATTTGGTAATGATAGAACAGGCCCACCAGATTGACAGAATTTACATTCTGTAGGCTCGCTCAATACTGGATTGGGTACAAATTGATGATTTGCATGTTGTAATTGTAATTGTGATGAACTATTACTTTGTTGCATCATCTTTGCCTATTGTGTCAATAAACAAAAAAAAAAAACTAAATTTATTTCTTTTTCTTTTCTCTCTATTCTATTTATTGTTGTTTCTAAACTATACAAAATGTTATGCCTTCTATGCTGAATAATCGATAAATTAAATGTAAGGAAAATAATAATAAACTAAACTCTGTAAGATGATTTTGAAAAAAAAGGTTGACAGGTGAAGTGAAACAAATCAAAATTATTTGAAATTTTAAAAAAAAAAATGACATGATTTATTCAGTGTGAAATAAAACAAAACAAAAAAAAAAAGTTAAAAATGGAATCCAAAAATATTAATGCTTGTATATTAAAAGATAAATGATCTTTTATTTTTAAATTATTATGATTTTAAAGACAACATTGATCTTTTGCTTTTTTTGGGTACAAATAAATCAAGCATAATTATATTATGTTTGAGTATAAATTATTTTAATATAGTATAATTAAATTATTTTAATTGATATTAATACATAATAAAATTAATATTATAATTTATTTTTGGTTTTTTTTGATTTTTTTTACAAATTTATATAGATATATATTGAAGTCTGTCATTTTTTTAAAAGGTTAAAAAAAAAACTGACATCTTATTATAAGCTTGATAATTTAATCTTGGTTCTTCTTGATCTCACTGAGCAAAGCTGGACGAGCACTTGGTTTGATGTGAACCTCTTTGTCGATGACTGGAGCAGAAGCATCCTTGGTTGGCTCGACGTGAGTCAAGTTGTGGCTTCCTTGGATCTCATTGAGCAAGGCACCATGTTGATTTGGCTTGATGGTGACACCGGCTAAAAATTAATTAATTGGAAATAATAATAATAATAAGAAACAATTAGAAAAATGTCTAATCTAATATTATTGATGATGGTTTGTAGATAAAAAAAAAATAGAAATGTAAAGACAAGAACTACATACCATCAATCTTTGGGGCAGAGGCATCTTTGGTCTCGACATGGGCCAAACCGGATGGTCCCTTTTGGATTTCGTTGAATAAAGCAGCGTTGGACATTGTTATAAGTATAATTAAATTTAATATATGATTAGATTATTATGAAATTGAATTGAAAGCTTAAGCTTTGAACCACTCAATTTAATATAAACCAAAAATAAAAAAGTAATTTAAAAAATAAATAAATTTTAATTAAATTTTGGTGGCTCAGAGCCACCCATCAAAGCCTAAAATGTGAAAAAAATCAAAAACAAATTTAATATTAATTATTTAATATCAACAAAAAAAAAAACAAATTATTTCTTTTAAAAGAAAATCACATTAATAATGATATTTTTAATTTTTGGGTTAAAAATTGGGTTTTTATTCACTATTCACAAAGTGATAATGTATTCACACCAAAAACAAACTATCATCATTTTAATTATTTGATTATTATTTAATTTTAAATTTGTTTTTGAACTTACCCCACCAAATGAAACTGAATGGGTTTGAAAAAAAAAAAAAAAACAAAAACAAAACAACATTTTTTCACATAAAATTGGGCATCTTTGGCAATTTTATATTAAATCATTGAAAAAAATATCATAAACAGAAAGTGATCATAGATAAATCGAGATTATTAATAGAGTTTTTTTTTCTTATACAATCAAAATGAGTCCATTTTTAAAACAACCCAAAAATGAAAATTAAAACTTTCAAAAAAAGGTTAAAAGACAATACAGATGTGTTGGAATCAATTAATGTTGACCTATCATATGATGTTTATCAACGTTTTTTTTTTTTTTTTGTTAATTAATATTTATTTTTTAATTGGTTTATCTAAAGTTGATTCCAACTGTTTCTTATGTGCCAATACACACGCAGTTGAGCAATAGGTGAACGAAAGTCTTTCAAATGGAGTCGATAGTATGTTGGTGAAACATTGTGTACATTTTTTGACTGGACCGCTGTATCCACCCAGTCTGGCCTCAGCAGCAAGTGCACGACGCTCTCTATCGGTTAGCAATGAGTCTTTTGCCTGTCGTTCGGCCTTGACCGACTCTAGCAGCTTGAGTTCCGCCAGTTTGGCTTGCTTTGCCTTCTCTTCCTCGACAGCACGCTGTTGCTCATCGAGCTTCGCTTGTCTCTCTGCGGCTTTCTTTGCCTTCTCCTTCTCTTTCTGATTCTTTTTCTTTTTCTTTTTGTTTTCCTCACGCTCGACCAACATCTCTTTGGTCAGTGGTGGTATTCTTGCTTTTAAATAATCCCATTCGTCGAGATGATCTCCTGCCCACTCTCTGAGCAAATCTCTAGCCTGATTGGATGCCACCTCATAGACAGTTTCCTTTCTGAAACCCTCAACGGTTGGATCGGCACCATTATCCATCAACAGCTTGACAATCTCCAAACTACCATCTGCAGCAGCTCTGTGTAATGCAGTTCTAAAATGCCAACTTGGAATGCAAACATCAATATCATCTGGTAATGCTCTTACTAAATATTCTACCATTTTAAAATCTTTTTTCTGTTGAAATCAAATTGATTAGATATAAATATAACATTGAAAATAATAATCAAAAAACATACTTGAACTGCAATAAATAATGGTGTCATTAATGAATCTGATTGAGTTGGTATTGGTAATTCATATTGATCGTCTTCCTCCAATAAATGTATAACTTTATCCAAATCCTTGTTTCTTGTTGCTTCAAACAATGGATCTTTTTCATATTCACTATGAACCACCTCGGTTGGTTCCACTGGTTTCTCTGGCTCTGCGGTTGTTGTAGTGGTGGTGGTGATGGTGTCCTGTGATTCTTGTTGTGGTGTAATTGGTGTCAGTGGTACCTCTTCAAACAATCCGATATCAACAGAGTACAGCCAGTTTGATACACGCTGATTCTCGGCAAACGTTGGTCTGATAATTGGGAATGGAACGACTTGAATACGTGGGTCGTTTGTTGGTATTGGACCGCTGTTATCGGGCGGCAGCAAAATATCACGAGTATTTCCTTTTGGCGCAAAGATATAGATCTTTTTGCACTCTTTGAGATGTGCATTCCAACCACGCATAATGCCAATCACTTCTTCACGTAGACGCTTCTCGTTGTAACGACGCAAGAACGATCCTGCCGATCCTGCAACTCCACCCTCCTGATCCTTCTTGGCCTGACTACCACCCTGTCCCTTACGCACCGTGTATCGGTGGAGTGTCTTGTGCTCGATCGCTTTGGGTGCTTGGCCGCCAGCGACCAACTGGTAGACAGCACCACTGAACCTACCACCGGAACACAAAAGAATAGCCCACTTTCCAGTGGTCTCTGTACAGATCGCTTTGAATTGAGCGAGTTGTACGTCCTCTTGGTGAGTAGTACTATCCTGTAGAATGGCACGCCAGATGGTGAATTCCAACTTTAGCTCCTTGTGAATGAACGACAGCTTTGGAGTGTATGCATCGTTTGCGCTTGTGAATAGGTAGTTCTGCATTGTTGGATCGGAAATATCGATCTTATCGACATCACGTGCAATTCTCTTGAGCAACTTCTCCTCGTCTCCGACGCTGTCGTTGGTGTTGTCGTCATCGGAACTGTCATAGTCTGAACTGTCGTCAGAGCTACTGTCTGCAGCCTGTGCAGCGGCTGCCTCCATCATCGCTGAGAACTCCTCGGATGTCACTGGAGTCATCGAAGCCAACTTTAACTTTATATTGTATCTGTGTAGTGCCGATCTGTAATGTTGATTTCTCAACTCACGATCATTAAATCTCATTATACAGGTATTACAAACATGATCAAATTCATTATTATTACTCTCACCACTAGTTTTGCTATCTTGTTGTGGTGTTGCTAGTTGTTGTGGTGCAGCTGGTTGTTGTGGTAATTGATATATAGGTGTATTTGGTTGATGTACTTTCGATGATAGTACCTCTAAACTCTTGTGTGTATCACCTTTAAACAAAGCAGATGATGCTAATTGGAATATACTGACTCTTTTCATTTTTAAAATATATATATAAATAAGAATCTAATTAAAAAAATGTGAAACTTTCTTTTGTTTTGTTTTTTTTTTTGTTTATAAAAATTGATTTATAAATGTAAAAATAGATATAGAAAGATTGATTAAATATTTATAATGTTTAAATATTCAATGATATATACTGTTTAAAATAAAGAATTATAGAAAATATATATTAAACTAAACTTTATAAATATAAATAAATCTTAAGTATAATTTTTGTGCTTAAAAAAACGAATAAATTTCAAATTCTCAATTACATTGTTATAGTCTCAAAGAAAGAAAATTGTTATCAAAAGATTCATAATGGGAATAAAAACAGAATCATTATGTTTCTCTGTTTTCAAGCACAATTGTTCTGTTTTGGTTTTTTTCTATTTTTTTTTACAAAATTTTTAACTTATTTTTGAAAAACGAGACCAAAGTGAAAAAGTAAAAAAAAAATTTGTGAAAAAAAAAAAACAAAAAAAAAAAAAAAACTTTTAAAATTGTTGGTTGGAGTGAAATAAAATAAACGAAAATGTCCCCAATTAATTAACTTAGATTTTATTCTCAGCTTTATATGAATAGAATAAAATCAATATTTGTTATAAATATATATTTTTTCGATGTATACATATTCGATACTCTCAACTCATTCGTTCGTTCGTTTTTTAAAATTAATTTTATATTTTATAATATAAAAAAAAATAATAATTTGTATGTAAAGTTTTTTTTTTTTTATATACTTTATATATTTATACAAATACTTATATACCCTATATATATATATATATTTTTATTTTTATTTTTATTTTTATTTATATTTATATGTTTATTATTTATTTATTTATTTTTATTATATTATATAATAATTTAAATGTTGTTTGTTTTATTTATTTTATTTGGTTGGTTGATTTGTTAGATATTTAAATTGGGTAAGATATGCTTATTTTTGCTGGCATGTATATATAGTTTAGATCGTTTAACTGTATATATACATACCAGTAAAGGTAGGCATTAATATTCAATATTATATAAAGTTTTTACTCAATTTAAATATTCTCCAATTCCAACAACAAATACAAAAATGTTAAAACAACGTATGTTGGAATTGTCGAATAGTGTGTTGCAAATATTTGAAATTTTAATTTGCTTAGGAAAGCAATACGACAATTGTCCATTCTTTCTCTTTTATATATATTAAAACCAACCACTCTTTATCCTCATGAGTAAAGTTAAGCTGGAATCTGTAGCCGTGCCAAATGGAAACTCAAAAGCGCCACCAAAACACTTTTATTACCTGAAGTTCTTTTTTTCAAACAAAAAAAAAACCGGTGGGAAGTGTTAATTTTTTTTCTGTTGTTTTTTTTTCTTTTTTTTTTTTCTTTTTTTTTTTTTTGAATTCAAAAAAAAAAAAAAAAATTGCTAATGGGCTGGTAAATATTGAGGTGGGGTGAAAAAACAAAATAGAAAACAAAATTTTGAAAAATAAAAATTAAATTTTTGGTTTTTTTTTTCCAAGCAATGTGTGTCACAGAAAAAAAAAAGAACAAAAATTCCCTCACAATAATCAATTTTCTCACATATAAAAACCACCTCACTCTAGATACATATAATAATAATAATAATATAAGTTTAATTTTTTCAGTGTTCAATTCATTTATTAATTAATAATTAAAAATAACAATACAAAGAGAAAGAAAGAAATAAATATTATTTTATTTGATGTGTGTTTTTTTTTGTTTTGTTGTGTGTTTGTGAGAAAATAATAAAAGAAATTTGTGAAAATATAACAAATAAATAAATAACAAATCAGTTAAGCAAACAAAACAAAAACAGAGACAAAAATTAAAATAAATTCAAAATTTGAAAGCAAATATACATAATTATAATTATTTAAAAGTTAGTTTAGTAGTAGTTAAGTTTTTATTAGTACAGAAAGAAAATAGATTATTTAGACAATTAATTATTATTAGCTTTTAATTCTTGTTTGTCAATATCATTTTCGAAAAAAAAAAAAAAAAAAAAAGACAGTTGTTTATATACATTTAGCAGTTCAATTATTTATTTATTTATCGATTATTTTTATATATTTAGTTTTTTTTTGTATATTAGATTTTTAGTTTTATATTATTTGATATTTTTTTTCAAACAAATAATATTATCACATACAGTCAAAATTAGAGGCATGCAGTAGTAATAGCAACAATAAGTTTTATACAGCAAAATTCAATACCAAGAAGAAATAAAAACATAAAATATAAACAACTCTATTACACTATATAACAATAGATAAATAACGTATATCATATATAATAGTTGGTAGTTAGATAGATAGCTAGTTAGTAATTAGTAAAGTGTAAAGATCCTACCTCAATTTGTTGAGTACACTCCAATTATGGTGGTTCAGTATACAGAAAGTGAATTCGTTCCCTCGGTCAAGAATCCATATGAAGGTAAATGTAGAACAATCGTTATCTTATACTCTATATATTAATAATTATATATTTTTTTGGATTATATATATTTAGATATGAATTATAATGATTGTGATTTATTCACACCAAATCTTTCCATTTTGATCGATGCCATTTCAACTCAAGGCAAAATGGAGGATGCACAGAACGATGAAGAAAATGTAGACATCAATGCGATCGACAACGAACCTTCACCCATTTTAAATAGTAACAACAATAACAATAGTCATCGTCATATCAGTAACAACAATAACGATGTCGAAGATGACGATGGTTTTGTTATCAATCATTCCTATGATTTAAATAATAATAGTATCCATATAAATTCAAAAGGTAATATCGAATCATACATTTCATCATAAAACTTCATTTATTAATTATATATGACTATAATTTCTATAAACAGATCAAAAGAATCAGATTCCATGTTCATCTTTGAAAGACTATGAGATATCAAAGTTGCCGCTTAGAAAGAGACATCTGGTGCCAGATAGTGCCTATTATAATATACATCAGTGCTTGTCATCCCCGCAGTCTCCGCCAACACCAAAGCAATCATTGTTGAATCCTTTTGGCAATGGTACTATCATGGGAGAATGCACCGAGCAGAGAGTGCCTTCTCCAAATAGCAGTGGCACCAGCAATAATGTTGTGATGAGATCTTCGATGAAACTCACTGAAGAAGACGATGTCGATGTCGAGGGAGTCGAGGACGAAGAGCAAAAGATTGCCCAACAACACCAAACCATAGTAGAAACCACCACAACCACCTCGAACAACGTAGAGATCAATAATTCTAATCACACAGTAGTAAAGGCCGAGAATACTTTAGTTAAAGTCGAGAGTGATCAAGAGTTAGAAGTTGATATTTTAATGGATGATGAAGACAACCGAGTCAAAGAGATCCCACAACAGCAACAACAACAACAACAACAACAACAACAAAACCATCACCATGTAAAGAGAGAAAGAGAAAGAGAAAGAGACAATCACAGAGAAAGAGAAAGAGAAAAAGATAAATCATCACATAGCAATAATCATAACCATCACCATAACATCAACAACAACTCTAGTAGTAACAACAATAACAACAATAATAATAATAATAATAATAATGATAATACAAAGAAAAGATTGAAACCTTCATCCAAGAAAGAACACCGCGATGGTCACAAGAAGTTAAAGGTTCACCATGGAATTAAATCACAACACCACAGAGACAACACAAATATATTAGATGACTCTGATTCTGATTCATCCATGTCCGAGGCCGAAGAAGATCGTTCCCGCGACAACAGACTTTACTGTATATGTAGAAAGAAGTACGATTCCAACTCCTTTATGATTGCCTGTGACAAGTGCGATGAGTGGTATCACGGAGAGTGCGTAAACATCTCTGAGAAAGACGCCAAGAGAATCGACAGATATGTGTGCATGAAATGTAAAAAGAAAGATAAATCATTATCAATCCCAACCAGTAACCTCAATAACAACACCAATAATAATAATAACCACAACTCACCAAGACTCTCACCCAACCAGATATCACAAAAAACCTCGCCAACCCTCACCAATTCACCGTTTATAGATATAAATTCTCCATCCACTCCACCCAAGAACATTATTACCAACTCACCACCTCACTCATCGTCGTCGTCGTCGACATACCAAACCATTAACAACCGTCCAAAGTGTGCCTATTCCAAGTGTAATAGTTTCCCAACTGGTACCTCCAAGTACTGCTCCAAAGAGTGTGGAGTAGCCAATGCCAAGGAACTCCTCCACAAGAATCCGTCACTCCATAGATCCATCCTATCCTCAGGAAACCATCCCATCAACCCCTCTGCCTCCCCCCAAAAGGTGTTGCCTACCAACTCTGACAATCCACTTACACAGAAGCTCATGTCGACCTCCAACTGCGACGACATCAGCAAGCTCCAGGCCATCACCCTGAAGCGTTCAGAGATAGAATCAAAACTCAAAAAACTCGAGATGAAGTGTTCAGAGTTTGAGAAAACCATTCAAATGACTAAATTCAAAGTTGAATCATTGTCAACACCAGATATGTACAGTATTAACAATCATAACAATCAAAGCAACTCGCCTCCAACCAATACACCCTGCACATTCCCCCTCAAAGAATCACCCAATGGAATATGTGGTGTTTTAAATTGTACAAATCACACCAACTGGGAGAAGAGAAAGAGAGATTTATTTTCAAAAGAACAATCTTATTATGTTAAGTTTTTTTTTTTATTAACTATGTTCCAATAATTAAATTATTAACAAAAATTGTTTTTTTAATTTTTTTTTTTTTTCTTTTACACAGACAAAAGCCTTAAGAGACATTGCACTTGAAGAAAAACAAATACACCAAAGAATAGCCAGAAGAAACAAAATCGCTAATTTGTCAACGATTGCGATTGGTGGTGAACCAGAATATTGATCGATATTATAATATTGTTTATTAAAATTCTTACAATAATTTGTAAACACTTCTAATCAACCTTAAAATATTTGCATATTTGCTTTTTTTTTTATTTATTATTCTGGTACAAAATCTTTACATCCTCTTTTTTTTTTTTTTCTTTTTTGATCTTAACTGTTTGCTTTTGAGTAATTGCGTATCTACAAATATTTATTGGGCATTTATATTTGCACTTACATTTTTATAATTAGGTTTTTTTTTGGCCTGGTACAAAAAATGTTTTACAAAAAAAACAAATCATATTACACAAAGAGATGGAGGTTGGATAATCGTGAGAATTGGTTGTTTTTTTTGATTGTATTGTTTTTTGATATTTTGAGTTTTTTTTTTTGGAAAAATGTGTTGAGATATTTGGTCGTTTTTAGAACAAAAATCTAGACTATCGGGTGAGAGAACGACCAAATTTTTGATTTCATGGGCTCAACCACCTCTTAGATTGTTTTGATTTTTTGATTATCATAAAATTCATCAACAACTATGATTGCGTGAATCAATATTTATCATGTAGGCGAACCATTTTTGGTTTTAGATAGTAGATGCGAAACACTTTTTTGACTAGCAATATTTGTTTAATGACTTTAACGGTTTCGTAAATAAAACAACAACATTTAGATACGTTTATTAATGGGAATGAGCAACAAGGTATGTTTTTGAATCTTGTTTAGGACCTGAGGCACACAATGAAACTCAACAGTGTTATAAATTCGAAAGCGGTCCACCCTATACCAAAAAACCATTTAAAGATGATCATATTTTTGTTGATGTTATTTACAATCCACTGGTGTTCCTAAAGATTTTATTTTTCGAAATTAAATGTATTTTTACTTTTAGATTAGACATCTTTGTGGTTTTTTGTAGAGCATCTAGTGGAACACAAATCTAGGAAAGATTCGTATTTTTCACTTCATTTCTTTTTCGGTTCCCATTTTGTTCATATATTTATATTTATATATTTATTTTCTGTATATATATATATTTAAAAAAAAACAATGTTAAAATTATTTATTATATTATTTTTTGTATTCTTTCCTATTAATGCTGTCCGTAAGGATTGGAATTCCTTAAACGGTGGTGTTTTCCACAATGATGCATTCTGGACCCCCGCTGGTCAGCCAGGTGGTCTTGATGCTGCTTTTATTAATCAAAAAAATCCAAACGGTAACTTTGTTTATGCCACTCAATTGGTAAATGCGTCATCAATTACCCTCGGTCCAAACCCTTTAAATATTTTGATCTCAAATACAACTGTGGTTGCTGATTCCATTACAATCAATGATCAAAATCTGTTTGCAACAGATAATGATCCAACTGAAGTTGTGCTTGTCAAACAAATTAACAATTTTGGTGAGTTGGAAACTCATGGCAGTTTTTTATCAAATTCAGTAATTTACAACAAAGCTCCAAATGGTTTATATAGATCATGTATGTATAGATTTTTATTTTTATTAAATTATTACTTTGGTACTTATTAAAATTTTAAAATAGATGGAAATGCTTTGGTAGCCGGTGTATTTAATTATGCAAACTTTGGTATTTATGGAAGATATCAAGCTCTTTTAATTGATAACTATTATTTTCTCTTGGTCAATCACGATCTTACTCTTAATGGTGGTGTAAGTATTAGTTTTTTATTTTAAATATATCATCAAATTCTAATATACTTCTAAATTTTTAGGCTGATTTTGGATCCAATGTTTGGGGAGTTGATCAATTTGATTACTCTATTACCAATATCAATTCAGATTTTACTGTCCAAAAGAAAGCTCTCTTACAACTCACTAACCAAACTGAATTTTATATGACTACTGATGTTGATTCTGTAAATGAAAGATTGTTAACCTCTGCTGGTGATGTTGAAGCCTCCAATTCTCTTTTACATTTAAATAGGACTCAATATTACCAATTAGTAAGTCATTAATTTAAAAAATATTTATTTCTTTCCTTTATTAATTATTTTTTAAATAGATGAACTCTACAAACACATTCAACAATAGTTATTTCATGATGGAGAGAAAGTCAGTCTACAATCTACAAGACAACTCCATTTCTACTTTCCAAAGCAATACAGTAATGATATTGGATGGTTCTATTTTATTAAATGTAAGTTTTAAATTAAATTAAAATAATATGGATTATCAATTTTAATTTTAATTTTTTACCATAGAATAAAGCTAAAATCGATATTATTGATTCTTCCTGCCAAATTCAAGGTGAAACCAATCTCGTAGGGTTGTTTGGAGATTCTAGCCTCAGACTTTCAAACTCAACCTTTAATACTACCCAACATGCTGGATTTGTAACTTATGTATGATATTATTTTTAAAAAAACAAAAAAAACAAACAAATTAATATTAATATAATTTTTTTTCTAATTAGAATAATTCCGATATTGTTTTCGAAGACAACTCATTCTTCTTAATGAATGGAAGTTATTTAATGGATCACAACAGTAGTTTGACAATAAAGAATTCAAAATTGATCCAATTAGATCAATTCTTGGGTGCTGGTACTTCTCAAATGAAAGCTTATGAATCTGGTTTTGGTTTATTTGGAAAATTAAATTACTATGTAAGTGTTTTTTAATTTTTTAATTTTATCAAATCTAACTTTTTTTTTTCCTTTTTATAGAATGATTCAAGTTTACAAACCTTCAATTCCAATGTTACAGTATACGGAGCAATCGCTTTCCTTGATAACTCTACCTTTTATTTCGACAATACATTATTGTACACTGGTTTAAATTTCATGACTGACAAAGATACCAATGGTTATTTTGTTGACTCTCAAATTGTTGCTAGAAATTGTATTTTCAATGGAAATGCTACTTTCCAAAATTCATCTGTCTTGGTTTATGAGGACATGTTTGTAGGAGGTGGTGTCTTGACTTCAAACAACTCTTTTATGTATTTAAATTCTTCATTGAACGTAAGTATTAATTAATAATATTATTTTTTGTTAAATTATGATTTTTTCTAACTAAACAAATTAATAGATTGGATATGGAGGAAAATTCCTTTTGAATAGTTCAGTTGTTTTAATTCTTACTCAAAGTATCGTAGTCCTTGATTCAACTTTCTCCGCCGAGAATACTGTAATTCGAATTGAATCTGGTTCCCTTTACTACACTGGTGCCTCTAGTGTTTCCTTAAAGAACACGACTTTGCTTAACACCAACGGTGTGATTGTCGCTTCTTCCGATCTTTACATTTATGAAGGTACCTCTCTTTCCAACAATGCCAAATTCGATTTGTCATCCAACATCTACCCAGCCAACTCTGCTTCCAATTTGAAGATCTCCAATCAAGAGCAAGGTATCCTCAATGTTGAATCCAAACACTCATTTATCCAAGTTGGTTTAGAGAATGCTGGTAAGATCAACATTGCCAACAATGCCACAATGTTTAACTATACCCAAACATCTGGTTCTCTCAAAATCAATGGTGGAGTTGTCAACTCTTCGAATCCATTGAGTATCCAAGGTGGTTCCGTTGCCGGAAGTGGTACCATTGAAACATCCGTTGAGAATGCCGGTTCCATCGGTAGTGCCACTGAAGTAACCAAATTCCAAATCGTCGGAAACTTTACTCAATCCGCAGACGGAAAGATTGTGCTCACCATCAACTCTGAAGATGAAATTCCATTGATCGATATCTCAGAGGTTGCCAACCTCAACGGTACCCTTGTTATCCGTGTCGCCAATACCATTAACAACAAGAGTCTCACTCTCATGAGCTATGGTAGTTCGATTGGAGGATTCTCCAATACCGAACTCCGTGTTTTCAACCCAAAGACTGGAGAAGACGTAGACCACGACAAATGTCAATACAAAGTAAACCAAGGTCAAACTTCAATGTCCATGTTGGTTGGACGTGACAGTTGTACTGGTGACGTTGGATCGTTTGGTAACTCCAAACTCTCGAGTGGAGCTATTGCTGGTATCGTCGTTGGAGGTGTTGTTGTCGCCGCAGTGATTGGTGGTTTCATCCTTCACAAAACCAACCGTATCCCCAAGAGTATGAGACTTTCCCATAGATTAAAGTCACTCCAAAAGGAAGTGGATGCCGCCGAAGCTGACAAAGCCTAAACAAAAATCGAAAAAAACAAAGCAAAACAAACCGAACTACTTTTTCTAAATAACAAACAAATCGAACGACTTCTAAACCTGTAATACTATTAATAATCAAAATTCTCGTAAACTATCACATATAGTTGCCATTAATACAACTAGTTGAAATAAAACTAAATAAAAAAGTCATAATTATAATTCATTAAAATTTTTTTAATGTTATTTTACAATTTCTTTTTAAATATTGTCATTTTCAATTGCAATTATAATAATAATAATAATAATAATAATAAGTTTAAGTTTATAATACTAATAATAACTTGTTTTTGTTGTTGATTTTTTTAAAAGGTTTCTATATTATATATTTATATTGCTTTGATTTTACAATGTATTTAAATTTGATTTGCTCGATGATAAAGGTAGTAAATAAGTGTTTGGTTGTTTGAAAGTATATAGTTTGTTGTTGTTGATGTTGATTTGTTCGATGTCTAATTCTTCGCAACGCAATGCACTACCGATTGACATGATACCACCAAAGAAACCAGTCATTTTCAAAACACTACCACCGGTGTACATCAAGAGTGACTTTCCTCTAAGATTTGACATATAACCACCGACCAAACCACCGAGTAGACCCATAGACGAACCGACGAGACCACCCATCATCATACCCATACCGATCTGTTGAAGACATGCATTACCACTGACTGCCGAGCCTGCTCTCTTTCTTGGTGGTGGTGGTGGAGGTAATCTATTTGATTGACTCGGTGAATTTATTATACTTTTTGATGATTGTGGGTAACCTGTTGTTGTTGTTGTTGTTGTTGTTGAAGGTGTTGATGAAGGTGATTCCATTTCTATATTCTATATTCTATATATATCTGTATCTTAATTAGATCTATTGAAAATTAAAAATGAACAACTTATGATACGTGAATTGTAAAAAAATTATTAAAAAAAAAATTAACAGCTAAAGTTCACGAAAGTTCAATTTCATTGAGTAAATGAAATAATTATGTAGCTATTATTATTATTATTATTTTGTTATTTATATACGCAATCATTATAGAATTAAGTTCATATCTTAATGGATTTTAATAATACCCCAATAAAAGATACCGAAGAGTATGTATAAATAAATATCTTTTTTTTTTTTTTTATTTGTTAACAATATTAACATTGTTTGTTCTTCTTATTTTTTATTTACTTTCAAAGATATAAACAACTTACAAAATCATTGGAGATATTGGAACAACAAAGAAAAACAAGAGAAGAAGATATAGAGAGATTGAAACGTTTACATAAGGATGCTTTAGAGAATCCAATAGAGTTTCTTGAACGTTTGATTTCCGGTACTATAGTGCTTCCAACAAAACAACCGATTGAACCTATTCCAATACTTCCTAATCTAACTACAAATCTTACAAAGAGGAAGTTATTAACAGATGATTTCTATACAACTTCATCAACTGTAGATAACAATAGCAATAGTAATAATAAATCAAAAGATGTAAATAATAATAATATATTAGATAGTTCATTTGAAGATAATTTAGAAGCATCATCATCATCAACAACAACACCATCATCATCTACAAAGAAGAAGAATAAGAATAAAGATGATTATGCTTCATTCAATAGACCTTGGTCAGAGGAAGAACAGAAACGATTGGAAGAGTTACTTGCAGAGTTCCCAGAGGAACCGGTGGCAGCACATCGTTGGACAAAGATTGCCAACGCTCTAAAGAACAGAACACCCAAACAAGTAGCAAGTCGTACTCAAAAGTATTTCGTAAAGCTTCATAAATTGGGATTACCAATTCCAGGTAAACCTCCTAATCTACCTGTAACTATCACATTATTATCATTGAATTAAGCTATTAGATGAATTGATCGTGTTGTTAGACTAACTGTTAATATTTAATTAATAAATTTTTAGTCTTTATTCCCTAAGCCACCGATGAAGAAAAAGAATAGAAACTCTACGGCTACCACTAAGGAACTAGATTCACCAACTGATTATCCACCAACGAATTACAACATACCACCGGGTGTACCAATTTCACCACCTACAACACCATCACCAACAAAGAAGAGTAAGAACAAAAATAAGAATAGCAAAGAGTCGAATTCAACTACATCTACACCAAAGTCTAAATCTAAAAGTAAAGGTGGTTCTTCTTCATCTGCATCCAGCACAAAGTCGGAGGAATCTGCTTTGGTAGTACACGAAGGCTACAAGTGTGATGGATGCGATGAAGAGCCAATCATTGGAATTCGCTGGAGATGCGAAGAGTGTTTGGAGATAGATCTCTGTGACGAGTGTAACAATACTTATGAGGAGATCGGTTCACATAAATCCACTCATCATATGCGTTCCTACACAACGGTGGATCCCGATTACTTTAGAGATGAAGACTATCGATTTTCATATACAGGTGGAGAATCAAATTATTTAGATCCAAACTATACAAAATAAAAAATAAAAAAAACAAATGTATTTATATTTGAGAAGAATATATATATATATTCTTTTTTTTTTTTTGGTATTGTTTTATTTATATTATTTTATTTCTTTGAATATTCCTTAAAGATAAGATTGATTGATTCATTGTTACCTGTCTTATTTCTTGGATCTGAAGAACTTGATGAATTATTAAGATGATATTCAAGTATAGTGTCGAGCAATTTCTTCTTCAAATCTAATGGGACATCGTCAGTCAAGATATTGTCAACACCATCTGTATCTTCATAATCATCATCATCATCATCATCATCTTCATCTTCATCTTCATCATCCTCTTCTTCATCCTCATCAGATTCATCTTCTTCATCTTCATCTTCATCATCATCATCAACGATCTTGTTATTTCCATACTTCATCTTCATCTCCATCATATGTCTGTGGAGTGCAGAGAAATTCTTGAGTGGATCCAAATGATCTTCATTGGAATCCGATGAATCATCGTCATCATCTTCATCGTCGTCATCAGAATCAGAGATATTATGACCGTGTGGATGAATAACACCATTGATATGAGAATGTCCGTGACAACCACCGTTATCGTCAGAGTCATCCGAGTCGTTGGAACTAGCTTCTTCGTCGGAATCTTCGACATTAAAGTGGAAACGTTTCATCATCTGTTGCATCATTCCAAAGATACCATCAAATGGTGCACCAGATTGTTCATTGTCAGAGTCATCACCTTTCTTGTTCTTCTTGGTGTCCTCACCAGAGACCAGTTGCAATGTGTATAAAAATGGTCCTCTCGAAGGTTTGACCAGGTGGAATGAAATCTTTCCATCTTTATCTATTTTCTTTACTTTTTCTATTTGTTTAGAACAGACTGGACAGAAGTTTGCATTCTATTATAATAATAATAGTACATCGATGATATCAAAGAAATATTAATATCTATAATAATAAACTTATTATAGTGTTTGATTTGAAAGATTGCAACTTACATTGAGCCACTTTGAAATACAATCAAAACAGAATATATGGTCACATGAAACTGGATTCGATGGAAGAGCAATATCTTCGAAACAGATTCCACAAGTTGGAATGAGCTTTGGTAGAGTGTCGTCGACATCAGCAACATTTTTCTTTGGTCTACCTCTTTTCTTTTCAGTTGCAGCTGATGAACTTGTTGTAGTAGATGGTGGTGTAGCTTTACTATCAGTAGTAGGGTTTGGGGTACCATCTTTCTGGAAAAAGCTTGTCAAAAAATTAAATGGATTAGCACCTGGATTGGCGGGATCTACAGGTGTTGTTGCTGCAGTACTAGCTGCAGTAGTGGTAGTTGTTGTTGTTGTTGTTGCTGGAGCACTTGATCTCTTTGGTGTTTTCTTCTTGGGTGCTGTTGATGGTACAGGATTCTTTGTTTCCTTTGGTTCAGGTGCTTTTGGTACTACAATATCAATGAGATCTGGTAAACCACTATTGGATTTGTCAGAAGAAGCAGCAGCAGTGGTAGTTGTTTTTGCAGCAGCAGTTGTAGTTGTTTTTGCAGTAGGTTTTTGTGTTGATGCTGCAGGCGTTGTAGTTGGTTTTGGTGTTGGTGCAGCAGGTGCTTGTGCTGGTGCTGGTACAGATGAGAGTACAGGTGAAGCAACAAAAGGAGAAGCAGATTGTACTTCAGTTTGTACTTTGTTTGCAGTCACCTTTGTGACTCTCTTTCTCATTTGAAAGCCACCTGAACCGCTACTTCCACTATCATCGTTACCAGTGGTTGAAACAAAACTCATTTCTTCTATCTATTATTTATTTAATTATTAATTTATCTATAATAATAAATTATTTATCTTTATCTAATAATTATTGTTTTGAAGTTTGTTTATCTTAAAAATATAAAAACATTGAACTAAACACCCACAGTGAAAATAAATTAAAAAAAAAAAAAAAAAAAAAGAAAAATAAAAAAAAAAAACAATTTATTTTTTGTTTGCATTGTAAAATTGATATTTAGATAGATATATATTTAAAGATAGTGATGAGTGAATCAATGGAATCAAGTACATATCCTTTGATAAATATTAGTGATACAACAAAAAAAGATACAGATATAGAGCAGCAACAATTAAATATACCTATCAAGCAAATGAAAGAGAAACAAAAGGAAAAGGATAGTTGTGAAATAAATGATTATAATAAAATGTTAATTGAAACAATATATAGAGATAATTTATTATCATATCAAGAAAAGTAAAGAAATAATAATAATCTGAAGATTTTGAAAGTTAAAATAGAGAATAAACTTTATAACTAATATCTATCTATCTATTTGGTTGGTTGGTTGGTTGGTTGATTACAGATTAAGAAAAGAATATGAAGAAAGATATCAAAAGAGTATAGAGACATTCAAGTTGAATCATGAAAAGGAAATTAATTTAAAGTTGAAACAATTGGATAGGTCAAACAAAAAGAGGATTCTAGATATGGCACTGCTGTACAAACAAAAATTGGAATACTTGGAAAAGGAACAAACAATACAACAGAATGAACTAATACAATTGAAACAAGACGATGCAGATCGTTTGGCTCAGTTGCACAAGAGTGAACAACTCCTAGTAGAACAGCAGCAACAACATCAGAGTCTCATCGATCAGTTCAAAGAACAAACCGAATCTAGCAATGTCATCTTGGAGCAACGACAACTAAAGATCGATAGTCTAGAACAAAAGCAACTGGAAAATCAACAGGAAATCACTCGTTTAATTTCACAATTGGATATTGTATCCACAACAATTTCTGAACTTTTAGTTTCATCTGATAATGTAAGAAATAGATACCTCTTATTTTAAAAATGATTTTATTAATATGAATATTTATAATATATCTTTAGATTGCATCTCAAAATCAAGTATTTCAGAAATTCATAGAATCATTAGAATCCAATGATGATGATGATGAATCAAATAATCAAATTCAAACTCAAATCAAACTGGATAATAATAATAATTAGAAATTCCAACACCAATGTAATTTGAATCATTTTGTAATATTAAAGTAAAAAAACTTAATTAATTTATAACAATTATTATTGTAATATTACTTTATTATTTATTAATTTCCAATGTTATCTATGATTGAATTTGTGGTAAACTTATGAGTTGTGGGAATATCTTTACGAGATCATGAATCTCTTGTATGCAATAGTCTACTGCAGGACTATCGGAAGTACCTCCAACGAGTACCGTAATCATTCCAGCTTTTTTGGCACCTTCAAGATTCTCGACGACGTCGTCAAAGAAGACGACACCGTTGGCATCGTCAGTGCCAGCCTTCTTCAATGCCATCTGGTAGGATTGTGGGTGTGGCTTGCTGTAGTCGAGCATCTCGAGATACTCGAGGGTGGCATCGAAACACTGATTGATTCCAAGCTCCTTTGTGACACGCTCACAATGTCCCATATCGGCATTGCTAAACAATAACTTCTTGACGTTTGGTTTGATCGAGCTGAGCACACCTACCAATCGGTCGTCTCTCGAGATGTGTGACTTCAAATCCAATCCACCGTGTACATAGTCCAAATATTGATGCATATCTACCTGATAGTTCATCATTAATCCTTTCAAAGTTAATCCATATGTTTTATAATAATGTCCTCTAATTTTATCTACTTCTTCCTCTAATAAATTTGAATTTGAAAATATAAAATTAATTTTCCATTAAAAAATAATAATAATCTCTTAAAAAAAATTTTAGTTAAACATACCTGGTAAATTTAATTTAGATGACATATATTGTGTAATTCTTCTTGTTACTTGAGCAGCCAATCCACATGACTTTGGATATAAAGTATTGTCCAAATCGAACAAAAGTGTATGAATTTGATGGTTTGGAATGGTTTCCTCTCTAATATTTCCTGGTGCCATTTTTGTTATATATAATGTATTTTTATAGTTTTAAATTACAGAATGAATGAAGATTTGTTTGTTTGGATTTAAATATTTATACAATTTAGAATTAAACCTAAAATAAAATAAAATAAATAATATTTTTTAAAAATAATTAATATTAATATTTATATTAAAATAAATGATTTATAATGGATAAATAAAAATACTAAAAAAAATATATATTTATATAAAAACAAAATTTTATGAATAAGAATGTGATAATATAATAATTGTTGGAGATAAAGATAAAAATCAGCAAGAAGAATCACTATTTTGACTTTGTTAACATTTGTGGTTGTTATGACCACAGATTTAAAAAGACTATTTAGTGCGAATCAAATACAAAATGATAACACTGTACACAATAAAAACAACACACCTCTTTTACAGTAAGATAATATTATATTAAAAGTTTTATCAAATCAACTGGTAATTCCCAAGCAATAAAGTTTTAAAAATGAATATATCTGCAGATTGTTTGTTTTTCCTTATTCTTTTTTTTTTTTTGTTCAACTTATTTATGTTGTGCTGATATATATATATTCTATTTTATAACAACACCAATGGAAGGAATATGAATTGTGTTGTGGTGAGATTGAGTGGTGTTTATTTGTTATAAAAAAACAACAACAATGTATTTTTTTACGTATTTGATGTGGTGATGGGTGTATGAATGATGGACAGATATGATAACAAAAATGTGATAGAGGGGAACAATTATTTGGATTCGATGTGGTGGTGATTTGGTGAATTTGGTTTCTAGACAAAGGTGTCTTTTCAGATACGATGTGAAAGATTGAGTTGAGTTTGCTTGCTGTTGATTGTCAATATTATGATGCTTTGGTAAAACAACAACGAAAATAACAATATTTTATAAATAAATGGTAATAAATAGGTTTTATTTTAATAACCGGGAAATAGGAAATATAATCATATTTTTAATAATACCGAATGATATGACATAAATAAAACTATCTTTTTATAGATAAATGATATGAAGTTTATGTTAATAATAACGTTCAATACTACTTTTTATTGTATTTGTGAAATTAAGGTTGACTATCGCTGAAATTATATATAACTAATGAATAACTTTCTCGAAACTATATACAGTTTATATTATAAATAATGATATATATCTATTAACAATAAAAAAAAATGAATAATTTAATAAGATCGCAGAGTGACCCATCCTTAAAAATATGAGTGGTTACATTTTTGATCAAAAAAAAATCAAAAAAATAAAATTTTAATTAATTTAATTGCAAACTACCTTTATTGAGAAATGATGTGTTTTCATAAAAATCATTGGTAGCGAATTTATAACTACCTAACAAAGCAACAATGCGATTGATTTTTTTTGATATTAGAATAGTGTTTGTTTTATTAACTTGCTATTAAAGTAATATATTGTTTATTATTTTTGTGTATTCTACTAATACTGAATCGGTAGGATCATGATAAGTATCTTCAAAGATAGTTAAATCAACATTTGCATGCTTTCTCTGGAAACACTCGAGAAGAGATTCAGCAAAGCTCAATAGAACGAGGTCGTCTTCTCTACCATGTAGCAGTTTCAGTGGTTGTTGTCTGTTTGGGTAGTCATCTCTTTCGTTTGCGAATATCTTTGTTGGAATACCAGCTCCAAATGGTATACAACCAGCAAGTCTATGCTTTGAGTTGTAGAAAGTAAACATTGCAGTTGATCCTCCTTGACTATGACCACCCAACATAATTCTATCACTTGACAAACCATTTGCAATTTCAGATTCAATTAATGAATCAACTGTAATTTAATTAATATTAACAATTATTATTATAAAGTCAAATTTATATATATTTATATAAAACATAACATACTTCTATTTCTAGATAGATTAAGTTGATCATTGTCAACCGTGGCAGTTTCATTTAAAACATTAAAATTAAACCAAGATTGTGTTACTGATCCAATATAATCATTGTGTTGGCTTAGTCTTTTTTTTTTTAAAAAAGTAAGAAAAGGTCTTCATTACTTACACCAAATAATAATACTTACGCATTTGGTAATATGAATTTGACATGTTCATTACCATTTCTTTGAATATTCTCAAATCTTTCTCTCCACACCTCAGCAGAGTATGTTAATCCATGACAAAATATAACTTTTTTAAAAAAAAAGAAAATGAATAAGAACTATTGAATAAAAATGATACTTGATAATAAATTAAACTCACAAGTTGCAGTGTGCTTTATCTTTGGTACTAATACAATTGTATTTGATATCATCTTCTATATGTTGTAAAAATTATTGAAAATTTTAAAGTAATGAATAAACTATGTATCCTATTCTAAAAACTAAGTTTATTTAAATAATTGTATCCTGTTCTAAAAACTTTTTGCATTTTTAAATAGTTGTCACTTCATCTCATTATTGAATGGTTGACATGCACACATGTCATTGTTGATTCACAATGATTCATTTAAAAAAAAAAACAATTGGGGGTTACATTATCAATCATGAGTAACTATGTTCAATTTTAAAACTAAAGAAAATATCTAAATAAGATTTTTTTCTTTTATTATTTCAAGTCGTTTAATATAATAGAATTGAGGTGATCCATAGAGATTGTCAGAGTATCCTTCTGTCCTATTCTTCATTAGGAATTTGATTCTAGGTAAATCTTGATCTTCAATAGCCCTGCCTAGAGCTCTTGTGGTACAACCTTGAGTGGTGTTATGATGCAGGAATTCTAAAATCGAAAGATCTTTTGCTTGGTCCATAGCTTCGGTTGAACATGAAAGACCTGCATCATGAAGATATTTTACAATTTCCAAGTTGTTTAGAGATGCTGCCTTATCCAATAAATTATCTGTTGAGGTCAATGCGTGTGTTGTATTCGCCTGAACCCATTTCAATCCTTCCAAACTTTCGTGTTCCACCGCAACTCTATAGGCAAATTTCGAACACTTTAGAGTTGTATTATTCTTACACCATTCCAAACCGGCGGTATCTTTACACCTGGCAAAAAGATCCATAACATTTTCACAATCACCTCTGTTTGGTGTATTTAAATATAGATATTGGAATACCTCTGGATTGCTATTCAATGAAGCTCTCTCCAATGTATCATAACATCCACCTTCAGTTCTATTCTCTAGAAGGTAACGAACCACATCCAGGAAACCATTGATAGCAGCAAAGTGAACAGCATATCGATTGCATCCTTCACTCCGATTTTCATGCAAGAATTTAACGCATTCGAGGAATCCTCCACTCGCCGCATTGTTAATTGCCTCAACTGTGCATCCTTCACTACGATTTTCATTTAAAAACCTTATAACATCCAAATGTCCATCAAGAGCTGCTCTATCCATGGCATCGGTTGTTACGTTTGCTTTTCCAGTTGCATGAAGTAGCTTTACAATCTCTAGAAATCCTCTTCTCGAACTATTGCTAATAGCTTTCTCTGTGAATCCTTCGGTTCTATTTGCCAACAGGAACTGGACGATCTCCAGATGACCATTTCCAGCAGCTTGATCAATCGCATCTGTAGAACAACCCTCTGTCCTATGATTGTGTAACCACAAAACGATGTGCATGTATCCATTGGCACAAGCGGCATCTAATGCTCGTGTTGAACATCCTTCTGTCCGATTGTAATGTAAAAACATTAAGGATTCCATATCTCCTAAATCACAAATATAATCCATTGCCAGCTCCGAGCATCGTGAGATGTCATTGAAGTGTAGGTATTTGATTATATGTAGGTGGCCATTTCTGGCAGCAATGTCAATATAATTACGATTTTTATTGAATAACCTGGGACATCCAACTTTGAAAATGTATTCTAATATTGGGAGCTGTCCATTTTCCAGAGCGGTTTCAGCTATCTGCGGCCAATAAACTTGATTTGGAAGCAATTGCACTAACTTTTCAAAGACCTGTAATTCACCTAGTCTCGCTGCAACATTTATACATTGACTAAAGAAATCTTTGAAATAACCAGTATCCTCTCTTTTGCTATTCTGATCTGTAAATCGATAATCTCTAACCAAAACATCCAATATCCTATTGAATCTATCGATCATATTCAATTGTAGTAGAATCTCTGGAAAGCAAGCTAGATCATTCCAATCCATAATAAGAACTCTTTGTCGCTTACTTAATGCTCTATGGATTTCGTAGACATGTTGAAAAATCTTGTTTCTCAATACAATAGAATTAAATAATCTACTTAGAATTTGATATTTATAATCTATCATTATTATTTATTTACAATTCCTAATATCAATAAAAAAAAAGTTATGCATAAACAATATTGATTAGAATAAACTTATCCTTTAGCCATCCATTCTTTAATGTTTCTGCTTCATTTTTTGACAAGATTTTTTTTTTTTATATATTTAATTTGCAAAGCTTCTCAAAAAGTGATATTTATTGTTTTATTTTATTTTGAAAATAGTAGAATCAAAAAATTGTAGATAATAAAGATTTTATTTTAGATTTTAATTTAATCATTGTTATCTCAAAAATAATTAATGTGTTTTTTGGTATGATCATAAAACAAAGTTGTTTGAAAATTCAAACAAAAAAACAACAAAATACACACTGATACCAGTGTTGTTTTCACCAACAAAATGATTATAATTGTTATTAGACTTTGCATCAATCGGATATTTAATTAAAAAAAATCCGAATATAAAAAAATTCAAAATTTCCCAATTTCGATATTGACGAATTTTTTTTTTTTTTTTTTTTTGTTGGAACAACTGACGTGAGTCTACAAAATCTCAGTTTCCAACCGTAAACAAATAACGTGCGTCATTCACATTCACTTACATATATTTATATTTATATATCTATCTTTTATTTATATATCTATATAATATAACAATATATCATTACAAAATTAAATAAAATAATAATAAATTGTATAACTACAATAAAATATTATTATTATTATTATATTTTTATTTTTTTTACGATTAATTAACATTACAATATCATAAATATTTAATAGATTTTTCATAGTTGTTATCAACTTTACATCTTTCATAATATTTATATTTTTAATTGTTATTTATTTATTTATTTATTTTTTAGTTAATTTTGGTGTTTTGTTTTTTTGTTCTTTAAATAAAAAGATATGGCATCAATTATTATCGGTTCACAATGGGGAGATGAAGGTAAAGGAAAGTTGGTAGATATTCTCTCACAGGAGTTTGATGTAGTCGCTCGTTGTCAAGGTGGTGCCAATGCTGGTCATACCATCGTTGTCGACGGTAAGAAGATTGCACTTCACTTGATTCCATCTGGTATTCTCAATGAGCGTGCCACTTGCATTCTCGGTAATGGTCTCGTCATCCATTTGCCAACCTTCTTCAAGGAAGTCGAAGGTTTGAAAGCAAAGGGTATCAAATACGAAAACAGATTGTTCATCTCTGATCGTGCTCATCTCGTTATGGATGTTCATCAAGTAACTATAAACATAAACAACTATTATTATTTTTAATTACTAATTACTAATAATAATATCTCTATCTCACACTCTCTTCTTTAGATCGTCGATGCTATGAAGGAACAAGAATTACAAAATGGATCATCCAACGACAGTATTGGTACCACCAAGAAGGGTATTGGACCCGCTTACAGCAGCAAGGCATCAAGAGGTGGACTTAGAGTTTGCGATCTTTTCCATTTCGAACAATTCAAGAAGAACTATGCTCGTCTTGTTGAAAACAAGAAGAAGGTAATTACCTTTCTATTAGAATATTAGAGAAAAACATAAAATATCACAGTGATAATAACCATGAATATGTTTATAATATATATATATATATAAATACTACAGAGATTCGGTAACTTTGAATACGATATGGAAGAAGAATTCAAGAGATACGAAAAGTTTGCAGAGATGATTAAACCATTCGTTGTCGACACTGTCTACTTTATCAACAATGCCTTCAAGGAAGGAAAGAAGGTGTTGATCGAGGGTGCTCAATCAACAATGCTCGATCTCGACTTTGGTACCTATCCATACGTCACCTCGTCGGCTTCTTCGGTCGGTGGTGCCTGCACTGGTTTGGGTATCGCACCAAACAAGATCGTCAACCAAATCGGTGTCGTCAAGGCCTACACCACCAGAGTCGGTGCCGGTCCCTTCCCAACTGAGTTGCACGGTGATGAAGCCGAGGCTCTCAGAAAGGAGGGTGGTGAATACGGTACCACCACCGGTCGTCCAAGAAGAATCGGTTGGTTGGATATCGTTGTACTCCGTTACACCGGTCTCATCAACGACTTTACCGAGCTCAACTTGACCAAGTTGGACGTTCTCTCCAATACCGATGAAATCAAGATCGGTGTTGACTATAAATACAATGGTGAAATCATTAAATGTATGTTGTTGTTTGTTGTTGTTTTGAAGAATTTATAGATTAATTACTAATTTTATAATATGTTATTTATTTATTTATTATGTAGCATTCCCATCTTCATTAGAAGTATTGTCACAATGTGAGGTTGTATATGAAACCTTCAAGGGTTGGAAGACCAGTCTTGCTCACTGCAAGACATATGAGGAATTGCCAAGCGAGGCCAAGACATATATTTCTCGTATTGAAGAACTTACCGGTCGTAGAATCAAATGGATCGGTGTTGGACAAGACAGAAGCTCAATGATTACTAAATAAATACTCAGCCATCAATTATATTACAACTTTATTCCAATTCAATGGAACATCGAAATTTTAAAACAAATAAACAAATATTCAAATAATTATTTTATTTTATTTTTTTTATAGGTGCCAAGGAAATGAGATAGGAGCGATGTTCTTTTGTTGATCTATTTTAACTTACAAAAGTAGTATATATATACAAACAGAATAACAAAAAAAAAAAAAGAAATTGTTGAAGAATTCTTCATTGGTATTAGTTAAAGAATTATATATTTTTATTTATTCCAACTGATGATTGAGAGGATTGTGGTTAATCTATAGAATATATTTTTACAATTACTTTTTTTTTTTCTTTTATTATTAAATTATTTTTTAAAAACAAAACATCTTTTCTGTTTTGGTAGTGATAAACATTAATAGATCAATCATCGGTGGTGATTGTTGAATGATTGATTACTTTTTTTTTTTTTTTTTTTTTGTTGTTGTTGTTGTTTGACTGGAGAAATAACAAAGAATGTGAACCGGTTGTTTAAACTGAAGTTGGTTGATGGAGCAGGCTGTAAATTCAAACTCTAAGAAACTGAGTATTTAATCAACTGATATTGGTTGTTTTAGATTCAAATCGTTTTGCTATTGGTTTTTTTTTTTGGGGAGGTGGAGTTTGTTTGTTTGTTTGATTGATTGATTGATTGATTGATTGATTGACGATTTAGTTGTTGAAAATGGTGATGTGGTGTTGTTGTTGTTAATATGAGTAAAATATATCAATATCATTTTGGAGTTTACTTATTTACAGGAACACTCTTTTTGATATTGGCTGCTAGTTGTGTAAATGCATCATCAATTCCCGTTGAGTCTTTCGCACTTGTCTCCAGAATCGGAATATTCAAGTCATCAGAAAATTTCTATATAGAAAATAATAATCGATTGATTAGTCATACTGTATTAAAGAACCGTCACGTAATGATGAATCGATAGGATGATTCATACCTTTGCTACTTTAAAATCAACGGCTCTCTTTGAATTTAGATCACATTTGTTTCCAACAATCAATTTGAGAACAGATGGACTGGCGAATCTGTCGACATCGATCAACCATCTCTTTATACTGTTGAATGATTCCATTGAAGTGATGTCATAAACAATGATAAGACCATGTGCACCTCTATAATAACTGGTAGTGATTGTTTTAAATCTTTCTTGACCTGCAGTGTCCCACTATTAAATTATAATTTGAATATGAATATTAATATCATAAAGATCATTCTATCATTATTTCCACTCCTATAAATCTAATATTTACAATTTGTAATTTAATTCTCTTTCCATCTAATTCGATTGTTCTGATGCACTATAGTTATATTATATTATGAATAATACACAATGATGATAAAGAAAGTGTGAAATTTAAAAATTGAAAAAAAAAATTAAAAAAGTTAGTTTAGGTCAAATAAAATGAGTCCTCATCGATATATGTCCGATCGCTTCAATATTTTTTAATAGAGTGAATGATCGATCATTTCGTATATCGGTGGTGTCACATTTGATCAACTCATCATCCTATCCAATATACATACAAAATCTACACCAATGGTACTTATATAACTGTCGGTGAATCTATTATCGGCGAATCTCAATAACATACATGACTTTCCAACCTAAAAATAATAATATAAATAAATTTTTTGATTTGGTTAAAATTTTTTGTTATTTTTTTTTTTTTTGTCTATGGAATGTTCTGCATAAATATCTTTGCAGCACATGTTTGTCAATGCTTACACCTGAATCACCGATAACCAAAATCTTTAATAACATATCACTGTTGATTGATTGATTAAAAAGTTTTTTTTTTTTTTTTTTGTTAGTTTATTATTATTGTTGTTGTTACTGTGAATGATGATTATACATACTATTCTGGGTGAGACTCTCCATGCATTGAAGTCGATGAAGTAACTGAAAAGGAACCTGATCCCTCTGTTGTGTTATTGATTGAATATAGTAATTTGATAAATAGATGTTAGTAACATTACTCATTTACTCTCTAACCATCGCAATAATCAATGAATTTACCTTTTGAACCACCGCAACCCATTTTATCTATAAATTCTGTATAAGTGTTTGTGATTAATTAAAAACTATTACTATTTATTGTATGTAGTTTGTCTGTGATTGATTTGTTTGACTGATTGATTTTTACAATTAAAAAAATAAAACAAAAATTTGATTTGTTTTGATTTTGATTTGGTGAGGAATATAATGAATGAATGTGATATTTTAATTTACTATGATGCTAAAAAAAAGGTGATAAACTGTTTAAATCTGAACTAAAGAAATTGTTATATAAATAATATAAATAGAATAAATTTAAATTAAATTAAAAAAACAAATAAAACAAAAAATTGACTTAGTTTTTTAAGGTAATTACAAAAAAATAGAAAAAAATAAAAATTAAACTAATTGAAAAAAAATAGAAGAGAGAAGTATTTTCTTTGACCACACAGCAATTTTTTTGTCTATAAAATTTTGACAAAAATAAATAAAAACAAAAAAAATTTAAAGGGTTGTTGTAACTCTTAGTATCAATAATAATTCTCGTTTTATTGATATGATTGAACAAACACAAATTTTTAACTATGTAATATTAAAAAAAAATTCCAATAGATGAGAGATGGTGGTAACTATCGTTGTTGTTATTGTTATGTTATTGATGTTGCTGTAATAAATAATTTATTTATTTATATGTGAAAGCAATTAAAAAAAAAAGAAAGGGAATGGATTATTTAGGATTTTTGATTTATATTAAATTTATATTTATATATATTTGCTAACAATGTCAAAGAAAAGGAATAAATCTTTTAATTAAATTCTTTTAAAAAATAAATTGAATTTTACTTTTACTTTTTTGTTTGTTAAACCATACGATGATGATAATAATAAAAACAACAACAATGCAACTAAACTACTGACTGATAATACTATTTATTAATTGTTATTGTTTGTTTGATGTTGTTTTATTTTCAACGAAAAATTTTCCATAATTTCCTAAAAATCTAATAAAAAAATAAGACAACAAAAACTTATTCATACAATTTCTATTCTGTAATACAATTGTTGGATTAAAGATAAGATCATCGATCTACCTAATCTAATAACACACACTCACATCACACACATCAGTATATCGATATCATTATTATTGAGTTGGTTGTTAGGTCGGAAAACAAAGATGTCGTCTAGTCAGAAGAATAGTAGTGGAAATGGTAGTGTCAACACTATTGTGGTACCAAAAGAGCAACAGACACTCGTCGATAAAGTCAGAACACTACTGTTGGAGACACCCAGTAAAGTGACAAAAGAAGATCAAAAGATTCACTTTAAGACCTTGTTTGAATTGACCGCTAGACTGATCGAAATGGATCCTCTGAACAATCACTACCGTGAACTAAAAGCTGTATCTATCTTTAGTTTTGTAGATCATTGTGCATTACCTCCACAAGTATGTATTTAATACAAAGCTAATCTTAATATATATTAATATTAATCATAATTATAATTTAGATGGCAATTGCAAAGTTAGAGGAAGCCGTTCAGATTGCACCGAATGTCAAGTTTATAAAGGATCGTTTGAATGCATTCAAACAAAATAATAAAATATCTACATTTCCTCCTTCAAGTACCAATGATAACAACAATAACAACAATAATAATAGAAGTAAAGAAGTGGAATCCAATGGAAGCAAGAAACAGATGTCTATTCAACTATTCGCTCGTGCAATTGAATCACATATGAAAGGTGATTTGAACATGTCATTTCACTACAGTGTTGGTATGTGTTATTGTTTATACATCATCAATGTTTTACAATTTAGGAGTTATAATTGATTGATTTGTTATTAACAATTATTATATTATTATTTCAAAACAAAAGCTGCACATGAAAATGATCCAGAGAATAAAGAAGTAAATTTACATCTTGGTACACTCTATGCCAAACAAGGTAAGTTCCCACATGCCAACAAACATATCGATATGGCAATCAAGGGTAAACCAACATTGTACGATGCACACGTGGAGAAAGCAAGTTTGGAACAAAAGGAGGGTGAGACTACCAACGCCATCAAACGACTGAGCGTACTCTTCAAATCGTCGGAAACCACTCAAGACCTAAAGAAACGAGCACTCCTCTTAAAAATATTCTTTATGAACTACGCCGAACAATATAACAACGAAAAAGATATCTACGAAGAATCTATATTATATCATAAATTTCTAAATATAAAACCATATACATTGTAAGTAGTTAGTAACAGTAATAGAATATTAGAAGATACTAATGAACAAAACAAACAACAAACAACAACTCAGTTCTCCTGAAAGTATAAAATCATATAGAAAACAATCATCTATTAAAGTTGCATATTTATCTTCACATTTCTGTGAACATCCGATTGCTTATTTTATGGATGGTATATTGAAGTGTCACAATAAGGAGACATTTGAAATTCATTTGATATCGATGGGTACGCAGTTTGATGATTTCACCAAGAAATTCATTGGCTACGTCGGTGAAAAGAATTTCCATGTGATGCGCGGATCCTGTGAGAAGGTGGCAGCGGCCATCCGTGACATGAAAATTACTATTCTCAATTGTTTGGATGTGCACACCGAGCGTGACGGTGAGATTGCTTCATACCGTCCGGCACCGATCATCGTCAACTACCTCGGATATCCAAATACCAGTGGCATTGCTGACCTGATACAATATCGTATCACCGATCAGTATGCCGATCCGCTCGACACCAAGCAACTCTGGACTGAAAAACTCATCCGTATGCCATCGACCTTCCTCTGTTTCGACGCATCGCATATCATCACACATCCGATCACCGCGCAATCTCCATTCGAAAAGAATGGATACATAACATTCGGTTGCTACAATACACTGTCGAAAGTTCAAAAGGGAACTTGGGCCGTTTGGAAACTCATTCTCGATAGACTGCCAACTGCTCGAATCGCTATTAAAGCACCGCTTTTCATTGTGGAGAGTGCAGCTCAGGCATATCTAAAGAAGCTGGCGGATATCGGTGTAGATACCACCAGGGTGTTGTTAAAGACCTATTCAATGGAGACCGGTAATCACTATGATAGCTACAATGAGATGGATATCAGTTTGGATCCATTCCCATACAATGGAACAACGACATCGTTGGACTCGCTATGGATGGGTGTTCCTTTCGTAAGCATGTCAGGCGTGACACATGTGCATAACGTAGGTCGTTCCATCCTCACCAATGTCGGATTGAAAGAACTGGTCGGCAGCAACCCCGAAGAGTATGTAAATATCGCAGTTCAACTGGCAAGTGACACTGAAAAACTCAAATATCTCAGAACCAACCTCAGAAACATCCTCTCAAAGTCACCAATTTCCAATCCCAAACAATTTACAATCGATCTTGAAGATAAATATATTCTAATGTTTAATGAAGCACTTTAAAATATTTTAATAAACTTTTAGCATTTCATTTTCACTTTCTCTTTAAAGAACAGGTGTTTTATTCTTAATATATTTAATAAACAATGTAGATTTTAACTATTATTATAAGATTTTTTGTGATCAATCTAAAGTATTTAGAAATTTGAATGATCACAAAAAATTGGATAGAGAAGTACAATAAATATATTTTAAAATCATTGATATCAAAGTAATATTTATTCATCTCTTCAAGAATGATTTCCTTTAGCTGATAAAAAAATTCCAAAAAATTTATTTTTTTTTAATTTTTTTCTATTTTTTTGAAACGAACGAAAGTTTATTATTAAAACAATTGATTAAGTTTCTATTACTATTTAAATTATTAATTAAATATGGGTAGATCAAAATCAAAGAAAACAAATCAACCATCATTAGATTTTAAAGTAAAGAAAAAGAAATTAGGAAAGAAACCACCCCCAAATCCAAATGTAACAGTTACAACATTTAAATCAAAGAGTATTTATTATTTGATCTTTACAATTGAATAGAAATAGTCTGTTTACATTTATTATTATTATTTTAGCATTATATATACCAGGACAATCAATTGGTGAAAAAGATGATCCTATAACCAATCAGAGAAATCTTACGTTGAAAGATTTGCTCTCGAAAACCAAACATTATAGTGAACAGATTCGTCGTGATTCTTTGAATGGATTGAAAGATTTGATTCAGATGCATCCTGTGGTCGTAAGTCAACATATTGGTGCGATTATGAATGGAATCGTCGAGTCGGTGAATGACACCGATAAGAATGTCAGACTGGCTGCACACTCGCTCATCGCAAAGGTATTGCCACTGGTCGACCCTATTATGATGTCACCGTTCCTCCCACTCTTTGCCATCTATATCACATCGGGAATGACTCATCTAAAGTCATCGATCCGTATGGATTCACTGCAACTCTTTGAGCTGCTGATCACCCAATTCCCACAGATGATAGGCTTCTCTCACCAGATCCTACCGAACTACTTGGAGCTGTTGAAACGTGTTGGAATACATACAACTTCATCGTTGGTTCTATCGAATACATCGGTAGGATCATCCACATCGCTCTCAGCAATTGCCAGCGCCACAAACACCGGTGGAGGAAATGCCGCTTCCGGTGCAAGTGGAATGAAGAACAATCAACTGGGACAGAGAATTCAAATATTACAAAGTTTATTCAAGTTGTTGGAGCGACTGTTACCTAGTGAACAACAACATCAAAGACTGCTTAGTAAAGTTAAGAGTTCAAATAGTTTGACTAGACAATGGGCAGTGCAGACTCCTCTCGCATCGACATTCACCAACTACACAGAGCGTACTGTATTCACATCATTCTTTAGCCAGACTGGATCATCGACAGGAAAGATATCGTCACGCGCATTGGAATCCGCAACGGAAACACTTGACTTTACCGCTAGCGTTATGCCGATTCTCATTGAATGTTGGTTGGAGTTGACCCCTGGCAATCCAGGATCACACTCGACCCTTCTCGATATGGAGTTAATAGTAAAGATGTTAATGCTTTTAATTACAAAGATCAGAGAAGATCCAAACATCGGTGGTTCAGCATCAAAGAGCAACCCAAACAATGAGAAATTCGATCGTATTCGTCAAGATTATCTCAAGTACTTTGCTGCACACTATCCAGTTTTGGTCGGTAGCTCCGACAACCCCGACTCCAAAGAGTACTCTGCCAGTCAAGAAATCAATGCTATTGTTACACAAACACTTGCATGGTTGTTACCAACATCAATAATTACCAATACTGTTGGTAGTGGTAGTAGTAAATCAATATTACCATCGTGGTTCGAACCAGCTATCGACTTTTTCGAAGATGCATTGGATGGAAAGCTAGTAAAGGAAGGTGAAAGAGGTCAAGCCGTTAGAACATCGATATCATCGTACTTGTGGGTTGTCATTAAGGTGTTACCATCGTTGAGTCAAGAGAGAGCACAAAGTGTACTGGAATCGTTTATCAAATTCGATAATCAATGCAACCCACTCTCCACGGCCAAGAAAGCATGTGTATTCTTCATCAAAGAGCTTATCGATATTCAAGATTCTCTCAAAGATAAATCAATCAAGAAGATCATTGAATGGGGATTATCTTCACTTCCAAAGTTACTTTGGAGAATTGGTGCATCAGATTCAAATACATCATTGGTAAGTTTTAATTAATTAAACAATTATATTTATAAAATAAGATCAACTAACAACATAACTAATAATATTAATATATATAATTATAGATGATTATAACAATTTTGTTATCATTTGGTAAAGATAAGAATAAGAGAGGACAATATGAAAGTATTCAAAACTCATTGGTACCATTTTTATTTACCATTTCAAAGCCAAGTGACAAGTTCCCTCAAGGTAAACATGTCTATGGTCCTTTCATTCACTTACCGATCGACCTACAGATTCAATCATTATATTTAATCTATTACTTTACATCTATCAATTTATTAACTATTAGAGCATTAATTGCAATTTGTAAATGTATGTTTATTATCTTTTTAATTTGTTATATCAAATATATTTATTAATATCTATTTCTTTTTCTTTTAATAATAATAATAGCACCAAAGGTATCGATTGAAGTAAAAGAAAGAATATTCGATATTATCTATTATAAATTTGATCAAGGTTTTGGATTAGATAACTATTTGGCATTCTGTATCTCAATTACTTTGGCAATGATTCATAAGGTTGAAGACAACGGCGATGAACAACAACAAATAGATTTAGATGGTGTTACTGATTTGGATGCTGATAACAATAACAATAATAATAACAATTCATCATTAAAGAGAAAACATGATAAGATTATGAACAATGATAGTTCATCCGTTGATATTCAACATAGAGACAGAGTATTAAATAGAATATTTAGAGATATCAATCATCTTCGATCAACAATCCCAATTAAGAAGGTTTTAAATCCATTATTAGCTTCAGTGTTAAGAGAATTGGTATGTTTATTACATCTAAATTAAATTTATATTTTAATTACATTCATTCTAATATCATTCTAATGATAATAACAACAAACATCAATTAGGATAATCAAACATTGGACGGAAAGAAATATATATTACAATTGATATATTCATGCTTTAATAGTAAAGATCAAGAGGAATGGTCTAGCGTTCCAAAGAGTTTGGTTGATAGCTTACCAGCTATACTATCATCATATCTGTTAACGATCGAACAACAACAACTACAGCAGAAATCATTAATAACCAACTTAAAGGATTCATATATCTCATTAGCTCATCAATATATTCAATTGGATCAATCAACTACTTTATTGGTAAATTTGCTTAAACAAATGTCAAGTATGTAAAAACAAAACAAAATAAGAGAGAGAAAGAGAAAGAGATTTAACAAATACTTTCTAATATTTAATTATAGGCGAGTTGAAGGCTGATAAATCGAAATTGGTTGTTATATCAATCATATTAATGGATATCATTAAGAACAAACAGATGGAATCTTTACTTCATCAACAAGAGGCTAAAGACCAACTACAATTGTTTGTAAATGAAATATCAACACAACCCAACATTCTTGAGGAAGAGAAACCAATCGTCGACAAACTTTTATCAGAGTTTAAAATGTCACACAATAAATTATAATAATAGGGAATATATTCCATTCTCCTACAATGATAACTTGTGTATTTTATTTAATTATATAATAAGATCAAAGTTGAATTGAAAAACAAATGATAGATAACTCTATGAAATCTAATGTTTCATTCAGTGTAACAGTATTTATTATACAAAATCTTTGCTTTATATGATATCATTTTTAAGTGATGATCTTAGCTATTCTTTCATTAATTATATGTCTTTTAAATACTCTGTTATTGATTAAATCTCTCAAGTGTTGAGTTGATTCTATGAATCCACCATTTACAAGATAGTCTCGATTGTAACCAATGAAAATGCTTGATTGGTTATATCTTCGAAGTTCTATATTACCATTGATCCTGATGATTTCAACAGAGATTGGTAGATCTTCCAATGTATTTTCTCTGAAAAATGAGGAATCTACATTCATTGTCAATCTTTGAGGTTGCTGGTGTGCACTATCTTCGCAAACATCTTTAACTAGAATAATCTGGTACAGTATGAGATTCTTTAAGGTCGGTGGTAATGATGAATGTAATAACTGATTATTATTTCCAGTGAGTTTAAGTAATTCCAAATTCGGTGGAAATCTACTTATTTCTTTTTCAGTATCGAATGAAAGTTTCTTGATCGATGGCAGTGAAAGGATACCTAAAAATGCTGATTCCGATTCAGCGCCATCCGAATATTTCGAGAGTTTCAATGACTGAACAGTGTTTGGAATTGATCCAAATGAAATATTACTGAATGACAGAAAAGTATCCAATTCTCTCACACCAATCGGGATGACACCAGGTTCCAAAAAATATCCAAAGTAACCAAGTGATAGCTTTGTGACACTCAATGGAATACTCCCAGGTTTCAATCTGAATAATTTCATTCCACCAAAGTCGAGATTAGTTATTGTCGATGGAATGACACTTGGTTCAATATAAATACCACCTAGAGAGCACTTGGTAAAACGAAGGGTGGTGATCGATGGTGGAAGTGAGGAGAGCCACTCGAAATTGCATTCAATTGTTGTCAGTCTTTGAAACTGAGAGAGAATCGATAGGTTCTCAATGTTATCGACAATTTTATAATCGAGTGTTAAGGTTTCAAGTGATCTAGGTAGTTGTCCAATATCTATCTTTGGAGCAACCATATTGAATGTACAGATATGCAGAACTTTCAGATTGTCAGGCAGTGGGTGTTCCTTCAATGTATTACCGTTGAACAGTAGTGAGAGGCGTTCCAACGACTGTGGGAGTAATCCAGGAGCAAGCTCTTGCTGTCGATAATCGGCGGTCATATATTTAATAGTATTTGGCAGCACATGTGCATTAAATACAGGTCTTTGGTTGGAGTGATTTAGCGTTTCAAGAGTGTTTGGGAGTGAACCTGGTAATATCTTTAGATTATCACATCTGATTTCGAGTTGACTTATTCTACTATCTGAAATGTCAAATGCAAGATTGTCTTGCCATTCGAAAATAGTAACACTCCTTACATTCAAAGGTATTTTGCTGCTAAGATTCTCTGTATTATTAACTTTTGATACTTATAATTGGTAAATATATATATTTTTAGGTTAAAGTTGTATTAACATTAACATAACATACTATCTATTATATAGTCAGAAAATGTTGGACCCATTTTTAGAGAGGCTGAGCTACCACAAATCAATAGACTACAAGATTGAATATCTGATATTCGTTGAAATTGTGTTTGATATGATGTAAGTGTTACATGATTACTTCTATTGTAAATCAATTGTGATTGAGCGTGTGTAAGACCGTTGAATATCAAATATCTATCTCTATTATTATATAACTTTTTACTTGTTAAACTAAAGCATATTGAATCTAAAACTGTCAGTTCTTTGAAACTTAATATTTTAGATAGCAACAGATATGGTAAATCTTGAATGTTATAATTTATGTACATCTAAATTCTATTAAATCAAAAAAATAAAAATGATCTTTAATTTTTTAAACACAAAAAAAAAAAGAAATTGTATTTCTAGTTCATCTCATCTAAATAAGCAACAGGACTTAGCTTTAGTCTTTATCCCGAGACCGCGGTAAATCTATGATCGAATGGTATAAACACATTCGAAACATTTAAATTTGTAAAAAAAAAATCAACCTTCTTTTCATTTTCAATAGAAGCAATCAATTTCATCTTTATCAATACCAAAAAAAAATCAAAAAGTTTGTTCCAATGTATGATTTTTTCCAATCATCAATTTATACTAATTTTTTTAGAGGTTTGAAAACAACCAAAACAAATTTTACAGATTCTCACTAAACTTAGTTTAAGCCCCCTCAAAAAAATAAAAATAAAGTGAAAGCATTAAGTTTGGCGATGGTTGTTGTCAAACCTCTGAAAAAAAAGGATAACTTGATTGCCCAAAAAAACCAAACATCAGAACAACCTTTTTGATTTTTTTAGTTTTTTTAAAATAAAATAATATTCATAGTAATTCTTCAAAAATATCTTTACACCCTTATTCAAGTTTATTATTGATCACTTAATACTTATATTTGTACATTTAAGTAAAAATCACAAACACTTCTTTCATTCAAAAATGATTCATTCTATTTCTTTTATTTTATTTTTATTGTTTTCATTGTTTTTGTTGATGAGAATAGATTCGACAGGTGCTCAACCAACAATACTTTCTTGTGCTGAAGTCAACTTCACATCTATTAGTCTTACCAGTGGTAAATATCTTCAACAATATTATATGGATAGATCACATCTTATAAATGCTATGTTAAAATGTTCTGGTAACGATTATTATGTCTTGGAGTCTCAATCCGAACTATATCCTGGTCAATACAATATTTCTATTCTCAATGCTGAAGTAAGTATTGTTTTCTCAAATAACATAAAAATTTCATTTCTAATACTTAAAACATTAATTGTCAATTTTATAGACAGGCGGATTTACCCCCAAAGCAAGTTTTTATATTCCTGAACAACCAAGGATTATTTGGCAATCCAACAGTATAGATCTTCAAAATGGATTGGCATTTGCAACATACTGTCCTTCTAATACATCATATCTCTCAATTTTCAATATGAATACTGAAACTGTGTAAGTTGAAATCGAAGTACAATCAACAAGCAAAATTGATTTCAAATTATTAACAACCATCAATTCTCTATATCACAACTTGAAACAGTGAAACGATAGAATCATCAAGTTATTGTCAATTGTATGCTTTAGGAGCCTATGATTCAGCGAATCAATTGTATTATCTTTATGGTTTTAATACCGGAACGCTTAAAGCTTTATCATTTGGAGTATATTCGATGATTACCAAGAGTTTCACTTATCACGATATTCCATTCGAGATGCAACATTGGTCATATGTCCAATCAGTATTTGTTTATCAATCAACTGTTTATGTTGGTCTCTTCCAAAATTCTTATTATCAGCTTATTACAGTTGACTGTGATACAAAGACCACACGTAGTATTTTCAAAGCTGATTATTTCCCATTCGAGCAGTATACCCTAGATTTTGTTTTCGATTCCAATGGATATATTGTGATTATTGCAAAAAATCCACCTAATTATTCGATTTTCACAATCGATCTTCAAACAGAACAATACACTAACCACACAATTCCAAACATCGCAGCAGAACTCGCTGTCAATTTCGAAAGCAATAGTTGTTGTGCTCAATAATATCATGAATTTGTCTATTTAAATAAAAATTTATCAGAATCAAAAGAAAATTAAGCAAAAAAAAATTTAATAAAAATACAATTTTGAATTAGAGTATTCCGGGATTTACATTGACTTTGAGGGTTAATAGTGTAAGTGAATTAGAGAAAATGGTTTTTTCTAAACCGCTGAAAAAAAGGATAAGTTGATGATCATGACCCGAAAAATCAAACATCGGAACAAGCTTTTGCGATGTTTTTTGGTTTTTTTCTAAAATTTAACAAATTTAATAAAAAAATACTTAGTAATTTTCAAAAATAGCTTTACTCTTTATATAAGTTTATTATTCATCTTTTGAATTTGTATTTATACAATTAAAAATCAAAAACACACTTTCATTCAAAAATGATTCATTCTATTTCTTTTATTTTATTTTTATTGTTTTCATTGTTTTTGTTGATGAGAATAGATTCGACAGGTGCTCAACCAACAATACTTTCTTGTGCTGAGGTCAACTTCACATCGATTAGTCTTACCAGTGGTAAATATCTTCAACAATATTATACGGAGAAATCACATCTTATAAATGCTATGTTAAAATGTTCTGGTAACGATTATTATGTCTTGGAGTCTCAATCCGAACTATATCCTGGTCAATACAATATTTCTATTCTCAATGATGAAGTATCGTTTTATCAAACAATAACAAACAAATTTCTTCATTTAGATAAGGTTATTTTGATAAACTTTGAGATGGCTACACAGTCACAAAATTCATTCACAATGGCATCATCTTCATCTCTATTTAAACCGATTAATAACTTTAATGCTAGTCCAAAGAAATTGAACCCTCTTATGTCAACCATCAATAACCATAGTATCAATGTTATGAATAACAAAAATAATTATAATAATAATAATAATAATACAGTTCAAAACAACAACTATAATAATAACAATAATAGCAATAACAATGATGTAATCGACTTTCAACAGAGAATAATGATACCTATCAATTTAGAGTTTAAATTAATCAATGAAACAGAGTTCTCTTGTATCGATCCAAAGAATGAAGCAATCAAGAGGATATTCTTACAGATAGAAGGAGCAAAACGTATGTACACATATTGGTGATAAAGTGATGATTGGGTTACTTACTGACTTTCTTGCTTTTGAATGATTATATCAATTTAGAATTTGATGAGAATTGGTGGGTAATACCGGTGTTACAACATAATAAATTTTGTGAGATGCTAATGAGGACTGGGGGTGTAAAAGTTAAACCATTGCCTCGACATATATTATTGGCATTCTCACAACCACCGAAACTAGTACAACCCGACTACTCAAGACTGCCAGCCAATCTATTGAATACACTGTTACCCTTCCAACGAAAGGGTATCGAGTTTGGAATATCAAGAGATGGAAACTGTATTATTGGTGATGAAATGGGTCTTGGAAAGACAATACAGGCAATCGGATTATCATATTACTACAGGAGCGAATGGCCGCTGCTCATTATCACTCCATCCTCTCTTCGCATGGTGTGGGCGGAGCAACTCGAGAAGTTCCTACCCGGTGTCTTCAAGAATGGCGATATCAATCTGGTTATGAATGGACGTTGTGGATTGAATGGTCTGGTCAATATCATCAGCTACGATCTGGTGCGGTATTTATATTTTTTATTTTAAAAAGAAGGAAAATAAAAAATATCGCGATATAAAAATTTACGCGGAAAGTAAAATTTTCACTTTGTTAAATAACTTTATACCAGTGTAGCTTAATTACTGTTACGGGTGTACCTACTTAACCAGACATACTTAAAACCAAACTCTCAAAGAATCTTTGATCTTTTTGTCGTCCCCTCAATATAGTTATACATTTATTTAGAAGAAAATCGATCAATGACTCGAGCTCGACCACATTTAAGTTTGTCAGTAAAGGAAGATACTTTGAAAGTCAATAGCTTCATCGATAATATAGTTAGAGGTACATTCGATATCGTGGTCAAAGATTATGATCCAAACACACCAGATGATTTTCAATTGGTTGTTTGGCTTAAGATTAATCAGATGACCAATGAACAAAAGATATTCGAAGTAAAGTTACTGTTTATCGATAAAGAAATAACAAGACTAAAGGTAAATGTGCCATTCATTGCACCGCTCACCGATGACAATATCATACGTTTAGTTGTCAAGAGTGATAAACTATTCATTAAATACGATATTTATTTATATCGAGACCAAGTCGATGGTTTGCTAAAGATTGAATCGTATTGTTCTAAATTGGCGAGATTACAATCCAAGGTCGGTTTTGGAGCTTACATATACCGAAATGATATTGAATCGGACTATAGTCGTTGGATTGCCCTTGATAGCTATTCAATAGAGAGTCACATTCAAAGATACAATAGTCATAGTTGTAGCTATGGTGAAAACAATATGATTTCTCATAGTTTCGCTTCAGGAGAAAAGTCTTACATACCAAGTTTAGAAGATTTTGCAGAGGTTATATGTCACTTAGCTTTGAAGATGAATGGCGTTAGCGTTGGTGTATCATATCTCGACCAGAATGGTGATCGCAAAGAAATCAATGTGCTTGGTAATGAAATTGGTGATTTCGATACACATCAAATGTTGGATATTCTCAAATTAGGATTTGAACATTGGTTCGATTTGGTTAATCATGATGATGATTCATCATTAGAAGTGTCTAGACTGAATTATGTTTTAGATACTCGTCAGTTTACAGTCAACAGTAGTCATAGTTCCAACGCATTCAATGCGATACCGATTTCTTTATCTTTTCAACATATAATCGATAAATATCTTTTGGAAGAAATGGAGCTATGGTTCAAAAAAAAGAAAGATCAACTATAATAAACAAAACAAATATTTAAAATTTAAACTTTTCTTTATTTATTTTTGTGATTATTACCAACTATCAATTCTCATTGTACCTTTTTCATTGAGGTTGGTATGCATTTTGAAACATTTATCTATTTGGTGTGGCTCGTGTGCACTGCCATTCTTTAGACATATCTCTTGTGATGATTTAAAGTAATCCATAAGGATCGGTTTGTAAACTGGGTGTGCACAGTTTTCAATGATGGAGACTGCTCGCTCAGTTGGCGAGAGACCACGAAGATCTGCCAGACCTTGTTCGGTTACATAGATATCGACGTCATGTTCAGTGTGATCGACGTGTGTACAGAAAGGAACGATTGTTGATACACCGAGTGGATCGGTCTTTGATGGACGAACCGATGGTGCATGCATAATAGCAAGCTTTGAGTTTCTATTGAATTCACCACTTCCACCGATTCCATTCAACATTCTGCTACCGGCAACACAAGTCGAGTTGGCATGTCCATAGATATCAAATTCGACGGGTGTGTTCATTGAAATTACACCGAGACGACGAATCATCTCTGCCGAGTTGGAAATTGATTGATTTCTCAAGACAAACTTGGTACTGTAACTCTTCCAATTGTTGAATAGACGATTGAATCCAGACTGTGAGAAACGAATCGATGTGGTAGAAGCGAAATTCAGCTTTCCACTCTCAAAGAAATCCAAGAAGGTATCTTGGATCACTTCAGTCCAAACATTGATATTATCGAACGGACCATTGTGAATACCACCAATGACTGCATTTGCAATGTTTCCTATTCCTGATTGCAGAGGCAGCAAATTCTTTGGAAGGAATCCTTTGCTGATTTCACGCTTGAGGAACTCGACAATGTGATTGGCAATCGATTTCGATACGGCATCGGCAGGCACTGAAGCTGGAGTGGAATCTGGAAGTTGTGATTCTATGATTGCAACTATCTTCTCTGGATCACAAGGAATCGCTGGATATCCAATACGATCATCTACTCTTGTGATTTGGAATGGTTTGGTGTGGGGAGGTTGATCGATACTCACGATATCGTGTACTCCACGGTAGGACGGCATCGAGGTATTGAGCTCCACAATGATTTTATCTGCCATTTGGATGAGTTCCGGAGCGATTCCAACAGAGGCACCCGGAATGATCCATCCTTGTTCCGTAATCTCGGTTGCTTCGATAATTACAATATCCATACTGTTGCCACCCTTGGGTTTATTCATTGTGTAGTAACCATAGGTGATGTCGTTGGCAAACGTACTGAGATGACCATCGGCGAATTTGATTCTTCCACTGTTGATTCCCTTCTGGATATTCTTTCCGACTTGATGTGGATAGCGACGAGAAATCATATCGAGTGCTGCCCAACGATCCTCTGTTTCCTGACCGGTCGAGGCACCGACAAACAAATTGAATTTCATCTTGCCCTGCAGCTCATTTTGCTCCACGTGATTGGCCAGGGCAATCGGAATAACCTTTGGATAGTTGGTTCCAGCAAAACCTGACCAACCTAAATACTGTCCATTCTGGAACAACGGTATAATGTCATCCAAGTCATTTACAATCTTTCTATGCAAACTCTTTCTACCGATCCTACTTTTCAAAACAGAATTTTTACCTGTATTTATAAAGTTATTCATCATATTTATTTGACTATTCTTCATTTTTTATCTGTATGTATTATATATTATTATTAGATATATTTTTTAAAATAAGATATAAAATAAATAAAAATAGATTATATTGATTTGTTTTTTTTTTTTATTTCATTAATGATTTGTTAAAAAGATAATGCAATGAAATTGAATAAAAATAATAAAAAAATTAATTTGAAGATAAAATATTTTATTTGTGGGTGCTGTGTTTTGTGAAGAGTGATTTGAGTGTGTGTGGGTTGGGTATTTAAATTTTCTTTGTAAATTTTTAGTGGTTTTGATGCCAGTAAAATTTTCATTCACTTGTTTGGCGAATCAAACAGGTTTACCATAAACAGATCAAATTTTCATCTTTCGAATCTTGCCCAAACCGTCCAGTTTTTGGGATTTTTTGGTCAAAAAACAACAAGTGTAAAATTTTTAAGCCATAGATGTCTATTTTGGGTTTTCAAATTTTCAGATTTTTTTACGATTATTTGTAAACAATTAAATATAAACCAATCTTCATCATTTATTACACAAAAAAAAATAATACGTTTTTTATTTTTATTTTTATTTTATTAATTTTTTTTTTTCATTTTTCTTTAAATTGTACAATATTGTTTAATAAGTTGAGAGGCCAATTCCGGATTGTCTTCTTTATAAATAAGTGATAGGTTAAAAGCAGCTTCTTGTTTTAGTGTGTAGTCGCTATCTTCTTCGTCTTTGCAGCCCAGTACTTTCTGATAATAGTCGATTGCCAGATAAAACATACCCAATTGATGTGCTGCTCTACCTAAATTATAATATACTTCTTGAAGTTCTTTATTTTGTCTTATCCTATTTATTTGTTTGTTTAGGTTAGGTTATATTAGATTAGTTTGTCATTTATTCTTATTAATAATAATAATAATATGATAATGATTTGTATTATTATAATTACATTTTATATTTATAAAAGAAAGAGAATGCAGTCAATACGATTTTATGTCTATCTGGATTCTTTCTACCTAAAGATTGACATAGTATGGTAACACTGATGAGTAGATTGACAAGAGGATCTTCTGGTTGACACTTGAATGCTCTCAGATACTCGAGTAGTGCACTCTTTGCGTTACCCGTTGTCTTTTGAGAATTACCAGTGATGATTCTCATTGGTAAACTAGTAGGATTTTCATTTAGTAGCTTTCTTATAAAATCTTTATGTGTAAAGAAGTAATCTCCTTTTGACCTATTTTAATAAACCATTAGTATATTTTATATTGTATAAGATCATATTATTATGTGTTATAATTAGCTTACATTAATACAACTTTATTAAACAAGTTCCATATTCTATTGCTAAAAGGTTTCTTTGTACAAACATATTTAAAGTGTGAGAATGCCAGTAGCGGTCTCGATACATTGAAGGCGATACCAACTAACAAGAAGTTGAGTTGATGTGAATAGGCTTGTGTAACAAACCTAATGTTTCTGAGTGCATATCTAAGAAATGTACTGGCTTCATCATATCTATGAAATAATAATAATACTTTACATGTCTATCAAATAAAATAAAAAGATAAGATTAATAATCAATAAAACTAATAATAAGTATAGTTTTATAACATTACATTTGTCACTAAAAAGAAGTAATCTTTTTCATCTAATCTCTCGGCGAATGGTTGATTACTACGATGTGATACGTGTCGTATATAACGATCGATTCGTCTTGGAACCGATCTCATTGTGAGAGCTCCACCTAGTACCGTCTTTTTCTTCAATCTAACATTGTCACCGGATCCATTCAACAGCGCTCTTGAAATACCTAGAAACTGTGGATACTTTGAAAGATTCATAAAGTCATCGGCAACCTTGAACAATTCCTTAATATCTTGTTGAGTTGCCTTTAAACGTTTGGATTCTAAATCATTAAGAGTTGATTCAAACTTTCCTTTTTCACTATCTACAACATATATATGTTTAATAATAATAATAAAAATAATAAGTATATACATAATATTATTAAATACAATAACTATAATTACCTTCACTTGTATTATTATTATCAGCTTGAGTTAATAATTGTAATGATTTCTCATGATCACCTGTTTCTTTATAGATATCAGATAACAATAGACATGCTTCTTTGTTTGTTGGTTCAGCATCGATAACTAATTGTTGTTGTTGTTGTTATTTTATTAAAATAACAATTAGTAAATAAAACATGTAAACAATACTTAATATTATATAAAAAATACATACAATCTTGTAGATATTTAATTGCTAATTGGTAGTTATTCAATGCTTTATAAATAGTACCTAGTTTTAACCAAATAAATTCATATTCCAACTATATATATATATTATGTATTGCTTTGTTAGTTCAACATTTATGATTGTATAAATAACATTGTTAGTTACATTTTCAGCTTTGTTCAATAGTTCGAGGAATAGAGGAAGTGCTTTCTCATGGTGATCCAACTCGATGAGTCGTGAACCTAGTTTGTAATAGATATCGGGGATATCGTTGACAGGATGCTTGGTAATCTCTTTGATGCAGATGTTTGCCATGGTCGGATCGTTTATCTCGATGTACGCAATGGCAGCACTATACACCAAGTCCGGTGCAATATCGAGATTATTGGGAAACAGTGCTCTCACCTTTTGAAAAGCGGTGATAGTCTTGTCAAAGTATCGCGCACGATTGTAGAGCTCCAGAATCAAATTGAAAGAATCCAAATCCAAATCGTAGAAATCGGCACGCGATCGTTGCAGCTCTTTGTTGATGATCGACTCCATCAGTGATACCGCTTCGTCGAGCTTGTCCATCGCAGTGAGCACCTGCACCAACTGCTGTGTAACATTCGAATCTTGTGGACGCATCTCATGTAGATATCGAAATCCGATCAACGCCAACTTGTAGTTCTTCTCCGACTCGTACACCTGTGAGAGACTGTACAACGATTCCAAATCATCTTTATCCAACTTCAACACTCGCTTATAGCATTTAATTGCACGTTTATAATCTCCTAATTGCCTAACATTGTTTAATTAGTTAGTTAGTTAGCTAGCTAGTTAGTTAATCTTCGAAATCTATAATAATTAGATTATTGATCACATTGTTATTTACTTTGATAGATCAGCACATCTTTTCCAAAGATCCGGTAAATTCTCACCGATTTCAGCGGCAATATAAAGGAAATCACATTCTCCATATGGATCACCTTCATCTTTCTTGATCAGTGACATCATAGTGTAGGTACGCGGGTATCTTGGAGAAACACGAATCACCTCTTGGAAAGTAAGAAACGCTTCTTTCAACTCTCCATTCGTATATTGATTCATACCACGTGAAATCAAATCTTTTGTTTCTTTTGGTAATCTTGATAACTATGGCGAGAGAATATAAAGATTAGTAATTTATAACAATATATATATATATATATATATGTTAATATTGTACTTACATCTCTTGATCTTGCACTTGTTCTAACTTGTTTCTTCTTTTGATCAGCATCAGCATCACCACCACTACCACCAGCTGATGACGATTTCGATTTCTTTGAATTGGCAGCTTTCGATAGTTTTGATATTCTATCGATATCAAACTGTTCATCTTCTTTGTTTAATATTTTATCTTGTTTCTGTTGTGATAGATTCTTAAACTGTGAGAGAGTGGAATCTAGTTTTTTGGCAGAGGTTGCTGTTGCTGTTGTCGTTGTGGTGGTAGAGGGAGTGGATGTTGTTGGTTCTTCATTGTCATCATTATCATCGTCATCTTCTAGTTCACTGTCATCATCAGTAAAACTATCATCATCGTCATCATCTTCAGTTTCATCATCTTCATTGATGACATCTTCCAAATCCATCATCTGCTCTTGAAAGTTGGCATTTGGCATCAACGATGAAACATCGATATCGAAATCCAATTTGAAACTCTCATCTTCCTCTTGACCATCTCCATCGAAATCACCGACATCACCGGCATCCACCTGCAAATCATCCATGATATCATCTATAAACTCTTTTGCTGAAGAATCCATTCTTATTTAACTCTATTATAACAACATATAAATATAAATGAATATAATATATATTTGATTTCAATATTACATTTAAAAAACAAAACAAAAACAAATGTTATATTATAAGTATAAATTGAACTGACAAATGTTTAATACATATTTTTTTAATTTTTTTAACGGATAGATTTTTAAAAAAATGAGATCATAAAGTTTAAGAAAACATCATTCGACTACTTTAATAACATCCAATTGAATATATAATTATATGAAATAATGCTTTACACATGTAAATATGATAATTGTTCAAAATCATATTATACATATGGTGCTTTGAAGTCACATTGTAATAAATCTCATCAGTGTAATGAACGACGCGAACAGTTCATTAAAGATCAAAAGAAGAAACAAGAGACAACAAATACTTATAGTACCGATGTCTATACATGTACAAATGAAGTATGTATATATTAATTAATAAATATTTTGATATTTATTTGTTGGATTTAATAATAATTAATAAAAAACAAAAGATATTTTATAGATCAAAAGAATTGAAATTAAGTTCACATCTTAAAGAGATAAAAGAAGAGTTGAATAATGATTTGGGTGTGATTGTAGATGCACAATCACAATCGAAGGGTGCTGATAACATCAAGATCTTCCAATGTCTACATGATAACTGTCAGAGAGAGTACAAAACCGCAAGAAATGTAAGACGTCATTGTAAGGACTTTCATGGATGTAAAGGCACATTTGAAGTGTGTCCGAATGACAGAAGCTACCGACTACGTGGTACATTCGTTTCTAAAGAAAAAATTGTAGGTCGTATCGAATGTGTGCACACTGATTGTAACGTGCAACTTACAGACACCAGTCTATTGAAGAGACACTTGAAGAAAGTTCACCATTCATGTGATTCGGAATGTAGTTATTGTACTGATAAAGATAAAGTCGATGAAAAAGAGGAAGAAACTGGTGATGGAGATAAGGAAAAAAAGAAGAGTAATATGGAAATTGAAGAAAAGAAAGAAATAGCCTTAAAAGATAATAATAATAATAATAATGATATACCAACCTCAACCACTACAACATCAAATCAATTGAATATAGAAAAGATAAAACAGGTTAGAAAAAAGAGAAAGGAGAAAGAGATAGAGATAGTGAGAGAAAAAGAAAAGGAAAAGGAATTTGCAAAGAGAAGAGAAGAAGAGAAGGAAAACAAAGAGAAAAACAAAGCCAAAGCCAAAGACAATGAGAAAGAGAAGAAAGATAAAGAGAAAGAGAAAGAAAAAGAAAAAGAAAAAGAGAAAGAGAAAGAGAAAGAGAAAGAGAAAGAGAAAGAGAAAGAGAAAGAGAAAGAGAAAGAGAAAGAGAAAGAGAAAGAGAAAGAGAAAGAGAAAGAGAAAGGAAAGGAAAGCTCAAAGAGAAAAGAAAAAAGATGATGAAAAAGAGAAAGAGACAGTTAAGCAAAAGGATAGAACAGACAGAAAAGAGAAAGAAAAAGAAGAAAGAAAGGAAAAGGAAAGGGCAAAGAGAAAAGAAGAAGAGAAGGAGAAGGAGAAAGAGAAGGAAAAGGTAAAAGAAAAGGTGAGATCAAAGAGAAAAGAAAAAGATGGTGAAATAGAGAAAGAGAAGGAAAAGGAAAAGGAAAAGGAAAGAACAAAGAGAAAAGGAGAAGAGAAAGAGAAAGAAAAAGAGAAGGAGAAGGAAAGGAAAGAGAAAGAACAAAGAGAAATGAAAAAGATACAGAAAGAGTAAAAGGTAGAAAAATCAATACAACCACAACAGATATTTCAGAAGCAGAGGAAGAAGAGAATGACAATTCAAATAAGAAAAGAAAAGGTAGCATTCGATCATCTAGATCTTCGACAACAAAGAAATCAAGAACAAAGAAATAAATCGAATTTTAAAATATTTTTATACTATATGTTTATATTACAATTAATTATGTTTATTGATTATTTAATATCGTTAAAAATAATTTCTCAATTATTTAACTATTTACAATCCTATTATTATTTTCGTCACTACTAGTAATAATTTTTTGATTTATATTATGATTGATATTATTATTATTATTGGTATTTATAAATGAGTTTGGCGATTGATTTGGTGATTGTGATTGCGATGATGAGGTTGATGAAGATGACGATGATGATGAAGCTGATGATGATGATTTATTATTTCTATTGGGTGATTGACGATTTCCATTGGGAGAGTTTGGAATGGAGGTTGGTGAAGATGAAGTTGGATAGTGGTGTTGTTGTTGGTAGACAGGTCGCCAATTTTGGTTGGGAATATTATATGGCATTGACTGTGCAGTGCGTTGCATTCCGTAGCCTGCGTAGTACGGATAGGGTTGAGACTGTTGTCCGTAGATCACAGGATTACCGGAAACATCATAGTAAAAATAGTAAACTGGAGTGTAGCCATTGCCAAGTGCAGCTGCACCATTATCGTAGGCACCGGTGTCGATCGGAATACCGGCAGTATGATAGACAACACTATCGTCTGGCACCAACATACTCGCTTTCGCTCCATTTATACTACCTAAACTATAATGTTGTTGTTGTTGCTGCTGTTGTAGCTGTTGTTGTTGAATTTGTGGTTGTTGTGGTACCACACCATTATTTACAATGAATCCATCGGATTTACGCATTGCATCTCCAACATTCATCTGCAAAAATTTGAAATTTCACATGATTGTGGGAAATTGGAATTAATTAATTTGTCAATTTGAAAAATCAACACACTCTCTCCCTAACCTCTTTTAAAAACACTTACATTTTTACCCATGAATGATAATGTAGATGCATTCTTAACTTTGCTTACACTCTCTTCATCTTCGAATGTGATGAATCCATAACCCTTTGATTTAAGTGTGTTTCTATCCATTATGATTTTACACTCCAACACATTGCCAAATGTAGAGAAAAACTTTGCTAGACCTGCTTCATCAGCCTGTTTGGTTTTTACGAATATTTAAATTAAAAATTAGTGTCTCAATTTATTATTTCAATTCTAAATCTATAATTTTTTACTTACCCTCCAACTTATTCCACCAACAAATAATTTGTTTGGAGATGGATGCATTTGATGATTAACCAGCATATAAAATGGTGGAGGTGATGAGATCAATGATGGTGAAGAATCAATTGATGACATGATTGATGGTTGATAAAACTATCTATTTTATAGATTTTTATTGTATAAAACTTTATCTAGAAATATAATTATTTATTTTTTAAAAATTTACTAATCTATAAATTAAAAAATAATTTTGTTAATAACTAATGCTAATTTATGTATTATGACTTAAAATTATGTGTATGTGATTATGTTTTACAAAGTAATTATAAAACCATAAAAAAAAAAAATAATAAAAAAAGTGTAAATCAATTTTAATTTATAATAGGCAATTAAAAATTATTTTTTAACAAAAAACAAAAAAGATTGGAAATATTATAAATATTATTGTTGATCTAATTAGATCTTAAATAAATTAAATTACTTGGATTATTTTGTTGATTGCTGATTGAATGAATGAATGTAGGAAGGAATGTTTTTTTTTTGTTTTTAAATTTGATAAATAGATTTTATTACTTGTTGTTTGCGAAGAATTTGATTTTTGCAAAAAATAAAGAAAAAAGTGATAATTGAAAAACTTGTATTGTTTAGTTTAGTCTTTTTTTGGGGTTGGTTTTTATTGTATTTATTAAATATTTATTGATTCTGTTTTTATTTTATTTGATTTTAAGAAATTTAAAATAAACATATATTGGAATAAAAGTATGATTTTTATATTTTTGTATGAAATTGATTTAGTTTTAAAATAACGTTTAAAGATCAGGGTTAGATAAAAAGTAGATGGAATTGGATGATATTGTGTGAATGAATCCAAATGATGTTTTTATTATCAATGTTTGATACTACCTATTTTTAATTTTTACTATCTACTTTATTTTGTTTTATTGTTTTGTTTTAAAAAAGTTATTGATACCAACCACTAAACACTAAAACACACGATAATAGTGACAACAACAACACTCTTTTAAGGTGTGAATAAATGGGAATCACTTATAAAAAAAAAAACTAAAGTAAAATTAATTTACAAATAAATATAAAAATATTAAGCAATTACACACATGCTTTAAAAACATTGTAATTATTTGCATGTCATACCCTGTTCTGTTTATTACTTTTTCTATTTATTTTCCTTTTTAAAACAACAGCAACAACAACAAAAAATTGCAATATTAATAAATTAAAAAACAAAAAAAAGTAAGAAATAAATAAAAAGATTTTTGATGATTTTATGAGTAGGTTTTCTTTTTCTTTTTTTTTTTTTTTTTTTGTTTTTCTTTTGATTGTTTATATTTATAAGATAGATAGATATGTATTTTTATTAAAAAACAATGTGTGTGTTAATGTGATTGTAAATAAGGAATGAATGATAGATAGTCAGATGATTTTAAAATTTACATTAATGTTTAATTTAGTATCTACTACTACTTTTTTTGATTGGTTGGGTGATTGATAATAATTTTCTTTTTCTACAATAGTTATTGTTTTTTATTGCCTTAATTAATAATATTTAAGTAAATTGGTAATAAAAAAAAGATTATTAGATTGTTTACTCTACGCCACGCTCACTATTATCAACCTGATTATTATTATTATTATTTTATTTTATTTTTTAAAATGGTAATTTTTTTTTTTATTAATATAAATATTTTTTATTATTTTACTTCTTTTTGCTTTGTTGTTCCTCTACAATCGAGCACTGGTTTCATTTGGGGTAATAATAAAAAATATAAATTGTTTTTTTAATTTAAGAAATTTTGTGATTTTTATTTATTTTTTTTCGAATTAATATTTTGATTAAAAATTCTCAAAAAATTTGGAAACTCAAAAATCAGGCTGATTCCGCATAAATTTTTCAAATATTTTCTTTTTTTGAAATTTTTTCTGCTTTTTTATTTAAATATTTTGATTTGGTTTTCTCTCACAATCAAAAATAGTAGGAAGTTGTAGTGTTGGTTTTTTTGTTAAAATGGGGTGTGCAACAACAAAGAGACGTGTGTTTTGCTTGGCTGTTGTAATTGCTCATCAATCATCATCTCATTTTGATTTTTAATTTCTCTTTTCTGTTTATGAATGTGATTCTCTATTCGTTCAACAACGTTTTTTTTTCTTTTAATATCATTATCATATCATATTGAATTGTTGTTGTTCTTTTTTTTTTTTTTTTTGCAAAATAAAATCACAACCAGGTTTTTAATAAACAAGAGTTGGGGGTGATATGCAGATGATTCCACCAAAACTTGTTCATTAAGATGTAAAAAAAAAACATAACCACATCATCAATTCACATTTCGAGTTCCCTCCCCACTACACACTGCAGTTACAAAAGTTTCAACTTCACTTTCCATTTGCAAATATTTAATATTGGAATAGGCAAATCAATCGGAATTCAATTTGATAATGATGATTGTACTTTTGTGTAGAGTGAGTGGTGAATGCCATCATCTCATAATCATAGATGATTGTGGTGTATGGTATTTGTAGTTATTGTTATTGTTTGTTCATTTATTGATTTGGCTATTATGTTTTAAAATATTCATTCCTCATTCCTAACTATTACACGCAATAACAACTAGTAACACTTATACTATACACACAGAGAGAGTGTGTGTGTGGTATTGATGATCTTGATATTAAATGATATCATCTAAATTGGTGTTGGTTGATTTGTATCTCTGATTTAGATTCTTCTTTCTATCGCTCAATAAGGAGTGTTGTTCTTCGTTTGATGGTACAAGCTTGATATAATCGATCTTCAAATCGAAAGGGCCCTCTCTTCGTTCACTCTGTATGAAACCAATTCTATCGATGCCACCTAGATCGAACGGATGAAAATCTAATGCAACATTGCCTTTAAACACTCTAAAAAAGTCTGTAAATGGTATCTGTTTGTTTTGTTTAGTTAGATACATGTTAGATTCTAATCTCAACCTATCTAATCTAAATCTAATTATAAATCTTCTAAATCAATATATATTGATATAAATAACATACTTCGATGTCTTCCCATGTATTTGGATTTGTAGTGAACATTGCCTTATAAACCATCTTATTATCATCCTTTTTCAATATACCTATACCATATGATCTACCTTCCTACATAAATAAATAGATAGATATGAATATAGAAAAGTCAGTAATTCATTGAATAAACCTCTCTAAATCTAATCTTTGATTCTTTAATATCTAGTTATTTTAAATACATACTGTACATGCTCTGAATACAACAGATTTATATTTATCTTGTAAATCGAAATTAAAAGTATCACTCTTGTATTTGATAATCGATCATTTTAGTTAATGAATTGTATTGAATTTAATGAACAGCTATATATATAATTTTAATAGTTACAGGTGAAAATACACCAATATAGCCAGATTGTTTTACATCTGGAGTGTTCTCTGGTAGTTTCATTGATAGATTTCCTCTAAAGTTTGCATAACCATCTTCCATACTAATGTTATCGTTATTATTGTTATTACTATTATCTGCTTGTTGTTGTTGTTGTTGTTGCTGTACAATGTTATTACTTGAAGGTCTCCAAATGAATTCACCAGTTGAATGTCCTTTAATCTGTAGTTTATCCGATATCAATGTCCATCCATTTATAGATGATCTATTTCTAAATGAATATAACAATCTATCCTCTGATGGCTTTAGAAAATCGAGTGAAACAACTATCAATCAAACATTTTAATATACATTATTAATTTCTTATGCTTAACTTATCTAAATCAATAAATATATACCATTTCTTAAAAGTGTAGATACTTCTTTAAATATCATTTTTATTTAACAAGTAAATTGAATTTTTATTCAATTAAATAAATTAAGAATCGTTTCGTTTTTGTGTTTTTTTTGAACAAAGATTTGTGGAGTTTGATTTGTTTTTTTTTATATTATCGACATCATCATGATTCATTGTCATTATATTATTTATTTGTTTATTTTATTTATTATATGTGTTGAGATAAATACTTTAATTCATCTCTAATATTCTCTGCAATATTTAAGACTTTTGAATCTGGTAGATTCAAATCGATATCTTTAATTTCCAGTATATAGTTCTTTCTGCGATGTCTATTCAAACCACTGCTACTCAAGATCAGACTATCGAAATCGGAAACCAAAGGATTCAATCTAGGCGAATCACTTACCAACGATATATTTGGTTTCAACTGCGAATTCAACTCTACATTCAAGGTTTGAAACTGTTTCTTTGATCTCTTTAGCCAATCGTTAAACACAACAGACGAAACTCTCTTTGAATTTGCAATATATTCTAGAATAATTTAAGTTAATATCTTAACATTTCATGAAATTGATATATATGTAGATATATCTGAGATTACTTACCATAGTTTGAATCTTTTTTATTATTATTGTTGTTGGTTGAGAATTGATTGTTATTGGAGGATGACGATGACGATGAGGAACGGACTTCGTACGATGCTTCCAGTGGTATGGACAGTCCTTTGTGCGAGGCGAGTGAGTATGGTTGGAGATGGTTGGCAGCGGCCGTGTAGTTGTAGAGCGTTGGATTCTCAATGGGGAAGAGCAGGATATCGAGGTTGTCCAATGGCTGATAGGAGAACAACGCACCCAGGTACAAACACAGTGAGATGGTAGACCACTGGTTTGGCTCCTTGCCAGCGACGATCACCAGCCAAGAACGCTCCGTGTTGAAACCATAGAGTTTCAAACCTTTGATCGATCGGATCTCACGCTCCGCCGACAAGAACGATATCCTGATATTCTCAGAGGCAAACGGTGAGTGTGCACTCAACTCTGAGAGATAGCTATTCACCTCATTAATAGAGGTCGGTTGTTTCTTTATCAAATCGAAATTTAAACTATTAATTTGTGTTGATATGAATGTCCTTTTACTATTATTATTATTACAATTATTATTTTTAAATAAAAAAGATTTTGAATATAAATTTGTTGTTTTTAAACAATTACTACTATTATTTCTATAACTATTCTGTAAATTACATTGTTGTCGATATTGTTGTTGTTGCTGATGTCCAAATGAACCATTTGTAGTTAAAAATCTGTTTTTTATACACTTCATAATAAACTAAAAATTATTTCTAATCTAAAAACTAATAGTAAAAGTATTATTACTTTTAATAAAATTTGATTAAAATACAAAAGATAACGATAACGATAATAATAATTATTTATTTTTATACAAAAAATAACAAAAAATAGAATAAAATAAAAATTGATTGATATTTATTTATTTATATTTGCTGAATACAAATTATGTTGATAAAATAATATAAAATTTCGAACGTTTTTAAATAAATAGATAAAAATGTAATCTGTTTTACTTCTCTTGTCTTACGTGTTTGTGTTTGTGTAAAGTCTACAAAAAAAACTAAATGCAAACAACAACATTAAACAAACAAACACTAAAAAAAACATTAAACAGCAAACACTAAAAAAACAACCAGAAATTATATTAAACAATTAAAAAAACAGCTACATTATATTTTATACCAATTATAGATTTGAATGGATTGTGATTTACTTTACTTTTTGAGTACTAGAACAAAAAAACCATTTAAATTAAATTAAATTTTTAATTTAACAAAAAACTTTTTTTGGTGAAGTGTTTTTTCACCAATACACAAAAAAATATTCAAAAAAATACAAAAATAAAATTATTTTTTTATTTATTTAATAATTATTAATTTGTCATCTTTTTAATGTTTTATATTTTTTATTGTTGTTTTTTAAGAATCCAAGATTACCACGTTTTATATAAGCAATAATTAGAGAAAAGAAAGAGAGAGAAAAAGGGAAAAAAGAAGCAAAAAAGACAGCCTATCGTATATTGATATCCTGTCATTGTTTAGTTAAAAACAACAATTTTATTATTTTTATTTTTATTTTTTGGTATAAAAGTATTGGGGAAAAATTAATATTTATATATTTTAGATTTAAACATTTTAACATTTCACAGACTCAATATAATCAACAATTAATTAAAGAGAGAGAGAATATTATTAGAAGAGTAGATAGATACATAAATATATATATATAATTATACATACATAAGAATGAATTTGTTGAAAAATAAAAAGCAAAAAAAAAATTATAAAGAAATATGGAATTTGTTGAACAAGAAATATTATTAAAGTATGATTAATTACTGTAAAAATCAACAATCAATGGTTAATTTTGTTGTTGATTGATTGATTAAATGATTTGTGATCGATTTAGATTATTAATAATCAATTTGTTATACTTATTAATATTATTATTATAGTTCGAATAGTCGTGGTGATAGAGGAGATCATTCATTTGGAGCGAATGAGTTTGGATATCTAGTTGTGGGTCGTAAGACTCCAAGAAGATTTTGGTTAGGTTTATCAATTATATTATGTACAAATATTGCACTTTCAATCATATCCGTTACGATTTGGCCTTATCTTACTTTGGTATGCATATATATATAATAAACATTAGGATATTTGATTATTCTTGACAACACTTGTTAACCAATAGTTATAACATTTATATGTATATATTAGAACCGACAAAGTATTTATATATTAGCTGTTTCAATAGCTGCTTTTCATACTGGTTCAACGTTGGGAAGAAAGTTGTTTTCATATCTGGGCGATAACTATGATAATCTATGGTCGCAGTTGATGCTTGCCACTGCGTTGTCGTTGGTCGGTGACTTGGTGTATGCGATCATTCCCGAGCAATTTGCAATTATCACATCGAGATTTGTGGTTGGTGTCGGTGCAGGTTCTGGTGTGGTTCTGCAGAACCTGCTGGCAAAGGGCAACGACCATGCCACACAGAAGAGCAGAATCGCATCGATCGGAATCGTCACTTCTCTCGCCTATATATTCGGTCCTGCACTAATAGCTGCATTCTCAAAGCTGCAGGTCGATAGCCAACTCAATGTATTCCAAGATGTCGGTAACATCACTATCTACGGTTGGCTAGCTTCCACCTTCTCTTTGATCGCATTGCTACTTTCACTACTTGGAAAGATCATTGATAAAGCAGAACATAAAACATCAAACTATGATAGTGATTTCAGTTTTAATGGTAATTATTATAACAGTTGTTTATTTGTATACATATGTTCAATTATTAACAAACAAACAAACAAATTAACAATATAGATGGATTCCCAAGAGGTGTATCATCATATAGATCACAACAATCTTGTATATTCCCACCAAAAGTTACATTGGTTCTCTTATGTTTTATTCATTTTATGATTTTCAATAGCGGTATGATTTTGGAAACAGTGTTCATACCTTATATAATTGATGCAGGTGGATACAGTGCTTACAATTGGAGTTTGACGAATATCGCACTTTTCTTTGTGGGTCTTGGTGTGTCTTGTGCAGTGACAGCACATCTTAGCAAGAAGATAACAAACAACAATATACTACTGTACAGTTCACTCGCATTGATGTGCGCAGGTTATGCGTTCATGACCATCTGGAAGTTATCCACTCCCGATACCGTACCAACGTCACCATCACCTCCACTCTTTAGATTCCTGATGGGTGTCATCATGGTTGCCATCGGATTCCCAACTGCTATTTCAAGTTCAATCACTTTATTCTTTGAGTTAATGTCGACCGTTTATATTGTAAGTAAAAGAATATTTATTAATGTATTGTTATTTGTATTAACAAACTATTTAAATCTCTACTTTAGAAATATGCTTCTACTTTATTCCAATTCTCAAGTAACTTTGGAAGATTGATGGGACCAATCTGGGCAGCCTTAATCTTTGATAAAACAGGTGTAAATTATAGTTTTTTGTTTGGTTTCGTACTTAGTTTGTTTTCTATCATACTTTTGATTGCACTCGGGAGATCACTAAAGTATATTTCATCAGTATCAAACATTCAAAGAAATGTTCCAATACTGACAACTGATGATGAAGATGGTGCCTTTAGATAATAGAAACCTTTTTTCATTAGTAAATAATAATAATAATAACAACACTTACTTTTATTTAATAACAAAACATAAAAAACAAAAAAAAAATAATCATTTTATTTAAAATAAAAAAATATATATAATATTTATTACTGTTTATTGTTTATTTATTTATCTTTATTCTCTTGGAACCATTTTAAATATGCTTTTGCTTCACTTTTAGGTATACCTTCTCGTATTAACATATTCAATTGTTCTTCGTACCAACGTTCTTCGAATTGTTCGTCATCCAAGTGAGAAGGTCTCAATAGATTTAGTTGTATTTGTACGATCGACATTTTCTTTGGTCTTCTTCTCTTTACGTATATGATTACACCAATCGAGATGAGTGCAAATACAATAACAACAATCGGTATAATATAAATTAATTTAAATCCATCACTTGTATTTGCTAAAAAAATAGATTTGTAATTACAAACAAATAAAATAAAAAAATAAAATAAAAAAAAAAAGATAATTAATTAACATTTCCTTGTTATTTTGTTAAAGATGATTTACCATCCTTTACAATGATTATTTATATTTGTAGTCTTACTGAATTTATATAAAAGTGCAGTTCCACTGAGACCATCGACCGTTACATTTCCCATTAGCAATGTATCGGCAGGTAGATTCGAGAGTTTGCTAGCAGAGATATCACAGAGCACCATTGTATCGTTGACATAGGTTGACTTGTCACAAGTCTGATTTCCAAGTGAAATATTTAGTTTATTTGCAAAGTTGGCACCTATCAGAGTAACGACACCACCTTTAGAACTACCTTCACTTATATCAACAATAACTGGATCTAAATTTAAAAGAATAAAAAGTAATAGAGTTTAAAATATTAGTATTCTTCTTTATGAATCTATCAACATTATAATTACTTTGATATTGGAATTTATAATTATCTGGTCTGTCAACGACACTTCCATTCAATTGGAGTTGAATCGATTGGTTTAGACCGGTACCGGGTGGCATGAAACATCGGATGGCAGCGGGTGATGGTGGACTGCTGAGTGGACACGCTTTGCCTCCGATGGTTACCTTGATGGAGGTCTGTGGTGTATCGGCGTTCCAGAATCTACCAAACAGCGTTACCAAACCACCTTGAACCGGTGCATGTGTTGACGACACAATGATCGGTTTAATATTTACAGTGACATAGTTTGATCTAATATTATTTGCATTTATATAGACTTTACTGTAACTACCACTCGCTATATTGTAAGGTATGGAATCAACATCGAATGTTATCAGCGTATCATTGTTGTTGGTGTTGTTCGACAGACTATCGGGACGAAGCGATGTGTCCTTATCAAAGAATACAACGACCATACTGGAGAGAGCAATGTTTCTTCCTGTAATGACAATGTTATCGACGATCTGTTTCGAACTGACGAGTGTTGGTCGGTCGTAGGAGAACACCGTATCATCTTGAGCGATAGATGAAGCACCGTCGATTGTAACTACCAACTCCAGGTTACTCAACACCATATCTTTAGGTTTAGGTGGTACAGCGAATGTAATCAGAGTATTATTGACTATCTTTATATCAGTAGGTACAATCGCACCATTTCCAATTGAAACCGAAACATTCGTACTAGCTTTACTATTATTTAGAATAGATGCAAACAGTTCACCATTTATTGAAACTGTACCACCTGTATTTGATGCGACTGTTGATATTTGATTAACAATAGGTCCTATATAATTAAATAAATAAGAAAATTATGTTAGATTTATATATATATATATTTATAAACAATAATATTGTTTTAATAGTTAACTTACTATTTATATAATCAAATGAAGATGGATTATTATTTACATCAACAACCAACTTTTTAATACCAGCAATTGATAGACTTGAGTAATATAATAACGGATTATCAGCAAAACTACATGTAATATTGTAATGACTTATTAACTGTGTGATATTCAATGGTACACCATCTAGTTTTACAGAGAGTAAAGAAACATCCGATCCAAAACTCTGTCCATTTATATGTAAACTTGAGTTTATTACTTCAACCAATTCAAATACAGGACCTAATAATAATGATAATAGTTATTAATAAAAGTTATATATATTTATAAATTATAAATTTAAAACTTACTTTTAAATGAATATGATCTTTTTAATATTGAATCTTTAATTTGTATGTCAATAGTTACATTACTACCGGATGGTTGTGGTTGTTGTTTCGGTGTTGATAGTGGTGGTGGTGGTTGATATTGAACTACGATCATACTGATGTTGTTAAAGACGGTCGGTGGTGTGATAGACCACTTGGTAAAGGTGAGCGAGTTGTTCAGTTGAGGAAATGGCAAGAGGTAGTAACCGTTGATCGTAATGTTACCACCCTGTGTTGGTACCATCGATATACTGTCGATGACTATTGGATTCCACTGGTGTCTTGCACACACACTACTACACAGCTCAATGGTACCATAGTAGACATCGGTGCCATCGAAATTCACTTGCAATACACTGTCATTCGATGAAATCGATACGAAATGCAACAGATCCGAACTCGAACTACCTAGTTTCGTCACAGTTACATTCGCAACACTATTCATGTTCGATCCATAAACCAATGCACTACCAACATCATATTTTATATCATTTATTATTGGAATATCTTTAAATATTAATAACAAAAGTTAATATTAGAAAAAAAAAAAAGGTAAATTTGTTTTTTTTTTTATTTTTTTTATTTTTTTAAGAAATAACTTACTTGATGAATTTAAAAAGTTTGTTTTATTTATAAAGAGAATCAACAATAAATAAATATATAAAGTAGACATTTCAACTAATTAAAAAAGATATTTATTATGGATTGATAGAAATTAAAATAAAGTTGCAATGTTAGTTCAATATACAATTCAATCAATTGTTCTCTAAAAATATTGATTTAAATTAAATTATAGATAGAGGTATTAACATTTTTTGTTTTTATTCATTAAATGTGTTAAACACATATTAAAACTTTTTATAGTAGGTGTTCAATCATTGTTTTTCACACCATGCTCAATCAGCCAAACAAACAAAAGGTTTACACCCATGATTAATAATAAAAATAATATTGTCAATTTTAGTTGGTAACAAAACAATTTATTTACAAAGATTGGTTTATGTAATTGTTATCAAAATACACAAATAATATGCATCACGCGGTATTGCATAAAGTGTTGGTTATTTTGAAATCATTCTTCGAAATTACTCTACAATTAGCTAACAAAAACCATTTATTTAAACAAAAATCTTATAAATAGATTTCTAAACCAAAATTATTTAAAATCATGATAATATTGTTGATGTTATCTTATTAATCATTTAAAAATTTAAAGATCAAATGTCATGGTGTCGAATTTTTATTTTTGAGAATTTTGGCATTGGTTTTTTCCAAATTAGTAAAAATATGTTTTTTGTTTGGGATTCGCATGTCGATATAAATTGGCATGCATCATAATCTTGAAATAAAAGAATATTTCATTTCCAAACGAAATTTAGAATCAGTTTTTTAACTTCTTATTTTTAATTTATTTTTTATCTTGTCCTTTTTTTAAACTATAAAAACAAAATTATTTTATTTTTTTAGATTCTATCAAATCTATTCATTGTATATTATATTTATTCTTTTATTTTTTTTATTTATAAAATGTCAGAAATTAAATTATATTTTAATAATAATCAAGAAAATCTTGAAAGATTAAAGAAATGTCCTAGTTTGTATCAAGAGAAAGATGGTGAACCATACCAATCAAATGATTCACCATCTATTTTGAATGCTGCCACTTACGATCCACCTTACTATTTATATAATTCACATATTATGAATTATTATGTAACATTTAAAATGAAAAGATTACATTTGAAAAGAGATAGGTAAATAATTTTTAATAAATAATTTGTTTTTTAATAAATAATTTAATTAATTTATTTGTATTTTTTTAGAGATGAATTAGTTAATGAAGAAGATGGAGGAACTGTATCTTTAGATTGGTATAATTTCGGAAATGAATTTGATGCCAAAACTCCAACAATTGTTATCTGTCATGGTTTGACTGGTGGTTCACACGAACCTTATATCCAATACTTTGCAAAGTATGCCTACGATACCAAGGGATTCAGATCAGTGGTATTCAATAATAGAGGTTGTGCTGGTAACAAGATCACAGCAGATACTGGTTACTGTGGAATCAAGGTAGACGATTTGGAAATGTGTATAAGAAAGATTCAAGAGAAATATCCTGAAGCTCCATTGTTTTTGGCTGGATTCTCGTTGGGTTCTGTAATATTGGTAAACTACCTGAATAAACATCAAGAAGACTCTCCATTTTTGGCACATCTCTGTATTTCTAATCCAATGGATATGAACAAGAGTATGGAGAATCTAATGTCAACATACTTGAATTCCTATTTGTATGGAAAAGGTTTGGCTGTCAATATCAAAAAGCTGTTATACAAGTTTGGTGACCGTCTTGATAAGTATGCCACCAAAGAGCAAATCAAGAATGCAGCATCGATCAAGGATCTCGATGATCTGGTGACATCAAAGATGTTTGGTTTCGAAGATGGCGACCACTACTATCGTGAGGCAAGCAGTTCCAATCATATCGAGAAGCTACAAAAGCCAATATTGTTTATCAATGCATCGGACGACACTATCTCGCCACCTCAAGGAATGGCTTCGGTCTATGAAAAGTTTAAAAACAATCCCAACACAATGCTAGCACTTACCAAGCGTGGTGGTCATCTAGGATTCATTTCCTATCGTGACTGGACATCGTGGGCAGACAAAGCAGGTGTTGAATATTTCTCAACATTTTTAGAAAATAAATAAATATATTTAAATTTATCTTAACTTTAATTTGTAATTTTATTTTGTTATAGAATTGGTACTTCAACCTTTCGATACTTTGATTTAATATTATCAATATGATCATACAAAAGACCTCTATGTGTGGTGCACAAGCTGTACACAACAACAAAGCAAATACATTTATTCTTAATATTATGCTTTGAACAATTTTTGTCCTATTAAATACTAATTTATAAGCATACAAGATTTCAATCAAATTAGTGTTGATGATATCTCGCGTTTAAACATATGTATCATTATGGACATAAATTCAATACCATTTTTTCATTTTTTTTTTAATCTGTAGTTTTATTATTATTAATTTTATTTCCTTAATGGTTTATCGTTAAGAGTTGCATCGAAATCCCAAGCATTGGAATCCAATTCCTGTCGAAGAGAAGACAAGTCGAAGCTGTTACTTCTTCGCTTGGTAACCACTTGACTGAGAGAACCTTTGCTTCCGACAGTCGGTGATTTCGAGTAGAATCCAAGTTTCAAACCGTTGTATGCAGCACCAAAAGTAGTTGATTTCCTCTTGAAATCCTGCTCGACAATGAAAGCACTCGAATTGACTGTGTGAGTGTTGGCTAGCGATCCTGTAAAGACGGTATCCTTGATTGTCTCTGCCATCTCACTGATTAGATCTTTAGAGAACTCTATAGTTTCTCCTTGTGGAATTGGTACAATAAATGTTTGATATATATAATCTTTTATCTCTGATGCATTTAATTGTGTATGACTATTACTATTATTGTTGTTATTATTATTATTGCTATCAAGATGAACACCTATATCAGGTGAAGATGAACTAAAATTTGAATGAATGGAAATTGGTGTTGATGTTGTTGAATTTGTTATATATGTATTGATATTATTATTTTCTTTTTCTTTTTCTCTTTCTGCTCTTTCTCTTTCCTTTGATTTCTTGGCTGATGACTTTGAATTCTCATAGTAGATTCTCATACCATAAGATGCTTTCTTTCCTCCTTCAGTCAAAATCGAACCCTTCTGTATTCTTCTAGTGGCATTAACAGCATACTTCTTATAGTGTACTATTCTATTGTCATTGAAATTGTATTTGCATCTCACTAAATGTGTAGGTGTCAATAATAAAATTCTTTCTTGTTCTTGATTTCTCCTGTAAATAAATAAATTAATAAATAGTAATTGTTAGTACATACTATCCAAAATAATAAATTATTATTATTTAATATTATCTTACTTGTTTATACTAATAACAATCCAGGCATTAACAAATCCATGTTGATCATCTTTTTCACACATTAAAAAGTGATCAACACAATTGCTAATTGCATTCATTCTTGATTCACCCTAGAAATAATTATTGTATTTTATATTATTAATATTTTGATTTATATTAATTTTTGATTAATAACACTAACTTACCCAATCTGATTCAGTTTGGTTCTCTATGATGTTGGTTCGGTTTGTTTCAACGGTGATATTTCCTAAAAATAAATCAATGGAAATCTGTCTGAGCTTATCGAGAAAAGTGTTGATGTAGTAACGAGAGAGTGAATTAACACCATCTCTAAACACACCCTTAGTATTTCTCTTTCCAGTTCTGGTGAAATCACCTTTCAACGCACTGGTTCCAGCGTATTGCTGACTGATAGCATCACCATTGTTTGCCCATGCCAACTTGACCTGTTTCAACAATGACATTGAATCCTTGCTATTAAGATCATATCCAACCGATGCAATTTGTTTTTCAAGTATTTTCAAACCAATCATTGACTATTATTATTATTAATAAAAATATAAATCAATCCAAAAAAACAACAACAACAAAAAGTAATTAATAAATTATTTTAAACATCAATCTAATCTAATATTAAAAAAAAACAATACATACTTGAACTAAATTTGTACGATCTAAACAATCTAGACAATTGGTTCTAACAGTACCATTTTGATAGGATTTGTATCCAGTCAAGTCTTTCTCGAGATATCCAATCGATTTGATTTTCTCTTCTAAATTATCAATCAAAATATCAACTCTTTCAAATCTATTACCCTGACAGAAATGATGGAAATCGAATGCAATGTATCTAATTTTAAAAAAATATCAATAAAAAAAAACCGGTTAGTTATTGTTACTATTAATAAAAAAATAATAATAACCTACTCAATATCACTTTGATAATCTTCGCAAATCTGTAAGGTTTGTTGATATGAATCACCTAAAAATGACTCTGATCCTTTTTGATCTAAAAGTGTTACAAGTGTTTGAGGACCATATAATGATATTTGTTCTTTAAAATGTGATTTGAATGTTGATAACTAAAAATGAGAATATTAAATAAACATTATTATTATTATTAGTAATTATGATAAGAGTTTAATAAATATAATTACATTTAATGATTGATCTGGATTTATCCTTATTACAGGTTTAATTCTTCTACCATTTTGTTCCCAAACCAATGGAATTGAACCTCTTGTCTGCACGAATGAAAATGACTTTGGATTATTTGGTGATAGTACTTGTAATACTTGTTCGGTCTCTACGTAATTGGCAACATTTCCATTTAAATCGGAACCTCTTGTATTGTATCTTGTACCTGCTCTAAACTTACTTCTTCTTGAAATAATAGAATATATATAACTGTCTCCATTCATAAAAAATTGATATATCTCCACATCTATAGAAATGAAAATGAAAATAAAGTGATTAATACTCTGTCTTTACTTATTGTTTTGTTGTTTTTGTTGGTGTAATTTCAACATACATCCTCTAATAATTGGTAAAATCCAATTAGTCAATTCTTTTTCAATCAATGGTTGTTGAATTGATTTATTCCAATAGAATCTATCTTCAAACTAATAAAAATAATATTAATAAGTTTAGTTTAGTTTGAGTTTAGTTTGGAATAATTTACTTACCAATTGATATAAATGATTGATTGGTTCATATTGATTCATAACAGAGTTTCTTTGTGCAGAATTTGAAATATCCATATCGTATGCGAAATAAAAGTCGGATCGCAGAAGATTGTTGAGTGAGCGCTTGTAGGTTGATTCCAGACGTTTGTCATGTTCACCGAGCTCGACAGAGTTGTTGATCGGCACGAATTGAATGGCATCGATCTCGTAGATCTGTTTGCCTTTTAGGCTGCCTCTCAGAGTACGCGAGGTGATCAACACCAAGTGAGGACCACTCAGTAGATTGAGAATACCAACGATACCGTATGCAGTAAAACTATTATTACCTGCCAACAACGATGATGTCTGTGTTGCAATCGAACTTCCACTGCCAGTCATACTAAAACTTCCACTACCACCATTTCCCAGGACATTGCTCAGCATCGGTAATTCCGCTGCACTACCACATTGAATACTACTGAAACTCTGAAGTGACAAAGAACATGTTTGTCTATCGATAACTAAACATTCTGCATTATTATTATTATTATTATTATTTGATAGCTGTGAAGGTGGTGGTGATGATAATGGTGATGGTGATGATGATAATATCGGTGAACTTGGTGGTGATGTTGATGAACCTGTTGAGGTTGTTGAAGTTGGGGTTGAGTTATTATTATTACTACTAATTATCGGTCTACATATAATTTTATCTTTATATAATACAACAGTCATTTCTTGATGTAGTTCTAAAGAAAAACAGATCCCAAACATTAATATGTTTGATTTTAAATAGAATAATAATAGTATTAATTACTTACCATGATAATTAGGTATAATATCAACAGTGGATTGTGTTCTTTCTGCTCTGGTTTGTGATTGGTTAGGTGATGAATTGGGTGAAGATGAAATTTCGGACATTTGCAAAAAATTATAAATTGGTTCGTCCAAAGTGAATGATGAAGATAGTTGTGAATTGTTATTAATAACAGTTGTTGTTTTTGTTTCTAATTCATCTTCTTTATTATGCTTATTGGAATTTTTGTTGTTGTTGTTATGATTGTTATTATGATTGTTATTATCATTATATGCATAATCTTCAACTATCGTAGTATTACAAAGATATTGAAATACGATCGAGTCGGCTGCGGTGGTGTATCTCTGAACTTCATCGTCTTCATTGTCGTTCAAATTCTTTATTATATCATTTCTACTGTTTTCACCACTACCACCACTTGTTGATGTCGTATTGGTAAAAGAACTAAGTGAACTCTGATTACTTCCACCTCCACCACTACTATTTCCGATTGTACTATTACTATTACTACTCTCTGTTATACTATCTTCACTACTAATACCACCACCACCAAAAACAACAACATTATTATAGTTATTTCTACAAACTACAATCGGTTCATCTAAATCAACTAATTTAATAACATTTTCATTAATATTACTATTTTGATTATTGTTGCTATTCGTATTTGTGGTTGTAGTATTATTATTATTATTACTCTGATTACTGTTGTTGTTGTTGTTATTATTATTTATATAAGAATTACTTCTTTGGCCAATCTTTACAACTGGTGAATCAGGTCTAGTTTGTGGTGGTGTCAAAGGCGATGAGATATTTATAAAACTCATCTCTCCTTTCTTCTAATAATCAATATTGCGATTTTTGTTAATTATTTGAAGAGTGATGTCTGATTTATCTAATACTATCTAGTTTTGAACAACAACATAAATAAACAAAAAAAAACAAACTTATTTTCGAATACTGAATATATAATAATATCTTTGATTTTTAGTTGATTAAAAAAAAATAACATATGCTAAGAGTTTTCGTATATACTTAAAACAACTTTTTTTTTTTTAAGTTTCAAAAAAAAAAAAAAAACTAATCATCATTGCAATTGTTTAAAATTTGCACTCAAAAACTATAATATCTAAAAAAGTGAGATTATTGGGGGTATGAAAATAGTGAGATTTTTTTTCAAAATTACTGGGGTGCAAAAAAAAACACTCACTACAACATTTCAAAAAATCAATCATTTTTATGATTGTTTGAATGAAAAAAATAAGGTAAAGAGAAAATATATATTTTTACTTTTAAAATTTTAAGTTATAATTATTATTGTTTTTGTTTTTAAAAAATAAATTAAATTTATCACATTTGTTTTAAATCAGCTTCTAAAGTTTTGATGATGGCATTTAGATCTTGAATGTTTGCATTCAATTTGATGTTTTCCGATTTGAGGTTTTCGATCTCCGAGATTAGTTTCTGGTTGTCGTTGACGATCTTATCGACTTTGCTGTCTTTTTCGTCGAGTTGTTGCTGGAAGATTTCGGATTTCTCACGAATCTCTGAGAGGAGTTCAGAGTTTTTCTCGGTGGTGGCACTCTGTTGCTCTTTGAGCTTCGAGTTTTCAATCTTGAATCGCTGCATACGCGAGTTGAAATCACGGGTCAGTCGGTCACTGTTGGACTCCAACTCTTGCTGAAGAGCTGTCACTCTTTCCGCCGATTGAAGCACACTCTTTTTGAGTTCGGAGTTCTCGAGGTTGCCTTGTGCCAACTGCTCCTCGAATTGTTTCTTCAACTGCGCCAACTCCTCGACTTGTCCCTGCTGATTGGCCACCGATTGCTTGGTGTTTGCCAGCTGTTGTCTCAACTCGGCCAACTCTCGCTCCTTCTCGCTGGCAGTCTGTTCCGCTTGTTGTTTAACTACGGCAATCTGTTGTTGTAAACCCTCCAACTCTTCCTTGTAGTTGGGTGATAATGGTGGCGATGAAGAAGCAACTACTGGTGCAGCAGGAGTTGCAGCAGTCACATTGTTTTTCAACAACTTTTGATTCTCCAACTTTAGTTCCTCAAGTTGTTTCTTGAGTTGATTGATTTCATTCTCTTTCGATAGGTTCTTGTTATTGAGTAGGTCAACTTGTTTCTTGAGACCAATGTATTCATACTCTTGCTCCTCTTCACAGCCAGTGGCAAATGCATCGGCATCAACATATCTATTGCTACCGTTATTACTTCCATTATTATTGGCTTGTTGTTTCAAATTGACAACAGAAACTTGATCAACAGATACACTACTTTCATTATTACTGTTACTATTACCATTGCCAACAACAGTTCTAGATCCATCACCATCACCATCGCCATCACCACCACCACTGTTCATAGTACTATTGTTATTGTTATTGTTATTGTTATTGTTATTGTTATAGAAATGAACTTGATTGATTTCACTTCCAAAGGCAAAACTATCACTGATTGCAGAGAATCCAAGTAGATCCTCCAACGAATGTTTCACCTGTCGGATTGCACCGATGTTGGCTACACCTGCATTGTCGGCCAACAAGTAGCTGGACAGAGGATTGTCTAGTCCGTCGCCTTCGATCAGCTCGATCGGCACAAAGTGCTTGGGTGGTGTCAACTTTTTGAATTTCTCACGATGTGCCAACTCCTCCTCGATTGCACCATTCAGCTGCGACGCAAGTCTAGCCTTGAGTTGGTTGTGCGCAACGAGTTGGTCTTCCCTTCGTTTCAACTCGCGTTTGTAGTGTGTCAGATAGACCGGGATACTCTTGATTTCGTCGAGGAGTTCGGCGTCGTTCTGCTGTGAGCTGTTGGCGTAGTGAACGATCGATTCGACGTTGATCAACGCCTTTACCAACTCGTTGTAGTGGTCGGACACCGCTATGAGTTTGCCATTGAGACGACTGTACAGGCCGACATACCACTTGTAGCAATCTTCAATGTACGCCTTGCAGGCATTGATCATCGAGCTAGTATCAAAGATGAAACCAAACGATGCATTCTTTAGTCTCGCTTGTTCCATCATTCTATGATTATGTTTCATATCCTCAAGAGTCTTATCGAATTGCTGTGATAACTTTGATGCTTCCGGATATTCTGATGTTATACTTTTTGATTATTAATAATGTTAGAAATACAGTTTATCTAATCTATATATATATATATATAACTATTAGTTATACTTACTTCTTTTGCATTTCATTATATGATAGTTGAGCGTTTGCCAATTTTATTTTGGAGTTGATTATGTTGTCATTACCGACTTTAATGTTATTATTGAATGTCTTTAGGAATGGAATACGTTCAATGAGTAGACTATCGATATCATTACCATATTTATCGATATCCTTCAATGACTTTACACTTTCAATGATCTGATTAACCAAAATATTGTTCTTTGAATCTATTTTTTGAATACATTCTTTAAATGCTGGTTGATTACTATAGTTTTAGATTGTTTTATTAGTTAGTTTGTTTTAATTAGTTCAATAGTTTGTTAATTTAATTAATAAAACCAATCTTACATATGATTTATATAATATTCAGATAATAGTTTAAAATGTTTAATATGTTCTTCTGTCTTTGTTAATACATTATTTGCTTGTTTTTGTACAACTCTTGCATCATTCATCTTTTCCTAAATATATATAAATGAACATGAATTTGTTAATAATACTTAATAATATATTTATGATTAATATATATTTACAGTTATTAAATTGAATTGATTACCAATATCACTTAGATCTTGGATATAGTTTTGCATTGACCAAACAGTCTTATTCTTATCGGATTGATAATGTTTCGATACATGTTCAATAGGTGGGAATAAGAATGGATTCATCATTGTCATTTTATCAATTAGATATACTTTTTCCTAAATATTAATAATAAAGATTATAGATATATTAGATAAAGTACTACTTATTGTATACTAACAAACTAATAAACTAATAAACAAATTAACTTACAACAGTATATAATGGTCTAATACTTGTATTAATGATAGGATGTATTTGATCGCTATCGTAGTAGGATACCAGTAGTATTTTGTTGTTTGGTCTGGCAACGTTGTGCATGTGATAGAGATCTTTCAGGGTCATCGTGGTGGTATCGAGACCCGGTTGAATGACGGTGATCAACTTGCTCTGTACCCACGAGGAATGCACGATGTCCTTGATCGACTTACGCTTCTCAGGTTCGAATGCCATCATCTCTTGAATTAGATCCTTGAGGTCCTTCGAGAACGGATGTAGTAGAGCCGCTGCATTCTTTCCGTCGGTAGGCTTCACCGGATTGCCAATACTGGTACGCGCCAAGTAATAAACGATGACACCAAGCGAATAGATATCGACAGACAGATCATAGTTCTTATAACCAATCTCTGGTGCCATGAAATACTTTGATCCTACATTAGACATGAATTCAGAGATAGACTGTGATGATTTTGCAAAACCAAAATCAGATACTAAAATTATGTTTTTAGTTTGTTTAAAACAGTAACTTAATTAGTATATATATTACATCTAAAGATATCTTTATAGTTATAACAAACATACTTTTAAATATATATCTATTGTTGGTGAAATGTACAAGAATATTAGCTGGTTTTAAGTCACGATGGATAATTGGTTTCTCACGGTCATGAAGGAATTGAAGTGCAGAGAGAACTTGCAGGAATATGGTCTTTAGATTCTCCTCGGGAATCGGTTTCTTTGATTCCATTGTTATCTCTTGAATGTGTTTACGCAATGAATCATTATTACAGAATTCAAATACATATGTTAAATCATCCTAAATTGTTAGTTATTGGTTATTGGTTATTAGTTATTAGTTAGTTATAAACAAAGAAGTGATCTAATAAGATAACAATTGATAATAGTATCAATACTACTACTAAAGATTCCTTACTAAAACATCATGAATATTAACTATATGTGGATGTTGTGGACCGTCTTTCAAGGTCTTTAAGATATTCGATTCCGTTCCAATGTATTTGAGAGCTCTCGGATTCTTTTCGTACTCGGCTACGGTCAGAAGTTTGAGAGCATACCGTGCCTTGGAGTCTTCACACTCGACTTCGAAGACCTTTCCGAAACTACCACTTCCCAGCTCACGAAGTCGCTTGTATCCACCGGCTTGCTGATCGAGCTTTCTAAAGTGTGTCACTTGATCGGTGTTCTGTGTTAGTGAACGTGTTGCATTCTTTTGTAACTGATATGCATCTTGATTGGGTGCTCTAAATGCCATCCTGTTTTGCTTTTTGTTTTGTTTGTTTGAATCAAACCAAAAAAACTTTAATCAATCGATTTGATTTGACTGTCTAGACAATTGTAATAATAATAATAATATAATATACAATGAAACAAATATGAATGGATTATTTATTGTTATTATTTTAACAACAAAACTAAAAAAGTTTGCAAGACACAAAAAAAAAACACACAACTCAAATTGTTGAGAATCTTGATCAAATAAATGGGGGTAAAATGAAATTAAATTTTCAATTTTTTGGTAGAAATAGATATTTTTTTTTTTTAACTAAATCTTTGTCATTTTTAAAATCGATATTATTATTTTTTTTATAATAAGAATTTTAATTTTAAAAATTTGTGTTCTTTTTACCAATAGATTAAAAAAAAAAAAAATTCCTATTCTCAAAATTAATAATATATTCTTTTATTAGCTATAATTAGTTATTAATTTTGACAATCATATATATATATCCTCATTAGCTTTTCGACCTCCATATGTATTGATTCTATATATAAACTTGAGAACTCTCTATCTTTCATGATTTGAATGACCACTTCTCCAGTCTGTTGTAGTTGCATAGATATAATATCTTAATGACATCTAAGACTAACTGCTAGTAGTTATGATTCTAATATAGTATTGTATTTATTATTACTAATGTTATTATGTTTACTATTATTCTTATTCTTTTTATTCTTTTACTTTGAGTAGCATTCTACAACTTGTTCTTCTCTTAACTTGCTTCAATTATAAATATTCTTCTTTCTAGCACGCCAACTGATGATGATTGTTTGTTTTAGGATCTATTCTTGTTTGCTTCTTTCTCTTTTAGATTACTGACGGAGCTAAATGTATTTGCCAGAGAGATCACGACTTAATCTAGGTTTTCATGAGTTGGTTCCTGTTTGGTATCTGCCAATGCTACAACCAATTAGAAAAAGATTGTCAATCACCGTAGTTCACAAATACCTTATCCAATGTACTGTGAAGGTTATGAACGCTCCTCGTCCACACACGGGAACACCAGGATGACCTCACGCACTGTCTAGACAGAGTTTGGAACAACTTTCATACAAACTATCAACCAAACAATTGTTCAATCTCAACTACTACAGAAAGTAAAAAACACTACTCCAGTGATCATAGTAAATGCATTCCAAGTGGCAAAACGAGATTACAGCGGCGAATCAACCAAATCATTAAATCACATATCATGTAATAATCGTTTGATATACGATTTTATAAATATTTATTTCCTGTTGTTTTACTTTGACTGAATCGAGTGTTCAATTGACCGGATTCCGATACGATCTGTGATAGTCTTGAACGGTCGACACCACCCACTTGCATGTCACGATCTCTATCCCATGTATGTGATTGTTTTTGTTGTTTCTTATCTTTTTGTTGTTGCTGTTCTTGCTCTCTTTCCTTTCGTTTGTGTTGTTCCAACAGTGATTCCGATCGATACTTCTTATTGTAACTCGACATTGATTCTTCTATTTCCTTTTCACGTTTCAATGCAAACATCTCTTTGGAAGTGAGTGACTTACTATCGTTCTTACCATCTGCGGCAGCAGCCATAGCTTCTCTTTGTTTTCTTTCTCTTTCCTCCGGTGTCTCTGTCCAACCAGATGTGTCGACACCACCATTTATATGTACATTTTGATTTAAACTGAATTTTCTATTTTGTAATTGTGCTATAACACAAAACAAACAACAAACATTAATATATTAATGGTTGTATAGTTTAATTAAATAGTTTAATGTTAACAACATTAATGATAATACATACAACCTGCTTTTCTATCAGTTGGTAATGATTTCATCCAATCTTCTCTAACACTACCACTTGATGATTGTTGTTGTTGTTGTTGTTGTTGTTGTTGTTGATTCTGTTGTGTTGTATTTCCTCTTACTCTATTCCATTGATCTTCTTTACTTTCTTCATTATCATCATCATCATCACTACTACTACTATCGTCATTATAATTATTTGAAGAGGTAGTGGGTCTTGGTGGTCCAACAACAGGTCTTGGTGGTCCAACAGTAGGTCCTATTATTGGTCTACTACTACTAACAACTTTGTCATCATCATCGTCATCATCTAATCTAGGTCCCATTACTCTCTTTGGTTGTTGATGTTGCCTAGGTGGTAATACTGGACCTATAGATTTACTATTACTATTTTTATTATTATCATTATCAATATTATTATTATCATCTAATGTAGGTCCCATTACTCTCCTTGGTTGTTGTTGTTGTTGTGGTGGTTTAGGTTTAATATCATCTTCATCTAAACTTGGACCTAACACTCTCTTTGGTGGAGGTGATGGGCCTAATACAACAGATTTACTGTTATCTCTATCTTTATCATCGTCATCATCTCTATTAGACGATGCTGCTGGTGGTCTTGCTGGTCCGATGAAAGACATCGTTTTAAAATTTTAATTTAAAAAAAATAAAAAAAAAAAAAAGTAGATTTGTTTTGTTGTTTTTTTTTATCTTTTTTGTAATCTTTTTTTTCATATGAATAAAAAAAGATTCTTTTTTGTTGCGGGGGTAGATCGGAGAATATATATTTAAGATATCATCTAATGCCAATACATTTTAAAAGATAGTTAGATTTATGTGCAAATTTTCTTTTTTTGGGAAGATAAAATGAAGTATCTATAAATGATAATAGTCTAGCTAATTAAATATTGCTTTAGTTTATAGTTTTTGGATTTTCCAATCTTTTACAGAGTGTAAATAATATTTACTTGTCTGATAGAGTAGATATATAATATCTTTTTTTTTTTTTTTTTTTTTTAAGATTTCAAAGGTGTGAAAAAGTAAGTAAAAAAACTTAACTAAAAATCTACTTTACATTGTTTCTAGAAATTAAATTAAGATTATTTCTAAATCATATCTTAAGATAAATTTATAGTAACAATAAAACTATAATAATATAATAAACTATGTAACTGTAATAATAAAAATCTTATATAATAATTTGAATCGAATTACATCTTTTTCTTTAACAATCAATACTAAATAGTATAAAATAGTTGAATAAACTCTTTATTATTTTTATTTTTAAAAGTTTATTTTATCATTTAGAAAGTTGAACATGTTGGTCCAGTTGCTGGAGGGATGCAGGTGCAAGATAAAATATTACCATTCTTGTCAATTGTTGCATAACCATTTTTACAAGTTCCTTTTACACCATATGCTTTCCACTTTAAATATAAATTGATCGAATCCATTAGTAAAGTTTTATAAAAGTTTAGAGTATTTAAATACTACATACATATACGAATGGCTCTTCATCGAAAATAGGTACATTGTAATATGGTAGATTGATATTTGTAAAGTTGGCAATATTGATAGAATCTAGAGAACTGGAAAGGAAAGTACCAGAACCTGATTCAGTACTCTTGGATCCAACGAATATTCCTCCTTTGAAAGTATTTGGTGGTTGCGAAAAGTAGATACCACCAGCATAACTTGCAGTATTACTATCAAACATCGATCCTGAAAAGTCCAAATTAAATGGAAGGGATGAATCTTTTTTTAGACACTTTTCGATGAATAAAACTGTGAGTATATAAATGGTTGGATCAAATTCAAACTATTTAAAACTTACAATTGCACCTCCATAGAGTGGAGCTTGATTGAAACTGATAGATGAATTTTGGATGGTAATGTAACCTCCTCTTTCAGAGTTTTCGAAAAATAGAGCACCTCCAGAAATCATTACATTGTTTTGATCGAATAGAGAATCTACAATTGTCACGTTTGAGAAGGTTGAAAATACCGCACCTCCAGAAGCAGAAGCAAAGTTGTTTGTGAATGATGAATTGGAAATAGCTAACTCTCCATAATTATTAATTGCTCCACCAAGTCCTTGTTCGTAATTTGCATATGCTTGATTGGAATCGAAGACACTGTCGACTACATTAATGTTAAATCCAAATATGCATCCTCCACTTCCAGCTGAATTTTGTTCGAATATTGAATTAACAACTGAAACTCTACCGTATGTATAGACGACACCACCACTACCTATTTTGGCAGCATTATTGTTCTTGAATGAAGAATCTGAAATTTCAACTGCACCAGTGGCATAGAACACTCCACCAGTTTGAGCAATGTTGTCTTCGAAAATAGAATTTGAAACATAAATATTTTTAGCCGTGACAACACCACCATGAGAAATAGTAGCATTGTTGTTGTAGAATTTGGAATTTACAAGATATATATCAGACTCTGCAGCTGAAATGACACCTCCAATAGATGCATGGCTGTTAGTGATGATACTGTTATTAACCACTACGTTGGCATAGTTTGTGTACAGGAGTCCACCATAATTATCGGCTATACAACCGTTGAGACCAATAGATACATTGTTTAAGTAGATAGAAGTATCTTTCTCATCAATAAAACTTTCAATTAAAATACAACCACCACTCTGATCTGATCCTCCTGATAAAACTAAATCGTTGAATGTTATAGTTGGATTGGAACTCTCCTTATGTAAAGAGAGTTGAATAAATGGGTTCTATATTGTTTGAAGTATTACAATATTAATATCACTACAGAATTAAAAAAAAACATAAGAAGATAATAATCAACAAATATTGTTGATTTCTCTCTTCAAAAGAAAATTTACTTACTAATCCACAATTAAAAATTGCTACGCCATAAATTGAAGTGAAAATAACTTCACCAGTCAAGTTGAAGAATGGAACTAGACCCGGACAAGCAGATCCTTCATAGATTCCAGCTGGGATCATAATAACATTGACATCACTGACTTTTTGGTCTAGAAGATACAATAGACAATCAGAAACGGATGGACATTCACTAATAAACGATAGTAAAGTTTTTATTAATTAAAATATTTTATTTTTATATCTAGAGTATAATGATTATATTACCTTACACCTGGTGTAGATGGTTCACATTTCTCATTGGATTTAGCTACAATACAACCTAGATAGCTTGGTTCAGATTCCGATTGAGAATTTCCAAATGGATAGTCCAATGAATTAGCATTTGAAAAGGATATCAATAATATAATTGATAATAAGAATATTTGTTTAAACATTTTGAATTGTCTGGTTATTTACAAAGTAAATCAACAGTTGTTGTATGTTATATTAGATTTCAAATTTGTCCTATTTATATACTTTTTGCCCTTTTGATTTTTTAAAGATATTTGATTAAAATTTTAATCAAATCTAGTCTTTATTTTTAAAGCTCATCAATTTCTTTTTGGTTTAAATTTTAAAAAAATCTGACTTAATATCTATGTTTTTATGTTTTTTTTTGAAGATCATGATTTTTTGGTCATTGGATAAAACCGCAACTCCGTTTTGATGATATCATCCACCTTAAAAAGTAGGTAATAGAAATTTACTTTGATTTTGACAATCAGAATTTAAGTTAGCAAATTCCAACAAAAAAAATTAGAAAACTGAGAAAATCGCAAAGATGGTATAGAGGTTATTTGAAATTTGTTTTTTTTTTTTTTTTATTTAATATACATTTTTTTGATATATATAATGATTACTATTATTATTATTTTATTCTATTAAATTGTATTCTATTCTTGCGTAGATGTTGTTGTGATTTCAGTTATTTTTATGGATTCTTCGGGTGTGAATAATAAATAGGGGGTGAATGCTTGGCGGACTTGATCTTTGAGTGTGTCGGCAGTCTCTGTGGTGAATGTGATCGAGACAATCTTGATCTCCATCGATTTGATCGACTTGCAGTTGGTGCTGTCGAGGTTTACCTGGAGAGTCCACTCGAAATCAAAGTAATCTTTGGGCAGATTGGAACGTGCCTTTTGTTTTCTGATGTGTTTGACATAGGTGGTACCGGCTTCGGCGTTGTTGCCAATCTCGATTCGCCATGCACCCTGGGCATCCATGAATTGCAGATTCTTGGCGATGCTCAATGTCAACTCGATGACGGCCGGCGCAATAATACCTTGGTTGCAACACTTGAGCACCTGCGAAACCTTGCTTTCAGCGCCACACACCTCGTCGAGGAAACGGAAGATGTCACGCTTCAAATCGGAATCGGGCGATGTTGTGAATGGAATGTAGTTTTGATATTTCTGGCTGATATTTTCGAGGTGGTCGGCGAGTGAGGCGGTACCTTCGGGAACGTCTTGCTCCACCAGCAGCAACTTACTGAGATTGGTAATGACAGCGTGGATATCTGTGATCTTACCGCCAGTCGAAACGGATTGTCCGCCGATGGTAAAGTAGCATGCAAGTCGCGGAAGATCGATACCGGTCGATGTTTGGGCGAGTTGACGATCGAATGTCTTTCCGACTTGATCTTGCCATGAGACGTTGGGTTCGTCGACTGGTGCAGTGTAGCGCTTGTTCTTGGCGGCGGGCGGTGCCTCTATCTTTAGCGAGAGTTCAGCCAGATCTTCCATAGATGGAGCTGAGAGTTCTTGGAATTGGAAGTAGAGTTTCGATGCCTTCATATTGTACTGACGTTGTTGGAGACGTTGAAGCTCGACAACCATCGAGAATGTCTGACGGAGTTTGTCGACGTTGACACGAGCACCATCGGAAGTCTTGGTGGGGACGGCCGCTTCAAATTGCTGGAGAATAGTACGAAGTGTTGTAAAGTGTGGTACGCATGCAGAGCTAATCGATTGCGAGATCTGAGTGAATGAATTGGCGTTCAAGTTGAACCAAGCCGAGAGAGAAGCGGTGAGGTTGTTCATCTTGGTCATTGTTTCCTTGGGAACTGCTTCCCATGTCGCTGCCAAACGTTTGATATGGTGGTTGGACAGGGCATTGAGAATAGCGATGGCAGTGTTGAAATTAGCCAAGTCCTTGCAGCACCCAGCAATGTCCACCATCAAACTGATGATCAAAACACGTTGTGCTTTGTCTTCCACTTGGAGAATCTCGCCCATTGCCCATTGTGTCCAGGTAGTCGAACGCTTGAGTGCGTTGGACAGACATGGACAGAGAGCAGGATCGACGCTTCCCTGCATCAAACGAACCCAGTCGGTGACACGAACATTGCTGAACAACTGATAGTCTACGAGTGTCGCCTGTTCGGCAATCTCATTGGCAACCATCGATGGATCCTTACTGAATGCACCGCTACTCAGAACGGTATCGGCGAACGACGCCGATCTATTACGTGTGTGAGTGTGTTGGAATGGTTTTGGAACCTTGAGAATATCGGACAATGCGAATCTGTGAGTGAGACGACTGGACAATGCAGTCTCGAGATGTGGGAATCCCTTGAGTATTCTCTGTGCCAATTTCTTGTCCTCACGCAACTCACGGTAGCAGTAGTCGACCCAGAGTTTGACGGCGTCGGATATCTTGGCTTCTCTCTTGGAGGAACGATTCTTCTTCCACTTCTTCTTGGACGAGTCATCCAAGTGATTCTCCTTGTAGAGCGCAATCAGCTTCTCAACGAGATCGCTCGGTGACATAAAGAGATTGTGGGTGATGAAGAAGACCAAACTGAAATAGGCGTCGGTGTGGTGATAGTAGAGATCGGTTGCTTTGTCTATGAGTTTATCGACCGACGCTTCACTTATCAGTAGTTTGCCTTCGACTGTCTTGTAGATCAGATCGGTATCTCGCATCTCGTCAAAGAGGTACTCGTGATTCTCGATCACCAGACGCAAGATATCTTCGCGTTGCGACAAGTGCAGAGCGGCAAACTTGACATCCAGTGAACGGAAGAACGACGGTCCAAACGTCGATGCCAGCACACCGATGGTGTTCGACTTGTTCTGCGACTTGTTGACATACTTTTGTGTTAAAAACGTTACAAACAACTGGAGGAGGTTTCTTCGGAGATGCGAGAGTGTCCAGATGAGCGAACGCAGATCCTTCAGCTTGATCTCTGGCTTGTCGATCTCGCTTATCTCCAGCAGGTCATCGTAGAACTTTGTGTTGAACAGCGGTTGTGGTAACTCTGAGAAGAACACCTTTAGCAATCCACCGACCACTCTTGGACTGGTAATCTTTGATACATCGATTGGTTCGTTCTCTGCCGACGATCTCAGGTTCTTCACGGCCGGATCGTTGTGAGCATCCAAGAACACAAAAGAAACATCGACATTCTCTGAATTCGAAAGATAAGTAATCGAAGAAGTAATAAAACTTGGTAGATTACCATCATTACTTGCAACCAATTTAGATAATCTAACTCTAAATATTTCTGAAAAAAAAAAAAAAAGCAAAAAGGTTAGTTTTTGTTTTCAGAAAACAATAATAACTGCTAAACACTTCAACAACTTACTCAATAATTCTTTTTCTTTTGGTGATTTTTGTTTCATATCTGTAATACTTAAACTCTTTTTAAGGTTCTTACTCTTGCTCTTCTTCTTTTGCTCTTTATCTTTACGCTTCTTTTCACGCTTCTCTTGTTTGCGTAACTCCTTCTCGGCCTTGTCCATCTTGACCTTTTCTTTCTTTGGTTGTTTGTTTTGGCCGGACAGTGGAGAACCGCCGATTGGTGTGGTTTGAGATGGATCTTTGTTGCCAAAGGTCTTGGTCATGGTTCTGGTGAGAGTTGCACCGATCGAACGTTTGGGTGATGCTTTGTTTTGTTGTCCGGTTGGACGTGGTGGTGTGATTGGAACATTCGATGGGTGATTGACATTGAGATGTTCGTTGTAATCGATACGGATCGATTGGTCGGTACGAATTTGTGATGCCGATGGCATAGTTGACAGTTGTTGAGGTTGATGTTGAAGTTCCACTTGTTGAACGAATGGAAGTTGACCTGGTGCAGCATGTTGTTGTTGAGCTGTTGGAGTAGCTTGTTGTTGATCAACTTTTTGTTGTTGTTGTTGTTCAACTTGTTGTTGTGTCATTATCGATGCTTGATCAACAACCATCATGTTTCCAGTGGAATCGTCCAACTCTGTCTGTTGATCCAACTCTGTGATATCCTTAACTACATCCTCAGAGTAGTCGGCATCCGAAATATCTTCGTAGCTATCCAATGAGCTGGTATCTGAATCTTCGACCGAACCAGTCGATGAATCATCGTCGTCGTCATCCACTTTGGCGTCATCCGGTCTCTGCTCTTGATCTTGTTCATCACTTGACTTTATATCAACAACCTGCTGCTGTTGTTGTGATGGTTTCACCAACTCTGCATCTTCATCAACCGATGTAAAACTTGAATGAATTGGAATATTCTCACAACTAATCGATCTTGATCTTCTCATATCTTTCAAAGGTGATGTAACAATCTTTTCCTCTTCAACCACAGTTGTTGTTGCCACTGCAGCAATTAGTTGATCAACTTGTTGTTCAACTTTTTCATTTTGCTTTTCTCCTTTTTGCTCTGCTTCAGGTTGTACTGTTACTGGTGATGGTGAAGCAGATGTTGTTGTTGCAGCTGCTGCAGCTGTTGTAGTTGTCGTTGTAGTGGTTGTTGTTGTAGTTGTTGTGGTTGGTGTTGTTGGAGTGGTTGGTGTGGTCGGTGTCAGCGGTGAACTCGGCGAGAGTAACGACTCTTGAGAATCTGTTTTCTGAAGCATGTTCGATAGATCTATTGTTCCTGCACGAGTACTGCGTCTAGAGTTGTAGCGATCGGTCTCCTCTTTAATTTCGATCGCCTTCTTCTTCCAAAAGTCAAATGCACCAGTGACATTCTGCTCGTCCCACTCTATCTTTTGTGCTGAGAGCAATTCATCTTCCTCGGGTGCAGGTGGTGGCTTCAGCATTGGAAAAGCAAGTTTCTTTGGTGGCTGCGGTTTATTCTCTCTACTACTCTCTTTCGGTGCAGAGAAATTCGTCGATATATTCTTCTTTTCCACTGCCTTCCAAAACTGCAAAGCAGAGAAATTCTCTGTTACCTCTGCCATTTCTATATATATATATTATATATTATCTATCTAAAAGATTCATTACCAAATAAAATTAATATGACAATTCCAACACTCTTTTTTTTTTATTCTGGAAGTTTTTTTAATTATTGTTTTTCCAAACTTACAATTTTTTTTATTTGTTTTGTTTTGTTTGGTTTTGTTTTACTTTATTCTATGATTTTTATACTGTTACAAGATGTAAAAGTACACTAATGATACAACTATATTATATTTTATTTATTTATATATGGTTATTATTTTATTATTATTATTATTAATTTGATATATGATTAGATTTGATATTATACAATATTATATATAAAGGTTTGATTGATAAAACAATGTAATACGATTACTATATAAATAAATATGATTTGATGGATGACTCTGACCTAAAAACAAAAACCAATTTTAAAAGAAAAAAAACAAAAAAAAATGTGTGATTAATGTTTTTTTGGTTTTGATGGTTGATTAATGGTTTGTGTTTTTTTTTTTGTTTTGGTTGGTTTTCAAATAATCTCGAGATTATTAAGTCAATCTTATCTATTTATCTATCTATCTCTTTTTTTCTTATTCTCTCTATCTCTTTATCAAACTTATGATATTATATAATTATCCTCCTTGTTATTTATTTCAAACAACAATCATTAATCTTTGTTTGTTTGCTATCAATGATTTCTTGTTGTTCACTAGTCTACAGTTTTCCTTTTTCCTACTTTAGTCACTGCTATTGCTACTACTATTTCAAATTAATTAACTAATTTTATTTTATTTGAAATTAATAAATAAATATAAATATAAATATAAAATCAAAGCAACGTTGTAATAATAATTATTGTTATACTATTATATTATTATTATTCTGTTTTGCTTTATTTTGGATTTATGATTTGATTTGCTTAAAATAGTGTTGTTGTGGGTGAGTGTGTTGCGAGTGTAGTGATGGTGTTGTTGATGTTGTTAGTGTAGTGGTGGTGAAGTCAATGTTTATGTGTTGGTGTTTTGAATTCCTTTTCTTATCTATAACAACTAAAAAACTAAAACTAAAAAAAACTGTTGATAATCACTATAACTAAATTATTTTTATTTCAAATCTTTCTATAAATATAAATTATAATTATAGATATCTTTTCCTTTTAAAATAATAATAATAATAATAACTATTGAAAAAACAAAAAACAATAATAAAGTTACAGTTACTACTACTAGTAATACAGAATAAGAAGTGGTGTGTGATGGATGGGTTTATAAAGATAAATGATTGTTGGTGGGTTAAGTTTTAGCGGGGGAAATCATTACATTGTATTAAAAAAAAAAAAAAAACAAAAACACTTTATTTTGATTATTTTCAAAAAAAAAAAATTGAAAACAAAAAAAACTTTTCAAATAATTTGGTTTTTTTTTTCTTTCTTGTGGATTGATCATTTTTAATTTTTATCATAAAATGACCAAATTTTTAATTTTATAATAATTTTTTTTTTCATAACAAATTAAATATTTTTTTCATTATTATTAATTATTTTTTTTGATTTTTTTTATTATTTATTTTAAATATTTTTTCAAGTCGTCCAAAAACAAATTCAAACTTATAAGTTGTTATCAAACTTGTCTTGGCTTTATAAATATATATTTTCCCATTCCACCCAAAACAAAAAAAAAAAAAAAAAGTCAATATTCAAGCGAGATCTAGATAATCATTAATCATACAATGATTCAATTTTGTTCGGGATATTATTTTTTGTTTTTGAAAAAAAAAAAAAAAACCGGAAATTATTAAAAGAATATAGATGTTATGTTATAAATAAACATTTAATTTAAAAATGATTTCATGCAAATCAATAAATATTTATAACAAATGTAAATATAAACATTGTATGTTCTTTTTTTTTGTGTGTGTTTTTTATTTTTGGCAAAAGCGAAAATAAATTGTTGAATTTCCAATTCCATTTGAATCTGCAAAGGATTGTTAAAAAATTTTAATTGATAAAACGCGAACCCGATTCCTGGTCAACTGAATTTTCTAAACAACAATTTCCTTTTTTCTTTTTTTTTTTTATTAGTATTTTTAAATATCATATAAAGTAATTATTATTGTTGGTTTACATCTCACACCAATAATAATCATATATACATTATTATCTTCATTTTTTTTTAAAAAAAGAAGAAGATTTTTTTGGTTTTTTTTTTAAAATTTTATTTTTGTTTTTATTTTCTGTTATAAGCAAAAAACAACATTTGTTTTGTTTATTTGTATTTAATTTGTTGTATAATTATTAAGTATTATCATTATTATTATTGTTTTTAGTATAGATATTATAGATATATAGATATGATAGAATCAATAAAGATATTATCAGGTACTGCACATCGTGATTTTGCAGAACAGATTGCCAAACACTTGAATGTGGTTATCGGTAAATGCGATTGTACGAAATTCTCGAATGGCGAAACATCGGTTATCATTGCAGAGTCGATTCGTTCAAAGGATGTCTATATTGTGCAACCGACATGCTCACCGAATGTCAATGACAACATCATGGAGTTGCTGGTGTTAATCGATGCCGTGAAGCGTGCATCTGCCAACCAGGTGACCGCTGTCATTCCATACTACGGCTATGGCAAGCAGAATAAGAAGGAGCGTTCGCGTGAGCCGATCACCGGTAAGCTGATCGCCAACATGCTCGAGACTGCTGGTGTCAATCGTGTCATCTCGATGGACTTGGAGGCCAGTCAGATCCAGGGATTCTTTAATATTCCAGTCGATAACCTCTATGCCGAGCCACTCATTGTAAAGTACATAGAAAAGCACATCAAAGGTGAACGTGTAGTCATTTCGCCAGCGGTCGACGGTGTTAAGCGTGCCAAACTCGTTGCCGACAAACTGAATTGCGACTTGGCAATTCTCGATCGTCAAACCAAAGATGAAAGTGTCGACGACATGCTGCTAGTAGGTGACGTCACCGATAAGATAGCTGTAATCATAGGAAGTGTTGCTGATACATGTGGTATGTAATAATTCATTCATTAAAAAAAAAACATTTAATCGATCATACTTATTATTTATATCCTCATATTTTTATCTCTAGATACATTGGCATTGGCAGCAAAAGTATTAAAGAGAAGAGGTGCTTCAAAGGTTTATGCGTTGGTATCGCATGGTGAATTGAGTGGAAATGCAATAGAAACACTGAATGCATCAGAGTTGGAGGAGTTGGTTATTACAAACTCGATTCCAACAATGTCAAAGCTGGAACAAAGTCCAAAAATTAAAGTGATCAATGTAGCACCAATGTTTGCAGAGGCAATCCGAAGAATCGTACATGGTGAATCAGTGACTGCTCATTCATCTAAATTTGTTATTCTATAAAACAATTAATTAATTTTAATTATAAAAATAATAATAATAATATCAATACAACTTAATACAATCATTCAATCAATCAATAATCAAGTCAATCAATCCAAATCTATTCAAATCAACAAAATTATGTTTCATAATCAATTTATCACAAGAATACTATAAATTATTATTTGGTTATTCAACAAAGCAAAGCAAAAAAGAAACAAAGAAAAAAACTTTATAACTATAAAAAAAATTAAGTAAACTTTTTACTGTTCTTTATAAAACTATAAAAAAAAAACAAACAAACTTGTTATTATTTTTGTTCATCAATAATAATGAATTTCCAATTTATTATTAACAACTTTCAAAATGGATTGAGAATGGTTAATTGGTTGACAGTCGAGAGGTCGAGTTTGTTTTAAAGATTAAAGTGAAAAGGGTACTAGTTGATTGTGTTGTTGGATGAACATGACAACAAAGCAAAGGCAAATGGCAATTCACTTATAGCTCATAGGACAGGAAAACTTCCCAGGTCTGTTGATTGTTGCACACTTGACAGAGATCTTTAATCAGCAACTTAAACTTTGTAATATCCTTGCTCTTGCCCATGATAAGTGATACAAGTCTATCTTTCTCCTCCTGAGGTGTATCGGCAGGCAACCACTTGGCATTCAGAATCGACTCTTTTATATTCGATTGAATCGTTTCATTTGGATATTTATTAACTAAGTTGTTATAATTATAAGTTAGTCAACAAATTTGTTGTTATTTCTTCATAATTTATATTTTTATACATACTCCAATCAAAAAGTGATTTAGATAGATATACTGTTAGAGTTTGTCTTGAATCGTTGACAATGGCAGCTAATAAATTGGAAATAATATGCAGACTGTAATTGGTAAAGAGTGTTTCGTGTGGAGTAGACTTGATAAAGAGTTGGTCGAGGAATTCCAGTGAGGCTTGTACGGAATCCTTCTCGATATTCAAAAGCGATATGATGGAACGCTCCACAATCAAGACGACATCCTTTAGATTGTAAAATATATTGGCATTCACTTCCAACAGTTTTGTCAACACCCTATAGTATTTATCGATAACCGGTATACTATGATTGTCATCTATAAGAAGAACAATAAAAAAACAATAATAACAATTAGTTTCCACAAACAGATCTTCTGAATTATTAATGTTCAACTAATAAACAAACTTACTATTTGAGATGATTGGAAGTGAACTCGATGAAAGGACATTAAATAGATTTGTGAAATGAGTAGTATATTTTGGATCGGTGGCGAGTGTCATTGTGAGGAGGTTGATCGTTTCGTAGGACGATGTGGTGAGTGTGTGGAATGTGGTGATGTCGGCAGTCAGATAGGTAAAGAGCTGCTCGATATTCACTGCACTCTTGTCCATCTCCATTTGAATTCGCCAAAGTATTTTCCAAACGACTTCCAGTACCTCTAAATCTCTGTTTGTAATTGAAAACTCGTGTACTCTTTCGCAGAGAGGCAACACATTATTGGTGAAATCTTTGAAAACATGGAAATATTCTTCTGGTATTCTAATAATAACAATAACAATAATAATTATAATAGTGTTTTGTTTAAATTAGATAATTATTACTATTATTACTAATACTATTATTATTACTTACTTTAAACTTGATTCTAAAACCAATAGTCTATCAATGAGTTGTAGACTCTTTTCATTCGGAGGGATTTCAGCAATGATTGTCGAGTTCAAATTTACAATAATAGGGGATAAGAGTCTTTGAAAAACATTATTTGCTTGACTATCGCTTGTAATATAAGATGATAATAATAGTATTGATTCTACAAAGTTCTTTTGGTCACCAACCTAAAAAGTATTATAATGTAATCAATTATAATAGATTTGTTAGTATATTACCTATCTTAATACTTTAGTTATCAGTTAGATGGTTACCTTAAATGATTTAAATATATTTTCTAATGTATTGAGTGTAGTTTCTGTGTTGTTATAGAGTTTATCTGCATACTTTGCACAGAATGTATATAATGTTCGTACTGTTTATTATAAGCCATAAAAAAAAAAAACGTAGATATAATTATGTTAATTACAATTGTGATTGTGTTATTATATATATGATATGATACATACGTGCATATGATCGTGTTTCTGGATGATTGATTAATGATATAATATATTGATATGATGATTGCAATAGGTCGTTCTTCTCTGCGATATACCCACCATAGTCTTCCAACATTAATAAAACAGTATTCGAAAAGATTGGATGTGCAGGTAATGTTAAACTAAGTGAAATGATGCTTGTTACATAATGATTCTCTTCTTCTATTGATTGATAAATACATCTAAATACATAGATAACCTAATAATAATAATAGTAGTAATGATAATAGTAATAGTAATAGTAATATAAGTATATATATTTTGTTCGAACTTATTATTATTATTATTTTAACAATACTTACAACTTCATAAGATTGCCATGTTTTACATTCATTTCTTAATAAATTATCGATATATTGTACAAATGGATTCTCTTGGATGGTCTCGAAACATGCCATTATGATATCACAGACGTTGTTACGATAGGATGAGATGTCTTCGATGAGCTCTTCGCTTGGGCTATCGTTGTTTGAGGGATACGATGATTTCTGAATGAGAATCTGTAGTAGTTTCGCGTAGATCTGTTGAAATCGCTCCTGGAAAAGCTGTCCCTTCTCCTCGATTATATCGTTGATGTGATCGGCCAAATAAGACCACGCATCAAACGTCAGCTCTGACATCTCCTTGTCGGGATGCGAACACACATCGATCATGAACGAAAGCAACTGCTGATTCTCTGATTTCGTAATATCCATAATTATCGGTGTATAACACTCTGCAATCTGTGACAATATCTCTGCGAATGCTCTTGTAATATGTATCGATTCATCTATATATATACAAATAAGTAAGTAATAAGTAATAGATAAGTAAGTAAAAAGTGTAATACAACCATAGTTATTAATTATTAATACAAACTTTGTACTGATTGATTATAAATTGGTTTAAGTGATACTAATTTACGAATGATTGGTATAATGAATCTCTCATAGTTGATTTCATCGCTGCTGTGAATGTTTTTGTTACCAACTGGTTCACCGAATGATAGAGGTGCTCGATAGGTATGAAAGTTAATCAAATCTCCAATGATACTCAATGACTCTGCCAACAATACGCCACAATCGATCACTTTGAACAAATTATTTAAAACATTTCCTTTAATCATTGCTCTTTTTGATGTGTTTGCATTTTAGTTAGTATCGACATGATGTTTATTATTAATATTAATACATACTTTGCATCACCATGATAGATCCATTGTCTAAAACAAAGAAGTAGTTGGGCATTAAGTTGATCGGTTGGGTTGGCATCGAGTGACGTTGAGATCATAAAGATGACGGCTTCACAGTTGCGAGTGAGATGCTCTTTTATAGCCATTCTTCTGCTGGCCGATAATACTACATTGTTGAACTCCTGTGGCATCAGTGTGAGAATGTCGACGGCAACACGCTTTAGTATCGCGTTCTTTGTGGCGATCAACTGTAGCAGGTCGGCAACCGGCTCCTCCCAGAGTCGCGGAATCGAATGTGTAATCACCGCTGCAATGACAGCAGCCAGCTTCGCTAGAAACACTGGACTCACCGACTCGGCATCGTTTATCACCGCGAGGAACCTGTTGAACACCATCGTCTTGACGGCGAAGCGCAACTCGTCGGACCAGCGCGACTCCCAATCCTGGTGAATCTTGGTGTAGAGTGTCTGCAGCCCGTAGAACTGCGAGAAGAACGGACGCTCCGGCTTGACCAACTCCAAACAGACACTGACAATCTGCACGTTGTTCTGAAGATCCAACAGCCAGCGATTCGCCTCGTTCTGGAGAGTGGCAACCTCACTACTTCCAGTGGGATTGAAAAGAGTCTGTAAGACCTGTTCGATCTGTTCCAACGATGGCAGAACCTGAGATGGCAATTGTTGTTGAAGTACCATCTCCTTTTGTTTCTCTATCTAACTAACTAATTATTGATGTTTAATTATTATTATTTTTATTTTTTCGATTGTTATTATTATTTCTTCTTAATTATGAGCTAATTTCCTGATTCATTAAAAAAAAAAAACCAAAAAAAAACCAGTCACACACACTTAATTATTACGAGTTCCAAGCTTGAATTGATTAATGAGCTATGTTACTATCTGTCCTGATTTAGATTGTTTGAAATTTCACTTTTTTGTTTTTGATTTTTTTTGAAAAAAAAGTGTAAGTAGTATCTACGCTTCTTCTTTTTCCTGTATTCTCTATCTTATATTCTTCTGTATTTGTTCCTCTCTCTGTTTGGTTTAATTGAATGATTGATTGTTAATGATTTGTTAGATATATATTTAATTGATTGCTAACATATATGGATTGATGATGATGATATAAATTATAGTTTATGATGATGTTGTGTTGTTATTGTTATTTTTGTGTGACACTACTTATGATGAAGAAACTGCTTATTATTGTGTTAATACATCAATAAAACCAAATAAATTAACAAAAAATTAACACCAAAACTGATTTTGGTTTGGCAATGATTAAAAAAAATGATAAGTGTCTTGAGGTGTTTCAACTTCAAAAAAAAAAAAAACAAAAAAACAAAAAAAAATATTAAAAAAATATTAATTTGTTTTTTTTTTTTGTTTTTTTAAAATGATAGTTATAAATATTCCTATTTGGGTATATCATTTTATTTGTGATTTTCTGATGTTTTTATTTTTGTGGTTCTATTTGATCAAAAAATATGAATTTACCAACCTTTCTTCTTTGTATTTGTATTTTGATTTCAACTTTATCTCTATATTTATTTTTTATTTATTTTATATTATTTATTTTAATCTTATCTATCTATCTATCTATATCTATTTTTAAAATCAACCAAACTACACACTACTTTTACATTTACATAACACTATTAAATTTAAAAATATCAAAACCATGAAAGGTATCTTTTCGTTTTAATTTTTTTTTTTATTGGTCTTGAATTTTTTCATCTAATATTTTGTTTTTTTGAATAAAAAACCTTGGAAAAACACATTTCAAGAGTCAAAACTAAAAATATCTTTTTTGATCACGCAATTAATGTGGTTTGTTTGTGTTTTTTATTTTAATATAAGAGTAAGTTTTTTCGGGTATGCCTAAAACAAAACCTAAGGTTACAACACGACACTCTAATCAGGTGTCGAAATTGAAATATAATTATACCATTGCCCACAAGGAAAACCGTGAACTTCATGCACCAGTTGAGACACAAACAGCCTCATTCGCACCAGACATAAAGTGCACAAAAAAAAAAAAAAAAAAGTTATTATTATTTTAATAAAAATAACAAACAAACAAGTTCGATCAGAGTAACAATGAAATACTCTGATCGAACTTGACTCAACTTGATTTGTTTGTTTGTTTGTTGTTTATTGTTGTCATTGTTTTCGTTGTTATTGTTGTTGTGAGAATGAGTAAAATGTGGATGATTGTTTGGTGGTTTAGGTTTTGTTTTGTTAATAGTTAATCATGTTTTGTTTTGTTTTGATAGTGGTTTATAAACAACATTGTTAATTTGATATGATTTGATTTGTTTTTGATTGATGGATTGATGAGATGAGTAGAAGGTTGTATATTTTTATGATTCTCTTTACTACTAATCGTCAACCCATTAAAATCAAACCAGGTTCGAAACAAACAATTGGTTTGTTCTTGTTTTATTATATTATATTTATATTTATATTTATAGTTCATATTGTTTATATTATAGTTTAAACTTTCTGAACTAATTCATAAACCATGAAACCAGCAGCGTTTGCGGGGAAAGATTTAACAAGCGTAGTAAAGTAACCTCTAAATAAACCTCTGATACCTTCGCGTCGTACCAGTTGATTGAGACAGTCGAATGTGCCACGATACTTGGGTGTACCAACCTGTGTTTGAATCAACGTCTTTGCAATATCGAAACAATGTGTACTGCTATGGTATGCACTTCCCGCCAGACCACCCGCCAATAAAATCTTTAGAAAATCACTACCCTTACTACTACTATTACTACTACTACTATTTACATTATTATTGTCGTTTTTGTTGCTATTATTATTACTACTACTACCATGTTCACTTTCAACACCTAATACATCTTTTAAACCTTCGTAGGTCGTAAAGAATACAGCTAGACCTGGTACATCTCTGAGTAATGTGGCGGACATACCAGTGTAGAAACCTTTTAGACCATCCTGGGCCATGATTGCTCTTGCCATTTGAAGAGTTCCAACACCGGCACCACCACCGCCAGCACTACCACCATGCCCCATTCCACTAATCATCATCCTACTCTTTACTACGTCAACAGGACATATGATGAACGATTGCAACAGACCTGCAGTACCACCAGAGATCATATATCTATAGGGATCGGGCATTCTGTACTCCTCGTGTAGAAAATGATTGGTTTTCTCAAACGATGTGAATTGAATAGCACTGATCATTGCCGATGCAACCAACGGTGAACTCAATCCTCTAAACATGCCAACAACCTATATACTTATTCATTAGTCCTTAATAAAAAGATAACAAACTAATTAGTAATATTACAAACAACTTACACCTTCTTTTTGATAAACTTCACGAACTACATTTAAGAAACTTATGTTTGGATTTGAATGTACTTGAAGTCTAGTTTTAACAAGTTCCAATGGGTATCCAGCAGTCTCCTCTGCCATTCCAGAGAATGATCCCGCAATTCCACCTCTAGATATACTGTAATGTCATTTGTCATTGATCGAGTCGATTGATATAAAACAATCTAACTATTAGTTAAATAGTTATGAGAAATAGAGGTAATACAATCATCAAGTAATCAACAACACATACCTTCCAATGACTCTTGTTAAACTACGTGAAATTCCTGCCAAAGCACCAGCCAATGGATCTGCATCTTCATCAGTTGCATTTTCAATCAATGCTGATGATGAACTACTTTCCATTTTCTTATCTGTCATATCTATCTAAACTAATAATAGATATATATATATATATATTTATAAATATAAGGAGATCTAAATCGGTTTTAAATCAAAATGAATGTATACAATGAAAAATGAATTGAATTGATTCGATTGATATTTAAATAAAATTTGTTTTAAATATTTAAAAAACTAAAAAGATAATAATTAAGTGTCATTTATATAACTTGGAAAGAGTCATTCAAAAATTGTTGTTGAAAATAAATTAATTTATTTAGTCATTTCCAATTTTGGGAAGATCAAAAATAAAAATTAAAAAGGTAATAATAATAAAAATAATATATTTATTATATTTGATTTTCTTCTTTGTTTGTGGAGTTTGAATATTGCTTCCAAAGATAACATTGAAAGATACAATACTTTAGAATATACTGAACGATGGTTGTTAGTTTTGATACTTTTTTAGTAGAGATTGTCTGATCAGTCCATTTACATTTGAAGAGAACATTGTAATAATAGCAAATTACTTTAAAAAATTACGCTTTACCAAAAAATATAATAATTTCTCGAAACAATATTCTAAGAATTCTTAGACTTTATATTAATAACTAACAAAACTTAGATTCAACAAGTGATTCAAAAAAAATAAAACAACAACATATACAAATATTGATATTTTTATTAGATCATCAATATAACAGGTTTAATGATTATTATATATATACAATCGACTATATTTTTTTAAAAGTATTATTGTTTGCTATTATTGTTATTGTTGCTATTATTATTATTATTATATAATGTAAACTTTTCAATATCAAATTGATCGTTAATCTTCTGAAATTCAGGATCGTAGGCTTTCTTTAATGTTCTATATTTATGAAATCTGTGCATTGCTTCAACTTCCTTGATTACATATCTTGTTCTCTCTATACATTGATTGATTTCATTCAAATCCTAAATTGAATAGCAAATAGTAATTATTAAAACCAAGTTGTTTTATTCAACAATTCAATTATTAATACTAACAGTGAGATGTGCATTCGCCATGAATTGAGGTTTAGCTTTATTCCTAACATTCTCAACACCCAAGAATGATATTCTTCCTAAATATAACAACTATTCATTCATATATATTCATTAATTTCAAAGAGGGAGCGCAATTAATGTCATTACAAACTGATAAATGATATTCTTACTTGTTTATATAGATTCTTTACAATATATCTTGTCTCTGTTAATGATGTCATTATTATTAAATATTCAAAAACATATAATCATAATAAAATAAAATAATGAAACCTTAAATGATGATCATCACAAAAATTTAGTTTTTTTTAAAAAAAATAAATTAAACATGTTTTGTTTATTTCTTTCTACATTCACTACTGTTACACAATAGTGAATGATCTTGATGCTACTATAGTAGTAGTTTAATTGTTGGTTATTTGTTTGTTTGTTTGTTTGTTTGTTTGTTTGTTTGTTTGTTGTATCACTGTGAGATCATCTACAGTTAGTGTGTTTGAGATTGTTTGGTTGGTTGGTTGATTTGGGTTTGGGTTGGAGCTGATTATTTTTATATGTACACAATGAATGATGGATGAATCGACTAAGATCTATAGTTTTTTTAGTTTGAATTGAAATCAACTGACTATACTAAGCTAAGCTGACTCTATTCTATTCTATATGCGATCTCTGTTCTATTCCATTCTCTATTCTATTCTATTATATTATATTCTTTTCTTTTCTTTTCTTTTCTATTCAATACCAAACTTTTGTTTCATTAATTCCAATTCTTGTCTCTTCTTTGTTTGATCGAGTTTTCTAGCTTGTTTAGCAGGTTGATGATATAGTACCACTAGATATCTACCACCGAAATTGTAACCCGATAGATGTTCACATGCATTTCTAGCATCAAAGATATCGTCGTACACTACAAATGCAGTACCCATTGTATCGCTTGCATTTCCCAATCTAACCTGTCTGATTCCACCGTAAGCACCAAACAACTCATAGATCTCTGCTGATGTTATTTTAAATGGTAGATTTCTATATATAGAAAAGTATTATAGACTTATTGTTAGTTAAACTATCTATCTATCTTTTAAATTAATGATAATAAATAATACATGCTTTACAAATAAAATTCTATTTACTTCTGGTGGTAGTCTTTGATTCTTTAGAGTTGCCATTATCTATCTATGTATTATTTAAATGTGTATTTATATGTATGTATTTATATTTGTTTAATATAAATTATAATAATAGAAATGATATAAAATATTTTAATTAATTGACGAAAATCGCTAAGTGGGAGAATTTGAATATTTTTTTTTAAATTTTTATTAAATGATTTTTTTGATCATTGCAAATTGCAACAACTAAACACAGGTTAATATTAGATGAGTGAAGGTTCAGAGAGTGGTGAAGATACAGCAGTATCTTTGACATCTCAACAATTGACACAACCGCCTACATGGGATTTAAAATCGAGAATACTACTGTTGGACACGATCAGTCAGTGTCTACCTCTGGGTGTCAACAAGTATTTCTCTCTTATCAATACATTTGTACTTTTAAAACAACAGTTACCAGATAGAGTGTTTACACCTGAAATAATATTAAAAGAGATTGAAGAGTTTTATAATTTAGAGTTATTGGTATGTTGAATCAATCTAATTAGACATGCATATACAACACAAAATAATAAGCAACTAAACCTTTTAATTTTCATTATCATTATCTTAACTACTTTTAGGATGATCATATTATAGATGATGAAGAAATAATACCATTTGAATTACCTGAAGAATATAGATCTTTAATGGAAGAGAAATCATATGTAAATAAAAAACAAAAAAGTTAGATTAATTAATTAATTAAACTTTATGTAAATAAAATAAAATAAAAATAGTAGTATTCTTTATGATAATAAATTAAGCTAAACAAAACCAATAAAATTTTCTTTATTTTTTTTTTTTGGTTTTAGATTTGTGGGGGTATGGATAAAAAAAGATTGATTGTTTTTTTTGTTTTTTTTTAATTAATTCCTATTTTTCCAAAATTTTAATTTAATTATCATATTGAGCACGAACAACAGTTGGTTGAACATCAGTTTGTTGTTGTTGTTGGACGAATGCCGGTTGGCTGTAGGCTTGTTTGAGATGGTAGTCGAGTGCATTCTGTTGTGGCTCGTAACCGTAGCTGATTTCACGTTGAACACCGGTGACAACGGCGACTGGTGCGTGGTGTGGTGCTGGTGGACCGGCAATCAACTGGAAGTTACCGGCAATGATTCTGGCGATCGATCCACCCTGACCTACGATGGTGTGTGCCAAACTGGAGAAGAGACCTCCTATGGTACGCGCGAGTGTACCGGTTGGACCGGAAATAACGTGACCGACACTCTGCACGGCGTTGTTACCAATTACCTCAGCGACGGAACCAGCCGACGACGACGAACCAGTTTTGGCACCGGCGAGGAGACCGGCGATGGAAATGGCAATGGTATTCTGGTTGGTACCAATGGATTGACCTACGGAACCAGTGTTTCCACCGGCAATAACCTGACCGACTGTGAAATCCAGTACGTTACCGACGGATTTGGCGATTGAAGAAGCACTGGTACGACCACCCAAAACACCTGCGACGGAGGCAACACCTGTTCCTTGTGCAGATACGATGGTTTGACCGATGAGACCGTCGTTTTGATTACCGGTTGGCTTTACTGTGAGAATTGTGAAACCACCGACTGGTGGTGGCACAACGGAGAGGGTCGACACTGGGGTGGTCAAAATGACGTTGGGATTGGCTGTAACTGGCACGGTGAGTTGGATACCGTTGACAGTTTGTAGCTGGGTGGCTTGTGCACCGGTGGAATCACCTAGATTGGCACCGAGTACACCCTGTAGAGCACCGTAGGTGGCACCGATTGCCTCCTGACCTGGAGTTGGATTTCCAGTTTGGAATCCAGAGGTTTGGGTACCACCGTATCCCGAGAAGAGTCCTCCGATGAATCCACCCAAAAATCCGGCATTGAGCTTTCTAGTTGGTGGTGGCGATGCTCTGTTCAATCTGGTGGCCATCTCTTGGAGAATGTTCATGGCTTCCAATACAACTTTCTCTCCTTGCTCGGCTGGAGAATCGATTTGTTGTACAACTTTTCTCGACTCTTCGGTGGCTGCCTTTAGAATTCTCTCCTCCTCGGCATAAGAAGGGTACAATTGGTTGATAATGTTCTTAATGGCATCCATTCTTATGGAATCTTGAATATATTGTAGAAAATGAAAGTTCTGAGCACTCTCTTCCAACTGAGAGATTTCTTCCTCTGCCTAAAAATGATCAATATTTGATTTGTTAATATCTAAAATATCAAATTTTAATAATTTCTTGATTGATTTACCAAACCACCTGGCACTAAACTTCCAATTATAATTACTATCAGGAAAAGTGATAGTTGTTTCTTTTGCATTTTTTTATTTACAATATTTATAACTACTACTATTATTAAATGAAATTTTTAAATTAATTAATCTTTATGATAAGATCAATTTTGTATTATTATAAATAAATTATATAAAATTGGATCAAAAATACAAAAAAAAAGACTTTGAACTATGAAAATGAAATATTTGGATTTCCTCAATATTCAACTTGAAGAGTGAGTGAACAACAAGAATAATATTAATAATGATAATTTAATTAATATATTTTTTTAAATAATAATATTATTATTTTAATTCAATTGGAGTTTCACTAACATCATTGCCATAACCATAGTACATTGCATATGCATTAATTTTTAATACAGAAAAAACATAACAAATAATAAAAAAAATAAATTAAAAATAATAATAAAGCAAATGCGAGATGATGATGTTGTTGTTGTTTTTTATTGATAATGATAATTCATAGTGGAGTAACAATATCTATCCGATTAAAATATCATTATAAAAGAATTGCATATGCTAGCGCACCTTTTGAATGATCCTTATTAAAACACCCAACTACTTTACTTTATTTTAATTTTATTATATGTTTGTTGTTCACCAACCCAATAATCGATGAGTGGAAATGAAATGTAAATGAACCACAATCTATATAGCAATGGATGAATAATAATACAAATGTATTTTTAATTATTATAAAAAAAAACACTAAAATTAATTTTCATTGTATAATGTATCAATAGCACTCTTTTCACTCGCGATCACAAAGTGGAATGGAAGGAAGTAATATAAAATGAATGAATGAAAAAACAGTGGTGATGAGTTAGTGTGTTTTTGTTTTGCTATCAGTGTGTGATCTAGTTGATTGATTGTCATGATGTGTGGTTTAGTTTCATATGCAAAATGTTTTGCATTCACGTGATTTGATTTGATTTGATTTTGAGAGTTTATAAATATTGAAAGAAAATGTAAGATTTTAAGAGATGTTACAATCTATTTACTATTGACCAAAAAACTAAAACAACAATAACAATAACTCTTAAAAACACTACAATTAACTATATTATTTTATTCATGAATTGTTCTTACTCTCTTTATTTTATTTTTTAGGAACTTGCAATGGAAGTACCAATATCTATTTTTAGCTGTTCATCTTGCTTCTCTTGTTTTAATTTCTGTTGTTGTTCTTGTTTCTTCTTTTGAAGTGCAAAGAATCGTTCCATTTTCATAAAGAATTGCATTGGATCTTCGTTTTCGTCTGATGTCAGCAGAGGCTCGTCCGGTAGGTTAGGGTTAATCTCTTTCATCTTCAAGTTGTATTGTTCCAACTCATCGAAATAGCTATCCCAAACGCAATGTGCACACCCATTACCACAACAATTCGTTGGTATCACTGGTTGTAAGGGTAATTGTTGTTGTGAATCTATATTATTACTTATACTACTATTGCTACTACTATTGCTACTACTAAAAGGTCTTTGATAATATTCGAAATTTAAAAAACTATTACTATTTACATTATTACGATTACTATCAATAGCTATTGTTATATTATTACTATTGATGAAACTACTTTTATTATATATACATGTCGATCGACGTAAACGTTTACTATTAATATTATCTTTAAATTCAATAATGTTTTTATTTTTTAATATATGATGGTGTGCATGTGAAGATTGTTGTAACAATCGACTCAGACAACCACTAACAGGAATTATCATTATTATTAATCCAAGCAAAAAGGATAAAGAAATCTGCTTTTAAAAAAATTTTTGAAAAAAAAAAAAATCAAAAATCAATTGAAATAAATTCATTATGTAATTGTTTGTTGGATACTGATAATCAATAGGTCACTCATTCTACACCGAAATACATTGCAATAGAATAGATAATTCTATTTTATTACTTTATGAATAAACTATCTATCTATCTTAAACAAAATAAAATAAAAATATTAATAATTTAATTTCTTTTTCGACCACACGAGAATCTCTTTTCTTCTTCTTCAAAAAAAAAAAGAATATTAAGTTTAAATTTAATACTTTGAAGTTGAACTTTGCAAACAATGTTTAAAAACAATCAAGATTTAACCAGCAAACATTCTTTTTTAAGAAAGATCAGAATTTGATTATTTTGATTAAAAGATCCAAAGTGAACGACATGGTTACATTAAGGTAATGATCACTTAAGTGTGGTTGATTTTGGGATCAAACTTGTCATTAAAATCATGCCATTTAATAAATTTCAACGAAGCTGTTTATTTCGTCTACCAATAAATTCATTCATTCTGTGAAAAATCAAAATATATTTTTTTTTGAGTTTATTTTTGAAATTTTTTTTGAATTGATTTATTCTTGTTCGACCCGTCGATCCAAATCTAAGAGATTTTTGAAACGTTAGTTCTAAAAATACTGATAATATCAAAATCATTTCGATCAAAAACAAAAAAAAAAGACATTTATATATTAAATTAATTTTTATTTTTGATTTGTAAAGACTTGTTCGAAAACAATCATTGGGGAAGCTCTCTCAGGACAGTAACCTTGCAAGGTTAAATTTACTTTTCTTTCCTTTTTGTTTTTTTTTTTGTAATAAAAAATAAATAAATATTTATTAAAAAAGAAATAATTATTAAAATAATAATTGAAAATGATAAAATTAAATTTAATCATTATTTTAATTTGTATTTTACAATTTACTACTGGATCTCTTGCTCAGGTATTTGGCACCCAATATATCAAACAATTGAGAGAGATTGATGGTACACCAATTCCCGGTATTGCCAAGGCAGAGTTCTCACCCGATTATTATTCTGGCGTTTTGAGATCGCTACTTGTTCTCACCAACACCACCAGAATCAGTATGTTCAATAGTATCCCGACACCTCTGAGCACTGATCCAATAGTAAGCACACTCTATCCAATGAGTGATGGATTCGGTACCAACCAATCGATAGCAACTTTTTTAGCTTCCAACACCGTCTATACGGAAGCTTCCACCAGCGCTATTTATTTCACTCAGAGAGTTACCACCGTTGGTAGTAATTCTTATCCAACCAACATCAACACAGTCAACAAGAACAATGCAATCTTAAGATGGGTACAAACTTCAGCAAGTTCCGGTTATTACACAGCCTTTACTTTGTTCCCACCCGGTTCGGCAACAATGTCCATTCTCCTCACTCCATGGATCTACAGTCCTACCTACCAAACCTATTCGGCATCATCTCAAACCACATCGATTGCCACACCAATTTCCTCAAGTTCGGAAGTAGATTTTATGGTCTACGAAGCCCAGACGTTATTTGATCTCTTTGTACATGCCGACGGAGTACTCTACCAATACTCAATTGGAGGCTTAAAGTCCACCAATGTTTTTAATTATACCGCCTCAAAGACTGCAATTGCTTATGGAAGTACGCTTATGGCTTGTACATCCGATATCAACGGAGCATACATTGAAAAATTCAACTTTGTTAACGGCCAACACAGTGTTTACAATCTCACCACCGACTTTTCCGCTTGTTTGAACATGAACATGGACCAAAACTATCAACAACTTTTCGTGTCCATCGCCGACAGTCAAGGTAATTTGGCATTGATCACCACCTCCTTTACCGGTTTGCATCCAACCACCTTTAAATTCACCCCAAGCGAAAAAGTTAACACCGTCAACCTCAACTCATATTCCTATGCAGTTGGAGTTGATAATTCCATCAATGTTGTCAGAGTTGCTTCTGGCATTGGTCAGATCTACACAATGACCTACAAGAACCTCTGTCCAAACCAATGTAACAACCACGGTCAATGCTTTTCCGGTGCTTGTATCTGCAGTTCCAGTTGGTTAGGTGACGATTGCTCCGTACCCAAACCTTTTATCTACACTGGTGGAACCGCACAAGTTGCCTACCTCGGAACAACCGTGGTAACCATCACAGGTGAGAGTTTTGTCAACACACCAAACAACAAAATCACAATTTGTGGTGGACAATGTCTATCAATGGTTTTCGTATCTGCGCAATCGATCATCTGTACTCTCACTCTCTACGGTAACCAAACAAACTCTCCCTTCGATAACTGTGATATCACCGTTTCATTCAACGGTTATTCATCTGACACTGAATACATCATTACCTACGCCACACCAACACTCTCTGAACAATACTTCCAAGTTAACGACACCCTTGTTTTCAACGGTACCAACATGTACAACGCCGCTAACTTCCAGGTCCGTATCAACCAACAAACTCCGGTTAGTGATTTAATTGCCGATCCATATTCATTATCCTTTAAGATTCCAGCTGGCTCACATAATTTTAATTTGGATATTTTTACTACTAATACTTGGTTGTACTCAGGTATCGTTAAACTCGTTCCATATTTGACTTCGATTAATCCATCTTCTCTCCAAACCGCCTCTGGTTACAACATTACATTATCTGGTGATTTCTTCCAAAGTAACGACCTCACAGAGATGAGAATCTACATAGGTGATGATTATGTCAATGGTACTGTTGTCGACATGAACACCGTCATCTTCCCAAACATGGAAGGTATCATTGCGAAAAAAATTATCCGTGCCTACGATGATGCAACTTACCAACTATATTCCAACTCACTTGCTTTCGTATACAGTCCTCCAACTATTGTAAGCACCAATATCAATCAAACAGATAACACAATCATCTCCATTCAAGGTAACAACTTTGGTAGTTCCGGTACCTTAATTTCCTTCGCCATCTCCAACAGCGAACCAATTGCCGTCACCTTTATTTCCGTCACCCACAATATTATTATTTTCAAAGCTCCATCAACAATCTTCACCGCCTTCTATCATTTGACAGTCGACGATCAAGCAGCTGCCACTGAAATTCCCCTTCTCTTCAAACCAACCATCCAATCGGTTTCAAATCCACATGTAACCGGAGGAAATCTTACAATTGTCGGTAACTACATCATAAACTCTGAAATTTATTTCAGCAATATTCGAGCTAGTGAACAATTGATTTCTCCATGCGTTGCACAATCTAGTAACAACATACCAGCCACTATCATTTGTCAAGTTGAAGGAGGTGCTGGTGATATGGACGTTGTTGCTGTTTCTAATCTACCAGATGTAGGTACTTTATATACCCCTCCATTCGAATCGAAATATCAAGCCCCATCTATCTCCAACATCAGTCCAGCTGTATACTTTGCAAATAGAACCGCTCAATTTACAATCTTTGGTGACAATTTCTACAATTCCAATATCATTGTAAAGATCAACGACGAAGAGTGTAACATCACTGCTACCTTTACCAACAATATTACCTGTGAGATTACCTCGCTGAAACTTGCAAATGAAACCACCAATCCAGTTCCAGTCTTTGTTTCAGTGGAATCTCAAAATGTCTTTGCCAACAACACTGTCGCTTACTATGGAAAATGGTGTTTGAATGATTGTTCACAACATGGTACATGTAACTACGAGACTACAGTGTGCAAGTGTGATATAGGATGGAGAGGTAATGATTGTTCAGAAGAGATTCCAGTACCATCAACCACAACTTCAACACCAACTGGTGGAGCAACTACTGATGCCACAACAGGAGGTGCAACTACCACAGGTTCAACAACATCTGACCTTAATTCATCCAGTCAACTATCAATTAACATTTTAGCCGCATTGTTATCATTCTTTGTAATAGTATTATTGCTCTAAAATAAAATTTTAAAGTAATTTATTTATATTAAATTTCACCGATTTAATTATTAAATCTTGATGTTCAAAAGTGTTTATGTATATCTTCCTCTTTATTCAAATTCTGTTCTTAATTAATTCTTGATTTCCTTTTCTCTACTTAGATTTGTGACAAATCAAATCCAAAAGACATCAAAATTTCTTAAAATGATAGAAAGATATAAAGATTACAATATTCAATGGATTACCATATCCTTTTCAGTTAGCAATATTTTCAATTGGGATAATTAAATAAAAATATCTTTTGTAAATATTAACTAAAATTACCAAGACATGACAAAAAATTTTGTTGTACCACATTTAAATTTGATCGTAAAAAAAATTTCAAAATTGGTGAAATTTGTTTGAATGCTGTTGGCAACAACATTTTTACCATGTCCTATGAAATTTTTCCAAAAAGTCGTCTGCGTGACTGAGAAAGATATTATTTAGATTCATCAATTAAATATATTCTTATCTTTCTAATTAGATCACATATATATAGAAATAAACAACATTTATACTTTTTCATTTTTATCTATTATAACGATTTTTTTATTAAATAATTACATTTTTCTCTATTTCTAACTAGCAATCGTTGAGCTCACAAAACAATTTAGAGAGAAGGCGTTAGAGAAGGAGAGACTCATCGAAGAAAGGAAGAACGACACCGAATTTAAAATAGAATCAAAAGCAAGCTAGAGAAGATGACAGAACAAAAGAAACATCTAGAGAAACTAAGAGGAAGCCGAGATACAATTGTCCTGTGGAGAATGCTTTAAACGAATTCCTAGCTCAGAAGCAACAACACAGCAACTTAATGGATTCAACAACTTCCATCACCTACTCGCCAACCAAGAAGCGTTATCAAGATATGGATAGTCAGTCTAGTAGTAGCATAGTGCAACATCAACAAGAGAAACTAATTGACCAGAATAGTGTACAAGGGGAATCTCCGCTCTCTATCACCGACATCAAGACATATATCCAGACGTCCAAATTCCCGACCAGTCCTTACTACATATCTGTTGGCACGTAGGATCGATCTTCCCAGCTTGGCTTTGGCGAAACAGTCACTCTCTACTATCACGGGAGTGCTCGCACCGAAAACAACGATTGTCATTATGCAACTTCTTGATTACATCGGTGGATTTATCAAACTTCTCTGCCATTTGCACATACTTCTCACGAGTTCATCTCTTTGCCTTCTTGGTTTAGTTGGATTGGTGCTACTGTCTCCACTGAGAGAACTTCTATATATATGTGATCTAATTAGAAAGATAAAGAATATATTTAATTGATGAATCTAAATAATATAATAATGATTTTATTTTTAATGTTTTCGTATTTTTTATGATTTCTAAAAAATGAGTTTTTATGAATTGTAACGATTATGTTCCAGTGATCGAGGTAGGTGTCTAATGTCAACAGTGGCATTTAATGTAGTGAGACATAGTGATTTCAAATTTTGTGGCAGAGAGTGTTCATCCAATGGAATATCATACAAACTTAGAGTGAGTGATTCCAATGACTGAGGGAACAATCCAGAAATAAATTCTTGGTCTTCATTATCCACGATCATAGTTGCTGATTTCGACAATCGAATTTCATAATTCTAACGCTATATGGTAACACATTCGCATTGAAAGTGTTTTAGATAGTTATCTTTTCAAGAGTGTTTGGAAGTGAACCTAATATCTTTAGATTGTTTTCAGTACTATCTGAAATATTAAATATACAATTGTGATTCCAACTTAAAACAGGTTAAACTTGTTTAATTCCATGGAAAAACAGAAGCAAATTAAAAAAATTTGAGTGGTTTACCCCCAAATTTTAATTTTTTCAATCTGGTTAATGAAAATTTTTCATTTTTTATTGATCGTTTTTAAAAAAAATGTTATGAAATTATTTATTAGATGAAGCTTGTTATTTTATCATTAGTTATATTTCTTTTCAATACCTTGTTTTCAATTAAATCTCTCAATTGTTCAGTTGATTCTATAAATCCTCCATTGACAGGATAATCTCGATTGTAACCAATGAAGATGCTGCTCGATCTGTTAATACTTCGAAGTTCTACATTCTCGTCGATTCTTATGATTTCAACAGAGACTGGAATATCCTCCAATTTGTTGAATTCGAAACTGTAGAAATATGAGTGCAATACTTTCAATATCAGTCTTTTCGGTTGGTGGAGGTGTGAACTGTTGTCATTCAAAGTACCTTTGACGAGATTGGTACTCTCTAGTCTGAGTTTCTTTAAGGTCGGTGGTAATGATGAATACAATATTTGATTACTTTCAATGAGTGTAAGTGATTCCAAGCTTGGTGGAAATCTCCTTATCTTTATACTTCCATAGATAGAAAGTTTCTTAATCAAAGGTAGTTCATGAAAATCTAAAGACTTTGATTGTAATCGAAATGAAGATATTGTCAATTTTTCCATAGTGTTTGGTATGCATTCAACTGAAAGGCCACCCACCTCCAAAGTGATGTCCAATTGCTTCACACCAATCGGTATGACACCAGCTTCTAAACGATGTCGATAGTCAGGAATAGATAGGTTTATGACACTCGATGGTATACTTCCAGGTTTCAATTTGTAAGATCCCATTTCACCAAAGTCAAGATTGGTGATTGTCGATGGAATGACACCTGGTTCAATATAGTTATTATCTAGATTATCAAAACTAAAGATTTCGATTCGGGCGAATTTAAGGCTGGTGACCGATGGTGGAAGTGAATCCAACCATTCTAAGTGGCATCCTTTGATGGTTGTCAGTCTTTGGAATTGAGAAAGAATCGATAGGTTCTCAATTTGAGCATCAAAGTTATCATCGAATTCCAGAGTTTCCAGTGATCGAGGTAGGTGTCTAAGGTCAATAATGGTTTCGTGATAGGATGAATCCAAATAGAGTGATTTCAGATTTGGTGGCAGACAGTGTTCCACCAATGGATTTTCATGCAAAACTAGTTCGAGTGATTCCAATGACTGAGGGAATAATCCAGTTGTAAACTCTTGGTCTTCACAATCGACTGTCATAGTTCTAACACTATTTGGCAGCACATTCGCATTGAAAGTGTTATTAATACATAGCGTTTCAAGAGTGTTTGGAAGTGAGCCTGATAATATCTTTGTATTGTTTTCAGTGCTGAGCTCGAGTTCACATATACTACTGTCTGAAATATTAAATATACAATTGTCCTGCCATTTTATTATAGAAAGACACTTTACATTCAAAGGTATTTTCTCTGAAAGATTATCTGTTTTATTCATTTGAGAAACTTTTGTTTATAATGATAGATGATGTTTTTAGGTTAATTAAAGTTATATATTTTGAGATTATTAATATTATTAACATACTATCTATTATATAATCATATAATTTTATATATTTCTTGTTAAGATTGGCTTTATGATCACATATCAATAGATTACAAGATTGAATATCCGATATTTGTTGAAATTGTTTGGTGTATGATCTAAGTGTTACATGATTACTTCTGTTGTAAATCAATTGAACTTGGGCATATGTAAGATCATTGAATACCAAATATCTATCTCTATTATTATATAACTTTTTACTTGTTAAACTAAAACATATTGAATCTAAAACTGTCAGTTCTTTGAAACTTAATATTTTAGATAGCAACAGATATGGTAAATCTTGAATGTTATTATTTATGTTCATCTATTTATTTCTATGAAATCAAAAATATAAAGAAAAAATAAAAATGATCAAACGAGATAAAAATAAAATAAAATTTATAATATTTTTTATTAACCATTTTAGTTTTTTAAGATCATCTTCAAGAAACTTTATCTCAGAGACAAGATTTTCATTTAATTTTTTTATTATTATTTTTATTATTTGTTTTGATAGAAATAATACATAAACATATCATAAACTATATTTAATACTATTCTAAAACGATTATTAACTTAATAATTTGAAACAGATATCATAGTTAATTATTTTAATTATTATTAATTATTATTTATAGCATAGATTTTTATGATTTCAACAGAGACTGGAAGATCTTCCAATGTCTTATTGTTGAAAAAAGCGATATCTACTTTCATCATCAATCTTTTAGGTTGGGGGTGGTGTCGACTGTTGTCATTCAAAGTTATGATCCAATCTGAGTTTCTTTAAGGTCGGTGGTAATAATGAATATAATAATTCACCAGTATTTTCAATGAGTATAAGTGATTCCAAGCTTGGTGGAAATCTACTAATCTTTATTTCTCCTATTACCGAAAGTTTCTTGATCGATCGTAGTCCAAATATCTATCTCTATTATTATATAACTTTTTACTTGTTAAACTAAAACATATTGAATCTAAAACTGTTAGTTCTTTGAAACTTAATATCTTAGATATCAATATATATGGTAAATCCTGGATATTATTGTTTATGTTCATCTATATCTATGAAATAAAAAAAGTTTTTTTAACAATAAAAAAAGGTATCACTAAAAAATAGTGTTCAAATTTTTGGCATATCAGTCGATCATTTAATAGAAATAGATAGTTAAATATTTAGATATTATTATATTATTAAAAATATTTATTTATGTAATGATACTCGATATTTTATCAAATCTTATATTTCTTTCCAATACTTTGGAGTGAATTAAATCTCTCAATTGTTTGGTTGATTCTATGAATCCACCATTCACAGGATACTCTCGATTGTAACCAATGAAGATGCTGCTCGATCCGTTATACCTTCTAAGTTCTACATTTTGATCGATTTTTATGATTTCAACAGAGATTGGAATATCTTCCAATGTATTTTTTTTGAAATAAGAGTGCATTACTTTCATTATCAATCTTTTAGGTTGGTGGTGTCGACTGTTGTCATCCAAAGTATCGTTGACGAGATTAGACCTATTTAGTTTGAGTTTCTTTAAGGTCGGTGGTAATGATGAATATATTAATTCACCATTATCAATGAGTCTTAGTGATTCCAAATTCGGTGGAAATATACTTATCTTTATATCACCAAAGAAGGAAAGTTTCTTTATCGATGATAGTGAATGAAAATCTAAAGACTTTGATTGTATATTATATGAATAAATTCTCAATGTTTCCACGGTGTTTGGAATGCATTCAACTGAAAAATCATCCAATTCCAAAGTCATCTCCAATTGCTTGACACCAATCGGTATGACATCGGCTTCCATACGATGTCTATAACCAATAATAGTTAAGTTTCTGACACTCGATGGTATACTGCTAGGTTTCAATTTGAAATCTGCCGTTTCACCAAAGTCAAGACTGGTGATTGTCGATGGAATGACACCAGGTTCAATATAGTTATTATTCAGTATGATATTGTAAATTTTCAGGCTGGTTACTGATTGTGGAAGTAAAAAGATCCACTCGAAACTGCATCCATCTATTGTTGTCAGACTTTGGAATTGAGAGAGCATCCGCAGGTTCCTAATTCGACGAACAAGATCATAATCTACTTTAAGGGTTTCAAGTGATCTAGGGAGGTGTCCAACATCAATTCTGGAGGGGCGATCGGATGAAGCTAAATGCAATGATTTCAAATTTGGTGGCAAAGAGTATTCGCCCAATGGTTTGTCATACATAACAAGTTCCAGTGATTCCAATGACTGAGGGAATAATCCAGGAATAAATTCTTGATCTGCACTATCGACGATCATAGTTTTAATACTGCTTGGTAGCACATTCGCATTGAAAGTGGTAAAGATAGATATATTTTCAAGAGTGTTTGGAAGTGAACCTGCCAATATCTTTAAGTTGCTTCTATATTTGATATCCAGTTCTCTTATACTACTATCTGAAATATTAAATATACAATTGTCTTTCCAATCTATTATAGAAACACTCTTTACATTCAAAGGTATTTTCTCTGAAAGATTATCTGCTTTATTCATTTGAGAAACTTTTATTTAGGTTAATAAAAGTTATCTATATATATTGAGATTATTAATATTATTAACATACTATCTATTATATAATCACAGTATTTTATATAATTCTTGTTAAGATTGTAATGAGCATTACAAATCAATAGATTACAAGATCTGTTGCTATCTGATATTCGTTGAAATTGTGTTTGATATGATCTAAGTGTTACATGATTACTTCTGTTGTAAATCAATTGTGCTTTAGCATGTGTAAAGTTGGTGATCATTGAATATCAAATATCTATCTCTATTATTATATAACTTTTTTAGATGTTAAACTAAAACATATTGAATCTAAAACTGTCAGTTCTTTGAAACTTAATATTTTAGATATCAATAGATATGGTAAATCTTTGAATGCTATTATTTATGTTCATCTATTAATATTTCTTAATCGAACGCAAACATTTGAATAATTTAAATAATAAAAAAAATGATCACGTGCATGTCACCGATCATTTATCGATAAAACAATAATATTTATTTATGTAATGAATCTTGTTATTTTATCATTATCTATATTTCTTTCCAATACTTTGTTGCGAATTAAATCTCTCAATTGTTCAGTTGATTCTATGAATCCACCATTCACAGGATACTCTCGATTGTAACCAATGAAGATGCTGCTCGATCCGTTGAATCTTCGAAGTTCTACATTCCTATCTATTTGGATGATCTCAACAGAGAACGGAAGATCTTCCAACCTGTTTTCATTGAAATAAAAGCTATCTACTTTCATTATCAATCTTTTCGGTTGGTGGTGGTGTCGACTATTGTCATTCAAAGTATCGTTGATGAGATAAGTACAATCTAGTTTGAGTTTCTTTAAGGTCGGTGGTAATGATGAATATAATAATTTACCATCTCCAGCTAGTCTAAGTGATTCCAAATTGGGTGGGAATCTGCTTATCTTTCTTTCTCCTATTACCAAAAGTATCTTAATCGATGGTAGTACATAAAAATCTAATAACTTTGGTTTTGAGTTATCTGAACCGAAATAAATGGAAATTTTCAATGATTCCACAGTGTTTGGTATGCATTCAACTGAAAAATCATCCAATTCCACTGTGATATCCAATAGCTTCACACCAATCGGTATGATACCAGCTTCCATACGATGTTGATAGTCAGGTAAAGTTAGGCTTATGACACTCGATGGTATACTACCAGGTTTCAATTTGAAATCTGTCATGCCACCAAAGTCAAGACTGGTGATTGTCGATGGAATGACACCAGGTTCAATATAACCATCATCTAGAATCATGCAGCTAAATGTAAGGTTGGTGACCGATGGTGGAAGTGAATCGATCCATTCTAAACTACATCCATCTATTGTTGTCAGACTTTGGAATTGAGAGAGCATCGATAGGTTCTCAGTTTGACCAGCAAAATCATAATCTAAATGAAGCGTTTCAAGTGATCTAGGTAGGTGTCCGACATCAATAATATAGTCATCGGGTTTATGGAATGTACCAATATTCAATAATTTCAGATTATGTGGTAGACAGTGTTCCGCCAATGTATTACGATATAGAGATAGATAGAGTGATTCCAATGACTGAGGGAACAATCCAGGAATAAAATCTTGCTCTTCACGATCGACTGTCATAGTTCTAATACTATTTGGCAGCACATTCGCATTGAAAGTATTATAGATAGATATCTTTTCAAGAGTGTTTGGAAGTGAACCTGCTAATATCTTCAAGTTTTCAGAGAAGCATTTTAGTTCAATTATACTACTATCTGAAATATTAAATTTGTAATTGTCTAGCCAAATTAATCTGATATAAACACTCTTTACATTCAAAAGTATTTTCTCTGAAAGATTATCTGTATTCTTCATTTGAGAAACTGTTTGTATCAAGATATTCTTTAGGTTAATCAAAGCTATCTATAGATTATTAATATTATTAACATACTATCTATTATATAATCATAGAATTTGGTAGTTGACTTGTCAAGAGCTTTACTATGATCACAAATCATTAGATTACATGATTGAATATCTGATATTTGTTGAAATTGTAATTGATAGGATCTAAGTGTTACATGATTACTTCTGTTGTAAATCAATTGTGATTGAGCGTGTGTAAGACCGTTGAATATCAAATATCTATCTCTATTATTATATAACTTTTTACTTGTTAAACTAAAACATATTGAATCTAAAACTGTCAGTTCTTTGAAACTTAATATCTTAGATATCAATAGATATGGTAAATCTTGAATGCTATTATTTATGTTCATCTATTAATATTTCTTAATGTGGTAATCGAATGCAAACATTTGAATAAAAATAAAATAATAAAAAAAATGATCGTGTGATCACATGACTAAATAAATCATTTAATAGAAATCTTTTTATTTTTTATTTAAGGAATGATTGTTGGTATTAAATCATTATTAATATTTCTTTTCAAACTATCGAATGAAGTAAATCTCTTAATTTTTCAGTCGATTCTATGAAACAGGATACTCTCGATTGTAACCAACGAAAATACCTGATCGATTATATCTTTGAAGTTCTACAATCCCAAAGATTTTGATGATTTCAACAGAGACTAGAATATCCTCCAATCTGTTGTATTCGAAATAATTGATATCTACTTTCATTATCAATCTATTCAGGTGGTTGTGCTGTCTGTTGTCATTCAAAGTATCATTGATGAGAGCAGTGATAATTAGTGTCAGCTTCGTTAAGGTTGGTGGTATTGATAAATATAATTCACCTTCTCCAATCAGTTTAAGTGATTCCAAACTCGGTGGTAATCCAGTTATCTATATCTCTTAGCCCGAAAGTTACTTGATCGACGGTAGTCCACTAAGATCTAAAAAACTGAAGACTTTGGTAACCTGATAAAAAATTGGAAATTTCTAATGATTCCACAGTGTTTGGTATGCACTCCACTGGAAAAGTAGTGGATCTCAAAAAGATATCGATTTTCTTCACACCAATCGGGATGACACCAGTACTTATAGCCAAGAATAGTTGGTTTTCTGACACTCGATCGTATACTACCAGGTTGTAATTTAGATCTCCCATGTCAGTAAAGCTCAGCTTGGTGATTGTCGATGGAATGGCACCTGGTTCAATACTATTAATATCTTGAAAGCAGTCGGAAAATTTGAGGCTGGTGACAGATGGTGGAAGTGAAGCGATCCACTCGAATGTGCATCCATTGATTGTCGTCAGTCTTTGAAATTGGGAGATAGCAGATATGTTCTCAATTCAACCAACATAATCATACTCGAATTCAAGGGTTTCCAATGATGGAGGTGGGCGTGAAATATCGATAGTGGAATAGGAATTGTATGAAGTTAGTTGCAGTGATTTCAGATTTGGTGGTAGACAGTGTTCCACCATTGGATTAAGATGCATAACTAGTTCGAGTGATTCCAATGACTGAGGGAACAATCCAGTTGTAAATCGAGGAATAAATTGCTGTTCATCTCAATTGAAGTACATAGTTCTGCTTTGTAGGACATAGTCTTTGAGACGATTGTAGATAGTTATCTTTTCAAGAGTGTTTGGAAGTGATCCTAGCAATATCTTTAGACTGTTGTCAGTGGCGATAAAGAGTTCTCTTATACTACTATCGGAAATATTAAATATACAATTGTCATTCCAATTTAATCTTGAATGTTATTGTTTATGTTCATCTATAAATTTCTATAATTTACGAAAAAATATAAATAAATAATAAAAATGATCATATGACAAGTAGATCATAATTATTTGATTGTCTTTAACCCAAAATTTAACTTTTTTTTGTCATATCATTATGATAATAAATAAACACACTATACACTAAAAAAAATTAAACAGGAGTGTGTTTATTTTTTATCATAATCATATGATAATAAAAAATTGGTTACCTTTCCTTAAGTGTTCAACTAATATAGCGACCTTATTTAACTTTATAAGATTTTCTATTAAATTAATTGTTTTATTATTAGAATTTATTATTAATTTATTTATTTATGTAATGAAACTTGATATTAAATGATTATTTATATTTCTTTCCAATACTTTATAGTAAAGTAAATCTCTCAATTGTTCAGTTGATTCTATGAATCCACCATTCACAGGATACTCTCGATTGTGACCAATGAATAGACATGAACTATTACATCTTCGAAATTCTGCATTAGAGATTTTGACGATTTCAACAGAGATTGGAAGATCTTCCAACCTGTTTTCGTTGAAATAAAAGCTATCTACTTTCATTATCAATCTTTTCGGTTGGTGGTGTGCACCGACATTCCATGAATCGATGATGAGTTTAGTGTAAATGAGTGTTAGTTCCTTTAAGGTCGATGGTAATGATGAATATAATAATTCAGCATCTCCAGAGAGTTTAAACTTAAGTGATTCCAAATTCGGTGGAAATTTGCTTATCTTGGTATTTCTTATTCCCAAAGAAAGTTTCTTGATCGATGGTAGTGAATGAAGATCTACAGACTTAAATCGATGGCAATTTAAAAATATGGTAATTTTGAGTGATTCCACAGTGCTTGGTATACATTCAACTGTGAAAATAGCAGATCTCAAAAGGATATAGAATTCTTTCACACCAATCGGGATGACACCAGCTTCCAGATCGTATTTATAGCCCAGAATAGTTAGTTTTCTGACACTCGATGGTATACTCCCGGATTGTAATTTTACTTTTCCAATGTCTGCAAAGTAGAGGTTGGTGATTGTCGATGGAATGACACCGGGTTCAATATTATTAGTATCTTGAAAGCAAGCGGAAAATTTGAGGCTGGTGACAGATGGTGGAAGTGAAGCGACCCACTCTAAACGGCATCCTTCTATTGTTGTCAGTCTTTGAAATTGGGAGATAGCAGATATGTTCTCAATTCGACCAAAATAACCATACTCGAATACCAGAGTTTGAAGTGATGTAGGTAGGTTTCCAATATTAACAATTGAAGTGGGATTGTACGAACTTAGATGGAGGGATTTCAGATTTGGTAGAGAGTTTTCAACCAATGGATGAAGATGCATAGCTAGTTCGAGTGATTCCAATGACTGAGGGAACAATCCTGAAATAAATTGCTGATTTCGACAATCGAATTTCATAGTTCTAACACTATTAGGCAACACATAGTCATTGAGACGATTATAGATAGTTATCTTTTCAAGAGTGTTTGGAAGTGAACCTGATATTATCTTTAGCTTGTTGCCAGTGACGATAAAGAGTTCACTTATACTACTATCTGAAATATTAAATATACAATCGTCACTCCAATTTAATACGTGAATACACTTTACATTCAAAGGTATTTTCTCTGAAAGATTATCTGTATTCTTCATGTTGGTAACTTTTTAAAATGATAAAAGTTTTTAGTTTGATAAAAGTTAAATATTTTGAAATATTAATATTATTAACATACTATCTATTGTATAATCATATAAATTTGTATATTCTTTCTTAAGGGAGGTTTGATGATCACAAATCAATAGTTTACAAGATTGAATATCCGATATTTGTTGAAATTGTTTGGTGTATGATCTAAGTGTTACATGATTACTTCTGTTGTAAATCAATTGTGCTTTAGCATGTGTAAGTTGATGATCATTGAATATCAAATATTTATCTCTATTATTATATAACTTTTTAGATGTTAAACTAAAACATATTGAATCTAAAACTGTCAGTTCTTTGAAACTTAATATTTTAGATATCAATAGATATGGTAAATCTTGAATATTATTATTTATGTTCATCTAATCAGACAATATCAATTAATTGGTCAGTGTCAGTAATGCATGCGAGATGTAATAATGGTTTGTTAAGTAAGTTATGATGTGATTAGGTGAGTAAAAATCTGAATAAACAAAATGAAAAATTTAAGAAAAAATAGAAAAAAAAAAGATGTCAAAACAAAACTGGCTCTTGCTTCATAAATCGATTAAAATAAAAAAAAACCACTCTGATCACATTAAGCCCTTTAATTTTTAATTTTTATATTTTTTTTAAAATTAATGCGCAGGCGAAAGTTGTTGGGAGCCAGTTTTGTTTTGTGATCAGACAATCTCTCTTTTAAAATTGGTCGACTATGATCTTTTCAAATAATAATGAACAATCAACCAAATATAATAGTGAATCTATCACATTTAATATTAAATAAAATAATAAGTCATTTGGATGACAACGTTGATATCATTTGTTTCAGTTTAGTTTGTAAAAGATGGTACGATGAGAGAGATAAATATTTAATATTCAACATCGATCGTATCGACCTATTTGCTCTTAATACTTTTGATATTAAACAAAATAATGAACATTTTAAACTACCGTCATATCACAATAACTTTTTGAAATCGATTCAATCAAAGACAAATTGTAAACTGGCTATTGGTGATTTCGTAAGTGATAGCTATGATTATCATTGTGGTATGATATTTTCAATTAAATATATAAAGATAATCGATTATCTCATCTAATCATTTTTACCTTTTCCAAATAAAAAAGATGATGCTACAAGTTTAAATAGTATACCCAGTAATGTTTCAACTATTTATATTTCCTCTAGATATTCATATCATCATGATAACTTGGAGTATCTCCACAAACTAATATCAGAGTCACATTCGGTAACAACGTTCGATGGATGTAGCACTTTGAAATATGGATTATCGAATTCAATGAAAACTCTTCGATTCGATCACACTTTCGATGAGCCACTTGTGAAAGGATCTCTACCCGCTTCTTTGGAAGAGTTGGATTTCGAAGAGGATTTCAATCTAGAGATTCCACCGGGTGTTCTTCCAGATGGTTTGCGCAAACTTACTCTGAACAACTATCAATTCGAACTTCAACCAGGTGTACTCCCATCATCTCTCACCTATTTGAATCTTACAAGTTTTAATGATCCGTTCAATGAAGATTTACAAAGCTATTGTTCAAATGAATCTACAACTGGTGAAAATAGTTTATTAGAGAAATCGTGTGTGCCAATTTCATGGTTACAGGAAATACAATCACTTCGCAATCTTAAAACACTTTACATTTATCTTCCTCATCGAGTTGGAGGAGAAGTCACCATATTCAATCTCAAATACCTCCCTCCAAATTTAGAGACACTTGATATCACCTTACTTAGACAAGAGTGCTTCTTGAGAGGAACAATGCCAACATCTCTGAAAAGAATCTATATTCAGGACTGTCATTTTAAGTTCAACGAAATATTCCCAGAAACATTGAAATATCACCTTGATGTGCTCGAATATGAAAATAACATTACACTTCCAATTCCTTCAAATATAAAAATCGATACATTGGCAATTCGTGGAACATTAAAAGAATCAACTATATCTCTGCCATCTGGCGTTAGATCAATCAGCTTCTTAACGGCTCCATTTGATCCAATTACAAATCTATTTGACTTTGGTGAAAAGTCTGCTACCGATCAATCATGTTCTCTAAGAGATCTGCGTCTGCCAACCTTCAGAACCAAACCACCTCCCAATACAGTTATACTTCCAAGCTCCATTGAATCTCTGGATCTTGGCTGGAATAATCCCAATGAAACATTTCATTTGATACCACCAACACTCAAAACTCTAGTCCTCGAAAAAACATCGAAAATCAACATCACCATTCCGGATACCATCAAATCAATCACCAATATCACTCTTAAATTCGAGTTATTTTACACACAATCTATTAGAAAGTTAGATGAAAATTATTATTTAATATTTGGTGAATGCTCAGGAGTTTCCGGAAGAGTAATTGCTAAAATATTTCATCACTCCAAGCTAGAACTAATTTTAAATAATGTACAATAAATTAAAAGGAAGATAGATGTCCTAAAGAAACTGTAAACATTTATTTAATTAATTAATCATCATCCATTTGTTTTTGCTTTGTTAAATGGGTGGAGAGTAATGAATTCATTACTGATAAAGCACAAGAGGAGTGAGACGGAGCACTCGAAGGTGATATAATCAGAGATTGTGAAAGTTGTTGTAGTAATTGGTCATATGACTTGCCAATAAAGTGAATTCCTCTTGAGAATGCAATATCCTGAAGATCTTCAATCGAAAGATTCTGTATACCCTCTCTTAAAATCACTTTGTTATCATGAATAATCTCTTTCTCCCATTGTATAATGTTTTCTATAATATTATCTGTTGAAGTCATAGTAAAGCTAAATCCAATACATCTATTGTTTTTTAGTATAGTTAAAAGTAATTAATTAATACATGATGTTCACTTGATGATGTAAATCATAATGCAAAACTTACTTGTATAGTAAAACTAAATCACCTCTATTCAAATTTGAAAGAGTGATCTTTTGGTTTGGAAGGATATCGTCACGTGACTTTAGTCTTTCATATAATGAATTTGCATGTTTAGTTCTCTTTTTCAATTTGTTCAAATATCTTTTCACCTAATTTAATTGAATCAATGTTATTTGTTTTGTCCATTTCCAATAGATTAATACAGAATTTAAACTTACTATCATTTCTCTTGTTGAAAAAGTACTTGGTAATATTGCTGAGAGATATTTAATGTAGATAGGCAATCCAAATGTTGAAAATGGAACACAAAGGTAAACGAATAGTGGTACAAAATATAATGAATCTTTCTCTATTTTGATGAAAAATAATAATCAATATAACGTCAACTATAGCTATATATAAAATAATTTACGAAACATACTGAAATTATTCATCGATATAATTTCTTGTCTTGAAAGTGGTGTTCCCATCATCTGTTTAGGTCTGATTATGTCCTTGTAGAACTTCCAGTTGGTATAGTATGCAATAACTCCATGTTTAACCTGTTGATTCAATTCATCTGCAAACTTTCTAATATGACCATATATATTTAAAATGAAAAGTTTGAAGCCACTATGATTGTTGTTGTTATTTTCTGGTGTAGTAGTTGAACTTGAAGTCGGTGATGGAGTAGTTGTATTTGTTTTACTATTACTATTATTATTATTACTATTGCTATTGTTTTCACTTGACAAAGTCGAATATGATGATATTATATCTTCAAATTGAGTGTGTTGTGACGGCTGTCTTTGATTCTGAAATAAAAGAGTTGAATTGTTTGCATTGGTAGTGGTGGTGGTTGAACTCCACGAAAACTTATGCAGAACTCTGTCTCTTTTCGAAACAATAGATAATCTAAGAGTTCTAAGTGATTGCATTATTAAGATGTCTAGTAACTATAACTATTTAAATAATAGAGAATCTTTAAAAGATATTTAAAACAAATACAACTCTTTTGGCAATCACTTATACGAAACACTGATCAACAAATCAAAAAAAAAACAAAAATTAATAAATGATCAGTTAAAAATAAAAGGCGAGAGAAATTTACATAAAAAGATTTATTTGATCAAAAAAAAAAAATTAGGGCGAAAGTTTTACCAAATAGACCAAATATGATGATTTGTGTGTGGTTAAAATATCATTTTAAATAATTAAGTTCCAATTAATTATTTATATATCTAACATCTTCTATAAATAAATATTTGTCAACGAGATGAGATCATTAGGTTATTTATGAGCTTTTAAGAAATACATTAAACAAACACGTTTGATAATAAAATTTTTATTTACATTGATAAATGGATATTGTACAGAAACTTAACTGTGGAAGTTAATTTTAAATTAATTCGAAATATAGGATGATTTGTTAAGTTTGGTAATACAAAACTATTAGTTGGTTGTGTGTGTTGATGAATTTGATGCTACGTCGTCGGCAACTATCAAATCTGGTGATTGGGTGACTGACAAGCTGACAACTATCTTGTGTTCGGCGGTGTTTTTCAAGAGTGGGAGTGTCGCCAATCCCACGTTGATACCTTCAACGCACAGCTGTTTGTATTGAACTTTGCCTTTTCCGAGTATGACACCGAGTGAATCTAAAATCTCTGGCCATACCATTGTGAACATGCTTTTGATGTGCTGCGCAAATTCACTACGATGAAATATCTCTGTACTATTTACATTGTTATTGTTACTGTCTTCTGGGTCGCCTTGATCGTAGATGCTATTCGCTCTTCTTCTTGTGCTCAATATCGATTCTTCACCGTCTTTATTCAATGACAACGGTTGACTTGATATTCTGGCATAGATATCCTCGAGGTATTGTTTGTTGAAACTATTTGTACTCTCTTTTGGTCTGGCTCTATTGTAATTATCTATCCACTCTTTCTTTGTGATATGATTCTTTATGGAAGCTGTATGAAGATCGGTCGATAACATAATAATTGAGTATGACAATACAAATACATCTGTATCCGACAATCCTTTAGCATTTAACCTCTCACTATTATTATTATAGAATCTCTTTGAAAATGATTCAATAATACGTTCAACCTAAATAACATTTAAAGATTGTTAATTAAACTTACTCAAGTTTTCTAAAATTATTATTTTATATATACTCTTTGTGATTCACCAGAAAGTCTAAAATGATTTAAGAAATGTCGAATGGCAGTATCGACTTCATATCCAGAGAAATCGAATAGGTCTGTGTATCGCTCTAGAATTTGAGTGTTCTTGGGTTCAGATATATAAGCGCCAATACTAACTTTATCTAGCTTCTCGGTGTTTTTGAGGAATAATGCCATTCTTATGGGATCGGAAACGTTGATAAAATTCAACTCCTGTAGTATTTTCAAACTGCCTTTAATATCCTTTTCAAACTTTGAAATGGCATCTCTGATCTCCAGCTTGTGAAATTTGTTTCTCTGAAACTGATTGTCTTCTCCTCCCAACCTGTCTTTATTGGTATTCACCTCACCCGATACACTCTTTAATAGTTGAACTATGAATTCCAATGATAAATCCATCACCTTAATCTCATCCAAATTCTTATAACTCTGTATATCTTTCTTTGAAATCTTACAGATAGATTCAACTAATCTATATTTTTTTTTATTAATAATTAATTATTAACTATAACAATTTTATAATGCTACAGACCTTTGAAATATATCTTTATAATGTATATTACAATCGTAATTGATATAAATATCCGATATAATATCAGGATATTCGCACAACTTGATGAGAAATTCCAATATAAGTATTTGATGTGTATGTGGGTTTGATTTACTATTGGAATGTCTCTCCAGATACGGCAAAATAACATCTGAGAAGTAATCACCAATCTCACTCTTGAGATGCTCTCTGTTGTGAACAATCAAGTTTAAAAATAGATTCAGTGAATGTTCGAAAATGACGACATTCGAAGAGAATCCAGTTTCAATGATGAGTGGCCAGCTGTAATTGAGTGCTCCCTCATTCAACTGTGAAAACTCTTTCATTCTTCCACCAAACTCTCTAATTATAAAAGCAATCAATTCCAAAGGATACACTTTTGTTCTAAACTCTAAAGATGTTTTTGAATTGATATCTGAAGGTACACTTTTAGTTTTGAAAATGAAAACAAATTAATTAATATTGATTCTTTCATAATATGTAATCAAACTTACTCTTTTAAATAGGTATGTGATTTCATACTGAGATATTTGAATATGAAAATTGAATCTGAAATTGGAATTTGATGATCCGTCAGAATTAAATGGTTTTTATAGAGTGAATGAAACCAAGATTGAGGTTCAAAGTTCTCAAACAATGAGCCGAGTATCTTTTTGATAGAGTCTCTGATGTGATTGAGAAAATCTGAAGTAAACTTCAAATGTTCGTAGATATAGAAGAGGATTTGAACTTCCAACAAGACACTGTGGTTCTTAAACTGAGAAGTAGCAAAAACCATCTTTGAAATCTTGGTAAGTACATCCTCGTCTATATGCAAAATATTTCTAAGAGTCGTCTCCAAGAAATAATCTACCAATGCCTTATTGTTTTCTACCATTGATGAAACAATACATTTTTCATCAATCAGCAACTATACGTTTAATATGAAATCCAATTATAAAATCAAAACAAAAGTTAGTTAGATTTTAAATCATTATTAATTCTTTTCTTATAACCAAAAAAAAAAAACACTTACAATAATCAAATCTAAAGTTGATAATATACATTTAGGTCCAACAGTAAAAGAAACCTCATAGATATTCGATAGATGTCTAATTATCTTTTGCCATTGTGAATTGGATGTTTGTGAATCGGCGTTGATCTTGGCAGACATATTAGGATTGGTTTGAATGATATCCAAAATCTTGGAGACTTCATCCTTTATCAATTTATTTCCTTTCTCTGAAACCGTTCCAAGACCATCACACAACAGAGTAACTCTTAAATCTTGTCTGCGAAATGAGTGTTTAAACCGTGATGTCGATGATGACTCCATTTTATTTATTTTAACTAATAAATAAATAAATAATTATGTACAAATATATAAATCAATTTAAATGTTACAAAAAAAATAATACTAGAAATTATAAAAAAATTCTTAAAACTGATTTTAGTGATCCATTTTAAACAGTTAAAATTGGTCCATCTTTTTTTTTTTTTTTACGAATCTCAAGAGGTGCTTTAAAAAAAAACAAAAAACCAAACCTTTTGGAGGCAAAACAAAAAATGAAACCTTTTTTTGTGCATTTTGCACACCATTTGATGATCAAAAGTTTGGTTCAAAAAAAAACATAAAAATCAAGATGTGTGGTAAAAAAAAAAAACTTTAAAATAATATTTCTTTTCTAATTTATTTACCTTTGCATAAAATTGCGAAGGCTTGAATTGCAAAGCGATAGTCTGATTTGTTATCTGATACACGTTGGATTTGATTCAAGAATATTTGTTTGTCAGAGGTTTCTACTGTGCCTTCGAGGAATGGTGATTTTATGAGAATCTTTGATGCCTCCTGTCTGAATGGTGTTGGGTATGCCGAAGCATAAGCATGGAATACCTCTGCAACATTTGGTAACAAATTACTTGGGAATACAGATGATACACCCTGTAAAATAATAAAAAATAGTAATAGTTAGAATATATAAAAGTTCAATTATTAAGTATAGTAATACATACAACTAGAAGATTTCTAATTAAAATTCTACCATGATTCTTGATCAGTTCATTGATGATCTCGACAAATCTGGCAGCTCTAGTGTCTGCACTCTTTACCAACATTATAGCAGTGGAAAGGAAAGTAAAGCAATTTCTACTGGTGAGCAGATCGTTGATATCCAAAAGATTGTGAATAATATAGGTTGCCATTGCACAAACGATTTGCTGGTCAACACATTGTGGTACAGTTTTCAGTGCCTATAATAATTATAAATAAAATCGTAATAATAGAGATTAGTAACAAAAGGAAATAATTAAGTTATTGTTCTGTTGGTTATAGTTACATTTTGAATCATATTGAAATATTCTCTTGAAAGATCTGGACGGACTGAAAAGTTTAATAGGAAATTTGGATCGATTGGGTACTCTCTTAATGGATGTGAGACTGGTAAGTGCATGGACATATCGTGTTTTGTTTCGCTTCTTAGGAGATTAAGTGTGGTTGTAGAGATGATGGTGTAACACTCGGCAAGCTTCTCTTCGATATTTTGTGATTTACTGCTGTTTCCAACGGCAGATACCACCTGTAACAATTGTGAAAGTGGGTATCTATTATAGGTATCTGTGACTTGATTGAGAATCTCATTAATAAACTCTGAAATGACACTCTTTGAATATAAAATAGTTAATCTATATATCGATGCGATTGACTTGGATGTTTAAAAAGGTTGACAATGTTAGTAATCAATTAAAACTGAAATAATGTTAACTACACTTACTTCAATGATTTGACAATCGGATGAGAAGAGTTTAAGTAATTCTTTCATTTGTGGAATGACAATCTTGAAAAATGGGAACAATGGATGTGACTTTTTATCTTCATATACATCGTCAACGTCGATAATATTGGTGATCTTTTCGATGATCTGTAATTGTATTTTCAGAAGTGGTAAACTCTTTGCTGGTTGTTCCTAGAGAAGAAGATAAAAAAAAAACAAATTTAGATTAGAATGTGATTGTTTGGAAATATGACTGTGAATATTAATATTAAACTTACTGATGTTATGATTCTTCCGATATTTTCTACTACAGGTTCAATTAATTTCTTGAATGGTGGCATCATTTTATCGGATGGAATGACGTGAATGATGTAGATGAGTGCTTCGTAGACGGTGGCGATGGATGGATGAGTTTGGTGAGAGTTCAAGTGTGGCGAGCAGAGATCGATGATGGTGAGAATGTTTGGTGAGAGATGGAGTGCGCACTTTCTATTGGCTGTGATCGAGAGGAATGCATTTGATGCCGACTTTAGGAGCTCGGTGCATGCAAACGCTGGAATCATATCGGCAATAACCTTTTCCAAGTTGTCTTTGTGCTCCTGAAGATAGCTGGAACACTTTCCGAGCAATATGATCGAGGTTTTCGCTAGTTCCACTGATTTCGTCGGGATGGATGGAAGCAACTTGAGAAGAACCGGCACGATTTTGTTGTCTTTAGAATTGAATCCCGATGCCAACGCTGAAATATAGAATAGTGTAACTTCATACTTTTGCCATGCCTGTACTTTGTTGATGATATCGTTGTTCAGAGTATCCATTAGGTAGCCAATAAAGCAGTGACGGTCGTTCATCGAGAATCGATTGATAATGTCGAGCATCTCTGTTGAGTTTTCACGGAACATCTGAATCTGATGATATTCCTCTGCGGATTTCTGAGCGGGATACGTTGCACCCAGACATATCTGACTGAGCACCTTCAGGAAGAAACCTTCGAGAATCGCTTTGTCCAGTGTCAGATACTCGGGATGCGACTTGAAGTCGTCAAACAACGGGAAGAGCAACTCGCAAAACTCACGATTGCCAATCGAAATAAAGTTTATCAAGAGTTCGAGATATCGCTTGATCAAGTCCTTTGAGAGGACGGTCGAGTTGTTTGCCAAGAGAATCTGCACAAACAGGTGGCAGATTGACTTGGCGCCAACAATGTCGTCCTCGCGAACCGCGCGCTGGAAGAACTCTGGCATCACCAGCTGCAGTCTGTCGGCGATGACACCAAACACCTTTTCAATGTCATCGCTAATCTTGTTCTCCAAATGCCCCAGTGTCGACTCGACCATGCACATGAACGCGGCGACCTGGCTCGGGTCGGCAATGGTCGCGTTCAGCACACGGTCAAAAGTCGCCAGAAAAGTTGTTGGGTTGGTCGGAAGCATGTAGCTAAGCCAGTTGGATTGCGCGCGAATCACCATCTTCACGTCGAGATTGCTATCGGCTGGCAACTGCATGATCATCAACAGGAAGTTGTAGATACGATCGATCAGAGTGCCACCGATCTCTTTTCTAATCATTTTGTACTGGCACGAGATGGAACCGGTGCGTAGCTCCTGCGGTAAGATCGACAAGAACTCCAACACCAATCGCAACTTGTCCAACTGGATATTCATCAGTGGTTGATCGATGTTTGGACTACACAACTGAATGACATTCTCAATCGGTGAATTCCAAAGCGTCGAGAATGTGTACATCGCCACAATACTCAGAACGACACACATCTTTGTCGCGACAATGCCATTCAATTTCGTTGACTTCTCTGCAATGTTTGTAACAATAGATAACACACGTTGTTTCATCTCATTCGGCAAACTTGTCCATTCATTCTTTAATTTTTGTTCCAAAGTAGATGCTCCAAAGAATTGTAATTCTAAAACCTGTTAATCAATTGATTGTTAACATATCATTTAAAATGATAGCAGTGTTAGTTAGTTAACAATGAATGACAACAACTACAACATCGACATCGACATCGACAACACATCATATTCCTAACATACATTTGTTTCTAATAGTTGTGGACAGAAATCCCATGCACTGTGGAGTGACTGTATCTTAATTAACCATTGTTGTGCATAATCTCTCATACATGAATCGTTAGAGGTATAGAGTGCAACCAATGCCTTTGATATGTTATCGATTGTTGGTGGTTCCAAGTTTCCATTGATATTACATATATCACCACCTGCAAGACAATCATTTGCAACTATAGTTGGTGATACTGATTGCTTTTGTTGCTGTTGTTGCTGTTGTTGTTGCAAACCATTCATTCTTCAACCCCTATCAGTATATAATATCTATCTATATTATAATAATCTATATTTTATTGTATTTTTACTCTTTTTTTTTTTTGTTTTTTAATTAAATAGTAATATAATAATTAATTTAATATAATATAAATATAATAATAAAGTTATTTAGTTCGTTGTTGTTGTTGTTAGAGTATTTATTTGTTTATTGTTGTTTTCATAAAGAATACACCACCACACAACAATACTTCTTTATTATTTTATTTTTTTTTCAAATTTTTCTTCCACATTCTTTTTACCAATTCGAATTTTTAGAAGAAAACGACCGTTAAAACCTTGTTCATTTTCAAATATTTGATATCACATGATTGTCAGACAAATAATTTGCCAAACAAATATAAGAATTATCTTTTGATTTATGTTATTTTTATTTATTAAATATATATAACATTAAATCGATATTATTATTTTATTATTATTCATGAACTTTATCCATCATAAATATTGATACAAGTTGCAAACTTGACTAGTTGTTTGTTGTTCATTTGAAAGAACACATTCATTTTTAATGATTTGGTTCTACTTCTATTTTTACTTGTACGATTTAGTTTTGCTTTACCAGATCAAAACATCGTTTGTTGACAGGTATTTTGATAAATTTGATTTCATTGTTTGTTTGTTGTTTATTCGTACAATGAATGGAAAGATAAAAAGACTCAAAAAAAAAAATAAAGATAAAATAGACTGATTGTTTTGTATTTTTTTTAATTATATTTTATTCCCTTTTCACATAACGGTTTTAAATACTATAATATTTAAGCAACCAAAATGCAGGCTCCACCAGCAGCTTTGATCTTCTTTTCAGCGACCTTGGAGAAATATCTAGCCTTGACAATGATTGGTTGATTTGGGAGGATACCGTGACCCAAAACCTTGAAGAAACCCTATTATCATGTGATTGTAATTTAATGATTGATGATGATGATGCATTGATTAGATTTTGTTCTTATTATATTTTGATTCTAAAAAAAATAGTGTGTTTGTGATCAACTTACACGTTGGGTGACATCGACAACTGGAGCAGTACCGTCAGCCTTGGCAGCAAGAGTCTTACGGACAGTCTCTGGGACTAAAGTCCAGATCTTCTCGAGAGAGATGGTTGGGCAGTAGGATCTGTGTCTAACCAAATGGAAAGTTCTCATACCGAGCTTACCGAAGTAACCTGGATGGCTATAATGATATAATGTAATCAATTCAAAGTAAGTTATCTGTTCGCAAACGACATGAATTCTCAATTTTCAACCTACTATTTGACGATGTTGATTCTATGATGAGTCAAACCACCAGCATTACCACGACCACCAGCATGCTTTCTGTGTTTACCTATTATCAATAACACTTCATTAGATTCTATCTTCTTCTTCCTTTCTTGTTTCTACATTATACATACCGACACGACCGTAACCGGCGCAAACGTCTCCTCTTGATTTTCTGTGTTTACTGAAACGGGTAGGCTATAATTTGTTTTGTAGATTGGAGCAAAGTGTTAGACATTGATGAACTACATAGCAATACGATAGGATATAGATAAAGATATAAGGATTGATACCATACCATTCTGTGATAGGGATTATAATGCGTTGAGGTGGATCACAAACAAAAAGTTACACTATAGAGCTAAGGTTCGTCTCGCAGTCAGAGACCCACTCGCTCACCACACCCAATCTAGTAAAATTTTTGAAAAATTTCAAAAAATTCAAAATAATGAAAATTTGAAGTTTGGCGTGAAAAAAATAAAAGCCCGTCATTCTACTTCCTACGTTAAAAAAACAAAAAAACGAAAACAATCCCAAGTCCACAGATTAACTTCAACTTGATCACCAAAAATAAAATTGTTCATTAATCATCTATCGACGACCAATACTATAGTTCTCACATTATGATAATTTACAATTATTATTCATTCATTGCATTCCTTCATTTCATTTATTATTATTTGTTTTAGAATTTAGAGTGACATGAAATGAAATCACAATAAGATTGTAAAATAAATATCAATTGTTTGTTTTAGATTGCAATCTAAAATTGAATTGATCAATTTGAAATAATAATATCTACAATTTTGTTTGAGAAAGTTTTAGTAAAGTTCAATTGAATATTCTTGTGAATCTTTCGTTTATTCTCTCTCTCCTTATCTTTCTCTACGAATCGATGATTACTTATTATTATTGATTATAAAGATTACAATTTCCTTGCTATCAAGTACTTTGATATTATACCATCCAATCAAAAAGAATTAAGAATTAATAATAATTAAAAAAAAAAAAAACAAAATAAACACACAATACACACATTGCAATCATGATAATAATAAGATAAATTGGATGAATGATTGGTATTTTTATACTTTTTAGGGGTGATGGTAATGATAAACACGCTTTATACAACAACTTAATTATAAACTTTAAAGTGTTTGTGGTGTTTTTGTTGTTGTTTTTTTTAATATATATTAAGACCAGAGAGAATTTAAATTAAATGTTAAAAATGGAATTAATTATAAAGAATTTATTGTTATTTTTGTTGTTGTTATTGTTACTACTTACTTCTTTATAAATTAAATAGTTGTTTTTAGTTTATTTTGATTGTTTTTAATGTTTAATTAACATATACATATATATAATATTTGTTAATCTTTAATTGTACATACATCTTATCTATCTATTTTTATATTTATATTTATAAACAACAGCAAACTTAAACATATATATTTTTAATTAAATAATATGAAAATAATAATTTATATATTAATCATAAGCCTATCATTGGTGGGAACCATCAATGCTGTAGCTAACTGCCAGTTTAAATCAGCCACTTCTGGAGATAACTATGATTTTTCGAGTTTGGCCAAGTAAGTAGTAAACATTTAATTTGTTTTTTTTAAGAAACTTTTGACTAATTTATCAATGAATTTTTGTAAATAATATAGTTCTACCGAATATTCATACGCAGATATAAAGGCATCAGCAACTGTAAGTTAATTATAATTTAAAAACAACAACAACAACATCTTTTCTAATAATGTTATTTTTTTATTGTTTTTTTTCAGTATTTTTTTAATTTTTGTAAAACATCTGCAACTTGTGTTCAACAGGGAGGTGTTACCGATTCATCTGCCTGTCAAAAGAACTCCAACGGTCTGACGAATTGTGGTTTGATTGGTACACAAACTTTCACTGAATTGGCAGGTGGTGCCCAAGGTGCCAATATGACCTACTTCAAGGGATCGGTCTGCGGTAATGGACGTCCAAGACAACTAAGTCTTGTTTGTAGTTGCGACTTGACTGCCGATCCAATTAAGTTCTCAAAGATCGAAGAGCCAGTTTCCTGTATGTATAACATCTACTGCTCGAGTAAATATGCCTGTCCAGGTGCTGCCGCTCCATCGACTGGCTCCGGAGGTGGTAAAGGAATCGGAGGTGGATGGATTTTCATCATTGTGTAAGTTTTCAATCTACAATTAGTAAAAATACAATAGAGGTGTATTCTAACAATTATTCTTTCTATTCTATTTGTAGATTGGTTGTTTGTACAGTTTTATATTTGGCAGGTGGTGTCACCTATAATCACAAGATTCGTGGATTAACTGGAAAAGAGATGATTCCAAACTATGCTTTCTGGAGCGACTTCCCCGGTCTTTTGAAAGACGGTATATTCTTCATCAAAGGAAAGATCACAGGAACTGGATCTTCTTACAGAGGATACCAACAAGTTTAAATCTATAATTATCAACCAATTTAACATTCTTTTTATAATCAATCAAAAGTTTTTCATTTTTATAATAAATATAAAATTGTTGTTATTTTTTTTTTTACGAATTTATAAAAAAAAAGCTGTAAAGTCATTATATAATCTCATAAATAGCACATGATCATTCTTTGCTTGTGGTGTTTTAATGCTTGAAAAAAAATCCAATAAAATTGTGCAATTTTAAATAAAAATTGTGCAAGTCTACTTTTAAAAAAAAATGTAAAAACATAAAAAAAAATCTAACTGGTGGTGTGGACCAGATTAAAGTGAAAAATGCTTTACCAAATCGTGAAAAAAATGTTTAATTTTTTTTTTTTTTTTACCTTTTTTTGATTTGATTTTTTTATATGCATGAGTGTATTGATATTAACACTTAGTACTTATTTAAATCATTTCAGTCACCTCACACCCACAACACCAATCAATAAAATTTAGATATAATTATTGATAAATAAAGATATTATAAGTTAAATTTTATTTAGCTATTATAGAGAATTCAGAGAGCGTGAAGAGAGCTAGAGAAAAATGAAAATAATCATTTCATTGTTGTTGGTCGCTGTGACTATTTTCAGTGTGGCTAGTGCAGCCGCTCAATGTACATTTGCAAACGGGTCAGATAAATATGATTTTAGCGCAATGAAAAATACTACAGGATATACATTTAAACCTTCAAATACTTTAGGCGCTGCAACTGTATGTCAAAGATTACGAATAATTTTATTCAAAATTAATTATTTATATTAATTTATTTATTATTTTTTTTTATTTAAGTATTATTGGAATGTTTGTGATATTTGCCAACAATGTGCAACCTCAGAAGAGAACACAGTAAGTTGTCAAGTCAGTGGTGGAGCTTGGAGAACTATTGGTCTTTTGACTGATGTTCAATTCACTGCGATCACTGATCAACCAAATGTAAAGGGTGCCACTATCACCTATGGAGGTGGACCAAACTGCTCAAATGGCCAAGCTAGAACATCGAGAATGAGAATCCAATGTTCAGAATCCGAAACTCAAATCGTTTCCGTCAGTGAGACCTCATGTATTTACGATATTTTCATGACTTCCAAACATGCCTGTCCAGGTGGTGGTGGCTCCAGCAGTGGAGGATCCGGTGGAAAGAAGGGTGGAATCGGTGGAGGATGGGTATTCATCATCATGTAAGTTTTAAAAGATAACAATGATATTCTTATAAAAATATTGTGACTTTTTCACTTTAACTAACTTGTTACATTAACACTAATATTAGTCTGTTGGTATCAATTACAGTTTATATTGGTGTTGGTATTGGTGTTAACTACAAAGTACGTGGATTAAGAGGAGCCGAAATGTTCCCAAATATCGAATTCTGGCGTTCTGTTCCAGGTTATGTTGCAGATGGAGCAATATTTATTAAAGGAAAGATTACAGGATCAGGTGGACAATCTGGTTACCAACAAGTTTAAAAGAAAATTGAAATTAAAACTACATATATATTTATTTTTTGTAACTATTTTTTGTGTTTATACAATAACAATTCATTTTCATTTATTAGAGAAACAAAAAAATACAACAATTCATCTTTGAACTTTCATTTGAATTTTCTGTTTATCAATTAATTATTTTTTTATAAATATATTTATATATCTTAATATTTATTTTCTAGCTAGTAAATTCAATATCATGATATCAATATATGATAACAAATGAATGAATTCATTTCTTGCTTATTGTTTTTTGAATCAAAAGAATTATTAAAAGATTCCAAATCAAAAAAAAAAAAGTTAAACAATTTTAATTCAATGGTCTGTTGCAATATTAATAATGTCCATTAACTTTAAATGAGTCTCCGATTGTAGTTGTTTTTTGGTGACCGCAAATTCTAAGGAATTATTGATGGTTCTGACTTTTGCAAACTTTTCGAAAGAAATTTTTTTTTTCATTTTTGACATTATTGTTTTTTTTTTTTTGTAAAAAATATCTGGATTTGTTTGAGCTTTGAATATTGTTGCAGAACATGAGTGTTTTTGCGGTATTGCAGGTGCCAAGTACAAAGTAAAAAAAATAGAAAAAAAAAGAAATTAAAAAAAAAAACAATCAACAAAGGCTTTTTTTTTTCTTTTTATTTAATTTTATTTATTTTTCGTCAAGGTCATCAAAAAATTTTGTTTGCTTGCAATCAAGAGTTATTATTGTTAAATTTTAGTGTTACATCATCAAAACATTTAGAAACCAGTAACATATAAATATATAGCAATGAAATTGGTATTTAGCACACTTCTCATTTTGGCAGCAATCGCCATTGTTTCAGCACAAAATTGTAAATTGAGTGCTGGCGGTAAAAATTATGATTTCTCTAAGTTGTAAGTATAAAAAAAAATAAAATAATAAGAATAATAAAAATAAATAAACAATACAATATCACAATCTATATATACCTTAGAACAGAAAGCTAATTTAATATATTTCAATTCAATAAGAGCAAATTCTACATCATGGTCAGTCCAAGATGCTTCTAAAGCCACATACTTTTTCAATATTTGTCAAACTGCCTCCAAATGTACAACTATTAACCCACAATGTTCTTCATGTCAACAAGGACCAACTGACACACAACCAAAAGCTGATTGTGGTCACACCAACGCTATTGTCAAAGCTCTCAGTAAGTTAATTGTTATATTTATTAATAAATTTGTTGAGATATTAATTAATATCAATTTTTTTTTTCATTTATGAAAAAATTAAGGCAATGGTGTTGCTGGTGGTGTTATTACATACACTGGTGGTAGCACATGTAAATCAGGTACCATTGTCAGAAGTACTGAAATTCAAATGATGTGTACCAATGGTGCAACTCAAATTTTAAGTGCCACTGAGGTTTCCACCTGTACATACACCATCAAGCTCAACAGTAATTTGGCTTGTGCAACCGGTTCTTCAACTGGTTCAACCACTGGAAAATCAACTACCTCTGGTTCTGGTACAACCTCTGGTTCTGGTACCGATGGTAGCAGCGCTGAGCCATCCAAGAAGAAGGGTGGAATCGGTGGAGGTTGGATCTTTGTCATCATGTTAGTAGCCTTTTTATATAATATTTCTTTAGATAGTAATTCCTAATTTATTTTTGTTTTTCTTTTTAATTTAATTTATTTTAGTCTCCTTGTTTCAGCCACAGTCTACATTGCAGTTGGTATTATCATCAACTTTAAGGTTCGTGGATTACGTGGAGCTGAGATGTTCCCCAATCACTCATTCTGGGTTGAGTTCCCAGGTTTGATGAAGGACGGTGTATTGTTCATCAAAGGAAAGGTCACTGGTTCTGGTGGACAATCAAGTTATCAACAAGTCTAAATACACTATACCCGACAGACGAACATAACATTTATCTAACAACAAAAAAAAACGATAACTATAACATATTCTTAATAATCGATCAAATGTATAGAGCTCATAACAACAACAAAGTCAACTTAAAGAAAGTAAACCTTAACTTTCTTTATATATTATTATTTCCAACTATTTAAAATATAGAAAATTCATATCATAAAGAAAATAAATTTATAATAATATATTTTTTATTTAATTAATTATGTTATTTTATTCTGTAATTGCTTTGAAACTTCAACCTCAACAACAAACAATCTCGCCCCCATTCATTGCGATCTTGGATCTTCTGATCATGTGTGCTGATTAAAATTCAAAAATCTAATTTTCTTTTCTTTGGTTTAATTTGAACAGCACCACACATTACATGCTTATCAATATTTTTGCTTCATTTTTAATTTTACATTGTAATATAATATGTATGAGAAGATAATGAATAATATAGAAGAACCTATAACACCAACAGAATCAACAACAACAACAAACGAAACGACACCAACAACAACTGAAATCCCTACAACAGACCAAAATCATTTGGATTTCAAAATACCGAATTGTGAGACCAGTGGCTGTGAGAAGCAATCATTAAAATATTGTCTGAAATGTGTAAAGTATCTTTGTGAAACACATGATTCTGTTCACAAGAAGATACCGACAATGAAATCACATACAAGAGAAGATTCTGGAAAGGTCGCAAAGTTCAAGTTCAGATTGGAATGTCCAGATCACACCCAAGATGTCTCAAACGATCTAAAGACAAAATTCATTTATATCTGTCCGAAAACCAGAGGTTTGAAATTTGGTCAAAAGTTAGCAGATGTTTCAAAACATGGTGATAAACCATATCATCAAGTTAGTTTTATTGGTCCTTCAGGTTGTGGAAAGGTAAATAACAAATACTTAATGTATTTTCATAATTATGTACCTAACTAATTTGAATAATTATTAACTCATTAACAGAGTACAATGATTAGACTGTTAGCAGATGATAAAATACTTCCAACACCAGCTGTTAAAGGTGCTGTCGATCCAACTTCATCTGATATCAATGCATATCTATCTCATCTTGATGACCAAAACGATGAGTTTATTTATGTTGACAGTGAAGGAACTGGTGGTTCAATGTCAAATACCATGCTGCTAAGTAGTCTTTCCGAGGCAAAAGAGTCAAGTCCAGCTGGGGCTGATCCTAAGGAGGAAGTATCTCAAGTCTATGATGAGGAGATGAACCAGTTCATTGCGGCAAGAGAGCCATTCGTTTCGAAATCATTTCCAAGATTATTATATTTATTCTCCGATGTACTTGTTTTCATGTTCACCGGTGAAGCTAGAGAACGTCAAACCGTTCTTGAATCATTGATTCTCTATGGATCATCAGCATCGGCAGCATCGGTCAATCAATCAATACATCCTCATTTGGTAATTGTTTTCAACAATTCCAATACAACCAACAAAGATGACTTTGATATTGACAAGGCCACCGAACAATATCTTGACAATCAAAGTGAGAATACTCACAAATTGAAATGTCTTTACCAATCGATATCCGTAGTTTATGTTCCGAATGCCAATGGAAGTACATTATTAACAGCTCAACAACAGATCGAGAAACTTGGAGATCTCATCAAACAGAAACTCAGAATCAACAAATCAACCAAAGAATCCAAACCAGAATACTCTCGTTCCAAAGTTCTTGAATATATTGACAAAGCGATGACATCTTTCAATCATGACCGAAATTCAAAGATTGATTTCTTCAAACTTGTCACCATGAATGACCAGAACACCTCTATTTCATCAAATATCTTCAAGTTTGCTAACTTAGTTTTCGAATATTACGGAGAAAAATCAGAAGATATCCACAAGTCTTTTAGTGAAGGTAAAATAATATTATTTAAATTTGTAGTATAGTTTATTAAAAGTTTTACTTTAGCAAATGAAATTTTAGAGAATGCTGTTATTGTATCATATAAACACTATTGCAAGAGGATTTCTGGAATTGACCCAAGAATTGGTCAACCAGATGCTCAATTTATTGGTGCATTCGTTGACATATTAAATCAAGTTGAAGAGAAACTTCAAGAGTTTAAGCTATGTGGCTCAACGTACTATTCTGAAAACCTTAAGAAACATGTACTTTGCCAATCCAGAAAGAATAGCCATGGATCGAAGCACGAAAGTACCGAGGTTGTTTCTCTTGAACTATCAAAGGAACAGGCTGATTTCTTGAGGACTGTTGGAATTAAGAATGGTAATAATAAAAAGATAACATGGAGTGGAGAGTTTGAAAATTCTTTACAATCTGGAACATTGGCCGAAAGATGTCAGAGAGCACTCAGATCTCCAAAAACAGTTTTCAAAACTGCAGATTGGGAATCTGGACATCTTTCCAAATATTCAAATTTCTGGTCAATCTGTAATGTATGTCTTTTAGATTTCCCAAGTGAAGTTCGAAATCAATGTGAACATTTCGTTTGTTATCAATGTTGTAAAGAATCACCTTTATTCTGTCCAATTTGCAAGAAGCATTCCATTTGGGTTGACAGATCGATTCCCGAGAATGCAGCACTTAGAGTTTTATGTTTAGAAGGTGGAGGACTCCTATTCTCAGCATCACAAAGCACAGTTATTGATGAAATTGAAAAGAGATTATATGGAATACCAATTTCACGATTATTTGATATGGTCTCTGGAATTGGAACTGGTGCACTGATTGGATTAGTATTCCTCTGTGGAAACAAGAAGTTGTCAACTGTCATCGAGATGATTGATAGATTCTCTGATCAAACACACGGCATGCTTAAACTGTTGGGTAATCTGGAAAAAGAAGACAAAAACTTTTCTATGGATAAAATGACTAGTCTATTGTTTCAAGTTACCTCTGAAAGTCTGTCCGGATATATACCAAATGCCAATATCTTTACAACACCAATGGATTGTAAATTCATTTGCTCCACTGTTTCCAAAAACTTAATTAATCCAAACATTGCTCAAGCCGGAAACTATAATGCACCTCTACAAGTGCGCGTTGATAGCCTTAGTAGAATGTCAACAGCATTATTAATTGACTCTGATCTTCATGATACAAAGCACCACCCAATTAAATTTACCATTGGTGAATGTGAAAGATATTGGGGTATAAATCAGAAAGATGGATTAGTTAAATCCAAACAAATCGATTTGGTTGCATCAATTGGAAATGGATCAATAAGTATCACTCCAGATTCAGATGCAAATGAAGAGTGGCAATCACATATATCGAAATATTCACAATCGATTTCAAAGATGTTTAGAATCGATACTGTTTTACCAGATGAAATATTTAAAACCGGAAAAAAATCAGAGATTGTTTCATCAATTTCCAATGAAACCAGAAAATATTTAAACACCAAACAAGAAACAAAAGAAGAACTCAAAATTTTAGTGAATAATTTGATTGCTCAATTATTTTTTGTCCAAGTGAATCCGAGAATTGCAAACACCAAGACAGTAACTGGTATCATTCGATGTCGATTACCAAACAATCAAATTCCAAATGAAATCATATCACAAATCCAATCATCATCCAAACCATTCTCATTATCAGATCACTCTGGTCTTCCTGATGATTTCCAATTCACATTCAATATTGATAGCATCAAATATGAACCAACTTTGGAGATTCCATTCTCAATTGACAATGTTGAAATCTATAATTCATTCAACATATCAATCCAATGTAATCTTAAATGTAAAGATTCTGATCAACCCATCCAATCAATTAATTTCGAATTGTCCAATTAAATTTTAATCAAATTAATAAACAAAATATATAAATACTAAATATTATATATATAATAGATTGTTCTAAATTATTTTATTTTATTTTCTCACCAATGATCTCAACATTCAATTAGTTTTTTTTAATATCATAATGATGATTTTCAATCAGAATTAAAAAGAAGTGTTTTTTAATATTTAATCAATTAGTTTTTATTTACTGTGTTTAGAATTTGGCTAAAGTTCATCGGGAATCCAGAGATTGAATGTTTTTTATCTTCGGACTGATCATCACCAAATACAATATTGAGTTTGATATCGATCTTACTTAATTTATCACGTTGCAAATTGTTGATTGTGAGTGATTGAGAGAATCCACCATTGAACTGAACTTTGTCAAATACAATGTCTGTTGCACCTACACCATCTGCAGTGATACTGAATGGAGTGCTTAATTTTCTTAGTTTGTCAACCAAAACAGTATTTTCGTACAACTCATATGATAAACGACATTGAATTGTAAATTTGATTGAGTCTTGGTGTGGATTGACAGTCAAATAGAATTGACTTGCCAATAATTTGGTTGCAACATCGTTCAGCAATGACTTGTGTTTCTCACAATACCTTCTGACATCGGAAATGATAGATTCAATCTTATGCTTTTCATCATAACAGTAATCGTCTGTATATTCTGGGTCGATTCTTCTGCAAACTGTTGGATGATTGGACGCAACTACCTTATCCTTCAACTCTGCCCACTTGGTGCTACTCTCATTAAGTGTTGAAACGGTGTTGGTTCCATCTTTATAGCAGTCCTCTTGATGTTGATTTCCAGGGTTGGCCCATTTACCGGTTGTTACTGCCACAATCAAATCACATGAGCGGTTGAATAAACGTTGAGCTTCTTCATATCCAATTATTGCGGGTGCCAATGCTGATGTTGAACCATCGGTGTATGATACTTCATTGATGATATGTGGTTCAATGAATCCATCGGTTGCCGAAGTTGAAAGACATGCATCGAAAACAGTTCCTGATGGATTATCATATTTTCCTGGAAGATGGTATGATGTAAAGAGTGACAATTTCTTTGAACCTGTGCTTTTTGTAGTAGAAGTGACAGCAACATGAGAATTTCCTTTGGTCGCAGCTTGGCACAGTAGACTCTGATCGGATCTCGGATTATTTCCAACAGACTCTAGATATTCGAGATGTTGCTTTAAAATACTCTGGAATGAAATCTTTTTATAAATTGATCGATATAATATTCTTGTGAGATTCTTAATTCCGGCAATTGTTCCCAACGGATAGGTTTCCAGTTTTTCTTTCAATGCAGTGTAGAATGCAATCATTCTTGTAGCATTTCCAGAATCACCAGTGACACCAAGTGCAACTAATCCTCCAGATCCAGATCCAATAATAAGGTCGACTAATTTGTGGATTCGAATATCAAAAAGGATATGCTCTATTGTTGTAATAATAAAAGCTTGTGCAACACCAGTTACACCTCCAATACCTTCAAGTGAAAGTATACGAGTACCAGCAAGTGTCGGTATATCGTTGTTGGTCCATGGCGAGTGTGTACCACAAACTGGACAATGTACACTCCATTGAGTGGAACATGTAATACAGAACATGTGACCACACTTTCTGGTTTGTGTTGGATGGTCAAGGAGGCAACCATAACAAACTCTGTTCGTAAATGGCAATGACTTATTTTCAATGAGTTTCAATCGATTTTGAATCGTGATATTCTCATCTGGATGTTGTTTTCCAGCTTCTGGGAGAAGTTCATTGGCAATCTCGGCTAGATTCTGATAATGTTTGGATGGTTCAAATCCATTACCAATCCATTGGTAACTCACAGTCTCCACCTTCTCACCAAGTTTGAGAAACAAAAACTTTTTCTTTTTCGTCTCAATCTGAGTTGATTTGTGATCGGATATCACACCATGAGCACCTTGTAATACCTCACATCGAATATGTGGCTTCAAAGGATGAGCAGAGTTACACGGTAGAAGTTTCATAATACTGGAGTGAGCTTTCTCGAACATTTCAATCAGACTTTGTGGAATATGTTGACCTTTGGTCGGGTGGAGAAGACTATTTCTCTGACAATATAAATAGAGAATATCTTTGACTCTGGTAATAATAACTTGGAATGCTTGGTCAAATGCAACGCTTCTATTTATACCTTGTTTGATATTAAGATTATAAATACATTCGAAATATTCGAAAAGGAATGAGTTGACACCTTCCATTGATCTGGCCATCTTATAGATATCGATTGGTCCGTGTGGATCTCTGTTGAGAATATTGATTGCTTTTGAGATATATCCCATGATTTTACCTCTTTCACAAACAATATTTTGATTGGTTTTCACTTTGTATGCCGATTGAAGGAGTGAATAGACCAATGTCTTTAACTTCAATGTTTGTTGAACAAACTTTCCGAGTACCCATTGAATCTCATTGGAATCTGGGTTAATTGTCTTTCCAGGAGGGATGAAGATTACATTGAGTGATTGGTAATACTTTTTGAGTTCTTTGATATTTTGGCTGTGTGCAGAACCATCATCTTTGTCGTGGAAGATCAATTCTCTTGCCTCGTCATTGTCATAGGTTGGAACGTCATTCGATTTGTTGAAAGCAACAATCAAGTGTGGTTTGGTGAGTTGGTTAACTGATGCAGCGGCACTCTCAGCGGCATATGAAAGAAGTTCGGAAATTACATTCTCTTTTTGCTTGGCAGTCTGGTTGAATACATAAACAAATACATCACTGAAAAGATATAGTAATCTTGGATAGCATGTATCGATAAAGGAGCGACGATAATCGTAGGAGATCGAGTTATTGGAAGAACTTAAACCAGAGCTCTGGGTGTTTATAATCATTTGGTTAATGGTATCGGCACCTTTACCTTCAGAGTCAAACAGTAGGTATTTGCAATGGTTTTCATTGTCAAATGTTCCATTGTAACAATTGATATCGGAACTGGCAGCAGTAGTTTGACTGTTGGATGAAACCGGAATCTGTCCTTCAGCAAAACTTCTGATTAGAGTACTCTTTCCAGCGCCTGCAGGTCCAACGAAACTGACCAAAAGGAATGGATCTTTTTCATCGATACCAGTGTTCAACCATTTCATACCCATTTCCATCTTTTGGGTGTTTGGACTTACGTAGAGAATATTGTTTTTGTTCCAATCGTTTTTGAAATCATCAGGTGTGCCCGATGTCTCATCTAGGGTTTTGGTAGCACATTTATACAGGTCAATTGGAACTCTGTCATGGTCCTTCATAACATCATATGCATGTAGCATCTCTGAATGTTCTTTACAATAGAAAGCATCTTCCTCACAACAAAATTCATACACCTTATTATTACATTCCGCTTTCAATTCTGCAACGTTGGCATCTAAAGATTCATCTTCAGATCCTTCAGTATAACAACACTTATATTCCACTATGTGCCAAAGAAAAACAAAAAAATTTAGTTAATATTTAAAATCTATTTATTTAGTATTTATATATCTTACTCTTTAAACAACATTATATTTATTTTAAAAAGATAAAAGTATTAAAATTTAAAATGAAAATTAGATATATCTATTTAATTATTAAAAGCAGATTTAAACCTTTCAGTTCAAAAATAAGAATTAAAAATTTAATTTTAATAAAAAGGATGTGTGCTGGTGCAAAAAATCCATTGCTGATGAGGGATGAGATTGGAATGATAATGGGGGAATCAAAGAGGGGTGTGATTTTGTTTGTAGCTTTGACAACAATGATCACCACCATTTATGCAAAATTAAATCAACAAAATAAAATAAAATTTTTACAAATGATAACGTTAATAAACCAATTAAGATCAACTTTATTTTTTTCTTTTGCATTGTAATATAATATAATATGAGAAAGAAATGAATAGCATAGAAGAACCTATAATCTCAACCACAGCAACTACAAATACTACAGCAAATCAAAGGCAATCGGACGTCAAAATACCGAATTGTGAGACCAGTGGCTGTGAGAAGCAATCAGTAAAATATTGTCTGAAATGTGTAAAGTATCTTTGTGAAACACATGATTCTGTTCACAAGAAGATACCGACAATGAAATCACACACCAGAGCTGATTCTGGAAAGGTTGCAGAGTTCAAGTTCAGATTGGAATGTCCAGATCACACCCAAGATGTCTCGAATGATCTAAAGACAAAATTCATTTATATCTGTCAAAAAACAAAAGGTTTGAAATTTGGACACAAATTAGCAGATGTTTCAAAACATGGTGATAAACCATATCTTCAAGTTAGTTTTATAGGTCCTGCAGGTTGTGGAAAGGTAAATAACAAAAACTTTTTCTATTTTTGATAATCAATTAAACTAACAAACCAATTTGAATAAACTCATTAACAGAGTACAATGATTAGACTTTTGGCAGATGATAAAATACTTCCAACACCAGCTGTTAAAGGTGCTGTCGATCCAACTTCCTCTGATATTAACGCATATCTATCTCATCTTGATGACCAAAATGATGCTTTCGTTTATGTTGACAGTGAAGGGACTGGTGGTTCAATGTCAAATACCATACTACTAAACACCTTGAGCGAAGGAAAAGAACCGGCTCCAGTTGGTGACGATCCTGAAGATCCAAAAACTGAAAACGATGAAAAGAATAAATTCCTGTCTGCCAGAGAGCCATTCGTTTCGAAATCATTTCCAAGATTATTATATTTATTCTCCGATGTACTTGTTTTCATGTTCACCGGTGAAGCTAGAGAACGTCAAACCGTTCTTGAATCATTGATTCTCTATGGATCATCAGCATCGGCAGCATCGGTCAATCAATCAATACATCCTCATTTGGTAATTGTTTTCAACAATTCCAATACAACCAACAAAGATGACTTTGATATTGACAAGGCCACCGAACAATATCTTGACAATCAAAGTGAGAATACTCACAAATTGAAATGTCTTTACCAATCGATATCCGTAGTTTATGTTCCGAATGCCAATGGAAGTACATTGTTAACAGCTCAACAACAAATCGAGAAACTTGGAGATCTCATCAAACAGAAACTTAGAATCAACAAATCAACCAAAGAATCCAAACCAGAATACTCTCGATCCAAAGTTCTTGAATATATTGACAAAGCGATGACATCTTTCAATCCATGACCGAAATTCAAAGATTGATTTCTTCAAACTTGTCACCATGAATGACCAGAACACCTCTATTTCGTCAAATATCTTCAAATTTGCAAACGTCCTTATTGAATATTTTAAAGAAGATAGTTCCGATGGTGCAAACCATTGGTCCTATATTAAAGGTAATTTTAAAGAATATAATTATAAGGAGATAATAGCGATATTAATCTATTTTTTATAGCCAATGATCTTTTAGAGAATGGTGCTATTGTAGCATATAAATACTATTGCAAGAGGATTGCTGGAATTGATCCAAGAATTGGTCAACCAGATGCTCAATTTATTGGTGCATTCGTGGATATTCTTATTCAAGTTGAAGAGAAACTTCAAGAGTTTATGCCTTGTTGTTCAACTTTCTACCATGAACGACTGAAAAAGTATGTACTTTGTCAGGTGAGAAAGAAGAATCATGGGTCCAAACATGAAACCACCGAGGTTGCATCACTAGAGTTATCAAGAGAACAGACTGATTATTTAAGGACTGTTGGAATTAAGAATGGAAATAGCATAAAGATATCGTGGAAAGGAGAGTTTGAAAATACTTTACAGATTGAAACATTGGTTGATAGATGTGAAAGAGCACTCAGATCTCCAACAACATATTTCAAAACCTTAGATTGGGAATCTGGACATCTTTTCAAAGATGAGAAATTCATGACAATCTGTAATGTATGTCTTTTAGATTTCCCAAGTGAAGTTCGAAGTGGATGTGGACATTACGTTTGTTATCAATGTTGTAAAGAATCACCATCGGTCTGTCCAATTTGTAAGATAGAATCGATTTGGGTTGACAGATCGATTCCAGAGAATGCAGCACTTAGAGTTTTATGTTTGGAAGGTGGACAAACATTATTCTCAACTTCACAGAGTACAATTATTGACGAAATTGAAAAGAGATTATATGGAATACCAATTTCACGATTATTTGATATGGTCTCTGGAATTGGAACTGGTGCTCTGATTGGATTGGTTTTCCTCTCTGGAAACAAGAAGCTGTCAACTGTCATCGAGATGATTGATAAATTCTCTGACCATACAAGTAATCTCACTAAAATAATGGCTATTTTTGATGATCCACTTGTCTTTGAACCAATGACCGATATTTTGTTGGAAGGAACATGCCAGGAGTTTACCGCTTTTCTTCCAGATGACAATATCTTTACAACACCAATGGATTGTAAATTCATTTGTTCTTCTGTTTCTCACAACTTAATTAATCCAAATAGAGCACAAACCGGAAACTATAATGCACCTCATCAAGATGTTGCCAATAGTACTCCTTCCAGACTTGCTACACTATTTCTGTTAGATTCTGATATACATGATACAGAACACCATCCAATTAAATTTACGATCAGTGAATGTGAAAGATATTGGCGTGTAAACCAAACAGATAGTTTTAAGGAATCAAGAAGAATCGATTTGGTTGCATCAATTGGAAATGGATCAATTAGCATCACTCCAGATTCAGATGCAAATGAAGAGTGGCAAACATATATTTCAAAATATTCACCATCGAATTTAAAGATGTTTAGAATCGACACCGTTTTACCAGATAAAATATTTACATGTGGAAAAAAACTAGAACTTATTACTTCAATTTCAAATGAAACCAGAAATTATTTGAATTCCAATCGAGAAACCAAAGAAGAACTCAAATTTTTAGTGAACAGTTTGATTGCTCAATTATTTTATGTCCAAGTGAATCCGAGAGTGGCAAACACCAAGACAGTAACTGGTATCATTCGATGTCGATTACCAAACAATCAAATTCCAAATGAAATCATATCACAAATCCAATCATCATCCAACCCATTCTCATTATCAGATCACTCTGGTCTTCCTGATGATTTCCAATTCACATTCAAATTTGACAACATCAAATATGAACCAACTCTTGGAGATTCCATTCTCAATTGACAATGTTGAAATCTATAATTCATTCAACATATCAATCCAATGTAATCTTAAATGTAAAGATTCTGATCAACCATCCAATCAATTAATTTCGAATTGTCCAATTAAATTTTAAACATAATAATAAATTACATTGTGCAAATATTAAAAACTTTATTACATGTATTTTTTATTTATTACTTTTCAACAAACAAATTGTTTCCCCCAAAAAAAAAAACTGAAAATTTCACAAAACAAAGTTAATTATTTACTTTGTCTATTTTATTTTTAGAAGTTTATTTAGTTTAGTTTATTTTTAAATTTTTGATATTATTTACTAAAGAATGGGTGAGAGAAAAGTAATTAGTAAATACTATCCACCAGAGTTTGATCCCTCAAAGATACCTAGAGCGAAAGGTGTGAAGAAGAGTAACACCATCAAGGTTACCATGATGCTGCCAATGAGCATCCGCTGTAATACTTGCGGTGAGTATCTAGGTAGAGGTACAAAGTTCAACTCGAGGAAGGAGACAGTGGAAGGCGAGAACTACCTCGGTCTGAAGATCTTTCGTTTCTACCTGCGCTGTAAGAAGTGTGCGGCGGAACTCTCGATCAGAACCGACCCAAAGAACTCAGAGTACGTCTGCGAGAGTGGTGCAACGCGTAACTACGAGCCGTGGCGAGAGACCGATGAAGATAGAGAAGAGCGACTGAAGCGCGAGAAAGAAGAGGAGGGCGACGCCATGAAAGCACTTGAGAATAGAACACTCGATTCGAAACGTGAAATGGAGATACTGGATGCACTCGATGAACTCAAAGATATCAGTGCGCGAAACGCAGAGATCGACCCAGAGATGTTGTTGCAATACAGTCTGCGGAAACAAGAGGAACTAGATCAAATCAATGATCTCGAAGATCAAGCGTTGATCTACGAAACATTTGGAAAGTCTGGCGGTGGTGGTGGTACTGGTGATTCAAGCACACTGTCAATCAAGAGAATAGAAGATAAAGATCCACCATTAACAGATCTATTGGAATCAGAAACATCTTCATTAGAACAACAAGATAACAAAAAGAAAGAGAAAACAAGTTTATTAAAAGGTATAAAATTAACAGTTAACAACAATCAAGATAATAATAATAATAATAAGAAAAGAACAATTAATCAAGTTGATAATGAATCAAAAGAAAATGAATTAGATAAGAAATTGAAACCAACGACGACAACGACAACACCAACACAAACAACATCTTCATTATTTGCAGAATATGGTTCAGATGATGAAGATGATTAGATAAATAAAGTAATATTAAAAATATAGTTGTACATATAACATAATAATCATTAAAAATGACAAGTAAATGATTTTTAACTTGTCATAAACATTATTTTATTTTAAAATATAGCAATAATAATAATAATTTAATATAATAAGCATATTATCAATTAAAATTGGATAGAACTAAAAGCTTTTCATTTAAATCAGCTAATCTATCATATGCATTCGTTAACAATGTAAATGTATTAACCAATGTCGGAATAGGTTGTCTAAATTCTGTATGATCTATAACTGTAACCAATTGTAAACTGCCACCTTTTGTTGTTTGGCTGTGAAACCGATAATAAAGATTAGTAAACTGTTGATTAATTTTAAATAGTTTGAATTGAATGTGTTGTTGTTGTTGTAATATACATACAAAGGTGGAATACCGTGTGCATTTGTAGTCTCGGATGACTCTGATCCCGAGGTAGGTCTGATGATGCTGTCAGACGATGACATGAGTAATGAGGTGCTTGATCCTGCGTTGTCTTGTTGTTGGACACCTGGCGAAGATGATCTTAAAATGGGACCGGTCGATGTTGCCAAGTTGGAGGATGATGATCCTGTCGATGTGATATTCTGTGCTTTCGATCGTCTCAGTAGATGTTTAGATGGACTGTTGTTGTTATTGTTGTTGTTATCGTGTGTTTGGTGTGCACCTTGTGAGTGGCCAACACTTCCACCACCAATACCAATGCCAATACCGCCAATACCACTGCTACCAGTGGATGTCGCCGATCCACCTGAAGTCGAAGTGATCTGCAGCTCATAGACACTTAGAACCAACTCACAGTTTGCCACTGTCAGATTAACGTTTATCTCAAAGGGAAGGGGTGGTTGTAACACTGTCGATTGGTACATTGTCGAGGGGAATACATTGCGACTTGGAAGGAGAAGTTCGTCGCGTGCCTGTGACAGCCACTCTGAGATACGAGTGAATGACTCCACCAGTGAATTCAACTCTGGGAAACTACCACCGCCAATCGATGATTGATTGGATTGTGTTTGGCCAAGACCACCGCCACCACCACCACCATGGTAAGAATGTCGGTGACTGTTGTTAGCCGATGGAATCCAACCACTACTTTGACCCAATGAATTTGTTGTAGATGTGTTATTGTTATTGTTATTGATTTGACCTGATGATGAAAGTGGATTATGATGTTGCTGTTGATGATGTTGTTGTTGACTATTCAGATGATATACACTATCTAGTGGTACATATGACTCTGAGAAAACTATTAGATTGTCCAATTCAGTGAGAATGAGGTGTAGGTAATTATAGCTGTTTTGTATCTGTTGGATTCTCCATGGATGTGTCTTGTTGATCAATGTCTTATAGACATGAACATTGTAGTTTGGTTTCGACGGTTTACTGAATTTAATCAAAAGCTCCGGTGACTCAACGAGCCAACCATTGATATTCAAAGTACCTCTCGATCCTTCCTGTGTTTCAAAATTAATTGATTTATTCTCTATTGCTTTATCTTGAAATATATCTATTTTTCAACAACAAAATGAAATATTAATACTTTACAAATAGTAGTAGTAGTAGTAGTAGTATTTGTTTGAACATTGTTTTAAAAACATACCATCTAACTCTTCTATATTAACAGGAAATGGATTGTTTATATCTTTTAGTATATCAACACTTCCACGACGATCGTGTTGTTGATGTGATTGAGATTGCGATTGATTAGTTGATGTTGTTGTTGTTGATTGTGTTTGTCCTGGTTGTTGCTGTTGTTGCTCGCTGTTTTTTACATTAAAATAAATACTACTAATATCATATTCTCCACTCTCTGGCTTTACTCTATCCGGTTTCAATAACTGTACACATCTCTACAATAAATAGTAGTAACAACAACAACAACAATCAGTAAATAAATAAATATTCATAAAACATAATTAAAACACTTAATAATCATTTCATTTTTAAAACTATTTTAAAAACATACTTCTAATATTCTCTTTACACGTTTACAAACAATGGGTACCTCTTGTTTTATTAACCAACTAGCTTCCAATTGCATATAACAAACTTCCATTGAACTTGTACATTCATCTTGAACATCTAGATAATCTACCATGGTGATCTAGAATTGGCTCTATTTTATATCTATATTTTATATCTATATTTTATATCTATATTTTAATATTATCTTTTCTTTTAATCTTTTATTATTTATGTTTATTATAATATTATGTTATATTTTATTTTTATTTTATATACATTCAACAACCAGGTTCAATAAATATTATAAGCAGTAATGTAAAATTCTTAATACTCTCAACTTTGATATTTTTATAATTCATTTCAAGAGTAAATTATCGAAGTTCTGTGGAATTTTTTGAATTTTATTTTTTTGAATTTTTATTTTTTTAATTTTAAAAATTGATGGTGTGTGGTGGATACACCCCTCGTTGCGTTTCGACTGTTGTGGTGGCAGGCGTACTGTCTGTGTGGATGCACGATTCACTCTGGATTCTGTCAACTTAGAGGCAACTAGATTGATTTCAACCTTTACTTTGGTCATTTCCCCTATACCACTTAAAATGGTGTGTATCTATCTATGATAGAGATAATCATGAATCAAAATGAATTGATTCCATAGATAACATCTCAAATGATAAACAAACACATCATTCTAACATAATACTTTCTCTACCCATACCCCTACTTCCAAACCAATCTACTCTATCACTCTTTTTTATAAATATAAATTTTATATGTATATCGATGATCTATTATGTCAATCTATCAATCTCATTGTACATATAAATTTATATAATATAGTCGTCTAAAGCCAACAAGAACGCTGCCAAGCTCCCAGTCCAACAAGAGAAAACCAGAATGGACAACATCAACAGAAAGCTCAAGATCGAGAAGTTGATCCTCAACATTTGTGTTGGTGAATCTGGTGACAGACTCGTCCGTGCCGCCAAGGTTTTGGAGCAACTCACTGGTCAAACCCCAGTCTACTCAAAGGCCCGTTACACCGTCAGATCTTTCTCGATCCGTCGTAACGAACAAATCGCCGTTCACGTCACCGTACGTGGTGAGAAGGCCGCCGAGATCCTCGAGAAGGGTTTGAAGGTCCGTGAGTTCGAGTTGAGAAACAAGAACTTCTCCAACAACGGTTCCTTCGGTTTCGGTATCCAAGAACACATCGATTTGGGTGTCAAGTACGACCCATCCACCGGTATCTACGGTATGGATTTCTTCGTCGTCTTGGGTCGTCCAGGTTTCCGTGTCTGTCGTAGAAAGAGAGCCATCGCCAAGGTTGGATTCCAACACAGAATCACCAAGGAAGACACCATCCAATGGTACAAGTCAACCTACGAGGGTATCGTCATTGGAAAGTAAATTTTTGTTCTTGTTACTTTAAGTGGTGAAATCAAATAAACTTTTTTTTTATAAAAAAGAAAAAAAGAAAAAGATAAAACTAATAATATTTACAGATATAATCCTATTATTATTATTATCATATTTATGATGATCATCATTCTACATTGAAATATTAATATTATACTACTAATTTTTAATTATCATCATAGTTTATTTTGTTTGACAAATAACAGATTATATTTATGATGATCATCATCATTTTTCAATGAATATTAATACTAATTTATTGATTATACAAATAAAGATGGTCGATCTTTCATATATTAATATGATTTTTAATGAATCTTGTCTTGCACTATCATTATCTTTCATGGTAGACAAAAACAACCTGTTGTTATTTATCATTTCTATACTTGTTGTTGTTGTTGTTCACTGTTTATATGTAAATAATAGTAAGATTTGAGATGATTTTAAAATACAAAAATTTCTATTATTTTATTTCTTCAGTTCATATTCGATTGCAGAGAGATCGTTAGCAGTGTTCACTGTGAAATCGGCAGGCTCTGGTGCTGGTTTAATATTTCCCCAAACATTCACATACAGTCTCATAAATCCATTGAAAACTCTGATAGTACCATTTCTAAGAATAATTGTATTACCTGGTTGAACTACATCGTTTTGTTCTATTTATAATTAATTTAATATATATTAAATAGTAAAAAAGAGTTAGTTAAGGTTTGTATTATATTGATTGATTGATTGATTAATTAATTTAAATGTTAATCAATCAGATTCCGATCGATTTGCAATTTGCAATTGACATTTACCATTCTTTACAGTTAAAATAATGGTACCGGTTTCATCTCCAACTACGGCCTCTGAAATAAACTCTTTCCTGTCTTTATTTCTATCAATGACAACCTTTGAACTCAATACTTTTAATACCAAATTATGACCGCTTGTCATTGGTTTTAAATGTTCTACCTTTGTAACTATAATAATAATAATAATAGATTGTTATTGTTGTAGTTTAGTTAGTCAATGTGTCAATACTCTATAATCTCATTCATTTTCATTCATTCGTTCATTCAATAAATGATTGATTGATTGATTTTACATATTCTGTGTTAAGAGAAATGATAGATAGCTAGATATAGGGAATGATATCATTATTACTTACAAACAGCTTTCTGTAATACAGGTACGTGAGATTGTACTGGTGAATCCTTTGGTGATGATGTATCGCTCATTTTTCTTTCAATTATATATTATATGTGTATATATGATATTGATGTATTGATAATAAATATGTGTAGATAAGTCTATAGACTATAACTTTTTAAAATAAAAAATAAAAAGTTTGTTCAACCCTCTCTTTTTAAAATAAATTAATAAATGAACTTGAAATTTTTTTATAGGTTTTCATTGTTTTGAAACAAACCCCCTTCTTCAATACATGAAATCATCAATTTAGTATCACGATCAAATTTGATATATTATATCTATTATTATTTATTATTATTACTTGAAAAAAGATAATCAAAATCTAAAAAAATATAATCAATTAGATATCTAATTCAACAAAGAGTTTAATTATATAAAATAAGTAAATAATAATAATAATTAAAATGTTGTACTCACTTTTAGAAGTGATAATTTATAACAGTTACTACTAAAAGGTCAGTTATGCAACATCCATCATTATCACTTAACTTGAATAGTTAGAGAGGCAATTTTTATTTGTTTTATTTTTTCACTTATTATTCTAAGTTTTTATTTTCGTTAATAATAATATTATAATTTGTTTTATCTGTCTATTTATTTAGATCAAGCAAAAATTCTAATTATTTAATTCAACTACCACCCAAATATAGGTGGTGAATCAAAAAAAAAAAGATTAGGCAACAAAAATTGGTGTGAGCTAATGATTGATAATTTAAATTATCGATAATCAAAAATATGAAGCATAGCAACATTAAGTCCCCACGAATCTCATGAATGAATGATATTGATTACCACAAACACTCTTTGTAAGCATTGGTATTCACATGTGCAAACATACAAGCAAAGTAGAATTTCTCTTATTGTGCCAGTTATAAATATGAATTCGCACATAGTATGAGTTTTATTATCCAACTACACATTAGAGGTTAGTAAATGATTTTCTTAAACTTAAATAAAAAGGTTTCAATTTTCTTTATAAAACCAAAAAAAAAAGCTGGATTAGATTTATTTATCTTTTTTATTAATTCTTTTATATGTATAAATATTGGTTCCGATCAATTAATTAAAATTAAATGGATATCCATATTGTTGATAATAATGAGGTATGTAAATTAATTAACAACTATATTCAGTTTCTTCTCAAAACTAATTTTTACTTGAATATTTTAAAGGATCAACCCCTGTTAAGGAATAATCAGAATATTCCAAATAATCAGAATATTCCAAATAATCAAAATAATCAAAATAATCAAAATAATCAAAATATTAGAAGGAAGAAAGGATGTTGGGAAAGAATTTTACAGTTTCCAGATACACCTGGTTTCTGGCCATTCTTCCATATCTTTCTATCATTGTCTTCCGCCACCACTTTTATTGTGATCAATATTAAGTTTGGTGGAATCTATGTCAAGATGGCAGGTTCCGGTATCATTGCTTTTATGTTCTTGCTCCTGGCTATAAATGTTTCCAAGAGATTATTCTTTGATCCGTTACCGAGATACCGGTATTCTTTGCTACTGGCACTGTGTATTTGCCTCTCTCGTGCCGCAGAGAATTCACTGCGTACCTACAACTACTGGATCTACAGCTATACCGTGACACTGGTTCTGGGTGTGTTGTCAGAGATAAACTATGCTGCGGCGGTATCGTTTATGGCACGTCTTTGCTTTGACTTCTACCCGCACACCAACGACCTCAAGGGATCGCCAACCTCCAGAGCTTGCTGGTGGTCGATCTTCCTGATGCTCCTGTCAACGATTGCATTGATCCTGGTTACCATATTCCTCGGATCGTATTATGATAAGAGCAACACTGGTTTCAATCTATTGTTTCAAGCCAGCATCTGGGCAAACTTGTTTTTGGGATTGGCGGTGGTATTTGCCTATGCGATGCACGTCAGACAAATGGTGAATCCACGCCACTACGAAGTGAACCCCCAGGAAGAAGTTACTCAAGGTCCGCTGTGTATGATCGTACTGGGTAGTATAACTCTCCGTATTGGAATAGATATGTATCAAATGATCCAGGGTGTAGATTTCATCGCGTATCTCAGTGATGCCACTTCCAATCCATTCTTTGATTTCGCCAAGGATCTCTTCTCCCAGATGATTCCAATCATTCTGCTCCTCTACAGCACACTCTATAGCTATTTGCATAAAAGGAACGACGATGTCGAAAGAGCAACCAAAACCGAAACAGTAGAGATCAACAACCAGATGGTGAAGCTTGCACTACGTCCTGGAATCATTGGGCTTCACTTTGCATCGTGTGGCTATGTTGTTGCCACCACAGACAGCACTCTCCCATTATCGGTTTTAGTTGCTCGAGTCGGTGCCTTTTGGATATTCATCGACTACTGTCTGCTCCTGACGACAATCTCTGCGCCGATGCTGCAGATTGTTTACCGCTATTTCCATAGAAATGTTTCACCGCATGCCGTCAACAAGATTCATTTTCACCGAACCATGGCTATCAACCTGACGTTTGCTATCGCCGTACATGTAACCGGTCATTTTATCACTTGGATTCGACAGCCAAACTTCCAATATAATAACGTTCTAGTCTACACCTACAATATCCCGATAATAACAGGTTTCATCATGCTGGTATGTCTGTTCTTTACTATGATCTGTGGTATATTTCATGATAAAGGAAGATGCTTTTATTTCCATATTCCACTTGTCATTATCACAACGCTCAACTTTTACATCCACGGTTTTCAAAAAATTCTTGGACCACAGGTTGGCGATCATATGGTAATGATATTCTCAGTGCTGTTTGGTGTAATGTACATCCTTTTCTTCACCATCAATCCCATTTCCAATGCTTACACCACCGCAGTAAAGATACCGGCGGTTGGTGAAACACAATACTTGCTACTTCAATCCGATTCATCCGGATTCCCAACTGTCGATCCAGGATGCTTCTACACTCTCTACCCCAAGGAAACGATCATCACTCATGGCCACCCTTTTACGTCCTTCGAATGGTCATATTCCGATTATAATAATCCAGATTTCCGCAATTGCGTCGCTGCTAATTTCAAAGCGACAAAACTGCGGTTTATGATCAAGATGAGAGGTGGATTCACCAAGAGTTTGTCTAATTCATTTGAAGAGCCGAACGCCACCATCCAGCTGGCAATGCACGGACCATATCTATCGACAGGTAGCTCTGCTCTTCGCTATATAGAAAACATGAGACCAGAACAGGATCAACTCCCTATTCTTGCGCTCTGTGGTGAAGGTGTTGGTATCACTGTGGCACTGTCATTGCTGCAACACCTGCTGTCGCCAACGAACCAACTCATTGATAAACTGGATTCGATTCGATTCTACTGGACGACACAATCCAAAGAACTTTGTGAGGAGGTCCAGAAACTAATCTATGATGCCTACAGATTCGAACCACTTCGTAATCGTTTCGAAAAGATTCAATTCTATATTGCCCGAATTGGCCAGATAGAATTGAATACCGAAGCCAATAGAAATGCCTATAGAAATGCTGATCCACCAGTTACTCTATTCCGACCAGAAGCTACACAAGGCATCAATATTTGTTTGGTACCGAGAGAATTCATAGAAAGACCAGATAGTGAAGACACAGAAGCAATGGAAGCCTACAATAATGTTATCAAGAACGAAGTGTTTGGTGGTGATTGGGGTGGCCGAAATAGGGAATCGATACTGGTTTACGGTGGTGGCGAGCTGGAAAAGAGCCGAAGTCTATGGAAGGATGGCTTTGCAGGAAGAATCATTGAGAGAACAGAGACTATTAAATAAATTAATAAAGTTGATAAACTTGAAGAAAATTTTTTTTTTTTTTTCTCAGAGCTCTAACATCAAAATAGTTTTAATTTATATAAATCCTTTTGTCAAAATTTAATATTGATAAAAATCTTAGAAATCAAACAAAAAAATTTAATTATGAATTAAAAAAAAAGATAATGTTATGGATGAAACAAATATAAATTCAAACAGATCAGATAAGCTAAATCAAAATTGTCTAAATACATCCAATTAAACAAGTGCAAAACCAAATAATTCAACAAAATTACAAAAAAAAAATAAAATTTCAAAATTTTTCAAAATTTTTTATAAAAAAAAATTTATTTAAATGTAAAATTTAAAAGTAAAAATCAAGTTAGAACTTTATTTTATTATTTTTAATATAGTTTTTGTTTTTTAGACACGGTGGAGGTCACTCCCAAGTTGGCCTTGACGCATTGGCACTCAACCACGAAGAACTGATCGTTCTTTAATAATTGGAACTTGAACAATTTCATTACGTTTTCCAATCGGACTGGAACCTTTACAATTCTTCTTTTTGGAAGTTCTAGTTCCTCCGAGTACTCCCCAAGATTGAAGCATTTTCTTGTGAAACTATTGATTTTAAGTGACACTAGAACCTCGTCCGTTCTTGGATTAAAATAAGGTCCAATAAACTCAACACCTGCCATTTTTGGTAGAAATATAACGTAGGTCTTAAATATTTCTAAATGAAAAATATATATATATATATTAGTTTTTGTAAATTATTCTAACTATTTAATATACCTACCATCTTCCATTGAGGAATGTTCGAATAATATCGGCCCATAAACCTCATCACCATGGAGGTATGAATAATGAGAAGATTAGGCTGAGGTTAGTTCTGCTCTGTTAGCCTCTATAAGATCATCTAGTGGAGAATGGAAGTTCATGTTGTCTTCTTCGACTGAATCCAAGAAAGAGGGTATTCCAACCAATGATGGTGAAGTTTGGACAGACATACTAGGACTCTGTGGATTTCTATTGGTGGTGGTAGTGGTAGTGGTCGTAGTAGTGGTGGAATTATTTCCCTCAGCTGAGCCATGTTTGTCAGGAGTTACATTTTGTAATTGAACATCTTCAACAGGTTGGATTATAGGTGATGGATCAGGAGTAGTTGTGATTATAGTAGATTTCTTGACATTCAATTGGGAGAATTTCTTGGTTGAATTAAATTTTCCCATTATCGAAGCCCTGGTGTAACCTGAGTTTTGCCCAAATCTAGTTTCAAAGAGTTTGAAGGCATCAGTGGATGTGATAGTTGGGTTGTTTTTTATCATTTCTTTGAAGAACGTGGTATGTTTATCTTCGTATTTACTATACTGTTTGTTTGAAAATTATTTTATATATACATTGTAAAATTAATTAATAATACTGTAAACACTTAATAAATTTCTAACACTTACAACTGTCATGGTTTTAAATGTAGATATTTAAAATATATTTTATTTATTTTTAAGAAAATGGTCTTAAATTTAAATCTTTTCACTTCTGTGTTTGTTATGTTAATATTAAAAAAAATAGGTTTGCTTGCATGCATGTAATAACAAATAATTTTAAATAATAAATCGGGTATTTTTATGAAAGATTAAATTCTATTAAAGAAGCCATCATCTAAGCCATCCCAGTAAGTGGAGTTTCAAATTATTTTGCGTACATTAATTTATTAATAATAGTATATTAATTATTAATAAGTGCATTATCTATTTTTCAATAGGGCAATAAGAATGCATGCAAAAAAAAATGTTTGTGTTTGGTTTCAAGCAAAAAATTATGTCAATGATGGTAAATTGGGGTTAATTAGTGTACTTTTTTTATTCATGAAAAGATATACGAATTCAATACTAATATTTGGGTTGAAGTGCAAAAATGGGGTACTGATAATGAAAAAATTATACTGGTGTTGAATTTGTGTGTGGTAATATGAAATTTTTTCAGGAAAAGATATGAAAATGTATTAAGATTTCAATGTTTGCATGTATATATTTTTGATATACTTTAGTTTTTTTTAATTCACCATGTTAGATCGAAGATTATCATCTTAATAATTAAACTACAAATTTAGAATGAAACTAATAAGTGTTAATTAGTATTCGTGAGTGAAAATAAATTATATTATCGATAGAAGCTTAACAAAAGTTAAACAAACAACCAAGTATTTATTTATTTAAGTATATAGTTAAAATAATATAGAAAAAATGTTAAATAAGAATACTATTATAGATATAAATTTTTATCTATCAACATTAGAGATTTATTGTGGTGTTAGCAAAACAACATTTGACCACCTCTATTCTATGATTAAAGATCATTTTCAAATTCAAGAAAAACATTTACTTTGGTTCTTGGTATATTTAAGGCAGTACAATTCATTAGATATACATGCTGTCAACTTTGGAGTCTCAGTTAGAACTTTTAAGACCTGGGTTGACAATTGTTTCGTGGCATTTAATATTGTACTTAAAAATAAGTTGAAAGAAGATGTTCTATTAGTAAGTAATAAATTTAACTTTTCTATTTCTAAAATCATAACTAAATTAATCTTATATGATAAGAATCCAAATATTCTAGATAATTTGGTCATTAAAGAGTATTCTTTTGGTACTGGTGATGCCATTCAAACTAAACTTGTAAACTGTGCTGTTGATACTACCCTTCTACAAATCCCAAAACCTATTGATGGATATTTGTACAAATCATTATATTGTAGTATGTAATATAAATATATAAATTTAATAATTTTATTTAGCTAATTTTAAGAATTAAAAATTGTAGCAAAACATAAAATACATGGCTATAAATATGAAGCTGTAGTAGGTTTGAAGGGGGAACTACTATCACTAAGAGGTCCATTTCCTGGTAGTCAACATGATGCCAGTATTTACTCGTCTATTGGTGAATGAAATTGATCATTTACTATCTCCGTCATATTGGATGCTGGGAGACAAGGGTTATATTGGTGGAAATAGAATTTTTGCACCAAATAAGAAATTGTCAAGGAAAGAGCCATCAATAAGAAACCCAAACAAAACTATGAAAGTCAAAGTTCCGTTTACACCAGAACAGAAAGCAGAAAATTCTTTTATCAATTCCAATCGTGCTGTTGTAGAAAATTATTTTGGGAGAATTAAAAAATTCCATTGCTTTGAAAAGGCATGGAGGGGCTCAAAAGAAAAATTGGATTTGGCTTTCTTGGTTGTTAACTTATATTGTAAACATTGATATTCAGCTTGGAATGAAAAAAGCTTTTAGAGAATAATAAAATAAAGTTCTAACTTGATTTTTACTTTTAAATTTTACATTTAAATAAATTTTTTTTTATAAAAAATTTTGAAAAATTTTGAAATTTTATTTTTTTTTGTAATTTTGTTGAATTATTTGGTTTTGCACTTGTTTAAATAACTAATTTTTTAACACTTTTTTTTTAGATTTGTTTTTCCAATTTTTGTCAGGCACAAAAAGTCTGGTAACTTTCAAAACCTTATATTAATTGGCAATATCTTCTTGTTTTACAAAAAGTTGAGATAAAAGGTAAATTTCATTTTCTTTAATAAAAATGATAAAATTAATTTGATAAATTAAATTAATTGAACCATAAAAAAGATGCCCAATTTTAAAAATCAATCAAAATTTGTAAATAACTTAAAATTTTAATAGTGTGAACTTGGCCAACGAAAAATTAGTGATTTGAAAATGGAAAGGCTTTTAAGCAATCATTTAAAAACTTAAATCCAAAAGTTTTAATTTTCTTTATAAAATCTTGTTTACTCCTATCTTTAATTAAATATTTTATTTATTATTATACATTGATTCCAACTATTAAATGACAACTAAAAAAGCTAATAAGGTATGTAACTACCTATAACGAGAACATCGAACACTTCTTATCGGAACTAACTAACTTTTAAACTTAATATGCATAAAGTATCAACCACTCCTAGGGAATAAACAAACGAATAAAGGATTCTGGAAAAGACTGTCAGAATTTTCCGAGAGACCTGCTTTCTGGCCATCGCTTTATATCATTTTATCCTTGATCTTTGCCGCCACTTTTATTTTGACCAAAACATTTTATGGTGTAATCTATGTGGAAATGAGTGGTTCTGCTATCATTGCTTTTCTGTTCTTGGTTCTGGCGGTCAATGTTTTCTGGAGATTAGCTTTTCACTCGCTACCAAAATACCGACTTTCTCTCCTACTAGCACTGATTATTTGCCTTTCTCGTGCCGCAGAAAACTCACTTCGTACATATAACTACTGGAGCTACAGCTATCCCATCACCGTGACATTGGCAGTCATGTCAGAGACAAACCTGGTTCTGGCAATATGCTTCATGGCAAGTCTTTGCTTTGAGTACTACACGCACACCAACGTCATCAAAGGATCACCTACCTCCAAACTTTTCTGGTGGTCTTTAGCTGCTTTGGTGTTGTCATCGGTCGGAATGATACTAGTGACAATCATTCCAGGAGAGAAAGATAAAAATGACAACAGTGGCAGCGGCAGTAAGAGTAGTAAGAGCAGCGACAGTAATATCAACCTTTTATTTCAGATCACTATCTGGACCAACTTAATATCGGGATTGGGTGTGGTGATTGGATGTGCCATGCATATCAGACAGGTAGTTAATCCACGCCACTATGAAGTGAATTCCACCGAGGAAGTTACTCAAGGTCCGCTGTGTATGATCGTGTTGTGTAGCATTGCCCTTCGTCTTGCCATTGACATGTACCAAATCACTGAGGGTGTGCAGTTCATCGACTATCTCAGTGATGCCACTTCCAATCCATTCTTTGATTTCGCCAAGGATCTCTTCTCCCAAATGATTCCGATCATCCTCCACCTCTACAGTACATACTTTAACTCGTTGTACAAGAAGAACGACGATGTCGAAAGAGCAACCAAAACCGAAATAGTGGAGATCAACAACCAGATGGTGAAGCTTGCACTACGTCCCGGAATCATCGGACTTCACTTTGCATCGTGTGGCTACGTCATTGCCACGACAAGCAATACACTCCCATTATCGATTTTAGTTGCTAGAGTCGGTGCCTTTTGGATATTCATCGACTACTGTCTATTGTTGACGACAATCTCCTCACCGATTCTACAGATTGTTTACCGCTACTTCCATAGCAATGTTTCATCTCACGCCATCCACAAGATTCATTTTCACCGAACCATGGCTATCAACCTGATGTTTGCCATCGTGGTGCATGTAACCGGTCACATTGTAACTTGGAGTATGAATCCAAACTTTAGAACGGAGGAAGACAATGTTCTGGTCTACACCTACAACATCCCGATTGTGACTGGATTCGCCATGCTTCTAACCATTGGCTTAACTCTGCTCTCCGGATTCCTCTACCAAGGAAGATGGTTCTATGTTCACATTCCACTTGCGCTGATCACAACGATGTTCTTCTACATCCATGGTTACCAACGATTGCTTGGTCCTCCAGTTGGCGATCGAATGGTAATGATGTTCTCCGTGCTGTTCGGTGTGATGTACATCCTCTTTTTTATTATAAGAGCAATTACACATGCTGACACCACCGCAGTTAAGATTCCTGCAATGGAGACAACACAATTCTTGCTACTCGAGTCTGACTTGGAGGGATTCTCAATTGTTGATCCAGGATGCTACTACACCCTCTACCTGAAAGGAACTTATCTCTCTCATGGCCACCAGTTTTCCGCTTTCGTATGGCCGTGGTCAGATTACGAAGATGCCAACACATGCATTGCATGCAACCACAAAGCGAAAAAACTGAGATTTATTATCAGGACGAAAGGTGGATTCACTCAGAGTCTGTCTGGTTTATTTGAAGATAAAAACAGTAATATCCAACTGGCAATGCACGGACCATATCTATCGACCGGTAACTCTGCTCTTCGCTTGCTGGAAACCATGAGAATCGAGGAGAATGAATTTCCTATTCTCGCACTCTATGCAAATGGTGTTGGTATCACTGTGTCGCTGTCGTTGCTGCAACACCTATTGTCACCATCCAACAGACTCATTGATCGCGTGGATTCGATTCGATTCTACTGGTCTACACCATCGAAAGAACTCTGTGAGAAAGTTCAAAAACTTCTCTACGATGCATACAACGTTGATCAACTACGTGATCGTTTCAGAAAGATAAAATTCTATATTGCTCGAATTGGCAAAACAGAATTGAATACCGAAGCCAATAGAAATGCCAATAGAAATGCTGATCCACCAGTTGCTCTATTCCAACCGGTGGCTCCAGAGGGTATCGATATTGATTTGGTACCGAAAGAATTTAAAGAAAGACCAAAAAACGATGATAAAACAAAAGCCAATGACCGCTACATAAAAGCCAAGAATGCTTACGATAATGTTATCAAGAATGAAGTGTTTGGTGGTGAATGGGGTACTAGACTATCGGTACTGGTTTATTGTGGTTCCGACCTAGAGAATTATCGACATTTGTGGCAGGTCGACCACGAAAACGGTTCTAGAGGAAGAATCATTGAGAGAACAGAGACTTTTTAAAGATTAAAAATCGAATGACCGAAAACACATTTTAATCTATTGTAACTATGTATAATTATTTAAAATCCAGTCCAATCCAATAAACAAATTAAGCTAAATTGAGACTTGTGGTGGTAAGATTAGATGGAATCTCTTCTTTACTGGCATGTCTTTATCGAATAACACCTATAGGAAGTCTATATCTATCATCGATTACATATTGTTTGGGATGATGTACCTATTCTTTTATATATAGAATGATGGTGTAATAAAAAATAGATTAGCTGATTACATCTCAAAAAAAAAAAAAAAAAAACATTTTGATTTTTTTCAACCCTTTTTGGAATTTAGAGATATAAATATTTGTTTTTTTTACATAAAATATCCTTTGGAATTATAATTCATCAAACTAAATATTTATTTCCATCTCTGTTGACCTTTAATCATATAGATTGGCCTGTGTTAGTATATATATTATTATTATCTTTAGATCCAATACCATCGAAGCTATTCCGATCCAACCTACCATCATACAGAGTCAAGTCTCCCGAAAATACAAAGTCTATGAAACGAATAGACTCTGGAATATGGTAATTGGATTATTCTTCAAATAAGGAAATGGGAAGAAAAATCGGCAGTAGATTGAAAGTCAGCAGAGATCGAAACAAAAATTCATTTGTCAAATAATTTTGTATTATTAAACAATAAATTGTTCAAATTCATTTATAATATTCAATTACTTTATTATTATTTGAATCATTACCTATCATCACAATTTTCATTAGTTGTCAATACTACTAGGTTAACTTTTAAACTACCAGACCCACTTCTTTTACATGTACAGGAAATAGCCACGATGAAATAATTTCTTTGTCAACAATCACCAATTTTTTTTTCAGTTTTTGTGTTCTAGTTTCACAAAAAAAAGAGATAAGGAATGAATAAAGAAATTATATTCACTTTGTGTATCAATGATAGTTAGTTATTCAGAATAATAATTGAAAAATAATTGTATTTTTTTTGTTTTAAAATTGTTTTTATAAAGATGGCTTTTCTAATTTATTAAAACACGTTTCTCAGGGAAGTTTAGTTCTTGGCGTGCTTCAAGTTGTAGACTTGCTTGGCGATACGATCGAGATCACGACGTCCGGTAGCGGTGATTCTTCTTCCACCCTTAAGTGAGTCGGTTTCGATGACCTTCAAGACGTTCAATTGACGTAAGCAGTAACGGATGACACCACCGTTGGCTTGGTGGAAGTGGTTTGGACGGACACCATCTCTACGGTTTCCACCAAAGGCCTTTCTGTAACATCCAACACCATCACCACCACGGAGGTATACCTTACGGGCCAAGGCGGCAATACGGACGTACAACCAGTCTGGGTTTGAGGGTGGGAGCTCCTTGTGGGTGGCAGTCTTGACAATGTCGACCCATCTTGGGATGTGGACACGACCAGTCTTCTTCAAGAACTTGGCGTAGTGAGCAATGAATTCTTGTGGGCAAACGTCCTTAACAGTTACACTTTGTACAGTAGTGGCCATCTATTTGTTTTAATAATAATATTATTATAATTAGTATATTTATTTTTATTTTCTCGACCGAGAATAATAATGAAAAAAAATGAGGTCATGCTGAGTGTTATTTATCAAAAAAACTATTAATGTGATACAACTAAAACTTCTATTACTTTACTACACTCATTTTTAATCTAGAAACATAGTTTATATTATGATTATATGTGATTATGTGATTATGTGATTATTTGATTATTTGATGATTTGATTATTTTTGTTTATAAGATCGTCTTTTTCTTGAACAAGCATTCATTCTGTCGATCGAATAAAAAAACCATTTATATTTGTTTCAAAATGTAACTGCTAAACTTTTTGTTGAAAATCAATTTTATCTGTGACCACCAACACCATTCTGTTATCCTGAATTATGATTATTTGTTGTTGTTGTTATTGTTTTGTTGTTTATTTTGTTTCTAGATTATAATCAATGAGTGTAGTTCTGTATGTTTCTGTAAAATTATTTTATTATTTATTATTTTTTTTTACTAAATAGATAATATTATATGTTTCTAAATAATTATAATTATTTGTAGTAATTTTCGATTATTTTCTAAATACTAATAATTGTAGGTAGGTAGTAGGTATAGTAGGTAATTATTGTAGATACATTTTCAATTGTTTTAAAAGGAAATTAGGTAGAGAAAATAGAAAGAGATATAAAAACACACCTTATATGTGAACGGGTCGTTACTCGAGTGGAAAAAGGAAGCTTTGAGTAATTTTGTGTGCTGATTTAGCGGTGAGTGCTTCTGTTTCGAAAAATAAAAAAATAAAAAATAAAAAATTGAAATTTTTTCAAAAAAATTAATATTGTCAACGTTACCCGATGTCAATATGAGCCTCACAAATCAATGACAATCATTCAAAAAAAAAAAAAACTGTGCACTCTAAATCACTTTTTTGACGAGCCTCATATTAAAATGAATCATGAAAAAAATTTGTCTCTCGTGTTTTTTGCAATTCCTTACTTTTAGAAATTAATGCCCATGCATTTATTTCAAATGTTTTGTAACTCATTAACTCAATTAATCAAAATCAGATAATAATAATAATTTATTTCATTATATAATAACAATTTTTATATGTTCTAAATTTATACATAATTGCAATAAATATATTAATTATTAATAAAAAAACAAATTAAAAAATTAACAGTTTAATATTATGCTGCTGAAAAAAAAGATATAATAATAGTTGAGTATGAATATCCTTGTTCCACTCCTAGACAATTGTTTAAATATGAAAAAAAACAAAAACAACTACTTGAAATAATACTTTTAAGTCTAATTAAACTAAACTAATTAAATGAATGAATTATCTTTTTTACAATTTGATCAAACTAACTAATATAGTTATTTATTTGATGATTGTAAAATAACTATAATAAAATAAAAAGAAAGTATTTATTATTATTTTAAATAAATATCGTATCTTATCTTATTTTATCTTTTTTAATAATAGACTACAAAGTTAGTGATGCTTTGATCAATTGTAAAGCAATGAGGAGTGTGAGAACTGGTTGTGTTTTTTTTCAAAATTTCAAAGGTGTAACGTTTTTCGTTTCTTATTTTTTTTAATTTTTTTAACCAATTTTTTTTTTTGACATTGAAAAAATAGTATCAAGTGAAAAAAAACTAAAGCCACAGTTAGAAGTCCTCATCATTCTCCTCTTGCGCTAGGTAGGTAAAATAAACCTATGTTATTATTACTATTCATCATCATTAGAAATCATCATCATAAATCATCAATTAATTATTTAGTTTAATAAACAATAACAATATAATAATATAATAAATTAATAATAATGAAATTACAGAAATAGAAAATAATAATAATAATTTACGAGAAATAATTATTTGTATAAATATTATCTCTTTTTTTTTATATAATAATATTTTGTTATTTAGTTTACTACTACTATTATATTATTATTATTATTATTATTACTACTACTATCTCCTGAGGTTTAGAAAGGAAAAAAAAAAGTTATGATTACAGATTTTTAGATTTATCAAAGAAACACATAAAACAGGTCTTTTTTGTTGTTATTTGGAATGATATAGAACAGTTTTACTTTAGATCATCACGTCAATTAGATTTGATATAGAGAATCAAACAGTATCTGCACTATTTAAGTTTTACGAAAAAAAAAAAAACCAAAATAATAATCTACAGAAATCGAACCAAATCTTTTTTTTTCTTTTCGTTTTTGAAAATAATGATGATAATGATGATTTAGAATAATAACAATAGATAATTTGATTTAAAAATATAAATAAATACTAATTTAATTTTATCAACTATTGCTACTACTACTACTACAATTATAATCATTACGTATAGATTAAAAAATGACTCACTCATACGGTCAACGTTCAGGAACCAGACACAAGTTCGCCCGTGGATTCAGACAACACGGTCTCCTCAAGACTACCACTTTCTTGAGAACCTTCCGTTTGGGAGATATCGTTGATATCAAGGCCTCCGGTAATGTCCACAAGGGTATGCCACACAAATACTACCACGGTCGTACCGGTCGTGTCTGGAATGTCACCCCACGTGCAGTTGGTGTCATCGTAAACAAGCGTGTTGGTCCACGTTACATTGCCAAGAAGATCCACGTCCGTATTGAGCATGTCAGACCATCCAACTCCATGGCCGCCAACAAGAAGGCCATCGAGCAAAGACGTCAAGCTTTCTTGGCTGCCATCAAAGCCCGTAAGGCCGGTCAAAAGGTTGTCCTCCCAGTCTTGCCAGCCCAACCAAAGACTGGTTTCTTTGTCAACCCAAGAGACTCTGAGCTCCAAACCATCACCCCACTCCGTTACGAGTTGTTATTGTAAATTATTATTATTTACCAGTGTGCTCTCAATGACAATAAAATAACAAAAAATAAAATAAAATTTTTAAAATCTAGCAAGTTAAAAAAACAAAATACCAATCTATTTTTTAGTATTTATACTTATTTAGTTATTATCATTATTATTATCACCAACTAACTAAAGGAATTTGAATTTCGTTGTTAATTTTAAATTTCAATAATTATTGTCTAAGATATATTTCATTTTCTTTCAAACATTGTTTTATTTTTTCTTTTCATATTTCTACTTTTAATTATTATTATTTTCTCCATTTTTTCAAATCAATTTAATTAATTCTAGATTATTATTATTATTTTTATTATCATTTATAAATTAAACTAGGAATTTGAATTTTTGTTGTTAATTTAAATTTCAATAATTAATTATATTGACAATGAGGATAATGATTTTTGATGATGACGATGATGATGTTGTTGTAGATGATTATCATTATTGTGTGTGATGGTTTGTAGGGTTAGTTTTGAAAAATAGTCTGGTTTTGTCAAATTTATCTGTTAACATATAATCGTTTTTTTTTTTTTTGAAATTTGATATTTTTTTTTATATGTGTATGAGTGGTTTTGATTGATTTTCAAAATAATAATTTGATCTTTTTATTTGTAACTGGGAAATTTACTATCGAATATTTGATTTCAGTTCACTATTCTACAAGTTAGAATGAACATCAACATCATTTCAATTTCCATCAAAATTTATTAAAATTTCTATATTTAGATAGTAAATAAATAATATCATTCTACTACTATTACCAATATTTCAGCACATTTACTCTCTCTCCACAAATCATAAATTATCAATGATAAAATAAAAATACAGTGAGTGATAGTACCAGACCATATGGCTAAATTAAAAATATTAAATAAAAAGTATACTTTCAAATGAATTCACATCGTTGTCAATATCCTCTAGTTTGTTAGCATTTTGTTTTTCGTCAATCAGATCAAATCAAAGTTAGTCATCACATCACATCAGTTATTATTAGAAAATCAAAACATATATATTGTTAGTTAATAAATAATTAAAATAATAATTCTGTTTTTATATCAAAGTCTTTCATTTTATTTATTTATATTTAGATAGTTTTTAATTTATTTTAGAATTTTATTTATATTTATAAATTGTTAATTATATTATTAATACAAATTAAGCAATCTAGCATTTTTTACCAGATTAGGAAAAAAAGTTTCAAAAGAAAAAGTTATTGGTATGACATTCATTAATAATCATTTATTATAATCAATTTATTATTCTTTTGTTGTTACACTAATAATTCTATATATTTGTATATCATCTTGAAAACAATAAATCATTCGTCTATTTAACTTATCAAAAAATCATTGGTCGAAACAGAACCCCCAAAAATCAATCAATCAATCTAATTATCGTTGTTTTTCTTTTTAATCTATTAAAATATTTTATTTTTATTTTTATTTTTATTTTTCCAGTGGTGTGTGATGTTATTATTAATACTACAATAAATATTTATCATTGAAAGTAGAATTAAAAGAAAAATGAAATTTATTTTTCGTTTTTAATAGTAATAACTCAAAGATTTAAATTCTTTTGAGATGATAGCGTCTCAAACACCAAAATATTTTTTTTTGTTTGTCTTGTCTTAACTGTTGTTTTTGTTTTGGCTTGATGATTCCAAAAACTATTCTTAGTGTGGTTATGTCTAGACAAAACAAACCTGGTGATTACCTACAACAACTACTATATATACATTTAGTAGTGTATCATTTTTTGTATTCTCATTCTTATTTTTATCACCATTACTCAAAGTCAGATTTTTTAAAAGTAGGTTTTTTCATTCATACAAATAAATAATAAAAAAACCAAATAATTACCCCCATTACACTCATTCACACACAAGCACACAGATACATAATAACTCATTTGCAGGGATATACACACCTCACACACAAATTTCACAACCAAAGACATGAGAAATCTACCACACAAAGACAAAACACACACTCATAAAAAAACAAATATTATCCAAACTACCACCAAACATGCAAATATTACATCTTTTAATTTTAGTTGTAATTTTCAAATGTTTTGGAAAAACAATAACAACAAAAATATTTGAAAGTAAATGTCAATTTATTTCGTTTCACATGGTTACCTCCAAAGTACTAGAAAATTCTTGATGATTAATAGTTTGCAAAATTAATCTTTTATTGTTAAACAACAAAATATTTTTTATATTTATTTATTTTATTTTTGTATTTTTATAAAAAAAGAACATTATAGAAACAACAATAACAATAATAATAGTTATCAAAACAACAATTTTCCATAATAATTTTTTTAATTAACAGATCTACTTTTATTTTTTATTGTTTGTTGTTTTAATAAAAAAACCGATCTATTGAACTTAACTTGGTAAGAAAGAAAATTCAAATTTTATGGTGTGTGTTGTTATTTTTATAATATGGATGTTAAGTCTAATTTTGAATTATTGAATTGGTGGAACAACCTAATATGACACATGAGAGTGTGGTATAGCAATTCCATTTTTCAACCAATAAGAATAAGAATATCGTTTACCTTTGGTTTTTTTTTTTTTTTGCCAAAACACACAATTTGATGTTTTACTCTTTTCTCAAAGGTGTTTTCTTGTTGTTCCTCTCAAACACACATACACACTACCACTCAACACCCCACTTTTAAAATTCAAATTCATACATTACCCCTTAGCCATAAGGAACAACAGCACAACTACAATTCAAATAGAGTTGAAGTGTTAACAGTTAAACTACCAAAAAAACTATCAACAGATCTACTTTTTTTTATCATTGGTAATATTTGGTGAAAAACAATGTGGATTCAACCTACCAAACACACATTCACTCCTATCGAATCTTTAGATGAATAGCATCGTTTATGATAAAACTCAAAGTCGAATTGATTATTTCGAGCAAGAGCCTTCTTTCGTTAGTCGTCAAATAATTATAAAACAAAACAAAGATATTTAAATCTCATTTCAAAATAATTTGTTACATTCATTTTCAATTTTAAATTATTTATTTATATCAATTTACTTTAACTTTTATTTATTTATTTATTTCATTTTCAAATATATCTATATTTAAAAAAACAAGATATTTTATCTATTACAATTTCAAATATATATATTTGAACCAATAGTTAGAAACACTCCACTCATATAAAAACATTAGATTTATTAAAGAATATAAGAATATATTAATTACTTAATTCTTAACAAACAAACAAACAAAAATAATACAAAACCAAGGAACTTGTTATTATTTATTTTATTTAATATTTATTTATTTAATGAATTTTTTTTAATTTTAATTTTTTTTAATTATAATTACTTTTAATTTATTTTTATTTTTGTAACAACAAGAAAAATCTTTATATTGGAAATTCAATTTCTGATATTTACTCGTCTTTTCACAATTTCTTTAACAATTATCACAAAATATTATCATTGTTACCATTACTTCTGAATATCAAAAGCTATTAAATTTCAAAATCCTTTTATATAATTGAAAGATTTATTTTATTAATTACAATACCTTTATTTGAATTTGTGTTTTTTGTTTTTTTTTGTGTTTTTCCTTATTTATCCAAAATGAATGTCAAGAGCAGGTAATTATTATCAGATGATATTAATATGTGTTTTTTTTAAAATAATAATCAAATAATGATTTCACTTTAAAGTTTATAAATATGTTTATTTTATTGTTTTAATTCTAATTTCAATATTCTATAAATACAAAAATAATAATTGTTTAGGTTTATTAAAATCTTAAAGAAATATAATATTTTCAAGAAAAACAATAAAATGGTTAGTGTAAATGGACAAATATCTGAGGAGGTCTGTGGATTGGATCTTCCATACGAAGTTATTTTATATATTTTTTCATTTTTAAATTGTAAGTATAGAAATGATTGAAATTCAACTTTAATGAATTCATTTTAATTTTTTTAAAAAAAATACATACATAATAGTATCAGATATTTGTAAACTTAGATTGGTTTCAAAGAACTTTTTAAAGATATCATCGGAGTATTCATTATGGAAGATGTTTATTTTAAGATTACAGACCAACAACAAACCCCCACCCAGAGTTTGTCATACTGCAGTTGTGTATAACAATTTGATGTATGTATATGGTGGTCATTTACCAGACAGTCACACCTTTATTAGAGATGTAAAAAGTGATTTACATGAATATAACTTTGGTATGTAGATTTTTATTATTTATTGTATTTGGAATGTTGCATTGTATTAACTGTTTTGTTTTAATATCTTACTATCATTTATGTAGAAAGAAGAAAATGGACAAAGAAAGTTACAAAAGGTAAACCATTACCAGAAAAGACAGAGCATAGTGCTGTAGTTTATCAAGATTCAATGTATATTTTCGGTGGATATTCAGGTCCACAAACATACCTTGATGTTTCAATTTACAAGTTGAATTTGGAAACATTCGAAGGTTCGTCGATTGAAGGTAGTGGAAATCATCCATCGGGTAGATCCGCTCATTGTGCAGTGGTTTGGAGCCACTATATGTATATCTTTGGTGGTTGGGATGGTACAGAATCCAACAACAGTTTCTTTAGATTCAACTTTTGTAAGTTTCATTCAATGAAACTAGACTAATAATTATCATTTACTAACTTATTAATTTCAACTACTTGACTTGTATAGTGAATGAAATGTGGGAAGAAGTTCCAGCTAAAGGTACACCACCACCCTGTATTAGATCACATTCATGTGTATTGTTTGATAACTTTTTATATATAATCGGTGGATATGGACCCGAGGGTCATACAGAGTTCCCGTACAGCTACGACTTGGTCAATGATGTGTGGATCCCGATGGCAAACAATCGTGATGGACCGTGTGCAAGATCTCGTTTGAGAACCGTTGTCTATGGCAACTATCTTTGGTGTCTTGGAGGATGGGACAGATCGTCGTACTACAACGATCTCTGGAGATTCAACTTGGAGACGAGAACATGGACCAAGATGGATTCCAACTTTGAACTCAATGGCATCGGTCAATACTCGTTGGTCACCTACAAGAATCAGATCTACATATACGGTGGCTACAACCCGTCGACTTCATCGCCACAGCCAAACCTCTACACCTACATCGTAGGACATCCATCGCTGTCCGACGCAGAAATCATGTCACTCGAGAAGATCTACGACGACGACAGCAGCAGCGAAGACAGCGCCATGGACAGAACCGAATCAATGAAATCACTCGACGGATTCTCGTGCTCAAAGGATGGCGAATCAACAGACCTACAGATGACCAGCGCCGCCAACAAAATATGTGAAGTCGTACAAAACCAAACGAATCAAAATGGATCTTTCGTTGGAATACCTACAAACTAGTTGTTGGTGTTGGTAATAGTATTCCTGACCCAAGAAAAAAAACGATTATATAGAAAAATATATATTTTTAAAATAAAATAATATTATAGATAAAAACAATAATATAATTTGTGGTGATTGATTATGATAAAATGGTTGTTCAGAATAATAATGATTGAAAGCAAACATATTCACATATTATTATCAACATGTCATTGAAAAAAAAAAAAAAAAAGTAGAGAGAATAGTGTGGGTAAAGATCAAAAAAATCAAAAAACATAGCAGCATTATCATTTAAAATAATCATAAATTTCAGAAAAAAATATAATTAAACTAGGTTTTCAAATAAGAGAAATGTGGGAAATAATATCTTAATTTATTCATGTGCTTGGTCCATAGAGTGCCATGAAAATTTTTTTCAAAAAAAAATAAATTTAACGGTTAAAATTTGATTTTTACCCCCATTCACCCCACACAAAACTTAAATCTTTTTATTGTTAATAACTCTGTCATCTAATCATTATTTTAAATTTTTTTTTGTTTTTTATACTTGAAAAATCATCATTTTGCTTGCTGTGGTTGTATATAGTGTGTTTAGAATATTTTATTCCAATTCAATCAATCAAATTATTACTATAAATAATAAGTAAACAAAGTAGTGTGTGTATTATTAATTGTTATCATTATCATCATCAACAACAACATAAATCATAAACAGCTGATTGTAACTAACAAAAAAAAAAAAACAATCAAAAAGTCAAATTTATTTATATATATAAACAATTAAATTAAAATAATTTAAATTCAATTTATTTCTAATTAGAAAAATAAATATTCTTCAAATCTCTTAAATTAGCTATAGTTTTTTTTTCGCAATATATTTCAGAAAGTTAAAGTTAAATAATAATGTCAAGTCAAGATGAAATTGAATCACGTGAGGAGCAACGTTTGAGCCGTGCTCTCCAAGGTAAAGTAGGAACCAATCACAAGGGTAGAGTCACTTCATGGGCTCCAGTTGTCACCAAGCCAACTCCAACCGTCCCGGTCAACTACTCGGGTACCGCCAGCGGTGGCGGTGTTGACACCCAATCGCCATATGCAAATGTTGCAGGTCTCTCAATTAGCGACGAGAAGATGCGCCAGGAACAAGCACGTCTTAAGAAGTGGGGATTGGACACCGGTGCCGTCTCTCCAGCATCGTCGAACGAGGAGCAACCATCGTCCAGCCAATCGACTCCATCGCTAGAGTCGGCGGAGCTCGACGAACAAGCTCGTGTCGAAGAGCGTCGTCTCACAAAGATGGGACTTAGCTCGAACAACCTCATCGAGGAGTATGGAGCACCAACCAAAACAACAACAGCACCAGCAGCAGCACCATCAAAGAACGACGCACCAGTAGATAACGCTTCGATTGCAACCAATATCGACGGACACACCAACGAAGAGAAAGTCCGTCAAGAACAGAAGCGTTTGGAGCGTTGGGGACTCAAGATCAACACTGGTAGCACATCGCCAGCCAACTCCACATCACCAGCCGCTTCAATCTCACCGAAATCCAACAACAGCAGCAACTCGACAGCCACTCCAGCAGCTCCATCGAATCCACTCAACACACAAGCTGCCAACGCTGTTGCCAAGCAATATGGATTGACTGCCGATCAAGTCCAGCCATTTTTAGATCAATTGATATTCGCTGCCAAGGCAGTCAAACTCATTCTCCACAAGAAATCATCGAATCACGACGTCACAATCACCACACTCATGGACATTGTCAGAGAGTCTGCCAATTTCGCTCTCACACTCCCATCCGATCTCCCAATTGGCTTTGACATTTCACAGTCTGCCGGTAGATTGGCCGGTGCCGTCAACGAACTTGTCAAAGGCGGTGACAACCGTGAACCAGCCCAAACAATCAAGCTTTACGAAGAGATTCAAACCATTCTCGGTGTTCTTTACTTGGGTGTTGTTGCCAATTAAATAATTTAAATCAAAATCCAATTAACAGAATATATAATCAACCAATCAACCAACCAAATCACTTTATTCAAAAAACAACAATACCAATGTTAAATAGTATCGCCACAACTAAAATCAATCAGTCAAATCAAATCCCATCCCTATATTATTTTCACTCTATTAATATTAACCTAACACACTTCTACCCTATCTAATCTATTCTAATATTATTTCCACTATTGTAGTAACAATAAAATAAACCAAAATTAATTTATTTATCTAAAAAAAATTATTCTTTATTATATTCAAATATTTCAGTTTTGTTAACCCTAATATACAATAAAAAATTAATTATTAAACTTTTACACTAATTGGTTTTTCGTAGAACAATATATAGAATTTATTAAATAACCAATGTTTGTGGCAAACAACTCATTATTTTTTAAATGAATAGATAAGATAAATGTAATTTGAAATGGCTGAACAAGAAAAAGATAAAGATAAAGCAAATGGTATCATAGAAGATGAAAGAGAATCTGAGTGAAGAAAGAAAAAGATGTTTTGCAATTCGAAATCTTTGTTTATGAAACAAGTCAATTATTAGTAAAATTATTTCTCTCAGAATTTCCAAAGATGCCCAAGAGAAACTAGCCTCTGAAGTTATGGTAAATAGAAGGATAAATGACACAGATTCAAAGAGAATGCTTTCTTACCTCTCCACTTTTGTTGGCAAATCCATTCCATATGTTATTCAAGTTTTGTGTTCTTCCTGAATGATTAAAGGGATTAGAGTGTAAACATTAGAATTACTTATAGTTTTGTTTTGCTATTTTTTGGATAAATAAATTTGTTGGTGGTAGGAGAAACGAGCTGGTCGATAATCATCTATAATTAATCTTTATTATTATCTTCTATTTCAGTTTTATGTTTCTTTGAACTTGGTTCTTGTTGTTGTTCATTTTTATCTTGTTCATTTAAATTTGAAATTGTTGAATTTGTAATTGTAGTTGTTGTTTCTTTTTTTTCTTCATTGATAGTTCTTTTTTGATTTGTATTATTATTTTTGTTATTATTATTATTATTATTATTATTATTTGATTGATTTTTAATTGATTGTGTTTCCAATTTCTTATAGTTTAAATAGTTTTCCAAATCTTTTTCCAATCCCCAAATTTTACATAGTTGATCATAACCTTTTGCTGATGTCGATGCTTTTCCTTCTACAGTCTTTTGCATTTCATTCTCCTGAATCATTTGATTGACAACGTACTTGGTGTTGTTATAGAAGTTGTCTTTGAGCATTGCCAATCGCAAATATCGTTTGATGACATGTTCCAGTGGATCTGGCGCACCCGCTTTGAATACGGAGATATTCTTGATGGCACCGCGTGCCACCATGACAGAGTTGGCACCGGTCATCTTCTTGACCTTCTCGATATCCTCGTTGACAAAGATATCGCCGTTCGCAATGATGGGAACAGAGAACTTGGCATTGTCGAGAATGTTCTTCAGACGATCCCAATGCGCTGGATCTCTCGGTCGCTCCGGTATCGTTCTCATATGAACACCAATCGCTTTAACACCTGTATTCTCAATGATTCTCATCAAATCGATCGTCTTATTATCATCTTCCAACAATCTAATCTTACAGGTCACTGGTAATGGTAGATTTCTAATCAATGTTGTTAAAATCTATATTAAGTTATTAAGTTATTTCGTTAGTTTGTTAGTTTGTTAGTTTGTTTGTTTGTTTGTTTGTTTAAACTATTTGATAATTACATCTTTTATAGTGTCTGGTTTAGAAAGTAGAGCAGAACCCATACCACCTTGAACAGAGAAGAACTTTGGACAACCCATATTGATATCAATAGCACAGACATCATTTACACTAATTAGAAACACAATACAATGTTAGTATGTTTTCACTAAAGATAATGTAGTGTTTGTTTAACAGGCAGATCTATACATACACAACTTGAGCAGCAGCCAATGCAGTGGTAGCAGAAGCAGTACCTAATTGAAGTACATTCAGAGTGTCTTCAGCACATGTTCTATATGTAATAGTATTATCTTTTGCAATGAAATCGATTGTACCCAATGATTCTTGAATTATAATTGTGTTAGTTAACAAACTATTCATTAAACAAATTAACACAAGCAATAATACTACTACATACTATTGATAACTCTTTTTGTTTGAGAAACTTTCAAATCGATTAGTTCCTCACTGTATGCAATGTCACATCCATATTCTTTGGCAAGCAATCTCATTGGGAGTGTACCGACACGTACCATCGGTGCCATAATCACCTTGTCATAGTAGTCCATTACAACTGAACGTTTTGAATCATCTGTAGATATTGATGCTGTTTCGCTCTCTAAAACCAACAATGAAGAGCTACTTGTAGTATTATTAACAATTGTATTATTATTATTATCCTCTATCATTTTATTTATTAATTTTAAATATTAAATTAAAATAAACAAAACAATTCGAACTGTACTATATAGGAAAGTATATATACTATATTAAACTAAACATAAACAACTTAACATTTCTTTTCGTCTCGTTTTTAATTTAACAAAAAATTATGAGAATTTTTACAAAATTAGTTCGAAATCAATTGCTTACACAAAACGAAACAAGAGCTGATTTATAAGAGTTATTATATAATAAAATCATTGACACCTTTCTATTAATAGAATTAATTTAATTTAATATAAATAATTAAAAGGTTTGACTAATTTAGAGTTGAAGTTCGATGCTTATAAATCACCGCAATTCAACCTGCTCGAGCACACCTATCGTGGTATTAATGTGGTGATCATCGTATTGGATTTGTGTGACGAAAGAACTTTTGATGATGTACGACTTTGGTACCAAGAGGTACAGCGTTATGGCTACAATAATACCAAGGTGATTCTAGTCGGCAACAGAACAGATCTAGGATATAGAGACACGTCGTGTCTCTCAAGAGCAAGTAGATGAACTCATATCTAAACTATCATTTATGTACTACTATGAAACACATGTGGAGAATCCAGAGCAACCTGAGCTCTTTGATATGATGTTAACAGAGCTAATATATCGTATACAGGATAATGATTTAACTCAAGCAGATTGGATAGACTCAATATTAAGTAGAAAAAACAAAATTTTACATTGCATTCTGTTATTCAATGTTAAAATTAATTCAATGGTTAACAATTATTTTTTCATTTTACACACATCACTCTGAACTTTCAATCTGATGCTGTGACTCTGCTAAAGCTTACAGTTTTAAGCTCAACAGGAACACTAAATTAATAAATTCAATAAATTAAAGGTGATGATATTTGAATGACAAGTCTAATTAGATCAAAAAAAATTCAAATGTTTAATTCCATTTTTTCAGAAGCAAATTAAAAAAAATTTGGGTGGTTGGCCCCAAATGGAATTAAACAAATGCTAAATTAATCATTTCAACACATCTTGATCAATGTGGTCACCACTCAACAAAACAAAATAAAAAACAATACTGTTATAAAAAATTTAAAATGAATCAATTTTTTAAAATATAAAAAATGAATAGTCAAAGTTATAATAATAATAATAGTAATAGTAATAGTAATAGTAATCATATTTTTGTAAATCTACCATTACTTTTAATTGCAACCATAGTTAGAGAGCTAGATAGTGATGTGGAGAGAATTTGTTTCAGTTTGACTTGCAGGCGATGGTTCTATCTGCGAGAGAAATATATTTGGTTCACCTGTTCTTATATTCCTAAATCATTCAAGGGCTGGCTACTCGATCCGAAAACCAATCCGACATTCACATTGAATTCATTCAGAGAGCTACTTCATAGAGGTGTCGATGCAAAACCAATCAAATCAATATTGGTTTGCAATAAAGACTATTTTAAGAATATAAAATCTATAAGTACAACCACTTACTATGATGACTATATACCGATTGGTAATTACAATAATAATAATAACTTAGTAATTACATGATGATTATTAATTAGATCTATTAATATATATAAAAAAGAGGATATTGAAAACTATGTGATTAGTGAATCTTGCACAGATATCACTTTCATTTCACACATAATCAACCAAATCGCAATCGATAAGATAAGCAAATCCAATATTAAAACAGTAGTATTTCGTACGGATTCATTCGAGTTTGGTAACCACCAAAGACTTCCATTGAATATCTCTACAATTATTTTACATCGATCTATCGATGAGTCATTACTACCTTTGAATTTGAAGAAATTGGTTTTGGGATGTTCCCCTCCTCCAAGGGCGATCGATGCCGCCAAACTACCGAGATCACTAGAACATCTTTACATTGAAGGTAGGCATGATGATCCCGTTGATGTTGGTGCATTCCCACCGAATCTCAAGTTCCTACATTACATCAATTACTATGAATCGCCGCTAAACGTACAACTTCCGCAAAGTCTCACTCATGTCTCAATAACAAATATTTGGCTCCCGCACATTAGTAATCTGAAATCGATTAAAAGACTGGAAATCGATCTGGTCGACGACTTTCCCATACTGTCCGTTGACATTCCATCGAGTGTAACTCAACTTATCTACGCCACTACAAATATCGAATTTTTTGTCACACCCTTTATCATTCCAAGAAATATCAAGTATCTAAGGTTAGCCGGTCAGTGTCGATATGAACCCAACATATTCGCGCAATTCGATCGATTGAAGACGCTAGAAGTCATTTCCAATGAGAAAACCGAACTTGTTATCGGAGAACTCCCAGAGAGTCTGACCACTCTGACACTGCCCTATCAAATCGACATGCCGCTGGAACAGTACGTCAAGTTGCCACCACGTTTAGAAAACCTCTATATACATGGGTACAAAGGTGTGATCTCCTATATGCCTACCACGGTTAAAACCATTGAGCTGAGACAAAACACTTTCAAGTATCCAGTGATAATACCTCCATCAGTAGAGACCGTCTATTTCCAATATTGGAATGAAAATGATACAGTTGACATACGCTCTGATGACTGGCCACCGTCACTGACCTCCATGTCCACAAACGATATATTACCATTTCAATTGCCAAAATCAATTACAAGCGTCAACCTCTTTAAGATTGAGAGTTCCTTTAATTTTTTCATTCAAAGACTAAACGAAACAACATTCTTGGTTCATGGAGCTAGAAATTCAAATTTAGTTTTTTTCATTTCAAATTGGGATACAATCAGAATTTTACTACCAAAATTAAATGTTTAATTTATTGCCAACTAAATAATAAATATTATTATATTGATTCATTTATTTATTATGTTGTTTATTATTTATCTTTCTCTAGTACCTTTAGTTTATTTTGCATTATTTGTTTCTCTCTGGCATTTTTTCTTTGTTTCAATCTTAGAATGACAAGTGTTGTTACGATAGCAATGAATACTATTGAGGCAACAACAATAGCAACAATGATACCATTCGATAATCTCTTGTTAGATTTAGGTGAACAGATTTGATCTAATTCGCTAGAATCATCACCAACATCAATAAGGTTAGAGAAATCAGGGTCCAATAGTGCAGATCTCTCGAAATATGGAATGGTAATACCAATTTTAATAGATCGGAAACTAGATGAATCAGTTTCGTTCGTTCCTATCACTTCTTCATCTAGTACTCTATTGTCGACTGTTGATACTCTTGAATCTAAAATTCCATATGAAATGAATCGACCATAAAGACTGGTTTTATCGATATTCATTTTTATCCAGGATATATCGTTCTTCTCATTGTAACTACCTATCTGTTTGGAGGAACATGAATCACGACCAGATAATCCTTGGATAGTTGCTTCCATCACAACTTGAAGCATGTTTGTTTTCAACTTGAAATCAAACGATGATATATTGATGGAATATTTAATGGTGGATGGTGATATGATAATTTGTTGACCTCCAAAATCAATGGACCTTGAATCATTAAAGAATTCAATTGTAATATAAACTGTTGTATTGGTCCCATCGAGTATACTTTGATATTGATATCTTGGATGATCAGTCTGACTGGTTTGATCATTTAACTTCCAATTTGCTAACTTGTAGGTACTAACAATATTCATTAAACTATCAATTTCTCTAACTTCAATTACGTGAACCTTGGATGTGATATTATTGAAATCAGTGTATGTTGGATCTGTAATAGTTATATTGGTAGTTGGATCAGGTTGAGGTGTTGGTGTTGGAATAATAATAATTTCTAAACATTTGTTAAAATTTGTTTTAATAAATTAATAAATAAATTAATAAATAAGGTATAAATATTAGAATTGATAGATGGTTAGGTTAACTTACTAGAAGAACATGATGGACCATACCAAGGTACACGACATTCACATCCACTATTTCTGCAGACTCCTTGACTGTTGCAAGGTGGTGTTCCTGGACAAATGAAAGGTGGTATTGGATCTAAATTTGTTTTGAAAAGAATAATTCTAAAAGGATTGGAATCAACCTTATTCTTAGTAATGATTATATCTACTGAAGTAGAATTGGTTTGTTTGACTCGGTTGCTAATTTGGATGACAACTCCTGAAAAGAAGTCAATGTCAATGTGTTGGAAACCGTTTCCATCGTTATAGTTAATTGAACACTTCACGACATCATTGGAAGTTCCAAATTGCTTTCCAAACAATGTAAGAGATCCACCGTACGATGACAAAAGACTTGTTGATTCGATAATAGGATAATCCATATTTGTCTTTCGGACTATATAGAATGGGAAACTATTGTCTCTAAGATCGGTTGAAAGATAAGCATTGTAATTGGATTGACTATCTATTATTCCATAAACAGATATGAAAATAGTATTCATACCGAAACCATATGGAAGTTGTGTTGAAGCATAATAATGACCTTTTGAAGGTGTAGAGATTGGTGATTTCAATAATGATGTTGTGATATTCAAAATTTGACCATTCTCAGAGGTCAAAATTATCAAAGGTTGATCCATTGATCTATAAGTATAGATTTTATAATCAATGTATAAATCGAATTCAACAGTTCTATTTGGACTATAAATTTCAACTTCTTTTGTGGCAATAAAATTGGAAATTTCAGGAACATTGGAAACTAGAGTCACTATAAAAATAGAGATATTAATCAATTATTGCTTTTTTTTTAATAAAATTATCTTACTTATATGGTCTACTGAAATTCTGAATTCTGATTGAGAAGTGGAAACAGCTGAGACCAATGGATTGTAAAGACGTTCTCTTTTAGTGGGGTCACCTAAAACCATATTCTTCATTGATATATTCTTGGGTGCCAGTAAAAATGATTCTGGAACTATAATTTTATATTTTCCATTGACTAGGTTCGAAGGACCAAATGATATTCTTAATGGATTTGCATCGATATCAGATACAATATCAACATATCCAACTTCAAAATCATTTTGGTCATAGATATTTAAAAGCCATCCTATTTCAACTGGAGTACTTGAGTTGATTATGACATTTTTATTCGGAAATGCCTTAACATCAAGTAATTGCGGTGGAAATATATCATCTTTATAATTTTATAATAAATATTAATTAGTAAATAATTAATTCTTGAATGACAATTAAACATACCAGAGTTTAATATTGTTAGAGATCTATTAAATGGAATTAATTGTGAAGGAATTATAGAGCCAGTATACAAGTCAGATATTGTGTAATCAATATTTCCACTCATCACTGGGAAAGTATAATTAAATGGAATTGTGTAAAGTTTCAAAAGTGGATGATAGAAACCATTAAACTGATACTTGTTAATGGTGAGTGTTGGAGTAAGATCTGGATATGAATTACTTAGATTGAAATATAAAACATTGGAGTTGAAAGCTTTTACATCCCATTGACTATATTGGAAACTAAAATAAGTAATATTACTAGAAATGAAAGATGCTAAAACAATATTTTAAAAATAATTATTAAAAAAATGATTTTTTTAAAATAAATAGAAATTCTTACGATTATATAAAAACGGTTGATAATAAGGAAGAGTTAAGTTTGTATTATAGATTTGACCACTATAAATATCGATACTATCTGCTCTAACGTTGAAAATCGTTACTATAAAACCAGATGGTTTCTTCATTGGTATCAACTTTTCATAGGTTCCATTGGTAGCTGTTCCTTTAATTAAATCAGATGTATATAAAATTTGATTACCAACGTATATATATTTAATAGCATAGTTTGATTCAACTGTTATTCTAAAAATAAAGAAATAAGATGTAGCTCTTATCATATCTATTTTAATAACATTAAATTTTGATATACCTACATTGTTTTATTAATTATAAAACAAAAAAAAAAATTAATAAAAAAAATATCATTTTTTACATTGTTTAATTTTCTTACTTGAACTTTGTCTATTGCCTAAAATAAAAACGTTTAATGATTGTGTTTCAGCGCTACTATAATAACCACCTACAAATTCTGTAGATAATATATCTTGATATTTATAATAAAATCCTGTTTCATTGAATTTACTTGGATACTTTATGATTGTAGTTATACCTGTATCACCTCCCATTATCGTATTTAAATGAATTGGCCATATTTCTTTTGAATACACCTCATTTCCAACAAAAGTAACATTAAGAGTTTTATTTAAAGCTTGGCTAATAGATAAAACTCCGGAAAAACCTATTTTTTTAATATCGAGTTTAATAACTTTTACTTAAAAAATCATGATATTTTTAATCTTTCAAAAAAATTAACTTACTTTTTAACTGTTTATCTAGTTGAACATTTGGTCCTGATGAAGTTCTTGAATCACAAATAAAACTACCCAATATCGATACTTGTAAATATTGATTTGGAATGGTAGCAAAATATACATCATCATCACCCGATCGCATTACCCTTTGGAATTGATAGTACTTTTCTTCTTCATAGGTGTAGAACAATCTTGTTTTGTTGATATTTCTGACATATGCCATTGCAATTGGATTGATAGTATCGGCTTGCTTCGTGAAATCTTCATAATAGGTATCTACATTTAATGGAAACTGTGTATAAGTTGCATTTAGAACAACAGTTGGATCTTTTAATTTTAAAAGGAAAAAAAATTATTAATTCACTTTTTAAGATATTATTTAATTTGTTAAAATTTTGTAAAAAACCATTAATATTAATACTTACAATCCCAAGGGAACAACGAAGAAAATGTAATATTATTAGATTGTGATACTAAATTAAAACCAACAGTTATTGTTGAATTTAATCCTAGACTATATTTTGGAAATAAATAGACCTGAACATAGTAAAGATGATTCGATCTTGTGAGTGTCATATCACAATAATAAGGTGGTGGGATATTACACAATATATTATAAATAAATGGATCAGTAGGACTGTAATATGAAGTAATACCAAAATCAACATAAAAGCCAACTGTAAATGGATCTAATGAAGTGATTTCCGAGTAGCTGTTAATTTTAAATTGAGATGATACTATTTCTATTAAATTTAAATGATATAATTAAAAAAATGATAAAAATAACCATAAAAACCAATGATATCAATAAATACATACGGTCACATCTAACCTCGGTAATGGGTATAAAATCCTGATTACCATAGGTTGTGTTTCTATAGTACAAATTCGGGTAAACACCAGTTGACACATCCAAATCTATTTGAAAAAGGAAAATCTGGCTCGACAGATCGTTTTGGATTGCACTCTTGAACACACCATCTGAGGATACAGAGAAATCAGTTGGGCTTATCCAATAGTTTGCTGCCATAACAACTGAGAAACCCGATTCACATTTCTTTATTACTGTATCTGGAAACAATGGTGGAAATGGTTGTTTTTGAATCAATGTCAATGGTTGTGATGAAACTGAATATATATTATTTATCGAAAGTAGAAAATTAATTAAATTATTTTATTTAATAACTATATTTTAAATTCATCTAAATACCTGTTAAACTACAAAAAGTATTAAAAATAAAAATACAAATAAATAAATAAAAAATCACTTTCATTGTTTTTTTATTTTTAACAATTAAAACAAAAGTTATTTTTGATCATTGATTGTTGAAGAAACCTCTTGTTTAAAATGATTTTCTTTTGAATTGTTCATTCCTTTAACAAATCCAAAGCAAAATATTTTTAAAAGAAAGAAACCCCCGATTGTTTAATAACAAATTTTCCCAAACTTTATAATTCAAAAGATATTTATTTTAAAAAATAAAATAAAAAAATAATATTTAAAGTTTAAGATTACGATTCTATGGTGCAATAAAAAAAAAAAAAAAACAATTGTGGTCATATCTGTTGATCATATGTACATTGAACAGGATGGTGGTTCACCCAATTTTTATTTTTTTTAATTCCGATTAAAGTGTCAAAAAAGATATTTTAAAAGTCTCTTGAATTGTGGTTTACGGGTTACTAGTACCATGAATTATTGTTATTATTATTGTTATTATTATTTTCATCATAATATATTTGTGATGATGATGCGTCCAAGTTTAAATTATAAAGAGGAAACTGTTGTTGTGCTTGTTGTTGTTGCGGATATCCTTGTTGTTGTAGATAACCTTGTGGTTGTGGCTGTTGTAGTAGTTGTGGTTGTTGTGGTTGTTGTTGATATGGTTGATATTGTTGATATAGTTGCATATATGATTGTTGCAGTTGTTGTTGTTGTAGCTGTTGCTGTTGTAGCTGTTGTGGTTGTTGTGGTTGTAGTTGTTGTTCTGGTAATTGATGAGTTGGATTCAACACATAGAAACCTCTAGAGTTGTTATGATCATTGTCTTTATTATTTTGGATTGTCCAACGGTCATTTACTTTTGGTATAGGTATGGTGTTGAATGTTTCCTCGTTTTCAGGCGATAGGTACCTTATATACATCTTAACATTATACTCAAGGAATATAAATTCAGGTGTACGGAATTGTGCTGCCATCTTATCTGTCGATACATGAATGTCATTAATAATTAATCGAATGAAATCATCGGTATCGACAAAGATTACTACAACCTTAAACTTTCTACCTATAATTTGAAAAGCAGTAAACATGTTTTTTAATATTAATAATTGGAAAATTGTTGAAAAAAACAAATAATGTTATTATATAAATAATCATACCATTTTTAATACGAACGGAAGCCTCGATGGTTGACTCCCGGTAGTCATCTTTCGGAATGTAAGTATTCAGGAATTTACTGATGATTGGATACGGAAGAAACTTGGAGGCCTTTACAAATATCGTTTGTCTCGCCTCACTAAATAGCTTGCCATCTACACAACCAGTTGGACTCCAGTATGTCAGTCTGATTTCGGTTTCGAGATATTGGCTTGTTGTTTCATTTCTTATAGTGGTACCTTTAACACTGAAAGTACCATCGGCACTAACATTGGACTCACAGTTTTCCAAAGTAAAAAGAGTTTTATCTTTCGGAAAGGCCAGAATTACAAGATCTATGTGACTAAACTTTATATTTGGATAGATTGTATTCACTTTCTTTTTGACCAACTCCAGATTGACAACACCATAAAAACAGCAATTGTTTCTTTGGAGTGTGTGTGTTGTGTGAGAGGTCACTGTAAAGAGTGGTTCATTGTTGTTGTCGGGTTCTTGTTGATTGACTATGGTTGGTAGCGGTTGTAGTTGTTGTAGTTCAACTTCCATAGCATCTCCATTGGTATTTGAGGTTGTGGTAGTTGTGGTATAGGTGGGGGTGATATTATAAATATAATTATAATTATTTGTAGTGGTGGTTGTTGTGGCATCTGTAGGCAGAGTTGGAGTGGGTGGTATGTTGTTAAAGTTGTTTCCATTAGCATTGCTAATGAATCTATTGTTTAATGGTTGCGGTAGTTGATGTGGTGTTGGTGGTTGGTTGAGATTTGGATTTGGATTTGGATTTGGATTTGGATTAACAACAGCAGCATTTTCAAAGAAGTCAAAATTGATATGGATAGAGTTGTTATTGTTATTATTAAGTTCTTGTCTTATTGGACAATTTTGAAATACTACATTCTCTCTTTGATCTGTTGATCTATTACGAGAATTATACTCGACTAATGGTTGTTGATGGCAATCCATTTGATGATGATGAAGTGTTCTCTTTTGAAAAAAAAAAAAAAACAAAAAAAAAAAAAAAAAAAAAACAAAAAAAAAAAAACAACAAATGATAATTATATTTACTTTAAATAAATATAGAAATTAAGAAATGATTTATCAGGTGTAACTTTATCTCAATTTATTACAACAAAAATAAAATAAAATAAAATAATTAATCAAAAAAAGCACACCATTTGGATTTAAATTTTTAGTTTTTTTTGTTTTTCAAATAAGGAATCGCCCGTATGTGGTGTATTGATCAAATCCGAATGTGTTGTTGCAATAAGATGATAAATTAATTTATTTTTGAAAATTTTGTGGATGGTATTTGAATGAAAATCAAATGGTAGAATAAAAAAAAAAAATTTAGAAAAGAATTTGATTCAATTCTTGCGAACACAGGTGAACCTCACCAAGAAGAACAAACCCTGAAAAAAAAAAATGGCTTTCAAAAATTTGAAACTAATCGTGGTGCAACAAGTAAAGTTGGCAAAACATATCTTTTGAAAAATTTCTCAAAATTGAAACAGCTCAGAGGTTTATTAAAGAATAAAGTAATCATTTCAAAAAACTTTAAGGTCATTCGGCACATTAATAATGAAAATTACATTAAACTTTTCAAATAATTAATTTAAGATGAATCTGCGATTGATTAGATATTTTTTGTCTTATCGTTTATTTGTTCAAAAGCTAATAAAATTGTTAATGATAATATTTTTTAATTAATTAAAATTAAATTTGAAAAAGATATTTTTGTAGATACGCTGTTGAATCACGACGAATAAAATGAAAAATTGTTATTATTATTATTGTTGTTTTCATCAGAATCTGTTTGTGATCTTGATGCATCCAAGTTGAAATTATAATGATTAAACTGTTGTTGTGGATAACCTTGCTGTTGAAGAGAACCTTGTGGTTGTGGCTGTTGTGGATATCCTTGTAGTTGTGGATGTTGTTGTAGATAACCTTGTTGCTGTGGGTAGCCTTGTTGTTGTGGATAACCTTGCTGTTGTAGAGAACCTTGTGGTTGTGGCTGTTGTGGATATCCTTGTGGATGTAGTTGTTGTTGTGGTAATTGAAGAGTCGGATTCAACACATAGTACCCCCTAGAGTTGTTAAGATCATTGTCGGAAACCTCAATGGTTGACTCGCAGTAACCGGTTCCTGGAATGCAAGTAAAGTCGAATTCATTGATGATTGGATACGGTAGAAATTTGGAGGCCTTTACAAATATCGTTTGTCTCGAATCTCCGTTTAGACCAGATTCAATTTCCATAGCATTGTCATCGGTATTTGTAGTAGCGGTGGTGATATTATAATTATTATTATTAGTTGTTGTGGTGGTGGTGGTGGTGGCATCTTCAGGCTGAGTATATGGATTAACAATACTTGAGTTGGTGTGGACGATATGACAGTCTGCCGATTCAAATCCCGGTAAAAACTCTGGACTATTGAGTACCTCTTTAATAAATTGATGACATTCATCTAGAGATTTTGGTGCGTTGTCTCCATTGGCAATGCTAAAGAATCCATTGTTAGATGATGATGGTGGTTGATCTAATCCTGGATTAGAAGGGTTTTCAAAATACTCTGGGTTGAAGTGGAGTGTATGATCGTCAGTGGTTGCGGCGTCCGTTAGATAGTCTTGGCTCTTAAGCACCTCCCTACTAGTCTCATTACGATATTCCTTTCTAATCCAGCAATTTGAATAGGCTACTTTCTCTCTATCGTTGACTCTACTGAGAGAGCTATAATGAAATGATTTTTGTTGCTGCTGCTGACTATCAATATGATGTTGAAGTTGTTGTTGCTGAACTAATTGAAAGTTTTGTTTTTGTTTCTGAACGGAGTGGCGAGTTTTTTGTTGCTGAACTGAGAGTTGTTGTTGTTGCTGATCATCATATTGATGAAGTTGTAGTTGATTCATTTTTTTTGTTTTTTGTTTTTATTAAAAAAAAAAATGATGATTTATAATATAGAAATTTGTAATAAATGAATAACAAATTATTTAGATCTTGTGATCAAAAAATATTATTGGTGTTTCAACATCAGCACCTCTCCACTTATAAAAAAATATAATTAAAATAGAAAATAAAATAAATTTTATTTGGTTTCAATCATGACATCAATAACAATCACACACCCTGATTACTGGGGTTTCAACATCAGGTGCACCTCGCAACTTTATTAAATAAAAAAACTTACGGATCTGATTTCTTTTTACACAAAAATTATTTAATTTTAACAACGACAAGGGTAATGTTGTTACTGATTAGTATACACACCCCTATGATTTTGTGTGGTGTTGGTAATACCATTGACTCAAAAATGCGGCTGTGTAAATAATGTGCAAATTTAGGTTCATCCAGAGTTTTTTTTTTCAACACACCTTTGTGAACATCAATGGGGTATGAAAAACAACAAAGCAACACGTGGGTCGTTTTATTGTTTTGTATGAATGCTTGACACATTAATAACATATTCATACCCTTTTTTGCAAAAAAATAAATATTTGATCAATCAAAATGCTTCACCACTGATGTTAATAACACAGCACATGTGGGTTTAGTAAAATGAAACTAAAACTAATGAAAATTAACAATAATAGTAAAATGAATGAAAAAACAGTGATATTTACATTTATTTGATGGGAATAGAACTAGTGACAGTTTTTTTTTGATTTGATTTGATTTGGTTTGGTTTGTGGTTAGCAAAGATTTTAAAGAATTATACAACTTGATGATGATGACGACGACGATGATTTGGAGGTAGAAGAACCAGTAGCCGTTCTACCAGTTATACTGTGTCTGGCTGCCTCTTCGAAAACTTTGTTAACACCGTTCTGAGTGAGTGCCGAGCACTCTTGATAGGCAACAGCACCGATTCGCTTCATCATTGCCAAACCCTGTTGTTTTGTGATAGGTTCCTGTTGTCTTTGTGCTAGACGTTCTATAGTTTCGCGATCCTGTCGTAAATCGATTTTCGTACACACCAAAACTATTGGTACATTCGGCATATGATGATTAAGCTCTGGTATCCACTTTAATATAATATAATAATTTATATAATATAATATAATAATGATGATAAGATAGAATAATGAAATGAATAAAATAGTTAGTATCTATCAATCTATCTAATCGATCGTATTCTTAATTAAACCAATGATTGATTTAGAAAACTATTATTGACTACTTACTCTATCAATTACATTATCAAAAGAGGTATGTGAGATCACAGAGAAACAAACTAAGAATACATCGGTGGCGGGATAGGATAGCGGTCTTAGTCTATCGTATTCCTCTTGTGCAGCAGTATCCCATAGTCCTATATTATACGCTCTACCACCTACATTACAAGTTGCAACAAAACTTTCGAAAACTGTCTAAACAAACATGTTAATAATAGAATAAAACAATATCGTATTAGATTGTTATTACATACTGGTATATAATCATTTGGGAATCTATTATGTGCATAAACAGTAAAAAGACAAGTTTTACCAACAGCAGAATCACCTACTATAACTAATTTAATATAAAGATTATCACTACTTGGGTTATGCATAATTTATTTGATTTAATTTGATTTGTTTTGTTTTGATTTGTTTTCTGTTTAAACGATAGATCTAAATAATAACAAAAAAAACAACCAATCTTTCTCAAATTATTAATGACAACAATTTATTTATTGTTGTTTTTTTTATGTTTGTATTATAATCCTTTTTTCATTCTTTGAAAACTTGTGAATTAAAATAATAGATGAATGATAAGACTGGTGCTGAAAAAAATATAAAAATCTATGAAAAATCTTTTTTAAAAGATTTTAAAAAATAAAAATATAAAATCTTTCATAAAAATTATAATTTACAAAGTGTTTTTTTATTTAAATAATAATAAGATAGAATATATTATTATGCTATCTAATTAATTAATTAAACTTTACCAAAGTAAAAGTTTGAGATAGTGGTATACCAATCACAGAGATCTGCCCAGTAGTTGGTCGGATTAATATTGACAGCGGTGGCATTTGGATTGATAATAGCAATCTTTTGAACCGTTTGTAACTTTGAAATACATGTTGCTACACCGTTGATACTAGCACATTGCAAACCGCCCAAACATCTTACTGCACTGCAAACATCATTCGAATATACACCTATAATAAATAAATAATAATTTCTTTTATTAGTTTTTTTTTTTTTTTTTTTTGAAATATTACATACCTTGAACAAGTAAAATTACAAATAAACATAAGATTATAGATTTCATTTTTATATATTGTTTTAGTTTATTTTTTAATAAATTACAATGAATATTAAATTAAATTAACAATGACAATGTCTTAAAAATATCTTAATATAGAAAATTGTTTACAATTTCAATATGATGATAAATAAGATCAATCAAATGAAGATCGAAAATCGTACCACAACCAAAACGTGTGTTTTTAACCACTTGACTCATTAAACTAAAAAAGTATGATATAATTTTTATATTTATCGATTTTATTTTCTCCCACTATTATAGAATTTCGATTGATTTGTATATGTACCACTATCAATATTTAATGTATTATCAAAAAATTATTTTGAAAAGTATGAAATGTTGTTTTTTTCAAAATTATCAAGTCTGTAAAGATAAATAAAAATTAATTCAGTAAATTTATCTTTGATTCAATAAATTATTTAAAAGAGATAAATAATCAATTTTTCATTTTAATTTTATTAAATAAATTGAAGTTCAATTTTCGAAGGGTTTTTTGAATTCAAAATGTATTTGGTAAAGTCTAGTTTTTCATTCTTGAAATTGTTTTGGAAATTACTTTGATTCCAGATTAATTTTCATAAAGTAATTCTTTAAATGAATCAAAAGTATAAATATTTAAGTTTAAATAATTTTTATCAAGTTTTAAACTTTAAAGATAATAGCTTATGAAGCTATGGATACATAATTACTTATGGAATGAATAAGGACATATTGAGGTAATAAGATACAAATACCAATGGGGAATTCAAAAATTTGGTTAACTTTAAATATTAAAAAAAAATAAAAAAAATTAAAAAAAAAAAATTTCAAATAAAAATTTTGTTTTCTAAGTATTTCAAAAAATTGAGCGGGAGATCAACAAAAATGTAATTTAATTAAAGATCTTTAAATTTAATTATTTTATATTTATTACACATTTGTTATAACAACAAATTATAGTTTTTAGATTTTTAGATATTTTTTTAGATTTAATGGTTCAAAATACACCACATTTAAATGATAAAGAACAGATTATATCAACCTTGGTAACATTGATTCAGCAGATATGTGGCCAACAACAGCAGCAACAACAACACCAATCTACTAATCATAGTAATAGTAGTGGTCATCATACAAATACAAAGCTTAGTCAAAGACACATTGAACAGGTCGCTCAGATTCGATCGTTGCTTCCCGAGCTTATCAATACACATCTGCTGGCAAATGGGTCGATCAAGGATGTCAATGAAATCATACAGCTGATAAGCATCATGGTCCAGCGGCTGCCGAGTGGCCAGTGCATTGGTGACAGTGGATCGATCTGTTTCTACCTGTTCAAGTTGATTCCGTTCCTCTCGAGTCAGCAGCACGTTCGAGACGCGCAACTACTTGACAACCTGATAAACACCATCCGATCGATTCTCTACTTGCTGGTCAACGATTTCAACATGCTCTCGATCTTCATGCATGAAACACTACTTATATTCCAAGATATCCAAGAGATATGTGAACAATTGAAAGATAACAACAACAACAACAGCTTACAATTCCCAATACTTTTAAAGACATTCTGTGAGTTATCTTCAATGTTTACCAATACGAAATCAATGTCATTCTTGGATATTGAAACACTTAAAGTTAACAACAACAACAATAACAACAATGAACAACAACAAACATCAACACAACAACAATTACAAACACCAGAGATGGTAGATGGAGTACTCATTACTTTGACATCGTTCGATATGGTTATTTCATTGATGAGTGGATTACAACAGGTAATTAGCTACATTTTCGAATCGACCAGCCAATTCCTACCGGAAGTGATCACACCATTTTGGTTCACACTATCATTCATATTGAAATCAAACATTGCCACCACCGATATAAAGTTATTAAATGTAAGTAGAATATTAACATATTATCATCATAGAATAATAGATTACTAATTCGCAAAAAATAAACATAGTCTACACTTCAAACATTATGTATATTTTTAAAGGATTTCCAATGTCCGCTACGACTTTGTGATGAGTTTCTAGATTCACTACTAAAGCTGGCACAATCTACAATCACAATAACAAACACAGCAAAAGATCAGTCGTTATTAGCTAACAATCTCTCTAGAGCAATCAAATTGGCATCATCGATACTCAGTGACAACCAATTCTTTCTATTCGGTGATAGAATTGTTCATTTAACACCGATTATCTTATCAAATTCAAATAGTATATCAATTAAAGTAAGTCTTAACTTTTATAAAGTAAAAACAAAACATATTTATTAATTGTTGTTGTTTATTATTTATTATGAAGAAAACTATTTTAGAACTTTATTATAGGATATTATTATTATCACAACCATCTCATCAATCGATTGTTAATTTAATACCGTTTCTATCCGATCAATCTATTCAGTCAGTTTTAATAGATTGTTTTAGAAAGGTATTGGATCATTTTGCATCGTCAGAGAATAATATTAATAATAATAATAGTAATAATCAATTTAATGGATTTATTATCAACAAATTAATACAAACGGTTCAACACTTCAATCCACAAGAACAACAGCAACAACAAATCAACCAGTTGAATCGATTTATCTTTACATTTAGTACTGTCGTTAGAATATGTAACGGTTACAACGAGTACCAGAAGGAGTTGTTAGAGTTGTTTATTCATCACATCGGTGAGTTATACAAGTTTGTCATCGCTCACAAAGAGAAGGAGAAAGAGATCGATGTTTCAATGTTGCCTGTCATCAATGAAGCACTCTCGCTATGTTTGACAGTGGTGACAAGTGTTGTCCATCCAAACATTCATATGGCATCGTCGATCGGAAGTCAATATAAATTCACACTGGACTGTATATTCAATCTGTCGTTCCTGCCTTGGAATCACGCATCGCTCTTCACCTCTGAGAAACTAAAGACGTCGCTAGAGTATCAATCTATGAAACACCAGTGTATTACCGTACTAGCTTGGACACCGGCAACTTTCTATCTCGATGAACGCAAATCGATATTCGAAGACACTCTGAAATCGATTACCGAGCAACGTCAGAACAACAAGTACTCTGCTGAATTTCTCATGTTGCTACCGTTGTTCCTAGTGAATCTGTCATCCGACGACAAGCAGGCCAACGACACCTATATCAGCAACCTATTCATACACCTGGACAACTTTATTTCTTCAAACAACACCGACAAACCGATTCCAACAGAACATCTACAAGTATTATCAATGATAGCTGGAAATCTCCATTGTATTAAAAGTAATCATTTAAAAAATAGCAATAGTAATAGTATCAATAATAGTAATAATAATAATAATAATAACAGTAACATTAATAACAATAGTAATAATAATAGTAAAGAAATAGTAATCAATAATTCAATGATAATTGAATTGAAACAATTTAAAATTGATTCACTCATATCGATTTCTCAGATCTTTACAACAAATTATTGGTTACCAAAGTGTAAATGTCAGGATTTGGAAACATCATCAGTAAAGACCCAGAATATGTCAGACTTTACCTTCAAACAGCTTTTTACAACCGATAATCAGATACCTTCAATCATCAAATATCTATATCTATCGATTACTTTCAAGACACAACTTGGACATCTTCATTACAACGAAGAGAATATCAAATATTTCTTTGAGCATTATTTCAAGAATCTAATCACAGACACCAATGAAATTATTAGAAATTCATTAATAGATATTATTGTATCAATGATAAAGTTATGTCCATCAATCGTAAGTTTGCAAATCATTCAATCAACTATTATCGACTAACTAATATTAATTTTATGTATTGTATGTTTTTTTAGTCATCAAAAGATTTCATTCTATCACAATTGTTTACCAATTTGAAACCAATTTGGAATATGGAGAATGAAGATGTTTTACTATCGATTATCAGATTGTTTGGAAAGATTTCAAAGTTGATTCAAATCGATACTGTCTATTTCTTGTTGATAGTGTGTAGTTTGATCGATTGTTTCGGCAGATCTTCACATCTTTGTATCTTGTCGAATGAAATGTTAGACCAGATTGCCAGGCTAAAGAACACCAATCCTCGTGCCATGATAAACACTCTTGCTCCTACTCTCTACCCGATAGTAATCGAGCACATCAAAGAAAACGTTGCCATTCTCAATGAACTATCGAGTCGAGTGCTAAAGACCGATCTCACAACATTCATCAACAACGCTCTACCACATATTCTACCGACGATTTTCGCTAAACAAAATCAACCGGTGCTGAACGAATTGAAATCGCGTTGCAAACTCAAAGATGCAGCCTATGACCAACTCTCTTTTGTTCTCGAACATATCTTTATGTCGTCGCCTGGCAACGATCAGCTGGTGGAAACGCTTGTTTTCCTGGCGAACTTCCTCGAATGGCAAGTGAAAGATATCATTACTTTTGCACCACGATTGTTTTACTATCGTCTCATATTGAATTTGGGTGACGCAAGCAAAGCGGAGCAAGCAAAGGTAGCATTGAAATGGGCGTTCAGTCTACAGGAGGTGTCGGCGCCAAGTGCCGCCGCCTTTGAATTGTTCCTCATGAAAGATTTCCTCGGAACGATGAACCACTTCAACTCGATAATGACCAACAAGCAGAAACCACTCGCCGAGAAAGAGAATATGATGGGTGCAGTGCGTTCATTGCTCGAGCTGCTCGGTGGCGCAGTCAATCGATTCCGTCCAAAGATTATGGCATTCCTAAAGCTGGCGGTGAACACACCGCTCGAAGCAATGTCGATCGATATCTGGCTGACCTTTGTAAAGCTATTGGATATCAACTCGGTCGGTCCCATTCTAAATCAACTGGTAGTCTCTGTTCTACATCTTGTTAATTCCTATCCGGACCGAGCGATATTGATCCTCGATTATCTGATTGTCGAGAAACAAGCACAACTTCACACCTACTTCCATACGATACCTTTGTTGCCGGACTATCCTGTTCTCCAAAGAATCATTGGTGTCCTAGCGAAATACTCTGGAAAGACCGATCTCAAAACACAGATAACACAGCTGATCCAGTTGTTTGGCAATGAATCGTCGGATGTCAAAAACATCACACTCGATCGTCTACAAAAGCTGCTACGTGAACATCGGCTGGAGATCAACAAGTTCATTTGTGACGATGTCCCAATCATATCGGACCTGACGAAAGCACTGTTGATAGGATGTCGTGATCCTTTCGACAAGGTGCAAGTGGCATTCATCGAGTGTCTCGGTGAGCTTGGTGCCATCGATCCCGAGCGTTTCAACTTCAAACTCCGTAACGAAGTACACGATGAAAAGAATCGTGGAATGATTGCCTACGATCTCATCGTCGAGTATTTGGCAAAGTTTGTTTGTTCGCCGAGTAATCCGACTCCTCAAGACAGAGCTGGCTATGCAATCCAGGAGATTCTCAAGATATGCGGTTGCACCGAAGCCAACCAGACCATCGAAGGAAAAGATCTCTGGGATCACTTCACACCGGAGGTCAAAGAGATACTCTATCCATTTCTCACATCCGAGTATCTTCTACCACCATCCCGACAGATTCCACCGAGAGACACTGCTTTCTTCACACCAAAGACACTCTACAAGAAATGGTTAATAAGCTGGGTATCCGATTTACTTAACAGAACTGGTGGTCCAAATGAACCAATATTTAAATCTTGTCGGTAAGTAGCCAAATGTTTAACATATAACAATATTAACTAAAGTAGATTGTTAACAATATATTTAATATTTGTACCAATATTATATAGTGGTATTATTAAAGATGATTTAAAGATATGTCATTACCTCTTACCATTGTTGATTATCAATATCTTTGAATTTGGAAAACCAGAGGATATTAAATTGATTCAAATAGAGATATTGGAGGTATTGAAAAAAGATACTGATCTGTCGTCAGAGAACGGTCAGATGTGTACTCAACGAATTTTCGAAATCATCAATTCTCTCAACAAGTGGATTGACACTAGAAAGAAAAAGAATGAATCTGCCAAAATGAAATCAATGTTCAATGTCATCGATGGATTCCTCAATAGTATACCAGAGACACTATTGTCGACTGCCTCTCAAAGATGTGGTGCACTCTCCATCTCCTTAATGCAAATAGAATCACATATTAGAAAGGAAATTAATGAGTAATTATTAATAATAATAATTTTGATTTATCAAAAAACATTGTTATTGGTACTAATCCTTTTCATTTATTTTCGTATTATATAGACAACCAAAAGATATTGTTTTAAATAACAATCTACCATTTTTATTAAAGATTTATCATGATTTGAATGATATTGATGGTCTGGCTGGTTTGGCTGCACTCAGAACAAAGTCGACCGTCGATGAAAAGATAATGGAGTTTGAGAGTAATGGTAGTTGGAATGATGCTTTTGTTTACTATACAAACGCCGCCAATAATGATCCAGGAAATTATATTTTCAAACTTGGAAAGTTGAAATCGATGTTCCATCTCGGTCATTACGATACTGTTTTGACATTGGCTGAAGGTCTGAAGAAAGAAGCTGGCAACTACAACAACAACAACAATTTAGATGGTATCAACAGCAGCATTATCACAGGCGATGACAACCCTATCAGTAAATACAATTCATTCGCTGTTCAAGCAGCTTGGCGACTCTCCAAGTGGGATATGGTGGAATCGATTCTCCAACAGCCGTATGACTCCAACTTTGAGGTGTCAATCGGACAGATCCTAATGGCGCTCTATCATCGTAATGAACACGATTTCAACATGCATTTGTATCAGGCACGTCTCGATCTCACTCAATACATCTCGGCGGCCAGTCTTGATTCGCTCGATCGTTGCTACCCGTATCTCACACAGCTACACATTCTCAGAGACATTGAAACCAGTTGGAAACTACACGACAAGAACGAAGAATCCAATATCATCAATGAGCTGAACGATCGCTTCAAACTGGTGCAGCCACTCACCAAGATCAGAGAGCCAATTCTCACAGTGCAGCGTGTCATCTACGAGATATTCGATCAGCGCCACGAAACAAGCAAGAATTGGTTGCAAATTGCCAAGTACTCTCGTCACGAACGCAAATTTGAGAATGCTCTCAACGCACTGCTCGCACCAAAGATCATCGAGGACAAACCGTATATCATTGAAAAGGCAAAACTCTGCTTTGCCAAAGGTCAAACCAACGAAGCAATCAATATCTTGGCACAGGAAGTAGGTTCCGCTGCTTCAACGCAACAACACAGCTCATCGAAAGATCAACAACAACAACAGAAAAACAGTAGTGATTCTCACTCTGTTAAGATGCATCTTCTCTTGGCCAAATGGAAACAACAATGTGGATCTTCACATTCTGAACTATTAATACATTTTAAACAAGCTTCATTATATAAGTAAGTTATTGTTATATTAATAATAATAACTAATAATATTTCAAATATTAATTATTTTTTTTTCTTGACATTTTAGATGGGAAAAAGGTTTATTTTATCTTGGTAAATTTTATGACTCTGTTTTATCTAGTATGAAAAAGAATGGTACCAATTTCTATCAGTTCAACTCTAAATCCATGATAGAACCATATACACTCACTAAATATGTGAAAAAGATATTGTCTTCATATGGACAATCTCTGGTGTATGGCCACAACTATGTTTATCATTCATTGACCAGATTCCTAACTGTTTGGACTGATTTCGGTACTACACTTCTCGATAACAGTGACTTGATGAAAGATTTCAAAGCCAAATATTTGAAATCAAAACAAAGTGTATGAATAGAATTTAGATATTTGGAAATAATAACAACAACTAATATTCATTTTATTATTATTATTTAGCCAATGAAAAGTATAGATATGAAGATAAAACAAATGAAAAAGATAATTTCAGAGATTGAAGGTAAAATTCCACCTTATCTTTGGTTAACTTTCTTCCCCCAACTCATTTCGAGAATCAACCATAAGAATCCTGACACTTGGGATATTCTAGAGTCTATCATTGTAAAGGTGTTGGTAGCATATCCATTGCAAGCCAACTGGATTATTGTGTCGCTGCTAAAGTCCAAGGATGCATCTAGAGTGGAGCGTGCAAAGAAATGTTTTGAAAAGGCATGTAAAGATAGCGCATCGATTAGACGTCACGATGAGATATCAAGACTCTCTGAATGTTTGATTGCTCTCGGTGAATCGGAAGCCACTGGAAAGAAAGATGTCCTTAGAATGTCTGTTCAATTCAAGGAGTTGGCATCGATGAAGAACCTAAATGTCATGGTGCCAATTCAATCCAACTTCAATCCGACTCTCCCACCATCCGGTGTGCCAGAAGAGAACTTTATGATCTTTGATCCACATATCCCGACGATTCAATCATTCGAGGATCAGATCGTTGTTATGCCATCAATGCAAAAGCCAAAGAAAATCACAATCGTTGGTTCCACCGGTCAGCATCACTTGTTTTTGGTGAAACCTAAAGACGATCTGCGTAAAGACAGTAGAATTATGGAGTTCAGCACAATGGTTAACAAGCTACTCAGAAAGGATCCAGATTGCAGACGTAGAAGACTTCTTATTCGTACGTACTCTGTTGTTCCCCTCAATGAGGAGTGTGGTCTGATCGAATGGGTACCGAATGTAGTTGGTCTGCGTAACATCATTATGGATCTCTACAAGCCATACTCAAACTTCCCCAATTCCAACAGAATACGCGAACTCTATGGTCCAAACAACAAGAGCATGCCAAGACTCGATATTCTTTCTAAACACATACTACCATATGCACCACCGGTATTCTACAAGTGGTTCCTCAATAACTTCCCTGAACCCTCCATGTGGCTGGAAGCCAGAACCAACTATATCCGTACCACAGCAGTATACTCAATGGTCGGAGCGGTCATTGGTTTGGGTGACAGACACGGTGAGAATATCCTCTACGACAGTACCAATGGTGAGTGTCTACACGTCGATATCAATTGTGTCTTTTGGAAAGGAAAGACTTTCCAAGTTCCTGAACGTGTTCCATTCCGTCTGACCGTGAATATGATCGATGCCTTTGGTGTCAGCGGAGTTGAGGGTGCATTCAGAATCGCTTGTGAACACACTCTCAGACTACTTCGAACCAACCGAGAGGCATTGCTAAGTTTGCTTGAGACATTCATTTATGATCCACTACTCGAGTGGAGAACCAAATCCAGCAATGAAAATGACAAAGCGGTCGAGATCATCAACAATATCAACCGAGAACTTCAAGGTCTTCCTTCAGACATTGGTTTGCCACTTTCAATCGAAGGACAAGTTACAAGTTTAATTCAAGAAGCAAGCGATATAAAGAATCTTGCTGAAATGTATCATGGTTGGGCATCTTGGTTATAAAAATAAATGAATTTATCTTTTTCTAATAAAAATACATTCAAAAAACAGTTTAAACTCATTTTGAAACTTGTTTCAATCTTTTAAACCTAAAATAAACCCTTCAGCATTTTATTAATTATTTATAAAAAATTAAATTTAATTATTATTTTATATTTAGAAGTTATAGTATTTGATATTATAGTTATCAAGTGATTCATTATTTTGGTTATAAATGTGTTTTAAAATGAGTAAGAGTTGAAAGAAATATTGAATCAGATTTTTGTATTTTCTCTAAATCATTAAATACTGAAATTGATTTTAATCTAAAACTGTTTCAACTATCTATCAAATCTTTAGATATCTCACAATTAATAGAATTATGTATATTTCTAAAATAAAATTCTTCTTTATTATTACTATTCTCTAATAAATTTATTTATATCTTCTGTATTGTTTCTTTTAGATTTAATATCTATTGACTATATGAAATTATTGAATCCTATATGATATTTCACGAAAAACTAAACTTTTTCAACAAAACTCATCAACAATGAATTAATTTGCAACATCATCCTCAAATTGTTTCACCAAATTGTGAACTAAAGTTTCCATGATCATGGTGAATCAAAATGAAAAAATGAATAATAAATCTTTTTTAATAGTTTTTATCAGTATGATTTGTATGGTTGAAAAATCCAAGGATTGAACAACTTGTATTTTTAACTCTTAAAAAAAGAAATTAAAAAAGATTAAATATTTTCTTTAATCCTTTTTTAATTCTTTTATCAATTATTTGTTTTTTTTAATTGGAGAGTTCTTACTTCTTTAATTGTTTTAGATTTTTTAATTTTTCTCTTCAAAACTATAATTCATATATTCAAAAGTTTCAAAGTAATATGCATAAATCAAAAAATTAAAAATTATTCTAATCTTAATTAATCTTAATAATGTCTTTTCACCTTTTATTAAAATAAAATACCTAAAATATTTTTATTTATGTTTGATTTTAAGATTTTTATTTTTATTTATTTGTATTTACATTGAGAATCTTTGTTAATTATTGAATAAGGTATTAATATATCATTTATAAATATGATTATTATTGAATTTGAATTTTGGTTGATTTTGGAGGTTCTGGTTGAACTCTTTTGATTGTAAATGTAAGAATTCCATCTTCGTGTTTGGCTGATGCTGATTCTAAATCAATATCTTTTGGAAGTTGGAATACTCTCTTGAATCTACCATAAACAATCTCTCTCTTTCTGATCAATCTCTTCTTTGTTGTTTGGGAATCTGAATTTGATTTGACTTCTATAGATGTTGATTTTGTGGCTTCTTTTGATTCTGTGTTTTGGTTTTCATTATCTTCAATTCTTGGAGTATCTACATTATTTGATGAGCTGTCAGTTGTTGAAGATGATAATGGTGAACTTGGTTCGACTTCATAGAATGATTCTTTCTTTTCGCCAGAGATTGTTAATGTTGAATCTTTGATGTCAATATTGATTTGATCTTTCTTCAAACCTGGTAATTCGAATTGAATAATGACATTCTCTTCATCCAACTGATAATCTGATTTTGGTGACCATTCTTTCGGTGTTGATTGTTTGTTGACTTGATTGTTCCAAAACTCTTCATCAAACAATGAAAGAATATTGTTTTTGTTTGGATTTGAACTTGAACAGTTATTTGGTAATCTTGTGAAAAATGGTGAATAGAATGAAACTGACATTTTATTATTTATATATATAGTATGATATAGATAAAAAAGATAATTAAATATTATATTTATTTAATAGATAAATAAGTATTGACTTTGTATACAATTTGTTTTGATATTTTAATGATTAAACTGATTTAATTTCTTGAGTTTAAATAGTTGTTGAATCCAACAATTGTAAACAATTTTAACATCTTTCGGTTTCCATTTTTGAAAACTTGATTATTTACATTTGAAATTTCCAAATATAAAAAATTGAATTTTTTCTGCAACTATCAGAAATTTCATTTATTTTTGACTGAATTTTCATTGAATTTAATACAATCTTTTTTTTTTTTTTTTTGAGAAATTATTTTATTGTTTACCATACTTTTCAATAGTATTGTTTATAAATATTGTTAAATTTATGTAAAAGAGATAGATTGAAAGAAATTATCTTTTGATTTATATTACTCGGTTGGTGGTCTTGGTCTTCTGGTTGGTGGCTTTCTCTTGTGAGCAACTTGAGGTCTAGATTTGGTGATATGAGTAAGTTCTGGAGCATCGCTCTCTGGAACAACTGTGATATCTCCTGTGACACCAGATGGTTTACCCTTTGGTTCTTTGGGTGGCGCAGAGGTTGGTTTTGATGAGGCTGGGGCAGTTCTTGGTGCAACTGCTGGTTTTGGCTTGGATGGCTCTGGAGCTGGTGTGGATACTGGCTCTGGAGCTGGTGCAGCCGGTTTTCTAAGTGGTGGAGCACCACCACCTCCAATATTTCTTGCGATAGCACCGGCCAATGCTGGATTGACATTGACTTTGATACCTGGTTTGAATGTTGGACCGGTAGTTGGCTTGTCTGGTGTAACTTCCGGTGATGTTGGCTTGGCGTTTTGTGGAGGTGGTTGTGGAGCGGATGCACCGGATCTGGTTGGTGGTGCTGGTGGTTGATTCGATGGTGGAGTGGATGATGGTACGACTGGTTGCTGTCCAGAGGGTGGAGTGGACGATGTGGGTGTGGCTGGTGCGGATGCAGCCGACGATTGAGGAGTGGCGATTGGTGCGGAGCTCACTGGAGTAACTGGTGCAGACACTGCCGATTGTTGCTCGGGAGTTGGTGTAGTTGGTCTTGGTTTCTCTGGTGTGGCGACTGGTGCTCTTGGAGTTGGTGTTGGAGTGTGTTTCTCCTCGAGTTCAGCAGCTTGCTCACGTTGACTGTACTCCTCTTCACGAATCAAATCTTGGAATACCGACTCCAATCCATTGCCAATCTTCTCGTAGGTGTAATCGGAAGCAATGTCCAACGATGAAAGGAAACATTCGTGAACCTTGTTACTCATTTCGGCACCGGCACCCTTAATCAAGGTTTCCTCAATGTGCGACTCATCGACATCCTTAGAACCGAATTGAATACCTGTTGCCAAACGTTTGTAGGATTGTTGATCGATCGACTTGAAAGTGCCCTGCATAGTCTGTAGAATCTGTTGCATCATCTCTGTCTTCTTTTGATTGATAACATCGACGGCTACATCAACGAATAATTTCAACTTTTGATTCAACTCAACCTCGAGAGAGGCATGTACTGCTTCCTTCACCAAATGCAATCCACCAATGACTTTCTCTGTGTTTTCAGCGTCTTTGATAAAGACAAGATGTTCTGGATCGGTTGCCTTTCTACCGATTGACTTGATCTTATTGAGGAACTTTTCGATATTCTGTTGTTGTCCACTTGCCAAGAATGAAAGATTGGTTGAACCGATTGCACCACCCGAGTTGTTGTCGAACGATCTCAATGGCGATTGATTACGATTGATGAAATGATCGATCTCCTTGAGCAACTGAGAGAGTTTCACTGGATTTTCGTTGTATGCTTTCATGATGTCGAGCAATGGTTTTGGCATGTTCTTGAGAGTCGAGTTTCTCTCTAGACCAACAGTAAGTCCGGCGAAACCAGCCACACCAGTTTGATTCTCATCCCAAACCAATGTTTGTAGCGACTTGTTGGTTTGTAGCGCTTTTCCAAGAGCGATGGCACCCTTGTTACCCATTTGATGACCAGAGATATCGAGTTCGACCAGAGTGTCGTTGGTAGCCAGTGCATAGATAAATGGCAATAGATCGTTCTTGAGTTGTGACTTACTTGCTCCATTAGTGATATGGAGTGCCTCTAGTGGTGTCGATGCCTCCAACAAGTTGATGACACTCTCGATAGCGGCAGCTCTCGACTTGGTCTTTGAAACCTTGAAATTTCCATTCAACACCAACTTCTTTACGGAATTGTTCTGACAGAATCCATCGCAAATCACAGAAACACCTTCATCTCCAAAGTCATTCTCTGACAAATCTAAAATACGAATATTTGGAATCTTATCTGCCAATTGTGCCAACATTCTTGCACCTGCAATACCTAAATCATTATTCTACAAAACAAACAAATTAATATTAAAGTATTAATATCAGTAATTACCGATCTGAGTAGTAGTAATATTTACCTTTGATTCAATGGTAACTTCTTGAAGATATAGATTGGATGAAATTGCTACAACAACTTCTTTGAGATTCTCAACTGGAATCTTGGTGTTGTTGATATTGATTGATTTTAAGGTGGACGATGCTCCGATGAAACGAACGAGATGAGCAACCTCTTTCTTAGTGAGACGATTGTCAGAGATGTCGAGATGTCTCAACTCGAGACAACCTCTTACGAGTGCACCGACGATTGTCTCCATGGTGGGATAGGTATTCGAGAGATTGAGAGTTCTCAATGCGTTCGGACTGGCGAGGAATGCAGAGAGTGCAGCGGAACCGTCGGCATCCATCTTGTTATTCGAGAGATCGAGATGCGAGAGTGTCGGTGACATCTTTACATTCTTCTTCAGTGCGTTGGCCAGTGCAACAATACCGGCTTTACCCATAGCACAATTGGCAAAGTTCAAACTGGCGATACCACGCGGAGTCGATCCGATATAGTTGGCGAAAGCCAACATACCTTTGTCTTCGAACGGATTGTTTGACAGATCGATCGAAGTCAGCCCGATATTCTTATTGCTCTGTAGAGCACTGGCGATAATTGGAATGGTATCACCCTTCATTCCCAAGCTATTCAACGACAAATCTTCAATGGTTGAATTTGATTTCAAAGTTTCACCTAACAATGCCAATTGATCTTTACCCATATTGGCAACCAATCTAATAGATAGTTATGATTATAATCATCGATAATTAGTTTAATATATTCAAATGATAATCTCAATGCAATTAATACATTACCCATTAAGTACTAAACTCTTAAAATAGGTATTCCATTTCAATGCACCAAGCAATGCTCTGATATCACCTGGTGAAATGGGTTGTTCGATTTCATTCATATTGAAGGTTTTGATACCTCTTACCGATACGATGTTGGCCATATCCCAACAGATGTCGTCACGCACCGGAATGTTTGGTTGTGGTTGATTACACAATGATGTATAGGTTTCAACAAATCCACCACATGGAAGATCTATTTTAATTGATCAATTATTATTATTATTATTATTATTATTATTATTATTATTATTATCAAACTATTAATGATCTGTTCAATAGCTATTGAAAGGAGAGAGATAGAGAGAGAGAGAAAGAAAGTAATAATAGTAGTATAAATCTTACCTTTGGTTGGTAAATCAGCCAATCTTGATGATGGTTTTACATCTAATTTGAAACAGGTTTCCTCTGGACATCCAGAGAATGTCAAACTGAATGTCGATCTAAAAGCTGTAATAATATCGTCTGCCTTTGGATGAATCAATCCATATGAGAATGTTTTGGTGATAACAATAAACTATAATAGATAGATAGATAAGATAGATAATTAGATTAGATTATTAGAAATATATAGGTGATGGAGATAGTTAGAGTGACTCTACTTACTTCAGATGGATTCGAACTTCTAATCTCTAAAATATCCAAAAGATGACATTCTTTTTTGATTTTAGGTTGACCTGGTTTGAGATAGATGATACGATGCTTTGTGATCAAGATGATTCTCTTGCTTGGCTTCTTGTTCTTCTTCTTACTGATCTTATCACCAATGCCCAAGTAGGTTGACTCTTGGTTTCTTTGTGATAGCAATGTAGTTACAACCTCTATATTATTCGATGATGTTCATTCATTAGTTAGTTAGTTAAATATTCCAATTCTACTCTCTCTCTCTCTCTCTCTCTCTCCCAACTAAACTGCTATTATGAAACATACTTCTATCTGTTGGTGTTATCTCTTCGGACATGTTTTGTTTGTTCGTTGTTCTTTCTATCTTTTGAGTACTATACTATATTTGTTATTATAACTATGAATGTTTTGATTGGTTTTTTAAAAAAAAAAAAACAATATTGACTATTTATATTATTATTATTATTGTTCAGCAATAACAACAGCAACAATGTCAATGTTAAATGTTTTGTATTGTTTTGTTTGTTTGTTTGTTAGTGTTTTGTTTATATTAATTTTCGAAAAAGATTTGAAAATGAACTAATATTACAATGTTATTTTATATTGTATTGGTTTTTTGTGATTATAATGGTTGAATTTACAAATAATATCAATAATTTACAATTGTGTGTTGGTTGTGTTTGGTGTGTGGTTGTTGGTTGATTGTGTATGTTGTGTGAAATGTGGATGAGGAAATATTCTAAAATGAAATATTTAATCTCCTATAATTTCTCTTTTTCTTTAAAACTAAAATCTAATTTAATTAGATGATTGATGATCACCTATGCTTGCTTTAATTTTATTATTGTTATATATTATTTAATATTAATCAATAAAATATCAACAACAACTTAATTTTATTGTAAAATTTTGTTATAAAAAAACAAGGTTATTTTTTGTTTTTTTTTTGGTTTGTTTGAAAAGATTGGTTAATTTCAATAAAATTTATATCATTTAAAAGGCAAAAAAAGCCATCGAATCATAATCGATCTTGTTAACAAAAATTATATTAAAAATTTTTTTTTTGCAAACCACAAACAACAACAAAAAATATCGTGTGTTTTTGTATTTTTTTTTGATTATTATTTAAATTTTAATTTATTTATTTTATTATTATTATATTTAACATTTTAATAATATTTATATTAATATTAATTAATGGATAAAGTATCCAATTGAGTTATTGTCGAATTTGGAATAGCTGGAGATTGTTGTTGATGATGATGATGATGATCTGTTGTTGATTCCACTTCTTCAGCTTCTTCACCCCAATCGGAACCGGCACCATCTTTCTTGATTTGATCCATTGTCACACGAAGACGTACTTTTAGTGGATCTTCCCAGTCGTAGCCAGTGACGGTGTTGCAACGCTTAAGGTAGTCGAGCGAGAGTTCGTGGTTCTTCAGGTGGAAATGACTCTCGGACATCTCATATAGACAGTAGGGATAGTAGAATTTCTCGGTGAGATGGGCTTGTAGTCCGATCACCTCCTCGAAGCAAACCATCGATTCTTCGACGCGATCTATTCCTTTGAGTATGGCGCCACGCAGCATTAAGTATGCAGCGCGATCATTGATAGTTTCCGGTGTAGCTACTTCATCGATGGTTGACTGTTGTTGTTGTTGTTGTTTCTTACTGGAACCAAATGAGAATGTACGACTGAGGAAACTACTGCTTTGAGATTGGCCACCACTACCGTTGGAGCTTGCAAGTTTGACTGGTGTGAGGACGTTGCGCGATGCCGCAATCTTGACGAGAGTATCCAACGCCATCTCGGCGTATTTCTTCTCGAGTTTGGCGAGATCTCTTCTGATGAAGAGGATTTCGAAGGCCGAGAAGTGACTGCCGGACTGCAGGTATCTGGCGGCCTGGCGCACAATGATGGGATCGACCGACGACGACTTCTTGGCGTACGATTTGATTTGGCCGAGAGTTTCTTCGCCTTTGGCACGCTGTCCAGTGACGAAATAGCAGCTTGCCAACTGCAATCCGCACAATGCTCTTATCTGGAAGGTGTCGTCCTTGGTGAGCTCCTCGAATTGACCGATCGCCTTGCTCCACTCCATTCTCATACAGTAGCAATTGGCGAGTTCATAACTATAGATAGCAGGTGGACGTTGGAAATTGCTGCAATTTGCAATTGCCTGTTCCATACATTCAAGTCCCTTGTCGATTCTACATTGTTTTCTGTGGCAATGGCTCATCATAACGTGGAAAAGCGAACCCTCAGGATAACGCTGAACGTTTTCCTCCAGGAGGATCTCTGCTTCTCTCAGCTGCTTGGCTGGATTGTATAGACCTCTTGGCAGCAAGAGATTGTTGAACAACAACACCATGGTGGCAAAAGGCGAACGAATACCGGTGGAGTTGAAGCTACTACACTCACGGATATACTGTAGTCCCAGCTCTCTGTCTGCTTTGAAACCAACGAATTCCACGATCTTCAAAAACTTCTGTGGAATGATTGACATGGCAAAGAAAAAGAAACCCGCACCAAAATGTAGACACTCAAGCAGTTGGTCATCGTATTTCAAACCATCCTTGACTTGCTTCAATGCCTCCTCAAATACTTTCCAACTCTTTCTCATATTGAAACATCCTTTGAATTTAGAATCTCTTGTGATTTGTAAAACTGCCAACATATATAATGAATCTCCAAGTACCTTTAGAAAAAAAAAAATTTTTTTTTTAAAATTAATATTTTTGTTGTTTAAGGATAATAATATGTTTATTAATAAATTATTTTTGTTACTTACAACTTTACAATCTAATAAATGATTTTTAAATTCTTCTTTTGATTTCAAATCTTTGTAACCTGGTGGACATTTATTGGATTCCAACAGTTTGATGTAGGATTCGGCCAAATCTTTCGTGTCTTTTAATCTTCTTAAAGCCAGCTCTGTATCATCCAAACTTGCAGTGATAAACGATCTAAGAAAAGCTGATTCCGCATAATGTAAACAATATCTTGGATTTGTTGAAACTTTTGGCATTAATAACAACTCTGCCTGATCGAATTTATTATTCCATATATGTGTAATAGCTTGTGAAATTTCAATATCAATCATTTTAAAAAATTAATATTATTTAAATATAAAAATTATTTCACAATATTACAATCTATATTTTTAATTATTATTATTATTCTTTATATATATTTAAAACTAATTATATATTTATTATTCGTATTGGACTATTTCTATTTTAATATTTGGAGAATTTAAATTCACATTAAATAAATAAATAAGTTAATTCAAACAAAATAATTTAAATAAACAAAAAAAATAAAAAGATAAGATAAAAGAAAAGAAAAGGAAGATGAAGTGTATTAATTTGTAGTCTATTTCATTTGTATAGTTGTATTAAATATATCATCAATTTCGATATCATCTTTTATTACTAAAACAAATTGCAAGTCAGATTTTTAATTATTTTGAGTGGAAAGTAGTATATTAAAATATAGAGTGTGTGGTTGTTGTGGTTGTTTGATGGATTTGATGATGAATTATGTGTGAATTGTCGGGTGAACATTACATTAATGTTTGCTATTTTTACCTTTGAATATATTTATCATCCATCTATATTGATTTTTGATTACGTGTGAGTGTTTGATGTGTGTGTGTTTGATTTGATAATTGATTTATTGAGATATATATTTTTTTTACAATCTAAATAAATTGTTAACTTATTTAAATTATAATATCTATTTTAGTTTTGTTTTACTATTATTTTAGTTTATATTTTTTATTTTTTATTTTTTAAATGTGTTTGGAATAATAATAATAATTTGTGAGATTGTAGTATTGTTGTTGTTGTTGTTGTAATAAAATATATGATTGATTGAATATTCTTCTTAACGTTTGACCAATGGGAACTTCTTTCTGGCTTTGAGTTGACCTGGTTTCTTTCTTTCGACACGACGAATATCGCTTTTAAGCAATCCAGAGAATCTGAGTGCCATACGATATCCGAGATCGTAGTTGGAGATGGCGAGTGCGAGTGCACGACAGATGGCGTCGGCCTGTCCCTTGATACCACCACCGATCACACGGATTTCAATGTCCCACTTGACCAGTGTCTCAGTGATTACGAGTGGTCGCAACACTGTATCCTTATAGGCGATGCAGTTGCCAAAGTAGTCGGCGAGTGTACGTCCGTTGATGGTGAGTTCACCTGTACCCAGTTGGATGAGTGCCACCGCTTTGGCATCCTTACGCTTCGAGTAACCATGCGCGACGCCGTTGTAGGTGTTTTCGACACGTGCCATTGGACGCGCCGGCAAAAACGGTTCGAAACGATCCGAGTCGAACTGGGCGTAGTTGTCCTCGTCGTCGAGCTGCACTTCGTCCTCGATGTCTTCGTCGTCGTCGATCTCCTCGGCGGCCCAATCGTCGTCGAGACGTGGATGGTTGAGAATCTCGTCGTGCTCGGCGAGCGGAATGGCGCCACGCACATCGTACTCGTCGAGCTGTTCACGTGTTGGGTCGCGAACCTTTGGGAAGAGCTCACGATCGAACTGCTCACGATATTCGTGTGGGAAGTTCAGACGATTCTGTGCGCGAAGCTCCTCGATGTTGGAGGCGTCACGCTCCTTTGGGTCGAGAGGCATCGGTCTGATCAGCGACGATCGATTGACACGAATACGATCGACAACCTCTGGATCAACTTTAATATCTGATTCTACATCATCGTATGGATCATTTTCCAGACTTTCAAAATCATATACTTTTTTATTTTTATCTACATTACTATTATTATTATTTTTATTGTTGTTGTTATTCTTTGTTGAAAAACATCTATTATATATATTATTGCTGCTATTTATATTTATACATCTTTGACATAAACATTTGTTGTTGTTGTTGCTGTTAAGATTCTTGTTGGCATTGCAATTGATGCTTCCAAATGAATAGCTATTGACACCGTAGTTGTTGAATGCTTGTCTTGATGTCAAGTATAAAGATGTTGCTGTCGAATTCAACTTTAACCTCGAACCAAACAACGAGGAAAGTGAATTTGATATCATTATGATCTGAGATTATACTATAGATAAAGAACCTACTATATTAAATCCAATATATATAATATAAAGTATGATTATGATGATTTCAATCAAATCAAAAATGAATAAAACAAAAAAAATTGTTTTTGATCATCGAAATCACATTGCTGTGTTTCGTTTGCATAAAATAAAAAAATTTAGAAAAAAAAAAAAAAAAAACTATTCTTTAAAAAAAAAAAAAAAATTTCATTTCATTTTTTAAAAATTCATTTTTATAATTATCACTTCTTTGTATTGTTATATTATATATTAAATATATTAATTATATTATATTAAAATTAGAACTAATGAATGTTGTCTTTTTTTTTCAACAACAAAAGTTAAAGTTTTCAAATATAGTAATTTTAATTCTATTCATGTGGAAGAAAGAATGAAAAATAAAAAAATAAAATAAAAGAATTGTTTTGTGTTTAAACAAAAATACACACACACAAGTACGTAGTTAATATTTTACATTTAAGTATTTTCTTGTTTTTTTTTTTTTTGTAAATCTGTTGTTTTTCATTGGTAGTGTAGAGTGGGGGTGTTGTCTCGAAGAGAGAGTTATTACAATTTAGCTTTTCTGTCGTCCGACGACAAAAATGAGAATAATGATACTGCTAATAGGTCGGTGCCTCTCAATTCCCAAAAAAAGATATTGTTATAATGTCTAGCTAGACAATGTAGTTAGTTAATTGAGATCTTTGTTGTTCAATTGAAATTTACAATAGTAACTTTGTAATAGTTTTGTGTCCTCTTATTGTTACTTAATGAATATTAATTTTAATAATAACAAAAATAATAAATAATAAACAACAATTAGTCAAATTAGTAATTAATTAATTTGAAATTAGTAAGTAATTAATAATTATAGTTGTTGTATAATTGTTAGTTTGTTTTAACTTTTAAGAATAATTAATCGTAAGATTTCTTTTTATTTTTAAAATATTATTATTAAAATTATTTTATTTGTTTTGTTTAGATAGAAAAAAGATAGATATTTAGATTATTTATATTTATACATATAAAAAATAACAAAATAATAATTAATATTAAGAAGGAGTATGGTGGATATAAATTAAAAAATAAAAAATGGAAGATAAGAAATTATATACAATCATAATTTCAATATTGTTGTTTTTATCGACTGCAATGTTGGTTATGAATCTACTGACACCTGTCTACTCGATAAAGTATCACCAGCACTATTCATTCAATGGATCGGAGGAGCATAACTACAACTATAAGTATTTCTATAATTTCGCATACGAAGAGATCACCCTCAAGTCGAGTGCTAGTGCCAACGATACACATGTCTTCAAGGAGAAGTCGCCATGGCCACGTGTCAACTACATTCTCATCTCCACCGGTGTCACCCAGATTGTCGGTATCATCGTTCTCATTGGCTATGGATTCTTTGTGACACCGTTCAATCATAATTCCAACCTGAGAATGCACCAAACCGTTGCAATGGTCTGCCTGGTTGCAGCGCTACTCTTCACATTCGTCTCACTCGTTCCCTACGGTGGAATGTCCTACGCCTTCCGTTACTCCAACAAACTCGGAACCGACCATACCTGTATAATGAATAACAAATATATTCACCAATGTAAAAGTTTATCTGGAAAAGTTCATCATTCACCAAAGGTAAATTAATTAATTTTTAATTAACAATTCATCAAACTAATGAATTAATTTCTTTTTTTAAATTAAAATAATTTCCAACTATTATATTAATTATGTAATTCATATACTAGTATGTATCATATAGTTGGGGATATGACTTTGGTTGGTGGATGGAGTTGTTTGCTTTCATTATGATGATAGCTATCGTTCCATTCAATTGCAAATTAAACAAGAGATTAAACTCTGGTATCGATATCATTCAAATTCCAAATGACCTTGGAAAGGAAGAGGACTCAGAATATGATCAATTCGTATTAGGATTGAACAAAGATAAAATTTATTCAATTGATGACAATTAAATTAAATTAAATTAAATATTAAAATTTTAAATAAAATAAAATAAAAAATATATTGTTTATACTAATTTTTCGTAATACATCAACACATATAAAAAATAAAAAAAAAAGTGTAATGTGTTCACACATAAAATTTAAAAAAAATATTTGTTTTTTTTATAAACGATTTAGTAAATCTATTAATATATATTTTTCGATCTTGAATTGAAAATGGGTTTATCTAATTATATGTATACTTAATTTGTTATTGATTATTAATAAATGTAATAAAATTGACCTGTTGTAATAATTTTGAAATTACTGTTTTATTGCATTTGAATTTTCAAAATTATTTTTTACTCTTGATAATTCTATTTGTTACAAAAGGTGATATGTTATCTATAAACTCGAATCAAACTAAAACTTCAATTCAAAACACAACAATCAATAATAATAACATTGTTTCGATTTTATATTAATATTTTTAATATGGTGTGGTACTACAATGTAGGTAAAATTAATTACTATTTGACAATATGAGAATAAAAAAAAACAATTAAAATAAAAATAAGTTATATATCTATTTATACATATAATCTAATATTATCTTTTCCGATACTAGTTGCAAAAACTAATCTCCATATAATAATATGATAAAAATATCCAAGATTCAAAATATTAATATCAGTATGTACCAAAACTCCAAAATTCCAATTATTAAATCAACTACTCCTACACCAACTGCATATTTCCATCTACATCTTTTATAACTTTTTACCATAAACAAAAATCAGAACCTTCAATATAATTATTATCATAAGTACAATTGTTACATACTTTTAATTAACACATTACATACTTTTATTATTTTTCAAATATCATCTATTTTTTTTTACATAAATTTGTTATATTGTTTTTTATATAAATTTAGTAATGTTAATTGTTATATAATTCTATCTATTTACTGCATTTCTTAATCAACTCACAACCTTAATAGTTTTAAAAAAACTACCATAAACCACTCACACTCCCACTCTGTCAATCAGCCCATAACAAACACAAAAACATAATCAAACATCAAAAAAAATTTTTACCACTCAAACACACTCATATATTCTCACACTCCTCAAATAGTCTTTTATCTTTTCCAAAGTGAACAAATATATAAATATTTCATATTTTGTCCACAATCAACCCAAACTCAACCAATAATATAGTTTGTTTCTGATTGTAATTAATAACAATCAAATCCATCAACAACACTTACTTGTCGTTTCCATTTTAATATTTAATCAATTTATTTCCAAGTTTCTCCGATTTTACCTTATATTACTGGTACCAATCCACTCAATCCATTTAAAAAATTATATATATGTATTTTTATTCTATAATAAAAGTACAACACCATACTCTCAATCAATCCTATCAACACAAAACATTTAAATATTTCATCATTTTTTTTTTCTGGAAAAACTAGTTTTTGTTTGTTAACTTTTTATTAAAAAATAATATTAATATTAATAATATCAATAATATTAGAAAAATAATATAGAATTATAAAAATATCTACCATTTTTTATTATAAAAAACAACAAATATAACTGAAAAATGTTTTTCATTAAAAAAGAAATTGTAACTCTACTGCTAATGATGCTTGCCATCTTGATGATGGCATCCATGTTTACAGTTCAATACGAAATAAAATATAAAGAGGTATATTTTATCAATGGAACCAAAGTAGTTCATATCAACGATCAGAATATATATAATTTCGGTATTGAAATCGATGACAAAGTCAATGGTATCGATGATGACAATTTCTATTCACTCAAGGTATGGCCAAGAGGACTGTTACTGTTCTCTGCCATTCTCTCACTAAGAACCATTTCCATATTCTTCTTGGTGACAACAATTCTTGTTGGACTGATCTACCTGAAAGGTCAAAACACCACCTCTCCACGTGCACCTCTCATTTTCATCATTCTCTTTAACATGTCTTTCCTCTTCAATTTTATCTCTGTGGTTATCATTGGAAACTTAACAGAAGCACTTCGTCGTCCTATTAAAAACACCGAACATACATGTATTGAAAACAACTCTTATGTCAGACAATGTCAAACTTTATCTGGAAGTTTTTCAAGTGCAAAAGTAAGTAAATGAACATTTTTATTTATAAAAACATTTATTAATATTTATCTATTTAAAATTTTCAGTATGAAAGTTATGATTGGGGATTTAGATATGGTTGGTATATTGGTCTTGGTGCAATGTTGGCATACATAATCTTGGAAATTCCAATTGTATTGCTCTTGAGAAACTCTACTGTTGAACCAAAATCAACAGCACCACCATTCCTTGAGAAATATGGATCACAAGAAGAACTCACACCCAAAGAAGATGGAAAGAATAATAATATAATTGTTGATTCTACAAAATCAATATGTTAACAATATTATAATTATTTAAATTCATTAATACTATTTTTTATTATTACATTCAACTCTTTTATTATTATTACCTAAAATATAATAATAATAATTATTATTTTTTCAATATAATTATTTTAATTATTTTTCTTTTTTATCCAATCCAAGATATTTCACTTGACAATGATAATAATGTAAAGAATTTTATCAACCCAATCCAATTTAGTTTAAATTAAAAGTACTAAAATTCGATTAATAAAAGTATAATAAAATAAAAACAAAATACATTGTAAATATACTTTTTTTACAATATCAAATCAAAATACAATCAAAATAAATAATTAATTAATATGTTATATATAAAATAATTATAATAAAAAATAAAAAAATAATAATTGATTGTTGTAATTAATAAATAAAATATTTATATTTATATATTTATATAAATCTGTGCTGCTGCTGCTAAATTAAATTAAATTTCTATACTATGTAAATGTCTGATAAATAAATTGATCGATAAAAAGTTAACCTTTCGAAAACTCTTTTAAAATTGCGTATTGTCTTGGTGTTAATGATTTCGGAATTACCACAGATATCTTTAAGAAGAAATCGCCTTTCTTTCTTGTGAAAATATTTGTAAAACCTTGTTCCTTTATCTTTAGAATTTGATTCGGTTGAGTTCCAGGTTGAATATCGATATCCATCGTACCATACAAAAAGGGAACTGTAATTCTACCACCTAAAACTGCTTCAATCATCTGAACTGATACTTCTCCCCAAACATCATCACCATCACGTCTGTAATGAAAACAAGGTTAGATAGAAATTTTCATAATTATTATTAGTTAAACTTACCTAAAACTTGGATGTTCTGGTACGTCAAAACATAGAATGAGATCACCGTGAGGTGCACCGTTCTCACCGACATGTCCTTGTCCGTTGAATATTTGTTTGTAGCCAGAGTTGATACCGGGTGGAATGTAGACATTGAGAAACTGCTGTGATATCACTGTGCCTTTGCCATTGCAGTGGGAACAACTTGATACCGAATCGAAACCATTGGCAGCACACTGTGGACAACTAATATTCTTTTTGTTTAAATACGACTTGTTGCAACCTTCTACACTCTCTTCGAAAGTAACTGGTAACGTTGTTATTATACTCTGTCCTTTATTCGATGGCATCAGAATATTCTTTATTTCCAATCCAACAAATTTATTTGATTTATTATTATTACTATTATTTAAACAACTATTATTATTATTATTATCTTTACTATCTTTAATATCAATTACTGGTGGTGATTGTGATGATGATGGTGGTGGTGCATTCTTTAATGAACATAAATCAATAACTTCTTTTGGATAATCAATTTGTTCAACATTGTTGTTGTTATTTTTATTATTGTCGATATTGATAATAGTTTTATTGTCACTATCTAAAGTTGGTGATGTTGGTTCTGTACAAGTGGTTGTAGTTACTGTTGTTGTATTGGTATATTGTGTAGTTGTAAATGGTATTCTGTTATGTACAAATGATGAAGATTGATTTAAATTATTCTTTATACTTTTACTCTGTTCTTTATTACTACTACTGCTACTACTACTACTGCTGCTGCTACTACTACTGCTGCTACTGCTACTGCTTATACTAGAAAGATAACGATTACTTCTACTACTACTACTACAACTTTCAGTTTCTTTTGTAATATGATTATTTGATTGATTTAAAATGTTACCAAATGAGTCGTGTGTTGTGGTTGTAGTTGTTGTGGTGGTAGTCATTGAGTTTCGTGTCGCTGGTGTCAAATTAGTTGAAGATCCAATTGAATTCACCGGTGAAGATGGAGGTGATAAAGATACTCTATTATTATTAATATTCACATTTGTATTGGTATTTGTATTATTGGTATTGGTACCATGAATTATATTACTAAATGGTTGATGTTGATATGGATGATGTGGTTGAGGTTGTTGTTGTTGTTGTGATGACGATGATTGTGTTGTCGTTGTTATTGTAGTTATATTATTATCATATGATAATTTCGAGAGTGGATTCGATAATATTTCATATGCCTCTCTGATTTCATTGAAACGATGATTGATCACTGGATTCAATGAGTTTTTATCAGGGTGATATTTCAATGCCATATTTTTATATGCTTTTTTGACGGTACTACTATCGGAATTGTGGTCAATTCCAAGTACTTCATAATAGTTTCTTTTCATTCTAGAATGACTGATCTGACCAGATATGAAATGATGAAAACTGACTATTCTATTCTATTCTTTTTCCTTAAAAATATATATGCAAATAAACCAGTTTAATATATAAATAAATAAATAAATAAATTATATAAATATATAGTTTATAAATTTGATAATAAAATAAATATATATATGACTATATATATAAATTATTTAAAATAGCCTAACAAACATTGATGTTGTTGTATCACAAAGCTTTGCGATTGAACAAAACTTATTATTAATGTTTAAATGAAACACCATTTTAAAAAGGCACAAGACGTAATAATTGAAAATTCCTGAAAATTCCGTGTGTAAGAAATTGAAATTTGGACGAAATTTTACTTGTTTTTTAAATTTTGATTAATTTTAATTTTTTAGAAATTAAGAAATATCTATATTTATTTTAATAAAATATTTTTTGTTTTTAGTTGTTTAGGTTTAATAAATGAAAAGAATGATCTCAAATAAAAGATAACTTTACTTTTTTAACATTTGTTTTTGAATTTCAAAAATAGGAATAAACATCATTAAAAAAAAAAAAATTAATATGTTTATTAAATTAAAAAAATATAAATATAGACATTTTTATTATTATTACAATAAAAACATAAAAGTAATTGTAATCATAATGAATGATAATAAAATCGATGGTAAATGAGTGGAGCAAGAATTGAAACCTGTGGTAGAGGTCAATGGATCAGAGGTGGTCGATGTCATGAGTGGATCGGTTGGTGGACGATAGAGAATTGCTTCCTGAACGTTTTCATTGACTTCGGCACCCGGGTGCTTGAAGAGTAATCTTGGTGGGTGATCAGTGTTGGCAGTTTGCATCGAGTAAGTCGATGGACCGTCAGCAGTGAAACACAAGTGGATTTCGTTCTGATTGTTTTTCATTGTGTTGATAACGAGTTGAGTGACGTTGATTGAATGATATCCCCATTGGCCGTCAATGTAGAGTTGAACGTCGCTCGACTTGTTTGGACAGACTGGCGAGTCGCTGGCGAATTCCTCGGGGGTCACTAGGTAACCAAAGAAGAAGTTTGGTTTGGCATTGGGATCGTTGTTTGCAGCCCAGAGATCGAGTACAACTTCCGACCAGATTTCGGTTTTCGCTTCGGCTGGTATGACGATCTTCACGTAGGGGACGTTCAGACCGGTTGAATCGATCTGAGCTACCGTTTGACTCGACTTCTTGCAGTTGATCATTGCATAGCTGTTCTTGATAAATGTGTAAATACGTGGGAGATCGTTTCCACAGGTGACACCTTTGTTGAGACATTCCTCAATCATGAATTTCATGGTTTGCTCTGGCCAACCGTTGAAAAAGTCGGCGTGCGCAGAGAAGAGATTCGCCCATGGGAAAGTACGCGATCCACCCGAGTTGATGATTGGATTCAACGAGAGTTGAGCGTTGGTCCAGTTCGACTCACGAATGAAATAGGCGAGTTGCATATTGAGTTGAGGAATTCTCACTGGGTACGCCTCGGGACAACGACCTTTTTCGTTGTCTCCCGAGTAGTCGTAGGCGGCGTTACGGTAGGTGAAGTTTGGACGAATATTTACACCGTCCCAGCAATTCGGGAAAATAAGGTTGAAGTTGTACTGGGTGATCTGTGTTTCGTTGTTCTTATCGCAATCGGTGAACGGTGTCCTCGAGAAGCCTCTACCCTTGCAGAGATACCAGATGTTCCAATCCTCTTTAGTATTCTTTGGACTACCGGCAATCAGCTGCAAACCCTTTGGCATTGGGTTGTTCGGGTAGAACGTGTTGTTGTGTCCTTGGTAGTAGACTTTGATCATGGTTGGACGGTATTGATACTCGTTGATCTTCAACGATGGCACCCAGTAGCTACTACCATCGACCTTGTTGTCACAGGTGGTATCACTATTCTTGTAATCATAGATCGACTCTATTGTTGTGAATCCATTGACTTTGGTATTTCCGAAAAAGTCATGGATCATAGAGTAACCACTGGAATCTGGTAATAGAATAGCGTCATCCTGAAGTGTGTGTGAATATTGACATGAGACATGTGCTTGTTGTGAGTTTACCAAATTGATAAAACTACCACAAATTGTAATACAAACAAATAATAATACAGATATAATTAATTTCATTATTTAAAAAATAAATTAATTAATTAAAGGTTTGAATAAAATAAATAAATAAATAAAAAAACAACTATAGTTGTTTTATATTTATACAATATAGAAAAAATAAATATAAAATAATAAAAAGAATTTTGTTGTTGTTTGTTGTTTTTCAAATCACATTAAAATTGAGAAGTAAACCCAGCAATTGATGGTTCTCAGCCATAATTTTATGTCGAGATCATTTTTAATGGTACTACTTTTCCAAATTTTCGCTGTGAAAAGAAAATTTTATTGGTTTCTGTTTTGGCAGGCTATTGCATCCGATTCACAATTTTTTTGTAAAAATTACAAAAAAAAACTAACAAAAACGTAATTTTTTTTACTTTTTTTGAGTCCTTGAGCCCCCTCAACTTTCAACAGACAAAAGCTCTATAAATATGTGGTCCACAGATATTTTGGATTTCGATTCCGTCATTGCAATGGTTTCTCCCTACACACAAAAAGATCTAAATGTTAAATTTTTTTGTATTTATCCTCCCAAATTTAAAAATAAATTAATTATACAATCTGTAGATTCCAGAACTTCTCAGTCGTTCCTTTTGTCAAGAATCTGCAGATTTTAAATAAATTAAAGGCAAAGGACATTATTAGATCAATTTTTGTTACATCAAAATTCAATAATTATACAAACAATAATAAAGAGTATAAATGTTAAAATTTGAAAAAATAAAATAAAATAAAAATAGTAACAGTTTTTATATTCATTTAAATTTTTAATATTGATATTATTATCTTAAACATTTACAATGATTCGTTTTTTTTTTTCTTTTTGTAAATTTGAGTGTGTAAAAAAAAAAATTTTTGCAACAAAGAGAAAATTCTTTTTCTTAGAATTTCCAATTGAGTAATTCAATTTGGAAATTTTTATACCAAGAAATAACTTTTGTAATTAACAAATGTAATGAATTCACAATGGAATGAAGGATTTTAGTTATTTTTTTTATAATTTGTATTTAGTAAATTAGATAGAGAGATAGTAATAATAATTTAGTGGAAAAAAAAATAAAAAACAATTTATTAATAATATATAATGTCAATTGCAACACAATCCAGTTTTATTTCTACAACTACAACAACAACAACAACTTCAACTTTAACACCAAAGAAACCAACGTTTCCTTTGAAACCAATCAGCAATAATCATAATATAATGAATAGCACTCTTAATATCAATAATGGTTTAAAGACAATGAATTCTACTCCTATTAATCCAATGAACAGCAACAACAATGGTAATAATGGTATAGTCAATGGAGGAAGTAATTTGAATGGTCTTCAAACAAGTTTAGTTAACAATAATGGGGTGAAATCATTAGTTACAAACCCAGCAAATCAGCCATCATCTTTGAACATTAAACAGAATCCAATCAGCACAATCAATCCAAATAACAATCTAACTTTGAAACCAACAACCTCACCAACCAAACCATTAAAATTGCATCCAATTGGCAACAACAGCAATACATTGCTTGTACATAGATCACCTTCACTTCAATCATCAAACAACCCAAACAATAATAATATTAATCCAATTAATAATAATAATGTAAATACATCTTCTCCAACAAATCAACAACAGCAACAACAACAAATATTTACTGCTCAAACACTTACACCACCACCACAACCACAAACAACGGCGATCAGTGAAAATCAAAATGATTCTGATCAGCAAACTTCAAATTTGCAAAATAATCAACAATTACCTCAAATTGTCAGTATTATTAATAGTAATAATATTACAAACAATGAACAACAACAACAAGCAGTATTGTCGGACACCAATAAGCAATTGACACCTCCAACACAAGCAATAGTTGGTCATAGTTCAAGTTCTCCACAACCAGTTTACCAACCAGAAAGCTTACAGCAACAACCACCACCACAACAACAACAATTATTAATGCCTCAAAATCCACAACAAAATGTACAGCATCAACAACCAAAGCTGTTACCACTTCCACAACCATTCCAACAACAACAACAGCAACAACCTGTAGTGCATAATAACAACAACAACAACACAAATAATAATGCAATGGAATTAGTTTTATATGATAGTGTTCATCAAATTGATACTAATTTAGATGATAACTCTATTGTTGTTATTGACAACCAACAAAATAGATTGAATAAGCAGCAACAACAATCAGATCCATTATTATTAGCACAATTAGATAGTCTTAGAAAAGAATTAGAATCAATTAAAAGAGATCAGAGAAATAATAATAACGGTAATAGTAATAATAATACTAGTAATAATAATAATAATAACATTAATAATAATGCAATAGTACAAACAACACCATTACCCGAAAATACTTATACTGCAAAGATGGGTCTTAAATTCCCTGTTGGATCGAGTACACAACATAAATCAATACAAAATAAACAGGTAACTATTAAATTTAATCGATTTAATCGAATTCAATATATACTAATAAGATTAATATAATAGTTGTTAAAAGGAAATACACATAGAACTGTAGGTTCAAAAGATAAGACTAGAAATCAACCACAACAACAACAACAACAACCACAAGAAAATGTACAAAAGAAACAAAAGCAATTCGATCCTGCAATGGTTGAACCAATCGATTCTTCAGGTTCCGATGTCATTGACGAGAGTGGTAATAATATTATAACAGGTATTCACAGTATTAATAATAGTAATAATAATAATAGTAACACAAAGAATAGTAATATTGCTCAACAAACAAATACAACAACAACCACTACAACAACTACATCTTTGAGTTCCTCATCGTCATCGATCAGCCACAAAGAAGAAACAATGGAAAGTTTGAAAGAGCAAATCGAAAAGTACAAGAAACGGTTGTATAACACCAAGAAAGCGTTGAACGGTGATTTCGATAACAAGGTTACCAAGGATGAGTCACAGTTCAAAGCTGACATTGCATCGTTGATCAAAGTGGAGTTGTCAAAGTTTGGACAACAACAACAACAGCAACCAGTAGTCCAACAACAGCCAGTCCAAGTTGTCAATCGTGAACGTGAGCGTGAGCTTGAAGAGACTATCATGCAGCTGACCAGCGAGTTGGAGCAACAAAAGGTTGCGACCACCAAAGAGTCACTCAAAGTGAAAGAGATGCAAAAGGAGAACAGTGATCTCAGTCTCGTCATTCAGACACAAACCGTTCAAATCAGTGATTTCGAGCGAAGACTCAAAGACCAGAGCGAGGATCACGAGGTGTTCAAGCTCACCATTAAAACCTATGTCGATAAATCCAATCAAGAGCACGACGAAGAAATGGATAAGGCAAACAAGCGATTATCGGCTTTGGAAGACGAAAAGCAACGTTTGAAAAAGAAAGCGGAAAAGGAGATACAACTCTGGATGCACGGTGCCAAGCTACTTCATGGTAAACTGATTGCCTTGCAAAAGACACGTGAGAACCTCTTGAATTCATCGGACTTGCAGGATATCAATCAAATCGGAAAGAGTCTCGAGAATGAAAGTAACTTTAATATGGACGATATCATTCAAAGTCAGAGTGAAGAAGACGACACTGATTTGGTTGATGGAAACAACAACGACAACGATAATAATCAAAATGAAAAAGAAGATCAAGATCAAGGACATTTGACACTTGATACTTCATCGGTACTTTTGTTATCACAAGACGACTTTCAATATCAGTCATCATTGATTCCACAGATCACTCAAGCAACCAACCCAAACAATCAAAATAATAATCCAATCACTCAGTATTCAATGATCAGTAACTTTGTGGATGACATAATCAACAACCAACAATAAATCATAATATAATAACACAATTGTTCAATATATATAGTAACCAATTCACTTGTAAATAAATTTATTTATATAAACAATTTTAATATTTATTCTAAAACTTTTATTCTTATAAAAAGTCTTTGATATAGGCACTCTTTTTAACGGCATTGGTGAAACCTTCTTGATATCTATATTTAATCTTTGATACAGTTGATTCTTTTATATTTTTCTTGTTTGTACTTTCAGGTGCTAAAGTAATAATAATAGTTTTAATAATCATAATAATAAAGTTAGTTACTATTGTATCTTAAAAAAATAGATTAATACATACATAATTGTATAGGTCTTCCAAAAAAGTCTTTGGGTACATGTTCAACGATGTTTTGTGGTTTTGGTGTGCTTGGTGGTGTAGGTACTTTAAATGCAGGAGCAGTTTCTGCTTTCTCTTTAGGTTTCGATTCTTTTTCTTGTACTTCTTTTTTATTTACTTTTTGTATTACCTATATGAATTGATTTCATTAAAATGTTAGTTTAAAAAACGTGTATATTAATATAATAGTTATACTTACAGCAATTGAAATGATTTGTTTTTGAGTATTTGATAAATGTAAATGTTTACTTGGTGTTTTATCCATAAAATTGAATTGAATTAAATTATCTATTGGTCTATAATTGATATATATTAATATATTACATTCAAGAATCAATGTTATTATTGAAGTTATACCTACGGATTTAATACATATTGTAATGAATGGGATATGTTATTCTCCAAAGTATAATTGATGTTATAGTGCTTCATAATTTCAACAAGATTATTCAAACTTTGTTTCTCCTTTTGACTGTATAAATGTGGATTTACCTGAAATTTAAAAAGTAAAAGATTGTTAGTATAATGATTTAGATAAGAACACATGTGTTATTATTATTAGTTTACATACAGATCTAATTGGCATTGCTAGAATATCGAGGAATGGTGAAATGAAATCTCTAACAAAGATGGTCTTTGTTAAGCTTGCATATACCATGGGTGGAACCAATTCCGATTGTAAAAACGAATCAATGACACTCTGTGAGTGTTTGAGTTTGATAAAGTTGGCATATCCAGACTGTGGGTGACTGACCTTTGGTGACATTGAGTTGCATTTGCTGTGTATAGCCAGTGGTATCAACGAGCGGTATCGTTCATCGTGTACCAAATCCGAATAGGTAAACCATTCCAAACACTCGACGGTCTTTTCAAATGAATAGTCGTTGGTCATATTCAAATTGAAATTCTCATAGACACCCTCCAGCAGTTTGTCTTGTTGAGAGCACGATACGATCTCCGACTCCAAAGTGCTGTAGTTGCCAGAGGATTCTTTATCCTTGGCGGACGACGCCTGTCCCTGGAAGATGTTCTTCCAGAGCTCAAACAGACCTTTCTCCATATCCTTCTGGCCGATGATACTATCGATGCTCTTGTCCCGCAGTGTGTTGGAGCTGAGCACATTCGTCTTGGATCTGATGAATTGCAGAGTGTTCAGACACGAACGAATGTCGTGTCCAGTCATATTGATGAGCAGTGTCAGTGCAGAGTCGTCGGCTCTCATTCCCTCGCTCTGACAGATCTCCTTCAGCCGCGACAACAAACGATTGGTCTTTGGCTTGGCAAAGTTAAACAGCAATGCTTCCTGTCTGAGCTTTCTGAGCGATGGAACATACTGGTCATTACAAATACAAATAATCGGTCTATTGATCTTTGGAAGTAACTGAGGTTTCTTTCCTTTACCCGACTTTTTAGGTTTAGCACTCACACTACCACCGTTGTCAAATTCATCCATCATATCATCATCCATATCAACATCGTTACTACCACTACCAATATCTCTATCAGTTTTACTTGCTTGACTATTTAATTTCTTACTATTGGCAATTAATTTCAATATTAATTCAACTGGTCCCTAGAAATTAGTGATTAATTAGTTATTATTTTTCTAATATATATATATATATAGCTTTATGATAATAATTTATTTACTTACATTATCCCCACCGGAAATACCATCGATTTCATCTATAATTAAACAAGTTGGCTTTTGGTTGGCGAATACCGATTGCATTTCGAGGGCAGCAAGGAATTTGGTTTCGAATTTCTCACCGGAACGTTCGAAACTTGCATTGATTTCAATGGGATTATAACCAGCTTGCTTTGCCAAGATGTGAGCGAGTGTTGTCTTTCCAAGACCAGGTCCACCCGTCAGCAAAATGATCTTATGATTCGGTTGTCCAGCGGCATCCAATGCACCATTATTATGTTGTTGTACAATAGCTTTGGAAGGAGCAGCACCAGTAGTTGTTGTTTTCTTTTGGAATTTCCAATTTACAACTTGTGCCTGATTTTTATTATTATCCGATCCAGAAGAAGTTGTTGTTGTTGAATTATTACCATTACCACTACCGCTACTACTACTACTACTATTAATCTGTTTTCCAAATACACTATAATCCCAATGTTTAAGCCATAACAATATATCTTTATTTAATTTCTAAAAACATTCATATTAATTAATTTTTCCACAATTGTTATGTTAATGTATTTTGTTTTAAACTTAACTTACATCATCACTTAATAATTCATGGAATGAATCAGGTGCATATTTATCAACCCATAATCTATTGTCGATCTTCTTATTTCCTTTGTTTGTCAATGTTGTTGTTTTGTTGTTATATGTGATTGTTGCTGCTGAATTTGCTTTTAGTGCTTTTGTAATTTGCTATATTTAAAATGGTGATGGAGTTAATAATACATTTGTAATTGATAATATAGTAATGATGATGTTGTTGTTGTTGTTATCAAATATATAGTTACATGTTCACTAATCTCAGTATCCAATTCACTTATAGATTTACCAAGTAGAGAGCCACCGATTCTACTGAGATTGATTCTGTTTCGAACGGATTCCTCAGAGTAGTAATCTAATTCCTCTTCATCTTTCTTCAAGCGATTGTAGATTCTCTCGCCACTGAACGATGTAATGGTGATTTCATCATCGACTCCGTATGAATGTTGGAAATTACCGCCAAACAACATTGTAGAACATGAACGGACACTATCAAAATCATATTTTTTACTATCAATATCATTGCTGCTGCTGTTACTGAGTTTATGTTTCTTCTCTTTAGTTAAATTGATTGATAATATAATATTATTGTATTAATTAATTAAAATCATCATCAACATCATTAAATATAGTAATTTATAATAAATTAACTTACCTATATGATTTCTATCGCTATCGTCAGTAGCATTTGTATCTACATCTTGAAAATCATCACCATCATTGAAAATACGTCTCTTTTGACCTAATATAGATTTCATTATTAGATTAGATGACTAGCTATTATCATCTAGATTTATTGATCAACCTATAACTTTAAATAACTGTTATTAATAATAAATGGTTGTTTCAAAATTATTTTAAATTTTTGTTTTACCCGCCTTTTTTCAAAATTTATTTTAAATTTGAATTTAAAAGATTTTATAATTCTTTCTAAAATTATTGACTTGGTGAAGATATTATTATTAGGTAAAACAATTTTAAAATTGTTTTTTAAATATTTTTATTTATTTGATATCAGATTTTGATTAAGATATATATATAATCAAAAATAAAATTAAATTAAACCAATGGTTGATAACCTGATGGTTTAATATTTGATAAGAGAATTCCATCATTTTGTGGATAGTAATCTTGTTGTTCCATTTCTATTACATGTTGTTGTTGTTGTTGTTGATTTTGTTGTTGTTGATGTTGTTGAATTGATTCCTTTGGGAATCTCATTTTTATTTAATTTATAAATATAGATATTGATTAATAAAAAATAGATTTATTGAAAAAAAATAAAAAGTATAAAGAAACTTACATAGAAACCACCACTTCCTTTAACTGGATTTATAAGGTATTCAAAAGAAATACCACGATAACTATATTTTGCATTTGCATCTCCTATTGTCTTGTCAATTCTTGCTTTATGTTTATAATGTAATCTAATTGATATAGCCCCTACCAATGCCATCGCTATAAAAGGAATTCCTGCTGAACCAAAAATGACAAGACCATCATTAAGATAATATATACCAAGTCAACAAAAAAGTACCATTAATGCAAAAGATAAAACGATTGGAAGTACTATTACTTTTGGTGAATAGTTCACAACTATCTGTGCATTGAATTGATCTATCAGATCTGAAAACTCTGCCTCACTGAGAATCGATTGATAAAGTTTCTTTGGATACTTTTTTCTAATAAATATTTGGTTTTTGGAAGTTCCTCTAATTTCTGGACGAATCTTACAACTGATTGTATTTCTTTCGATCATTTGTGTTTGTTTAAAAATATATATAAATGTAAATTATTAAGTTAATAACTCTATTAATAATATATAAATAGGTTTCTTTATCTTAGAAAATAAATACATGGTTTTTATTAAATAATAATGGTTTTTTGTTGCTTATTATTATAAATGATTATATATAATTGATTTTAGAGAATATACTTCTTACACAAGTTCTTTCTATATCGAAATAAACATAGACAACAGCTCTCCAATAGTGGTCATTTAGATTACATATTTGATCTTCATTCAATCTACCTGGGTATCTAAACATTTCAGAAAGACATTTGAATACTTAGCTTCTACCAAGAAGATTCTCAGCAATCACACGATACTTTGAATGTAAATTCGATAAAGGCATTTCAATTCCACCATCAGGGTTTATAATATTGAAAGCCTCCATTCTTCTAAAACCATTGTCACCCAATAAGATATCTCCTTTGTCAATATATACATGACGTCACTCATGGTATGTGAGATGAATAATGGCATCATCTTTAACGCTACCAGGAAAGGCCTTTGACATGTAAAAGATTGTACCAGAAGTGATGGATACAATAAACAATCTAGTGATACTATGTTGCTTTTTCTTAGCTGAATAAAACAATGTATCCAATCTTAAGTCAAGTGGCTTTTCAATTCTTACTTCTGTACCATCCACTGAACCAATAATATTATCGTTACAGAAATAAAACTTAACTATCTCTCTATTTGTTGTCCGTCTAAGGACAATAAGGTAGCCGCCAAGGCAAAGCCGGTACCTATCAATCAACATCAATAATAATTACCAGCCAACATATAAGAAACAGTCAATTATAATTAATTAAATTAATTAATCAACTAAATAAGTAATAGTTCAAAACAACAGATCAAAATAATAATTAAATTAGAATCTGTTGTTTCTGTTGTTTCTAAATTAAGTATTCAACACTCAGCCGTCAAGCTTCTCAATAATGAATATATTGAGTTTAACGCGACGTTAAAGATTCATTCAATTGATTCAATATTCAAGACATAAAATTAAAGAAATTAAATAAATAAGAAAAGAATTAAAATAAAACTTAGAAATTAGATTATATAAAACATTATTAGAAATAACTCTTTAATATTATTAATTACAAATCACATGAGAGATGGCAGATCCAAATGAACAATTAACAGAAACACCCAACACCACCACAACCACAACAACCACTCGATCAACGGCATCTACAGATCCAACATCAACAACAACAACAACCACAACAAATGATCTTACAATGAACGATCTCGAAAGCAATAATGATAATGATTCAATCCCATCATATTCTACCTTGTTTCCTGATATCGTTCCTACAGTCACACGCCCAGACTCACTCCCGTCGGATGTATTCCAAGCAACCCTGATCGCATCCAAGACTCCGATCTCTTCCTCTATCGTACCTGGTCAACTAGAGAACAAACACTATTTGATAGATCAGAATTATAACTATCTATTCTTTGTATAGAGTGTATCGATTTATCAATGTAGGTTGAGGAGGAGGTATATCGTTTGTATAAACTCTACTGGATAAATATTCAATAATGGCCATTCTAACTCTATTAACTGTTGTTCTTGAGATCCTAAATAAAAATCCTTTAAGTAAATCAGTTGTATAATGTCTCATATGAAACATTGTGATTATTATCCTATCCAATGGTCGTAGGAATTTAGTGGAGTTTGGATGGGTCAACGGATTATGAACAAGGTATTCATCTAGATGCTACTTTTTGATACACCAACAAACTTTTTGAATCTTTTATCTGGTAAATTGTAGAGTTCTATAACTACCTTATTATTACTATAAACCTCTATTTTATCATTTATATATCGATGAGCGAATGCAATACTATTGACACTGTACATTATCAACAGTTGATCCTGGTGTTGGTTCCCTATGACATCTAAATAAGAATGATCTAATATTATTAGTTAGTTTGTTAATCAATTTGAGTTGTTTAGTTAAATATAATGATAGTTTTTAATAACATACTGTGATTTTTTATCATCAATATATTCAATGGCAACTCTTCCTTCGATTGAACCCACTGCGAAACCTGAAAGATCTTTAAAGCAAGCGATAGAACGAGTTTGATGTTTAAGAGGTGAATCCATTGATGTGTATTCGATGTTTTGAATGTCGAGGTTGTACACTCTAATTTTATGGTCGGCAGTAGCCACTGCCATCATTGTACAATGAACATCGAGTCCATAAACACGTTCAGGAAGGTTGACAGATATTACAGGTTCTTTTGGTGATCTCAAATCCCAATACCTGAGAGTCTTATCCCAACTTCCCGTCACCATAAGCTTCATTTCTTCGACCCAGAACACCGATTTGACAGGTGCATCATGTCAGCCAACTTCAGCCAAAATACCCGGTTGTATATCCCAAACCTTTACTTTATTATCAGTTCCACCTGCATAGATTTTTGAACAATCCTTTTGTTTTCATTTTTTTTGTTAATTTAATTAGTATTTAGTTTGATATTATTAATAATTAGATATTATTATTAATATACATACTGGTGACCAATCAGTACAGAGAATTGGTGCATCAAAGTTTATCATTGATTTCAATGCAGCTTGTGGTTGGTCGTCGGTCACTTGCCAAAATTCAAAATTAATCATTTTGTTTATTAAACAGCACAAATGTCAAATTTGATGTTTCCCTCATGAGAGATCTTAGATCTTATTTTATTTTATTTTATTTTATTTTATTTTATTTATTTATTTTATTTTTTTCTATTTAACTTTTAGTTTATTTTTTTTGAAAAAACAAAGACTACCCTGATTTTTGAGGTTCTTCTACTTTGAGGGACAGAAAGAAAGGCCTTTCAAATTGTTTATCAAAAATAGAGAAAACAATTTACTATCTAACTAATTAAAAATAATATCTTAGACAAATTCTAAAAATTTCATTTAAATATTTTTAAAATCCTGGAATTTTTGTAAAATTATGTTAATTAGATTTAAAAATTGATGATACTTGTCTTCTCTTAGAGATGGACACGATTCTCTATCGTATTTAATTAGAAAAGTAAATAGTGAAATAGATTATCTGAAAAACTAAAAATTTAGTTTTTTATTTTGTTTTGAAATATCTTTTTTTATAATATTTTAAAATGAATATCTTATAAAATTAAAAAAAGAGTTTAATTTTATATCTTTCCTAAATTTTTCCAAAATATGAAATTAATATCTATTTTTTGGAAAAATTTAGGAAAGATTTATTAGTTGGTAATGACATTGTTGGAAGTTGTCTATTCCAAAAAAAATTGAAAAAAAATAAACAGATAAAAAGTTAAAATATAGAAAATAACAGAAATAATGTTAAAGTCAAGTTTTCAAAAAACTAATAATATTCATGTGGAATGGTACGAATTTGAACTAGCCATTTTCAAGATTAGAGAAGCACCCATTAGAGATTGGTTGATGTATCGATTACAAACTATTAACGCGATCTTCGATGATGACTTTAGAAAAGGTAGAGAAGAAGCCATCAAGAGAGAGAAACAACATCTAGCAAGAGAAATCAAACTTCATTTGGAAGAAGAAGAATACATTGCACCTCTTTCACAATGGTTAACAAAATAGATTTTGCTATATTATTAAAAAATAAAATTTTGTTATTAAAGTATAAGGAAATTATAATTATAATAATTTCCAGAAAAAAAGTTTTTTAAAATAGAAACTTGTTTTCGAAATATTATGAATTTCAATTGATTTGAAACCAATCTACAAAAATCTAAATATTTATTTATTTATTAAATATGATATCTATTAAATTTATTTATTTCTATTTATTTTTTTGGCAGATATTTCAAGTCTATACTATGGTGTATATGTGGATTTTGTTTGTCAGGCAGAGACAGCTCCACATGATGGTACTTGGTTGCAATATGAGTATGGTCTGACCTATAGAGAGAGTAGAGAGCACCTGGATAGAAATGGCAAGAGAAATTGTCTCTGGAGAGAAACTACATATTTTAACATAAAACGAAGAGGAGAAGTGTAGAATCATGGGAGTTTTTTTATAATAACTCCATTCCAATGGGAAAGGTTGATTTCTACTTTTTTGAAACAAACGATGGACTGGCGTGACAACCAGACCGGTCCAAACGATGAAATGATCCATTGTGTTACACAACAACAACCATTATGAAAATTATAATAAATTATTCTAAAAATATTTTTATTTAAAAATGAATTATCAATTATTTTAAGAAATTTTGAAAGTGATAAATCCATTAGGTATATAACTATAGTTGATTATTAAAGTAAAGATTATATTTTTGTTGAGAAAAACAAGTAAATATTATTGCTTAGATTTATCATAACAAACTTTTGAATAGATAGTTGGTTTGGCGCCTTTATTTAAATAAAGTTCCAGTTATATTTAGTATTTTATTAATATAATATATTTTAAATATTATTTTTAATTTTATTTATTTCTTTTGTTTCTTCTTGTATAGGAGTAAATGATTGATTGAGACTGATTAATTAATTTGATTTGATTTGATAACCTGTTGAATTACTGTGTGATCTAATTAATTTTGATAATCTGTTATAAAAGAGAAAAAAACAATAAATAATGACAATCATTTATGCACTACACAGAGTTGGCATTATTAATGTACAACTATCGTGCTGCTTTCTTTGGATTCTTTCCTCTTCCTTTGATATCTGCTTCCTGTACCACTTGAATTTGAATTGTATTTGTACTGTTTTGATCATATCCATTGACACCCTATAAATTATATTTATATATAATTGTACAAACATGTTGTTAGATAACTTAAACTTGCTAATTATTTATAATGTGAATAACAATACCTTTGACCAATCATAAGAAAGTGCATAAGCATATAAAGTAGCCTCTGGATTAAAACAAGCTGCTGAAATTGTATTGTTGAGTTTTGGAAACTGTTTCAAACGATTCTTATTCTCCTTGTCCCAAAAGTTGAATGTTCCATCTGAACCTGCTGTGGCGAATGTTCCATAGGGCTGTGCGAATGCAATACTATTGACACTGTATGCATTATCACCTTCTGTACCTGGCGTTGATTCTCTATGACATTTGAATGTGAATGAACTGGATCATCATCATCATTATTATTGTTGTTGTTATTGTTAGTTAATAAGTTGTTAGTGTTAATAAAGAAGTTTAAGTAATTAATATATATATATATATAGATAACAACATACTCTGATTGTTTATCATCGGTAATATATTGAATTGCAACTCTTCCTTCGATTGAACCCATGGCGAAACCGGTACGATCCGGGAAGCAAGAGACACAACGTGTCTGGAATTTGAGGGGTGGTTCGATTGTGCTGAATTCTACGCCTGGCGAGCTGAGGTTGTACACTTTAACTTTGCGGTCGGCTGTGCCTACCACCAGCAGTGGATGCAACACATCGAGTGCATATACACGTTCGGGAAGATCGACCGACAGTACGGGTTGTGGTGATCGCAAATCCCAATACTTGAGAGTCTTATCCCAACTTCCTGTCACCAACACCTTGCTCTCTTCGATCCAGAACAACTCTTTGATCGGTGCATTGTGTTGTGCAACCTGTGTCAATGTATTCGATTGTAAATCCCAAACCTTTGCTTTATTATCACATCCACCTGCATAGATTTTGAAACAATCCTGTTTGTTTGTTTACAATTTACAAAGTAGATAGATTTTACAAATATGTAAATTAGATTAGTATTATTATATTATTATGAGAATAGATTAATATTAATCAATACATACGGGTGACCAATCAGTACAGAGAATTGGTGCTTCATAGTTTATCATTGCTTTCATTGCGGCTTGTGGTTGGTTTGTGACTTCCCAGACACGAAGTTGCTTATCCCATGAACCCGCTGTGAGATAGTTGTTTTTCGATGAGAATTTCAATGATGTTATTCCATCGCTTGGTGGATTGGCAACCTCTATCTTTTGTTGTTGCTGTTGCTGCTGTCCTAAAGTAGATCCAAACATTTTTTATATTATATATATCTAAATTATTCAAAAACAAACTTATTATTATGTATTTTTATTAATATTATTGTAATTCTATTGATTGATTTCAATCAAAAGTTATATCTATATATATAGTTATTTATGTTTGGTTTGAACAGTGATGAATTACAAACCGAATATCAACTTTAATTTAAAAAAATTATTTTTGTTTTTTTAAATTTTTTTCACTAAAAATTACTGAGCTGGTTTTGAGTGTGCACTTTGTCAGAACAACAGTGGTGCTTCGTGATAACAAACTAAACAAACATGTATCTATTTGAATTTTCATATGAAGAATATTATTGTTGAATATTGAAAGTTAAACAGATTTAATTAAGATAAGATCAATTGAGAATGGTTTAGATGAAGTTTCTTTCATTCCAAGGAAATTTAGAATCGTCTATGTCACATAAGGTTTGAAAAGATATGTAAATATCAAATATTCGAATAAGAAAAGATTTTAAATATATAAAAGAATGATCGATCAAAAGAAATCAATGATTCGATTTATAAATGAAGATTATTTCCTTAAAAGGGTTTAATTAAAAGTCTTTGACTATTTCGCGTCGTATTTTTTTTTTTTTTTTTTTTTTTTTTTGCTTCTTGAACAATAGAAAATGAGAGACATCTATTTCATTTTAATAGTAGTTTTATCATAGACAGTAGTAGTAGTAACAAATGACATTTGGTATTGTTTTCGATATTGATGGTGTTTTGATGAAGGATGGTGTAACTATACCAACTGCAATCAAAGCGTTGAACATGTTACATGATCCCGAAACATCCGAACCTCGCATTCCCTATGTATTCGTTACAAACAACGGTGGTTTCTCAGAGAGAGATAAAGCGAAAAAGATATCAATGGTTTTGAAATATAATGTAATTATCACAAAGTAGTTTATCTATTTTACTATTATTATTCTTACTAACCATTTAGAAATATATGTGTGTACAAATAGATCGATGAAGATAAGGTAATGGTTGCACACACTCCAATGAAACCATTGACTGAAAAGTTTGCAGATAAGAACGTGTTGGTCGTCGCCAGAAAGAAGGAGACAGCAGAGGGTTTGGCACGTTGGTATGGATTCAAGCATTTCACATCGATTCAAGAGTATGTTGAGAAGAGACCTTATTTGTGTCCAGCCAAATACTCAAAGTTCTGGACTGAGGGCATTGCTAATGACTATGGTATCAAGGAGGAGAGTGTCGACAACTCCATTCCTTTCGGTGCAGTGGTGATGTTTGAGGAACCTGCAGACTGGGGCGAGTGTATCCAGATCCTGACGGATGTGTTGCAGTCGGCCGACGGTCTAATCACCAAGGATCACATCAATCTCGCCTCAAAACAAATCGTTGAACTTCACGTCGCCAATCCCGACTTTACCTATGGTGGTGAGTTTGTACTGCCTCGTTACACCATGGGTGCACTCATTAAGTGTCTATCCACCGTATTCGAAGAGGTAGCCGGATATCCATTGACTGTAACCTATTATGGAAAAGTAAGATGATCTTATAATTATTTATTTGGAGATTGTAATTGAATTAACAACATTAACTTTTTATTTATTTATTTTTTCTAGCCATATGAAACAACTTATAATTATGCAAAACAATTATTAAATGTGCAATTAGAGAAATTAAAACTATCGTCGCCACGACATATCTATGCAATTGGAGATAATCCTCAGTCCGATATCAAGGGTGCGAATCAACTTGAATCTGAAGGATGGGTCAGTATTTTAGTGAGAACAGGTATTTTCAAAGGTACTGAAAACGATAAAGTAAATCCAGCCAAATATGTAGTTAACGATGTTCTCGATGCTGTAAAATTAATATTAGAATTGGAAAAGAATTAAGAAACAAGAATTAATATAATTAATACAAATATTCTTATTTATTATTCTTCACAATTAATTTATGTCAAGTACTAATTTGAATTGAAAAGTTGATTTTTATTCAATAGTTAGTTAGTTTTTCTTTGATGATTTACTTTGCCTGTCCAAATGATTGTGTCCAATAGTATTCTCCATTGCGTCCAACGGTAAGAGCACCTCCAAATCTGTTTAGTACTGGATTTAAGATATTGTCTCTGTGTAACTGACTGTGCATCCATCCATCCATTGCCTCCTCCTCGGTCTTGGGTCCTGCAAAAACATTCTCAGCGTAATATCTATAGTATCCGCCATAAATATTAACTCTTTGATCCAACTCACCTCTTGGATCGTTATGAGTCATCTGTTGAATCTCTGCTTGATAGTTGGAGTGTGCCTGAGCAGCCGATTGCAATGGACCATCTGCATACATTGGTTGTAATCCATACTTGGCTCTCTCTTGATTTACTAAATTTAATAATTTCGATGCCACATTATTATTATTTCCACCATTATTTGTATTATTGGGTTTGGATGTTGGTCGAGGTTGATTTTGATTTTGATTTTGATTTCCACCGGAAGAACTATAGGTTGAAGAACCGGTTCCATCAATGATATTAAATGTTCCATCATTATTCAAAACCATTGTAAATGGAGCTACTCCTTTTCTGAAAGTATCACTCTGAAGAATCCATATTAATAAATGATTTTTAAATAATACAGTAATAAATTTGTTCATACCTTCCATGTAACCATATTGGTAGAGTCATATAATACAAGATTACCGTCACCTTAAAGGTTACAATTTAATAAATAAAAGATCTTTTATAAATAAATGTTTAAGAAATATAATAAGATTATTATTCATACCTTGCATGATTAATCTAAATGGAGCACGACCTTTTTGGAAAGTATTTGATGCCCACATAACTTGATTGAAGTCATATTTAAAGATAATAAGATTACCATTATTCTCCAAGACCATCCTACAATCCCCATTTCTTATGGATTGAGGTGAAGTCAATACTTGATCATTGTAAAGTTTTTGTGAATAGGCGATATTAAAGTGAAAAACTATCACAATAATTAAAGTTGATAAATATTTAAAGTTGTTCATTTATAAATTAAAGAAATAAATACATACTTTAAGTCTGTCTATATATACATTTGAATAATTCATTAAATGAGATTTCTTACAAATATTTATAACTTGTTCTATGAAATCTAATTATAAATTAAATGAAATAGTATAGTTTTGTTTGATATTTATTTATTAATTTATATAAATAATAAATACATTAATTTATTTATAGAGAAAAAGATGTGATTGTTTGATGTATTATTGTGAATTTGAATACAAAGAGTTTGGGTAATTTAGAAACTCCATTTTACTTAGATTTATTAATACCTATGATCAATTATCACTTTTTAACTGTTATCACATATTTGATCAGTTGTTGTTTTAGTGTGGTATTGTATAATCATGTGATTATTCTATTCTTTTTTTTTTTTTTTCGTTTTATTTTTATGATTGTTCATTGATTATACCCCCAAATAATAGAAACACTATTCTTTTAATAATTTATTTTGGTTTTTTTTATTTATTTATATTTTTTTATACTATTTATTTTCTAATAAATGGTAATATTGATTTATTGCTTGTTCTTCTTGATGTAATTGAGAGCACTACCAGCCTTGAACCATTCAATTTGACCTTCGTTCATGGTGTGGTTGAGGGTGATTTCGAATTCCTTTCCAGTCTTGGCGTTCTTAACAATACACTTGAGTGGCTTACCTGGGGTGAGGGTCTTGACACCGACGATTGAGATGATGTCGTCACCAGTGATACGATCGTAGTCGGCTGGGTTGGCAAAAGTGAGTGGCAAGATACCTTGCTTCTTCAAATTGGTTTCGTGAATTCTAGCGAATGACTTGACAATGATGGCACGACCACCCAAGTGACGTGGCTCCAAAGCGGCATGCTCACGAGAGCTACCCTCACCGTAGTTTTCGTCACCGACGACGACCCAGGAGACACCACGCTTCTTGTAGTCACGAGCGACAGTTGGGACTGGAGCGGTCTCTCCAGTGAATTGATTCAAGACGGCGTTGGCCTTTCCGTTCTCAGAGTTGATGGCACCGATCAACATGTTGTTGGAGATGTTGTCCAAATGACCACGGTACTTCAACCATGGACCGGCCATAGAGATATGATCGGTGGTACACTTACCTTGGACCTTGATGAGGACTTGCATGTCGAGCAAATCTCCACCATCCCATTTATTGAATGGCTCCAACAATTGGAGACGTTGTGAAGCTGGGTCGACCTTGACCTTGATACCGGCGGCATCCTTTGAGGGTGGTTGGTAGGTGTCTTCACCTGGATTGAATCCACGTGATGGCAATTCATCTCCACGTGGTGGATCCAACTTGAACTTTTGTCCGTTGGAGTCGACCAAGTAGTCGGTGACTGGATTGAAAGTGAGGTCACCGGCGATGGCCATAGCAGTGACGATCTCTGGTGAAGCGACGAAAGCATGGGTGTTTGGATTGGAGTCGTTTCTACCGGTAAAGTTTCTGTTGTAAGAGGTGATGATAGAGTTCTTTTGTCCCTTGACAATGTCGTCTCTCTTCCATTGTCCAATGCATGGACCGCAGGCGTTGGCCAATACGACACCACCGACTTGCTCGAAAGTCTTCATTTGTCCGTCACGCTCAATGGTGGCACGGATTTGCTCTGAACCTGGGGTGATGGTGAAGGCAGCCTTTGACTTGATACCCTTGTCCAAAGCTTGCTTGGCGACAGAGGCAGCACGAGACATATCCTCGTAGGAGGAGTTGGTGCAGGAACCGATCAAACCGACCATCAATTCCTTTGGCCAGTTGTTATCCTTGACGGATTGAGCGAATTGCGACAATGGGTGTCCACGATCTGGGGTGAATGGACCGTTGACGTATGGCTCCAAAGTGTTGAGGTCGATCTCGATCAATTGATCGTAGTGGGCGTTTGGATCGGCAACCAAGTTGTCACGGAACTTCAAGGCGTTCTGAGCAATGCCGGATCTCTCGGTGGCGTTCAAGTAGTCGACCATACGTTGGTTGAATGGGAAGATCGAGGTGGTGGCACCGATTTCAGCACCCATATTACAGATGGTGGCCATACCGGTGGCAGACAAAGTGTCGACACCTGGACCGAAATACTCAACGATTGCACCAGTACCACCCTTGACAGTCAAGAGGTGAGCAACACGCAAGATGACATCCTTTGGTGATGACCATCCCTTGAGTTGACCGGTCAACTTGACACCGATAATCTTTGGAGCCTTTAGCTCCCATGGAATACCGGCCATGACGTCGACGGCATCAGCACCACCGACACCGACGGCAATCATACCCAAACCACCGGCATTTGGTGTGTGAGAGTCAGTACCGATCATCAAACCACCTGGGAAAGCATAGTTCTCCAAAACGATTTGATGGATGATACCGGATCCGGGCTTCCAGAATCCCATACCAAACTTCTCGGCCGATGAAGCCAAAAAGTCGTAGACCTCCTTGTTGATGTCTTTGGCAGTGGCCAAATCCTTTTCACCACCCTTGTAGGCTTCGATCAAATGGTCGCAGTGAATGGTGGTTGGTACGGCGGTCTCTGGTAGACCGGCCGACATGAATTGGAGAACGGCCATCTGGGCAGTGGCGTCTTGCATGGCAACTCTGTCTGGGTGCAACTTCAAGTAGGTGATACCTCTCTCGACCTTGGTTGATGGGTCTTCCAAGTGACCGTAGAGAATCTTCTCTGCCAAAGTCAATGGTTTGTTGTGGTGCAATCTGAACTGTTTGAGCTTCTTATCGATACCCTCGTAGTTGACCTTCTTGTTTGGTTCCAAACGGCTCATTGGTGCAGCACCACCAGTAGAGTAACTTCTTTGAGTCATTGATTTCTGTATGTAATTATTATTATTATTGTAATATTCGTATAAATATTAGTTGATTGCATTGTTCCAACATCTTCATCAGTTGTGAAGTTCACAAATCAACTTACAATGGATTGGGAAATACCCCTTCCACCAGATTTAATGAAAGACATATTTATCTTTTATTCTAAAAAAAATTAAAGGTAATACTAAATATTAGTATAAATATACTTTTTTTTTTTGTTTTATTTCATGAACATCATACACCATTTTAATTAATTAATAAACAAAAAATTAATTATTTTTTCGAAAAAATAAAAAAACAAAAAAATATGATCTACAACTGAATAATAATATGTTTATGTCATTGTATTTATCATTATTGTTGTTAATTGTTATTGCTATTTATTATGTTTGAATAATTAATACCTTAAAAGGTATAAGATTATGTTGTTTGTTTTGTTTGATTGTTGATTTTGATATTGATGTTGATTTAAGATTTGATTATTTTATTTTATTTTATATTTATTATTATTTTTATTTTTGTTTAATTTATTTATTTATTTATTAATTAATTAAAAAAAAGTGTAGATTGCAATTGCATTGCATTGCTGTTATTGGTTTTGTATACTATACGTTTCGAAATATATGTTGATATATTTAGAAAAAAAAAAAAAAACTAAATAATAAAAACAGCAATAAAATAAATCTGAAGACAAATTATTTTATAGCTGAGCATGCTTGGTGAAATTCGCATCAAACCCAGGTGAAAAAAAAAAAAAAAAATCAGAAAAAAAATAATTTTTTGGTAGTCACAATTTTTACTTGGGAATAGAAGAAGTTCGGTCTACTGATTCCCAAAACAACAACACGCTAACAATGTTGACCACCCCGAAAACAGCAATTACATCAGATGTAACCATATTTAAATTAATAGCATAACAACAACACCCCATTTGAAACAATAATTGTTTACCAATCCAATACACTAATTGATCGGTTTGCATTAAACTGACAATCAAACAGTTTAAGACATCACAACACAACAACAAAAAATACAATCTAATAAATCATAATTACGTCAGTAATTATTCTATCATCAAAAAGTTATTGTTATATTACGGTAGTTTAAAATGTTCATTATTTTGTTTAATTTCAAAAGTATTAAGAGCAAATAGGTCGATACCATCGGTGTTGAATATTAAATATTTATCTCTCTTATCGTACCATCTTTTACAAACTAAACTGAAACAGATGATATCAACGTTGTCATCCAAATGACTTAGTATTTTATTTAATATTAAATGTGATAGATTCACTATTATATTTGGTTGATAGTTCATTATTGTTTGAAAAGATCAAAGTCGACCAATTTTAAAAGAGATCTTTTTTTTTTTCATTTTGTTTATTCAGATTTTTACTCAACTAATCACATCATAACTTACTTAACAAACCATTATTACAACTCACATTCATTACTGACACTGACCAATTAATTGTTATTGTCTGATTAGATGAACATAAATAATAGCATTCAAGATTTTCCATATCTATTGATATCTAAAATATTAAGTTTCAAAGAACTGACAGTTTTAGATTCAATATGTTTTAGTTTAACATCTAAAAAGTTATATAATAATAGAGATAAATATTTGATATTCAATGATGCTAAAGCACAATTGATTTACAACAGAAGTAATCATTTAACACTTAGATCATACACCAAACAATTTCAACAAATATCGGATATTCAATCTTGTAATCTATTGATTTGTGATCATCAAACCTCTCTTAAGACAGAACAAACAAAGTTATATGATTATACAATAGATAGTATGTTAATAATATCAATATTTCAAAATATTTAACTTTTATCAAACTAAAAACTTTTATCATTTTAAAAAGTTACCAACATGAAGAATAAAGATAATCTTTCGGAGAAAATACCTTTGAATGTAAAGTGTATTCACGTATTAAATTGGAATGACAATTGTATATTTAATATTTCAGATAGTAGTATAAGCGAACTCTTTATCGCCACTGACACCAGTCAAGATATAATATCAGTTTCACTTCCAAACACTCTTGAAAAGATAACTACCTTTAATCGTCTCAATGACTATGTGTTGCCTAATAGTGTTAGAACTATGACATTCAATTGTGGAAATCAGCAATTTATTTCAGGATTGTTCCCTCAGTCATTGGAATCACTCAAACTAGCTATGCATCTTTATCCATTGGTTGAAAACTCTCTACCAAATCTGAAATCCCTCCATTTAAGTTTCTATTCCGATTCAATTGTTAATATTGGAAACCTACCTACATCACTTCAAACTCTGGTAATCGAGTATGGTTATGTTGATCGAATTGAGAACATATCTGCTATCTCCCAATTTCAAAGACTGACAACAATAGAAGGATGCAGTTTCGAGTGGGTCGCTTCACTTCCACCATCTGTTACCAGCCTCAAATTTTCCGCTTGCTTTCAAGATACTAATAATATTGAACCTGGTGTCATTCCATCGACAATCACCAATCTCTACTTTAAAGACATTGGAAAAGTAAAACTACAATCCGGGAGTATACCATCGAGTGTTAGAAAACTAACTATTCTTGGCTATCAGTACGATCTGGAGGCTGGGGTCATCCCGATTGGTGTGAAGGAATTCTATATCCTTTTGACTTCTGTTATTTTCACAGTTGAATGTATACCAAGCACTGTGGAATCACTCAAAGTTACCATATTTTCAAATTACCCTGTAGATCTTCATTCACTACCATCGATCAAGAAACTTTCTTTGGGAAAAAGAAATACCAAGATAAGCAAATTTCCACCGAATTTGGAATCACTTAAGTTTAGATTCTGTGAAGATCCTGAATTATTATATTCATCATTACCATCGACCTTAAAGGAACTAACACTCATTTACACTAAACTCATCATCGATTCATGGAATGTCAGTGCACACCACCAACCGAAAAGATTGATAATGAAAGTAGATAGCTTTTATTTCAACGAAAACAGGTTGGAAGATCTTCCAATCTCTGTTGAGATCATCCAAATAGATAGGAATGTAGAACTTCGAAGATTTAATAGTTCAGGTCTATTCATTGGTCACAATCGAGAGTATCCTGTGAATGGTGGATTCATAGAATCAACTGAACAATTGAGAGATTTACTTTGCAATGGCGTATTGGAAAGAAATATAAATAATGATAAAATAACAAGCTTCATTTAATATCAAGTTTCATTACATAAATAAATAAAAAAAATTAATAATAAATTCTAATAATAAATAATAGAAAATCTTATAAAGTTAAAATAAGGTCGCTATTTTAGTTGAACACACTGACCACTTAAGCAAAGGTAACCATTTTTTTTTTTTTTGTCATATGATTATGATAAAAAAATAAACACACTCCTGTTCAATAAACTCAAAACTTTATATATTAACCTAATTACAAACATCAAGTTTCTCAAATGAATAAAACAGATAATCTTTCAGAGAAAATACCTTTGAATGTAAATTGTATTCGCCTATTGAACTGGCATGACAATTGTATATTTAATATTTCAGATTGTCTACTTATACTATAAGCGAACTCGTTATCGCCACTGACAACTGTCCAAAGACATTGCCAGGATCACTTCCAAACACTCTTGAAAAGATAACTATCTACAATCGTCTCAATGAGTATGCCCTACCAAGCAGTGTTAGAACCATGTATTTCAATTGCGATGAACAGCAATTTATTCCTCGATTGTTCCTCAGTCATTGGAATCACTCAAACTAGCTATGCATCTTAATCCAATGGTTGAAAACTCTACAAAACAATATCAAAAATAATAATATTATTATTATGAAAATTAAAATCCTTACATATTTCTTCCGTAGAAGAATCAAAGAAATACCTAAAAGAAAACTGTACTCCAATTCAAAGTTTTAGTTTAGCTTATTCAGATTTATTTACTATAGCTCTTGCACTCAGAAATATATTCATTGATGACTTTATTCTCAACAACATGAAAGATCCTTCAACTCAACAATATGTTAAAAAGTAAACAAGATTTAATTAATTAATTAATGAATATGGATAAAAATAATTTTGTGTAAATAAAAAGTTGCAATCCGTCAACTATTTAGTTAGTTATATGAGAAATTGAATAAAAGAAAAAAATAAATAAATATTATTTGATTGTTTTAATTTGTAAAAAGATATATTATATTTCTTTAATTTGAAGTTGGCGAAGTCGATTGAATGACTGGAGAAGTTAAATTATTCATTAGATCTTTGAATGGCTGGAAGATGCTACCGTTGACAAAGTTATTGTCTACTACGTTGACGAGGTAGTAAGAGTTGATCATTGATTCCAACACGCGACGAGATTCCGAACCTTCGGGGTAGGTCGATGCCCAACGCGATTGCCACAAGGCGAATGCCTCATCCTTCCAGACTACGAAACTGGCGTGGTCGACAACGGTTGGCTGGATGATTTCCTTGCCCGGGAAGATACCCCAGGTGACGGCGTTGGTGCCCTTGGTGTTGGTCAGTGAATCACCGCGTACGTTGACGGCGTGGTAGGTGATCGAAGGACACTTCTTAAAGTACTCGATGAGCTTGGCGGTGTTCTCTGGCGAGGTGAAGAACTCGACGTACGCCTTCTGGTAGACGAATCCATGCTTGCCACCCCAACCGTAGTTCTTGTCGGTGGAGCTGGCGCCATTGACTGCCGGCTGACTGTTGATAGTGAGAAATCCGTTGCTATTGAGGAAGACCAATGGTTCTTTGATCTCGTCGGACTCGGAAGACAGTGGCAAATCGTTCCATGGAAGTTTCTTGAGGCGACCGGCGCAATAGTCTGCGAAGCGGTCGTAGACGTCTTGGGTGGAGAGTGGCGCAGCGCCAAAGTCGTCTTTGTTTTGCTCGGCCTGAGCGCTGTTGAATTGGAGACTGGAGAGATGGTAGTCAGAGAGGTCACCGAACGCTGGCGAACGGTAGTCACCCCAACGACCATTGGGAAACTCGTCCCAACTTCCGGTTCTCGAAATGTAGGAACGTGGACGATGCTGCCAGAAGATCGGACGAACCTCCTCCTTGAGACGGTTGGTACTGGCGCACTGTGCCCACGGGAGGTAACGAGCTAGTTGGTCGGGACGAACCATGTTCAATCCTTTGAGAACCTTACGAACGCTACGCTCGAGATTGAGAGTGTAAAAGTGGAGACCGTCGACACCCGCCTCAACGAGACGCTCGCACATCTGAACACAGAGTTTGACACCATACTTTTTGACCTCTTCATCGTTGTCCTTGATGGGCTCGAGCGCCTCGAGGATATGTGGAGGAACCGCTGTCTGTGAGAGTGTAGTCATACGCTTGAATCCGGCGTATGTGTGGATTGGCATGATACCAGGGATGATTGGACAGTTGATTCCGATGGCGCGACACTTTCCAACGAAATCATTGAACATGTCGACGTCGTAGAACAACTGGGTGATGATAAGATCGGCACCGGCATCGATTTTGTTCTTTAGGTGCTGGAGGTCGTCCTCCTTCGAGGTGCAGTCAGAGTGACCCTCTGGGTAACCGGCGACGGCAATTCCAAAGTGGTCGCCGTGCTTCTGACGAATGTAACGCACGAGATCCGAAGCATATCCGAATCCACCTTCGATCTTCTTCCACTCTTCACCACGTGGTGGGTCACCACGCAGCGCCAAGATGTTACGCACACCCGACGCCTTGGCTTTCTCAAGGGCAAAGTCGATCTCCTCGACCTTCATGTTGGTGCAGGTAAGATGCATCATTGTCTCGAGACCACAGATATTCTGTGAGGTCTCTGCAATCTCGAGAGTCAGCTGACTGGTGGAGCCACCAGCACCCCATGTGATATCGACAAACAAGGGCTCCAACAGCAGCATACGACCGAGACGATCGTAGAGATTCTGAACACCCTCCATTGTCTTTGGTGGGAAGTATTCGAACGAGTAGAATCTCTGATTCTTTGATTTGTATTCATTAATTTTGTCGATAATTTTCATTCTCTTTTTTTCTTTCTATATATAATATATTATATTTTCAATCTAACCAATGTTGTTGATTTCTATTCTATTCTATTCTCTTCTTTTATGTTTTAATTAAAATGTATACCTAATAACTAAAATGAAATAAACATTGCAAAGTAAATAATTATCTTATTAGTCAATTTTTCTTTGTTATGTTTTATTTAATTATAAAAAAACAAGCTAAACAACAACAACAACATAAACATTTCATTAATTATCACATGCTATATATTCGAATGGGTTAAGTGCAAAGTGTACTACCCACAAAACCAAATTCGTTTAAAACACAAACAACAACAACAACTTTATGTATTTTTATTTTTTGAAAATCTTTAGTTAACTTTTAAATTCTTAAACTGTTAAAAGAAAGTGAAAAATAAAGACTCGCTACTTGCGTTAGAAAAAAATAGGTGTCATTAACTATATATAGTTGGGGTTGTGAAATTAATTGTAGTATGAAGAAATTGTGTTAATGTGCGAGTGTTGAGAGTGTTGAGAATGAGAGTGTGTGTTGTGTTTCGACGATAACAAACAAAAAAGTACATATATATATATCTATCATCTATCCAGATGATACAAAAATGAATGGTCAAACATATCATTTGATAATAAATAAATAAAATAAAAAAACATCTATCTATCTACCTACTCTACTACTACAATAATAACAATAATATTTATTATTAAACATATATTTATTTATTATCAAAGTAAAGATATATATTTTGTTTATATATTGCTGAGAGAAGAAGAAACAAAGAGATCTCTATTTCTTTTAAAAATAAATATAACAATCTGGAATGGAAATGAAAGAATATATAGTTTAAAGTTTTTGATTTATGATACTCGATAGACAATACCTCGCTATCACCCCAAAAAATATAAAAAACAAACAAAAAAAAAAAAACCAAAGTGATCTTATCAGATTTTGATCATAACAATTTTGGTTTTGAAGTTATCACATTTTTGGTTGGGTGGAGTTTTTTTACCCAAAAAAAAACAAAAAAAAAAAAACAAAACTAAAGACCTGACATGCTGATCTAAATAATACCTACATTCTTTAAGATTAGATTTAATTTGCAAATTTACATAGAAATAAATAGATATATTAATGTGTGTATATAAATAATATGTATAAATAAATCTACATTGTTCAAGAAGATAGAAGAAGAAGAAGAAGAATAGAGTTAGTTTTTAGTTGAGTTTCAACGACGAACGAATCAAATCATATCATATCAATTGAAATCATCATATCATCATTCATCTAATCAGAATTCATACATACATTTAAAATGTTAACACCTAATGAAAAAGCGAGAGATAAATAAAATGATGATGGTGTGTGTGTGTGTGTGTGTGAGTTGTGTAAGTGTGTGTGTGAGATATGGTTCCTGAATGAATATTGTTTGTGGTTCAAAAACCTAACGCTTTTTATCTGGAATGGTTAAAAAAAAAACGATGCTTATTTTTTATTTTATTTATTAATTAAATTAAATGGTTTTGGGCAAAGATAAGAAGAGTTCAATGCATTGCATATCTTGTTCTGGGTAAAGAGTAACATCCCTTTTTCTTAAAAACAAACTTTTTTTATGGTGATAAAAATATCTTTTTCTCTGACTCATCAAAAACATTTTTTTTTTCTTCATAATTTTACAAAAAAACAACATCACGATCACTTTGAAATACCCCTCTGATTTCATTTACATTGCTATTCCCAAAAAGAGATAAGCATATCGAAACTCTTTAATACCAAATCTTATAATCAGTTTTGATTTGTCAGTTCACAATAATAATAATATTGAATTATAATGCTTTTTAATTACAATAAAGAAAGAAATCGATAAATTTCGTTTGAAGTTCAACTATGATGATTTCAATAAATAAAAAAATAATATTAAATATTATAAATAAGTCTTATTTTTTGAATGTTACACAATTAAGAGAAAGGTTATAAACAAATATAAACAAAGTTAATAAATAAATAAAAAATACAAAGATTGGATTTGTTTACTTTTTTTTTTTTTTGAAGTCGACTGTTGAATTTTTTATAATGAAAATTAATCTATCATAAACAGATTCCAACATTATATATATTTTTTGGTTTTGCAAATTGATTTGATCTTGTTTTATATCTTTATCAATATAATATATATTATACTATACTATAGAATACTAAAATATGTCTAAACATCGTATGTATTATAGCTAATGTTTGTTTGTTGTTTTAGACATTGATAACTAACTCATTTATAAATTAGATCCCGATTTGATTATGTGTAAGAAGCAACCAGGTATTGCCATTGGTCGTGTATGTGATAAATGTAAGTGTTTATTTTAATCTAAGGTATAAAAATCTAATGTTTGTGCGTACTAACAGATTTAACATTCGATTCGGAATATAGGTGATGGTAAATGTGTGGTTTGCGATTCATATGTAAAACCAACGACATTGGTCAGAGTTTGCGATGAGGTATGTAAATTTAAATAGAATAAATGATAGCACAATTGTTCAATCAATCACTTACTAAATTTATAAATAATAATCTATTTAATAGTGTAACTATGGTTCTTTTCAAGGTAGATGTGTCATTTGTGGTGGTGTAGGAATTTCAGATGCATACTACTGCAAGGAGTGTACGACACAGGAGAAAGATAGAGACGGTTGTCCAAAGATTGTCAACTTAGGTAGTTCTAAAACAGATTTGTTCTATGAAAGAAAGAAGTTTGGTTTTAAAAAGAGATAACAACAGGAGAGACTACTACTCAATCATAATCACATTTCATTCCTCAAGAGACTAATTCAAACATCAGACTTTGGCTATTTATCTTATCAAAAACAAATGGGAACATGACAATGGAAACAAAGCTTATCATTGATATATATATTTTAATGGTTAACTATAATTAATCATTGTGCTCATTATCATCAACATCAACATCTCTATTAATGTATACAAGAAGAAAGTAAATTAAATTCACATTATTATATAATAATTTATAATAAACCAAACCAACCAACAAACAAACAATCTACATAATCAACAAACAATAAAACAACAAACAAACAACATCATTTCATCTAAAAAGGTTATATATTAAAATAAAGTAACTAAAAAAAAAAAAAGAAAGACAAGATTATTTTGTTTTAAATTTATAAATACTATTCAAGAAAAACTCATTATTTTATTGTTTCTTTCGTCTGATTACTAAACTTATCCAAAGTTGATCACCAAAGTAGAAACCATCGCTTGTACACACTCTCCAGAATTCACCGACAAGATATTCGTCAACTTTACTTGGAATATCTGGAATCATAAGAGGCACTGAAACATTGATGGTTTCGCTACAGTTCATTGCAGGCAATGGCATTGTGATGACTCTTGAGAGTCTGGCGTTACCACAGACACGCACGAGCAGGCAATCCTTCGGTAGTTGAGATCCACCGCTGTTTTGGATACGCCAGGTCTTGATAATTTGTTGTCCGGGGTTGGCTTCGCTTCCGAAGGGCAGGGTGACATCGCCGACAAACTTCATGTTGAAAGGGCAACGGAACTTCTTACGACCGTACGGACAGCCACGACGTGGAATTGGCGAGGGCGACAGTGGAGCGGATGGCGCAACCATGTTGCAGGACTTCATCGATTTGGTGACGGTGATGATCGAGTGTTGTTGATTGTTTGGACAACCCGGATGTTTTTGTATTTTACAGTGATCACAAAAGTTGAAAGATATACAGGTGGCGCAGTAATAGAGATTGCCAACGATGGGTGACTGAGTGCACAGCGAGCAGGTGAATCCCTTGTGAATGGTGGGACCCTCGATTTTGCGGGCGGCGTACTGCATCTTGTTGGAAGCGAGTTGCGACGAGGTCATGGCCGACTTTTGGCCGGACGACTTGGCGAGTGTTGTTTGGTGTGATGGTTCGTCGTTCTCCTTGATCATGAGCGACTCGATCTTGGACTGCAGTTGGAGATGCGAGTTGAGTGTTTCGATGGACAGGTCGCCCGGTACTTCAAAGATGGAGACCTGTGACTTTTGAGTCATGTCGTAGAGTGGCGATTGGTGGGAGGGTGAAGGTGGTGGAGTGTTGGGTGGCACCGGGATGGTTGGACATTGGTCGGCAGCGAATTGGCGCAGCTGTGGGAAGACACCGAGGATCCATGGCATGGTGACAAGCTTGGATTGGATGGTGGAACAAATCGTCTTTTTGAGGTTACGTTGCTCCTCAAAGTCGGTGGTCATACGCAGACTCTGGAAGAACTTGGTGACTTCACAAATGAATTCTTGGACCTCTTTGGACGAGGCCATTCCCGCGGGGATACCGCAGGCAGCGGCCGATGACGAAGTGGCAGAGGACACTGACGAAACCGATGACACTGACGACGGTGTTGGTGTGCTAATACTGGCGGGGGGAGTCGAAACTTTAATAGCTGGTGAACATCTGGTGGCCTCTGACGGTATAGATGTATTGATGGAATCCATTTCATCATCTTCAATGCCGCTGCTACTCAATTGTGAATCGGTATCATTATCAAACTGCATAAACTCAAATGATTCATTTCTATTCATTGTTGTTAGTGGTTGATTGGTTGGTGGTGCAGTGGTTGCTTTTGTTTTGTTTTCGGATGAAGAATTTAATTGAGATCCTTGTGAGGTTGTTGTTGGAATATTTGATGGTGTCGATTGTTGTTGTTGTTGCTGGTGTTGTTGTTGATTAAAATAATATTTCACTGGATTGAAAGCGAAAATAGGTGGAAGTACTTTAGGTTGATTATTGGCGGTTGGATAGTGTGGAGTGTGATTCGTTGGAATGGAAGGAGTGTTGGCGGATATTCGAATGGGTGGTGTGGAAGAGGGTGAGGTTGTTGTTTGCTTTTTGCTGTTACATATACTACCAAAAGTATTATTACTTGGTGAGGTTGCTGTGTTTGGTGGTGGAATGTTGATGGGTGACGATGGCTCGGGTGATTTACTTGTTATGTTGTTGTTGTTGTTGCTGCCGCTACTATTGGAAGTCGAGAATTGATTGTTGATCGAAAGTGTAGAGAAATTGGTCGATAGTCCGTAAACAGACTTTCCAAGGTGAGTGTGATGGTGATGATGATTATGATGGTGGTGATGGTGATTTCCAATATGATGATTACTCGATGGCAGTAGTGTTGTGTGATTGGTTGGATAAGATCTAAACATACTTGTTGGAATGGTAGTTGGTTGTGTTGACTTTGATTGTTGTTGTTGTTGCTGTGGCTGTTGTGGTTGTTGTTGAATATATTGTTGCTCTTTCATATTTAGATTTGAATCCAGCAGTACTGACTCCTTTCTATTCAAAAAACCTGGGGTGGGAGCAGCAATGGAGGCAACAGAACTGCTAGTTCCACTGTTGTTTACAAAATTCGATTGAACCTCAACGCCTGTCGTCGACAATCCACCTAAACCGCTCAGTCCACTAAATACATGATGATTATTCTGATTCATGTTTTGATGACTGAAATGACTATTATTATTATTTTGATTATGACTAGTATTATTATTATTCATATTACTTTGTTGAATGTTATTATTAATATGACTACTGTTGGCTATGTTACTATTGCTATTGCTGTTGCAGCTGTTGTTATTATCACCACCAAATCCCAAGAATGAAAATAATGAACTTGAGAAATGACAAGGTTGTACTTCTACACAATTTGATAATAAAAGAAATGTTAGCGAATTGTGGTTGTTCAATCTACTAAACGACATTAATTAATAACGATGATATTTACCTTTAACTACTAATCTTAATTGAGCGTCGTCGCCATTCGATCTATATGCTTTACGAAGATGACAGTCAGAGGCGAGGTTGAACATGTCACCATTCTTATTTTCACACTTGATATTGAGAGTTGTCTTTGTGTTGAGACCGAACGTCTCTTTGATCGTTCCTGCCAGATCTTTGAACGATGTACCCTTTGGCACCGACAGCGTCTTACACTCATTGCCAATGTTCACATTGAGTGTAGTCATCTCTTCTCTCTGGTGTTGTTGATATTGTTGGTGTTGTTGTTGTAACATCTGATGTTGTTGTTGTTGCTGTTGATAAATTGCATGTTGTTGTTGATGTTGCTGCTGTTGTTGATGTTGTTGTTGTTGTTGATGTTGTTGTTGCATTACAGAAGTAGAAGTATTACTACCTGCGATGGTACATGGATTACCACCCGAAAGAAAAGATCTAATAATAATAACATAATATTATTTTTAAAAACAAGTTAATAAAGAAATACTAAACTATATTTATTTTTAGAAATAACAAAACAAAACATACCTAAATGAAAATGTATCTCCCATTTTTATCTTTTCTTTCCTCTACTAATGTATTTTAAAATTAATTTGAAAGTTTACTACTCTACTGTCTCTTCTTGTTCTTTTTGTTGTTATTTATAAAATAAGACAATGAAATATTATTATTATTGAAATTTACAATTTGTTATTTATAGTGATTCTTTACTGTTTGTTGTTGTTGTTCTATTTCTAATTCTTTATGTTCATGAATAAATAAATAAATAAATAATATAATAATAGGAAGAAAGAAAAAAAAAGAGGAAATTTTTGGTTAGCAAAAAAGTTTTTTTTAAAAATAATTACATATACAGCAAATTAATTGTCACCACAAAAAAAAAATTAATTAATTAATTTTTTCAATTTTTCCAATTTTTTTTTTTTTTTTTTTTCATTCATTCATGAATGACAGACGTGAATGACACCTAATCTTACCTTTGTTATGATAACATGACTACTATGTATATTCTGTTGGCTATAGAATTGAATTGAACTAAATACTTTAAATACTATTATATTGTTACTGTTATCTATTTATTTTATTACTTTTTATAATATTATTTATTTTGTTAAGTTAAAAGAGAGTGAAAAAAAACAAATGAAATCAAAAATCTTTGTTGTTTGGTTTTTTTTTTTTTTTTTTTTAACTTATTGGTTAATGATTGTGTGTTGGTGTGAGTGTGCTTGGTGTGATCTATCAATTAATCACTATGTCTTTTTGATTTTATTTGTGAGACGATGATTATGCTGGACAAATTTTTGCAAACTGGTAACTTGTTTTTTTTATAATTTTGATGAAATAATTATTATTGTGAACTAAAACTAAATCCAGTCAACTGCTTGCTGATGATAAATATAATTGTTGTTGGTTGCTTTTGAAAAACAAGCAAAAGAAGAACAACGAAAAAATTAAGTAAAATAGAAAAAAAAGAAAAACCTCTTTAAAACAAATGATGAGTTGTTATATACAAAAAAAGAAAAAAAAAACAACAAAGTTTGAGATTTAAATTAATTAATTGTTGTTGTTTTGATTGATTTTATTTTTATTTATTTTGTTTTGTTTTTTTTTTTTGTTTTCTTTTTGGTGTTTTTTCAAAAAGTTTTGTTGATGTTGTTTCTCATGCTTCTTGAATAAATTCATTCTGCTTTACATTATGACAATCAAACTATTCATCACAACAACACATAATAATTTTTTTGCATAACAACATCAAACAACATCAAATTTCTTGCAAACACAAAACTCGATTGATTTAGGCTTGTTGTTTTTTTTTTTTTTTTGAATTTTTTGTTCTGAAGATTTTTTTCGTATGAATGACGTTTTATTGATATGTGCGAAATTAATTGTGTGTTGGTTTGATATTTTTGTCGACAAACTAAACACACACAATTTTTTATTCATACCAAATTTGTGTTTGAAATCACTATAATGCCAATGGTTTAAATTATACGAGATAGATAAAAGATGGTTCTTAGAACAAACAAAGATCTATATTGGGAGTTAAATAATTATAATGATGTTGTTGACACCCAATTATTAATTATAACTAAAAAAAGATGGTTTTTTTTTTTTTTTTTTAAACAAAGAATTTCCGGAAAGGATAACATAATTATTATTGATTGATTTGATTTTATTTAATTTATTTAATTAAATTAATTCATTTGTTTGTTTGTTCTTTTTTTCTATTTTGAAAATGTTTGAATTATTATTATTGAACTTTTTTTATGGTCTTATCAAATCTAATTGGCAGTGATTAATACAGTTAATTCTTGACTGGTATCAATTATATGATTGACAAAAATTCTATTGGTTGTTGATGTATAGTTTGCATATAATTGTGGGATGAATTCAACCTAATAATAAAATTAAAGTTAGGAAAAAAGTAATTATTATTATTATTATTTTAGAAATTAATAATTTAACTTACAGAATAACCATTTGGATAGTAAAGAGCTTCATTTAAATAGATTTCTGTTGGTAATTTACAGGCTGGGTTGATTGTGTAGCTCAATGAGAATTTCGCTGTGGTAGAGTCGAATTGTGAGTTGATAGTGGTACCGGCAACAGCCTGAGCGTAGGTTCTACTGAAGAGTTTGACACGAGTCCAATCGGGCTCACCGCTTTCATTGAAGAAAAGGTGTCCGTATGAGTCTGGTGCGAAGTCCTTGTAGATCCAGAAGATCCAACCTTGGTTGTCTCTCTCGACAGCCTCCATAGTGAGGAGAGTGCTCTCGAGTACCGATTCGGAATCACCAACGTTTCCACCGAATTCAGTGAGCATACCGGCACATCCCAGCTTATCCAAATCCTTCATTCTGACATCCATGATTTCATCGATACTGAAATCGGGTGGTACATAGTAATGGTAACTCAAAGCACTGAGATTACGGTACTCATCACCACCTGGAACATGGTCAAATCCAACACCCTTTGGAAGCTCATCCCAAGTTACACTTTCAAAAAATATAATATGCTAAAATAGAAATAAATTAATTAGTACTTACAATTAATTTTCCAGAAATAAACTAATTACTACTTACTTCTGAATCAATTGATCTAATTCCAGTGTTTAAACGGTCATACATTGGTTGTAAATTCTTTTTATCGGCTACACCTGGATAGAGTAAAAATGGATCAACGAAAATATCACCAGCCCATGGTTCATTGATGAGTTCATAACCGATGGTGTTGGTACTGGTTTTGAAGGTGGAAGCGATTTGTTGCCATTGCTCGATGAAACCATCTTGGATTCCATCATAGTTATCGTACAGCGATTGGAAGGCACTCGATACAGAGATAGTACCATAGTAGCTACCCCATGAGTGTTTTCCACATTCATTGTCCGATGGCCAACCTGTTGTGTTGTCATAGACGAACGGTTGGAGTTGAACTGGAATTGGGAATGCTTCTTTGGCCTTTGGTTTGGCAGCCCAGTTGGGAGCACCGTCACCACAATAGACGAGCGAGTATAGATCTTGATGGCTGTCAATCAAAGCATAGATTCCGTATGGTTCCATCATATCTACCATGTTTCTCATGTAACTGAGGTAGGTTTCGTTGTATTGACCTCTGGCCTCTGGAGCGACACCGGCCCACATCACACCGAATCTAACAATATTCAATCCCCAATCTTGGAGATATTGCATATCCTTTGGACCAAAAGATTGATATACATCAAAGTCTAAAGTTGGTGCAAATGGTGGAACTTTTAAAAATGTATTTAGAAAAAATAAAAAAAGGATTAGTTTTTTTTTTCAAAAGAATATTAAATCTATTATTATTAGTACATACTTTTATATACAACATTTACTCCATGGAAATTACGTTCACGACCATCAGAGTCAATGAATCTCTTGGTCTCTGGTTGAACAACTATATTTGGATTGATGGAAAAGCATGAATTGATCAGCAATGCAGACATAAGGAATGCCAACTTCGACAAACCAATAGATCTCATTTTTTATTTTATTCTAGATAAAATAATGTAATGGGTTTTTGTTTTTAGGAAGTGTAGGAGATAAGTAGGAGAACAGAATATTAATATTTGTTGTACAACAACAATTTGTATTTGAGGTGTGTTGTGGTTATGAAGTATTGATATTAATATTTTGGTAACTTTAAATGTTCCTCTTCCTTTTGTTTCTGAAAAGATTTCTACACCTCCTATGTGATAATGAAAATATTAATTTAAAATCATTTTTCTAAATTTTAATAAATATCTGTTTGTTGAGTCAAAAAAAAATGAAATAAGCTCCTAAAATTTGATTAATGGGAAATTTTGTGGTGCCCACGAAAAAAAAAGCACAAATCTCAGAGATCTTTCGAAATTTCAATTTATTTTTATTTTGTTTTTTTGATGGTTTTGAACAAAAAATAATATTAATTTCGAACATAATTAAATTTGAAATCGGATTTATAAACATCCAGATATTTGTAGAAAAAAAGAAATCAAAAAATGAGTTCACTTGATATTTTATTTAAATATTATTTAGAATGTTAATGCTAAATGAAAAAAGAGGATTATTTACAAAAAGTTTAATGATTTATTATCAATGTTGTTGTCATTTGTTGGGTAGTTGTTGTTATTGTTGCTGTTGTTGATTTAGATAATTATATATAATTGTTTACTTCTGGGTAAGAACCTTTGTAGATTCCATAGTCAGAGAAACCTTTTTTGGTATCTGGAAGGGTTGTGAGTTGCTCTTCAGTGATTCCTTTGATGCATGGGATGCTAACGCTATAGTACTCTCCGATAGTTGGAATCTTGCAGTAAGAGTAAACCTTTGTACCGCAGATCTTACACAGATAGTGGTCGATTGTGTTTGTTCCGAAATCGTAGAGTGTAGTTGACTCGGCTCCAGACAACAGTTTGAACTTTGAAATATCTGCACGTGTAGAGTAACTTCTGTCCTTTAAGCACAATGAACAATTGCAATGCTCAGCTTCAATCTTATTTAAATCTAATTCAGCCGAAATTCTAATATCTCCACATTCACAACTGCCAATATAGTTATGTTTTCCTTCTGGTAAATTAAAATTCATTGTTTTGTTTTTTTTTTTTTTGAAATAAATATATATAAAGGTTTAAAAAGTTATGTTTGTATTATAAATATTATATTTAAAGATAATAAATAAGTTATTAAATTAAGGAATTAATAAGTTTAATTAATAAGTTTCTATAAATAAATAAATAATAAAAGATTTGTTTTTAGAAATAATAAATTACTAAGATGTTTTTTTTGTTTTAGTTTTAGATATTATCTTTTTGTTTAGTAGTGATTAATCTATACGACAATGACCGACAAAACTTGGTTAATAAAAGACAGTAGTTGTCTTCTTTTTAAATAACCAGGTTGGTTCAATTACAAATTCATAGAGATAGTGGGTAATTCAATTTTAGTTTTTTTGTTTTTTTTTTTTTAAATTTATTCGATAAACTATACCCGTTGGTTTTAAGTTGTTCTTATACCTCTCACAATATAAACTTTCAAAATAACCAACAAAAACATATAGTGTTTTGTGGTTTCGTCTTTTTGCGAGAAAAACAAAAAAATTTACTAAAAATAGTAATTTTTAAAAACTTTTAGTTATTGAATAATCCCTTTTTTTTTATGATAAAGGAAACCATTTGTTTTGTAGTAATTATTTTGTGGAACAATATTTCTTATTAAAGTTTTAAAAGTTTGATCAATTTAGAATTCTAAAGTTATTTATGTTGATTAAACAAAAAATATATTTTTAATAATATATTTTAAATAAATTATATAATAAGTCATATTTTCTTTATTTCTTTGATTTTTATATCTTTTTAAATAAATAAAATTTAATATCTATTTATTTTATGTAATGGTGACTATTCATTTGATAAAACAAATTATTTCTTAAAATAAAATAATGAAGCCCATAAACAATAATATTAAAAATAAAAATGTGAATAATGAAAATAATAAGATAACTTTCAAAGTTAGAACGATATCGTCGACTAGGAATAATAATAAAAAGCCAAGAAAAATAAGGACATGGGATAATCATCAGGAGTTGAAGGAAAAACTAATAAGTGCCATTCAAAGATACCTAGATGCTGGATATCAAACAGATTCCACTTCAAAAGATTCAGGCAAAACATCAAAACGAATAGCTCAACTTTGTAAAGTAATGGCAGAGTGTGGGGAGGTTGGAATCATTGACAATCTTACAATACAAACAAGAAAGAAAGTTTTTAGGGAATATATTCCTTAAAATAAATATATAAATATATATTATTTTTATATTTTTTTTAAAATAATAATATTTAATAAAGATATCTCAAAATATAAATATAAATAAATTATATTTTATTTTTATTTACTATTTTCTTGAAAATATGTATCCTACTCTACTGAATATCGATCTATATTGATTATTTAAAAATAATAAAAAAAACATTCTTATTTTGTCATAAGTGAAAAAAAGAAATGTTAGTTTCAAAATCAACAACAATTTGATGAATTTTTGAATCTTTGTCAGTATTTAGCTACCCAAATACAAGGGCATTAGAAATAAAAAATAAACTTGTTTACTATTTTTGCTGGATCCAAAATAATTAAAAACTAAATTAAATTAAAATTTTAAAAATAATTTTGAAAAAAAATGTAAATCGTTGATTGCAATGAGCCCTTTTTACTTGAATTCGTTTGATCATTTTATTAATTAATTATATTTTTAATGACCCAATGGACCTGTTTTTTTTTTTTTTTTTATTGATCTTTATTGAAACCATCCAAACAAGATCTGTACAATAATAGTTTTATATTTATTATATTATTTTTTTTATTTATAAACTTTTGTATTTTTATTATTACTATTATTATAATTAGTTGAATTATTAATCTTTATTTCAGATAATATTATCTCAATTGAGATTTCAAAAAAAAAAAACAACATAATGGAGCCAATAGCAACATCTCCAACAAAGGAAATCAAAAAAAAGGCGGCTGTCTCTAAAAACACTAAAGAAAATATTGAAACCAAGTGAGAAAAAGAAGAAACAGAAACAAGTGGTTTCCAGTGCACTCAAGAAATTGATTGGTTACCTCACTGACAATTGTCTGGAGCTAGAAGGTATCTGTAGAATCAGTGGTAACATAACAAGAGTAAAAGAATTGAAAAAGTCATTTGAAAATGGTAAGTTTTTTTTTTTTTTTTTGGTTCACATTCTCTCTCTCTCTATATATATCTTGAGTTCAAAACTAAGCTTATTAATTAAAACTAAATTTAGATGAAGATGTAGATCTTTCAAAGATTGTAGATAAACACACTATCAGTGGTGCTCTGAAGATGTTCTTGAGAGATATGGATGAACCGATTCTCACATTCGAGCTGTACAAGAACTTCCTCGGTGCCTACGATATCAAAGACAAGAATGCCAAGATTGCCTTTATCAAATCACTTCTATCTGCACTGCCAAAGGAGAATCAAGAGATATTACAAATGGTATTGAAGTTCCTCTATACTGTACAGGTATGTTGTTTTGAGATTGATTGATTGATTGATTGATCTCTGTGTTTATCACAAAACAAAAACTTGTATTAACAAACAACAACAACTATTTGTTCGAATTCGAATTAGTTACATCAAGAGAAGAATAAGATGACATCTGCTAATATAGCGATTGTTTTCGCACCGACAATGTTGAGACCAAAGGAAGAGTCGTTCGAAACGATGATGAATGCAACCAACTATACTATGGATATTGTAAAGTCGATGGTCGAGGAGTTCAATGTACTATATGAGTTTAACAATACTATACTTTACAAGATATCGTCGGACGATCTTGGAAAGTCGACAACCAAGAAGTCACTACAGGAGGAACTGGACGAAGCCAATGCAAAGATCGATAATCTGTTGAAGCAGGCGGCGGAAGATGCAAGGGAACGATCGGTTCTTGAGACCTATTCGCATCAGACCTACAATAAGCTGCAAGAGGAACAAGAGAATTACAAAGCGTTACAAGAGGAGAAGGATAGCATTGGTGAACTGCTCAACGAGCTGAGAGACAACGGTAAACAGATGGAAGAGAAGAACAAGCTGTCAGAGGAGAAGCTACAACAACAGAGAGATGAAGTCGCGCAACTAAAGAAGAAACTGGAGGAATCCAACTCAAAGACAAAGGAAAATGAATCTCAACTACTAGAATACAATAAACACAAACAACAACTACAAGCAGAGGTAGAGAAGATCAAGAAAGCATTGGATGAGCAAAAGAAGATAATAGATGAGAAATCAAAGGTAATAGAAGAACATAAGAAGACAATAGATGAGAAATCAAAGGCGATAGAAGAACAAAAGAAAGTAATTGATGAACAAGCGAAAGCATTTGATGAACAAAAGAGAGTATTAGCACAAAAACAACAACAACAACAACAAGCAAGTGTAGCAGTAGTAAATAATAATAGTAGTACAGATAAGAAAGAACAAGAGAGATTACAAAAAGAGTCACAAGAGAAATCAAAGGAAATAGATAGATTACAAAAAGATAATCAAGAGAAAGCTAAAGATATTAAAGTAAAGACTGAACAAATCGAAAAGATTACAAAAGAAAGAGATGAAGTAAGTAGAATAAATTGATGTTTAGATATACGTATTAATCACTAATTTAACTTTAACTTTAAAAAAGGCATTAAAGAAGAAATCTAGTAGTAGTAATAGTAATAACAATTCAAAGGAAATAGAGGAACTACAAAAGAAATTAAAAGAAAATGAAAATAGAACTATTCAATTAGAGAAAGAAAAAGAGACATTAAATGAAACTGTAAAGAGTTTATATGAACAAGCAAAACAATTGAATAGTGCCAATAATAATAATAGTAATAGTAATGGTAATGGTAATGGTAGTACAGGAATATTTAAGAAATCAGCTTTTACAATTGGAAAGAGATCAAAAGAAAAAGAGAAAGAAAAAGAAAAAGAAACACCACAACTTCAAGATGAAGACGATGTAACAGCAGTTAAACAATTTGCATTCTCTTGGATGATTCTGTCATTGAAATCAGATGCAATGGCACACGGAAAGAATTGTAACATTAGTTCAACAGATGTATTCGAAGAGTTGATATCAAAACGGATCAAAGTTAATCAATGGACCGATTTCGTCTCAAAGAAATTAAAGGAAGTTGAATAAAGAAAGAGAAGATGATCATCTTCTTCTTCCTCTTTCTTTTTTTTTTGTATATTAAAATATAAAACCAATCATATCATAAATAAAGTTATTTAGATTCTTTAAATGTTGTAAAATAGTAAATAAATAAATAAATAAGATCAAAATAATGAATAAGATAAAGATATAAGATATATATATTAAATATTTTAATAGTTTTATTTTATTTTACTTAAGTTTTACAAAAAAAAAGTATATATTATATTATATTTGTTTTTCTTTTTTTCTTTTTCTTTTTTCTTTTTATACTTGTTGGTAACCACCGGCTGAACTACCACTACCAGTGACCTTTCCTTTAATAAATAATACACCATCCTTCATCAAACCTGGGAAATCACTCCAGAAAGTGTAGTTGGGGAACATCTCCTTTCCTCTGAGACCACGAACCTTGAAGTTGACGGCCAAACCAACTAAAATATAGACTGAAATCGAAACGACCAAAATGATGACAAAGATCCAACCACCACCGAGACCACCCTTCTTTGGTGTACCACCTTCGTGTGGGGTACCTGGACAGGCATAACCAGAGCTGAATGAAACTTGATAGAGACATTTTGTGGTTGGGTTTTCAGCGCCACCTTTGATGACGTAACCGGCACCTGGAGTGCATTGCATATCTAGCTCGAGAACACGTGGCAATGTACTCGACTGGCATTGTTTTGGATTGGAATAGGAGAGCATGCCACCTTGATTCTCAGAAGCCAAATCTTTGACAGTCATTGAGCTTACAAGACCCAAACTGAAGTAGGTTCCCTTACTGTTTTGACAGGCTGCAACATTGTCACCGAGTTTTTGGTTGACACAAGTTGGTGCTGGTTGGCAGATCGACCAAAACAACTAAAATCATGATTGATTTATGAAAGATAGTATTAGTTAGAATCTGTAACAAACCGCTTTACTAGTATCAAATTAACTATTCTATAACCATACCATATTAAGGTTAGAGACACCACTAGTAATTGTGAATGAATATTCTGTATAATTGCTAAAAAAAAAAAGAAAAAAAAGAAAAGAAAAGATATATAGTTAATATCAAATATTATAATTTAACGATTCAACTATTATAATTGAAGACGTACTTGGCAAGTTCGGAAAAGTCATATTTTGTACCATTCTTTGAGGTGTAGCCACAATTTGATGAAATTGATGCTGAAGAAGGTGTGTTCAGCAAAGCTAAACAAACGAGAACCAAACCAACGATAGCGAATTTCATTTTCTTCTTTCTATTGGTTGATTTTTATATATTTTAAAAGTTGAGTTGCAAATTATTATATTATTTACTAGTAAGATAAATATCTATTATACTTTTAAATATTTGCCAATATAGTATTATTGTTTAAAAGAAAAACAAAAAAATCAATCAGATAATTTTATGAATGGCGCTGGGGCTTCAAACCAAAGTTGCAAAAATTTTAAAAAAAATAGAAAATTAATTCTTCAAAACCAAAAAAAAAATATTGAATTGAAAAATCCTCAGAAAATTTTTAAACATTTTTTTCGGTAATAAGTAATCCGATTTCATGTAGGAGCATTTTCAATTTCCAATTTGTGTGTTGTTTTCACAACAACAACAAAAGTCTTTTTTAAATTTAACACACCTATTTGGTCGACATTTTTCTTGTCCATGAAAATTGGTGGTAATAACATACTCGCACCACCTGTTTGTTTCAACAAACAAAACTTCCTTTCTTTAAAATGTTTAATGGAAATTGGATTTGAATTTTAATTTTTTTATTAGTTTTATTAATTAATAAACTTTTTTTCAATAAAAATAAATATCCACAGGTAGTGATGTAATATAACAGATAATGTTTTTTTGTTTTTTTTGATTGTATTAAAAAAAACATTGGAATGTGAAATAAAAAAATGGGTAGTGATTATGTGTTATTGTTTTTTGTTTAATCCCAATCAGAATCATCGTCAGAGTCATCATCATCTTCAGAGTCTGAAGGAGCCCATGCAATTCTTCTTGCGAGAATGTCGGCGACGCTAACTGCTTCAGTTTTAACTTGTTGTTGTGCCTCTGGAATCTTACGCTCTTCAGCTGGTTTCAATGACATACCGGCGACAATTGACGAGAGAAGATCGGAACGAGCATCGGCAGCCTTTGGCTTGGTTTCGGCTGGTCTGAGGGAGGCACCTTCGAGTGCAGCGGCCAAACCGGATTTGGCTGCCATGGGAGGTGGGGGTGGTGGAGCTGGCGCGTTGGTGTTGACTGGAGGTGGGGGTGGTGGAGCTGGTGCTGGTGCGTATGAAGTTGGAATGTTGCCGGGTGGCTGTGGCTGTCCGTACACCGACTGAGGACGGTGACTTGGCATGGCTGGAGGTGGGGTGGAAACACCGATGGGTGGTGGTGGAACGCGATAATTATTGTTGATGGGTGGTGGTGGAACTGAACTGGACAAGCCAATGGGTGGTGGTGATGGATAGCTGTTATTATTGATTGGGGGTGGTGGTGGGAATGAATGTGAGACTGGTGTGGGTGGTGTCGATGGTGATGCGAGTGACGTAGACGGTGCGGCGGGCGATGGCGCGCCATCTACAGGAATCAAAATTTTCTCACCTGTGACCGGATCGTAACGAACCTTGTGCAAACGCTTCACCTTTTTCACTTCGGCTTGGGCGTCACCCTTTTCACCCTTCTTTCTGAGACGTGCTTCCTTACGCTCACGACGACGTTGACGCGCTTCCTCACGCTGCTTTTGCATCTCGGCGATCCACTCGTCAATGAAAAAGTCGGGATTGGTGTAGAGTTTCAGCGAGTGTTGTCCCTCGTCCATGTAGGGATCCAATAGGTGCAAGCTGGGTGGTGGATAGCACTTTTCATTGTAGACGAGTGTGACGCTCTGTGGCACAGAGGCGTGTGTGAACAACTGTGATTTCTCTGGGTTTTCCGCGTGGTATTCGGCACGTGGACGACTGTTCATCGTATCGATGCTGGTGCGTTGATGATACGATTCAACCTGGTTGACCATCTGGATCAACGGGTCGAGACGACCATTCAATTTATTGAGACGTGCAGTGACCTGTGATGTTTCCGCTGCCAAGCCACTGAAGATGCTATTGGCGTGATCGGCCAGCACCATCAGCTGATTGATCAGTCCCACTGTAGTATTATGTAGAACTGCATCGACAATCTGTTCTTTCGATTGAACTCCTTCCAACGATGGTCTATTGTTTTCAATAGTCGATGGTAAATATCTTGTAATCAATACCATCTTTTTTGTTTATACTATATATTTTAACTAAAAATTTCCAATCTTCTTGTTCTTTTTTCTTTTCTTTTTTCAAATTTTACAACTAATTTATTTTCTTTTTATCTATAAAAATACAAATATTATATATCTAAATGAAGATGTGATTCTGTGATCACCTGATTATTATTTACACACAATAAATCAAAATTCATAAAAAAAAACTTTAAATGGTTTTTTGTTTTTTTTTTTTTTTTGATTTTTTCTAATTTTTATTTATTTTGCGATCCAAGTGAGATGGATGATGGTAATAACAGTATCGTTACATCAGATTTTTAATAATTAGCATATATATTTGTTATGATCATGATCATTATATTTTGTTATTTATGTTTTTTTTAATCTCAAATCTGATAATGTTTTTGTTTTAGTTCATTTTAAATGTACATAAGTAAATTGTTTTTTTTTTTTTAGATATACGAAGGATTCTTTTAAAAAAATTGTCAAAATAGATTAATAGTTAAAAAAAAATAATGAATTATTAAATCTTGTTTGTTTTTAATCAAATTAGATAAAATAAGGAGAGTTAAGGGTGACATTGTTTGACATGGTGTAGATTAGCATTTGCACCTTATTTTTTTTTTATGTGAAAGTTGAGCAAAAACCCAACCCACATTTTTAAATGAAAATCTAAAAAAAAAAAAAAATACAACAAACAATAAAGTTTACCAAACTACCTGAGTTTAATTAATCATTTTATTCAAAATCCTTACATTGTATATTTATTATTTATTTATTTATTTATTTATTATTAAAGTTTATTATCAAAACAAAACGAATCATATCAAATGGCAACATTAGGAAAGTGTAAAAAGTGTGGAGTTAGAGTCTATGATTTGGAAGGGTATGTAGTTATATCGTGTGTTTGACAGAAAAACAAATAATAACTAACACTATTAACCGAATACAGTGTCACAGCCGCCAAAGCCTGTTGGCATAAGATGTGTTTCAAATGTAAGAAATACTATGAATGACTATGGAGAGAGAGAGGAAGAGAGAGAGAGAGAGAGAGAGAGAGAATAGATGAGAAGATTTGGATGAGCTGAGGTGAGTTGAGTCAAGTGTAATGTTAATACTTCAATCAGTCCAAAACTTGATGGATTCATGCATCAAGTTGGATATAGCAAGCTTCTTTTTTACACATATTAATCATTTTTAATGAAATTTCAAATTATATTTAGGTGAAACATGTAACTGGCAATTGACTTTGACCAACTACAAATGTATTAATGATAAAGTATACTGTAAGAACCATTATCCAGTTACTGGTTTTGGAACTGATCACATTATTGGAACACAATCAACTGATTCCCTTGGTCTTGCCAATCCAATCAGTATGTATTATTAGAAAATTCCACTTTCTTTTTTGATTGGTTTTAAAATTCGACAGTTATTTCTAATTGTAAATTCTTGATATACATAAAGATGCACCAAAGTTAGATACTGTTAATCAACAAGTTAGAGGTGACTCTGGTAAGACTCAAGTCGGTTTGGACAGCATGCACATCTCCAAGCCAGTCAATGCACCAAAGTTGGACACTGTCAACGATCAAGTCAGAGGTGATGGTGGTAAGACTCAAGTTGGATTGGACAGCATTCACATCGCCAAACCAGTAAGTGCACCAAAGTTGGACACTGTCAATGACCAAGTTAGAGGTGACGGTGGTAAGACTCAAGTCGGTTTGGACAGTATTCACATCGCCAAGCCATTGGATGCACCAAAGCTTGATGGAGTCATGCATCAAGTTAGATAAAAGAATAATAATAAAAAACAAACAAAAGAGCGTTGTATGTATCAATTAATATATTATTGTAAAACAAAATTAAATAAAAGTAAACAATTCAATTTCGAAATAATCTTATCATAGATTATCAAATTAATAAAAACAATTATTACAATCTTATTTTTTGTTTGATTTGGAGATTGACAAATTCTTTAGAATAATCACCATATTCCTGTTCTGGGATTCAAAGACGAGGCTAGGGGAATAAAAAAGGGTTATCTGGATTATTGTTAATTAGTATTTATACATTTTCATTTCTATTTATTGAATCTTACCTATCGCTTTTAGTGAGTTGGTGTAATTCCCACCTTGAGTATCAGAGAGTGAGATATCTACTGACTTCAATGGATTCTTGATGCTGGCACCGGCTTGAATAGCATCTTTACCTATCTTGCTTTTGTATTGTTCGTTATAGTAATCCATTGCCATATGTATATTTATTAGATTAATATTATTCATTTTATTTTAAATTTAAAATGTATATGTACATTAGAATTCAATTTATTTTATAGTTATTTTTTATTTAAATATTTTATTTAAATTAAGAATATTTGAGTGATCATGTTCTCCACAATATATCATATGATAATGAAAGTTAATGATTGAGATTTTAATAATCGTTGTATCTGTGTATTTATTAAGTTTGAATTCAAAATTAAACCGGTTTAATTTTATTAAAATTGTTCTTGGGTGAATTTCTATTTTTAACATTCATGAAGGTTCAATCTAGATTCAAACACCATATTATTATTGAGCGAAAGTTTTTAATAAATATTCGTTTATAAGTATAACAATGATTATAGTTTTTGTAAATAAAATTATTTAGGAATCTTATTTAAGCAATGTTGGCACCTCGATTTATTAGCAGTATCTAACTTTGGCGCATCTTTTTTATTTGAATTTCTAATTAACTAAACTCGAATATAATATCAAAAACAAGTGGAATTCTCTAATAATAAATAATACAAACTGATAGGATAGCCAAGACCAAGGGAATCAGTTGATTGTGTTCCAATAATGTGATCAGTTACAAAACCAGCAACTGGATAATGATTCTTTCAGTGTACTTTATCACTAATACTTTTCTAGTTGGTCAAAGTCAGTGATATTAATTAATATTATAAAACAAAATTAATTAAAATAGAGAAAATCATAATAAAAACGAGTCTTATTGTTTGTTTTTGTTTTGTTTTTAAGTTTATACATTATTATTTTTAACTATCATAATATCAACAACATTACAATATTCCATTTATAAATTTTAGTGTTATTTCAAACTGTATCCCTTTCCACCAAATGGCACAAACTTACTATCACTCTTGTTATTGCTGTTGTTCTATAAATGGTTATAATAGATTTACGATTTGTTAGTAGATGTAATAAAGATGGATTTTTTGTTTGAAAGTTTGATATGTATTGTATGAGCTCACTTACGGGTGGAGAATTGGTTTGTGGTTTTGGTGATGTTCCCAACATGTTCTTTGGTGGTGTACTTGGTGTTCCACTCTTACCGTCCAATCTGGCAGCGGTACCACCGAATGCCTTGAATTTTGGTTCGTCTTCATCCGATGACTCCTCTTCGTCGGAATCGTTTTGTGGTTTTTTCGAACTTCCAGGTGGAATGAGCTTGGCAACACTAGTTGTACCAAATGTGAATCCTGTGGTTTGTGGCTTATAGGTTTCCTCAGGTTTCGAATCCAAGGGTGGTGCAAAATCTACAGATATATCAGTTTCAATAATAGAGATGGCATTCGATGGATTCACCGGTTTGATCTCCAACACTCTCAATGTATAGTTTTTGTTGTTGTATTCTATCACGAAATCCTCTGCCTTTGTTAACGTTGCAAACTTTCTCAATGCATTCTCCAAACTACAAGCATAGAGAGTAAATAATAAAGAATTAGTAATGTTGTTGGTTAGTAGAGTAAGTAGATTAGATGGTGATATTGAATATATACATACATTGCTTTTGGATTGGCAGTCTCTAGAAAAGCTTGTGTATGTGGTTGAATCTTTACAAATTGACCATTTGGAAGTGTAGCACTCTTTATGGTAACGATATCTTGATCTTTCAGTTGAAGATTGTTCATCATCCATTTCGGCATGTAACAAACACCTTCCTCTGCTGTAAATTCTAAAACACCACAATGTGAAGATCTATGTTTATCTGTATTGGAGATTTCAAACTGCATTGGGAATTGAATATGTAAACGACTGAGTGTATTCAATGCACTTGGTGGTAATAAAACTATACAAATATAATAATTATTATTAACATCAATCTAGATAATCTAACAATCTACTTTTTAATCTCTATATTCTCTATTCTTAATGATAATACATACTCTTTCCACCAGATTCAAGATGAGCTTTACCTGCAATCGCAATATTCATAACACAATAGTTCTGGTTGAATTTACCTGTTGCTGGCATACCACCCTGCTGTCCTTGAAATAAAAAGTGATTAAGATTCTAAGAATAATCATCAAAATGCATTGTTAGTATTACTATTTAATAGAGTATTGATATTTATATTTATATCTATAATAATTACCATTTCTTATAAATTTGTAGGAAATAATATATAAATATTAAAGTTTTAATGTCTTTTTTGTTTCTTTTCTATATGTTTGTTTTGATTTAAATAGATATATAATATTATATTATATGTGTGTTTTTAATTTGTGATAATTTTAAAATTAATTAAAAAAATTTAAATATAAATGACTGTACAAAATAAAACAAAAAGTTTGAAACTACTAATTTTTTTAAGAATTTAATTAAAAAAAAATTTTTAGATAACTTGTGAAGTTCATTTTAATTATTTTTTTTAAACAGAAGCTTTCCATTCCATTTGATTTTTTTAAAAAATGATGATTAATGATTTAATATTAATGTGAACTTGCTTATTTTTTTTTTTACATTTTTTTTTTATTTTTCATTGTATAAATTAATATTTTTCATTTTAAATAGATAGATAGATATGAATTTCGTTGGTAGAATCAATAAATCATCTGCTGGTCAGTTGATGAATATGGTCGGTAAGAGATCGTTCGGAAGTGTATCGAACTCCTACACACTCCCACCATTGCCCTATGACTTTGGTGCTTTGGAGCCGGTGATCAGTGGTGACATCATGAAGTTGCACTACGAGAAGCATCATCAAGCCTATGTAAATAATTTGAATATCGCACTCGACAAGTACGCTGCATGCGAGGCCGCCAAGAACATCGCTGGTTGCATCGCACTCCAGCCAGCCATCAAGTTCAACGGTGGTGGACACGTCAATCACAGCATCTTCTGGACCAACTTGGCACCAAAGAATGCAAAGGGTGGTGTTGCTCCAACCGGTCCATTGGCCGATGCAATCAACCAACAATATGGGTAAGTAGCATTTGAATACAATTACATTACTTTTTTTTGTTATTTTTTTTTTAACAAACAAATTATAATTATCAATATATATATACAGTTCACTTGAGAAATTCATTGAGAAATTCAATACAAAGACTGCTGCCATTCAAGGTTCTGGTTGGGGATGGTTAGGATATTGCAATGAGTCAAAGAGATTACTCATCCACACTTGTGCCAATCAAGATCCATTGACTGACTTTACTCCATTGTTGGGTATTGACGTTTGGGAGCATGCTTATTATCTCCAAGTATGATTTTTACATATTATTATTAAAGTTAATAACATGATTATAACTAATGATTCCAAAATATTATTTTTTTTTAGTCCAAGAACGCCAGACCAGAATATTTGAAGAACATCTGGCAAGTTGTAAATTGGAGCAACGTTGCTGAAAGATATGATCAAGCCAGAAAGTAAGCAAGCAAACAAACCTACACAGATCCAATTGTAATCTAAATTCTAGCATTATTGCCATTGGCTTTACTTCTTCTTCTTTATTTTCTATTTTTTTTATTTTGTTTTTTTTTACTCTCAAAAAAGGTAGTAAATAAATTTATATAAATTAAAACATATATGTTCTTTATTCATTCTTTCTTGGTTGGATTCTTGGACAGAAAGTTGGCTCATCTTTATAATTTATTATCCATCAGGCAACCTGTCTCCAACACCAATGATTTCAATGATTCAGGTACACATTTAAATAAAAAAGAAAACTTTAAATTTATTGAAATGATGATATCTTGATAATTATTTATTAAAAGATAAGTGAAGTTTTGAAAGTAATATTTTAGTTACAACAGAGTTGTTGACCAACTTGGAGAGCAGCACAGTTGACACCTGGATTCTTGGAGTAGAAGGTTGGCTCATCCCAAGCGTTTCCACACTTGGCAGTCCAGACTTGGTAGCAACCGTCACCAGAAGCAACTGATTTCTTAATTGAACATGGTGCAGTTCCGGTGGTCGATGAACCTGATCCACTACCGCAACAGAGTTGTTGACCGACTTGGAGAGCATTGCAGTTGACACCTGGGTTGTATTGGTTGAATACGTTTTGGTCCCATGTCTTACCACACTTAGCGGTCCAGACTTGATAGCAACCCTCACCGGCGGCAACGGTAGCTGTGTTTCCACAACTGCCTGATCCGGTAGTTGATGATGGACCGGTGGTGGTTGAACCTCCAGTTGAACCACTTACATACTCCCAGGTGATTGGAATGATACCAAGATCGGTGTTGGCCAAAGCAGAGAAAGCTGGTTGTGAGAGATCTATCTTGTTGGCTGGACACGATGGACATTTATCCTTGACTGGAACTGTAATTGTGTTTCCGTTGTAAGTAACCTTGATGAAGACATTGTTACAGAGTGGATCACTGTTTGGATTGGCAGAAGTCCAATGAGCAGCTGGAGCAGCAACCAACATCTGAGTAGCAGCATTGATTGAAGTTCCACATGATCCAGTACCTATATTTACAGTTATCATTAATATAAATTGAGATGTTTAAAATTTTTGTGGTAATTTTTATTTACCGGCATCGTTATAGTATGAAGCTTGGCCAGTGAATACTTGACCAAATGGAATGGCAGTACTAATTGTTAAGTAGGTAACCAATAGGATGATAGATTGTTTAAACATTGTTTATTTATTTGTAGATATATATTCGATAATCGATAATGGAAAATACTATAATCTTGTTTGAGTATTTATAGTTGATTGAACCCATTGATTAAAGTTCTGGAACTCTAGATCCTTTTTTAAGTTAATCATTTGTGGTGGTCAGTAAACTTACAATTTCTTATCAAAATGATACATCGATTTGCCCATTTGCACTTTCAGTCATACTTGATTAAACCAACACTCAGGAGATTTCCAAAATATTGTTGTTTTTCTTATAATATAAAAGTAGGACTTGTAGGCTAGTTTGCTTGATCAAGGTTATGTGAACTTATGTATCCCTTGAACATCAAAAAAAAAACCTGTATAGTCTGCAAATTTTTTTGTTAAATCAAGCTTTTCAATTTAATTTTGATAGATAGATAGATATGTTTGGTTGTTTTAAAACCATGTGTTGTTGTGTGACGATTAGCTACTTCCAATTTCCTCCTCTTCCACCTCTCTTTTGATATGAACATCACATCATCAACTATATTAATCATTTATTTTTACCCATTATTAAATTTCTTATTTATTAATGAAAAATAAAAACAAAAAACCAAACCTTTTCTCTGACGAAGGTCAAATTCCGGAATGAAAATGTCTAGATCGTTATAGATGATACCAAATTTTCCACCCATGTCTTTATTTCAAAGTTATTTTGATCCTATCTTTAACGTCTTGCTGATTTTTTGATAAAAACGGAGATATCTACCCTCCTTTAGGTGTTCAAATAACGAATCTATTTTTTTGTTTTTGGTTTTTGTTTGACCCAATCAATTTGAAATTTTATAGTGCCCCAATAAAATAAAGTCAAAAACTCCACCATCATGTATTATCCAATAAACTTTTCATTTTACAACAATCCAAAAATTGTATCGTCGTTTTTTTGAAAGTTTGTGATCTAATCAAAAGAATCAATTTTTATAATAATCGTGTTTTTTGTTGTTCCTGAACAACCATTCTCTGATCAATAAAAATAACAAACAAATTACAACAATTTATATAGGTTCAATTTTGTTGTGTTGTTGTAAAAAAATTCGTATTTTCTTGTTCGTTTTTATTTTTAATAATAATTTGTACTATTCAAATAATATTATATTATTACTATTGTTGTTATTGTTGGTTGGTTGGTTGTTGTTGTTTATTTATGTTGTTGTTGGTGTATAGTTGAAGTTGTAGTTGTTTATCGATAAAACACAAATCATTGATTTAATAAAATGTGATCATTCTTACTCCACCTAATTCTCCGATGGTGAGTGGGAGATGAGATTTTGGACAGGCAATAAACATAAAGTTCTTTGGTACGTCTAATGTTTCAGAGAGTTTTTCGACGACTTGTGAAGTGAATGGTGAGGCGACGGTAATCAAATCGATACGGATCTTTGGATAGATCTTATCCAAGAATGCAACGTTCTCAGCGATGTTTGATGGTGGGTTTTCAGAGTCGTAGCAGTGTACGATACGAATCCAATTGGTTTGCTCGTTGTCTCTGATGTAGAGAATGGCCTTGTTCAAATAGGCTGGATCTTCCTTCGAGGCAAAGAACACAACCGATTGTGAATTGATCTTGGTGATGGCTTGACCGATCCAATTGGCCAATCTTTCTCTTGGTCTTCTGAATTTCTTCAAAATAATCAATGAGAAATATAAAATCATCTTTAATAATCTAGAGGAGATTGATGGAAATAAAAAGTTTGTTAGATTTCATTGTTGTAAATGGATGGACTAACAATGTTGTTGTTTGTTACTTACTTTGCACGAATAAACATAACCATGATAATCATTGCAGTGACAACGAAATAGATTGCGAAATAGGCAACTGTAGATGGATCACCAATGATATTGGCAACCAAAGCAGTGAGAACAAAACATAGTGAGAAAATGACACCTAACCATGGTGACTTGATTTCTCTCTTCAAACTTGATCTCTGTTATTGTTAGAAAAAGAATTAGTTCACATGTATTTGTTGAAAGGAATTGGATTATTAGTATAATGTTTGCTTGCTTGCTGCTTACCTTGTATTTCAATAACATGTTACCAATTGCGAATAAACTCATTACACCCAAGAATGCAATGGTGTAGACACCGGCCAATACGGTGGTGTCAAAGTCAGATATAATAAATAGCGATGTACAGATACAGAAGAAGAGCACGATGATGAAATGATTGGTCTTTCTCCAGGGATTCTCAATGAGGAGGAACTGTGGCAGACAACGATCGAGTGCCATTCTACGCACGAGACCGATGACTCCGACATAACTGGTGATGACGGAACCAGACAATACGAGACAGGCGTCGATTGAAATCCAAATGGCAAACCATTCACCGAGAGATTTTCTGGCGACAGTAGCGAGCACACCACCGTCTGTGCTACCGGCGATCTCACAGATATGGAGGAAACAAAGATTCAACAAACCGATGAGTGGATTGAAGAAAGTGACGATCGCCCACATGTTACGAAGTGTCTTTGGGAAGACACCTTGTTCTTGCTGCTCGATAAAGTTGGACGATGTCTCGAAACCGGTGACACCAAGCATGGCAGCACCGAATCCAAAGTAGATATTGTAGGCAAAGTTGTGTCCTTGCCATGTGAAAGAGTCTGGCGAGCACGCGTCGGAAGTCGCGTTCACTCCCGGCATCAAGTTGGGTGGTGTTCTTCCGTGAATGTTATCGACGAGCACCGACCAATCGTGTTTGTAAAAGAAGATTCCGTAGCCACCAAACACCAGCACCAACAGCGTGATCATGTGGAATACAAAGATAATGAATGCAACGATTGCCGACTCACCAATACCGATCAGGTTGAGTGCGGCGAAAATGGCGAGCAGCACAACAGTCGACGGTTTGTCACTGATGCTCGGTACCAATCCTTCAAAGTATTTCATAGCGGTGAAAGCACTGACCACTGCAGTGGCGACATAGGAAATCATTGTGAGTGCAGCGGCAAGCGAAGCGATATGCTTGGAGGTGGTGTTGAGCAGCACATTGTAGGCACCACCATTCAGTGGCAGCGCACTTCCTACCTCACCATACACCTTTCTAAACAAATATAAAACAAAACATACAATCAACAGTGAAATCGGTGCGTAAATACCCGCTGCTGCAGTACACAAACTCGATGTATAGAAAATACTTGAAGTGATCTGAAATATTTTGTTGTTGTTGTTGGAAATATATTAGAAATCATATCTTGATTGATTGATTGATTGATTGTAACTAACTTACATCATTACCACAGATTGCAGTTGCCAAGAGTTGTCCGATTTTATGCTCGGATGTTCCGTCGATCTTTTTGACTTTGGTTGGTAGTCCACCGAGATTCAAGTTTTCATCGGTGGTACCAATGAGTGGAGATTCGTCATCACCACCGACTGTGTTATGATTGTTGTTGTTGTTGTTATTGTTGTTGTTGTTGGAATGTGGATCACCATTCAGTGCCATGTTATTATATGATGTTGACAGTACATTGGGTAGATCGTTTCCATCGCTTGACAATCTCAACGATGACTGTTGTCCTTTTCCAGGATACATAAAACTATATGGGTTGCTAACATTTCCACTACCAGAACTATCACCACCGCCACCTAAAAGTGGTTCACTAGATCCATCCTTTGATTTACCCATATTTTAGATTCTCTGTTTTTTAGGGTAGTTTTTTTTTTTTTTGTTTTTTTTACGACAAAAGATGATTCGTTCGTCAAATTATGTGTTTTTTAAAAAAAGTGTTTGGTTACGTTGTGTTGTGCGTATTAATAAATAAGAAAAATAGGAATATAAAAATGAAGCGCTATATATTTAAAAGTAATTAATTATAACTAATTAATTTTTGAGAAAAACAAATAAAAATAATACAATTATTACTATTATTATCTATACAATGATGTTGATACTACTATTATATTGAGCAATTTATTGTTAGTTTTATTTTTATTTTTATTTTTATTTATAAATGTTAAAGCAAAAAAATAAAATAAAAAAATACCTTTTATAATATATATTAACTTTTATGTATTGTTCTAACGATGGAATTCGAATGAAAATCAATATTATCAAGTTTAACTATAAATATATTATCTATTTTATCACTATCGTATCGATCTTATCAATCTTCTTGTCTATCTATATCTATTTTAACTAAATGATATGATGATTAATTGATTGACTGATTGACTGACCGACTCGGTTGTTATGATTTGATTTGATTGTATTTTAAATAAAATAAAATAAATAAAATATAAAGTAGAATAAAATAATATTGTTGTTTTTCCTTCTCCGTTAAGATGGAATGAAAATATTTTCATCAGACTTTTACTAAGGTGCAACAAAAACAAAAATATTTTCAACAAAAAAAAAAAAATAGAAATAAATAAAAATCAAAAAATTCAATGGGAAAAAAAATCTAAAAAAATAATGATCTATCGTTCGTTTCAACTTAACGATGGCGGGAGTAAGAAACCCATCCTTTACCAGGATAAACACTTTTTTATACAATGTTTGCAACACTAAAGCAAAAAAATAATAATAAAAATAAAATAAAAATAAAAACTCATTCCCAAAACATACATAAATAAAATGATAATAATAATTATAAACTTTTTTTATTTTAAAATAAAAAATAAATATAATAAAACATATATAATATATTTAAATAATAATATTATATTATTATGCTGAATACTATCCGACTGTGAATGTGAATAAAATTAAATAGAATCAAACAGCAGTGCATCGAATGACTGACATTGTTATTTATTTCAATTCACGATGTGTTTAATAGTTATGTGTGTTTTTTTTAATTCCCAAGTTTTTGTGGTTCGAAACAACACCAACCTCACATTCACCAAAAATACACACAAAAATCTGAAATTTATTTTTTTTTTGTTATTTTAATTTTCTATCTTTTTTTATTTTTTATTTTAATTTATAATTATTGAATTATATATAGTACTATTATTATTGTTGTTAGTTAGCTTAAAGTTTAATATTGTTTAGATATCAATAACAGAGGAAATAGAAAAAAAATGTCAGAGAAAATGATTGAAGCTAAAAAGAAGGAAGCCGATGCTTTCATGAAGGAAGGTGATAAATTGTAAGGTTATTTTTTACTACTTCTACTACTATTGGATAGTTGATAGATATTTGTTGATTGGTTGATTAATTGAATGATTAATTAATTAATTTATAATTGTTATTATTGTATTTTTTTAGAACAACTAAAACATTGTTGAGATGGAAATGTGATTGGGATAATGCAGCTATTGCCTATGAGAAGGCAGCAAAGAACTATAGAACCTGTAAGATGTACGATTTGGCTAAATATTGTTTCACAAGATTGGCTTTGTGTCAAAAGAGTATCGATGTCTACACTCTGGCTGCCATGAGCATGGAGTCGGCCTCTGCAATGGCAAAGGAAATGAACAACCAACAAGAAGCAATCGAATTATTAGTGGAAGCAAGTAGAATATATAGAATCAATGGTAATTCATCGACAGCCGCCGATACAATGACAAAAGCTGCAATGTAAGAATTGATTTTGCAAGATAAAACAAACAAGTTTTCAAGTAAAGTTGTGTGTTAATAACTGTGTGTATTAATATTTTGTTTAAATAACATTATAAAGGATGATGGAAAAGACAGATGTAAATCAAGCATTAGAGTTATTGATGGATTCCTGTGAGATGTTGGATATCGATGATAAGGAGTATCTGTCGGGTGACAAGTTCAAGCTGACCATTTCAATGTTGTTGAGACACAAAAAGTATTTAGAGGCAGTCGATCAACTGATCAATCAGAATAAGATGTTTGTAAAGATGGACAATACACACGACCTTAACAAATCATGTCTCAGTGCAATCGTTGTCTTACTTGCAATCGATGATGTTGTATCTGCCAAGAGAAGATATGAAGAGTTTTTAAAGTAAATATCTATCAACAAATTAGCAAACATAACAAACAAATATAACTAACAACAACAACAACAACAACAACAACAGTCATTCTAGCTTCCTTCACAGTCAAGAAGGTACGACTGCTCTTGAGTTAATCAATGCATTCGATACAAACAATGCCGAGGCAGTAAAGAATATTAGATCGAGACACCTTTTCAATTTCTTGGATAATCAAGTAAATAATAGTTTTATAATGAATCAATTGATTCATTGTCATTTTTGATTGATGAGGTTATACTAACTTATTCTTCTATCTTCTATTCCATTCTAGGTTGCCAAAATCGCTAAAGCTTTAACTTTAAGTGAAAATGTAACAGGTGGTGGAATTGATACTCCTCAAGGTGGAGAAGAATCTGTACTTTAAAAAACATAATTGGTTTAATACATAAAATAGTTTAGTTTAGTTTTTCATCATAGTTATTATAGTCAAAATTAGCATAATTAATTTAGTTAATGTTTGGTTTTGTTTAGTTTAGTTTTTACAATGTTTAAAAATATCAATCAACAATGTTAAACATTCATTAATTAATCCTGTTTATTCTTCTTTTCCTTATCAAAAATCATTCTCTTCATGTGCAATTTAAAAGTATCACCAACTTTGATAGTATTTATATCTACAGATGCAGGTAGTGTAATCTTTACTTTTCCAGTCTTTCCGAAACCAGATTCCAACAATCCAACAACACCTATTTTAAAATAACATTAAATAATTAATTAGTTTTTCAAATTGAATTAGCTTGACTTGTTTTTTCTTTTGTTATTTTACAACAACAACAACACATCAAACATACCATTATCAAATATAACTTTCATTCCAATAAATTTCGATAGATCCGTATCTTTTCCAAATATATTCTTACCGATCAATGTTGATTCGCTGTGTATTCTCTCGATTTGACCCTCTTTCGCTTTGATTTTGTAGATGTGAAGATGATTGTTGAGCAGTTGTTTATTGGTGACATCGATACCCTCTACCAATTCACCGTGGAACGCTATTCTACAACTGGAGGTATCGAGATTCACATCCAACTTTGATCCAATGATAACGCTATTCAGAGGACACAACACAGGATGTTCAAATGTCAACAATGCATATTGCGAACCGACCGGATATTCTTGTCCAGTTGCATTCAAACTATCTAAATAACTATATTCCAACTTTGAATTGAATTGATTCAATGTCATATTTTCAATCATTGTTTCTGGTTGTTGTTGTTGTTGTTCTGTTTGTTGTTTTTTATTTCCAAAGAATATAGCTGTTGCAATCACTGTTGAATGACCAATAGTAACTAAAATCATAACAAATAGATCAATCAATGTTAGTTAATAGTTAAGCTTATGTTGAGTTAAAATAATAACAGTTACCATGAAATTGTGATTTTGTTTTAACTTCATTCTTGTAGAATCTAACTTTTTCAATGGCTACGATTGCTCCGTTTAGCAGTGGAACTGTTTTAGGTGTACAGAGTAAACCTCTCTCCAAGAGGTTGGCATCTAGCTGCGTGACACAAATACCGACACGATCACCTTGTGATGCCTTCTTCACGGGTTTATGAAACATTTGCATTGATTTCACTTTCTTTTCGATATTCAACTGTGGAATGTGAATGTTTTGATTAATCTCTACTGAACCTCTTAGCACTGTACCCGTCATCACTGAGCCTTGTCCTTTGATTTGGAAACAGTGATCGAATTCAAAGAGGAACGGTCCTTGATCATCTCGTCTAGGTAACTCTACATAGTTGGTCAACTCTTTAATCAGTCTATCTACACCTATGTTATTATCACCGGTGGCAGCAGCAGAAGCAGGAGCAGCATCCGAAGAAGATGATGGATTAGCAGAGATGGCAACATAAGGTGAATCTTTAAAACATGTCTTTTCCAATACTTTCTTTAATTTGTTTGTCATCTATTTTGATTGATTGATTGATTGTCAATAACAAAGATCACTAACTAACTAACTATGAGGTCGAAAGTTTTACAATACATACAACATCAATCTTATTTTGTCTTGATTCAATAGGCAGTTGATCTATTTTGTTTAATACTACAATTGCTTTCTTACATGTTATTTCACCTATTACTATACATTCGGCAGTCTGTGTTTGAATTCCTTTTGTAATATCTATGACCAAAAACATCATATCAATGATTTGTGAACCTAAATGATAAATAACATAGTAATTAGAATATAGTTTGGTTGCGATTATTTATTTATGAATTAATGATAGTTACCACCTATAATCGTTTTAATAAGAGATGCATGTCCTGGACAATCTACAAGAGTATACTGTATTTGATTGTAGTTGTTTGCAATTACATCTGGATGTGATTTCAATCGATCCGGTAGCTCAGAGTGAAATGCAGAGAATCCAAGATCCAGTGTTATTCCTCTTTCTTGACTTGCAGGACTCTTATCCAATGCTGCAGTCGATAAGCTAGTACTCAATGCTTTAGCAAGACTTGTCTTACCACTATCAACATGTCCCATGATACCAATATTGATATTCAATGGTTTTATCACAACATTACTATTATTATTATTATTATTTCCATCATTACTACTACTAATAGTAGTAGTTGTTGTACTACTTGATGTTTCACTACTCATTTTTTTTGGTTAACTAAAAAAGAAATGAAATAATAGTGAAAATGAAAAGTTGTTCACAATCATGCATATTAAAAAAAAATTATTAAAACATTTCCTGATTTGTTGTTGGTCAACATTTTATTATTAATGTTTAAAGGGAAGATTATTATTACATGGAGCTGAGAAATAAGATTGTTTATTATTATTATCATTGATATGGGTTATTGTTATATTAATTGATGAAGACAATGATGATGTTGAATTATTATGGACAATGAAAAGAGTAGATCAAAAGAAAATTAAATCAAAAGGTTTTCAGTTCCAATTAAAAATCAGGAAAAGAATCTTGGTGTTTGCAACAGATCATGTTAGATTTATCTTTAATTAGAGCTAATCTGATTTTTATCATGTGACGATGATGTTTAAAATGATAAAACTACTACAATTGTTTTGGTGAAATGTTTATGATTCGATTCGATTCGATTCGATTTGATTATTTACATAGATTTATATATTGAATGGATGAATGGATTGATGGATGGATTGATTATGAATATGCTTTTTTGTGACGTTTGTATTCGGGTGCAGATGAAGATGATGATGTTGATGAATTATCTTTCTTTGTTCGATCGGGTATGATTGTTATGTTGAGATCTTCATCAGCTTCCCAACCTATTTCCTCTTGTAGATCTTTCTTTTTCTTTGACGATCTCTCTAGAATGGTGTCCAACACCTCTTTGAACATCTTTCTACGGGCAACCCATTCACGTCTTGCCTTATCGTGTTTCGCTTCCAGTTTCTTCTTCTCGCCGGCAGACGCCACAACGTTTTTCTTCTTGTAGGCAGCCAACTTTGTCTCGTGTTGAGCGTTCGACTTCTCGAGTGTATCTATCTTGCTGGCAATCTCAGAGTTGGTCAGCTGGCCAGCCAACTCCTTGGTGCTCGACTGTATCGATTTCAACTGCTGCTCCAACTCGTCGAGTTGCGATTTCAGTGTGGCGTTCGATCGATTCAAATCGTCTATTGACACCTGTTGTACCAGTGGCTGTCCATATTCATCGACCGGGTTATCTTGCTCATTGTCCTGGTCATACCAATAGATGAATGCCTTGCCACTCTCCTTCTGAATGATCCTACCGTTATCCGCCAAGAACTTCAACAGTTTTACAGTCTTTGTTTTTCCCAGCATTGGGAATGCCGATTCTATTTGTTGTGGACTAAAAGGTCTTGCATTCTATAATGTAATATAACAATCAATCATGGTTAGCAAATACACCACTTTTCTTTTTGCATTGATATTACTATTAACAATTATTGTTCCAATTCTTACTTACTTTTTTAAAATAACTAATTACCATTTCCTCATCTTGAAAAAACAAAAAGAAAAAAAAAAAAAGGTTAGACATTAATTCAATTTGAAATGAAATGAAACATCATTGTTACTACTTACCATCATTTCCTTTTGATACTTTAGGTTTTGGTCCCATCTTTCTTTTCAAATAATATATATATATAAATGTTTAAGTGTACAAAGTATGTAATTTAATCAATTTTCAAAAAACTAATTTAAAATTCAAAAAACAGATCTACAAAATTTCAATTTTGGAGAGATTTCATTTTCCTAGTATTCATAAAAATTTGTTTTTGCAAAATTCTAAAAAAAAAAAAAAAAAAAGTGTGTTAATTAATTATATTGATAATAAAAAAAAAAACCGCGTTAACATCGAACTTAAGTTCTCTTTATATGGAATACAAAAATTAAACTTTTTTGGGCAATATTGATATAATTGTGTTATCACCAGTGACTCAAAACATAAAAAAATAAAAATATCAAAACAAAAGAAAAGGTCGTGTTCGACAATTAATTTGGTGTATCGTGTTGTTCCACCTTCTTCCTTCTTCTTTAGTTATTTTTTTTATTATTCCAATCAACCAAAAAACCATTCATATCAAATAATAAAATAATTTTATTATTATTTTTCATTTTTTATTTTATCACCCTTTTTTTTTGCTTATTTTCTTTTTTTTTTTTGCAACAATCCAAATAAATTAAATAAATTACAACAAATAAAACACATTTAATATTAAATTACTATGAGTAAAAAAAAATTTATAAAATAGTGTATTTCAAAAAAAAAAATAGTATATAACTACAACAAATTTATCATTCGATTATTATTTTTGAATAAAATTAATATTTTTAGTAATTTTTAGTATTTATTTAAATAATCAAACAAACGCATTATTTATTTTTGTGTAAATTAAATATAATATTAAAAAATACAAACAAAACAATACAATAGAAAAAACAAAAGAAACAAAAATGGAATCAAATGGTGATATAAGTCAATTGAAAATAGATGATATCAATCTGACGTCTGACAGTCATGATGATGTCGCAGTAGACATGAAAGGTGATCCAAATATAATAATACCAATTGGTAACTGGGCAAATGTTACCCGTGAACCAAATACAGTCTATCGTTCAATATATTCACCAAAGTTGGTCGGTCCTATAGATTCAGACTCACCATTGGACACAAGCAATACCAGTGTAGATTTACTTTCATCTTCAAACAGTTCAACTGCAAATTTAATATCGGCATCTTCCATTGAAGTACCAACAGCAGCGACATCAACAGCAACAACAACAACAACAAAAGAACAATTAGATAATATTAAACAACAACAAGAAAATAATAAAGATAAACAAGATAGTAAACAAGATAAACAGAAACAGCAACAACTACATCATCAACATCAACATGATAAACTATCGGTTAGTTCACCAGCTAATCCAACTCCACATGAAGGAATCAACAAGGAGATCAATAGTGGTGCTGGCTACAAGGTGAACAATAGCAGCTATCATGGATACAGACACAATTTCAATCATTCGGGATACTCGTTGTATACGGTCAATCATAATGGCGAAACGACAACAACTAGACAACCTGCAACCTCCTATGTACCTTATTCACCATCGACACACTCTGCCAACTCCTCATCGTATTCACCTTCACCTTCACCAGCATCAAACATCTCATCCTATTTATATATCGATACAGCTAGATCGACACCATCCGATACCACCACTGCATCGGATTCACTGAGTTCATCGGAAGGCTATATGTATGCCGACTCGAACCATTCTTCATCTTCCTACCTCGCTTACACCACCAACAACACAGAACCAATCGATATAGACGTACCACTCGACCACAACACTCCGAAAGTAAACATATGGAAAGAGGAGGAACGTTGTCAAAGAGAGGACGGACAAGATTACACTTGGAACGAGAAATTCCAATACATAATGGATTTACCAGAGGCAGAAGATAAATATAAATACCTATCTATTGTTGCTAATGGTATGTGTTGTTGTTGTTGTTTATAAAGGGATATATAAACATCTAAGTGAGTTTACTAACTTGCTATTGATTTTGATTTTGTTTAGATTTTGTATATTGCGCCAATACCTTTGGAAAGATTATTATTTCAGAGAGAAACTTACCGGAAGATCAAAAGACTATAAAACCATTGTCGTTGGGTGGTGTTGCCGGTGGACATAAATACAAGTGTCAGGATATCATTTTCAAGTTTGTTGTGGATGTTGAGATTGCACCTGGTCTTTGGATGTATGGTGATACTTCGCGATCCGATGAGAAGGCACAAAAGTCTGCTGGTCACGAGTTGAAAGGTTTGAATCATTTCATGGAGCATTCGAATGGGCTGATTAGATTCCCGCTGATGGCAATCATCGATTATCGTGGCTATCGTTTGTTGGCCATTTCGAACTTACCAATCACCAAGAAGTCGATTGTCTATGGATCGAACGACGGTGGTAAAACCATTCACAACAGTGATCCGATTATTGAAAAGGAGATGGAAAGACTGGCGGCGATTATGAATACGAAAGGACATATGGTTGGACTGACATCGCCCAAGTTGATGTACGGACCGGGCGACCTCGAGATACACAAGGGAACTGACGGTCGTTACTACATGTTGGATTTCGCACGTGCATTCCCACCTGAATATCCTGCACACATCCACGGCAAAGTTGGTCGTGAGATCTTCTACTCCATGTTGCGTCCAGAGCTGATATTGAAATCCGACGTTCCACTGAGTCCAGACGCTTTCTCCGGTTGGCAAACCGGAAAAGACGAAGATGACTCCAACCAAGAAGTGATAGAAATGACATCGAAATATCATAAAACAATTATACCTGAATGTGCATCTTATATTCAAAAAGCATTGGTAAGTAACCTATTATACATTCATCATAACGGTTCCATTCTAATCTTTTCTTTTGTTTGTTGATTTTTCTGTAGGAAGAGGATACAGTGTGCGAAGCATCTGATGACTTTTTCGATAGCATGTTTTTAAAGGATTTAAAGAGATTTGTAAATTGTAATAGCTACAATGCCTATCAACAGAAATCATTCGAGTTGCTGAGAATGGTGAATCTGTTGCATGGTCGTGGAATCAATATCAGATATCTTGGTGCGATTTGTCAGCTTCTCAAGGATCGTACTTTCAAGTCGATTCTCTTTACCGAGCTGGTTGCTCGTGTCTGGAAGAAGCTGATATTGGCCAAACTCAGAGAGAAGATGGACCAGACCAACAGACCGTCCGACGAACCAAAGGTAATCGTTGCAGAGGTATTCGACTTACTCTTGAATGTACAGAGATCGTGTGAGTTTAAAACCTTTTGGAGTTCATCCACACCCGGAAACTTTAAATTCGCAGCACTCAGAGCATTCCCAAATTGTTTAAATAAGAGTGAGAGATGTAACGAGTAAGTTGATTGATGTAACATATGTGAGATTTACTTAAAGTGGTGGTGTATTAATATATTAATATTATTGTATCAATTAATTAATTATAGGTATGACTTGAGAAATTCATTTGATATTAAATTATTGGTTTTCCGTATCATTCAGATGTTGAATATCAAGATTAATACCGATGCTTTCAATCAGTTTACAACCAATCCAAGATATATTATATCGATCTATGATATTGTTGAAGTGGAATCGCGAGTAAAGTATCCAACTGTGATTGACTATGCAGCGGGTTCACAGCTGATTTTCGAAGCAAAGAAGCGCTTGATGCAACCAAAGGTGCCGCCTGCCGAGTTGATTCGTTGGGTGGAAATGGGTCAAGAGAAACTGATGATGGCTCAACGTTCGATGCCAATGTCCACCAAGGTCATCCTACGAAAAGCCGCTTCCTACATCCTAAAGTCGACGCTTTCCAATCAGGTACTGGCGAGTTACCTGCTCATCAGGAAGGGTATCAATATGCTGCGACACTGCTGGTCACACAGCCAGACCGATCCTAGTATTCTTGCATTGTGGGCTATGATGCACCACAAGGTGGCGACCTACTACCTCTTCTTCAGTATCGATGTGGTGCACTTCAAACAGCAGCTATCGATTGCCAAGAGCAAGCTGGAGGCGGCAATGGAACAGGTCGATCTCATGACTGTGGCAACACCCTACTTTAGATTGACCCTTCCGAATTCCGTGCACTCTGAAGACAACTACGGTGAATCCACCAAGAAATGTAAGGTCTATGATTTGATATCGTTTGTCTATCTCTCGCTCCAGTGTCCGTCCGATAGCAAACTCAAGTCATTCCTGCGTCACACCCTCGAGACCATCCAAGAGATCAATCACCTCTACATCCCTCAGCAACTGCGTCATCTGCTCAACGATGAGTTTATGTATGAGTACTTTGACCATCTCCCACACATCAAGAAGTTAGTGTTGAGCGACCAGATATTCACGCCAAAGGTTGCGCTATCCGCTTCTCGTTTCAAGAGTCTGACAACGATCCATCTCACCGACGTAGATGTCCGAGAGAGCAGTGGTGAAGCAGAACTAAACGATTCCAACGATAGTATTCTATTGAATACCAATGAATCCAGTAAGAGTCCATGCGAGAAGGAATCGAACGAGAATATCGACACTCTTGCCAAGTTGATTCACAAGTGGTTCGTTCAGTGCGACGCCCTCACCAGCTTGTTCTTGGGTGGCGTTTGGGTGAATGACTCTACCTTTGAAGATATCATTCCGTTCATGTCGAATCTCAAGGATTTCTCACTGGTCAACACCGGTGTCACCGATAAAACAATTGTCGCAATGGCACCGGTTGTCAACCTCACAAAGATCTCACTCTGCAAGTCACCGGGAATCAGTGACGAAGGCATGGAAACACTGTTCAAGACACAAAACTCGTTGGTCGACGTTTCAATCTCGCTGCGAAACATCACCGATGTATCTTGTCGCGAACTAGCCAAACACGCAGCAACCATCACCAACCTCGATCTCTCCTACTGTCTTCAACTGACATCGGTAGCACTCGCCGAAGTAGTGAAAGCCGCCACCAACCTGCAGTCGCTGCGTCTCACCAAAACCAACGCCGACAACAGTGTCATTGAAGCGCTGGAGAGCAACGGATGTCGCAACTTGGTATCGCTCTCTGTCGAGAGTACAAACCTCACGGGTGAAGCGCCGATCCAGACGCTCTCCATCTTGGAACCACCACTGCGATACCTCCGACTCTCGACTTACGACGGAGACTACTCAGTGCTCTGGACACTCTTTAGAAAACTTCCGGAGCTGACACACATCCGACTCCCGACCAACCTGAACCTCCCCAGCTTTATGGCTACCTATAAGACACTGATCGATCAGAACGATCAGGTAATGGAGATCCCGCTCAAACGCATCACAGAGATCGATTGCTCCGATCTGACCGTCTCAGTGCAATCGCTCGTCAGCTTCCTCGATTTGACACCACTCGTCGAGTCACTCATAATGGATAATCTTACCTTTGTCGACCATATCACCAGCGAGCCGGTGCCACTCGACGACAACCATCTTCAAGTCATCGGAAACTATATTTTGAACCTCAAAGAACTCGGTCTTTCCTCGTTCCCAGTGGATAAACGTGGTATTTCCTGCATGCTTAACCGTTGTACATCAATGCGCAGAATCATCATGAACAACTGTAAATCAATCACACCGGAAATCCTCTTTGAACTTCAAGTGGAATACCCTCACATCAGTTTTGTTTGTGACCATACCAAATATTCTTTACAATCACCAGAAATGTTCAAATATAGATATGATTAAAAAAAAAAAAAAAAACTTTAAACTTTCAAGTTTAAAAATGTAATTAATTTAATTAATCAAAATAAAATATTTATCTATCTTATCTATTCAATTATTTATTCTTTATATTCTTTTCTATCTTTTCTTTTTTTTTAAAATATTTCTCTAAAATTTTAATGAAATTTCTTTAAATAATAAGCAAAAAATAAACATACGAACAAACTGTCATGCTAATTAATGACTGGCGTCGATCTAACATCATAATCAATCATGATCTAACTTCATCCTTCTTTAAAAAAATAAACGTTTGAAATGATACCTGACTCATTCAACAACAAATTATGATACCGTATTCAATTTTTAATTTTTTTTAATTATTGTATTTTTTTTTTTTTTGATTCCAAATCATATCAAACCTTCTCAAAAAAAAAGAACAACACCTAACTCCAAAAAAAAACATACCTTTTTAAAATTAAAAAAATTAGAAAAACACATTTTAGAAGCTCATTCCCCTTCCAGATTTTATATTAGCTTTAAGTTATTTTTGCAAAAGAATTGTTTATTCTTTTTTTTCTCTTTTTTCTTTTTTTAACTATTTTTTGCAAATAGATTCGATACAGTTACTGTTTGTTCTCTAACATAACAAATCACCAATAATAATATTTTCCAAGAAATATTTCCTATTATCCTTACTTTTTTTTTGATGTAATTCTTTTATCTATTACTCAGTGTACAATATATTTTATTATTAATTATTAATTATTTATTATTTATATTATTAATAAACTTAAGTGTTTTTCTAATTTATTAAAAAATTAATTGTAAAAAAATAAATAAAGAGAAATCATAACAAGAAAAAATGTCACAGCAACAACAACAACAACAACCACCAAAAGATAAAAAAGATGATAAATCATTTAGAGAAATTCTTTCATACTGGGCAGTAAAAGAACCTGTAAATAAACAAGCTACATTACCCACACCATCGAAATTGAAACCATCGCGTTCAAACTCCAATATACATCAATTAAGTGTTTCCTCAGATTCTGTTGGAAGTCAACAGTCATTAAAAGCATCACAAGACCAAATAGTACATAATAACCAAGAACAACAACTACAGCAAATTCAGCAACCACAACAAATTGAAGAAAAACAACAATCACAACCACCACAGCAAAATATCGACGAAAACACAGTTACCGAAAATACTAGTAGTAATATTTCACAAGAAAAATTGGTAGATGAAATATTGAAGCAAGTTGAGAGTTTAGAAAATAAAGAAGATGCTGATGTCCAAGAGAATATTAATAAAGAGTCAGAAGCACCACAACCACCAACTATTATACTTTCAGGTTCAACTACACCTGAACCACCACTTTTGAACAACTCCTACACTTTTATTAACGATTCACCACTGGTCAACGATGTACTCTCACGTTCAACATCTTCCACCACCAAACTCACCGCCAGTATGAATGGTATTAATTTGAGAACCAGTAACAACTGGGCGAATATCTCAAGACAACCAACCAACCCATATATGACAATAAATGAAATTCAAAATCAACAACAACAACAACAACAACTTCTTTCAGATTCATCTCATCAAACATTTAGTGATAGTTATGTTATTGTTGGTGATGACTCCAGTGCAGAGAGTACACATGGATCATCGCAATCATCATATTCACTGTACACAGTTGCATCGTCGGCATCTTCCTATACATCGTATAGCAGTGGTGCAGTCTCTGGTGGTTATCTCTACGCCGACTCCAATCACTCGCAATCTTCGTATCTCGCTTATTCCACCGCCACCGAAAAGACACCGAACCACTTTAATCTTCCACACGAACACAACATCCCCAAAGTAGAGGTATTCAGACCACTCACTGAATGTCAAAAGATCTCTGCTCAACATTCATGGAATGACAACTTCCAACATCTTTTAGAGTTAGAAGATTCAGAAATTAAATATGAATATCTATCAAAAAATTCAAACGGTATGAATATTATTATTTTACAAGACAATCAAATTTGCGAATACTAATATTATAATTTTGATTTGATTAGATTTTGTATATTGCGCCAATACATTTGGAAAGATTATTATTTCAGAAGTTAATTTACCGGATGAACAAAAGACTATTAAACCATTGTCGTTGGGTGGTGTTGCCGGTGGATATAAATACAAGTGTCAGGATATCATTTTCAAGTTTGTTGTGGACGTTGAGATTGCACCGGGTCTTTGGATGTATGGTGATACTTCGCGATCCGATGAGAAGGCACAAAAGTCTGCTGGTCACGAGTTGAAAGGTTTAAATTATTTCATGGAGCATTCGAATGGTTTGATCAAGTTCCCGCTGATGGCAATCATTGACTATGGTGGCTATCGTTTGTTGGCCATATCGAACTTACCAATCACCAAGAAGTCGATTGTCTATGGATCGAACGACGGTGGTAAAACCATTCACAACAGTGATCCGGTTATCGAAAAGGAAATGGAGAGATTGGCTGGCATTATGAATATCAAAGGACACATGGTTGGACTCGTGACACCGACACTCATCTACGGACCGGGAGATATCGAAGTTCACAAGGGAACCGATGGCAATTACTATATGATTGATTTCGCTCGTGCATTCCCACCTGAATACCCACAGAGTATTCGCGATCGTATTGGACGTGAGATCTTCTACGCCATGTTGCGTCCAGAGTTTGTGGCGCGTTACGAAGTTCCACTGAGTCCAGACGCTTTCTCCGGTTGGCAAAACGGAAAGGATGAAGATCAATCCAATTTGGAGGTAATGGAAGCCACTGTTAAGCTGCACCAAAAGGTTATTCCAGAGTGTGTAGAACTTCTTCATCGTGCTCTCCAAGACGAGTGTTCCAGTGAAATCGACATGATGCTTCGTAGTCACTTGATGGGACAAGCAACCGACGGTTCCAACCAAACCGATTACACCAAGAAAATATTCATGTTGGTGCGAGTCATCAATTTTATTCATTCCTACGGTATCAATCTCCGTTATCTCGGACTGATCTGTCAGAAGACAACTCACCGTGGTTTGAGAAAGACACTGATGACCGAGATTGTTGCGCGTGTCTGGAAGAAGATTATCAAGGATCGTTTGCGTGAGAAGATGGAAACTTCCAATCGTCCATCGGACGAACCTGCCCGTGTGCTCTCAGAGGTATTTGAGATTCTACAAAACAAAGTGATGAAGTCAAACTACAAGGATTTCTGGTCGCTAAACACCACCGGAACCTTTAAGTATGCTGCGATTCGTGCATTCCCCCACTGTTTCTCAGAGAGTGAATTTGCACCAACCTACGACTTGCGTCACTCGCTCGACAACAAACTTTTGGTAATCAGAATCATCCAGATGATGAATGTTCGTCTCAACCCAGAGGCATACCGTCAGTTCCTCGCCAACCCGAAATACGTCATTTCCAACCACGACATCGAGGATGTCGAGCCAATCGTCAAGTATCCAACGGTTGTCGATTTTGCAGCCGGTTCGCATTTGATCTATCAGGCCGAGAGCAAGATGCAATCGTCGCATTCCTCGGTGCTCGAAGTGTTCCGTTGGATGGAGATGGCTCAAAAGAAGATGCAATCGGCACTACGCTCCATGCCACTCTCTGCCAAGGTGACACTGCGTCAGGCATCCATTTTCATACTGAAATCGAACCTCACCAACAGCATCAACGAATCGATTGCTCAGCTGCAAATCGCCACCAACCTCCTACGCCAAGCATCGAAATGTCCGATCAACCAAAACAATCCAGACATTCTCGCGCTCATCGGTGTCACCCTCCTCAAGATCGCATCGCACTACCTGTTCCACAACAACGATTTCGTCAAATTCAAAAAGTATCTCGACGAAGCACAACCTAAACTCGAGCGATCACTGGAAATCAACAGTGATTCACTTGGTAATTACATTCGCCAGTTCATTCCATTCAACCAGATCACCACCACTCACGGAATGGACTACGATGAGATCTCCAGTACTATTACCAGCACCAATTCCTCGCTTCTCTATCAGCTGATCACAATTATCTATCTCTTGAAATTCTCACCGCAAGACTCACGCTTGAAGACCTACCTCCCGTTGTCCATCGGTGATATCAAGAGCCTCTCACAACTCGAAATACCAATTGGTCTGAGAAAGGTTATCGATGATTCAATCATTGCAGAACTCTTGGAGAACCTTCCAAATCTGTTCCACCTCGAAGTCTCCAGTATGTCATTGACACCGAAGCTCTCACACATCATTGCCAATCTCAAGTATCTCAAGTCGATCGCTCTGTTCGACAGCAACATAAGCTCACACAACGCCATCGAGAATGACATTACCAACCTCAACCAATTCCTCTCTGCAATCCTCAGAGGTGCTCCAATGTTGACATCACTCACCATTGCCAATCGTTCGTTTGAAGATGCCGACTTTGCCGATATAGGACCGCTCATGGAGAATCTCACCAGCTTGACATTGTCACGTGGATACATCACCAACAAGACTTTGATAGCAATGGCGCCATACCTCACCAATCTAAACTCACTCGAACTCAGAGTGTCTGGACAAATCACAAACGAAGGAACCGTTCCTCTCATTCAGGCCTGTAAGAATCTCACCAAGTTGGCTATCTCCATCCGTCAGATCTCCGATGATACCGGTAACGCCATTGCTGCCAACGCCGAGAAGCTAGAGTATCTATCACTGAGCGGATCGTCTGGAATCAGTGCCGGTGTCTTGGCCGAGATTGTCAAGAATGCACCTGCCATCAGAGTATTGGACATCTCTGCTACCAATGCCAACTATACTGTTTTCGAAGCTTTGGAATCACACGGCGCCAAGAACCTGACTAAACTCTATTTGGAGCAGACCAATGTATCGACCGACGAGTTCAATCCCTTGCAATCGTTGACAATGATTGAACCATCCAATCTCAGAGTTCTCCATCTCTCCAGGTACATCGGAGAGTACTGTATCTTCTGGAAGCTTATGGACAAACTTCCAAAGCTCGAGCGTCTACGTCTGCCACAACACACCCACTTGCCAACTCTAATGAATGCCTACAAGGATCATGTTGAGAACAACTTTGAACTACAGGAAATACCTCTCTCAGAGATCACTCACATCGATATGCTAATGGCAACAATCTCTGTCGGTTCACTCACACAGCTCTTGGAGATGTGTCCACTACTCGAGTCACTCTCATTGTCAGCCGTCACCTTTGTCACCGAAGAATCGATTGTCATTCAAATGAACGACTCTATTCTTGCGGCGATCGGTCCAATGATGTCCAACCTCAAAGAGTTGAATCTTTCTAACCTCCCAATCGAGAAGAGAATGATTCCGTGTCTGGTATCACGTTGTATCCAACTAAGAAAAGTATATCTCTACGGATGCAAACCACTCAACGCTCAAGCAATCTACGACATTGGAAGAGAATTCCCACACATTAAATTCTTAGGATAAGCAATCATAGGTTCTGTTCTGTCTAATTCCGCTTTAGAAAAAAAACAACTATATAGCACATAAATAAAAATCAAACTACTTTTCAAAAAACCACCTGTGTTGGTTGAAAGAATTTAAAAAAAAAAAAAACGACAAAGACAACGACTAGTCGTCTTACTCTTTATATTAATTAAATGAAAATAGTTATGATCATTCTATGGAATTCTGATCAGTCATTTTTATGCTTCAGAGTTGTTCTATCACACATAATTGATTCTATTGGGTTCGCATATTCTTGCAATTTTAGTAAAAAAAGTTTTCAAACAAAATATCAATTTTTAGTTTTTATAAAAAAATCGATTTTATCTTGGATCTTTATGATGTCACGGAACATCAAGGAATATCATCTTAACTTCCTTTAGAATTTGATTATTTTAAGAACCAAAAATTGTAAAGATTTTTTACAAAAAAAAAGCAAAAGCTTTTGATTTTTCTGATAACATTTTCGCACAATATGAGTCAAAAAAAAATTGAGAAAAAACTATCATTGATTATTATGTAGGGCTTTTAGGTGCCACAAGCAAATCGGATTTTACAAAAATTAATAACAATAATTATCATACCTATTGTTAAATGGTTATTTTTTGACTATCAACCTTCACCATTAGTCAGTTCAAATGATTAATCAAATCAATCATACCAAATAACAACCAACAACAAAAATAATAATAATAATAATATTTTAAACATATATCGCTACACTTATCATGAATAACACATTTTTTGTAGAACCAATAATAATAGCAGTTGTATCTAATAATAATAATAATATCAATAATTGTTGTAGTCACGAATAAATAAATATCGAAACATAATCATTACTCACGCCCAACACACAATCCAAAGGTGTCACACAAACTTCAAAACAAAAAAAAAAATTGTGCAGAGTGTCACATCTTAGAAACCATCAACGACATCCTTTGCTAAAAGTAAAAATAATTTGTAAAAACAAATAGAAAGTCAAAAGAAAACTTTTTTTTATCACACAAAATCCCAATTCTTTGCTCTTTTTTTTTTACCTAAAGAAAAAAAAAAAGAGTTAACATAATTTTTATCTCATCGATTATATTTATTAATCATATTGTTAGTAAGTTCATTGTCGAAGAATAATTTTAGATTTTAGTGTTTTGTTTATACTGAATGATCATCAAATTAGTAGTTAGTATGTTAGTTAGAAGGAAGGAGGTGAAGTTTTGATTGCTTTTTTTTATTTTCACCAATTTTATTTTTAATAATAAAAAATTTTGGTTTTGTTTTATTATTTTCATTGGAATCCTGATTACTATTTACTATTTAAGAAATATGCACATTTGATTAATTAATATTTATTTATTTTTTATATATTTATTTATTTAAAAATTCAAGTTTATTTATTTATAAAATAAAATAAAGTTTTATTTTATTTGGGTAGACCAACACAACAACAACACGACAAATAATGTCTTTCCTGTCACGTTGGTACCAATCCAAGAAAAATTATGATATATCTATGTATGCCGGTAGACGCCGATACCTCTTGGTGGTTCTGGCTGAAATTCAAATAGTTGTTGTTTGTGGAATTGTTTTTGGATGGTCGTCACTCCAAGAGGTTTTAATTAATCAAAATTACTTTAATAATCTTTGTCCGACAGATCATCCAGTAAGTTGATTATTCAAAATTTTGGTTCTTTCATTTTTAATTAGAAAATATTATTAACAATTTTTTTTCTTTTTCTCAAAACAGAAATGCAATCAACAAAGTTTAAGATTAAATTTAGTATATACCTTTGGTGCTTTTACTGCCACTGGATCAGCATTTTTTAGCGGGGCACTTTTTGACAGATATGGACCTGTAGTAACAAATTTAACATCATTAGTTATAATGATATGTGGATGCGTACTCTGGTATTTTGCATCCTGGATGAGTATGTTAGCATTGCATTTAAAATATTATCAATCAAAATTATTTCAAATTATTAATAATTGATTAAAAAATAGATGAAAATATATATATAGTTGCTTTTTCTTTAATGGGAGTTGGTGGTCCGGCTTGCCAAGTTAGTTTAATGCATATAAAGTAAGTATTTTGTTTTTTATAAATATAAAAATATAAAAGCTAATTTTAATAATAATTTAATTTATTTTATATTATTGTTAGTAATTTATTCCCAACTTACTATTCGTCGATATCTACATCATTTTCAGGAATGTATGTAGCTTCCTCTTTTGTTTTTAAAATATTTCAAATTATCGCCACAAACTATGGTGTCCAAGTTTCAGAGTTGTTTTTGTACTATATGGGACTGGTCATTATCATCATTCTACCTACTATTTTTTTGATGCACCACAAAGCATACCTGCCTATTGAAGAGTACAAAGCAAAGGTAAATCGAACCATTATTGAGGATGAAGAGACTACAGATGAAGCCGCTGGCCTGTTAAATGACGATGAGAAGACTTCGATGGCCGTTAATCATGACCCCTATTTAGTTATGAAACACCGACCATTCATAAAGCAACTGTCTTCTTGGCATTTCTATATCCTTGTAATATTTATGAGTTTTAACTCATTACACAATGTTTACTACGTCGGAATTGTTGATGATATTTTTAAAGATAGTAAGTAACAGTTATAATAATTAAAACTTTTAAAGATACTAATTATTATTATTACTATTATTTTTAGAACCACTCTATGTAAATGCTTTTAATTATATTTGGAATGGTGGTGTATTATTTGTACCTATTTGTGGCTTTCTAATGATGAAATTCTCACTACCAAACAACGGATTCATTGTAAATACCATTGGAATCCTATTTGGTATATGCTCTTGTATTCCAGTGCCAGAGTTACAATTTGCCAGTTTTGTATTCCTTTCATTCCAAAATGTTTATATCTGGGGATTCAAATTTGTTTATTTAGGAGAAGTGTAAATATCAAATATTATTATTTCTAATTCTTTTATTTACTTATATATTAATATAATTATTAAATATTATTATTTAGATTTAGTTATGATAACTTTGGTAAACTATTAGGAATAGGTGCTATTTTAGTTGCTATTATTGGTATACTGGAATATCTGCTAGTGTATTTAACTCTAAATGTGCTGTCATTTTTCTATATCAATTTAATACTTACTATAATAAGAACAACAATGTATATACTGCCAATCATGATGACAAGATATGTCAGAAAACACCAAATGAAAGGTCATGCGCAATATCAAACTTTAAATATTCATCCTTCTGATCATATTACTTTTTCAGCCTCCTCCTCTACACAATAAAATTTATAATATTATTGTTTTATTATATTGTTTATTTTTATTTGATTGAGTGAGTTGTTTTTTGAAATTGCATGAATTCATTGACAAACTTTCTTGCTTGAAATTTGGCAACTGGTGATTGACTGATTAAAATATTTTTGCAACTTGAAATTGAAATTGAATTTGAACTAATTTGCAACAGGTTGGAAAAGAATCAAAGAAAACTGTTTACTAATGCAATATTATTTGCAAAATTAATTAAAAATAAATTCTATTAATATGAGACCTAGATCTGTTTTTGGGAAAAATAATCATCATCATTATTATTATTATTTTACCCATTCCTAACAATTCCAAAAATCATAGTATTAATTGAAGAAAAATTGATGGTATCTACAAAAAGCATAACAATCTAAAAATAATTGAATGATTATTGAGAATTGATTAAAAGATATTAAAATTTTGGAAGGTATGGAAGTGAGTTTTTGGTTGAAAAGAACAGACTCTGTGGTAATATCATTTTTGCAAAAGTAAAAGAACAATTCTTTTTGGGATCACACAAAAAAAAAGGGGGTGGGTGGTTTTGCAAAAATCAAAAAAATTTAATATGCAAAACGTTTTATTCCATTCACAAATTGACACCCCACTCACCACTATCCAAATATATTATAAATCTATCTATCGATTTTAAAGATAATAACTCCAACTTATAAGAATAAGACAAGTAATAATACAAATCAATTGTGACACTAAAACAAAAGATAGGATATATTTAATTGTTTTTATTATTATTAAATACATATATATATATATATATCTCTTGTTATAAACATTTACATATTTGCATATTCTGCAGAATATCTAGCGAAAATAAGATAATTATAATATTTCTCTCTTTGATAGAAGAGAAGATAAGGAAAACAGGGTAGAGTCGTAATAATATTTCTAAAAAGCAACTATAGTACAATGGTATCATTACTGCGGTCTATATGGAAAGACTATGATATATCGATATATTCAGGGCGGCGACGTTATTGGTTACTACTAATTGCAGAGGTTCAGATGTTTCTGATATCTGGTATAGTGTTTGGTTGGTCTCCTTTGGAACAGGAAATGGTTAAACAAGGCGCATTTAAATATCTATGTGAACCTGGTGAATCTGTAAGACAATATTGACTGATCGACTGTTCGATCATTGAAAATCAAATATTAATATCATATCATATTTAAATAGGAATGTAAAAGTCAAGAATTAAGATTGAATTTAGTATATACTTTAGGTGCATTCACTGCTACTGGATCTGCAGTTGGCAGTGGTGCTATATTTGACAAGTATGGACCGGTATGGACAAGTGCACTTTCGTTAGTCATTATGATTCTCGGTTGTATCTGTTGGTATATCACAGATTTAGTAAATGAAAACTTGTATATATTGTCTTTTGCATTGTTGGGTATTGGTGGACCTGCTTGTCAAGTCAGTCTTATTCATATTTGGTAAATGTTGAACAAAATAACAAACAAATAACTTAATCATCATCTTCATCATCATCACATTATCATTGAAATACTTATAATTTATTGTTACTCTATACTAGTAACTTATTTCCAGCGTATGCCTCAACTATATCGACTTCTTTCTCTGGAGTGTTTGTAGGATCATCGTTTGTTTTCAAAGTATTCAGTATCATTGCACAAAAGTATGGTGTGCCGATCAAGATTTTGTTTTTATATTATATAGCGGTGTTGGTTGTGATGTTTATTCCTTCGATTCTGCTGATGCACACGAAAGCGTATCTGCCGCTGCACGAATTCAAAGAGAATCTTCTGGAGAGCTCAGAGGAGTCGAAGGAACCAAACAAGAAGAGTACCGACATCTATTCGCATCAGGACATCGAGAAGGTGCCGATTATCAACTCACCACCGATTGTCATTGAGAGTATCGATAGCAAGCAGGTGGAGGATCCCTATCAAACGATCAAGAAGAAGACGCTGATGGGTCAGCTCGTGAGTTGGCCTTTCGTTTGCATCGTTCTCTACATGAGTATCAACTCGTTGCACATGGTCTACTACATCGGTATCGTCAACACACTCTTTGAAGACAACCCAGCGTACATTGACATCTTCAACTACTCTTGGAACTGTGGAGTTGTTCTTGTGCCACTGGTGAGTGTCCTCATGCAAAAGTTCAATCTCTCATTCAACGCAATGTTTGTCAATCTTGCTGGAATCATTTTCGGTATACTCTCGAGCATACCTGTGTTGGAGGTTCAATTTGCAACCTTCTTTTTCATATCGCTTCAGAATGTTTATATCTGGGGATTCTTTTTTATTTATTTATCTGAAGTGTAAGTAGATATTTAATAATAATAATCGATTATCTGAAGATCACATCATCATCATTTTCATACCAAAAAATCAATTTAACTAACATAAAATTTTATTCTAAATATCTAAACTAACTATCTATTTATTTTTATCTAAATAATTATAATTATAATCTTGGAATGAATCTCTCGTCGCTTCTACTTTAATTCATAACTTATTATAATAATCTAACAACAACAACAACACTCACCAATCAATCTGATGATCACATATTTGTCCAAATTTGTTAATTTTCAAATTTGAATTTTCATTCCCTTGATTTTCGGAATCCGATGTGTGATGTTGGTGTGGTGATCTGTTTTTTACTTTATTTTATTTTTTTTTCACCACTTGCAGTTTTAGTTATGCAAATTATGGTAAACTAATGGGTATCAGCTCTGTAATAACTGCAGTTGTCGGTTTATTAGAGGTATGTACAAAAACGAAGATTTGTTAGTAAAATATCACTTTTTGGTTCCAGAGTACTCTGGGTTGTATTTGTTTTTTCTTTTTTGTTGATATCTATCCATCACGATTCCAATCTTGTATGGATTGTTGTCACATTAATGATGCGGCAGTAACTACAACCCATCTCTACAACTTTAATGTCTTTTACCATACAAACTTTCTTCTAAATCATTAAATTCATATATTAACGATCAAATGATTTGCTATGTCATCAACAAAACATTACTTTTTTTGACCATCTATTTTTAGTACCTCCTGACATATCTGACCTTGAATGTTTTCAAGTATTTCTGGATCAACATTGTTTTGACCGTATTAAAGTTGTTGCTATTCTACCTTCCCTTTAGAATGTGGATTCAAACCCGGAGAGTCTCCAAAAACGGAATAAGTGCATCGACCAACTTCTCTCATAACTATAAGCCTGTTGCAAACCAATAGACAGATTCTGATTATCATTGCTATCAACAATTTTTTTCCTTTGCATCGCACCAACTAAAACAAAAAAACCAACTAATTAACGTGTTGATCCAGATCCGATCTCACTAAAAAAACAAAAATTGGGTGTTTTTTATAAATTTTTTTGCGAGCAACAATGCAATCACCAAACTCTTTAGTCATTTTGTTTATTCTGTGGGTTTTGAGTTTATTAATAATAAAGTTGTTGTTTTTTTTTAATTAGTTTTTTGAGTAATGTGTGACAAGAATATTTGCGGAAGACCATTCCCAGAAACAGTCGTTGCTGGTGTTGGTTGAAATTTATTTTGCAATTTATTTAGAGACAGTGCCTATTTAAAAAAAAAGTTAGTTTTTTTTTTTTTTTTTTAGCTTTCTACTCAAAAATTAACCGTTGTGGTAAATTTACTGCCTGATGAATTTTTGCAGGTAAAAATTAAAAAATTTGCAAAATATCCCCGGTTTTTGAAATGAAATTTTGACAACATTTATTCTGTTACCCCCTCCAATCCTATAAATTTGGTTTGGGTATGAACAATTTTTTCGACCCAAACTAAAGGATCATTTTTATGTGGTGGCTAAGCCCATCGCCTACACCACATTTCAGATTCAAACAAACAAACACATATTTTTGATAGATGGATATTTATAAAAACCATTTTACTCAAATCACAATTTGATTAGGCTCAGGTACTTAAAATTAATTTTTAGAAAATTAAAAAAAAACAGATTAAATAATTTTAAAACACAAAATCAACAATAACAATAAATTTTTAATTAATAAAAATAAATTTGTAATCAGTTAATAGTGATCTTGTCTCGGACAACCAATAACATTTATTGTAATCATCAAAAAAAATATAAATATAAAATAACAAAACTTTTTTTTGTACAAAAAATTTTCAAAACTTATTTATTTTTAGAATTTTTAATATATATTAAAATATTTTTCTAAGATTTAGAGAATAATAATATTAATATAGAGTAACAACATATCAATCATTGTAAATAAATAAAATCTAAAGTAAAATAGAATCAGATAGTTTTCAAGAATGAAAATTCTTCTGTTGTATTGTTGTTTGTCTCTGTTTTATATTTATTGTTGGGCGCAAACTGATGGAGCAGTAGATTTTGGTGCCCGTTGTGAACCTTACAATGGAGATCCCGTTTGTAAAGGTGCTTTATTAAATGATGGTAAGTCAATTCTTAAATAAATAATAATTGATCATGTGATGTGATGTGATCACACATTCCATTCAACCTCATATTATATCGATGAAAAAAAAAAAACAAAAAAAACACATCATCAGGTTTCCAAATATTTTTTGATTTGGGATTTTCAAACACGAACCTAAGTTAATATCTAATTTTAATAATATTCTCTTTGTTATTTTTATTTTTATTTTTATTTTTAGGTGTTTCTGTTTATATTGCAAGTGGATGGACACAACAAACTATTTTAACAGAATTAAAGAGTACCCAGTTCAATCTGGGTTTGGTTTGTTCAAACACCACAAAAGAGGTTGCAAAACTTTCGCAAGCATTCACTTGCAACCAAGCATTTAGACCATGTGTAGAAATGACATTGGATGGTTCAGTCAACGGACAGACAACAGTTGCAATCTTCCAAAGTCAGTGCTACGGAAACTGTATGGAACTTCAAACATCTTGTCAAATTGCTGCGTTTTTGGATTGTAAAGAGCTGTATGCCAAGTCAACACTTCAATATTATCCTCCAGTTTCAAATACTTTTCCACTCTCATGGTATGGTGGTGTAAATACAACAGAGACTTGTTTGGATACATCAAAGATTGATAATAATGGAACTGTAGTTCCAACTAAACGTATGTGTTTTAATTACAATTTAAAGTGTCAATATTAATATTTATATTGTTGATATTTATTTTTTAGAATGTCCCGGAGATTTAATTTATAGAAATTCCACTGGTGAACAAAGAAAGATTGATGAACAGAATGGATATGTATTTGCAGGAGATGATCTAAAATGTGTTTTCCCATGTCCAGCTCCATTGTTTACCGATCGTCAATGGAAGATGTTTTTCGATACCATCACAGTAACATCGATCATATCTTTTATATGTACATCTACAATTATTTTCACATATTTGGTTTTAAATAGAAAATATGATAGGTAATAATAATAACTATATACTCAACTAATTATTAAGTTTCATAAAATAACTAACTCGATAACTGTATGAAACTATTTATAGACATGCAATTTGTATTATTTTTATTTCATTTGGATTGTGGACTATCAATTTAACAGATATGATGATGATAGGAGGTGGTCGATATAATATAAATTGTCCAGAACCTGGTCGTGGAGGTGTTCAGTCCGATGTTATGTGTGCAGTCACTGGTTCCATTTTCCAATTTGGTTGTGTCACTGCTATTCTGTGGTGGTCTACAATGGCATTCGATCTTTGGTTGGTTTTGAAGAGAGTCAGAACTCAAAGATCCTACGAAAAGTACTATATGGTTATTCTTACATTAATTGCGATTTTCCTCACCGTATTACCAGCAGGACAAAAGAAATATTCTTCTACATTTGGTGGATTAGGGTAAGTAATTGATATCATAATTAGTTTCATTTAAAGATAAATCAATCTATTAACTTTTAAAATATATATTTAATTTATCTATAGTTGTTGGATAGGAGAGAATAATTATTTGAATGGTGTATTTTGGTTCCCATTAACTTTTTGTTTATTGTGCGGAATTGTATTTATTATTTTAATTCTACGTGAAGTTATAAATGTAAGTTTATTATTTTAAAGATGGAAATAGAATTCCAAAAAAAAAAAACAAATATTAATTATTATAACTATAAAACAGGTTGTAAATAGAGTAGATACTGGAAAGAAGAAATCAATTAGAATCATTAAATATAATTTGAAACCATTTTTGATCATTTTATTCTTGTTTATAGAGTTTATCTATCTTTTTGGATATCATTTCTATTTGCAGGAAGCTCAAGACAGTATCGAAGATCAAATGGGTAACTGGGTGAGGTGTTTGATCAGAAAGGAAGCCGATCCACTCGTGGAATGCTCCCTGAATCCAATTCCATTCGGAGGACAGTTCTTCTTTTACTTTTTCGTGCGTTTCCTGGGCATAGAGCTGCTGATTTTCTACGGTATCAATCGTCGTGCCAAGAAGATCTGGATGACATCGATTTTCTTCCACAACCGTTTCTATTCGATCACCTTCTCACAGAGTAAAACAAGCATGAACTCCTCGACTCACACCAGCCAAAACGTTGGAAGTATAAAGATGAACAAGGGATCACGTGCTACATTCGACGAGGGTAGCATCGAAGTATCCGATGTAAATCCAAACAACGAAGACGACTCTACATTCAACAAACCACGATCGGAAACAGACGAACCAGCTCCAGCAACAACAGCTGGAGTTCAAGATTCTTACAACAATAATAACAACAACAACAACAACAGCGCTGTACAAGATATAGAAGAAGGTGGTGGAAATTACGAAAGCGAAGATAGCTCTAGCGAATATGAAGATAATTGAAAAAAAACCTAAAGATATCTTTTTAAAAATGTTATAATAATAATAATAGTAATATAAAATCATATATAAAATCCAAAATAATAAATAATTAAAAAAAATACAAAACTTATTTATTCAAGAAAATTATCAAAAAACCTTTTTATTTATTGATTTATTTATATTGTTTGTTTAGACAACTTGTAATGGAATATGTGGTTCCTCTGGTAATATTATATTGATTTTATCATTGGCTTTAACAATTCCGCCGTTTAGGACGATTCCCATTATACCTGCTTTACGCTGAGTAACCCTACCGTCGGCGTCGGTGTCCCTGCAAGCCGACATCAAAGTATTCTCAAGTCCGTTCAGCTGTTGACATGGGTTTCTCAATCCAGTGATTTCAATGAGTGCACCACGATCACCCAACTCCAACTTGGTTCCTTTTGGCAACGAGAGGATATCGATGTCTCTGGTGGTGATGTTCTCACCCATCTCTCCGGGTTCCACACCTTTTGTGAATCCCTTTGCTTTCAACTCCTGATGTAGTTCTGTGTGAATCAAGTGAATCTGTCTGAGATTTGGTTGATCTGGATTTGCTTTGACTCTACTTAGATGTTGTACCTAAAATAATTAAAGTAATTACCAAATTCCACACAAAACAAAAAGGTTAGTTTTCAAAACTAAAGTTTTGCTCACATGGGCTCTTCTTCTTTTTCTTTCTTTCGTTAGTTATTTTTATCGTACTTTCAACCAAGACCTGTGTGAGCATTAACTCATCATTTACTATTAGAATTACTTTACTTTATCACCGAAATGGGCATCTCCTTCAATTCCCAAACCAGTTACCAACTTAATTTCGTCTACAACTGGTTTAGACATACTGTGAGTCGGACTTAAACAGACAGCTACAATCGACATTTTTATTTTATCTGTTATTTAGTTATAACTTTAAAATAGAATAAAGGAAAATAAAAAAAAGAAAAAGAAAAAGAATCAAAAATGGGTGAAATTTGTTTGTCTTTTACAATTTTTATTATTAATTAATTGTTGTCTGATTTTGTAAGGTGGGAAATGAAGAGAGGGATCTTTGCACAAACAACAAAAAGTTTTTTTTGTAAAAAGTATTTTTAAAAAACAAAAAATGATCAACAAAAAAAAAAAAAAAAAGAGCTAAAAAAAGAATAATGAAATGATTATAACTATTTAGTAAAGAGATATATATTTGTTGGTTGGTTAGGTTAGTCAACCCAAATTTAGTGTTATGTTTGTTTTTTTCACCAACAACAAAAAAAAATATGTTCACACTGGATGAATGAAATTTTTGTTACATATTATTAATTATAATTTTGTTAGTTTGTTTATTTTTTGATTTAATAATTAAGATATGAAAGATCATAAATCAAAGTCATCAAAGAGTAAATCTTTTCAAGCCAATAAAGATACCTATTGTGATTTCAACTCTGCACGTAATAAATGGGTGATGAGACCACCAGTTCATCCGATTCCACCATTCAACCAAAGAGTACATCCTCTTGCTATTCTGATTGGTTGGATCAATGCACAGCCTCAAGCACTCGAGAAATACACAACACTCTATAATAATGCTGGTTTCTTTACTATATCAATTATACCTCCTATATTAGGACAGTAAGTAAATCATTTAACTGATGATGATTTACTAAAAAGATAATTAATATAAAAACAACATGTTGTTTTAGTCCGTACCCAAGATATTTTAGTGATTTAGCAAGAGATTTTCTTGATTACCTCTTGGTGGAGATGAATCAACAACCTAGATCAATTATCATTCAGGTATTCTCTGGTAATATTGTATTTCTTTCACATATTCAATATGTTTTAAAGGATAAAGTAAATAATAGAAATCATTAAATCTTTGGAATAATATTTAATTAATAAGCATACTACCATATATATAGAAATATTCAAGTTTATTACCATTGATAAAAGGAGAGATATTAGATAGTTCACCTTCAGAGTTAACAGGTAATTTTTTATTATTAAATATTATAAATAGCTAATGTTTAAAGTAATAATTAATATCTTTTTATTTGTTAGTTCATGGTGGAAAGAAATCAATGGCAGCACCATTTCCAGATACATGGTTCTACCGAAAATTGATCTCAACAGCTTTTACTTTCCTAACTTTTTTAGTTGATATATCAGAGATAAACAAAGATTTTTGGTTTAGATTTAAAGTTTCCGCTGTAAGTATTAATAAAATTAAAATAATAATAATAATAATAATAATCCAAAATTAGTACTAATTAATAAACATGTTTTCAAAATCATTTTAGATAAAAGATAAACCAAAACTTTATATTTACTCTTTAGATGACCCTGTTACACCTTATCTTCACGTTAAGAAGGCAATGAATCTGAATAGACACGATAGTTCAACGGTGATAGGAGTAGAGTTTGAAAAGTCGGCTCATGTCATGCATTTGAAGTACCATCCAAGAGAATATCTGGAAAAGCTCTATCAATTTTGGGATCAGTGTATTGAGGCTGACAATAACGCCAATATCGGAACACTTTCAAAAACAACAGATTTTCAATATCTATTGAAATCGATGATGATTTCAAAATATTAACCAACAAGCTATTATCAATTCCAAAGAATAATTAATGATGAGTTATTCTCATTATTACCAACAATTTCCAAGAAAAAAAACGCTTTGACAAAAACAACACTTTTTTTTTTTTAAAACCAACATGATAAACAATTTATGTTTCGGGAATAATATAATCTTAAGATTTATATAATAAATAATAATTTAATATAATATAATAAAATATAAAAATGATAACAAGATCTAAATCATTATTAAATAATAAAGTTTTAAAAAGTTCAAGTAAAGTTGTTGTAGCTTCAGCAAATAAGAATGTTGAAGATGGTGAAAATGATAAAGAAAATCAATGTTATGCAACACAAATGAGAAATTATTTTATAAAGGAAGCATCGAAATTAAAGGAAACACCGATAAACTCTGTTGACATGAAGCGATATATGAGACATAAATTCGAATTCATCGGTCTGAAGCAACCTGCCAGGAAAACGATACTAAAGAATTTCCTCAGTGATCACGGACGTCCTAAGGAAGAGGATCTGCTCAGTATTTACAAGTTACCGGAGCGTGAATTCACTTATTGTGCAATAGAGTTGGCCGAGCCCGACGCAAAGAAGAAAGAGAAAGCGCCACCCAGCAGGCTGGCAATGTATCTAGAATTTGGATTGCATCAACCCTGGTGGGATACAATCGATATTATCTCAACAAAGTTGGTTGGTCAACACTTTCAGCTGTATCCTGACTTGATCGGTGTGAGTATTGATAAATGGTTGGCACAGGAATCGATTTGGATCAAGCGAATCGCCATACTCTTTCAACTAAAGTATAAGAAGCAAACCGATACCGAGCTTCTCTTCAAGTGTATCGATAGTACCTATTTGAAACATGCCGACGAATTCTTTATACAGAAAGCAATCGGGTGGTCACTCAGAGAGTATGCCAAGACTGACAAGAAAACCGTAAAGAATTTCATTGAAAACCGACCAAATCTATCAAATCTAAGTAAAAGAGAAGCAACTAAACATTTTTAAAAGTAAATAAATAAATAGATATAAACTTGAAAGTTTATTATTATTTTTATTATATTTATTTTTTGTTTATCACAATCACAACAAGTCAACACACTTCACTTCACCATTCATGTGATATTTTTTTATTCCCATTTTAATTTTAGCGAATATTTTTCACATGAAAACTATAATTATTTTGTGTAGCAATGCAAAGAATTATAAAAGATAAATTAAATAATAATAATAATATTAATAGTGTAAAGAAAATAGATAAGAATGAAAGTAGTAGTAATGATAAAAATACATTAATAAAGAAAAAAGATCAAGTTATAACAACTTGTTGTAAACAAATAAATTCAGTTACTTATGAATGGTCAATAGCTTTACCATCTCATCCAATTCCACCTTTTGATTTGAAAGCACATCCTCTGACGATATTAATTGGTTGGATAGGTGCACAACCAAAGAATCTAGAGCGTTACAGTAAGATCTATCGTGAGAATGGTTTCTGTACACTTTCATTTATACCACCTATATCAGGACAGTAAGTTAATAATCATCTATCTAAACAATACTCTATTATTATTCATTTTTCATCAATGATATTAAACAAAGTCTATCTACTCTACTTAAATATTAATATTATTATTATTATTATAATTAGTTTCTTCCCAAAAAAGATGAAAAAGATATCAATAAGTCTATCGGAATACCTATTGGAACAGATCAATAGTACACCTAGGTCCATTATCATACAAGTATTCTCTGGTAATTTGGTATTTCTAAGTTATATTTATGAACTGTGGTCACAAGAAAAAGAAAAGGTAAAGTATTTCCTTAGCAGAAAAGATATGAAATATTAAACTTTCATTCATCGATAATAACTCTAAAACACCTTGTTTCTCTTATTATAACACAGTATAAAGTATTAATTAATTCAGTAAAAGGTCAAATATTTGATAGCTGTCCTGCTGAAATCTCAGAGAAAGCAGCATACACATCATTGGTAGTACCATATCCCAAAGCCAAATTGTACAAAAGAGTTGTTGGAATGACATGTAAACTCTACAGCACAGTCATAGATGTTCCAAAGTTAAATATGTTATTTTGGTATAGATTATCAAACTGTCCTGTAAGTTTTTAATCAAATCAATTAATCTATCTAACGTAATCGTTGTTTAATAATAATCAATCTTATTAACGATTGTTATCACTATCATTTTGAAAATGGCTAATCATTATCATTATTATTATAATTATTAGATATCAGCACCACAAATGTATTTCTATTCACTTGATGACCCTATTACCAGCTACTTGGATGTGGAGAAGGGAATCGAAGTAATGCGTAAACAAAAGATAACCGTTACGGCAGTTCAGTTTGACCAATCGAAGCACTGCAATCACCTTGGTTCACATCCAATGCAATACCTAAAGGGACTCTATAAATTCTGGCAATCGTCACTAAAACCTCGAGACTTGAGTAGCAGTCTTACCAACAAGCCATCAAACTATCAAAACATCCTGAGTTCACTTGGTCTTGTATCCAAACTTTAAGCAAACAAGCACACACAGTATATATATATTGATAGCTTGTCATTTTAAGTTTGCTTTTTAATAAAAAAAGGTCTCATTTGACAGAAATCAAATTTTTAATTTTTAATTTAATTTTACTTTACAGATTAAAATGTCAATGTAGTCTATTGAGAATTGAAATTTTGATTTAAATCTATTCTTACTCTATTTCTTTATTATTTAGAAAATGCTATGGTTTTTTATCTTTTGCTTTGTTATTCTTCCTATTTCTGTATCCTATTTGTTTTTCAATGTAAATTTAGAGGAAAAGGAATCAACTTTTTGGATTTATCAAAAAGATGTTAAACAAATTCGAGTTCTTATTAAACATAAATATAAGAATAATTATAACAATGAATGGTTGAAAAACAAAATCATTGATTATATTGGTATCACTCGCATCCCATCATTAGAGGTTCATCTCTCACCATGTGACGAAAATGGATTGCAAAACCGACCTACTCTTAATCCTATCGATCCTTTTCAACTTCATTCAGGTAGTAGATTGTTCCTTGAAATTTGTGATAAAGATTGTAGTTCATCTACCACCAATCCATCATCATCACCTAGATTTAGTAATTTGGAAGACTACAACGATAAGTTTAGGACGTTGGTAATCGAGAGTTTGTTGGAACGCAAGGAAATTCAGATTCAATCGAAAGATGATCAAAGTTTGATTTCTATAGAGACACCTGGTGGGGCAAAGGAATTCACTTCTATCACTGAATGGAACTCACCTCATACACTCTATCTTCCAAAGAATCCAAACTTGGGAATTGATCTACTTCTAACACCTGGTTGTCTTTTCCATATTGTCAGTACCAACAAAGTTGGTAGTAGCAAATCAATTCCAAGCGAAACGATTCAACAATATATAAATCAACTTCAAAAAATTCACTTTCACCATAGAAATTCAGAACCACTAAAAATCTATCTCATCTCGGTTGTTCCAGAGGATACTCCAGAATACACCAAACACCTAGAATACCAAGATTTGACCACTATGTCCAGTCAAGAAGATTTCGAAAGAAACAACGGAATATCTCAATGGGTATATGTTTACAAACAACATTTAAACATTACTCCTCCCACCTCCTTAGAACTCTAAAATCTCTCTTATATAAAATAGAAATAAATTCTCTAAAATAATAATAATAATATCAATAAAATTAATTAATAATAATAAATAAAATACAACCATAGTTGTTTTATAATTAACTAATATTTGCAAATTTAGAGATTAAATCGATCGAGTTTTGTTTTTCATTTCAGATCTAAAATTAAAAAAAATTAATAAAAAATTCAATTTAGATCTGATAGAATAGAGATTGAGATTTTGCAAAAGACCCAAATATAAATCATAAAGATTTTTGTTGTCGTTTTTAGTGTTTTGGGCCATAGAAGAAGGTGATTAATGATTTTTTTTTTTTTTTTTGATGACATTTTATGTCTTTTTTTCAATTAAACTGTTTGATACAAAAAAAGGTTTTTGGTAAATTAATCTTTTGATTTTTACAAATTTCATTCCATTTTGATTTAAAGACAAAGAAAAAACAGATATTTTTGCTTTTGTCATTTTTTATAAATCATAAAACTGTTTTAAATAGGAATAAGAATTAAAATTTGAAGAGATAAATAAAATATTTAGTGTTTTATTTTAAATTTCCTTCAAAATTGAATTTTATATATATAAATTTATTACCAATAAAAAAACACCACATTCACCCTCACACACTCACACACATACACATAATCTCATCTTTATATATTTATTTAGTAATTTAAATCACATTATCTTATCTTCAACCATCCTCATACACACACACCTAACTTTATTCAACTTCCTTCATAGTATTATCAACATGTATTTATATATGGTATAATATTTAACATTAAGAAGAATCATCATAACTGTAACACCAAATGTTCATTTGATATAACACACAACACACAGCACAGCACATCACACACATACCACTTCCAATTAGAACAACAACAACTACTTCAGCTCACTAAGTACTTACTTACTTTTGATATAACAACCAAACACCATAACATTTTTGGTAAAAATAAAATACATATATAAATAAATATTGTTTTTTTTTGCTTATATTTATTGTTATTATTATTTGTATGCTTGTTTGTTTGTTCACCATGATGTAGAGTAACACAAACAAAAACAACATCATTGCATTTAAAACAACTTTGATTTCACCCAACAGCACACATACACATAACTTACATTTTGTCCTTTATAACAACATAAATCATCATAAGAAAATAAAAAATAACAACGGAATTTAATTACCACCAAATATCAATATAATATATTGTATGTCCATATAGAATTGGAAATTGAATAAACAAAAAGGTGTAAATCAAAAATTAATAACATTTTAAAAAAAGTCAACAATAATATAATTTTTAATTCCAATAATTAATAATTAATACTGTAAATAGTAGTCATATCAATACCAATATATATAAATCCTATCATCATTCATCACTCATCAGCTTCAAATAATAATCTTTCATTGCCAGTGTAGAAGAACCCTTTTTGATACCATACCATACCAATACCCTCCTCTTTCACCTCCCCACCAATCAAATTAATTATTATAATAATAATAATAATAGTCATCGTCGTCACATCATTGACAAATATAATAATAGTTAAAAATGGAAACAGATTTAATGACAATAACAAGGAAATCATTGGATCCAGCCAGTTTTGTTAAAAAACCTGCACCACCACCAAATTCATCGAAACCAAAGAGGCCGTTATCACTACCTCTAGGAGATCAGAATCTACCGCAATCACCTCCATCACTTCTGGGAGGATCGTCATCTTCATCGGTGTCAAGATCGACTTCACCATCACCATCACCACCCTCTACCATCTCGAAAAGTGGCGAACAGGCAATCTACTCATTAAATAGGAGTAATGGAAGTAATGGTAGCAATCGTTCACCATCTTCTTCCACGTCGTCGGGATTCCTAACATCGCCACAGTCCAGCCCTCCTTCTTCTAGACGACCACCATCATTTAAACCACCACCCAAATCCAATAGTATACTATTCTCTGTAATATATGATAAGTATGTAAATCAAACAACTTTTCTTTAAAAGTAATCTAATTTATATTGTCGACTACAATTCAGAACAAGTGCAGGAATTAAAGATGTTGAAATAGATGATATTCTACCAAGAGTTAATCTACAAAGAATTATAATGGCAAGGAATCTAATTGAAGTGATTCCAGAGAGGATTTCAGAACTTCAACATGTAAACACTTTGGACTTTTCATATAATCGACTAAAGTCGTTACCAAGCTCCATTTCGAATATGCAGGAATTGACTACTCTGCTTTTGGCAGGCAATCAATTGCTCATTCCAGCCAAAGATTATATAGATAATACCAGTAGTATAGTAAATGATATCGGTGAAATAGAGTTGGATGAAGACTGTGAGGCAGATGAAGAGTCAATAGGCAGTAGCAGTAATACTAATAATAAAAACGACAGCCAATCAAAAAGTTTATCATTTATAGTTTCAACAACATCATCAACATCTTCCAACGATTTACCACAACATGTACATAAACTGAACTCATCAGTAACAACAACAACAAACTCAACAACTCTAATCAATACCAATAACAATAGTAATAATAACCAACAAGCTGAATCGCTTCAAACTTCAGGGGGTGAAGCGTTACCCTCTGAATTCAGTTATCTCACCCACCTTACAAAAGTAGACTTGACATCGAATATCGCACCAAACTGGATTGGAAATACCTATCTACCTCCTTCACTCTTTTGGTTCAGTCAAATCACAACGTTGTTGGCATCGCATTGCCAGCTCGCAGCGATTCAATCGGATATCCAACATCTCATTTCACTGACTCATCTCGATCTCTCTGACAATGCAATTGGCGAACTACCGGCAGAGATTGGACAGCTTATCAATCTAAAGACATTGGTGTTACGTTCCAATCAACTTGTTGCCGTACCTTCAGAGTTGTCGATGCTCTCAAACTCGCTAACCAATCTCGATCTCTCACACAACCAATTGACTGAACTGCCAGTTGAGTTGTGTCAGCTATCGAAGCTAGACACTCTCAATCTATCGTACAATCAACTGACAGCAATACCCGAAGAATGGTTCAATCCCGACGACGATTTCGGATTCGCACTGCACTCACTCACCGACTTGCGAATACGGTCCAACTCAATCACCGCTCTTCCACAACACCTCTTTTTGTGTCAATGTAAATTCAACTATTTAGATCTATCGGATAATCAACTTTTAGAACTACCTCCAATTACATATGAAACAATCAACGAAGAAGGAGAAGAAGGTGAAGAAACTTATGAACAAACAAATTTCGATTTAGAATCACTTTCAACTTTATTGCTTTTTAATAATAAGCTAAGTCAACTACCCAATAATCTATTCCAACAGCTACCATCGATAAACACACTCAACCTATCGGATAACCAGCTGGTTAGTTTATCCCCGAGTATATGGAGTTGTTGTCATTCACTTTCCACTCTATTCATTGGCTACAATCGGTTGGAATCATTCCCAATGCCTAGCGATTCATTCTACAGTCTGGAGGAACTCTATCTCAACGGTAACCGAGATATTAAGTTCGAATACGATGAATCGATCGATTATTTCCCAAGTCTGAGAGAGTTGGCGCTTGGATCTTGTAATTTAGATGTAATACCACCGTTTCTATTCAAATCGTGCTCACTCGACAAACTCGACCTCGCCAACAACCAGATCAGTGAAATCGATTTGCAATTGGTTCGAATGGAGAGTCTATCGATTCTACATTTGAATCACAATCGTTTGGTATCGCTACCGAACGAACTTGAGAATCTAAAGAACCTCAGGATGCTCGATCTATCGTTCAACTCGATTGAATCGCTACCGAAAGGTTTATTTTCACACAGCAGTAATAATAGTCAACAACTGCATCTTACCCACCACCACAATGCCAGCGATTTGTCCAACCAGTTTGGTGAGACATGCGATATCTGGACAGAGTCAAAACGATTCGATATTGCAATGGCTGAAATGATGGGAAGACGTCCATCAATGGAAGATGCATTTACTATTCGTGGAAACTTTTCATCATCATCATCATCGCTATCCTCATCATCTTCATCGTCATCTAATGATAATCAAGATTTGATTGCATTGTTTGATGGACATGCAGGTGCAATGGCAGCAACCTACAGTTGTAAATGGTTTCCACAGATTGTAAGAACACTCATTGAAAAATATCCATCGCTACCACCTCTACAATGGTTGAAACAGGCATACAGTGAAGTGTCACTACATTTCAAATCCTATGTCAACAACGAGCATCAGGAGTTGAAGTATTGTGGCGCCACAGCTGCAGCGGTACTCATCGAGAATAACCACTATTATGTATCAAACATTGGTGATACTCGTGTGGTGCTGTGTCGAAACGGACAAGCCAAACGATTGTCTTTCGATCACAAACCGAACGACCCCTCCGAAGAAGAGAGAATTCGTAAGCTCGGTGGCTACGTCATTTCGAACCAACATACCGCGCGAGTCAATGGGACACTCGCCGTTTCGAGATCGATCGGTGATTTCTATATGGAACCTTTTGTTGTACCCGATCCTTACCTCTCGATCACCGAAGCACATCCCGACGATCAGTATCTCATTGTTGCATGCGATGGAATATGGGATGAAATAACGGATCAAACCGCTTGTGATATTATATTGAATTCGAAATCATTGAAAGATGCAGCTTACCGACTAAAAGATTTCGCTTACTTCAAAGGATCCGATGATAATATTACTGTTATAATTATTGATTTAAAAAAACAACATTGACGCAATTTTTATAATATATAATAAAATTAATCAACATATATATATATTTATTTTATATAGTTTTTAAACTCAAAACAACCAATATTTACAATATTATCTGATTCAGATATAATATAACAAATAAATATTACTTCAATATGTGTTATGTTGATTTTAAATAGATTGATTGATCATGATCACTAATATTCATTTATATTGTATTCTTAAAACTAGACTAGATAGATCTATGCTAAATATTTGTGGTGGTGGTTGGTATGATTAAATTAATTTTGTACAAATAAATGTTATTACCAAAAAAAGAGTGATTTAATTAATTAACACACAACACATAAAAATGATGAACTTGTTAACCGATTAAAATAAAAAATGAAAGTTTTAAAAAAATTTAATTAAAGTACGTTGGAAAGGAACTAACTATCATGCAAAATATTAATTGATTTCAATTTTTTTTAGATTTCTTTTTTTCTTAATATCCAAGACAAAGGTTACATCTTATTAAAGTGAACTTTTAATTTCACATTTTTTCTACAACAGATTATTAAATAACCAGCTTCTATATCACCCCCCATTTGTCAACACCTATTTGTGTATTAATAGTTTAAGCATTGAACACCATTGAATTTAGTTTCAACAAACTGGACTACATAACCTCAAAGAGAGGTCTTCAATAATAACAACAACAATAATAATATTAGATCTATTTTAGACTTAATAATAATATTAATTAAATTATGTTTATTGTTTTTCTTTCAAACTAAATCAATAAAAAAAAAAAACAATAATAATAAATTAATAAATAAACACACCGAAATACGCATATAAATAATTAATTGCTAATTATTATTTATATAGTATAGTTAATTCTTTATATATATATATAGTATATTAGAATATAGTAATTTATCATTAATAAACCAATGATATTAATAACATCATATCTTTAAATAAATAATAACCACTAAACATTAATAACACACAACTATTCAATAACTATTTTACTATAATACTACGATTATATATTTTTTTATATTGATATTAATAAAACAAAAACAACAAAAAGAAATTAAACAATAATATCATATAACAACATAACAACTTAAAAACAGTCTTTGTCAGTTCGTTAGTTAATTTAAATTTAGATTGTCGATATATATTATTATCCTAGGTATTATATTGTTTTTTTAATTTAAAAATCAAAAACGAATAGCAAGAGACTTCTTTTTTTTTTTTTTTTTGATTTTTATTTTGCGAGTCAAGTTATTTTTATTCATAGCATTATAACCTAATAATAATCAAGATATACTACATCGTTTGTTTCTACTATTTTTCCTTTATTGTTTTTTTTGATGTGTGCCTCATATGAACTTAATATTGATCAATCAAATTAATAATATCAACAACAACAACAATAAACAACACCTTCATCATCGACCCAAACATCATCAACATCATCTATAACGACAAGACAATATAAAAAACAAAAAAAATCAAGCATGCTGATAACAAATTGTCGATATAACAACAAAAATGTCTTGATTTTTATACTATTATTTTTATCTTTAAATTTTATATTTATTAATGGTAGGTAGTTAATTAGTAACCTTATTAATAAGGTAATATATGATAGATATATATAAGCTAATAATAATTATAACATTATTGTTATTGTTACAATTACAAAAAAGGTGTACCAAAACCAAATCCAGATTTTCCAATTTTTTCAGAGAGAAGATCTGTTTTCTTTATCGATTGGATGAATGTGTATCCGCAAGATAAGAATGTACAATTAACTGTTTTACATCATATTTATATCACTCCGAATTGGAATATTCGTAAGGATGGCTTTGATGTGTTTCAATATGACCGTGTCACTGTGAAGGAGAATACTACTACCTTCAAGTGTGTGATGTCGTATGACTCTGGTGTCTATTCGTTCATTCAACAGGATGCACTGAACACCGGCTACAATGTGCAGAGCAGGCTGTTCAACCTGACGGTGGGCGGCGCCGAAGACTCTGAGACGCTGAGGCTGGTCGACGGCGACGGAGCGCGACTAGTCATCAGCGGCCAGGCATTCCAGACACAGCCAACCGTGGAATGGGGCATCATAGAGCAAGACGACGAAGCAGTATCGAGCGGGCGCATCGAGCCGTTTATAGCGCGAGCACCCACCACCAGCCTGCATCACTATATCACCTTTGATAAGATAGAGATCAACAGCAAGCGACGAACTACCACCTTCAAAGGCTTGGCGATCACAGGCGAGCCCGGTGAATATCAAATTGGATTTGTCGACGCCGACACCTGTGAGATTGTGTTGGTGAGCGAACCGATACGCGTCGTGTCAATGTGGTACGGTATCATTACTATGTGTTCAATGTCGACGCTCGTCTCACTGTTTGTATTCGTGTTGGGACTGACAATCCGATTGATAACGGCATCGCGCAGAACCAACACAAAACTGAGCAACTTTTTCAAATCTTTCAACATCTCCATTCTCATCAACAACATCGATACAGTTTTGGAAGGACGTGGAACCGAATCACTTCAAAACTATTTCAAGTTTCTAAGATTATCGATCATACAATCAGTGGTATTAGCATTACTTGGATTGGTTCTATTAATTCCAATTAGTTTAGCAGGTGATAATTCTCTATTTGATATTTATTTATTAACACAAGCTAATTGGTAAGATCTTATCAAAAGAATAATAATTCCAAATTTACTAACATTCAAATTAAAATTTATTTAGGCAATTTGATTCATCAAGATTATTTGTTTATCAGGTTGCATTTCTATTAGTATTTATTTCAATTATTATATTATATTCAAGATTCAATGGTGAAAGAGTTTATAGTCAACATGATTCCAATCATTTGGTAACTTCCAGAACTGTATTGCTGAAGGGTTTACCTAAATCATTGGTAGATTGTACTATTTTAAATGAATACCTACAAACTTCATATTCAAGTAACTATCCAAACGACGTTGATAATTAGGAAAATCACCAACTAATATATTTATTTTCATTATTTTATAGAGGGAATATTTTCACTTTCAATTATATTGGAAAAAGAATATGAAAGATATGCAAAGATTTTAGATTTAGATGGACTATCGGAAACTATCATTCAGATCGATGGCGATAAAATAGATGCACCACTGAGGTCTACAGGACAGGCATTCGTAACATTCAGTTGTGTATCGGATGCACATCAATTTCAAACACAATACTCACCGCACAAATGGAGTTGGGCAAAGGCAATGGCACCTACACCACCAGCCAAATACGAAGTCGAACTGCAAATCAAACAGTGGAAAGCATATTCAGTACCAAGAGTATCGGATATCATGTGGACAAAACTACACAGTCCATCGAATCAACATAGTACATCGTTTACTTTATTCCTACTGGCTCTATCGTTTTTACTATCAATGTCATTTTCATTTCTAGCTGCTTTTATACATGATTCTCAATTTGGTAGAGTAAGTAGTAGTAAACAAAAGTTTATGATTAATATTGTAATTTTTCTAATTATTATTTTCTTTTTTTTTATATATAGTTGAGTCCAAATATAATTAATATTCAAACAGATCCAATTGGAATTACATCATCTAGCTTCTTTATATATACTTTTATTCCATGTAATATGTTGTTGTTTTTGAATAGAGTGTTACCATGTGTGGTCAAAGGTATCTTTGAGAAATCCAATTCTTTCGTTAGAAGTTCATTGAAGAGTAAGATTATGCTGACTACATTCTATGTACAGACTCTATCGATCGTTGGCGTGCCTACCATCTACTACTCTATCATGACAGCCTATCCTTTCTTTACAACAAGAAATGAATTCTTTTATCCTTCAAATTTCTTTAGAACAGGAGGTAAGTTAAAAAACAACAATATTACTAAAGAAAAGAACATTATTCTTATTAAATGTATATCTTTTATCACTATTTAGGAATGTTTTATACACTATTTATTATATACTATGCTATTGTAACACCATTTTTAGATTCATCAAGAATCTATTCATCGATAGCAAATTTGATCAAATTCAGTAAGAAAAAGGATCAAGCTTTAATTAATGAAAGATTCTTGGATATTTCAACTCAATATATTAATATTTTATTATTGGTAAGGAATATAACTTTATCTATTTAAATTAATATTAATATTATTATTATTATTTATCAATAGATGTTAATGGTATCGATTTACGCTCCTATATTCCCATTATTATTTTTAATGACTTTAATCTACTTGATAAAGAAATACTTTTTCGATAAATATACAATAATAACATCAAAGATAAAGAGTCCACCTTCCGATCGATTGTTGGTGGAACCACTTCAACATTGTATTTGGTTTGTTTTGACTAGTGCCTGTCTGTTCCACCTGTTCTATGTGTTTATCATCGATAGAAGCGATCTACTGTTTATCTATGGATTCTTGTTCATCATTGGCTTGGGAAGATACATCCCGTCTTGCTCGAGAAGCTTGTGCTATGGTGTATGCGATGGTGCAGTTCTACCTTGCGTGGATTCCGATATTAAGCTATTCAAACTGTTTGAGGAAGGCGATGACAGTGACGATGAAACAAGGGGCAACGTTAATAATACCAATGAAAAGTATTCAATGGCCACTCGTGACGACGACGGTGTTGTGGCAATCGAGATGAAAGACTATGACAACGACGAAGACGAAGACGACAACGAAAATGGACACGGCAACAGAAAACTCATGAACTCACAGATGACTTTGAATATCAAACAAAACTATGCAGTGGAGGGTGGACAAAGAGGATTCTTCTCTGCACTATTCAGTAATAGATATCAACTTCCTTCACCAAAGGCAATCACTATTAACCAATATACTTCACCACTTTACATTACCGAGCTTTCACATTATACCAGTTTGTAAATAAATATTTGTTTAATATTGTTTGTTTGTTATATTTTTTATGGACTTGTCCATAATTTTAAAAAGTTGGTCATCAACATTTTAGTATGAAAAGTCTTTTTGTTTTTCATTAGAATATAATATTTAAAAATAGATAGGTCATATATTGATCCATTATTTTTAATATTAAATTTTATTTATAATTTATTATCGATTACAATGTTAATTCAATAGGTCGCATTAAGAAATATGAATACAATTGAATTGAATTGAATTGTTTGCTCATGGGTAGTAGTTTTGATCGACACCCAAACCACTAAAATTATTAATAATAATAATAAAATAATATTAGTTTATGATAACAAAAAGGGTATATCTTGTTAAAACTTACCAAACAGTTAAATCACCATTGTATTGCTTAATAGCTGGTGAAGACCAACCACCGAATGGTGAGAAATCACTGAATGAGGGGTTACCATCGTAGTGAGCGTACCACAATGGGTATTTGGCACCACCGTCCCAGTTACCCATGATTGGCTCCCATTGAGAATATGAAGTGTAGATACCGACTTTGACACCGGCTTGCGAGGCACCCTCCAACATACTGTTGAAGAAAGCTTGGTTCTCACCTTGGTTGTCGGACCAGTAGGTACCTGGACCTTCAATATCGAACCAGACCATACCGAAATCGGCATTGTATGACTTGAGGTAGTTGACAGTGTCGACGACTTGACCAGCACCATTACCACATGAGAAACATGGGAAAATGTAGGCATCAACATATTCCATACCACCATCTCTAGCGTTATAAATACTATAATATTTGATAAAATATTATTATTAATATTTTTGATTAAAAAAAAAGTCATTGACTAATCTTTCTTTATGTGATCACATCTTACCTGTGTGGACAGTTTGGATCGGTAGCACCAGTTGACATGTAACATCTAATTATAGCAAAGGTATATCCGTTGTTCTTGAGACATTGGAAAGCTGGAATATCAGAACCTGAAGAGATATCGACACCAATGGCAGCGTTTGAAACTTGGAAGAGTGCGATGAAGCACAAAGCGAATACGACAATTTGTCTGTACCTATCATTATGAATTTAAAAAATTTACAATAAGTTCACGACTATTTCTAGTTATAGAGAGTTATAAAGATAATATCTTACATCTTTAAATTTATGAGAATAATAATTTCTGTTTATGAAACCAGAGGAGCTTATAAATGTTGGTATTCGTCTCACCAAGATATTTTAAAAAATAAAAATAAATTTAAAAATCATCAAAACAAAAAAAAAAAAAAAAGATCTCATATTGGTACCTTAACAATGATCTTTTTCTTGCAAGAAAAAGGGGTTTTTTTTTTTTTTCAAACCAAAAAATCAAATTGGATTCGGATAAAGTATCTCTGGTCTTGAATTTTATAAAAAATCTTAAACTTATTAAAGCTCATGCCTGGGAAGAATTTTCAAAATGATTTTTTGTACAAGATTAAAAATTTGAAAATAAAAATCTCTTTTTGATGTTAGTTTTTATAAAAATTTGATCATAATGAGAAGAGAATTTACAAATTTATTTTTATTTTTTAGTTTTTTATACTTAAAGGATAAAAAAGTTTTACACCGATAAAAAAGATATTTGAAAATATCTAAAATAAATAAATAATATCCAAATACATTACATGCAGTTCCCATTTATCTCTTTAAAGAATTATTTGTAAAGTTCAATAGATTTTTTTGTAAATATCTAAAATTATGAATTATTTTTGAGATTTGAACTTACTCATTTAAGGTAATATTACTAATAAAAAAAAAAAAAAAATAAACAAACTTTTAAATTAAAAGGGATTTTATTTTAACAGTTTATTTTATCGTATTGCGAATTTTCCTCTTCATCATCATCATTATGTTATCTTTTATAAAAGATAATGTAGAGGAAAGAGAAAATTTTGAAAGAAGATATGTAGTAAATGTATTCTCTGCGATTGTCAATGATATCAATGTTCCACAAAACATAAAAAATATCCTCTAAAAGTTTTAGAGTTTTTGAGGGACATATTTTTTGGGCAAAATAGGAGCACCATTTGCTTTGTTTATTATTATTTTTTTAATTTATTCTTCATCACCATCTTCATCGTCATCAATATCTTCTTCTTCTTCTTCTTCTTCATCTTCAATATCATCGTTTTCATTAATTGTGTGTTCACCATAATATTCATATGGATCCTTTTTTGTTAAGATAAAAGATAATGTTGATGACAGAGAAAGTTTTGAAAGAAGATCTGTAGTAAATGTATTCTCTGCGATTGTCAATGATATCAATGTTTTGTTGAGAGCAAGTGAACTAACGAATGAATCTATTGCTTGATTTGTATCACTATTGTTTTCATCTTTGCTATTTATATACTTTGAAAATGTTAAATGGTTGATTGTTTGGTTGTGTTCAAGCATTCTTCCAATTGATTTCAATCGATCGAGATTATATGAACGAAGATGTATGCTTTTGATGGTTCTATTCGTATCTGTGTTTGATTGAGAAAACAAAGATTCATAGAAATCATCTGATAGCATATTACATGATAATGAAAGTGATTCGAGTGTACCATTGGCTTTCAAAGATGTGAGGAATTCCGATGAAATGAACGTCGTAAGTTTATTGGAAAGCCTTTTGTGTTTACAAGTATTACCAAGATGAAGATATTTCAATTTGGTGTTGGTTGCAAGTGCCAAACAAAAATTTCGCCAATATTTCAGGGGAACAAGACCATTATTATCACCACGATCATCATCATCACTATCATCACCTTTCTCTAGAAAATCTACGCATCTACACCATTCCTTCCTAGAAAAACCCATAAATAGTCTGAAGAATACATCGGAACTGAATGATTCCAAGATATTGTTCTTTGCAACGAGTACAAGTTCTTTGGCATCAATATGATCGACATGGATTAAAAGATGTTGAAGTGATTGTAATTCCAGCAAAAACGAATAGGAGATATGCCTAAAATGTTGTTCACCCAAACAGCCATATTCAAGTTCCAATGAATTCGTTCTCCATGCCTTTACAAATTGATAGTATTTACTGAGATCAGCATGAACAACATGGATGGCATAGCTATGAATAAACTCCACAAATGATAGATCAATGTCTTTTTTATACGAAAAGAATTGATGATCTTCAACATGCACTTCAATCTTTAATGAAGGATATTGTTTATGAATTGCCAGAAGAAGGTATGGGTTATTTGTTATGATGATAAGTCTCTCCAAGTTTGGAAGACTATCGATTGTTTCTTTGAATTCGATATCGTATTTACCTTCGTAATGGATGGTATCCCATGCCCCCAAGTACAAAGTGTGAATGTTTTGTTTGTTGTATAATGAATACTGACTATCTTGTTTCCTCGATCCAGGCAATTCAAAGTAATATTCAATATTGGAATTGTACTTTGTTTTCAATTTTAAATAGATTCGGTTTGTTTGAATCGATATAAACTTGAACCAATTCTTACAAACCAAAGATAGTTCGACATGTGATGAATTTAGATTTATCTTCCGGAATAAATCTGAATTCTTATGTCCACTCTTTGGAAGGTTTCTAATGTATGGTACAATGTATTCCTTCAATGTCGATGGAATTCCATTTGACATCAAGTATGTCAATATTTTTTGTTGAAGTAAAAATGATAATGTTTGCATATAAATATAATTTTAAAAAACAAAAAAACATCTTAACTAGAAATAAAAGAGTTTTTTTTAAACAATCTTTCAGTTTTTTGTTCAAAAAAAATTATAAATTTCATTTGTAAAAAGAACAAAAAATAATTCTTTTAATTATAACACAAATGCAAAAAATCAACACACACAAATGCTCACAATTTTTCAGTTTTTTTTGTTCAAAAAAAAATTAATAAAATTTCATTTGTAAAAAGAAGATTGATTTATTTACACAAATATATCGAATTCTTGAGATAAATAATGAATAAAATAAAAAAATAAACATAATTCATATATATATTTACAGATATTATTCAAATATCATTAGATTTTAAATATGAAACTATGTGATTAAAATGAATAATACTAATCCAATAGAGGTAAGATTTTTTTGTTTAAATAGTTTTTGTTTTGCGATTTGGTGTAACTGATATGTTCATTTTTGGGTATAGTTACAAAAACCAAAGAAAAAAGATGCAGAGAACATTGCCCTTTTTGGTAAAGAATGCGATGTTTCAAAAAAGGAAGTTGTTGAGCGTTTTTTTTTATAACAATAATTTAAATCGTTCATCAAATAACAATAATACAAATACAACAACTACTACAACAACTACTACTACAACAACTACCACAACAACTACTACAAATAATACAAATCCAGTAAGGTTAACTTCAACAAGAAACACACACCGCTCAAAAGCTGGTAAGCTAGTACCAGTAAAAAACTCTTATCTCTACAAAGATGTGACTGAGGAAGAGCTTATGCTTTTTCTTGCTATTACGGTACAAAGCCAGGTGGGACATGTCCAATGAATACTATTTTGGCCACATTACAACTGGCGATCAAGTTTACATGGTCAGAAACAGATACGAAAAGATTTCATCTTTCTTTATGTTTTCTGAAGCAGTCATACTCAAACTGTGTAGCGCTCTGAGCACTGTGTATGAAGGATGCCTGGAAAACTCCACATTCATTAGTATCGATGAAACCATGTTGGCCAGAAGAATGAATTGTACTTCAAGAAACGAAAATGCTCAAAAGGTCGAGCCTGCCTTCTACACTGTCATTCCTCCGAAGCTACATCCAACAGGAATCTTGGTGTATCATTTGGCCACCAAAATTGATACAGTTGACGATAAATTTGATGACGTGCATTGCGTCCCATTTATCATTCGTACACTTCCCAAGCATATTGGTTGTGAGCAACCATTTGAAGTTTAAATCATTTGGGTGTCTTGTGTATCTTTATATTGCGTAGTATTTTAAGAGAGAAATAAATAATTCATCTAGGAGATTGAAGAGTTTAAAAAATTCTAATATACCTTTTTTTAAAGAAAATATTTTAATTTATTTTAATTTTAATTTTATTTTAATATCCAATTGCAAATAATATTTATTCTTTATAGTCATCATCACCATCTTCTTCCTCTTCATCATCTTCATCATCATCATCATCTTCTTCTTCTTCTGCATCATCGTCTTCATTACTTGTATCGTCGTCATCTTCTTCTTCTTCATCGTCACTATCTTCTTCATATGGATCCTTTTTTGTTAAGATAAAAGATAATGTTGATGACAGAGAAAGTTTTGAAAGAAGATCTGTAGTAAATGTATTCTCTTCGATTGTCAATGATATCAATGTTTTGTTGAGAGCAAGTGAACTAACGAATGAATCTATTGCTTGATTTGTATCATCATTATTTTCATCTTTGCTATTTATATACTTTGAAAATGTTAAATGGTTGATTGTTTGGTTGTGTTCAAGCATTCTTCCAATTGATTTCAATCGATTGAGATTATAGGAACGAAGATGTATGCTTTTGATGGTTCTATTCGTATCTGTGTTGGATTGAGAAAACAAAGATTCATAGAAATCATCTGATAGCATATTACATGATAATGAAAGTGATTCGAGTGTACCATTGGCTTTCAAAGATGTGAGGAATTCTGATGAAATGAAGGTCCTAAGTTTATTGGTAAGCTTCTTGTGTTTACAAGTATTACCAAGATGAAGATATTTCAATTTGGTGTTGGTTGAAAGGGCAGAGCAAAAGTTTCTCCAATGCTTGAGGGGGACACGATCATCATCACTCTCCTCTATAAGTTCTGAACACTTGCACTCAAAGCCAGATGAACCAATGAATAGTCTGAAGAATACATCGGAACTGAATGATTCCAAGATATTGTTCTTTGCAACGAGTACAAGTTCTTTGGCATCAATATGATCGACACGGATTAGAAGATGTTGAAGTGATCGTAATTTCAACAAAAATGAATAGGAGAGATGCATAAAATATTGATAATCCCAAGAATCATATTCCAATTCCAATGAATTCATTCTCCAAGCTTTTACATATTTATAGTAGTCATCGTAATAGATGTTAAGATTTGATTTAACAACTTCAGAAGCACTACTAGCAATAAACTCCATAAATGATAGATCTATGTTATTGGCATACTGAAAGTATTCGTAGTCTTCAACAAGCACTTCCATCTTTAATGAAGGATATTGTTTATGAATTGCCAAAAGAAGATGTGGGCTATTTGTTTCGATGATAAGTCTCTCCAAGTTTGGAAGACTATTGATTGTTTCTTTGAATTGGACATCGCATTTACCTTCTTCTGAGAAGGTGTCCAAAGCCTCCAAGTACAAAGTGTGAATGTTTTGTTTGTTGTATAATGAATACTGACTATCTTTGTTCATAGATGCAGGCAATACATAGTAATGCTTGTTTTTTGTTTTCAATTTTAAATAGATTCGGTTTGTTTGGATCGATATAAACTTGAACCAATTCTTACAAACCAAAGATAGTTCGACATGTGATGAATTTAGATTTATCTTCTGGAATAAATCTGAATCCTCCTCATCTCCACTATTATGATAGCTTCTAATGTGTGATACAATGTATTCCTTCAATGTCGATGGAATTCCATTTGGCAACAAGTATGTCAATATTTTTTGTTGAAGTAGTGTTGATAATCCTTGCATTTAAATTTAATGATATAATTTAAACAGAGCATGAAGGTTTAATCTGCAACAAAAAAAAAAAAAAATTTCGTTCAACCCAACCCCATACAAATTTATGTTAATTGTTTTTTTTTAAAAAAATTAAATAATATATTGAATATATATATATTGCGTTTTTTTTTAATATTTATTATATTATTCATCATATTAATAAAATCAATTAAAAAAATCTATATTTGTTTTTAATATTACTAAATACAAAATTGAAGATGAAGTTCTTATCAGTTGTAATTTTAATATTTTGTATTTGTATAATTATCAAATGTGATGAGAGATGTCAAAATATAGATACTCCAATATGTAGTAGTGATCAAGAACTTGTTATAGAGAAATATAACAATGGATGTACCTATCCTAGATGTATAACTGTTAATCAACCCAAAACAGACTGTCATTTAACAATACCAAAGTGTCTAGCAGGTCAAAAGATAAAGAATTTTATCGATAAAAATGGTTGTTTACATCACAAGTGCGAGAAGATAGATAATTGATATCAATAAAATTTAAAAAAAAATCAAGATTAATTTTATTTTATTTAAATATGAAATTGAAATTACATTAATTTTATTCTTCTTCATTACTTTAATCTTCATTTCCATCTTCCTCTTCCTTTTCCTCTTTCTTCTTTAAGATCATCATCTTCGTTTCTTGTATCTTCATCATCTTCTTCTTCATCGTCACTATCTTTTTAATATGGATCCTTTTTTGTTATAATTAAAGATAATGTTGAAAAAATAGATAGTTTATATCTTTTAAAAAATTTTTTAAAGATTATCAACACTGCTTCAACAAAAAATATTGACATATTTGTTGCCAAAAGGAATTCCATCGACATTGAAGGAATACATTATAGAAGCTATCCTAGCTTGACTGTAACCCTATTTTGAATAATAAAAAAACACTATTATAATTGATATCATAACACAACTCTAATTTTTACATTTTTTTTAAATGAATGCTTAAGGGTTGGAGCCATTTTTCGTTTTGTTATGTATTATTGCAGAAATAAAAATTGAAGATTAAGTTCATATCAGTTGTAATCTTAATATTATGTGTTTGTAGGTATCAAAGGTTATGAGATATGTCAAAATATAGATACATTAGTGAGAACTTGTTCTAGAAAAACTTATTTGTTTTAATTTAAACAACAATGTATTTCTATTTTCAAAAAATTCTTTATTTGAAATTAAATATTATCTTTAATTAATTAAAAAGAGATACACCCTATTAATTTTAGTTATTAATTTCGAGTAACAACTAAAGTGTGAAATTCTCCAATTTTAAAAGGACATACCCCCAAATCTTATTTTTATTTTATTTTAGGTCTATGTTTTGGCAAACTGGGGTAGAGTATATGATGGTACTTTGAAAATTTATAGTTTTCTAACTCTTTAAGATTCAAAGATAAATTTCAATAATAAAATAAAATAAAAATATTAAAAATTAAAATAAAAAAAATTTTATAATTCAAATTTATTTAATTTTTAATTTATTCTAATATTCTTTAAATAAATATGGATAACTTGGATTTAGAAATTTATCAAATAAATGACTATTTAGAATATCCTTATTTCGTTAAGGTTTTAAGCTTCCTTTCACAACACAAAAATATTTTTTTACTAAATTTGGAAAAAGCACAAGAATCAAGTTTCGAAAAATTATTGGTTTCGATAATAAGAGAACAACTTTTACCTTTCATTTCAACACCATTAATTTTAAAACCAAATATCATTAATACATTCCAATTTAAATCATCATCATTAGAATCATCGGATATTATTAAAGATCAAGTAGGGGTAGCGAATGATATATCATTTAAAGTAAAAGAGATATTTGGATTTCAATTCTTTACTTTTGAACATCCTGTTGTGTGTCGTATAAAGAATAAATCTTTAGTAAATAGCAATAACAATGAAATAGTATTTAAAGAAATAAATAATTGTTTTGAGTTAATCGAGCTTCTAAGAGAGACTGCTTCGTTTTCAGAAATAGACCTGTTTAAAGAAGAAATTGTTAACAGTATCTGTAATATGGCATTGATCTCCACATTGGCTCAAGATAATCTTAATGAAATCAAACAAACTTCATTAAAGAATAATCTTTGCACTCTATCAGAATATTCAGATTTCAAATCTAAAAAGGAATCATCATTTGATAAATTCTTATTTTATGATCAATTACATGTAAATTATTAAATAATATAAAATATTTATATTTTCTTATTAAAATTTTTTATATTTATCTTGATTTAGATAATTGGACATCATATTCATCCTTGTTTTAAAATGCGTTCTGGTCTCAATTGTGAAGAAGTGGTTCAATATGCCTATGAGCTGAATCAACAGATACCTATTCGTTTCATTGGTCTTCACAAGTCAGTTGGTAGATACAGTATGATTGATGAGAATGATAATCCATCTGATTACTTTCAAAGATTATTTCCATCGGATGTTTTTGGTGATGCCATTCAGCTTTATTGTAAAGACAACCAATTGAATATCAATGATTATTTAATCTGTCCAATGCATCCATTCCAAACTACCAATACACTACCAAATCAATTCAAAGAGGAATTAGATAATCGAGTATTAATTATCTTTCCAGAGTCAATTCAAGTACCATCATACTCAACTGCATCCATCAGAAATGTAATACCAGTAATTCAAGCAATTGATTATAATACTTGTGCACCACACATTAAATTCTCATTGCCAATCCAATTGACCAGCTGCCTTAGGTTGATGCCAAATGACTATATTCCAATAGGTACTTCCATTTCGAAAGTACTTACAAATATATCTTCATTAGAGGGATCACCATTCAGTGATAGAGTGATCTTTCTTCAAGAGTTGGGTGGTATCTATCATTCAAACAATGAAGAACAAAGATATCAAAACTTTTCAATGATTTGGAAGGAAAACTCCAACCAATACCTACGTACTCCAAATGATCAACCAATTAGTTCATGTTCATTATTCAATACATCACCAATACCAAGACAACAAACTAACCATACAATATTATCAGAACTTCTTTATCAATATATTGATAATAAGTGTATTGGTATGATTATAGAAAATGGAGTTAAAGAGTGGTTTAACAAATATGCTACACTATTGTTGGAACCAAATATCATATTATTTACAAAGTATGGTATTGCGTTAGAGTCACACCTTCAAAACTCTGTTTTTGTATATAGACAAGGTGAACCTGTATTCTTAATGCTCAAAGACTGGTCTGGTGCTGCTATTAAGAAAGATCGTCTATTAAAACACCAGGAATCACAACTTAACAAAGGCGATGGTATACCACTCTCGCTGATCGATGAGATACCTAAATCTATCCACCAGTTAGGTGATATGGAGTATTACAAGACCTTTTCACACTCTGTTCTTCATAATCACGTATGCCAAATTATAATACAAATCTGTAAAGAGTTCACAATGATAGATGAAACCGATCTGTGGGATATCACTTACCAAATCATTAGATCACAATTATTGAAATTGAAATCAACTGCTGCTCTATACAATCAGGTGATTGAAGATGAAAGAAATATATTCTGCGAAACCATAAAGTGTACATCACTAACTGCTATGAGACTAATAACAAATTATCATGTTTCATTACCATTTGATACTATTAATCCTTTAAATCAATTTTATAATAAATAAAATAAAAATATTAAGAAAATAATACTTTTTTAATTAAGTCGACCAATTAATTATAATATTATAAATGATTCATATTTTTTTTTTTTTTTTTATAACTAATGTGGTATACATGTTTTATTTAAAGTGATTGAAAGGTAGCTTATAGCTACAAAAGAGGTATTTAAAATTGGAGAAGGAGGGTTGTACCGCTCAATTGAACGCTGTAATTTTGATTAATATTCCACCGGTTTACTTTCATGCTTGATTTATCCTTAAAAAGATGTATTTGATCCACGTCATACGATTCTCCCATACCCTAAAAGAATTGTTGTATGAACTTTACCATTTCTAGATTCTATATCTAGTCATTCTAACTATTAAATTTCCATCGCCACATTCCACGATTTGATGGCTTCTATCTACGTTGACAAGGCGTATGATTAGCTGTTAAATCATTAAGGAGTGTGTCTATTCTCGATTGTTGATCGCTGCTATATCCATTAAGTACTGGTATCTGTTCACTCTCACCCGACTAAGAGCGAATACCAATGTGAATAGTATGACATACTGATGGATACCATATCCTCTATCCAGTCTGAGGTGTAAATGATTGATTGTTATCATTTGCCAGCGTAGGTTCGAAAGATATCTCAGACCATAATATCGATCTCGCCAGAAGCATCAAACAATTTTACACCAATCTACATGATTCTCAGTACACTATAAGAACCACTTTTTTGTGTAGCGCAGTCACAAGAGGGCGAAGTCATCCCAACGGACTAGAATAGCAGAATGTAAGATGACAGTGACGTTCTAAGATTTCTAAAAAATTTGTAAAAAATGAAAAAAAAGTGAAAAATTTATGAATAAAAACGAGTGATGATTGCAAAAAAAGGCTTTATGTTAAAAAAAAGTAAAAATCAACTTAACAATGAACAATGCTGTGATTGAACAAATATAAGTTAATTTTTACCATACAAACGTGACTAATGTTTTTATATACAGATAAATAAATAAATATATACACAACTAATTGAGAGAAAAAACAAAAGCAAATGATTCATATAGAACACTATCTTAAATAGTTAATAGGGGGTAAAAATTTAAAAAAAAAAAGCAGTTTGTTACATATGTATATCTATCTAAATTATTTTAACCACCAAATTAAAATGAATTTTTTTTTTATTCATTTTTGATATGGGAACGTTATAAAATCAATCTTTTTTTTTTTCAAAAAATTTAAAATATTTCTAAATATTCTATAAATATGGAGAATTTGGATTTAGAAATTTATAAAATAAAAGATTATTTAAAATATCCTTATTTTGAACAAATTTTAAGTTTTGTCCTTTCACAACACAAAAACAACAAAATTATTTTTATACAAAATTTGGAAATTGCACAAAAATCAAGTTTCCAAAAATTATTGGTTTCGATAATAAGAGAACAACTTTTACCTTTCATTTCAACACCATTAATTTTAAAACCAAATACCATTAATACATTCCAATTTAAATCATCATCATTAGAATCATCGGATATTATTAAAGATCAAGTAGTGGTAGCGAATGTAATATCATTTAAAGTAAAAGAGATATTTGGATTTCAATTCTTTACTTTTGAACATCCTGTTGTGTGTCGTACAAGAAGTAATAGTAATGAAATAGTATTTAAAGAAATAAATAATTGTTTAGAGTTAATTGAACTTCTAAGAGAGAATGATTCATTTTCAGAAATAGACCGGTTTAAAGAAGAAATTGTTAACAGTTTCTGTAACATGGCATTGATCTCCACATTGGCTCAAGATAATCTTAATGAAATCAAACAAACTTCATTAAAGAATAATCTTTGTACTCTATCAGAATATTCAGATTTCAAATCTAAAAAGGAATCATCATTTGATAAATTCTTATTTTATGATCAATTACATGTAAATTATTAAATTATTGTACCTCTTATTTTTTAATTTTTTTTTAATTTTTTTTATTTATTTTCATTTAGATCATTGGACATAATATACATCCTTGTTGCAAATTACGTTCGGGTTTCAATTGTGAAGAAGTGGTTCAATATGCCTATGAGCTGAATCAACAGATACCTATTCGTTTCATTGGTCTTCACAAGTCAGTTGGTAGATACAGTATGATCGATGAGAATGATAATCCATCTGATTACTTTCAAAGATTATTTCCATCGGATGTTGTTGGTGATGCCATTCAGCTATATTGTAAAGATAACCAATTGAATATCAATGATTATTTAATCTGTCCAATGCATCCATTCCAAACTACCAACACACTACCAAATCAATTCAAAGAGGAATTAGATAATCGAGTATTAATTATCTTTCCAGAGTCAATTCAAGTACCATCATACTCAACTGCATCCATTAGAAATGTAATACCAGTCATTGATTATAATACTTGTGCACCACACATTAAATTCTCATTGCCAATCCAATTGACCAGCGCCCTTAGGTTGATTACAAAAAGATGTATTCTAATGGGTACTTCCATTTCGAAAGTACTTACAAAGATATCTTCATTAGAGGGATCGCCATTCAATGAAAGAGTGATCTTTCTTCAAGAGTTGGGTGGTATCTATCATTCAAACAATGAAGAACAAAGATATCAAAACTTCTCAATGATTTGGAAGGAAAATTCTAACAAATACCTACGTACTCCGAATGATCAACCAATTAGTTCATGTTCACTATTTAATACATCACCAATACCAAGACAACAAGTAAATCATTCAATATTATCAGAAATTTTATATCAATATATTGATAATAAGTGTATTGGTATGATTATAGAAAATGGAGTTAATGAGTGGTTTAAAAGATATACAACACTACTATTGGAACCATTTATCATATTATTTACAAAGTATGGTATTGCGTTAGAGTCACACCTTCAAAACTCTGTTTTTGTATATAGACAAGGTGAACCGGTGCTCTTAATGCTCAAAGACTGGTCAGGTTGTAATGTTATGAAAGAACGTCTTTTAAAACACCAGGAATCACAACTTAACAAAGGCGATGGTATACCACTCTCGCTGATCGAAGAGATACCTCCACAAAGAAAGCTAGGCAATCTGGGGTATTACAAGACCTTTGCACACTCTGTACTTCAGAACCACATAGGCCAAATCATAATACAAATCTGTAAAGAGTTCACAATGATAGATGAAACCAATCTGTGGGATATCACTTACCAAGTAATGAGATCTCAATTATTGAAATTGAAATCATCAACTGCTGCTCTATACAATCAGGTGATTGAAGATGAAAGATATTTATTCTCTGAAACCTCCGTCAAGTGCACATCACTAACTGCTATGAGACTAATAACAAATTATCATGTATCAATACCATTTGATACTATTAATCCTTTAAATCAATTTTATAATAAATAACAATTTTAAAAATGAATTAATGTTTACTTGATTGATGACTAAACAAACACTCAACAGCAATTTACCAATTTACTTTTTTTTTTTTTGATTATAAAAATTTTAAAAAAAAACTTAGTTTAATTAATGAAAGGATTTGAACATCATAAATATCATATATTAATTTAATATAAATATTTGAAAATGGTAATTACTTAAACTATATATATATATATACTAATTAATATATGAAATATTAATTCATTTTGTTTTGAATAAATAAGAGTTACTTTGATATAAAACAAACTAGATCCAGAAATTGGGAGATTGAAGAAGAGGAAGAAGAACAGACTCTTTTCGTTGATAGACCTCAACCACAACTAAAAGTATCGTATCTATCAAACTTCTATTCTCAGAGAGATCAATATAATACTAATACTAATTGTATTTCAAATAATTATAAAAATAACAATAGCTAGGCAGTGAAAATGTAGATCTTAAATCAAAACTATTGGTTGTTGCAACAAAAGATGCACCTTCAATATATATTAGAACAATGTTTGGTGATAACTTGAAGGAAGTAGCAGAGATAACTATTAGTGATATCGTAAGTGGTATTGTTGTTGTTGTTGTTGTTTTTTTGTAATCATAAAACAACACTTAACTAATCACCATTATTGATTAGCATCCAATTAGAACCAATGAACCAATTCTTAATAATAGATGCCAATTATATAAATATGAAAATGTATTGTTTGTATTGTGCCAGTTTACAGTACCAGAGGATAGAACATTCAACATGTCAAGACTTTTAGTGAATACATGCAAACCAGAGACAGTCATCATCATCGATTCATTGGTAGACACTCAGTTTATATCATCTGATCATACACATCCACAACCACCTTTTATTAGAACACTCCGTACATCAAACTATGTCGTCGATAGCAATAGTTTCGTACCACTAGAATCACCGAATCTCGTACAAGGTATCACCGCTGCTATTTTATCACAAGTAAGTAGCAAAAGTTAATTATCAAAACTATTACGATGCATTCAAATGACATTAAATAATTAATCTTTATCTTTGATCAAATTAATCAAATTAAATCAATACAGTGTGAAGTAGAAGGTATTCAATGTATTTCATTACAGAATCTTGTTGAATCATCTTCACTCTGTAATTCTAGTGTGATCAATCTCGAAAATCAAATGAAAAAAGTTAATTCCATCTTTCAGAAAGTTCCACCACAATCAAATCAAAGCTATTTGAAGATGGTACAATTAATCAATAGAAGAGATGATAGAGGATTATATATTTAAAAAAAAAGAATATATTGTAATTTTTAAAATAAATGTTTGTTTGTTTTCTTTTTACTTTCATAACAAGCTACAACTTTAATGATGATTAATCAATACAATCAATACTTGTATTAATACAAAGAAATATAAGCTTATATTGTTTTATATATATGTTTATATAATTATATTATAATAATGGTTGTTTATTTTGATTTATTTTTATTGATTTTTTTTTTTTGTAGATGTTTCATACTTTTACTATATATAGTAAAAGTAGTTTAAACTCTGTATTTACAGATGTATGTCGATCGATCGATTGATTATGATTATATTTGTACAGAAGATGATTTTGATTTGTTGAGTTTGTTTAGTGGATTGGTTGGTGATTCAACAAATTTCGAGAAATCATACAGTTCCTTCTCTGGAAGTATTAGCATATCTTTGTCCAAGAAGTTTTGTGCATTTAGATTGGTGGTGAAGTTGTGATATGGATGCTTCTGGAAAAACTGTAGATTCTTAATAAGATTCGATAGTAATGTTAGTTTTTTGAAATTGATTTGCTGCTGTTGTGGTGAATCGATTCCTGTTGATGAAGATAGTAACGATGGTGATGAATTGGCACTGTTGTTGCCATTGCTGTTGACGAAATTCGAATTGCCATCCTCCAGGAAATTGACATCTTGCAATATCAGACCTAAATAGGGAAGCGATGGAATGTCACGTGATTTGAGAGCCTGTCGATAGATCTTCCAGTTCTCGGTGGTCGAGAAAAAGTCTTGCATCGATTTGAACGACGAGGTGTAACGTGAGGGAAGCGACTTCCAGGTGTCACGCAACCGACTGACCGAACAATTGTTGAGTCCCGAGATGATCTCCATCATCGTGTTGTAGTTGTTGATCTTTCTACAGTATTCGGCGATGGTGATGAATCGTTTCAACACCTCGACACGCTTCTTTGGGTGAGGAGTGGTGACCACTTCTGTGGCGACCCAATTGGCAACACGATTCGACATGTTGATCAACGCCATGATATTGGGGGATGTCTCAAACTTGGTCTTTGCAACGGTCCAACATTTATTGTACAACTCTCTTGGCATGATCTTTTGGAACAACGAAAACTCTGCCAACGTCAACTGCTTAGCAATATCATGTGGATGGTGATCCAAGAATGATTTTGAATAGATCTCTCTTGGTTGTAATGACTTTTAAAAGAATATAATAATAGGTTAGATTGGTTGATAAATAAATATTTATAATTTATATAGAGTTTAATTATTTTCTACTTACATGTACAAATTGTAATATATCATCTCTTTGAATCATTGGTTTGGTACTCGCTTTGGTTGGTGGCGAAGAAGTAATAATTCGCTTGCTAATGATATATGTGTGAATGATAAGGTCAGCGGCTGTACCACCAATGGTAAGATGTCTCATTAGCCACTCTTGTACTTGGTGAGCAGAGTAGGTTTGCTTAACTCCAGCCGCTGCATTGTTTATATTTCTGGGTGATGACAACAACTCTGTTCTCATTGTTTCGTACAACTGATCCAAATTGAGTCTATTCACCAATTGTTTATCGATTGCCTCTTTCAATGCTTTCGAATTTTGTTTCAGTGAGAATTGGATAAGCTGTTGATGCATCTGTTCATTGTCTAGGAAATCCCAATAATTGGAATCAATCCAAATTAAAAATATAATTAAAATACTATCAGAAAGGAAATAGAGAAGGAAAGGAAATTGGAAATAAAAAGAATATATATTAATATTAAATATTCTAATAGTTGTTGTTATTATTATTTTTCCTTTACTTACTTTTGTTTAATACTTTCATGATTATCTTCGGTTTCAAACTTTTTAATTAGAAATTGGAAAAGTTCTTCAGTTTCCATAAAATACTTGTGTGTTGTCAACAAGCTGTAGACGAATGAAAGATCGAGTTTGTTTTTGTTGCAAAGGTACTCTAGGAATTGCTCTTTGTTTCCTGCTATCACTGTTTGTTTGTTGTCGTCGGTTGTCTCAAAGACTAGCTTTGATACAACGGTTTTTGGAGAGGATGGACGTTCGATTGTGTTATTGGAAAGCTTAAGTGGATGGGTTTGCTGTGACGATGTTGTTGTTGTTGTTGTTGATGATACTACTTGTGGCAGTAACTCTCTATCGCCATCGTCTGAAATCGATCCTCTGAGTATGCCAGACGATAGTTTGAGAAGATTGGTGAACGAAGTTGAAGCGGTGCCATTTCGGGGTGTCTTTATTCTATATTCTTCGGCGACGCCAAAGTCGTCGTTGGCAACGTAGGTTGGCGAGTCGTCGTCGTCGAACGACTCACGGCGCGCTTCCCACGGCAGATAGTCCCAGGAATTGAGAATATCGAGTGACTTGCTTCGTGGACGAGTGAACGATGGCGATGGACCCATCATTACGATACGACGTGACTCTGCGAGGTCGTCTGACACCGCCACCGTGACACCACGTTTTCTTCGGGTTTTCTCACCGGGTGAACCACCGGGACTACCGAATAGATTCTGGTGTGACTGCATTCTGGAGCTGCCAAGTGGTGAGCCAATGGTGCGGTGTTGCAGCAATCCTGGTGCTGACATCTGACTTCTAGTTGACTTTAAAAAGGCATTGGGTGATGGGTATCCATTCAGAGGTAATGGTAATGGTGGTAGTGGTGAATTTGGTGGTTTTCTATTGACATTTGGGCTGGATGTAGGGGTAATATTTGGTGAAGATAATGATAAATTTGGTTTATTTGGTGATGTTGAACTATTATTGTTGTTATTGTTTTGATTTATTGGTTTTGTAGATGGAACTGGTGGTGGTGGATATTTTGGTCTTGCCGGTGAAGAAGCCGTTGGTTTTATTAAAACTATTGGTGAAGTTGGATTATTATTATTACTATTATTATTATTATTGCTATTATTATTATTAACACCTATATGATTTTTAAAGGTCGGTGAAACTAATGGTTTAAAAACTACTGAACTAGATGTATCAGGTGAACTTTCATTATTATTATTATTATTTTCTAATGGTACAATTGGTGAAGGTGATTCGTTTTGTTTATTTCTTGGTGCTGGTGAAGGCGAAGATGGTTTTGGTGTTCTTTGTAGCCAAGACATTTTTCAAAGATTTATTGTGTTTGTTGATTTTAAATGAAATTGATTTAATATTATTTACAAATAGAAATGATACATGAAAAATATTGATTAATACTATAGAAATAAATAAAATAAATAAAAATAAATAAAATAAAAATTATAATTCTACAATTTGCTTTTAAACAAAAACTAGAGTTTGTTTTGTTTTGCTGTATGTTTGTTTGATTGTTGATGGTCCTTGGATTGGATAGGTGTTTGTGCAAAAATGTAAAACTGTTGTTACTGTTGTTTTTATTATTTAAAAAACATCCACACTACAACAATCAATTAAATATATGAAGTTGGGCGAAGCTAAGCTAACAACCAAAAACAAAAACAATGCAAAACTAAAACCTTATTTGTTTGTTTGATTAGGGAGGTGCTGGGGCGATAAATAAATAAATAAAGAGGTAAATGTTTATCTTTTGTGTGTGTGTGTGTGGTGTGCTTTGAAAATAGCTATTGTTCCAAATAAAATGTGAAGATGTGGGTGATTCTGATGGTTTGGTTTTAGTTTTTTTTTTTCATCGCCCAAATTTGAAAGTAAAAAAAAAAAAGAGGGCACTTCATCGATGATTCTCAAAGAAAAACAACAAAATTATCAAAAAAAAACAAAAAAATATCCAATAGTTTAATAATTTTGGGCAAGTTTTGTTTGAATTCAATTTTAGATTGGAAGATATTTTTTTTGCTAAACAATTGTTTCAGAGTTGGCCAACATGAGTGAGAGGGGGCTCCATTGCACTTACAAATTTATCCACATCAAATCATCTTGTGGTTATCTTTTAAAAGTCATAACTGGTGTTTAACATTTTATAGATTATTAAAAAAATGATCATTTTTTACTTGTGATTATCTAGATTAGATATTTATGTATTTTTTATTATTTTTTTCCTTATTATTATTGCCCAATTTAAAAAACATTGAAAGTGATCGTTGACTCCTATTATCTGAGCTATTCTTTTTATGATCGCAGTGAATAGCTAATGAGAATTGAGCGGTAGTGTGTGACCACTACTCTTTAGAACTAGTTTATTTTAAATTTGCCCAATGACCGTTAAAAAAAAAAAAAACAATTCTTTTTCAATTTCAAATTGCCCAATACTCTTTTTATTCTTTTTATAGTTAAATTCCCAAGTGTGGAATAAAGTAAAAAACAACAAAAAAGGATTCTAAACATCAACACACAATCAATTTTCTAAAATGGAATAAACAAAATAAATTATAAATTGTTACTATTTTATTGATTTTTAAATCTGTTAACTTGAAAAGATAAAGACTGATAGATAGATATTATTATTACAACGAATAAAACAAGCAAATTTGATAGATATCAATCCAAAAACAAGATATCCGTTAGCATTTTATTATTTTTTAAAAAAATTTGAAAAAAAATCAACAAAAAACAAAATATCTTTTTTTAAGATTCTTTTTTGTAGGATTCCTACAAATTCCTATTCCCTACAAAAAAAAAAACAAAAAAATATCGCCAATACAATATCATAAAATAATATTGTCAATGATTTTTTGTTTTACAACATTGAATTAAAAAAGAAGTAGTTGAGTTGATCAAGAACTTTTGTTTACTTTCTTCTCTAACTTTCTTTTTTTTTCTTTTGTTTTTTTTTTTCCACAATTAAACAAAATTGTCGTATTTATTTGTTGGTTTATTGCGATTCATCACCATACCGACCATATGATATTCCGGTGTTAATTTTGGTTTGTTCGCATTTAATTAAAATTAATTTTTTTATTTTTTGACCCCTAAAAAAAAAACAATTACCCAAAATATTTATAAATTTTTCAAAAAAACTATTTTTTAATTATTTTCAAATTATTTAATTTATATTAATTATAACAAAAACAAACAAAACAAACCTTTAACTTCATCATCAACACAACACAATACACTATCTAGTTATTTATTATAATATAGATTTAATTTTAACTATTTATTTTGTTTGTTTTTGTTTTCACAAAAAAAATATAAAAAAAAACAAAATATAATTTGTTCATTTCAATATTTTTTTTGTTATAAGTAAAGTTTGTTCATAAAGTGAATAATATAATAATATTTACAGATATAGATAGATAGATATATAGAATATAGATAGAAATTGATGAATAATATATAAATAAAGAGATAGAAGAAGAGAAGAGATAAACAACTTTTTTTTGAAAAACAAAAAAAAAAAAAGAAGAAAAAGAAAAAGAAAAAAGAATATATATAGAAAAAAGAGGGAAGTGGAGTTGAATTACATAATATTATTATGTTAAAGACACCTACGTTTGTAGGCGGCTCTACCACTACTCACGACGACTCTGTTGCGGCATCGGCCGCAGCAATGTCGTCGTTTGGTGTGGCAACGCCAGGTCGAGTTGTTGCGCTGTCTGCACATGTACCCAGTTCAATCGTTGAGCGATACGTACGCAATCCAGCGCCACTCGATCCGAACGCACCCGATATACAGTCGACCAAGGCTGCATTGCTCATTGTGCGACTCTACTCACTGGTCAACTCGGGCGAGGCAGCTCCGCGCAGTCACCAAGCCAGTTACCTCTCCATCATCGAAGACATCTTTCAGATTATCATTGAGGAGGGAGGCGATATTCTCCAGGTGCTAAACGGTGCAGAGATTGTTGCAGTCTGGAATGAATCCGACGAGGAGCTATCAACCGTCATACGAAGAGTTGCCATCTGTGCACAAAAGATTCGTTCTCATCTTCAACAGAAAATAGCATGTCTTGGTGATAATAGCAATAATAGCAATAGTAATAATAATAGCTCAACAACCAATAATTTATCAAACAGTCTAAACAGTAACAGCATACAAAATAATAGTTTTCTAAACAATAACAACAACAACCACAACAACAGTAACAATAGTATAGGAAATATTAATGGATTATCAAATACTACAAATTCATCTTTATATGTATCAAATTCAAACTCACAACATCAACATCAACAATCTTTCATAAACAATAGTGTTCCTTTTGGGACATCTGTATCAGGTGCGTTGTCGACGCCGCAACCTATATCAATACCAATATCATCAACATCAACATCAACATCATCATTTTCACAATCATTTCATCCACATCATCAACATCAACAACAATCTTATCAAACATCTTCATCAATACCAATAAATGGATATAATAATTCATTTAGTAATCATAATCCAAATATATATGTAAATAATAATAATAGCAGCAGCAATAATAGTAGTAGTAATATTTATCATAATAATAATAATAATAGTTATAATAACAATAATAGTATAAGTAATCATAATAGTGGTGGTAATTATAATAACTTAAATTTACCATCAGTAACTTCATTTTCAAATTTCAATAATATATCGTCGTCGTCATCGATTTCAAGTCAGCAGCACCATCAACAACAACAGTCAAATGCAGGCAGTCCAAATATAAATCAATCTACAACTGCCAATAATAGTGGTAGTGGTGCAACTAGTTCAACGCCATGCAACGATCCACTTTTCAACATATATATAAGTTGTGGAGAAATGTTTATGGGTTCAGTTGGAGGTGAAAATAATAGGTATGTAATAAATAGTCACTAATTCACTAAACATATTCCATAACTACTTTTACTAACTAAAAAGTGTAATAATATTTTGTAATGTAACAACTACAGTTGGTTAGAGTTATTAGGTGGAGATGCTTTCATTGGATTAAACAAGATTATCAGAGCGTATGAATCTAGGTATGGAATATCATCATTCCCTGTCAAACTATCGTTGGGCAGACTGCAGCCAACAAAGAACACCACCAGCAGTCTTGCAGTACACCAACAGCGCATCAAGAATCTTGTACATTACAATTCATCACCACAACCACTACTCTCTGTGTCACCGGCAGGCATTGCCGTGATGGCCAACACCGCTCAACACTGTCATTTGAATCGTGTATTTGGTCAGATCATTTTTGGTTCCGAAACCTATCAACACATTAGACTTTATTCACAATGTGAATTTATATTTCAAGATAATAGCATTAGCAACAACAGTAACATTAACAACAATAGTAATTTAAATGAATCTACATCATCAACGACAACGACAACAACAACAACACCATTATATAACAATCAAATTTATTTATTAAGACAAATGCAAGAACTTTCGAAACCTGTTGGTATCGGTTTGCAAATGGATAAACTACCACTGAGGGATCTATCACCTGAACATCTGATAGCTATACACAAACTACTGTGGTGTCATCTGCCAATACACGTCAAGGTATTGGCATCTTCACTCATGTCCACCAACACTAACCATCCATCGATGGAACAATTTCGTTTGACTCAAGACTGGAGTCTAGAAACGAGGAATGTAACTTTTCTGGTTCTACATTTCTTTAACCTCTTTTACAAATGGGATACCATAAACTTTTTTCATCCAATCATTGCAAAGGTAAAGTATTTAGTAGTAGTTAGTTAGTTAGAGTTAGTTAGTCTGTTTATTAATTATTATTATTATTATTTTTATTTAGTTACAAGAAATTCTGAGGAAATCAGATGGTACAGTTACTGATATTATTCAAAAATCAGATGGTGTGTTTGTTGTTTGTGCGATGGGATTACCACCATTTTCAAGTGATAATCATAGTGTTGCCGGAGTAAAGAATGCTATGGATATTGGCAGGATGATGCAGACTCACAATAAGCATTTCATTCGTGATGTCAATATTCTGGTGTTGACAGAGAAGATTGTTTGTGGTTTGGTCGGTAACAAGACGAGATCAGAGTATGTGGTGATTGGTGACAAGATTCATCATGCCACACAGTGGTTGTCGACCGTACGAAGTCAAACTACTCTGGGAACAAGCAACAACAGCAATACAGATAACAACAATATCGACGAATATCATCCAAACTCGGGTAGATACTCGCAACAGCCAGTGTCTGAAGGTGGTTGGGTCCTGTGTGACGATACCACCAGAAAGGCGTGTGACAAAGCTATCACATTCGATACGGTTACCTATGATATTCAATTCTCACTGTCGTTATTGAAGTTTAGAACTGGTCTAGTCGATATGTCAAACTATTCAATGAGTGGTTTAAAGAGATCGGTCGATCATAACTATATTTATAATAATCAAACAACTACAACAGCAGCAGCAACAGCTACAACAACAACAACAACAGCATCAACTAATATTAATGGTATTAGAGAAAGAGATAATATGGCTCAAGATAATAATCAACAAGATGCCGATGATGAATCAGTCTCTGTTACTTTCTCACTTAGGAGCTCAGTTAATTCAGATCTCTCATTGGAGAATAACACACCGATTGGTCATCACTCACATTCTTTTGACAATGATAAGCACCATGATAGTCGTGTTTCATTCCATTGCCTACCATGGACACAGCAAATTGCCACAATGATTACTTATCGTCCACTTTCAATTGCACATATACCAACTACAATGGATTATCAAATGGCATATTATAATAATAACAATAACAATAGCAATAGTAACAATAATAGTAATGAAACATGTTCCATTGTTGGTAGAAAGAAAGAGATATCAAGTATTCTAAATAGATACTCTTTGTTGACCGAACGTTTAACTTCAAGTTTTACATTGATTGAAGCGGATTTTGGTTTGGGAAAGAGTTCATTGGTGACAGAGATTTATAAGCAATGCGCCAAGGATGGAGCACAAGTACTCTGTGGATCTTGCAGTCTACTTGAGAAGAGCAAAGCTTACAACGTTTGGACAGGTGTATTCTCGGATCTGTTCTTCTCAGAGTTTTCACTGGGTGAAACTCGTTTCGCACATGCCGCAGGTGGAAAGCAACAATATCAGTTGTTATCGTGGACACGTTATAAGCACGTACAATCAATGCCACCCGAACAGATTCGACAGTATATCTTTCAAAAGTTTACTGATAGACGACCTGAGCTGCTACCGCTACTCTCCTTGTTGAATCCAGTGTTGCGTATTGATTTCCCACCCAATGAAATCACCAATCAATATATGGGATCGTCCGCCATGCTGCTGGAAAAGACATTCGAGTTGTTGGCCTACTTTCTTAGGCTGACGGCATCGAGACGTCGTCTTGTAATCATCTTGGAGGACATTCACTATATGGATCAAGTTTCATTGTCGTTGCTCATGAAGATATCGTTTGCCATCAGACCCATCATGATCATCGCTACCTCTCGTCCTCAGAAAGACAAACCAAAGGAACTAAACAGGATTATCAAAGCATTTAGTCCTGCACCACCAGTATCAAAAGATTCATCTCCACCACCTTTAATTCATACCTCAGAGGACGAACAAAATCAACATCAACAGCAAACAAATCAACAACCTATTAATGTTGAACAGTTACAACAACAACAGCATCAACAAACAGATCAACAACCAATTAATGTTGAACAATTACAACAACAACAATCATCAAAATCAAATTTGATAACACCTCTATCATTTGAATATTATGAAATGCAACTTCAACCACTACCTACCTCTGCAATTAGAGAGATCATAAGAAGACAGTTGGGTGTAAGGATTGTGTCAAACAATATCTATCAGCTGATACAATTCAAGTGCGAAGGTAATCCTTTCGTTTGTATAGAGATGACCAAGAATCTGAGAGAGCGTGACTATATCGTTGTACATGAAGATCATTGTTATATTCAACCAATTCATTTCACAAGAGGATTTCCTCCCATATCCGATGTATTAGAGTCGTTTTATCTGTCAAAGGTGAATCATCTCACAAATACATTCTCAATTATCCTCAAAGTAGCAAGTGTGATGGGACTCTATATATTTCCCTATCCACTGATTCACCTTCTCTATCCAATTGGATCGAAACGACCCTTTCTTCGTGATATCCTTCAAAAGTTGGTTGAGTCTGGTCTTCTTGTCAGCACGAAACGATCACAACTCAGCTCAGAATTTCTATATTTTCCGCCATCCGCCTATCTTCAAACAACATTCAACAAATCTCTTCAACAACAAAGTAGTAATAATAATAATCATGGTAGTGTACCAAATCTTTCTCCAAAGATCAACAGCAGTAATAGTAGTAATAGTCTTGGTTATAATAACAATAGAAATAGTTTAAAAGACTTTTCAACAAGTATGAAAATTACATCTATTATCGGTGGATTCAATCAACCTCCAACACCTCAACATTCCTCTTTCAAGTTACCACCTCCTATGATTGAGGATATTGCAGATTCCGATGAGGATGATGATGAATATGTAGCGAGTTCCAGTCATTCGTTTAGGGACAGTAGCGGTCAACAATCACAACATCGATACAGTACATTTGGTCAATCTTCATTTAGATCACTCAACAGTCAGATGGAGAACTACTCATCGTTGAACGGCACCAACTCGACTGCCGGGCGACCTTCACTCAATATTGGCGAGGAAGATTGGAATCAGTACTATGGATTCAAAAGTCCGTTGTTACAGGAAGCAATGTACAACAGTTTGCTGCCTGCTCAACGACACTCGCTGCATCAAAAGATTGCCAAGTGGATTGAGGAGACCTATACTGCCGATGAGCTGACTAGCTACAATGAGTTGTTGGCAGATCATTGGTCAAAGACCGATATGACCTTTCAAGAGAATCTCTCAAAGGCATTGCAACACACGTTTGCCTCTGGTGAAGATGCAGCGGGTCGTTTCGATTATCTCGATATGATCAAGTATCACTCGGAATACCTCAACATCTTCAAGACCTCCAAGACTGGATCGATTATCAAACAAGATACGTCAAGACGTTTCATACCGAGTTCACCGCATGCTGCCGAACCGATATTCAGTGAGTTTGACGATAGTTTGTTGTGGGGACCACCACTTACCATTGGCATGACCAACGAAGAGCGATTGAAATACGTTGTTTCAACAAGGAGAATAGCAGAGGGATATGCAAGTCTTGGTTACTTTGAGCATGCCGAGCAATATTTCCTACATGCCCTGTCGGTTGTCAAAGAACCACCTCCCAAAGCATCGAGTACCCTCGTTGTCTCTGTGCTAACTCAAGTGACCAAACAAAACTTCTTCAAGTTTGCATCGAAAAACAAACATCAAGTGTACAGCGATAGTTATCTTTCACCAACTACAGCACTCACCTTTGAAACTGCTTGTGTCTATTCCTCGTTGACCGACTATTATTTCAAAGGAAACAACTTGGCGTTGGCACTCTACTGTGCGATGCATGCCGTTCAAGGTATGGAGAATCATCAGTCACTCACAGTTTGGATGGTTTCACCCGAGCTTGCTGTTGCTTACGCGCGACTCTCGTTGATCACATCGATCTACCCGTTCTGTGGATCGGTTTCACCGTCACTCGGTAAACAATCGCTAAAGATTATCGATGACCTCATCGTTGGCTACATTCTTCAGGGCAACAAGATTGCCGTTAGCAACTTGATGACATCGATCGCAACTCTTGGTCTCAGGGATGTCTATCTTGGATCTTGGGATAGAGTGGAGGAGATGATCCGAAAGTGTACCGATATCTTTGATCGCTATCCTAATTCCTATATTAAAGATCGCGACTTGATATTGTTTGTGTTTGTTTCCTATCGTCTGATCAAAGGCGAACTGAACACGGTTCATGCCATCATTGACGAGTGTCTTGCTCACAACCTGGCATCGATGACCTGGATGGCAACTCTTACATTCTACCATATGAAAGCGTTGACCCTTACGCTTCAAGGAAGATACATGGATGCCTACCAAGTGATTATCGAAGCAGAGACATCTAGACCGACCACCGAAGGCATAGAAATGATCCTACGGCACTCTGTCACTTCATCCATCTATTTTTCAAGAGGAGAGATCATCAAGGCACTCGATGATATTGCTTCTATCACCCCGCTCATTGGTACAAGACCAGGTTCATGTGGAATTAGAATCATCTTTGCCTATTCTCTAATCTGCCGGTGTCTACTAAATATTGTTGAAAAGGATCGTTTAAAATCAACAGTAACCGTACCTATAAAGACATCGATTATTATTCATGATCCATCTAGTAGTAGTTCTTTAAACTCAACCAAAGATAATAATAATCAGAGTAGCAGTAGCGGTCAATCATCTTCTTCAAATAATAATAAGGATTTTGTTGCATTTGAATCTTTATCATTTCAATCTACCAATTCATTACCAAAGATGTATACACTTAAAGAATCAAAAAGAAAAGATTCTATTCCAAGTCAACAACCAATTAATTATAATCAAGATTTATTACAAACAAATAATAATATTAATAGTAATAATAATTCACCAACAAATAACAATGAAGTAAATAATAATAACAATAACAATGGAGTTGGTGGAAATGTTGGATCAAATCAAAGTAGTTCTGGAAGTTCAAATGGTAACTCACCAGACTCTCCACTACTTCAAATCAATGGAATACAAATCTATGTTGATGATAATTATAATGGTGGTCATAGAAAGAATAGTTTAACAGGTGCATTCCAACAACAGCAACAACAATTTGAGTTGGATACATCAGAGATTGAAATGTGGATAAAGAGGATTATCAATGAAATTAAGCTTATGGAGAAGATCACACCATTCTCTTCGACAAGTTTCAATAGGCTCAGTGGAGTGTTTACAATCGTCTTTCCCAATGGAAGTGGATTCAAACAACGTGGTCTTGCACTGCTCTACAAGAGTGCCAAAGAGGCAAAGATACAAGGATTGCCACTTGAAGAAGCATTGTCATGGCATGAAATTTCAAAGTATGAAGATAAATCTTCGATCAAACAAAAGTTTGCATGGAAGAACGCTCAAGATTTATATCAGAGAATGGGAATTGATCCATCTGTGATTTAAAACAATAACAACAACAATAACAACAATATTTAAAAATAATAAACTACTTTTATTATATTTCGAGAATAACATACAACAATTTTGAAATAGTTTGGGATGCACTAGAAATCAATCATAACATTTGGGAGTAGAATTACTGTGCAATTATAGTTTGATCGTTGTGTTTTGTTTTGGTGAATTGATATTAACATCTTTTGGAACGTTAACAATTAAAAAATAATAAAATAATTTTATTGTATATCGATAATTACTATTATTACAAAGTTTTATGATGATTCGATTCATCAATTAAAATATTTGATAACCATTGAAAACCCTCTAATACACCACTATTATTATCTATTGCCGCTGTTGGTTGAGTAAACCATTGTCTATCTTTGATATCATTAGTATTGATACGTGCTGATATCTCTGAAATCGATAGAGCATCATGAGCATCTTGGTAGTTATAAAAGAATAGAATTGGTTTGCCTATGAGTTGTACTTCACTCAATATTGTAGTGATATTAATAGATATACTATCTAAACTTCTTTGATCTGTCGAATCAATAACATAAATAATAGCATCTATATCATTAAAATATAATCTCCATGATTCTCTATACCAATTTGAATCCTATAGTATATGATAATCATTTAGAATCGAAACTATGATTGATTGATTGACAATATGCATACCCAACTTGTAATATTAAAATATTTATTCTCTACACGTTCTATATAGAAACCAACTTGAATACAACTCATTGCAATCTCACTTATCTTTAAATTATTTAAAATGGTTGTCTTTCCACTATTACCAAAACCAAGCATCAATAATTTAATCTTTCTTTTTGAAAATAATGATTTTAATTTAACTTTTCCATTATATATAGATAAATAATAAAAGTTTTAAAAAAAAAAAAAAGGGTTGTTTCATTTTATTTTTTAAAATTACAAAATTTGATGATCATTATTGTTATTAATTATTTAATAATACATCTGATAACCATTGAAAACCTTCTAAAACACCAAAGTTATTATTGATTGCAATTGTTGGTTGAAGATACCATTTTCTATCTTTAATCTCTAGTGTATTGATACGTTTCGATATCTCTGATATTGAGAAAGCATTTGCTTGATCTTGTTTATTACAGAGAAATAGTATTGGTTTGTTTGAGAGCACCGACAAACTGAATAAATATTCTAAACTTTCTTTAATGTCTGTGAATAGTTCGTCTTCTGATGAATTGATTACAAAAGTAATAGCATCTATATCTTTGAATAACATCCCCATTAATCTACGGTTCCATCTATTTTGTGATAAATCCTAAGCAATGATGTTAACTAGCTAGTTGATACGTACTTATTTACTTGTTTATTACAACTGTCACATACCATATTAATTATATTTAGATTATTATATTTTGCTTGTTCATAAGAGAAACCAATCATTGGAATAACTTGGGAAATCTCACCAATCTTTAGGTTGTGTAAAATCGTTGTTTTCCCGCCATAATCGTAACCAATCATTAAGATGTTTACTTTACTTGTGAAAATACTATCTACTTTGCTATTACTTTGACCCATATCATTTAACTATATTAAATGTTATCGATATTCATTATTATTAAATGGTAGAGAAATGTTATGCTTTGCTGGTGAAGAGATTGATTGCAAAACCACATCTGAAAATTTTAAAAAAAAAAAGTGGTCAATAATACATATTCAAACTTTTTTTTTTTTTTTTTTTTTTTAACTAGCAATAATTGCAGGTGACAACTAATACAGTAAATTGTTACTGAGAGTTATTAGTGGATTGGCCAGTGAATTTGCAAATTTTTAGCTCTGACAAGTTGATGTTTGAAACTTCGAATCTTATTTTTGCACCAGAATAAAAACACATCCCTTCTGAGCAATATAATTTAATATCATGATTTATATATTGAACTCATAACAAAGTAACTCTTTCTTCTTGATTGCCTATACTTGTTCTTTCTTTGTACAGCGACTAGAATAATACAGCTTCTGAAGTCTGTCCTTAATAGTGTATTATTTATAATTATTTATGTGAATATGCTAATGAGATTGTTTGTAAGTTGAAATAGATGACTTAGTTCATTATAATATTTATTCTTAATAATCATAACATATTAATTGTATACTGCAGTATAAAATTTGGATAATATAAAAAAATAAACTCAAAAAGCAATTTTTTTTCGAAAATGAAATTTTTGTTTTTGGCACTCACAAAAAAATTACAAAAATTTGTTTTTTTTTTTTTTTTTTTTTTTAAAAAATTTGCGTATTTTGATAATTTTACCATGCAAAAAGAGAGATTTTTTTTTTTTTTGTTTTTTTTTTTGATCCTCTCTTTCCTCACCCCTTTTGAACAACCGCTTGATCTAACACAACAAAAAGGGGTTGGACCAGGAGAGGATCGAACTCTCGACCTTAGCATTGCTATGTATACTGTTATATAAGTACTACACTCTACCGACTGAGTTACGAGTCCATATGATTTTTGGAAAACAGAAATCTATTTTTACCTCCTCTATTGATCGCATTTTTCTTACCCCGAGCACCCCAACTCCGTAAAAACGGTTCTCACTATCCTTTTTGTTCGTGGATTACAAACGCAGGATCTAATTACAGCAACTTTTCAATTTTCCGTCTAACAGCGCGCTGTGACTCCCTTTGCCCTCAGTCAGTAGAGGTATCCTGGTGTTCCCAACCTAAGAACATAGAACAGATATCATTTCCCCCCTCCTGGTCTTTAGTTGACGTTCATTTTAATTAATTACTAGTTTTAATAAAACCCGCGGTACAATTGTTGTGTTGTTGAATATCTCAACTTCCGCCTTGTATTGTTCACTTCAAAAAAAAAAAAAAAATTTTCTATTTTTCATATCCCATCTTGCAACATTCACAAGATAAAACTTATTCACAACAACCTCAGTGCTATCTTCATGGAAGTACAGAAACAAAAAGAAACATCAAGAACCACTTCCAACTTTCAACCACAAACTGATCCTGTTCAAGCTTAGAATGGTTGTACTCACAGTATGGGAAAAATCCATAGAAAAGGTCTCCTTCTGGTACAATAAACTCATCAACACAAATAACTCAGAGTTGGTACTCAAATAACAACAGAATATCAAACAAATCATCGACAACTCTCGCAGACCATGCTAATGAGATATAATAAATGAAAGATTGGTAAGGTAGATATCTTTTGATGATGATTTATTGGTTGAATCAATATACTCCTCTCCAATTTATACGAGAAGAATATGTAATAAACTATTGGAAGTCGTTCAAATTGGAATGTATGGTGATGAAGTGATATTGATTGTATTGTTTTTTTATTTGCTGTTGATTGGTTGGTGTAGGAAGGGCCGAGAGAGATGGTTGAGCAAGAGCTATTCAATTATTGAGTAACAAATTTGGATATCAACATCTGTGAAGGAGCATTGTGGTTTTGTGTTTGGGGCGATACAAATAATTTGCAAGATAGCAGCCCATGAAGCTTGGGGGAACTGCCTTGTGATTTGAATAACTGGAATTTGAACAGTATCTGCACCTTCGACATAGAAGAGTGTGTTGCTCTCTTGACCTAAAGCTTCAATATAGAACAGCATTGAATAGTAGCTTGGAATCGCATACGATATAGAGCCAGAAATGTTGACACTAACAACAGAAGAGGCACCTGGGAGATTGGGGAATCCAAAGCTAGATGGATTATTGGGATCTACCAGAAGTTGATTTGGGACCTTGGTGCATTCTTGGCCCCTTGTGGTTGGAAAGAGACAAACAGCAAAAAGAATAGCTCCTATTATTATTATTTGATTCATATTATATTACAGTATCTTTACTCGATAAAGATTGCAATTCTAAACCTAGATTTAATACTAAGCCAAAAAAAAAAATCTAAAAAAATCTAAAAAAATCCATCAAAAAGTTAAAATAAAATTAGAATTTAATTTAAATTTTTTTGATTGTTCTGTTTGGTAAAACAATTGAAGGGTATTGATACCAAAAAAGATTCTGTCGGGTTGTTTTGATTTAAAAAAAAATCAATTTAAAATTTCAAAGTTGATTGGGATGCCACGTTGCTCTAGATGCCTATTGTCTGTCAAGTACATACCAATCTCTCAACTCTACCTGTGGTTCATGTATCACCTCTATTGATGGCTATGCTAAGTGCGGCACATCATCATCAACAACTGGTACAACTGTTTCATCAGCCTGATTCAGCCACATTCGATTCATTCTCAATCTTGTAACAGAGACAGATGTAGTATCTCATTGGGACAATGACAACAATTGGAAAATACACAGTCAAGACCTGTATTCAATGTATGAAGCTTGGTGCAAGCAATAAGGTGAGCGAAATAGCTCTCAAAAAGTTCTCATTGTCAGATATCAATCTCAAGAGAGAATACTTACAGATGAATGGTGCGAGACGACAAGGATATAAGTTGAATAGATCTAATATCATTGAGCAGATACAGGCATCTTTGAACTTGGATATACATCAACAACAATAACAATAAAAGGATAACGAAAAAGTACAATATCAATATAGATATCTATATCAGACCCCTCAGACCCCACACTTTACAATGACAAATCTGTCAAGTCCTCTATTGTCAATTATCATGTTCAACTTGTCAATCCATTCATCAGCTGACTCCTCTTTTCTCTTCTTCAATGGCAGTTCTTTGTTCAACCATGGCAGGTCATGATAATACTCGATAATACGCTTCTCTTTGTTCTCCTCTTCTATCTGATCTTCATTCACCTGATCATCATCAACCATGGAGTCATCATCATCAGATGACATGTATAAATGATTATCACTGGCCTCTGGATCACATGTATTGGTGACAACAGGTCTTGGCAATTTAATCACTACAATGTCATCAACTTCAACAAGTATGTCATCAATAACATGCTCAACCTAGTCTGTTTCCTGATTTGTTGTCGATGACCTGTGTTCCCAACATAGATTGTTATCCATGTTCTTGAAATGCCTGGTACATCTATTTCCTTTGTTCTTTCCACGTTTAAAAACATGCTGGCATACATTTGCCTTTCCTACACCAACCAATCAACAGCAAATAAAAAAACAATCCAATCAATATCACTTCATCACCATACATTCCAATTTGAACGACTTCCAATAGTTTATTACATATTCTTCTCGTATAAATTGGAGAAGAATATATTGATACAACCAATAAATCATCATCAAAGATATCTACCTTACCAATCTTTCATTTATTATAACACTAATTCCAATATTGGATTCTCTGTAATAGAACAATCAGTATTGAATATATTAATTTTCTTTCATAGTAAATCTTTGTATTTGAAATTGTAGAATCATGATTCAATAATATATATATATAATGAAATAGAAGAAATGAATAAGAGTATTCAAATTGTTTATACAAACATCAAATATTTAGATTTTCTCAAATAAATTAAAACTACAAATATATGCTAATTAATTTTTTGTTAAACTCTATAGAATTCAAAAGTTTATTAAATGGAATTCGGGAACCATTTAGAGAGTGAAAGTTGTGACTAAATTATTCGTAAATACTTCAACAATTTAGTAGGCTTCAAGGTATTGTCTCCAGTTCTCACAGATAGCCTTGGAGTATGGACGCTTGTCATTGTAGTTCATGACATCTGGACCGTAGTACATGGCATCTGGGTAGGTTGGCCATCTTGAGAATGGACCAGAGGGGTTACCATTGTCAGCATAGTCAGTCCATGAACGGGTCATACGATGGGCCAAGACGGCATCGGCTGGGGCGAATGGGTAGGGAGTGTAGACATCTTGGAAGAAGACGTATGGCAATTCGTTACCGTGGGAGGCAGCCAAGAACCAATCGCTGGATGGGTAGTTTGGTGAGGAGTAGTTGAAGATGTAGTTGTTGAACTTGACACCTTGTTGGAATAAGTACTCAGAGGCCATGATGGAACCACAGTTGATGTAATAGTCACCAAAGAATTCGGAACCACCCATCCAGTTACCGATTTCACCGGCGACTGGCAAGTACCAAGAGATGATTTCGTCACGTTGAGCTGGGGTAAAGTAGACGTTCAAGTATTTAACGAGGGAGTTGTAGAGGGTGGTGTTGGTGACTGTGGTGGTTGGTGGGACGTAACCGAGACGGGCAAAGGCCATGTAGTGACCCTCATCGTAGTTGTGACCGATGATAATGTTGGCACGCTTGTTGTACTTTCCTTGCTTAAAGGCAGTGAGCAATTGAGTCTTGATCAAGTTACCGTCGACCATTGGAACAAAGAAATCAGAATTACCAACGGTTGGGGTGATATCGGCGGCTGGCTTGGATTGCATACATCTCAAGATGGCGTTGTAGTCTGGGGCTCCGGAAGAGGTGACGTTGGCACAACCCTTGGTGGCGGCGTAAGCGGCAGTCTTGACCTTGGAGGTGGCGGCGGTTGGGACAACCCATTGCCAGGCAGAGTGGGCAACGATACGGTTGTACAAGTTGTATGAGGATGGCATGGTCAAATGGTAGAGGGTAGCAGAACCACCGGCAGATTCACCATAGATGGTAACACGCTCGGGATCACCACCGAATGAACGAATGTTGTCTTGGACCCAACGGAGAGCCATTTGTTGATCTTGGAGACCGATGTTGGTGTTACCATCGAACGATTGGAAACCGAAAATGTTCAAACGGTATTGGATGACGACGTGGATGACATTTCCGACGGCAGCGAGATGATCACCTTGGAAGTCGGTGGCGGCACCAGTCCAGTAACGACCTCCGTGCAAGAAGACCATAACTGGCAAGTTGGAGTAGTATTGAGTTGGATTGACGTTGTGGATGTTCTTTGGGGTGAAAACATTCAAGTAGAGACAGTCCTCAGACATGATGTAACCGGTTGGTTTACCTGATTGCCAACATGATGGTGGCATTTGGGTGGCGTAGGTCATACCCCAGTTGTACCAGAGTGATTGTGGTGGCTTGAAACGGAGGTTTCCAGTGGGTGGTTGGGCGTATGGAATACCGAGGAAAGCACGGGACTCATTCATGTAGATACCAGTGTACATACCGGAACGAGAGTTTACGGTCAATGGGTAGGTGTTGGATGGACTACCCCATGAAGATTGACCATCGAATTGAGCGTTGGCAAGCAAACCACTCAATAAGATGATAGTGGCTAAATAGAAGATTCTCATCTTGTTCAAAAAAAAAAAAATTGTAATGTGTGATTTACTAGGGATACAAAAATTTTAATTAAACTAAATATGGCAATTGATTGATATGATTATTATTATTATTAATGAAGTTGATGATGGTACTGATGTGGTATTTATCTTAATGTGATAAATGTAATGTTACACAGTAATATTAATTGTACAGTTGATGTTTGAGTTTTGACTGAATTGTAGAGTGCACGTGACTTCCTTTTTATATCATGTCATGTCCATATGAAAAAATATACGGAAATAAGAAATTAATTATTTTTATTATTATTATTTAAAAAATTAAAAAAAACACAAGAATTACTTCAAAATATCAGATAAACCGTACACTCACCTGATTAGATGGACCAAATTCTTTGATTTAATTCGTCAAGACGAAATCAATCCCAAATTTAGAACGACTGAAAATTTGTTTTTTGATGTCCTCAAATTTCGTTTTCAATATATCTCGTGGGGGGACTAGGGGGAGTTTTTTCATATTGATCAATAAAATTGATTTTGATAAGAGTGAAAAATATTTGATCAAATAGAAAAAAAAAGTGGGTGAAAAAGATTTTTTTACAAAAAAACAACGACTAAAAAAATAAAAAAACCATGATATGGTGAGAACAGACAAGTTCTACTCCTATGATTGACTTTTTTGTAATGCAAACAATGTGCACTCTTAGCAACTAAACAAGTTAATTTTTTTGTGTTTGGTACTCAAAATTTTTTTGTTTTGCGTGTCGAATACTTTGAAAAATCTAATTTTTTTTAACCAGTGAGAAGAATAGAATAAATTGCTATTTTTTTCAGCCAATTCTTTTTGTTTTTGTTTTTTTTTTTTTTTGTTCTTGCTTTCAGATTATTGGTTACTCTTTAATCTTTTTAATCCACAACCAGATGCAAACAAAACTAAAATTTTTCGATCGATCGTTGTTGTTCAAAGACTATTTTTATATTTTTTCGATTCCAAATTGACGGATGAGTTCAGATTAGTCTATATTTTAACTATTCGATCAAATTTTCTTCTCATTCCAAGAAGATGTACACGTTTTTAATATTATCTGCTAAGCAATGTCTGATCGATTTTGATCGAAATCATCCTGGCGGTTTAAAACTATAACCTATGACCAATGTGATCCACAATGAACAAAATAAATTAAAAATTAAAGTTTATCAAACTTTTATTTTATTTTATTTTATTTCTTTTTTCTTTCTTATTAAATGATCCCCATTTCGTGATTTAATATTGAATTATCATGGATGGCTTAGAAATCTCTATCAAATTTATTGATGGTGAAAAAGTTTTGGATATAAAAAAAAAAGAATCAAAATTCTCGTTTCAAATAAACCGTTTAGGATTTTTTAATTTGAATGTTCCTAGTGATTTCATTGGTTGTGATCAAATGAGGGAGGATGAGATTTTGCAATTCAACCACACAAACAAAAACAGTGCTTTTTTAATTAAAAAATCAATAAAATTTCTTAATATCATCATCTCGAAACTATCTCCCACGACTCTCCCAGAATTGATAGGTCAGAGACATGCAATATGCAAACTTACCAACTTAAATCAAATCAAATGAGATTTATTGATAGCTGATGAAATATGATCTTAAAAAAATTTGCAGTGTGACAACCTTTGTTGATGCAACATCAATTAACATCATTATTCTATAAAACATTAAAGTATTAAATAATACATTACACTACCCCATTAATTATTTTTTTGGCACTATCTTCACAATTCATTGTAAGTTGACATTAAGTTATTAATCTTTAAAGCAATCAAATGATTGTGCGCAAGTGACATGTCACATATGATAGGTTGAAACCATTTAAATATTGGGGTAAGTGATAAAATGAAAGTGACCACGTTGTCAATTTAGTTATTTGCATAATAAAATAACAATACATAAACATAAACAATCGTTTCGTTTCGTTTTCTTTTTTTTTATTATTATTATTATTATAAAATATTTTCTATTTATTTATTTAAATTATTGTAGTTTCTTTTGTTTTTTTTGTTCTTTTAATTCCTTTTTGGTTGGTGGTTGTTGAGGTTGTTGATGTTGTGGTCTTGGTGGAAGTTGAATTGGATTTGGATTTTGAACAACTTTGAAATTGATTGAGTATTGTGAATCCAATCCAATGTATCCATCACACATCAAGTGCAAAGAGTAGTTGTAGGTACCGGGTTTCTCAGGTGTCAAGAATTGCATTTTGATTGTGTTACCGGCTTCCCAGCTCTCAGACTTTCCGATTGCTACCAACTCATTCTTGAGACGGTCACCAAATACGACCCACCAACAGATAGGACGTTCCTCATTGACAAATGGAGCGTGATAGAAGTTCTCGGATGGCTTGGTGGTCTTCTTGACTGGAGCTTCCCAGTCACTGTCAGAGTCACTCTCACTGTCGGAACCAGAGGAGAGCATTTCGTCGTCGTCATCACTCTCAGAGAGATCGTCTAGCTCATCTTCGTCTTCGAGCTCGGTTCCATTGTCGGCGGCTTCTTTTTTCTTTAATTCACGCTCGGTTTGCTTGGCCAAACGCTTCTTTTCTTTCTCTTCCTTCTTCTCCTTGGCTTCACGTTCTTTCTGGAGTTGTTGTTGACGACGCTCCTCACGTTCCTTTGCCTTTTGACCCTTCTTGCTAGCCATTCCCTTTTGCTTCTTTGGTTTTGCGGTTAGTTCTTTCTCGATTTGTTTATTCTCCTCTGATAGTTGTTGTTGTTGTTGTTGTTGTTCGGCACCATTGTTTTCAGATTTCTTATTCTTCTTTGGTGTCTTGTCAACAAACTCTGCTACCAAGGTACAGATAGCAGTTGAATAGATAGTACCATCCTCCTCACCAGAGACAAGCTTTATATTAATACCAACCTCTGTTGGAATCTTTTGTAAAACATTTTCAATATCTCTAATCTTTTCATTTGGAATAGATTGAGCTTGTAAATATTCTTTTCTAGCTTCTTCACTAAAACAAGTTGATTATAAAATATATTATTAGTTTTCTTTCTTACTATTATTATTATTATTATTATTATTTTAATAATCAACTTACCCAATTCTATTAAATTTAACAATATCAAATACTTTTCTATAGTTTAGTGATGAAATGTTAAAGGAATCTAAATATGGAATTTGTTTGAGTGATTGATCTTCCCATGCAGCTTGAGTAACGCATTGATTCAACTTTAAGAGTTCAATGATTGAATTTAATTGTCTCTTCTCCTTACAGATTTGGAATGCACCGTTGATCAACATTCTAACCTTCTTTAGCACCTCTTGGAGATCCTCTTCGAGCTTTGCTGGAATCTGTTGGTGAATTCTCGAGATGTGAGCGTACAACAGTGTAGTCGCCTTGATGATATATGGATGATTGAATCTGAATTTCTTGATCTTGTGTGCATCTGGTATGGCCTTTGTCAGTGCCTTGAGTGATTCCTCATCAGAGGTACGCTCTGGCAGCGCATCCTTATACTCTTGTGAAGCACCAATAATCTCAACCAACTGTGTCATTCTCGTCTTATCATCGATGACATGATAGTACAACGCCAAACTGTTGTTCTGTACAGTGTTGGCCGGTTGTTTAGATTTCTTATTCCAAAAGTAAACACCTGTTGGAATTAAAATAACCAAAGCAACTAAATAAACAGATAATACTAAAGGTAAAGAAAAAAGAAAGAAAAATGATAATAATAATAAGTTGATTAATAAACAAATGTAATGTTGTTTAAAAGTATATTATATATATGTATGTATATATTAACAACATTGTACTTACCAATGGATGAATTGTTACGATTAACTAACCATGATGGTAGTGCAATACCAACAGAGACGGGTTGTGGACCGTCGGGATTTCCGTACTTTTCAAACTTCTCACGAATTGCAGGATCTGTGAGTGATTCGTATGCCTTTGAGATTGCAATGAAGATCTTTTCGTCACCGCCCTTGTCGGGATGGTGTTGTCTACTGAGTGTACGATAGGCCTTTTTGATCTCGTCTTCGGTTGCACCGGTGGTGAGACCGAGTACCGAGTAAGGGTTGTACGGTTCGTGCTCTTGAATTCCATTCTTGATGACACTGAACAACATCACCAGGAACACACACCACAACAATGCAATCACAGCAAACTTTACATAGTTGACAACGTTGTAGTTAGCACGCTTCGTCTCCTCTTGCTTCAACTTTGCTTTGTGTTCGCAGCCGGTGCAGTTGCAATCGACCGACTTCTTCAGTGGACGTGGCAGCAGTTTTCGGTAGGCCCACAGAGTGCATGGCAATAGCACCACCAACAGCGAGAACAACAACCAATATTGGAATGCACTGTCATTGTAATCCTCTGAACCCTGTTGTTTTGTATTATGTTGTGACATCTTTCTAAATGTACTACTACTACTACTACTATCACTTAAATAATAATAATAACAACAACTAAATTAATATTAAATAAAAACAGTCGACGCTTTTTTTTTTTTTTTAAAATTAAAAAAAACATGTGAACTCTCTAAAAAAAAATGAAAAGAAAAAAATGAAAAATTGAAAATTAAAAATTTAAAAAAAATATATTGACTTTTGATTTGACTTATAACAAGTCATTATAATTTGTAAGTAGTTAGTCTAGTGAGTCAGTGATATGATTATTTAACTTAATCTTATATGTATATTATCATTAATAATTTGATAAATCTAAGATATTTTTCGTTGAAAACTAGCTAGATTTATTAAACTTTTTAAAAAACTAAAAAATTAAAATAAAATAGTTAAAATTTATTCAAATAAAATAATCAAAACACATAACTATCATACAAATAAACATATATATATTTATTTTGATTCTTGTTAATATTTAAATGACGTTTAACTTTCGTTTTTTTTTTTGTTTTTTTTTTTTTTAATTTTCATAAAATTGCAATTTAAAACTGATTGGTTGATTAATGATTGATTCAAAGATTACATATTAAAGGGTGATCAGCGACTCGACTATTAAAGATGATTTCATCAACAACAAGAAATATAATATCAAGATTGACAGTAAACACAAACTATCAATATTCATTTAGATCAATAGTATATAGTAAGAGTATAGTCATCAGAGATTCATCATCATCACAACAATCATTACAACACCGTTCATCATCCTCATTTTCATACAACCAACTAAATAGATTCAATAATAATAATACTTTAAATTATATTAAACGTTACTATTCAAGTGAAGAGTAAGTAAATATATATAGTATTATATTTCTAATCATATCAATGATATTGACAAATTAATCAATTATAAAAGATTACCATTACCAATATATCATACTATTGTAGATGATGAATTAGAGTTATTTTCAGATAGAATAGAGGTATTAATTCAATCGTTTGAAGATAAAGGTGCTGATGTTGAAACTTCAGTAAGTTAAGTTAATATTATTATTTTGTTTTACAACTAGATTACTGATATATTTCTTATGAAAATATCATAATAGGATGGAGTATTAACAATTAATTTAGGAAAAAATGGTACATATGTAATTAATAAACAAACACCGAACCGTCAGATATGGTGGTCATCACCTATTAGTGGACCAAAACGATTCAACTATGACACAATATCAAAGCAATGGATAGATAACATCGATGGTACACCTCTAAGAAATCTTCTTCAATCTGAAATCAAGACTTTATGTAAATATGATTTGAATCTTGATAATTAGATTTGAATAGATTGGATTACTTGGATATTCAAACTATTAAAATATGATGATCATCAATACTGACTGCAATAGAATAAAATTTATAATAATAATAAGATTTTATTTACAATTATTTTATATTTTTATATATCTACTTTTATCTTTCTTTCTTTCTTTATTCCAGTGGTATTTGTTGTAGTTGTTGTTTATTAAGTTCATCTTCAAGATTGATATTGTTATTTATATTATTATTATTATTACTATTGTTATTTGTATTATTATTGTTGTTGTTTTCTGTAATTTCTAATTGATCAAAGTTTAATTTAATTGGTGTATTGTCTATTGGTTCAACTGGATTATCTATATAGTTTGTTTGAGTGTTGTTGTTGCTATTGTTACTATTAGCAGAGTTTGTTGTTGTTGATTTATATGGTGATTCTTGTTGTTGTGATGTTTGCTGTTGATTTATCATAGGTTTCAATTGATCTATTGAGGGTGTTATCATTTGTGATGTCATAAGTTGTTTGGTTGGTATGCGATGGAGTAATCCATAGCCGATGTCACAACCCAAGCTACCGCTACCACCCCAATTCTTGTTGGGTGTAATGGTGACGAGACGTACTTGCTCTGACAACGAACTGTAGATATACAACTGAATCGGTCGATACATATTGTTGTTGATCAGCGTAAAGAAGTCTTCTTGTTCGTTCATGATCAAGTCTGGTGTACCAACGATATAGTCGGTTCTCGTCTGTAGACCGGCTTCGTGTGCAGGTGAATTCAAATAGACATCCAGAATATGCCATACATTCTCCAATGTCTTTGACCAAGAGCAATATCTAATGCTTATACCCGCCAAACCATTACCTCCCCATGTATTACTTGGTACAATAACTTGTTCTAAATAAATAATAAACAATTAAAAAAAGATTAATAAAATAAGTATGTATATATCTATATATATATATATATTATTATTATGTATTTTCTATTAAATTACCTCTTGTTGTATCAGATTTTATATTATAAACAATTAGATGAACTTCTTTTTCAATGTTTTCCTTAAAGGTGTCAGAGAATCTAGAGTCTTCTTTGTCAAAGACTACTTGGTTGGCAGCGACAATAAAGTCAAAGAATGGTACGAGTCTACCGCATGCCGGTGAGTTTGGTTGTACCTGTAGAACATGATAACCAGTACGATTGTAGAGATCTTGTTGACCTGGTTTCGACGATGTACCAGATGAAACAGGTGCACCTCCAATATTTAGTTGTTGACTCTGTGAGTTTGGTCCACCTACACCAACATTACCAGATTGTGCATTTCCCATTATTTATAATATAATAATAATAATATATTTAATATAAAAAACAAACAATGAAATAAATATATATGTATAATTTATTTGGTTATTGTAAAAAAATAAATACACTTTCAATCAATAAAAGTCAAAATTTTTCAAAATTATTTATATTTTTCGGGGTAGTGTAATCAATCATCTTTTCATGATCATCAAAAAATTAATTAATAAAAATAGATTATATTTAAAAATTATATTAAAAAATACCTACAAGTCAGAGCCTCTCTATATATAATACTAAAATGTTATTTTTAGAACACCATTGATTAATATTTTCCCTTCTTATGTTGGAATGGAAAGTTCAGACAGGTTAATCTGTGGATAGACATCAGTCATTGAGATGGTTGTGCCGTTGGGAAGCTTAAATTGTACCTCTTTAGCCTATAAATTAGCAAATGTAGTCATAGATTGATTGAAAAGGAAGAAGTAATTTTAAATTAAATATATTCTTTACTTTTAAATAATGTATTCAAATTATTATTAATGTGGAATAGATCTTTCAGTTGTTCTCTGACCTGTTGTAGTAGAACAATGGATTTTACACTGTAGAGATGTCTGCCTACGATAGTTCTTAAATTAAATATTTAAAAAAGATTCTATTTTTATTAATTTTTTGATTGATATAAGTGTTAAAACGTTTTTTTTGCTTCAAAATGTTCCGTCTTCAACATACACCTCCATCTTTAAATAAGGATATTGTTTATAAATTATACGAAGAAGGTGAGAGTTGTTTGTTTTGATGATAAGTCTCTCCAAGTTTGGAAGACTATCGATTGTTTCTTTGAATTCGATATCTTGTTCGTCATCCTCTTGAGGACAAGTATATAAACCCTTCAAGTACAAAGTGTGAATGTTTTGTTTGTTGTACAATGAATACTGACTATCTTTATTCATCGATGTAGGTATTTCAAAGAAATGAATATCATTATTGGAACTTGTCTCCAAATATAAATATATTCGATTTGTTTGCATAGATATAAATTTGAATCAATTCTTACAAACCAATGATAGTTCGACATGTGATGAATTTAGATTTATCATCTCGAAATAAAATGAGTCAATGGCTCCTTCATTTGGATGGTTTCTAATGTATGGTACAATGTATTCCTTCAATGTCGATGGAATTCGATTTGACAACAAGTATGTCAATATTTTTGTTGAAGTAGTATTGATAATATTTGCATGTAAATGTGTATACATTTTTATGTGATTTATATAATTTTAGCAAATAAATAGTAATAAAAGATATTCTATAAAATGTTGTTAACTTATAAATAGACATGTCAGATTTGTTCTACTGAATTTACTTCAATTAAAGAGTTTCAACACCATGCAGTTGAAAGCTGCATACCATGCGTATTAGATTACTTTGGACTTTCAAAAACAATATTTATTGAACTATTGAAAGAAGAATGAGAAGTTAGAGGAGCAAATAGCAGCATTAAAATTGGAGGCACAAAAGAATGAGCAGTTAGAGGAACAAATAGTAGCATTAAAAGTAACTCTGTTAATTTTTTTTTTGTTTGATCAAAAGTGTGAACTTTTTTTTTTTTGCAAGTCCAAAATATCAATTTTTTTTTTTTTTTTTTTTTTTTTTTTTGGAACAATATCATTCAAAAAGTTTGACATGACGATTCACTTTTAGATTTAAGTATGATCCCTTCGTTTTACTGGCGTCATTAAATTTATATGGCGGTTAAATAGTAAAATAAAGAAAAATCTGTTGTGTAATTATATATTCTAGTACAGATGAATACAATACCTTTTAGTAAAAATAGTTTCTTTTGTAAATACTGTAATATAGTTCATACTTCAAACAAAAAGAAAATCCAAATTGGAGGAAATGGCAAAGAAGTACAGCAAACCAATCGATGAAATCATTAAATTACACAAGGAGCGAGGATGCTTCATCTGCAGTAAACCCCGTGCTAGTTGTGGCAGCTCCAAAGAGCGCACAACCACCTCCAAGTAGATCAATTACTAGTATCATCATTGAGAAGACCTCACCTAGGTATATCAAGATCAAATACCTAGAGAGCTCTTGGTATGGAAATTGATACAGCAGTGGCATTGGAACACAGTGAGCCAACAGATTTTTCTTTATTTTTCTATTTAACCGCCACATAAATTTAATGACGCCAGTAAAACACCCCCCAAAAATAAAAATAAAAAAATTTTCCACCATATTAATTTAATATCCCCAGTAAAATACTTAATTTTTTTTTTGAACCTAAATTTTGTTGAATCGTAGTAAAAAAAGTATCCCTTTTGTTATTTGTTGTATCATTTGTATCATTCTATACCCTGTTATTTCATCTATATCTTTCTTTTAACTAAATTTATTTTAAAAAATGAATTAGAAAATGCCTCAGTTTGTTTTAACTACTGGTATATTGTTATCAATCAATGATATGTTCTTTGCATCTATGAACAAAGACAAAAATTATTTTTAGTAAGTTTTCAATGTGACATTGACATTTATTGTTTAATTATAAGTTCTTTTAATTAATAATGATTTACAATTTAAATTTTTTATTTTAAATGTTAAATTTTTTTCGATGATAGTGGTTGTGGCTGTTTTTCACAATTTTTTTTTCTAAGTTTTTGCAATAGAGATTAATATTAAAAAAATAAAATAAAATATCAAACCTTGTTAGATTTTAATAAAAATTAGATAAATAGAAAGTATTTTTATAGTAGATTTAGAATATAAAGTTTGATTTATTCTTTAAAAAAAATTTGAAAGAGTTTGGCCTCTGTTTTTCGATGGGTAAAATGAGTTTTCCAATCTGCATCGGAGTTCGGAGCAAGCTACAACAAACCCGAGAGATCAAAGAATACAGGGACAGACATATTTATCAATGTTATGAAAGATTCAATCAATTTCTCAAAGATCTTCAATCAAAAATTGCTGTTCAAAAAATGGTTATTGTAATATGGGAAATTTATATGAGAAAATCAATGATAGGCAACTAGCGAAATAGATATTAAACAATGGACCCTACTGATTAAATAAAGCACATATATCAAATAGAAATGGTTCAACACACGATATGTGATCTTGAATTTCTATCGATTCCTTGAATAGTGGATATAAGCTGGTATCTTTCACTTTGCCAATCTTCACTAAATATTAAATTTTTGGTTTTTATTTGAATCAAACACAATCAAATCAACAATAACCATATAAAATTCAATTGTATAATGTTAGCGATACGAAAAAGCAACTTTGTATTATAGTAGATTGACAAGAAAGTGAGTTAATAAATGAATAAATGAATAAATATAATATATATGAATATAAATATATAAATATATAAATATATAAATATATAAATATAAATAAATATAATATTTAAATAAATATAAAAAATATAAATAAATATAACACTGAAAATAAATATAAATATTAAGATAGATATAAAGATAAATATAAATAAATAAATATAATACATATATTGATATATAGAGAAATAAATAAATTACTGGATGAATAAATAAATGTATGAAAGGAAGAAAGAAGAATGGGTGGATGAAAGATTGAAAGAAAGAAAGAAAGAAAGAAAGAATGGATGAAAGGAAGAATGAAAGTGAATTAGGTGCTAATTCACTGCAGTGCAAATAAATAGAAATATAGTGTAAGAATATAAATATGTAAAGCGTTGAGCACAATGTGCACTGGACTAATACAGTACTTATATTGTATTACCTATATCTATTTATTTATAGAATGATACATACCATATAAACAAATTAAAGGCAAAACTAACCTATACTTTTTTGGAGAAAAAAAAATAAATTTGAATTAGTTATCTTGAATATACTTGATTATTTACCCACCCTGCACTGAGTGTGCTCCTGGTAATCCATTCTATTATTATTCACGACTATCATATCAAAATGGAGAAAATCTACATGATAACCGGGTGGCTCGTTCGATGCACCTTTATTGTTGTTACTCAACAATATTTTTCTATTTAAAACAAAAAAGTTAATAAGTAAGAATGTTTATCCAAATTGATTTTCAATTACATACATTTTATTTTTAAAGATTGTAGCTGAGTCGATATAATAACTTGACCACCTTAGTTAGAAATATTGACTAGTTGGCCCTTTATATATTCTAAAGTGGTGCATTTTAAAATATATAGTTTTATAGTGTGCCTACCATATAATGCCGGATTGGTCTGTATCAAATAAGTTAGTAAAACATTAATTGAATAATGTATACTAGACATTATTGAGTGACAGCCAGATGGGAGTCTTCATCTTTTACATTCGGTAATACCAGAATAATTTGTCGTAGGCATACAAAATTATCTGATATGTTGAACATAAATTAATGACATACGAAATATAATAAAGAAGTAAATAAAATTTATATTAATAAAATTATATGCGTATACCTTTATTGGACTATTCTCTTGATTAAAAATACAAATAAAATCTAGAAAGATCACATTCTTTGTATGAATTGACCTTTGTATAATAGAATGAATTAGTTAAGTACATTCACAACTGCTCAGCTGCTATATAAGGAACTTATACTTACAATGAACTAAAACATAATATAAAACAAAATTTACTACTACCAAATCAATATGCTTCAACATTCAAACACTCCAGATAATGAATCAGGTTGAAAGCGTTATTCTAAAATAATATAGCAAAGTGCTCACATGTTGAATTGTGTTTTTGTTAATAACCAAAATCACCTTATTCAATGTTGAAATAAATTTGATTTGAAATGTACTAGACCAGACTCCCATCCGAATATATACATAGCTTCATCAAACCCATAACAACAAATGAAAAAATAGGCGAATTGATTGCAAAATTCTTTACACACTACTGCATATACTATTTCAAAACAAGCAATCAAAAATTATTGAATAATTATGATCCACTAAAGATATGTCAAAGAAATAAAAATAAGTAATCTGTATTCATTAAAATAAAACAATTATTTACTTACACTATCTTTTATGCCTAAACATCTCCACATACCAAAAAGATTATAATAAAATTTGAATTATAAAAATGATTTTAAAACATTTCCAATCATATTTTGAATTGGTCTTATTACCAGGTTTGATAATGGGTTCTTAATAAGTAGAGTGGAGAAGAGCTGTCCATAGTCCGCTATGGCTGTGAGGCATGGAATTCTTATAATAAGTTCTCGTAGAGATGGCCAATTGGATAAGAAGTCACCGGCATTGTTCATGTTTTCGTCTTCTTCTGCGGTATTCAACTGGTCCTTGATCTTTTCATATGGAATACAGAATCGATCGATCTCCATTGCATCGTCAGTTTCCTCAACTTGTTCCATGATAGGATCTTCATGTGATGTCATTTCTACATCATTTGATGCTGCTGCTTCTGACTGTGGTGGAGATTGTTGTTGCAGTATTTGTGAAAGTTGTTGTAAATAGTTGATTTGTTGTTGTCTATAATCTTGAATCTGCGAGTTGTAATTGTTATCGATTTCAAAGATTACGACAATTTCTTTTGCTGGTTTTGATTGTTCCGTTGATTGAACTGTAGTGTTGTGTTGAATAGGAGTATGGAGTGGTGTTTGGGTTGGAGTTTGGATTGGTGATTGAGATGGAGTTTGGATTGGTGTTTGGGATTGTGTTGGAATTGGTGTTTGGATTGGTGTTTGGGATGGTGTTTGAATTGGTGTTTGGGATGGGGATTGGATTGGTGTTTGACTATTTACATGAGTTGATTTGTGATGTTTTTGATTGTCCATTGATTCTTGATTATTATCTTCTTCTCTTATTCTTTTTTTTGTTGAATTGTTATTATTATTATTGTTATTGTTATTTATTTGGTTATTTATTTGGTTATTTATTTTTTTATGTTGACTATTATTGTCACAATCATCCTCTCTTTCTTTTCTTTTACCACTATAAATCAAGCTCGATCCGATATCATGATCATCGTCACCAAAATCAATCGATTCGATATCAAACAATGGTTTACTTTGGGTATTTTGTGTATTATTATGTGTATTATTATGTGTATTATGTGTATTATTCTGTGTATTATTCTGTGTATTAATTTGTTTATTATTTTGTGTACTATTTTGTATATTATCTTGTGTATTATTCTGTGTATTATTTTGTGAATTAGTCTGTTTTGTTTTCTTTGTTCCTCTGTAGCCTCTTCTTCTTTTGTTTGTACCAGAGAGTGTTTGGTCTGGTGTAGTTGTGGTAGCTGGTTTTGGTGAAGATTGAGATGAAGTAGAAGCAGCTTGTGAATTTGAAAGTGTTGGTTGAGATGGTGACTGAGGTGACGAAACAATTTGTTGTGTTCTTGAAGGTGTGGGTTGTGGAGCTAATTTAGATGTTACATTGGCATAAGTATTTATAATATCGCTCATCTCTTTTGCCTTTTCCTTATTTGATTCGTCTACATTCTTGGCAATCTCATTCATTTCTATCATGGTGTTTAGATAGGTGGTATGTGCCTTATCTCGAGCTGGTTTCCAAGACTGTGCCTCCTCCTTGGTGGTCGATTCGTAGCCTCTGGAAATTGTAGTCTCTTTACCAACTTGACTTTTCATAGCAGAATATTTGTAGATAGTCATTTTGTCAACTTCATTTCCACCCATGAATTTAATGTAATGTTTATTGGCACGCATCTTTTTTTTATAAAAAAATATTGATTAATAATTGTTTTGAATACAAATTATATAATTGATTAACTTACTGATCTATTATCTAAAAACTGGAAACGATGATACTCTGTAAAACCAGGAAAGATCTTTATTTCTTTCTGTTTCAATTCCTTTGGGTTATGAATTTCGACTGTTACTTTGATGGTAACAGCTTCCTTCTCTGATTCAGAGGTCAATTTGTATGTTCTTTGATAGTTGTTGTTGTCAGTGGTACTCTTGATTGCATTGATAACATCTTGATCTGTATAGATTGAATCTTTGAAACTCGACTTGTCTGCTATCGCTCTAGAAACCATTGAAAAATGTTGATCGCATTCACTCTTTCCGTGATAGGGTGCAAAAGTATTCAATTCGACGAGATACTTTCTTTTGGTTTTGTTTGGAGTGTTTGGATCAGCTACTTGCAACTTTGACAATGTATGCATATATGAAAGTATTTCATTTGACTTGAAGTGTCTAGCATTATCACACCAAAATGTAATTTTGTTGATATTTAGACTGGTGAATAATGGATCATTGATTAATTTGTCGAGACATGAAATTGCAAATGTCGAACAGTGATTAAGTACTTGTGAAAGACAGTCATAGTAGTGAGTCTTCAGCTTGTCACCTTGCTTATAGAAGAGGACCATTCCAAAGAAGGTACGAGCAGGTTGTTGGTAAAATTCATGGCTTACTTGCACTTTGGATTTACCTAATGATATATTCTCTTTAAAATCACAGAGAATAATACACTCTCCTGCCTTTAACTCATTTTTCTAAATAAAAAAAAAAAAAAATTTCATTAATAAATCATTAACTAAATGTATTAATAAAATTATAATTACACATGTCAAATAATCATTCTTTCTTTGCTGAACAAACATCTTGTGAATAGTCAAGATTTCAAACAGTTTATGATCTTGATCTGAAAGTTGCCCAAACTTAATTCGTTTTGACTCGAGAGCCTGATACTGAACACACATTGGACACATGTCGGTTCGATTCTTCATTTCTCTGACATACTCTGGTACGAAACTGTAAAATGCACTTCTACCCATGAGTGGATACTTGACTTGATCAACTTCACTCTTCTTGAGGTAATCTGTAAAGCAGGTATTTATGTTTCCTAAAGCAAGGTTCTTGATTGGCACCAACTCGAATGCTCGTTTACCATCTGCGTCGAGTTCTTTGCTGTACAACCTCATGTTTTTACTTGATTCTTCAGTTATATCTTTCATATTGAAGTAACCTTCGACCGCTGTCCTTAGCATCGTGGTTCTTTGTCTTCTTGTCATTTGTCCATTGTGTGTAAATTTAGATCTCCAATTGCTGATCTCTTCTGCATTAATCAGTCTACCTGCACCATACTTATGTACGTGTTGAATTGCACGATTCCACGCATTATTATCTATTGTGATTCCAAACTCTCTGATTTCCTTAGAAGTGTAAAAAGGAACTAAACTTGATAACAATCTAGATTGGGAATATTAGTATCAATGATATACAAAATCGCGAGCATTACAAAACACTTACCTTGTTTTTTCATATCCATCTCTATCTGTATATTGGCCACTCTGAAGTGATGAAATAACATATGACAACGCAACAGCATGTGTGGTTGCTCCAGGTATCTCTTCATATATCTCCTTATATCCCTTTCTGAATTCTTCTGTTGTAGTAATACTACCATCTTTCTTTAATTCTTCAAGAACCTGAATATATTTATAGTTAAAAGTATTAACAATAATCATTCAAAACAACAGTTTATGATATGTATAGTTGTCAATAGTGTACCTGCTTTCTAGTGGTATTCTTTGTTAACCAATCTTTCATTAAATGTGTCTGTTGATCAATCGTTACTTTGTTATGTTTTTTTGGTGATGCTATTACATTGCACTGAAGTTGTTATTAAATTTAAAACTTTACTTTTATTACCAGACCTCTCTGATAATTCACTATAGTCCTTATAACGATTACTCTTGACTGGTTTAGTGTTTGAATCACTAACTGATTTTATTGAATTCAATACTCCTTGTGTATAATTATTGAAATAGGGAGCCAATGATGGACTATTATTACTCTTATTTTGTGTAGTTAATCTGCTTGCCATTTTAAAATAAAACTTAATTAAAATAACGAATCAAAAATCAAATATAAATAATTAAAAAGAATCAGTGATTTTTAAAAAAAAAAGCAAAACACAAAAAAGCATAGCCACATGATAATAAGTATTAGTTTGATGCACCTCTTTAACAATATTTCTATTAATGATTAAATCTATAGATTGTTTTATTTTTTTCTTTATTATTAAATTTTAAATACATATATTGTGTTTTGTTTTTTAAATAACTCTCTTTTGATCCATGTATAACCACATGACCAACAGTCTACCTGTTTGTAGAATAATACCAAAGAGGTTACGAGGGGTCATAATGTTCACGAATTGATGAACATTATATTTCCTCGATATATTTTCTTTGACATTCGAAACAATGTTGAATTGCTCTAAGCATTATTAGTTAGCTAAAATAAAACCATTGGTTTTCACCAAATCTTGACAATAATTAAAAGGTTCACGTTTCTCAGCTGCTCTTCTCCTATAGAATTCTCTGAATGATGATGATGGTTTAACCAGTCAGTTAATTAAAGTTGTTTAAAAGTGAAAAAATAAAATAAATCTATATCTTTATAAATATTACATCCACTATCCTTTTTAGCCAATCTATGATTACATGTGCTTGTTTATATGTTTATTTTACTTTTTAGTTGAGCAATAGAACTAATTCTGTTATTGAACTCAAACTTTGTAATTGTTTCTGTTATTGAAACGCATGCTAATCGGTCATTGTCCAGTAATTAACCTTTATTTACTAATTTACTACATCTCGTATATCTTGGTGATAAATATTCAAATAATAATTAAATTATAACTATATTTTAAAAGAATGAATTAAGATGTCTGTTTTCTTTTGTTTTGAGTGCAAAAAAAAAAAAACCAAACCCAAAATATAAATAAAAAAAAAAGTTATTTTCAAATGATCCAAACTACCTTGGATATTAGAAAAAGAATCTTTTTTTTCTTTATCCTCGATTCTTGGTAAAAAACTTTTGGAATTAAGTTTTCAACCTCTTTTTTAATATGGAGAGAATTTGACGCATTACAACTAAACTATTCTTTTTTGTTTTGACAAAACCAAATTTTTTCATTTTAATTTTTTTACTTTACAAACCTTCAAAATAAAACAACAAATACAATCTTCAAATTTATTTAATAGTTACTATTTCTTTTTTTTTAATATTATATCTATTCTTTTTTATTCTTTATCTTTTCTTTATATTATTATTTATTATTTATTTTATTTGTTTATATATAGTTTTATTAGTTCAAAGTTATTTATTTATAATTTTTATTTATTATTATTTATTTATATTTATATTTTTATTTATTATTATTTATTTATATTTATATTTTTATTTATTTTCTATTTATTTTCTATTTATATATTTTTTTATTTATTTTATCAAATATGTCAACATATAAAACTATTAGTGATTTAAAACTAGAGGATTTTATCAATAATGAAACTTTTTCAAGTAAATCAAAAATAGAATCACAAGACGCAACCAATCTTCTTTTCCATCTTCATAATATTATTCATAGTTTTTATTTAAAAAATATTAATAATTTAAATAATAGTAATTTTAATAATATATCTATTTATATAGAAAAGAATCTTAATAATATAAACTCTAAAGATATCTATAATCAATCAGATTCAATAACAATCAATTATCAAACTTTACAATATATTGTAAATAGATTATGTAATAAAAAAGATAGAGATGAAACAAAAGGAATAAATAAAATATTGGGAAAGGGAGAAATATCTGTATTGGAAGTATATAAAAAAATATCTCTAGAAAATACAAAGTGAGTATCATTAAAGTTTTAAAAATAAATTTTGTTTTAAAATCAAACTAATAATAATTTTATATCCAGGAAACAACTTAAGGTGTTTATTAAGGAATACAGGGAGAGTAAAGTTTTCCAATTATTACCAGTCGATCAAAACAGCAATTATGATACTACTCAAGTTGCAAAACAACTCACAACCAATATAGTAAATCACCTCTCAGTTCAACTTTCAAATCATATTAGAGATATAATGAAATTATACAATGCAGCAATTAAAGAGCTCCTTCCAGATCCAGAGATAGATCGTACAGAGACCCTTCGATTTCTTATTAAATACAACATTGTAAGTTTATTTTTTTATTATTTATCAATAATAGAAATATAATTAATATTGTTTTTTTTTACAATTATTTTTTAGGCATCAATCTTACCAAATAAAGAAATTAATAAATTGTTGGCAGACAATAAGTTAGAAAATACAGATCCAACTGAGAATATTATAAGAATTATAAATAACAATTTAGATTATTCAACTCTCAACCTCAGCAAACTATACTCATTTTTTAATGGATATGATTTTGAAAAGCTTCAACAAATGGAGAAAGGTGTATTCACCAACAGCTGGAAATTTTTTTCAATTGGATTGGGCAGTGTTTTTTTTAAATTTCAAAAAAACATTGAGGAAATAGGGCATCAAGTGGAATTTGCACAGCTTGTTAATTCTCTGAACCAACATATCGAACATTCTAATTTATTACAAGGTATGTTTAAATATATTTATAAACATTTCTATTAATGATTAAAATTAACTTTTTTAATTATTTTTTTTAATAAATAGTTGTAAAAGATGGTAAACAACTCTTGGATGTATTAGGCAAACAAGAAGAGCCATTGTTGGTAAACACGTCTGCTCCTAGAGATATCAAATTTACCAACTCGGAAAGCCATTTGGTTATTTGGGTTCGATCAATCTTTAAGAATATCTCAAAATATGGAGATCAGAATTTGGATAAAATTCAAAAGAGATTATCGTTCTTTATACCAGCAGCACCAACCTCATCAACAACCACAACTGCAACTACTCCAACAACAACAACAACAAAAGTGAGTTTTTTCAATTGTAATTCCAAGCATCACGAGGCACTTGGATTAGCGAAGCCAACACCGGTAGTAGACAGATATCGAGATTCAAATATTTGCAGTACATGTCAGTATCACACCAATAGCAGAAGAAAAGAAAATCGAAAAGACATTTTAGCAACAGATATAATTAAATCTTTAGGCGATTTAAAACAAGAAGATAATAGTAAAGTAAATCAACTTTTAGTTATAGTAAAGGATATAATAGTAGAAGTTTTTAAATCAGAGATAAATGACAATTATAATATAGATACTTTAATAGAGATATTAAAGATAGAAAAGGAGAAGTATGATCATCGCGATAGTAAAAAGAAAAACAAGAAGAATGAGAAGAAGAAAGAGAAGAAGAAGCAAAAGCAAACAAAGTTTAAAAAATCTACAACCAACAACAACAACAACAACAACAACAACAACAACAACAACAACAACAACAACCAACAGTAATCAACAACCTTCTCTACGATCTATATTTGATGATAATGATGATTTCGAATTTAAAAGTGATGATCCAATAGCAGCAACAACAACAACAGATTCAACTAATGATAGTAATAATAATAATAATAATAATAATAATTTAGAAGGATCAGACCAATCCTATCACCCAGAAGAAACCACTGCCAATGGTTTTTTTGATATCTTGAATTATTTCTCCCGAATGCCACTTCCATCAGGTAGCTCCAAAGATACTAGTGCTAGCCGTGCAGATCAATTGCAAGATCTGCAGATGACTGAAAAACCAATCTCTCCGTATTCTCTCAGTGAAGGACCACCGGATCCAGATGTAATATTCGTATCAGACCACCTTGATTCAATGGTTCACCAAAAGAGAAGGTTGAATGAGAATACCATATACTACGATATTAAAAGTTGCTCTTGGCTTTTTGTAGATCCATCCAACTCAAAGGATTTGTCTGATGAGCAGCTCCTATCAATCAAGGTGAACCGTATAAAGCAAATCCTACAACTTGGTAAAGGTACCTTCTTTCTTTGTGGTATAGCATTATGGAAACTTCTCCGAGTTCTTATCACGAATGAAGAGGTCAATATCACTAATAGAGATCATTGGTATACATCAATGAAATTGACTTGTAGCTTTGCCGGTCGCTCCATCACATTATTTCTGTTATCAGATCCTTGTCATTCATCAACAATAACAAAACAAGGATTCCAACATTATTCAAACTGGAAAAAGGATACAGCTATAAATATCATCGACTCGGAGGTAAAACCAACTACAACCACCACCATCTCCAAATCTCCTCATATCAACAAAAGCAATAGAAATAGGAGATTGATATTTATCAATAACAAGGTTGTAGAGAGTGATGATAATAATAATAATAATAATAATAATAATAATATTTCAACTCAATATTGTAGTGGTGATGATAAGATGATTCATGAAGATAAAGAAACATTAGGTACCGATCAATGTATGGAGGATGATGTCTCTAACGATACTTCAAATGAATCTATTATTTCAGCTAATGACCCACCAACACCAACCACTACTACCACTACCACTACTACCACTACCACTACTACCACTTCCACTACTACTAATAATAATAATAATAATAATAATAATAATAATAATAATAATAATAATAATAATAATAATAATAATAATAATGACTATTACAAATTCTTTAATATTCGTAATAGATCAATGTCATTCACTCTATTTCCTAGTGTAGATTTGTAAGTATACTTTTTAATTATTCAAAGATCTAATATTCACTGACATTAATTTTTTTTTTTTTTTTTTTTTAAATAGATTTAATCCATTCAGTTTGATGTATTCTGCCAAAGACATTAGAAGAATCATCAAAGCCGAGGATGGTATGACTGATATCCAAGTTATAAGATCTATTTTAAAAGTAGATTTCCTCAGGAGAATATTTGAAGCCAATCCGATCGATGTACATATCAGAACAAACGGTTATTCAGGTGGTGTTGTGTTTAAAAGCAAATCAAAAAAAGTTCAAAAACAATACGAATTGAGTAAGTTGATAGATATTTATAATCTAGATTTGTATTTATTTTTTACTAATCATTTTTTTATTTTATTTTTTTTTAAAGTTGGTTTAAAAGACATAAAAGATAAAGATGTACTTACTGAAGAACAATTTGAACAACTTGGTGTAGTAGTTTGTGATCCAGCACCAAACCACAATGTTTGGTTAAATAACAAACATCCGTTTGCAAACGGTGATTATTCTTTCCGAAAGAGATGTCATTGACGTGAAGTCTTCAACGCATCACTTTCAATCCGAGTCTGGTCTGAACAAACACAAAAAGAATAAGCTACTTGGTCACGATTTAATGAAATGGCAGTCTGACATACCTTCAGTCAATGGTAATATCTTTTTTTCACAAGATTATCAAATTTTGTTTATCTTACTAACTATAAATACTATTTATTTTGATTTTTTTTTATCATAGGGTCCAGTACAAACGATATTACAGATCTTGCAATATATGAAAAACGTTTGGAATTTATATTCAAATCGGTTTTTTTACCACCAGAACAAAGAAGTTCAGATATCAAACCATATGGTATTCTAAGGGCAGTCGGAGAAGAGAAAAAGAAAGAGCAACGAGTCTGCCTCTCAAACAACACCACCATTCCATATCACTCAAACCAGCATAAATCCGTCTTCCATCAGTATCGACAATGTCATGGTGATGCGTGGCAAAAGGTTGATTTGGATCGATCGCGATCAAAGAAGCACAGTGAATCATTAAATTCGAAAAAATTGTTCAACTTTGCATTGCAATCGATTCCTATCAAGCAGTTAACTCATGATCCAATGCAGATCGATTCCACCGATCCCAATGATCCAAAGCAGATCGACTCCACCGATTCCAATACTCCAAAGCGCGTGCCAAAGTTGGTATTCAAGGGTAACAATGTACCCATCCAATCCGACAGGGAATCATCTCAAGAGAAAAGTGGTGCCAATAAGATGAAGCTACGACGCGTTGGATCTCCCATCAAAGTGAGAAAAGTATATATTCACTTACTTCGAGAACACCTCGGCAAGCTTGACGATGGCTCACTGGAGCGATTCATGGATCGATTCAAATTTGTGCTAGATATAACCTATTTGCAAGATGATTTTACGAATCTACAGAAAGAAGCATTGCTAAAGTTCCTCAAGGATCACAAACTCGAGTTCCTCGAACCAATCGACGAGTCCAATGTACGATTAAATGATATACAGACTGCAATTCACTATTATGGAGTGGAGCTCATCCAACAAGCAATGGATATATGGAAATTCTTTAAGTTTACCGAACCATTACCAGGTAATCAAGGTGTGGAAAAAGAAGTACATTTCAAAGATGGCATAAATAGAGTCGAACAAATTACAACAACTTTCAGGAACCAAGCGTTTCAAAAGTTTTGGTTCAGACGTATTCATTTCGAACGGTGCAAATGGCTAAAGGATCATGGAATTAAGATCATGCCAGATAGTGTCGGAGGTCACTGGATTAGACCAAATCAATCAAAAGTGGACGCCAATGAAGACAGTATTTACCAACTATTACCAGTCTTTAACGGCTTGACAATTTTGGTCATGGTATCTAACGGTACAGATGAAGGAAAAAAGGTAGAAAGAACATTAATCGGTCGAATTAAATTGAATGGTGGAAAGTACACTAGGGATGTAAATGGCACATTCAACTTTATGGTTACTGACAAGGAAGATTGGGACAGCACACCAAACAAAAAGGCGAGAGAGATCTGTAAGGTGAAGAATATTCCAGTAGTTTCCAATGCCACTTATATTACAGAGTGCCTGAGACAACATGTGTATCTACCTCTACTATCGTATGATCTGTCGTCAGCTGCCAACACTACCAGTAGTGCTGCGAAGGTTTCACCAAGCAAGAAGAGTGGTTCCAAGACAGCTACCAACACTACCAGTAGTGCTGCGAAGGTGACACCAAGCAAGAAGAGTGGTTCCAAGACAGCTACCAACACTACCAGCGGTTCAACTGTTGCACCAAGCAAGAAGAGTGGTTCCAAGACAGCTACCAACACTACCAGTAGTGATGCGAAGGTGACACCAACCAACAAGCGTATCGACTCACCCGCTCCCTCCATACCGGATCTTCAAACAAAAAAGAAGTCCAAGAAGACCGACAATACCGACAAGAAGTCTATCGATAGCGATGAAGACAAAGACAATCATCCGAAATCCCGAAAGAAATCAAGTAAGTAATTAACTTTTTGTTATTTTTCAAATTAAAACAGTTCATTAATACCAATATAAACACTTTCATTCTTCATAGAGAATAAGAAAAGAGGTAGATGGAAGTGTTTATGTTGTGGAAAAACCAACAATTTCAAACGATTTACTGATGTACATTACAAAGTTCTCCACTGCAATCACTGTTTATTGGTACACATCCCTTTTAAAGATCGAAAAGCTGCCAAAGAATCAGTTGATAAAACTAGAGTCGGTAAGTATCATAGTTGAAAAATAAAAAATAAACAACTGTTTTTTGATTAATCTTTTTTTTTTTCACACATTTAGTTATTGGTGCTGGTTGTGGTAATTTAAATCATATTCAACGAATGAAAGGTGTGAAATATAGTCCTGCCACGGAAAGAATCACCGAATCTCTCCAAAGATACAGTTTCAGTGTTTCGAAAACAAACATGAAAATATCAATTTCCAACGAGTTCAATACATCACAAGTAGGTTTTAACTGTTTAATATCAATTGTTTTTTTATATTTTTACTAATAAAATAATTATTTTTTTTTAAATTTTTAGGTGTTTGGTCCAAACATCGATAAACTAGAAAATGACTTTGTTTCAGCAATCAACAAACCAGTTTCAAACGAGTGGACGCAGGCAAAGAAAGATGAAGAGCTCCATTCGTTATATAACCTAGCCAAGGTCAAACCCCCAGGAGAGAGTAAATCATATAAACCAAAAGATACCAAGAGGGTATATAACAAGTCATTCTCTGTTCGGTTGTACACTGGAAAGGATGACCAAGGCCAGCCTAAAGATATTTTTATCAATAGAGATATTCTTGCATGTACAAACATGATGGCAATTGCTAAGGCCTATTTTTGTGGAAAGCAACGTCCACAACTTTTAGCACCATTCACCAGTCAACCTATTATTAATACCCCGGGCAAGGAATGTCCACGACAAAATTTGATTTCTGCGTTTACAAATTGAAATTTTTTTTTAAAAAACAAAAAGCACAATTTACTAATTTTTTTCTGTTTTTCAAGAGAATAAATCAAATCGGAATGGTACCCCAATTTTTTATGACCGTCAAAAAATAATAAAATAAAAAATGAATATAAAATTAATTTATTTTTAAAGATAGAATATTTAGTAGTAGTAGGAGTAGTATATGGAAGATTTATTTATTGTAAAAGTACCTGCTACAACAGCTAATTTAGGATGTGGTTTCGATACTTTATCGATTGGTGTCCAACTTTATATGTTGACAAAAGTATCGGTTGAAACTTTTTCTGACAACCATTTGGAGAACGATTCCAACAATGTAGATCGTTTGGCTTTTAGATATAGAATGAAGATTCATAATGATAAACCTTATAATTTGAATTTCGATGTATCCGATTGTCCGAGTAAGAATCTTGTGGTGGAGGTCATCGATAACCTCTTGGAGACAGAGTGTGAAGGTGGTGCCGATTCCATCATCAAGAGAGGCGAGCAACGATTGGTATTGGAGGTGTGGAATAACATTCCTATTGGTCGTGGCATGGGAAGTTCTGCCGCTGCCATTGTCACTGGCTTATTGATTGCCAATGAAATCGGAAAGTTGAAACTCAGTCACAAACAGATATTCGATCGATCGGTGGCGTTGGAACCATCGGCCGACAATTTATCGGCAGCAGTCTTTGGAAACTATAATATAGTGATGTCACTACCTCAACAACAACAACAACAAAATCAAGCTGCAGCTGTTACATCATCTGTTATGTGTGATACTATAAAGATATCGAGTGACACCAGACTAAAGGCAACCGTTGTCATTCCACACTTCCAGGTGTTGACCTCGGAAGCGAGAACGGTGTTGCCTCTAGACTACTCGAGGTCGGATTTCGTCTTTAATTTACAACGTGTGGCAATGGTGAGCAATCGTCTCGCAGAGGTACTTCAGAATCGCAGTGGAGCACAGGATATCTTGGCTCAGCCAACCTCACAGCTTCTGGCGATGTTTGACGACAGACTCCACCAGCCATACCGCCAGAAACTCATACCGGGTTTCAGTGATATCGCAGCGATGAAACCGATCGACGGAATGTTTGGACTGTGCATAAGTGGCTCGGGATCAACAATAATCTGTCTATCATTCGACAATCATGAGAAAATAGCTCAATCAATCACATCAATATTTGAAAATCACAACATAAAGTGTAATTCATATGTTATCGACTTTGACACTGAGGGTGCAACATTAGTAAAGTTTTAGAAACAAAAACAAAATCATAATGATGATGATGATGATAATGATAAAGATGTATAATAATATAATATTATATTATTATCATCATATATATAATAATGCACATATTCTTAATTTGGAAGTTGGTATTGTTTTTTTTTTTTTTCATTCATAAAGATAAATTAATTAATCTATAGTAATAAAACAAGAAAAATAATTATGATGTTTAACATATTTTTTTTATATTTCAAGTTGCTACCTTATATAACCACATACTATTACTACTACTATACTATTAATACTAATACTAATAGTACCACTACCTCTACTACCTCTACTGCGACTACTAATTGATTTAGGGGTATAGTGGGGGTTAATGTAATTTTAATTGTATTGGTGTGTTGCGTGTTGTCTGACAAGTGTTGTTGAATAAACAAAAATATCAAATATTTATAGGTCAAGTTGTTAAATCTAAAGCATAATCAATAAAAAATCTATCATAGGAATAACACTAAAACATAAAGGGATTATCGTTTTTTTTTCCAACAACACAATTCCCCACACCACCCATAATTAATATTACACTCCACACACACCTCTCAACCTTTCAACAACTCATCACCAATAAAAAAAACAAAACAAACAAATAAAATGAATTAAAAAAATACTTATTGAAATAACCCACACCTTGCAACAACATCTCACAATAACAATAATAATAATAATAATTATTATTATTATATTAACTCTATTACCTATAATAATCAATACACACATACAATACAATAACAAAAAAAAAACAATTAAAAAAAATAAAATAAAAAAATAAACAAAATTGGTTATAATTAATATAATGAGTGAGTGAGTGATGTGATATTATTTATTAAACAAATTAAATTAAAATAAATTATATTATATTGCTTTTATAGTAACTAAACAATATTGATATATGTGTATTATCAATGTACTATACCTAGTATCAGTTTTTAGAATTAATAACCAGAATAAAACAAAACACTCAATTTATCAAATTTTTCTATTAATTTGATTAACAATCATTTCATCATCTTCATCATCACCAAACTTAGATATAATAAAATATCAATTAAATCTTAAATTTATATATAGAAAACGAAAAAGATATCAAATCTAATTTTATAAAAGCTAAAGAGAGAGAGAGAGAGAGAATCATTGAATGTTGTGTTACCAACCAATTTAATTAAAAGGGGTAAAGTTCAACAATCATCTTTAGGATTTTATTTTTTTGGAAACCAACCATTTTTTTTTTCTTTTTTTGGGAGCTCCCAATTTATTTTGGAAACACGATCAATTGAACAGAAATTTCTGTTGATTAATCTTTTAACGAACCATAAAAAACTATTTGATTTCAACTTTATTGTTGTTTTTTCTTTTTTATCTAAGTTAAACAGATAAAAAAAGGTTTGTTTTAATTATTTGTTTTTTTTATAAAATGGACAAAATATTGTTAATCTTAGAAACAAAAAAAACTAGTTAACAATGATCATCAAAATCATCATCATTCGCCAACTTATTTAATTATCATATGAAAAAACAAAGCCCAATATCATATTTAATCAAAAAAAAAAAAATAAATCTTTTTTAAATTAAATAATTTTTTTCATCATGGATGAAAAAGGTCACAAAATTTTTTAATTAAAATTTTAATTTAATCTTTGGACTTGCAAACACACTCCCAAAAAAATAAGCACATCATATTTATTGAATCAGTCCACAAAAAAAAAAAAAAAAAAACAGCTATCTTTTGAACTAAATTGAAATTCAACACGCTCTAATTTTATAAACAACAACAAATAATCTCCATCTTCCACAAAGTAACCCTTTACTCACGAGTTTATCAAAACAATAATAAATAATATCAAAAAGCCTTAGAAACAAAACAAAACAAAACAATCAATAAATATAAAAAAACATATAATATTAAAATAATAACATTTAATCTTTCTTTTATTCTGTTTTTCATTTAAACAATACAATCAATCTATCAATCAATCTATCAATCAATCAAATAATCAATCAATCATTAAATTTAATATAGAATTGATTTGCAATAGAATAATAGTTTTAAAATACCTTGTTTCTATTTTTTGTAAGGTAGGACCAATTAACAAAAAAAAACACAATTTATAAGTTTGGTTGTCATCATTATCACAACGATCAACATCATCACCCTTTAAGAAACAACAACAACAAACCCTCTTTCTTGAAAGAAGCTTTAATAGGTTGATCAACAACAATAAACAAAACATATGCACTCTTTTTTCTGATATTATTATATAATCACACACCATCGAAATTCCAACTACTAAAACAACTGTGTGTGGGTCCACAACTACATCCACAATTTCTACTTTAAATTTATTACAATAGATTTTCAGACAATTTTTATTAAATTATTTTATTGTTATCATTAACTACTACTATAACCAACATAGAGACTATATTTGTTTGTATTAATAGTATTGTTTTTGTTTTGTTTTTTTTTTATAAAACTGCCTAATTATAATTATTCCCCACACTGTAATATATTTAAATCAAGTGGCAAAACACATTATATGTACTTAATGCTATATTAAATAATATATATTACATACACACATACACTCACTCAAGCACACAAACACACACCAAAAAACTATTTAAATATTTAGTTATATAAATTGTTGTTTTTTAATTTAAATCGATAACTTTTTTTTTCTTTTATAAATTAAATAATCATATCATCAATTCAATTGAAGCTTAACTAACAAACCATTGATATTTTATCAAACAATCAGTCAATCAATCAGCATATTATAAATATAGAATTTGTATTTTTTATTTTTATTTTTTTAAAGGGAAATTATAATTTGGTTTACCATGGATGTAACTCCAACTTATTCTCCAACAATAAGACCTCATTTGCAACAACAGGCAGTACCTCCTTTTATTTCTAGTCATGATTTTGGTGGACCATCTCCATTGTCATCACCATCGATGTTGTCCTTAACGCCAACAGCCGCCACCACTCCAATTCCACCAGTATTCCTTCTAAATATAAATACACAACCAACCCCTGCATTTGTTCATGTAGTCGATGCTCAGCCACCTGTAATTCAATTCCAACTTCAGCCTAATAATAATAATAATACAAATACACATACAAATACAAATACAAATACAAATAATAATAATAATAATAATACTTTAAATACTAATAATAACAATACAAATATAAATAATAATAATAATAATAATAATAATAATAATAGTAACAATAATAATAATAATAGTGGAAGTATATCACCTACACCTACACCCAATAGTTTAAGTGTACCATCAACGCCATCAGTGACACCACTTTCAGGAAATCTGAGTAATTTTACAATCAATTCACCAGCAACGTCGACCACAACTACAGCCTCTGCAACAACAACTACATCACAAAATCAATCAGGTGTTTTACGTAGAATTGCTGTTAGTAACAATGTACAAAGATCAAACTTGGTAAGTAAAGATATAATTAAAAAAAAAAGGGAAAATAATAATAATTCTTATATTACCTATTTTATTTATAATACAGACAATAGAAGATGAACAAGTCGTACCAAGAGATTCAAATTCACCTCTAATAGCATCATGCAAAAAGAGGGTAAAACTTTGGTGACATCAAGCTTTTAAGAATACTAACACTTATAATAATAATAATAATAATTATATACTATGTCCGATTATTTTAAATCAATAATGATAATCTAATTTTTTTTTTTTGTATATAGAGAATATAATAATATTGCTATAATATAAATATATATCCAACTTCAATGTATCATAAATATGATTCCTATCAGTTTAATTAAATATATTATAAAAATAAAAGAGTGGATTTGAATGAGCAATGTAAATCTAGATTAAATGTTAAATAATGTTACACAATCAATTTTATTGATTGATTGGTTTGTAATTACTATTGTATTAATTAACAAGACTTTTGAATTAACTATAAATAGTAAAATGTTGTTTGGTTGTTTTGTTTTGTTTTGTTTTGTATTGTTTGACTGTCTGATTGTTGAAAGTAGATCTACTTTATGACAGGAAGTTGTTGTAGTTGTTTTGATGATTGAATATTATTTGAAGTTACCAAAGCGATTAATCTATGAAATGATTCTTTAAGAATGTTGACATTAGTGTCTTGATTTCCTCTGTTATTAAGAATGATAGTAGGAGAAAGGTATAAGGTTAACAAAAACAAATTCTTTCTTTTAAAATAAAAAAGTAAATGAAAAAGCAAATAGTTATCTAGATAGTTACCATTGATTTCCAATAGACTTGTTGTTTTGGTATCAAAGATAACGTAAAACTCTCTTGAATCTGTTTTTCTTCCGACTATCCACCGATCGTTTTGAGTCTTGACAGTCGATTCCGATATATCCGGTCTATTCTCAAAGTCTGCGTGCATTTCATTCAGTATCTTTAGTGTCTCCTTTGTAAGTTCTACACCCTTTAACTTTAACGATGCTTTGATAGCAAGATTCATTTGATTGAAAAATATATATTTATATTGCTCTTCCATACTAAACAAAGATATTAAATTGATCAAATTGATATTAGTATTATAAAATGATTATTTCTATTGGTTTTCTTAAACACTTACAATGATTTCTTTGAATAATTTGTTTCTAATACTGGATAAATATAATCGATGTGTGATGAAATGGATTCACGTACTTCCTCTAGTTTCAATTGATCTAAATCTTCTTCGTTCACCAGGAATACACAAACAGTATCTCTTTGTTCATATATAATCATATAACACAGTTGTTCTCCAATATGTATAACAGGTAATGTTGTCTTTACACTACTCATTGATTCCGTAAAGTATCCACTCTTTGATTTTTGACTAACAATAATAATAATAAAGTATTAGTTAGTATTATTTTTAATATGAATAGATGTTGTTTGTTAAGTTACCCTTTTGTTGACCAAACAACTTCATGATCACCAGTGTTGATAACCATTATAGAGTTTACAGCGGATCTATCTACACCGATCTTTACCAGTTGTATTAGATAGTGGTTGAGTGAACGTATGTGATTCTGTTGGAGCGACGACCAGAGCAGGTTGTCTTTGTAGTAGAGTGCACCGAATCTAAACGATGGACACGCCGATTGGAACGCTATTTCAGTGCCATTGATCATTGCCAGCAGTTTCAGATAGACGTTCTTGTCGACCGGCAAGAATTGAATTCCGTCGAGCGATGTGAAGAGATCCAGCTGATCGAATGCAATCTGCTCCAAGTACGGTTTGATAAAGGCATCCAATCGCTTCTTGAGATGATCGTACGAGGTGCGCTTAACAATCTCTGACATTGGGCCATTGAACAGCCGCCAGATATCATAGAGCTGCTGTAGCGTCGTCTGCAATATGATATCGTCAATCTCATTCTCCAAATACTCTTTCTTGTTGTTGACGACACCACTGGTATTGTTGAGAGCAATCACCATCCAGATATCAGGTTCAACCTGACGCAATGCAATCGTATGTTTCATCGTATGAATTGCTTCACATGGTTTATCCGGTGAGAATTGTCTATATATATATAGATTAAATTAGAAAGTTTGCAAAGTTAAGAATATATATCGGAATTACTAATAACACAACCAAACATACTTTGTACATAATACATAGGCTTCAGTTAAACCTACGAAATTTGTTTGAATACCAATCGAAAAGTTTGCTTGTGGATAGAAATATAGAATCTTTTCATGTTCACGACCTTCTTTCTGTCCTAACTTTGGATTGAATATATAAAAGTAATGTAACGATGCATCTTCTATTGTACCTGACATTCTTTACTCTTACTCTTACTCTTACTTTTTCAAATAATCTAAAAGAAAAGTAAAGGTAAACAAACAATCAATGTAACTAATAAATAATATTAAGAAAAAATAATAATAATAAAACTCTCAGGAAATCAAAAAATTTAGTTTTCAGATTTTTTTTGATGCAAAAATTAAAATATATTTTGAATTTGGAAAAGTAGTTATAAATACATTTCATATTATAATTAGCACTGGTAATAATATTTTGATTGTTTTGTTTTGTTAATGTTTTTTATTATAATCGATTTGAGACTATCATACAAAAAGAAAAATGAAAATTAAATATTATTTTTTTATATATTCTTGATTTTAAACAATATAAATAGTAAATCCTAATTATTATTTTGTCGTTTTAATGCTTCGAATCTGGCTGTTAGTTCATCGAAATCGGGAAAAGCAGAGTCGTTGGCGTTTGGTGTGTAGGCTGGTGGTGGTGATGGTGATGAAAATTTAGAGTTATTAAAGTTATTGTTTGGTTGTTGGCTTGGTGCCGATGGAAATTGTGGTGGTGAAGATACAGATGGCATGGTTGGTGATGGTGTGTAGGCAGGTGGTGGTGGTTGAGGGAATTGTTGTTGTGGTGTTGGTGTATAATGTGGTGGTTGTTGCATTTGCTGTTGATGTTGTGATGGTGGTGTATAATGTTGTGGTGCTACAATAGTTGGGAATGGTGGTGGTGATTTCATCATCGGTGGTTGTTGTTGGTGTTGCATTTGTGGTGGTGGTTGTTGAAACATCATTGGTTGTTGCATTTGTGGTGGTGCAGTACCTGGTTGTGGCATTGGTATTGGTAGTACAGAAGCAGAGGTGGGTGCAGCGACAAACATTGGTTGCTGTGGCATTATCATTGCTGGCTGCTGTGGTGGTAGGATTGGTTCTACCGACCAGTCCACCTTGAACTGACAGGCAATGTCATTGAGATACTGGAATACCAAGAATGGCTCCGGTGTTGCATAGCTGAGTTTGTGAACGATCTTTGGGTTGACGTGAACCTGGCAGTTGCAATTCACTTCATGCTCCAATCCCTTGCCATACTTGGCGAGCAACTGTTTCTTTATCAACTCCAACTCTGGTATTTGTACTCTCTGAGCTGCATATATTAATGTATAGATTGCTTCTTTAATCTCTGGTGGCATATCACTGTTTTAATAAAGATGATAATTAGTAAACTTTAAAAGAAGAAGAAGAAGAAGATTGATTGTTGTGGTCGTCGTCGTTGATATTTACTGTGAACATGCAATCAATTGTAATCTGGCGAATAACATTTCACAGAGAACCTCTATGATTGAGTAACATTCGATAAGAGCTTCGTCTCTGATGACTGTCTCCACTCTGATTCTAGCGGCATCTTCACTTCTGTTTCTGAGTAGCTCGGCAATGTGTCGCTTTTCATCTCTTACCAAGTTTGCCTTTTTGTTTCTCAAAATTTGTATTCTACTGACTGCCAACTTTAATTGTACCTTGAGTTGATTGGGATCGAAATGTGGACCAAATAATGACATCATTCTCTACTCTTACTCTTACTTTTTCTTTTTTATTTCAATACTAAAGAAAACTCTATAAATTACTCTTTACTAACTAACTAACAAACAAACAAACTAAAATACAAAAAGAATATTTCGTATCTTTATCTTAACTTTAATTATTATTTGATTTATCTATATATATTATGTTTAATAAAACTAACAATGATTGATTCAAAATGAAGTAATTAACTACATCAAAAACAACAACAAAATAAAATAAATTATGATAACAACGGTGATAAACAAAGAAAAATAAATAGAGAAAATCAAATAAACTTAGGAATACAGTATTTTAATCACATAATTCTCATTTAATCAAAATTTTGTCTGAGAAACTTAGGAATGTTTTGTTTTCTTTTGTGAATGAATGAGGCTTTTTTCACTCATCACCCCCACCTTTTTTGTTTGCAAAAAAAAATAAAAAAATCTGAGGTTTCTTTTTACACAATAAAAATACATTTAAAACAACAATACTCATTCTTATGAATTTAATACCAATACATGTTTATGAATTTTAATGTTGTGTGTATGTAACATGTTTCAATTTCCATTCTCTCATTTGTAGAAATGAAATCACAAAAACAAGTTATAATTTAAATTATAACTGTGAATAGAAATTATTATTTCGTTATTATTATTTTTATTTTATTATTGTTTTTTTTTTAAAAAAAATAAGAAGAACAAACCAGGTTAGTTTATGTAAAATGACAACAAAGCTTTTGGTGCAACAACTTCTTAAATAAGACATCTTCTTGTTACTTCATCATATACAACAATGTTACTTCAAAGACCAGATCTTCTGAGGAGTTCGAGACATTGGTTAAATCAAAATTACTCTTATAATGTAAGTATCTTAACTATTATTCTTAATTCAAAACCTTTCTGATCAAGTTACATAGTAAAATACACAATTTATACATTTTTGATCAAACTACCAATAACATATAACGATCTGACTGATTGTTGATCGATTAGAAGCAATAAGATCAAACCATCTAAAATCAGACATACCATTCTCAAGTATAAGTTTGATCATAATTATTTCAAAATGTTGTTTGTTTTAGAAAGGACCAGCATAAAATTTAACATTATAAGGTTGAATTAAGAGGTTATGTAAAAAATATGGACATAAAAATAGGTATTATTTTGTTTCTAAAACTCTTTAAATGATAGTTATATTATTCACCGAAACCATTCATTTCTGCAGAAATCAGTGAAGCAAGGGCGTAAAGTGATTCTCAGCACTGAAATAAACAACCAAAAAAAAAAAAAAAAGGAATCATGACATGAAATGACTTGGTTTGATTTTTTGATTTTCAATAAGATCTTACTTATTGTATTTCTAGATCTGGACAATCTGGTTTTTTCAAATCAGTTGACACCAAAAAATCAACAAGCAAAAAAAGATTCAAATAAAAATTTTTTTTATCAAATTATAATAATTTAATTAAATTTTAAATTAAAAAGGCTTTATTAACAATAATATTTATTTTGTACCAAAAAGGTTGATTGACTCCAAATTTCAAAACCGCTAGCTACTAATTGCTAACCACCAAAAACTTTTCTTCATTCACTCTTCATCAACTCAAAAAAAATCTATCAAATCAATCAAATAAAATAATCTTTTATCTATTTTAAATATTTATATATAACAAACAAATAAAAACAATGATTAAACAATCGAAAATAAATATTGCTGATACCAATGTCGCTTTGATCGGTTCCGACTTGGATAAGAAATGTAGATTGGAGAAAGCTCAACTCGAAGAGCAATGGAAAGTCGCCGGTAAGAAAGAGGGAGTGTTGATCTGGAGAATCGAGAACTTCAAAGTTGTTCCATGGCCAACCGCCGAGTACGGAAAGTTCTACGACGGTGACTCCTACATTGTGCTCCACTCACAAAAGACTGGATCCGCCAACTTGAAGCACGATATCTACTTCTTGTTGGGTACCTACACCAGCCAAGACGAAGCCGGAACCGCTGCCTACAAGACCGTCGAGTTGGACGACTACTTGGGAGGTTTGCCAGTGCAACATCGTGAGGTGATGGACTACGAATCACAGAGTTTCCTCAACCTCTTTGGTGGAACCATTTTCTTGTTGTCCGGTGGTGTCGACTCTGGATTCAACCACGTCAAGCCAGAGGAATACAAGCCAAGATTGCTCTGGATCGTTTCCGACGAGAGAAAGAAGGTTCGTGTTGAACAAGTTGCATTGGCTACCAAGTCATTGAACACTGGTGACTGTTTCCTCTTGGATGCCGGTTTGGTTATCTACCAATTCAACGGTTCGAAATCCCAAGGTTCCGAGCGTATCAAAGCTTCCCAACTCGCCACACAAATCAAGGACGAGCGTAAGGGACTTCCAAAGGTTCAAGTTTTCACCGACGGTGACAGCGATATCCCCGATGAGTTCTGGAAACTCTTGGGTGGAAAGGGACCAATCGGTTCGTTTGTACACCACGACGACGGTCCCAAGATTGAAAAGACTTTGTTCAAGTTGTCCGATGCTAGCGGTAAGCTCATTTTCTCCCAAGTCGCCAAGGGTAAGATCTCCAAGAAATCATTGGATACCAACGATGTCTTCATCTTGGATCTCGGTTACGAAGTATTCATCTGGGTCGGTTTGAAATCCAATGCCAACGAAAAGAAGAGCGCTTTCAAGTTTGCCACCGATTATTTACAACAAAACGGTAGAAATCAATACACCCCAGTCTCCCGTATCATGGAATCTGGTGAGAATGAAGTATTCAATGGTTCATTTGATAATTAAATTATCAAAACAAAACAAAACAAAACTAAAAAATAATATGTATTCTATTCTATTTATATATTAAATAAATTAAAGTTATAAAACCTTTATAAATACCTCCTTTTTTTCTATTCTAATTAGTAGATAAATTTTATGACTTGACATTTGTAAACATTAATGATCAGATTCATTAAATGTTAATTCGTTTATTTATTGTTATTGTTTATTGTTATTAGTTAAAAAGAATTGTATTTAACATATCTATCCAACATCTTTAATTGATTCTTTAACCAATGAACCACAACTTACACATGGTTAAAAAATTTTTTTACAAAGAAATCAATCGTTCGTTTTTTTCGCAAAAACTGATGAAAATATTTAATTAATTCAATCATATCTTTTAGTATAAAGATAGATAACTATACTAAATATGTTATCATCAAAATTAAATATAAAAACTATTTTAAATAGTAGTAATAGATTTAGATCAACAACATCGTCATTACTTTGTAAATCATATCATAATAGTAGTTCAAGTTTATTGTTAAATTCAAATCAACAAAATAACAATGCAAATCAATCTCTTGGCTATTTGAATAGATATAATAATGTAAATAATAATAAAAATAGTAATAATGTATTAGTTTCTACATTTTTATTTAATAATAATAGTGATCAAGAAAATAAATCATTATTTCAGAGATATTATTCAAGTATATATAGAGTTTAAAATATGTTAACAATTGTTGATACCTTCAAACTAATTATATATGTAGAGAAACAACAAGCAAATGTAGGTGAACCAAAAGTTGTAATGTCATTGGTAGATGTTATGAAAAAGTTGGATGATGGTAGAATTTTGTTAAAGGAGACTTCGCTCTCGTTTTTTGCAGGATCGAAAATTGGTTTGTTAGGTTCGAACGGTTCTGGTAAATCGACACTCATGAAGATTATGGCAAGTGAAGACACTGAGATTGAAGGTGAAGTATTACTCTCAAAAGATATTACAGTTGGTTATTTACATCAGGAACCGGAATTAGATCCAGAGAAAGATGTCGAGGGTAATATATTCGATGGATTGAGCGAGGAAAAGGAGATACTCGATGAATACGAAGAGGTAACGGAAAAGTTGGAGGCAATGGATGAGAAGGATCCACAGAGAAGACAACTACAGATCGCTCAGAAGAAGCTGTCCGAGCGTATCGATCGTGAGAAACTCTGGGATTTGAAGAGAAAGATTGCTATCTCGATCGATGCATTGCGTTGTCCACCAGGTGATTCCGATGTCACTACGTTGTCGGGTGGTGAGCGTAGACGTGTTGCGCTGGCTCGTCTACTCATTACCAATCCAGATATTCTACTGCTGGACGAACCCACCAATCATTTGGATGCAGAGTCCGTTGCTTGGTTGGAGCGTTTCCTAAAGGAGTACAAAGGAACGGTTATTGCAATCACTCACGACCGTTATTTCTTGGACAACGTTGCCAATTGGATCTTGGAAGTGGATCGTGGTAATTTGATACCGTTCAAGGGTAACTATAGCGGTTGGTTAAAACAAAAGGATTCGCGTCTCTCACTGGAATCCAAGAAGGAAGAGGGCAGAAAGAAGGCAATCAAGCGTGAATTGGAGTATCTATCGGGTGGTGCAAAAGCACAGACTAAAAAGTCAAAGTCACGTATCCAGAAATACAATGAATTGGTTGCGGCTGCTCCCGAAAAGTACAGAGAACCAGGCAAGATTGCTATACCACCGTGCCCGCGTTTGGGTAATGTTGTGATTCGTGCCCGTGGATTGAGTAAGGAGTTTGACGGTCGTCAACTCTTTGATAATCTCGATTTCGATATTGAACCGGGTTCAATCGTTGGTATCATCGGTCCAAACGGTACTGGAAAGTCGACACTCTTTAGAATTATTGCTGGTGACTTGACGCCGGATGCGGGTTCCATCAAGATTGGTGAGACCGTGCGTATGGGACACGTCGCTCAATCGAGAGCGTCGCTCGACGACGACAAAACCATCTTTGACGAGGTGTCGGCAGGCACCGATTTCATTAATATGGGTGGTTATCAAGTTCACGTGAGAGAGTATCTCTCGCAGTTCAACTTTAAAGGTGCCGAGCAAGACAAGTACATCGGTGCGTTGTCGGGAGGTGAGCGTAATCGTGTGCACATTGCCAAGATGATCAAACGTGGATGCAATGTTCTCTTGCTGGATGAACCTACCAACGATCTCGACGTCGACGTCCTCAGAAATCTTGAAAACTCATTGGAAGACTTCCCCGGGTGTGCAGTGGTAATCAGTCACGATCGTTATTTCCTCGATCGTCTTTGTACTCATATCATTTCATTCGAGTCGGAAGGCAAAGTAGTAGTGTTCGACGGTAACTACACAGAGTACGAAGAGGACAGACAGCGACGAACCGGAAAGAAATTCGATCCACACAAATCGAAATTCAAAAGAATTCATACAGTTTAATTATTATAATAATCAATCAATCAATAGTAATAATAGTAATTCTAAACACCACAATTGCACACACAACAACACAATACAACACAACACATATCTTTCATTTCTTTTAAAATTTCAAAAGAATATAGAAAGCTTTTTATAATATATAATTAAAAAAAGATTATAATATAACACAAATAGAATAGAGAGTATGTTTTTAAGTTTATATCTTGAGAAAGAAAAGTGATCATACTCATTTTCTTATCTTTAAATTAATCTTGTTATTTTTAGATGAAATAAACACAATCTTGAACACACGAAAAATAAAAAACTAATCAAAAATAAACAACACTTGCTCAAAATCATGTGTTTGCAAACTCACACAACATGCAAACAGGGAAGCCCTGTGACACAGAAGATGTGTGTCAAAACTTTATAAAAAAAAAAACGTCTTCACACACAGAGGTTCAAATCTTTAAAATAGACACAAATAGGAGGTTTGTTTAGTTTATCACCAACATCATTGTAAATAGTATTTTTAATCACCCCCTTTAAAGGTTTAAAACGAAGTATATTTAATATTGTTATTTAAAATCTTTGAAAAATTGGTTGCGGGTTTGTGGGGTTTGGGGCAAAAATTATTAAAAAAAAAAGTTATTTATATATTTTAAGACTTTTAGTTTCAATTCATTAATTATTCTTTTCACACTTAAATATACATATATAGATATATTTATATATAAATATATATAAAATGTTAAAATATTCAATTATTTTATTTCTATTTTTAATTATATCAATTGTTTTGGCTCAGGAAAAGCCACGTATGTTATTTTAACTTATCATTTTCAATTTATAAAATTTTAATATATTAATTTTTTTTTTATAAATAAAATTTAATAGCTACATTAAATGTAGTATGTACTATATATGATCAACATCCATCTAAAAATACAAATTTTGAAAATAAGGCTATCGGGAGCTCGAGTACAGGAGTTGTTAAAGGTATAGTAAAACAGACTCTTAATTCTACAACAAAAGTACCAGAGCTCAGTGGAAATTCCGATGCTGCCTACAAGGCATTCATCAGAGACCCGAGTTTATTTAAAACATTTTTCCTTCCAGACGATGTGAACAAACAAATTCAATACAATTTAACTTTGAAATTAACAGATGGTATATACTCTGTCTCCATACCATCATTCTTTCCAATTAACTATCAAGGATGGGTATGTATTAAAAAATTTTAGAATCTATTTATTATTTATTAATCAAATTTAAATTTAAAAAGGATGACAAAGTATATAATTTGCAAAAATATGCTGATGGTAAGGGAGTATATCAAAATTTTCATTTTTGTGTTGTCAGCAACATGTACTTTACCTACCAAGGCTATGAGAAATTCACTTTTAAGGGTGACGATGATGTATGGGTATACATTGACAATAAACTAGTTGTCGATATAGGTGGAGTTCATTCTGCTGAACCTGGTGAAGTCAATGCTACTTTCATGAGTACATTGGTAAAAGGAAATACCTATCCATTGGATTTCTTTTATTGTAAGTTTGAAAATATTAATTTAAACAAATTAAAATAATATTAATTTAATTTTACCTAAAAAAAAGGTGAGAGACATGTTACTCAATCTACATTGCAAATGGAAACCAATCTACCATTGTTCTGTCCAATCATAGATTATTGTGGTGTTTGTAGTGGTGATGGATCTACATGTTGTGACTGTAACGATGGTGATCCATGTACTACTGACATTTGTCCAAAACCAGCAGAGGGAATTACCAACAAAAATTATAAAGAATTTTGCCAACATATTCCTAAAACCTGTGATCAGATCGATACTTGTTTCAACTATGCTTGCCAAAAAGACAAAAATGGAACATGTGCCAAGACGACTCCAATTGAATGTGAACAAAAGAGTTGCAAAAAGGCTACTTGTACCAATGGATCCGGTTGCCAATATACCGATCTTTGTGTTGCCCAAGATAAATGTCATACCACTACCTGTGTGAATGGAACTTCCTGTAGTCCACAAAAACCAAAGCAATGCGATGAAGGAAACAAGTGTAAGAGCTATGGATGTGATCCAGACACAGGTTGTACTTCGAGTCTTAAGAATTGTGCCAATGCAACCGATACCAATCCATGCAACCAATATTACTGTGAAGCCGGCACCGGTCTTTGTAAATTCAATACTCTCAGCGCCACAGATTGTGCATGCTGCAAGGATGCCAAACCAAATCTTTGTCAAACTGCTACTTGTGATTCCAATTCCGGTAAATGTATCATATCAAACATCACTGTCGATGACAACAACTCTTGTACCAACGATCAATGCGATCCAAGCACTGGAAAGATAACAAACACTCCAATCGTTTGTTCAGGTTGTCAGAATTGTGTTGGTGGATCATGTGTTGGAAATGATACTGTTTGTAACGATTACAATGAATGTACTAATGACAAATGCGGTGCCAACAAGACATGTGAATACTCAGAGAATTCATGTGACGATGGCAATCCTTGTACCGACGACTTTTGTCATCAAAACACCGGTTGCTACCATGTAGATACTGTATGTCCTGGTGTAGGAGATTGTCAAGTTGGATACTGTCAAGCCGGTGTAGGTTGCCAGACCAAGAAACGTGATTGTTCAACCGGTTTGTTCTGTACTGATGCCATTTGTATTGAAGGTGTAGGTTGTGCCAATTTCACAAGAAATTGCGTTGGTGACAATCCACAGTGTGAGAAAGGTACTTGTAACACAGAGACTCAGCTGTGTGAATATCATGAATATTCACCAAAGCCATTCGGTTGTAATAAGGCAGCGGTGATCTCCACTGGTGTTGTAGCAGGTGTGGTTGTGGCGGGTGCAGTCGCATTGGCTATCGCTGTTTTCGGTGGTAAGAAAGGTTACGATGCATGGAAGAATAGACAAGCCAGTGGATTAACCAATGTAAACAACAACCCACTCTACCAAGAGAATCCAAACAACCAAGAGAATCCACTTTATATCGACCATGGTGGTGTAAATTAAATCAATCAATCAATTGGAAGTGTGATCCAAAAAAATCTTTTCTCCAAAAAAAAAATAAGACCGATCTCATTTTTTATTTATTGTATTTTACAAAAATTTTTAAACTCAAAACTAATTAAAATAAAATGTGTAACAAATTATTTTTTAATTTTTAACCAATTAACAAATAATTTTCTTTCTTGTAACATCATTTTTCAGCTATTTTTTTAAAACTCAAAATAAATAAATAATTTTTATATTTAAAAATAAAAACAAATAAAAAATTGTCAGTTGGAAAAAAACCACACATTTTATAAAAATTACAACTACAGAAAGAATTTGATTTTTTTTTTTTCTATCCATTTTTATATATCGAGTAAAATTGGATCAAATTGTAATGTCGATCAATATTGTGATTACATTAATAATTGATTGCAAACATTGTAATAATTTGTTCATTCATTGTATTTTGATTTAATCCCTCACCATTTTATAATAAAAGCTAGAAAACAACAACAATTTAACTCAAACATTAAATCCATACAGACAGATCGACATGTCGATACTGTTGGAAATTTAATATTCTATCGTTGATCTATTTTTGTGAGAGTATCATGTGAAAATCAAATTGATTTTCTAACCACTGTTGTCAATTTTAATTGTTTAAAGGGGTGTGTTACCACCAATCAAATGATTTTCAATTGATCAATCTTTTTTTAAGTTGGCAACTCTGTGTTGAAAAAACAAATATTAAACCTGTGGCATTATATATATATAGGTGATTGGCTAACTTTTATAAAGATGGGTCTTAAAGAATACACTTGGAACATATGGGTTTGTGGTTTCGTTTTTAAAATAACTATAACTTATTTGATGGGTTAACAAATTAAATACATGATCACAAATCTCTTTTTAACTCTCAAAAACTTGTGATTGATTTTAATTTATTCTACATTTTTGTTTTTATTCTTTTTTACATTCCGATATATAAAAACATTGGCTAGAATTAAACCTTATCCATTTAAATAAATACCAACTTTATACTTTTTTATAAAATAAAAGAATTGTTTTTTAAAGTTGAAAAACAATAATTTGTAAATATAATATATATCTAATAAGAAAACTATTATTTATTTGAAAATGTATAAATATATATTTTATATTTGTTTAATAGTAATCTCTATATCTTGTAATATAGTTATTTCTCAAAATAATGCACAACCATGTAAATATTTCTAACAAAAATTAAAAGAATAAGAATAATTATATTAATTCTAAACTATTTTTTCTTTTTATAACAATATTAGCAACATTTACAATTACCTCAAGAATATTCGATCAATTGCCTAGATTGAATCCTAATTTCGAAACACCTGAATATGGACAGCTTACTCCAGGTCTTATCAACAATATCTTAGATCCAATCAAAAGAGTTCCACAACTAAACTATGCAAATCCAAATTGGCAAAATACTTTTGCTCATGGTATGATTAAGAATGCCACCCTCTTCAACACATTCTTTATCAATACTCCAGGTATCAACAAACCTTTGACATTTAATATTACTCTTACTCTTAATCCAAGTGCTGGTACCTATGGTTATGATAACCAAACATTCTTCCCAATTAATCGTTTAGGTTGGGTAATGTATAAAATTTAAAATTCACAAATATTAAATTTTAATATTAATACTTATTTGTATTCAAATATTTTAGGATTCAACTCCGTCCAATTATTTAGATAGCAATGGTCAACCATTGTACAAAGATACCAATGGAAATTATGAAAATTTCCATTTCTGTTTAGTTAGTAATATGTTCTTTACTTACCAAGGTTATGAGGTCTTCAACTTCAGAGGTGACGACGATGTTTGGGTGTTTATCAACAATGAATTGGTTGTGGATCTTGGTGGTTTGCATCCAGCTGCACAAGCATCTGTCAATCTCCAAACCGATTTAAAGACCAAATTGGTTGTTAAACAAACCTATACATTGGATTTCTTTTACTGTAAGTTGTTTATATTAAATTAAGTTCAACTTTGTTCCCTCAAACTAACTATTAATTAATGAACTAATAGGTGAAAGACATACTGATACATCAACAATGAAAATGGATACTAATATTCAAATTTTCTGTCCAGCTTATGATTATTGTGGTGTTTGTGGAGGTGATGGAACTTCATGTTGTAATTGTGATGATGGTAATCCATGTACTGACGATTCCTGTCCTAAACCAGCTCCAGGAATTACCAAGGATAATTATAAAGACTTTTGCAATAACATACCAAGAACTTGTGCATCCGATACCTGTAACAATTATGTATGTTCTAAAGCTAACAACGGTCAATGTGTCCAATCAGGAAGTGCTTGTCCCAACCAAGATTGCAAGGTTACCAGTTGTACTCAAAAAAATGGATGTCAATACACCGACTTGTGCGTCGCCCAAGACAAATGTCATAGTACACAATGTGTCAATGGAACATCGTGCACACCACAAACAGCGATTCAATGTGACCAAGGAAACAAGTGTATGAACTATGGATGTGATCCAAACACCGGTTGCACTTCGAGTCCAAAGAACTGTGCCAATCCCTCAGATACCAATCCATGTAACCAATATTACTGTGAAGCCGGTACCGGTCTTTGTAAATTCATTACCCTCTCTGATTCTGACTGTGCATGCTGCAAGGATGCCAAGCCAAATCTCTGCCAAGTTGCCAAGTGTGATTCCAGCTCCGGCAAATGTAATGTATCGAACATCACCGTAGATGACAACAATCCATGTACCACCGATAGTTGTGATCCAGCAACCGGTCAAATCACAAACAAACCAATTCCATGTGCCGGCTGTCAAAACTGTCAAGGTGGAACATGTGTTGGAAACGATACTCTCTGTTCCGACGGTAATATGTGTAGCATCGACAAGTGCGCATTGAACAACACCTGTAGCTTCACACCGGTCAACTGCGATGACAACGATCCCTGCACAGAAGACACCTGTGATCCAGTACATGGCTGCCAACACAACAAGAAAGTATGTCCAGATGTCGGTGATTGTCAAGTAGGTGTATGTGTTGCCGGTGTCGGTTGTTCGACCGTCGAAAGAAACTGTTCGACCGGATTGTTCTGTACCGACAGTCTGTGTATCCAGGGTATTGGATGTGCCAACTTCACAAGAAACTGTGTCAGCGACAATCCAAAGTGTCAGAAGGGTACTTGCAACATCGAGAAACAAGAGTGTGAATTCGTCGACTACTCACCAAAGCCATTCGGTTGTAACAAAGCAGCGGTTATCTCTACTGGTGTAATTGCCGGTGTTGTAGTGGCAGGTGCAGTTGCATTGGCGATCGCCGTCTTTGGTGGAAAGAAAGGTTACGACGCATGGAAGAACTCAAGAAACAACGCAGTCACCAATTTAAATAACAATCCACTCTATACTGCCAATCCAAATGGTGGTGCCAATCCATTATACGAATAATAATTCATTCACACATAAATAATTATGAACGAATATATGTAAAGTTGATCAACTAACTGTTAGATCAAAACAAAAACAAAAAAAAAAAACAAAAACAAATATAGATATATAATCATTAATTTTCCGATCAAGTTATTTATTCTAAATCATTGTTAAAACACAAAAAAAAAAACAAAATAAAATGTATAAAATTTAAACAAAACAATCAATTCTTAATCAAAAATTGAGATTTATAAAAAAAAAAGTATTAGTAAATGTAAATTAATCTTTGGAATCTTCAAAAAAACAAGAGTCCCATTAGTAAAAAAATCTCCCTTATGATTTTATGGATTTTATTTAATATCGTGATTTTTTTTTATAAATTTATAAAAATTGATGATAAAAATTTTAAAAAAATTGCCGAGATTTGCTCTTTTTAAGAAAATTATGATGTTAGTATTGTAAGAATTGTGTTGTATTATTTTTTATATTTATTTTTTAAAAAATAATAATATTTTTATTACAAAGTCAACATAATATATAAAATATAAAAATTAAAAAACACTTAACCACTGTTTTTTTAATATATAAATTATAATTATTTATTCGAATTACTATTGTTGTTGTTATTGTTACTGTTTGTTGAATTTCAAGTAGTTAACTAAACAACACACACACACACTAATATATTACAATAATTAATTCCAATATTTATTTTTAATTTATATTTATAAAATTTGTAAAAATAATATTTTTAAACAAAAACAAAAACAAAAAGTAGTAGTAGTCTTTTATAATAAATATTTGAAAACATGTCTTCTCCAATGGTCTCTGTTCAAGAGGCTTTGAAGGATATGGTTTCTTCACTACCAAAAGATGTAAGTTAAAATTTGAAAATCTACAAAACAACAACTATTTAAAATTAATTATTGTTTTAATATATTATGTTATGTTATATTATATTATTTTTTAGTTATTTGAAAAAAATACAACTAAAGCTACTCGTAGATTATTGATTTCTATTGGTTTAGTATCTTTGGGTGCCATGATGGTTTATTGGATGCCATGGTATTTGCTACCATTGGGATGGTTCTTTATGGGTACAGCATGTTGTGGATTGTTTTCGATCGGATATGCCTGTGGTCGTAATCTCTACTTCCAGAATCGTATTATCAATAATATAGTTGGTACCATCTGTATGCTCCCATTGATGTATCCACTCGAGTATTTCAAGGAGAAGAGCTGCTCTACCAAGGAGCAAGTTCGTGACTATGTGGTCGAGTTGGCCAGCAGCAGATTCTGGTGGTTGTCATCGCCATTCCAATGGGTGAATTCCAATTTCAATCTCCGTAATTTCTCGGGTCGAATGATTATCAGTGCATCGTTTATCTATTTGTTCGTTGCCATCTTCTTGCCTCTGATGACCTACGGTCTCGGACTCTGGGGACTCTTCAAATTCTATTTGATCCCACTGTTTGTCTACCACTTGTGGATGTCCACCTTCCTCAAGGCCAGCTGCCTTCAATTCGATAGTGACAAGCCAACTTTCCTCCAATTGCCCAAGTTGATGGAGTATCTCACTCTTGACTTTAATATTGGTGTCACTCTCAGTCGTATCCAAACCGCTTCCAACGGAATTATCCCAGCATACAAATGGAAGGATGCTTATAATCTCTTGAAAAAGGAGTATAAGGGTATCTCTGAGCAATCGTTCTCCTCGTTGATCACCAAGGTTTCACCTGCCGTCACCAAGCAAATCCAATCATTGACCACCTCTGGATCGGAATCTACCACTACCGAAACCGATGAATCAGTCGAACAAACCGAACAACCAGAGACAAAGAAGTCCAAGTTTGATGGTAAACCATGGTATGAAAGAATCTATTGGGTAACAACACTCTTCTTGTTTGGCACTCCATTGCTTTCACTCTATGGAATTTTGACCACTCCATTCAATGCCAAGACCTACATCACTGCTTTCCTTGCTTATTATATCGCTGGTATTGGTATTACCGCTGGTTACCATCGTCTCTTCTCTCACCGTTCCTACGAAGCATCATGGCCAGTCCGTTTAGTATTGATGTTGATGGGTACATCGACTTTCGAAATGAGTGTAATCAACTGGTGTCTCGATCATCGTGCTCACCACCGTTTCACAGATACCGATAAGGATCCATATAACATTAAGAAGGGATTCTGGCATGCTCATATGGGTTGGATGTTGTTCAAGCGTGACGAAGAACCCGATGCCGATGTCTCTGACTTGATGGCCGATCCAATCCTTGCATTCCAACATAAATACTATGCCCCGATGGCTTTGACTTTGGGATTCGGTGTACCAACTCTAATTTGTGGTTACTTCTGGGGAGATTGGAAAGGTGGTTTCTTTATTGCCGGTATTGCCTCCAAGGTATTGATGATGCAATGCACCTTCTGTATCAATTCGCTGGCTCACTACTTGGGTGAAGCTACATTCACCGACCAACGTACACCACGTGACTCCCCGATCACCTCGTTGGTTACCTTTGGTGAGGGATATCATAACTTCCATCACGAATTCCCATACGACTACCGTAATGGTGTTCATATGAGCGCCTACGATCCAGGCAAGTGGTTGATCTACTTCCTCTCATTGTTTGGTGCCACCTATAATTTGAAGAGATTCCCAGATGAATTGTTCTCCAAGGGTAAAATCCAAATGGCCGAAAAGAAGATTCAAAAGGAAAAGGAAGCGCTCTTCTGGGGAACTCCATTGACAATGCTACCAACCTACGACACCGAAGAATTCAAGGCTAAGACCTCAAAAGAAAACCAAAAGTGGTTGATTATCAATAACATTGTCTATGATATTGCACCATTCATCCATAAGCATCCAGGTGGTGATCGTTTCATCCTCGACTACATCGGAAAGGATGCCACCAAAGCATTCAATGGTATTGTTTATAATCATTCGGTTGCAGCTCGTAATATATTAGATACATTAAGAGTTGGTATTTATAAACCAAACAAATAAATTTAATGAATCAACTATCAAACAAACAAACAAAATCATATAAATTTAATAAAAAAAACAAATATCGTTTGATGATTCAACTTTTAATTATTGTAATGATTTAGTATAGTATAGTTTTGTTTAGTTTTATTTATTTGTTATAACAGTTCCAACTGATGAATGATCATTGTTAAGTAGATTTGGTGATTCTAATATTGATTTTGAATCACCACCGATAATAACTACATCAATGTTCATATTGGCGATATTCAATGCCGATTGAAGTTTAGCACGCATTCCACCGGTTACATCATGCTCTGATTTAGAGTTTGAAACTGAAATATCGTTGTTTGTAAGTGATGATGATGAGATGTTTGATATGATGATAGCATTTGGTTCGTTTGGTGGTCTATCATAAACTCCGCTGACATCGGTTATGAATATAGCTCGGGTTGGTTGTGGTTTAAGTTGTTCACAGAGAACCTGTATGATAGTGTCACCACTCAAGATGGTACAACCTTTCGATCGGTCAAGACATACATCTCCGTGTAGCACTGGAATGATTGATAGATCGAGCATCGATTGAATGGAATCTGCATTGTGTTTGATCACTACATTGTTATCTGTCATCCAACCATCAAATGGCGAACAAGGCATTGCTGATATCGATCGTTTCTGACATTCCAGACAGACCAGATTCAACAATTTCAAAACACTGAATCTAGTTGCAATCATTCCTTTTCTTGAATCAACAACATCATTTACCTCATCAAAGTTATAATTAAAACCACCAGTTATTTTATATTGTTTCGCTTCATGATGACCAAAACTACCTTTTTTTTTATTATATAATATATACAAATATATCAATATCAGATATTCTATTAATAGCTTTAAATTTTCGAACTAATGAATAATAGGTTAAGTAGACAATAGACATACCAGCACCAATGATCAATATCAATTTATAATTTTTCTTTAATAATGAATCTAGAATATCGAGTAAACTATTAAAGTTATCTTGATTCAATTGTTGGTGTTGATCCTTTTTCGTAAGGTAAGCACCTCCACATTTAATTATTAATAATTTATAATCTTTTCTATTCATGTTAACTAAGCTAAACTGTAAACTTTATTTAAAAAAAAACACCTTCAATAGTTTTAATTACAACAACGAATATAAATTTTTTTCACAACGCACTTAAGCAAGTGTGAACATTTCAAATTAAATCTTTAAATTAAATTAAATCTTTGAATTCAAATTTAAATTGATTTAAATATATTTAAAAGAGATACAATATCCATATTCGTTGTTGTAATTAAAACTATAGATTTTGGTTATCGAGTACTGGAGACACCAATCAAGAATACGCAGCAACACTCACGTGCGACTGATGTCTCTTTGCCATTCTGGAAGCAAATAGTGTTATCAAAATCGTTTTCGATTTCAATAAAATCCTATAAATATGAAAAAATGGTAGTTTAGTAACATGTTGATGATAGCTCAATTGGTGATTAATTTGTAAAGGTTTACCGCGAAGAAATGAACATACATATTACAAATTTTTATTAAGATCTTTCAAGTTTACAGCTTACAATATATGAAATTTGAAATCTGAATTAACCTATATTGTTTATAATTCTATTCTACTTCTATACATCCTTTTCTCTTTCATCTTATATCACTATTGACCACAAATAGGTTCCCATTATCCACTACAAGCGTCGGTGCAGGTGAGGTGAAGTCTGACGGTTTCATCATTCCTTTTGACACCATGTCGTCTATGAACTCGTTGATTACCTTGCTATCTTGCGTTGAGTATTTAGGATAGTAGATCTTGCCAATCTCCTCCTTCAATTCAATTTTGAACTCTACTTTTCTTTCTGGTGGCATTCTAAAGAGATATTTGATAAGATTTCTTTGAACTTATCCATTAATTGTTTAGCGAGATCATTCTCTCGTTCTTTTTTACTATCGGAACGGATTTGGTGGTCCAGTTCTTCCAGTTTATCTTTTGTCAACCCATCACACTCAAGTTGAGGATGTCTAGTTGGTGTTGTAATCTGTTCACTAGTAATGCTATCTGATTGTGAACGATTTCGTTCTTATAGTACATTGGGTACTTCTTACTATGATCATTTTTATTGAATACATTGTGGATATAGTCTATTTTCATATTACGTATGATTGGCATTCCTATTATTGATTCGCAACCATGTGTACTAAGTAATCTTTTTAACAAGTAAAACTTTATTGTCTGTGTGGTATCTGTTACCGTCACATCCAACTCGACATATTCATCGATGGTAACTGTCCCTTCAATGGCCCTAGCTACTATCTTCTCTTTCCTTCTTTTTATTTAAAGTGATTAAATTTTAAAAAAATATGAGAAGAATGATTAAAATTTTTATCTTTTTTAGCTCATCTTTTAAACAACTAAGAACCATCTGGTTCATGTAACAAATCGATAAAGTCAATTTTATTCATTTTATTTAAACTTTAAAAAGTTAATATTAATAAGAATAGTTTTTGATTTCCTCTACTTTAATCATTTAATAAATGGTCTTTTAAAAATCAATAGTATTTTATTGTTGTTGTTGTTGTCTAGTTGATTTGGTGTTAAAGTTAAAATAGTTTACATTGATTGATTGACCTAAGGAAGATGGATTCGATGCAACAACCAATTTGTGGTGGCTATCAAAGAAACCTGGATTGGCAATAAGAGCAGCACAGTGGAGAGTACTAAGGTTGATATCCAAGACAAGTTCGTCGGTGGTAGGGTCAATCAAGCTGGAATCTACACTCCAAACAGATGATGTCGATGTCTGGAGTGTCGAGGTGGAAAGTGGCTCGAGTGGACGGATTTGTCCTTGGTCGTATGCTTCTGCCCACCAAGTACCAAAGTTCAAGTAGCCGAGAGTATAGATGTCAGTTGGCAACTGTTGGTGATAGACCCAACCGGTTGACATCGATGCCGGATCGGTTTGTTCATTCACACCCCAGTCTGAGACTTGTTGTGTCGACGATGTCTTCTCAGTCCATGTCTCTGAATAACTACCACCGCCACTGCCAGTGCTCGAATCAATACTGAAACTGATAGTAATGGTTGTAGAGGTAGTCTCCACATTGGTAATGACGTGTGTTTGGTCGACAGTTGGTGGCGAAGTCGATTGCAAATTAAAGTTTGTATCCAACGGTTCACCATTGTAAGTCATCTCATTATTAAAAGAGAATTGATACTGAGAGAATCCCAAAGCATTATTCGGATCATTAACAATCATAGAACTACCAGGATATACAAATCCATCTAGAAATTAAAAATAATAATTAATATTAGGAACTAATTAGTTTTGTTTAGTTTTAGCTCAATTTTGGCATTTGACCTACTTTGAATTAAAGCGAAATTATTAATCTTATTGACGTTATCTTTGTAGATGTAATAGTTGTTGTCGAGACGACGAGAGAATACTTGTTGTTGACCGTTGTAGCTACTTCCAGCGATGGTTATGGCGAATTGCGATACCTCGACGGTTTGAATGTATCCGAATGGTATGGTGGTGTTTGATGGTGGGATAAGCGAGGGAACAGGACCATCATCATCTCCATTCGATGTTAGTTTACCAACTAGATGTTTAACTATTGGTTCACTGCTGACTTGTTGATCATCACCATCATCGACCAACTTTACAAAAGTAACATTGTTATTACCAACCAAACGAGATTCAAGCTCACCACTTTGCTGTTGTTCAACCCAATTAAAAACAACATGATAAGAGATACCCATTGATGTTTTCTTAGGAATGAAAGCCATCACTCTATGATTACCAACTTTACTACAACCATTAATAATAGAACAAATAATTGATTTTGATTCTTGATCTACATCACTAAATATATTATTAATAGTTTATAGGTCGTTAATAAGAATCTTAAAAATAAAAAGATAATCTTAAAAATCTTAAATAAAAAACAAACATAAAACTTACACCAAGATAATTGATTTTCTTTGTTGATGATAATGATGAATGATTTCTTTGTTTTTAGCTAGTGATTTACCACCAATGATCGATTTAATTGAATGATGGTCGTTAGCGCTAAAGAGTAAGGTGGTTGGATCCAAGTCGACTTGATGGCTATGGTCATAATTGGCCTGAAGATGCTTAAGTATTTCAATGTTGAAAGCGTTGTTCAACTCGTGGTCAGTGAATGCATTGGCTAATCCATCTATCATAATCTCTGTAGCTACGGAATAAGCCAAACAGATATTTAATGAAATGATAGTAGTAATAATTAAAATATATTTATTCATAAAGATAATAATTATAATAATACAAATAAGTAAAGTAAAGATTTGTAAATAATACTAAATGATTTGATTATATATATATTCTTTGTGATCACATCTTTTTATACTTTTTCTATTTCTTTTCTTTCCCCTTTCAAAATGATAGATATCTATAAATTATAAAGAATCCATGATTTATTATAAATTCACATGTTGTTTTTTTTTAATCTTGAAACAACCTTTTGCTTTTGATAGATGTTACTTTAATGTCTAATCGATCATTGCTGTGTGTGATAAGTTAATGGGTATTCGTTGATAGATTGATGTTGATTAATTAGTTAATTAAAAACATTTTCTGTTTTTTTTTGATAGTTTTTGATATGATATTATTTTATTTAAAAAAACATATCTATCTTTATCTGTTTGTTATATTAGTTTAGTATATTGAATTGTAACTGGTGTATATTCTTTTAAAAAAATTGATGATATATTTCTTTAAAGGTAGCTTTGTTTTTACAACTCAACTCTGTCCCATAATGCATAGTCCCAATTGTTATTCTTCCGTTTTGGAAGAACATACTTTAGATCGTCTGGACTTCGAATGTAAACTCTATTGAATACTAGTTTTGTAATTAATTTCATCACCAAACATTTCACAGGACAGCGCCTGCAATAACGAATGTACTATAGAAGCAGTAAGGTGGGTGTCCAAATTAATATTTCCCACAACTAAATATTCGACTTTCAACTACTTTCAAAGACTTTCTCTTTTTTTATAAAAGTTCAAAAGGTACATCGGTTTCTTCAATACTTTTCTTATTCTTTTCCTTTGGCTCCAGAGAAAAGTCATCGAGTGACTTTGGAGGAATAATTATTATTTTTGACTGTAGGAAATTTAAATTATAATTTATAATATTAAATAAAAAAATTAAATCAATCGGATATTGTAGATTCTATAGTCCATTAATAAACTTGACAAAAATACTAAATATATTAAAACATTTAAATAAATATTTATTTTGGTATGGAGTTTAGCTAGATAGGCTCACTTGTATTTGAACTAACCACCCAGGTGACTGGACCTGCGTTGTTATATATCGTGGATTTTTTTAAATCTATGAATTGCCCATTATTGATTTAACCTGTGTGCATACGTGCTATTTCATTTTATAGGTTGGGTTTTTTTTTCAAAATGCATACAAAAGCTGTGCAAATTGTTTTCATTTTTTAGGGGAGGCTTAAATTGAAATTACTCATACCTGGATGATCTAGATGAAAAATCATTGAATCTGTGATTGAGAGAATTTCAAAAGAAATGACTGATCAACTGCGCAGTTGGCAAAAAAATCTATTATTTCATCCCTCATTTGGGTATGACAATTATTTAAGAACAATGTTTGTTCTCTCCCTTTAAAGTTACGCCAATCAATCAAACAACTACGTCATTACTAGATCTATCTATAAATAAAATTTACAAGTAAAATGTCCTCATTCAATTACACAGATTCAGAGATTAAAGCTAGACAAGAAGTCATTGGATATGCCGTTGAACAATTAGCCGTTTACAATGAATCCCGTATCGATATTGGTGAGAAACCATTTACTAATCTCTCACAAGTAGTAAATGATTTACGTCAAGGTGGTTCCGACAGTGATACTGTTAATTACTACAGAGAATTAAACAATCAACAAAACCAAGCTAAACACGATTTCACCAAAAACTACAAGGATTAACTTTATAACTAAAACTGTTAAATTAAACCAATAAAAGTCTACAATGACTCAAATCCTTAATTCATGTTATCACATGAATAATTAATTAAAGAATTATAATATATTATTAATATTAAAATGTTTTGTTCAATTAATACCTTGTTTGCGTTAATTTAACAAGAATTGTTTGGTAAAACCATTTCTTCTTGTAGTTGTTGTTTTTCTTGTTCATCTTTCACCACATTTGCTTTCGATAGATGTTACTTTAATGTCTAATCGATCATTGCTGCTGTGTGTGTGATTAATGGGTATTGGTTGATTGATTGATGTTGATTAATTAGTTAATTAATAACATTTTCTGTTGTTTTTTTGATAGTTTTGATATGATATTATTTTATTTAAAAAACATATCTATCTTTATCTGTTGGTTTATATTAGTTTAGTATATTGAATTGTAACTGGTGTATATTCTTTTAAAAAAATTGATGATATATTTCTTTCAAGGTACCTAAAATAATAATAATAAGAGGAATATCTGTTAGTTCAACAATATGTTTAAAGTTGTAGTTATTAATTATAGTCTTATGTTGAATATTATACTTTATAAATTCTTCGAGTGCTTTTGTTATAATTATTACAGTTTTTTCATCCATATCAGAGGATTGTATGAGTTCAGGCATTTTAACTAAGAGAGGAATGATAATGATTGTTAGCAATTGCAATTGCAATTTAGAAAGGATTTATAAAACCAATAGCAATCTTACCAAATAATCTTAACAAGTGCTCTGCACCATATATCTCTGACATTGGCTTATTCGGATAACACTTTAACATTTCACCATATTGCGGTCTTTCGAATTTGTATAATAGTAGCACACCTACTGCTTTATTAAAATAACTTTCTATGCCATCTGCAACTTGTTCTATATTTTCAATACTTTTTTTTTTTTGAATTGAAATTAAAGGATCATCATTAGTTAGGAAGTTAAGTTAAACATGATTGATTTGTGATTTGTGATTGTGATAAATACTGTTCATTCTGACTTGAAAAGTCTTCTAATAGTGATTTGATTGAAGGATTTCTTGGTAGTGAAACTATCTGTTGAATTGTTGTTCATTGATAAAAAAAGTTAGTTAATTTGTTGATTTGTTTGCTTGTTTGCTGTGGAGATCGAATCAGAAGTTTAAAAGTAACATGTATACATTACAGATTTATCATTATTTACACTTGCCCAATCATCTACCAGTTGTTTCTTGAGGATGTCGGGTATCACTATATCAATACCATTCAAATGTGAAGGTGTATTGGAAGAGTCGGAAGGTATTCTCTTTCTTTTGTTGGCAGCACTACTACTACCACTACCACCACCACCACTGAAAGCATTACTGGCATTGCTTGTAGTTGTTGTTGTAGTTGTAGAATAACCCATTCTTTCATCTTCATCGTGATCCCTTGGTTTCTTCTTCAACGAAGACAATGGTTTAGGTCCAACTTTCTTTGGTAAATCTTTATTCTTTTCTGTCATCCTTGTATCTATCTATATCCAATATATATATATCTAATACATATATATATCTTATCTCTTTTTAAAGAAAAAATAATCAAAAAAATTAATCAAAAAAAAAAAAAAAAAGCAGGGTTGGTCAGTCCAAAAACTTTTTAAATTTAAATTAAATTTATTGGTTAACTTGATGCATCAAACAATTTGTTATTACATTGTTGATTCTATTAATATAATATATACATATATGTATTGGGATGAGATGATAATAGTACATTTAAATTTATTTAAATTTTTATGTAATATTGTTGTTATTATTATTATTATTTTTACAAAGGTGAGGTGGAGAAAGAAAATTGGATTGGTTTATAGGTTCATGTTAAGTAGTGGAGTATCGGCTACACCAAATTCATTGTCCCATTCCTTCACGTATCGGTCGTGGATTTTTTTTTTTTCCTGTTTGATGTTTCTTTTTTTCTGGATTCTCTTGATTCCCAGAGTGATCAGTCGTCGGAGGAGTTCGCAAATTAAGAATAGACCGAGGAACCATAAAACGGTGGCGGTGATACCACCTCTCTGAATGGTTACTTCTTGGTTACCGCAGTTCTCGCCGTCGACAAAGCTGTAGACACCACGGTTCAGTGAGTAGAATGAATGGAAGAATTGACCCATTTGAATCCAGGGGAAGAGACGCTCCCATTTCGGATTGATTCCACCGACCGAGTATGGGTCGTTGCCATGTCCGACCACATCGTAGATGAACGAGGTCTGCGCTGTTTTGAAGGTGTTCCAGAGGAGTTCGTTGGTAAAGTAGGAAGCGTTGATTGGCGCACTCTGATTGTAGTTGATATTCGGTATTTCAAAGACGGTCCAGCCTGTAGCGCCCAGACCGCCACGATGGTAGTCGTTGGCGGACACCACGCGAATTCCTTGCGACCGCGCGAACACCAGTGTTTGGAAGTCGAAATAGATTCCGTTGGCGACATCAAAAAAGTCGACACCCCAGTCGGCAAACTGCTGGATTGTCGGCATGTCGAGACCGGACCAATATGCCCAGGGTCGGTGATTCATCACCACCATGCCGCCGAGCTCATGAGTACGGTTGATAGCCAACTGTATCTCCAAGTCGGTCGGATTCTTTATTGGTGTGATCGACTCGTTGATTCCGATGAAATTCAAGTGGCAACGGCAATTCGACCATTCGAAACCGGCGATCACCTTGATCTGGTCGTTGTACTTCTCCTCGGCGATCTTTTGCGCGGCGAGCGCACCCGCTATCGTATTGTGATCGGTTACGATCATCGCGTTATAGCCATTGGCAATGTGCCATTGGATGTTTTGCTCGGGTGTGAGTGAGCCGTCCGAATAGGTGGTGTGACAATGCGTGTCCATCAAGACGTTGTAAGTGAAATTCGAATCGAACGTGGCCATCGAACGTGGATCGAAACTCCAATTCATCTGAACGTTGACCGCTGTATATGGATAGGGTGGACTGTTGTAGATGATAACACTGACCACCGCTACTATTCCAACGATACAACAGGTGATCAACAACCTAACGAAAGAAGGTAGCAAACAGCATCCTACTTTTTTCTTTACTACATCCCAATCTATTTGTACCATATTTCTTCTATTTCTATTATAATATTTTATTTATTTATCTATAGATAGATTAGATAGATTTATAAATATATTAAAACTTCTCAAATCTTGATCCTAAACTCATATTGGTCGGTTGATTTTTTTTTAATTTTTTAAAAATAATATATTTTTTTAAATTAAATTTGAGGGGTTAGAATTTCACACACACCCGATAACTTTAACAAATCTTATATCTTTAAAAACCTGACATTTTTAAAAAACAAAAGAGAAGAAAGGTTAGAAATGCATTATTTAAGTTGATATTTAAAGATAAATAAATAAACAATTTCAAAAATATTATAACCTTGTTTTAATCAAAATGTTGAAGTATGTCGTTGCACAAATAAAGAAAATCTAAAGAGTATAAGAATAATAATTAAAAGACATATATTGATATATTTTTAATTTTTTAAATTATAATTTTAAAAAAAGAGAATATTTATTATATTTGATTTAAAGAATGATTGATTCTTTCCAATGTTTTCGATTTACCAAGTGTTTCGATGGTTAGTGGTAAATTACCACCGGTCGGATTAGCAGTAATCAAATAACGTAGGACAGACATAAGTTGGTTGGTTTTTCCAGTGATTTCTTTGTCGGTTTTTAACTCTGGGTATAATGTTCTTGCAGTGGATTGAAGTGTTTGATAGATTACATCGGATTGATATTGTGATTCATCCAATTCACTTAGATTTTGTAATAGCTGGTTTGCTTGTGCAGGTGACACGTCTGACTTCCAAATCTTCTCTTTCATCTTCATTGCTTGTTCACTGTTCATCTGTGGATGTACGAAAAACGGTGCCAACAGTGTATAGGATTCATCGATCTTCACAATACGCTCCTTAATACAATGAATCGCTCTCTTTAGATATCCATCATCAATAGACGATTCATCGATAGCCAACCGTTGAACCAAACTATCTTTAATCTGTTTTGCCAACACCAAATAACTATCGTCGTTTGCCAGCAACAATCTAATATGATTAACATTCATCCAATCTAATCTCTCAATATTAACAACACTACCAGATTTATTAATCGATTCCAAAGTAAACTAATAATAACAAACAAACAAACATTAGTTAAAGATAAACATAATAACTTTATATATAAAGTAATAAACAACTTACACCATCAACTAATTCATCCAATGTAAATATCTCTTTGTTTGATTCAGAGGGTGACCAACCTAATAGTGCAACAAAGTTAACTAATGCTTCAGGTAAATATCCTTTATTCTTTTTAAAATAGTAATAATAGTAATAATAATAAGTAAGTATTAAATTTGTTATTATTACAATGTATATATTGTTTTTTTTTGAATAGCGCTAAATACATACTATATAACTATCAACAGAAACATCACCTTGTCTTTTCGATAGTTTTGATTTATCAGAGTTTAAGAGTAATGGTAGATGTGCAAATACAGGTGTTTTCCAACCGAAATACTCGTAGAGTAGAATGTGTTTTGGTGTGCTGTTTAACCATTCTTCACCTCTGATGATGTGTGTTATACCCATGAGATGATCGTCGACCACCGATGCCAAATGATAGGTTGGAAATCCGTCGGATTTCATCAGAATCTGATCGTCTATCTGTTGATTACTGAATTGTACGTTTCCTTTGACGACATCTGTGAATTTTGTTGTCTTATCGCTCGGTACCTTCATTCTAATGGTGAATTCACCGGGTTTCGCCTCCGCTCGGATCTTATCTTGCATGCTGGCACACGAGCATCGCTCCGGCATGATTGCACCTTTCTTTGCCTTTAGATTACGTGCATTCTCTAGTTCCTCCGGTGTACATACACATCGATATGCATAGCCTTGTTCAAGGAGACGGTCGGCATGCTGCTGGTAGATAGCGAGTCGTTCGGATTGCACATACGAAGGTATGTCGATGTGAGTGGCTGGACGAGCAGGTCCTTCATCATAGGGAATACCTGCCCACGTTAAGCAATCCTCTAGATTCTTTGCTGAACCCTCTACGGTTCTCGCTCTATCGGTATCCTCTATTCTCAGAATAAAAGTACCGTTGTTCTTCTTTGCGAATAGATAGTTAAAGAGAGCGGTACGCAAACCACCCAAATGCATCATACCAGTCGGACTCGGTGCATATCTAACTCTAACTTTATTATCTATTGTTGTTTCATTACTTTTACTACTATTGTTACTATTAGTACAATATCTATTTGAAAATAATGATAAAGATGATAGTTGTGAAAATGTTCCTATACCACTACTACTACTACTATTATGTTGATTTAAAGTGGTAGTTAAAAATCTGTTATTAATAACACTTTGACTGTTATTATATAATTTAACTATATTTAATCTCAACATTCTTTGTGAAGATTAAAATGGTAATTAATTATAAGAAAATTAAACAAAAAAAACGAACAAACTATTTTTTTTTTTTTTTTTTTTTTTGATCAAAGATATTATGATCATCGACAGTAACAATCATCATTATCATTACAACACTATCACAAAACAAGTAAATACAAAACAAACAGAATCAATTCACAACCACCACCACCACTCATGAAGAACTATCCTATAATTGTATTAGATTTTTAGTTTATTATAATACATTGACAAAGAATGTATTCGAGATTCAGCTAGATATTCAGGTACAAACAAGAGAAAACTAAACTAAACATCAAGTACTTTTTTTATATGAGTCGAGAAGAGACATAATCGTGTAACAAACTATTATTAAGAAAGATTTTTTTATGAATGATGAAGTAGATTTCCTGGTTAAGAAACATAATCATGGATAATATATATATATATATATTTGGTACAACCTGTTTTATTGAATTTGTTTTTAGAATGCTGGTCTGAGTCCTTCTAGAATGATTCATTCATTGGGAACCGACTACGGAATTAGAAAAAAGATATTTTTTATTTATAGAATTTTTGAATGATTTTTCGCAAATTAATTAATAAAGTAAAGTTGTAAAATCAATCAATCAAGTTATTATTTATTTATTTATTCCTAAATACATTATTTTTTAGTAGTTAGTTTTCTTGTAAAATATATTATTTATTATATTTTTATTAAATTTTAGTTTTAGAGACATGACATATCACGCAGCAGTAAGTTCATCTAATTTGGAGGAACTAAGAAGATTGTTGGTTGAACAACCACAGAATATCGATGAATTGAATGAGAAAAAAGAGACTCCACTGTTGGTAGCGGTTCACAACAACAATGTGCCGGTAGCACAGATCCTTATTGAAGCCGGTGCCAATCTGAATATTCAAGATCAAATTCAAGATAGTCCCTATCTGTACGCAGGTGCTCACGGTCGTTCCGACATCCTCAGACTGATGTTGAAGCGTAGTGATATCGACTTTACCGTTTACAATAGATACGGTGGTAACTGTATCATTCCAGCCAGTGAGAAGGGTCACCTGGAGAACGTTCGTATCCTGCTGGCCGACGGTCGTGAGAACATCAACCATATCAACCGATTGAATTGGACTGCCCTGCTGGAGATCGTCTACTACGACAACGACGATCAACTCTATCAAGACATTGCACGTGCCCTCCTCGAAGGCGGTGCCGATCCAAACATCCGCTGTGGACACGGTAAAACAGCGTTACAATATGCCAAGGAAAAAGGTTTCAAAAATTTAGAACAACTCATTATTGATTTTGGAGGAAAAGAATAAATAAGTTATTTGTTTTTGTTTTGTTATTATTATAGTATCTGTTTGTTTTGTTTTGTTTTGTTTTGTTTTGTTTTGTTGTAATAGTAATTCATAGGTTGGTTGGTTGTTTGCACCATTAATGATGATTAAAAGTTAATATTTTACTTGAGGTTTTCGAAATGGTTAGTTCACCTCGTAGATCTATTTCCATGAGTTGACGAACTTGTTCTTTGGAGATGCCGAGCGAGAGCAGCCATCCAAGTTTACTGGCGGCAGCTTCCACTGTCATGTCGTGTCCGCTGACAGCTCCGGCGTCGAGCAGTGTTTTTCCGGTTTCATAGTGTTTGAGATTGACGGTGCCGTGAACACATTGACTAGTAACAACAACGACCACTCCACGCTTGACGGCAGCGACAATCAAGTTGAGGAAATGTTTCTTTTTGGCTGGCGCGTTGCCGCTTCCATACGATTGGATGATCAAACCCTCGAGCGGTTCTCTCAGCAGGTTCTCTACGCAGTCATCAGAGAATCCCGGTACGAGATGCAAAACCAACACATTCTTATTCATCGTTTCGTGCACACGGAAACGACCTTTTGGTTGTCGCAGCACGATGTTTGTATTGATATCGAAATCCATACCGAGCTTACCGAGAGGGTCGCAATTCGGTGATTCAAAGGCAGCCAAACTCCAGGAATCGATCTTCCGACAACGATTGCCACGCAGCAGCTGATTGTTAAAGAATACACAGACCTCGGGAATATCGAATTTACCGGCAAACATTATCGCCGTCACCAGATTGCGTTTCGCATCGTTTATAACATCGCCAATCGGAATCTGGCTACCCGTCAGAATCACTGGTTTACCTAGATTCTCCAACATAAACGAGAGTGCCGATGCAGTGTAAGCCATAGTATCGGTACCATGAATAATAACGAATCCATCGTAATCATAGTAGTTCTCTTCGATCATCTTGGCTATTTTAACCCAATCTTCGTGATCCATATCCGAGCTATCAATAGGTGGATGAAACTATATATATATATAGTTAATTGACCAAACCAATGTTTTGTTTTTAGTTTTAGTTTTAGTTTTAGTTTTAGTATTGTTATTTATTGGTCGGTTATTTACCTCTGTAAGTTTATAAGATGGCATTTCAGGTGATTTCATCTCTGGTAGCATCTCTAGTTGCTCTACTATGTAGTTTGGTTCGGGACGGAGTGTACCGTGAATGGGGTCACGTTTCATACCGAGCGTACCACCTGTATAGATAATGAATACACTTGCTTTCAAGACTTTGGAGATCGATGACATTGAAGTTCTCAACAATGATATATTACTACCGGATACCTCTTGAATCTTTTGTTTTATTTCCGTTTCCTCTTCAACCGTTATATTAGAAGTAGAAGTATAACTAGTTCTAGTAGATGTAATAGAAGTACCATGATTCAATGTTGTCTCCAACACCGCAGATTTATTACCATTCATTCTATAAATATATATAAATCTAATAAGTTATATTGAATAAAAAACAAGATATAGATAGATAAAACTGATAATTCACATCAATAGATTATATTAAATTTTATTAATTGAGAATTATATTAAAATTAATATTATTATTAAATGAAAAATATAATAGTTTAGTTTGTTATTAAAATTGGGATTCTCAAAAATCAATTTGTTTGCATGTTGTTTTTTGTTTTTGTTATTTCGGATTCTCTGATTTGTTTTATTTTTAGAGTAACAAATAAGTAAATATAACAAAACATATAGATGTTATTATTAAGGAATGTGGTTGTTGATAAACTCCGCTAGAGACATTCGATATCCATTTAGATTTGTTTTGACATTCTTTAGTGGCATTGTGTATGTTTTGGTCGATAATTGTGCAATTCTTGCATGTGCTATCACATGAGTAGCTGGTTAGCTCCGTATCTGTACAATTAAAAAATGCGTACTTATTTGTATCCTCTTGAACACAAAGATTCTTTTTTAAGGTATAGCCAACGAAATTCTTTGTGCACTCGTCGTCAGAGTAAAACATTGCAGCACATGTACCTGATTTAGACAAATCGATGGCTTCACTGTTGAAATTGGCAATCTTCGCTATCTTGGATCTATATTTGTTGTCATGAGGCAAACAAATGTTTACATAGTTCTTGGTATTTACTGTGGCATTGACATCGGAATGATCAGTCAGACTGCAATTTATAGAACTTCCGCCATCAACAGTTTGTGTGTACTCGATATAATAATCATCATAAACAGCAATCAAGCCTGAAACTGAACAAGTATCATAATATTCTGTAATGTATGGAGAACCACCACAATCTTGATTAGGGAAATAATTAATAATTATTTGATTTGTATATTTTGTTGGTAATACTAAAGTTGAACTTGTCGATTTTAATAATATTAATAATAAAAATATAGTTGTCAACATTTTTTAATAACTTTTAAAATGATTGTTATATATATATATATAAGAAAACAAAGTATTTTATTGAAATATGTTTAATATTGTTATTTGATAATATAATACACTTTTATTTTAAACATATTGGAATATGATCAATGAACATTGAAATTCATGTATTTTATTTATACCCACACTACCTTTTCCTTTTTAAAAGTAGTGATTAAACTTAACATCTCGATTTCGAGTGTTTTTAATTTATTTGAATCATCTACCATTCAACACATAGTGTTGATTGCAATTTATAATAAACATCTTTGAAATTAATAATTTATAAATAGATTATGGTATAGAAATAAAAAGTGATATTCAAATTAATTGTTTGTGAATTTCAATTGGCATGTTAAACAACCAGTAAGAAATAGTGAATATGTGAATCTTGATAAATTTATAAATTCATTGTATGTTAAGAAATATTATTGATAAATTATTTATTTGATTTTGTTTTTAATTAATTGAACAACCCTAGAGGTTATTTTAAAGTTGTTTAAAAAGCAAATGTCAATGGTGAAAAGATTGGCATTGTTAAATTGGAGTTGGGTGAGTTGGTGTATTCAAGAGTATTGAGATTCAAGGTTGTGAATTCATAGTTGTTGGTTTGGGTGGATGAAATGATGATGGCGTAATCACCGTAGGTTGCAATTGGAACGATCATAATATTCTGTGGGAAGTAGAATGGAATCTTGAGGAAGAGCTTGTAACTCAAATCCGAGAGATCTACGGAATAGAAGAGGAAAAGAGTTTCTCTGGTGTCAACGAGAACCATTTGACCGTTGTTGTAGATTGGAACTGGTCTGATCGATTGCAAAGTCATGATTTGCTTGCTGACCATCTTTTTGGTGAGGAGATTGAAAATGGCGAGGTGAGTCATCGAATTCTTATCGGTGTATGTGATATAATAGTGTCCAGTGGAATCGTCATAACAACCGACTGGTGGTGCGAGGTATGGAATATTTAATGGTACGACATCACTGGATGATTAATTAATCGAATCGAATCGAATCAAACAATAATTTATTTTGTTAGAAATTTCTAAATCAAATGAATCAACATTAAGATCTCATAAACTTACATTGTTTTCTTGGCGAAATTCCAAATGTTAATGACCATGGCGCTGTCAACTGCAGTGGCACCAACAACTGCAACAATCTTGTGTGCTGCATCGTATGCATAACGTTGAGCAGCAATAGCATAGGAGATGGATTTTTTCATTTCACTTAAAACAATGAATGAGTTGTTCTGTGTAGATAGATGTTAATAATTATGTTTTTTTATTTATTAACAATATATACAATACTTACTGTAATTGAATATTCAACAAGCCAAGTATTAACTCCTTGAGCCAATAATGTAATGGTTTGTGAATCTGCATCGGTAGCTAAGACACTGCTGAGATCATAATGTATATCTGGATAAGAGGTATTACCGATAAAGGCTGCAGTGGATGCATTGAATACAGTATATTGTGATTCAATTGTGAAGAGACCGAATGTAGTTGGAATATATTCTGAATGTACACACTAAATGTAATAATAATGATTTCATTGTAAGAAAAATTATGATCAATTTTTTAATTTCAAAAAGTTAATTTAAAAAATGAAAAATTTACACTTATAGCTAAAATGAGCGCCAAGAATATTATTTTATTCATTTTTATCTTTTCTTATTTGTTTTTTATATATTTAATAGTTTTCGTTAATAAATAATTATGATTTGTTATTTTCAAATTGACAACACCCATGATTATAAATAGCTATTGTTCTTGTTTCCAAAAGAATCGATTTTTGATATACAATCTTGATTTTTTTTTAAGATTATTTTAAAATTTTAAAAAAAATGTCGGATTCTAAATAAATATCAAAGATTTTTGTAAAAATGAAGTGATTTTCATTATTGTTGGTATGGAATACAATATAATTTTTTATTCTCGATCTTATTAAAAAAACAATATCCTAATAATAAATATCTTTAAGTTATTTTATCGTATTGCTTATCACCAAATTTTAATTTTTCCAAGTAATAATCTTTTAGGTTTTATTTTTCGAATTACTTTTCTTATGTTTTATCCTGTCATTTCGGGATCTTACATCATCAACTCAAAAAAATCTTCTCACACTTCGGGATCAATAAAACTCCATGGAGATGTTGATATGCTTTCATAATTTAAACAATACAATATTATTAGAATTTGAATTATGAAATCTCACTAAAAGTTGATTATTCTCGAACAGCAACATTGCAGATCTAAAGAAAGAGATCTTTCTTTAATGTAATGAAAAAATAAAACTAATTTCTTGTATATATGATTGTACATCTATTACACATTAGTAATTCATGACAAAGAATATCAAAAATGGATAGTATTTAAAGTTTAGAAAAAAAATTATTATTTCATTTTACCACTCTTACCACTTTTGCGTTATCTCTTATTTGACGATAACACTCATTGAAGTTCAAGATAGATTTTTCACTAAATTTTGAATAAGTAAAAAGAAAAAGAACTCCAAAAAAAAAAAAGAATTTTGCAAAAACAAAAAAATTGCACATGTTGCAAACATAAAAAAAAAAAAAACACCCATCATTTGGGAAACAAGATCTCATTCTCATCGCACTAAACAACTTAATACATCCCAGAAAAAGTGTTGTTTTTTAAATTGAATTGTTTCCGTTGTTTTTTTTATTTTATTTTATTTTATTTAATTTTAATTTTATTAATTTGCAATGCTTCTTCCTCAGAAACAAGGACTCTGAAGTTTGATATAATATTTTTAGATAATAAACAACAAATAATATCGGTGGTAAACCATCGTTGTAACCCCCAATTTAAATAATAAATAGTCAATCAGAAATAGATTAGTCAGACTCTTTATTTTTTTGTCATTTCAGAGATTAGTTCAATCATATTCATTATTCATTATCCATTATCCATTGTTTACCATTTTATTTATTCGTTTATACATCATTCATACATACGTATTTTATATGAAATTAGTTAGTTGGCAATCATCAACCTTTGAATTAAGTAAGTATTTTGTAAGATAATGAAATGAATTCATTTAAATGTTGTCATTTGTCGTTTAATGTTGCCAAAAAAAAACTCATTTCTCAAAAACAAACACCATTTTTCATGTTTTTGACCGTCAACGAACGATTTTTATTTTATTTTTTCATCATCATGTCTCAATGGGTCTTCAAATCATTACATGCTTGATGTGAATGCAATCATCGAACAATGACGATCACAATTGTAATATTCAATAAAGATGATTGTGATCACAAACAAATCAAATAAAATAAATAATGTTGTTGTTGCTGTTGTTTACAAAAGAAATCGAGAGATTTGGTTTGTTTACAACTTATGTGGATCATACATAATCATCTTTAAATCAGTTATCAATTGAAAAAAAAGTATCTGTTGTGTTATTCGATTCATTGATTAATTAAATAAATAAATAAATAAATAAATAAATAGGATTGATAAAATAATTATAATTATTTATATAATTTCATATTTTCACATCACATCGCTTATAAGGTTACAGATTTTTAAAAAAAAAGAAGTAAATATAAATGTTTATTTTAATGCAAAAAAAAAATAGTTAGATAGTTTTGTTGTTTTTTCCGTTCCACAATGTGTCATTGGCGCAAAAATAAGTTTGGTGTTGTTTTGAAATTGATTGGATTTTTTTAGACAAACAAAACAAAAAATAATGCAACTTTGCAGCCACCTCGGTTGCGGACAACAATTATAATTTAATAATAACATTGCATTGCATTAATTAAAATATTTAAAATATAGAAATTTTTTAATACAAACAAATAATTAACATTTATTTATTTTTCAGATTTTTTCATTTTTAAGAATTAAATTAGTTAGTTAGATCAAACTACTTTGTCGAGAGTTTGTTTATATAAAGTAAACAATTAATTTTATAGGTAGGTACCTAATCATCATAATTTAATTAAGAATTCTATTGTTATTGTTGATGTCCAAATATATTAATTAGATTGAATCACAAATTTGTGATATTTTTTCCAACACACTTTAGGCAATAAATATTCCCAAAAAACTTAGTAAATAAGAGAGAGATAGAGAATTATTATTTTTAAAAGACAGACACTGCAAACCACTGACAACAACAACAATATATTGTTTCAGTTTTTAACACAACATCTCCAACACCCCTTCCTTATAACACCTATAATTTTCATACTTCACACCAGTCAAACTCGAAAAACAGTCATATTTAATGTGGTAAAGCACCATACTAAAACAATCAAACATTTTCAAAAATGAATAATAATATTAATAATAATAATATTTATTCACACAATACAATTGGTAATAATAATAATATAAATTTAAACAATTCTCCCATAGACAATAATAATAATTTAAATATCAATGTTAATAGTAATAATAATAATAATAATATAGGAAATAATAGTAATAATAGTTATAACTATAATAAATTAAATAGTAATAGAGATAATAAATACGATAAAGTTGGAAATAAAGATAGAGATTGTTTTCTAAGTTTTTCGACGACGACAACTCAATCCAACGGCAAAATAGGCGGTAAAGTTATGTCTTTTAAGACAAAGTTTGGAATAGCTGCTGGAAACAGGTTGTACAATAGAGTTTTTAATTTATGGCGATCACAGGTCATTAGACAACTGATTGTGGTGATGCAGGTGGTGTTTCTGGCGTATCTACTCTCGAAAGCCGTTCTAAAGTTTCAGATGCTCGACAACAAGTCGACACTGCAGGAGTTTTCGAATTCCGAGTGTTCCGGCGCCGGCCAGAACACCGATTGCACAGTGGGCTCCACCCATTCATTTAAGCGCGTTCTCTTTTTCTATAACGATGGTTTGGCGCGAGATTTGTCCGATCCGTTGGTGAGCGGATTCGCCGAGCACGCCAACGTATTTAGGATTCAGAACGAAGGATTTCCTGCGAGTTACGCTGTGTTCACCTCGTACATGACGGGTGGCGCACCCACCAACTTCATGGGTACGCCGATCGTCGAGGACAACATGATCTACCAGCTGGCAAACTCTGGACAAACCATGAAGTTTGTCGGCACGAGAATGCCGGCATACGATGTGTTGAAATCGGGCAACTACTTCAAGGGTGGCGTCAAAATCGAGTCGACGACGCCCACCTCCAAGCTCTATCAAACGCTGTTTCACTGCGAGTTGAACGATGAGCAGCTGTGCTCGCAGCGCTATCTCAACGAAACGGCAGCTGGCCAGAGCACGAGTATCTTCTTCTCTGGCGATATAGTCGATGAGCGTAATCACATGACGGGCGACAAGTACGATCCGACCACAATCGAAATCATCAACGACTGGATCGGAAACATGGGATACGTCAAGCAATGGATCGATAACAATCCCGATTATCTATTGGTAATATTCAGTGATCACGGTGGTAAACTCACTTCAGAGACTGCTGCACACGGTAAGAACAACGGTGGAAACGAAGCATTCATGATCATTTACAATCCGAGAATAACACCACTTCCACCCAATGAACAAGATAAATTTATTGATCAAGGTATGTTATGTCAATTAACTATATGATGATGTTAAGTTTGTTATTAATCAACGATCATCATCTATTCTATTATAGTCGATGTTTGTAGTACAATTTCTCAACATTTTGTTGGATCAGGTGTTTCAATTCCATCTGTTAACATTGGAAAGTTGGTGCCGACAGCGATTTCCTTGAAGGAAAAGTATCAGTTGTTAAAGTTGAATGCCGATCAATTCAATGTTCTGGGAAAGAAGTGGAGATATAAAATGAATCAAGCAGACTACATTAGAGCGATAAAACTCGGTGAGAATACAGAGAATGATCAGGATTACGAAGAGGCAATCAAGCTATTCACTCGATATATCAACAGTTTGAAGTTGCCATTCTTGAATCTAAAGCGATTCCCTATATTCGAGGTGGTCTTCTTCCCGATAACAATAGCGTTGCTCATAGCAATGCTCATCAGAAAACAGTATGGCAGCGTTAAGAATCTATTCTCAGAGATGCGAAACAACATTGCTCTGGTGATGATTCCCTACTTGGTTATCTTTGGAATCACTGCGTTGTTCTCTGGTTTCTGGGTGTTGTATTGGCATGACGATAACGAATCGATTCACGTATATGTCGCATCGCTGCTGTCGGCACTCGTCATGTACTACGCACCGAACGCAACACAAAACATCAAGAGAACCGTCAGTAAAACCTACAGGTCGCTGTCAGGCGGTTCACTTTCTCAAGTTGCCTATGAGAAGCTCGATAGTGAAGCTGGTGATTCAATAGAGATGAATAGTTTCAATGATGATATAAGTTTAGGAAATACAGAGTTTGACGATTGTTCTGTTTCACTATATAGCAATAACAGCAGCAACAACAGTATTAGTAATCCAACATCACCAAATAACAATAATCAACAACAACAACAACAACAAACAACAAAGTTAAACAACATTGCAACACCATCAATATCATCAACTTCACAACTTGCATATGAATATAAAACACCTGGTCAATGGTTAATTAAATATGCATTCTTTTTATTCTTTATGGCAGTCAGTTTATATTTATTAACAGTTCCACTTGAAGATCTATTCTTAGTTGTAAGTAAAATGATGACAATGTTGTTTATATTATCCAAATATCTAATATAACTTTCTCTCTCTCTCTCAGTATTTATATAAAGGATCTTATTTGTTGGCAGCTTTTGCTTTGACACTCGAATTCTATATACAAAGAAGAAAGCTGATGACACATTTTGTTCATCGTAAACCAAACACACCGGTACCACGAGGTTTCCTGCTACCGTTCTATATAAAATTTGCAATCTACTACCTAATTCTACTAGGTATATTTATATATGATAGATCATGGAGAGGTTCACATGTAATGATGCCCAAATTGGCATTCTGTATCTATTTATTCCTAGGTCTCCATGCATTAGTATTATTCTTTTGTCCAAGATATCTCCAAGCTGATATCTTCTTACCGATTTCAATGGCATTATTCTTTATTTCAAATGATAAAGTAAGTTGCTACTACTACTACTATTATTAGTAATTTATATATGGTTTAATTAAAATCAAAAGCTAATCCAATTTAAAAACAACAATTATTATTATTATAGGAACGATATTATCTTGTATTATTTGTAATTCCACAATTCTATTGTATTAGTAATATGTTTTATTATAAGCTATTCAATACTGTACAACCGATTCTCAACAACTATCGATTATCACAGGGATTCAGTAATAGAAAGTCAAATGCAAACAGTATCTATATGATGAGTCTGAGAGATTTGAATTTCTTTAGTGGTATCACCGATCACTTCCTGCCGTTCGTTGTACTGCTGCTGGCGAGTATTGCGCTGTCTTGCTACAAGTCGATGAAGATGAACTTCCAGATTGGCGATGTCGCCATCTACGTGCCGGGTGTATACGATCCCCCCTCGAGACCGGTATTCTCTGGTTTCATCATGGGTTTCCACAAGCTCGGCTACTTCTTCTTGCTCGGTGCATTCCTCATCAAGTTTGCCAATCCATGTCCACCCGCTCTCTTTGTACGCAAATGGTTCAACAAGCGATTCATGTTTGGTTTCAAGATCAAGAGTAACAAAGACTACGATAGAATAGTTGAGAGTCTTGGTATTCAGATCTGGGGATTCCTCATGTTAATCTTGCTCTGCGCCATATTCTTCTTCCACTTGGGATATTATAATTTCATGATGACAAAGGTAAACCTATCTATCTTGAATAGTCTAAAAATAATATACTAATCACGATCTTTTTTATAATATCATATCATATAGTCATTTGTATTTACAGTAACGATCAGTGTTTTTGTTATATTCTATGGTATATCTTTGGTCACCTCGAACTTTGGTGTATTCTTGTATAATCTTTTCCAAGTTATTTTTGGCAAAAAAGTCAAATGGAATGTATTCATCCAATCTACCATATTTCTGTGTACCTCCACACAAGAATTAGAACAGAACAGTATAGAATAATAAAAACATCACCATCTAAGAAACCCAATTTCGATTTCGATTTAGTATGTTCAGCAGTCTATTATTATATTAACATAGGTGTCTGATTGGATTGTGAAAAAGTCTAAATCTATGATGATGTTTGTTGTTGATATGGTATCCTTTATATGTGCTTATAATAGTGAGGCGAGGTGAGTTGAGGTAAGAGAGTGAGTGGGATTGTTTGTTTTTAGTTTGTGTCACTCCATTAATTAAGGGCCAAATCAAATACCACCACACCATCCATAGTCACGTGACTAATATGACCGACCTACCTGGTAATAAATCTAATCAAATCAAATTAAATCACACACACATACAAAAACCTAACATCGTGATTCTTAAAAATAGGAGTTTCTCTAAGATTTATCGCTCTAAAATTTGAGATATATTTCATTCTCTCTCAGAGTAAGAAACAACCGTTTGGTTCTCTGATGTTTGATTGATTCGATATGCAAACACTAAATTTACATACTCACACATACATCACACCAAAAGATTTCATCAAATCGCAAATTTAAAACCTAGCTCATTGGTCGAGTTTAAATTAGATCACTAAAAAATCGAGAGAGAAGAGCCTTCGCATATCATTGTGTTACAAAATGTCTTTAAATTTAAAGTGAACCAAAATTTTGGCGCCAAAATCTAACCTAAAAAAAAACCAAAAAAACAAAAGATGGTGTTTGAGTATATTTTTGCCTCACATCGATGATCACACCCAATCACTGCACTGAGAAATTGCTTTTAATTTTGCCTCACATCGATGATTGATTCACACCATCACCAGCCAAGCAGAACCACCACAAAAAACTAAACAGTTTTCGAATTTTTCATTAAAAAAGTGATTTTTATATGTTTGTAAACTAAAAAAGATGTGTTTCTGTTCCTGAATTCCTGTGATTGCAAAACACTCTTACCCCCAAATTTCTTTATTAGGCAAAGTTATTATGGCTGTTGTTGAAACTGTTTGGTTAATGTTCACCCAACAAACCAGTGGTGGTGAAATCCGACTCTCACTCTCACTCATTTATAAATTAAATCGCCCACACACAAAAATTATTTTTTCAATATATTTGGGTTAGATTGAAATTTAACTCAATCATTTTTTTTTTCACAACAATCCACATTCAAACAAATAAACAAATAAATATAAATATAAATATAAATATCATATAAATAACATTATCTAAATAAATAATAATAAATAAATATCCATAAAATGTCAACAAGAACATTAAATTATTGTTTTAGAAATTCAAATTTAAATAATTTTCTATCATCACCTAATAATAATATTATTATACAGAGAACTTCTTCATCTCTTTTAAATGATAATAATAATATTAATAGTAATATAAATAATTGTAATAATAGTAATATAAATATGGATAAAACATTTTTCAGTTTTTCAAATCTTTCCATTAATAATCATCATACCTCATTTATAACGGAGAATAACTCTGAAAATGATTTATTTATTTCACAATCGAGTATACCGATGTTGTTACCAGAGTTTGACCAAGATCATAATCACAGCCACTGCCTAGTGGGCAGCAGCCAGACAAGACCTTCCACACCAACTCCACAAAACTACGTACCAAAATGTCCATCTGCACCAAAGAAAAAACCTGTCGTTAAATCAAGAAGAGGTTCTGCAATTCCAAGGATTTTATTCCAAGAATAAATAAATAAATAATAATAATGTATAGAAAAGATCTGAAATCCAACAATCAATCAATCAAACAAACAATCAATCAAACAACCTTTACAATACAAAACACAATGTTTTGTTTTTCCTTACTATCTCTCGATAATGTACATTTGTATTCTAACTTTAACCAATTAAATTAAATAAATAAATTTAATGTATTAATAATTTACCTAAAAAAAAAAAAAAACTTTTTTAATTTTTTGATCTTCAATCTGAGACTCTGTTGTTCCACGATTAAAGCTTTTACTTAATAAACTTAAAACATGTCAAATGTAACTATTTAATTATATTCTAAACATTATATAATAACATATAGTAACATAACTAACTAAATCAATTATATATATATGTAATATGTTTATTTATTTTTAGAAAAGAAAAGGTGAAAATGATAATGATGTATCATCTAAATATACAAAGATAGTTGATCAAGTTAGTGATGAAGTTGTAAGTAATATTATAATAATAATAATAATAATGATGATGATATCATTTACTAACTTTTACTTTAATTTGTTTAAACCTTACAAAAGTTTGAAGAACTTAATCAAAATACATTAAAGAAACTCGTGTTATCATTTGAAAAGAAATATAATAATAACCAAGAAATGCGTTTAAAGTATTCTAAACAACCTGAAAAGTATGTAAATGTTTGCTCTTAGTTCTTAGTTATATAGATCTAGCAAAACAATTAATAACTTTAAAATTGATTATTACAAAAAAACTAGATTTATGGACAGTGAAATAGAGTTATATGAAGAGATTAAAAAGTTACAGATCATCGCCACAGCACCAGAGTTGTATCCTCTCTTTATTAAACTGGGGTCGGTTACATCGTTGGGATCACTTTTACTACATGACAACACCGATATCGTTATTGATACAATCGATCTGTTTCAAGAGTTGACCGCACAGGAATCACCTACACAAGATGAATCTCTATCTTTAACAAACAGTATTGTATGTTATTAGAGTATTGTTAGTCAATCACATAACTAGCTAACTAACTAACTAACTATTCTATTCTTAAGTTTGAAAATGGTATATTAGAGGTATTGGTTCAACAGACATTTGACAAATTAGAATGTAGTAATCCCGATGAACAACAAGCAGTACACAACATTCTTAATATATTTGAGAATCTTTTAGAGGTAAAGCCACTGGAAACATCCAAAATACTTGTTGATAAATCAAATGTATTCAAATATATTCTAGACACTATTTCAAATAAATCGACACCATTACCAATTAGATTGTAAGTAATAACCATTATTATCTCGAATCTGATGATCTGTTATTACAATTAATATTAATTAATGTTTGATTTATACAAATATATAGATATTGTTGTGAGATCTTATCAATTATATTACAAGAGTACGAAGAAAGTAGAACAGAGTTTGGTAAAAAAGATGGAATCGAAAGATTATTAATTGTTATATCTGTAACTATTCGTTGATATATATATATCGTTATCTATTCATTGTAATTTATAATAAGTATACTAATAATAGATTAAAACCAATAGGCATATAAAAAGAAATCACCAGAATCATTGGAGGAGAGTGAAATGGTAGAGAATATATTTAGTTCGCTCTGTTCTTGTTTATTTAATCATCGTAAAAACAAAGAGTTATTTATAAAGTCTGAGGGTATTGAGTTAATGTTGTTATTTATCAAGTATGTTTGTTATTTTCATTGACATTCAGAGTCAGAGGATAATAATTAACTAATCTTTAACCTCTTCTTTTTAGGAATAAAACAACACTCAGAAGTTCTGCACTCAAAGTATTCAACTATGCATTGTCCGATGACAGAGTATGTTGTGAAAGATTCGTAGATCAACTCGGTCTCAAGACTTTGTTTTCATCTCTAATGAAAAAAGTAAAGTCAAAGCATAACAAAAAGGTTTATAATGAATCAGAGGATGAAGGTATGTTATGTTATGCTTTGTTACTATGTTATTGCAACAAATAATATAATGATCATAATAAGTTTAAACACTAATTAACTTATTATCTTTATTTTACAAAATTATAAAATTATTATAATAGAGCATATAATTACTACGATATTCTCATTGTTGTTCAATCTTGAGAAACGATCGGAGCGATACAACAGAGTAGTTTCAAAGTTTACAGAGAATCAGTTTGAGAAGATCGACAGATGCTTTGAGCTAATCGACAAGTACACGAAAAGATTGGTTGCACTTGAGAACGATTTGAAACAAGAAGAGGATGAATACGATGAAGATGAATTGTTTTTAAAGAGAATCGATGCAGGTTTATTAAAGCTACAAATATTGGATTTGATCATTGCCATTTTATATTCGGAGCAAAACGATGTAAGTACACACACACTTTGCAACATTATTCAAAACGATTGAACACCAAACTTTTAAAGTTATTAACATTTACAAAACAAAAACAAAAACATGCGCTCAACAGTTGAAAAGTAAAATAGATACCTCAATGAAACAAAAGAATATCAGTAAGAATAACATTAGACAAGTATTAATAGGTAGGTAGTAACTTTAGAGTTCAAATTTGGTCAATTAATAATTCATTCTAATCAATATGTTTGTTTTTTCATAATTATTATAATAATATACAGAGTATAGAGATGGACTTGATGATACAACTGAAGAAAAGAGAAAACAAATTGACTATGTTAGTTCAGTAATAACAAGTTTCGAAAAATAATAATAATAATAATAATAATAATAGTATTAATGATAATTACAGTTAGTTATTCATGAATCAGTGCAGTGTAACAAGTAACATAAAGTAAATAAAATTATAATTGGATGTTCATATCGATAACAGTTCAAGTTAAAACGTATCGATAACAGTAAATAATAATATCTTGATATCATATTCTTTGAATTCAGTAATTAAACTGTCCAGTAATTTTAATTACTATCCTATGAAATAGATATATATGTAGTTAGATATAGAGAGTTAGATAAATACATTTATATTAATAAACAAGTTTATATCATTATGTTAATCAATTTTTTCACTTTCACTACACTACTGTTCAAAACCCAAATTTTTTTACTAATGTTAAAGTAAAGGTAAGAGATTTAATAACAATAGATAGTGATATACCTTTTGTTAAATTGATTGGATGTATTGACAGATTTTATGCTTATGCTTATTCTAATCAGAAAGTTGATGGTTAACCTTTTTGTTTTAGTAACTCTATATTCAATAACTTACTACCCAATCATTTATAAATGAAATCATTCACAACAACAGTAGTAGTGGCAGTAGCTACAACCAACAAACAGTAAGTAAATATAATGTATCTATGTGGACTTTCTTTCGATTGACGTATCCATCAATAGTTGATTGTTTTTGCTGTTTTTGTAAATCTACTATCATTCAAAACCTTTGGTTTATGAAATATATAGATACGTGTATCAAATCAAATGAAGAGAGAAAAACCAAACCAACTTGACATATATATGCATACTTTTATATTAAATATCAATATGACGATAACTTCCAAATAAGTAAAAATCACAATCGCCAATCATATAAGAGACATTCTTTTCTCTCACATTAATATACTAGGTTGACTTCACACCATATATATTCTATTATCTTAATGCATTCCTACTGCTCCTCAAAATAAAATCTTACTACACACAAGTAAGTCCAACTATTAAAGGAAAGAATGGTTGGATTGGATCACTTTCTTTGTTCGTTTGGTGGTGATTTTGTGTGTGTATATATATATATGATATTCAATAACTAAAACACACACACATTTATATATATGTACATTTATATATGAGTGGAGTGTGTTTTATAGTTAATCAGATGATAGAACAGACCTATGATAATATAAATAGGAGTAGTACAAAATGGATGAAGATGTAACTAATGATGATGATGATAATGATGATGTTGTTAATAATGATTTTAAATCAATTATATCTCAGTTTTGATATCACATATCATACCACATCAACAGTTCCCCACCAACTAGATATTATCATTATCATTTATCATCAAACAGCAACAACAACAACAATCACAAACACACACACATATAATTAATGAATTCATTCCTGATGAGTGTGTTGCTACTCATTAGTGTTTTGTTTTAACGATTTTTTTCAATTGAATCCTCTCTGGTGGTTACACAAGTGATGAGCTGACATCAATATGAGAAAACAAATCACTCATGATGTTTGTGTGTGGTGGTAGTAGAATAGATGGTAATGCCAACTCTTGTCAATGTGTTTTTTCTAAAAGAAGATTGTTCTTGGTAACAGATATATTTCCTGAATATAATATCTGTTGTTTTCTTTACAGCATCATTTTGTGTTTCCTCCAATTAATATATGATTTCCATCATCAAACAACCACACCCACTACTACTATTTCTAACACACAATCACCACATCCTCCTAAAACAAATATAACAAATATAACAACAACAACAACAACAATACCATTTTCTTTTCAATTCATAATTCATTCATATTTAATAAATTAATTAAGTAGTACCATCATTTTAATACTCTGTTTAGTGTTGGTTGTTGTTGTTGTTTGAAGGAAGTGTTTTGTTTTAATAGATTCAACAAATATATGCAACAATAATACTTGTCGTTGTGTGACACCAGTGGTTTCAGAAAAAAACAATACCAACAACAAGATATGTTATGTTGTCCTGTTCCATCACTTTTTTTTTTTTTTTTTTGATATTATTTTGGGAAGCATTCAGAGTGTGGTGGTAGTTGATATTCACATGTTTCGAAATTTAATACGACCCACTCACCACATATTTTACTCTCTGCTCTAAAAAATATAAAACAAAATACATCAATCAATCAAGACGCATCACCCACCTACCAAAGAATCAAAAACAAAACAAGGAAAGCATATATAAATTTTGAGTGCTCTGGATCTAAACAACAACACATTCACGCAACTGAATTTTTATACTCTTGAATTGCTTAGCGCATCACACATTCACATACAGTTATGCAACAACCACGGTCACTCAAAATTGAAACCATTCTCTTGGGTTAGTCGACTACCAAAATTGAAACATGAAAATGATATCAACTGAGAATTTTTTTTATAAGCGATACATCTATATATTAATTTGGTAGTTAAATGAATTGAAATAATATTATAACATAACACCGCACCTGCACTTTTCATTCACCCCAAAAAAACATTATTATTAATTTATTACTATTAATATTAATAATATTGTTAATATTATTAATATTATTATGATTATTAAAGTTGGTAACCCCCACTACCAATCTGTTAAACACCACCACTCACACACTGATCAGAGGTTAAGTACATATATATATATAACAGTGTGGTGATTTCTTTTAGGTATTGTTGAAACCAACCATCTTTTTTGTTTTTCTTTTCAAACAACTCCTTCTCTTACACCTAATACCAAACATGATTACTTCCTACTACTATTGGATTTGTTGTTGTTGTTGTTGTTGTTGTTATTGTTGTTGGTTTGGACCAAAATGGTTGATTTTTAAAAACCAACTCATCATTTTGAACAACATCAACCACTACTGATTTTGATAATATCATAAAAATAAAATGTCTCACCAACTCAACCACCACCACCATCATCAACCACTCAGCAATTCACACTCACCATGCGATGCTTCTTCCTTATAAAATATGGATTTATAAAGATATATATTAATTTTTAAAAATATCAAACATAACATATGCTTTTGGGTATTTTATTTCAATTTTGTTGGTAAAAGTAAAATAGGAATACATAAATCAAAATTTTGTTTAAATATCACATCTTCATCATCAACAAACATTTATCTTTTTTAAATTGCCATTTCTTGATATTTCACATCCATCATTTTGGCAAAAATATTAATAATATTATTTTTTTTTCCTAAATATTAATAATATTTTCCATTTTCCATTTTTCCACATTCTTTTTTTATAATAATTATATTATATTATTTATTTATTTATAATAATATTTTATTTATTTATTTATTCACCAATTCTTTCCTGAATATTATTTATTTAATTTTAAATTAATTTTTTCCAATTTCCTCTTTTAATAATTTATAAATTATTAGTTTTTTTCTTTTTTAAATTACAATAAACAATGATGGCAATGGTAAATACTATGGGATATCAAGTTGGCCTTTATCCATATCAGAATCCCAATTATGTTCACCAAATCCAAACGGTTCCAACAAACGAATACGATTCCTCATATATTGAGCAAAATCTGTTTTTCCAATATCCACAACAACAACAGCAACCACAACATTTGCAACAAATTCCTGCACAACCACTCCAATCAAACACACATCATCACCATCAACAACATCCCCAACAATTCACAACAACCAGTCCAACTACTAGTCCCAACAGTAGAAAGCGACCATATGATATTCTTTCTTCGCCACCCAACTACTCCATACAACAACTCTATTCACCAAATACATATCAAATTCATCAACAGCAGTTGCAGCACCAACAACTACAGCAACAACAACTTCAACAACAACAGCAACAACAACTTCAACATATTCAATCTTCACCAAGCAGCAGTGCCTACAATTTCGTTCCAATTTCACAACCGACTACACCACCAACAACAGATATTGATGAAGATATCGAAGAGCAACTTCGTGACTATCTCTCACCAATGTTCTCCAAGTTCTTTGACCAAACCACCAAAGAGCATCTATCAACTCTGATCGCCGACTTTTTAAATGATGAACTTCCGCTCAGATCTATCATCAATGAACTAAGAATGATGGTAATGGACGACAGATCTTTGCTTCACTATCTCATCGAGATATTTATCGTTATGGACACCACCAACAAAATGTACAGCTTCCTCCTTGAGAATGGAGTTGAAGAACATGAACTAAATATAGATACAAAGAATTTTGCAATGTTATTTGATACCGAAAATGGTTTCAAAAAGGTAAACTATTAATCAATCTTTTCTTTTATTAATAATGGTTACTAATTTTTAATTATAATAGTTTAACCTAGACTTACAAAGAGAACGCTCAAGAAAAAGTGTGAGTAGAGGACTGAGAAATCCACCAAACAAATGGACCAAAGAAGAATCACAGAGATTGATTCAGTTGGTTCACGAGAGTGGTGATAAACAATGGAAGAAGATCGCCATCCAAATTGGCGGTGGAAAAACAGGTGCACAATGTGCACAACACTGGAAGCGTGTGCTCTGTCCAGCCATCAGAAAAGGCAGCTGGGACGAAGAGGAAGAAGCTAAACTTTTCATTTTGGTCGACAAGCACGGACAGAGCTGGAAGAACGTCGCCAGCGAGATTAGAACCAGAACCGACATTCAGTGTCGCTATCAGTACTTCAAGAGTTGCATGTCACGTGAAGTACCATGGTCGCCAAAGGAAGACGAACTACTACAGAAAAAGGTGATCGAATGCAAACAAGAGGGAAGAGACATCAGTTGGATGGATCTATCAAAGGCAATGGCACGCGCAAGACAAACAAAGATTCCAAGAACTGCCCTTGAATGTAAATCAAGATGGGAAGCAATCTCCATTGGTTCAATCGTTGATGGTTTAGATTTATCTTCAAACTTTTAATCAAAAGAAAAACAAACTTTACTTTCAAAACATTGTTTGAAAGAAAGGATAAAAAATAATAATAATTAAAAAAAAAACAAAAAAAACAATCTAATAAATAAATATTCAGATATTAATATTTGTATATAAAAAAATTAAATTTATCATTTTTATTATTATAATTTTAATTTATAATGTTATCCCTACTTTAATTAAAAAAAAAAGAATAAGTTTTAGTTAGTTATAACTTGATAATAAAATAATAATAACAATTTAATAATAAAGAGTTTTGATATTATATAAATCAGGTTGTATAAGTTAAGGGTCATAGTTGTCACACTAAATCTTTCAATTTTCATCAGATAATAATAATAATATATTATAAATATATTTTATTTTATTTATTTATACATACTTCTTGTTGCTTAGACAGTTAAAAATTGATCAAACTTTTGAAAGGTTTTTCTAGCTGCGGAGTCAGCCGACCTACAAAAAAACAAAACAATACCAAAAATCTTACTATTTTTTAAACAGAACTTCATTATTATTTTTTTCATTAATATTATCATTTTTATTTTTTCAATTAATATAATTTTTTTTTTTTTTTTTTGTAAATATTTTTTAAAATTAGTATAATACAGTTATCAACAAAATATAAATTAGGATATAGTAAATATAATAAAAATTGGAATATAATAATAATAATATAATAGAGTATTTTGTTAGTGATTTTGTTGTTGTTGTTTTTATAGTTTGCATTATCACTTTTCATCTAGTTTCAAGTTTAATCAATATGTTGACATCATCATCATCGTCGTCGTCGAGTCAACAGTCATCATCATCAATGAAAGATGTAACAATGGTTGACTGCTTGGTATCCGATGAGTTAAACAATACTAGTTCATCTTATTATGGTCCGTTCAGTGGATTGTTAGAGTTACCGACACATTGGAGTTCCAAAGAGAAAGAGAAATCCGGTAATCTCGATTTGAACTCGAGTAATATGCGTGTTACATACAAGTCGCCAAAGGAGAATGGCGATGCCGGATTGGTGCGTGCCAACCACCCGATTCCACCGGCATGCGGAATCTACTATTTCGAGGTGAAAGTCATTAGCAAAGGCAAAGATGGCTATATAGGCGTCGGTGTGTGCACACAGCAGATGCTGCTGTCGCGACTGCCTGGCTGGGAGAAGAATTCCTACGGTTATCACGGTGACGACGGTCACTTTTTCAAGGGTGCCGGCTCGGGCAAGTCTTACGGCCCGACCTACACAACGAACGACGTCATCGGATGCTGCATCAATTTTGTACATAATACACTGTTTTTCACAAAGAATGGAGTTCCTCTTGGTGAGGCGGCCAACGACATCAAAGGACTGACACTCTATCCTTGCGTTGGACTGCGCACACTTGGCGAGTCGGTAGAGGCCAACTTTGGACAGAAATCATTTGTTTTTGAAATTGCACAACTCTTTAAGGAGGAGAGATTGAAGATCTATAAAAGTCTGCAGGTCACACCGACCAATCACGAAGAGATGACCTCAACACAGCTCGTTCTCGGATATCTCATGCACCATGGATACCCAGAGACCGTTAAACTATTTGCAAATGCAACAGGAATCAATGATAGTAGTTTAGAGTCACAATTAGATGATATAAAGAATAGACAGAGTAAGTAGAAATGCAATTACATAGTCAATAGTTTGTTTATAAACAGTTTATTAACAATCATTTGTTTGTTTGTTTGTTTGTTTGCTTTGATAATAATTACAGAGATTTCAGATTTATTATTAAATGGTGATGTCGAAAAGGTGATAGCAGAGTTGAATAGATTATATCCAGAATTCCTTTTAAAGAGAAGAGACATTTTATTTAAGTTGTATTGTCAAAAGTTTATAGAGATGATAAAGGTTGCACCGTTGGAAGATACATTGGCATTTGGCAAGGATCTATATAAATTCATACAAGAGTCACCCGAGAATGAAGCAAGTCTAAATGAAGTATTCTCTTTGATTGCCTATCAGGATCCATACTCAAGTCCTGTCTCCTACCTCATGCAACCAAGTAGGAGAGATCCAATTGTTAGTGATTTAAATCGTGCTTTATTAGGTAAATAATCATTCATTCATTAATGAACAGTATTTTAACATTGATTATTAAATAACTAACATTTAAAATAATCTACTACTATTTAATCACCTTTTTTTTTTTTTTAGTTTATTGTAATAAACCATCAACACCAGTACTAGAAAAGATAGTTAAACAGGTAAAGGTTGTCATTAACGAAGTTGTTGTACATAATGCTGCACCCTCAGCCATATTTATGAATCTAAATGAATTTATAGAGCACGATGAAAACTAAAGCAAGGTACATTCAATTTATATAAACAAAAATAAACAATATTGTACTTTTTAATGTATAGTTTAAACTAAATGTTTAAAAAACAATATCAATGTATATTTAAAATAGATTATTAGATAGATAGTGTTATAGAGTTTAATTATTATGATTGTTTAGCAAATACATTAAAACTAAATGATTTCTTTATTTATTATAATTAGTTAGTTTTACTAAATATCCTGTTTGTTTTAAATTAAAGGTTGACTTGATTTATTTATTTATCAACCCAATCTACTGATTTTGAAACAGCTTTGTGCCAATCGTTTATTCTCTTCATGTGATCGATGTTTGGATTAGGTGTGAATCTCTTTCCAATGTGGAATTGCATAGCCGATGACCAAACACCAACTGTAAGTCCGGCAGCATATGCAGCACCAAAACATGTTGTCTCTAAATTGTGTGGACGAACAACAGGTAATCCAAGAATATCTGCTTGTATTTGCAATAGAAGATCATTCATAGTCATTCCACCATCGACTCTCAGCTCTACAAGTTTATCATTTGAATCCTTTTCCATAGATTTCAGAACTTCATACGTTTGAAAACACGTTGACTCTAACATAGCTCTTGCAATATGAGCTTTATTTGTATGATGTGTTAATCCTACCATTACACTAAAGTAGTATAGTAATAAATAAAAAAAAAAGTTAATATGACGTTTGTTGTATATGTATACGATTTGACTTGATTCAGTAAAGTAAAATAAAACTCATACCCTCTTGCATCATCTCTCCAATGAGGAGCGAATAAGCCTGAAAAAGCTGGAACAATATACATTCCTCCAGTGTCCTGTACAGAGTTGGCCAATGCTTCGATTTCCTTTGAGTTGTTGGCAAATCCTAGATTTTCAATTAGCCATTTTACTCCTGCGCCTGCCACGGCGATCGAACCTTCCAGTGCATAGTGTACAGGTGAATCTTTACCAAGTTTGTAGCAAACGGTTGTCAAAAGTCCATGTTTCGAGTGGACAATATCGTCACCCGTGTTGTAGAGCAAGAAACAACCGGTACCATAAGTGTTTTTCGCTTGTCCTTTGTCAAAGCACATCTGACCGACCATCGCAGACTGTTGATCACCCAACACACTTGCAATGGGTACACCAGCGAGTGGACCACTCTCTACGTGACCGTAGATCTCTGCGGAGCTGCATATCTTTGGTAGCAGGCTGTTTGGAACGTCAAAGAAATCGCACAGCTTTGAATCCCATTCGAGCGTGGCGAGATTCATTAGCATGGTACGCGAAGCGTTGGTAACATCTGTAATGTGTGTCTTTTTGTTTGTCAAATTCCAAACTAACCAACTGTCAATGGTTCCAGCGAGTGCATTGCTCTGGTCGATCTCTGGCACGTTTTCAATGAGCCATCTTAGTTTTACAGCAGAGAAATAGTTGGCAATTGGTAATCCACATATATCTCTAAGATAATCTTTTGGAACTATTTGTTGTTGTGATTGTGATTGTTGTTCTTTTTTCAATAGAGACTCTGCTTTTGTGTTGAATCTGTTTACAATGGAAGAAGTTCTAGTATCACTCCAAACGATTGCATTGTGATATGGTTTTCCAGTGTTTTTATCCCAAACAATAGTGGTTTCTCTCTGATTGGTGATTCCTATTGCTTTGATATCACTTATTTCACCGATGTTTGTTTCTTTGTATTTGTTCAACACCTGTGAGATACACTCATTCACTGAATTTATGATTTCCAGACCATCATGTTCAACCCATCTATGATCATAGATTTTATTTTAAAATTAGTTGTAAAAATAACTTTTTTTTTGTTTTGAATAGAATGATTTACCCTGGATTAGGATGATATTGTTTTAGTGGAATCTGATGAGATAGAACAGTATCACCTTTGGAATCAAATAATATAAATCTTGTTGAGGATGTTCCTTGATCAATAGAGCCAATGAAAGGCTTTTCAAAATTGATTTGTTGTTGTCCAGACATATAGTTTCTATAAAAGTAAAATTTAACTCTATTTATATTTATTATATTTATCTTGTTTGTTGTTTTATTAAATAAAGAGAGCATTATAATGAATGAACTTGTTGTTTAACAAGAAGAGTTTAATTTTGTTTTTTGATTTTTATTTTTTTTGAACAAAAATAGCGCAATTTGTGTAAAAAAAGTATTGGGTAGGTTTATCTTTGTAAGAAAAGTGGTGCTTTTGAAAGGTGAAAAGAAATCAGTCGACAAACTTTTTATTTTTCATAGATCTTTCTTTTCAGACGAAAAATGTTTAGATTATTATTTAATCATCAACAACATAGAACTACTATTTTAAATACAAATAGATTATTATTTAATAATAATAATAATAGTAGATTCTATTCTTCATATGTTGTTGCTGCAGCTGCTACTGGTGATAATGTAATTAAAACATTAAGATCAAGAGGATTCATCTATCAGATGACAAATAACGATGAGGAGATGGTGAAGATTACAAACACATCAATATCGTTGTATGCTGGATTCGATCCCACTGCAGATAGTCTTCATATTGGTAATCTATTAACTCTGATGGTACTGCTACACTTTAAGCGTCACGGACACAAACCAGTTGCATTGCTTGGTGGTGCCACTGCACTCATCGGTGATCCAAGTGGTAAATCAACTGATAGACCACAATTAGATAGATCCTATGTTGAAAACAATTCATCATATATCAAGTAAGTAATTGTAATTGCACTAGTGGCATTTCGATTGAAAAACAAAAAGTGTAGACTAGTCTGATGATATATACTAACAACTGCTTGCTAATTAATTAACTGTGCAATTATAATTGCATTGCAGTGAAAACATTGTTGATATTCTTGGTAAGGATACAACTATCGTTAATAATATCGATTGGAATAAGAGTATCTCTATTATCGATTTCTTTAGAGATGTAGGAAGATATTTTAGAGTTGGAAATATGCTAAGAAAGGATTTCGTACATAATAGACTTGGAACACTCTCAGAGAATGGTAAACAATTGTCGTTGAACGACGACGACTCTGCATCGGGTATCAGTTTGCCAGAGTTTTGTTATTCATTGTTCCAGGCCAATGACTTTGTACATCTCAATCAGACACACCAATGTGTAATACAAGTTGGAGGTTCAGATCAATGGGGAAATATCACTGATGGTTGCGAACTAATCAAAAAGAAACTGAGTAAACCTGCATACGGTATTACCATTCCACTATTAACCAATTCACAAGGTAAAAAACTTGGTAAAAGTGAAGGAAATTCCATATGGTTATCATCAAAAAAGTAATTGTTATCTATCTATCTAAACAAATCAATTGAATTGATTACTCAAAATACTAATTAATATTAATATTTGATTTTCAACAGAACAAGCGCATACAATTTCTATCAATATTGGATTCAAGTTTCCGATCAAGATGTAGAGAAACTTTTGAAACTATTTACTTTGTTGCCACTCGAGGAAATTCAGAGTATCGTTGATGCTCACAACAAAGAACCACATCTACGATTGGGACAAAAGAAAATAGCAGAGTGTGTCACTCAACTGGTACACGGAGATAGAGGTTTGGAGGATGCGATTAAAACTACAAATTTATTGTTTGGCGATAACAAATTGAATTTACAAGATCATTCCGAATCAAAGGAGATCGGTAGATTGCTCTCTGGTGTCAATATTTCAACTAGTTTGTCCAAGTCAGAGTATCTGTCGACTCCAATCAGCAGCATCTTTTCCAAGGTTTCCGGTTTGTCAAAGAACCAATCGAAATTGCTAATCAACAACCAATCACTCTACCTCAATGGTGAACAAGTTAAATCGCCAGCACAACTGCTGGAGCCCGAATGTTTGATTGACAATAGCTTTGTCATTCTAAGATCTGGTAAAAAGGCATTCCATTTGATCAAATTCGATTAACATTTTTAAAAATAAATAGAGTAGTAGTTCCGTTTCATTGTTTATTAAAAGTTTTTTAATTTCGGTTTTCTCTCGAGCACCCAAACAGAATTGATTCCTTTAGGCAATTCTTCACCGTTGATCTCCACTGAAACTTCAAAGCCAAGTTTTTGGAAAAATGGAATCGATCTCTGTTTAAAGATCAGTGCCTTACAAATACGACTGGAGAAATCACACCATTCTAAAACTGGAGCTAATAAATATTGGCCAATGCCCTTTGATCTTGATTCTTTTGATACTGCACAATAGGCTAAATGATAGTAGTTGTCATTGGAATTATTGTTTGTCTTTTCCATTATCTTATCGATCTTGGCCATTAAATCCTTGATTCTCTTTGAATTTACTAAACCCAGTTTTGGCAACAACTTAATCATCTTCATTATTATCTAAAAAACAAATAAAAAAATTGTTAAATAAATTTCTCTATTTTTAAAATAAAATAAATATTACACTTGTAAAAGGTACTCGTTTTCTACAATCTGGAGTCATCCAACATGCAACACCATTTAATACATTATCTGAATTATGATATCCCTATTTTTGTTTTAAATATTAATAAAATTATTTATCAATTTAATAATTAAATATATACGAAAACAACTTACCCATAGTAAAAATCTTTCTTCAAACATAATCTTAAGACCATTGTAAAAGAACATCTTTCTTAAACTGTGGGATTTGGGTTTATCTTTTTTTCCAATCCAAGAGAATCTTGGGTCGTTATCATAGGCTTCAGCCAACAAAGCAGACGATGCTACTAAATCAGCTTTTTCCAATTGCTTTCTAAATCCACCATGAGGTGAAATTGAAAAAGTTGATACATTTGATACGCTGGTTGCAGAAACTTCAACTTTTTCAAAACTCTTTGGAATCTTGAAAACATCAAATATTTTATGTTGTAAAATTAAATCAATTGAAGGTCTGTATTCTGCATTTTCATCTAACATTTTCAAAACTAAATCTGCTAAATCGTGATAATCCTAATTTTAAAATAATTAATTTTTAAGATTCTATTTACAAAACAATATAATACTTACAGTAGGAAATTCCTTTTTGAAACTTGCAGCATCAAAAGTTCCTGAAATGAGTTCCTCGGCAATACATCTCTTAGTTAGAGGTAACAAATGTAAGGTAGTCATTTCATAAATGATACATCCTAAAGAAAAGATATCTGCAGGTCTACAGTATCTATGAAATAAAATTTATTAATAATTTTAATCCTTTTTTTAAACTTGAAAAAAATAATAACAATATTTACGGTTGATTATTTAATATTTCTGGTGAGGAATAATAATAGGTACCGGCAACACCTTTTACACTAGATTCAAATTTAGTAGCCAAACCAAAATCACCAATTTTAATTTGACATTGTGATAAGAATATATTTTCAGCTATAAATATATTGCAAAAATATTAGTTTCTTTTTTAAACAAATTATTAATTTAATAAATAATTACATTTTAAATCTCTGTGTATGAAATGAGAATTATGAATTTGATGAACTCCAAGACAAAGTTGATAAATCCAATTATATAAAACTTTTGGAGGAATTAATATTCTAGTTTTCTTGTTACCATAATTGATTGTAGGACTAAGAGGTGGTAGAAATGGTTGTTCTGTATTGGAAATTGAAAAATCTTTTTGATCCTTAGATTTTCTTCTATACCAGCTAGATGATTTCTTTTTCTGAGTATCTGTCTTTTCATCTAGTTTTCTATCTTGATATAAAAGTAGTTGATATGCCTTTTGTTGTTCGTAGATTCCAGAGTGTGTTAATGTACTCTGTTGTGGTGACAAGTTTATTTTTGGCATATCTTTGAACGATGTTGGAAAAGATTCTGGGGTTGAACAATAGCTGTAACTAGATATATTGGAGGTGGTGCTGGTGGTTGTACAGCTACTAGTACTACTGGTGGTGCTAGATGATGGTGATGTCGATGATATAGTATACTCCTCTTCCTCCGATTCCTCTATCTCTTCTAACTCCAAGGTATCTTCTATCTCGTTGCCATGAGAAGCGGAACCTCCAGCCAATATTAAATTGATCATAAATTCAAATAGATCGCCACCATCACAGTACTCCATAACTATACATAGACTGAATCCATTATTTCCATTGTTGACGATGAACACTTCTTCGAATTTTACAATGTTTGAATTTTGGAGTTTCGCCAATAGCATTGCTTCATTTAATCCGTCGTTGGCCTCTTCAATGTCAGTGAAATTCCTCTGTTTGATAACAAACATTTGTTCGTTCTCTATTTTTCTGACAAGTATAGCTTTGCCTTCTGAAGAACCCACACCAATTACTTTGATTACAGAATATTTATTCATTTTCAAAATTTCTAAAACTATTGAATCATAAATGTTGTTTATTGTTGATATTTTTGTTGTTATTGACGGTTGTTGATTATCTAAACTGAGATCAGTTAATTCAGATTTGGTGATATTCACTACATCAAATAAAAACAAATGATATTAATATCATCCATTCAAAAACATAAATCAAATAAAAATCATATTATTAATAAACATGTAGTCTATGTGGACATCTTACTCTTTAATATTTTATAATAATAATTTGAGGAGGTGGTAATATTAATTATTTTTTTCTGAATTTATGACTATCTATATATATATTCTTTGTAATTAAATGATTGATTAAATGATGATGATATTAATTAAAAAAAAACATATAATATATGATTTCTTTTCTAATTTTGTTTAATTTCTTTTATGTGATACCCAAAAGAAAAAAATAATAATTAATAACACATAGATGTGCAAATTAATTAAAAAAAAAATTAATATGATCAGGTGTGATGTTGTTTATTTTATACTTTGAAAAAAAGATAAACCACAACCACTTTATAAACATGTTTGATCGATCACACACAAAATTAACACAGCAAAGACACACTCTCTATTTCATCAACTCCATATAAAACAACCTATAAAAACACATTGACCAATCAGAAGCAAAAATCAAACAAATTTATAAAATCAGATTAAATTTCTTATTTTTTTTTCTTGCCATTTTATTATTTAGTGTTTAATTTTCTTTCCTTCACCACCACTTGACACCGCTTCATTGTAATCTATTTTGTTATTGTTATTGTTATTGCTGCTATTATTGTTATTTTCTTGATCATCATTATTCTCGGTGTCTTTTCGTTTTTTTAGAGTTGGCATTTTAAATGAAATTCTCATCATTCTTTTATTTGGTGATACGTCTCGAACTTCATACACAGTGGTATCTGCAGGCAATGGATGTTTGATGATAGCTTCAACATTTTTAATGGTCAACTCTTTGAGGTCGCCACCAGCTGTCTCTGACACCGGTGTAAAAGTATAGCAATGTATGGTTGGCGCTGGAATGGGTGGTGCTTTCTCTGGATTCAAGAATATCTCTCTAAAGACATCCAAGAACTCGATCGATGTCGACGGCAGATTCATGATGGCCTGTGTGAATGCAACGGGTGGATCTCTACTGACCAATTCGCGAACGAAATCTCTTGCGTCCAAATTACTGATTTCGATTGTCGATGCTTTGTTTCTCGTTGCATTCTCTCGCATGTACTTGACAGAGTTTGGATTCAAGTCATTGGCATAGACCTTGCATTTCACCAGCTTCGAAGCGGGAACTGCAAAAGGTCCGACACCTGCAAACATATCGACCACTATATCATGACTCTTAAATGTTTGGATAAGATTCGAATGTTCAAATTGTAATCTACTATTCCAATAAACCTCTGCAAAATTAAATTTAAATATACATTCATTTTCTTTCTACGTGTTTTGTTTTAAAAAGTGTTAATAATACAATTATAACATTATATATATTATATACATACTACTTGTGCTAATAAATCATTATCACCAGCCAATAATTCGAAATTAAATGTTCTGAATACAGTATCTATCTTGCCAACTTTGTTTAGAACCGTTCTGATTTGAGGACCTTTCTTATCGAGAATGACTTGACCAATCATGTTCTTGTATGGCAATAGCTCTTCCTTCAGATTGAGATGTGCAATGTGACCGATCTTTTCGAATGCATGTGGTATTGGTAGTCCAGTTGGTATCAACTCTTTCATTACCTCCTCATAGCTAAAGTTATTGTAATTCAATTGCACTTGATGTTTAACAACCTCTATACTATGAGTTTTCAAGAATGATTGTAAATTATCTGGTAATTGTTTATCTATATTATTATTATTATTATCATTATCATTATTATTATTATTATTATTATGATTAAATTTCGATCAATAATATAATAATAGTTTAAAAGATAGATATTAGATTAGATTGTTTTGTTTTTGTATTTTATTTATAGTAGTAACTAACTCCATATGCTCCTACATTACCATTTTCAATAGATTCAGATAAGAGTACTAATTTCTTATCTTTTGAATCGGAATCATCTACTATATGCTTAACTCTATCTCGAATCAATAAATAACCTTTGAACTCCTGTGCCAATGTCTTTAGTAGTGTTTTATTAACTTTCAAACCAACGATACTTATTGATTTTGAAAATATTTCTTTGTTCAACAACAATGAACTCATTCTTTTTTGGTGTAATAATCAACGACGACAAACAACAAACAGAAACAACAAAAAACAATTTAACTTTTGAACAGTTACTAAACTAAAAAAAAAAATGTTGTTATAAAAAATCGAGAAATTTAAAATAAAAATTTTGAAATTTTTATCTTAAAAAGATTTTATCTATCTTTTAAATAATCATAGATCTATCTATCAATCCATCCAACCAACCATGTTTTAGTTATAACTACTATTTTTAACAACGACAGTACAGTACTGTTTTTTAAAGAATAAATCAATCATTTCATTCATTCATTCATTCATGTAACCAATTTATTCTATTAAAAAGAGGATCAATCAAATAGTAGTCAATCAATCATTCAATCAATCAATCAATAAATTTTATTATGAATGATGCTATCGAATTGGTGTAACTATTCAACTAAATAAATGTACCTTTTTATTGTTTATTCTTTAATGATTTTAACTTTAACAGCTTAAAACAGAAGAGATATTGAATAAATCATTTAAGTTTATATGACAACAACAATCTGACATTTAATCTTTCGATTTATTAGACAATCTTATTGTTAGAGGATTCAAAATAAAGAATGGAGCTTTTTTGTTAAAAATGGTTTTATCTTTCTTGTTTTATTAATTAATAATTGCAGCAAAAACAAGTAAAAGTTTATAGAGAGTGTGTAAGCATGTGTTTGATGTTTTTGCATTTATTGTGTGTTTGTTTTTGTTTGATCAAAAAGTGAAACGATATATATATTATGAGTGTGTTTATGGTGTCTGTGATTTTAGTGACAATCTTTAAAATTAACTAGGTAGAATCATTATTTTAATACGATCAAGTCAAGCTCAAGATGTACATAACATGTTTTTCAGATTTCTGAAATGTGAATATCAGGTGATTGATCAAGTGGTTTGGGTTAGTGGTGTTGGTGGTGTTGGTGGTAGTGGTGTGTGTCTCTTACAATTTTAAGTAATATTTTATCAATAAACACCAGATGTGGATGATAATTAATAATAATAATAATTATAATCAATTTATTAATAATAATCAGGTTTTTGTAGTTTATTTTAAATAGAAAATCAATTTGACATAACATCAGTCTTTTTTTTTCTTTTTAAATGTATTTGAGTACTACTACTATTATTTCTATATCATAACAAAACAACCAACAAACAAATAAACAAATAATACATAAAATAGTTTAAAAAGTAGAGTGAGTGTTTCTCTCGGTTTCGATACGATCAATAAATAAATTATAGGTATGTGTGTGTTAAGTTAAAAGAGCACCAACGTTGGACTTTTTTTTTTGTTTAATAACTAACTTTACTCATCATCAACAACATCATCTTCCACAATCAACTTCTTTTCCACAAAAACACCACTATACCGCTTTTTTTTTGATATTATAATTATAATATAATATTATTAATTTATATAATCAAATTGATTTTACCATTAATGGAACCACTGTTATTGGTAACACGTTTCTCCAAATTTGATTTAACTGATTAACTTATCAATATATATTAATAATATAAATACTCTTATATTTTCAATTATATTTTCTCTTTTTGTTTTCCACATACGACCAATCAACCAAAGTCAATCATTACAAATTTCAACATCAAGAATCAACACATTTATTACTTTCCTATCTATCTAAATATTATGATATATATAAATTAGTTTTGATTTTGAATACCCCGAAATATATACACCCAACAACCATTATTATATTTGTAAATAAATATTAATATATTAATTATTATTATTTTTTTTCATTTTATCTTCTCTTGCCAATTATCATCAGTCATGATAATTTCACAAAGCAACAAACTAAATGTTATTCCATCACTCAATCTTGGATCAATGAGAAATAGAAATTATAGCTATTCCAATCTTCCAGCTACACCAATGTCAATATCACCATCCAGAAAAATGGCACAGCTCTACAAAGATTTCTGTGTCAAATACTTGAATCTTCATACGCTCACCATAAGATTGTCGTCATCGATGGAACTAGTCACAATTGCTGAGGCATTGAAGCTAAAGCATGGAATTGTATATCTAAATCTTAGTCACAATAAATCCATTAAAGATCTAGATGCATGGATTGCATTTGGTTCCGCTCTGAAACTTCCAACTCAAACCATTGCAAAGTTGGATCTGTCACACAATTATTTGGGACCGGAAGGACTTTCCCCTATCATTTCCGATGTCATCAGATCGAATAAGAGCATTCAATGGCTCAATCTCAGTCACAATACACTCGACCAAGACGAAAACCATTCGATCCTCGGTGCTCTTCTCCACAACCAAACCATATCACATCTAGACCTGTCGTCGAACGAATATCAGTTGTCCTCTGATGTTTCTAAATACCTTTGTAAATATATCGAACAATCACTCTCACTCGAATCACTCAATTTTAGTAAAAACAGTACACGAAATCCACTGTGTGGACTCTCAAAAGCAATCGCCACCAACACAACTCTCAAATCAATCGATCTAAACTCTATGATCATCTCCGACCAAGACTCTGAACAACTTATAGAATCGCTATTCAATAGCAAAACCATCAGTTCAATCAATTTGGATCAATGTATCCTATCATCTTCCAATCAAAATTGCTACGGCAATATCATTTCTCATAATCTGGCGGTCCGATACAACGAGTTGGATCTAATTGACGAAGCTAGTAAATACAACAAAGCCATGACACAAGAGGAGGAAATGAATATGTTAATTGACCAACTCTCCAACAAACAAGAGGAAATCAGTATGAAATGTCTGGATTTTACACCGCTTAGCTATTTGAATATTGGTGGTATCAATTTCGGAAAGATTGGATTCCCAAATTTTCTTGATATCCTCGCAAGAAATCAAGACCTCACAATTCTTGATGTCAGTTCCAATCATCTCCAAGAGAGCAATGGTGATGAAATTGCCAATTTCATCAGATTAAATGAATCGATTCATACTTTAAATATAAGTGACAACGATTTCTACGAAGCAACCGTTGCCATTGGAGAAGCTCTCGCTGCCAACAAATCCATTACCAATCTAAATATTTCAAACACCAAATCTTCCAATCTCATTGGAAAAGTACTTGCCAAAACACTATCAACCAATCATTGCATAAAGATTCTTGACATCTCACACACCAAACTTGGTCACAGTGGTATATTAGATTTTGCCATAGGACTGAGCTCCAACTATATTACTTTGGAAATCCTTTCAATCAATGATTGTGATCTACAAGACAAAGGTGCTATTCATATAGGTGAGTCACTTCTCTCCAACGTTACACTGACTCAACTCTACATGAACTCCAACTCCATTGAAAAGGAGGGAGCCAAAGCGATTGCAAAATCATTGAAACGAAACACCACCCTGAAAACCCTACATCTTGGAAACAACCAAATAGGAGTAAAAGGTATTAAATCTTTGGGATCCGCTCTAAAATCCAATAGAACTTTGTTGGATCTCTCTGTTAAGAGCAATTCAATCCAAGAGAAAGGAGGTGTCAACCTTGCAGAATACCTAAAGTCGAATAATTCTCTTGAATATCTTAACCTTAGAGGAAACTATCTTGGCAACAAAGCTGGTAATGCACTCATTAAACTGCTCGGTCAAAATCAATTCCTCATAAACATTGATGTCTCACATAATCCAATGGATAAAGACCTAACGCAACGAATTGCATCCGCTCAAAAGAAGAACCAATATATCACCTCTATGAATATAAGCCAAACCGAGATGGAATCAATCTCAATCGATAGTCCGAGATTCATGGCATCGGGTGGCACCTCACTCTTCTCCTACACCACACAAAGCGAAGGAGATAGAGTTATTGTAGGAGGAGGAGGTGGAGCAGGAGGAGAGAGTATACCACATACCTGCACACTCCAATCATCGACATCTTGCTACTCACTACCAACAACACAATCGGGTGGACTTTCGGGATTCGAAGTCAACTCCATGGTATCGTCTTGCTCTTCGAGCTCCAGTTCGACATCCAGTTTAAGCTCGCTAGGATCCGGTTCAAGTTCTGGCTCTGGCTCGAGTTTCGGAAGTGTTTCATCACATTCATCTTCTGCCGGCGTACCCACCAATAAAAAGATTTCAAGATTCGCCAGGAAAGATGGATCACTACCAAACCTAACACTTGGTCTATCTTCAATGAACATACCACCAGCACCCCCATCACCACTCTCTGGAAATAGTAGTCCTATTTCATTCCCACCCACAGTTGATACATCGACACGTGCCAACTCATCATCGGCAGCACCATCACCGACCGCCATTAAATCACACAGCATGTTCTTTATCAAGGATAATGGTAGTCCATTTATCTTTGAGAACACTCATTAATTTTTTTAAATAAATAATAAAAAAAAACGAAAAATAAAATAAAAAAAACTGTAGTTTGTAAATATTTTAAATAATGTTATTAGAACTCTTTACATTCTTTGTTGAAAATTCATCTGGATGTCGTTGATTCTAAAATTTTTCTTTGGTAGTTTACTATCTTATTTCGATTGAGCTGAGAGTCCTTTAAGGAAAAGAATGGAAAACAGAGAAACACAGTATAAGAGATGCTCATACCTATTACAGCATACTAGGCTAGTAGATCATAAGACTAATATATATCCAACTCATAGATTAGCTGCGATCTAGATAGATACTGATGCTGAAACATTCTGGAGAAATTGATATAATAAAATAACTATTGAAACATGACTATTTAGAAAATACGATTTCACAAAATTGATATATTATTTGAAATTAATTCTATTCTATCTATTTCCTGTTTGATGAAAAGTGATAATTCAGAGGAACTCAAGTATTACCAACAACATATTATGATGAAAAAAAGAAAATGTTATTTTTGTGCTTAAAAATTTTTTTTTTTTTTTTTTTTTTTGATTTTTTTTTTTTATTGAAATTTTGAAAATCCCAATTTTCATTAATGTTGTAATCACTTTTTCATTAGCTATTTTATATCTTCATTCATTTAAAAATGAATAAGTTAATAAATAATTCTATAACGAGAAATCTTATTAGAGTATGTTTATTTATATCTATTTAAATATATATTTTGTTAATATATTAACATTTTTTCATTGATTATTATTGTTTGATTATTATTAGAGAAGTTATTGTCAAATAAATACTACTACACCTGCTTTACCAAAGGAATGGATTGATTTAGCAAAGAAAGAGATTAAACATGATGACCCAGCAAAGAAGTTGACTTTTTCATCACCAGAGGGTATTCAAATCAAACCACTCTACATGAAAGAGGATGTAAAGAACGTTCAAGATGAAATTCCAGGTAAATTCCCGTTCACTCGTGGTCCCTATGCAACGATGTATTCGAATCGTCCATGGACTATTCGTCAGTACGCAGGTTTCAGTACTGCCGAAGAATCAAATAAATTCTACAAAAAGAACATGGCTGCCGGTCAGAAAGGTCTGTCGGTTGCATTCGATTTGGCAACACATCGTGGTTACGATTCCGATCATCCGAGAGTGGTCGGTGACGTCGGTATGGCCGGTGTCGCTATCGATTCCGTCGAAGACATGAAGATCCTATTCGATAGTATCCCGCTGAAGGACGTCTCCGTCTCGATGACTATGAACGGTGCTGTGTTGCCAGTGTTGGCAATGTATGTGGTCGCCGGTGAGGAGCAAGGCGCCAAACAAGCACAACTCAGCGGTACCATTCAAAACGATATTCTCAAGGAGTTCATGGTGAGAAATACATTCATCTATCCACCAGAGCCATCGATGCGTATCATCAGTGACATTATGGCGTACACATCAAGAAACATGCCAAAGTACAACTCGATTTCAATCTCTGGTTATCACATGCAGGAAGCCGGTGCCGACATTGCGCTCGAGCTTGGATTCACAATTGCCGACGGTCTCGAGTATGCCAGATGCGGTATGCAAGCCGGTGTCACCGTCGATGAGATTGCACCACGTTTCTCTTTCTTCTTTGGTATCGGAATGAATTTCTACATGGAGATTGCCAAGTTGAGAGCTGCACGTAGACTTTGGGCACACTGGGTAAAGAAGATCTTCAATCCAAAGGATGAGAAATCGTTGATGCTCAGAACACATTGTCAGACATCGGGATGGTCACTCACCGAGCAAGATCCATACAACAACGTCATTAGAACCACTGTCGAAGCGATGGCTGCCGTTCTCGGTGGAACTCAGAGTTTGCACACCAACGCTCTCGACGAAGCCATCGGTTTGCCAACTGAATTCAGTGCAAGAGTAGCCAGAAACACCCAGTTGATTCTCCAAGAGGAGACTGGTATCCCAAGAATCATTGACCCATGGGGAGGTTCCTACGCAATGGAAGCACTCACCAACGAACTTGAGGCACGTGCTCAATCGATTATCGAGGAGGTTGAATCTATGGGTGGTATGTCAAAGGCTGTCGCCGAAGGTATGCCAAAGCGTAGAATCGAAGAGTCTGCCGCCGGAAGACAAGCTAGAATCGATTCCGGTTCGGAAACTATCGTTGGTGTAAACAAGTATCGTTTGAAGAATGAAGATCCAATCGATATCTTGGCAATCGACAACAAGATCGTAAGAAAATCGCAGATCGATCGTTTGGAGAAGATCAAGGCAACCAGAGACAACGATGCCTGCCAAAAGATTCTCGCCGAGATGACCGAGGCTGCCAGAAACAAGACTGGCAATCTTTTGGAGCTTGCTATCAAGGCCGCTCGTTTGAGATGTACTGTTGGTGAGATTTCCTATGCATTGGAGACTGTCTACGGACGTTACAAGCCAACCCACTCCCTTGCAAGCGGTGCCTACAAGACCAACTATGGAAAGACCAACGAGATCGACAATGTTGTGTCAGAGGTCAAGCGTTTCACCGAAAAGTATGGTCGTCCACCACGTATTTTGGTTGCCAAAATGGGTCAAGACGGTCACGATCGTGGTGCCAAGGTTATTGCTTCTGGATTCTCTGATTTAGGTTTCGATTGTGATGTCGGTCCCTTATTCTCCACTGCCAACGAAGTCGCTCGTCAAGCAATCGATGCTGACGTTCACGTCGTTGGTATTAGTTCACAAGCAGCTGGTCACAAGACTTTGGTTCCAGAATTGATTGAAGAGCTCAAGAAGCTTGGTGCTGGTCATATTGCCGTTGTTTGTGGTGGTGTCATTCCAGCTCAAGATTACGATTTCCTCTATAAGGCTGGTGTTGCCGATATCTTTGGTCCTGGAACTAAAGTTACTGATGCTGCAATCAACGTTATCAAGGCTGTCGAAGAGAATCTTGAAAAACAAAAATAAACAACAACACAAATTATTATTATTACTTTTAAGAACAAAAAAAAAAAACATTTCTTAGTTGTTTTTTTTATTTTTATTGATTCATTAATACACTATATCTATATATGACCTTCAAAACCTTCAAAAGAAGAATCACTATTATCTTGAGATGTTGAAAGTTTTAGATCGGTTTCTTTGTGGTCGGTTCGATGCGATATAAAACTAGAGAGATGATAGAATGGTCCAAATCCTTGTCTTTGTGCTATGATATTCCAATCGATGTCTGAAAACCAAGAATGATTCTTAATCTCATTGACTCCCATATGTGAACCTATTCTGTGATCCTGATTGAAATGCAGCAGCTTCTCAATTAGATCTTTACATTGGCTGGACAGGTGGGAAGGGAAATCAATTTTTCTCGAATTATCATCTCCATTCAAAAAGTTTGCTATACTATTGGTGCTGCATTCATTCTGATCTGGATCCAATGCAAAAGGTGGATTCCCAACGATCATTTCGAATAAAACAATACCAATCGACCAGTAATCGACTGCTTTTCCATGACCTTTTGATAACATTATTTCCGGTGCCATATAATCAATAGTACCTAATAATTAAATAATAATAATATTGGTAAGTAAATGAATTGAACTTATAATCTAATTATTTGTCTAATAATAAGACGACATACCACAAACACTCATTGTTTTTTCATTAATTCTCTTTGCAAAACCAAAATCAGCGAGTTTTATATGTCCATCTATATCAACCAATACATTCTCTGGTTTTAAATCTCTATATACAATATTTTGTTGGTGAAGATAATCGATTGCCAATATTATCTCTGCTATAATCATCTTTGCAACTCTCTCTTCGATTTGATTCTCTGATCTTATATAATTAAATAATTCTCCTTTGTCAATATATTCCATAACAAAATATAAATAGGTTGATGATTTATAAGTAGCATATCTAAAATTAAAACATAGCAATTATTAGTATACATCCTCTAAACAGATCTAAAAATGATTACCTATTTTATCTTACAATTTTACAATGAAAGGATTTGATATGGATAACATAATATTTTTCTCATTCAATATATGTTCAATTTGTTTTGCATGTGTAATCCTGTTTCTATTCAAAATCTTTAAACAAAAATGATTTCCAGTTTGATTGTGGACGATTTTAAAGACCGTGCCAAATGACCCTGATCCAATCTCTGAAAGTAATGTAAAATGATTAAGGCAAGTGGAACTCCAATCGATTTGATTTACATGAAATATTGGTTGTGGTACTAGCTCCAATGGGGTAAAAACATAGTTAAAAGGGGAAGGAAGGTAATTGTTGTTGCGAGTTGGAATACAAATAGGTGTGTTTTGATTGGAATACGATTGTGAATTCGATAGATTCTGAATTGGTATTTGGATGGATATTGGTGTTGTTTGTGTTGGTCTATTTACATAGCTATTGGTGTCATCCAATAGAAATAAGGGAGGTGGAGGTGAAGTTGATTGTTGGTGTGGTTGTTGTGCATAGTATTTTGTAAACTGTAGAGAAGGTGAACTCAATGACAGCATTTGTGCTTTCTGTGCAACCAAAGTTGGTGAAGTAGTTGGATATGGTGTTTTTTTTGGTCTGGTTTTCGGTGACTTTAAATTAAAAGATCTCTGTTGTTGTAATTGCTGTTGTTGCTGTTGCTGTTGTTGTTGAATTTGTATATTTAATTGTTGTCTTTGACTAACTGTCATGCTATCCATTAAATGATGAGGAGGTGATAGTGAAAAAGGTGCGAGTGGTGGCGATGATGGTGGTGGAGTTTTTATATTGACTGGATAGGATTGTTGATGTTGACCGATATCTTGGCTATATGAGTGATTTTCGGCAATAAAAACGTTTCCTTCATTATATTTTTCGATATTGTCAATCAGAGAATAAATAATGGATTTGGCAACTTTGACTTGAGATTTTACGTTGAAATGTGAGTCATTTATATTTAGAATCTAAAATATAAAATTTGATAGTCATGTCAGTTAAAATGTCAAAGTGTGTTGGTCGCCAATCAACTTGGATAGAATAAGAAGAATCTTTACACTAATCATTTCCTCTAAAAGTTTCAAAGACTGTGTAGATAAAATATAAAGTTTATCAACAATGGTTGTTGTTGAATAGTTTTGCGAACTAAATATATCTTGACTAGAGCTAGACATTGTTTGGTAAATGGTTTGAAAGAAATATGAACATATTATACTCTTTTTTTGTTTTTTTTTTCTCTCTGTCTATCAATCTATCTTTAAAATAATTAAATAGACATTAACAATAAATAAATTAAAAAAACACTAAAAGGTGATTGGGTTATTAACGTGAAATAAAATAGCTATCCATCTATTCATTTTCAACACTTTTATTTCGCACATTTAACGTTGAAAATGGGTTTTTTGATCACGCAGCGGGATCTGAAAAATCTCACAATTTTTTTGTTTATCAAACCTTTTTTCTATTATTAGCATTTTTTTGACATTATTGCTCGCTCACATAATATTGATAAAAACAATAATAAATAAAAAAACAAACAATAACAATAAAATAAGAAATCAATAGACACTTTGTTTTAAATCTTATTTATTGGTATTATACTTTAACATAATATTATTATGATATCGTGAGTGTTCCTTCCACATTAATGATTGATGCTCTTTAGTACAAAAATAGGTAGCATATCCTGTTTTAGCACAATTATAACATTCTAAAATTGATTCCTCACCACAATAACTAAATAATAAAAGTAATAATAAATCGATCGATTAGTTAGTTAGTTGAAAGAGAGTGTTTAACGAATGGTAGTTAGTGTTAAGTTTACTTACCAACAAGGTCTTTGAGGTGGATGTGAAAATTTGTATTTTTCAATGACTGATTCTCTTGCTTTTTGTTTGTCTTTTTCGAATTGTTCTGCGGTTTGTTGTTGTTGAAGTTGTTGCTGTTGGATTTGTTGTTGTTGTAGCAGATGTAATTGTTGAGGTGTTGTGAGTTGTGGGTTTTGGAAGTTTAATGATGACGATGGTTGATTCTTTTGTTGTTGTTGTTGTTGTGGATAGTATGAGGTTGGTTGCATAGAGGTTTGGAATGGTTTGAATGATGATGTAAACTGAGAAGTGTTATTATTGTTATTGTATGGAGAGTATAGTCCTTGATAATAATCATTGGTTGGCGATGATTGACGGAAAAGTGTGTTATCTGGTGTAAACAATGAAGATATGCTGCTAATATTATTATTGGTATTTGTATTCTCTTGTGATACCGCTGGCGATAGATAGCTATTGCCATTGGCAGAGAAAGCAGAGGACCAACCAAATATAGGATCTTGTGAAAATGTATTGCTGTTAAGTAGGTTACTGGTAACTGGTGTTGATTGATCTAAATAGCTAGAAGTATTTACAAAACCTGGTTGCGAAAACATATTATAATATTGATATTGTTGTGAAATATTATTTTGTTCTTGTTGTTGTTGCTGTTGTTGTTGTTGTTGTTGAATCGAATTAATTTGTTGACTATTATTGTTAAGTTGACTAATTGGATTGTTATTATTATTATTATTTTGAATTGGTGTTATATTTGATAGACCTGCTAGCTTTGAAATGGTTTGTTGTTGGAGTGTTATTGGTGTTACTGGGATTGGTGTTGGTGTTGGTGTTGTTGTTGTTGGTTGTGAAATTTTAGATTTAGTTGGAGAAGTCGTCAAAATTGGTGAGGATGGGGTGGTAGAAGGCGGTGAAACATTCAACTGTGAACTAGTATTGGCGCTATTGGTGTTTGGTGTATTCGATGGCTGCTTTAGTTTTGATTTCGATTTGGAAACTTGGTTTAATGATGGATACTCTTCTTCATAATGCTCTGGTTGGATTGGTTGTGTTGGTTGTGGAATCTGTTGAATTGGTATTGATTGGAGTGGTTGTGTTGGTAGCTGCAAAATGTTAACAGGTTGATTGGTAAGACTATTGGAAAGCAACTGAGCAAATGGATTATTAATATTATTAATATTTTGTGAAATCTGAGTGTATGGAGGAGGCGATGACGAGGAGGGTGCCGTTGTACCATTGACTACTGCTGTTGGTAAATTGAGATGAGCGCTAGAGAAATGAACGGCAGAGCTAGATGAAGAAATAGATTGTTGTTGTAGTTGTGGTTGTTGTTGTTGTTGTTGTTGTAAAGGAGGTGAAGGTGTTGTTGATGGTGGAATAACATTTGAAATTGAAATCGATTGAGCTGAGTTATTTAAAGAAATCTTTTGTTGTTGTTGTTGTTGTTGTTGATTAGTTTGTTGTTGTTGCTGTTGAATAACCTGTTGTTGGTTATCTGATTGTATTGATAACTTATTTTCATTCTTCTTCTTTTCTGATGCGTTGGTAGTTGTTGGTTCTTTCTTTGAGGGAGTCGATGGTAACACTTGAGAAGCTGGCAAATCCTCGGAGCTAGAATCTTTTTGATAGCTGGTTTGAATGCTAAGTTTCTTTGACTTTTTGCCTGGAACCGACCACTCGTTGTCGTTGTTGCCGTTGGGTGCGGTGTAAGGAGTCTCACACATTGAACAATTTGGTACGTTATCGTTGATAAAAGTACATAGATTACATCTCCACTGACCGGGTTTCAAATCGACAAACTCGTCTGGATCGCCACCGGCACCACCACTACCACCATTGGCGCTGTTGTTGCTCTCGTTGGCCTTTGCGGTGACATTCGAGTTGTACTCGTCAAAGTAGGCATCGGAAAGCGGTGCACCGTACTCTGAGAGAGTGTCGGCCATTCCTTCGATCTTTGGGAGAATCTTGTTCAACTGGAATAGCAGTTTCTCTCTGTTTGACTCGCTGATCACCGGTTTCTGTTCGTTCTGAGCTAAAACATCAGGACCAACCGAAGATCCACGCGACGACGATAGTTTGTCGGACTGTGTAACGAATGGCATCTCCTCAATATACTGAATAGCCTCTACAACCTGTTGATGAAAACGTATAACTGATTTCTGAGCTGTTGTCAACTTTGAGGCAATCTTTTCATCTAAAAACGAATGATTAGCAGTATCCGAGTTTCTAGCATTCCTTTGTGGTAATTTAATATCTTTAAATTCTGAAATATCTGGTTATTTTTTAAACAAACAACAACAACAACAATTTATTAATATAATATCTATTATACTGGTAATTAATAAACTTACTATTTCTTAATTTAGTTAATCTATCTTTTACATGACGAAGTTTACAATGTTTCTCTAAAAGATTAAAAACTTGTTCGTATGTCAAATCCTCTTCCTCCTTTGGTAACAATTGATTCCATTCACTCCAAATCGATGTGATAACTTCTTCAATCTAAACCGTTATTTGAAAAAATTGGAACAGATTAATTTTCAATTTCAAAAAAAAAAAAAAAAAAAAAAAAAAGTCGTCTTTTTTTTTTTTGCCAAAAATGTTAACACAACAACTTACCTCCATCTCAACTAATTTACCTCTACGCTTAGCTTGACAGCTCTTATTCTTAAGATTTCTGTCACCTAAAACTACAAGGCAATCGGCTTTTGAATTGGTTATAATCTCTGCAAGATTCTCTGTTTTTATACCTGACGATTATTGATTTTTAATTTAGTTGTTAAAATAATGTTGTTTTGTTGTTGTTTAGTTTGTTTTGTTATTGTTAACATACTTTGAGAGTTTTCTTCGGTTTTAAGAAAAACATCGATTCCACCTTCTAAAAATTGGTTTTGAACTTCTTTTGCAAAACGTAATACACGTGCGTCGGATGCATAGAGGACGACCAACTGTAGAAATGGACGACGACCAGCCATGCGTGAGGGATTAGATCTGCAGTGATACGAGATGAACTCTTCCGAGTCGTCGAGTGTCAAACTGTTGAGAGGAAGTGATGTTAGAGATTGTTGCAACTGTTGTTGAGATAAAGCGATTAATCCTGGACTCTGTAAAGACGACGACGAAGACGATATCAAAGGGTTGGGTAATGAAGTAGGTTGTGGAAATGGAAGTGGTGCTGGTACTGTATTACTATTACTATTGCTATTACTGTTATTCAGATCGATCTTTTTACTATGCTTACTATTGTCTCCACCTATACTATTACTGCTGCTATCATTATTATTGTTTATTAAATTACTTTTTACATTGTTATTGCTGTTGTTATTGTTGTTATTGTTAAAAGAGGAAGAAGAAGAAGAAGAAGAACTTGGTATTGGTGGATGTAAAGGAAGTGAATTACTTTGTTGTTGTTGTTGTTGAAGTGAAAATTGTGGTGGATGCAGTATTGGATTGGGTAAGAGAGATGGCGATTGTGGAAGGTTGTTTGGCGAGGATGTAGTGGGAGTATGCGAGAATCTACAAGAGTCACCTAGTTTGCAGGTGCCAGATTTATAGTATTTACAAACAACAGGATATCTAGTTGTATTACTACTACTGCTATTGGTGGTTGAGTTTGCTACTGAAGCAGAACCACCCGACGATGAACTTGCATGTGTATTGTTGCTGTTGTTTGAAGAAAGAACAGCGGGCCATTCTTTAGTGGTAGCGGTGGTTGTAGTGGTCGTTGTTGTTGAACTATTATTATTATTATTAGATATCACCGAATGATGATGATGCTGTTTTATATTCATTATTCTTACTACTAATATATTATTCTTTCAAAAATAAAACAATTTCAATTCAAAAATGATAAAAAATAGATTAGATAGATAGATACAAGAAAGATAGAGATAATTTTACTTGTTGTTGTTTTGTTTTTGTTTTTGTTTTTTTTTATTTTTATTTTTTTCTATTTTTTTGTTTTTTTTTTTTATTTTAGTTTTTTTTTTTATTTTGAAAAAAAATAATTAAAAAAATAAAAAGAACTGAATTGAATTCGATCGTTTCAAATTTCAGCTTGTTTTTGGGTTTTTTTTTTCATTTTCAAATTTCAAAAACAACAAAATTGTTTTTAATTTTTAATTTAATTTTTTATTTTTTAATTGTTCAATTGATAATTGACATGTTGAAAGATTTGGGTGTTAGAATGATTGGCAGTTGTTGCTCGATATCATAATGGTTTGCGCTATTTTTTTTGGGTGAAGTTGAAGATGATGATGATCCTCTGGTGTATGGATGCATTCTCGACTGACTTGAAGACAAGCTTGGGACATGGAATCGGTTTCCATTGTCAACACCTTCCAACCATGGATCTATTTTTCCGTCTCTTAGTTTCCAAAATCCATTTTGACCCAGTGATCCTGAACCAGATTCAAATGTAGTTTTACTATGTGATAGCTATTATTTGATATCAAGTTAAACACATGTTAGTTACCGAATTTCGGTTTAAACTACTTAATATTAATTTAAAAATCATCACTTACCATATCTTGTATTTGTTTATGCCAATTGTCACATTTCTTTTTATCGAGTGAGAGTAGTTCCCAGTGACACTCTATGAATCTATATACATCATTTTTTAGCGAGAAGAATGAAGTTGATTGTACAAAGGTGAGAGAGTAGAATACAACTTTCATGATGGTCGCCCAAGTAGGAGACTTTTCAAGAATCCTTGGTTTTCCATTGGCGCAGAGAACACACTGCGATCCGTAGGTGCATGCTATTTTTTCGGGTGGTGGAGCACACTGTGATTTCGAGTGTTTGGTTTTTGGTTTCTTTTTCGAGAGCTTTGGCGAGATCGACGGTGAGGACTTTGGTGAGATCTGGTAGAGTTCAACATCAAAGTCTTCTTCGTCCGAGGAGGAACATCCAACGAAAATCGAGGAGTCGGAACTGTTAAGAGATCTCGGAAGTTGATGGAATGAATTGTCACTATCGGATGATATATCGCTGCTGTCAATTAGAAACTGGTTATTCGAGTGATCCTCAAACAATGGATTGCTTGGAATGCAATATTTCGGTAACTCCTTGAGGTATGACGACTGGTGATGATTATTATTTTTGGTCTCTTTAGTTAATAGTTCAATGGATGGAAGTACATTGTTTTGACTGAGAGTTGGTACGATATGATAAGATGATAGCTCTTTTAGGTTGATCAACATAAGAGAGCATATTTCTTCATCGTTTGGATTGTGATTCAATTTTTGCATGATTTTTGATGATGTTAAGTTAAGTTTTAGTTTTTTTTTTTTTTGAAAAATTAAATAAATAAATAAATATCTATTAAGGAAAATGTTATTATATTTACAATATATAAATAAATAAAATAACAATAGGAATATATCTGTTTGTTTTTTTTTGGTAAAAAACTTTAAAGTTTTAATATAAAAAATTCTGATAATAAAAAATGGAAAATATATTATTTACAATATAAAATTAAGCGTCGAGCATGCAAATATACAATTATATATTTATAATAAAAGGAAAAAGAAAGATAGGAAATAAAATTAAAAAAAAACAAATTTATATTGTTTTTTTTCTTGTAAAAAATAAAGTTAAATAATAATATATTTATATATAAATAAAACAATTAGAAAGAAATAATAGAAAGTAATAAAAGTTTTTAACTAAATCGTTTATGTTTAGAAATGAATTTTAGAAATTTAATTAGTTAGCTAGTTTTGGTACATCAAATTAAAAAACAAAAACTATAATATGTCAGTAAGTTATTGTTGTCGGTGATGTCTGAAAAGGTTGCCGTAGAAAGATAGCTTTTTAGTAACAATATTGAAATTATTTGAAAGATCAGACAATAGTTTTTTTTGTTTTTTTTTCAAACACAATTTTATTGTATCTGGAAAGAAAATAATAGATTGTGAATAATTATTTGAGTCGAACTCGAAAGATCTATCAGTAGTATATTGACAACAATTCAAAAATATAGTTTTGTTTTATAGATGTTTAGATAGTCGAAAGATTATTTATTATTTAATTTCCATATTATTATTTAATTAAATATTAATTTATATAAAAGATAATTAAAAACCTACAAATAATTGTTTTTTACTAGTCTTTCTTTATTTTTCCCAATGTTTTTGCTTTTGGTATGCGATGGAATTGGAGGACCACTATTTGATGGTGTATTTATATGTTTGTACAATGATTGAAAAAGTGAAGTGAATTGAAAAAACAAAAAAAAAAAAGTTTAGAAATTTAATTAATTCAATTGAAAATTATATATACATCTTATAAGTGTGTTGTAGGTGTGAGTGAGTGAGTGATAAGTTATTGTAAAGACCAATAGAACTTAGGAGAAAAAATTTTTTGATAGTGGTAGGAGCTTTTAGATTTATAAATCGATTTTAAAAAAAAACTATGTTTTGAGGAGGGTAGGCGAGAATTTAAAAATAACTATGTGTGTGTCTATTGTTGAGTAGGTATGAGATATATTATTGTTACTCTCAGAGGGAGAGAGTGTTCGTGTTGTGTTTTATTATTGTTGCCTGCTTTTACTTTCAAAGGGTGAGAAGTGTTGAGTTTTTGGTGAGTGCTTTTGAGTTTTAGTGTGTGTGTGTGTGTGTTATTATTGTGTTCTCTGTGTGTGTGTGTGTTTATTGCTATTCTATTATTATTTGTTCTTTTTTTTTTTTTTATTTTGACCAGTAGGTTGGTAGAGTTTTATATATTTGATGTGTTTGCTATTCATAAAAAAAAAAAAATTGTTTTTAGTTCAAACCTACTTTTTCTCCACTATTTTAATAAAATCTCGCTTTATGGAGAAACATAACAAACTAACCACGCAAGCCCTCCTAAATATGTAGTGCTACACAATTATTGTACAATATTGTATGTATTTTGGTAATATATTATTTTTTGAATTTTTGATAAATTAAAAAAAAAACTGGTTCACATACCAAAAAGGAAATTAATTAATTTAAATTTTTTCTTTTCTTCTTATTAAATGTGGCCAAATGTGGGAAAAGTGTTCCAATATGAGCAAAATCACACTGACTCTTAACTATTTGAATGGAACTAAAAAAATAAAGAACCACATCCTCACTCCATTATTAGTCTATAAGAGTGTTTCCATTGTTTGTTTGTGAATCGAAAAAAATATTAGATTTTATTTTCAGTGTGTGTTGTTCCATCCGATTCTTTAAAAGAATTATTATTATTATTATTTGTTGTGTGAGAGTGTGTTTGTTTGTTTGTGTGGAAAGGTGTGGGGGTGGTGAATGATGTTGTTACTGCAGTTGTTGACTGATGTTCTTGATGTTGTTGACTGACTTTACTATACTATACTAATAGTATCGTACTATTTCTTTTGTTGTTGTTGCTGTTTGTTGTCATAAGTGGTGTTGTGATTTCATCACACCCTTCGATTTCAACTATAATTGTTTATACTATGTAACTCTTGCCAATCAATGGGTATGGGAATTGCAATCAACTCTCACCCTAATGCCGGAATGAGAATATGTTGTTGAAAACCCATCATAATAGTTAAATTCGAACGCATGTGCACACGACTAGCTTCTAAAAGTTAATACTGCACATACAAGAAATCTCCATTGAACTATTAATAATCACCAAATGTTTGGGTGAGTATTCCTTAGAACACACCATACTACACATACACATACTACTACACATACACACCGCACCAAATGAAATTAAACTATCGATCCAATAGCTTCAAACTAAACACAGAAATAAACACGAGTTTTAACCGATTTATCAAAAAAGTAGTACTTGTAAATCTAAATGAGAGCAAATGAAAGCAAATGAAGACAGAGAGAGATAGAGATAGAGAGAATGAGTATGAGTATGAGTATGAGTCTGAGGATGAGAGAGAGTGTGTAAGTGTGTGTATGTGTTATTTATAATAAATATTTAAACAAGTTTACTATTTAGTTTGTTTAAAGAGTGTGTGGAGTGAGTGTACTACCGTTCTTGAACGACCATGGGTATGGTATCCTCAGCTAAAGTGTTACTTCTAAGTTGATTAAAATGGTTGGATGGCAAAGGCTTCATAAGTTTTTGTAAATGACCACGAGAATATGCTACCACTATGATGCTGTATACTAAACAGGGAACTTGTTATTTTAACATATAATTTTGTCAGTTAGTTGGTTAGTTTGTTGATTGTTAATTGTCATTTTTTGATGTTATTATAATAATTCAACAATAATAATTATTATTATTATTGCTATAATTAATATTAATAACACTATCTATGATTGTATTTACCAATATATAATAAAGCTGGCTGACCTTTCTTTGATATCGATACGGCTGTGTATGAAACGAGCAAGCCAACCAAATAGAATACCAACGATAGTCTAAAGTATCCCATCTTTCTGGGTGAGTATGGCTCTGACTTTTGATTGAGAGCAAATCCATAGAAGAGGTCAAGGTTATAGAGTTGACATATGAAAACACCGGGCAGTGCAATATCACCATTGCCGAGACCTGTCCATCCCTCGGAGAGACACAACGGCAATGATATCGACATTGGTAAGCTAATAACTTTAATTGCAACTGATTCCCTATTATTATTGATGATAGTTTTGATTTTAAAAATAAATAAAATTAATCTTTTTAAGTACAACATTCATTTCTTCTTATTATTATTATTATTATTATTATCCTAATTAATCATTTTATAATCTTACATTACACTTTCACCAAAGATGGTTTTTGATTGAAATACCCAAAATACATCATATACTAAGAATGCTGATAACAACAATGATATCGTAAGCAATGAGTTAATTCTTAAAAATGTTAATGAAGTGATTCCTATACAAATAGATAGAACTAAATATTCAAAGATGATTTGTTAGTTAGTTTCTAAACAAACATAATACAGTATTAATGTTAATCTTAGTTACCATTTACAAAGAAATGATTGTTTGTATATCTCCAAGACAACATAAAAATCAAACCAACAATACCAGAGAATAATTCTTTAAATGTAAATTCAACTGTATCATCACCTAATTTAATTCTGTATGTATTGTAAAATACAATATTAATGAGTTAGTTGTTATGCTTTACTAAAATGCATAGTATAATAGTATAGTTATAATAGTAATTACTTTTTAATGAGTGTAGATGAAATTGATAGATAATCGAATACTGGATAAACTACAAATGCTACAGCGAATACCGAGAGACATGATGTCATAAAACTTAGAATAGTGTACATTTCATTCAAATAGTAAAAGAAAGCAAGTAATACAATTGAACTGAATAGTGGCATCAATAAATATACATATTTAGGTATCTGTTCGAATTGATCTGTTTTGTTTAATAAATAGAAGTTTATTATTTTTAAATTAAAATTCAGTAAATCTATATATATATATTACTAACATCCTATTCTAATTACCTTGAATATCATTCTCAGCATGAAAGTGATAAGATCTTTTACAACCCACATAGATGATTGTCAATGCAATAGCAAACATCAAATAGGTTGTAGGTTCAATTAACCATTGAAACATATTATTTAAATAATCAATATATATATATAGATGATATGATATCTATATCTAAACAATTGATAGATTAACTTTTAGATATCTATTTAAATCTATAGATATGATATATAGGTTTCTTTTAAATTAAATATAATATTCACATACACGGTTGAAAATTTAATAAAAGACTGAAAAATTTAATTTAAAACACTTTCAGATACAAAAGCAATTGTCGTGTGTTCATTCATTAATTAAAGTCAGTTTGATTGTTATTATTACTAAATTTACAGATAATTTATATAAATATGTATAGTAATAAAGATGTAGTTTATATACCACCAGAAATCAATCAAATAATTAAAGATCATCAATTAAAGATATCACATCCTTTCTACAAGAGAGACAGGTTGATACATCAACAACAAAGACAACATCATTTTCAACAGCAATATAATTATGATCAGCAACAACAACAACAACAACAACAGCAATATGATTATGACCAGCAACAACAATACTATCAGCAATACTATGATTATATAAATTATTATCAAAATCAAAATGTAGAGCAACAACAACAACAATATTATGAAGAAGAAGAAGAAGAAGTAGAAGTGGTCCTGCAACTTTATCCGGATCCATAAAGTAAGCAAAAACAATAGAGGAGGTTATCAATATGTTTTATCAGATGAAGCAATAGCAATGTTTGCTAAAACAGAAATAAGAAGAAGAGGTATGTTAAGTTTATTTATAAATGATCTAATTTCAACAAAGCATGTACTAACAGACTATCTTTTTTAAAAATATTATAACAGAACAAAGAAAACAAAGAGAGAAAGATAAGAAAAAACAAATTGAAATAGAGTCATCAAATCCTGCAGAAGAATCACCTGTTACTCATTCATAGCTACTTTGAGAAAATGTATCTCCACCTATAGGTTGTTACAAATTGGTTTTAAAAGGAAAAAATTGTATTGTGATTAGTGTGAACAATATCAAATTCAATGAATTAATTATTAATAATAATAATATTTATAGTAATAAATCAAATCAATCTTTCACCAATCAGCTTGTAAAAATGAATTTGCAACAATAATAATAGTTATACTTATAACCTACTAGGAAAATAATTAAAAATGGTGACAATACTAATAATGTATAACAATCAATCAACATGTCTATTAAAATTGGATGTAAAATATTTATAAATATTTTGTTAATAATGGATTACCTTACTATACTTGTAGTGTAGTTACTAAATGAAATTATAATTACATTATTATTATTATAGAAATAAAATACTAAAGATAGTTATATTTATTTTAAAAAGAAATGATTTATCTATTTCTATATTTTGTATTTTCTTTTTCTATAAAATATTGTAATGGTAGTAGTAATCAACAACAACAACAAAAGATAATATTATTTAATAATAATTATAATAGCTACCAACTAAACTATGGACAATCTAAATTTAGTTTTCAATCAACAACAGGCTATGGCTATGCTTTCCTAAATAGAAATCAATTAATGTTATTCAGTAGGCAGTTACAATCACAACAACAACCTATGGATCCAATTGGAGGAACACCAATTAACTATTCAGATGGTAGTGAAGTGCTGAATTCAGTAATCAACGTCGATGAAATGCTATATGCTTTCGATAATACAGAGGTACATCTGTTCGATCTATCTCAATCAAACTATAGCTCAGACTAAAGTATCCAATGGGTTTTGGTGTGACAAATCACTTCGTTATGCTGATAGAATCTATTGTGTCAATCCATCAAACAAACAAATTCTCAGCTTTCAATATCAGTCATTCAGTGAAAATTTAAATATATTCCCTCCTCCAGGTTACACTATCATCGATATAAAATCAACTTTATATTTCTTTGAATATTCATTGTATGTATAATGACAATCAACCTTTGAAAATAATACTAAATTCAATTCAACACTTCTAATCTGGAAATTAATTTCAAAAGTATTGTAGATCCATCAAATGGGATAGCATTTCTGGGTGATAAACTTGGTAGTATTGTTTTATTTGATTTACAAAGAAGTAGACAAATAGGGTAATTTATCATCAATATCTATTTTTGGATGCTTCCAAATATCAAGAAATTAAACTAATCTACTTTAATCTTGATTTCTTTTAGTGTATTTTCAACCTCAGTTGTTTCGAACCGATTAGCAGTAGCACTAGATAGTGATAGGAAAAGATTATATTATTGTTCTGGTACTTCGAAATTGATTTTGGATGTTCTCTCATACTCTAGCAGTGGTATTCAATTTCTTTATTCACTTTCACTCAATAACTTGGAGTATTGCTATCAGGTGGCGATTGATCATAGTAATAATGTTGCCATCGTTGTTGGCAGTAGCAATGGTAACTTGGCTGTTCTGGCAATCGACATTGAAAATGCCAACGTTCAGAGTGTCTATAGATTTTCCAATCCTTCCAGTCAAATCGATAGGATATCGTTGAACATCGATGTATACGATAAGACAATAATAATATTTACATCAGACAAGATCATAGTCATAACATATAATATTATCATCGAACCGATTACTTCATCAACAACCTCCACAACTTCTACAACTTCCACTAGTGGAACAACAGGTACTACCTCGAGGACAACTGGTTCACAAACAACACGAACATCCACAACTAGATTTCCAACAACTAGATTTTCAACTCTGAATACATTTACAACTGGTAGTACATTTTCAACAATCGTACTGACTACAAGTAGAACATCGACAAGTAGTACTTTCTCAACAATTGCATTGACAACTGGAACTTCGTCAACTACCGATACTTCATCAACTACTGACGACTCATCATCAACTACTGATGGTTCATCTACAACAGATGACTCTTCTACATCAACATCCACAACCGGTACTTCATCCACAACTGATGATCCATCATCCACCACCGATGATTCTTCTACATCAACATCTACAACCGGTACTTCATCAACTACTGATGGATCATCTACAACCGATGACTCTTCAACATCTACAACTAGTACCTCATCTACTTCTTGTACAACGGATGGCACAACATCATCAACTACCGATTGTTCAACATCAACAACTGGTACTTCATCAACTACTGATGACTCATCATCAACCACCGACGGTTCATCTACAACAGATGATTCTTCCACGTCGACATCTACCACTGGTACCTCGTCTACATCTTGTACAACGGATGGCACAACATCATCAACTACCGATTGTTCAACATCAACTTCCACGACAAGTACAACTGATGGATCTTCCACTACCGATGATTCTACATCTACTACAACCGATACTACAACATCGACAACCGATAACTCTACGTCTACCACAGGCACATCAACAACCTATGGCTCTTCCACGTTTACAACATTTAGTTCCAATTTTACAACATCAACAACTTCATTTAATCAAACAACAGGCACCTCTACCTATAATTCAACAACAACCTCTTCAACAACTGATTCTACCAACTCTACCACCTCTGGTAGCTCCAATTATACAACAACAAGTTTAACTACCAATGGAAATATGACAACTAGTAACTCCTCCACAACAATTGGGAATTGTACAATTGGAAATAGTACAACAACCACTTCTACTGGTGGCGCTTCAACTATTAATATAACATCGATTGGTGCTACTACATCAACAGATATTTCTACAACAATCGACTATCTAACAACTCTAACCTCATTTTCGGAATCAAAATCAACTAAAATCTATCTATCAATAATCGATATTCTATTTGTTGTATTGTTAATTGTTGTTTATCTAATAAATTATTTTTAAAATACATGTATTTATTATTAATATTTAAATTGTCGGGTTTGTTTGTTTAATTATTATTATTATTATTATTAATGACTTTTTCTTTCTTTCTTTTTTAATTATTCTGATGGTTGTTCATCGCTATATTGTTGTTTCTTTAATACAGAAAGACCTTTTCTGGCATGTTCCAATTCCTTTTCCAATCTTAAAATAGCCATCTGTTGCTCCATCTCCTTAACTTTGTAACCGGTGACCGTTAGTTTACCGAAATCGATGTCGTCTTCACCAACCATCTGTGCTACGGCCTTGGCAGCAGCTACCAATAGATTGGTGGCATTCTGTACACTCTTGGCACAATTACTGAGTTTGTGTTGCGATGGACTGTTGATATCGGATTTCGATTTACATGCGGAAACCAACTGTGATGTGGCAGCAGTCACTGCCTTGGATGTGGCGATCAACGCCTCTTCAACACCACCGGCAATCTCTTGTCCGTTGGCCGCTTTATTGGCGGTATCTACGAGGGCACGTGTAGCGGCAGCTACATTCTTGGCTGCGGAAATGAGACCCTCAGCCCAGGTTGGATCTTTCTTGTAGAGTGGTCCGTCGTGTCCAGCTCTACCCTTTTCTACACGCTCCTTCTGAGCGAGTGTGGCAGCACCGACCAACGAGGAAGTGGCATTGGTAATTGCCATGGCGGCTTCGAGAATTGCCTCGGCTACATCTGGTGCGTCTCCATCCTTCTTTGGTGGTCTCTTGTTCTTTGAGACCATCAAAGATTTAGCGGCATCTTCGATTGCCTTGGCGGCAGCCATAAGCTCTCTCTCTGCCAAGTCATCCAAATCGAAACCGTTCTCGTCCAATCTGTTGTCGGCCTGTGATGTCGACAGTGCTTGTTTGGTGATTGCTTCGAGTGAAGCAGTACCCTGTTGTAGATCCTTGATATTTCCAGCGATTCTCTTTCTGTCCTCTTCGTCTTGACATTGTCCTCCTTGGATACGAACGGAATCAAAGAGATTCTGAGTGAGAGAACCAATCTTTCTGGCGGCGTCCAAGAATCTGCTTTGGTCGGCTTGATTTCTAATGAGACGGGACAAACCTTTGGCGTCTTGGAATAGATTCTTCAATGAATCCGAGACACCATTGACTGCACCAAACAAACTCATCTCTGGGATGTCACCCTCCTGATAGCAGGTGTTCATGAGATTGTGTGCCTGACCAAGGTGGTGAATCAAATCGGAAATCAACATCTGTTCGGTTGCCTCTTGATTTCCAAGATTGTTGGGGTTGTCCAGCAGTGAAATGAATTGACCGATATCTCTTTGTGCTTTAGTGAAATCGGATTCGAGACGAGCGATTCTCTGCTTCTCATAGTAATCTCTGAGAGCGATGAATTGCTCACGAAGCTGGTCGTTCTGCTTGACCACCTCAGCAGTGTATTGGTCGTTCGATTCGGTCATCTCTGCCAAACGCTTTCTGGCGGTGGTGACCTCCTGAATCATTGCTTCGCGCTCTGACAATCTGAGTGTGAGTTGCTTGTTCTTCTCCTGCTCCTCTGCCAACAGTCGCTCGAGCTCTTCGATTCTCGCGCGAAGTGCATTCAACTCTGCGGTGTTGCTCACTGTCTTGGTGATGATCTTTGTGATAACTCTAGTCTTTTCGGGTGGATTGGACTGTGCTGTCGATGGCACCAATGGTGATCCTCCCTTCTCGAGCGACCCTTCCTTCTTTTCGAGTGGTGCCGGTGTAGATGACGAACGTTGTCTGTTGCTTGCTTCCTCATCGAATGTCACCCACTGCGACTGTTGATTGATGGGGATGGGTGGAGGTGGTGGTTCTTGAATCATTGGTGGAGGTGGTGGAGTTGGTTGCTGCTGTTGCATTGGCATTGGATTGTACATTGGAGCACCGCTATTGAATTGTCCCCACATTGTATTGTCTTGTTGTTGCATGAATGGATTTCCATAGACAACGGGTACAGTCTGTCTAATGAATACCGGTGTTGGAACGGGTACTGGAATCTGAGTGATCTCTGGCTGGGGAGGTGGTTCTCTCTTTACGGGTGGTGGAGACAGATCCTTTGGAACCGGTCTCTGCTTGGGTTGCTCTCTTCTCTTCTTAATGAACTTGGGGGGATCTGGTGGTAGATTTGGCACAGCAATCACACTGGAAACACTATTGATAGCATTAGCATTTATATAGAAATTTCTCAATGTCTGATACTGCATATAGAATCTCTGAATTGCAAATTCATTCAGCTCCATACTGTCTGTCTCTATAATTATGAATAAAGTAAGTAAGTAAACAAATAGGAAGAAAACAATAGAAAAAACACTTACTATCAACAAGAGTCGTTAGGAATTGAACAACCAATAGATAGATTGCATAGGATTCCAAGACGAGTGGGATGAATGAAGATGTTTTACACTCGTTGTAGGGAGCGGAATCGACTACTGCGTTTTGCATACGGAAGACGGCGTCCAGCAGATCCATGAGATGACTGACCGTTTGTAGTCCTTTGTTGACGTCGATGTCGTCGAGACGATAGGCCTTCTGGTAGTTGTCCAACGACAATCCACCGTCAAACTCTGGGTGAGCCTGATGGAATCGGATCTTGTCAATCATAAAAGTGCAGTACTCTGACACCAGATGACCGTATCCCTTTGCATCGGGGTGTCGCTTCCAGTGACCTCTCAGACTCTCGAACCAATTGATCTTTGTGCTGACGTCGTTGAGCGCGTTTCTCGGTCCCTCCTGAACCACCTTGTGAAGAGTGACCAGCGCCTTGTAGCAAACTACATCATTGCTATCCAACGGTCTCTTATACAACTCCTGTAAGAATGAACGTGCACTATTCTCACTATGACACTCCAAAACAATTGCTATAAAAAAATAATAATAATAATAACAAAAAAATTGATTAATTATTATTCCTTTTTCCAAAAAAAGAAAAATCAATATAATATAATCATACATCTAACATGTTTTCGCTTTGGTGCAACTTGTTTAGAGTTTGTTGCTTTATGAACGATAATTTCAAACTCTGTCATTTCTGTTGTTGTTGTTGTTTTGTTTTTTTTTTAGTATTGTTTTTGTTGTTTCTCTCCAATCTACTATCTATATCTATATATTTAACTTAATTTGTTCAAATTTCAATTGTTTTAGATTAAATAATATGTTTTTGATAAAAATAAAAATAACAATAATAAATAAAATATATAAATAATAAAATGTCAAAAAATATAGATAATTTAATAATTGATGAATTTGGGGGTTTTAACTTTATTTATATTTTTTTTTGTTTTTTAATTTATTTTTTTCATAATAACCACAATGATAAAAAAATTTTCAAATAATTTTAGTTTTGTCAACTTCACCCAGATATTAACAACAAAATTTTCAAAAAATTATTAAAAAATCCTGACTTTGTATGTTTCCATTAACAGTTAAAAACTTTAAACAGTTGTTAACAATAAATTAATTATTATTAAAAAAAAATGATATAAACAATACAGATTATATATATATATAACTTTCAAAAAACCAATTTACAAAATTGATCAATTTTGGTTTCAATCCTTAATTCATTTTCCTAAAGTAAATTAATTTTCAATTGAGAGATATAAAATTTTCTAAGTATTTACTTTTATTTATTTTCTATTATAATATAATTTTCACTTTAGTTTTGATTTTTTTTATTTTTATTTTTATTTTATTAAAATTAATAATATATACTTATTTATTTATTTACTTAATTACTTTCAAAGTAGAGTAAAGTTGACATATGAATACAAAGAATAAGGAATTGAATGTATGTGTATCGTAAATTTTAAAAAGATAGTACTACTTTTTTTGAGTTTATATATTTATAAGTCTATTATATAATAGTACGCTGCTTTACTTGAAAAGTTAAATGTTGATATAATACCATTGGATAGGCAGTGTACAAAGTACAAGTCGATTGAAAACTATATAAGTGTTGGTGCAGATCACAAGAAGAACAGTGTTCATATCAAATGCTTGGATATCTTTGAGGCGAAACGAAAGGTTGACACTCACAAGCATTTCCCCGACATTGAAGAACCTACTCTAAAGCGTCCTCTCTATTGGTATGGTTGTCTAGTGAGTAGCGTTGCCGCCAAACTAAAGAATGGTATTGCCTTTTCACATAATAAATATACCTCTTATAGAGCTGGTATGTATCAATAACATACAATATACAATACATCTTTATTTCACTAATAAACTAATATTTAAACAATGCTATAAGTATCACTATGGGATAATGTTATAGGATGTTCTCAGAATATAGGATTGTTAAACTTTAAGGATTCAACACCAAACAAAGGTGTGCTAATGTTGTTCGAAGTGAACTACAAGAATAAGAAGATTCCAGTAGAGATGGAAATAGACAAGGAGAAGAGCGCCAACTATTTTAAATCGTTAGAGAACTTTAATGATAATGATGATACAGACGATGAATCAGAAATAAGCAACAACAACAACAACAACAACAATAACAATAACAATAAGAGTAAAGATAATAGTGATAACGATAAGAATGTTTACTGTACAGATATAAAAGACACTATCGATTTAACAGAGATGTTACATATCACTGGTAAATACTCACCCAATCCCAATGGTCATATATTGTAAGTTTAATCATCATGATGATTTATCATGTTTTATCGATAATCCAATCTAATCTATCTTAATCTTATTATTACTAGTGATGGCAATATCTTTATACCTGCAGGTGAACTTGTTCCAACGACTCAAGTCAATCAGTCACAAGGTTGGTTGAATGGATTTATCAAAGTGTGGGGTGACTATAATCAATTCCTTTTGCTCAACCAAAATTTGGTATGTTCTTTTTGTTATTCCTACTTCAAAAGTTGATTATGTAATAGTACTAATATGCTTTATTTACAAATCCAGTTAAAACTAAGATATATAGTTATGGTAGAATGTAGTAAGGCAACAAATCAACAAAAGAAACAGCAGCAGCAACAACAATCAAATCAACCTATAGATTTAGATGCTGAAAATATAGATAAGAATAACAAGAAATCAACTACTACTAAAAATAATGAAGATATATGGCGATCAGTTATAAAGAAGAGGTCACATGACGATGATGAAAACGAAGAAGGTAATAATAATAGTAGTAGGAAGAAAGTAAAGTAATATAATCGATTATTTTTTTTTAATTTTTTAATAAAAAAACGATACAATACGAAATGAATGTTGTTCCAATAAAAATAAAAAATGGTTGATTGATCTATATTACTTTATTTTATCTTAATCTTTTTTTTTTTTTACAATCCTGTAATGAAAATTTCAAATAAAAACAATTTTTTTTCAAACTTAATTATCGCACTCACTTAAAAATTAAATGAATTATGAAAAAGATTTATTTGAAAAAAGTGGGTGGGTTATGATCATAATGGGTTTCATTCATTTTATCATACTCAGCAAAAAAGCTTGATTATATTAAAAAAATTTAACCACTGCAGTGGTGTTCCAAAACAAAAAAAAAAAACAAAAAAAATTAATTTTTTTTTTAAAAATAAAAATACCTTCAATCATTTTTTAGATTGGTTTATTTTTTTGATAATTACTATTATTATTATTTTATTGTTTTTTTTTGTAATAATAGTAAATATAATAATTGTAAATTTTAGTTTTAGATAAGATTCAAGATATATAATAATAATAAAATAAATATAATATATACTATAAATAAATAAATAAATATTTTTTAGAAAATGACAGATTTACATAAAGAATGGGAAAAAGTACAAGAGATGGCTTTTGCTTCATGGGTCAACTCTGTATTGGAGAAGCGTGGTGGTGTCGAAAAGATTTCCGATGTCTCCACTGATTTGAGTGATGGTGTCAAGCTAATCTTTTTCTTAGAGTCTGTCTCTGGCAAGAAGTTCCCAAAGAAATTCGATTTGGAGCCAAAGACACGTATCTTGAGAATTCAAAATCTCCATTTGGCAATGTTGTTCGTTGATGAAGATCTCAAAGTTAAAGTTCAAGGTGTTGCTGCTGAAGGTAAGTTCAAAATCAATCAAATACATATCAAATACATATAATATCTAATAAACTAATTCCATTCATTTCTCTCTCTCTTTTTTTTTTTTTTTTTTTCTTAACTACCACCACCACCAACAATGCAGAATTTGTTGACAATAATAAAAAGATGATTCTTGGTTTCTTGTGGACTTTGTATCGTAAATATCGTATCTCTGTCATCAATGAAGGTGACAAGAGTTCAGAGGAAGGTTTGTTGGCATGGGTAAAGAAGACTACCGATGGATACTCCGGTGTCAATATCACCAACTTCAAGGCGAGTTTCCGTGATGGAAACGCCTACTTGGCACTGGCACACAAGTTTGATCCATCGGTGTTCAAATACGACGAGTTCTCCGGAAAGGATCAGATCGAGCGTCTCAACGCCGCTTTCGACTTTGCAGAGAAAGGACTGGGTATCCCCAAGTTGCTCGACGCCGAGTCACTCTCAAAGGGCAACGTCGACGAGCGTTCCATCATTTTGTACACATCGTTGTTCTTCCACGCCTACCGTGCCAAGGAGGAGCGTGAAGCGTTGGAGGCATCACAGAATTCGTTGGCCAACAAGCTTGCCTCGCTCGAGCAGTCGCTCGAAGGCGAGAAGACCTCGCAGGACGAGCTCGCCCGTCAAAAGAAAGAGTTGGAAGAGTCGTTGCGTTTGATTCGTCAGCAAAACGAACAGCGTAATCAACGTATCGCCGACATCCAATCAAAGATCGACGACGCCCTCAGAGGAATCGACGACGAGAAGATGGCCAAGCTCGACTTGGAGTCGCGTCTCTCCAAGACCGAGAAGGACAAGGCCATTCTCGAGTTGAAGCTCGCCGAGACACTCGACGAGAACGAGCGTCTCCGCAACAAGATCGAAGAGGACAAGAAGCGTGCCGCTGCCGAAGCCGAGGGTCTCGGACTGCTCCGTACTCACATCGGTCACCAAATCACAGACATTGCCAAGTGGCAGTCGTTCCTCGACAACCCAGAGGCTGTACCATACACCAAGACACCGGTAAACCTCGAGGCAGAACTCGCTTCACTCCAATTCGAAGAGCAAGCCAAGAGATTAGGTTCCAAGGTCGAAAACGAAAACATTTCATTGGAGAAATACTTGTCACTCAAGGAAGAGGAATTGAAGAGTGCTGGTGCTCCAAAGAAGAGAACCAAGTAAATAATAATAATAATAAATAAAAAAAAAAAACAACAACAAATAACAAATAACAAATAATCATAAGAGAGAGAGTGTGAGAGAATAATATAAAAATAACATTCTCTTTCTCTCTCTCTCAACTAAACCAACAACAACAACAAACTAATAAGTATATTATTACACTCAAATTCATATCTTTTTTTCGCCTATCCAAAATGTTTAATAATAAATGTACAATTTTACACTTTATATTTATAGACTCATTGTTAATGTTGAGTTGCTTCTACACCTTTTTGAAGATCTAAAGTAAAATTCATTGTGGTTTCATATTATCACATTATCATTATTATTATTATCTAATAATTTAAAAAAAAAATGGATAACATTGTCAGATCAACCAAGAGGTAATATACTAAAGAAGTTTTATATAATCTTTTCATATAGTATTAATTATATTCTTGAGTTTAAACAAAATATTAAATTATTAATGAAAAGATAAATAAAATGAAATAATTGAGAATTGAAAAAAATCAAAAAAAATTAGACAAGATTTATTCTTTGAAAAAATATCATGATTAAACAAGAAATCGACATTGTTATTAATTAAGTGTTGTTGGGAACTTGGGAATTTACACCATGTCAATTTTTAATACCTACATTAAACCACGTAAGTTCAATAACAAAAATTACTTTTTTAATTTTAATTCTTATTTTTTTTAACATTTTTTTTACTAGTTATAAATACTGATGTTTAAATGTTATATTTAATATCATATGATTTTTCTACAAACAAAATAAAATAAAATAAATAAATAAATAAATAAATAAATAAATAAATAATAATAATAATAATCAAATCATATAATAATTGTTATATATTTATAAAATAATATTAAAAATAATGTCTAATATATTAGAAAATAATAATAATAATAATAATGTTGAAGGAACAACAAATATAAATGAAGAACATCCAACTACACCACCTTCTCTGTTTGAGCTGAGTTATAATTGGAAGATGTTAGGATTGTTTATGTTGTCGTTGATGGTGCTGCTGTCAGCGTTGAATTCGACGACCAGGAAGAAACTGGTGGCAATTCTGAGAGGACTTGGAATAGGTGTAAGAAGAGTACCACGTGTCATCAAAGAACTAAAGAGAAAGGGTTTCCATTTTAGTGGTTTGATCATACCGATCATCTATCTATTCGGTTTGAACTACACAACTTTTATAACACAGAAATTCGCCTTTAACTTGATGGGTTCAATAACTTTAGGTATGCAAACAACAAACAACAACAACAACAACAATAACTAATTTATTTGTTCGACTATATATATAATATAATTGTATAGGTTATTTCATTTGGGAATGTCTTAGATTGAATATTCCAGCAGTGAAAGAGTTCTGTCTGAAAGCATACGGCGGTATGATGAGAGAGAAAGAACGTGATTCATTCAATGGTGTACTCTTTTATCTTTTAGGTTCAACTTTGTGTATATATTTCTTTAGGTAGGTACTAACTATAGTTATTGTAATTGTAAGAGTAATATATATTTAATAATAATATGTTTGTTAATTTGTGTATAGACCATTGATTGCAATTGCAAGTATATTGTTTTTGATTATTGGTGATTTCTGTGCGGCTTTAATTGGTATTTCATATGGAAAGACAAGAATATTTGGAAAGAAATCGTTGGAAGGCACATTGGCAATGTTCTTTGTTTGTCTATTGATTAGTTTAGCATTGTTTTGGCAATCAAATCTGTGCGAACAATTGGCATTCTGGGGAGCTTTATCTGCAGCTCTGGTCGAATTACTCAACCCATCGTTTATCGATGATAATCTGACAATCCCAATAGTCAGTGGTTTAATGATAGAATTAATCTCAATTAGACTTCATGCTCAGATTCCAGATCATACCTTATCATAAACAAACTAGTATGATCCTTTAAATAATATAAATAGAATATAATATATATAGTATCATTAATAGATAAAACAAAACAACACAAAACAAACTTTGTATAATAATAGTAGATAATAAACATATCTTGTAATTTATGAAAAAACAAAAGGTATGACGATGACGTCATGAAAAATTTAAAAAAACAACAGACGAGTAGCCAACAAATCTTAGATAAATCATATGACTAACTTTGGTAGAGTCATTTTAATAAAAAAATGATGATGTTATTACGCATCGCTTCGTTATGAAGATATCGATCTTGCATTACTTGTTTTTGAAAATATGAGGTAAACTACATAACTAGTTATGTAGTAAATAATGGAAAAGATGAAATAAGATTGGAAGAACAAACATATGAAAGATTGTTTGAGAGTTGTTGTAACTCTGTTCATAAGGATGGTGCAGCGGATCTCTACCATGAATTGGTGAATAGCTTTAATATTCCGACAATCAATAAATATGCGTATCTGACAACGTTGGGTATCACTGGTTTCATGAGTTGGTTGCGTGTACCAAAGAGTAGCAGATCAGGCAGAGGTTGGGTAACAAGTTTACAAATCTCACCAAGTCGATATATATTACCACCAAAACATGAAAATCATAAGCAAGTAATAATATTCATATTATTATTCAAACACAAAACAAACTATGAACCAAAAAAAACAAAAACAAAAAAAAAACTAACAAAAAAAAACAAACTATTATTTTTTTCTCAACTTTTTTCTTTTTAGATTATTAGAACCCTTCTTGCCAAAAGAGATTCAAAACAAATTGTTGGGTAGATCCTATGCAATAGATTCCCCTCATCCCTCAAAAGAAACATCAAAAACCGGTGATGATAATAATGATAATGTTGGTAGAAGTGGTGGACTACTGCCATTTGCTTAATTTTATTTTTTTGCGAAATTTATGAGAGAGGATAGTTAACTTTAAACTTTTGTTTTTTGTTGTGTGTATCTCTCCTTTTTATTGACGCTGAATCATGGTTTAATTCCATATTATCATGGTACGTTTGTATATATAGAAATAAAAGAAAGAAAGAGAGAGATAGATAGATTTATAGGTTTGAAAAGGTTATTAGTATTACAGTATTATAGTTTTAATTAATTCATTGATCAATCAGTCAATTAAACAACAACAACAACAAACAAGCAGAGATAGACAACAAATAATACTTATAAAAACTATGAAAAAAATAAACCTAAAGATCATCATCTCTCTTTAATTTATTATTGCATTTTATAAAGAAAAAAAAAACAAAAAATTGATTATTAATATTTATAAATTATTATTATAGAGACCATTACATTTACGTCTCCACGAAAGGCCAATTACTCATATTCAATTCAATCGCGAAGGTGATCTCTTATTTGTAGCAGCAAAGGATAAAACAGTTTCATTATGGTACACTTCAAATGGTGAACGTTTAGGAAAATATTCGTGTGGTGGTGTCGTCTACTCTTTGGATGTCGACCAACACACTAAATACATGGTCACTGCCAGTGCTGACTCCAAGTTGATTTTGTGGGATGTCAAGACCGGAAAACAGATCGAATCAATCTCATTCGAAGTACCTGCTCGTTGGGTTGAATTCTCGCAAGGTGACAAGCAAATTCTGGTGGTTACCGATAAAGTTATGGGTTATCAAGCTACTGTACATGTCTTTAACTTTGACCCAGAGAATGTTGTAAACAAAAGTATGTAGTAATAACATATCATTCATATTAATATCATTATTTAATTATTATTATTATTAATTTAGTTACACCTGCTTTCACTTTGGATCCACTCAATGTTAAGATTACTCAAGCAACTTGGTCACCAATGAATAAGACCATTCTTGCATCTTGTGAGGATGGTTTCGTCCGTATCTACGATGTAGAGACGAGACATTTGGTTCATACCATCGCCGATCACACCGATACGGTGACAAAGATCGTTTGGATGAAACACAGAATCATGTTTTTGACTTGCTCAGAGGATGGTACTGCCAGACTCTACGAAACCAAGACACTCAAACACCTCAAGACTTTTGATACTGGTCGTCCCGTGAATGCCGCCGCTATCTCACCGGTGCTTCCACATATCATTCTTGGTGGTGGTCTATCTGCAGACTTGGTAACAACCTCCAGAGTAGATTCCTCGCAATTCAAGGTCAGATTCTATCATATTGCTTACGAAGATGAAATCGGAGGTCACATCGGTCACATCGGTCCAGTTAACTCCATAGATTTCACTCCAGACGGTAAGACCTTTGCCACCGGTGGTGAGGAAGGTCTCGTTATTATCAATCACCTTGACAATTCCTATTTCAAATTTGACAAGGAATTAGATTACGGTACCAATTCTAACTAAAAAGTGCTATTGACATCAAGAACTGAAGTTTTTATTAGTTAATCAAATTGTATTCAAATAAATATCAGTACTTTATAATAATGTCAAATAAAACAGGGTAAAAAAGAGTTTGATCAAAAAAAAAAGTTTTAATCAGCTGATCACAATATTGACTATTTAAATGGATCGTGTACTATAATAGAACACAGATAGATATAGAGATGGCGATAGTCACATATAAGATGAATATAATCATAGTGGTGGTATTTATTGAGATACGTTAGTGATATATATATTTATATAGGTCAAAGTGAATGAAGATAAATGAGTGATTTAAATGCAAAAGATATCTAATAATAGATAATAAACAATAAACAATCTTGTAATAATTATTTATGAAAAAACAAAAGGGTGTCATGAAAAATTTAAAAAACATCAGACGGGTCACAAACAATAAAATCTTAGCTAAATCATATGACTAACTTTGTTATGTGTTGACGAGTCATTTTTTTTTAAAGAATGATGTTATTAAGAAATATTATTAAAAATACAAATAAGAATAATCATCACTATTTGTTTGTACATAATTGTAATAGATATAGTAATAGTAATAGTAATCAATGTAATTTTAGTAGTAACAGTAATAATAGATACTTTTGTAGTTTACAACAAAAACAACAACAACAACAAAATTCAAACGATAATGATTTATCATCTATAAATAAACATGAAAATGAAATAAATATAGTTCAACAAAGTAATCAAAAGAAACAATCTCTATCATCAATTGCAAAAGATGAAATTATAACAGAGTTGATTGTTGATAATAGTTCGGTGAATGCTAGCATCATTCAAGGAGATCAAGTGAATCAGACACCGATCAATCCTTTTGAATATAGTATAAAGACGGTTGAAGATGCTCTACATCTACCGGGTATTCCAAGAGCTGTCGCTCTCGATTCAATGTATATTGCAGGTTCGATTCACAGTCATCTGAAACAATCGATGGATCTACTGCAGGAACTAGTCGATAACGGTCGAATGGAGAATGCATTTGCACTGTTTCAAGTGATGGAGCGATACTATGTACCGGTTGCACCAGAGTGTTACACAGCGATGCGCAGACAGATCGAGAAGGCAATGGTAGAGGTGGCACGCTTCAACGATGCCATTGCACGAGAAACAGAGCGACCTGGATCGGTGCCAGACAACGAACTCTACATTCCAACTGTCGAGACAATGAACACCGTCCTAAACTACTACACAGAGACCGACAAACTTCAACAAGCATTCCGAGTGTTTCTCGCCATGAAGATACTCGGTGTCCAACCGAATCAACATACCTACCGATCACTCATCAACGCATCGCTTCGTTATGAAGATATCGATCTTGCTTTGCTTGTTTTTGAAAATATGAGGTAAACTTAACATAACTAAACTTAGCTAAACTAAACACAAGTTAACTAAACTTTATTTACTATACACTATTATTACTATTATAGAAAAGATGAAATAAGATTGGAAGAACAAACATATGAAAGATTGTTCGAGAGTTGTTGTAACTCTGTTCATAAGGATGGTGCAGCGGATCTCTACCATGAATTGGTGAATAACTTTAATATTCCGACAATCAATAAATATGCGTATCTGACAACGTTGGGTATCACTGGTTTCATGAGTTGGTTGGGTGTGCCCAAGAGTAACAGATCAGGCAGAGGTTGGGTAACAAGTTTACAAATCTCACCAAGTCGATATATATTACCACCAAAACATGAAAATCATAAGTAAGTAATTTCATATTATTATTCAAACACAAAATATAACAAAACAAAACTATTATTACCAAAAAAAAAAACAAAAAAAACTAACAAACTATCATATTTTTTTATTTATCTCTCCTCCACTTTTTTCTTTTTTAGATTATTAGAACCCTTCTTGCCAAAAGAGATTCAAAACAAATTGTTGGGTAGATCCTATGCAATAGATTCACCTCCTTCAAAAGAAACCGATAATAATGATAATGTTGGTAGGGGTGGTGGACTACTGCCGTTTGCTTAAAACAATCAACATTATAAAAGTAATTTAATAAAATGTTGTAATAACATTCAACATGTGGTTTGTTGTTGTTGTAGGCAACAACTTGAGTTTACACTATTAGTTTTCAGGCATTTATTTAAATAGTTTTTTTGTAAAAAAAATTATTTTTATTTTTATTTTTTTGCGAAATTTGTGAGAGAAGATCGTCGACTTTAAACTTTTGTTTTTTGTTGTGTGTATCTCTTCTTTTTATTGACATTGAATTCTTAGTTTAATATCATATTATCATGGTACGTTTGTATTTAGAAATAAAAGAAAGAGAGATATTTTTTTAGGTTTATAGTTTTATAGGTTTATAGGTTTTAGGTTTTTAAAGGTTATTAGTATTACAGTCATAATTTTAATTAATAAAAACAAAAAATTCAAATTTAAAATCATATGATCATCAGTCAATTAATAGATCAATCAATTATCAGTCAATAAAGAGTGAATAAACAAACAAGCAGAGATATATAGATATATCAAAGTAGAGAAATAATACTTATAAAAACTGTGAAATATAAACCTAAAGATCATCTCTTCTCTCTTTAATTTATATTTTAAAATTTAAATATAGAAGAAAGAAAACAAATTATTAATATTGTTTTATTATTGTTAAATATTAATTATTATTATAGAGACCATTACATTTACGTCTCCACGAAAGACCAATTACTCATATTCAATTCAATCGTGAAGGTGATCTCTTATTTGTAGCAGCAAAGGATAAAACAGTTTCATTATGGTACACTTCAAATGGTGAACGTTTAGGAACATATTTATGTGGTGGTGTCGTCTACTCTTTGGATGTCGACCAAAACACTAAATACATGGTCACTGCCAGTGCTGACTCCAAGTTGATTTTGTGGGATGTCAAGACCGGAAGACAGATCGAATCAATCTCATTCGAAGTATCTGCTCGTTGGGTTGAATTTTCACAAGGTGACAAACAAATTTTGGTGGTTACCGATCAGATTATGGGTTGTCAAGCTACTGTACATGTCTTTAACTTTGACCCAGAGAATGTTGTAAACAAAAGTATGTAATAGCATGTCAATTACAATCACATTATCAATTATCATTTATTTTAACATACATATTTATTCACTACTATTATTACTATTATCATTAAATTAGTTACACCTGCTTTCACATTTGATCCACCCAATATTAAGATTACTCAAGCAACTTGGTCACCAATGAATAAGACCATTCTTGCATCTTGTGAGGATGGTTTCGTCCGTATCTACGATGTAGAGACGAGAAAGTTGGTTCATACCATCACCGATCACACCAAGATGGTAACAAAGATCGTTTGGATGAAACACAGAATCATGTTTTTGACTTGCTCAAAGGATGGTACTGCCAGACTCTACGAAACCAAGACACTCAAACACCTCAAGACTTTTGATACTGGTCGTCCAGTGAATGCCGCCGCCATTTCACCTTTGAAGCCACATATCATTCTTGGTGGTGGTCAGTCTGCAGAGTCTGTAACAACCACTAAAGTAGATTCCACTCAATTCAAGGTCAGATTCTATCATATCGCTTACGGAGATGAAATCGGAGGTCTCATCGGTCACATCGGTCCAGTTCATTCCATAGATTTCACACCAAACGGTAAGACTTTTGCCACCGGTGGTGAGGAAGGTCTCGTTATTATCAATCACCTTGACAATTCCTATTTCGAATTTGACAAAGATTTAGATTACGGTACCAATTCTAACTAAAAAGTGTAATAATCTAAAGAATCCTTAAATAAACATTCAAAGCATTATCAACAAAAAAAATAACTTTTTGATTTTACACAGGCAAGTTTTTCTTAATTATTAAAGTTAAAACAATCAAGATCAAAAGTTTAAAAACTTTACCTTAAAGGGATTCACCATGTCAAATTTTCCAAAGGTTTAATTTCTCCCCAATTTGATAGAACAAGCACATATATATACTTTAAGTACCTAAAGAGCAACTCAGATAACTTCAACATTCAAAGTTGTAAATGAATTATCTAATATCTTTTTAATATTTTCATATTCTTTAAGTAAAATTAATTAAAAGTATTCTGTCCAATTTCCTTCAAATCACAAAAGATTTGAGTGATATTGATGACAAGATACCTTTTTTTCAGAAATTTACCAATATATAATTAAATATTTAATAATTATAATATATGGTTATTAAAAAAATGATAAGTTCTTGATATAATTATAATCGACACATGTTGTATTATTTATGGTTTAATTTAATGAATATTCAAAAATAAATAGATCAGCTTTTAAAGAGGAACTTTTTAACTTTTTTACTGTTTTTTTTAAGATCTGAATGGTGTATTCTATAAAATGGATAATCAAATGGTAAATAAACTAAAGAATACAATTAAGGTTAGAGATCGAAAACAGTTCTGATCAAAGATCCAAAAAAATTCCAAATGCATCGTTAATATTCACATTGACACTAGTGGTGGCAAAGCTACAGAGACAATTCCAACTTAGAGTGTTCTAACTATTCACACTAGTATTAGATGAATCTGTTATCAACATCAATATAATATTGTTATACCCAATGATACGTTTACAATCATCGATCCAAACGAGAATCAAATCAACAGTTAAATCACTAATTAGAGATATAGAGATAATCATTAACAACAACAACAAGTTAAACAATCAACCATAATAATACTATACAATTAGATAGTAATATCAGAATTAATATCACTTAATAATATTAGTTGTCATTGGTTCTTATAATAATAATAGATTGATTATATTCTTTGATGGTTTAGAATCAAAGTTTAAGAGTATTAAAAGTCAGTCTGATAGTATTATTCTGATAAATCATTAGATTATGATTTATTCCAACCTTTTTTCAACTTAAAAGATATCCAATCTTCTTTTGTAATTAATTTTGGATATCTTTAAATTTGATTTATTCTCTAAACTGGCTCCCAACAACTTTCGCCTGCGCAATGATTTTGCAAAAAATGTAAAAATTAAAAAATTAGTGGGGTTATTGTATGATCAGAGTGGTTTTTTTTTATTGCATTCGATTTATGGTCACTAGCAAGAGACAGTTTTGCTTACATCTTTCGATGAAACCATTTCATTTCGGGGAGATCGATTCAATCATCCTGGTTGTCCTTTTCGAATGAATTTTGATGAAAATAATTATGTATTTTGATGAAAATTCAATTTTTTTTTTTGATTATTAAATTTAATTTTAATTTTGATTTATTGTGTAAAAATTGGTTGTTGGGGGCTAACCAACAAAACCAAACACTGTCCATTTTTTTTCTTTGCTTTATGATCCAGACTACAAGTATTAATAATAGTGATAAAGCCAAGAGAGTAAACCAAAACGACAGACCTATAAACAAAGCCAAACTCGATGGAACATCCAAAAGGATTAATCCAGGCAAGGACCCACCACTTGCAACAACCAAACCCGTTGGCAAGACCCACCACTTGCAACAACCAAACCCGTTGGCAAGGACCCACCACTTGCAGCAACCAAACCCGTTGGCAAGGATCCACCACCAATACCAACAAACAAACAACCATCACTAACATACAAACTTACTGGAACATCCAAAAGAATTGATCCTGGCAAGGACCCACCACCTACAACAAACAAACCCGTTGGCAAGGATCCACCGCCAACACAATTAATAATAGCGTCACACAACATCAAATTCTTTGGAACTGATAGTAAATTTAGAAAAATTAAACCTTTTATAGATCAGTATAAAGAACAAAATCTTTCTATCTTGTGCGTTCAAGAATTGTGTGCCCCATTAAAAGATAATGTGTATGTTACTGAAATAAAACATTTTAAAATTGGTATTAATATATTAATTTCTCACCTTAAGATTGAAGAACCATAAGTCTACGGAATTTGGAGCCAGATTCTATACTGAAATGAAAGAGATTGGATTCGAAGCATTTTATCCAGACTATAAGACTGGTCGAAAAGGATCTGGAAAGCACTACCATAACAATAGTAAGTGTGAATACATTATATTTTTAATTTACCATTTCTAATTAATATGTTGATATAGAAACCAGCTCCGAATATCCATTGATTTTCTTCAAAACCAGAGACTGTGAGTTTCTTGGTGGAGAGTATATCGGATCAACCACTAAGGAAACTCAACAATTTGATAGAGTTCCTTATCTTTTCAAGATAAGATCGAAACTGACCCAAAGGGTGTATTTTATTATTAATGTACATTTGTCAACAAATGAAAAAAGAGAGAGAGAGAGTTCAATGAGATTAAAAATTTTTGTGACCAACCAGAGTACAAGTAAGATTTTGTTCAACCGTAATAGATGAAAATGACTAATATTATTCTTTTAGATCACGATGTATTATTATAGGAGACACAAACATATCTGCTAAAAAGGAGTATGGCTCTGTCAAAACTATCTTAGCAGATCATTTTTCTCTCAATGACAAATGCGAGCCTACCAACCAATCATTAAAAAAGAGTAAGGAATTTGGTGTATCAATCAAATTATTTCCTAACCATATTTATCATTTATTAGTACCAAAACCATATGATCATATCTTCATTCCATGGTCAATGAAAGGAGAATTTGGAGACCTTCAAATTGAGAAATGTTCTGACAATCTGGACAAAATATCGTGGGTGAAGACAGATCATCTGATGATTTCTACGTCAATATTGGATACAGAGGAGTTCAGTAATAAAGAGTTGGAATTTTAAATTGATTGATATTTTATAAAATTATATATTATTTTTTTTTAGTTTTTAACTTTTCTATCCAAAAAACACATTTACAAATAAATATTTAGTCTACAAATATCATAACTTTTTAAATAAACTGCAGTTATCATTTAATAGTAAAGTACTACGACAAAGATTGTTTCTGTTATTAACATTACTGATTTTATCTTTACTACTTTTGATTAAATTACGATGTTTGATATTAGGTTTAACCTACCTTTCCCTCATGAGGGAAAATGATCATGTAAACTTCATTTTCAGTTTTTATAATTTTTCTCTATAGAGCCATTAAATCACTACATTAAAAATATCGTCGTTTTTAATAATTTAATAAAAATTAAATTTAATAGAAATAGAATCAGATATGGAATTGTTTTGGGGAAAATGTAATAACCAAATCGAATGGTTTTTTGAAATCTCCAAGCTATGACGAAACAGTAGAACGATATTCATCAAAAACAAAAAACAACTACACTTGTATCCGTCTTTAGCCTCACTTTTCACTTATCAAATTTTGGAAATTCTTTCTTTTGAAACAAGTCATCAGATTTCTAATTTCAGAGTTAATCCATACAAAATATTAATCATTTTTCTCGATGCTTTGAAGGATAATACAATGGCTAAACGAGTTGTCAGTCATATATTAGATAACATTCGAACATCGATTGTTTGTTGGAGACAGCCTTTTTTGGAAATTAACCTCCACTCGGGTTTTAAAGATATTATTGAGAAACTTATTACAACAAAAGATTCATACCCAAGATTATTTTTCATAGATTTTAAAAGGTTGTCGTTTGCTGACAAATTCAAACAAATAGCACAGTTTACAGGACTTCCTTTAGTTTGGTTTGGTAATCTTTTAAAAGATTAGATATGGATCAGCGGTATTTAAAATGAACCTAAGTCATATATTTAACGAAACAAAATTAAATAGGTGATGTTTTTGTTTGGATCTCAGGAGGTGGACATTTGAGGAAAATAGCCCTAATCATATCAAAAATGCTTAAAAATTTTAAAATAAAATAAGATTTGTTTAAATATCCACATTGCTATATATGAAAATAAAAAACAAAGAAATATAAAACACCCAGGTGTAGGCCTTAAAAAATTTAAATTAAGCTAATTGCCCAAAAATTTGAATTATTGAATGACGCCAAATTAACTTTCAACAATTGATAGAAATGTTTTGTTTTTGTGTAAATCCTTTTTTACTAATCAAAATGTTTAGACGTTCCGATATCGACAATATAGCAAAAACAAACTTTCTAAAATTGTACGAATTCTTACAAATCAATATTATATCTCCCTGTAGAAATGATAATTTGTCCAATTAATTTGACTGCAACCAATACTCCTAAAGTGCAAAAATATTTATGTGCATTTAAAAAAATGTATTATGAATAAATTAATAAAAAATTGAAAAAAATATTAAATCAATGTAACTTTTGATTCTAAATATAAAACATATTTTTTTCACTGACAACCATTTAATTAACAAATGTCGACTTTTAGAGAGTGTTGCTAAGCTTTCAAAAACTAAACAATTTTCCCAATATATATTGGATCATTCATGCGACAACCATAGATAATACAGTAAATATTGCACAATCTAGTGTATTGAACACAAATTCATCTGACAACCAATATGCAAGAATTTCACTAGTTTGGTTTGGTAATCAAATAGACAATATCAATACATACACATGTGGTGGAATTAAATCACTTAAAGAGAACAGATATGGCACAGTGGTATTTAAATTCAAATTTAGCTATGTATATAACGAAAAAAAACATAAAATATTAATTTGGGTACCCGAAAATACAAAAAGGAGTACAAACCAAACTAATAACAAGAAAAAATCAAATAATACTTCAAGACGAAGATGCTTCATTTAGATTATTTGAGCAATTGGATGGATCATATGTCTGGTCTTGTCTTTTTAATGACAATGAACGGACACATCCTGAATGGGCTATCGACGAAGCTGTTCTAATAACCCCAGATTCTTGTATTATCTCATTTGATATCGAACATGTGAAAGATTCATTATGCGAAAAAATAGCCAAAAGGAAATATAGTTACGATTGTGATCAATTTAAAAAAAAACAGGTTTCAAAAGATAGATATTAAACAATTACATAAACTATTCCTATAATAATGAATGTTGTTTTTTAACTTACAGAATTTGAAACAGAATCTAAAATGAAAATAGAATGGGTAGATAGTAATCTTGATTAAATTTTGCTATCTATCTAATAGTTTTGTGTTGGTTCTCATAATAAATACATATGATGTTATGAAATAGGTTAATGTTATAATAGTAATTCAAGGCAAGTAAACAAGATTTTTAATAATTATTTTTTATTTTATTCTTATAAAGCATTTTTGATAAGTTCGTAGCTCTCTTTATCATATCTCAAGTCTAGGGGCTCCACTCCTTTCTCTCTGCATACTCTTACAAACTCCTTTGTTGTTATATCTTTTGAACAAAGTTAATTGAAACACTTGTTAGATCATTTGCCTGCTGTTCTTGATGCATGTCGATGTCTTAACCAACATGAGGAAACAGGTTATCCTCTCGGTTATCCAGAGTATTAGTTTCTTTGGTAATCTAGTAGTGATTCTGGATGTTATGTTGGTGTTACCCCATTGCTATTCGATCTAGTCTATCGACCAACATTCCAAAATCATCGAAGGTACTCGCATTTATTTAGTCTATCTCAAAGAAACAATTAATTTTTTTGAATTTAGATTATTCTTTGGTACTATACTGATATCAATCCAAATAAAAAAATTCCATGACAAAAGAACTTTTCTAAACATCAGCAACAGCAACAGAAACAGAAACAGAAACAGAAACAGAAACAGAAACAGAAACAGAAACGGAAACAACAACACTACCTATAACAACAGCTACAACAACGCAACCAACAGTACCAACAGTCATACCAATAACAAAACTTCCACCAACACTACCAACAACTGCCAACAACACAACTAACCGTCAGACCAATAACAAAACTTCCACAAACACTACCAACAACAGTGCCAACAACAAAACTTCCACCAAATGTAGCAACAGTCATACCAATAAAAAAACTTACCTACAACAACAACCAACAGTTTTTCCAAGATATATCACAAAGCTTTTCCAATTTATATTGTGTTTTAAATTGATATCTAAAAAAAATTAATATTTGTTTCTAAAAATTACTATCCCGTACTATTCACTAACAATCTTAATATTGATAATTATTATTATTAAAAAAATATTTTGATCCTATTTATTACTTTCACTAGTGGATATGGACAACATAGGTAAAGAAAAAACTTTGGTTTTTTATTAATTTTTACTAAAATACAATTTAATTTTAATAAACTTTGAAGGAAAAGATAATCAGTTCATTCCTCCTTGCACTCCAATTGATATAAGTAGATTATTATCGATCCATCCCAAATCAGTAGTTGTCAAAACAGAGGACAGCAACCCCGATTACACTTCTGCCTTTTCTCCTAATCCCATTAAGAATTGCGTTCTACATTCTAAAAATGAGAAAGGTATGTCTTTTTTTTCTTTCTCATTCTTTAGTATATTGACATTCTTGTACCTAAGAGAGATTTATTAGGAAGTCTTCTTTGGTCGAACAGGACTTGGAAATTGAGAATCTTTACGATTCTTATGACAATTTTAGGACCAATAATAACTATAATTCTCAAATTCGTAAAAGAATAATCAATCTCTCTCCAAATCAATAAATTATCAAAAAAAAAAAATAATAAAAAGTAGAGATACTATTTTTGTTACATTTTATTTGTTATATTATTTTGTTTTAGATGTGAAGCTTCAACCGCTTTTATATGTATTTTCATTATTTAATTTATTTATTCATTATCAAAATCAAGTATTAACTAGTTATGACTCTTGATTATTAACTTCATCTCTACACTCTCACCTCTCTACACTAACTATCATCTCTACAAAGTTCTATGATATTGTTATGGCGTCAAAGAGATGGAAGAGATTGAGCATTAACCTGCTTAGATCATCGGTCGTCCATTAGCAACTGACAAAACATTCACCGAAAATCGTTAACAAAATTTTTTAAACTTTATTCCGAATTTTTTTCAAAGATCCTATCTCAATAAAAAAAAATCAATTTTATTTTTCTCATTTTATTTTTATAATATCAATCAATAAAATCTGTCAAAGATATTCTTATGTTGATTGTGTAAACATCAATCATCGATCCCTACAAATTTGCTCAAGATACGCTTTTTTATTAAAAATCTAGATTTTGTGGAATATCTATAAAAATCTTGATTTTGCTCTCTAATTTAAGTAAAATCAATGAACTTTTTATTATTTCTACCTAAAAAGAAACAAAATGTCAATCATTTATTTTATTATTAATTAAAAATGTCCCGATTGATATTTTTATCTATTTTATCTCTATTATTTGTATTAAGTATGTATATTTAAAAAGAGTTTTTGTGCAAAAAAATTAGTAAAAATAAAAATATTTAACTTTTTTTTTGTTTTTTTTAAATTTTTTTTTTTTTTTTTTAAATTTAGATTCTTTTAATACAATTAGAGCAATTGCGATAAACTATAGTATTAGACCAACTTTAGTCGGTAGTTCTGGTACTTGTTCAAATGCAATCAATTTTATTGTGCAATTAAATTACACTTTGAGAGATTCGGATTTTAAGCCTCTTTACAGTAGTACTCATGATTTTTTTATTGCGAATATCGTTAATGATGGAGAGAACCAAATGTTTACATTTGATTTTTCGTATGCAAAGCTTGCCAATACCGACTATCTAAATGTGACATTCAACATTACCAGACCATTCGATCCAAGCTTTCCTTTTCCAAATGGTTACTCATTCCCAGTTGGTGAATTTATTTGTAGAAGTAAGTAAATATATCATATTTTTAAATGTTTGTATCAATATTGAAAATATATTCTTAATCTCAAACTTTAACTCTATAGATGTTTCAAGTGAACAATTTCAAATAATGAGAAGAGGACAACCATTTGCAACTAGCTCTGGACTTCAAACTCAAATATTACAATTCAATATTGATCCGTTTTTCTATAAAGTGACTCAGCTAAATTTATTGACATGCACTGCCATAGGTTTTGAATCTTATTTGGTATGCGCCATCGATCAACCAATGTCAGGAAAGTCAGGTCAATATAATTTAGTTCTTTTGCTATATGCTGGATATTCAGCGATTCCTCCCAGTATCACAGTAAGAATTGATGGTTATGGAATGACAATCTATCAGAGTATTGAAACTATATTCCCAATAAATAGTAAGTAAATAAATATTAATATTTTAAAATAATATTTGTAAATTAATCTTTATTTTTCAAAAGATAATAGAACTACACAATATATATCTGGCGAGAGCTATCCAAATTCAACTGATACGATTCAACAAGACTATCAACATATAGACTATAATTATATTATATTCCATAGATTAAAGAATTTCAACTCTCTCCTCCTTCCTAAAGGATACATTTCACCACGTCCATTCCCTGTCTTTAGAAATGAGACTGATATAGTTTTTACAAGTGTGAGTTCATATCAAAACTCTTCTAGTAAATATACTACCTATTTGTGTGATCGCACTTCGGATCTTGTCTACGATTACTCATCAACATTGATTCCATTTGGTATGTAAATAAATATATCAATATTATTATTATAGTTATAATTATTAATCGTTTATATTCAATTATATTTTATAATAGATTTTAAAGATACTAGTTCGTTCAGTAATTATATTGACAGTGAGACAAATACTGTGTTTTTCATTACAAATATAAACTATCAATCAGCACTCAATATTACAGTATCAATTAAAGTTGATACTCTAGATTTTGCAGTATCAAACTTTTATCCATATGTTTTAGATTATACAAATAATCCTCCAAGATTTAATTATACATTTTTGTTACCATTTTCGATTGGACCAAATGCAAAACCTATTTATGTAAATATAAGTCCATATTCAATTGCTAGATCATATAGTTTACCGAAGAATTCTACAGCACCAGGTAAGTTGATCAACTTGTTTTAACAAACTTTTTAAATAACTATTAACATAAATCAATATTTTTCAGCTCAATTTTTAACAGTCTTTGAAAGTTTTGAAATGAGAAATCTGACAGGTAACTCTGTTCTCATTCGTGTAAGAGTAAGATCAAACTATCAGATATTGTACTTCGTCTTTGCACCTTTGCCAGATTTTATAAATGTTGATAATAGAAATCTAGTGGATGGAAATGAATTCAATGGAACATATGAATTCCAATGTAATTTTGTTATACCCGATTATTTAATTGCATTTGTCACAACAATTTTAATTATTTCGATATATTCGGAATACTTATAATAGAATGGTGATACCTTCCTTCTTACCTGTAATTCAATTAAGTATGTTTAACAAACAATTTAATTTATAATCAATTAATTATTAATTTAATTCTTTTTTTTTTAAAAGATATCGAAAGTTTAACATATTTCAAGTTTTCACAAAACAATATAACATTGGATGGTGGTGATAATATTTTAGAATTAAATATTAGTTTGGCTGATGATATTATCGACATGATAGATTCTGTAAAATTCACACTTCCAACTCACAAGAAGACATTTGTTGCACGATATGATCAAAAATTGAATCTTTATGTTTTCAATATAAAACTACCAATCGATTTAAATTATGGAACTTTAGAATATTATTTATCTATTAATAATATTAATTTTGAATATTTTAATATTTTTGACAAGTATGGTGACAGTGCTTTGTTATTTGTTTCAAAAACATGTAAGTAAAATATTTATTTATTTTTTAAAACCAAACTAATCTAAATATTTATTAATAAATTTGTTTTTAGATAATAAAATTGGATTTTTTAAACCAATTGTAACTGAAGTAATATTAACGACATCAGGTTTGGTTGATCCAAATGGACAGATAACAGTTGGTTGGTCAATAAGAATTGTTGAATCATATATTGGTATTTCAAATGGAACTGTTTCTGTAATTTCAGATCGTGACTATTTGCCAAGAGTAATCAGTTTCAACGAATTAAATTTAATTGAAGGTGATAGATTCAATGGTCTTTATAATATCAGTTTTGTACTCAATGGCAATTGTGTTTCACAAACCTTCAAGATTGCAAATATTTCATTATTTGACTATGATCAAGAATTAAATAGAGCTGATTATCTTTTGTTTAGTACTTTGATACAATCAAAAGAACTACCAATTAAATATGATTATCTTTCATTTATTTATGGATCAACAACTTATAAAAATCAATTAACTTCGTCTGTACCAATTTCTTGTAATAGTAAATATCATTAAATTTTATTTAACCAAAATAGATTCTATACTAAATTTTAAATTTTGTTTATTAGATCCAGGAGATATTAATCCACCATCAATTAGTAGTTTTACATTCAGTTCATCAGTGGATGTTGGTACTTTGGATAGAACGGTTGAGTTCAATTTAACAACATTTGAACTCAGCACTGAATCAGGAGTATCACTTCGACACCATCCAGTTATTCATTTAAATTCAGAGAATACCAATCATATTCAATTGACAACTAATATTGTTAATATTTCTGGTGATTTTGTAAACTACAATGTCAAAGTTCAACTTCCATTTGCATTTGGAATGAATTATATTTTTGTCAGTGTATTTGGAATTGTCGATAACAATTTGAACTACAAAGCATATAATAGTTTGGAATTGAAAAATCTAAATTTCAAATATTACATCAAACGAGAGTTTTCATTGATAACTCCAATCATTGAACATTCATCGGAATTGACAAACAGAGGTGGATCATTGACAATTTATGGCAAATCATTTGGATTGAACAATGATAATATGGTATCATACATTGATTATGGAAATGGTTATGAAACAATTGAATTAACTTTCCATTCTGGTATCATTTTACAATTTAAAAACAGAATTAAACCAATCAATTCAAATTTCGTTAAATTCAAAGTGATAAGAAACTCGATATCATCAAATGAATTCATTATTCCAGTTATTCAATTACCTCCTCTTTCAACACCAACTCCAACTCCAACTTCAGTACCAGTGAAATGTCCAGGAACACCATCATGCAATAATAATGGACAATGTATCAATTCAATTTGTCAATGTAATCAACCTTGGTATGGTCCATCTTGTTCTTCAAGTATGTATTGATTATCAAAATGAATTAAAGAATAAACAACAAACTAATATTCTAATTTTCTAAATAGAAACTATCATTGTTCCAATTCCACCAGCATATCCAGAACCAGCAACAGGTACAAATGTAACAACATCTGGAAGTTTAATTACAACATCAATTGAAATCATTGGAATCAGAGAATTGGATGATATCAATAATATCGTTGAACAATTCAACATCAGTACTTGGAATTTCACAGATCAAACAACACCAACAACCAATCCAAAATATTTCTATTCAACACAAATCAATCAACGATCAACCATATTAAATGTGACAATTGAATATTTCAAACAATCAACAAACATCACATTTGCAAATCAGAATCTATTCATTCCACAATCAACAATCAAATTCACAATGAATCTGAATTCATATCGATTCAAACAACCAACCAACACATTACAAATATTGATGAAGGCAACGATTGAAAGTGATCAATCAGATGCTTGTTCATCATCTGGATTTGGATCAGTGAATGGATCGATTCAATGGATCAAATTGAATGTTGGAGATCAAAGTCTTTATGGAAGATTCTTATCTGATGGTATGATTGATAATACAGTTACACCAATCAAGAATGTTATCATTGATCAAGATGATGTCGATTCAGAACAAAACAAACAATTCCGATCAGCAATTGTTGGAATCACCATTCCATCATATTCAGATTCTGTTGATTTAGATCCTGATTTCTCCAATCTCATTGATGTTGGTTCAAGTGACACCTCTGACTTTATCTGTGCTGATAAGAAAGGATTGTCAACTGGTGCAATTGTTGGTATTGTTGTTGGTGGTGTTGTGTTCATAGCTATTTTAGTGGGTGGAATTCTGTTTGCAAAAAGATATCACAAATTTAGAAAACAAGATATCAAATTGCAAAACCGTTTATCTAAACATTAATACAATTTACTATTCAATAAATAAAATAAAAAATTTAATATATCCTAATTTAATTATTTACTAAGTTCCTATTGTAATCATTTATTACATTTTAATGCAGAGTCTTAATTTAATGATGGGGGTGAATGTTGATTTATATTGAAATAAAAATAATCGTTACATTACTTCAAAAGGGAGGTTGATCTTTATCAAGCAACTGTTGATCTTTATCCTGGATTTGCTATAAAATTTGTTTGAATTCAAAGTTTTTGTTTTTGTACAGACTTAAAAAAAGAAAAAAGATGAAAAAGATTTAAAAAGGGCAAGATGTTTCTAAACCTTCTAATGAGTTGGTAACTCTTCAGAAGAAATGAGATAAAGATGGTGGATTTAATAAAGAAAATTACTATAGATATCTTTCTCGATAAAAAAGTTCAATTAGTGTTTAAAAATGAAAAACTTATGCAAACCTGAATAAAACCATCTCTTGAGTCAACTTGGTGCTATCCTCTTCTTTATCTTTTTTTTTCGTTTCTTTATTCAATCTGGAAATTAATAAAAATAATTGTTGTTAAGAATAAGGCATAGTAGGATTTTCAAAAATAAATTGAGCTCGATTTGTTTTAGTCTATATGGAGATTTTAAAATATATTATTTTCTTTGAATATAATATTTTATTTTTTATTTATTTGTAAAATAAAGTAACCATGTTTTAAAGATTAAAATGATTTATTACTTTTGGATAACCCAAAAAAATGAAAAATTTATTCTTATTAAAAGTTTTTTTTAAAAATTCCATTAGAACAAGATCTTTATTAGGAATTTGATTATGGTTTGAATCCGACACCAATGACAGAATCACAATCCATAGATGTGAAAGAACGAGCGAAATCAAAGTGATATCTTTTGCATAAATCATTTTCTGTAAGATTTTCAATGTTGTTGGTAAAGCCACATTTACTAATATAGTTACATGGTTTGTCAGATGCTGATTTGAATTCATCTCTTAAAGGTGTTGGCACCAATGACGACATTATTTTGCTCATGAATCCTTGTTTACCCAAAGTTTGAATAACTATAGATGATCCACTTGCTGAAATCATTGAAATCTCTTGACACAACATAGCTATCTCTTCGTCAGTCAAATACATTACAAGACCTTCCAAAAGCCAAACGGTAGGTTTAGTTTTGTCGAATCCAGTTTCTCCAAAACTTGAAATCCATTGTTTGGTTTCCAAGACATTGCTTGCTACACGATGAAGCTTTGCTTTGGAAATTGGTGGAATCACTTTGACTGCTTTATTCAGAACCATCTCTTTGAATTGGAAAGTCTGTTGGAAATCAACTTCCCAAACGGTTGAACCTTCTGCAAATGGCATTCTTAAAGCACGTGTATCAAGGCCTGCACCCAAGATTACATATTGTTGAGTTGAAGTGTCTTTAATATTTTTCATAAAAAAGTCATCAATTAAAATATTTCTGAGAGCGATTCTGATAGTCAATGAATCCATATACACTATACTAAAAGTTTGGATTGATGTGCATTGTTCAATACAATATTTCCTTGACTCTTCAATAGTGGAGAACTCTAAACCTTTCTTTGAGAATAGATATTTTACCAACTTATTTCTTGCAAATTTAGTGGGAATCATGTTTAAGAATTCTTCCGTCTGGTCCAAGAGAATTTCAGTTGATTCTTTTGTACAACAAAAGAAATAGGCATACCTATTTTGTTATTAAATAAAAGTTTTTTATTAGTATCTTTTATAATATTTTTCTGGATTTATACCTACGGGTCAAAACTTGCAACTTTCTCAGTAATAACATTTGAGTAAAAAGGTTCTTTCTTGTAGACATTCTCATAGTATGGAATCAATGATTCGTCGAGCTTCTCAGAGATCTTTAATTGTTCGTTTATGAATGAATTGGTTGCCAAAGCTCTACCACCTGCAATCAATACTGATGTTCTTGCAACTCCTGCTGTAATATTTTCCTCCATTATTAAAAAAACTAAGACAAAAGAAATATTTATATATATATTTTTAATTAATAATGATTCCTCTTTATTTAAAAGTAGAGATTTAAGAAATTATTGATTTAAAAAATAAAAAATATATACAAAATAATCTCGCAATTTTTGATATTTCTCATTTCAAAAGTTAAACGTTTTTCATCTAACCTTAACCCCCATATATAAAATTACAGAATCAATATAAATAAATACATATTTATTAGTGGTCTGATTGTCATTAATAATGAATTTGTATTTTAATTCGTGACAAATAATCACTCTTTTTAGGATTTTTTAAATAAAAATAGTTGTGTGAATTCCCACCTCTTTAAAATAATTGTAATTCATCAGATAATATTTTTTTTATAGTGATTTTCTTTTAACTTTCAAAAATTTAATAATCACTAGCACTTCCGAGTATTTTTTATATCAGATAATATTGTTTTTATAGTGATTCGCTATTATTATTTTGTGATACAATATTATCTGTTTGTAAAAAAAAATTAATCATATAAAAGGATTCAAAGTACAAAAATGTTTCAGTGATGTGTGTTATAAAAATGCTATTAAAATTTTGTAATGTATACATTTTTTTAAAAATAATTAAAAGAAATCAATTACTTTTGAACATAAAACTAAATAAGAGTAAATTGTTATTACATTTATATTTTTTTACATTTCTATTCTTTTTATATTTATATATAAACAATGGATAATATAGATTTATTAAATTTTAATATTAATTATTTAAATTTTAATTATTTCAATCAAGTTTTAATTTTATTAAATCTAATCATAATATAAAAACTACAAATTTTTTAAATTATTTTGTTTGTTCAGAACAATCAAGTTTTGACAAGTTATTTGTATCAATCATAAGAGAACAACTCTTACCTTTCACTTCAATACCATTAATATTACAACCAAATTCTATTAATATATTTCAAAATAAGTCATCATCATGTGATAATGTTCATGAACTATCATTTAAAATAAATAAGTTATATGGATTTCAATTCTTTTCATTTGAACATCCAGTTAAGATTAGATCAATAACAAATAATAATAATAATAATGATGATGATGATGAAACAGTAGTAGTAGTGGATAGTTGTTTAGATTTAATCGAACTTCTAAGAGAGAATGCTTCATATTCAGATATTGACAAATTTAAAGAAGAGATTGTTAATAGTATCTGTAATATGGCATTAATCTCTAGTTGATGATCTTTTGAATGAAATCAAATATATTTCATTAAAGAATAGTCTAAACTATCTATCAGAGTATGCTGATTTCAAATCTAAACAAGATAATGAATCATATTTTGATAAATTCTTATTTTATGATCAATTACATGTATGTATTTTTTCTTTCATTTTTATTATTTTAGTAGTATTAATATTAAATTATATATTTATCAATTCTAGATTCTTGGTCATCATATACATCCAAGTTTTAAACATCGTTGGTTTCACTTGAAGAAGTAGTTCAATACTCCTATGAATTGAAGAAACAACTTCCTATTCGTTTCATTGGTCTCCACAAGTCTGTCGGTCGATATAGTATGATCGATATGAATGATAACCCAACTGACTACTTCTTTAGATTATTTCCATCGTTTGTTAAGGAATCTATTCAATCATATTGCACAGATAACCAGTTGAATATAGAAGACTATCTGATATGCCCAATGTATCCATTCCAAGACACCAATACTCTACCGAGTCAGTTTCAAGAGGAATTAGATAATCTAACATTAGTCATCTTCCCAGAGTCTATACAGTTGCCATCATACCCAACTGCGCCAGTAAGAAACTTGATACCGCTACTCCCAGGAAATCATAGTAACAACTACACTGTACCACATATCAAATTCTCGATTCCAATTCAATTGACAAACTTTGTTCGGTTATTGCCAAATGATTATATACCAATATGTACATCCATCTCGAAAGTACTAACCAAGATATCATCATTGGAGGGATCGCCATTCAATGAGAGAGTTATCTTTCTTCAAGAGCTTGGTGGCATCTATCATTCAAATGAAGAACTTAGATATCAAAACTTTGGTACCATTTAGAAAGAGAATTCCTCTGTACCCCTAATGACCAACCGATAAGTTCTTGTTCATTATTTAATCAGTCACCGATTCCAACTAAACAAAGCCAACTATCAGCTACAACAATCCATCATTCTATACTCTCTGAACTGATTCACCAATATATCGATACATAGAGTATAACTTCATTAGAAACCGGTGTTAAAGAATGGTTTAAAATATTCTTCACTTTTGTTGGAACCAAATATCATTCCACTTTCAAAGTATGGTATTGCGCTGGAGTCACACCAACTCCATAATCTTTGCCAATGGTAAGTTTAAAAATTCTAAGAGTTTTAATAAAAATTAACTTAAAAACTCTTTAACAATGTCATTAGAATTACTCTATGAAAATGAAGAAATAAGAGATAAAAATGATAACTAAGAAAAATGTAAATTCAAAATTACTCAATATACTTAGGATTTGAATCATAAATTGTTTAAAAATTCTCAAAAGAATAATATTAGTAATTGTTGAAATTAAATAAATTCGGGTAACATTTGACATATAATATGTAATATAATACACCCTGTTAAAAATGTTGATTATTTGCAAAATCTGAAAATTTTTTAAACCAATTGAGTTAGTGAAAAAAATAAAAGTCTGAATAGGTCGACTTCTTTCGAAGGAAGTTAAATACTTCTTTAATGAAAGAAATAAAAAATCAGTTTTTTATACATATAAATACAGTGAATTCATTGTTTTAATATTAAAAAAATGAAGATTATAATTTTATTACTTTCTATTTACTTTGTTTTTTCTAACGCTTGTGATTTTAAACAAACAACAATTGTATTTGTTCCAACGGATCCAATTCTAATTGATGCCGGACATATATCAGGTCGAGCATGCCTTTTGATTAATCCCCAAAGCAATGAATATCTATATACTTTTGAGAAAGGGGCAACAAACACAATTGGCGATGCATTTTACAACCTAAAAGCTCATAACAAACTTTATCTCATTGCTGTCTCAGGAAAAACAACCTATTTTACCAATATAGAGACTCTTGTTGTTTCTGATCCAAGCTCACCTTTTACCTATGTCAGAGTCTCGGCAAAAACAATTGACTAAATAAAAACAATAACCAATGTTTTTCTTTATCAAAAAAATAAAATAAAAATTTAACAAAAAAAAAGTCTATTATTTGTCTATTGTGTATCATCGCATAATAAAAGTCTAAATTATTTAATCTTATTAAAAGTTAGATTATTATAATAACCAAAAATTATTTGACCACTCATATTTTATTAGATGTGGGTGATCAATTAATTTATTCATTCGTTTAAAGTCAGAAAAAATATAAAAAATTAAATAAATCAGTAAATTTATAGTTATATTTAGTAAATAAATATGTTTTACTTATATTACGAAACTTTTATTTAAATTTATTATATTTTATATATATATATAAATATATATGTTTGATCAAATGAAATTTTTAGTCTTTCTATTTCTTTGGATTTTGGTTATTTCAGATGCATGTACTATAGTGAAAACAAGACTAAGGTTTATTCCTTCAGAAGAGGATGTTTACGGTGATCCTGGATATATATTTGGACCGGCTTGCATGAAAAGAGACATCAATACGAATATCTATACTTTTGAATTTGATAATAGTTTGGAAAATGGAATAACAGATGATTTCGACCATCTAAATCCTTATCTCAATATTATGGTAACAATTCCATACCATGTATCAGTCTACTCTGATTTAACATTTTTAGAATTTTCAGAACCATTTCTAAGATTTTCAGCAAAAAATGAATCTATATTTGTATAACCAAATGCTATAAAAAAATAATAATTTTAAATAAAAATATATTTTTTAAGTTGTGATGATGCTATTGTTTATACGAGGGAGAAACTTTATTTTAAAGATTATAAAAAGTTGCATTTGAAAGTCAACAAGAAATAAATTCTTACTTTTAAAATTTATTATAAAGTATAATACTTCTGACTACTTCATAAGATTGTTTGCGAAGGAATCCATAACAACTAAACAATAAAGTTTTGATAGTATTAACATATTTAAAAAAAAAATCAATTAAAATTTGTTTTTTTTGTTTTTTTTTTATTTGATTACACATCATAATACAGAATGTGATCAATCTAGATTCAGATCTTTTATTTTGGTTGACTTTATTGGTGAAGATAAGAAGAGATGTTAAACAGACAGATTCAATTGCAAGAATTTGTTGAGTTGTTGTTGTTGGTGTAATGTTCATAGCGATAATAATGCAAAAAATAACTTTTATTTCAAAATGTTTTAAATTTAAAAAAAAAATAACTTTTTTTGACCATTATCCATCATTTTTTTGTGTAACGCAATGAAGTCTCTCTATCTTCCTACTTCAACAACCTAACGACTTATCACGATGAGAGGAATTTTATTTTTTTTTTTATCTTTTTGTTGGAAAAAAAAAAACATTGGACTATTTTTGATTATTGTAGAACAATAAGGAGGACCTTACGTAAAATAATTCTGTGAAAACAATCTGAAACCAAAAAAAATAAATCTGAAAAAAATAAATTAAATTATCATTTTTTTTGCACAAAAACCAAAAAAAGACCCAAGAGTGGTTTGATTTTTATCTTTTTGATCAATTTTTAAACATTAACAATATTTTATTTAAATATGTATTATTAAAATTATTTAAATAATAATTATAATAGTTCTAAGTTGAATCGATCTAGAATAGAAAGAATAAAAAGAAGAGAAAGAATCAGAATTTTTTTTTAAAAATTACTTTATTTGTTTAATAAATTATTTTATTTTCACAAGCACAAAAATTAGATACCAAATAAGAGATATTAGATAAATTGATCATCATAGTCATTCTATCTAAAACAATAAATAAATAATAAAAATTATAAATAAATTAAAATCAAATCAAATCAAATCAAAACACACAATCATCAACCTTGAACCAACCACGGTAATCCACACTCACTACAATAAAACAATTAATCAATCAATCAACCAACCATACATACCACCACATTACTGAAAATCATTCACAGGCAACAAAAAGCAGCATATATATATATATATATTGTTTAAACAAACCAAAAAAACAACAATTCAATTCAATTATAATTACTCTTGCCTCAACTTTAATATCTATATATAGTTAAATTTATATATAAACTTTATAAAATACCCATTTATCTTCTTTTTCTTTTTTTAAAATCTCATCTCATCTCTTTTCCTTTAAACTACTACTATTTTAAAATTGATTAATCAATTTTGTATTATTAGTGTTTTATTATTATATTTTGTTGTTTGTAATTTTAGTAAGTTTACAAAAGTTAAATTAATATTATAGTTTTATTTTTGTATAAAAATAATTAGGTATGACATCAAAGATTTAAAAGTTATTGAATTGAACAAACTAGTTTGTTTCAAGGTATTAATACTTGTTTTTTTTTTTTGTTTTTATAATCATAGAAAATAATGAGTAAATTACATATATCTTCATCGTCGTCGTCGTCATCCTCTGGACATGGACATGTCCATGGTCATGTGGTTCATGGACACGTTGGCTTAATGGATACACAGATCACAAATTTGGAATCGTTATTGGTCAAGATGGAAGAGACACTGAATGATTCCGACTATAAAGACAACAGCTACAACAAGGTCAGAAAGAGAAAGAACGACAAGGAAGAGAGACACCTGCTAGCACGTCTCGGTGTATTGATGCGTCATCTCATTGAGTTCAAAGGTGATCGTTCAATGGTGCACATATTCCATCTCCGATTCATACACACCGCTCAACCGATAAAACGACATCGTCTCGCCAAGATCACCTCACAAATCACTGAATACATTAGAATTATGAACAAGTCGATACCGGGTGGCGCTGCTGCTGCTCTTGGAATATCCAACGATTCTCCACCACTCTCACTTAATATCAATAGCAATAGCAACAACAACAACAATGAATCAGAATCACAATTACAACAATCATCAAGTATAATATCAAATTCAAGTTCAAACAACAACAATAATAATAACAATTCACCTGGTTTATTACATCTAAGTTTAGTTAATAGTAATAACGGTATAAATGTATTAAAAGATAATGTAAAAGATAATAATGTAAAAGATAGTAATAATAATAATAATAATTTAGTAAATAGTTTAAGTAGTAGTAATAATAATAATAGTATTAATAATAATAGTGGTAGTAATAGTAGTAGTAGTACACCTTCTCCTTCACCTGGACATATGTCACCGGGGTTATCATCATCTTCACCACCACCAGCATCATACTTTATTAAAGAGGCACCGGAAGTAAAGATTGCGCGTGAACTACTCGATTATCTTACATCGCATCGTGTCGATCCAGATAACTCTTTGGTTGGCTGTGAGCTTAGTTCGTCGTATGTAGATGGTCTCTTTAAGTATAGATCACAACACTCTTTCAACAAACGATCTCTTATCAACATGATAAAGAACTGGGGTTCACTCAAAGACGAATCACTAATCAAAGATGTAAGACGTATGTCCAACGTACTCAACAGTCTCGATTTTAAACGTGGTGAATTAGTTATCGTTGATATCAGCAGTAGTAATAATCAACAACAAATAAATCAATTGAAATCATCAAATAATAGTAGTAATAATAATAGTAACAATAACAATAATAACAGTAACGATGATGATGATGATTTCTTTGATTTAGATGATATTGATACAAATAATAATAACAATAACAATAATAACAACAATAACTATAATAATAATAATAATAATCAAGATGAATCAATAGAATTAAGTGGTTCAAATGTATATATTTTCGGTAGATTTGAAGAGGAACATATTAATCGTAGTTGTAAGGTGTATACTAATCCATCGGAGGATTCAAAGACTGCTCTTGCCACTTTTAATATTGCCAATGTCTACAAACTCAGTCCAGAGATCTTAGAGTTGATTCGCTCAGAGAAGAGTACTAGCAAGTTGATCTCAGACCCTTCGATTCCTTTCAATCATATGCTCACCTACAAGGAGAATGAAATACTACATCGCTACTTGGAGAGACGTGGTGTCGACAGCTCGTTGCTCACTGTAAAGTCGCGTCACTCCACTCTGGGAATAGCGGATCTGCCTGCGTTGAAGAAGGCGATTCACGAAGTGACAGAGTTGGAATGGCATCTCACTACACTGCCACTGCTGCCCGACATTCTTCAGGTTGCCAAGCAAGAAGCCAAGCCATTCTTGGACAACGTGAGGAAGACGTGCTTCTACATACCGCTACTGCTGCAACTGGAAGAGTCGGTGCGTCACATCGAGAGCGATCGAGAGAAGAAACTGCGATCTCGAATTCACCAACTGATCACAACACTCGATGCCATCCTCCAAAAGATTATCAGTGAGAAGCGAGAGATTCTCGATGGATCCGCCAAGAACAAGCTGTCGCAGTGGTGGCTTGCTCTGATTCGTGAGAATACAGAATCGTTCCTCTCGAAACTATCATTCGACTTTAATGCAGTACCTGCCGACTACCTTGAGAAACCACCTCAAAACATTGCTGCCGTAAGATATAATTTGGATTTATTACATAATCTATTACCATCAAATGTAAGTGTGTTTGAAAGATTATCTTATTATGATAAATTATTAATTATTAAATCGTAATTTTATTTGTATTAATAATAATAATAGGGTGAAGATACACATATTAGGATTCAATTTAAGAAATTAGTTGAAAAATTAAATCATTCGATCTATCCTGTGATTGAATTGTTTGTTTTGAAATGTAAATTAGTAATTTTAGATTCGTTCGATGCTTTGGAGAATACATCGATTGCACAGATGGAAACGAGTGGACATCTAGAAATGTCTTATCTAAAGGAGTTGTTCAACAGACGAAAAGATGTAACCGATAAACATCGTTGTAATCAGATCGAACGACTCTACAAAGACATTGAGTATATCTTGGAGATGAAGCGATTAGAGTTGAACCCAAGTGAGAAACGATTGGATATTGTGCCGATCTCTGGTATTGCATTCGGTAGACTGCACCGTCTTGAGAATGAAATGAGAACCGTACTCGATATTTGGAAACATCTCGATACCAATCACCACCAAGCTCAGCAGCTACAAAATTTGGCAAACTCAATGGCCTCCAGTGGTATCAGTATTGGCAGTGGAAACAACTCACCGGGACACTCACCAAAGAATTCGTTTCTAAAATTTGGAACTTCTCCTAACAACTCACACGCTGACCACGTTCCACCACAAAAACCACTCCCACAGCCACCAAAGAAGGCTCCAAAGGAAGAGAAACGTTGGAATGAACCGTATAAACCAATCAGTCGCCTTTTATCGCAACAGATCTTAACTAGTCAGAGGATAAAGACACAACCACTCTCTCAACAACACCGAAATGAGCTAACAGGCAGTGGATCTACTTCCACTCGTGACATACCATCGGCATCATCGATATTCCAACACACCCCACCCGCTTCGACCACACCAAGCGACTTCCTCCGATCACCATCCCCTTCATCTCAAATGAATTCATCTTCCTCCAACTCTAATTCTGGTGACAGTATTCCATTCGCAGAAGTCCACGAATATAACAACAGTGATAATTAATAAACACTTTCACTTTTAAAAAAGTAAACTAAAAAAAAAAGGATATTTAATGATTTGAAAATATATTTTGTTTTTGAAAAAAAAGAAGAGATTTATTCTTTTATCTAAAGTATCTCTTGATCTCGTTATTGGATTCAGTTTGTATATAATTTAAAGAATCCTGTTGTCGGCTCGGTAGTACCTTGCAATGAAGAAGATACGTCGAATGTATCATCAACGAGGTTTGATGATCCATTAGTTATGGAAATAGAATATGACGGATTATTAAAACCACCGCTTCTGTTAATTTGATTACTATACATTGGAATTCCAAATGAAGATGATAATGATTCTTCATTTTGTTGCTGTTGTTGAAGTTCTGCCTCTTTTGCTGAAGATCGGTATTTGATGGTCAATTTGGGTGCTTGAGACTCTACCTCATAGTCATAGACAAAACAAACACTCTTTAAAACATAAAAGTTGGTATATAATTCTGCAAGTTGAACTAATTGTTTATGAAACTATAAAAAACAATATAAAATGAGTTATAATTGCAAATTAATAGATAGAAAAAAATGAAATTTGTTACCTTGTATGAAAAATAGGTAGATATTAAGAATACAGCTGCACCCACTACGAATATAGGAATTATAAAGATCAATTTCTTGCCATAAACGATTGTGATTAGACCGGATATCAAAAATGAAAGGAAGAAACCACCGACACCAATGATTAATAGAGGCCACCTTAGTTTTCTGTTGAATGCTCCCAATACATCTTTGAACTCATCTCTAGTAAGATTCTCTTGAAGTTCCTCGGGATATTTGTTTACATCAAAAGTATGTATGAACTTCCTACCTGTAATAACTATGCTATCCATATCAGCAGTGGAGTTTAATTTATGATACTCCATGTTGGATGAAGATATTGATGTGGATAACATTGTTTTTTATACTATACTATACTACGATAGTGAAAATAAATATATATATAATTTTAAATTGATATAAGAAAGTTTAAATTAATTCTTCCTTACATATATCCTTTCTTCTATTACAACTATACACCTGATAGATCTAACAACAACAAATCTAAATTTCGCTAATCTTTTTATTTATGCATAACAGTGATGTATAAAACAAAAATACTAGGAAAAATATTATAATAAAAATATAATAATAAAAGTAAAAAAATAAAATTAAGATAAAGATAATTTAAATTTAAGTGACCTTATTTTCGAGCCTTCCCCAAAGCACACACAAATATCTTTTTTTGTTTAAAAAAAATTAAAAATTTTTACAAGCTGACATCATTTTTTTGTTTTTTTGAGAAAAAAAAATTAAATTTTGTCGACAACAATGTTGTCATGATTGGTTTTATTTTTTGTTTTTTTTTTTTGGTGATTCCAATAGTGTTGGAATAGGGTTAGATTGGTTTAAAATCTGGTGGGTATGATCTCAATTCAAGATGTAGGCTTGTAACGATTGATCAACAAAGATACAACAACCACTGGTAGTGAAGAGAGTAACTCTGAAAGTCCTGCAAATGCTGGTGGAATGGTAAATCCAACTGGGTAGAGAGCACCTGCAGCAAGTGGAATACCAATAAAGTTGTACAAGAACGACCAACTGAGATTGATTTTGATGACGAGGAATACGAGTCTTGAGAGAGTGATTGCATTGACGATACCTTCGAGGTCGGGTCTCATCAAGACGATGCTGGCGGCTTCGAGTGCAACATCGGTTCCGTTCGATACGGCAATTCCAACGTCTGCTTGGACAAGAGCAACGGCATCGTTGACACCGTCACCAATCATAGCAACCTTTCTACGATGCTTGGTTTGGAGCTCCTTGATAGACTCTGCCTTGGAAGCGGGTGTTGCTTCACCAAAGAATCCAGTGACACCGAGTTCCTGGGCGATCTTGCTTACTGCTGCAGTGTTGTCACCACTCATGATCCAGATATCCATACCCATACTCTTGAGCTTCTTTACAATCTTTACTGATTCGTCACGGAGAGTATCCATCATACCGATTACACCAATGATAGAACCGCTCAGTGCAACAATAGTAACTGTTTTACCTTCGGATTCCAATGTTCTGATTTCACGGAGAATATTCTCGTCGAGTTCGACAAGTTCGTCTTCGTGGATGAATTTCTTGTTTCCAACGAGTACATTGAGACCATCAACTGTACAACGGAGACCTCTTCCTGGAACGATCTTTACATCCATTGGATCGGTAAGTTGACACTCGAAGCGAGTTTTGGCAACTTCGACCAGAGTCTTTCCAATGATGTGTTCACTGCCCATCTCTGCAGAACCGAGGTAGTAGAACAGCTGTTGCTCCGACGCTCCATTGAAGGTAATGTGATTTGTGACATTGAGTTTACCATTGGTAAGAGTTCCAGTCTTGTCGAATACAACGGTATCGATATTATGGCATTTTTGCATGACTTCTCCACCTTTGAAGATGATACCATTACGTGCACCGACACCACTTCCAACCATGACAGCAGTGGGTGTGGAAAGAGCAACAGCACAAGGACAGGCAATGACCATTACGGACATGGAGAAGAGCAAACTGAATGTAAAGTCACGGGAGGAGATCATCCAAGCAGCAAATACAACGCATGCAATGACGATAATGATTGGAACGAAAATACTGGCAACACGATCGGCTTGCATTGCGACTGGTGCTTTGTTTGACTGGCATTGTTCAACGAGACGACAGATGTTGGCAATGGTTGAACGAGAGGACTGAGTCGATACTTTCATTTGGAATGCAGTGGACTGATTGATGGATCCAGAGAATACAAGATCACCTTGTTGTTTGTGGACATTGACAGACTCACCAGTGATAGCCGATTGGTCAAGGAATGCCTCGTAGTTCTCACATATCGCACCATCGAGAGGTACACGTGAGAATGGGAGAATACGAACAATGTCACCCTTTTGTACAAGACGTACATCAACCACTCTTTCATCTTTGGCAAGAATTGCGGTCGACGGTTGGAGTGAGATCAGCTTGGTCAATGTATTGGATGCTTGTCCACGTGCCAGTGTCTCTAGGAATCTACCGAGAATGATAAGAGTCAAGAGAATGGCACTGGTCTCGAAAAATACAGGGAAGTCTTCCTTCATTACGGCATTGAGGATAATCGAGAGAATCGAATAAAAGTAGGCAATCGAGGTGGACAACATTACCAATAGATCCATGTTGGCTCTCTTGTAGAATCGTATCGATTTGTAGGCAGATTGATACATTGGCAAACCAATGTAGAACTGGATGGGTGTAGTGAGAACCCAACTGATGAAATGACGGATGGAAAGACCGGTGAACACCTCGTTATCAACACGATTACCATTTGGAATAAAGAAGCTCAGCACAACGACTGGAATACAGAGGATGATACTGATAATCAATAGTCTACGGAGCGAATTAATCGAATTGATAGAGTTTTGCTTGGCGTTGTTCATGGTGTTGTCATCCACCAATGAGATCTCAACTGGAGATTCGTTGTCGGCTTGGTATGACTGTTGGACTTTGTCATAGAGATCACGTGGTCCGACCGTTTCACTGTCATAGCTGATCGATAGATAACGAGCTCCACTGGTTTCATTGACAACATCAATAACACCGTCGGTCTCTTTCAATTGATTCATCAAATCAATACTTGGTGCCTTACCCTCGGTATTGATACGCAATTGATCGATATCAGCAGGTGGAACTTCAGTTGCATTTACACCAATTGATTTGATAACTTCAATCATTTCACTAAAAATATAGTAATAAAGTGTTAATATATAATATTAAATTGAAATATGTTTCTATTATTAGCTACTTACTCAACAGATACTAATCCATCATTGTAATCAATGGTTGATTTCAAAGTATAGAGATTGGTTGAGATTTCAAAGATACCTGGTAATGTCTTGATTTTGGTATCGACATTGTTGAGGCACTCGGAACAACAAGTCAATCCACTTGGCTCCAAGCTGAGAGTTACTTGCTTTCTCTCACCACCTACTTCCAAGTCGATCATCTCTTCTTCTGGCTCCTCTTGTTTGTAGCCGAAACGAAGACCAAAGAAATTACCACACTTACGGTAGACGACGGAAGCAGAGAGGGTCTTCTTGGTCTTGGTCGGGATGAGACTGTCTTTACCACCGTAACCGACTTCAATGGTCAAGCAGCACTTGGTCTCACAACAGCCCTTCTTACAACAGTTACTTGGCGACTCTAAACAGATATCACAGCATTTCTTTTGGACTGTTTTGGCTGGTACGACTTTCTTTGCGTGGGAATGTGGCTTCTTGTGGCTGGAGTGGTCGTGTGGCTCAGAACAAGTTGCAGCTTGTTCCTTCTTTGGTGGACAACAACCCTTTTTACAATCTTCTCCTGGCTTCTCGACAGTGGAGGTAGTAGTAATAACAACGGTTGGAATGGCCATAGGGTCAGCATTATTCTTGGGTGGACAACAACCTTTCTTGCAATCTTCCTTCTTTGGAACGGTTTGGGTGGCTTCAGGAGCAGCAACAGTCTCGGTCTTCTTTGATGAACAACATCCTTTTTGACAATTATCTTTCTTTGGCTCCTCAACAACAGCAGCAACTACAACTGGTTCAACAGTCTCAGTCTTCTTTGAAGAACAACAACCTTTCTTACAGTTGTCTTTCTTTGGCTCCTCAACAACAGCAGCGACTACAGCTGGTTGCTCAACAACAACACTCTCGGCCTTCTTTGAAGAACAACAACCTTTCTTACAGTTGTCTTTCTTTGGCTCCTCAACAACAGCAGCAACTACAACTGGTTCAACAGCAACAGTCTCAGCCTTCTTTGAGGAACAACAACCTTTCTTACAGTTGTCCTTCTTTGGCTCCTCAACAACAGCAGCAACTACAACCGGTTGCTCAACAACAACACTCTCGGCCTTCTTTGAAGAACAACAACCTTTCTTACAGTTGTCCTTCTTTGGCTCCTCAACAACAACGGCAACTACAGCTGGCTCAACAGCTACAGTCTCTGCTTTCTTTGAAGAACAACAACCTTTCTTGCAGTTATCCTTCTTTGGCTGCTGCTCCTCCTCTGTTTGGACAGTGGTGGCAGGTGTGGTTGGCGACGATTCAGAGGATGAACAACAACCTTTCTTGCAGGCCTGGTTTGTGGCAGGTACCTCATCGGACTTGGAAGCAGACTCGGTGGAGCAACAACCTTTCTTGCAAGTGGGTGCTTCGTCCTTGTGGGAGTGGAGAGCTACCTCAATTGGAACAGGTTTGACATCGGTAGAGCAACAACCAGAGGGCTTTGACTCTTGACCGTCAGCGGATTTCTTTTCCTTTGAGCAACATGACTTCTTGGTAGCGGTGGCATCCTCGCTTGGAGAGCAACAGGAACCAGCGGCAGACGACTTTGGATTACATTGGTCATTCATTGGCTCATCGGACTTGCACAAAGTACTCTCATGTCGTTGATCATCCGATGATGAAGTACTACAACAACTATCATCATTTGAATCTTCTCCACCAATTAAAGATTGACAACATGATGAAGTTGATGATGATGGTGAATTATTATTATTATTATTATGAATAATAGTATTATTTTCTAAATTATGTGAATGTTCATGTTCATGGTTATGTTCATGTCCATGGTGATCGTGATCGTGATTCGAAGATGAAGACGACGATGTGGAAGTCGTCGAGGTTAATAAAGGATGATGTGAATCATCCATAATTAATGTTTTAAATTTATTTATAAATACAAAAAAACGGAGTGAATATTTTTAATGAAGAGTAAAATCACTCCGGCTCAACCATTTAAAGTTAAAAAAAACAATTTAATTTTTATTTTATTTTTATTTTTTGTTTTTTTTTTTTTGTTGTCACGTAATTATTTTGATGTTTTTAATAAAAAAATTAAAACAAATAGACTTGTAAAAAAAAAGAATTGGAATTTTCAAATGCAAAGAAACTGGTTTAATTATAATTCAATTTGTGAAAATATTTCTATTGATATTGGGTTGTTTGTTTGTTTTTTGGTTTACCATCGTCCCACCAACACCACCAAACACCCCATTGTTCACACTGAATGAAGAATGAATATTTGCTGTAATAATTAATAGAAACAAACAAAACTATAAAGAATCTCGTAGAGTAATAATTTGTTTTATTTAGTATTTATTTATTTATTTTTTAGATTTTCAGATTTAATAATAAATAAATGTTATTATTATTATTATAATATCTCTTGATTATTAAGGTTTTTAAATGTTTATATATTGAGGTTATAATTATAAAAAAATAAAATGTTTTTTTACAGAATAATTTGGTTTGTTTGTTATAATTTATTAATTAATGATTGATTTTTATTTAATGTTACATGAACAATGTAATGGTTGCAATGACTGCAATGATTACGATTGATGAGATGGTCAAGGTGTTGGCGTCGGATGAACCTGGTTGTACGTCAGAGCCAGCACAGGTGTCACCGTTGTAACCGGCATTGCAGGTGCACGATGCCTTTGAGGTGTCGTAGATACCACGGTAGCTACAGAATCCAGAACGATCAAAGAAGACGGTGTTGACGTTGTTGACATCGTAGTAGCATGGGTAGGTTTGATTCTCGGCGTATTTGTTTAGCCAATTGACGGTGGTGGTCTCATCGGAGGAACGCATGCATTGGAAGGTCGAACAGATGGTATTCTTTTGTGTTTGTCCGTTGGCAGAGAAGGAGACGTCGACACGACCCATAAAGGTCATCGAATCCATATCCTCTTGACAACTGTATGGTGTGTAGTTGGGGGGTGGTGGTTTAGCCATCACCTTTCTCATTGAATCGGGTGGATCTATTGTATTTGGTGTACATGTTGCATATGTTGTATAATCGTTTCTAGTCACTGAACATGTTGTATTTTGAACTGTTGGTGCTGCACCTATAATATATAATAATATATATATAATCAAATTTATTGTTATTAATATAAAGTGTTCTCATTTTTCTTTCAACAAATATATATCTTTTTATTTTTGTTGATTATACTAAAGTGTTTGTTGGGTTATTCAAATTTGATTGTTCGCTCATTCTTATTTGATTTGATTTATTGCTGTATGAATGCTTTGCTTGTAATTTATTATATCATACCTTGAACACAACACAAAAGTGCAGATAAAAGTAATAGAGATACTAGTTTAATCATTATTGCTAAATTTGTGAAATAACAGTTTCATGAAATTTTTATAGCTTGTCAATCAGAGGGCTAATGTTTTTTTTTGCAATCCCCACATAATCCATCTTCCGCTATTTTTAATAACGTCATAATAAATTGGGAACAAAAATTTGATTTTTTGTATTTTTTTTTTTTTTTTTGATTTTTGTTTTATAATAATGCCACCACACTAACAATTTTTTTGTGACACCTTTGATCATAATGTATGATTCAGATAATCATTGTTTTTAATTTTTTTATTTTATTTTTTATTTTTTTATTTGATGATGATTTTGACAGACAGGGAATTCAAAATGGGTTTTCAGATGTCACAACACCAGTAGTGGGCAACTACCATGGTATCATACACCGATATTTTGTTGGACCACCACATCCCACAAATCTTCTTTAAGATGTTTAATTACCAATGCAGTACTAGTATCCAAGTATCACTTCTCAAGTTTTTTGATTTTTATAAATACTAATAAAAAGTTTAACTAGTCAGAATCATAAAAATTGAAAAAAAAAAAAGAAATAATAGAATTTGAATATTCACTAAATTTACTTTGTCATTGTAATATTCATTAGATATTTGATATGAAATAGATAAAAGAGAACTTTTACATAAAAACACTCGTTCAAACTGGCATTGGGCAATGTTTTATAAAAAACTTGTAAAACTTTGTGGTTTTACTTTGCATCTTTTAATAAAGTCTGGTTGTTTTTTTATCAAGTGATAATACCTAGATTTAATTTATATTTTAATATGTTTTGTAGGGTGATTGGTGAATAGTAGTGGTGTGTGATTAATGAATATTATTTAGTGGTTTGTGGTGAAACTCAACTCAAATCTATAAAATAAAAAGATATTTAAAATCATTATTCCTATCTTTTTTTATTATTCTTCCATTTTAAACTTATAAGAATACATAATTATCATATAAATATAGAATATTTCTAATAAATGGTAAAATTTATTTTTAAAGTTTTTTAATTTCAAATAATTAATTTTTTTATTTTAATCCCTTATTTAGGATTTCATTGAGTTATACCTAAAAACAGTACTATATGAGCAGCTGGATATAATATACGAAGAGTTAGAAATAAAACCAACTACAATGTTGAACGATGAACTTGGGATGGATAACATTGATTTCATAGAGTTTATTCAGAGAATAGAAGATGATTTAGATATAAAAATAACAGGAAAGCTTGATCATCGGATTGAATGCTTCAACGATTGCGTAATACTAGTAAAAAAAACACTCTGTAAATGATTTATTAACTTGGAATTAATAAACTGAATTTTTCTGTATTTAAAAATAATTATTTAATCACTCTTACTGAGCACACGCAGAAACTAATTTTGCCGGAAGTACTCCATTCCCGGTAGTAATATTGACGGTTAATTGGTAATAATAATAATAATCTGGTAGTTTTGGTTGCAAGCATCGGTGCAGAAGTAGGAGTTCAACTACCGGTTATCTAAACTGACAGCCAAAGGCTACCAGTAGTTTAACAGTTACTTCATACAGGAAACGTAGCTCGGCGCCAACAAAAGCTGCCCAACGAAAAAGACTGGATCTACCTCAGTTACCAGTACTACCATTAGTGCGACTGTTGCACCAACTAACAAGCATATTACCGCACCCACATCCTTTTTAATGAATCATATTCATCACTTATATATATCTTAATTCAATGTTTTTATCTACGCATGACCGATACAAATTCGTCTTTAGAGAGATCACCGTTCTTATCGACATCAAAGATGGCGTAGACGGTGTCGACCACTTCGTTCGATGGCTCAAACTGGCAGATGACCTTGGCGATATACTTGAACTCGCTCTTGGTGAATGGCTGGTTGATTCCCTTGTAGAGATCGATGGAGAGACTGACCTCATCGAGCTTGTTCAACAAACGATTGAAACCAACGAATTGCTCAAATGTGACACCCTTGCTGCCGGTGTTGTTGACGGTGGTTGGCAACGACTCGACCGACTTCAAGTAGCTGTTACGCATGTTCTCGTTGGCATGCGACGATATCAACAGTCCGAAATCACGCTGTGAGATCTGGCCTGTGCTCTTGGGATCGTAGAGGTGGAACTCCAGTTGTAGGACATCACGACGAACCTGCTCCAACAGCGACTTGAACTTTTCAAGTGTCAGTGAGTTGTCGCCATGCTTACCAAAGAGGGAGTCGACCCAGTCCTGCGAAAGCAGCGACTTTTGGCTGGTGTCAGTCGATGACTTTGTAAAGGCAGAATGATTCTTGAGAATTCTAAAGATCTTTGTAAACTCGTTGACGTCGATCGAGTTGTCGTGATCGACGCCGAATATCTTGAAGGCAATATCAACACTCTTCTCTGGAATTGACAACAGAGTCGAGAAGAACATAAACTCACCAAAAGAAATCAAACCGTCACCATCGACATCGGCAATCTTGAATGATATTGGCACCTCTTTAATGTCCAGAGATTTGTTCTTGGTTGAACCTGGTGATGAAGTCTTGAATTGGTGTGATAAAACAGCACGTACAAAATCATCTAAAGTCATAAAATATTCACCTGACAAGAAAAAAAAACATACAATATTATTATTTTGTTTCACCTTTTTTAAATATTTATATATTATATGATTGAAAGAATTGATTGTGATTATTAAATAATATTAACTAACTACTTACCATTCTTATTTATTGATGCAAATGTTTGGAATATCTTTTCTGGTGTACTGAACTCACGAATACGATCTTGATAGTTGGTGAAGATCTTCTCACGCCAATTTTGGTTGGTTGGTTCATCGACAGCAAGTACAACCGCTGTGGTTGTTACAACCAAAGCACAACCTATATCAATCCATTTCCATTTCCATTTTATTTGTTTTTGTTGATTTTGATTATATTGATTGTGTTGTTGTTGTTGTTGACCAGATGAATATAATCTGACTACTGAAGTTCTTCCTACTGGTGTTGAACTTGACAATCTTAATGATTGATTCAATCTTTTTGTTGATTGAATAACTAATCTATTTGTAAACATTATTATTCTTTTTTTCTTATATATATATATTTACAAATAGATTAGTTATTCAATCAATTATTTAAAAACAAAAAAAAAATTAATAAAGTTTTCTGTTTTTTTCTATTTTTTGGAATATTTGTTAAATTTTTAGTTATGTGATTGAAAACTGCCAAGTGTTAACGAAATTAAAAGAAATTATATTATCTTTATTGTAATCCATTTAATATCCAACTTTGTGAAGGTTCTGGTACAGCAGAAATCGATTGCAATACCGAGTAGAGTGATCGAACAAGAATTGCTTTCTCTGATTTCTCAATACTATTGAATTTATCTTTGATCAACGAACTCAACCTATCAGTTACAATAGTATCAAGATTAAAGCTTCTAATAAATATTGGTAATGAATATGCCAATATATTCGATAGATTAATCTAGTATTAATTGAATATTGTGTTAGAAATTCATTATTTTTTTTCTAATATTATTATGATAAATATAAAAATACTTACATCTAAATTATTTAATTCCAATTGAGTAAATAATATATTGATGTTGATACTCGATAGAGAACATGTGATAACGGTCGATAGTAGTTCAATACCGATCGAGTGTTTAGGTGAGAGTTTGAGACAATCGAGGAAATCAATGATCAATTCATTGAGTGTTGGGCGGCTACCATCTGTTGGTTGGCCACCGATAAAGATACTCTCGACAATCGATGGAAGGAATGCTTGCAGCATTTGTTGGTAAGGTGATCCGTTGCTTGCGAAACACCACTGTTTCAGAGTGGCAATCGATTGGAGTGTTATTGGTACTTTTGCAAGTTTGGCCCATCTGGCAAAGACATAGTTCATCTTTAATGAGTTTTGGAAGGTTTCAGCATTGTTGAGTGATCCACTGATAAGTTGGAATCCAAACTTCTTATCGGGAAGTGCAGATAATCCCGATGCACAATGGTCGAGTGCTGCCACAACATTACGATCAACAACCATTGTTGTATTATTGCTGTTGTTATTACTCTTAACGAATGGCGATGGAATTGATTTCGAGATGTAATCGATCGCCAACTTTTTGAATCGAATACGCATGTCATCTGGAAGATGTTCAGCTTGCAATCCATCATAGATTACACTCCATGTCAATTCAAGATTCTTTGATGATTTGTTATTATTATCGTTGTCATCATCAACATTATCGTAGACTTTGGTTACATTTTCGAGGAGTGCGAATAGAGAGTCAACTCGAGAAGCGGCAACATGAGAGATAGCCAATGGGATGGAGCGTAGTAGTGTTTCCTTTACCATGCTGCTGTTGAATGATTGGATGATGCTGATCCATTCAACATAGACATTGGAGCATGTCGATAGTAAGATGTTCTTGGCACAGAATTCAATGCATTTGGAGCGAACCACCTGATTTTGATTGGAAGTGAAAATTCTCTTGATGATCGATCCCCAATTAACGATCGGTAGCTTACTTCCATCCACTTGACTAAAGATGGAAAAGACCGATGCGATCTGTTCGTTGGAACTAGATTTACTGTTCAACAAGTTGAATAGTTTCTTCACTAGAAGTTCATCTGGAAGATGGTCGAGATTGTCTGGGGTATCGTTGGAGGATGAACTGCTGGTTGGAATGGAGAGTGCACCGAGCGATGCAGCGGCGAATCTCACTACTTTGCTATCGTCGCTTGTGTCATAGATTTGAATGAGTGATTCAACCAGTTGATTGATGAGTGATTGACATTCTTTTCTTCTGGCTGGATTCGAGTTGATAAAGTCAATGACCCCGGTTGCCAAGTTGCCGTTGAACGAGTGACTGGCATCCTGTGAGAGGATAGGAGCACCAAGGAACACTGCAGCCGCTACAATACAAGCGATACGATCATTTGCCGACAGGTTTTGTTGTGACAATGTATTGATATACTGCTTAAACTGTGATTCAATGTAGTCAATATCGAGACTGAACGATTCCGATGCCAACAATTGAATGAGTAAAGCATGTGAAGCAAAGGTAAACAACTTGTGTTTTGGATAGATCGATCTATTGTTATCGAGTTGACTTATCAGCTCTTTAATTTGATTGTAATCGAGCTTCGAGAGTTTGAACAACACTGTCTTTACCAATGGCAAGACAAGGAGGGTAGCACCAAACAATTGAGGTGACGATTTTGACAACTCTTGGGATTGTCGATAGATTGCTTCTAGTATCGCAGAGATTTCAATAAGTAGGTTCTCAGATTGTTGGTTATTGATCTCTTTCAGTGCGGAAACAACGTATCCAATGGAAAGAACCAATCCAACATTCTCTGGTGTATCAGATAGATTGTGGATGTCAAGACAATGGATAAGTTTGGATCTATAGACATTTAGCAATGGTTCAATAAGAGTTGCTGGTTTCTTGGCATTACTTAGATTCATTATTGCAATGGCAATGGCTAGATACCATGAGAATTTAGATTGACTGTGATCGGTAGACTCTCCCCAGAGCAAAGCTTGTCTTGATTGTACAACCAACGGACTTTCATCGTTGAGCGATGCAATCAAGCATGAAATACCGATAAAGCATGCACCTTTTGATATGACTGGTTTTTCTTGATTAATCCAATCCAATAGTTTCGACACTACCTGTTCAAATTTGTTGTACGACGACAGAGGAAGCGATCTTCCAAGACCAGCAAGAGCCAGCACAATATTCTCAGATTGCGAATAAGTTATCTGGTTATTCGAGATCTGCTCAACATGATCCAACAGCAACTTAAAGATATCATCGAATACTTTATCTCTAACCAAGTTGGGTGCGAGTGGTTGCTTGTCTTTCGCCAGCGACATTCTAGTTTGTTCGTTACGCAACGATGCTTCCATCATCTCGGACATGAAACGATTCCATCCACCGATTGTCAACATTCTACTGGTGAAATCATCGGCACGACTCGAACTTAGATCGAGACTGGTGAGATCGATCAACATCTTACTGAATGCTTTATGGCGAAGTGCAATCATTTTCTTTGATTCACGATTACCCTCTTGTCCCAACGCAGAGAGGTTAGAGAACGACCAGAGAAGACCGGCTTGAACACCATGGGTAATACCAACACGTGACTCTGTACAATACTCTTGATACAGCTTTGGTTCCACACTATCGACAGCTTCGCCAATACGAATCGATTTGGTTTGACGAAGATTGGTATGTGCACTCTTAAGAGTACGCTTCTCATTCAACTCCTTCACCAATGCTCTCTTTAGCAACTCTTCAACCAGTGTCATATTTGTAGTGGTATTGGTGGATATCAACGAGTTGAAATCATATTGAATTAGGTTGGGATCTACCTCTGCATAGGCACCAAGAGTAATGTAAGCTTCTCGTTCAACGCTGACGTCGGAACACTGTGTAAACTCCCAGAGTCTTGTGACGATATCTCTGATGATATCAGCTTTCTTCTCGTCCATGATGTCAATGGGTGTTGCTTTGAGATCGACGACACCATTTCCAAAGAATTGCACCAGGTGTTGACTGACAATCGATTGTCTCTTTACATCCCGGGTGAAGTTCTTCTTTATGACATTCCAAGCACTAACGAAACCGAGCACTTCATTCTTACATAGCGAGCTGAGTGCATCCAATGCCAGTGACAGTACAGTTGGATGACTATCACGACAGAGCAGAGCAGAGAGTGGAGCAATCATTTCTTGTCCTGCATCGGAATCTACCGAGCATACTTGACGAATGCTTGCTGCCGATGCAATACGCTCTTCGACAGTGCTGCAACCATTACCATCTGGACGTATCGCTGTCAACATTGTTTGTAGAGATGTCAGTGCCTTGTCGTTGACCATCCAGATTCTGGTCATTAGACGAATAGCTATTGGCATGAGTGACTTCTTGTTTGACGCCATATCGTTGATCATCTTTACGACTACGGGATAGCAGATTCGGTTGGCAGCGAGGTCAGTCAGTGAATGATAGAGTTGTTTGATAACAACACCCGATTCTTCATGTCTAAGACGATGTATTAACAATGGTAGCAACGGTATCGCTTGCAATGAATCGACAGAGGTTATCAACGATAGTACAACCAAAGCACGGCATCTAACAGTTGATTGCATTTCAAACTCTTGATTTCTATAGAAAAGGAAAGAGCATAGAATTAACAATAATAAATCACAATCTAATGATTTACTGCTACTATCAGACTGACTTTTAATACTATTTAACTTTGATTCTAAACCATCAAAGAATGTAATTAATCTATTATTATTATTATTATTACTATTATTAAAGGTTGATAAGAACCATTGATAGCTAATATTAATAAGTGATATTGACTCTGATATTACAATATCTAATTGGATATTATTATTATTATTAGTTGATTGTTTAACTTGTTGCTGTTGTTGTTTGTTAATGATTATCTCTATATCTCTAATTAGTGATATGTTTAAAACGTTGATTTGATTCTCTAGTGTATCGTTTGGTATCGATGATTGTAAACGAATCAATGGATATAATAATATTGGTAGTATATTGATGTTGATAACAGATTCATCTAATACTAGTGTGAATAGTTGTAGTACTCTAAGTTGGTGTTGTCTCTGTAGCTTTGGTACCACCAGTGCCAATGTGAATATTAGCGGTGCATTTGGAATGTTGGTAGATTGGCTATTCGATACTGTGGTACTCCAAAGCAGTGAACTATAGCTATCATCACAATCGACAAGATCGAATAGCAATGAGAGTAACACACCAACATCACATCCAATATCATTACCATTGCTATTGTTATAGACATTCTGAACAATCAACAATGCAACTCTATGTATGGATGCATTCCATTGTTGTTTCTCACCACTTGAGAATGAATCTAACAAAGAATCATCTGTAAATCTAACCAACTCTACAAGATCTCTAATTATATCGATCATCATAGTGTTATTATTATTATTATTATTGATAGAGAATACAATGGTAGATAACAATACCAGTATTGGAAGTTGAAACATATTGTTATTCATTGCTATTCTACTAATTTGGTGAATAAGTTGATAGGTTGATGAAGAGGAAGAGGATGATGAAGTGGATGATGATGATAATGTTGATGACCTAATAATGATTGATTGTAATAGTGGTGAAAATGCCTTCCATCTTTGTTCGTAGAGAGATACAGGTAGATCTACAGCTTCATCGGTTAAAGACAACTCTATGTATTTTACAAAGGAAACGAGTGATTCTAAGTTGGCACTCTTGATAACCGAGAGAATAGCTTGGTTCTTCATGGTGGTCAAAACATCTACTTGCACCATATGTCGAACGACTTCACCAATGATTAGATCAACTCCGACATGACCACATCCAACAGCAGGCAATGAATTAACCAATGTTTCAATTAACTTTGTTCTTTGTATTCTATTATATTGAACTGCATTCCACAACTAAAAATATAATAATGTATATTCATTTCATTTTGTAAAAGATAGTTAGATATATAGTTTTATTAAATTAATAAACTAGTGTTTTATTTTTAACTTACAGAATTTAAAACAGATTCTAAAATGAAAATAGAATTGGTTGATAGTAATCTTAAAAGTATTTGTAATAGATGATCATTTCTAACAGTGTTATGATTGCTTGAAGGGTCACACAACAACGATGATATTCTTAGTACTGATTCTCTTTGAACTGAACTGTTTTCAATCTCTAACCTTGATTGTATATTCTTTAGTTTATTCGTCAATTGACTATCCATTCTTCAAAATATTGATGTGAAGATAGAAATTAACAATCACATTTAAATTTTTATTTTTTGTTTTTTGGGTATTCTTTCGACAAAAACAACCTGTCGCCCAAAATAGCCACCCGAATTTGATCAAAGAAAACTATTTATATATAGATTAGAATGTATTAGAAACGAATAAGAGCTTAGAAATAATAATGAATAGGAAAAAGAAAAACAAAAGAAATTTTTAAAGCAAGTTTATTATAATTTAAACAAATATTTTTTATTTTATTCTTGTACCACTGTATTGACCATGTGGTTGACTACTCTTTTACGTATTTGAGAATGATAGTTACTATTGGACCTATCATTGCAAGAACTATCGAAAAGATTCTCACCCTCCAAGTTCTGTTTTTCCAAAGTATACTTCCCATTATATCTCTCTAAAGAAGAAGAATGTCAGTTCTATTTTTAAAATCAAAGAAAAAAAAAAGACTTACTTTTCTCATTTTGAGATCGTAGAACGCAATTGGTAAGACTACCCGCAGACAAAGAAGATGAGAAATCTTTTTGGTCTGGTCCTATTAAAGACACTTTGGAAGGATTTACGTGAGGAAAGCCAAAAATTTCCAATATTGTTTTCATTAATGGTTTCGTTTCAATCTCCGAAATTTGTATTTCCTTCTTCCACCATAAGAGTTTGACTGAGAATGAGTCATGTACTTCCACGATATGATATTCCCCAGGTTTCATTTGTTGGTCTTCTCGAATGTACTTCTCTTCTCCTTCTTTGTCATTTGCTATAATTTTTACAGATTTAGGATGGATCGATAAAGATTTATAAATCGAAAGTGGAGTGCAAGGTGCTGTGAATTTCAAATCTGATTCTTTAAAAGAATAGTAACTAATAAACAAAGAGCAAGAACATTATTAAATTTAAAATACTAGTGTTTTATTCTTACCTTGGTTGTCAAGCTCCTCTAGATAAAGAAATATAAACATAATATGATAAATATATTAAGATTGTTAGTGATTAGTACTGGATAGCAATATTGAGAAAACAAATATGAATATTTTTTTTGATAGATATCAATTTTAACACAATATAAATTGGAAAAGCTTTGAGATATACTAAAACAAGATAAAATTTTTTTTTTGAGTATTTACCTTTGTTTTTAAGATAGTTTTTGAGCCTGATAATGTCTCCATATTTGAACCCCATATTGATAAGAGGAAATAAATTGTCCAATTTGAGAGCACTATTAATATCATGAAGAGTTTGAAATCCATTGGTCAACAAAACTTCAGCTGTGATACTAGGACAATTAACGTCTTTAAGTAATTTCGTAAGGGATTCTATTGTTTGATTTTCTTTCATTATTTCTTTCAATATAAATAAGTAAGTGATAAGTTTATAATTATTTCCTACAAGGAGATATATATTTCAAAATAAAGAGGTTGAAAAATGTTATGAAATTTTATTAAGACCCTATAAAAGAATCCAAAATTTTTGTTTTCTTATTATATATTAAAAAAACAACATCAATATAATATTAATTCATACTTTTAATTGGCGCTTAACGGTTGCCGCCAATTTTGAGTTCAAACTGTAAGTTAACGAATCAAATTTAACACTATAGTATAATACCATATACCTATAATTTCATTTACAATGTCTAATGATTTTATTTTTGAAATTAAAATCATCAAAAATTATTTTATTAAAATTAATTAAATAATTCATTTTATTATAATAACATATTCAAAAATAAAAAAAACAGGCGATCATTACCAATGAAGAAACAACAAGCATAATTTTCAATTTTATTAATTTATTTAATTTGCAACCTGATGAAAATTAAAAAAAAATTGATTGACTGATCTTGATTGCGCAAATGAACCAAATAGATTAATATATATTAATTAAAGAAATGAAAGAAGCAAAGAGTTTAAGGAATAGAAAAAAGACAAATAATTAGCTATTTGGAAGATAGGTGAAAGAAAAGCAGATGATAGCTTGCATGGGAATCCCATGCAAGGAGATTTAGTGAGTTAAAGGTGTTCATTGATGATAAAGATTAAATTATCATTGGATGATCTTTTTAAATTGGCATCTAAGTTTTAAATAGCAGATTTTTTGAAAGGTGCAGAAGTTTCCCTTGGTCAAGACATCGACTTGATATGTCGAACGACTTCACCAAAGATTAGATCAACTCCGACATGACCACATCCAACAGCAGGCAATGAATTAACCAATGTTTCAATTAACTTTGTTCTTTGTATTCTATTATATTGAACTGCATTCCACAACTAAAAATATAATAATGTATATTCATTTCATTTTGTAAAAGATAGTTAGATATATAGTTTTATTAAATTAATAAACTAGTGTTTTTTTTTTAACTTACAGAATTTTGAGTCCAACTTTTTTTTAGCAAAAACAACCTGTCCCCCAATCTAGCTACTCGAATTTGATCAATTAAAACTATTTATTTATAGATTATAATGTATTAGAAACGAATAAGAGCTTAGAAATAATTTAATAAGTTGCTCATCATGAATAGGAAAAAGAAAAACAAAAGAAATTTTTAAAGCAAGTTTATTATAATTTAAACAAATATTTTTTATTTTATTCTTGTACCACTGTATTGACCATGTGGTTGACTACTCTTTTACGTATTTGAGAATGATAGTTACTATTGGACCTATCATTGCAAGAACTATTGAAAAGATTCTCACCCTCCAAGTTCTGTTTTGCAAAATATTTCGAAATTTGTATTTCCTTCTTCCACCATAAGAGTTTGACTGAGAATGAGTCATGTACTTCCACGATATGATATTCCCCAGGTTGCATTTGTTGGTCTTCTCGAATGTACTTCTCTTCTCCTTCTTTGTCTTTTTCTATAATTATTGCTGATTTAGGATGGATCGATAATGATTTATAAATCGAAAATGGAGTGCAAGGTGCTGTGAATTTCAAATCTGATTCTTTAAAATGAATAGTAACTAATAAACAAAGAGTAAGAACATTATTAAATTTAAAATACTAGTGTTTTATTCTTACCTTGGTTGTCAAGCTCCTCTAGATAAAGAAATAAAAACATAAAAAGTGTGAAGAATAATGGTTAAAGTCAAAAAATTTAGATTAATGTTAGTAGTTAATGAAAAATTAGTTACCTTTGTTTCTAAGATAAACTTCAAGTTTACTTAGATCTCCAGGTTCAAAGCCCAGTTCAATAAGAACAGAAAAATGGTTTTTGAGATAATTATTGATAGAACTAAGAGTGTCAAATCCTTTTTTTAACAAGATTTCTGGTTTGATACTTGGGCAGTCTGCATCTTTAAGTAATACTGTAAGGGAATCGAATGTTTCTTTCATCTTTTTAAAATTATAATATCTTAAAAAGAGAATCTAATAGAGATAAAATACATAAAGATAATTGAGTTTTTTGAGATTAAATTTACAATATAAATTTCCAAGATAAATATTATTCTTTTTTTATAATATTTAATAATATTAATCAAAAGTAATACATAATTAAAACAATAACCTTATTTTATTGGTAATTAAAAAAAATTGTTTTAATATTTGCATCCAAAACTTTTTCAAAATAGAGGTAGTCCAGTATTGTTCTTTTTATTTGGTTTTAAAACTATTCCAATGAATTTTCACTATTTTAACCATCTTTTTTAGATAGAAAGTTAATTCGTTAATATTATTAAATTGTTATATTTATTTTTCAATTGATTTTATTTTTGATGGACCCAAACGAATTAGTTTGAAAGCTGGTCAATTTTTGTTATACGTTTTTTCAATTTGAGATCTTGTTTTCTAAATTTGTGATATCTTTTTGCAAACAAAATTCCACCAACCAATATAGCTATGAACACAACACCACCAACAACGATACCAGCAATTGCACCAGTTGACAATCCTTTCTTATCAGCACATATAAAGTCAGAGGTGTCACTTGAACCAACATCAATGAGATTAGAGAAATCAGGATCTAAATCAACAAAATCTGAATATGATGGAATGGTTATTCCAACAATTGCTGATCGGAATTGTTTGTTTTGTTCTGAATCGATATCGTCTTGATCAATGATAACATTCTTGATTGGTGTAACTGTATTATCGATCATACCATCAGATAAGAATCTTCCATAAAGACTTTGATCTCCAACATTCAATTTGATCCATTGAATCGATCCATTCACTGATCCAAATCCAGATGATGAACAAACATCTGATTGATCACTTTCAATCGTTGCCTTCATCAATATTTGTAATGTGTTGGTTGGTTGTTTGAATCGATATGAATTCAGATTCATTGTGAATTTGATTGTTGATTGTGGAATGAATAGATTCTGATTTGCAAATGTGATATTTGTTGATTGTTTGAAATATTCAATTGTCACATTTAAGATGGTTGATCGTTGATTGATTTGTGTTGAATAGAAATATTTTGGATTGGTTGTTGGTGTTGTTTGATCTGTGAAATTCCAAGTACTGATGTTGAATTGTTCAACGATATTATTGATATCATCCAATTCTCTGATTCCAATGATTTCAATCGATGTTGTGATTAAACTTCCAGATGTTGTTACATTTGTACCTGTTGCTGGTTCTGGATATGCTGGTGGAATCGGAACAATGATAGTTTCTATTTAGAAAATTAGAATATTAGTTTGTTGTTTATTATTTAATTCATTTTGATAATCAATACATACTTGAAGAACAAGATGGACCATACCAAGGTTGATTACATTGACAAATCGAATTGATACATTGTCCATTATTATTGCATGATGGTGTTCCTGGACATTTCACTGGTGCTGAGGTTGGTGTTGGAGTTGGAGTTGAAAGAGGAGGTAATTGAATAACTGGAATAATGAATTCATTTGATGATATCGAGTTTCTTATCACTTTGAATTTAATGAAATTTGAATTGATTGGTTTAATTCTGTTTTTAAATTGTAAAATGATACCAGAATGGAAAGTTAATTCAATTGTTTCATAACCATTTCCATAATCAATGTATGATGCCATATTATCATTGTTCAATCCAAATGATTTGCCATAAATTGTCAATGATCCACCTCTGTTTGTCAATTCCGATGAATGTTCAATGATTGGAGTTATCAATGAAAACTCTCGTTTGATGTAATATTTGAAATTTAGATTTTTCAATTCCAAACTATTATATGCTTTGTAGTTCAAATTGTTATCAACAATTCCAAATACACTGACAAAAATATAATTCATTCCAAATGCAAATGGAAGTTGAACTTTGACATTGTAGTTTACAAAATCACCAGAAATATTAACAATATTAGTTGTCAATTGAATATGATTGGTATTCTCTGAATTTAAATGAATAACTGGATGGTGTCGAAGTGATACTCCTGATTCAGTACTGAGTTCAAATGTTGTTAAATTGAACTCAACCGTTCTATCCAAAGTACCAACATCCACTGATGAACTGAATGTAAAACTACTAATTGATGGTGGATTAATATCACCTGAATCTAATAAATAATTAAGACTTAGAATATAAAAATCTTTTTTATTGGTTAAATATAATTAATACTTACTACTATTACACAAAAGTTGTACATTTAATTGATTCTTATAAGTTGTTGATCCATAAATAAATGAAAGATAATCATATTTAATTGGTAGTTCTTTTGATTGTATCAAAGTACTATACAAAAGATAATCAGCTCTGTTTAATTCTTGATCATAGTCAAATAATGAAATATTTGCAATCTTGAAGGTTTGTGACACACAATTGACTTTGAGTACAAAACTGATATTATAAAGACCATTGAATCTATCACCTTCAATTAAATTTGATTCGTTGAAACTGATTACTCTTGGCAAATAGTCACGATCTGAAATTACAGAAACAGTTCCATTTGAAATACCAATATATGATTCAACAATTCTTATCGACCAACCAACTGTTATCTGTTCATTTTGATCAATAACTAAATTTGAATTTAATAATATTACTTCAGTTACAATTGGTTTAAAAAATCCAATTTTATTATCTAAAAACAAATTTATTAATAAATATTTAGATTAGTTTGGTTTTAAAAATAAATAAATATTTTACTTACATGTTTTTGAAACAAATAACAAAGCACTGTCACCATACTTGTCAAAAATATTAAAATATTCAAAATTAATATTATTAATAGATAAATAATATTCTAAAGTTCCATAATTTAAATCGATTGGTAGTTTTATATTGAAAACATAAAGATTCAATTTTTGATCATATAGTGCAACAAATGTCTTCTTGTGAGTTGGAAGTGTGAATTTTACAGAATCTATCATATCGATAATATCATCAGCCAAACTAATATTTAATTCTAAAATATTATCACCACCATCCAATGTTATATTGTTTTGTGAAAATTTGAAATATGTTAAACTTTCGATATCTGTTTAAAAAAAGAATTAAATTAATAATTAATTGATTATAAAATTAAATTGTTTGTTAAAACATACTTAATTGAATTACAGGTAAAGAAGGAAGGGTATCACCATTCATATTATAAGTAATTCCAGAATAATATCGGAAATAATTAAAATTTGTCGTGACAAATGCAAATAAATAATCAGGTATAACAAAATTACATTGGAATTCATATGTTCCATTGAATTCATTTCCATCCACTAGATTTCTATTATCAACATTTATAATATCTGGCAAAGGTGCAAAACTGAAATACATTATTTGAAAGTTTGATCTTACTCTCATTCGAATGACAACAGAATTACCTGTCAAATTTCTCATTTCAAAACTTTCCACTACAGATATATATTGAGCTGAAATAATATTTAATTTTAATAAATATTAAATAGTAGAGTAAATAATTAAGGTTGAATAAATACCTGGTGCTGTAGGGCCTTTTGGTAAATTGTATGATTTAGCAATTGAATATGGACTTATTTTTGCATAAATTTGTTTTGAATTTGGTCCATCTGAAAATGGTAACAAAAATGTATAATTAAATCTTGGAGGATTATTTGTATAATCTAAAACATATGGATAAAAGTTTGATACCGAATACCTTAGGGTATCAACTTCAATAGACAAGTATATATTGAGTACTGATTGATAGTTTAAATTTGCAATGAAAAAGACAGTATTTGTCTCGTTATCTATATAGTCACTGAATATACTATTATCTTCAAAAACTATATCATTTAAATTAACAATTTAACAATAAGAAAGAATTAATTTCCAAAAAATTCTACTTACATAATCCAATCAATGTTGATGAGTAATTCTCGTAGACAATATCCGAAGTACTATCACATAAATAGGTAGCATATAATCCAGTAGAGTTGTAATATGTATTCTCATTTGCAAAAACTATATGAGTCTCGTTTCTAAAGACAGGGAATGGATGCGGTGTATAAATATTAGGCAAGAGAATAGAATTGAAATTCTGAAAATAATTGAAAATAATAAAATTATAGTCTATATATTGATAATCTCGTTGAATTGTTACTCCTGAATTTGGATAGCTCTCGGTATATAAATATTTGGTGGATCTATAAACTGATGAAAAAAATTAATATACATTATTAATAATATTTATATATATAAATTTACCATCTATTGGGAATTTAATATCAATACTCTGATAGATTGTCATTCCATATACATTAATTCTTACTGTGACATTGGAAGGAATTGATGTATATCCGGGATATAAAAAAAGTACTAGAATATATTGGCTCAACTTTCCTGACTTAGGTTTTGCAATTGTACAATTAAAATAAGAATCAAAACTTAATATTGAGCATCTCAAAAAATTTAGAGGAATTTGTTGGTAGAATAACGGATCAAAATTGAATTGTATTATTTGAGTTTGAAGACCAGAACTTGTTGCCAATGGTTTTCCTACTTTCACAATTTGAAATTGGGCACTTGAAAAATCTACAAATATAAAGTGGGATATTAAATTTTAGTATAATATTTTTTTGATACAATATGTATTTTTGATACATTTTTTAAAACTGTTTATATATTTACTTCTACAAATAAATTCACCAACTGGGAATGAGTAACCATTTGGAAAAGGAAATGTTGGATCGAAGGGTCTGGTAATGTTGAACGTAACATTTTGATAGTCGGTATTGGATGGTTTAATATAAGAAAAATCAAATGTAAACATTTGGTTCTCTCCATCATGAACAATATTCGCAGTCATAAGATTTGAGTATAAGTACTCAGCTTTAAAATCAGAATCTTTTAAAGTGTAATTTAATTGCACAATGAAATTGATTGCATTTGTACAAGATCCAGATTCATCGATTAAAGTAGGTTTAATTCTATAGTTTATAGAAGTTGATGTAATTGTATTAAAAGAATCTAAAAAAATTAAAAAAAGTTTAGATTGTATTTTAAAGATTTAAAAAAATGGTTAGATATTTTTATTTTTACAATTTTTTTGCACAAAAAATCATTTTAAAAATACAAACTTAATACAAATAATAAAGATAAAATAGATAAAAATATCAATCTGGACATTTTTAATTAATAATAAATGATTGACATATGTTTCTTTTTAGGTAGAAATATGATTGATTTTACTTAAATTGATGAAAAATATCAAGATTTTTATGATTTTTTACTAGATTTTTAATTAAAAAGCCCCTAAATTAATATCTACCACAAAGTATAGGGATCGTAGATAATAGGTAAAAGAAATAGATCTTTTAAATTTTTAAAATTTTATTATAGATATTTAAAAAATTAAAGAAATTAATTTGATATTATCTAGAAAGATATTTTATTTTTTATTTTTTATCGGCTGTGCAGAAAAGAATGTTGATCTAGAAAAGAACATCTTCATGATTTTTTTTTCAAATTATTAGAGACGATGATTAGAAAAATTTATTAAGTTTTGAACAAAAAGAATAATTAATGATCATCGGTTTAAAGTTGAGAATCTTTTTACTTTTTATCACACAACTTTTATTCAATAATTTTTGTTTATTCATATAGATTGCATTCAGGAGCAGGTGGTTGATTATTTTATGTTTACTTATTTCAGAATGATTATAATAGGACAAGCAACTATAGTAGAGCGAGGAGTGTAGATATTTACACTACTAACTGATTCATAAGAGATACAATTGTTAATATTCTCACTCTCCAAGTTTAGTTCCAAATCAGTCTTGCCAATAAATCTATCTGAGGAGAAAGAAGAATGTTAATTATATTAAAGAAATAGCCAAGAAAAACAATAAAGACATACCTTTCTCATTTTTAGAACTTTGAACGAAACATGGAAGGGTGCCAGCAGATACACAGTAACTAATATAATCGCGTAAAAGCTTAGCATTATGCTTTTTTTTTTTTGCGTATTAGCAAAATACCTTTTTTGGATGTCTGGGGAGTCTTTTTGATTGATCATTGTTTTTAACATACCAAAAAAAGCAAAAAAAATGAAAAATTTAATTAAATTTTATTTATTTCGATTTTTCATTGGTCAACTCACTTTCAACCTCGATATATCAGGAATGTAAATGCAAATGATATTTTAGAGGGTAAAAAAAAAATTGAATACTACAAATCATAACCATCTCCTTTTCATTGCGTTATGAAATCACATTTTTTTTTTTGAAAACCGATTTTTTTTTTTTTTTTTTTTCATTCAAATAATTGAATATTTATATAAATGATTTGTTTAAAAACATTGAAAATTTTAAGTGAACATCACAAATCGCTGATAGTTATAAATTAAAATATTAAATAAATAGTAAAGGTAAAATGGATATACCAAAGACATATGAGGAATTCATTATTTGTGATGAGGTAATGAAACAAAGATTATTTGCTGAAATCACAGGTAAACAATTTTCAACGGAGAGTCTAGAGAAAATTTGAATAACTCGTTGTCTGAGTTAGGACGTGTAGAAACCAATCAAATAATAGGAACAGATTCTGAGAATATTCAACATCTATTTCTAATCATAAAAAAATTAGTAGACACAATAATGCTTCTAAGCAAAAGAGTATCTAAAATAAATAATTATGTATTTGGTATATCCATTTTACCTTTACTATTTATTTAATATTTTAATTTATACCATCTGATAAATTGATTTTTATTAGAGTATTTAGGATTGTATTCGAACATTGTACGATTTTTGAAATATATATTATTTTCAAAAAAAAACACAGTGAATCCCCCGGCCGTACCTCAGCGTCAACATGTACGTGCTGTTGCTCAAACTCTTCAGCCTGCTGTCGTTCAAGTTCTTCAGCCTGCTTTGACTCAATCTCCTCAGCCTGCTTTCCCTCAATCTCCTCAGCCTACTTTCGATCAATCTCCTCGGTCTGCTGTCGTTCAGGTCCATCATCCTATTGGTGTCAATGAGCTTTGCCAACTTCCTGCTAACAATGGAAATACGTTATACTCACAACCAATGTATTCTAATCAATTTGATCCAAATACATTTAGATTAGTTGACCACTCTGTTTACACGACCAATAATAGTTTATACATAGCTGGGCAACTTCAATCCCAGCACCCTCAATATAATAGCATTGGTACTGTACCAGTCAACAACTCTAATAATACAGCTCTAATTCAACAATCACCAGGTACACCAATCCTAGCCAGAAAAGACCCAAAAATTTAATTAATAAAAAATAGAAATTTTTCATTTTCACACAACACAATTTTCGAAATTTTTACAACACAAAAAATCGCAGAGTTGTTTTTTTTTTTAATTCTTTATTCGAACTTAATATTACCTTCATTATAGATAAATGAGTAAGAAAGAAGAACTACTGTGTAGGCTAACAGACTACACAAAATTAAAAGGGTGAGGATGTAAGATACCTCAGAAGGAACTGCTCTCCCTTCTCGAAGGTATCGGTGATGGTATTGGTTATGATTGTGCTATCGTTCCTACAAAGTTCCCTGATATTGTTATGGTTACTACAACTGATGTATGTATTATCTAATCTAAAGAATAAATATTTTATTCTAATTAATTTTATTATTATTACTATATATTTTACTTTAGTTCTTCTTCCCAAATGTCGATGATCCTTATCTAATGGGAAAGATTGCTTGTGCCAATGTATTGTCTGATTTATATTCTTTTGGTATCGATGAATGCGATAACATGTTGATGTTATTGGCTGCCTCCACCGATATGACACCGGAGAACAGAAATTGGAGTACTCGTGGTTTGATTCAAGGTTTCAATGACCATTGTAATCTCGCTGGTACCAAAGTAAGAGGTGGTCAGACCGTGAAGAATCCATGGCCTCTCATTGGTGGTGTTGCCACCGCCATCATTCGTAAGGATGAAATGATCATGCCAGTCAATGCCGTGCCAGGCGATGTTCTCGTACTCACCAAACCACTCGGTACTCAGGTGTGTGCCAATTTCCACCAGTGGATTCGTCAGCCTGAGAAATGGGCCAAGATCGCCGATATTGCAACTGTCGAGGAAGCAGTGGAAACCTTCACCTATGCCACTCAGTCGATGGCGCGTCTCAATCGTATTGGTGCGCGTCTGATGAGAAAGTACGGTGCACATGCCGCCACCGACGTCACAGGTTTCGGAATTGCCGGACACTCTGACAATCTTGCAAAGAGCCAATTGCAACCGGTCGTCTTTGAGATTCATACACTCCCGATTATCGAGCACATGAAGAAGATCGACGTTCACCTCAATAACAATTGGAATCTTTGTCGTGGACTTTCCGCCGAGACTAGCGGTGGATTACTCATAGCAATGCCAGAAGACAAAGCCAGAGAATTCGTCAAAGAGATCGAAGAGATTGAGCACCAACCTGCTTGGATCATCGGTCGTGTATTAGCATCTGACAAGCCAGTCACTGAAAATCGTTCTGTAGTCATTGATAACCCAACCATCTTGGAAATTAAACCAAATCAGAATTTTAACTAAAAGTAATAATATCAACCCAACAAATCAACCAAATCAATCAAATCAACCAAACCAACCAATATAGCAAACAAACAAACAAACAACAAAACAATGTATAAAATAAATCAAAATAGAAATAATGACATCATATTTTTAGGTTTCATAGTCGACAAGATAATTGCAAACCAATTTGAGCAGAAATTGGAATTTGTATAATTATCTTTTGAAGACAATGGAATAGATATTTTAGATCTTTCACAGTAATTACCATTTAAAAGTTATACCTGTAATGACTTGTAGTTGTACTAATCTTAACAAAGAATATGATTACAATGAAAATAATCTGTTGTATCATTAACTGGCAATAATTATTGAATAAATTTAATATAATCGTCTAAAAATAGAAATAATAATATTATAAATATTAAAATTGATGATTTTTTTTTTATTACCTCAAGAAGAATTATTGTAAAGTTATAAATAAATTTGATTACTAAATACATTATTTAACAATTTGAACTAATTTGGTTTTAAGATTTGATGAATGGGTTTTACAATCATCTTTAAATCTTTAAATCTTTTTAAAGATTGTTAAAACAAATAATGTGGTTTTACAAAATGTAAATAAAAATTAAAGAGTATTTGAGTAGAAATTGTAAAAAGATAATAGTATAAATAGATGATATTTTTATTTTATATAAATCATTCTACAATAAAATATATAATATTAAAAGTAAAATCTAAAATTCTAATAAAATGAAAGTTTTAATCTCCCTTTTTGTTTTGATGGCTGTTGCCTTGACCAGTGCCCACTATAACTGTGGTTCCAACATTTGTAATCCATATTACTCATGTGTTTTGGATGGACATGACTACGGATGTATCTTTAGATGTGATCGTGTTATCTTAACTCAAAAGGTTGTAAAGCAATGGACTGATGACAACGGTAGCAAACCATACACTCAAGTCGAAGTAACCATTAGAAACAATTCTCCACGTCCAGTTAATAACGTTGTTATTGGTGCTGCAGATGGTACCTTGAACATTAGAGACGCAACATCCATCTGGAACATTGCTGTAGTTGGAGCTGATTTTACTCTCCCATCCTACGCCTCGACTTTGGGTGCTGGCCAAACCTTCACTTTTGGATACATCAACAAGGGAAATCAACCAGCCAACATGTACCTCAAGTACGTCCATGTCCTCTAAATTCATTGACTTACAACAACAATCAATCTATTTATTAAAATTATTAAATTAATTTTAAAAAAAGATCAACATTAAATATATATTATTTTGATATCTTAAAAAATATATACTCTCCTTTTTTTTTTTTTGATATTTGTTTTTTATATTATTGTTATTATTTTATTTTATTTCTTAAAACATAATTATTTAGTAAATCTAATGATTCTTTGTGATGTTTAGATAGAGGTAGAACAAATGGACTATTTAATAATCTATCAAGTTCGATGATCGATATTTCTGTGTGATTCAATAGCCACTCAACCATTTGATAATAGTTGATTGAGATTGCTTTAATAACAGCCCGTATAATACTGTTTGGATCAATTGGAGTAATTTTATAGTAGATTTCTTTCTTCTGGTTATATAATAGTTGTAACATTTCCAAATTTCCGTGTTTGAAGGCATTATCAAATGCTTCTCGAGTGTATGTTCCTTCTGGTCGATGTGTTTGCAACCATATTAACATTTCAATATTGTTGTTTTCTACAGCATGGTTGATTGCAAATTTACAATTACCAATTTGTTTGTCATGCAACCATTTCATTATATCTAATCGATTTTTCAATGCTGAATAGTCGATCAAAGGACAGATATCTGGTTCAAATATATGCTGATCTTTGTTTTGTTCAGCGAGGTATTCCAATACATGAAAATGTCCGCCTTCAATTGCCATGTGGAACATCGAGCTGTGCACTCTATCTTGAGATCTGTTTTCTGCCAGATACTCGATCATGTCAACTCGACCAATCTGTGCACATGCATCAAACACTGTTGATTGGTCATCTTCTTCTTTAACGTAGCTAGTTCCTACTTTTGGTACAATATACTTTAATATTTCTAAATCTTGAGAAAACGGTGCAACCAACATTGATTCATAATAATCCCAATGGTTTGAATAGGAACACAAGAATTCAACCGTTTTGATATTCCCGTTTGTCATTGATGCGCAGTACAATAAATCTCCTTTGGTCACCGCATCTAACTTTTCTTCTGTATCGACATATTTACTAAATAGCATTCTTAGTACATCCAAACTTCCACTACGGGCTGCATTTATTAGGATTTGACTATTTCTATCTAATAATTGAAATTCAGAAAAGCTGTGTATTTCATTTCTTTCAAAATATTCCTCTAATAGTTGTAAATAATTGTTGCCTGACAAAACATGAGGATAGTCTATTAACTTTGAGTAGTTGAATGAAACTTGTTTTTTAATCTTTTGGTGTATATCACTAACATTTTGAAATATTGTTTTATTGATTATCTTATTATTGAATACTTTTTGAAATAAACTCTGTTTCATCTTTTAAATAAACATAATTTATAAAAATATAAATTTTTTGTATGTTTTTTTAAATGACACCATACCAATCACACATTGTAGATTTTTATCGTGTTGGGCTAAAAAGCCAACATATGTTTCCTTTTGATTTTTTTTTAAAAGCCCAAAAATCAAAAAAATTCTTGCACAGGCGAATTTTTGTTGATTAAAAGTAATAAGTTTAGTTTAAAAGTAATCTAATGTCTTTCATCTTTTGTTGCATGATATAGTTTTAGAAAAGAAACGTTTTGGAGCCTAAGATGTGAACTACCCAACTAAACAATCAAATCAAACTTCTAAACAAAATAAAAAATCACACATTTATTATTATTACTATTAGCATTATTATTTTATTTTTATTTTAAGAATGATTCATTTAAAACTCTCTGACGTTTCTACAAATACCACAACCGAGTGCAAACTCTGTTCCAGTCTTTGGATGGTCGACATGAAGTGGACAATCATCACCGGGCAATTCGATACCTCCTGGACCAACCGGACACTGAGGATGAGTGTTTCTACTTGTGAGTTCTGTGTGATGATTATGACAGGTTTCACAGAAATGATGAGTTCCAAAGCAGAACCAAATGGCAACGGAGCAACAGTAACGACATTTGAATTCGAGATAGTCTTTTCCGTGTTTCGGACAGATAGGTAGTACGTCGTCAGATGAACAACCTCCGCATATCAACTCCTCGGGATTGAACTTCTCTGGTGCAGCCATGGCAGCAGCGCATTGATTGGAGCCACCAAAGTATGGCTGTTTACATTTGAAACAGAGATAGTAGGCGAATTGGTCCATGATGTAGCCATCCAAATTCTGGTGGTATTTACCGCCTGGCAACAAGAGTGGATCCTTTTGAATACCCAAAAAGTCGATTCTCAGCTTACCCTTTCTGATGATTTCATTGCCAATGTTATCGATTACATCGGTGATTGATTTGAGCGATTGATGATGGATTGATGTCTTACAGATCGGACACTTTGAGAAACCAAGTGTGATTCTAGCACCGTTCCAACGTTTCTCCAAGAGTTGCTTACAACAATCTTGATGGAAAACATGTCCACAGTCGAGCTGGATCGATGGCGCCTCAGAAAGATTCTCTGTCCAACAGATCATACAGAAATCATCTTGATCTTGAGTGAGCTTTTTGCATTTCGATGAATGCGAGTGTTCTGAAGTGGTGGTGGTGGTTGTAGTCTCACTGGTAGTGGTAGTGATCAACTCTGGTTTCTTGCAACCATGAAGACATGGTAGACATTCATCTTCATCACGGATACCATAGCACAAATGTCCACATTGGTGAATCTTGGTACAAGAGTTGGCTGCCTTTTGTTTACAGTCAGCACTCGAACAGACACCAGAGATACCGTGTGATGGAATCAGATTCTGGAGATCCAATTTTTGTTTGCAGAAACGACATGTCTCTGAGCTGGAGATATTGATGGTCTGGACGATTGCCTTTTGCTTCTCGCAGTCCAATACAAACAGAGTGGACGAGAGTTTCAAACGAATACAATTCTCGTGGACTTCAAGGGAAATAACATCGTTAACCAATGGGGATCTAACGTGTTCTCTCTTTGCTTTTGGCATGTGAACGAAACGGTCACATTCCGAACATAAATTGGTCTGACAATTGTTGCAAAGCACACTTGCTTCAGTGACACCGTCATCGTGATTCTGGCAAGTCTTGACCTGTGTCTCAGACGAGATATTAGATGTGTTGATGGTTGAAATGACCTTTTGATTGCCAAAGACAATTAGCAGTGCCGATAGAGCACTCCACAGCTTGGTAGAGTTGAGATAGGTGTTGATTGGTTGGGTGGCTGCAACTCTCATCGAAAGGATAGAGTTGACCAATTCATCTTCGATCGATTGTCTCCATGATTCCGATTTGTTCATCAGATCCTTGACTAGCTCGATCAATGCTTTACCATTGGCAATTGATAGCTCACCTTCGAGTACATTCGGTAGCAATGAATCCATGGTGTAGTTGTGAGCGAGTGGATTCGATCCACCTTTGACTTGGACATAAATTGGTTTGGAAATAATCAGCAACATATATTGGATGAATGAGAGGTTCGAGACGGTAACATTCGATTGTTCTTGCATGAACTCTGTAAAGAGTGTTGGTTTAAGATTAATCAACATTCCCTTGCAAATGTTGATACAGAGATGTTGGATACGTTCGGCACCCTTGTGAAGCAGTGGGAGCAATGCGAAAATCGATGACTTCGATGGGATAAAGGATTTTCCTTCTTCAGACTCCATCAACGACGACAAGGTTGTGAGCAGTTCGTTGAGATAGGCGTCTTTGTTTGGTTGATCCTTGACATTGTTCCATCCGATGCCATCGAGATGAATGATCTCCTTTTGAACCTCGGAGGAAATGAGTGAGAAGATCTGTTTCTGAATCTTGGAGACTCCGTTCGATGAGAGCAGAGTAGCCACTTGATTACGAAGATCCTTTGATATCTCCTTGCTGGTACTGATACCAAAGATTTGGAAGGTCAATAGCTTCAAGAGTGACAGAGTTGCATCGAACTTGGAGTTTGGAGAGAGCGACATATTCTCTTGTTTGTCTGGGATGAGAATCTTTAGTTGACGAACTCGAATCGATTCGGAACCAGTGAATGATATATTGATGTTGGTGATGGTTTGACCGATTGGAATGATCTTCCAGTAGTTGGCTTCGTGCTCAACATCGATAACCTTGGAGAAATCAATGCAAGACTCGGAGTTTCCAGCTTTAATCTTGACGGTCATCACTTGATATTCATTGTCGGAATTGTCGATATAGACACAGACTTCCTGAACAAAAGTTGGTTTCTCACCTGGCAGAGTAACATTAATCATTGCTTTGGCAGATGCTTCCCAGAACGATTGAGTTGACTCGTCAAAGAGAGATGGCATCATCTCTGGTGATTTAGTCAAGACAACCTTACACTTGTTAGCAATATTGACAAACGATGAGTTTTGTATTGGAACAAAAGAAGAAGAGTTGCTGGGTGGTGAAGTTAGCGGAGAATTGTTTGATGAAACACTTCCAGACTCGGATTGTTGTTGTTGTTCGATATAATCCAATTCTTGAGGTGTGATCTTTTCTTTTCCTTTTCTCATTGGTGAGAAGAGTGATCGTGTTTCGTTGCTGTGTAGCTCCGAGAGAATCTTGGAGATCAACGGGAAGATCTCACTGCTTTGGACGAAGGAAATATCCTCTGGAAGCAAGTACATTGAGAAACAAGAGAGTGCATTGAGAATGATGGCATCGGAGAATGATCCAAATTTAATACGTTTGGATAGTGCCTCCAGTAGAGCATGGAATTGGACAATGAATTCTCGCTTGAGTAATGGATTGATATTACTGGTAATGGAGAGATTCTGAGCGACCTTTCCTTGCCAATCGGCTGGTAACAGAGCCTTTGGTGCCTGGTTGGTGTGTACGATGGTTGCAATCATCCAGATGGTGTTCTCGAGTGCCGATGGAACTTGGAGTGTCTCAACCAAATTGGACCATATCTTGAGCGAATCAATCTTGACGAGATTCTTTCTCTTGGTTTCTTCAATCGTATCGAAAAAGTCAATCTTGATAAAGTTTTCCAAAAACATTGCCAATATAGACCGTGAAACGAAGGAGTTGTGAACCTTTTCATTGGCGTTTCCAGCGGAATCCTGTGAGTTCTTATTTAGCAACAAGAGATTGTAGGTACTTGTATTGATATTGGATGAATTCATAAACTCTTCGAATGAATAATTTATAGATCTTCTTTCTAAATTTGATTCAGATGAAGATGATGATGATGATTGTTGATCTTTCGCTGAGGATGAAGCTGATGATCCACCACCACCACCAATTGAAAGGTGTGAAAGGAATTCAAATAAAAAGTCCAACTTCTGAATTGGTAAGACATCCTTTTTGGTTATTGGTTCTGGTGGTGCATTGAAATAATCGTCATCATCGCCAAACAAAATATTGATTCCAACGTATTCTTCGGCGACAGTCGATTGTTGAAGTGCCCACTTGTTCAATCGCTTCTGGACATTACGCCACAACTCAACGTAGGGTGTGAGTTGTTCGCTCTCTTTAGCTTCTTGGAGTGATTTCTTTTGATTCTTGATAGATTGGACAGTCAAAACGAAATCACTTTCCGCACCATTCAATCTGATGATTTCAACAAAGAGCTTCTTCATGATGGTATCCCATCCAGTGTATTTCAAGAAAGATGTTATACTCTCCTTTTCATTAGATGCTGCAGATGCTTGAACAATCTTTTTATCATCCTCACCGATTGCAGATTCGCTGTCGGAATGTACAGCTGCTGCATCGACTATGGATTCCTCTTCCGGTTTCGATTGATTCAAAGAGTTGTCAACAGTGGATGTCTTGACTTTGTTGTCCGATGAGTTTGATTCGTTGTCGTCGTTGTCGTCTTTAATTTTAACTTCGTCATCGGAATCTTTATCTTCGGTTGCACTACCATTCTCTTTAATGTTAACTTTGATACCCTCTTCAATATCGGTACCTTCCTCTTCTTTACCGGTTGCCTTCTCTCCAGAGACATCGTCAGAGGCATTCTCTTTTTCATCGTCATCGGAGTTGTCATCTTCGAGATCTTCATCCCATGAATCTTCTTCCTCCTCTGCTTCCGACTCCTCGGATTCATCAGAGTCAGTGTCAGAGTCGGACGAGTCGTAGTCGTTGTATTTCTCATTCTCGAGATTCTTCTTTTGATTCTTCCACTCCTTGGCGAGATGCTTCTTACGCTTCATCAAGAGGGCAAGTCTACGGAGTCTGAGTTTCTCACTGACACTCAGGAGATCATCGCTGTTGATAGGGAAATCTTTGAATTTATCCTCAGGTTTCTTTTCCTTCTTCTTATCACCTTCTTCGCCCTCTGCCTTGTCGGAGTTGTCATCTTCATCGCCATCTTTCTTGTCATTCTTTTCTTTGTCCTTGGCTTTTTCTTTGGCATCCTTCTTCTTGTCATCCTTTTTCTTATCCCTATCATCCTTTCTCTTGTCCTTCTCATCGACTTTCTTGTTGAGAACGGCCATACCGATAGAGTTGAAAAAGTCACTGACTTCCTCACCGAGTGTTCCACTCTTGGCGTTGACAAAATCCAAAAGTACTTGGTCACTGATACCATATTGATGCTTGGAATCAGCAACCAATTTCTTGGACAACTTGTTCCAGATGGTCTTGAAGTAGAGTTTAGATTTGGCCTCCTCGCGGTTGGTAGCGTTGTTGTCGACGATGATCTTATCGAAATCCAACTCCTTCTCGTCATCATCGTTGGATAAAGAGGCGGCTGCTTCCTTCTCGTCTTCGTTACCGTCATCACTGTCAGAGTCTGAAGAATCGGAATCTTCTACTCTTCTCTTCTTTCTCTTTGCTTTTTCGGCTCCAGCAGCAGCGGCAGCAGCTTTCGATTTCTGCTTGGCCTCAGAGATGAATCCACGCTCCTTTTGATCAAAGAATGAAGAACTTGAGAGTTGTAGGATGTAGAATGACAACAGACGTTCCAGTTTGGCCAATGGGTAGTCAGAGTCTTCGGAACCGAGTGTTTTGTAACCAATGACGCTGGCAGAGTAACCATAACGATTGGCATCATTGAAATTGGCTGGATTCGAAGCGGATTGGAAGTCGAATATCAACTTATTGCCAGGCACAATAAAAGTGGTGCTTGGGAACTCTTTCTCTGAGAATCCAGATCTTACGAGCGGTGTTTTGTATTCGCCATTCAACCAAATGAATAAACGATCACTCGATTGAGTAGTGACAGAGCGCGAATCAAATTGGATTGTCATCCATTTAATATCGGCTGGGAATTCGACAACATTGGTTTGTTTGGTACATTCCTCGTATGGATGTGAACTCTCCATCTTGATGCAGTGTTGCGATGACGCTGAATCGTTGATATCCAACGATTTAGAGGTTGGTTTGTAGAGTGCGTTGATCTTGGTAGTGGAATCAAGGAAATCAAGGAATGTTGCCAGCTTTTGTTGTTTATCGATTGACTTGTATTTGACATTGGCATAGGAATCAATGATAAAAGGCAACAGACTCTGGAGGAATCGATCGTTTCTGAGATCTTCGAGTTGCATCTCGTTGGCGCTGGCTTGACGCTGTTGAGCAAGCTCCTTGAGAATGGTTTTTGATCGCTCGAGAATCATCTTGGAAACGATTAGAGTGTCTTCAAAGATCTTTGGTGTCAACTCCATCGATCGATAGTTTGGTTCGAACTGGAAGAAAATCGTTGGAATCTGACCGCTGTTGAGCGATGTACCATTGTCAGAGTTGACACGTGATGTCATAAACTTAAAGTTGACACCCTCGGCACTGGCCGACTCCTTGCCTTTGTAACCGGAGGAGGAGGAAGGACCGGATATCTTGGTGAAGACCGTCATTATTTCGTTGGCACCCAGTTGGAATGGCTCTGGCAAGTCGATACGATGGATGTAACGCGCGGTCTTGTTTGACCACGAAACATTGACAGAGTTGGTGGAGTTGAATGACTGTGCCGATTGTCCCAAAGTGACACCGACACGCGCAGAATACGATCCTTTGTCACCGTACAGACCGATACCGGTGATGTAGATATCGGCGTCTGCCTTGAAGGAGATGGCGTCCATCATTTCGTCGTACGACCACGAACTGCTTGTCGAGTTGAAACGGCCAACCGAATGAACCTTTGGTTGGTTAAAGACGACGTCGTCATTCTTGACAATCATCGATGACGACCAGATGAATTTCAGTAGATCAATGGATTTACTTCTGTAGTCGTCCAACTTGTTGTTGTCGGCATCTGGTTGTTCAAACGGCTTGTTCGATGCAATCGACATGATGACATCTTTGAACAACAAACCGGAATCCGAATGACCACTGCTATCCATTCTTTGTTTCTGAGACTTCTTTTTCGACGATGAATGAAGTTGATAGATTTCATTTTGAAGCATATCGTAGAATGCAACAAGCGATGGATCGATCGATTCTCGTGTGAATGCATCGTCCTCACAGACAATGTCAATCAACGACTTGACATCGTTTTCGTAGAGACTCTGTATCATGGCAGTCAGGAGATAAGGTGCGCCTGGGAAGCTGCTCGATCCACCTAGCTGTATCAACTGGTAGACAATGTTGATAGCGCTTGCCTGCTGCAGAGGAGTGCTGTAGATGTAGGGGAATGCTTTTACAAACAGATGGTTGATCGACTCCATGAAGGCAATGAATACTTTGTGGTCGTGCTGTCGATGTGTGAAGAGAGTTCTGTGGTGGTAGACACTGTGGATGAGCGAGATTACACGTGTTCCCTGTACGACGTCATCCAACAGCACTTGGATATGTCTGGCGAGAATAGTGATGGTGCGATTCAATGGTTCGTCAAGAAGCATCAGGGTATCGACAACATGCTCTTTGGCACCGTTTTGCAGTGTTTTATGCATCTCTATTGATCCAGAGAATTGACTCCACATCGTGGACAGTGAATCGAGAAGATCGATCAGAGCATCCTTTGGAATGGACTTTTGGCGGTGTGTAGATTGTCCGACGTTAATAATGCTAGAGGTAAGCGGACTGAATGTTAATCCATGAACAACTTGAGCGATCTGTTTGTACTCGACACTTGGTGTCAAGTCAAATTGCACGCCACCAACCGAGAATACCGAGTATGCACTTCCTGGCAATATAGAGTCGATCTCTGTTGAGATAATGGTGATCTTGTAACCAACGTTTGGAAGCAACTCGAATGGATAGTCCAGCTCGATCTTTGAGTCGACGACACGATGTTGCTGTGAGTATGTGGTACGCGTTGAATCGGATTCGATCTTCAACATGACCAAACACTCTCTGGAACGAACCAACTGGAGACTCCACAATAGAACTGGTCGATTCACCTTGACGAATGTCGTTGATACTCTTGACGACAGACCTTCCTTGATGATGAACTTGGCAATGGTGAAACTCATCTTTGGCAACGATTGGATAAACTCTGAGCTGAGCGATGGAACACTCAATCTCTTTGGTTTGGCTGTGGATGAGTATGTCTCCAACAGTGTATTGATAATAACCAATGGATCGACACGCTCTCTTGGATTGGTGAGTGAAACTCGCGAGTTGTAAGGATGTCTATTTCCCTCACGGTTATCGAGCATCACCAACTGTTGTGATTCAGTGTTGAATTCAAAGTTGGCAACCTTTGACAAATGGAAACGATATTTTCTTGGTGCTACTTTCGATTTGCTAACCAATTGTAATGGTGGATTGGATACTGTATTATAAAGTAGATAGTCGCTAGTTTTGGAAGTGATACTGTTGTTGTCAGCACCACTACCAATTGTAGGTGGTATGAGGACACCCAAACACTTACGATCGGCAAACACATTGATATCACCAAATGTAAGAGTTGCCCAATCGATATCGACATTCATTGTTTGCTTCAAAACAATGAATCCATGATCGGTTGCACAGATATCGATGATCGACTCGATTGATTTCGTCGACGCATGGAAGTCGTGATGTTGATACTCAACAAAGTGATTGGATTGTTTCAAACCTTTGATGTTACCGCTGTAGTAGATACGACGGTTCACTCCATCACGAACCAAAAACAACGTAAAAGTGAGACCAATCTCTATCTTTTCCACATCGGTAACGTCGAATGGCAGTGAAGCTGGCGAGAGACGTGTGAATTCCTTGGAGTTCTTAAAGTGTCCCAATCCCAGCTGTCCAAATACATTGTTACCCTTCACGTAGATGCCACTGGCGTTCACAACGACAACATTCGAGTGGTTGGCAGCCACCAGTAGAGTGCACTGGTTGGTCTCTTCACCACCGGGCAACTCGACTTTCTTCAACTCGGAATCCCAGCTCATAGCAGAGTGCAGACAGGCATCCGGTGTATCGTCGACCAGATAGCAACCGGATTCCTCACCACCGGTAGTAACCATTGTCTTTACCTTGAACTTTGAATCAAAAGTCTTCAAGGTGTTTGCTTTCATATCGGTGATACGTCCTAGTACACCATCCTTATTGACAATATACAATTGGATGTTCGACTGTGCAATATCGACGTAGGGTGGCTTGAAAAGTTTGTCCAACTCGCTATACATCTTGAAATTCGACGGTTGCTTACTGGTCACCGGAACCACACTCTGAATAGCATTCTTGCTATCCAAAACCAAGATATCAGGTTCATGAAATGATACCTTTAATATTGTATTCGATTGATTATCAAAATTTAATAATTTCGGTCCATTTTCAGTTATAACTAAATTATTACTATATAGTGGTGGTGTAATGAATATTAGTTTAGTTTTTGTTGTTTTTTTTTAGATATATATAATTTGTTATGAATATGATATTTACCTTTTACCTAAATAATAAAGATTCTTATCTTCGCTTAGGAAGTAGAATCCACCTTTGACAGATGCATAGATCTTTGAAATTTGATATGATTCTATAGTGGATAAAAGAGAGTCATCTTGCTTCTCATTGACCATAGTGCAATTCACCTGTTGAATCTTGGTAGTTTTCGACCAGAGTGGTAGTGGATGAGATGGTCCGTCCTGTACAAATGCACCATCCACCAAAGAAAGATAACGTAATCTTGTCTCTGGGAATACAGATTTCTTTAAATCATTTACCAATTCTAAAATAACTAATCTTTCTCTTATATTATCACTACTATTATTACTATTGTTGTTGCTACTATTGTTGCTGTTACTATTATTATTATTGGTTGTTGTTAAAAACATTGTATATGGATATTGACCTAGTGGACAATCACCGGCTTCGACAGAGACGAACGATTCCTCTTCGAGATTGTCGATGTTGAGTTGCGCGATGATACCGTTGGCCATGTCGGTGCTGCGGAAGTAGAGGTCGCTGCCAATGACAAACATCCACGAGTGAATCGAGTTGACTTGGCTGCAGCTGGCAGACGGTGTCGAGGAGGACGACGATGGCTGTGAACTGTCGTCGTCGCCCTCGAGGTGGTAGTCCTTCTTCCACTGGACAACCTTGTACTGCAGTAGCGATTGTTGCTGTTGCTGGCCAAGCGACAATTTAAGCAGACCCAAATCACAATGTACAAATATAAATACACCATCGGTAGCCATCGAGTAGACAGCGCCTATATTCAGCTTGCCGCTACCGCCAGCATTACTACTGGCTTCATATACAACCGACTTTTTAAAATCAAACTTTTCCAATGGAACATAATTTTCATTGATTGGTTTGAGATTCGATGGTAAACTAAGATAATCGAATTTAATTAGTTTAAACTAGAACTATTGTTTTTGTTTTGTTGTTAATTAGTAACTACTACTTACAAAGATTGATATTTTGAATTGAGAATGAATCGAATGATTTTAAAGGTGAGAGATGGGTCATCACGTGCGACTACTAGTGAGATCAAGGCGGAAGAGGCAACCATGTGTTCGTTGTCAGTGTTGGAGGTTGTGTCGATAATTTTCGTGAGGGTGCTGACTGCATGCTTGATGAGAGATTCGGCAAAGTTTCCTATCGATGCAGCTGGCAGACTCTTACAGTAGTCCTGTAGTAACTGGAATGCCCGATACTTCATCATATCGTTCTTGTCATTCAACAAATCAAAGAGGAATTGAAAGAATAATTCAGATGATCTAATACTTTCAAGTGAATTAAATTCTCCATCTTTTTGTTGTTCTTGTTCTTGTTGTTGTTGTTCTTTACTTGTTTGTTTATTATTATTTTCATCAGTTACTTGTTGCTGTTGCTGTTGTTGTTTAATATTATTTTGTTGTTGATTTAAATTTAATTTATCTGGTAAAAGCGAAATGGGATGATGCCAAAGGATTTGTTTCATATGCAACAATGCATTTGAGTGTGACATTGGAATCGATGACTTTATCGATTGGAATTGGTGTAGCAGTTGATTGTCACCATCTTTCTTTCCCTTCTCCTTTTCCTTCTTTTTCTTTTTCTTTTCCTTCTCTTTGTCAGAGTCGTCGTCTTCGGAATCGTCACCACCGCCGGCACCACCAGACTCTTTTCCTTCTTTTTCGTCACCATTAGCACCGTCGTCATCGTCGTCGTCCTCAAAAGCATCGATATTATCATAGTAATTCGAGTGTTTCAATACACCGTTGTAGAGCTTCAAGAATCTATCCAACTGAACACCTTCAAACATTTCACCACCACTACTTTTTGTTGCTGTTGTTGTTGGTGTGTTAATTGCACCTCCACCTCCATTTATAGAATAGGTATCAGCTAACCCATATACTATATCATTATCATTGCTATTGTTGCTGTTGCTGTTGCTGTTGCTGTTGCTGTTGTTATTGACAACAGTAGATTCTGCAGCCATTTTTTAACTATCTATCTATCTTTTAACTAACTACAAAATACAAAATTACTAATACCAAACAAAACAAATATTAATAATTTTAAGTTTTAATATGATATTTAATTATATTATATTATTTATTTGTTATTATGTATATATTATTATTATTATACAAATAACTATTTAACTTTGACAAAAATTTTTGATATTTTTTTTTAATTTTTTTAGTGTTAAATTGTGTTCACCCTAAGAAGTTATTAACAATCTGGGTGTGTTAAAAGAATAAGGTCTCGAATCTGAGAATGATTTTTCTTTTATATCTTTGATTTTTTATATGTCTTTAATTGATAGAAAAACAAAGTATGTAAGTCAAGATATCTTACTTTTATATATTTAATAAATTCAATCTAAAATTAGATTATATTATATTGAATAAAAGTTTAACTTTAAAAAAAAAAAATGAAAATTAAAATTAAAAAAAACAGAAAATTAAAAGAAAAAAAATAAAGAAAAATGATTTGAATGATTGATCAATGTTTGCAATAAAAGTTTACATTAAAAATAAAAAATATCAAAAATATTAAATAAATTTTATTTTTTATTATTTGTATTTATTATATATGATATGTTATGTTAGAATGTGATTAGAGGTGAGTTTATAAAACAATTCAATTGTCCAGATTCAATCAATCTTGAATACAATACTCTAGATTTACTCTCCATTTCTGGATGAAAGAAAATTGGGTAGATTCCTCCACTTGCGAAACTTGGATGAATTTCTTCAATTCATCGTAGGTGGGATGGATACGTTTCCAGTTTCTGGCCAACATCAAAATGGTGTCTCTCTTCACTTGAGCTTCACAAACTTGTAAATAGTTATTGGGATCAACACCTTTGATAACCGAATGTCTAGCTGTTCCATCTCTGAGATTGTAGTGATATAGAGTGGTAGGTACGTTACAGAGCCAGGTCGATTTAAAACTAACCATATAGCGGAGGAAGAAAACATCACAGAAGTTACTGGCCAACAACTCTGGATCGGCACTATCAAAGTAGGGGAGAGATGTTTTCAGCTGAATTGAATATTCAATGTACTCTCCTATTCTCTCGTCGGGATTCGATGATATTCTAATACAATTGTTGCCCATCAAAGCAATCTTGAAATTCTGACTGATAATGCTAAGATAGCCTGTGGTGCGAATTGGTTGTAAATCTTCTCTGATAACTTTGAATCTATGTTGTATTGTTTTTATAAATAAACTATTACTTCTGCTACTTTATTTGTATACTCTAAATTGAACAATAGATTTTTAACAGGTTGATAATCAATATTATTGAGATAATTTCTTTATATTTTCTAATACTTTATTCATTCACTTTTTTTATTATTATTATTATAGAGTGACTAGTGGTGAATTTATAAAACAATTAAATTGTCCAGATTCAATGAATAGTGAATACCATGCTCTGGATGCACTCTCTAGTCCTGGATTAAAGAATATTGGGTACATTCCTTCTGAATCACTTTGGGAAACATTGAGAAATATCTTCAATTCATCGTAGGTCGGAATGAAGTGTTTGAAGTTTCCGGCCAACATCAAAATGGTGTCTCTCTTCACTTGAGCCTCGAGAATTTGTCTATTGTTATCGGGATCAACACCTACGAAAAAGATGCTAATCTCATGTCCAACTGCTACTTCTCTGGTATTGCGCTGATAGGGACGATTTGGTAACTGACAGAGGGATGTGGAATTAAAGCTAACCATATAACGGAGGAAGAAAAGCTTACAGAAACTACTGGCTAACAACTCCTGGCCGGCTCTGTCAAAGAACCAAACTGATGTTTTCAAACGAATTGAATATTCGAAATACTCTCCAAACTTCTCGTCGTGACTTGCAGTTACCCTGATGCAATGGTTGTCCTTAAAAGTATTCTTCAACTGACGGGTGATGTTAAGATAACCCTTTACACGAAATGGATGCCAAGTATCGTCGTCATCAGAGAAAATGATCCAAGTTGAGAGTGATATTTTCGATGATACAAGATGGTCTACCAAGTGTTTGTAGTGTTGGAACTGAGATTTCTTGACTGATTGCATTAGAATGTGAAGACCATATATTTGATTCCATTCTCCAATCTCCTTTGACAATTGCTCCAGCATTGATTCTTCACAACTAATTGAGATAAAAAATTGAATTTTAACATCTTGATTAACATAGGATCTAATCATCTCTTTTAAATGATTCAATCTCTCTATATCACCAATATGTGATGCACAAAGTGCAATTAATGAAAAATCTATTATATGAAATGATTTGATATTAATTAAATTTGAAAAACTATCTTATAAATTATAAATGAATTAATAATTTACCTTGATTTGACATTTGAATATTTGTTTGCTTAAATATTTTGTGAAAATATAAAACAATAATGTTTTTAAAATTCTTTCTTTTAAAGTTTTGTTTTCAATAAAAAGTTAGAAGTTTGATGTATTGTTATTAGAAAAAAAAGAAAAAAAAATAGATACTTTACATTTTTTTATTTTTATGGCAAAATTATACTAAAAATTATACTTATGAAATGCTTAACCATTGATAATTTGATTAATATCTTGAGTCTAAAATTACATTTGGTTGTTGTGTTTTATCAGCTAGCCATTGTATGATGTCTTGTTTATAAAAGTAGTTGATCAAATACCGTTTGGCTAGATCATTCATTTCCAAACGACATTCAGGTCGATTCTCAAACAGCCATTCGACGACATTCATATAACCACCATTGATAGCGTGAATAATTGCATTCTTATTGCATCCTTCACTTCGATTTTTGTGGAGCCATTGGATCACGTGGAGGTGTCCATTCTTTGCGGCATCGATCATTGCTATTTCTGAACATCCAGATTTTGTATTCTTGTCTAACCATTCGACAAACTCTAGGTTTCCGTGTGAAGCAGCTCGATCCATTGACTTGAAAGTATCACCTCTCATTCCATAGAAATCATAAAACAACTTGTAGATTTCAAATTGATTGTACTTGGCAATGAAATCAAGTTTGATCTTTTCAACTCGACGTTGCTCTGGATACTTGGACATAATCTGGATAATATTTACATGTCCACCTTTGATTGCATTCTTTAGTATTGACCGATTGTATCGCAAATCCTGTGGTCTATTCTCCTCGAGATACTGGAACATGTCCAATCTTCCAGCTTTCGCAGCGTTATCGAATGCTTTACACTTCAATTCTCTTGTCAAAATACTATAACCATAATCACCGTGAGTCTCTTTCCTGGCATTGCACTTGTCTACCATTTGCTTAAAGAATTGAAAGTCACCAGATCTTGGAGCGTAGCACATCGCGCCATAAAATAACCAATCACTTTGGTTATATCGACTTGATAGATAATCTATGATTTCTTGTCGATTGTATTTCGATGACATTAATAGGATATCCATATGATATGATGTTTTCTCTTGTATTTGATTCACGTATCGTTCGTCCAAAAGATATTCAATCAACTCTCGTGAACCTTTACATTTGAAGGCATTGCCTATTATCTTGCTGATCAATACACCATGTTCCTTTGGATCTTGGCCGGGATAAGATATAATATTGCATGGCACACTCTTTAGTTGTTTTAAATAATTGTTACCTGCCAGTAGATGTGGTAGTTTTTCAACACTATACCATTTATGGTGATTGCTTTTACATCTTTTAAGTTTACAGCAATTAGTAATATAAAAGAATATTGTTTTACTAATGATTTTATTATTGAAAATAACTGATGAGAATAATGATTTATTCATCCTAATATTACTATAAAAATAAGAATCTATTGCAATCTATTATTAAATTCCTAACAATGATCACTGAATTTATAAAAAAAAAAAAACTAGAATTATTCAAACAAATTTATTTCGAAATCTCAATGAGAATTTAAAACAACTGATGTTCCATTCTTTACCTTTATTCCATTTAAGATTATTAAATTAATGGGAAATCAAAAAGATCTGTTCAATAGTATTAAAAAAATAATATTAGGTTGTTCTGTAATCTTGTAGCCTTGGAAAATAAAAATAAAAGAAAAATTAGATACTTGTAGTATGTTTATTGTAATTTATAAAAAATGATACTTAACAGATTTGATTAATATTTTGAGTCAAGAATATCATTTGATTGCTTGGTTTTATTGGCAAACCATTGTATGATATCTTGCTTATAAAAGTAGTTGATTACATATCGTTTCGATAGATCTCTCATATCCAAACGACATTCAGGTCTGTTCTCAAAGAGCCATTCTACGACATCCATGTAACCACCATTGATAGCGTGAATAATTGCATTCTTATTGCATCCTTCACTTCGATTTTTGTGGAGCCATTGGATCACGTGGAGGTGTCCATTTTTTGCGGCGTCGATCATTGCAATTGATGAACATCCAGCGGTTGCATTCTTGTCTAACCATTCGACAAACTCTAGGTTTCCGTGTGAAGCAGCTCGATCCATCGACTTGAAAGTATCACCTCTCATTCCATAGAAATCATAAAACAACTTGTAGATTTCAAATTGATTGTACTTGGCAATGAAATCGAGTTTAATCTTTTCAACTCGACGTTGCTCTGGATACTTGGACAGTACATACTGGACAATATTTACATGTCCACCTTTGATTGCATTCCTTAGTATCGATTGACTATGTTGGAAATCCTGTGGTCTATTCTCCTCGAGATACTGGAACATGTCCAATCTTCCAACTTTTGCAGCGTTATCGAATGCATTCAATTTCAATGCTCCTTTAACCATTATGTTTCGAGTGTAATCAGCGAGATTCTCATTGTTTTCATTGCACTTGTCTACCATTTGCTTAAAGAATTGAAAGTCACCGGATCTTGGAGAATAGCACATCGCGCCATAGTATGGCCAATGTCTCTGGCTAGAGCTGTGTCTTTGTGTTAGATACTCAACAATATCCTGTCGATTGTATTTCGTCGCCATATTTAGGATTTTGATTTGCAATGATATTTTCTCTTGTATTTGTACAACGTATCGCTCGTCCAAAAGATAATCAATCAAATCTCGTGAAGCATTAGATTTGATGGCACGGTTAATTATCTTGATGATCGATATACCATGATCCTCTGGATCTTTGGTGGATGTAGAGATAATATAGCTTGGCACACTCCTTAACTGTTCCAAATAATTGTTTCCTGCCAGTAGAAGTATCTGTTTTTCAACAGTATACCATTTATGATGATTATCTTTACATCTTTTATTCCTACACTGACTAGCTAAGTAAAAGAATATTGTTTTATTGGTTACTTTATTATTGAAAACAACTGATGAAAATAATGATTTATCCATATCTTATAAAAAAAAAAAAAAAAAAAGGTAAAAGTATACTGATTTAAAAAAAAAGAAATAACTTTGAATTATGATTACCAATATATTTATATTAAAAATGCAGATATGGTATCGAAAATTATCTTGTTGATGCCAACAATGTAAAATCAAAAAAAAACAGATTTTTAAATGAAATTTCGACGAGAATTAAAATTTAACTTCATAATGAATAAAATCTTGTGAGACAAAGATGGTTTCTGAGGAGTCTGGAAAATCATTGTTAAAAGTTTCCGAGTTAAGTTATTGAAAATTTAGTTAATTGTGAGATCTTTAGTGTTGGTCTTTGACCATCAAGATTTCAAGCTAAAGAAGAACAAAATAATAATCTATTACATCATAAAGTTAACTCGGTATATAATAATAATAATAATAATAATAATAAAATCAAACAAGAGATATCTCTTGTTTTTTTTATTTAAATTATTATTTTATTAATCAATCAATCATCATTGTTAATTAATATTATCAATAATTATTAAAATAAAAAACGACAATCCAAATAGATAGAGATTATAAGTCAAGCGTGTGTGAGTGAAGTAGTGTGTTTGTTGACAAATATTAACGATTTTTTTTTTTTTGTTTTTTTTTTTTGGTGTTGACACACCCAATTTTAATTAAAATTTTGGCTTTCGAATTTTTTTGGCACTCGTGAAAATAAATAAATAAAAAACAAACAAAATTATTATTATTTTGTTTTTTTTTTTTAATTCTCCATAGATAAATTGTATACTCAAAACAAAACGTTCCAATATTCATTATTATTGTTTAGTTTTTTTATTTAGTTTTTTTATTTTTTTTATTTACTTTTTAAAAATATATATTTTTTTATTTTATTCTAGAACAGAACCTTTTCTTTTTTTATTTATTCTTTTTGTAAATATTTATATCAACAACAAAAGCCTAGACAACAGCAACAGCAACAACAATATCAATAATCATTTATAGTTTATATTTATATTTAAAAAACCAACACAATAGATATTTAATCTATATTAGTGTTGTAGCAATTAAAGTCAAAGTAAAACAACAAAACATAACTTTATAATAGTTTTTATTTTGTTTGAGGGAAAGACAGAATTATTTACAAAAACAACAAAAGGAAAATCAAACCTATCGATCTAATTTTACAATGTATATTTAAAGAGGAAGAAGTTGACTTTTTGTAATTCTTTAAAATTTCATTGTTAAGAAAAAAGTCAACTTTCTCTTGTTAACCATCAACATCAATTAGTTTGGACAAACATCACAATAGTCTTTTAAGAGATAACCAATCAAGTATTAGTCTTTGTATATAGTTTTTTTGTTTATAAGAGGTATTTTATTAGTTATTATTTAGTTTTAAACATAAAGATAGACAGATAGATAGATAGTGAGACTGGACCGACAGAGATAGTAAATAGTAAATAGATAGAGTATAATCATGAGTAGTTCACTAAATGAAAAAGTAGATAACGAACAGAATGCGACAGAGAGTAATATAGGCACTTCAACAACCAATACCAATAATAACAATAACAACAATATAGAGAGTAAAGAAGATAAAGATAAACAAATGGAACAACAACAACAACAACAACAACAGCAACAAAAAGAACCAACACCATCTGAACCAGCAAAAGCTGAGTTATGTAAAAATAATTGTGGATTCTATGGGTATGTTGTTTTGAATTGATCAAACTACAGTTTCTTAATTTAATTTTATTAATATTTTATTATTATTATCATTGTTGTTTTATTAGTAATCCAAAAACAAGAGGACTTTGTTCAACATGTTATAATAAAGAATTGAAAAATGAACTACAACAACAACCTCCACACATTTCGATTGCATCGGCAATGGCAACTTCACCGGACAAACCAAAAGCAGGAACAAAAAGATCAATTTATGAAGCAACTTATTTTGACCAACAATTGAATAGTAGTAATAATAATAATAATATAGTAACTAATACAACAACAACAACAACAACAACAGCTACAACAACTACAACAAACGAAATACCACTTTCATCTTCACCAGCTTCATCATCTTTTTCCTCTTCATCTTTAACACCAACCAAACAGATTCCACAGATTTCCACAAAAGATTCTTCTCTAGGCAGTGGAAATAGCAGCAACAGTAGTGGTGGTGGTAGTCCGAGTAGTAGTGGCAGTAGCAACGTTTTATTAACACCAACTAAATCAGCACCGATTCCGATTGGCGGTGCCAGTCCATCATCACCGCAGACACTCAACAATTCGCCGTCCGTGTCTTCACCAGTTGGATCACCCTCTGGCAAAGAATCGGCCAAGTGTGCTTATGATAACTGTGGAAAACGATTACCGGGTATAATGAGCGAATCAAATCGATGTAGATGCGGTGGCACCTACTGTGGTAAACATATGCACAACCATGAATGTCAATTCGACTACAAATCCATGGCGAAAACGACGATTGCAAAAGCGAATCCACAGATCATGGCAAACAAAATTGTTAAACTTTGAAAGCAAAACCAAAAAACCTCTCGCTCTCTCACTCACTCTCTCTCTATTTTGTTTTATATATATAATATAAATATACAGTATTATAATTATTATTATAAGTTAACCAGTTAGTTGTTATCATCATTTATCTTTTGGTTTATATATTTAAAGATATTAGAATTCTAATAATAGTTTACTTTTAATTTTAATTTAATTATAATGTAGAGAGGTCTGACCTTCTTTAGTATGAAATAAAAGTTTATAACAATGATATTTTTTACAATTACAAATATTGTTATATTATTATTATTATTCTTTATTACATTAGTTTGCAAGTTAGTATTCTTTTAAAAAAAGAAGAATTCCTATTAAAATAAAAGATTGATGTATTATTATATTGTTATAAGTCTAATCTTTTTGTTTCAAAATATATATTGGTGATATTCGTATCTTATAATTATTTACAAAGTTTAACAATAATAATAATCTTATATATATTATTATTATTTGATTTGCAAACCAAAATGGTAGCAATATTATTATTACATTTCCATTGGTGTTGGTTTATCTTCTTTTGAGTTGTTAAGATCAGAGTTGGTTTGACAGGTAGGTGAAACTTCAATCAATATCTCATCTTCTTCTTCAACAGTATCCAATTTCTTTTGGTGTTGTTGATTTTGTTTGAGTTGTTCTTTTCTTTTTTCCTATAAAATAGTAGTAATAACAAATATTTTAGATTAGTAAACTAATATATATAGTCTATTATATTGTATATTATATATACAATTTGTTTTTTAATTGAATCATGTATTATTTCTTTTGGTTCTGTATATAATATCAATGATTGATTTTTACTAAAAAAGTAGTTAATTAAAACAATATGTTAATATTTGATAATTGGTTGCAAAACCAATATGAATATAATTATCATAATAATATTGAGCTACTTACTTTTCAGGTATATCTATAGGTTTAACAGGTGAAATATAGTTTAAAGGTTTACTGTTTGGGAATAGTAATGACTTTATATCATTGGGTGGCATCATATCCATCATTCTAAGATTACTTTCAGATCTGATAAGTCTCTCGAGTGTATCATTCTTTGGTTTCGTCAAATAGGTGATACCATTACTACTACTGTCATTTGATTTCTGATTCTGTGGTATCAATGCAAGTTGTTTATTATTGATAATGAGAGGAGTTGGTTGTAATTTAAACATAATATTACTATTACTATTGCTATTATTATTTGTATTATCGTTTGTTAAATTCATATCATTTATATTATTTACATTATTATAGTTGTTATTATTATTATTATTGTTATTATTATTATTATTAAAATCGAAATCTATATCATAATTATTGTTATTAATGTTAATGTTAATGTTATTATTATTGTTGTTGTTATTGGCATTAAAGAAATGTAATGGTTTTGTATGTTCATGTTGTTGGTTATTATTATTCGGTTGAAATAGATGATCGCTGGTATCGTCGAGTGAGAGTACACCGATTCTGTCGGCCATTGTTTGCGACAGATATTTCTTGTTGTTTCTAATACTCTCTAGATCTTCATTCTCTTCATCCATTCTTCGTTTCAATTTGTTAATTAATTTCGTAGATGTTCCATTGACTTGTGCATGACCATTACCAACAACACAAATACCATTTGGAACAACTCCATTTATATTCCTCATATCAGAGGTTTGAGGACTAAATTCTTGCTGTTGTTGAAACATATTATGTTGTTGAAATTGTTGTTGTTGTTGTTGTTGTTGCTTAACTATATTAAATCTATTGGGTATATCCGTACTGTTTTTAGTTGAGATGCTACTATTATTTCGACTGCTGCTATTACTACTTTCATTAGAACTGTTTGAGTGCATTTATTTTATCTTAATTTAATGAAGATCTAAAATATTTTAATTTGAGTTAAAGTTCTACGTAGTTCAATTTATTTTGTCTCCAAAAAGAATTATGGATGAAATATTCGACTACACAAGAGAAATAATTTTTATTTTGGGTTTAAAAAATGATTTAAAAGACATTGAAAACGAAGAAGATACAAAATCAATAATGTGTAATATCAAAATCATACAAGCTCGATTAGCTCAGTCGGCAGAGCGTGGTGCTAATAACGCCACGGTCGCAGGTTCGATCCCTGCATCGAGCAAAAAATTTTAAAAAATTCAATCTCCGCCTGCGGACAGAATCAAACTCTATTACTCTCACATCTTTCCCATCTTTCCCATCAACCACAAGCGCACTGGTCATGTCTGTGAGTTCTTTGGTTATACCTTTACTGAACTATGCTACCCAAATGAGAATTTATTCTTCAAATGCAGGAATGTATATCATTATGGCAGGTACTGTCCTGTGAAATGTTGGGTGATGGTACCCGATACAAACTGGAAATTAACGTCAATAGAGCAGTCACTCATTTCACTAAATTGATACCAATTACCATAAGCTTAACATCACCATCGCTAATTCTATCTCCCAAGGAGTCACTGTCGTTTGCTCTGCCATGACGCGTAAATCTGATTGGAATCTAAATCCTTCCAACTACGTGCCACCAATTTGTACTGTTGTTCATCAACACTCAACTACTGTTAGATCTATTCTGTCCTAATAATACTCAACTTATTAAGGTCAGTGGTAATGATAAATATAATAATTCACATTTTCCAATGAGTGTAAGTGATTCCAAATTCGGTGGAAATCTACTTATCTTTATATCTCCCTCCAAAGAAGGAAGTTTCTTTGTCGATGATAGGGAATGAAAATCTAAAGAATTTGATTGAATATTATATGAGTAAACTCTCAATATTTCCACAGTGTTTGGTATGAATTCAAATGAAAAATCATCCAATTCCAAAGTCATCTCCAATTGTTTGACACCAATAGGATGCCATCGGCTTCCATACGATGTCGATAACCAATAATAGTTAGGTTTCTGACACTCGATGGTATACTCCCAGGGATCAATCTATTTGAAATCTGCCGTTTCACAAAAGTCAAGACTGGTGATTGTAGATGGAGTGACACCAGGTTCAATATAGTTATTATTAAATATGATAACGTAAAGTTTCAGGCTGGTACTGATTGTGGAAGTGAAACATTTGAATAAAAATAAAAAAATAAAAAAAAATGATCATTGCATGACTAAATTAATCATTCTTTTATAAAATGTTTGTTTATTCTTTATTATTAATGATTATCTTTATAAACTCCATTGTTGAACTATCTATCTATCTAATTAACCAACAACTTAGGTTAACCTCAATACCTTAGTCTAATCTCCAAAACATCGGAGATTTTTAATGACTGAGTTATTGACTAATTTAGAATCAAAAATAATTATTTTTAATAATACTTTTATAGTATTATTTAAATTTATCTGTTTTAGATATTAAACTGTGTATTGTTATTGAATATTGTCACCATTTCTAGGTAGCTATCGTTCAAGGTCGACATCTACTGCTACGACGTGTAAATTTAAATCATGTTACTTATAAAGAAAAAATGATGATTGCTTCTCTTATTATTCTTTTTACATGATCATTTTTATTTGAAAAATGTAAAAATCGTTGGTGGAAAAAAAAAAAAACCACGTGGTCGAGGAAAATTTTGGACATGAGGGATTCAGGCAAAACAAATTTTTTGCATATTTATTTGCTTTAGCGTTAGTATGAAGAAGAAATAATCACTTCATATTAATCACTATTTATTCGGTTATATATATATTTATTTACAAAGACCAATAATAATAATGATACATAAACAACTTCTTTATATTGTACTTTCTTTGTTATTGTTATTGGTTGGATTAAGTAGAGCTCAAAGACCATGTACACTTCAGAATTATAACGGTGACTTTTATGACTTTTCTGCTTTGTAAACTATCGATATTCAACATCATTGATTTGCTATTTTTAATTAAGATCATCAGATCATCAGATCGTCATCATCAATTTCGTTTGCTAATAATTATTATTATTCTCTCTCTCTTTGTACAAAAATAAAAAACAGATCTGCAATCAAAGACTATTCAATCGCTAACAGCGTGCCAGACACATACTATTTCAATATCTGTAAAGATTCGATATTCTGCACTACCAAATATCCAGGCAGTGCTTCATGTCACTCCGGTTCTTTTGCACCTGGAGTTCCCTATGCAAACATCGGTCAAACAAGTACTATGACCATTTCTCCATTACGTATGAATTGAACAGAAAGAAAAGAAAATTATTAATAGTTAGGTTTACTTACTCTCTTACTGAATTATTATTATTATCATTTTCATTTATTTATTGTTAGCTGGTGGTAATAAAGGTGGTCAAATTCAATATACGAATGGATCGTATTGTTCAGATTCATTACCGATCTATAGAATGATTACTATAGCAATGAGATGCTCCGATGGTCCAACCACATTGATCTATGTAGATCAACCATCGACCTGTGTTTACTACATTGAAATGAGTAGCTCTCTAGCATGTCCAGTTTCATCAAGCTCGACCACCACCTCGACCTCGACCTCGACCTCGACCTCGACCTCTACCTCTACCTCTACCTCGATATCAAACTTGGCTTCATCAACTTCGGCTTCCTCGACAGGAACACCAAGCTTTTCAACAACAGGCAATCAAATCATCAATGAAAACACTATTTCAACATCCGGTGGTATCACTGGAAATGGTATCTCAATATCAAGCACCGTTGGAACAAGTACAGGTTTAGTAACAACATCGAGTTCGGGAATTTCTTTTTAACTAAGAACATCAATGAATGTTCATGTTTCATTCTCTCTCACTTTTGTAAAAGAATAGTCATAAAATAAAATAAAATAAAAAACAATTATTTAATTTATAGAATTTAATAAATATATTTATTTATCATTATTACAAGTTGTTTTATGTTGAGTCGATTGGTGTTGTTAACTCTATAGTGTTGCTGAAGCTATTGGTGGTGTCAATGACATTGTTGATGTTGTTCTTGTCGATGTTTTGGTTATTAAAATTGGAAATGAAATATACACAAAATGTTGTTGTTGTTTGTTGTTTGATTGTGTTGTAATCATAATTCTAATTAGACAACCATGGATATGTGGTGAACGACGAACCCAAGAATCTACCGGTACCATTCTCTTTGATCGCAGCTTCATAGATAATGTTGCCAGCAACTTCGGGTTCGAGTTCACCTGTAAAGTTGTTCATTGGTGTTTTGACGAAACCCGGTGCACTGAATGAACTTTGAATCCGTCGGCAGCCAACTCCTTTGACAACATAACAGTGAATGCGTTGCGAAGTCTTGCTACTGTTATAGGAGAGTGAGTTGATCTGTGCAAATTTGTAGTCAGTGTAGTTCAACAGACTCAACGATCCCAAGTCCGAAGAGATATTCAATATCACTTTGGCAGCTCCGTTTCGAAGTAGCGGTAAGAACAGCTGGGTGACTTCGACTACTCCAAAGAAGTTGACATCGAATGTCTTTCTCAGTGACTGGCTGTCGTACGTAGATGTTTGGTTGACACTCAGGAATACACCGGCATTGTTGATTAGAATATCGAGCTTTGAGTTTGTTTCTTGGCTGCCTGTACACTCTCGGCATTGCCGACCTCCAATTGTACGAATCTAACATCGGCATCTGGATACTCCACAGTCAACTCATTCTTTTAATACCCTCAGCTTCGTTTCTAGCGGCTACATAGGTAATGAATCCTTTACTTGCAAATAACTTAGCTGTTGCTTTACCAATTTTAGTAATTAAATAAAATAAAAGATTCTATTTATTTCTTGCTACTATTATTAATAGTTAACTTGTTGTTGTTTACTGATTTGAATTATGCTTTTGATCTACAACATCGTTTTTGAATGCGCTGCTATTTATACTTTTCAATAATAGTTCGTAATTAATATGCTGACTATGCATTTTGTCTGGCTAGTCTTCGGTAAGCATATTCTATTCTATTTGAATTATAATAAATTATATAGATATCTCAAAATGCAATTTTGGTAAAAGCTGCAGAAGAAAAAAAATAAAAACTAAAAGCACTGAAGATTCTTTTAGAATGATCGCCAAGCTTTTTTTGGTTGTGTGATTATTTAATTTTTAAGGTTTCTTGAGTTTTTTTGCTGTGAAAAATGGAAAAAATCGTTGGTGATGGAAAAAAAAAGAAAACCACGTAGTCAAATAACATTTCGGACATGAGGGATTCAGGCAAAACAAATTTTTATGCATATTTATTTGCTTTAGATAGAATTAGATGAAGAAGAAATAATCACTTCATATTAATCACTATTTATTCGGTTATATATATATTTATTTGCAAAGACCAATAATAATAATGATACATAAACAACTTCTTTATATTGTATTTTCTTTGTTATTGTTATTGGTTGGATTAAGTAGAGCTCAAAGACCATGTACACTTCAGAATTATAACGGTGACTTTTATGACTTTTCTGCTTTGTAAACTATCGATATTCAACATCAATGATTTGATATTTTAAAATTAGTTCATCAGATCGTCATCATCAATTTCGTTTGCTAATAATTATTATTATTCTCTCTCTCTCTTTGTACAAAACAAAAATAGAACCTCAATTAAAGACTATACAATCGCAAACAATGATCAAGACATATTCTACTTTAATATCTGTAAAGATTCAGCATTCTGCGATACTAAGTATCCAGGCAGTGCTACTTGTCACTCCAGCCATTGGGAACCTGGAGTTCCCTATGCAAACATCGGTCAAACAGGCTCTATGACCATCACTCCTTTAGGTATGTTTGAACGATCAGCTGATTTATAATATTGATAGATTTACAATTTATAAATGAATAGAGATATATATATTGAAAGAGTAAGCAAATCATTAATCATTAATCATTTTCATTTTTTTATTGTCAGCTGGTGATAATAAAGGTGGTCAAATTCAATATACGAATGGATCGTATTGTTCAGATTCATTACCGATCTATAGAAAGGTTACTATTGCAATGAGATGCTCCGATGGTCCAACCACATTAAACTATGTAGGTGAATCATCGACCTGTGTTTACTACATTGAAATGAGTAGCTCTCTTGCATGTCCAACTTCATCAAGCTTGGCTTCATCAACTTCGGCTTCCTCGACAGGAACACCAAGCTTTTCAACAACAGGCAATCAAATCATCAATCAAAACACTCTTTCAACATCCGGTGGTATCACTGGAAATGGTATCTCAATATCAAGCACCGTTGGAACAAGTACAGGTTTAGTAACAACATCGAGTTCAGGAATTTCTTTTTAACAACAAATGAGTGGTTGGATGAATGAAGTGAAGTTCATTCTTCTCTCACTTTTTAAAAACACACATGTAAATTATATTATAATAGAATAAAAACAAAATCTACAATTATTTATATATATTATTTATTTATCTTTATTACAAATTGATTGAGGTTGATGTTGGGGTTGGCGAGATTGGTGGGATAGCTGGAGGATTTGAAGCGGGATTTATGGTTGGCGTTGCTGTTGCCGGTGTTGAGACGATCGGTGTTACTGATGATATTGGCGTTGCCGATGCTGTTGGTGTTGCCGATGCTAGTGGTGTCAATGCAATTGGTGTTGCTGTCGGTGTTGATAGTGCTGTAGGTGTTGTCGGTGGCGATGATGGTGTTGGTGGTTTCTTGATTGGCACCATCAGTGGCTCCTTAAACAGTATCTTTAGATATTGCATTAGAGTATACTTTCTAATGCCGTAGGTCAGCAGGATTCGCCTGTCGTTGCTCTTTAGCAAACGGTGTGGCCATATCGTTGATTTCGTGATGATCTTCTTGAGCACCTTGCAAATCTCGGGACACGACTGTCCAACTTTGCTGTTGGCCAACGACTTGTACTTGTTGATTGCGTACCGACCGAATGCCTTGCTGAGCACCGTCGATTCGACGCGTTTCGTACGGCAGACATCCTCTTGCTTCAAGAGAAGATCGTAAAAGCCAATGCAAGCGTACCTCGTATAGATATCGTCTTGAGTGTGCTCCATGTTGACACCGTTCTTACCGATACAACACAATGCACATTCCCGTTCGGTATTGGTGACCGTCTGCTCGTTGTCGTTGGCCAGTTGTTCAGAGGAAGAAGAAGAAGAAGAAGAACCGGCAGCAACAATAGTAACACCACCAAGATGATAATGATCCTTTGACGAAGGTTGGTGATGATGCTGATGCTGTTGATCGATTTCAACACCATTTTGAACAGGTGAATCCGGATCGATCTCCATAAGTTCAGGCTTTGTTTTCTCTTGTTGTTGTTGTTGCTGTTGTTGTTGTTGTTGTTGTTGTTGTTGTTGTTTATCTTCTTTGGTTATAGCAGCAACTCCCATTGTTACACCATCAACAGATGGTGGTGTTATTTGTTTATCTTTATTGATGTTGTTGTTTCTGTTGTTTGTTTTGTTTTTGTTGTTTTCAGGTTTTATGACATCGTCATCGGAAACACCCATTTCGTTGGTATCGTAGTCCTTCCTTAGGTAGTGCTTACACTCGCGACAAACTCGTAGTTTGAGCTCTTTGAATGTCTTGAGAATCGAAAAGTAGACTTTTCTAGGTTCGGCGTCATACTTTGATTTAATAAACTCGAGAGGCTTACTTTTGTCTTTATCTTTCTCTTTTTTCTCTTTCTTGCTCGGCGTAACTGTAGTGCTATCGATGACTGACAGCTTATCATGCTTCTCCTTCAATTTCTTTGGTGTTTGTGTTTTACTAGGTTTTTCTTTTGTTGCAGTCATTGTAGTTGTAGTTGTCGATGTTGCCGTCGATGATGCTGGTGTCGATGTGAGTATTGGTGTAAGAGAAGAAGATGGTGATGGTGATAGTGAACTATGTGTAGTTGTCGATTTGTCATTATTATTAAAACTATTATTATTATTGTTATTCTTATTATAACTATTGACATCAATGATACTGTCAGGCAAAAGATCACCAATATGTACTTCTGCGATTTCCTCACCATCTCCACCTGAATAAAGCCAATCATTATCGTTGTCACTATAGTCATCTCTATATCTCTTTCTGCCATCCTTTGTATCGTCACTAAGATGATCATAATAACCTAGATGACCACCATGACCACTAAAGTCTACATTATGACCCTGATCATGAGCATGATGACTGTCAATTTGCATTCTACTATTACTATTATTATAATTAAAACTATTACTATTACTATAATTGTTATTATATACATCATTAATTTTATAATTATTATTATTGTTGTTTTTGGTATTATTGTTGTTATTGTTGTTGTTATTATTATTGTTTACATTGATAATATTTGGATGATTATTAATACTTTTGTTACTATAGACTTGATTAGGTATAGTAATACCATTATTATTGTTACTGTAATTTGTAGAATACATTGAATATGATGAAGTTGTTGTTGTTGTTTGTTTCTGTTGTTGTTGTTGTTGTTGCTGCACAGTGGCGGTGGTATTGGTATTGAAATATTTGGATTTGGCATAGCTATCTACATTCGGAATATTATGTTCAGTATTATTTGGTCTAATGGTTATTGAATTCTTAAATGCTTGGTTATTTAAGTGTGATGTGCTTGTTGGTTTCTGTTGATGCTCGTCAGCAGTGGTGCTGCTGCTAGTGCTGGTAGTAGTAGTCTCAGCAGTCTCAGGTTGATCACCTCTGTATCTATTAATGATCTTACTCCAATTATTACTGATAACGGCACTGGTAAATGAATCCACTGTAGCTTTGACATCTATACGTCTAATACCACTGGTGTTATTGTTACTATTGGTTGGTGATTGTTGTTGTTGTTGCTTTGGCGATGGTGGTTGTTGTTGTTGTTGTTGTTGTTGTGGTGATAATTCATTTGTTCTCATTCTACTATTACTACTACCATTATAACTAGGTAGATGACCGACAGCTTTAAATTGGTGATTACAATGTTCTAGTGCACATTTCGAGCATATTAAACGATGATCACAATCGACACAAACAAACTTCAACGTCTTATTGTGTGATGAGCAAATAAAACTTTTCTCAATTGAACTGTCATATTGATGTTGTACTATATGTGGTTGTTGTTGATTAATATGTTGTTGTTGTTGTTGTTTGGTAAGCTGATATTGATGGATATTATCCATTTTAAAAATATATAAAAATATATAATATAATATCTAAAGATTTAAAAAAAAAAAAAAAAAAACAAAAGATTGATTCAATCTTTAAACAACTAACTAATTACAACAAAAATAAATACTTTTTATCCTATCTTTCTATCTGTCTATCTATTGAAAAAAGTAATTTAAAAAATGAAAAGTGAAAAAAAAACACCAATAAAAATATTTAAAAATGAAGAAACAACACAAGCATTAACAAAGTTATTAAAACAAATATTTACTAAAGATATTTATATATATAACTATTTATTTATTAACTAAACAAACTAAATGCTGGTTGGTTACAAATCAAATGAATGAGAGTTATTATGGAGAATACAAACCAACAATGAAAAAAACCAAATCCCTACTTTTTTTAATTTGGTTTTTTATTTTTAATAATTTTATTTATTTTTTTTTGGTTGGACCACACAACGAAATGTGAATTTGACAGAAATTTTTTAAAGCAGACTCATTTTTTACAGCACATAACACACAAAAAAAAAAAAAAATGTGACAACAAAAAAAAAAAAATGAAATTTAAATATAATCAGCGAATTATTGTTGTGTCAACTTTGTTTGCACGAGATAGATATATATTTATATTAAATATTTAAAGTTAAAAAACTAAATTAATATAATAGAATATATAAATAAACATAAATCTATAAAATATTTTGATTTTAATATTTGTTTGTATGAATAAATTGCTACACTAGCGACTCATCAATTTTTTTTTATTATTGATTTTTTGTATTTTTTGTCGTTTGGGTTTTTTGTGGGTGGTATTTGACATGTTGTTTTTTTTTTGTGCTTTTTTTGTGGTGTTGTTATTTTTGCTATTTTTTTTTTTTTTTGATTGTTGTGTTTCGTCAATAATATTTGATCTTGTCAGAAATGACAGATCTACACAGCGGACATGAAGATAGATTGTTGGAACATTGATCGCAAAGACATCGGTGTTTGCAAGGCAGTAGAATGGTGTTGATAGAACGATCAGCACAAACCAAGCAGATTTGTGATTCCTCTTTCTCCTTTTGGAGTTTCAAGAGTTGCTGGGTGAGAAGATTCTGTTTGGCCATGCCGACTGCCTTGAGACCCTTGTGGTGAATCTCCTCGAGACGATCGAGATCTTTCATGTTGAGCTCCTCGAGTTTGTCACCGACGAGATGCTCCACCTTGAGACTGTCGACCGCGAATCGCTTCTCAATGAGCGATTGGACATTGTGAAACTCAGTGGTTTTTGATTGGAGTTGCTCAACGGTTTCCATTAGCTTCTCTTTCTCGCGGTTGAGCTCTTGTATCTGGATCTCCATGGCTTTGTAGACAAAGCCGTCAGCTGCATTCTTTAGGCGTTGCGAATCGACCAACTCTGCCTGGCTGAGCATCTCTGTTAGATCTTTGATACTGCTGGTAGGCGATTGTTGTTTGCCAGGCGATGACACTTTGGTGGAGGTGGAGGTAGGATTCTCTTTGAGACTGATCTTCAGCGCCTGTGAGAGCGATGCGATAATATTGTCTTTCTCTTTGATAGAGACATTCAGTTTGGTAACAGTGTCTTGCGCTTTTATCTTTTGTGATTGCTCCTTCTTGAGTGTCTGTTCCAACTTTGACATCTCCTTCTCGAGAAATTCGTATTTCGTTTGTTCGGCAACCATAGAGCGGTGTGCCTCCTTCGATTGTTCAAGCTCATTCGATATCAGTGTTTTCTGTTGTTGCTCCAGTAGCAGTTGCGCCAGTGCATTCTTTAGTTGAGATTGTAAATGAATATTACTATCGCTTGTGTACAATATAATATTATCGGCAGCTGCTGATTTACTTGGTAGTGACGAAGCAGCAGGAGTGGAAGTCGTTAGCGGCTGATTTATATTTAATAAAGGTGGAGTTGTTGTGGGTGTAGATGTTGCCGATGTCGATGTTGTAGTGGTAGTAGTTGTTGTTGTGGTGGTGATGTTAGAGTTATTGGCAGTTGATTGAACCATTGGTGAAAGTGTAGCTTGTTGTTGTTGCTGTTGTTGTTCCGACGTCAGATTGGATGTTGGCGGTAGCAGTAGTTCTCTGGGAGTAGGCATTAGACTCTTTAGATCTAACACACACATATCGCTGTACAAAACTCCAGATGAACAACCACCGTAGACAATCATCTCTCCTGTCTCCAGCAGATTGCTGGTGTGGTGAAACCGGCTGAACAACGTCAGTCCGGCGATGGCAGGCTGCGGAACCCAGCTCCAACTCTCAATGTCCAGAATGTGAACGTCGTTGAGGAAGTTGGTTTCATTGCAACCGCCGTGTATCACTATGTATTTACTGCCGACGCTGACCGCGGTGTGTCCGTGTCGCGGCGACGGTGAGATTCCACTCGGTTTGATCTGTGTCCACACGTAATCCTTGGTATTCAACATCCAGACATCGATCAACGATCGCTTTCCATCGTATCCACCGATGAACACGACATTCTCAGTCTCTTTGATATGGCTGGCAGTGTGGCCAGTTCGCCCGCTCGGTCCGGATCCGCGCACCGACGGCTTTATCCAGCGAATAGTATCGCTCTGACGCTTTGGAAACTCTAAAATATACAAACTCGTAAAATACTTTGCCGAGTGATTACCACCAAACAAAACCATCCTATTACATCCACCACTGACACTCTGAACAAAAGTACATGTATGTCCTGCTCTTGCTTCCGGTTCTACCTTGTCGAAATGAAAAGTACTCCATGACATTGTAGCTATTATCATTATTATTGTTATGAACAATGTGTTGTTAGTAGGTTGTTTCAGATAGATTATTGTTTTTGTCTGTTTAGATCATTTGTATTATTATTACTATTATACATACGTAAATTTAAACAATATAAATCATTTAGATATTTCTTGTTGTTACGACCACCAAATACCATCACTGAAGAATCTTCAACGAGTGTAGCGGTATGTGCATAACGTGAAGATGGACCTTTCCCCAGTGTGTGTAGTTCATTCCAGACACTAGAGGTAGAGTCGTATACACAAGTATTGGAATACAAAGATTCACCCTGTCCACCAAATATAAACACTCGCTTTCCTATCGAGACAGAGGTATGTCCCCATCTCGCTTCAATCGAAAACAATCCACCACCAATCTTTGTTCCACTGGAAAATGTTATTCTATTTGCTCTCAAGATAGTCCGAGAGACTTCATATTTTGTTTGATCTAAAAATATTATAATTATTATTATCAATACTCATTTTCTACTAAACTATTATTATTATTATTACTATTATTATTGATAACTTACCATCAGTCATCTGTCAAAGCAATTATTTAAAATTGCTTCAAATTTCAAACTCTATAGATATTACTCTTTGATATAAATAAATAAATAAACTGTTGTTGTGAAAATAAATAAATAAATATATGTTGTTTATGCTAGATAAATAGATACTACTACTTTTTGTATACAAATTAATTATATACTATATATATATTGGATAGACTGTTTGCCGTTGTTGTTATTCTAATGAAGTTGATTTAAATAGACTACTAATATTACTATTACTTTTAATATGATTATTCATAATAATAATAATCTAAAATGTTAAACAAACAAAGTTTAATTTAATCTAAAAATATATATATATTCCTATCTATCTATTTTTTTAAAAAATAAAATAAAAACTATAATTAGTACAATGAATGTAAATAAATAATCAAAAAAAGAATTGAAGAGTTATGTTATTTGTAAACAATATTGTCTGTTTGTTTTGTTGTGTTTTGTTTTGTGCAGTGTTATTTTGATATTTTTAATTTTCCGAAGTGTTGTTTAATTAATGTTGAAATTATAATAAATGTTTTGTGGTTGGTTTTTTGTTTTTTTTTGTTTTTTTTTTTTGATTAAAGATGTGTCGATTGCTTTGAAGAAAAAAAATAGTTAACAATTTTGTAAACAATACCTTTTCTGTTCTATTATTACAATAATATTATTATTTACATAAGTAAGTCAACTATAGTTGTAGTTTCTAGTTTTATAATAATGATTTAATATAATATTAAAACCAAATTATTCAAATTTATTTACTATTTTGTGTTTAAAACAAAAAAAAAAAAAAACTAAAAAAACCAACCAAATTTCACATTTTCATACGACTTCTGACCAAAACATGCGTCTTGAGCTTAACACAATTGTGTGTCGGGTTTGTGCAAACAAAAAATCTGAAACTTAAAGGGTAATCAGAAGTGATTTTTTTTGCTTAAAAAAACCAAAAACTGAAAAATCACAAAAAGCAAAAACAAAAAAAACAACAAATACTTACTTTTTAAAAGATGTAATATATGATGATGTAAATAACAAAAATCTTGAATATAATACTTAAATAAGTAGAGAATTAACTAAATAACTAAATAAATACAATCTACTTTTCTAAAATAATATTGTTATTGTTTTATTTACTGGATGACTGATTAGTTAATTGAATTGTAATGTAATGATGATTTTATTAAAGAAATAATAATAATAATAATATAAAATCTAAATTTCAAATCTATATGTCAAACTATAATAGTTATTATTGTATGGATATAAATAAAAAAAGAAATTATATTTAATGAAATGAAATAGAACTTTGTGTACTGACTGGCTGGTGGAAAAGCAAGCTTAATTTTGAAATGCATTCTCTTGCTGATGGTAAAACAAAAAAAAAATTTGAAAAACAAAAAGTTGGGTGGGGTATAAAAAAGGTTTTAGACTTTCACATCATGAAAAACTCACACACACCTCTCCATAAAAACTTATTCTTGTTAATATCATACCTATCAAATCCAAAAAGAAACAGCATATATAATTACTTAGATTTTTAAAATTGTAATAATAATAATTGTTGTTGTTGTTGTTGACAACCTACCTCCTACCATAACCCATCACCACCTTCCCTCACTTACTCAACAAACACAAAACCAACTTTTCTACTCACACAAACAAAAATAAATAAATAAAAATATAAGACAATAATAAACTCCAACTTTAACTATTTTAGTTTAATTTTTTGAGTGTTAGTTAAGTGTGCTAGGTGTGTTGGGTGTGGTGGTTGATAAACATAACAGGTTACCATTAATCTTATTAACAAGCATGCCTTAAAATAAAAGTTATTGTTATGATTGTTGTGGTGTAGTTATCATTGTTATTGTTGTAGAGTTTTGCACTTGTAGACAATACAATTGATATCAAAGTATTAATATCCAAAAAAACCACCCGCTATTTGAAATAATGAATTCTGATCTTTGCACTCAAAATTACAATTTATTTTTGGTTTATTGTGTAATTCATACCTAAATTTAATTTATTTTAACATTTTCTCACCTCTCTTATTTTAAAAAGAAGAGTGAATGAATCTGTCATTAGTAAAACAATAGTTAAAGCCGAATTTATAAAAAAAAAAAAGGTTTAATTAAATAGTCACACCAAGGTGGTCGTTGGATTTAAGAATAAATAGCAGTAAAGCAAAGCAAAGCAAAGCAAAGTAAAGTAGAGCAAAGCAAAGCAAAGAAAACGAACATGTTATTATAAATTACTAACGATCATACAAACAACAACTAAAGTTCTCAAAATCTGAAATCTTTAAATAAAGTATTAAAATATTAATATTTTCATTCAAAACACTCTAAGATATTGATACTTTTAAATATAAATATTATTTTCTTTCCTTACAAGTATGGTCTATATATACTGTTTACTGTTTTATTTTATTTCATAATAAATATTTATTTACACTCTTTAAAATCTCCCTGATCTGAAATCACGAATTGCTTGATCAATTTCCTCTTCTGTACACATAACACTAATGATTTATTTATTATTATAAAATTAGTAAAAATGAATTTTCATAAGAGTTATATATTGATTATAAATATAATATACTTACAAAGGTCCATATTGGCAAATTGGTTCACCAATGGGTGCTGCACTTAGCAACATGAATCTTAAACCTTTATCGGATGCAGTGATGTCGATTCTAGTTTCATTGTTGCTGCCATCAAGAACTGCAAGTTGTGATTCTTTGACGAGTTTGGCGTTGGTGTCAGGTCCGAACGTTCCTTCACCAGAGATAATGAAAACGAATGAACTGTGACCAACGGCGATGTCAGTGCTGAATTTAACACCGGCTTTCAAATCGATATCGAGGAACAGTGGTTTGGTAACGATATCTTTGACAGCACCTTTAGTCTCCTTATAGTGACCTGCGAGTACCTTGATTGCGTTGCCATCCTCTTTGACAACTGGGATGTTCTCTGGCATAATATCTTGGTATCTTGGTGCCATCATCTTATCTTTGTGAGGCAAATTTATCCAAAATTGGAAGCCCTTTAGTTTACCTTCATCTTGCATTGGCATCTCAGAGTGAATAATACCTCTTCCGGCGGTCATCCATTGTACAGATCCTGGAACCAACAATCCACGATTTCCCTTATTATCTTTATGTTCGAAACTACCTTCTAACATATAAGTTACAGTCTAATAATATTACAATATTAGTATATATAAGCCAACAACTTTGTTGTAAAAGATATTTGATTTTACTTACTTCAAATCCACGATGACCATGCTCTGGGAAACCTTCGATATAATCATCGGAATCATCCGATGCAATATGATCCAACATTAAGAATGGATCTAATCTCTGTGGTTTGGAATAACCATTTCTAATTGGTAGCATTCTAGTGAGGTTTACACCTGCACCATCTGAAGTCTTGAGGCCATCTGTAATTAATGATACTACTCTCGATGACATTGTTATTGTTGTTGTTGTTCTTACTTAAAATGAAATTATAAATTTAATAATTATTATTTAGATTGATTTATATGTTTATTTATTTATTGTTATTTATTTAAAAAAACTGATAATGATTTTAAAACACTTGAAAATCAAGTTTAAATAGTTTTCTAAAAATAAATGATGACATTCTAATCGTTTAAATCAAATTAATAAAAGATCGATAATATGTTCGTGTACACTAAGTTATACAATTCTGGTCTTTTTTAAATTATAATAGATTGTTTTTTCTTATTCCGGAATTGGTATTCACCCTTTTTTTTTTTTTACAAAAAAATCCAAATAAAAAATTAATTTATTTTGTTTAGAACGTTTGGCTCTGGTAACAAAAAAACTGTGGTGATTTGCTGGTGAAATAAATGATCTAGATCATAGCTCTTGTTTATATATAAATTTTAATTTTTTAAATTCTTTCTATTTGATTTTTTAGTTTATTTTTAAATAAATTTACTTCAAATATCTTTTTCTTTCTTTATCACTGACAATGGAATAAATGGATGTTCATTAACACACTTTTGTTTGAGCGCAAGGTTAATAATCAAATGGAGACATAAACATATGAATTGATATTATTTAAGTCCATCGTCGTTTGGATTCTGCCAAAGAAAAATCTGATCATTTTTGAATAGACTTCCATGCAATCAAAAAAAAAAAAAAAAAAAAATTTTGTTTTTAATTTTGAATTTTTTTTATTTTTTTGATTTTAATTGGACCACACTTGCAAGCTTTTGTCTCTGCCTTTTTTTTTTTCAATAAACAAATATCATTGCGCTTGTGTTATTTTTTTTTTTGCTTTTAAGGTAGTTAATCAACATTCCATCACATTATAAGAATTTGAATTTTGTTTTTTTTATTTTTATTAATAAAAATCATAAAGGGATCAATCAATTAATAAAAGTAGAAAATAACAATAAGAAAGAACAACACACAATAAACAAACAAACAACTGACTCAGTCTTCTTCTTCTTCTCTCATTGTTGTGAAATCTAATCAGAAAATCAAGTCATTATTTTATTATATATTATATAATCAACTAACAGATTTAATAGCAGCGCTAGAACAATTAGATTAGTAGATATAGATATGGGTTTATTCTTTTCAACAACATTATAGATTTTATAAATTTTCGAGAAATTATATTTTTATTTATTTTTTATTTATTTAATTTGTAATAATAATATCTATAACATTTATTTATTTATATTTATACATATATAGTACTTTCATTTTAGTTTGTTATCTTTGTTATTAAAGAGAGATCATCATTCTTAATTCTTTGGATATCCAAAGATTCACAGATCTTTTTAAAATTTCATAGTTTTGACTTTTTATCAAAAAAAAAAAAAAAGTTTTATATCTCAACATTCTCACACTCTTTTTAAATATTTATTTTTTTTTCAGTAAAAGAGTGTTTATTTTTGCAATTATTTGCATCTAATATTTTGACAAAATATGGATAAAGGTGGAAGTGGAAATAGCGGTGGTGGCAACGGTGGTGAAGATAGCTTTATAAATATAACACCGACTGGAATGAAACATCAGAACAATTTCACGACAGGATCACACAGAACGATTTCATTTTCGAGAAAAGCGCAGCCTGGAGTCATCCAGTTTGGTGCTGCGCGTTTCAAATCACAACCGGACCTCTCACGTGACATGCTGACTGGCGACCAATCTTCACAGCTCTGGCGTACAAAAGCCGGTGCTCAGAAATCAGATGATCTCTGGAAAGCATTTAAATCATCTATAGATACACCAGATGTAAATATCAATCATCCAAATCCAATCCAAAAACAAAATCCAAATCCATATCCAAAAACAAATCCATTTTTACTAATTTTCTTCAAATCAACTATCACACACACACACACAGGTCGCAGTTGATAATCTCAAAAAGTTTGTAGTTCATTATAATCCTCAGTTTGATCAGTGGAATAAAGAGTTACAACCGGACAGTCAGGACTTTAAGATCACTTCCGTCAAGATAAAGGCGACGCCACAGCTGGATTTGTCGGCACTTCAATTTATTGGATCGCAATTCAGTCAGTTCATTTTGAGTTTATCGCTGGCGCTCACCGACGACACCGTTCCCATACCGGAGGGACTCTATCTGATCACGTTGATCAACATCATGTCGCGTTCCACTCTCAACACACATATTCTTCAGGACGCGCTGACACACCCGTTCCAGGCGGCACGTCTTGCCGCGCTAAAGTTGACTTCGTTCCGTGACACCGGATCACCCGCTTTCATCAAATGGTGGCCCTATCTCAAGGTGCTCCTCGGTAACTTTTGCCAGATCGCTAGCAACCTTGCCTACGACCGAATTGGCTGGCAGCTAATGGTGAAACAAGGCACATCGTCTGGTCACGCGCCAGACATGTCCACCGACGAAATATCACCATCGACCTCGCCAACCTCTTCACTTCAAAATCTCTCGATATCACCACTGCAACATCTCTCACACCTCCAATCTAAACTCTCATCGAGTTCCTCAGATATACTATCATCAAGCGGCAACACCATAAATAACAACAACAACAACAACAACAACAGTCATAATTCAATTCTTATTGGATTGAAAGATCAACATCAAAATATAGGAAATAACAACAACAGCAACAGCAGTAGCAGTAGTAACAATACAAATAATTCAAACTCTTTAAGTAGTAGTAAAGATTTAAACAACAACAATAATAATTCAAACTCTTTAAGTAATAGTAAAGATTTAAATAATAGCGGTAATAATAATAATAATAGTAATAATAATAGTGGTTTTAGCAGTAGTAGTAATAGTGGTAATAGTTTTTCATATACAACACAACAGTTGTTTAAACTTGGAATTATTGGTATCTTGGTGGATTGTATTCAATTCTTTAATGATTGCTACGTTACTAAGCTGCCAAAAGAGAGTTCATCACAATTCCGATATCTTATCATTGACACACTTGGAATACTAATCTATTCGAGTGGCAATAATGTACATTGTAAACTAAAGGAATCGGGTGCCGACATGAAAACAATCATCTCTGCCATCGGTCGTAAAGCATACATCAAATCAACCAAGAAACTAAACACATTACAACGTGAATTTCAATATCAACTTCATGTATTAAGAGTTATTCGTGAATTAATGTAAGTATTATTATCAAAAACAAAACAAAGCTCAACTAATCAACCAATTATCAATATATATAGTCATAGTAATCCAATAAATGCAAAACAATTCTTATCGTTGAAAGGATTCAAGAGTGTTCAAGACTTTATTTTGTGGTGTACGGAATGTTTCCAACCGGAATCATTCCATTTCACAGATGATATTTGTCAGGAGTTGGGAGGTGGCGCTTCGGGCGGTGCCGGAGGATCGGTCATCTTCCCCGATGCTTTCAGTAGTTCCAAGGCACCGACCACCTACGACAGTCTGAACAGTGTGCTCAGCAGTCTAAAGTATACGACATTCTCGGAGCAATCGTTCATCAAGACACCGACATTCCTCAAGCGTAGCAAAGTCACTCAGCTGGCGCAACTGTTCTCTGTGTTGCAATCGATGACATTCACTGCAATACCTTTCTCAAAGATATCGGTTGCCAGTGGCAATAGCAGCAGTAGCAGCGGGTCGCTGTTCATCAACCAGAATTTCTCAAACTTTTCAAACTCACTCAACAACTGGTCGACCACCGTCTTTATCAACGCATCCGCCAACAACAACAGCAGCAGCAACAATATTAACTCCTCTCAGACACTGACAAACGATTGGGTAGCGCAATCGAGCGTTCCCACCAGTCCATTACCACCGACTCCACTACAATCGACAATCATCACCAACAGTCCATCTCCAAGTGGGAGTAGTCTAAATATTTCAAGTACAAACATTGGAAGTAACAATAACAACAACAACAACAACAACAGTAGCAGCAGCAGCATTAACAATAGTGGAGTAATAAGCCAAACGAATCAAGGTAGTTGGTCAAATTACAACTCACCAAACAATTCAACAACCAGTGTAATTACAGCGAGTACAACAAGTGGAAGTGGTGGTGGTGGTTCATCAAATACTGTCACTACTGCCAATCAGAGTGGTATCACCATCGGAAGTTCTTCCATGACCAGTCTGATGAGCAGTCCACTCTCAAATAGCAACACTGTCGTCAGTCCATACTTGCCTTCCACCTCACTGACCAGCTCATCGTCGATATTGGCCCACAGCAGCACCAACAATCATCATACATCTTCCAGCGGAGGAATGTCACCGCTATTGAACAACAGTTCCACGAATCTGTTGTTCGACCCCGATCAACCAAAGAAACATGTAAATATCTATCTAATTGAAATGCTATTGGAGGGATTGTTCAAGGAGAACTCAAAGGATATCAACAAGCCGAGTATTCTGCTGATGATCAAGACAAAGTATCCAGAGCTGCAGCTGATCGTACTGGAATATCTGGTGAAGATCGTTTTGGAGTCTGGCGAAGCAATGGATATCATGAGAAAGTACTTCCTCTGGGATTTGGTTCTCTCCGAGTACTTTTACGACTGCCAATACGACCCAGAGTATTTCGAGCAGTTGGATGCCATTCAGAAGAATAGAACCACCTACATCTTCAATGGATTGCGTTCCAATACGCTGACCGTCACTCAATTCCTTGCGACCTACGACCAGATCGACAACTTCGAAGAGATCATGGTACTTCTCGGATTTATGAAGAACAACTTGAATAGTCCTGCCAAGCTGGTGGACATTTGCCAACTGTTAATCAACATCACCAAATCGAACCCAAAAACAATCCGATCGTTGATATCACTAAAGATATTCACTCAACTCTCTAGTATCATTGAGAAACTCATTCAACAACCCGAGCAACAACAACAGGATCCAACCGCCAAGAAAGCAAGAAACATCTTACTCTCCTACCTCGGTCAGTTGATCGTCAACGAAGAACTCTCCATCCACGCACTCACCGACAAACAACTCATCGAAACACTCTTCCTCATCCTAAAGAAACAGGAACTCAAACAATATGCACTCACTCAAATCTATCATCTTATGAAATTGAATCCCGATTCCGAACAATCATTATCTGAAATGTATAATTATTATATCAGTCAATTATCAAAGTAAGTAGCAATTAATAACGATTGACAATAGTAACAAAAACTAATTGTTATTTATTTTCTAAACATAGGATAAAAGATGATACTACACCCGAATATGGATTCGATTTAACTCTTGCTTTGTTGGATGGAATCAGACAGGTTATCAAAGTTAATCCAAAGAAACAACAGTTGTTCAAAAAGTTTGGTGTTTTCATCAAGATTGTCAATCTCGTTAATATCGATGGAACCAAAGAGAGAATGTCTACTCTTTGTCACTCGGTGCTAAAGACTGTTATCATTTTGATGGCAAACAGCTCAAAGATAAAGAAACACTTTAGAAATCATATTGGTTACGATTCACTAAAGAATATCATTGTGAAATCGGAGCGATCCATCTCTGAGAAGACAATGAATATCTTGTTGGACATGATGGTCGATGGCGATTTCGATCGTGAGTACAACTACGTCATTCAGAACAGCGATGCAACTCTGTTGATCTTCCAGCTGCTCCAACACTTCCCGCTGGAGCTACAACACCAGATTCTCGATACATTTACTCCGATCGTTTTGAAATGTACAACGAACCAATCGGTCTGTTGCAATTGCCATTTGATTTACCATCTTCTCGGTGCCATCAACGCGAAACAACCAATGGAAATCACCACCAAGATTCTCCAGTTGATTCAGTATCTCGGTTATCACAGTGTGAGTGTCCGCGAGTTGAAAAAGCTGTTTGGACTGCTCAAGAGCGACGACGGTGAACACCGTCCACCCACGACATCGGTGCTGCTCTCGACCCTCCAGAACATAGCAGTGTCTCGAAATCCCGGTCCTCAAGTATACTTTGATTTCGACGGTAAAGATTCGTGTATCAATTTGCCGACGTTCGAGAAATGGCCATTCCCAAAGGGATTCACTTTTTGTGCTTGGGTGAGAATCGAGTCGTTTGTCGACCCGACTGGAACTCCCGACTACAAACCGCGACTCTTTAGTTTCCTCAATGATGCTGGCAACGGTATAGAAGCGTTGTTCATCTACCAACAGGTACAAGTACAAACGGTGACCAATGGAAATCAAGTGAAGACCGTCTTTCCAAGTTCTCTGGCTTTCGAGGAGAGAAAGTGGTATTTCGTTACAATTGTCTATTCGACCAACTTGTTCTCCTCGTCTGAGATCAAGATATTCATCGATGGACAACAACGTGCTAAAGCATCGGTGAAGATTCCCATTCACCAAGGCCCAATGAATAACTTTAAGATCGGTAACAACGCCCGTTGTTTCAACGAAGCAAGATCGAACCCTTTGTACGGTCAGATGGGAGCGTTCAACATCTTTGACGAATCGCTATCGCCTTCGCAAATCCAATCGATCTACTCACTCGGTGCCAATTTCAATACTTCTTTCCAAGACGTCGAGGGTATCTCAACAAAGAACAGTCATACCTTTGATCAATCGTTGACCAATCGTTTGTTCCTAAACTACAATTGTCGTGCGATCGAAGGTGATTTGTGTTTGGACAACACTCCCAATATCGGTGGAGATCGTAACTACGATGCAACTCTTGTCGCTATCAATCCGTGTGTCTCCAGAGACATCAAAGATATCATCTATTGTCTTGGCGGTATCAAAGTGTTGTTCCCTCTGATTCCACAGTTGAATCAGACACTTGCCGATCCTCAGCTTGACAGCACCAGCAGCAGCAAACTCACAATCCAAGTTCTCGGACTCTTCAAAGACATGTTGCGTGGATCCGAGGCAAATCAAGAGGAGATGCTTCGTTGCAATGGTTTGGCAGTGTTGTCATATCTACTCCAAACGATTCCACCAGAGAACTTGACACTCGGTGCACTCAACATTTTCAAAGACATGTCGAACCAGATTTCTGAGCCAAGTCTGGTTGAGGAAGTATATTCACTGCTTCTCGACTTCCGTCTTTGGATAAAGACAAGATTCGAAGTACAAAAGAGTTTGATGGTGATGATCAAGCAAATCATCTTTGATAAACACGACCAAGTCAAAGATATCATCACCGTACAAGTGATGTTGGATATTATGGCGAATTTCTATTGGTATGAATTCGCAGAGAGTAGTGCTATTCTCACCTCCAAGGACATTCTTCAGAAGCGTCCTAATCAATCGGATATAACTGATCTCCGTCAGGTTATCTTTGAAATTATACGTCAACTTCTTCGTAATCCAACTACCAGTGATGTTGCCGCCATCGCTCGTTACACCATCTACACAATGGACAAGACTCAGGTGATTGAAATGATTGAATTCCTTATCGATCTCCTCTCGAAATCCAGTTTCCAACAGTTCTTTGACGAGTTGGAAAAGATTGGAAGTACCGACATCTTCCTCACACTGATGAGCAACAAAGACGAAGCAGTTCGTGGTGCAGCACTCCAGTTGATCTCCAAACTACACTTGACTTCACACGCCAACAACCAAACCGTATCAAACAACAAGTTAACGCTGAAAAAGAAAGTCAAATCAATCTTCCAAGATTCAATTATCATTGCTCGTTCGCTACATCTGTTCCCACTCACCGAGTACACCTATCGTTATCTCATGGCATTTGCACTGGGATTCAATGTGGAACCAGTCAATTTCAACATAACGATGACACTTGAAGATCTTATGGCTGACCATGTCAATATTGTATTCCCAGAGATTATCGGTGCCATTTTGAAACTGTTGCCGACTGCCGAGAGTATCATATTGCGTCAGTTGATCCTCCAAAACATCAAAGTTCTAATGGGTAACAATGCAGCGAATCGTACATCGTTGTTGCAAATTGACAAGTGGCCAGAACACTTGTTCTCCGTTCTCAACGATGCCGAGATAAAGAATGACCAACAATACTCGAATGTAACCGATCTCATCATTGACATCATGAAGATACTGTCGATTCACTCACTCACCGAAGCCAAAGGTTATAAAACACTCGAGCAAATCTTGGCAACACTCAGACCATTCGCAGAGAGAGGTGTGTTGGATTATCACTATCTAACGAGAACATTACTATCCAATATTGTTCTCTCAATCCGATCGGAAGCAAACACAACCAGCGATAAAGAATCACCTTTGAATACCAGAAGCAAAAAGGTATTTGATAATCTCATTCATTTCCTTATGATTGTCGAAGAGTTTATCTTTTATTCGCCGTTGGACGATGTCAATCCACTGACCAGTTCATTTGCCATTGTTGACCTCAATGGGCTGGAACAATTCAGAGCTGCAGAGCCCGCCCAAACACCTTCGAATCTAATCAATCAACAACAACCGGGCAATAACGGTGGAAGTCCATCATCACCAAATTTCGTTGGTATGGCATCGAATGCTCTCAATAGCAATACACCAAGTTACTACAGTAAGATTCACTTGAACGAAAGAAACGAATGGGTAGATTACCAGTTGATTACCGAGCTGTTGGAGTTGGTAGATACTTTGAAGTTGTCGCAATACTCTTCAAGTGAAGGATCGTATACCACCGCTCTACAGACTGGCAAAGCAACTCAGATGTTCACATCACATCAACAGCGTATCATTCATCGTATACTGTTGGAGAGCATCAAAGAGTGTTGTAAACGTGGAGAGAACATTCAAGTGCTACACAGAAACACTTCGCGTTTAAAGAATCTTTTGGAGAAGGATCTCTCAACAAAATCTGAGGATTCCAATCTGAGATGTCTCTTTGCTCTGTCACACCTGATCAAAGCAATGAGAAATTGTACAATCGATAATAATATGCCTGCTCATCAACAAAAGTTGGTTGTCTCGATGAAAGAGATCATCCGTAAGACCAAGACTGGTGTCACCAATCACTTGGTACATCGTCATGTCAATACCTCACGTCATTCCGTTAGTCTCAGTGATATTGAACATGAGATTGCAGGTTGGGTTGCCGAGTTGTCAGACTCAACAAGAACCACCGACTTTAGTACTATTGTGATGTGTCACGTTCGTTGGACACATGTCTGTGAGTACGTCGAGGAGATGGCCAGCCAATTCGGTAACGAAGAGAAAGCAATTTCCTTGCGTGTAGAGAAGCGAAAGAAGAAGAGAAACAAGAATCTGCTAATCATCGAAGAGAAGGAAGCAGAAGCATTCTCTGTTGCCGAGAGAAAGGCAGATTTCGACTTGAAACAGGTCGATCGTTTGTTGTGGAATGTCGAGCGTGAAAGACGTTTGGCATTGTTGAGTGAGTTGCAGTTGGTAACCTATGAAACCAGTGCACAATGGAGAAGAATACTTCGTTCTCTTACAAACGAGCGTGGTCCATGGGGAACGACCGAGACTGTTGTCCACTGGAAATTGGACAAAACAGAAAACAGTTCGAGAATGCGTTACAAACAAAAGAGAAACTATCAATTCGATGAGCATGCCAACTGTGCGATTGACGACGATGCAACCGGTGGATCTCAATTCAAATCGTCGAAAGGAATAGAATCCAGTGACTCTAATAATAATAACGATGAAAACAGTAAGAAAGATTCATCTTTCTCCGATTTGAAGGTTAAGCCTTTACCTTCGATGGATAATGATTTGGTTGATGATTGGGCAATGGTTTGTGAATATGATAACCTCCTCGATGACCAAGTCGTTTCGATGTCACCGAATCACTCTTCTTCCAGCCCGAGTGGCGCCGCCAATATGACACTGCTCAGTAATCTCGCCAAGGAGAAGATCATCTATTCCACTCAATGCGATTGGGTATCACCTATGAATCTCAAAAAAGGACGATTGGATATCTCTGCTGTTCATTTCACTTTTACCGAGGAGATTGCCGAGTCTGAGAAAGAGTCGACACCCAACTTTGAACCGAAAATCAAAGTTTGGAATATCGAAACCGTCAAAGATATTCAATTACGTCGTTACCTGCTACGTGGAAGTGCTCTTGAGATCTTCATGAAGGATCAAACCACTTCATTCTTTAACTTTACCAAAAATGATCGTAACAAAGTGTACAGCAAGATCAACTCGGTGCGAAGAACCTACTTCCGTGAGACCATCACAAATCTCAATCCCTCCGATACACTCAAGAAAGCAACCACCGAGTGGCAACAACGTAGAATGTGCAATTTCGACTATCTTATGGTTCTCAATACGATTGCTGGTCGTACCTACAACGATCTCACTCAGTATCCTGTATTCCCGTGGGTCATCAAAGACTACACTTCGCCAACCCTCGACCTCAACAACCCTGAGATCTATCGTGACCTCTCCAAACCGATTGGTGCACTCAACGAGAAGCGTTTGGAAGTATTCAAAGATCGTTATGAATCGTTTGATGATCCAGACATCCCGAAATTCTTTTACGGATCTCACTATTCCAGTGCTGGAACCGTGCTTTTCTATCTCATAAGAATGGAGCCATTCACATCGATGTTCCTACAGCTGCAAGGTGCACGATTCGACCATGCCGATCGTATGTTTGATTCCATTGAAATGGCGTGGCACAACACTCTCACCAGTTCCACCGACGTCAAAGAGTTGATTCCAGAGTTTTTCTATATGCCTGAATTCCTCAACAATCAAAATCAATTCAATTTCGGTGTTAAGCAAAACGGTGTCCCCATAGGCGATGTCGTTCTCCCTCCATGGGCAGCGACACCTCACGACTTTGTACGTATCAATCGTGAGGCTCTCGAGAGTGAGTATGTATCGATGCATCTACACGAGTGGATCGATCTGATCTTTGGTGTTAAACAACGTGGACGTGCTGCTATCGATGCATACAATGTATTCTACTATCTCACCTACGAGGGTAGTGTCGATATCGACGCCATCGAAGATGAAACCATGCGTAAAGCAACAGAGTCGCAGATCAACAATTTCGGACAAACTCCAACTCAGCTCTTCTCCAAGAAGTCGCATCCTCAACGTGAGCCACTCCAAGAGAGTCAACAATCGATGTTCAAATCACCACAAAACCTCCATGCTTTCTACTTGAAAATTGCTATTAAACCGTTGGTCTATCTTTATATTCCCGAACAAACACAACCAATGTCCTATCTGCTCTCCGACAAGGTTGTGGTTATTGACAGATCGCGTTTGGTAACCAGTCACAAGTGGTTCCCAAACAACCAGAACGAGAAATCACCGTTCACTTTTGAATTGGATCCATCTTCCGGTGCCAAACGTCGTATTGGACTTCCATTTGCCAACGATGTTACCATATCTCAAAATTGTTTTGCTGTCACCAACGATGGACGTTACGTTATCAGTTGTGGACACTGGGATAATTCCTTTAAACTATCGTTCACTGACAATGCCAAATTGATCCAGTCAGTCATTAAACACAAGGATATTGTCACATGTCTGGCTTGGTCGTCGGACGGACAGACTTTGATCACAGGTTCACGTGATACCACGCTCATGGTATGGAATCTAAGTTCTCACAAGAGTGCAGTTCCCAAATTCGAGAATGTTCCAACACATATTCTCTATGGTCATGACGATGAAGTTACTTGTGTCGATCTCAACATCGAGCTAGATATTTGTATCAGTGGTTCCAAAGATGGAACTTGCATTATCCACAACTTGAGACGTGGTGAATACGTTCGTACCATTTCACTGCCAAAACAATCACCTGTCAGCAAATGTTCAATTTCAAATCAAGGTCATATTGTTATCTATTCACAAGTATGTAATTTTATTATTAATTAATTATCTATCAACCAAGATTATTAACTATCAACTATCCATTCATAAAGGCTGATCTAGTAATATATTTATATTCAATCAATGGACAATTGTTGAAATCTGTTGATACACACGAAAGACTTCACAGTATTATAATTAGTAGAGACTCTGAATATTTGATATCTGGTGGTGATAAAGGAACTGTTGTATTGAGAACTCTTTACAAGTAAGTTAAATATTTTTTAATGTTTTGAATCATTATCTAATATTTTATTTTTTATTTAGTCTTAAATTTGCTCATAAACTCAGTTTTGATACACCAATCAATTCTTTGGCAATGGGATCCGATCAAAAACATCTGATGGTTGGTTTGGAAGATGGCAGACTTTTAATTATTGCCAAATCAAAGACTTAAATTTTCAAGAATAAATCATTTTCAAATAATTTATTATAATATATCTTTATGTTAAAATATATATATCTTTATATTGGAGTTTTATTTGACCATCTCAAGCAAAAATTTAAACGATAATAATGTAGATAATTAAAAATAGATATATTTATTTAAAATTCACATAGATTGATGCATTCGAATTATTAATAGTCAAGGATTGGATTGGATTGAGTTGATATTTTTTTTAAGAATAAAAATTGTTATTTAATTGAGGTGCTCTTGTGCATACTGGACAATTGAGAACTTCGCATGTTCCATTTGCTACTCTATATCCATATCCGTTTTGATTGGTACCATTTGGTTTAACAATACCAAAATGACAATCACTATAGATATGTCCATTATAGTTGGTTGAATTGAATTGAGAAACAAGATATTGATTGATCACTTGAGCATCACTATCAATGTATTCAAGAGATGAATCATTAAGAGCCGGTGATAGGATGAACGGTCCGAATTTGTTATTGACATCCGAGATTGGAATTACACATGCGTATTGATGGCCGGGAACTGTGGTGAATCTGAAATTACCATTCTGGTCAGATACGACGGTAGCTATTTGTGAGGCAAGGTTGGCTAGATCATACAAATATACTGTAATATTAGATATTCCGACTTCATTGCAATCTTGTCTTCCATTTGCATTGCAATCGAACCAGATTCTTCCACATTCTGTAGTGTCAACTGGTACTGGAGGGTAGACAGGCGCTATTGCACCAAGACCTTGTGCTTTAAGATAACTTCCGGCAGTAGATCTGTAAATTGTAAATAATTTGGTTAGAGTACCGTTGATGCTGTTTAGCCAAGCAACACCTCCAGTACCAACGGCATTAATATCTCTTCTGGTGGATATAAAAGAATTTGGACCGGCTCTGGCAACACTACTTCCTATATAATCGCCAGAGGCAAAGAAACGATGACCTCCACGACCATATGGATTTACAGGTGTAGCGGTTCTGCTTCCACATATACCATTATATTCCAATACGTAATCTCCATACTTGTTTTTGCATGCCATCTGAAGATCTGGGTAAGCGCCATAACCCATGTTAAGTTCTGAAAGTCTATTCCTAAATGCAATAGCCATATTTCCAGAGTCATCGAACGCAATGCTGCTTATCATAGCTTGATGGCCAGTTGAAATTCTCCATGGACCAAAACTAGAATCATCACCTCTTTCTGGGTATGGCAATGGGAATTGTAGAACGGTTTCCCAGGTATTCGATGGATTTAGTCTTACAATAAATCCATCGAGTTGGGTTCCCGCATCACCAGAACAAACACCACCACAGTAAAGTGAGCCATTAAAGATTTTTACAGCGAAAATACGCCAGTCATAAGCTACCACACAGCCAGGGTTTGGAACAGGAACTTTGATGGTGTTTGATGCAGTTGGGTTTCTCGGTCAATGGCACTTGAACAATTTCATTAGTGTAAAAATTGGAAACATATAAATATCTTATGGAACTATCCATATCTCCCAAGGAACTCTTTCCAACATATAACTCGTCGAAACTGGGTTCGTTACCGAAGGTATGTGCGTCGGGACCCGAATAGTTTGCACCAAATATTTGATTTAAATCGGCATAGATTGATACATTTAAATCTTGGGTGATTCTGTAGATTCCTCCAGTTCCGGCAGGTCCAAAACCAGATCTATCCTTCCAATAGGCAGAGACATAGGTGTCTCCAGACTCTGGTCTATAGGTAACGCCATTCACAGCACCAGTGTCCTTATGTTTAGCCATAACAGTTTTTTGACCATTTAATCCGGTGGAATTTGCTGGGAATTGAATAACAGTAGGTTAAGAATGAAAACACATTGATAGGGCATTCCTGGCCATAGTCCATTTACTATCCATTTACCATCAGGACCAGAAACCGTCGAGAATATTAAAACATTGTTAATTGTAGAGTAGATATTGATGGTGATTCCTGGGAATGGTTTATCTTTTCCGTCAAAGATAAGATTCCAATTGAAATCGATGAAGACATTTCCAGAACAAGAAGCATTTCCCATTGGCAACAATGGGTAGTTTCCAAGATTATTGGAAAAATGTGATAAGACACCGTCAGATGGATTAGTTATGGTACCGGTGGTAACGTTGAAAGGTCCAATAACATTTGGATTAGTTACACCATTCAGTCCACCAAGTACTTTAATAGAATACGTTCCTTTTCGCACATTTTCAAAGATAAACTTTCCATTTTGATCGGTTGGAATAGATTTATTTTTTTACACAACTTTAATTAATTGTTGGTTAAAATAATGAAGCTGATCAAGAATTAATCATTTTCAAATAATTTATGATTATAACTTTGATTGTCTATCTTTATTATTTTGTGCCATTTCTTCTTCGACTAATACCGATTTTGAAAGATCACTTATTTGTTGTTGATAGTACTGGTGTCTAGACTTGTCGGTAAAGAAAGTGTTTGTAATCTTTGATAGTGTTGGGTAACAATTTTCAAGAATCTTTCTCATATCGATTGGCAAGTCTTTTACATTGATTGATTTGAGTGAGTTGATCATATTGTCCGTTGTTTTGAATATCGATGTTAAAACAGGATCTTCTCTGTACTCTGGGCGACGCAAACCAATCTCCTGAACTTTGAGAAGATCACGAGCGACCGCCTCATGTTTTACCAGAGCGATATTCAAAATGCTTCTAGTGTATATTGAAACGACTTCATCTGGATGCACAGCAATTACTTTATCGAGATCGTTTATCATAATCTTACATTTGGCTTCGAATATTCCACGTCTTGTAAAGTAGTTCGATGGTTCTTTTGAAGATGGCACTGCATATTTACTTTCATAGATCGAGTTGAATCGCTCGATTGCCTGATCACCATTACCCAAGAACAGATGAATGTATCCAAGTCTATTGATTGCATTGATCAACTTTACCTTGTTTTCTACAGGGTTATTCACTAATCTATTGATATAGCTACCAAGTATTTGCTCTGCTTCTTTGAATTCAGTATTGGCAACCAGTACCTGAGCGTACAACATACAAACTGCATCGTTGTTTGGGTGTTGGTCGTACAATGACTTGACTAGCTCCAATGCCTCTTGAAAAGAGTAGGTTCTAGCGAGAAGCGTTGCTCGGACCAATTGAACCAAGATTCTCTCTTCTTCATTATCGTATTTGTTCAACTCTAATGCTCTGTTGATAAGATTGTTACCTGTCCTCAAGTCGATTTTTTCTGATTCGTTAAAGAACAAATAGGTTCTAATGGCATAGTAGATAGACTTTCCAGTGGATTCTATCATCTTGTTGCAATGTAAGATAGCAGACTCCAATGTATCGTTAATGAAAAGTGGATCCTCTGTAAAGGAATTGGCAAGTTCCTCTGGGGTTCTAAGAAAACCGTTGAACTCCCACTTGATGGCATTGAAAGGTGAATGATTCATATGGAAATGATATTGATCGATCACTCTTTGATTGATACTGTTCATCACATAGTTGTAGAGATGAATCGAGGTATTTATAAAGTTGATATCTGTCTCATAGACGTTCAACTCTGATTGCTTTTCAAAGCAATTAAACACCTTTACAACTTGTTTAAGATTATTATTGTTATTGCTTGATTGGTTGTTATCATTCAAGTATTGATTGATTAGTGTTTGAATCGATATTGAGTTGTTCTTCATCTCGTTGATAATGGTTGATTGTTGCTCTGGTTTGAAGCCTGATCTTAGTGATTTGCGAAGCAATGATTTACTCTGACTCGGTAGACTATTCATGAATTGATTCCACTCGTTAGACAAAGTACTGGTGTCAAGTGTAGCAACATAGTTAGCTATAGCAGCTGCAATAATTGCGAAAGCATGTTGGTTTAGATTATTTGGTAGATTATTATATCTATCGGTGATCTTGAGTGCACTCGCCAGAGTTGCATCCAATTTATCGAGAATAACCGTCTTTGATTTTATCATTATAATATAAATATTTAAAAGATAGATATCTTTTACTCTTTCAGTTCCATTTTTAATTGACATATCCTAAAAAATATAAATATTAATTATCATCTTAGTATCTAAATTACTATTATTATTATTTTGAGTAAACATGTTATATACTAAACTTACATCCCAATGTTTCAAAACATAATCAGCATATTTCCAAGCTTCTTGATATTTCTCTTGTAATGAAAGACAAAAGGCTATGTTATAGGCTGTGAGACTGTCTTCTTGTTGGTCATAAAGAATCTTTAGAGTTTCAAGCTTCTCAGGAATATTGTCTTCGAGAAGATAGAACGCCTTTGCCATCAATCCATTGCGGTAATCTTTGTAGTTCGGTGAATTCTTGTATTCCGAGGTTTTACAACTTGCCAGTCCGAGATTGATTCTCTCCAGTGCTTTCTTGTGGTTGCCAACGGCATGCTCGGTGATTCCATAGTAGATAGAGTCAATCGGTGTCAATTGCTCTGGGAATCTATCCTCCCAGATCCTCATGATTTTGAGACATCCTTGGTGGTCTGCGATTTGCTCGCAGCACAAATAGGAGGATCTCAAGAACGGCACATCCACTTCCTCGGGATTGTCGGCCATCGCCTTCAGCGAGAGTTCCGCCGCCGATCGATTATCACCTCTCTTCACAAAGATGTGTAGCTTTCCAAGATCGATGTTGAACATCAATAGCTTATGATGGGACGGGTCGAATTTCCTGATTTCCAAATAGGCATTGTCACACTGCTCCATCGCCTTCTCGAAATCATGCAGGTCATTCAGATAGATTCTAGATTTGGTCAGGTATGACTCTATGATATATTCATTATCCAACCGAATGATTCGGTCACACACCGCCAAAGCATCATCAAACTGTCCCATTGATTCCAGTTCAAAGACTTGACGAATCAATTTGATTGACTCTTGATATCTATCGTCGGTTTCATTGGCAGCATTACCACCACCACCAACAGCATTATTACTATTACCAATACTAAAATATCTTTTAACTACACCAACACCACTTCCACCAATAATATTTGATTGAAATGACATTTTAGATTGTTGTTGAAATAAATGAGTGTTTTTTAATGTATGACCTAATATTATAGATTGATTACTTTGATATGATTTTAAACTATGATTACATATTGTTGTTGAAAATTGTGTTTTTGTTGTTCTTTGTACAACCGATGCAATAAATCTATTCATTTTTTAACAACTAATTATCATCAACTTTAAATAAATATATTAAATATACTTTCAGCTCAGTTCTGAATGAATATCAAAAGATATGGGAGACAACAACTAAAATTTAGGTGGATAAATGGTGAAAGGTTTTCAAGATATTAGTATAAATTTCTGAAATTAAAAAAATTAGATATTTTTAGATATTAACAAGCTTTTACTTTTAAACTAATAATTTATTCATTGTGAATATTGTACTGTTCAGAACAAACAATTATAATTAGAATTAAATTTCGATTTCATTGTATTTTAAGTTAAAATATTTTTTTATCTATTTATTTATTCTTTTTGTTGTGTATCTTGTTGTTGTTGTTGTTGTTGTGGTTGAGAGTTGTCTGCGATGGTCGTGGTAGATCTATCTTCTGGAACAATCGGTGTGATCATTTCTTCAAACTGTGGTTGACTCATTTGAGTGAATGAAGTGTTAGCTTTCTCCCATGGCTAAAAAAATTAAAGAGTTAAAAAAAAGAGAAAGAGTTAGATAAAAGTGTTGGTATTCTTTCTTTTCTTTTGTTTTGTTTTGTTTTACTTTACATACCTTTAATGGTCTCACTTTTACACCTTTATCGACATTACCGTTGGTAGGGGAATCGTTGATATCAGTTCTAATACCTGGTGGAGTTTTACCTTGTTTCAATTGATTGATGACATCGACGAAATTCGACGAGTATGGAGTTTCATCTTTCTTTGTCTGTTGTGGTTGAGCTTGTGGTGGTGGAGTTTGGGTGGTAGTGGTAGTTGTTGTAGTAGTGGTAATGGGTGTTTCAGCTGATATCTCGTGGTCACCACCTTCCCATGGATCGTCGAAACCGGCTGGAGCAACCGTGTTATTGGTGGCGCTGTTAAATGAATTTATATTGGATGGTGTTGATCCTCTTTCATCTTTTTTCTTGCTTGGTGATGCACTCCAGCTGTCTATGTAACCAGAGTTACTATTGTTGTTGTTGTTACTGGCTGTAGTAGTAGTGGTTGTAGTAGTAGTATTATTATTATTTGGTGTCGATGGAGAAGATGATGATGGAGAGGATGGCGATTGAATTCCTATGGGATTGGGTGATGATCTCTGTTGCCACGATGGAATGGCTGGTGGTGTTTCGCTATTTGGTTTCCACGACATATTGGCATATGGATTGGCAGTGCTGATAGGTGGTGGTACTCCTCCGATCTTATTAACTCTTGGTTTAGATGCTTGTTGTTGTTGTAGTTGCTGACCTCCTTTAATATGCAAAGATGATGACGATGGTGTTGTTGTTGATGTTGTTGATGATGATGACGATACATTATTATTATTATTATTGGTTGTTGTAGTTGATGTTGTTAATGAAGTAGGTGGTATTCTAAAATCATTTTCATCTAGACTGGAATTTGAGTAGGACAATGGGTTGATTGAGTACTGTGGACTATTGATGAGACTAGAGAGATTCTTGATTTCCTTCTTGATATCATTGATTTCGGCGGTGCTGTTTGCCTTTTGCGAGTTGTTTTGCTCGATCAACTGTTTCATTGGTTGCAGCAAGTCCTTGAAATCATTTGCTTGCGAGGTGATTGTTTGTTGCAACAGGTTGATCTGCTCTTGTAGGTCGGCAATCTTCTTCTCTGTCTTTTTCTCCTTCTTCTCATCGACATTCGAGTGTCTAAAGTATGGCATGATGTAGTTGGAGGTAAGATAGGCAAGTCCCGAAGCTACACCGACCAACGCGGTAACAGACATCAACACATTTCCCCATGAGAACTGGTTGTTTGCTGCGTAGAGTTGTTGTTGTTGCTGTTGAAGTCTTCTATCGTCTTGGTAGTTGGTAAGTTGATAATCACGTTGTGGAACTTGTTGTTGTTGTTGTTGTGGTTGATAATATTGCTGTTGTTGTTGTTGTTGCTGAGTGTTGTTATTCGGTGAGCTGATGGAAGAGGATGGTGAGAGTGTATTGGTTACTCTTCCGGAGGTGGATGTAGTTGGTCTGCCTGTGGATGATGGTCTGGTAGTTGCAACCGAGCCAGAACCACTTGTAGCAGTAGTAGTGGAACCAGCACGCATCTCTTCATTTCGCTTCAGTGCTTCTTTGATCTCCTCACTCGTCAGACCTTTCTTTTCGAGATAGGCAACCTTTCTAGCCAAAGCAGTATTCTTAACATTTGGATTGGTAAGGAAAGATACAGCTCTTCTAACCATATCTTCTCTTACATTTGGTGTTACATCTTGTTGCTGTTGCTGTTGATTATTAAAACTTAAAGTTGATTTCTTGGAAGAATAGTTTTTATCTGCTTCTTCACCATCATCTTGTTGCTGTTGTTGTTGCTGTCTTTGTTGTTGTTGTTGTTGTTGTTGTTGTGTGTTTAGCAGGTTTTACTTTCTTCTTTTTAACTACAACTTCCTCTTCTTCATCATCGTCATCTTCTTGCTGCTGTTGTTCTTGTTGTTGCTCACGTTTCTTTCTCTCCTCGATGATACGTTTCGCTTCTTCTTTTCTCTTTTGTATTCTCTGTCTAGTTATCTCCTCTTGGCTCATTCCAGACGATTCTGTAACAGCTGTTGGTGACGATGTTGTCGACTCACTGCCAACATTGACATCGCTCTGTTCAACCGATTCACTAGCATTATTCTAAAAAAATTGAAAACAAGTCAAGTAAAGTCAAGTCAATACAAAACCATTCTGAAAAAAACAAACAATAAAAAAATAAATAAGAATATAAATCAAATATACTTACATCTTGATCCATTTTCTAACTAATAATTGAATTTACAACAATAATAATAATAAAAAGAATAAATAAATTAAAAAAACATCATTCAAAATAAAATGAAAAAAAACAGTTGGGATTTTCAAAATAATTATTCGCAAAACACCACGTATCACCAATTTTAGGATTCAAAAATACTTGTGCGATCTTGCAAAATAAGATATATATAATTAAGAATTTATTGTTGACAATTACAATTCAATTTTTAAATAAATAATGTTTATATATATATATATATTTTTATTAAATATTTTTTAATAACAATAAAAATTATTATTATTATTATAATTATTAGTACAAATATACTTTTATAAATTTGATTGATTGTTTTGATTGAATGTTCATTATCATTATTATCATTTCTTTAAAAATCGTTGTAACAAGAGAATAAGTTGTTGTTGTTGTTATTGCGCTATATTGTTGTTACTATAGATGATCTTTTGTGTTGGAAGGTGATTTTGAATTTAAAACCTTTTGAAGATTTGCCTTTTTGGTAGAGTTGGAGGCATCTCTTATCTCTTTGATCCAATCGTCTTTCTCCTCTGGCTTTGAACTGCTGATAACTATTACCTTTTCGTTGCGATCGTCGCGTCCACTCCAGTAGATTCTGAAGGAGTTCTCGGCGCTCTCGTTCGATGGCACGTCGATCACCTTGACATCGACGAGCGGCATCGTCGTCAGCACAAAGTATTTCGATTTCTTTTGTTTGGTGATCAACAGCGTATCGTTGAACAACAGCAGATATCGGTATTTCGATACTTTCTTCTGACGTGATTCCATCATCAGTCCCTCCTTGATCAGCTGTCGCATTCCATTACTCAGATGGAATCCCTCAGCCAGTCCAAACACTCGATCCTGCAACTGATGTGCTTTCGCCAGATTCTCAGCTCTTCGTTTCGATTCGTTCAACTGATCGGCCACCAACTTTGTTCTTCTCAACGCATCCTCCAAACAATTTCTCTCCATTGCATCAAAAGAATGTGAAAGTAAATCGGTCAACAATAATATATATCTTGGTATTCTTTGTACAGGCTGATAAATTACCAAAAAAATTGGAATGAATTGTTAGTACAATTGTTATATATATATTTAACTATCAACTTTAATAACTTACTCTAATTAAATATGATTCCAATGTTTCACTTTTACATTGATCTGAAAATTGACATTTCTAATATATGAATAATAATAATTTATGAGTTAATAAACAAAAGATCTTGAAAAGAAAGCAGAATGCTTACATCTAAAAACTCTTTAAATCTAGGTAGTTTTGTACGATTCTCATGAATTAAATCCAATGCTCTATTGAATCCATTGATGTAGAATCTATATTCAGGTATTGTGTATTGTTGATCCCATAGCCATTGGAATGCTTGAGACAGCTCCATTACATCTGCTTCCTCTATCGCCGATGAAATAGACCGCAGCTTCTTGAGGAATTCACAGTTGACTCTGAATATTTGATCGATGTTTGAAAAGATTGCTTCTACCAACTCCTCTGACAGTATTGGTGGATTGGAAGGTGCGACCACCAACGGATTGTAATAGACTCTGATACAGACGTTGAGTGCGTGAATATATGCCTGTTCAGTATCGAGTATCTCCTTGATGATTTTGCCGCGACGGAAATTGATAGTGGAGTGATCCTCGTTGGAGAGCGGCGGTGTGGTGTTGGTCGATGAGTGATTCGGTGAGTAGTTAGAGTTGCTACAGATACTGCTGTTGCTAGCGTTGTCGTTGGCTGCGTTGCCATCGCCATTACCAAGCATCATGTCTTTAATTGGCGAAATACTGCGTGTGTAACGCGCCAACATGTCTTTGATCGGTGACGGTGACAGTGAGAGTGACGGGCCGAGACTGTCGGTTGGATCCAAATCCGAGAGATCTTCGCGAGTTGTGTTCAACTCACTTTGGAACTCGTCAGAGACGGGCACCCTCAGATTCTCCAGTGCCTGCAACACCGAGACACGCACATTGACATGCGGGTAGTCGGTGAGCATCGCCAAGTTCATCTCGCAGCCCGATTCATAGAGGATATGCCGACAGTTTTCATCGATACAAAGATTAGCTATCACCAGCGAGATTGCTTCGAGCAGGTGTGACGTGTGTTGAGATGGATCGCGAAGCAGCTCATTCAGTCCGTCGACCAAATACTTGGAACGCAACACCCGACGAATATCCTCGTTGGCAGTGAGATTCGCCAGACAGCTAATAGAGAGTGCTTTCAAAGAGAGCGGTGAACTCACCGATGCCACACTGTCAATCAAAGGCATAATAGCGCCACTATCGAGAATCGGCTTCTCAGTCTCCTCGGTCAACGACAAATTAATCAGAATCTTTACAACCTGTTCTTTTACCACCAGAGGTGAAGATGGTGACGATAAAAATGATATTAATTGATATAAAACACCTGATATCGATATAATTCTTCTTATTAATGCTATAAAGAATATTGGATTTAGTTAGTTTTTTTTTAATTGATTTGACATTGCGATCAATTGATAATGATAATGATGACATACGATGATATATTGTTAAAACATGAATAATTGAACTAAGTGATAAAATTAAATCGTTGGATGGCGTTGGATATCGAGATGATAGGAGTTTGGTGATGTTTGTTATGGTTCCACTATGACAGAAAGTCTTTTGATTATCTAGGTATTCTGCACAGGTATCTTTGTGCATTAGATTTCTCAGAGGCTGACAAGCCAGTATGATGAGGGAGTGATTCGATTTCTTGAGAAAGTTGTTTATCAGTGAATGAACGACGCCATGCTCAACCAAAAGATAAGAGTGTTCGGCACACAGTGTCAAATTGGTCAATACCCACAACGACTTTTCAATAACATCTTGATTATCATTCTGCAATAACTCTATTAAACTATCTACTAAATTATATTCCGATTTTATAACTTCCATGCTATTATGATCTGTTTTTTGAAAATTTCCAGAAAAATGGATTTGCAAATAAAAAGTTGTGAGTTTTGTGACTTGAAAAATATTGAAATTGTCACAGAGTGATTAATTGATTGATTGATTGATTTTAACTTACGATTCAAACATAAATGACTTAATAGCCAAGTTGATAACATCTGTATTACTTCATTGTTGGACTGTAAGAGTTCTTTCAATTTCTTTGATCCAACCAAATCGAAAATAGTGGTTTGAACAGAACTCTCTGTTGATCCATTAATCAAATACCTTAGGGAATGCTCTTGTACTGAGACATCCGTTGACGATAACTTTTCTGCACAGCTTCTCAGTCTCTCCATTTGATCAAATCTTAATGGATTAACAGTTTTTACAAGTTCTGTTTACTTTTTTTACTACTATTATCTGACTTTCTATTTTTTGATTGTTTAACAAATATAAAAATAATTGGTAAATAAAATAAAAATTATTATTGTTGGAGTTGGAATATTATTATTATTACTATAGTTCTATTGATTTTAATAAGATTATTAAATAATTATATGATAAATAATATATAATTTCTATTCTATTCTATTCTTTGATTAATCAAAAAAATATATATATGTATTGTTTTAATGACTATTTTACTGTATAACTAAAGTTGCACTAACTATTGAATTAATGAGTTGTATGTGTCTGCCTGCCTGTCTGCTATCTAACAATCTATATCTATCTATCTATTTATCAATAATAATGATACGATATGATATTTATTTTATAAATATAAAAATAAATAAAGTCAGTAAACTAATCTATTTAATATGATTGATTTCCTCTGTCAGTAATATTAATAGGAGGCGATGAATAAGTGTTGTCTAGTGTAGGGTAAGGTATATTGTAGAGTCAACATTAAACAATAATTAATGATATAAATATATATTTTTGTATGTAATATATGTTATGTTATTTTTAAAACAATCCAATAAGTTGATTTGTGTAAATTGAATCAAATTTAATGGGATACTAATAAATGTTATTTTGGTAAATAAATATCGATTTTGTTGTTTTGTTTTTTTGGTGTGTGGTATTTATATATATGTTTAGTAGTGGTATTCTGATTTATATATATATGATTATGATTCTAATTCTGATTCTGATTATAATTATGATTTTACTAAACAAATTGATGATAAAATAAAATATTGATTTGATTTGAGTTAATATTTGGAATCTAAAGGATTTATTATTATTATTTATTATTTTTATTATTTTTTCGAAGGATTAGATGATTTGTTTGGTTTTGGATTATATTGTACTTTTGCTTAGCTTGGTTATATTTGTTTGTTTTTTTTTGCTTAATTAAACTTATAAAGTTAACAACAATAAAATTAACGAAATCATAACAAAAATAATTAAAATAAATATAAAAAATAAAAAATAAAACAAAACAAAACCTAGATTGGATAATATTATAATATTAATATAATTTGATTGTTTGATCTCTATGTTGCTTATTGTTTACACCAATTTCATTAACTAAATAGGATGGATATTAGAATATATATATTAAAGAAAAACCAAAACAAAAAACACATACCCCCACAAAGAAAAAAAATAATAAATAATCAAACACAAACAAACAACACACGAATTCATCAATCAATCAGACAACTTTCAAATATGATAAATGAATGTGAGTAAGTGTTAGACTGTTAGAATGTGTGTGTTTGGTGTTGGAACATACATACAACAGAATTGAATATTTAATTAAAATGGAATTTAATTAAAATTTTGTTAATTGAGGAGAGTAAGAATAAGAGTTAGAGTGTGAAAACCAAAAAAAAAAAGTAGTACAAATAACCACATACATTCAAATTTTAATTGAATGAATTCAATTTATGATTGATTTCAATTAAATTTTGTATGTATGTTTTTATTTGTACATATATCTATCTATGCTCTATAAATACTGTTGGAGGTAAATGAATGATAACAAAACTAAGCATTTGAAACGACACAACATCAATATTTAATATTTAAAATGCAAGAGTTGTGGTAAATTATTGATCATGATCGCTGTTTGATTATTGGCTGTTTATTTGTTGGAAGTCCAACAAAATAATAATAAAAATAATAGTTGGATTGATTAATTTAAAATAAACTTTACATGAATCTATCTCTCTTTGAATGAATATAAAGATGGAAAATATTTAAATATTTTGAATAATGTGAAAATACAATAACTCTTACAAAATAGTTTTACTCTCTTTTTTTTTTATTTTATTGTCAAGAAATAATCATGGTTATTGGTGTCAATTTGTTTGGTGCCTATCTGTATAAAAATAATCAAAAGTGTATTATAATTGGATTGTGAAAATCTATTAAATGGAGTTATGTTTTTTGATGATGATGAAGATGATGATGATGAGAATAATCCACAATTGCCACTAACTATTGGCTTCAAAATAAAATAAAAAAAACTAATAGCCCATGACTTTGTTGGTTTTATGTGTGGTGTTTATGAACAATGATTATTATTGTTGTTGATTTCATTTCATTTTATTTTCTTGATGGGTGTGTGTGTGAAAATTTATATGTACTCAATAAATGTGGGAAGTAAAAGGGTAGGTTTGTGCATAAAGATATTTACCACTCTACTACTATAGATTGAGATGCCATATGAAGTAACAGTGGTCGTTGTTATTGTTGTTATTATTGTTGTTCTGTTGTTTAGTTGATTGATTTAAATCTATTGTAAATAAACAGGTTTGTGTTGATTGGGTTGTCATGACATGTTGTCCACAATGTTGCTTGCACTGCACTGCAGTAACAAAATCAATCACACATCACACATCATACCATACACACCGACAACAACATCAAAAAAGAATAAAAATATATGTGATGAAGAGGACGTAACCAATCGTCAGCGGGAGTATTAACAAAACAAAACAAAACAAAACATAACATAACATTGTTGAATGATCATGATCATGATCTTGTTCTGAAGGTGTAATGTAATAGAATAGATACTATTATAAAACATATTAGACATTGACTGACCTGCTGTGCGTTCATTCACTTCATCACTATATAAAATAAATCTTGAATAGATTTACGATCGGTTTTTGATACCAAATGAAATCTTTCGATCTAACCGATGAATGAAACTACGATGCTATACTTTTATGATTACCGATTTGTTTATTAATTAATTAATTATTACCTATATATATATAAGTATATTTATGTAAACTAAAAGGTAAAACAACATTTTTCATCATTTTTAATTAATCGAAAAAAAAAAAAAAAAAAAAAACGAAATTCTTTGAAAAATGTGGCTCAAGAAATGAAATGATTTGCCTGTAAGAAAAAATTTGACATGTATCTATGTATTTTGAACAAAGTTAAGTTTTTTTTTTAAAAGGATATGTTATCTATTTACAATTATTTTATTTCTATATATATTTTTTACAACATTAATATTAATTAATATTTAAAAGAATTCTTCTTTAATAACTTTATTATTTTTCCACTGTTGGAATGCCCATTGAGTCTTTTGCATTCTGTTTCCAGCATATGTGAAATCCATATACATTTCATATCCTGTGTTGTCAGCATCAACAATGATCTTAAGGACTTTGGCTTCATGTACAGTTGCATTACTTGAGAAACCTTTCCTCTACCTTTCTATTCTCTGCAAAACCAACTCTATTCGTTGAATCTCCTTTCTCATACATCACTATATCTTGATGATAGAACTTGTCAAACACTTCTAAGATTCTATTCTCCTGAATACCTTTGATTATAGATTCTAAATTTAATCTAAGATTTGAATTTGGTAGAACTATTGATTGAGATTGAGATGAAACTTTTGTTGGTGAATTTGTAATTGCTGTGGGAATTAAAACTGGTTCATATTTCGCAGTTTGAAGATTATGTGAAGTTGGTGTCTTTGATTTTGATGGATTTTTATTTTTATGAATTTTATTTCCGATTTTGGAAAAGAATCTTTTAATTTGTACCATTTTATTAAATATTTATATTTAGATATAATAAAAAAAATTGAATAAAGTATTAGATATATTTATTTTTCTTTAAATTTTTTTGTTTTTTTGAATGAATATTATGAAAATCAAGAAATAGTACTATTTATAATTTTTATTTAAATTCAAGATCATTAATTTTAAAACATTCTTATGTTCCCAAAATAAACAATGAAACTACTTCAGGAATAACACACAATTTCATTCCGGAATCCAACAAAAAAATTTAAAAAATGGGGTTACAAGCTTTTTAAAATCAAAAAAGATGATCAAATTTTATCGTTAAGTTCAAAACAAAAAGTGAAGTCATAAGTTAAGATACCTATTTTATTTGATTGAATTATTTTTGTTATTTATATATATGAAGGAAGTTGAGAGGTAATTCTTATTAGACGAAACAACATTAAGTTCATTTTGATGAGATATTAATTCCTGAGTACAAGCAAGTTTGATAAAAAAGCCCTATTGCAGAGATAAAAGTGATTGACCAATCATATAAAAGACAATAAGTAAGTATTAGTTAATCTATTTATCTTTTCGTCTAAGACTTAAACTCACCAGATATTATTTAGGCCATAGACTTTTCTCAAGACCAAAAGAATTTATCCCAGTATAGATCTATTAAAACCTGTTATTTTTTCATAATACGCAATCAACATATTTACATGAACTATAATTAAGAGATAATTGTATAGTTTATAAGGGATATATGTTTTAAATAGGTTTTTATTGGTGAGCGCCAGAATAGTTTTTAATTTTAATTACTCATATTTCCAATATTATTATTTATTTAGAAAACAAAAATACAATGAGTTGGTGATGTGTTCCTCTATTATCCCAATTTTTTTTTGAATAATCATTCTTCTTTTAAATAATTATCAGGGTTTACAGTAACATTTGTTTTATTCCATGGAAAAACAGAAGTAAATAAAAAAATTTGGGTGGTTTTTTTTTGTTTTTCTCACTAGCTTTACATTTGTTAAAAGTCGAATGTGTTTAACAGGTATGAAAAAATAGCAATTTTTGGGCGAAATTACAAAAATAGTTAAACTTAAGCAAAAACAAATCAGTTAATTTTCTAACTATAAAGTACAACAATGATTCATTTGAACGCGCTCAAAGATTAAAGAGATTGAGAATATTATTTTACAAAACATGATCGCCTAAAAAGCAATTTACAAAAAAAAAAACTATGAATAAGAATTGAAATTTCAAATTACTTTCAATTTTCATTATTAATTAGAAATAAATAATACAATGGCTGAAGTAGACTATACAGATATTAATGGAGGAGATATTCCACTTACTGAAATAAGAATTGCCAAAGACCCATAAAGCTTTATCGAGGAAATCAAGAAGAATCCATTGCATCTTGTCCAAATGCCTTTTTCTTTAAAGCCTTGGATATAAAAGACCCAGTTCAAGTTGTTGCTTCCTATGAACCAACAAGAGAAGATGTTGGAACAATGGTTAATGGTGTAATGTAAGTAATAATAATTATTCGAATTTTATTAATTTATTTTTTATATTAATTAATTAATTTTTATATTTTTATGTTAAATAAAAGCGGTTGTATTCCAGGTATTGGTGCCTTGTGTAGTTCCGTTTTCTCGATTTTCTGGAAGAATGCAGTCGATCCACCCGAAACAATTGAGTCGAAACTTGTCAAATTCAAGAAAGAGATTCTCGATATTGTCGACAAGAAAATCAAGGATGGAAGCATTCAAATTTGGAAAGATCTTTGTAGCTCTTCACTCGATGGTTTGAAGAATGGTTCTCGTGAACTGGCCAACAGAATCGAGATTATCAATACTCTTCTCTATGAGAATAAAAAGATCAGTTCTGAGACCAAATCACTCGTCCAGACCCAATTGGATATCTGTATCAACTCTGTTGAGAATCTAATTGCTTTGTGCGCCAATGACTCCTATGACAACTACGTTCTTCAAAACTACGTCCAGGCGCTCCTCACCCTCACCATGTTTAGAAGACTACAAGACGCCTTTTGGTACCAATTCGGTTACCACTCATACCAAGTGTGTGGTAGATATCCAATCGAGGGTAAGACCAAAGGTGTCAAGTCGTTCCGTGAGATGTTCCACGACAAACTCATCGCAGGAATCAACGACGTTGCCAACTGTATGTCAGAGAACTGGGCCGAAGACGAAGGTAAATACAACGAAGGTCTCGAAGCGGTTCCACAACTTCTCAAGAACGATATGTACATCTACCCAGTACCATTGGTCGTTTTGGACTCATTCCCAGACACCATTCAAGTCAAAGACAATCCCGTTATCTACAGAATCGACGCCTGGAAAGCACCGATTAAGGAAGGTCTCGCCTCGGGAGGTGTGAACCCACGACCACCATACGACCCAATCACCGGATGCTACGGAGTCGATTTCCTCCACAAAGCTGGTTTCAACTTGAAGCTCAGTGAGAACTGTCGTTTCCAAATCAGAGTGTTCGGTTGCTACGCCTGGTACTACAACGCCAGAATGTACTGCACCGTAACCAATGACAAGAATAGCAAGGAGTACACCACCGATCTTCGTGACTTCGAATTCCCAGTCAGAAGCACCTTCAGAAATCCACACATTATGGCATCATACAAGAAGTTTGAAACTGGAATTGCCTGCTCACCACATTTCGAGGGTAAATCGGTTAAGGTCAGAACTGCCGAAGGTGATAGAACCTCTCATTGCATCGAGAAGTTGTTCTTCTTTGAAATCGTTGTTTCCAAGATCGTTTCACCAACCATCGCCGCCAAGTAAGATCTTTCTACTTAAGCATATGCAATTAAAAAGAATAGTTTAATTTAATTTAAATTTAACCATGATAAACTAAACTTTTTCAAAAATAATCAACTGTTTCATTTACTTGTTTTTAAAATAAAATAATATCATTTTTCCAATTAATTTAAAGAATTTAAAGAAAGTGAGTCAATATGTTATATATACAAATCATAGTCTGGTACATTGATAAACCTATATTTATATATTCTATTAATCGTTTACTGTGTTAATCCTTTATATTTTAGAATATTTAATTACTATTTAAACATCTTTATTATTACTGTAAACAAACAATTTCATTGGTTTGCTGATTTATCAGTTGCAGTTGGATGAAAAAAAAAAATTGACTTGATTACTTTTTTTTTTTTAAAAATCAAATAAATTTTTTTTTTTAATCATTTTCATTTTACAACCAGTTGTTAATTAAAATATTAATAAATCAGATAGATATATATATACATTTGTAATAGTTAAATAATATGAGTAATGTTGGAAACAATGCTAGTACAAATCCAAATCCTAGGATAACAGATGATGAGAGAAGACTTTTAGATAGTATGGAGGATAGTAGAGATGATAGTGCTTTCCTGAACGATGAGTCGGTCGATCAAGTAGATCCGATCGAGATGGAACTACGAAGAAAGATGTTGTCAATGCTCACTACCTCGACATCACAAGGTGGTTCAGAAAGCACAAAACATCAGCCACCAACACGTGCAAACATCTTAAAGAAACTTCATACTCATCAAACATCTGAATATGTCAATAACAAAGATAATAACAATAGTATAAATTTAAATTCAAGTAATAATAGTATAAATACAAACAGTAACAATAACAACAACAACAACAACAACAACATTAAAGATTATTATAATACAAATATATATAATGATTTAGATGATTATGAAGGTATTTCAAATAATAATAATAATAATAATAATAATAGTAATAGTAATAGTAATAGTAATAATAATAATAATAATAATAATAATATTAGTCAAAATAACCTTAGTAATACAATTGGATATGGAAATATAAATACAAATACAAATGGAAATGCAAGTGGAAATGGAAGTGGTTCATTTGGTGATAGCTATGTTACTTGTGAGAGATATCGTATTGCCAAGATTGCAGATGAATTTAAATGGGACGTTGTTGAACATGATTGTGTACTGAAGGAATATAGACTGTATGCTGTCGAGGAGTGGATATTCAAATCGAGTAGATTGTGGTCTGCCGTAGAGTATACCGGCAATCAATCCGACCAGATCTATGTGAGTGTAGTTCGTCCTACTCGACGATCGACATCGGAAACCAACAACAAACAACTGCAGAACATGCTATCGAAAGCACCGTCCGGTTCATTCTATACGATTCGCACACCACTCGGTCAACTTGTACTGGCAAACTCCTCTGTTTCCTCGCACTTCGGATTGAATTTGATACCGATTCCCAACGGTGATTTCGACCGACACATCGAAACGCTAAAGTTGAATCTACTGCTGAAACGGCTTGGTTGTACGCGTCCAAAGTATCAGCTGTCGATTCAACCACTGATTAACAACAACAACGCCTACGAGAAGCTGCGCTTCGAATCACTTGCCAACGCCAATCAAACCAATCTTCAAAGCGTTACCAACTTTGTCAAAGAGATACAAGCGGCGCTGTCACATCTCAACTATCTGCCGCTACTCACCAAGATCGATGGTCAGTACGACCAGAAGCTGATCAACGCAGTCAAGGCATTCCAAACCGATTTCAACAAACGCAACAACGCCGCCAAAGACAAAGATCAAATGCTACAGGTCGAGGGTTACATTGACCAGAACACCTTCAAAGGCATCGTAACGGAGATCATGAGTCTTCGCCGAAAGATAGAATCACTCGGTTTCAAAACACCCGATAATCCAATCAAGAACTACATCGATTTCAACGAACTAATGAAATCATTCCAAGATTCCTACGGTATCTATCCCGATGCACCAGGAAAGAATATTTTAACATATCTTGAGAATATCAATAAGGTAAATTGCTAATTAATTAACTTTATTATCACTAATCCAATCTAATGATGATTAATTTTTTTTTATTATCAGATGAATCAACACCATCATCAGCAACAACAATTTTATTATGATAGTGACGATGATGAAAATGATGAAAATAACAGTGTGAAGAGTGAGAATATATTGGATAGTGCAAGTAGTTTTAGTGAGACGGAGAGTAGCGATGGATTTAATTTGCCTTCTTCGCCTATACCTCTGAAGAACAAGTCGGTTGTTACTAGTATTTCAACTCCAACTTCAGACACCTCAAGACATTCATCTCCATCAATGATAGCTGCTAATGTAAATCAACAACAACAACAACAACAAATGCAACAACAACACCACCATCAGTCATCATCACCTACAACCAACAGTCCATTCAGTTCATCACCTGTTCATGCACCATCTTCCGCTCCTCATGGCCAGCTTCTCTCGCGTTCAAACAAAGGCATTCCAACTGCACTAACAGAACAATCCAACCATTTATTACAACAACAGCAACAACATCAACAACATGGTGATAGTACTACTGCTACCAGCACTACAAATACAACACCATATTACAATGAAGATATCTATGAATACTTTGAATCGGTAGAGGACGCAGAAGAGAAAATGAAACTTAAAGAAACGATTGTCAAGCTTGAAAAGATGATGGAAGTACAACAGACAGACTATGACAAGCTTAAACAAGAGTTTGAAACACTCTCTGAACACTATGCCGACATGAAAGAGCAAGCTGCAAGATCGATGGCAATCATCTCAACCAACGAAAAGCTATTCCAAGAGATCTACAATCGCTGGGGTAAGACAATTCGCAAAGAACTACCGGAAATAGAAGAAAAGATAAATTTAAATGTTGATACAATACAATCATGTTCAAATAGAGTAAGTTATTGGCTGACTAAAATGAAAACAAAAGAAAACAACTACTAATACTTTTTTTATTATTAACACTTTTTAACAGATTAAAAGATTAGAAGATATTGTAATCTCTGTACAGAAAAAAAATGAAAGAAATATATTTACAATAATAACTTCATCGCTTTTGAGCATTGTATCGTTGATCGCCGTTGGATTTGCATATCTAATCATGTTTTTCTCTGGACTAAAAAGGAAATGGTATCCTAGCTCCAAACCAAAATCATCTAGCGAAGAGATTCAGCGATTTATCAGTAAACAAAAGATAAAGATATCGGAACTCATAGAAGATTTAGATTACAACGAAGATAATGATAAAGTTCAATAAGATAATCAAAACATAACCAAATTCAAATTGTATAGAAAATAAATTAATAAACTTGTACAAAAACAAACAAACAAATAAACAAAAATATAGATATAAATGTATAACAAACAAACATTCTAAGTGGTTGTTGAACGAGAGAAAGAAAAAAAAAGGAATTTATTTTATTTGATAATTTTTAAATTTGGCCAAAAATAAGGTATGTATTATAAGTATTTATACCTTGTTCTATGTAATTAACTAATTAATACTAGAAAAGTATTCAACATTAATGTGTGCGCACATAATATTGGTTTGTTTTGTTATTATTTTTATGTTATTTTTTTTTTTTGTGTTTTTAATAAGTTGGTTTTTTTTTGATTTTGATTTTTCATTATTTAGTGAGTTGGACTTACACGACCGTGATCATTGTTAACATTGTCTCTTCTTGGAGATGAGTTTCTTGGTGATCTATCACGCTCTCTTTCTCTTCTTCCACCGCTTCTGCTTCTATCTCTATCTCTACGACTATCTCTGCTTCTGTCACGCTCTCTTCTTCCACCGCTTCTGCTTCTGCTTCTGTCACGCTCTCTTCTGTCTCTTCTACCTCCACTTCTGCTTCTGCTTCTATCTCTATCTCTTCTTCCACTTCTACTTCTGCTTCTGCTTCTGCTGTTTCTTCTTCTATCTCTGCTTGGTGATCTTCTATATGGATGATATCCAGAATCTCTTCTTCCTCTGCACTCTCTGGCAATGTGACCATATCCATTGCAAGTGTAGCACTTGATATCTCTGCTACCTCTTCCTCCACTGCTTCTACAAAAAAAAAAAAGGAAAATAATAGTAAATTTAACAAGTTAGTATATTTTTAATTCAAAAAATTAATATTCATTCAACTAGGATTCTAGGGTATGGGAAACAACTATCTCTCTCTCTCTCTCGCAATAAAGGGAGGCTCTAATATAAATAGATATATAATAATATAAATAGATGATAGGAAATAGGAGGCTGCCTGTCCTTGAAAAACATAGATTCTAAGCTCCGACAATTCATTCACCAGATGATTTGTCCTCTTGGCTTGGATTGTAGAAGTGGTGGTGGTAGGGTGGTGGGGGTATATGGTAAGCAAGCTCCTCTCTTCATTCAACCCTCAACAGGGCGATCTATATAAAAATTAATAAATAATAAATAGTAATAATAATTATATATAAATGATCGCTCGCTCGCCATTATATCGAAAAGTTCAATAATAATATTATTATTATTATTTTACATCTCTTTTTTTTTTTTTTTCTTCTGGTCAATTCCTGTTGGTACTTTTCTTTCTATTCTTCTTTTTCTTTTCTTTTCTATTCTATTCTTTTTCTATTCTTGCTATTTCCTGTTGTTAACAATTGAAATGGCAGGGACCGGTGGAACAATACAGACAGCACAGAGAGCTCTGGCGCGATGACAAAGACAACAAACACACAACAACACGAAGAGAGAGAGAACGAGACACACTTTTCACGGTCAAATTTGGCCTATTCCCCGGTCACATTGAAAATTAAAACTAATGTTTTTTTTTTTTTTTTTTTGAATCTTAGGCGCTGGCCTCTTGGCATTCACCAATTGGAATCATATTGACACATTATAGATAGAAATGGTGGATTTGGGAACATCACGTGATTCCTCTGAAAAAAATAAAATAATATATGATTACGATTATTATTATTATTTGTTATATAGTAAATAATTATGAAATATCCTAGAATATATTAAAATAAAAATAGATATATTTTTTTTAAATAGAAAAAAAATAATAAAAAAATTATTAATATTTACCCAGATGAATTGTTTCTTGGACAACTTCTAGCCCAATGACCTCTACCACGACAGATGTAGCACTCATCTGAAGTTCTCTTTCTTCCACCGTGTGACTTTTGAACGATGATTCTCTCACCATCCAAATCAGTGTTGTTCATTGCATTGATAGCATCATTTGCACTCTTTTCATCTTTAAATTCCTAATAAATAATAATAATAACAATAACAATAATAACCAATTAACAAATCTAATCTAAAATCTAATAATAATAAAAATAAAAAAATTACTTACAACGAATGCATAACCAGTTTTAATATCCATACTTAAAACTTCACCGAATCTCTTGAAGTTATCTTGAAGTTCCTCCCTTGAAGTTCTGGTGCTGATACGACCGACATAGATGCGACGATCGGCGAGACCATTGCTGTCACCTCTATCTCCTCTATCTCCTCTGTCACCTCTCGAGTCGGAACGATCACGACTACGATCACGTGAGGCAGAACGATCACGTGAATTTGATCTGTTTCCACCACCACCGTTTGCACCGTTACCTCCAACTGGTGTACCGTTCTCTCTCGATCTAGATCTTGATCTACTTGCTCTATCCATTTCTATTTATTTATTTATTTAATTATAATTAATTATTATATTTATTGAAAATAATAACAATTTATTTAATATTAAAATATATATATTATATATAAACAAATAAATAATAATTAATAAATAAAATAAAATAAAATGAAAAAAAAAAAAAAAGAAAAATAAATTTTGAACGAAAAATGTTCAAAAAAAAAAAAAAAAGTAAATTGAAACAAAAAAAAAAAACTATAATTGATAAATAAATTGTTTTTTTCAATATTTTTTTTTCATATTTCACACACTGTGTGGTAGTCAATTTGTTTTTTTTTCTTTGATAATTTTTATTCAACTATTTGATAACGTTATTACAAATCAATGAAAATCCAAGATTAAAGAAGTATGGCATCGAATTATTGATTACTTATTACTTATTATCTTTTTTTTACTATAAATTCCAACTTAAGAATTAATTTTGTGGTTTTCTTTTATCTTTTTGCAATTCTTTGTTATTCTTTAAATCAAAATTTGCAAGCATTGACTTGTACAAATATTATAATTATTTTTGCAAAAAAACAAACAAATAAATCACACTAACAAATATTTTTCTTCTTTTGAAGGTAAAGTTTAAAGCCGACATGTCTTTTGTGGGGGGAACTGAGTGGAGTTTAAACAAAACAAAAATTACTTCAAAACCTAATGAATATTTAATTAAAAAAACCCCATGCCTAACATTTTAAACAAAACTATCATATCTTATCACCTTTTAAAAGTCAAGAATCAAAAACAACACTTCTTTGGAATTTTTTTGTTTTTTTTTCATTTCTTTGCTTGCTTTTCTAACATCACTTGAATCAATTTAATAAAATGGAAGCACACTCCTTAGGTGCCTTGCTGCGAAATGATTCTTTTTTAAAAAAAAACAAAAAAAAATCATATCACATAATAAACTGAGTAACTACCTTCCAAACTTCTCTTTTCTTTTATTAATAAACAAAAAAAATTAATAAATAACAAAAGATATATTAATTATATAATTATATAATTATTTCAAATATATTTATTTTATTTAAATATATATTTATTTTTTCTAGTTTTTTTTTTCAATATGTAAGTTTTATCATCTAACTCAATCAATTTATACAATAGCTATGGACTCTCTTACAACACTTGCATTCAAACTCATAGCAAGATTTAAACTGTATCAAAATCCACTCTACACCAAGTTTATAAGTTTCACTTTTAATCTTTACATATCATACATATTATCAAATCTAGGCTACTATACTATAAAATCATAATCAAATTATTACTACGATTTAAAATTATTTTTTTTTTTTTTAAAAATAACCAGTGATTAATATAAAAAAAATCTGTATAATTTAAATATTTTATTCCCAAATTTAACACTTGTCTGTTTTGTGGTTGTTTTGATGATTAAGTGTTTTTTTTTTATTTAAATAAAGGACCGTCCTTGCATTTTTCACCTTTAAAAATATGATACGTAATAATGAATATTTACAATATATTTTTTTTTTTTTCAGTGTGTTTCAGGTTTTTTCATTTTTCCCAAGAGCGAAATTTCGCTATTTGAACACCTCTCCACTGTCACCCACCACCCCACACACAGTGTGTGCTAATAATTAAATGATTAAACAAATCACTGGGGTACATAGGTGATTCAATAGTCTGAGTGTAGGTCAACTCGTCACATTACATACCACCTGTTCCATCTAAAACTAAAAAAAAAAATAAAAAAGTACAAAAGTAGAAAAAAAAAAAATCAGAAAAATATTTATTTAACAGACTAACTATTCACTTACTTATTTAATATTTAACACTAAACTAAACTAATCAAATCATTCAAATCAATTTACACACCATCACAATCAAATACTCAAAAACAACTAAACACTATAATTGTTTATTTAATTGTCTTTGTTTATTCATTCTTCTTTTTTCTTTTCTCTTTTTTTTTTTTCACATAAAGTTGGATAATTATTAACTATCATCAACTAAACAAAACTAAATTAAAACTTAACCTAAACTAAACTAACCAAACTTAATTTAGATTATTTTTATCTCTATTTATTTATTCTCACTTTTAAAACTTTTCTATATTGAAATTTCCATCACACCACATTTTTATATATATACACATTATACACATAATCAGTAATAAAAAATGAATAGTACTTTAACTATCAGTCAGGAAATCAGTCAACAGGGTAATAAGATACCAACATATTTCACACAGGAAGATGGTAATTCATTGAGTGCTTTGCTCGAGGAATGCGTCTTCAAGCAACAAGCCAAGGAGGTCAAGCAAATCTTGATTAGCGAGCGTCTCATCGAGAGTGGTCGTGTCGATCCAGAAGTCGACTGGTTCTACTGCAAGCTCGGAATCGACTCGAACTACTTTGAGTCCACTCCAGCCATGGTGATCGCCCGTCACATCCTCTCGTTATACGCCGCCAAGATGGTGTCGCACGCCACCGGCGCCAAGCTCGAAGTCCAACTCCAATCAAAGACCGAAGGTTCCGCCACCTTCATTTCGCCATCCAACCCAGGAAAGCGTGACTCGCCAGCCATGGCCATCGAGCAACACATTGAATCCCAATATTTCGGTGAGGGATACCATCAGGATGCCGGTCAAGACGCACTCTCCCACCTCAAGCATGTCTCCACCAGTCTCAGCGCAACCTCGCCACACGGATTCCGTCTCGCCTGTTACCGTACCACCGGAACTGTATCAAGCGCCAGTCCAGTACACTTGCGTCTCTACTACCTCACCAAGCCAGTCTTCCCAACTCCAGAGTCTGTTTCCGAGTCGGAGACAGACCTCGCCAAGATTGGTGACGTCAACTTCTTGGCTCGTTCATCCGATGCCACTAAGAAGATCTACCAAGAGGTCATGAACGAAGTCGTCCACAAATTGGGACCAGTCATCAAGCACTACCCATACCAAACCAACGGTGCCCGTCTCGTCATCGCTTACCGTCGTGGATCTACCCACTCCTACTGGTCTGCCATCTCCGAGCTCTACCATTACCACAGAATGTACGCCACCCACAAATACGTCGAACAATTCTCAAACGGAATTGTCATTTACTCGATTTACATACGTCCACTTCAACCTGAAGTCGATATCAACTCTCATATTTCAAAGATTGCTGAACAAGTAAGTGTTCAAACAAACAAAACAATGTTGTTTACTTTTACAAACAAACATCAACAATTTCTAATCAACTTATTATTATTATTATTATTATTATTTTAGGCATCACTTGTTTATGTATTACCAAGAACTTCATTGACTCCATTGTTCCTTTCACATCAACTTTCATTCCCAGAGGTTACTTATGCCTACGTTGGTTGGAAGTTTGCCTACCAATTTTTGAATAGATACGCCACTGAATACTCTGCATTGTCAGCAGCAATCGGAGACGATTCAACCAAGCAAGCCATGTTGGCTCAACTCAAGACTCGTTTGTCAAAGGATACTTTCACAGAGGGACGTGTCAGAGATGCCCTCCTCCAATACCCAGAGTTGGTCAAGTCGTTGTACTCTGACTTTGAGAAGTACCACTTCAAGGGTGCCGCCAAATACGACCTCAACCACGGTCAAGAAATCATCACCCAAATCAAGCGTACCGTCAACAACGAGTTGGACAGCCAAATCTTCACCGCCATCCTTTCTTTCAACCGTCACTTGTTGAAGACCAACTTTTACAAACAAACCAAGACCGCTTTGGTCTTCCGTTTGGACCCAGGATTCCTCTCGAGCAAAGAGTATCTCTCCAAGCCATTCGCCGTCTTCTTTGTTGTCGGTTCCGAATTCCGTGGATTCCACATTCGTTTCCGTGATATCGCCCGTGGTGGTATCCGTATTATCCGTTCCCAAAACACCACTCAATACGACCACAACTCGTCATCGTTGTTCGACGAAAACTACAATTTGGCATCGACTCAACAATCAAAGAACAAAGACATTCCAGAGGGTGGTAGTAAGGGTACTATCTTGTTGAGTGCCGATCACCAAGGTAAAGCCGAAGTCGCCTTCCGTAAATACATTGACGCTCTCCTCGATCTCTTGCTTCCAAACGAAGAGATCATCGACCATTTCGCACGTGAGGAAATCCTTTTCTTGGGTCCAGACGAAGGTACTGCCGATTTCATGAATTGGGCATCGGCACACGCCAAACAACGTGGTGCTCACTTCTGGAAAGCCTTTACCACTGGAAAGTCGCTCTCCAAGGGTGGTATTCCACACGACCTCTACGGTATGACCACACGTTCCATCCATCAATACGTCTTGGGTACTCTCGAAAAGATGGGACTCGACGAATCTAAATGCACTAAATTCCAAACCGGTGGACCAGACGGTGATTTGGGATCGAACGAAATCAAGATCTCCAAGGACAAGACCATCGGTATTGTCGACGGTTCCGGTGTTATCTTTGATCCAGAGGGTTTGAATCGTGAGGAAATCACTCGTCTCGCTGGAAAGCGTCAAATGGCCCGTTACTTTGACAAGACCAAGTTGTCAGCCACCGGTTTCTTTGTTGATGTCGCCGACACCGACGTCAAGTTGCCAAACGGTGAGGTCGTTGAATCCGGTTTGATCTTCCGTAACAACTTCCACTTGAATCCACTGGTCACTGCCGACATCTTTGTGCCATGCGGAGGACGTCCAGAATCGGTCGGTCTCGTCAACGTCGATAAATTGTACACTGCCACCGGTGAATGTCGTTTCCCAATCATCGTCGAGGGTGCCAATCTTTTCTTCACTCAAAAGGCACGTTTGATGCTCGAAGAGCGTGGAGCCATCATCTTCAAGGACGCCTCTGCCAACAAGGGTGGTGTCACCTCTTCGTCACTCGAAGTGCTCTCTGCTCTCGCTCTCACCGACAGCGAGTTTGACCAACACATGTGCGTCAAGGACGGTGTCATCCCAGCTTTCTACGAAGCCTACATCAAGGATGTCCACCACACCATCGAGAACAACGCTCGTCTCGAGTTTGAGTGCATCTGGCGTGAACATGCCAAGTCCAAGACTCCACGTTCGATTCTCTCCGATTTGATCTCCGACAAGATCAACTCACTCAACGATTCCATCCAAGATTCACCACTCTGGGACAACCAAGATCTCAAGAAGAAGATCATCTCTGCCGCTTGCCCACCAGAGTTGTTGAAATTGCTCGGTGTCGACAAGATCGTCGAACGTGTACCAGTACCCTATGTTAAAGCCATTTTCGGTTCCTATTTGGCCAGTCGTTTCGTTTATGAATGTGGTCTCTCCAGTCCAGAGTTTGCTTTCTTCACTTTTATCACTCGTCTCCTTGGAAATTAAACGCAAAACAATTAAAAAGTAATAACAAAATAAAACAATATAATATATATAATATAAAACAAACAAACAAACATATAATACAATTTCTTAAGAAATTGTTGTTGTTTTTCAGTCTTAGTCAAACTAAAAAATTAATATGAAGTGAACCTTTACCTTCATATCTTTTAAAAGAAACAAAAACATTACATTTAAAATATATAATTATATATGTATGTGTTTTATTTATAAATGTTTCGAGAAATTCTGTCGTTAATAGTAGTAGTAAGTTTAAGCTTGTTGCTGTTGTTTTCTAGCTTCAAGAGCATCACTCTTGGCATCTTTCAATCTTTGTAGTTCTTCTTCTCTTTCTTTACGTTTGATTCTGAGTTGTGAGAGTATTTCCTCTTCTTCTTGTTTACGTTGTTGTTGCTTCTCTTCCTTACGTTTCTTCCAACCGAATGGTTCGTCGATCATCTGATCGGCACGCTCTTGATAGTTTACTTTTGGTGTTACTTTCGATGCATCGAAACGAGGCAAGTGATGTTGTGGTGCAAGTCTCCAATCGCTAATTGGCTTCTGATATAATCTACGTTTAGTGTGTTCTCTAGCTTGTTTCTCAACTCTAACTCTTCTCTTTCTTGCGTGTGTTGGTTGATCTCTGTGTGGTCTAATATATTTAGCGTCCAACTCTGATGGAATCTCAACTGAATCAATAACAATCGAATAGTTTCTATATAGGTTATTTTTAACAACAGCGATAATCATTAGTTTTTATACTTTGCTAAACTAACTAGCTTGAATTATAATAATATTGTTTAAGAAATAAATAGTTATTTCTTGTTGTTGTTGTTGATTATTATTATTATAATGATCATCAATCTAATAAGGTTCATTCTAAACTATCGTGTGTTCACATTACACATATGATCATACCTATATAAAAGTGGTGACTCGTTAGCTAGTGATAGCTTTGTGAATGATCTATTCACACTTCTTAATAGACTATTCATTTTCTATATAAATATATAATTAAAAGTAGGCTGTGAATGATAATAGATCAGAACTGCTATTATGTGTTTAATTCCCATAAAAAGTGATCATTCGGTGCATTGAATTTTTTTGAATTTTTTTGTTTTTTTTGTTTTTTTTTAAATTTTTTAAGATTATTTTTTTTTTATAAGTTTTTACTTTGTTTTAACTATTAATTAATGATTTGATCAAATATTTAAAATCAAATTTATCAAATTTTTACAAACAATAACGAAAACTAGTTCATATCATACATTCAACACCTCAAAGAGTCTATTGACAGTAACAAGTATTTTTATGAAGTTCAACTTAAAAACAATGTAAAATTGTAACAAAAATATTATTTTATTGTCTAGATCTTAATTTACTCTCCATTCTCTTGTTTTGATTTGTAAATTGTCTCTTTTTGACTATTAATATTGTTACAGCAACAACAATGGCAACAAATACAACACCACCAACTACAATACCAGCAATTGCACCATTCGATAATCCTTTCTTTGGACAAATGAAATCGGATGTGTCACTTGATCCAACATCAATGAGATTCGAGAAATCAGGATCTAAATCGACAGAATCTGAGTATGATGGAATTGTGATTCCAACAATTGCTGATCGGAATTGTTTGTTTTGTTCTGAATCGATATCATCTTGATCAATGATAACATTCTTGATTGGTGTAACTGTGTTGTCAATAACGGCATCGGATAAGAATCTTCCATAAAGACTTTGATCTCCAACATTCAATTTGATCCATTGAATCGATCCATTCACTGATCCAAATCCAGATGATGAACAAACATCTGATTGATCACTTTCAATTGCTGCTTTCATCAATATTTGTAATGTGTTGGTTGGTTGTTTGAATCGATATGAATTCAGATTCATTGTGAATTTGATTGTTGATTGTGGAATGAATAGATTCTGATTTGCAAATGTGATATTTGTTGATTGTTTGAAATATTCGATTGTCACATTTAAGATGGTTGATCTTTGATTGATTTGTGTTGAATAGAAATATTTTGGATTGGTTGTTGGTGTTGTTTGATCTGTGAAATTCCAATTGCTGATGTTGAATTGTTCAACGATATTATTGATATCATCCAATTCTCTGATTCCAATGATTTCAATTGATGTTGTGATTAAACTTCCAGATTCTGTTATGTTTGTTCCTGTTGTTGGTTCTGGATATGCTGGTGGAATTGGAACAATTATATTCTCTGTTTAAATATTATTTAAATATATTAATAAAATGAATAATATATCGATTATAAAAATAAATACATACTTGAAGAACAAGATGGACCATACCAAGGTTGATAACATTGACAAATTGAATTGATACATTGTCCATTGTTGTTACATGATGGTATTCCTGGACATTCCGAAGGTGTTATTGGTGTTGTTGTTGGTGAAGGTGTTGTTGTTGGTTGTGGTGGAGCTTGGACGATATAAATCTCGTATTCATTTGATGATATTTGGTTGTTGATCACTTTTACTCTGACAAAAACTTGGTTGGTTTTTTTAATTTGATTATTAAATTGCAATGATACAGAAGAATGGAAATCAACAGTGAGATTCTGATATCCTTTTCCATCTTGGTAATCTATCTGACCTATCACAGAGTTATTGTTCATTCCAAATGATCTTCCGTTGATTGTCAATGATCCACCCAAGTATGACAATCCAGATGAGTATTCAATGATTGGAGTTATCGATGTATATTCTCTTTTGATGAAATATTGGAAGTTGTTCGATTTTAAATCAACAAATGTATATCCAATATAATTTTTGAAATTATCGACAATTCCATAGATATTAACATAAATATTATTCAAACCAAATCCAAATGGAAGTTGATATTTTGAATTGTAAAAATAATAACCACTTCCATTGTTGGAGATGAATGTTGTTGGGATTTGAAGAGAGTTAAAATCTTCAGAATTTAAAATGATAATCGGTTGAACCAATCTCGATATTCCAGAACCAGAAAGTGATTCATAAACTGTGAAATTGAATTCAATGAACCTATCTAATGTTCCAACATCGATTGTAGGTGTGAAGGAAAGACTTGATAAGGTAGGTGGATTCTGATCAATTGTTGCTATAAAAATAAACAATTAATTCAAAACAATAATAAAATAAAATTTAAATGTCAATTAATAGTTACTTGTTATACAAAATACAGTATTTGATAAATTTGCTTCTTTTGGTGTTCCATAGAGTATTGAAAGAGGATCATATGAATATAAAGAGTTGGCTATAATATCAATTACAACGTTTGATATTTTATAAGTTTGAGTTGCACACATTCCGCTGATTGTAAAGTTGACATTGTAAACACCTTTCCATCTATCTCCACCAATCAAATTTGAAGAATTGAATGGTATCGGTATTGGATTCAAATCTAAATTCGAAACAACAAATACTGTTCCATTTGTAACTCCTTTATATGATTCTTCTAATTGGATAATCCATCCAATTGTTATAGTTTCAATTTCATTCATTGTATTGTTTCCAGAGGGAATAGGACTAGCGTTTGATATAATTAGATTTGCTGTACTGACTTTCCTTTCTATTTTTTAAATTGATTAGTACTTGTATTTGACTTAGATTACAAAAATTTGATAATATTTACTTGTTTTATATATAAATAATGAAGCTTCTGGACCAAAATAATCGATTAAAGAACTACTTTCAATCACCATATTGTTTCCAAAAAGAATAGAATAGTCAGAGTATCCATGGTTTGACTGATCGGAGTAGGTTATATTGAAAACATATTGACTTGAACTTTCATTCAAAGTTGAATATGCTAAAACAGAGTCATATACTCCAACGAAAGCAGGTGGCATAGAGGATCGGAGCTTTGTATTGAAACTCAAATACAATTGCAATTGGAAATTTGGATCTGTAACATCGAGATTTGTTGATGTGAAGTGGAAATATGTAATATTTGAAGGCGAGAGAACTGTTGAAAGAGGATTTAATAGTTAGTATAGAACAAAGGAAAAATAATTTGTAATATTGTACCATTTAAAACTGGAGGTAATAATGGAACTATGTCTTGGTTGAAGTTGTAATAGGACAAGGAATAGAAATGGTATTCATCTAGATTGGTTGTTTTAACGGACATATCAATGGTTCTGGCCATAACATTGGACAGAGTAAATTCTTTTTCATAAATTCCACTGAATGAATCTCCATAGATTAGATTCGAGTTATCGAGAATAAAAGCTGTACTACTAATAGAGAGAATCTGATAAACAGATTCAATATTAATCCTGAGAATGGCTGAATTGTCCGAAGATGAAATAATGCTAATATTATTTACTTTGACATTTGCATCTGTGTAGAAATACAGCAGCTAGTTAGTTTTGATTATAATATATTATCATTATTCATCATTCTTACCTTTAAGAGAGTTAGCGGGAATCGGTGCTGAGAGTGAGGCTGTGCTTACAGGATCGAAGGTAATTTGCAAAATTTTAGCTCTGACAGTCTTGGGAACAGGAACGGCGAATGAATAAGTATAGCCTACTGATGTGAAGTTGTTCCTTGAAGGATAGAAAGTATTCATCATACAACTATATCCATAATTAAATTGTGTTGTGATTGGAAGAGGGATAATTGCGTTTGAGTTTGATTGTATTGTCATAAATGAGACATTATCTGCGTCATGAAGCAATGCAGTAAATTGCATAGATAAAGCTATATATTTAATGTTAATAAATTAAATAGTTTAATAATAATTAAAGATTAACTTACGAAATGGAACTAATGTAGAGTTATAGGTTTGATAGATAGTACAACTATCAGAACAAATAGTATTTGGAGTATTTGTAAAATTCTTATATTCACCTTGCCAACTATACAAAGCATGAGTTCCATTATTTGCTAACATGTTCATTTGAGTGTAGGGGTTCACCCAGAATAACATAGATGAAGGGGCTTTAGCTAATATTAAACTTTTAATATTGATTATTTTAAATTGATTATCTTGTTTTACGGTTCCATTTGACGGTGGAGATATGGATGTGCTAACTATCTCTGTCAAAGAACCTTTATTAAAATAGACATGTTATTAACGATAAAATGATTGCTATATATTGTTAATACTATTGATTCTTACCGTTTAAAGAGAATATATTAGAAATATTGTGTAATACATAAAGATTAGAGTATGTTATGTTTAATTGAAAATTCTGATAGTTTGTCAAATAATCACCTTTCAAAAACAATGAGATAGCATATTCGTTTGGGTTTTGATTTTGTTTCATTATATTACAGTAGACAGAGGGATTATTTACTGGTTGGCAAAAGGTAAATATATATATGTTTGTTGAGTAATTAAACCTTATAAGCTGATATATATTATTTATGCGAGTGAGAGTAGGCTGTCCAGAGTAAATGATTTTAAACTCCTCTTGAGATATAGCTTTAAACAATAAGAGAATTATAGAATTTCTTTGAATGTTAGATTTAAGTTCAAACGTTAATCATATATCTCTACTCTTACCATTACAAATGAATTCGCCAAGTGTTAAAATGTAACCTGATGGAAACAATGGGTCGGATGGTCTAGTCACATTCATCGATATATTGTATCGATCGATATTTGGTTTCCTTGGAAATGATCCTGAAAATGAAAGAAGTTGTTTGTCACCATCTTTGATGATGTCATTGTTCATAGTCATAGAAAAACCATTATCAATAATTACGAAATCACTCTTTTTAAGTGGTATATTTAATTCCGAAATTAAAGTAACTTCATAAACACATGAACCAAACGTTGTCATCAAAGTCGGATTACTACCCAATGAGAAATTAAATGAGATTCCATCGATGTAAAATACTAATAAAAAATCAGATAACAATTTTAAATTTTTTTTTTTGAAATTAATCTTATGATTTTCAGTTTAGTGTTTTAGAATTTCGACAACTTACAATGATTAAAAAAAGTAATAATTAAAAAGAGATATTTAGAGGAAATCTCCATATTTATTATCTATTAAAAAAAAATAATTGAAATAAAACGGATTCGCCCATTAGTAGGAGATATTTTATGTTTTTTGTTTAAACAAAATAAAAAATAAAAGAAAAAATAAAAAAAAACAAAGTATCTCTTCGCGGTATTTGCGGAAGATGATAGATGATTGAGAGATCTTTGATTCTTCAATACCAGGTGTAGAGATCCAAAAAATAAAAAGAAAAAGAAAACGAAAAAAAAATTAAATTTTGATAATTTTATAAAAAATATCTTCTACCTGACAAAAAAGAAAATCTCATCCATGATTTTCATGTTTTAACATATTATCATTTTAATTTATCTAATTAATTATGAAAGATATTTTTGAATTAAAAATACACAAACAATAAAATGAAGAAATGAAAATGCATAAGACATACCCATGCGATTAAACAACAAAAATTTATAAAAAATTATATATCATTTATTATCTTCACAAATCCTTGTCGTTTTTGTTGTTTAATTCAGACAATCGTTTTTTCATTTTAACTTCTTGTTGTCTATATTTCTTTCTCTTTATGATAAACATAGTTGTACCAACAACAATGGCAACAAATACAACAACACCAACAACGATACCAGCAATCGCACCATTCGATAATCCTTTCTTTGGACAAATGAAATCGGATGTGTCACTTGAACCAACATCAATGAGATTCGAGAAATCAGGATCTAAATCGACAGAATCTGAGTATGATGGAATTGTGATTCCAACAATTGCTGATCGGAATTGTTTGTTTTGTTCTGAATCGATATCATCTTGATCAATGATAACATTCTTGATCGGTGTAACTGTGTTGTCAATAACGGCATCGGATAAGAATCTTCCATAAAGACTTTGATCTCCAACATTCAATTTGATCCATTGAATCGATCCATTCACTGATCCAAATCCAGATGATGAACAAACATCTGATTGATCACTTTCAATTGCTGCTTTCATCAATATTTGTAATGTGTTGGTCGGTTGTTTGAATCGATATGAATTCAGATTCATTGTGAATTTGATTGTTGATTGTGGAATGAATAGATTCTGATTTGCAAATGTGATATTTGTTGATTGTTTAAAATATTCGATTGTCACATTTAAGATGGTTGATCGTTGATTGATTTGTGTTGAATAGAAATATTTTGGATTGGTTGTTGGTGTTGTTTGGTCTGTGAAATTCCAATTGCTGATATTGAATTGTTCAACGATATTATTGATATCATCCAATTCTCTGATTCCAATGATTTCAATCGATGTTGTGATTAAACTTCCAGATTCTGTTATGTTTGTTCCTGTTGTTGGTTCTGGATATGCTGGTGGAATAGGAACAATTATATTCTCTGTTTAAATATTATTTAAATAAATTAATAAAATGAATAATAAAAAATCGTTTAGAAATAAATACATACTTGAAGAACAAGATGGACCATACCAAGGTTGATAACATTGACAAATTGAATTGATACATTGTCCATTGTTGTTACATGATGGTGTTCCTGGACATTTTGATGGTGTTGTTGTTGGTGTTGAAGTTGGTGGAGGAGTGTATAGCTGAATCACTGGTATGATGATTTCATTCGATGATATTTGATTGTTGATCACTTTGAACTTTATGAAATTAGAATTGATAGGTTTTATCCTGTTGTATTGCAAGATTATACCAGAGTGGAAATCAACATTAATATTTTGATATCCTTTTCCATCTTGATAATCGATTTGTGAAGTCAGACTGTTGTTTGTTAATCCAAATGATCTTCCATAGATTGTCAATGATCCACCTCTGTTTGTAATATCTGTTGAGCTTTCAATAATAGGTGTAGTCAAAGTAGATACTCTCTTGATATAATATGGTAAATTTCTATTCTTGAGATCCATTGCAGTATAACCTATGTAGTTTAGATATTTATCGACAATTCCGTAAACAGAAACAAAAAGATTTGAAAAACCGAATCCAAATGGAAGTTGATATGTCGCATTGAAATAATAGTATCCACCTTGACCTCCAATGTATTGAGTGTTAATCTTTAATGAATTGGCATTCTCTGATGATAGATGGATGACTGGTGTGTGGATCGTTGATACTCCAGATTCATTGACATCTTCAATGATAATAATATTAAATTCAATTGTTCTATCCATTGTAGTTACATCAATGATTGGAGTGAATGTAATGTTTTGTAAAATTGGTGGACGATCGTCAACAATATCTAAAATATAGAAGTAGTTATGAATAATTGAAATTTGAAGTAAGAACCAAGATACATACTATTATTACGAATAACAGTGATCTTCATTTGTTGTTCACTTGGTGTTCCATATATTGTCATCAGTGGAGAATTGATTGGGGTTTTAACACCCAGTGTGTCTTTTAGAATAATATTTGTAAAAGTATAGGTTTGAGATACAGTGTCACCTCGTACCTGGAATCGGATTCTATATACTGCGTTCAAAGGATCACCAGAACCTGGTATCATATCGGATGAATTAAAATTGATAACCAATGGCAATAAATCCAAGTCTGAAATCACATCAATTTGTCCACTTACGAAACCATTCATAAAATCAGTGATTCTGAAATCCCAACCAATTATTGATATACTATCTGGTTCAAGAGTGATGTTGGTACTTGGAAAAGCAGTGATTGAGTTAATGATTGGTGATAAATAGTCTCCACCATCTAAATAAATTAAATAAGATTTAGTAAGTCAAAAATTCGTTTTTACAAAAAATAGAATAATTACTTGATACAGATATATTCAAAGTTGCGTTCTGACCAATGAAAGAACGAAGATTGTAGTGTGGTATCATGTTGTCTTCAACAAATCCAAACTTTAAGTAATAATATAGTTCTCCCATCGTTACAGATTCCGGTATTGAAATATCAATTTGATACAACATCAAAGTATGGTTGTAATATCCAATAAAATTTCTATCGTAAAAAGGGAGATTAAACTGAGGTTTGAAATTCTCCAACACTAAAGTGAGATTGAAATACAATTTAATATCGATTCCACCTTTAGATAAATCAAGATTATTTGGAATGAATTCTAAATATGTAATATTCATCATAATATTTGAAACTATTCAACAAAAATAACAGTTAATATTTTTTTGTTTGAAAAAACTTTTTTGAATACATACCCAAATTATCATACAATGATATCTTTGGTAAAATATCACCATTCATATTGTATGGAGTGTCAGTGTAGAATATGAAACCTGCATTCAAGTTGTTTTTGGTGTAGACCGCAATAAAGTAATCTTGAATTGATCTTGGGAAGAATTCCAATTCATAAGTGCCATTGAGACTATTTCCATCTATTAGATTATTGGCTGACAATGAATTTTCACCAAAAACAATCTTTACAATTGGATTGTTGGCACTTACTCTAATTCTGAGTAGAACGGTAAATGCAGATACAGGTATGAATTCAACTGACTCTATTTGATATGTATCATCTAAAAATTAAATAATAAATATAATGTTCGGATCAAACAAAATTTTTGTAAACTTTTTAATACATACCATTTACTTGAGCAGGCGGAACCATAAAAGAATTAGTAGCAGAATTAAATATAGAATTAATTTTCAAACTATAAGTTGAAGGATAAAAAGGAACTTCAATATTATATAAATATCTTCCGTTTTGACTTGAGTATGGATACCATTCTTTTAAAGAATAATACAAAGATCCATAAGTCAAGGTTTGATCAAAATTATTTAAGATCGAGGAGTTATATGTAAAGACTATATAGCTGGATTCAGTTTCTTGATCCAAAGACACTGTGCTTGAATTCAAAATAGTTGTGAAACCTTTAAAGATTAAAAATGGTCAATAAACAATTATCGTTTAAAAATTTTATATAACACTTACCATATTTATTGAAAGTTAAACTATATGTATCATTAATAAGAGTTGCACTGGTATCGGTAATATAGATTGGCATATTACCAGGACTTATATTGTTTGGCATTGCGAATGCTCCATAGTAAATAGTTGTACTTTCATTCTTAAATGAAGGATATGCAGAGGAGAATGGAATATATACTCTTGAATTTGAATTTGTGAGAGTCAAAAACATGTTTGTGGAGACTTGTCTAAGGCTTTGATCTTGGTTATAAACAGTGCCAGATGTTGGATATATTTCAAGTTTATCAACTTTTGTGGTTCTTGGTGCTGCAGGATTATTCAATGATATCAATAAATGATAAAACAATAATATGAATAAAAATAACTTACCATGTGGGAATAAATTTGGAATAGTAATAGTTCTTCCCTGGGATCCTTGAGTTATTTTATAAGATACAGTAAATATATCTTGTAATGCGGGAGCTTGCGTACGACTACTTAATATCAATGAAAATGTACTGAGATCTTTGGTATTAAGTCTGGCTAGATTGCAGTCGACAACAGGAGAATCCACGGTACATGTCATAGAATATGCGGTTGGGTTAATGGAGGTATAAACTGACGAATTTAGATTTAATTGAATAATTTTGGTAATTCCAGGAATAGTTTCATCATATATAGGTACTCCCTGTTGCTTTATCGAAATTTCTGATGATTGATAGACTTTTTTTTTTCAAACAAGTTAGAAATAAAACAAATAGAAAACTTTCAAAGGTAATACATACAATGACAATATACTTCACCAATATAAATTGTTTCATTTATGAAACCTGGTTCTGTACTTGAGAGAGTAAGATTTGTGCTATAAGTGTTTTGAGTTGGTACGGTATTAAAAGATAACCCAAGAATGAACATTTGAAAGTTCCCTGCCCTGTATGGAGAGTTCAAAAGATTGAAGTTCCCTTGTGAAAATTGAAAATTCGTATCATTTATAGTTGAGGTTGATTCCAAGGTTAAACTGAGGACCGTACCACAAATTGAATTGTAAACTATATTTGGATTTTGAACCCTGTATCTCTTGATAGTTTGTCCATCTATAATAGTGACTTTTAAATTAAAGTTAGATTTAATTTACTAAAAAAAAAAAAAAACAAATTTTATTCTCTTACCACTTAAAAATAAAATAAATAAAAAATTAATATTCTTTGAAGATAATAATTTCATTTTTATCTCTTCTCTTAAAGAAAATAAAAATTGATTTTTTAAAGATAAGATCAAAACTCGAGTTAAAAATTTGTAAAAAAAAAATAAAAATCAATAATATCTAGATATTTTGTAGACAAAAAAAAGTGTCTCTTGTGACATGAATTCATTACTGGGTGTTATAATTTACGTCTGAAAATAGACTCAATTCAATTTCAGAAAAAAAGTGATTTATTCTCTTGAAAAACAGAATTGTGCTTTTTGTTTTAAAAAAAAAAAATTGTTAAAAAATTTTTTTCATTAAGGTCAAAAGTTTACGTTCTTTTTTACGCGGTAGAGATTTTCAAAGTTGTGTTACCATCATTCGTTAGAATAACAGGTGAACCATAGTATTGTTTCTTTAAATTCAAAGTTTGTCGAGGTCCAATGTAATGTGCTTCTGCTGAAACGAAAAGAGGTTTCATTAAAAGTTTACCTTGTTCATCACCCAAATTTTGGATAGTAAAGTTTGTAGCTTCTATCCAAGTAGGTACTGTCTGTTTTAATAAAACATATTTTATAAAGTTAATTGAATGTATTAAACAAAAAAAAAGTATAGTTTACTTTATGAGTGCCTGGTTTAAGTTCAAAAGGGTCTACCATTGTTTAATAGTTTTTATTTGGTTTATAAAACGATATAATAATTTAAATAGAACAAACAAATAATCAAACAAATTTAAACAGTTTTACATTTTAATAGTTTAAAACTATCATTGTTCTACAAACGTATATTCGTTCTCGAACAGAACATACTGACTAATGATATTTTGACAAATACTTGTCTAACAAAAAATAAGAATGTAGATGATCTATAAAAATATGACTATTTTTACTTAACTATTGAGAATTAATATCGCTTCAAATCTTATAATATTTCATATTAATATTCAAATTTTGTTCATATTATTTAATGATTAATAAACCGAGCTAATTTGTTTGAAGTGTAATTGAAGAAATAATTCATAAATATAATAAGGAAACATCCCTCACACTATCGATAAAAAACAATTTTTAAAAATTAAACTTGAACATTAATAGTTTGACGAAAAACAACGATCAAATTTTGACCTGTTACAAATCAATCAACACCATGGTTTTAAAAGCATATCTTGATGGGTTTACAAAAAAAATCTTAGATTTTTTTGATTCTTTAGATTGATTTCGTAAAATGTAATCCAATCTTATCTTTTTATAGCTTTTTTCCAATATGAAACAAATAATAGTTATTTGTATTTTTATAATACTAAATATATGTAAGATATCAAATTTATTCTTTTAAATCAATTAAAACAAAAAAATTAACTATTAATTCTAGATATATCTAAAGGAGCTGATATCAATCTTGTAAGATATGACATACAACAACCACCTGCAATTATTAATGGTGGAAATTGTATGGTTACCTTTTCAGTGGTTGTACAGACCAATCAGATCGACTTGAAATCAGAGAATTTCTCTTCAAACTACTCCCTTTCAAACACAGTAAACTCAAGAGGTGCAGGCTCAACAAGTTTATTCATATTCCAATCGGTAGTCAACTCTGTAACTAGAGATTCCGAATTTAATTTACAGTTGAACATCACCGATACCACTAGTGCTCAAATATATCCATTTATGATCAATGGATTTAAATGTTTAGGTAAATATACTATACCTATTGATGACTGAGCGCAATACTAACAGAAATCATACGTTTAGATCAAACCATTAATAAATTAAATGTAACATTTATTGGAGAACCAACAATGATCTCGAATACTATGACGGTCAATCTAGAAGTAGATTTTGGAAATGATGTTACCGGTGACCAGTATATCTCTTGTATGGTTACTAATTCACTTTCTATCACCAATTGTTATTACCGAACAATCAATTCGATGGCGAATTCTGGATTTATTGTGATGGAAATGAATCCTGGATTTACAACACCAATGCCATCGTTTTTACTAGTTGAACTTACATATATTACATTTTCCACTACTATCAATATTACAAATGTATTCCCATATAATGGTAGGTCTAATTCAAAGCAAGATAAACTAAACTGAACAAATATTAACTTTTTAAAATATAGTTACAAGAACCTCTGTGATTGAAGAAAAAATATTTTATCCGTTCAATCAATCGATAGTACATCAAGATTATCAATTGAATTCATATAATTTATATAATTTAATGGTTGTAAAGAATCCAAATTCTTATTTTACAGCTGTTACACCCCCACCAGCCACTACTCAGCAACCATATATTTTAGTTGGATCGAATGAAACTCATTCCACATACCTATTTTATAGTCTTTTTACAAACTATACCGGAGATGCGTTCACAACCTACATATTAGATTCTCAATCTACAACAGAACCAAATAGATACTTTTCGGAATTCTATGTTAACCCAGATTGTAAGACAAATATATATTAGATACTATATATCAATTTTAATTTATTAATTTTCTTTTATTTTTTTAAAAAGTCTTTAAATCAAGAGTATTAAAAGGAACATCATCATTTGATTCACAAACAGATACGATCTTAATTGATATTTCAGTATATGTTCCATTTTTGTATAAAAATTCTCTCACATATTATTCGAATTATAATATGTTCATGTTTAATTCTCCTTATCCATCATCGAATAATTTCACTGTACCTGGTTCATTCAACTTTAATTATGTTGTACCTTTTTTTAAGTATAATACCCCTTCTAATGCATTATTCACCATGACCCCTGGAGATGATGCACAAGTTCCAATCATTCCTATCATTAGTCCACCTTGTAAATATTTCCAAATGATTCATTTCTTATCTCTTCAGATATTAATTTATTTAAATCTAGTTTACAATGTTATTTTGAATGATCTTAGTTGGAAACAACTAACTTCATATTCAATGCTAGTTCATATTAATGTTACTTCAACAAGCTGTCCCATTACATATATTCTTTTAAGTTATATAACAATTCTTACACCTTCAGATCTAATTGAGGGTGATCTTTTCAGTGGTGTCTATGAAGCTGTAGTTACGGTGACATCGTATGAAACCTTGGAGCTTTCAATTCAAGACTCATGCAATCATCTTTCTAAATTTGAAAGTACAGTATCCTACAATCCAATGAAACCACAAACTCTGCTTCCAAAATATCCAGCTTTCCAAAGTAAGTCATCAAAAATGATTATTTTATTCATAATATTAACAATTAATATTCCTATTTAGTTCCAATTTCTCCTTCAAATATTACTTATTTTAGATTTTTAACAAATGATCTCGATTTATCGAATGGAGATGTCAATGTTACTCTACATTTTAATGTTACAAATCCAGAGAAAGATGTTACACCTAGTTTTGTCTTTAAAATATTCCAAATCCAAAATATTGGTGCATATGATGCAAATTTGGATCTCTATGTAATCAACTTCACAGTTTCATCCAATATGCCGGCAGGAGCTGTCGAATATTACCTCATTTGGGTAGGATATTCGCTTCAAACTAATATAATGAATTCATATTTTGGCAGCCAAGCTGCTCTCAGAATCAAGAAATCAAGTAAGTTATTATATTTTCAAAATGATTGATCTTTCATTTATTTGTTTTTCAATTTGTAGGTTGTGATTATGTTCCTCCAATGATAATTTCAGCAGATCCTTTACCAGGTAACTCTTTTAATTTGAATACAGAAAATGATAATGCTGAGATTGGTTGGACACTTCAAATAACCGATTCTTCTGGATTTGTAAATGGAACAATCCAAATTATATCAGATTTGGATCCTCTACCAAGAATTCTCACGATCAACGATACAAACAGAACTGGAGGTGATCAAAAGAATGGAAACTATACAATTAAATTCAATGTTTCTGGTCGATGCAGATCTCAAACTTTTAAATTGACCAACGCAACTTTGTACGACACTAATAAGCAAAATGCATACCTATTTATCAATACATTTGATTCACTTTCACCAATATATGGAACAATTGGTTCAAGTGCAACGATTAAGATAAATTGTTTAACATGTACGTATAAAATCCAATTTAATTGTTAAATCTTACTAATAGAAATATTATTTTAAGTAGCAATTCAAGATCAAACAGCACCAACATTGAAATCATTATCAATGACACCGGTTGTTGATGTCGGAGGATTAGATAGGTTGGTTTATATTAATTTCACAACAGGAGATGAACTGGGTGGATCAAATGTTTCCTTGAGACACAACCCAGTTGCACATCTTCTCTCTGAAAATGGAAATTTCATTGAAATCACATCAACTTTACTCAGTCAAACTGCGAATGCCAATGGAGAATATTCCTATATGATCAAACAACAACTTCCATTTGGCTTTGGACTGACCAAGATCATTGTTAATATTTATGGATTCGTCGATAATTTCAATAACTATCGATCATACACTTCAATCAATTTAAGAGATTCCGGTTTCAGTTATTATATAAACAGATCATTCACAACAAATCAACCAATATTGGAATCATCATCAGGAATTACAAATAGAGGTGGATCATTAACAATCAATGGAAGATCATTTGGCGTAAATCTAAACAACTTGAACTCTCAAATCGATTATCAGGATGGAAATGGATATCAAAATATTGCTATCAATTTCTTTTCTGGTATTCTCCTTTCATTTGATAATGTTAAATCGATTCAAAGTAACTTTATTAAAATCAGAGTTATCAAGAATGGAATCAAATCGAATGAATTGACAATTCCTGTTATTAGATTAGATCCATTACCAACCACTTCTCCAAACCCTCCAACACCAACACCATCAAAATGTCCAGGAACACCATCATGTAACAACAATGGACAATGTATCAATTCAATTTGTCAATGTTATCAACCTTGGTATGGTCCATCTTGTTCTTCAAGTATGTATTTATATTTATACCATATATACATGTATCAAGTTTACTATAAAAACAATATTATTATTCATTTTATTAATATTTAAATAATATTTAAACAGAGAATATCATTGTTCCAATTCCACCAGCATATCCAGAACCAACAACAGGAACAAACATAACAGAATCTGGAAGTTTAATCACAACATCAATTGAAATCATTGGAATCAGAGAATTGGATGATATCAATAATATCGTTGAACAATTCAATATCAGCAATTGGAATTTCACAGACCAAACAACACCAACAACCAATCCAAAATATTTCTATTCAACACAAATCAATCAACGATCAACCATTTTAAATGTGACAATCGAATATTTCAAACAATCAACAAATATCACATTTGCAAATCAGAATCTATTCATTCCACAATCAACAATCAAATTCACAATGAATCTGAATTCATATCGATTCAAACAACCAACCAACACATTACAAATATTGATGAAAGCAGCGATTGAAAGTGATCAATCAGATGTTTGTTCATCATCTGGATTTGGATCAGTGAATGGATCGATTCAATGGATCAAATTGAATGTTGGAGATCAAAGTCTTTATGGAAGATTCTTATCCGATGCCGTTATTGACAACACAGTTACACCGATCAAGAATGTTATCATTGATCAAGATGATATCGATTCAGAACAAAACAAACAATTCCGATCAGCAATTGTTGGAATCACAATTCCATCATACTCAGACTCTGTCGATTTAGATCCTGATTTCTCGAATCTCATTGATGTTGGATCAAGTGACACATCCGATTTCATTTGTCCAAAGAAAGGATTATCGAATGGTGCAATTGCTGGTATCGTCGTTGGTGGTGTTGTATTTGTTGCAATTGTTGTTGGTGCAACTTTGTTGATCATAAAGAGAAAGAAATTTAAAAAACAAGAAAATCGAATGAAAAAAAGATTGTCAGAGATTAACAAACAAAGCGACAAGGAATTGTGAAGATCATTCTAAATTTCAAATTAACAAATTATATAATTTATATGACAACAAAAATATGTTCACCTCCACAAAAATTTTTGTTTTAAAAATTTTAAATAAGTTTATTGATCATCTTATATAAGAAATAGATTGATCCTATATGAACCAGTTTAATAAATATATCAAAAAAAAAAAAATAGTAAAGTTAACCAGTAGATTTTTTATTTTTTTTTTACTATTTACATACACACCTTTTAAAAACTATGTAAAATTTTTCTTCTGACAAATCAAAATTCTGTGTACAGTTTAAAGAGTTTTAAATTTCATTTCTAATCGTTGAACCCTTTTTTATTAAATTAGTTCTTTTCGAGAAAGTATAAATAAAGAGAAAGAAATGATAGATCAATAGTACAAAACAAAATGAAATACAAGATCTTAATTCTATGTGTTATTCTTGGAACAATTTCTCTCATTGAAGCAAAGAAACATTTATGCAAATGCACCTTTTATAATAATGAAATATCTTATTTAAAAGTTAATTCGTAAGATATATTTAATCTATAAAATTGGAAATAGAGAATGGTTCTAACAAATATCTTTAAAACAAAGTCTATTAGAGTGCAAATATGATTGCTATCAAATGGCAGACAATTTACAAATAAACATTACATGTAATACCGGAAGTTGTTCATGTGATTGTCCTAACGGTGAAGTGTTACCTTGTTCTACAAATACTACCACATCTACCACTCAAACAACTGGAGGTCATCACCATTCATCGCACACTGGTGGCAGTCATTCGGGTGGAGGTCATTCTGCTGGAACAGGAAAGTCTACTTCATCTGGTAGTGGTACATTTACAAGTGGTTCAGGAACAACCTCAGCCTCTGCAAGTGCTGCATCATCAGGATCAGGCTCTGCTTCTGCTTCTGCCTCAGCATCTGCTGCTACATCTGCTGCTGCCTCAGCTGCAACATCTGGTGCAGGATCTAGTGGTGGTGGTTCAGGAGGTGGCTCAGGAGGTGGTTCAGGAGGTGGCTCAAGCGGTGGCTCTGGTGGTGGTATATCTGGATCAGGAGGTAGTGGTATGTATATTTATATTAATAAAACTATTATAAAAACAACTAATCATTGGAAATATCAAAGGTGGTCCAGGTGGTAGTGGTGATAGTGGTGCTGGTACTGGTGGTGGTGGAAGTGGAGGTGGTAGTGGTGGAGGTGGAAGTGGAGTCCTCTATGATTATTCTCTATGTGGAAATGCTTGCCAATGCCAACAAACACTTGTTGATTTCAAATTGATCGATTTGAAATGAATAACATAAAAAATATCGAAATGATTAATCTTTTTCTGTTTTTCAAGAGAATAAATCAAATCAAACTGTTTTCAAATAAATAAATAAAATTTGTTTATTGTCAAGAATTAGATTAATAGATTAAATAGTTTTACAGTCCTCGCTTATTCATTTCAATACGTTTTTGTATTTTTCGATCATGTTCTTTCAATTCTTTTCTCTTTACTAAAAATAAGGTAGTTCCAATTATTATAGAAACGAACAATACACCACCAACTACAATACCAGCAATTGCGCCATTCGATAATCCTTTCTTTGGTGAACATATAACATTGGATGTGTCACTTGATCCAACATCAATGAGATTCGAGAAATCAGGATCTAAATCGACAGAGTCTGAATATGATGGAATTGTGATTCCAACAATTGCTGATCGGAATTGTTTGTTTTGTTCTGAATCGATATCGTCTTGATCAATAATAGCATTCTTTATTGGTGTAACTGTATTATCAACCATACCATCAGATAAGAATCTTCCATAAAGACTTTGATCTCCAACATTCAATTTGATCCATTGAATCGATCCATTCACTGATCCAAATCCAGATGATGAACAAACATCTGATTGATCACTTTCAATTGCTGCTTTCATCAATATTTGTAATGTGTTGGTCGGTTGTTTGAATCGATATGAATTCAGATTCATTGTGAATTTGATTGTTGATTGTGGAATGAATAGATTCTGATTTGCAAATGTGATATTTGTTGATTGTTTGAAATATTCGATTGTCACATTTAAAATGGTTGATCGTTGATTGATTTGTGTTGAATAGAAATATTTTGGATTGGTTGTTGGTGTTGTTTGGTCTGTGAAATTCCAATTGCTGATATTGAATTGTTCAACGATATTATTGATATCATCCAATTCTCTGATTCCAATGATTTCAATTGATGTTGTGATTAAACTTCCAGATTCTGTTATGTTTGTTCCTGTTGTTGGTTCTGGATATGCTGGTGGAATTGGAATAATAACAGTTTCTATAAAAATAAATTAGAAATTTACAAAGATATATTTTTAAAAAATTTATTTTATACATACTTGAAGAACAAGATGGACCATACCAAGGTTGATTACATTGACAAATAAGATTAATACATTGTCCATTGTTGTTACATTCTGGTGTTCCTAGACATGTTTGGGGTTTTGGTGTTGAGGTAGGTGTTGCTGTGGTAGATCCTGTGGTACTGGAAGTTTCTCCACCTGTGGTGGATTCTCCCCCTGTAGTAGTGGGAGATCCTGTGGTTGTGGTGGTAGTAGTTTCAGGTGTAAAAGGAGCTTCAAAGTAAACTGTGATATTCAATTCATTGGATGCGATGTTATCTTTTATAACTCTGAAAAATACAAAATTTGAGTCAATTGGATTAATAAGGTTGTTATATTGTAAAATGACACCGGAATGGAAAATAGATGTGAGATTTTGATATCCATTGCCATCATTGTAGTTAATCTGTGAAACGAAACCATTGGGATTCAATCCAAATGATTTTCCATAGATTGTTAAATATACACCATTGCTTGTCAATCTAGATGAACTTTCAATAATTGGTTGGATAGTAGAGAATGTTTTGGTGATAAAATAAGGAAAGCCAAGACTATCTAAATCAGATGGACTATATGATCTATAGTTTTGGAAGTCGTCATTGATTCCAAATACATTAGCAAAGATCTTGGTAAAACCAAATCCAAAAGGTAATTGTTGAACAGCTGAGAATCTGTATTCATAGCCACTTGGTCCTTCTGTTAATCCTATGTATTTAGTGGTAACATCAAGTGAATTTCCATTTTCAGAGGTCAATTGCACCACAGGTGGATTTTTCATAGAGACATCTGATCCACCCGTATCTAAAACAGTAAGATTCAGTGTTACCTCTCTATTAATTCTTCCAACATCGATCACACTTGGTGTCATATTAAAATTAGTTAAAGTTGGAGCTGTTGCATCCATAGTAACTGAAATATGTTTGTCAATAAAATGAAGAACATTTAAAATTGGTTTTTAATCATTTGATACATACAGGAATTACAATAAATGTAACTTTTAATTTGTTGTTCATATGCAGAACCATAGATTGGAGTGAGAGGATCGAAAGGCGTATATTCAGTGGCTGGAGAGTTCATATCAAAGAATGTAGCATTGACAATTTTAAATACTTGATTTCGACATTTTCCAGTCACTGGGAAAGTAAATTCATAGGTTCCATCATATTCGTTACCACTTTTTCTGTTGGTAAATGATGTAATAACAAATGATCTAGGGTTCAAGTCATAATCGGAAATCACCTGGACAGTACCCCCAGCAAATCCACTGGGATCGGTAATTCTCATTTGCCATCCAATATTTATAGTTGTAGAGTCAGTAGGAAAAGAGTTACTATTACTAGGAATTGCCATCAAAGTTACGATCATAGGATTAATATAATCACAATCTTTAAATATTAAATAATAAAAAAATGTTAATTATCAAAAGATTATAAAATCTAAAAAATATTTTTTTGATTATACTTGATTTTGATATTCTTAGTGTAGCATTGTTGCCCATATATGACTGTAAAATATCGACTGTCAATTGGAAAATTGGACTGAATTTAAGAGTATAGAAAATATTTCCATGAGGATTATTTTGCGATACATTGAAATTGATAACATAAAGATTTAAACTGTTATCGTATGCACCAAATTGCTCATAAGCAATGTTTGCCAGAGTTATCGATGGAGTTAACGTTTTTACTGGAATCTTTAATTTGAATTGTAGTGTAACAACAATATCACCAGTGGCAGTTAAATCGATATCATTGGTTAGGAAAGAGAAATATGATATGTTACTTGGATAAACATAATCTAAGATTATTGGTATTAGAAATATTCAAAAATATATGAAAAATTCAAAAATATATTTACATTCTAAATTTGGAAGATTTGAAAGAGTAATGGTTGGCTTATCAGGATTATAATTCAAAGAGATTGGGAATACACTTTGATGGTTACATCCATCATAGATTGTTATTTGAGCGTCTGCTAGTGGTGGAAAATAGACTTCTGCTTCGTATACCCCATTAAAATGATCACCATAAACCAATATTGAGGAATTAAATGGTGTTTGTCCAATCATAAAGGCATCGACTGGACAATTAGTTGATGAAACATTCATTCTAACTAAAACAGTACTCCATGATACTTGTCTAAAAGTAACATTATTCAAAATAATATTAAATACTGTTTAAGAATAACAATTAGTATTAAATCTCTTGAGATTTTTAAATATAAAATATACCTATTGATTTATCGAGTAACATTAAACTAACAGTATTTAGACCAGCTGGAAATACAATTAATTCTGGATATTGTTGTGTCACATTTTTATAGAAAGGAAGCTCAAAGTAATAGGTGAAAGAACCATCTCCTGTTACATTGTTAAATGATGGGTAAGGAGCTCTTAGATTGAATTGACCTGGGGAATTTAAAATTTGATATTTATATAGAACATTATAATTAAAAAAGGTGGTAGCTGTACAGTTTAAGAAAATAGTATTCGATTTTGAATCAAATCTTGGTGAAGCTACAAATTTAGAATTTTGATCTAAATAAAGAAAAGAAATGTTAAAAATGAATTTTTCGAACTCTATTATTACCATCATACTTACATTGAGAATTCAAATTATATGTTGCACCATATGAACTAGAATATAAAGTAGAAGTTTTATCTAAAACATAAGTTTTTAAAAAACCAACTGTCATCGAGATATAATTATTTCGTTGGGAATAAACTGTATGTGTAGAATTGGATTTAGATCTTCTGAAAGGGTATTGTGTACCAGTGATATCAACAACAAAATAAGAGTTGGGGTTAGAAACTGTAAGGAAATGGTTGGATTGTAGATTTGCAAGTTGGTAGTCTTGTTGTATTGTTAATCCAGAAGCAGGTGCAAAGGTTTCACTAACAACAACAGAGGTTCTAGCTAATAATTATTTTACAAAAATTAATAATTGATAAATAAAATAGTCTTTTGTTACTCTTACTTGATGATGGGAATATATTTGTAACATTAAATACTATTGTCCTTCCTCTAAATGTTAAGGTTGCAGAGATATTGGATGGTAGTGGATTGGTATATCCTGAATTCATACCAAACAAAATATTTCCATACTTTCCACCAACTAAAGATAGACCAGCACAACTAAAAGAATTACCTAGTACTCCACCCACTGGGGTAATCGATTGGTTTAGAGGTGAAACCATTTCAAAACTAACAGATATCTTGCCAACATCATCATAGAGTACAGGTTGTCCAACGAAACCAATATCAAAACTATTCATATCAAACTCTAAAAGAAAATATGTATTTATAGAAAATTATCATAAATAATTAATATATAAAAAGAGATAAATATGATCTTCTTACCATAACATTGAAATCCATATAATTGAAATTTGTTAACAGAAGATGACGATGCTATATCTAAATCTAGAATGAACTTGGTGATACCAGAAGGTCCTCCAGCTGGAAGAAGAACGGTTGTTTTAAAAATAAATAACTTATTTGTACCTTCTCCTTGAGATGAACTGATATACTTCAGTGTGTAGTTCGAAGTGAAATTCTGGTAGTAAAGAGGTGTAGGTTGATCATTCGAAACAATTACAGAAAAGGTAACAATACAGCTACCATCTACTTCTTTCAATGGTGCCGCATTGGGAATTTTATAACTAACAAGTTGAATAACTCCATCTTTAGAATTTATAAACGGTTTTTTATAAAATAAAATATAAAATGATAATTTTTGAAAGTAAGATAAATGATATTTTTTAAAAAAAAAATTCAAGATACATACAAGATTTATTGATATTCAAATAAAAAAATATAAAGATAATAAATAAATATACATAAGATTTCATTTTCGATTTTAATATATTATGTAAACTAACATGTTTTTATCAAGTGATAAGGGTTGTTTTGTTTATGATATTAATTAATAGACTGAAGCCTGGAATTTTAGATATTTAGTAAAATCGGATAGATATTTTTTTTTTGAATCCGATGATTTGATCAAATCATAAAACCCATTTTTGACAGAAATAGTTTTTGATTTTTCGTTGAAGTTGCATCTTCACCCTTCAAAACAAAACTGGCTCTTGCTTGTAACCATAAATCGAAAAAAATAAAAAAAACCTCAAAGATCACATTAACCCCACTAATTTTTAATTTGTACATTTTTTTTAAAATTAATGCGCAGGCGAAAGTTGTTGGGAGCCAGTTTTGTTTTGGATATTTTATCGATTATAAAAAAAAGCAAATTTTATCGATTATTATAAATTAATTTACTAAAATTATTTATTTAATCAATTATTACAAATCTTTATCATTATTTTGTCTAAGCTCTGACAATCTTTTCTTCACTCTCTTTTCTTCTTTTTTAGTTTTTCTTTTTCTCATGAATAATAATACAGCACCAACTGAGACTGCAACAAATACGACACCACCAACAACGATACCAGCAATTGCACCATTCGATAATCCTTTCTTTGGACAAATGAAATCGGATGTGTCACTTGAACCAACATCGACAAGATTAGAGAAATCAGGATCTAAATCGACAGAGTCTGAATATGATGGAATTGTGATTCCAACAATTGCTGATCTTGATTGCTTACTTTGCTCTGAATCGATATCGTCTTGATCAATGATAACATTCTTGATCGGTGTAACTGTATTATCAACCATACCATCAGATAAGAATCTTCCATAAAGACTTTGATCTCCAACATTCAATTTGATCCATTGAATCGATCCATTCACTGATCCAAATCCAGATGATGAACAAACATCTGATTGATCACTTTCAATCGCTGCTTTCATCAATATTTGTAATGTGTTGGTCGGTTGTTTGAATCGATATGAATTCAGATTCATTGCGAATTTGATTGTTGATTGTGGAATGAATAGATTTTGATTTGCAAATGTGATGTTTGTTGATTGTTTGAAATATTCGATTGTCACATTTAAGATGGTTGATCGTTGATTGATTTGTGTTGAATAGAAATATTTTGGATTGGTTGTTGGTGTTGTTTGATCTGTGAAATTCCAATTGCTGATATTGAATTGTTCAACGATATTATTGATATCATCCAATTCTCTGATTCCAATGATTTCAATTGATGTTGTGATTAAACTTCCAGATTCTGTGATGTTTGTTCCTGTTGTTGGTTCTGGATATGCTGGTGGAATTGGAATAATAACAATTTCTTTTAAAAAAGAAAATTAGAAACTGTTATTTGTTTTTTTAATAAATTAAGTTAATGAAACTTACTTGAAGAACAAGATGGACCATACCAAGGTTGATAACATTGACAAATTGAATTGATACATTGTCCATTGTTGTTACATTCTGGTGTTCCTGGACATTTGGGTGGTGTTGTTGGTGTTGTTGTTGGTGAAGATGTGGTTGAACCAGTTGTAGTTTCTCCTCCAGTGGTAGAACCACCAGTAGTCGAACCAGCTGTAGATATAGCACCAGTGGTTGTTGTTTGTGGATCTGAATCTTGAATTGGAATGGTAAATATATTGGATGCAATACCATTACTTCCAAATACTCTAAACTTTACAATATTAGAGGTGATTGGTTTGATTCTGTTCTTGTATTGAAGAACTATTCCAGAATGAAAATCAATATCTAAATTTACAAATCCATTTCCATCTTGATAATCGATTTGTGAGATGAATGATGTGTTTGAAACACCAAATGCTTTTCCATAAATAGTAAGTGATCCTCCTTTTTTAAATAAATTTGTTGATGATTCTATTATCGGTTGATTAACTGTGTGATTTCTTATGATGAAATATGGGAATGATAAATCTCTCAAATCGATTGAACTATATGATCGATAATTATTGTAATTATCAACAACACCATAGATATTGATAAAGATTTGACTAGCACCAAATCCATATGGGATTTCTACAGCAAGATCGTATCTATACTGTAGAGTAGGACCCTGAATTATTTTGGTGAGATTTGTTGTGAATTCTAAAAAGTTTCCATTTTCTGAGATTAAATGGATAACTGGCAAATGACGGATTGAAATATCTGATCCTCCCAAATTATCTTGTAAAAACAGACTAAATAAAACAGTTCTGCTCAATGATCCGACATCAATTGTATTTGGTGAGAATGAAAATGATATCAACTTTGGTGCTTCGTCATCAATCAACACTAAGAAAAAAAAGAAGATATTAATAAATAATAAAACAGAAAATTAAATTTACAATTAATAGACTTACATTTAGGACAATTTAATGTGATTTTGGTTTCATTTTCGAAAACAGTTCCATAAATTCCGGATAATGGATTCACTTGTTCATATAACTTGGAATTTCCATCAGTAAGTGTGATGTTGGCCAAAGTATATGTTTGGGTTCGACAAGTAGAGTTTAGAGGGAATCTGATTTGATATACTCCTAAGGTACTTGAACCTGAAATTTTGTCTGATAGACTAATTTTAAAAGTTCTTGGAAGAAGATCTAAATCGGAAATTACATTTACAACTCCACTTGAGAAACCTGTTGGTGAGTCAAATATTGTGATGTCCCAACCAATGGTCATTGTGGGCAACGCTCCAAATGATACATTATTGGCTGGATATGAATTTACCATTGTAATCATCGGTGCAATTTCATCGAAAACTAATAATTGTATGGTAAATGAGAATAAATATAAATTTAATTAAATTTGTTACATACTTGAATTATCAACTGTTAACGTCGCATTACTTCCCAATATTGACATGAGATTCTCACAAGATACTCCGGAAACAAGAAAATCTAGCCAATAATCGATAACTCCAGGAGCTGTATTCTTCTTAATTGTAAAATCAATAACATAAGCACTCAATTCTTCTGAATAAAGTCCTTTGCTTGAATAGGTTCCTATTGTAATGGCAGGTTCCATATCTTTTCTGACCTTGTCTGGTGACAATCTGAATAAAAGTTTAACATTGGCACTATTCAATGTTAAATCAAAGTGATTTGATGAAAACTCCAAATATGTAAAATCCGTATCAAATATTAGCACTATTGTTAGTACAAAATGGTTTAGTAAAATAATATAATTATAATAAAATTGAATATTTTGAAACCTACATGTTTGTGGTAGTTCAGGTAGTGTATCATTTGGATTATTTGCGTTGTATGCCAATGAATTATAAAATGTAAACATGTTGTTACATAGATCCAATACTCTAAAATTATAGCCATTGATAGAATTTAGATAAAATTCATATTCATAAACACTGTGTGAATCACTGGTGAATATCATTTGAGCCAATCCAAACTTTAAATGGCCAAAAATAAAAGATGATGTTGGACAGTTTATCATAGCAGTAATATTTACTCTAACAATTGTCTGATACCAAGTTGTTTGACGAAAACTAAGATTGTTTAAAACCATAGATTCTAATATTAAAAAAAATTAATAAATAGCTTTGAAATTTCTAATGTTTTGAAAGATTTCCAATTTTTTCAACTTACTATATGCTGGGTTTGTGATATAATTAAATGTTGGGAAAACTTCTAGCCCAGGTGATATAGAAAAAACTTGAAGCTTTGTAATATATTTATAAAGAGGTAATACAAAATTGTATGTGAATTGATTTGTTGAAGAATTATAAGATGAAGGATATGGTACTGTAAATTGGAAAGAGTTGGCTCCAAAACCAGATATTACAACGTAGAGTTCGGGCTTAACAATAATTCCTATGTTTGATGTAACATTGGTGAGAAAACCATTTGTTTCTTCATTAACCTGATAATTAAAAGTTGAACTTCCAATTGTTACTATCCATTATTAATTATTTCATCCTGTTAGGATATTGATTTAATTTTGATATTAAAAAACATATACTTACTTAAAGGTAGATATGTAGTATGATAGTTATTTGAATAGGAAGTTGATTTTGAATTCAAAATATATGTTGATAGCTGTCCAGCTTGAACGGTACCCGAAAGATATCTTGTATATAGATATGTTGAATGTGTTTGATTAGCAACAACCTTGACAAATGGAGCAAAATTAGATATGGAAAAGTTAGATAAGATGGAGATAAGAGATTCTGTTCTTTCCACAGTTATGTAATCGAGAAGATTATATTGAAGAAGTTGGTAGTCTTGAATGATATTTGATCCTGAAGGTGGAAAATAGACCTCTTCAAAAACTACAGGCATTGTATTTACTATTTTAAAATAAGCAAATTAACAAAATTTTCTATTATATTTTTTTTATAAATATACTAATACAAACTGAGAAAAGGATATGTATTATCTAATTCTACATCAATAGTCAAAGCTTTGAAGGCGAACGTTATTAGTATTTTTGCTGGTAGAGAGGAGTATGGCGTCAATAGATTTAAATTTATATATCCATGATTGAGAGTACTTGAAACAAAAAAACAAGAGAATTGAGGTGTTCTCGACTGACAAGTAACAGTACCACTAGTAGTAGGTAGTGTGTCAAATCCGAATTCGACAGAGGCAATAATTGAGTTTTGAAATAAAACAGCTTGTCCCATTCTAACTAAATTGAATCCAGCAGGATCAACCTCTTTTAAAAATTTAAAAAAAATGAGGGAAAAAAATGTTAATTTTTACTATTCTTTTTTATTCAATTGATAATAATTACGTAGACATTGAACTCCTGGGAGTGTGTAAGTTAAAGGTTTGCCGGTCGCATCTGATAAATTTAAAACTAGATCGAAAATCGGTTGGCCAGGTGTTACAATGACGTCAGAAATGATAACTTGATAAGTACTGACTGAATTCAAAGAGACACGAAAATTTGTGGATGGTGGTGAGAAAACAGTGATAGTTGTAGGATCAATGATTTCTCCAGTATTTGGGTCATTGAGAACTAGTGAAAAAGCAATAGGACAACTTGCATCTTGAATATAAGGAAATGGTGTTCTTTGGATTGCACTCAAAAAAGTTACATCACCTAGAGTTACAAAATAAAATTAGAATAATATTGCACAAAATAAATATAAAAAATGAAATGAAATGTAATTCTTTTTATTCATTTTTTTTGTTTGAACATAAAACAACAATAAATCTTCATTATTACCTTGTACAACAAATATTTTAAACAAAAGAAAAAAAGTCAAGTATGAGTAATTCATTGTCTATCTAAAATTATAAAGAAAATGTGAAACTAATACCAAAACAATTATTGTTTGGTGTGTTAGCTAACTCGGATTATAAACATGTAGGAGATGATAAATATCTAAACCTTTGGCAGAGTTAAGATTTTTTTTGATTTTTAAGATTTTTTAGATTTATTTTTTATGATCAATATAGGAGCTCTTGATTTACAATTTAGGGGTTATTTTTTACTATTTTTAAATTAGACAATGAAAATTTCACAAATTTTGGCTACAAAGGTATCAAAATGTAACAATAAATCAATTAAAACACCATTTGTCTATTGTTGAGAAAATTTGGAAATATTTAAAAAAAAATTTTTGGAAATATTAAGTAAAAAAAATTTGAATAAAAATCTAAAAGCTTAAAAAAATATCTTTAGAATCTTCACCAGTGTTTATTAATAAGATAATTAGCAATTAATTAAATTTGTTTATTTATTTATTACAAATCTTTATCATTATTTTGTCTAAGCTCTGACAATCTTTTCTTCACTCTCTTTTCTTCTTTTTTAGTTTTTCTTTTTCTCATGAATAATAATACAGCACCAACTGAGACTGCAACAAATACGACACCACCAACAACGATACCAGCAATTGCACCATTCGATAATCCTTTCTTTGGACAAATGAAATCGGATGTGTCACTTGAACCAACATCGACAAGATTAGAGAAATCAGGATCTAAATCGACAGAGTCTGAATATGATGGAATTGTGATTCCAACAATTGCTGATCTTGATTGCTTACTTTGCTCTGAATCGATATCGTCTTGATCAATGATAACATTCTTGATCGGTGTAACTGTATTATCAACCATACCATCAGATAAGAATCTTCCATAAAGACTTTGATCTCCAACATTCAATTTGATCCATTGAATCGATCCATTCACTGATCCAAATCCAGATGATGAACAAACATCTGATTGATCACTTTCAATCGCTGCTTTCATCAATATTTGTAATGTATTGGTTGGTTGTTTGAATCGATATGAATTCAGATTCATTGTGAATTTGATTGTTGATTGTGGAATGAATAGATTTTGATTTGCAAATGTGATATTTGTTGATTGTTTGAAATATTCGATTGTCACATTTAAGATGGTTGATCGTTGATTGATTTGTGTTGAATAGAAATATTTTGGATTGGTTGTTGGTGCTGTTTGATCTGTGAAATTCCAATTGCTGATATTGAATTGTTCAACGATATTATTGATATCATCCAATTCTCTGATTCCAATGATTTCAATTGATGTTGTGATTAAACTTCCAGATTCTGTTATGTTTGTTCCTGTTGTTGGTTCTGGATATGCTGGTGGAATTGGAACAATTATATTCTCTGTTTAAATATTATTTATATTAATAAAATGAAATATTTAAATCGAATTTAGAAATAAATACATACTTGAAGAACAAGATGGACCATACCAAGGTTGATTACATTGACAAATAAAATTAATACATTGTCCATTGTTGTTACATTCTGGTGTTCCTGGACATTTGGGTGGTGTTGTTGGTGTTGTTGTTGGTGAAGATGTGGTTGAACCAGTTGTAGTTTCTCCTCCAGTGGTAGTCGAACCAGCTGTAGATATAGCACCAGTGGTTGTTGTTTGTGGATCTGAATCTTGAATTGGAATGGTGAATATATTGGATGCAATACCATTACTTCCAAATACTCTAAACTTTACAATATTAGAGGTGATTGGTTTGATTCTGTTCTTGTATTGAAGAACTATTCCAGAATGAAAATCAATATCTAAATTTACAAATCCATTTCCATCTTGATAATCGATTTGTGAGATGAATGATGTGTTTGAAACACCAAATGCTTTTCCATAAATAGTAAGTGATCCTCCTTTTTTAAATAAATTTGTTGATGATTCTATTATCGGTTGATTAACTGTGTGATTTCGTAGGATGAAATATGGGGATGATAAACCTCTCAAATCGAGTGAACTATATGATCGATAATTATTGTAATTATCAACAACACCATAGATATTGATAAAGATTTGACTAGCACCAAATCCATATGGGATTTCTACAGCAAGCTCGTATCTATACTGTGGAGTAGGACCCTGAATTATTTTGGTGAGATTTGTTGTGAATTCTAAAAAGTTTCCATTTTCTGAGATTAAATGGATAACTGGCAAATGACGGATTGAAATATCTGATCCTCCCAAATTATCTTGTAAAAACAGACTAAATAAAACAGTTCTGCTCAATGATCCGACATCAATTGTATTTGGTGAGAATGAAAATGATATCAACTTTGGTGCTTCGTCATCAATCAACACTAAGAAAAAAAAGAAGATATTAATAAAAATTTATAAAAAATCAAAGTTTACAATGAATACACTTACATTTTGGACAATTTACAGTGATTTTGGTTTCATTTTCGAAAACAGTTCCATAAATTCCGGATAATGGATTCACTTGTTCATATGACTTGGAATTTCCATCAGTAAGTGTGATGTTGGCCAAAGTATATGTTTGGGTTCGACAAGTAGAGTTTAGAGGGAATCTGATTTGATATACTCCTAAGGTACTTGAACCTGAAATTTTGTCTGATAGACTAATTTTAAAAGTTCTTGGAAGAAGATCTAAATCGGAAATTACATTTACAACTCCACTTGAGAAACCTGTTGGTGAGTCAAATATTGTGATGTCCCAACCAATGGTCATTGTGGGCAACGCTCCAAATGATACATTATTGGCTGGATATGAATTTACCATTGTAATCATCGGTGCAATTTCATCGAAAACTAAGAATAGTTAATTAGTAAATTGAATTGTAAAAATATATCCTTAAAATTAAATTGAATCATACTTGAATTATCAACTGTTAATGTCGCATTACTTCCCAATATTGACATGAGATTCTGGCTTGATACACCTAAAACATCAAAATATAAATTATAATCGATAACTCCAGGAGCTGTATTCTTCTTAATTGTAAAATCAATAACATAAGCACTCAATTCTTCTGAATAAAGTCCTTTGCTTGAATAGGTTCCTATTGTAATGGCGGGTTCCATATCTTTTCTGACCTTGTCTGGTGACAATCTGAATAAAAGTTTAACATTGGCACTATTCAATGTTAAATCAAAGTGATTTGATGAAAATTCCAAATATGTAAAATCCGTATCAAATATTAACACTATTTTATGATAAGTTTTAGAAAGTAAGAAATAGATAAAAAAAATTTGAAACCTACATGTTTGTGGTGGTAGTTCAGGTAGTGTATCATTTGGATTATTTGCGTTGTATGCCAATGAACTATAAAATGTAAACATATTGTTACATAGGTCGAATACCCTAAAGAAATAACCTTCTATGGAATTTGGATGAAATTCATATTCATAAACACTGTATGAATTACTGGTGTATATCATTTGAGCCAATCCAAACCTAGTATTGAGAATAGCAAAAGATGATGTTGGACAGTTTGTCATAGCAGTAATATTTACTCTAACAATTGTCTGATACCAAGTTGTTTGACGAAAACTAAGATTGTTTAAAACCATAGATTCTAATATTAAAAAAAAATTAATAAATAGCTTTGAAATTTCTAATGTTTTTAAGGATTTCCAATTTTTTCCACTTACTATATGCTGGGTTTGTGATATAATTAAATGTTGGAAAAACGTCTAACCCTGGTGAAATAGAAAATGTTTCAAGATTTGTAATATATTTATAAAGAGGTAATACAAAATTGTATGTGAATTGATTTGTTGAAGAATTATAGGATGAAGGATATGGTACTGTAAATCCGAAGGAGTCACTGCTAAAAGGAGATAAAGAAACAGAGAGAACTGGTTTAACAATAATTCCTATGTTTGATGTAACATTGGTGAGAAAACCATTTGTTTCTTCACTAACCAGATAATTAAAAGTTGAACTTCCAACAGTTACTAATTAATTTTAAGTTGTTAATGCAGTTAGAATATTGAATTAATTTGAGACTAAGAAATATACATACTGAAAGGTTGATATGTAGCATAATAGCTATTTGAATAGGATGTCGATTTTGAATTCAAAATATATGTTGACAGCTCCCCAGGATTAATTGAAGAGTAAAAACTTCTTGTAAATAGATAGGTTGAATGAGTTTGGTTGGCAGCAGCCTTTGCAAATGGGGAAAAATAAACAGAATTGGATTCATTATAGAGATTGGAGAAAAGAGATTCTGTTCTTTCTACAGTTATGTAATCGTGGAAATTATACCGAAGAAGTTGGTAGTCTTGAACGATATTAGATCCTAAAGGTGGGAAATAGGTCTCTTCAAAGACAAAGGGCATTGTATTAACTTTTTTAAAACAAAAAAAAATAAAAAACAAAAATTAATAAAATTTTAAATAGTTTTCAAATTATTAAGCAAATACAAACTCAGAAAAGGATAAGCATTATCTAATTCCACATCAATTGTCTGGCCATTGAAGCTGAAGGATATTGATAATTTTGCTGGTAAAGAGGAGTATGGTGCCAATAGATTAAAGAATAACAATCCATGATTGATAAAACTTCCTATAAAGGAGCAAGAAAATAGTGGTGTTCTAGATATACATTTAACAGAACCGCTAACTGTGGTAAGGGTGTCAAATCCAAATTCGACAGAGGCAATGATTAAATTTTGACCTTCAAATAAAACAGATTTTCCCATTTTAACTAAATTGAATCCAGCTGGATCAATCTCTTTTTTAAAAATCAAATAGTAAATAACAAAAAAAGTTAATTTAAATATACTTTTGATACCACTAAATATATGATAGTTACGTAGACATTGAACTCCTGGGAGTGTGTAGGTGTGAGGATGACCGGTGGGATCTGAAAAATTTAAAAGTAGATCGAAAATCGGCTGGCTAGGTGTTATCATGACTTCAGAAATGATAACTTGATAAGTACTGATTGAATTCAAAGTTGCATAAAAACCTGAGGATGGTGGTGAAAAAACAGAGATAGTTGTAGGATCAATGATTTCTCCAGTATTTGGACTATTAAGAACAAGTGAAAATGAAACTGGACAACTTGCACCTTGAAAATATGGCAATGGTGTTCTTTGAATTGCACTATAAAAAGTAAAATCAGCTACAGTTAAATATAATAATAAAGATTAGAATATTATAGATAAAAGTGTTAATAATCTTTTTTGAACAATTAATAAGTCCTCCACAATAAATCTTTATAATTACTTTGTGCTACTATTTTTGTAAGCAAAAATAAAAATGTAAACAAGAATTTGTAATTCATTATTTGTAACAATTATATTGAAAATATGTAACTAAAACTAAAACAACAACTTTGTTCTTTGATATTAGGCTGATCAAACATGACGGAGGCGGTAAATATCAAAAACAATAGGGAACCATTGTCTAGATTGTTTAGATTTTTAATGATTTTTAAGATTTTATAGATTTGTTTTTGTTTTTTTTCTATTTTTTTTAATCAGTAGACTTTTGATTTACATAATTTAATGGGGCTCATTTTACTTTTTTAAAAATTATTAAAAAATCTATAAAAATCTTTAGAATCTTTTATGAGATTTTATTAATTCGATAGTTGGATCCCAGATGATCTTACAATTTTTGATTTTTGTTCAGTTTACAAATAACAGATATCATTGTATGATACTGTCAAAGTAAATTTTAAAGCAACAACATTTTTTTAGAGTTGTAGAAGAAAAAAAAAAATAAAAAGAATATTTGTCGACAAATGATTTTATTTTCTTTTGTTTTTTTTTAATTTTGATTTAACTATCTATCTATCTATCTATTTACCTATTTAGATGAACCAATTAAAGTTCCCATCTTACAATAATCACCTTGTTTAACGTTGAATTCGAAATCTGTTGCTTCAAATATCAGTACGACGGTGCTACCCAAATGAAATTGTCCGACTTCTTGACCTTTGGTTTGTGGAATTGGGTTATCGTAGGATCTGTCGTACGAGTGACTACCGACACCGTTCCATGAGAAATACTCGAGATTCTTACATCTGAAATCACGTGTGATACGATTCGAGTTTACTTGATCGTCGAAACTGAGTGAAATCGAACCGACATTGTAAGCACCGACCGCTGTCATTGAGTAGAAACCTTGGAGCCAGTCACCCATGAGAACGATTCTCTCGTTGAGCGCGAAAAGACTTGGAATCAACTTTAAAAATGGTTTATTTACAGGGAAGAGTGTGCCTGGGAAGTGGCTGCGCTTGGAAATCGACCAATCCTCCGACGAGTGGATACGGTGGTAGTCACCGGGTGACAAGTATAAAATGCATTGGTAGAGTTTGGTGTTCTGACGTTGTAAGAGCGTGGATGCATCGCATCCGAGGAATTGGTTGATCGAATAGGTGACACCTTTGACCTGTTCGACCTTGTCACCGACGACCTCACCGCATGCCAGAACACGTCCATCGACTGGACTCACCATGCCACCCTGTGCAATCGGTCTGGCGCCATCTTTAATTGGACGCGAAAAGAAGTCGGCAAGCGATGGATACGACTCCAACGGTGCTGGAATCTCATCCATGTTGCACCGGAATGTGTAGGCCCACGCAGAGTACACTGGCTTTCTGAGAGCGACTGGGAGGTGACGACGATTGATCATTCCCCAGATATATGACATAGTGACACCCAACAGATCCCAACGGAATAGCTGTGGTGGTTTCTTGATTGGTAGCTTTCTAATGATTGACCATCCCTTTCTAGTGATTCTCTGTGATCCTTTTACCATTGCTTTTGGTATAGCTGTTACCAAACGCAATGGATTCTTTGATGATCCTTGAACATTATTATGATGAACTGCTGCTGTACTACTTTTTTTTGTCATCTTTTAATAGCTATTATTTTTTTTTATTCTCCAACAACAAAAATTCCAAATAAATAAACACTAATGATAAAAACTAACTGAATAAATACAATATTGAATCTAAATAAAGAATCGAATAACTATACTCTCTATAAAAAAAAGTATTATAAATAAATAAATAAATAAATAAAATTTTAAAAGTTAAAGTAAACTTAGATATTAAATATTAAAATATAATTAAATATTCTACTATTTGTAAAATAAAAATAATGTATGATTAAATGATCGAATACCAAAAGTATAAAAGTGGTGGTGACGATGATTGATTATAACAAAACAAATTTGTGTAAAAGCGGCTTCTATCTACTTTTTGTTGTTAATTTTGACTTTGTTTTAGAAAAGTAAAATAGAAAAAAAAAAAACAGTGGTATCCAAACAACAACAGAACAAATAAATTATTATTAATATGCAGAGAGAATGAAAGAATAAGTGGTTTTTAAAATTATGATGGGAAAGGAAAAAAAAAAAAAAGTAGGATTGCTGCAAATGGGTATAGTCACTGCTGGATGAAGAAAAGAAATAGAGAAATGAGAGGGAGTGTAACAGTAGTTTTTTTATTTTATTTTAATAAATTTAAATTAAAAATGATATCTTTCACACATTCTAATAGGTTAATTTTGATTTTAATTTTTTGCAAAAATAATCGGATGAAAAATCATCTTAATTAATTGCATGGGAAAAGGGGTTGTTACACCCATCTTTTTTTAAATTGATCAAAAAAATCATCGTTTTGAAGATTTTTTATTTTTTTTATTTTAAAATAAACTGAAAAGAAAATAAAGTGAAGCCTGGGATTTAAGAAAACATGTTTTGACAAAATAGGATTTCAATCTTGTCATAAAAGATAATGAATCATCATTGGAAGTGGAAGTTGTAACATTTACATTTTAGTATAATAACTTTAAATATTTATAATTATTCGTAGTATTATAGTATCAAATAAGTAGTTTATATAATTTTTATGGTCCATTAATTATAATTTTGTCGATTTTGATATTTTGGTATTTTTGTTCCAATAATACATTAATTGTTAATTATTTTTTGTATACTATTAATATAAATTTAATTATTAATTATAATTGATGTTGTTTAAATAAAAAAAAAATAAATAAAGATCAAAAAAATTTTAATCGATATTATTATTCACATGGAGCATCAACATTGTCACCTGCCCAAGCTTGATCGTCAGCACGCGGAATAGCACCAGTGCAATGAGTGATAATCTCTTCCAAACGTTTCCAAAAACCAATAGATGCTAAATATGGATTTAACCAACCATTTGTAATACAATAGTATCTATAATTTGTTTAATTAATTAGTTAGTTAATTTCGTTTGATTGATTGATGTATGATGATAGTTCTACATACTTATCAAATGGATTTCTATGATGAACAGCATGATCACGCTTTGAAAGAATGATTCCATAGTTCTGAAGGAAGGAAACGAACGATGGTAGGGAATAGGTGTGACTCCATTTGTGGATTTGGTTGGTCAACATAACCCAGAATGCTAGTTGAACCAAGAAACATTGGAGGAACATGTCGTAGCTATCGTCGTTGACCTTGGCGAATGCAGTGAACAACAACACTGGAATGGTCAACATACAGTTGTCACCGTTGGTCTCAATGAAATCGTGTTTGGTCATCTGTGTTGGAACGACATGGTGCTCACGGAACGATCTAATAAAACTGTTTCCAACCAATGGTGTATCTAAAGATCCCCATGTATCAGCAGCCCCTAATAATAAAAATATTAATAAATATTTATTAGTTAATCAAATCTTTCAGAAGAAAAGAAATAGAAAAGAAAGAAAAAAAGAAAGAATCATTTTTGTACTACACCTACAATGTACTATTCCAGAGAAAAAGTCGGCAGTCAACATTGCCAAAACAGTTGACAAAAAGAAAATCCAGATGTTTCGAGCAAAGTACCATGAAAACATCTTTTCGATCGATAATGAGAGGAGAACGACAAATGAAACTACGGAAACAATTTCTTGACGACGTTTACCGGCAGTGTATCTCGACTTCAAATCGGCTGATTTCTCTTTGATTGATGATTGTAATATTGATTTACTATTATTATTATTTAAACTATTTTCATTACTATTATTATACTCTTCTTCTTCTTCTTCTTCTTGTTGTTTATTGAATGAAACAGATGTCGACACCTGTTGTTGTTGTTGTGATTGTTTTCTTTGCTTTAATTTACCATTTTCACTATCAACATCTACAAACAACCCTTGAGATGCAGTCGATGGTATAGAAGTGGGTGTCAATGGTTGTTGCTCTGGTTGCTGTTGTTGATGTTGTTCAATTAAATCATCAAGTTTTGGATATGTAATTCTCTCTTCGTCCAAAGTGGTCATTATTCTATTCTATTTTGGTCTAGTTTATATTGATGTTTATAATAAATAATAATTATAATAATATTTCAATGAATTTATTAATCTAACTACTTTTTAATTGCTTATACTAATAGTGATTGTAATCTTCTAATGTTTAGATTTATAATGAAATCGACAGAAAGATGAAAACGATATGAAAAATGGTGAATCGATGAAAAAAAGGATGAAAAGTGGAAGGTGACGAGAAGATTGATCTAAAAGTTTAGAAAATAAAGTAATATTATAATCTAAACACAAAATTGATCAAGTTTAAACAGAGTTTTTGATTTGATTGTTAATTTTATCGATTGTATGTTGTTGTTATTATTATTTATTTATTATTATCTTTCTTTTAACAAAGTAATCAAAGGTTATAATGAAAGTGAGTTGAGTTGAAGAGTGGATTGTTTGTGTGGTAGGTAAAAATTATTGATCTGTAAAAGTTATCGAGCTATTGAATTTTTTTTTTTTTTGATTTTTTTTCATGATTTTTTTTTTCTTGACATGCATTGTTAGATATAATATGGTGTTGCGCAATAATAATCTTGACATGAAATTATGCTGTTTTTTTGTAAAAAAAAAAACAAACAAAAAAAAAAAAAAAAAAAACCTTTGTTTCATATTGTGACCCCACACTATTGATGAGTTTCTTTTAAATCCATTAAGTGAATTAATATAGAAATAAAATAAGGTCCATGATCATCCTTCCATTGTTGTAATAATAAAATAAAATAAAAATAATGTAAAGCAATTGAATCGATACTATAAATTAAGAAAGAAGTGTAATGATAAAATAATTATTACTAAATAAATAAATAAACTTACTCTTTCTAGGAGGATCCAAAAAAACAATATATCAAAAGAGATTATTTATATATTTTAGAAAGAACAAAAATGAAATAAAATAAAACAATGTTTGTTTTAATGATGAGTGAACATTCGTCAATCATTTCCAAATCAAGACAAACACACACAAACACACCACACAACAAAACAACAACCAAAAAGAAATCGATTTTCGAATTTTGTTTTTTTTTTTACAAAACACATACATAATCATGATTAAAATTAATTCAAAGAAAATGGACAACACATTTGTATTTTTTTTGTTTGATTCGCTAATTAAGATCTTATCTGATTATCGGCCTTTTTTTATTATATATAAGTTTTTATTGAGATGATGGGTTTGATGGTAAATAAATAGATGATCTTGTTGGACGACGTACAACATCTACAATTGAAGAGTTCTCGTTTGTTTTCTGATAGTTCTTGAATGCGTTGACAACACGAATCTTTTGATGAGTTTGTCTGACCAATTGCCAACCACGACCGACATCGACAGGTGGTTCGGTAACAGAGTTACGACGTTCATTATCGTTCGATGGTACTTGGTGTGGAACGGAAAGTGGAAGGTCACCACCGCTCGATGATTGGTTGTCCTCTGGTTTGCTTTGGAGCTCGACCAGTTGAGTGGTTTCCGAGGAGTTGTCGACACTCGATGAGATGGTGGTGGTTTCCGGTGATTTAGCGATGGTAGCAGCAGTCTCGTTGGAGGCGTTGTTGGTGCTTGGCAATGAGGTGTCGACTGGTGGAGTGTAGATAGTTTCAGAGGTCTCTGGAAGTGCCTTGGAAACTGGTGCTTCTTTGATTGGGATCAAACGGAGCATCAAACCCCATGGAAGAGCGACGGCACCTGTGATAATACAGGCTGCCCACTCTTGGATCTTGAGTTGATCGGTTGAGGTGGCGGTGCTACCAAAAGTGACAAACAACACTTGAATGACAACAGTGGCTGCCAATACAACAACGAAAATTGGGTTATTCAAGATTCCCTTGAATGGATTGACTTTGGCCGAGAGGAGACGACTGTTGATCTCATTGAAAAGCTGTAAAAATACAAAAGTATTGAAAAGAATGGTGTAGTGATGTACAGAGTTTTTGGTGATGTTGTAGTCGACGAAATTCGAGTAGATGTCGTGTCCCTTGTATAGCAAAACAAACAAAATAACCAATTGTAGAACGGATTGACCAATGATGTTCTTCCACATGTAACGGGTGATGAGTGGAGCGTTCTTTCCGTTGGGTGGACGATCCAAAAGATCGGGAGTAGGTGGTTCGGTAGCGAGAGCAAGTGCAGCCAATGTGTCCATAATCAAATTGACCCAGAGCAGTTGGACGGCAGTGAGTGGCGAGTGTCCACCACCAGAGATGGTACCGACAAAAGCAATGGTGACAGCGACAACGTTGACAGTCAACTGGAATTGCAAGAATTTACAGATGGCATCGTAGATGTTACGACCCCACAATACAGCACGAACAATCGAAGCGAAATTGTCATCGAGCAACACGACATCGGAAGCGGCAATGGCGACCTCAGTACCGGCGATACCCATAGAGAAACCGACGTTGGCCAACTTCAAAGCTGGACCGTCGTTAGTTCCGTCACCAGTGACAGCAACAACCTCACCCAAATCCTTAAGACGACCGACCAACAGCTGTTTGTCAGTTGGCGAAGAACGAGCGAGAACCTGGAGACGTGGAAGAATAGCATCCATTTCGTCACGAGACAAATTACGGAACTTTGGACCTTCCATACAGATACCGTCGTCAGTCAAGATACCACAGTTTTTGGCAATGTTACGGGCAGTTACAATATTGTCACCAGTGACCATACGCACGGTGATACCAGCACGTTGGCAGGTACGGACGGCGTCTGGAACTTCAGGACGAAGTGGATCCTTGATACCAACGATACCAATGTAGATAAGGTTAGTCTCTGGTGCTTCTTTCTTAAAGTCGATCGATGAGTCAGCTGGGAAGTCGCGATAAGCAAGTCCAATAGTTCTGAGTGCATCGGTTGCAAAGTTATTGATAGTCTCTTCGAACATTTGACGGACGGCATTGCTGATTGGCTGAACCTGTCCGTCTTGATCAATATATCTATCGCATTGAGCTAAAACAATTTCAGATGCACCCTTTTGGTAGAAACGAAGAGTTTTGGCGTCATTCTGAACCAAAACACCCATACGCTTACGAGCCGATGAGAATGGATAGAGCTCACGAATCTCCAAACGACGACGAACCTCCTGGTAGTCGGAGCCAAATAGTTTTCCAAAGTTCAAAAGTGCACATTCAGTCTTGGAACCGATGAACTCTACCTTTCCTTTGGTGGAAACACCTTCGTAGGCGTTGGAATTGATGGCAATACCGTCGGTGAGAACTGAGGCGAGATCCTTTGGTGCAGCGGAGGCGAAAGCGGCGCAATCCTCAAAGAGTGAACCAACGTATCCAGTTACAACAGTCATAACGTTTTGTGTCAAAGTTCCAGTCTTGTCGGAACAGATGTTGGTAGCGCTACCCATAGTCTCACACGAGGCCAAATGACGCACCAAATTATTCTCTTTGTACATCTTCAACATACCGTAGGCAAGAGCCATGGTTACAGCGAGTGGAAGACCCTCTGGCACGGCTACGACAATGATTGTAATGGCACCAATAACCATTCTGGTGATATCGGAAGCAGCTGAACTTGGAATATCTTCATGATTAACCTTTCTCTCGATGAAATACTTTGGAATGACGATGAGCAACAAGAGAACCGCTGCTGACAGACCGAATTTACCAATGTTTCCGGCGAGAACTCCGAGTTTCTCTTGGAGTGGAGTATCCTCTGATTCGACACGAAGCGACATCATTGTCTTTCCGTTGAATGAGTTTACACCGACGGCAGTGACCAACATCTTACCGAAACCCTCGAGTACCAAACTACCAGAGATGAAGAATGGATCCAAACCATCCTCTGTGAAACCCTTCTTGATTGGATTGGACTCACCGGTGATCGATGATTCATCGCAATTGATTGAATGTCCCTCAACAAAGACACCATCGGCACATACAATGTCACCAGTATCCAACTGGATGATGTCACCGACACGCACATCGAAAATGGAGATCTGACACTGCTCGCCAGAACGAATTGCCTTGATCTGCTTATCGGAAGTCTTCTCGTTGAGATCACGGAAACGAGCTTGATTCTTGTAGTCGTTGGTCGATGTCACTGCAACGACAATGATGACGGCTACCAAAATGGCGACACCGTCAATCCATCCTGTCTTGGGATCGTCGGAAGTATATGGAATGGCACCTAACACAATCGAAACAACCGCTGCAACAATCAACAAAATCAAAATATGATCTGAAAGTGCATCTAAAATAATACTGTATAAAGGTTGATGTGGTGGTGGTGGTAATACATTCTTTCCATATCTTTATAAATTTGCAAAAGTTAGTTATATTTCTTTTGATTTTTTTTTTGATTATCCACACAAGTTATACTCACTTTTCAATTCTGTGTGTTTCAGTGGAATTTTGTTCGTTTGGTAAACCATTTTTAATTGAGGTTTTCAAGGCTTCGGCAAGCCCAGTTGGTCCACCCAATTCCTTTAAAAGTTCTGGATTCTTTGGGACATCGACTAACTCACCCAATGTTTTGAGATCCACCTTGAACTCTTCGGTCATCGGATCTAATCCGATACTTTGTAGTTCACTCATTTTATATTATATTGTATATATATATGAAATTATATAATAAATAAACTAATAAATTGCGTATATTACTATTATTACTATTACTATTATCCTAAAATAAATAAATATCTATCATATAATTATTATTATATTAAATTGGCAAGTCTATAAAAAAATAAAATATCTAAACTAAAAATAAATTTATATTGTATTATGATCAAACAGAATATTATTAATACCTGTCTAATATAGTAGAATAGTGATCAAAAATGTTTTGATTAGTAAATCAATCGATTGTTATTGTTTATTTTATTATTTTTAAACAAAAGTAAAGTATTATTATGAATTAAAAAAAAAAACAAAAAGATTGATAGATAGATACTTGGAGAATGAAAATGAAATGTTTATTATAATTATTTGTTTTATTCTTGATATGTTTTGATTGTTGATTGTTGATTTATCACTTTAATATCTTTTGTAAATCGAGTGGATATATGTCGTGTCGTGTCAATCAACCAATTTAATTTTTATTTTTTAACAATTGTGTAGTGTTATTTTTGTTGTTGTTATTGTTATTGTTTTGATAGATTAATTGTGGTGATATGGAGAAGCAGTGATATATTGATATTTATCTTTAGGCTATAATTAAAAATAAACTATCTTTTTGATTTTATAATAGTGGAAATGAATAATGGATATGAATTTTATGAATTTGGATATCTAACTAATAGATATAGATAGATTGATAGATGAAGATAATAAACCCGCTCATTTTATATTAAAAATGAATGAGAAACAATAAAATATATATATTAACTTTTTCTTTTTTTTTTTTAAAAAATTATGATAATTTCAAACACAATAACAAATTTTATTTATTTTGTTGTGTTGTTACATTACTTATTTGATTTGAACAGAATTGAATTGATGTTGTAATTTTTTTATTTGTTTTTTTTTTGTTTTGTTGGGAATGTAAGTAATTAAATGTGGGAATATAAAAAAAAAATGATGATGATGATTGTGATGATACATATACAACATTTACATTAAATTTACATGCATATTATAACTTAAATATATTTGTAGTAAATATTATAGTCATAGCAGCAAAAACACAAAATTTAATATTAAAATAAAAAATTAACACAATGTATGTTTACATACAATTTCTTTGTTTTTTTTTTTTTTTTTTGTCTATCTATTATACTTTTGATGTTATTGCTATTGTTTATTAATGTTATAAAAGATAAGACTTATTTTATATTAATGTTTTATTAATTAATAACAAAAACGAAATTAAAAATAGATTGAAAATAAGACCCACGCATTAAAAATTGGGCTTATCGATAATTAATTAGATCCCGACTTTTTTTAATTTTAAAAGAAAATTATTAAATTTTTTAAAATAATTTAAAGTTTGCAAAAAAAGGTCGACGGTTGAAAATTTCGTGATAGATGGATATTAAGGATGAGAATTCGTTTTTTTTTTTTTTTTTTTGAGGATGTGGGTGTGTTTTATTTTAAAGTGGGTGAGCTTTGGAATTTATCTTTTTTTTTTTTTTTGTTTGATAATTTGTTTTTTGTTTTGTCTTGTTATCAGACTATCAGACTTAATTGTATGACTATATTTACTTTTTTATACTGATTGTATTGATTGTGGTGATCGATTGATTGTTCACTTGTCGAGTGGTATGAAATTAATTAAGCTTAATTATTAAGATAAACTATTTATATTTGATTTCTTTTTTGTTTTGTTGTTTTTATATACACTAATTAATTAAATCAATTAATTAGAAACTGTTATTATTATTATTATTACACTACAAGTGTTACTTAGTAAAATGATTATTACTAATATTATATATTTATATATATATTTAGTTGTGAAAGTTTAACTTTTTTTGTTACTATTGTTTGTTGTTTTTTTATTTGCACCAACATCAGAATTGCAATTCTTTGTTATTATAATAAAATAAAAATAAAATAAAAAGATTGGATAAATTTTTATTTGAGAGACACAATAGCATACACTCCACACAAAATATGGTGTTGTGGTGTGTGTTTGTGTTCACTTTGACACAAGTCGGTGTCAGTCATCTAAAAACACCCAACACCATATTTTTGGTGAACTACTACTGCCATTACCACAAATAAAGTAGATACAAATAGTAAATGAAATGATTCTTTATAAAATTGTTAACATTAACTTAACCAGGTAAGATAACAACAATGATCTATAAATGTATTACTTTCTACTACTACTACTATTACTATTACTACCACTACACATGACATGATGAAGGTGGTGAATTGCTATTACTATTGAGTTTACACTTACATTCAATCATCAGATGATTTATGATTAATTAATTAATATGAATAAATAAATATTAAAAGTAAGAGGTTGAATGACTCTTTACTTTCGTTTTTACTCTTGATTGACTATTCTAATTAGACCGAGAGAAAGTAACAACAAACAACAAACAATAAAATAAATAAAAGTTGATTTTATTTTGTTGTTTTAATATTTTAATAAATAATTTTAACGACTAATTTAAAAAATTTCTCCACAACTTTTATTTTACTTTGTTTCTTTCTAGTTGTTGGCAAACCTACTTAATGCACCCGGTGTGCCTCACATAAAAATTCATTTGATCAACAACAGATCAAACCTTATCAAGTCGCCATAGTTTTGCATGCCGCCACCACATTGGAAAGCCGGTTGGCTGTTATCATACAAAGTCAGGTTGCTTTGCAAAAAAACACACTACCATAAAATTGTGTAAACCTTGATCGATTTTGTGTTGATTGTCCAAGATTTTATTTGTTAAAATTTTTTTGGATTTTTTTTAATTTTTGAACAAAAAAAGTTATTTTCAAAAAAAAAAAATTAGCAACGATCTAAACTAAACTAAAAGCGTGTGGTAACCTTTATGAAAATTCTTGTTGTATTTTGTTTTTTTTGATAATGTTTTTTTGTCGGACATTCACAGCTAAATGTTGTTATATTGTGGTTGAGTGGGTTTCATAACATCATTAAACAAAACATAACATATGTTACAATATTAGATAAATTGATAATTGTGGTCCTCAACAACACCTGGTTGACAACGGAAACGGGAATTAAACACACTAAAAATTAAAAAAAGATCTCTTTTAAAAAACCCACAATTGTGTGCACATTCAAGTAAAAATAAAAATAGCTATTTACACATATATGTGTTATGTTGATTAATGTTTGGATAGTTCAAATGAAATTTAATAATTTAAACTACTATTTTTTGATTTTTTTTTGATTTTTTTTTCTTTAAACTTTTCTATTAGGAGCAAGTTGTGTATAAATTGTCGGACCTTCCGTTTGCAGTAGAATATTCTCTATTAAATTGAATTTGCTTTCCAATATCGGTATTTTAAATACACCTTTTGGATGAGATTGTAGTATTTTCTCAAAGGTTGGATAGTAGTTGGATCCGCCTGGGAATTGGTAGCCGTCAGGATGTCGGTAGTGAACCTTGCAATTGTTGATCTCTTTGGCTTTTCCTACGTAGCTGACTGCATAGCAGCCAGGATCGCTCGTACTAAAGCGAATGATATAGCTGCCCGGTTTGGAGCCGGCCAGTTTCGTATTGATCTCCTGTGTGGAGCAGTCGCCGTGGAATCCGGGCGTCATCACCACCGTCCACAGGCGCTCCAGTAGCGACGGTCCACAGCCAACACGCATCGGACCAAACCACGTTATAAATCGATTGAATTGCTCCAAAGTCACGGGTGTCTCAACGTATTGATCTAGTTCTTCGAATTTCAGCGATGGAATCAATATCCATTTCATGACCAACATGATCCTCGTTGTCAGAGCATAGACATTCAAATCGATGCCAAAATAGACAGCGAATCTGTGGATGAATAGCTCCCAGTTGACCGATGTTCTACCGAGGAAGTTGTTCACCCAGAATTCGCGTGCCACCAAGTCGACCGGCACCAACAGATCAACGATGATTCTATCGATGAGTCGGTGTTCAATGATCGATTGGAAGGAAGGACGATCCGCAGGATTTGCAGACCAACAGTTATTTAGTAATTCGCACAGCCGAGGTGGGAACCAAGTCAAAAGTGGAGGTCGTATGTTCTTGTCGGTGATGGCATCGATTAGCTGAGGATAACTCGTGAAATGATTGTCGGAGTATGGATCTCTACCGGCCAGCATCTCCCATAGCGTGATTCCAAATGAATAGACATCACATCGTTCGTCGAATGGTTTGTTTAGTAGTACTTCCGGTGCCATGTAGGCAACTCCTGATCCGGCCTGTCCAACGGTGTTTTCACTCGTCTTTAGCCGACACAACCGGAAATCCGCCAGCTTTGCAGAGAAGCTATTTCCCAGCAATATATTGTTTGGTTTCAAATTTAGATGAATGATTGGTTCCGGCTGATGATGCAGCCAATTCATTGCGAGAACAACATCGTTTGCAATTTTCAATACCAGCTTTGCTTCCAGTGGATTGGTACCGGTGCCGCCAGAGGTTGCCTGTTGTTGTTGCTGTTGTTTTATCAGTTGTTTGAATGAGCCTTTCGGCATGTATTCTGTTATGATCTGTAGATGCTGATGCGTCAGACATAGACCCATGAACAGTACAATGTTTGGATTCCTCAGTGTCGATAGAATGTATGCTTCGTTTATCATTTGAAGTATCAGAGAATCATCGACTCTCTCTATATCGATTCTTTTTATCAGTGCTTCTTGACCTCTGACCAACCCTCTATACACCATACTATTGCTTTTCGATTCGATCAACTCTATCAATTGTATATCATCACTTGATATTTTCCATTGTTGTAAAATAGTATCCATTTTTTATAATAATAAAAAGTATATATATATATATATTATATGTAATATATTTAAAAATAATGTAATTGTACAAATATATTTGTGAAATAAATAAATAAAAAACAAACAGGTTTTTGAAAATATTTTGATTTATAGATAAGAAAGATATCTTATCTCTATCTGAATTATAAAATAATAATTAAACTAATAATATAAATGTTTGATACAAAAATAAATCATATAAATAGAAATGTGGATTGAACATTTTCATGCTCGTTGTAACCCTTACCAGTCAAACCCAATTAAAGCAATTTAATTTAAATAAATAAAATGATCAAATTTTTCAAATAATTAAAAAATCAATTTAAAAAAAAAAAAAAAAAAGCTTTTAAAGTATGAAAGTTGTTTAATGAAAAGAGAACTTTTTTAAATATTATATCTTTGATTACCTATTTTTATCGATAATAAAGATATAATATTTAAATCAAGCGAGCTTTTTATATTTTATATGATTACTATAACAGAACTTCAGTGATTTTAGTTTTAATTCTTTTCTTTTTATCAAAACTAACTACATGACATGATCTCTTGCTTTTTATCATTATTTATCGATTATTTATTATTTATTTTGTAAAAGATTCCACCGGATAAGTAATAATGAAATCTCTATTATGATACCAGAAGCTAGTTATAAACAACTGCAAAATTCACGAATTGTTTTTTTTTTTTAATTTTTTTTTTAAATTTTCAAAAAAGGAAAAAATTTTGGTGAGTTCTGAAAAAATGTATTCCGGAACAAACAATATTTGTGTAAACAAATAACACCGGAACATGTATGATTTCGATCTTGTATTTTTAGAATTTGATTGCAGTGTTTGAGAATATGTAGTTTTTTAAACTATTTAAACTTTGATTTCTTAAACTTTGAAATCATTATCAATTTTTTAAATTAATAGTAATAAATAATAAATAATATTATTTGTTACAAACTTTTATTTATAGCTTTTTATAAATCAATCATATTTAATATCGAATAGATTATATTAAAACAACAACAAAAACAAAAACAACAGCAACAATAACAATGTCATCAAGATTAGTATCATTAATTACAGATGGTCTCAAGACTTCAGATGGTGCAGGTGTCAACCTCACCAGAATGATTCCAATTAGAAGTGGTTTTTCAAAGGCACAAAGATTAGATCCATTCTTAATGTTGGATCATATTGCATCGGATGACTCCGATGATTATATCGAAGGTTTCCCAGAGCATGGTCATCGTGGATTTGAAGTAAGTATAATCAAATATCTATAACTACAACAAAGTTGTTTTAATTATACTAATAATATTGTAATACTATTAGACTGTAACTTATATGTTAGAAGGTAGTTTCGAACATAAAGATAATAAGGGAAATCGTGGATTGTTGGTTCCAGGATCTGTACAATGGATGACCGCCGGAAGAGGTATTATTCACTCGGAGATGCCAATGCAAGATGAAGGTAAACTAAAGGGCTTCCAATTTTGGATAAATTTGCCTCACAAAGATAAGATGATGGCACCAAGATACCAAGATATCATGCCGGAGAATATCCCAGTTGTCAAAGAAGATGGTAACACAATCAAGGTACTCGCAGGTCACTATAAGGAGACTGAAGGTGCTGTCAAAGATATCGTTACCAAACCACTATTCCTCGATATCGATTTGAAAGCCGGTGCTAAATTCAGCACTGACATCGCCGTTGGTCACAGTTCATTCGTTTTCATTATCTCTGGTGAAGGAGCGTTCGGACCTGACACCAACGCCAAACTCGTCAAAGAATCACAACTTGCAGTTCTCGATGGAAGCAACAATGAAACTAGAATCGACATCACTGCATCCGATAAGGGTTTAAGATTGATGCTACTAAGCGCAGCGCCCATTGGTGAACCAATTTGTCAATATGGACCTTTGTAAGTATTTTATAATTAATAACATTAAATATAAAATTAATAATAATAATATGTAACTAACAAACAAAATAAATTAATTTTTTAAATCAAACTATATATAGTGTCATGTGTACACAAGAGGAAATTGATCAAGCTTTTGATGATTTCTATTCAGGTAGATTTTAAAATTATAATTTTAAAATAAAATAATATGTAAAATAGTAAAAATTCTAAACCGTTTAATAAAAAACTTTAAAGTTAATTCTAAACCGTTAATTAAGTTAGTTAATTATATAATATTATATTATTTGAAAAAGTTATATAAATCAAATAATAATCTTTATTAACAATTTTGGTATAAGTATTTTTTTTTTGAGAAATGAAAATTAAAAATATCTCCAGTTTCGGGTGTTAAAAAACAACATCGGGAATATTGATTTTTTTTTTTTGATTTGTTTTGATACCCATTGATTTTAGTAATACTGGTATTCAATTTGATTTAATTTAATAAAACAATAGGTTCAGACTTTTAAAAATATCTATTAACCGTTTTATATTGAATATAAATATCAAATATGTAGGTGTTTTAGTAAAGTTCATTCATTCCATTCACATAAATACAACAACTAAAATGAAAATATATTATTCATTTACAATTGTTGTGTTGTATTTATTTGTAATTTTATCAACGTTGACTATTGATGCTAGAAAAGTAGTGGTTCAAGATCTTAATAGTCAAAATGATATTAATAATCATCAAAATTATAAATCACTATTAAGTAGAAAAGTTCTAAAGTTGAAGCAACCCTCTTTAAAAAACAAGGATCTTACCGATAGACAAAAACAATACATTCAAGACAGAGATGGTTTTGTAGATAGATTATTAGCAACTCTTTCATTGAAAGAGAAAATTGGTCAAATGACTCAAGTATGTTGTAACAAATTATAAATTACAATTTAAATTGATAATCTACTTCTTATTCATTCTTTTATTATTATTATCATTTTTAGATTGATGTAGATATTCTATTAGAACCAGATTCATTAAGTATCAATACAAATTACTTGAATCAAATCTCTTCACAATATTTCGTTGGATCATTCTTGAATTCACCTACTGCCAACGGTGTAATCGATGGTAACATCCATTATGTTAATCCATCGGACTGGATCAATATACTTACAACTATCCAGAACATCACATTGGCTAACAGTCCTTCGAAAGTACCAATGATTTACGGTATGGATTCCGTGCATGGCGCCAACTATGTTCATGGTGCTACAATGTTTCCACACGTATGAATGAATTTATTAAAGCTTGATGGTATTATTCGATTGACTAACAATTTTTTTGGTAAATATAGAATACTGGATTAGCTGCAACATTTAATCCTGATTTGGCTAAAACAGCCAATCAAATTTCAGCTAAAGACTCTGCTGCCGTTGGATTCCGATGGATTTTCTCACCTGTTCTTGGTGTAGCTATGCAACCTCTCTGGTCTCGTACTTATGAGACTTTCGGTGAAGATCCTTATCTCGGTTCACAAATCGGTGGTGTTGGAAGTGTCCAAGGTCTCCAGGGTGGTATTTATCCACTCTATGAGAATGTAACGATGCCATATGTTGTATCGACACTGAAGCATTACATGGGCTACTCCAATCCGGTCAATGGAAAAGATAGAACACCCGCTTGGATTCCAGAGAGAATGTTGCGTCGCTACTTCCTACCGTCGTTCTACGAAGCGATTATGAGTGGCGCCGGATCGGTCATGTTGAACTCTGGTGAGGTGAACGGTGTTCCAATGCATGCCTCTGAGAAGTATGTCGAGGATATATTGCGTGGTGATTTCGGATTCGACGGTGTCATTGTCACCGATTGGCAAGACATTGAGAAATTAGTGGAGTTCCATCATCTTACCGATTCTATGGAGGAAGCTATCATCTATGCTTTGAATGCCGGTGTCGATATGTCGATGGTTCCTGACGATTTCAGCTTCCCTACCATCCTATACCAGTTGGTAACTGACAACATTGTTCCAGAATCCAGAATCGATGAATCGGTTCGAAGAATTCTCAATTTGAAATACTCTGTCGGTTTGTTTGATACTCCATTCCCAGACCCTAATAATCAGTACCTTGCAACCATTGGAAGTGAAAATGATAGACAGACCGCTGAATCGATCATTGCCGAATCGATTACTTTACTCCAAAACAATAACAATGCATTACCGCTCAATCCATCGCTTATCAAAAATATTTTGGTAACTGGACCAAGTTCCAATTCTATTGCAAACCAATGTGGTGGATGGTAAGTTTTAATAAGAATAATAACCGAATATTTCATTTATCAAAATATTAATAATATATCTTAAAATTAAAGGTCGGTTCATTGGCAAGGTGTTGCAGCTGATTGGGAAGTACCTAATGGTGTAACAGTATTACAAGGAATTCAAAATTATTTCAATAACACTCCTACCAATGTAGTTTTCAAACAAGGAAATATTTATGGAGTTGCCAATGATACATTGTATACTGAGGCTTATCTTGCAAGTTTAGAGGCGGATGCAGTCGTTGTTGTTATGGGAGAACTTCCAGAGGCTGAAACACCTGGTGACATTAATGATCTTGCAATGGATCCAGCTTCGGTTGAGCTTCTAACTCTAATGGTACAGAATGCTAAAGGTCCAGTTATCCTTGTTTTAATGGAGGCACGTCCAAGAGTGTTACCACCAAGTCTCATTAGTTTAGTGGATGCTGTCATTATGGCATATCTACCAGGTCCACAAGCTGGAAATCCATTGGCTGGTATTCTCTTTGGTGATATCAATCCATCTGGACGTCTATCGATAACCTACCCTGCTACCACTGGAGACATTTCACCATATTACTATAAATACAGTATGTATGGATTCCACAACCCATTGTTCTCTTTTGGAGATGGACTTAGTTATACCACTTTCAGCTACAGCAATGTACAATGCAATGGTACTGCAGTCAGTGGACAAAATTCGTATAATGCAACTCTTGGTGAATATATTTCAGTTCAGGTAACAGTTGAAAACACAGGAAAAGTAGCAGGAAAAGAAGCAGTTCTCTTCTATCTTAGTGATCTCTATGCTTCGGTTACGCCAGAGATGAAAATGTTGAAACGATTCCAAAAGATTCAATTGAACCCAGGTGATAGTGTAGTAGTTCAAGTTGTCCTATCACCATATGACTTCTCATTCATTGGTCAAGACAACGAAATCACAGTAGAGCAAGGACAATTCGTAGTTGCAGTTGGAAATCAACAATTGAATCTATATTTAAATTGAAAATTTATAAATAAAAAGAAATGATTTATTGTCTATATTGTAATCGATGCTGAGCCTCTTGGCAATATTTATCGTCATTAAAGAATTGCTCTGATATTGATCTGTTGTATCTTCAACTATTGATTCTATATCCCAATCACTTATAATAGTTCTTTACTTTATTTACAATTTTTTAGTATAACGTTTAAACGTGATAAACTAGTTTTCTGGAACGAGTAAAAGTTTGATAGTTTGAAGAGTAGTATGAATATTGCAATCCTATTTGAAGAAAATGATTGGTGGCATCAAAGTTATTGTTATTTGTGTGAATAATGAATCTTGACAGTGATGATGGACAATCAACTTTAATGTAGTTTTCACAGATAGATTCCCCACATTTCTTATCATGATGAATGGTTTGATCCTCAACTACGATTAAGTTTTTCAATAAACCGATCACTTCAAACCAGAGATGAGTATCATACTTCAAGTATGCCGATAGATGAGTGATGTTGAAAGTAGCAGGGTTGAAATGTGTAAACAAATCTTTGTTTGACAGCTCTGCAAACGATATCTTTTGTAAATTCGGGAAATCCATATTACGATGAACTTTTTCGTTGAGATTGACAAAGCCAAGTTCTTTGATTGAACTTCTCGATTCCTTTGGAATCAAGTTGATATCCAAGAGTACAATATTGATTTGTTCAAGTGAAGGAAGGTTGCTGAACAGAATTCGCTCAAGATTGTCAGATCTATAGGTGAATGTCACTTTCTTTAGTGTCTTAATCTTTGCAATCTGTCGGTAGTTTTTGCTATCAATTCCGATCTGACACTTTAAGTAACGAAGCTTGGACACTATGAATGCCATATTCTTGAAGACGGTAGATGCAAATTCAGTAGATGATGCTCGATCCCATTCGATATGTAGCTTTTCAACCGACGAGAGAATATGTTGGAGGTGAACCGATTCTTTTTTCATCAACAGACCAAACATACAATGATTTACTTTGAGTTTGACTATATTCTTGATTGGACACCATGTATTGGTGAGTCTATTGACTTGAGGATCATAAGTGGTAACGGAATATTGCCATTTTCCATTCTTTTTGTAACCTTTGGATTTAGAGGTGACTCGTTGTTTCAAATAGACATTGTCAAACATACGACTGACTAAACCAAAGAATTGTTTGTTGATCTGTGTCAGTATGAGTGCATTGCAGTACGAAAACAATGGAGTGCAATGAGTGGTTGAAATCTGCCAAGAGTATCGGAAGATCTTCAGGATGATGAGCACCGGTAGATTGTATTCGACATGACCACGGTGGAATTGCGATGCAGGATTGTCGTCAACCAATAGCTTTTTTAGTTGTCTCTGAACATCTCGACCCTCTACAATCGAGTCTACAAGCTGTAGTTTACTCGCTGATTTGTTAACTTTGATCTTGTTATCTTGGCATATCTGAAAGAGTTGATCTTTCTTTAACACTAATAATTCATCTTTACTTGAATTGAAATCTATTGTTTTCAATTGACTGGATTTCTTTTTTCTTGCAGATGATCTATTAGATTTGACTTGACTATCTACAGCATCAATATCATCAGAGGTATTTACTACAGCTGTAGATGTTGTTGTTGTAGTCGTGGTTGTTGTTGTTGTTGTTGTTGTAGTTGTAGTCGTTGTAGTTTCTGTTTTAATTGTTGAAGTATTATTTATATTCATTGTCTGTTTTATGATTTATTTATATAATAAAATGAATGTTGAGGAGATCATTTTTTTTAAACAAAAAACAAACTAACATATGTTATTAAATACTTTAAAAAAAACAAAAAAATAATACAAATAAAAAGAAAATAAAAAAAAACTAAAATATTAGTTTTTTTGGATCTCCATTTTGTCAATCATTTGTTGTTCGCTGCATCGATCACCAAAAAATTATAAATAAACAAACTATCGTGCTGTGTTAAAATTAATTTTTTTCAATGATAGTGATGGTATTTGTACATGTAAATAAAAACAATGAATATAGATAAATTTAAATGTGTTTTTAATAATGTTGTTCTAAGAAATCATATATTCAATGAAGTTTATAAAATAAATCAACAAATAGTTCAGTTTTATCAGAAACAAATTAGAGATACAGTAAAGGTATACAAATGGAATGAATTGGTGGTGAATAAACCTGCTTTAGCTGGCAATGGCTATTTAGAGTTATTGGAACAATCATACAAGACAAATAATGAAGGTACTCCTAATTGGGTGGTGATGATCAATACTATTCGTGGTGGGAGTATCGAGGTTCTCCTGTTTTTGTTGCATCAATTGAAATGGGATGTCAAAGTGATCAACCAGACACTTGTGGATCGAGCTGTCAATGTAACAATAGAACATGCCGATATGCTTACCTATGCAACTCTCTATGCAAGACTGGATGTTATCGACCATCTAATGACGATAGGCGAGATGAACGATCAATGGGACTACTACTATGCAATGGCAGTCTCTCCGTTGACCGATCGATTGGATATCGTAGAGAAAATGGTTGGCATAATGAATGACCAAACTATGTTTCCCGAAGGAATAACTACCAAAGGAAATGTAAGGAGATCAACGAGAAAAGGTTCGACTGTCTTTGATTTCGCTGCGTACAACGGTAATTTGAAAATCATCGATTGGCTGATTGGTCAGCGCGCACAAGATATTGAATACAGTGATGTCTATATTCCTGCAATTCTCGGTGGTCGACTACATGTCTTAGAGTATCTTTATGGTCAACCTCTCATTGAATCACTATTTCACTTGGGTACTGACAGTGATTTAAGATATCTCTATTGTGCAAGTCAACATGGTAGTATCGATATCATTCAATGGATCTATGCAAAGCGAACGACAAGCGATGATCAACAACTACAAGACGCAGCAGTATCAAGAAAGATGATATTCTTCAATAAGAATATCGCTATATTCAAATGGTTGTACTATAAAAATCTTATCGATATGCGGAACATTGATTCATATGTGATGAGTGCAATCAGCACCAAAAGTCTGGATGTTCTCAAGTTTATTTTTGAACAAAACTGTTTGAAACAAATTAGAACCGCAACGATATTACAAACAATACATTCAAATCGTCTAGAGATACTACAGTGGTTCTTTGAAAACAGCATTGCACTACAAATTCCATCAATATCCACACCACAATACCTTTATGTTGCCAACGCACTGAATCACCTCGAAATGGTAGAATGGATGTTGAGTAACTTAACTTTTGAAGAAATCGATCAAGATTCATTAAAAAAACTTAAAGACAATGAATCTAAAATTAAAATAGTTGATTTTTTTCAAAATGAAGATCTCTTTAAATAAAACAAATCAAAGTTATGATATAATACATCTGATTGTGAAAAAAAAACGATCTGAAATCTTATGTTAAAAAAAAAAAAAAGCTGGGGATTTTCGAAGAAATTCCAAATTTTAATAAATACTTTAATTAAAGTCAGATGATTAATCATCATTTGTTATTTATTTATTTTTAGATGTATAATAATAATAATAATAATAATAAGAATAATTATAATTATAAAACTTTAATAGATAGTATTGGAAGTCAAAGATCTATATTAAATTTACCTTCGTTTCCAATACAATGTTTTATCGATCAATATCAAGCTAGTATCGATTCATTTCTAGAGTATGATTTGGCTCAACATCAATTACAACATAATCAAGATGGAATGATGATGGCACTACCACTACCACCACCAGCTCCACCGGTTACTTCCAACTACTTGCCCGATGAGATGGTTCGTACTCTCTTGAAGCTACGTGAGAGTCGACCCGATCTAACCTCCGTAGAGAGTATCATCATGTTGAACAAGATAGAACTACAAAGAATGACTGAGAAATCATCGGAGGAAATCAGTGTATTTCTCAACTATCTATCGAATACCTTGCTATATAGATTATATACTTCGCCTACACCATCCGCAGATGTTGCTATTGGTAGTGTTCAACCATTATTGACAATGGTTACGGCAGCAGAGATTGAATCATTTCCGATTTCAAAGATTAGGCTGTCGACTGGCTCGAATGTACTGGATCGTCATTTACAAGGTGGAATCATGCCGAGTGGAATCACAGAGATAGTGGGTGAATCGGGTTGTGGAAAGACACAGCTAGCAATTCAGCTTTGTATTCAGGCACAGCTACCGTTTTCACTCGGTGGTATGGAGGGTGGTGCAGTCTACATCGTAACAGAGTCGAACTTCCCACACAAACGTCTATCGCAAATGATTGGGAAGCGTCGACCTATCATCGAAAAACTATTGCAAAGAAACAGTGAAAATAACAATAGCAGTAATAGTTTAAATATACAATTCGAAGATAATATTATTATACATAAAGTACCTACTGCCCAGCAGCTATTGACCGTATTGACACAACAGTTTGCAGAACTGATATTCAAGAGAACCATTAGATTGCTTGTTGTCGACTCTATCGCTGCACTGGTTCGTTCAGAGTTTGGTACAGAATCTAAAGATCTAATAGAGAGAACTAATTTACTCTGGGAGATATCCAATCAACTAAAGTTAATAAGCGAAGAACATGGTATTACAGTGGTAGTTATTAATCAAGTGACTGATTATTTCGACAGTAACAATATTGAAAATCAACCACAACAAAACATCAATAATAAGGAAAACAAAGATGAAAATGAAGATGATTCAATGGAATTAGATTTGAATTTAGATGATGATAATAATAATAATAATAGTAAAGCAATTGTAAATAATAATAATAATAGTTTAATGGTAGTATCGAATAGACCGTTAAAAAGAAGAAAGAAACCCCTGGTACCCGTATTTCAAAGTAGTAAACAACAACATTCACCGTTTTTAGTCAATGGTAATGTTAATCCTATGGGTGGTAATGGATTTGGCGGAGTTTCTACCAAGGCTGTCATACCTGCGCTTGGTCTATCGTGGGCACACTTTGTAAATACTAGAATCATGATGTTGAAAACGCATCGTAATATCCAGAAACCAGGTGGAACTTCAACATCAATGTTACCAGTTCGTCAGATGAAAGTAATTCTTTCATCCAGTTTACCAAACGATACATTTCATTTCTATATCGATACACAAGGTGTTATTGGGCTTGATGAAAACAACAACGACAATAACAATGATAATAATGAAACATCTTTGGAACTTGATTATTTTAGTTCAGATTATAAATTTTAATAAAACTATATTATATTTATATATTTTTATTAATTTATTCTTTTAAATATTCTGTTAAATGAATCACTTTCATATTCCAATTGGAATTTAAAAGTGACTGATGGTTTTTTAATCCATTGTTCTAGGAATGGTAGGGTTCCAGTACCATTCTGATATAGGCGTATCAATCTAATGTTGGGAAGTTGATTGGAAATGTCGATGAGAATATCTTTTAGGTTCTTAGCTGGCACTGAGTAAAAGATCGTCAAGATTTCAGCTCTAGGGAATTGCTTGACTTTGTCAACTATATCAATACTTAGATTGCCCTCGATGCGTTTGATTTGGTTGACACTAACTAACTTTTCAGCATGAGGATTTAAATACAGAATCTTGGTACAGTTTGGAACGGTGTAGGCAGCTTCGCTACGGTAATTGTACGATATTTGCAGAGAGTTCTTTACAGTTGTTTTTATCTGCTGGAAGATATCGGTGGCGAACACACTGTCCGTAAGAACTTTAACCACTGAGGAACGCGCAATGTAATTCAACAGATTCTTTGTCATGAGATCGTTAAATTCATAGTTTGTGCTGTCTTCGTTGATAATTAGAGAAGTCAAATGAGAACAATTTACACGAAGAGTGTCAAGAAACTCTTGGCTCATCAGCAGCTTTCTTGGAGTAGTTAATTTGCGCAACGATGGTGTATTCGAACACAATGGAATTGCCTGCTCCACTGTAATCTGTTGTGGTAACACCAACTGCTCTACTTGATCGAGGGAACCAAGAATTTCACCGAATTTCAATTTGGGATCGTAGTTCTTGTAGATGAGATATTGAATTGATTTGAGAGGACACCAAGGATACTCGATCTTGGTTAGGAAGTTGGTATTTAGTCGTTGAGTCAACTCGAAAGGAACGATCGGCAAGATGTGAGTGGATACCAATCTAAAGATTGACTTTGATAGTAGACAAAGATCCAATATTTTCTTGAGAAGTGGTCTCGATCTCAAGAATATGAGTTTAGATAGCCACAATTCATAGGTGCACATGTGTCTCAAAATCTTCACCACCAACAAATTCGAGAATGTCATTGTACTTGGATCTCTAGATATTATTCTAACATCAGCATCATTCTTCTTATTTCTTCTTAAACTATTATTTCTAATACCATTATTATTATTACTATTGTCACTATTATTATTATTATTTCTAACATTCTTTCTTCTTCTATTATCATTAATATTATCAGTCGACTGTTGTTCAATAGGTAAAGATAATATCATAGGTATAGGTTGTTCTAACGAAGTGAAGAGTGAAGATGATGCAGACTCTAAACTATTAGGTGTATTTGAAATGGATGGTGCTTGTAGTGGTTGTATTTGTTGTTGTAATTGAAGTTGTTGCTCCTGTTGCTCTAACTGTCTCTGAGCTCTCAAAAGAGATATCTCCTTAACGATCTGATGCTTCTTTTTATCTACAACAGATAGTCCCATAGTCACTGCCAATGCCTGAACTTCTTCAGGAGTCATTGCACGGAGATCACCATCTTTCTTAATAGTACCATTTCTACTTCCAGAATCCTTTAACTTATTGTTTTTTGTTGGTCTATTATTCCTGTTGTTGTTATTAATATTACTTGTTGTCGTTGTATTTACATTCATAGGTAACAATAATTCACTATTATTACTACCAATACTAACACTACTAATATCAGGTGATATATTGGTGTTATTTGTGGTTGTTGTTGTAGTCATTGTTGTCGTCGTCGTCGATGTATGGATGTCATTCATTTCGACATCATTGTCATTAGCAGTGGTTGACGTAAATGTTATTTGGTCAGAAGTTAGAATGGTAGTTTCAACAACAATATCACCTTCATTTTGCATGTCACTAGTGATATCATTACCAACATCATTAATAACCCTATTATTACCATTAGAACTGTCTGTTAAGATCCCACTTCCCGCTGATCTTTGTTGTAGACCTGAATGATATGACAGAATGTTTAAAGTCTCTTCGTCACTAGCAGATAGCCCATCGACAAAGACCGATAGTCTTTTGATACATCCATTTATATGTAACAGTAACGACAACTGATCTAATTATATATACTTTAGATGTTAGATTATCAAATTAAATCACCCATAGATATATACCCTCTCATCCCAACTCAAAAACCAAGATTTCTTTGTTGTTTTGATTGTTGTTTTTAACCTTTTTTAATTACATACTTGTGGAATGATGACATATAGGACATTCACCCTTAACTATACAATTACTTATTATTTGATAGAAATACTTCTCTTCCATTTGGAGTTGTTGTTAACTATAATAACAAAAAAAAAAATCACAATTGTGAACAATATCAAAATTTTGATTTTGAACAAACATATTTGAAGTTCCTCCAGACTTTTAAAGAGAATTCTTTAAAATAAAAGATATTCAATGATTGATTTTAACACAACTTAAACATTCAAAAAAAAAATAATTAATTATTCATTTATTTTTATGTTTTTGGATCTTGGATCGATCGACGATTTAATTGATTGGTGTAATAGTTTATTTGAAACAAAATTAGACTATTTTTATTATCTTTTTTTTTAAAAAAAAAAGATATCTAACAATAAATAATATATAATAATTATTTGTTGTTGTTGTTTTTTGTATAATCATAATATACAAAGTATGAATAGTAATCATCATTAACTAAGGATATTAATATATACATGTATATATAGACAATGATAAGATGATGATAAATGATAAACTATGGTGATAATCTCTTTGTAATCCATTTACCATGTGAAATAGGATCGATACTTTGAGCATCGAGATTCAAAATCGATTCACGTTTATATTTGATGCGGTCGTGTATTCTTCCACCTTTGCCTTGCCAAAACTCAAAGGAGGTCGGTATGATTCGCCAGCCTCCCCAGAACTCTGGAGGTGGCACTTCACTGCTCTCGTACTTTTTCTCGAGTAAATAGGTATCTTCTGTCAACTTGTGTTTGGTGACCTCGGAACTCTGGAATTCCGATACCCATGCACCAATCTGACTCTGCTTTGGACGCGTCTTGAAGTAGGCATCGCTCTCTTCACGCGAAGTCTTCTCAACGGTGCCCTCGATGCGTATCTGTCGCTGCGACCAATAGAATGTCACCGCTGCATAGGGATTCTCGAGTAACTCCTTCGACTTCCTACTATTATAGTTTGTAAAGAATACAAATCCTTTTTCATCGAAATATTTAAGTAATACCTATTTGTTTGTTTGTTTGTTTGTTTGTTTTATTTGAAGATTTATAAAGGTTAGTATTATTCTTATTGATTGATTGGTTGGTTGATTGATTAGTTACATACAATTCTACCTGATGGTTTACCATCTTTGGTAGCGGTACAAAGATGCATTGCGTTTGGTTCTGATACGTTTTTCCAGAGGATTTCATCTTCGAACCATCGATCGAATTGCTTGAATGGACTCTCGAGGAGACTGTTCTCCTCAAGGTTTCCAAGACGATAGTCCTCTCTCATACTTGATAATAATGGGCTTGACATCATAGTCTTTTCATGATGTAACTCGTTACTACTATTGCTATTACTACTATTACTGTGTTGTTGTTGTTGTAGTTGTTGTTTATCAAATCTTGTAATATGATTCTTAGCTTGCATAACTAACTAAATTATATTAATAAATAAATATGTAAAAAAAAAGTAAATAAATAAAAAAGAATAACAAATAAATGATTATATTGTTTTGTGAAAATGAATGATTATGTATATATATATATATTTAAATTATTGATGATTTACATGTAATAAAACAAAATATTTAATCAAGGTAAAAAAAAACAAATGTTTTTATCTTTTTCTTTTTCTTTTTATTTTATTGTTTTAATCTTTTTGTTTAAATGATTATATTTATATAAAATACATATATTTTAATGTAAAAATAATCGTTTGAAAAAGAAAAAACAGATTTTTCGAACTAAACGTGTTGTGTTTTCTTTTGATGTGTGTTTATGATGGTGAATTGGGGGACAGGTATGGTAGGTAGATTAAACAGATAGATAATTTTATTTTATGTTTCGTTTTTATATAACTAATTGATTTTATATAATGATTTAAAAAGTAAGAATACGAATAATTTAATAAATTAAATTAAATTAAATTTTTGTTTAATATTCATGTGTATTGTTTAATTAAATTTCTTGCCAAGTTCTGAAAAAAATCGGAGGTTCTTTTTAAAAAAAAAAACAAAACCATATTAATTTCCTTATTTGGCCCAGAGTTTGAACCTGTTTTTTTTTTTTTAAAAAAAACCCAAGAACAACTCCATCCTTTTATGTAAATGGTTATTTATATTGTTCTAATCAATTATTTAAAAGAGATATTTTTTGTATCACCCTTTCGAATATTTATTTGAGAGACTTTGATGGATTCAAAGCCCGGGCATTAATTTTTTGAAAAACGAAAAAATTTTGATCCACACTAACTTCACAAAGACTTCTTGTTGATGAGAAAAATATGCACACAACCGTATCATCGAATTTTTGTGGCAGCAATAAAAAAAAAATTAAAAAAAAATCAAAAAAATATTTTGTTTGAAAAATAAAAAAAAAATAATCAATCAACATCATTTTTCTTGTCAAATAATTAAATATCGATTTTTTAATAACATATATTAATGTAAGAAGAATAGAGTGCAGATTTATAAAGTTATCATCATCATCATCATTATCGTAGTCGTCATCATCATCATCATAATCATTACAACGATCAAACAATAGCATTACATCAAATAGGAAACAAACAAAAGTTACGCAGCAGAAAATCAACAAATAATAAAATGCGAAAATAAACAAAACAGGTTATAGAGAAGATAGACAGTTGATAATAGATCAGATTTATAATTGTTATTATAACTTTTAACAATAGATATTTCTATATAGGATTAGCAATGATAGATCATTGCAAAAATGTAAATTAATCAGAAAATGGTTACGCATTAAAATAAAAATAAAAAATAAAAAATAAAAAATTGTTTTTTATTGGACAGTAAACAAAAGTAGATACAAATATAGCTAAATAGTAGCATAAAAATTCGTGATTGAAGATGATGATGATGATAACAATGATAAAGATAAAATAAAGAAAAATAGAAAAACAAGTGATTAACACAATAATATTGTAAAATAACTTTTAGATAAAATGAGCGCTAGATTCCTCGTTGCTTTCAAACAACTCTTCGTTTCCGAACTCCCAGCCATCGCTGAAGCCTCCAGCACCACTGCCTCACCAGCTGGTAAACTCATCGGTAGGTTAAAATGATCAGTAGTTGTTAGCAATCATGATATACCAAATATAATCAAATCAAATCAAATCAAATCTACAAGTAGTTAGCTAGCTAGTTGGTTATCAACAACAAAGAATCAATTCAAATTGAATAGAATAGAATAGATAGATAAATAGATAGAAATTCAATTCCAACTGCTAGAAGAGAATAGAAACAGAACAGCAATTTAGGTAGATAAAAGACAGGAAACCAAAGAAACAACAACAACAATAATTGGAATAATGACTCTGACTTGTTGAACGGTTGATAAGATTTGACAATGATTATAGTGGTAGATGATGAATGACAATCGACGTTGAATTTTGAAAATACTAATATCGATATATATATTTGTTAAATTTTAATTATATAGAATTCTTGAACCCACTCACTGGTGACCCAACTGCCAAGTTCATCAATTACGCTTCAGTTTTCGCTGTTGGTTACGGTCTCAACTGTGCCATCAACATGCACCACGACCACCAAGATGTCATCTACCCATACATGAAGACAAAGAGAACCAAGACCTTGGCTCACTTGTACACCAAATCAGAGTAAATTTAGTAAATTAATAATTTAATTTAGTTATAAAAAAAACCCAATAATAATATTATCAAATCACTATAATATAATATATAAAAAAATTAATTATACTCTATCACCTTAATATGTATGATGAAATAATAATAAAATAAAAAAAAACTTTTAAAAACAATCTTTCATAGAGTTCATATAGTACTTTTTCTAGATGAAGTAATTATGTGATCTTTATTTATTCCCTTTTTGTTTATAATAAATAAAACAAAAAAGACAAGACTAGAAAGTTTTTTTTTATTTCTTAATATTTATATATCAAATTTTTTCAACAAGTTCAAATTTTTTCAGGTTTGAACATGTTTCTCTGTGCACAGCTTAATTATTACCAGTTGTGCCTTTATACTTTTCTTTTTCACTTTTTCAGATGTTGCAAACAATTTACTAAAAAAGGACGTTTGTGATTAAAACTTATCACGGGTGGAGGCTGGTAATGTGTTAAATTTAAGTATTTTTGATTTTTTTTTTTTTTGATTTTTTTTTTTTTTGTAAAAACCCGAACTCTTAATGATTTAGCGAAATGATTTAACAGGTTAAAAGTGAAAAAACCGATTAGACTGTTTTACAAATTTATACATTTCAATAAACAGGCAAATAGAAATTAGATTTTTTATTTATCTGTACTCTGTATATACATTTATTTTATTTATATTACCAAATTAGGTTATTTTTAAAAGTAAAAATTTTAGTCATTACTCTGTTTACAATTCACTTTTAAATAAAGGTATGTTTTTTTTCTACAGTTCTAATTGACAATTCAGAGAATTTAATTAATGCCCAACGACATAAAGTTGATTGGATGAGTGGTTTGTTGATTTGATGATTTTTTAAAAAAAAGGTCGGTGGACCAACAAAAATTAAGATAAGATGAAGAAAAAAAAACAATAAATTAAAATAAAATCAAAATGAAATGATTTTTTTTGGTTGAACATAATATTTACGACTAAAAAAATCAGTTCGTCAATCTACAAATCTTTACACAATCAATCAACAATCATAAAGATATATAAATATAATAGTATTATTATTGAATTATTATTAACGTTAGGTTTTATTTATTTATTTATTATTTTATAACTTTTTAACTCTATAGGGAAATCAATGTAATAAATAATTATATAAATTATACAAAATTTATTTTATATATATATTATTTAGAAAAAGAAATAACAACAACAGTAAATATAGATAGTTATAAATTTTCATCAACTATTACACAAATCCAGAGTATTTTTAAAATATTATAAATATATATATATATAATAAATATTGAAAAGAATGGGGGCTTTACCAAATCAAAACAAATCAACTACTTTTCTTGGAATTTCAAAGAATACCATCAAAAAGTGTGTTGTTATGTTTTTAATTGCCAATCTTGGATATGGATTACAACTTTCCTATTCAACACCGGTTGCATTATCACAAACCTATTGTAAGTTGTTTAAACAATTGTTTTTCTCAAAAAGTATGTTATATTTCTAACAATTGTAATTATTTTCATCTATTTTATTTATTTTAGTTAAGGAATTAAAAATATCAGAGGAACAATATGGACTCTTATTTTCAGTATATTCACTCCCAAATCTGATAATGATTATTGTGGGTGGAATTCTAATCGATATTTTGGGAACCGATATCATCAGTATTATTTTTTGTGGAATCGCAGCATTCTCATCGATTTTCACAGTGCTTTCGATGCCACATTTTAATTTGATGATGGTCGGTCGTTTCCTTCTTGGTATGGGTGGTGAAACTCTTTTGGCATGCGCAACAACAATGATTGTAAATATCATATGATAACAAAGAAAATAATCACTTGCTTTTTCATTAAAATACTAATTTAGTTTTTATCTGTTAAATAGCCATTGTTTTATTCACCAAGAGAAGTTCCAATTTGTATGGGTTTCTTGGCATGTTGGTTCTATTGGGGAAATTTAACAGCTATGTTAGCATTACCAACCATCAATTCCATCTGGGGATTCAGACCAGCTTTATGGTTAGTGGCTGCTGTCTTCATCCTGGAATTTATATTGAATTTAGTTTTATGTAAATTTAGAGAGAGATTAAAATGGTCAGGTATGTATAATATTATTGATAGTTTGTTTGTTTACCGTCCACATCAAATATTAATATTTTGAATTCTAATAATAATTATATAGATCAAATTGATAGAAGTGCAAGTGCAGTTTCATTAAAACATATAAATAGTGAGGTTTCGATGATGAGTGAAGATAGAGATTTACAAGATCCAGATAATGAAAGTCCAACCATTTCATTGAATGGAGAACAACATGTTCAGGGTGCAATCCAATCGAAATGGGAGATTTTCGTGTACAAACTTTCCGAGGTTAAAGATATGTCTAAACGTTTATCAAAGAGATTCTGGTTATTGGCACTGATATGTTTCATTTCTTTCTACACCATGTTTGGTTTGGCTATCATCGGTACCGATGTGTTGGAGCACAAATTTGGTTACGACGAATCGAAAGCAGCACTCATCATGGCATCGGAAGCTATGGTCAATGGAATCTTACCAATGTTTACCGGAATGTTTATTCAACGTGTTCGTGGCAGAAAGATCCAGTTGATGATTTTAGCTTGTATCCTGCTTGGCTTGGGAACTTTCTTTTTGAATGTAACCGAAGTATTCCCACTTCCATGGATCCTGCTTTGTGGTGTTGGATTCGCATTGTTGAATACCACCCTGATGAGCTGTGTTCCTCTGCTAGTGGAAATATCGATTGTAGGAACAGCCTACGGAATCATCTGTACCAGCTATAACCTCAATATCTTCATTTTCCCACCGATTCTCGATACCATCAAACGAAGAACCAATAGCTATTATATTCCACTTTGGTTCCTTACGTTCTGTTCGATGTTGGCCATAGTATTGCTCTTGGTACTGAAGTACTTGGATATGAAAGCACCACTCAACGAATCACTTGACTCACCATACTCCACCGCTGGCATGGACAATCCACCCGAGCAAATCGTTGAGAAAGAGGAAAACCTTGGTACTATTCAAGATGAAGAGGTTGCAGATCAACATCAACCAAATATCAACAATATCGGTGATGAGGAATATGAACCAATTAATTCAGTAATTATATCTTAAATAAACTATTGAAGACTTAAATAATACAACCAAGGACAACACAATTTTTTTCAGATACATATCTGATGATGATTTTTTTTGAAAGTATGTTTTGTAATTTTAAATCAAAACAACACGTGCGACTAGCTTTACCTGTATTCCATTTTTTTCATTTATTTAAAGAACTATAACTTCAATGGAGTAGTCTAATATCATCACAATTTTCAAAATTGAAATCCATACTAATATTCATTGCCATACACTCTATTGTCTGTATCCCACGATCATTTAACAAGAATAAATATAAATAGAAAAAAGTCGTGATCTTAAATTACTTTTCATTTTATTGAGCCAGAATTAATTAATAATTCTTGAAATCGAAGTCGTGAACCTAATAGATCTTGAACAATGAACGCAATGAATTTAGGAGTATTAGTCGCATAAACAATGAATGATTTCTCTGATAATCTTCTAAGGTGGAATGTTCTGTGGTTGGATTTGTTGCTATCGATATTGAATGTAATGGTGTTTACTGTTTTTGGTATGTATGTTGGGACAATGGCATCGTTGATGTAAATAGATCTTGTTGATGGTGGCCATTCTTCAGGAATAATCAATTTACAATCATTCGTGAAGTAAACTGTCTCCACTGATCGAGGTATAGATCTTGGTTGTATAATTGAATTGTTACCAAGGACAATGGATTTCAGTGATTGCGGTAGACCAATTACTTTGTGCTTGTAGTGGTTATTCATATCCAAATGCTGTAAACTATCTGGTAGTGCCATAATTTGATTAATTGGTTTGCTCAAATTATTTGGCAAACAAAGTTTAACGAGATTGCGTGGTAGTTCTCCAATATTTGAGCTGTAATCCTCCAGCAAAGAGAGATCCAAAGTCTCCAGTTGCTCGAAACCAGAAAAGAAATTGGTCTTGAATTTAATTTTCGATTCCAATTTCAAATATTTAATATCTTTGGGTATGAGTTCTGGTGTGATCGTTTTTGGTGTGCCAGGATTTAAAAGAGTAAGATGTGTGATATATGATGGAATGTCACCTGCTTTAATGGAATAGCCATCGACAGCTACCAAACTTAGAGTTTCAATCGATTTCAAATCTCTGATGTTTTGCAACCAGCACGTTGATATTGAAACATTTTTCAATGTTAAAGGAAGTTGTGCTGTTGTGTCTGATGATTCCAAAGATTTTGTGTCAGAAACAAACACCAATCCCTCAAGATTAGGTGGGAAAGTGCCAACATCAATTTGTTGTGTAATACCATGTACCTTTAGAACTTTGAGTGTTCTGGGTAGCTGAGGAACATCAAGTGTACCAATAGGATTGGTATATTTCAATTTTTCGAGTCGTTCAGGAAGATATGATTCTTTGATGCGATTGGGCGATGTAATCTCTTTGATATTCGACAGAGTTTTGATTCTAGCGGTTGACATTGAAGTGCTTATTACCTTCAACGAATAGATGTTGGATTGACTTATCTTTTTGAGTGCTCTATCATTCATATTTGTATCTGATATCATTTTAGTGTAGGATGGTTCAATTTGACGACATTCAAGATCACCTAGTTTGATAATGTTAGTAATCTTATCAGTATCTTATAAACATGAATGAATCAAGATATTTACCGATAGAAATGAGGGTGTCGGACTTTTTTTCTCTATTGGGATAGGTATATGTATAACAAATTTGCAGAACACAATTGGTTTTCGATATGAGAGATCTCTTAAATTGAGGTTTGAATGAATTCAACGAAAATAATCGATTCTTTTCATTGTAAAAATGATTCATGTTTGATTTCTTTAATGATTTACAGTTGAACCAAAGATATTTATCTCTTTGATCGAACCATCTCTTACAGACTAAACTGAAACAAATTCTCTCCAAGTCATTGTCTAACTCTCTTATTATTTTACTTATTAAAAGAATTGGTAGATTTATAGCTATATTGTTGTTTTTATTAATTGTATCCCTCATCTCTCTTTAAGATTGATTGAGCATTGTTATATGATACAAAATATATTGTGATATAAGCCTTATTTTTTCGAAATTTTTCAGAAAATAAATTTATAAATCAAAATTGGATAGGAATAAATTGTTAAATGTTATTGTAGATCTCACCATGTCTAAAGAAAAAAAGAAATTAAGATTGAAATAGGTGATGTTCAATACACCTCATTACCATTTATTTATATCAAACATCATTCATTATTGTTATAGATTTTTAAGTTTTTGCTGAACAATCAAACTGCTACAAAGTAACTTCATATCTCAATTTCAGATTAAACTTTTAGTTCATAAATATAAAATAATAAATAATAACAGTTTTATCATCAAAATAACAACTTGCTTATTAGAATGACGAGAGATAGTAAAATAATACATGAATTTCTGATTGATGATGTTTATGATCATAAATTAATTGTTTACCAAAATTTTAAAATAGTTCTTTTTTTTTTCAGATCGGAGGAATCGAAGGAATTCGGTTGGATCTATTGTTAATCCCTAATACATCAATCAGATTTTAATATACTCTTTGTAAACAAAGAAAAAAAAAAAGAACTGGTCAATCACGAAAAAAAAAAAAAGAACTATTTTTTATTGATCAAAAAAAAAACTGAAGTGTGTTTACCTCTAAAGGTTGTAAGATCACCTCCATAGGAGAATTATGATTGTAATTCAAATCAACCTTAAAGTGTCATAAGAATAAAAATATAAAGTTAGAAAAAAGTGGTCAAAAATAAAAATAAAAAAAAAAATATCGAAAAAAAAAAGTGGGTTTCGACTTTTTTGATCTGGTATTGGAACCCACATTTTTTTTTTTGCAAATCGGGACTGCGCATTCGATATAATTTGCTCTATTTATTTATATTTTACGATAAATCAAGATATGAAAATTATCTAAATATATAAAGAAACAATAATAATTTTATATAGGAAGATGATTTTTATTAATTTGTAAATAATGACTCATATTTATAATTATTTGGGAGCAAAGGGGAAAAAAAGAAAAAAAGAAAAAAGTGTACAAAGCTTTTAAAAGACACAAAAACGTTCTTTTTTTTTTTTTTTTTTGGGATGGGAAAAAAAATATCTGATCTTTAGGGTTCAAAAAGTAAGATCCATCCAACGATGTGTAAATTAGTTGTTTTTTTTACTCTTTAAATTAAAAAGACTAAAGCCTCTCATTCATTTTATATTTAACAATAAATCATAATAGTAACTTTTATCTATTTTTTTAAATAATAAATGTTAATCAAAAATATATATATTTATGAATAATAAAGAATAAAGTTTAAAAAAAGATGATGTCAAAGATATATCTTAAAATATTTGTAATTTTAATTATTTTCACACAAATAAATGGTAAATATTAATTAAATATATACTTGGTTTTTTTTTTTTTTTTTTGTATGTTTGTTTATATCAAAATGACTGAAACACATGTCCACCTTAATTACACCAAACCACTCTATATGTAAAGTGGTACCACTAATATGTGAAATTCCATTGTTTTATTTTTGTGGTCATATAATTTAGGCGGGTAGAATTTTGGTAAAGATGATCATCAAAATTTTTAAATTCATTATTTTTTCATTAACAACTCAACTAAATTTTAATAAATATAATTTAGCTACACACTTTAGATATGGATCACTTTCATGGAAAACAACATCCGATCCTAAAGTCTACAGTTTTTCACTGAAGGTTGCATTTAGATACTCCTATTTCAATGAATCCGGAAATGGTGTACCACAAGTCGGAGAATCGATGAGCTATGGGAATGTAAAGGTTCAATACCTCTCTAATTGTTATTTCTGTAATCCACAACAATATAAAACCAATTTCTTAGTGGATCATATCGACTATGACAATGATTGGCTTACTGCCGAGTATGCCTTCACCATCGACTTTAACGGCCAATACGATCTCTATGTATCCTATCATAACAGTGAACGTCTATCAACTTTAAACAATAATGCAAGAGGTATGTTTGTTTGTTTGTCTAAATATAAACATTTTAAATACTAATCTAATTGTAAACAAAAAAAATTTTTTTAAGGTGATTGGAATATTGCTACAAGATTCAATATGGAGGAGATTAGTAATCTCAATATTAGTCAAGTTGAAATAGGTTCACCTGTTACTGGTTTATTACCTGTTGTCAATGCATACGTGGGTCAAACCAATAGATGGAGAATACCAGCTGTAGATCCCGTAAATGAGGGTATTACTTATTCATTTTCGAGTGAATCGGAAATGCCAGGAGTTCAACCATCTGGAATGTCCATCTCTCCTGATGGTATTGTGTCGTTCACTCCGACACAAGAAGGTGTTTTCTGTTCTCAAGTTAATATATCAAAGAGCTACCCATTCTTTACTTACACTGTCGTTGACTACATGATCAATGTAACCAAACCATCGGGATTTACTGGTTTACCTCCTGTTTTCATTGACCCAACACCATCGCCTAACAAAATATTGACAGTTGTTGCCAATGATGCTGTTTCGATTATCATTGTTGGACAATCGCCACAACCAACATCCAGTGTTTTCATTTCAATTGGAAATCTACCAGATGGAATGACTACCGTTTCACAAACCAATAGTCCAACGAATATTGAAAAGTTGGTGTTCAATTGGAAACCTACCACCTCACAGGCTGGTATTTATGTTATTACCCTTGGTTTGGTCGACAGCCAAGGACTCCAACTTGCTGGGGGTGTTCAATCTTTCTCTCTCAACGTAACTCTGCCCGAGTGTGGAAATGGAAAGAAGAGTTATTCCGGTACAACTTGTATTTGTTATCCAGGCTGGGCTGGTAAACAATGTATTGACTGTGATACCAGTTATTTTGGTTCCAGCTGTCAAAAGACACCAGAGTGTATCAATGGTAAATCAAATGATGGAATCTATGGCGATGGCCAGTGTGTATGTGATCACGGATGGATTGGATCGTCTTGTAACATTAGTCTTGTTCGTAGATGTAGTACAAGTGAATCAAGTTATATAGTTACCGAGTCAACAAGTGATTCCAGTAATTTCCAATCATCGTCCGTTCAAATCTATTTGAATCGTTTCTTGCAAACCACACCACCACTGGTAGTTCAAACCAAGTTTGTCAAATCTCCACAATCCATTCCACTAGATTTGTATTTCGTTCTCGACGTATCATCGAGTCCATCGATTTCAAATCTCTACAACCAATTCCAGAAGATCTATCCAGATTTCGAGAGTTACTTGGTTCCATACATTCGTGAGAAGGCAAAGTTTGGATTCGGTTATTTCTCAGACTCTGAAAATCAACCAAATTCATTCCAGTTAATCTCTGTTTTAAATAATTCTATTAAAAATGAAATTAAGTCAATTTCATTGAGTAGTGGACTACCTCAACCAAACATACAATACCAAGCACTGATAGATGCTGCCTCTACAGTATCGTGGAGTACAACTGGTAGTTTGAAAATGATGATTTTAGTTACCGACAATGATTTGGCACCAACTAATTCATCGTTAATTCCAACATTAAAATCAATACTTGCCAAGCAAAACATATTGCTTGGAGTATTCTCAATGGATATCGTTACTTCCTACACCAATTGGATGACTCCAGACATTGGTATTGCATCTTCTTGGTCAACTACTTCGATATGGTATAGAGAGCTGATTAGTAATATAATTGTACCAATGGGATCACAATTACAAACTAGTGTAGTTGGTGATCAATCATTTGTATCAAGTGGTCCAACTGAAATCTCAACAGGATTGTTTGAATCAAGTTTCAACTATCCTGAAACTGGCGAGCCTGTTTCCACCCCAACAGTTTCCATAAATGTCGTTGGATATGGAAAGCAAACCATTCAAATCGCTTATAATCACCCACCTACTACCACATCAACCATTGTCAATCTTCAAATGAATGATAATCGTACATTTTCCATTCCAACAAACGATATCGATGAAAATATTCTCAGTATCCAATTCAAATCAATTCCGTCTCAAGGTGTATTATTATTCAACGAATCCCAGATTGTTATTGATACACCATATCAACTTCCAACCATCCAAAGTTCGAATATTTTCCGTTATATTCCAAATGAATATTATTTCGGAGTAGATCAGGTTGTTTATACTATTGATGATGGATGTACAAGTGCCAATGGTCAAGTCAATTTCGAAATTGCCAAGATAAATCTACCACCAGTATGCAACCCAAAGACAATTGCCACCGATCAATTCACAGAAGTCCAATTCTCAATTGAATCTTCAGATTTCGAAGGTGATCTATATTCATTGAAATTCGGTAGTCTAGCAGGTGTTGGAGCTATTGGTGTAATTACTGAAAATGATATTCCAGTCAACCAAGTATCACAGTATTCCAATTCTTCTACATTTGTTTTCAAACCATTGGAAACTTCCATTAATACAAACATCTCTATTCCAATTCAAGTATTCGATATCAATGGGTTTTCATCACAGTGCGCATTAACCATTGTTATCAATCGAATCAATGTTCCTCCAACTATAAACGTTGACCAAAGACAATTGATTGTGCCAACCGGTAACCTTACTATTCCTTTCTCAGTAACGGACATGGATCCCGATGAAGAGCTGACAGTTACTTTGACAACTATCAATCCAAAGAATGGTGCATTCTATGACTCTAATGGAAAGTTAATCAAACCAATCGATATTCCATATGATTTGGAAGTTTTTAACAATGTTCAAAGTGCATCTTCTTTCTTCTTTTATAAAGCTGCTAACTTCGAAGATACAGGAGTTAGTTTTACCATTCAAGTTATGGATAAAGCTGGCGTTCTAGATTCCGAGAAAGTCTCCATTACAGTCAATGGAAGCAGAGCCAACAGTCCACCAAAGGCATTCAAAGTAGGTGATCTTTATCTTCTTCAAGATAAAATTTCATCTGTTTTCACATTGAACGGATCGGATACCGATGGTCCACTATTAGATCCAAAACTTTCGGTGGTTATTTCCTCACCCCCAAAGTTTGGACAACTTTTAAATGACGATGGTGTTACTCCCATTTCCAATCAAAACTATGCTCCTTTGAGAGTCATCTATAAACCAAATCCAGGTTACTATGGAAATGATAATCTAATTTACTATTTGGAAGACTCGATGGCCGCCCAATCCAATCAGGTCAATGTTAATTTCAATGTTAAATTTGTTAACCATCCACCATATGTAAACGCTCCAAACCTAACTTTGTACAGAAGTAACGATAATACTGAAGTTTCATTAGCATTCACCATTATTGCAACCGATGTCGATCAAGATGATCCACTCTCAGTTAGAATCACCTCATTCCCTTCATATGGAAGTCTTTTATATTTAGATGGATCACCTATTAATGGTTTCAAGAAATTAAAGGATTTAAATATTCAATTTATTGTTCCAGAGACCATTAATTATGACTTCACGACCGATTATACCGTGGAGGTATGTGATTCGTTTGACGCTTGCTACGAAGATATCGGAACAATCGTATACAGCTATACAACAATCAGAAATCCACCGACTTGTAGACCAACACCAATCTATCTAAATCAACTGAACCCTATTAATTTCGTTTTGAAAGGATTCAACAGTGATCCATCCAACAAAATGAAAATTGCTCTCTATGGATTGCGTTCACTTGTCAACTTTGGTCAAATCATGTCAAGTACCACAAACTCATTGGTTAAAGATGGTGATCGATTCGACCAACCAGCTACATTTACATTCAAACCGGAAACAACAACACATGGAGGTGTCATCATTCTTCCATTTGTTGTTTTCGACAGTAGTAATCTCACTGCCCAATGTACACTCTTGATCAATGTGACTCGAGTCTACGTACCACCAATCATCTCCATCTCAAGACAAATCACAATGAACCCAGACACCTTAAGAACCATCCCATTCTCCATTTTCAACTATAATTACATCAGCTGTAATGTAACAGTCAGTATTACAGCAATCAATAGCGGTGGAGGATCATTCTTTGACGGTTCCAAGCACCTTATATCAAATGATCCCTATAAGCTTGGTGATTTCCAAATAGTAAAGGATGTACATGATTTTGCTTCTGGATTATCATACAAATCTATCAATGGTCAATATACTGCCAATTTTACAATCAAAGTAGTTGATGATAGAAATGGAACTGATTCCAAGAATGTCTCTATTGTTGTCGCTGGAAATGTCAAGCCTTACCCACCAGTTGCTATTCCAGTCCCAATGGTTTCAACTCTGCAGAATCAACAATCATTGGTAATCATACTTAATGGTAGCCATCCTTTCCGACCCTACTACAATGGTAGTCTGACTATTTACATTATCAACTTCCCTCTACACGGAGAAGTAGTACCCGACAACGGAGCCACCAAACAGGAGATAAAGTTAGATTCACCTGCTTCCGTTGTATATATTCCAAATACCGATTATTCTGGTACAGATCAATTTGATTTCTACGTAAAGGATCAATTTGGTTTGGTTTCAACTCCCGAAACAGTTAAGATTACCATTGAAAAAGTAGACTATGCACCAACAATCAATTTAAATCCAGAGACTATTCTCTCATCAACCAGTTGCGGTCAAAATATCGAGAATATCAACATCTCAGTGTCAGTAACCAATCACAATCTAATGCACAATCTTCAAGTTAAATTATTACAACTACCTGCCAATGGAACCATTCTCTATGATGGACAGCCAATCGATCCAAACAATATGCCATTCCAGTTCAACTCTTCAAAGGGACTACAGTATCTGCCTTCTAAATCATTCCATTCCTACAATTCAACCTATATTATAGAAGCATGTGATCGTCTTTGTTCAATTGCAACTGGAAATATTGTTATCCAATATATCGATTCACTTCCCCAAGGTAGAGATGAACAATACTATATGAAACAGAATCAAGATTCACACTTTGCACTTTTTGGTCAAGACTGTAAAGATGGATTCAATGTTAAATTCCAATTCCTCACGCTTCCTAAATTTGGTACTCTCTACGATGAATTGGGAATTGAAATTAACTCGACAAGCCAACTACAGGACAGCAATGCCTTTTCCTATGTACCATTCAAAGATGCTGTCAGTCTGGAGACCAATGGAAATGAAAGTCCATTGGAAAGTTTCTCTTATCAAGTCATCAACAACAATTCCCTTGCCTCTCAAAGATCCTATTCCATCGAAATCTTTGTCCATCCCATCCCAACTTATATTGGAGAATCACATTTTACATCTCACGAAGAAACACTCTTGACCATTCCAATTCTTGTCTCGTTCAATGGAAAACCTTATTCATTGGTCATCAACAGCTTCTCAGCCAATGGACAATTGTACTATATCAATAGTATTGGTAAAATTGTTTATATTCCCTCATCTGGATTGCTCTTAAATGAATACAACTATGTACTTTATTATATGCCACCAAAAGATATCTATGGTTGGAAAGTTGATACGATTGCATTCCATTTGAATGGTACATATGATTCGGATTTGTATTTGATAGATATCGATGTCACTCAAGTCTTCCAAGCACCAGTCATTGTCCCCTTGACCTTTACCAAGAATGGAACAACCCTACCATTCCAACATTTCGATGCTGAACTCTTTGTCAATCAATCAACAGTCATCACCTTTGATGTTACTTCAAGAGATCAATCATGGGATGAGTTGAAATCATTTTTTGGAAGTGGACAATCACCATCTGGAGTGTTTTGTCAATACGATCAAACTGTCACAAACTTTTGTGGTGATTATCTGACCTACAACTCGATCATCAAGAGATCAGATGAAGATCAACTCTGGAGAGTTGTATATATTCCACATAAAGGAAGAACTGGTTTGAGAATTTCTCAATTCACAATCATCGGACAGGATTCCATCAACAAGACCACCTCGGAGAGAATATACATTTCAGTTCTCAGAATTAATATTCCACCAGTTGTAATACTGACCCAAAACCGATTCAATACCACTATCGATGTTCCAATTTCATTCAATAATATCTCAGTATTCGATCCAGATTCAACTGAAAATAATAATATCACTTTTACACTAAGTTTGATATCTACTTTGGATAATGAATTGACATTGGACGGTTCAATCGATTTACCATTTGCATTGGAGTCATCGTGTAATATCACTGTCAACCAAGTAAACTGTACCAATTCGAACGATATACTTAATAGATTCTTGGAAGCCATCTCAGTTGTTTTCAAACAAGTTGGAGACTATCAATTGGTTGTCAATGTAAACGATCAAGGTTATAATTCACTCAGACCAGATCAAAACAAACTTAGTGATTCCAAGTCAATCCTTATCAGTGTTAGTCAAGCGCCAAATCCTAGTAAACCTTATAAAACTACAATTATTATAGTCACTTCTATTATAGGTGGTTTGGGCTTGGCCTCTATTGTAGCATTTTCAGTTTGGAGAATTCTTAAATCAAGAACTCCTCCAACAGAAGCATACTTTGGAGAATACTATTCCAAGGATGTCAGTATAAATCCATTGTATGTCCCACCCACCAATATCTCTAGTGGAATAAATCCACTTTACGAAAATAAAAATTAATAAACTTTATAAATTACAAGATTATTTTACAAACATGTTAAAAATTTGTGTTTATTAAAAAAATTAAGTACTTAATAAAAAAATTGATAATAAATAAAAAACTAATCCAAAGAGATAAACTTGATATGCCTGAAACCATCGAGTAAAGTAAAGTAATGGTTTGTTTCGTAAAAACCATAGTTTAAGTTCTTTTTGTTGGTTTTTATGAACATAGGCTGATTCGGTAAATCCTTCTGTTCGGTTTTTGTTGAGCCAGTCCAAAATTTCGATATTACCAGTATAAATAGCGTTGTTCATTGCCTCAACAGAACATCCTTGATTAGTATTAAAGTGTAAATACTTTAAGACTTCGAAATGACCATTCAACGATGCATTATCCATGGCAAATTTGGAACAACCTTCATTTCTATTTTCATTTAGAAATTGAACGATTTCAAGAAATCCTCCTTCTGCTGCGTAGTCCATAGATCGGTAAGTACATCCTTCTGTTCTATTATTATGTAACCATATCACGATGTTGTTGAATCCATTTTTACAAGCGAGATCAAAAGCATCTGTTGAACATCCTTCTGTTCTATTATTATGTAACCATATCACGATGTTGTCGAATCCATTTTTACAAGCGAGATCCATCGCTCTCTTTGAACATGAACCTATATTATTAAAGTCCAACCACTTTAAAACTTCTATGTGTCCGAATTCAGCTGCAACATCCATTAGATTTGTCATTTCATATACACTTGTATCTCTATTCTCTCGTTTCAAGTATTCGAGAACATGTAGTTGATTTTCTCGTACAGCAGATTCAAACATGTGGTTTCCAAGTGTAAAATCTTCTGATCTATTGGCATCCAACCATTCAATCATATCGATTCGACCAACTTTGGCAGCAGAGGCATATGTCTCTGTTGTAGAAGAATAGGTTCCTAGTTGTTTCGATACATACTCCAACATCTCAATGCTGTTTGATAGCGGTGATTTTATAATGGCCTGATGATAATGCATATCGATACCTTGCCGCTTGTAGATTTCCTCTAGGTATTTGAACACCTCCAATTTACCAAACCAAGCTGCATAGCACAATAGATTATATCCACTTCGTGAGTGGCACCCAGCTAGAATAGTTCTATCAGTATCAATTTCATCAATGATATACTTTAAGATTTCGATGGTATTTGGTATTGATGATCTGATTGCATTAACCAGCATACGATTTAAATGTTCTCTTGGTATTAGCCTTATCTTGTGGTGTTTTTGGAACAAATCAAGATAGCCATTCCCTATTAAAACATATGGGATGTTGATCATTTCATCCCAACTATAGGTATCCCATTTTTTTTTATTGCGTTCATATTCTGTTCTATTATATTCTCTAGGTAATCTATTAAATCTAAAGCTTAATATTAATCTTTTTAAAACTATATTATTTAATACAGATAATAACAATGATTTATTCATTTTTTTTGAATAGGTTAAAAAAAACAAAAAGATATTTTTATTTGTAAAGTTTAATATGTGAAAAAACAATTAAATTGATTTGGAGATTTTTGTTGTTGTTTTGATAAAATCAAAAGTGTGAGTGGGTTCAAAAATGGGGGTAAAGGTTACAGTCAAGAGCCAGTTTTGTTTTGTGGATGATTGAAAGACTATTTTTGATTTTTAAAATTATTAAATTCTTTTTATTTTTTTATTTAGTCTATGATACAAAGAAAGAAGAGATTAATAAAATATTTATTTTTTAACTTCAAAAAGTCTGGCAGTAATTGAATGATGGGGGGGTTCTAAGTGAAAGATATTGGTACTTCCAGGAGGAACTGCTACTGGACTAGAAATTTGATCACTTTTTGAATTGGCATTGGTTACATGAATGGTCTTTTTGGATCTCTTCTTTTTGATTGCTACTACAATTCCCACTGTAATAGCGGCTACTGCAACACCTCCACCTACTGCAATTCCAACGATGGCACCAACTGATAAGACAGCAGAAGAAGCAGCAGATGTTTCTGGAGGAATTCCTCCAGTAAATTTAGAAACAAAATCTGAATATGATATATCAGCATAATAATTTAAGGATACTATGTTTTTTAATTATAATATAAGATTAATAAATATAAATTAAAAATAATATAATGGTTTTTTTATACTTACACATTTGAACATTAGATTTTGGAAGGGTGACAGTGGGAGCAGAAGCAAAACTAACTAACGGATTAATTTGCTCTTGAGTAACAAAATCAATTGCAGAATTAGACTCTGGGTTTTGGGTCACAATTACATCTGGAAGTTGGTTAAACTTGGAATTGTGAGAGACGACCTTATTGAAATTGACTTTCCAGGTTTGAAAAGCTGTTTGGAATTCCTCACTGGTGTAGGATTTCTTGTATGCAGCTGCCCAAGCTTTGAATACATCTTGTACATCGGAATCACTTGCAATGTATTCCGATGATATGTTATTTACAAATAATATTAAACAAATAATTAAAACTATATATTTCATCTTGTTTTTTTTTTTTTATAAAGTTGGATATGAATAGATTTTTTGATTGTTTTTAAAAGATTAATAGATTGATAACTTAAATTTAAGTCTTTTTAAAAAACAATTTTAATCTGCAATTAAATTTTATTTGTTAATGGTATAAATTTATAAATTCGAGGATTTAATAAATTAAGACCAATGAACATTCTTTAAAACTTTATCATAATTTGCATAATTTGTAGATCCACCATATTTTTTGATTTTTGAGTTTTGATTGGTTTTGACATTTTTTTATCCAATCAATTTTTGATTTTTGCTGAATATGGGTTTTCAGAATAAATCCGGATTGATCAAAATAATTATTAAATATATAATTTTTGTACAATCTAAATTAGATAACTATTATTATAAAACTAAATAAAATTGGATTAGAAATGGATTGATTAAAGATTATAAATAATAAAAAAAAAATAGTTTGTCTTTTTAATTGTAATCTTACTTTTTTTTTTATATTTTTAGTAATAAATATCTTATTTTTATTTATATACTTATATATATTTTATTTGTATTATTAAAAATGTCTAAAATTGTATTATTAAATTTGTTTATAATTATATTTACATCATTGGTTGTTGGTCAATTTACTAATGACGAACTACAAACGGTTATTGCTTATCATAACTATCTGAGAACCTATCCAAGTCCACCTTCTGCGACTCCACTTACACCATTGACCTATGACCAAGGGATTGCCGACATTTTAAATAAAACCATGAGCACATGTTCAGGATGGAGTCCGATCGCCATGCAAGGTACCGGTTCGGAATGGCAATATTGGTGGAACCCTGCGTCTGCTTTTAGTGTAGCTAGCCAAATGGATATGATTGCTGAACAATCCTTCAACTATGATTGGAATGTTCTAAATTGTCAAGAAAATACTGTTTGTCTGTAAGTTTTTAACTTTTTAAATCTATTCTTTCTTTTTTTGTTTCTTTTTAATTTACCATTGTACATACACTATCTACTTGTTATGTAGTCCATGGTTATATATTGTTTGGTCATCTGTATCTAAATATGGTTGTGCAAAAGCTATTTGCAATGGTCAAGCCCATATGGGTTGTACATATCAGTCACAAGGTGGCTTTGATGGAGTTGCACCATACCAAGTAAAAGTTACTCCAACACCAACTCCTACTCAAACTCCTACTCCAACTTCAACTCCATCATCAACTCCATCACAAACACCTACCCAAACACCAACACAAACACCATCACCATCTCCAAGTTCGACTCCTAAATCTGATTCTCTAACTATCGATTGGAGAAATGGATATGTAACACCAATTCGTAACCAAGGAAATTGTAAGTTTTTTTTTAAAAAATTATATATATTTTACAAACCATTAGATGGATAATAATACTAATATAATTTTCCAAAAAAAAAAAAAAAATTAGGTGGAAGTTGTTGGGCATTCGGATCTGTAGCAGCAATGGAATCGAGATATCTCATCAAGAATGGAAATTCCCAAGTATCGACACTTGATCTATCGGAACAAAATGCAGTAAGTTGTCTTCCCAACGGTTGCGAGGGTGGCTGGATTAATAAGGTATTCGACGCATTCCAATCGCCAGGTATCGCCTATGAATCTGACAACCCATACTTGGCTGAAGACGGTCAGCCATGTAGTTACACCTCACCCAACAACCATCCTAGATTCTTCTTCAACGGCTACGGTAGTACCTCCAATTCCAAAGATGAACTGATCAATGAGCTTCAGAACGGACCGGTAACTGTTGGTCTTTGGGTCGATGATAGTTTCCAACTGTACTCCTCTGGTATCTTTACATGTAGTCAAGTGTACACTACGACCAACCACGTTGTTTTGGTCGTCGGTTACAATCAAGAGCAAGACTACTATATCATTAAGAATTCTTGGAGTACTCAATGGGGCAATTCGGGGTATATGTATTTAAGTGCCGCTAACGATAACTGCTGCATGCTTACCTATGGTGGATACTATCCAACATTCTAATTAACAAACATTGTATTTTGCTTACTAAATATTAACTAATAAGATAAATAAATAAAATTGTTGTAATATTAAATATCAAAATGATAATAATACCTGTGATATTTATCAGTCAAAATGATATAACTAACTAATAACAGCAATAATTAAACAGTTTACATATACTTGATTCATTGAGATAGATAGATAATTAATTAGCGAAGATGGTGGATAAAAAAATCTCTATTGCTGCGTGATGTTAAGTGAATTATAAAGGTAAATTGTTATTATCCACACACACTAATAACAATAGCAATAACAATTTTACAAAAACAAGTAATTTGTAAAATAACAAAGATAAGAAAAAAAAAAAAAATCTACTCCCCCCTTACTTATCTGTTTATATCTGTTTTTATCTATTTACATCTGTATTTTTGAATTAATTAATTTATTATTTGTTTTTTAAACACACACAACCACAAACAAACAAAAAAAATAAACCAATACTACTCGTTACAAGTAGTTTGGTTGATCATCATCAATCACTGAAAGCAAAGAGAAAAAAAAATAAAAAAATCATTTATCAAAAATGAAACTACAGTTTGTTTCCTTTTTTCAAACAACAACCTCTTGAATGGAAATGAATAAAGTATTGTTTCAAAAGATATTTAATAATAGTGTATTAAGTAAATTGATTTTTAACTTGGTACATCATATTCATTTCGATCTTTTAAAACAAAATCATTGTATTTACAAGTGGAAAGATGTCATTAATACACCATACGTTCTGTCTGGTCATGGCTATCTAGAACTATTGAAAGAATATCTCAGTCGGAACAATAAGAATATGTGCGTTTCATTCATAGACTACAGTTATAACTATCAGATTCTAGTGGATGCAGTACGAGGTTGTAATGGTCTTCATATTCTTAAATTCCTATTGGATGAACTACGGATCGATCCGTACAAGATATGGCAGAGTCAGCAAAACACCACTGAAGATCTGATGTATTTCGCTGCGAAACACGGACGCTTGGAGATAATCTACTACCTGGTTGGCAAATATAGTCGATGGGATTTCTACAACGCTATTACTGTGGCACCGCTCTCTGGAAACATGGAACTGTTGAAATTCATAGGTTCTCAAGCTTGTGAAACATTCGAAAACACTGGCGCTGTCAATTTCGAAAACTATTTAACTACAACATACGATTCAGCTGCATTGGTCGGTAGAATCGATTTCATTCAATGGTTACAGGAGAATCGATCTCAAGATCTTCAACTGAATAATTGTAGGTTGTATAACAGTGCGATCGAAGGTGGTCATCTTCCTTTACTCCGGTACCTTGTAGAGAACAAAATTGGTTATGAAAAGCTAGGAAATATATTCGACTATGCAACACTACAAAAGCAACCAAACACTCTTGATATACTGGAATTCCTTCAAATACATTTTAAAACTGGATTTTGTACACAGGCAGCAATGAATAATGCAGCTTCCACCAACAACATGGAGGTTTTACGATGGTTGCATAACAATAGAAGTGAAGGATGTTCATCGAAAGCAATGAACGAAGCCGCCAAGAACAACAATTTTGATATGTTAAAGTGGCTCAATGAAAATAGGAGTGAAGGATGTACAAACTATGCAATTGAAAATGCAATCTATCATCAAAATATAGAAATGATTCAGTATCTTCATGTTAATAGACCGGAATGCTCAGAGTTAACTTTTGAATTATATATGGTTTATCATAGTGGTATTCGAAAAGCAAAGAATCAAAACAACTATAAACTCTATGAGCTATTAATGCAACATGATATATTAAAGTTGTCGGCTGACGAATATATTTAAATAATAAAACAGTGTACATTAGTTATAATTAAACAAAAACCATATCTATGATATTATGTTTATTTTATTTTTTAACACCGAAAAGTCTGGCTGTGATAGAGTGATGAGGTGGTTCCAAGTTAAAGACGTTGGTAGCACCCTCAGGAATTGGGGTTGGTGAAGAAATTTCTTTACCTTGAAGTTCTACTTCTTTGTTTTGGTTGGCTCTTCTTTTCTTGATGATAACGACAGTCGTTGTGGCAGCACCGGCAACAAACACCGCACCTCCTGCAGCAATTGCAGCAATAGTCGAAGCAGCCAAACCGGCAGCAGCAACAGCTGGTGGAGTAGCACCTGTAAATGTTGAAGCAAACTCAGAGTATGACATATCACCATAATAATTCATAGTTTCTAAAATAAAAAGTTGGTAAATAAAAAAGTTTTTATATAAATTAGATCATCTTTAAACTTACGAAGTTGTGCATCTGCTTTTGGATAAGTAATTGTAGGACCAGCAGCATCATTTAATAAAGAATTTATATTTGAACTAGGATTGCTTACAACTGCATCTGGTAGATTGGCAAATTGTGAATTGTGTTGGTTGACAGCTTGGAAATTATCTTTCCACTTTAGGTAAGCCGATTGGAATTCATCGTTGGTATAGGTTTTCTGGTAAGCAGCGGACCATGATTTGAAAACAGCTTGAATGTCTGCCTCAGTAGATTTATATTCAGCTAATACACAACTTGTAAAAATAATACATGAAATAAATAATAATAAATAACGCATTTTTTTAAAGAAAATAAATAAAATAAATAAATAAATAAATAAATAAAAAATTTCGAAAATTATAGAAAAAACAATGTAAATGTAGAACCTATCTTTAATCAAACAACTTGTTTTAAATTAAAATAATTAGATCAAATATTGAACCCAACAACAAATCCAATCATACTTTCATATTGGTATAAAGATCTATACCAGAGATCTCAAATCCTATTATTGTAAAAAAAAACAATTTTTTTTTGAAGTTGATCAAGAGAATCTAGAATCAAAAGATATTTTTGTAAATTTCGATTTTTTTGGAACCTAAACCCTTTTTCTTGGTTGTTTTTAGAGATATTTTTAGTTGTTTGATGAAACGATTGTAAATGAACAAATTAATTAATTAATTAAGAAATCTTGATCTCCAGGCTTATCAAACATGAACAAAATAATCTTAAACCTTGAATTTGGTTTTTAGTAATTTCTTTAGGATGAATTGTTTTTTTTTTTTTTTGATAGAATGATCGATTATCATAATCGAAAAAATATCTTAAAAAAAATCAAAAGAACCTTTGATAGGAATCCCAAAATCAGTAATTTACAAATAGGATGGTTTGTAGTCCAACATTTTAAAATTGAAATTTACAAATAAATAAACTTTTTAGTTTTTTATTTACTTTTATTTATTTATTTATTTATTTATTTATTTATTATTTTGTAATTTTAAAAATGAAATTAAATTTATTTATTATATTATTTACGATATCTTTTGTTGCAGGTCAACTTTCCAGTGATGATGTGCAATATTTAATTACCTATCATAATAATTTGAGAAGTAATCCAACTCCATCAGCCTATCCAACGTTAAGTTTGTTGACCTACGATTATGATATTGCCAATGTAATCCAGACTGAACTTAGTACCTGCAGAGGACAATGGAGTCAATTGGTATATCAAGGTGTAGCATCTGAGTGGCAGTATTGGTGGACTCCAGCTTCATACTTTACTCTTCCAATCCAAATGGATTATATTAACAAACAAGCGGCTAATTATGATTGGAGTATTAAAGATTGTAAAGCCGGTACAACTTGTAAAGTAAGTAATAACATTTGAATATTATTATTTACTTATTTTAATTAGCTTTTTTATTTTTTATTAGCCTTGGCAATTTATGGTGTGGTCCCAAACTACTAAATTCGGTTGTGGAAAAGCTGTATGTGGTGACTATACTTATATGTCTTGTGCCTATCAATCACCAGGTGGATATCAAGGTGTTGCTCCATACACACCAGGTACCCCCCCACCTCCCCCAACTCCACCACCTCCACCTCCCACTCCAAATCCAAACAGTATTGATTGGAGAAATGGATATGTAACTAAAGTTAAGAATCAAGGTCAATGTAAGTTTTTTTCTTATTAATATATTCTACAAAATTATAAATATTAATAATATTATATTTATTACACTTTTTTTTTTTCAGGTGGTTCATGTTGGACTTTCGGTTCCATTGGTGCACTTGAATCAAGATTTTTAATTAAGAATGGTAACTCTCAACTAAGTACATTGGATCTAGCTGAACAAAATGCTGTAAATTGTAAGTAACATCGTTATTCATTAATCAAGTTTTCCAATTTAATTAATTTAATCTTTTCTATTTCTTATCCTTTTTCTTTTTTTTTCAAGGTTTACCATATGGATGTAATGGTGGTTGGTCATCTAAAGTATTTACTGACTTCCAAGCTCCTGGAATTGCTTATGAAGCTGAATTACCATATAAAGCTGCTGTTGAATCTTGTAGTTTTACCTCACCACCAGGCACACCAAGATTCTTTTATTCAGGCTATGGAAGAACTCCAGCAGGTGATAAACAAGCTTTACTTGCTGAACTTAGAAGAGGACCAATTGCTGTATCTCTCTGGGTAGATGATGCCTTCCAGCGTTACTCTAGTGGTATTTTCAGTTGTCAGCAGCAATATACCACTACCAATCATATTGTTTTGTTGGTTGGTTATGATGCCGACAAAGATTACTATATTTTGAAGAACTCTTGGGATACTTGGTGGGGTCAGGCGGGCTATATGTATTTGAGTGGTGCCAATGATAACTGCTACATGTTGGGATATTCTTCTTATTATCCAGTAATCTAAAAATAAATTAACTATTTATTACCAATATTGTTAATGTTGCAGTGTGTTTGATTTTGGAATTCTTTTTTTCTTTATCCAGTTTTCTAAAAATGAAAAAATAATAATACAAAATTACAAATATATATTCTATAAGTATAAATAATTTATTTGATTTACCAAAAAATATATATTGAATCTGAACTGCTGTTGGTTAGTTATGACTTCAATATTTACTCTCTAACCAGAAGCTATCGTGTACTAGATTTCTATTGTTACCAACATATTCGAAATACAATGATGTAGTGTTGGCGTAGAATCTGGTGTAACCATAGTTGATAGCTCTGAAAATAGAGTAATCTGGTTGAATTTCATGACCGTTTCCATTGTCCAAATCGGTAGCAGTCCATGGTACTTGATAAGTATTTCCTGCCATTCCAATTAAAACGTGAACTGGAGCATCGTTATCAGATTGTGCACATGTACCATTATTTAATCCACACATTCTTTCATAAACATGACTAAATATAAATTTGTAAATTGTTAATAAATTAATATTTCGAGCTGTAGTTTGAATAAAACTTACACATGACCCCAAAGACAGAGATTAACATCATATTCAATTAAAAGTGGTTCGATATTTAAACGAAGATTGGTTTTAAGACCAATTTCGTCACCCGGTAGTGCAGAGTCATACATTGGACGATGACCACTGAATACAACCCATGGTGTTCTGGTTCTATCGACAGATGCGAGATCTTGCTTGAGCCATTCGTATTGAGGTGATCCAGCTAAAAAGTCGTGTTCAGCAGACATCACAGTAAAGTGAATTGGTCCATTCTCGAATGAATACCAAAGATTTCTCTCGGGAGTATTCTCTGCACCTGTCATATGATATCTAGTGTTATATGGAACTCCACATTCACCACCACTATCAGTACCGTAATCACTCCAACTTGGATTGAATGATTGATTCTTATAATCCCATTCATGACTATATTGATGATAATATTAATATTAAAATTAATTAGAATTATGAAAAAACAAACACATACTTTCCAATTGAAACCATGTATGGAGCACGACCAAGTACTTCGGCCATTGAATCTTGGAAATAATCCCAAAGGAAAGCATATCCTCTGGCGTATGAAATATCACCAATGTGGAGTACTGTCCAGGTTGGTGATTGGTTAAGTCCGTTTACCGATTTCTTTCCGAGTTTTTTCGCGAGTGGACTGTGAGAGATTGGTGCCATCACAGTTTGGTAGACGTTGGCAACAGTCTGTGGTGCCGGTGTTTGAGCGTCGCTGTTGGCCGGGTAAAAAGATGGCATAACACCAAGATCACCAAATGCAATGATATAGGCCTCGGAAGCTGGTGCCGGTGCACTGATGAAGCTGAATGGACCGGCGAATCCATCGTTGTTACTTCCGAAAGTGTAGTAGTATTCGGTGGCGTGATCCAGTCCGCTGATGATAACATCGTGGATAAATCCGGGATTACGGAAATAGAGTGGATCGATTGCAGGCTTCTCACACATCTGATTGATGGTGTAGGTAACAGTGGTACCGGTGAATTTATCGAGCAGAGACGATGGCGATGTTCCAACCATAACGATTGGGGTGTCGTCGGTACCAGAGATCCACATGAGACGCATCTCATCGGTGTTGTTGGTCAGTGAGAGATACTGTTTGCCTGGCATATTAAGATTCTCAAAGGTGACAACATTGGAGGTGGCTACATTTGTCAACATAATCTTGTCATAGGTGATGGTTGGTGGTACGTTTCCAGGCACCCAGATTCTGAATAAATAGTTATCACGAACATTTACCAACTTTATTGACATTGAACCATATCCTTCTCTCCAAGCTATATTATTGATTGATATTATAAAAAGTTAGCAAATAAAAAGTAAGTCGTATAAATATAATTTACTTACTTGAAGAATTTGAAAGTAAAATATAACCTACTGGAGCAGTAATGTTTGAATCGACTGGGAAGTAAATAGCCAAAGCATCCATTGGTGTTGGATTTTCAATACCTTGCCATGAAATCTCTATAAAATCACCTGATTGTTGTAAAACCTCTGTTTTTATGTATTAAGTGTAATGTATAGAGATATAAACTTGTTAGATAAGATATTTGATATGATCTATGTGAATATTATTATTACCTGGTGATGCCTTTAAAATAGCTTGAGAATAACAATTACCAAACAATAAACATAATATCCCGAAAAGGATTATAATGATATTCATTGTTTTATTTAGATATATCTATGAATACTATCAAATAACAAAACTAATCTGTTAACACTTCTAAATAGGTTATTGATTGAACTACTACTATGTTTTTAACACAACTGATCAAAGTGGTGTGGGAAAAACCAAAATTCATTTGCTTTATTAAAAAAAAATAAATCAAATTTAACATTCGAGATATTTTTTTGTACACAAAACCAACCCATCTAACGAGAAGGGTGTCGCCTGGTAATCTTGAACAAAAATAAAAAAAAAATCTTGTTCGTTTTTAATTTATATTTAAGATATCTTTTATTTATTTTAATTTTAATTTTAATTTTAATTTATTTTAATTTTAATATTATTTTATCTATGTAGCGTAACATATATAAATAATTTATTATTTAATTATTAAATTAGCTAAGTCAGGTGATTGTGGGTTGTTGTTTTTTATTTCTGAAGCTAGTGATCCTCTTTCTATTGATTCGATTGAAGGTACTGATTCGTCGAGTTGTTTCTCAGTATAGATGTTGTGAGACATAAGATCAAGTGAACTAACGATGGTCTCTAGCCAGGTAGCTGCATATGATACAACCTTGTTGATTTCCCATAATGGAATGAATCTTGCAGAGGCAAAGTTTGACAATAATGCTACAATCGATCTTCTTATATTAAAAGCATCAATTTTTTGATTTGACAAAGGAATCAAAATAGCTGATACTGTTGATGTAATGAAATTCTAAAAACATAATAATATATAATTATTGAAGTTTAGTTTGTTCGTTAGTTGTTTGTTTATATGTAAAGATACAATATCTTTAAAAAAATAATTACATTTGTATAATAAAAAGTAAAGAGAAAAGAAGATGATATTGCTAGTGCATTTCTTGCAAATGTTCTGACGGTATGACTCTTTGCTTCCGATTGAAATAGAGATCGATACTCTGGTGTCAGTTTGTCTAGTTGCAACTTTGGTGAGTTTCGTTTAATTTGTGCCAAGAGGGAGTTGACCATCTGTCTTTCGAAATATCCATGTTCATAGCGAAGTGCATCATAGTATTTCAATACCAACAAGCCGCCTCCATTGATAATAGTATAGCAATTCTCAGGACAATATGAAAACTCACGAATTAAAAAGGGGATCGCTCTTCTTAGTCCATAGGTAGAATATTTATTGGCAGCAATTGAAAACAATTTCAGAATAATAGAAATCGGTGCATTCTTATCTAAAATAAGTAATAATATTACTTTTTGTTAATAACTAATAATCTGTCAATCTATCTATCAATCAATCAATCAAATATACTTACAATTCATCGCTAATGAAATTGCTAATTTGAAATGAACCAATCTAATTTTGAGTATGCATTCTAGTGCTGAAGTCGGTGCAACATTCTCATTGATTTCCTCGTTGATATCGATTGGATAGAGTGGAACTTTCTTTGCGTTGACCTGGAGAGAAAATTGCTTGGAGAGCGCATCCAATAAAAACAGACCGTCAAGTACCGCTAGGTAGGTGTCTTCATGTTGAAAGTCCGATCGAAGACGATTGTTGACATACAACAGACGCAGTAGCACCGTCATCTTCTTTGGAGCGATAAATTCATTGATGACAACCTTAAATTCTAGACCTTTACTATGATCACGTGGAATCATACTCATATAGTCATCAAACAACTTTCTAGAGTTCACATGTACTAATTCTTTAAATATTTTATTATTCTCTTTCTCTCTCTTATAATATGAGTAGATCGACTTAACTTTGTTTTTGTTTATTTTTTTAAGTTTAATTAGTCAGTTAAATAAATAACTTTAGTTTGATCAATATCATTATAATCTATTTGTTTTATATACATACAAAAAACAACATTTGTATAAGCTAAAACACTCGCTTCTGGCCATGTTATTCCAAGATTTAGTCGAGAGCGAATCGAGTTAAAAGTATCTACCATTGTCTATTTATAACAAATATCAATAAATGATTTTTAATTGTCTTTTCCTAAAATGAATTGTTTTTAGAAATCATATGAAAGTATATATATCTTTTAGAAATCACCAAAAAAATAAAACTAATGTTTTGACAGCTGTTAAAACATCTAAAAAGATCTTGATTCACAATAAAATTTATTCTCATTTTTTCAATTGACACATTTATTTGTCATTTATTTTCTATTTTATGGAGAATTAATTAATGAGATGATGATGTAATCATTTGGTCAATAAATAGTTAATTGTTATCATTTTCAAATTCCTCCAACATAGTTTTGTATTGCTTTGCTTTTTCAATGAGCTCTGCAGAAGGGATTAACCTATCGTATCGAGATGGTCCTAATTCATTTTTGAAATCATCTTGAACGATCGAAACCTGTCCAAAATAGTGATTCACCAGACACATGCAGATGATATTGATCAACAAGCTGTACTTGTAGTTTGGAGTGTAAAATACCATTCCCAAAGTAAGTGCCAAAGAAACCAATGGTATCTTTGCCTTTTCTCTGATATTAACATTCATAACCATATATCCACTTGTAATCAATGCTGTTTTAATATCCTTAATTAAATTAAAAGATAGTTAGTTATTAGTTTGATTATATTTTATACCTCAGTAACATAGTTATTACTTACATTTGAAAGATAAAGATTTAAAAAGAAATCGGGAATCACACAAGCATTTGAAGCTAAGGTAATGGCTTTGTGACTTTCAAATAGTTCTTGTACTATTTTGGCATCTTTTGCTTGGAGGTTTCTAGTGTATTCTTGATAGGATGAAAAACCAATGTTATCTAAAATATACTTAATAGTGTCGGTTTCTCTCTTTCTACAGTTGTAAAGAGATATCTTGTAGTAATAGAGAACCATTAATCCATTGGCTTTAACAATGCTACGACAATTCTCTTTTCTATGATTGGCAAGATTTCCCAGTAATTTAGTTGCATATCTTCTTAATCCATAAGTATTCAAAGGATTCAAAGACATTGTAACTATATTTCTAACAATAGAATATGGAGCATCTTTATCTAAAAATAATAAATAAATAATAAAATTAGTATTAATTATAAAAATATTTATATCTAGATATATTTACAATTCTTTGATAAAGATGATAATATGAATGCAATATTATCTCTATATCTTAATAGTATTTCCAACTTTTCATTTAAAAACTTGTAATGTTTTTCGGATTTATTGTCTTCTTCGTCATCGTAGATAGAGTAGAGTGGAACATAGGTTGGTTCTATTGCAAGTGATCGAACTTTGATATCTTCATCCAATCGTACGACTATCTCCAGTAGAGAATTGTAAATAGTTTCCGATTGGAAATTCTTTCTAAATGATTCACAGCAATCCAATAGCTTCATAAAGTTTTGAAATTCTTTATTGTCATCTCGGTTGAACAGTGCCATCGTCTTTTTAGAGGTGGTATTTAACAAAGATGTCATCATGGAGTTTGCTTCTTCCATCGATAGCATATCATCATAATTATTTATTAATTTTGATTTTTCTTTAAAGAAAATAATCATATCTCTTGCTATAAATAAAAAATAATATTTAATTAGTAAATATATATTTACAATTTAATTTTATATTTAAAATAATTACCAAAAACATATATTCCATAACCTATTATTGAATTGTCAATGATATCAAACTTTATTTGATTTGGTAACAATATTTGATTTACTATTTGTCCAATTACAATGCTTGCACCACAAACAACTACTGCTTTATATTCTTTAATTTTAGATAAAATACTCATTTTTTAAATTATATGATTTAAATTTATTATTGATAAAAATCAAATGAATTGAATTTATTTATAGTATTGGTTTTTTGCAAAGTTGTGACATCATTCTAGGTTTTAAAGAATAAAAAATTAATATTTCAAATATAAATTCCTATATTGGAATTTTGTGATTGCAAAAAATAAAAAAACAAAATTATCTCTAGATATTAGATAAAATTTATTGAAAATCCCAAATCATCATAAAAATCCAAATGTGGTGTGTTGATTTCTTCACTATTTATTTGTTATTAAATCACAAATAATATTAAATAAAAGAAGTTCAATCTTGATTACAGTAATAATATTAATTAATAAAAAAGTTAAAAAAACTAGTTTAAACACATTTTTTTAAAGAAATCATTAAATACTTCATAAAAATCATTAAATATTTATTAGTTGTTTATTTTTTTATTATTATTAATAATGGATGTTGAAAAGAATAGCAGTTCAATGATATGTTCTCAACATAATGAGCAACATAGAGCGATATGTTTTGGTTGTAGTAGATTAATGTGTTCAAGATGTATTGTTACTCACAACAAGATTCATCCTGATCATTGTCAATTGTGTGAACATATCGATGACATTAAAGAATCATTGAATAATATTAAAGAGGTTAATGAGGAGAGCTTAACAGAAAATAATAATGATAATGATATTAATAATGATAGCGATCAACACTCTACATTTATCAACAAAAGATTAGATTCCATTTGGAAATCGTTAAGATCATCAACAACTAAATATAAACGCTTAAAATTAGTAGAGAGTGAGATCTCTAAACACTTTGAACAAATACACCAATATCTAATCATAGAAGAGCACAGTTTAAAGAAACCAATCATAAGTGACTTAGATTTCATTGGCAAACAAATACAAAGTAATGTTGATGAAGTAAAGCATATCAATAATATAATAGAAATATATAACTACAATCACAATGACGATGAAGAGATGCAGTGCAATAGCCAAGAATCAGATATAGAACAATCAACAGATACTGCAGATAGTTATTCTTTAGCATCCATAGTCGATTCTATATCGAACAACTCATCATTACAATCGTTCATCGATGATAATCGAACAACAATATTCGATCAGCATAATAGTGATCTTTTAAAAGAACTTCTTAAACAACACAACAATGATACAACATCTTTATTATTTGATATCATTCAAAAATACAGTAATCAATTTAGATCTATTTATACAGCCAACACCACCAACAATGATCAACACACCGATTTAAAAAATAATAATGAATACCAACTCTGTGTCACGATACCTAATTATGATAAATTAATCGATGTCGTTCATCAATCAATCAAAACTTTAGCGACATCAATGGCCGCCAATGGTGTTATCGTTGAAGGCCACAATGAGTACTCATCACTTACCGAACTGGAGCGCAAAGAGAAGAACAAATCGATCAATCAAGTAATCAAGACCACACCTCTAAATTTGGATGACAGGTGGTATCTCATATGTAAACCATGGTATGATAAGTGGGAGTCAAACATCTACACAACAGAGCATCTAGGTCCCATTATTAACGATACTTTACTCATCACCGACACAACACATCTCAGATTGAATGCCATCGTAGATCAAGACTTTGTCGTTGTTCCAGAGTCAACATGGGACTACTTTTTAAAGTCATATGACTGCCCAACCATTATAGTCAGAACAGTTGTTGGAACTGAAATTTTACTTCAAATAGACTATAATTATCCCAAATGCTTGAAATTTTTCAAATCTTCACAACCAGCAAGAATTATTGAGCATTATGTTACTAATTCTGAAAAAATTTCTGCTGTCAAAGATGTATGTATAAAAACTGCAAATAGAAAAAAAAAAAAGAAATTAACTAATAGTTTGTTTATTAACAGAAAGTATGTAAACTATTTAATATTCATCCAGAAAATGTAAGAGTTTGGGATTATTATCACAATAATAAATTTAAAGAGTTGAATAATGATGAAAAGGTTGCAAACTCTAATTTGTTCGAAGACCAACTTGTAAGTTGGAACATCCTGTGATATTATTAAGTTAATAATACAATTGCTAATTAATTAATTTATTATGAAAAATAGATCCTTTTAGATGAAGTTTAGTAACAATGTAGTTTTACTTCCATTCCGTAGAAGAACAATCAAGTTCAATGTAGAAACCAAATCAAATACCTAATTCCATAGAAAGATATCATTTCATTCTTAATGGTCTGCTGAGTTTCAACATCCTCTTTGATGACAAACATGATAGAGCTATCTCTATTTAGTTGCAGATATTTAAATAAATACAATACTTTAAATAAAAATAATTGACCAACAAAAAAAGATCCAAGGATCATTAAATATTTTTTGATTTTTATTCTAATTATTTTTATTAATAATGGATATCGTAAAGAATAGCAGTTCAATGATATGTTCTCAACATAATGAGCAACATAGATTAATATGTTTTGGTTGTAGTAAATTAATGTGTTCAAGATGTATTGTTACTCTCAATAAGATTCATCCTGATCATTGTCAATTATATGAACATATCGATGACATTAAAGAATCATTGAATAATATTAAAGAGATTATCTGAAAATAACAATATAAGTAATAATAATAATAATAATAATAATAATAATCATAATAATAATAATAACGATCAATTCTCTACGTTTATCAATAAAAGATTAGATTCCATTTGGAAATCGTTAAGATCATCAACAACTAAATATAATAAATTAACATCTATAGAGAGTGAGATCTCTAACCACTTTGAACAAATACATCAATATCTAATGATAGAAGAGCACAGTTTAAAGAAACGAATCATAAGTGATTTAGATTTCATTGGCAACAAATACAAAGTAATGTTGATGAAGTAAAGCATATCAATAATATAATAGAAATATATAACTACAATCACAATAATGACGATAATTATGAGATGCAGTGTAATAACCAAGAATCAGATATAGAACAATCAACAGATACTGCAGATAGTTATTCTTTAGCATCCATAGTCGATTCTATATCGAACAACTCCTCAATACTATCGTTCATCGATGATAATCGAACAACAATATTCAATCAGCATAATAACATAATTTTCAATCTAAAAGAACTTCTTAAACAACACGACAATGATACAACATCGTTGTTATTAGATACCATTCAAAAATACAGCAATAGATTTAATACATATACAACCAACACCACCAACAATGATGCCGATTTACAGAATAATGATCAATATCAACTGAATGTCACTAAACTTACATTCGATAAATTAAAATTGATCATTCAGCAATCAATTAAAATTTCAAAACTACCTTCAAACATTGATAGCACCAAGAGCAGTAAAATCAATAACTATATCTTTACAACACATAATTCAAATGGAGCAACACCCATCAACACAACAAACAATTCGATAGAGCACATTCACTTGGATAAGTCTGTCTATAATACATACTCCTCAGTGGTTACAGTTGGTGAATATATTCTATGGTTCCCCGTGTAGACAAATGGATGCGATTCTCTATCAAAACAAAATCCTTAGACTGTGATGGCAAAAATAATGAACTCGAGGGTGAGAGTGTAACATCCGTTGTTATGATGGTGAAAATTATATCTATTTGGTTACGATTCAATATTAAAACAATGAAATTCGAAATATTGATATCCTGTCCAAAAATTACGGTGAACCGATTTCTTCAAAGACACATTGTATTCCATTATTTGCGATGAACAGCTAATGATTAAACTCGATATAAATACCTTTTCATTATCAACTCATGAAATTCCAAAAATACCATTCTCGGCGTGCCATGATAGCAATGGAAATTTCTACATTTATTCGACAGATCAACAATTCATCAAGTTCAGTGTAGAAACCAATCAATCAACGAAACTAACCGAATTTCCATATGGATCCGAAGAAGTTTTTGTCATGTACCACCAAATTTCTCCAAAAGAAAGTTATATTCATTTTCTGATGTAACTGGAAATCTCAAATATTCCATTGAATCAAACCAATTTCAATCTTTACTCTTTGATCTCTTTGATGAAAAATACGAATGAGCTTTTGTGGATCTACATCTATCTCTATTTAGTTGCATTTACAGATTTATTTAAATAAATACCATACTTTATTATATTAATTATAATCTATTTTTATATTGTGTACTCGGTTTCATCTAGTTCGGTTTGTTCGTATTTGTCATCACATCCAATATAATTTATGGATTCTGCTGAAGGTATACATTCGTCGTATATGGTAGGAGTAAAATCGATCTCTGCCTCACTATTAAATATCGCTTGGGCATCGTTATATAAAAAGACGGCGGTGTCTGTGATGGCATGTATCAAAACATTATATTTATAGTTTGGAACGAAGAGCACCAATGCACTTGACATTATAAAATGATAAAATGGACATTTGACGTAACCTCTCGAAAAAGTATTGAATGCCATGAATCCAGTTGATGCAGTTGCCAACAGATAACTCTATAAATAAAAAAACAATTGTTGTATTAGATATTTTGTTTGTTATTTGTAATAAATAATAATATTATTAACTTACATTTGTTTTATAAAGATTTAGTAAGAAATCACCTAAGAAATGAACTTGTTTCATTACTGTATTCTTTCTGTAGGTCGAAATTTCTTTGTGAACTACCATGGCATCTTCCTGCGGAAGATTCTTTATGTATGGTTCATAGTTTTTGAATCCAATCGTCTTGACAATATGTTTGATTTTGGCTATTTCTCTGCTTCGGAATTTGTAGAATAATGAGTCATAGAATTTCAAAATTGTCATTCCATTTGCACTTAAAATTGTGAAGCAATTTTCTTCACGACCAGAGAGGGAACCTAACAACTTTGACGCAAATCTTCTCAGTCCGTATGTATTCGATGGACTCAATCCCATAATGACAATATCACTTACAATTGAAAATGGTGCATTTTTATCTGTTGGTTGATGTCGTTTAGAGAGAAAGATTAATAACTAATATATATAATAACAAGTTTTTGTAAAACTTACACGTTTCAGAGAGTGAAGACAATACTGTTGCAAGATATTCTCTAAAGATTAACATGCTGTTCAAATCTGTACTTAAATTGGGATAAGGTTCGGCAACTGTGTCCTCTTCGAAGATCTCATAGAGTGGAACGTAAGAAGGATCGATCTCTAGAGAAAAACTTTTGATAGTTTCATCTAAAGCTACAATGCGTTTCAACAGGTTATCAAAGATATTCTCTTTCTGAAAATGCTCTCGAAGTCTCTCGGATCGATCAAAGTACGAAATGTAGTCATAGAAATCCTTTCGCTCGATGAATTCGATTATTCTCTCTTTATTGATGGCTTCCATAAGCTCTTTCATGAATTGTTCCACTTTCTCTAGGGATACAAGTTTTTCGAAATCATTGATATAATATCTTCTTTGTTTGATGGTATCATATATATCGGAACCTAAAAACAATCAAAGAAACATGTTAATAACTAGATTTAAAAGTCATAGACTCTAAACAACCAAATTCGTTTATTTCTTACAGAAATTATATACAGAATAGGCTAAAGCTAATTTGTCAATTATCGTTGTTCTGAGAAGAGTATCTAACCAGAATTGCTTTGTAATTACATTCTTGAACATTGCTTTAGCTCCATCGATAACTACCGATTTAAACTCTGTATTTATAATAATATTATTCATTATATTCTATAAATATATCTCTTGATCTATTTAGAGATACTTATATATATATTTCATTGATCATTCATTTTCTATTCTTTTAAAGCATTTTTGATCACTATCAAAAAAGGAAAAAAATTAAAAATTTAAAAAAAAAAATATATTTATAAAAATTGTGTCAAATATCTTTGTGATCAAATTCTGATGCAAATTTAAACATCTTTAATAATTAATTTTATTTATTAGTTTTTATTAAATTGATTCTTCTCTTTTCCTTATATGGTCATCCAAAAGTTTTGTTGAAACATTTGAATATCCATTAGAATTTATAAACTTTTGATATTCTTTTAGTACGTCCAATGGGAAGTTTATCTTGTCCAAAAGGAATTCGATCATTTCGTCATCGTCATTCGAATAATAATATTGAAGATAATCGTCAGGTACTGTCAGTTCATTGGCAAACTCTGGATGTTTCTCCAAGAGATATTCGATAATCTCCATATGTCCGATTCTGATGGCTGTCTCGAAAATCTCAATGGTACATCGACATTCACTTCTATTCTCATAGAGCCATTTTACAACTTGCAACTGAGTCCCTTCAACTGAATGCTTCAACGACCGGTCATTGAACACACCTTGAATGTTATTATCGTGGAACCATTTAATCTCTTTTAAAGAACCACTATTGAATATGATTGAGAAATCTTTTTGGAGTATTTCATTCCTATCGATTTGAAAGTTCTCTTTTACCCATTCGACAACCTCTGGCTTTCCATGTTGTAAGTTTATAAACTGTAACCGTTTCAAACTGGAAATCTCAGTTCTGTTTTCTCGCAACCATTTCATTGTTTCGAAATGACCACCATTAAAAGCATGTACCATAGCTAGATTTGTACATCCAATACTTGGATGATTCTCATTCAACCATATTAACATCTTCAAATTGCCTTTTCTTGATACTTCATCCAATATTGGTGTCTTTGAAAAGGTGTCTAACCCAATCTCATTCAGCCATTTAATGCAATCCATGTGTCCGTTGACGGGGCGGCAAAATCTATTGCCGATGTAGTTGGTCGTTCAGTTCGATTCTCTAACAACCATTTAGAGAGTTCCAAGTGTCCATTAGTAATAGCCCAATAGATTGGTTGAGAACATTGATATACAATAGGTTGATTCTCATGGAGCCATCTGGTAACATCTGTATAGCCTTTGGTACAAACAACATCCAAAACCGATTGACTGCAGCCTTCAGTTCTGTGTTGTTGTAACCACTTAAGAACCTCTAAGTTGTTGTTATATGCTGCATTGTCCATTGCTTTCACACTGGCACTGACAGTTGTATTTTCATGCAACCATTTCAAACATTCGATATTTCCATGTGATGCAGCAAAATCAATTGCGGTCCTACTTGATTGTCTCATATTGTTATGGTATAACAGTTTTGCGATTTCCAATTGATTGCAATAGATTGAGTAGTCAAACAATGTACCATAATCCATGTTGGGAAATAGACTTGTAGGTTCACCGATATCAATCAGATATTGAACGACATGCAGATGTCCACCTTGAATAGCACCGTAATACATATTACAGTTCTCTCTGTCATCCGATCTGCTCTCCGTTAGCAATTCAATCATGTCGATTCGACCCATCTTGGCAGCACTATCGAAAACTACACCTGTTTCGTAATCATAGTCTCTACATATCCTTGATTGATCACAAGCATCCAGCTGTTCATTCAAGTACTTTACGATCTCGATATCGCCAGAGAATGGTGCTTTGATTAATGCTTGATAGTAGTTCAACCGCTTCTTTTCAAACTCTGTACATATGTATTTAACTATTTCCAAACTACCATACTCTGCAGCACTACACAGGATACTATCGAAATTAGCAGTGATATATTTCGTTCTTGATATCGGTTTGACCAACGAGACCAAATATTTCAATGCCTCAAGGTTTTTACTCTTGAATATCGCTCTGAATGTTTCATCCAAATGAGGATAGATTGAATGATCGGCATAGTATTGTTTAAGTTCATTTAAATAGAAGTTACCAGCCATTACATATGGAAGTTTTATTAGATCAGACCATCTAAATCTAGCACTACTATTCTTACTAATCACATTATTTATACTCTTGACATGTTTGAATATTAATTTAGATAATACACAATTATTAAATATCTGTAAATATTTATCTTTTTGCATGATTATTTATTAAAAGATAATAATTGTAACATTTCAAATAACGTTATGGTCCAATTTTATACAAATTTTTTTTAACATTTTTTAGAAAAGTGTTGATGAATTTGATCACAATTATTAGTCTAATTTTTTGTAAAATCAATTTGATGATTTCAAAAAGAAATGTATTTTAAGTTACTTCTTATAAAATAAAAAAATAATTTTAATCTCTCTTTTATTTAATTATTTAAAAACCATTGACAGTTTTAATTAATCATTCAAATTGCTTTGACCTTTTTTCAATATGGTCATCCAAGAGTTTAGTAGGAATCTCTGGATATCCATCTGAATCTATAGACTGATGGAATACCTTTAGTTTGTCCAATGGGAAGTTGATCTTGTCCAAAAGGAATTCAATCATTTCATCATCGCCAGAAGAATAAAAATTTTTAAGAAATTCGTCTGGTTCAGACTGTTGATTGGCAAACTCTGGATGTTTCTCCAAGAGATATTCAATCATGTCCATATGCCCAGTTGCAATCGATAACCGAAAACCTTCTATAGTACATTGGCAATCACTTCTGTTTTCATAGAGCCATTTCACAAGCGGGAATTGCATTCCATCAATTGCATCCTCCATTGAAGAGTCATTGAACACACCTTGAATATTATATTCATTCAGCCATTTGATCATTCTTATTAAACCATTGTTGAATGCGATTGAGATTGTTGGCTTTGGGAAAACAACATTGGGATTCTTGGCGTAAATAATGTCAACTATTTCCGTGTATCCGTTTATTATCGCATTGTGAAACATTTCAGTCACATCGATTTCAAAGTTCTCCAATATCCAATTGGTAATCTCTGCATTTCGTGGGTACATGTCATTTATGACTAACTGCTTCAAATTGGAAATCTCAGTTCTGTTATCTTTCAACCATTTCATCGTTTCGAAATGATTATAACTTATCGCATTTTTAAGAGCTCTTCCAGTACATCCTTCACTTCTATTTTCATGCAACCAAATTAACATCGTAATATCGCCGTGTCTTGCTGCTGAATCCATAGCATCCGTGGTGATTGAATTTGGAATATTCTCATGCAGCCATCTGATAACATGCATATGGTTTAAGTGGGCTGCACACTCCATTGCCCATGTAGTTGGTCGTTCAGTACGATTGGCAAATAACCATTTTATAATTTCCAAGTTTCCGCCTATAACTGCATCACTGATACTAATTTCATTTGCCGATGTTTGATTCTCTAATAACCATAGTGCAACTTCAGTGTATCCTACTTTACACACAACATCAAAAACATATTTACTGCAACTTTCAGTCAGGTTTTCATGTAACCATTTAAGAACTTCAAAATGATTGCCTAATGCTGCGTTGTCCATTACTATATCGCTGCCTCTGATAGTTGTATTTTCCTTCATCCACTTTAACATTTCGATATTCCCGTGGCATGCAGCAAAATCCATAAGAGGTACCTGTGATTCTCTGATATTATTGTGATATAACAGTTTTGCGATTTCCAATTGATTGCAATAGATTGAATAGTCAAAAAGAGAATCATATTCTAATGATGGAGATACACGTAGAGGTTCATTGATATCGAGAAGATATTGAACAACATGGAGATGTCCACCTTCAATTGCAGAGCCATACATTGTACTTTCCTCTCTATCGTTTGATCTATTCTCTGCAAGCCATTCAATCATATGGATTCGACCCTTCTTGGCAGCACTATCAAAAGATACACCTTCTTCAAAACTAATAGGCAGCCTTGTCTGATCACAATTCTCCAGTTTTTCGTGTAAGTACTTGATCATCTCCAAATCTCCAGACAACGGTGCTTTGACTAGTGCCTGATAGTAATTCAACCGCTTCTTTTCAAACTCTGTACAAATGTATTTAACCATTTCCAAACTACCATACTCTGCTGCACAACACAAGATATTATTGAATTGGATTTCGTGACGGTATTCCGTTTTTGAGATCGGCTTCACCAAATCAACCAGATACTTCAATGTCTCGAAGCATTTACACTTGATAGCACCTGTGAACGTTGCAGTCAAAAAAGGATAGATTGAATGATCGGCATAATGTTGTTTAAGTTCATTTAAATAAGAGTTACCAGCCATTACATGTGGATTCCTAATTACTTCTGACCATCTAAATTTGCGAATCTCTTTATCGGTAACTACACCATGAATATCACTAACATATTTGAATATTAATTTATTTAATAAACAATTATTAAATATCTCTAAAAATTTATCTTTTTGCATGATTATTTATTGGATAAGAATTTTTCTTTGTCCACTATTCCAAAACAATGTAATTACTATTTGTTACAATCTTTGAAAGATTTAAATAAAGCAACAAATTTTTTAATTTTATAAAAATATCTTTTTGATTGAAAAATGATGTTTATTTTTTAAATAAAGTCAAATCAAAAAGATATTTTTATTTCTTTTCAAGGTGACTAATGGTTATGAGAATTTTTAAAATAGGTGTCATTTGATTTCAAAAATAATTATGTTGTTATTTTTAGATCAAAGAACAATTCTGACACCAAGTATTCATCTGGGTGGTTTACTTTATTATTTATATAAATAATTAAGTTAAGCTTTTATATGCTGTTAGTTTGTTTGTTTGTTGTTTGATGAGGGGATATTCAAAGTTACAACTTGCATTATTTGAAGTAGGAAATTTAGAGGGGAAGGTTAATTAGTTATTTAGGTAGTAGTAGTAGTCTCATAACCATTAGTCACCTTGAAACAAAGAAAAATATTTAAAATAATATTTAATTCATACTATATATGTTAAATTTAACATATTTATTTATTAGGCTAAAAAACACCACTCCATTTGCTTTTAAGTTTATTTGGTAAAATTAATTCTCTAAATAAAAAGAATAACAGCTAGAGTCAGTGGTTTTTAAGATACTCACACATTTTAATGAATATCTTTTTGTTTTCCAATGGGATGTTGATATTGTCCCAAAGGAATTTAACGAGTTCATCATCGTTATTCATATAATAAAATTTAAGAAATTGCTCTTGATTCGTAAGTTGATTGACTAACTCTGGATGTTTATTCACTAGATATTCAATCATCTCCATATGACCAGTTGCAATAGATAACCTAAGTGCTTCTAGAGTACATCGACAATCACTTCTGTTTTCATTGAGCCATTTCACAAGTAAAAACTGCATTCCATCAATTGAACTAATCATTGCTTTGTCATTGAACACATCTTGAATATTATTTTCATGGAACCATTTGATCATTCTTATTAAACCATTTTTGAATGCGTAGGTGATAGTTTCCTCGTCAAAATGGATATTAGGATATTTGGTGAAAATAATGTCAACCATTTCTGCTCTATCGTTTAAAACTAAATTGTTGAGCATTTCCGTCAAATTGATCTCGAAATTATCCAATATCCAATTGATAAACTCTGTATTTGGTGGGTACATGTCATCCAAGTATAACTGTTTCAAACTGGAAATCTCAGTTCTGTTCTCTTTCAACCATTTCATCGTCTCGAATTGATTATAACCTATCGCATCGATAATAGCTTGTTCGGTACATCCTTCACTGCTATTCTCGTTGAGCCATATTAGCATAGCCAAGTTGCCATGTTTTGCTGCTGAATCCATAACTTCCGCCGAGATTGAAATCGAAATATTCTCATGTAACCACCTGATTATATGCATGTGGTTTTTGCTGGCCGCAGAGTCAATTGCCCATGTATCTGGTCGTTCAGTTTGATTTGCAATTAGCCATTTTACAAGCTCCAAGTTCCCACTACAGACTGCTTCATTGATCTCTCTGAGGGAATGTACTTTCGAAGGAAGATTCTCATATATCCATTGCACTATTTCCTTATAACCTTTATAGCAAGCAGTCTGAACAATACTATCATGGTAACCTTCCGTTCGGTGTTGATGTAACCATTTAAGAACTTCTAAATGGTTGTTGTTTGCTGCATTGTCCATTGCTTTCACACTGGCACTGACAGTTGTATTTTCATTCAACCATTTCAACATTGGTATATTTCCATGTGATGCAGCATAATCAATTGCGGTGCTCTGTGATTCTCTGAGATTACGTTGGTGTAGCAGTTTTGTGATTTCCAATTGATTGCAATAGATTGAATAGTCAAGCAATGTACCATACATCGTTTGTGTAGTTGTAGATATCGGTTCATCGATATCGAGAAGATATTGAACAACATGGAGATGTCCACCTAAGATAGCAGTGTAATGCATATTATTACCCTCTCTATCTCTCGATCTATTCTCTGCCAACCATTCAATCATGTCGATCCGCCCCATCTTGGCAGCATTATCAAAAGACACGTCATCTGTATCTTTATTAGGCTCTGTACACATCTTTAATTGATCGCAACTCTCCAGCTTTTCATTCAAATACTTTACGATCTCCAAATCTCCAGACAAAGGTGCTTTGTTTAATGCATAACGGTAATTCAACTGCTTCTTTTCAAACTCTGTAGATATGTATTTAACGATTTCCAAATTACCAAACTCTGCAGCATAACATAGAAAAATATTGAATTCCACTGATTGAGTGTATTTCGTCTTTGAAATCGGCTTGACCATCTCCACCAAATATTTCAAAATCTCTAGATTTCTACTTTTGATTGCCGCTTTGAAAGTTTGGTTTAAATAAGGATAGATTGAATGATCGGAATAATACTGTTTAAGTTCATTTAAATAGAAGTTACCAGCCATTGCAAATGGATAGCTAACTAGTTCTGACCAACTAAATCTACTGCTATCCTTACAAATAATAAGGTTGATACTCTTAACATGTTTGAATATTAATTTAGATAATACACAATTATTAAATATCTCTAAAAATTTATCTTTTTGCATGATTATTTATTGGATAAGAATGAAAAACGATGGACCGAGGAAAACAGCTTAAACCTTTTTCCTCGCTACTTACAAAAAAAAAAAAAATTAAAAAAAAAACAGGGGTAAATATGAATGGTGGTGTTTTTTTTTTTTAATTAAATTTATTTCTTTGAAAAATTTTGCAAACGAAAAACACAAAAAACATTCGAACAACCTTAATAGGATTAATAATGATCTTATGCTTTTATTTGATTAGTAATTATCAAATTGTTTAGTTGGAAATATATTTAAAATATATTAAAATAAATTAACATCAATACTTGATATATACTGTGTTAATTCCTACAATCTTTTATTTTGAATTTTATCATTATTTATGTATTATATGATTATTTAAAAAAAATTGCTCCAAATATATTTCCAGATTCTATGATTGAAGTGATTGAAAACAGAATGTGTCAACCAGTCTGGAATTAACAAAATCTTAATAGCTGCATGAACAGTATTCAAAATAGGTAAATCTTTACCAATGATATTCAAAATAGGTAAATCTTTACCAATGAAGGTGTAACGAATTGCAAAATAATAACTGGTGATAGCAGTTGCTGTCAATTTATTCTATATATAATGTATATGTTGTTAGTTTATGTTAAAGTTATGAATATAAGAAATGTATATATTTACCTCTGTCATATATTTTGAGAAATAGAATAGAGTTGCAGTACCACATACTTTGGTCAAAATCGATTGCAATCTTACCTTTCTTATTTCTCTGTGTACGAACGATTGATCGATTTCGCTGAGATTGTTGATGTAGTTTTGGTAGGAACTGAATCCGATGCCTTTGATAACCTTACGGAGTTTGTCAGTCTCTGAATTATACTTTAGAAGTGGCAATCCATTCGATTTCAAAATGGTCTTACAGTTCTCTCTTCTATCAGAGAAACCACCTACTACTCTTGCCAAGTATCGTTTCATACCAAACGATATAGCTTCATTCTCACTGTATTCTACAACTTTTTTAACAATCGATTCAGGTACTTTTACATCTATAATTATAATAATTGTTAATATATATATATATATCTCTTTTATAATAAATAGATAACATACAATTAACAGTAAGAACTGATAGTATATGTGTATGTAATCTTCTAATTGAAAGAAGTGAATTGATTTCATCGGTTGGACCTTTTCCTTCTGGATCGTTTTCCTCTTTGGTGTTGATCAACAAATAGGTACCTTCTGGATCGGCTTTGTGTGTTTCCTCTTTTATGTAGATATCCAAGTTGATCAAGCTTTGCAAAATCTGGGTGTAAAGAACCTGCTCTTGAAGATAGGATCGATATACTTCGTGGTTTAACAAAGTTCCCAATTTCATGGTTAACTTGTTGTTTACGAAATTATCGATCACCGATTGCACTTGAATCTCTGCTGGATTTGCTGTAGCCTCTAAAAATGATTGAACATAAGCCTTTGCTTTCTCGATTGGCAGAATATACTCCAAATCTTTAATGTGTTCATTATTCTTGTTTGAAATTAATGTATATACTAATTTGAAATAATACAAAAGTTATGATATTAGATTTATTTTTGATTAGATACTTATTAAAACAGTGTTTCTTTTTAAACTTCTTACCATCAGAAAGTGCAATATATGTGAAATATATTCGCTCAAAAACTGTAGTATGTCCAATTCTATTAGACCAAAACTTTTTGTTTAACAATTGTTGGGCTGATAGTGATACAGCTGTTTGAAAAGTATTGGAGATATCTAATGTTGCCATATCTATTTTCATACAGTGTTATTTGTATGGTGTATTATTATTATTATTATTATAAAAATGGATGATGAGTGTTAATGAATGATCTGATGTCATATCTTAAAAAAACAATGTTTATAAAACAAGATAACAAATCAATTCCTGATAACCAGCCCAAATCAGCTAGGAATTATTTTTTTTTTTTTTTGTATTTGTGATCAAAAAAATTGACACCTCATCGTTAACTTTACATTTTATTTTGATCTACTACTAAAAAACTATAGTGTGGATTTTCTTTGATTATTGATAATAAATTTTGTAGATCTTCATTTTCGAAAATAAAGTTGGCGGTGATCCATTGAAATCCCGTGGGTTCTAAAGATTGGTCATAATCATCATCGTCGACTTTGTTGTCAGCCTTCAAGTGGTGGGTGATTGCATAATCCACTATGCGCTTGAAAGTTCTATCCGTACGGATAGCCACTCGTTGATTACTCTCATTGAATAGCCATCTAGCAACATCATGCCTCAGATTCACTATGAGAGCCTCTTCGAAGTAACTAGGTTTCAATATAGGTTGCTCTTCGCAATGATCGTAGATCCATTTGACTCTATCGATATCCGAGTGCTTCATTGCTAGCTTCAAGATTTTTGGTGAAAGTTGTGGTATTATCTCTATATTTTCATTCATCCAATCGAATATCTCTAGTTTACAATTGTTCTTAATGGCTAACTGTAGTGCATGGTCAGTAAATCCTTCAGTTCTATTCTCCACCAGCCAATTTAAAACGTCTAGGCTGCCAGCACCACATGCCAGATCTATGGCATAGTAAGTCGCTCCAGACGTAGTATTTTCGCTGAGGAATTTCAACATCGCCAGATTACCATTCTTGGCGCAATGATCGAGAGTGTTTGATTTACAACCCTTAGTGTCTCCAAGCTCAACCAATAGCTTCGCAATCTCGAGTTGATTATACTTGGCAGCTAAATTAATTAGATTAACTGATTTCGGGAAGAGACGACTCGATCTATCACTTAATAGATACCGAACGACTTCTATATGACCTTGGCTGATTGCATTCTCGTACATCCAGCTCCATTGAATATCCTGTGATCTGTTTGTCTCCAGCCATTCTATCATGTCTAAACGACCTCTTAGTGCAGCTCTTTCAAATTGTGTCACTCTTTTAAATCCCGGTGCAATTATGGTTCGTGTGTTTGGATCGATCCTACTCGTCAGGTACTTTAGGATGTTGAGATTACCCGAATCTACTGAAAGAGTGCTGGCTTCGTAGTAGTCCCAATTCGACCTGACCGAACATAGATATTCGATGATATCAAGCCTATCATATTCTGAAGCGTTCTCCAATAGTGTTATTGGTAACTTATTTGAATCTTTCATAAGCAAACTAAATAGATATCTGATCATTTCTAAACTACCCGATTTCAAAGCAAGTTTAAACAAATCGTAACTCTTTTCCTCCAAGTATTGATATCCTTTCTGATTATATCTTACTATATCATAATCATATTCTTTATCATCGAAATAACTTTTCAATAAATCTAAATAACCGTAAGCAATCATAGTTTCTGGTGACTGAATTAATTGACACCACTTTATTACTTTAAAATTATTTTTAACATTATATATTGCTATTAGTTTAAATATCTTATTAAATAGTAACTTGTTCTGAAATAATTGTAGAAAAATATCTTTGTTCATTTGTTATTTGTAATAATAATATAAAGTGTCATGATAAAGCTTAAACTAAAAAAACATATCTTAAAAAAAAAAAAAAAAAAAGAAACTTTTAAGAAAAAGATTTATGTCGATATTTTATATGTTTAATTAACTTCTGTATCTGGTGAGTTATTTGTAGGAGATAAAATATCATTGATAATATCCATTGTTGGTACTAAGATGTGCAATTCTTCATCTTTATATTCTCTTGTGACGTTGTGTGTCAGTACTTCAGCAATATTACCATTGTTGTAGACGGTTGGTAGAATTTCAGTTAAACTCTTGACCAGTGCAGTACTCTTCCAATTTGGAACAAACATAGCTGTTGTCATCAATACTGCTGTCGGTGTCAAATTATGTGAGAATCTATTACTTATTTTTCTACTAACAACTAGATATCCTGTGATTGCAGCTGATCCTAAATAACTCTATTATATAATATAATCGATAGATAGATGGATATTTATTAATATTACTATTAACAATGTTATACTATTTTTTCTATCTATCTTATCTTATTACTTACATTTGTTCTATAACAAGAGTATAAGAATGTACTAAGAATTGAAAGAGTATGACGTTGAATGGTAGTTGATCTATAGTTTTTGATGGTTGTTACTACCAATTGTTTCTCAGAGGCTGCTAAAGATTTGATAGAGTCTTCGTATGATTTGAATCCGATGGCTGAAACAACATCTAAAGTAATCTTTTTATCCATGTCTCTTCCTGGGTACTGGAGAAGATCGTAGAATTTGGTCAACATCAAACCATTGGCAGCTACAAATAATTAATATGGTTAATCATCTAATTTTATCTGAATAATAATAGTAGTAGTTAGATCTAACTTACCGACAATCGTGAAACAATTCTCCTTGCAATCCTTTAGATTGAAAAGAAGTTTAACCATTGATCTTCTTAGACCAAAGGTAACACTTTGACTGGTACCAACAGCAACAATATTCTGTATAACTGACAAAGGAGCGTTTTCATCTAAATTCAATTAAATTTAAGAGGTGAAACAAACATGTTAGATTTTAATATTAATTACGATGATATCATTGGTAATTACTTACATCTAATGGATAATGAAATTAAAATATTGGCATATAACGATCTTATTTGAAGAAGTGAAACGATTGCTTCGGATGCTCCACTGATTGTCTCTTCATTCTCGCTAATTATGTAGAGTGGTATCTGCGATGGAGAATCGATGATCGATTGATGTTTGGTGCGCTCATCAATCAATTTTATAGAATCTAAAATCAGATTGAAAAAGTCTTCGGTTTGGAAGTGTCTGCGGAGTGAAGGACAAAACTTGAGTAGACTCGTCAGTTTATCCATCGATTTACTATTGCAATACTTGTAGGCAACATCTATAACGTTCATATCTGGACTGGTAGTTGTAGTGATAAATTTGTTCATCAATTCTTTTGCTTCCTCCAATTTCATAATATGGTCAAATTCATCTACAAGATAACTCTTTCTACTTAAATGTGAAATGTACATTTTAACTAAAATATTATTATTATTAATATAAATATAAATAGATAAATATAACTAACTAAACAATAAATTATCATTCAATTACATACCAGCCATAAATGTACTTAAAGCAATAATTGCTTTGTCTGTACGTGTCAAACCATTCAACTTTGACAACCAAAAAGCTTTATTTGGTACATTTTCGATGATATTCTTTGATATATCAACTAAAGTATCTAAATTTCTATTTCTCTCTATAAATTTAGTTAAAGATAATACTGTTTTATCATTCATTTTCGAAAAAAGATAAATAAACTAAAAAGGTAAAAATGCAACTGCAGTGATACAAAAAAAAAAAAAAAAGAAAACGACTAATCAGTTTCGATTTGTTTATTTTTTTTTTTAAAACATTTTTATTTATTTATTTATTTACATTTTAATAGAAGTCGATAGATTCGTATTGGTTTGATTTTGTATCTCTTTACAGCGCTGTGAATAGAGATGTTTCCTCTCAATAGCTTTTAACCATTGGATTAACTCGAGGTTACCTTTTGCCTCTGCTTTTCTGAGTGCGTTCGGTGCCATCTGCTGACCTTTCGATGTATTCTCGTAGAGCCATTTCAGCATCTCCAAGTTGTTGTTTTCGATGGCGTGGTAATAGGAGTCGGAGGTGCAGCCTTCCGCTCGGTTGTGGTGCAGCCACATCAGCATCTGAATGTTATTGTTGAGTGCTGCGTAGTCCATCGCTTTGTTGCTGGCGGTTCCGACGTTGGCCGAATGCAAGTATCGAACAATATCGAAACGGTTACACTTGGCGGCGTGGTCTATAATTCGATGATCGGAAATAACAACCGACGATGACGATGACGATGACGATGATGATTCGATTTGTTTGGCGACGCCCACCAGGTATTCCAGCAGTTGGATATGTCCGCCTTCTATCGCCATCTTTAGCGCCAGTTCGCAATCGAATCGGAATTTCGTTTTCGACTGGTAGTATTTCACGATGTGGAGATAACCGTTGAGTGCCGCCGATGCCAACATATCGAGTTGCAGCGAACGATTGCAGCGAATCATGATTTCAAATTGTATTTCGTCGATCACGTATCTTAGAATCTCGAGGTTACCTGTTCGAGTGGCGTTGATGATGATCGCATTGAAATTCTGTAGCAGCGTTTCCACTTTATTCTTGTAAAAGTAGTTTTTAAACATTTGGAAATAGTTGTTGCCCACCATAACATACGGTAGACTGAGAACTTCCTCCCACCTATAGACCTTTTTGGTTTTGAGGCATGCCGTGTGAATATATCTAACGTTATCGAATATCAATCTACTTAATACAACATTATTAAATATTTTAAGAAATATTTCTTTTTCCATTTTACAACAGGCAACCTAATTAATAATAATAATAATTTATTACAAACAAATAAATAACAACTAAATTACAAACACACAAATTGTGATATGTTTTGTTTGTTTTGTTTTTTTTCTGTTTAATATAATTAAAAAAAGAAGTTAGTTATTACAATAAAGTAAAATATTATATTAAATCAAATCAATCAACCAGATCATTCGTTGATCACATGAAAACCCCCTAATCAATCACATGTTGCAAACATCAATAGATCTGATTGTTAGCCCCAAAAAACACACTACAAAATTTTAAAAAAAACTTAATTAAAACAATTAAGTTTAACTTTCTAAAGATCACCAAAAGAAACATTATTTTTTTAAATATCAATATTTTTATTTGTTTAATAATCCTTCAAAGGTCATAAATAGTTATGTGAATCTAATTTGTTACTACGAATATATATATATATATATATATGAATAGATCAACTAACATTTATTATAATAATACAAACACTGATTCTGAATGGAGATTTTGCAACCTTGGTGACTATCGCGACATAGATAGAGAACGTAAGATTTACCAGAAAACAAAGTAAAAACTCTTACAATTTTTATAAATAATAAAATAAACGAAAGAATATATAGTTCTTTTATCTTTATACCTTTGTTGCCATCATTTTATTTAAATTATAGATTATCTTATGATATGGACTAATAAATGCTATGGATTGATATTGAGATACACCAAGCACCAATGATAAAGTGAATGTAATCTTTTAATGCTATAGGTAAAGTCTGAGAGTTTGACTTTGATAGCTCTGCAGATGGTATTTGCCTGAATAAGTATCTGCTTCGATGGTTATAGAGGTTGTAGTGGCTGGCTAGAGTCCTCAGGAAGCTTCAAAAGACTATCCGTTTTGAAAAAAAATGTCTCAACCGATTGAGGAATAGACGATTGTAATAGTCTTGCTTTCTTTCCCTAAGCTAATGATTTGGCAATTCAACGACTTTTCGATTGAAACTAATACAAAGATCCAAGTGTTCCAAGTTATTTGGTAACTGAATACTCTTTTTGATTGATCTAGAGAATGTTGATGGCAAGTAGAGATTGATGAGACTCGATGGCATTGCTCCAAAATCAATCATTTCATGAGTAGCTCAATTTGTCAGATCCAAAGTTTCCAAGTGATTCATTGTTGAAAACACATCGGATTAGATGTATTTTCACAGGTATTTATCGATTCAAATGAAATGTCACCTTCCAAAATCAAATATTTGATGTTCTCTCCGGTACTAATTTTTCACAAAACTCTCTAATATAACTGAGAGTGAGATGAGTAACACTCGATATAGAGTTTATTTTGTTTTTTTTTTTTTTTTTTTTTATATAATACACAAATTTTACTGTTAAATAGATCGTAAGATTTCCTGTATTTTATAAAATGCACCCGTCAATTCTAAAGTTGAAATAAATGCAATGAATTTACTTTGAGATACACCAAACACCAATAATGAAGTGGATGTCAATCTTCTAATGCTATAGGTAATGTCTGAGAGTTTGACTTTGATTGTTGTCAATGTATCTGGAATCATGTATGGTAGATAGTAAGAAAAAGTATCTGTTTCAATGGTGATTGAGGTTGTGACGGTTGGCCATTCTTTAAGAAACGTTAATCGACATATCGACCGGAAATATATGGTCTCAACCAATTGAGGAATCGATGTTGGTGTTATCTCTGAATGCGTTCCCAAAGCTAATGATTTGATTGATTTTGGCATTGCGACGACCTTGCCACGAAAACCTATACCAAGATCCAGGTGTTGTAAGTTTTTAGGGAACACAACACTCTTTCTAATTGCTCCATTGAATGTTGATGGCATGTAAAGATTGATGAGACTCGATGGCAATTCACCGACATTAATCTCTCCAAATCCAGTGGTAACCAGTGTTGTCAGATCCAATGTTTCCAAATGATTCATTGTTGAAAACAAATCGGATTCAAATGAAATGTCACCTTCCAATTTCAAATACTTTATGTTCTCTGGAAAGATCTCTGCTATTATTGGTAATTTTATGCGTACTATTCCTAATTCTCTACCATATTTGAGAGTGAGATGAGTAACACTCGATGGAATCGAACCAGGTAATATTGGTGAAGAGAGTGCAGACACTATCAGTGTTTCAATCGATGTCATATGTTTGATGTTATCCAACCATTTTGTTGATATTTGAAGACGTTTAATCGTGGAAGGAAATACTGATTCATTTGGTTTTGTGAATTGAGCTCGGCGATAGTCAAAGTCTAATGTTAAATCCTCAAGATTTGGTGGTAATGAAATAAAATCATCCTCTTCTATCTTGAGAACCTTCAGTGTGCTTGGTAGTTGTTTGGTATTAACCTCGCATCTATCATGATACACTAGTCTTTCAAGTTCGTTTGGATAATATTTCTCTTCGATATAATTGCGTGATTCGATATCTTTGATATTGGATGGAAGTTGAACTTCGAAACCACACATACCCATCACAAATAAAGATTGAACATTGGATTTACCAATTTTATCGATCATATTCTTATTGATAAGAGTATTAACATCAGATGCTAATATTATCTTCTTGTATGATGATTTAATTTCATATTGCTCGAAATCAACTATTTTGAAATATTAAATTTAAATTTTAGTAAACTACTTTAAACTGAACTTAATTAAAAACTATAAATACATACCAAGTTTAATACTGTCATCAATGATCTGCTTTCCATATGAAAGTATTAAATAGTTGGTATTTTTGCGATCTTTATCTTCTGATTGGTGAATGAGCAGTGTACAATCTTTGTCTGATTCAAGAGATCGTTGAAATTGATCTTTGAATGAATTCAATTTGAAATATCGATTCTTTTTATTGTCAAAATGATCTTTGCTTTCTTGTTTTAAATCAAAACAATTGAACCAAAGATATTTATCTCTGTGATCGAACCATCTCTTACAAACTAAACTGAAGCAAATTCTATCTATATCTTCATCTAACTCTCTGATTATCTTTGTGAGCAAAAGATATGGTAGATTCATCAATAAATCATTATTAGGTATATTATTATCTTTTTTATTTTTCTTTGTTCGTGCCATGTTTGATTGTTTTTTAAAAAAAAACAAAGATAATTTAACAATTGAAAAAATCATGATTTCAGTTAGTTTCTTTTTTGTGGAAATCATTCATTTCCCTCATTTGATAAATTTTTTATGATCGAAATCTAATTGATTATTTAAAAGAATATCAATGTTTTTATTATTTTAAAAGTACACAGTTTATTTTTTAGTTATTTTTTATCACCTGAATTTGATTTATATACGAATAGTTTGGATAACTTTGATAGTATATTCGACCAATCTGATATGACTGCAATGAATCGATCACCAGCGACACCATAGACAAGGAATGTTGATTCTCCAAGTCTTTTTATGGTATAGGTATGCTCTTCTTGTTTTACGATGATTGTGTTGGTGGTAGCGAAATAATGATTTTCCAAATTAAACTTGTCTCCATCGATTTCAATGTTCATCGATTTGATTGTCGGTGGCAACGCTCCTGATAATACACAGCCTGGTCGCATTCCGATGTTTTCCACGGTGCTTGGAATGGATGTAGGATCGCCATTCCAATTTCTACCTAATGTCAGTGATTTGAGTGATTGCGGTAGTCCTGTTATCTCTTCGATCTGATCACCCAAATCCAATGATTCCAAGTTTGGTGGTAACTTCAAGCCTTGTTCCGTTCGAAGAATTAGTTTTCTCGGCAGCAATAGATGGATGATACTCGATGGCAACTTTCCAATTCTAAAGTTATTGTGCATGATCAGACCGGAAAGATCCAATGTTTCCAACTGACTAAATTCTTCGAATATGTTGGCATCGAAACTAAACCTACCAAACAGTTTGATATATTTAACTCCTTTGGGAATGTCATTTGATCTTATCGATTTCAAATCACCATATACTTTAGACAATTTCAAACGTGTAACGCTCTGCGGAATGTCGCCAGGCATAAACACTGTATTGTTATCCACTTTCAGTTTTAATGACTGAAGCAATGTCAGAGAATGGATTTTCTTCAACCAATAACCTGTTGTTTTGAGATGTTTAAGTGTTGCTGGAAGTTCTATGATGCTAGATTCTTTAACAATATTGTAGACCCTGAGCACCTCAAGATTCGATGGAAATGCTTCATTGGAACAACTTTGTCCCTTCGGCAAAGACAGAAACTTGAGTGACTGAGGTAGTTGTGAAATCTGAACCTTCTGGTGTATTTTTCCAGTATACGCCAATCTTTCAAGTTGCAACGGTAGATGTGACATTTTAATATCAGAATAGGATATGATTTCCGTGATATTCGATGGTAAAGGTTCATAATCTTGAATATCAAATGTTCGACAGAAATGAATTGAATTGACATTTGATTTACTGAGTCTTTCTATATTGTCTTTATTGACCAAGGTGAAATCCGTCGCTGTTGAACCTACGACAATAAGTTTGGTGTGCGATGATTTCAATTCATACTTTTCAAAATCAACTATATTAATAAAGAGAGAGTTAATAATCATTCGATTATTTGTTTATAAATGCGTTAATGATGATTGATATTTACTTATAGAAACAGGTCTTAGCCAACCTGATTCAAAAGGAATATTAACAATGGTTTCTTTAACTAGAAGGGAACAATCTGATTGTACATCGAAAGATCGTTGAAATTGATCTTTGAATGAATTCAATGAGAAATATTGATTCTTTTCAATGTCAAAGTGACCGATCTCTTGTTTTAAATGTAAACAATTGAACCAAAGATATTTATCTCTATACTCGAACCATCTCTTACAAACTAGTGTGAAACAAATTCTATCTATATCTTCATCTAACTCTCTAATTATTTTATTAAGTAAAAGAAATGGTAGTTTTATAAACAATTCATTATTATCTATATTTGGTATACTATTATTATCTTGGTAATTTGTCATTATACAAAAAATTAAATAATTTTTCTGATCAAATAAACTTTTACAAATTTTATAAATCATATGATCGATTTACAAACTTTTCCAAGAAATTTCTGATCGGATATTTTGATTAGAGTTCTAAAAAAAACAAATAAAATTTTATTTTAATTTAAATTAAGTGTTTCTTTATGAATTTCAATCTAGATGGATAATTGTAGCACTGATTTGATTTTGAAGAGCAAACTTCGGTTCGGTTTTCATGAAGAAATTTAATTATTGGGAAATTTGCTTTTTTTATACTTCTATCGATTGCTTTCGTTGAACAACCTTCACTCCTATTGAAATGCAAGAACTCCACCACCGAGATATTGGAAGATTTATCCATAGCGGCTTTGGTAGCACTCTTGTTTAAATGATGGAAATGACGTACCACTTCTAGATTTCCATGCTTTGCTGCAAAATCTAAAATATAATCTTCTTCTCCATCCTCTTCGAAATCAACATAACCATTATCTATTAACCATCTTATAACCAAATTATTATTATTTTCGATTGCATTCTTCAGTGCCTGAATAGAACAACAATCTTCATCTCTACTCCATTCTTTTTTTATCCATTCCAGTGGCGCTACGTCATTGAATCTTGCGAAATTATCCATCGATTCGAATGTATATTGCTCGTTGGTGGTGTCATAGAGATGTTTAAATATATGAAAATGTCCAAAGAATGCAGCTCTATCCAAAAGATTCGGTTTATCCAATGTGTTGAATTTAGTTGATGATGGTTGCTGCTGTTGTATCGATGAATCTGCTCCACTTCCACCACTCATATCCTGTTGGCTATATTGTGTGTCGCCATGATCGTCTCCGTCCTCCTCAAAACTGGTTGTCGAAAGATTGATGTTTTCCTGAATGAATTTAATGACCTCCAAATCACCACACTGAATAGCATCGTGAAGAATCATGTCAGTACAACCTTCGGTTCGATTTTGAAGTAGGAATTTGAGGATGTTGAAGCAGCCGTTAGATGCGGCGATGTCCATTGCATTCGGGGTCGATCCTTCCGTCCTAGAGTAGTGTAAAAACTCTATTATTGGAAAATTGGTTTCCTTTTCGCAGGCAAGGTCAATCGCATCGGTTGTACAACCCTCTAGCCGTTGGAAATGGAGGAATTTAACGATCTTGAAGTGTCCATTTTTTGCTGCTTGGTCAATCGCCAGAGTTGAACAACCTTCACTCCTGTTGGCGTGTAAGAATTGAACGATTTTGAAGTGCCCATTTTTTGCTGCATTGTCAAGAGCATGAGTTGAGCAACCTTCACTCCTGTTGGCATGTAAGAATTGAACGACTTGGAAGTGTCCGTTTTCCGATGCGAAATTAAGCGCGTCGGAAGTACAACCTTCACTTCGATTTTCATGAAGAAACTGTACTGTTGGTAGATCTCCATTCATCGATGCAAGGTCCATCGCCATTTTTGTACAACCCTCATTCCTATTTACATGTAGCCATTGGAGCATTGGCAGGTGTCCATTGATTGCAGCGTAATCCATCAGATTCTTATTTGTGGTATCGCCGTGATTGCCATAACCGTTCATTACGAATCTCTGATAGATCCACTTGATAATCGGTATATTTCCATAGAGACTACTGACAGCTCTATTGGTAGGACTACCGATGATACTCTCCAGCTTCCAGTTGTTCTTATCGGGCTTGGCATGCCTCATGATGTAATGAACAATATGCAAATGTCCGTATTTTACAGCGGTTTGATAGAGTTGTTTAAAGTCAATGTCATTAGGGAGTTGTGCATAGACGTATTTGATAATCTCCAAATTCCCATATCGCGCAGCAGTCTTTAACGATTTAACAAACAGACTCTTGAATAGCAGCGACACCCTGATATCCTCAAGACTGTAGCACCTACTCTCTAAGCCATTCTCATTCTTCTGAATGAAATCAAAGATACGTTTATATCGCTCGCAGTAATTGAACTTTATGAGCTCCGAAGGAAAACAACCTAGGTCATACCAATTGCATCGAAGTATCTGCTTCTCTGAGAGTAGTTCGTTATAATAATTATAGTTTTGTTGTTTGATCAATTGGAATATATAATTTCTTAATACAATAGAATTTAAAATTGCTCTAAATGGGTGAATTAAACTAATGTTATTATTATTATTATTATTATTATTATTATTATATCTATCTTTTTCCAGTTGGTCAAAAAAAAAAAAAAAATTAGTGATGTACATAAAAATAAAAATGAGCATTTTTTTTTTGTTTCCAGTGTGGTGAAATTTCGATTGGCAATGTTAACTTTTTTTTTTTTACAAAAACAGTAATGATTTGTTGTATAATTTTGTTTTATCATATAAAAATGTTCATTATTTTAATTTTATTTAGTGATTCCTTTTTATTGGACTATTTTTTTATTTATTTTGTTTATAAATTTTTTAATTTTTTTAATTTTATTTTATTTTTTTAATGAGAAAATATATACAAGTATTTTTAATTAATTTTTGGTGTTTTATAATTATTTCGATGTCTTTTGTTTTTTTACCTACATAAGATTATTTTTTTTGTTTTTGATTGTTGAGGTCGGTGATATCGGACATATGAGCTTTGCTTGGGGATGGCTCACCTTTGTGAATATTTCCTGTGATGGTTGGTCCGCTTATGGTTCCACCACTAATTGTACCTCCAGTAATTGTTGCTCCGCTGATTGTTCCACCACTAATTGTACCTCCAGTAATTGTTCCACCGCTGATTGTTCCACCGCTAATTGTTCCACCGCTAATTGAACCTCCAGAAATTGTACCTCCAGTGGTAGTCCAGTTACCAGTTGAGTGTCCTCCAGTTGTAGTCCAGTTACCAGTTGAATGTCCTCCAGTGGTAGTCCAGTTACCAGTTGAGTGTCCTCCAGTGGTAGACCAGTTACCAGTTGAATGTCCTCCAGTTGTAGACCAGTTACCAGTTGAGTGTCCTCCAGTGGTAGTCCAGTTTCCAGTTGAATGTCCTCCAGTGGTAGTCCAGTTACCAGTTGAATGTCCTCCAGTGGTAGTCCAGTTTCCAGTTGAGTGTCCTCCAGTGGTAGTCCAGTTACCAGTTGAATGTCCTCCAGTGGTAGACCAATTTCCAGTTGAGTGTCCTCCAGTGGTAGACCAGTTTCCAGTTGAATGTCCTCCAGTGGTAGTCCAGTTACCAGTTGAATGTCCTCCAGTGGTAGTCCAGTTACCAGTTGAATGTCCTCCAGTGGTAGTCCAGTTTCCAGTTGAATGTCCTCCAGTTGTAGACCAATTTCCAGTTGAATGTCCTCCAGTGGTAGATGATGTATTCCATCCACCAGTAGTCCAGTTACCAGTTGAATGTCCTCCAGTGGTAGTCCAGTTACCAGTTGAATGTCCTCCAGTTGTAGTCCAGTTACCAGTTGAGTGTCCTCCAGTGGTAGTCCAGTTACCAGTTGAATGTCCTCCAGTGGTAGACCAATTTCCAGTTGAGTGTCCTCCAGTGGTAGACCAGTTACCAGTTGAATGTCCTCCAGTGGTAGTCCAGTTACCAGTTGAATGTCCTCCAGTAGTTGATGATGTATTCCATCCACCAGTAGTCCAGTTACCAGTTGAATGTCCTCCAGTTGTAGACCAATTTCCAGTTGAATGTCCTCCAGTGGTAGATGATGTATTCCATCCTCCAGTAGTCCAGTTACCAGTTGAATGTCCTCCAGTTGTAGACCAATTTCCAGTTGAATGTCCTCCGGTGGTAGTCCAGTTACCAGTTGAGTGTCCTCCAGTGGTAGACCAGTTACCAGTTGAATGTCCTCCAGTGGTAGACCAATTTCCAGTTGAATGTCCTCCAGTGGTAGACCCAGTTACCAGTTGAATGTCCTCCAGTTGTAGACCAATTTCCAGTTGAGTGTCCTCCAGTTGTAGATGATGTATTCCATCCTCCAGTAGTCCAGTTACCAGTTGAATGTCCTCCAGTGGTAGACCAATTTCCAGTTGAATGTCCTCCAGTGGTAGACCAATTTCCAGTTGAGTGTCCTCCAGTTGTAGATGATGTATTCCATCCACCAGTAGTCCAGTTACCAGTTGAGTGTCCTCCAGTTGTGGATGATGTATTCCATCCTCCAGTAGTAGAGGTAGTGTTAATATGACCAGTAGTAGTTCTGTTGTGTCTTCCAATTGGACAACCAGCAATATGATACATTATAATTGAGAGATGGCATTGGTCATCTTTGTACTGAGTAGCATGTGGATTTGGATCAGTTGAACAAATAATATTGATAGAAGTAGATCTCTTGGTCCATTGATTGCACGGTGAACCATTTCTATACTTTAACCAAACACCAGCTATTTTTTTTTAATAAATGAAGCAAATAAGTATTATTAATTATGAATATGATCATTTATACAACATACAACTTAATTCCATAAAACTTAATGAACTGGAGCTACCATAGCTAGTAAAGGTTTGAGATTTCTTATCAAATCTACAGGATGCAGTGTCGACATTGCATTCACCATAATTAATATTTACTGGAGAGCAGAGATTGTAGTCGAAAATGGCTTCCTATAATTTTATTTGGTTTGTAAGAAATTGTAAAGAAAAGAAAGAAACTCGTAAGAGAATATACATACTTCAGTTTCATATTTGAAGACATTTGAAAAAGCTCTACATATAATAAATTATATGATTAGTTAGTTGTTTATTACTTTTTATAAATATACATTAAAACTTACGATTTTATTTTAGAAATATCATAAGCCTTTCCAGAATCAGCTTCCAACAAACAATTGTTGTTTTTATTGTTTTGATTGTATGCATTCACTACATTGTTTGTCAATGACAACACACAAACACAGAAAACGAATAAAGATAAAAGTATTTTATTTGTTTTCATCTTTTTGTTTTTCTTTTGAATGATTTTGATTATTGGTTAAGCTTAAATACACAACATTATTGGCAACTCTACCACCTCCATCACCGAAGAAGCTTTGCGAAAAAAAAATATCCTAAAATTAGAAAAATATCAAATCAAATATATTTGAGAATATTAATTATTATAATAAAGAAAAAAAGTGTTCGATCATTTAATGTGAGGTGATTTTAAGTTACTAACTACGTCAGTAACCACGTTTGTATTGGAAGTGCTTTGAGCAGAAACAAATTATTAAATTTTTTAATCTGAAAAATACAAAAAAATCACAATTTTATTGGGCATTAAAGTGATTCGCAACAAAAAAAATTACTTAATTTTTTTTTCTTACCCAGGTTTTGTTCTGCTTTGCAAGTTTCTTTTTTCATCAAATAAACTTTCGTTTTGTCAATGATGTCAAAGTGTGTGGTTAGTGTTTAGATTAAATGAGTGGTATTTAAAAATTGATCCGATTTGAGATGTTTATTTAAAATTAAGAAATTTGCAACTTTGGTGGAAGTCATCAATAGATGAGCAAAGTTATTTTTCTAGTTTCTTAACATTTCGTGTATCCTTATGATCAAAAGGTTCAATACAATCTCTGTTCATTTAATATTTCTTAATAATGCAACGTAGAAGTTTCTATGATTTTCAAGAATGACTTTTATTAAAAAGTTCAATACAATTTGTTTATCAAAAGAAATGTTAAATGAAAAGTTGATTTTGTTTAAAAAAAAAAAAAAAATCAAAAATTATTTTTAATCCATTTCTTAATCTTATCTTTTATAACTATCTTAAAAATCTATTTTGTATTTTATTACTTTGTTATCTTGGTATCTTCATGAAGAAAATGATTGGACAATATTTTATTTTTATTTTATTTTTTGATTTTTATTATATGTTTGTGCGAATCTATAATAATAATAGTAGTGGTTTGTATTTGTATTTGAGTGATTTGCAGACACTTTGTGAACACACACACACACTCATAATCACACAATCACACATTAACTATGAATAGAAAGTTCGATTATGATTCGAAATTCGATTTACTAAATATATAATTACCTCTTTCAAACACCCCCTGCTCAATCAAAATAGTAATTATTTATTTTGGATAATAAATTATTTACTATTGAAGGTAATAATCATAAAATGAGTTGAAATCTTGAAATCGTAAATAAAAGAAAATAATGTATATACTAATAATTTTATTAATTTTCACCGTACATATGACTATAGTGTTAACTTTTTGATTTATTAATCTTTTGATTGATATATGTAGCTATATTTAACAATTGATTAGTTGTGTTGATAGTTTATTTGTAATATGATTTTAAATTAATTAGCATATTATTCAATAATTTCTTCTTTAGATGTATTAAATATATAAACATTAACATTAAATAATTCTTATTAGTTATCTCTAAATATTCAATTTAAATTTCTAAAAATGATATTACTAAGTAGAAAACCAGATAAATATTATTTAAAATTACTAGAAGATTTTGAAAATGGTGATTTAAGATTAGAATGTTTTGAAATACCTTTTTTAACGGAAGATAAATCCATTAATACAAATATAAGTATGATTTTTTTTTTTAGTTTTTATTCTATTGTGTTTAATTTATTATTAACATTTTATTAAGGTGGAAAGATACATTTTGTTGTTCGAAATCAAAAAATAGATTATTTACCACTGAGAAGGCATACTGATAGCGGTAAAATTTGGAAACCAGTAGGTATGCCACAGAAATTCAAAGATAACAGTACAAACACAGTGAAATCAACAAAAATAATATTTTCACTGCAAGATGATGCCGATTTTACTTGTTGGGAATACGCAATGATTACTCCAAATGGTGATGTCAATAGTCACCTATTACTACGTCATTATCTAAGAAAGAATACAAATCCTGCATGATTTTTTTTTAAAAAAAAAAAAAAAAATATAATAAAATATCGAATTTTTTATAAATTTTACTATTATTCCAAAACTATAAATTTTAAAAAAAACTTTTTTCCATAATCCGACTTTAACTCAAGTGGTAGAGTGTTTGACTGTAGTAATAATCACAAGAGATATCAAAAGGTTGCTAGTTCGAGTCTGGCAAGTCGGATCTTTTAAATTTTTAATTCACCGCATGCGGACGGATTGTAAAAAAACATAAATAGGTAGTTGATCAGACTATATATTTATTAATTAATCAACTCAAATAAATTAATATCTATTCTGAGTTAGTGTAAGAACTTTTTTAATGTTTATTAATAAATTAATCGTACCTATTCTAAGTTAGTGTAAGAACTTTGAATATCGTTTATATCGTCCACATGAATATTCTTTCGGTAACACGCTTGTTCTGTAATCTGATTCTATAGTTGATATCAGATACTTGTTTCACAATAATGAAAGGTCCACCCCATGATTGCGTTAGTTTGCGATCATCTGATGAGCTTGATTTGTGTGTGTTGAGTCTGGATCTTCTAACTAAACCAAATCATTGACGTTGTAAGTGTTGAAGTTAGAGATTACCTTGTCATGCTGTTTTGCTTGTTGTAGTTGAGAGTCCAGCGCGTTGTTCTTTGCCTCCAATCTATACTGATTTTGACAGTCTATATATTCTCTGATACCAAAGTAGTTGGCGTTCCATGGTAACTTTGGTTCATAACCATACAGTATTCTAAGTATGGATCTGTTGGTGCGTTCTGTTTGACCATCTGCTTGTGCACGACCTGGTTGTGTCATCTTTAGTTCTGTTCCAATAGCTTTCATAGCAGATGTCCATAAATCAGATGTAAACTTTGGATCTCTGTCAGATACTATAGATGAAGGAGCACCGAATACGGCAATGATCTCACGTGCAAACCAGTTACCAAGTTGGATAGCATTGACATCTTTGTGACATGGGAATAATCGGGTCATTTTGGTGAATGTCCACCACTACGAACAGATTGTCCTCGTCTGTATCAGCCGGTAGGCAAAGATAATAGATCCATTGATATATCACACCAAGGTCTGTCTGGAAGAGGTAGTGATGTCAAGAATCCTTCTTTGATTTTCTTGATGGATGAACGTTGGCATTGGACACACTTCTTCACAAATTTAGAGATAGTGTCACACATGTTTGGTCACATATTTGACTTATTTAACTAACTAAGCATTCTTCCACTAACTTAGAATAGGTACGATTAATTTATATTAAGAATAGATATTAATTTATTTGAGTTGATTAATTAATAAATATATAGTCTGATCAACTATTTATTAAATTTTTTTTTTTTTTTAGTGATCGTTGAGTTTTTAAATATAAAAATAATTTGAATTTTGAAAAAGGGATATTACAAGTGTCACGAATCTGACCACAATGATCCTCAGCTTTTTAGAAATTGATTTCCAATTCTCGAAAGGGTCGTCATAATAGATTCTTGTTCATTGACGAACTAATATTTCTTTACAATTAAAAAACAAACATTGCAATTGTATTATTATCCTTAAAAACCACCTAATGGGCTGCTCCATTGTTCGAAATTGTAAATTAACCAGATCCAAAAGTAGTTTATTAATAAAAACTGAGGAATCTATAAAACAATTGACTATATCCCAGAGCATATAAAAATTTTCCAAAATAAATAAAAATATAGTTAATTCAAATATTTTTTTTATTTCTCTTCGACTAATTTATACAATCAACAATTTAATTTTATTTTTTTAGTTGTCTAAATGTAGTCGACTGTATCAAAAGGATTGAATCTTAAAAACCTATCATAATCCTTTCCGTTCCTTAACAATGTATATCCGTACTGAAATAAAGATAATAACGAGAATAAGATTGTATCGAGTCTAGAGAATGGTTTATTGTAATAGATTTCCACTCGATAGAATACAAGCTATATCTGTTGCCACAGTACAAATCTTCAAGTAAGAATGTAATTTGGGATTGTTTTTTATATAATTTGATTGATATTCCTCAAGTGAAATGAATGAGTTGGCATATTGCTCCAAAGAGAATCGTATTGATGAGACATCGATCTTTGAAAGTATGTGTTTATATATTTGATTTTCAAGACTCTCTGTTTCCACAATTTGTGTATTTCTTTCCTCTTCACCTGAATCAATTGATCGCAAACTGAAAATAGCATCATCGAAACGCTTCTTAAAGTCCTGATATCTATAGTTATTCTCTCCAACCATTATTGTTATTGATTTTATTGTTGGTGTTTGTTGAAAGTGAAAATAACTAATGATTTGACCACTATTATTACTACTATTAACATAAATATTATTACTATTAAACTCTTTGATCGATGAGATAGCACCAATATGAAAATCATTTGAAACAAGTGGTGTGTCCATATTAAAAATAGGTGAAACAAGTATGTTGTCATTGCCAACCGTAGATGCAGTAGCAGGTGTATTCAATAATAATCTTTGAAATATAGAATCATTGATATTCCTGAAAACCAATATGTTTGATAGATTTAAATAGTGAAGTGCAACCGCGTCTATGTCTCCACTGACAAACAGACAGTTAACATTGAGTTGTACCAACTGTTGGACCCATCGCTTATAGATTGATTCTTCATCGCTTTGCCAAGTAAGTAGATCTTCGATTCTAGTGAATTTCAACTCCATTTGTAGATCACTAGATTGTGATCTCTTTAAATCACCATCAAAAAACAATACTCTAGCATCCAACATTTCCTTACATCTGGAGCATCTATAAATCGGTAGAACCAATCCATCTAATATGTTAATCCTATAGCCATTACTATTACCGTCATCATCATCATCATAATAATAATCATCATCATCTAATGATTTCATTAAATAAATAGATTGCAATCTCTTACTCCAACTATCATTATTACTATTATTCTTTTTAGTTGTTGATAATAAACTTAATGCTTTTTCTATTGATATTGTAACTATATTATTATTATTACTATTATTATTTATAAGTGTATTGATCAAATTATGATCAATAGTTGTGTTATTGGTGTCATATAATGATGGTAATGTTACCACTTTCTTTTTTGCGTGATTATAAAGATAGTCGACAACATATGCTAAACCTTGTCTGTAACCATCAACAATAACATTAGACTCCAAACCATTAATGAAGAGAGTCATTGCATTCTTTAGCATAGAGGTAGCTAAAATCAGTGTCAAGGTTAATTGATTGCTATCAGCAAGATAGTCAGAGTTTAACAATAGCTTTTTCAAATAGATTGCAATAGGATGTTCTATTTCTAAATATTTTAATATAACATATGGATCTGAACTAATTATAACTCTGAATACACCAAGTTAATAACATTTTAAGTATTTTACAATTAATACATATAAATTATTTAAGCTTACGATTTTGATTGATTATCATATAATATCTTTGATGTATTACTACCATTCTTACTACAATACGATATAGATTCAGTCAATGATGTTAATATATTTAAATTACTTCTTAGTGTATCTAATGTAAATAAGTGATTCATTATCTTTAAAGACAACTTTGTGATTAATTAAATATGATGCAAATTATTTTGATCAATAGCGTTTTTTATTTTTGGTGATCTGCTTTTAATTTGATTTTTTTGATTTTCTGTTTTTCTTTGATTTCTTTGTGGGTGACTTTTTTTTGCTGACAACTGATTTGGTAACAGTTGTAGTGTCTTCCTCTTCCTCTTCTTCCTCTTCTTGTTCTGGTTCTGGTTCTTCTTGTTGTGCCTCGACAATGTTTTGAATTGGTTCTTTCTTCTTTTTGGCTGTTTGTTTGGATGTTGCTGGAGTTTTCGATGCTTTGGCCTTCGATGGTTTAGCAATGATAATCTCTTCCTCTTCCTCTTCGATATCTTCTTGAGTGGTATCGTTTTCTTTTTCGTCAGAGGTTGTTGTTAGCATTGTTGTTGAAACAGTCGATGTTGTTATCATTGTTGTTTCTTCATCTTCTTCCGCTGCCTCTTCTTCTTCCTCTCCTCCTTCGAGATTCTTTTCAATATCATCGGTTGACATCGATATTGATTCATCCTTTACTTCACTCTCATCTAAATGTTGATCGGTTTCAATTTCTTCATCGTCATATTCCTCTACCATGTAATTGGAGGTGTCGGTATCGAATGAAATTTCACTGTGGTGGGAAGTGTCGACCGCTTGAATTCTAGGTGGAATGTCGTCAGAGTCAAGTGCATCCAATTGTGATGTATCAACAGTTTCTTCTTCCATTGTTGTTTCCTCCTCTACACCAGCTGAAGTTTCCAATGCTTCAAGTGGTTGTTCTTCAATTTCTTCAACTCCAACATGTAGCTGTGACGATGATGATGGCTCCATCTCACTATCTTCATTTGAAGTTGGAGCGGAGGTTGAAGTGGAAGTAGTTAAAGTTGATGTGACTGTTTGGGTATCAATCTCATTGGAAGTTGATAAAATTTCAGATGTTACAGTTGCTGCAGTAGAAGTGGTCAATAAAACTGCATCTTCAAGTTGACTATGTTGTTCTTGTTGTTGTTGTTGTTTTTGTTGTTCTTGTTCTTGTTGTTGCTGTTGATGTAATAATTCTTGTTGTTGGTGTTGTTGACTGATCTCAGACATGAAAGAGGAGATTACATTCTGTTGCTCGGCAATCGACATCTCTTGCTCTTGAACTTGTTCGGCAAGATCGGTAGTCAGGATACTGGAAGTGTCAATTTGGAATGAAGCTTGTGCTTCATTAATTTCATCCAACATACTCTTCTCTTCACCACTATAACTAGTTGACAAAGTATCTGTATTCATAAAACTATCTTGTTGTTGTTGTTGTACAATTTGTTGTTCTTGTTGTTGCTGATGTTGAACTTCTTGTTGTTGTTGATGTTGTTGTTGTTGTTGTTGTTGTTGTGATAAATCTTCTTGAGTTGTTTCAATTTCATCTTCATCTTCATAAAAGCTATCACTTTCATCATCTTCTTGTTCTTCTTTTTCAAATTGTTGTTGTTGAGATGATTTTGGAGCGGCAGATTCTTCTTCGTCGGAATCAACAATTTCAAATGGCTGCTCTTCTGAACCACCTGTTTGTTGTAATCTCTGTTGATGCTCCTCATCGTATTCGTCATCGTATTGATCGTCATCTTCCTCCTCTTCGTAGTCGTCTTGTTCCTCTTGTGGATATCCTCCTCTTCTAAAGTTCATGGTGGCGAATATCGGTTTCTGGTCAGGGACATCCTCGTGAACAATCATATCGTCTTCTTCATCGTACATTCCGTCGTCGTCCTCGTCGTCGTCATCGTCGAAATCATCCATGGTAGCAAGATTCTTTTGACCATATCCACGAGTTCCAACACTATATAGATCCTCATCATCTTCCTCCTCTTCTTCTTCATCCTCGTCGTATTCCTCTTGATTTTCATCGACCTCGGCAAAGTGCATATTGTCATAGTCGTCTTGGTCGTCGTAGTCTTCATCATCGGATCCGCTTCCCATATAGGAAGTCTCTGCTCTTGTTTCGATTGGATACTCAATGTTAAGTGACTCTTGAATGTTGACACGATTGGTCTTTGAAGATGGAGTACCACGTACTTTAAGAGCAGACTTTAAAGGTTGCCAAACGGCTGGCGATGAAACTGGACTCTCCTGAGTGGAGTTGGAAGAGGTAGACGATGAACTAGATGACGATGGTGATGATCTAGATCCAATGTTATATCCATATTGTTGAATCGGTGAGGGAATATCTTCTTCCGATGATGTTAGTTCTTCGACAACTTGTTGTTGTTCTTCTCCCATTTTCTCATCAGCTTCTTCCTCTTCTTCTTCTTCTTGGTCGTCCATCATATCTTGATCGTATGAAATAACTGTCTTTGGTTGAAGTTTTTCGATTTCCTCTTCCATCATTTCCTCTTCAGATTCAATTTGTCCTACTCTCTCTTCTTCCTCCTCTAACATTTGATCCTGTTGTTGTTGTTGTTGATGTTGTTGTTGTTCCAACATTTGTTGATCTTGTGAAGTTGACGAGAATGCAGGTGGTCTATTCTGAGGAAGTGTACTTCTCTTGATGAAATCCTTAAATGAATCGGTATCCAATGATTTAGCATCTAAATTCATGGTATTGGTAAACATCTTTGTTGGTGGTTTATCAAGAATCTTTGGTTGGAAGAGGAATGATTGATCCATTTGTTGTTGAGATTGACTTTGTTGTTGTTGTTGCTGTTGTTTTGATGTAATTGATCTTGGTAACAATGGAATATCCTCAAAAGTTTGATAAACTTGTGATGAAGCTTGTTGTTGATTATTACTATTGAATAAACTTCTCTGTTCGAATGGCAATGCAATTTCATTGTTCAACATGATCGATTTCAACCCGTCGAATCCAGCTCCGAGTAGGTTACGTGAGATCTGCCCGTAGTTGTTGACTCCCTCGGCGATACGACCACGTCTTACCATGTAGATTGGCACCAACTGGACAGCGTTAATCTTGTAGAGATAGTGAATGAAACACTGGTCTTCAAAGTCATCGAGTGGCATCTCCATCAGCTTATCCAACTGACGGTGTTTCAAACAGTAGTTGTAGATCTCTTGCATCAGTGGCTCAGTTGCAGATGGCTCCAAACTTGGGAATCTCTTTCTAAAGTTTCGCTCCAAGAGCAGCGACTCTACCAGACAATCGTTTGCCAACAGAACCTTGACAGAGAGCATCGCTTCTTTCGTATCCTTTGGATCGAATCCCACGCTCTTCATAAACAACAAGGCATTCTTATGACCACCCATAATAAAGAATCTACTCAATATCCAATATGCATATTTCTTTGCTTTCTTTGACGAATTCAATAAATAATATGCTTGCTATATAATAATAAAACATTAACAAATATTAATATTAACAAACCACTATTCAAACTATTATAAGTAATACTTACAGAAGTTGACTTTTCAATATCGGTTTCAACTAATGGTGCACTATCTAAATACCAAACTCCAGTGATAAATGCAATGTCTGATTCTGAGATATAGAATGTTGTACTCAATGATTCTAATATGTTATTTGGTAATGGTTCAATCAAGTCCATATCCAACAAGAGATAATATAACTAAATAGAGAGAGAGAGATTAACCAGTGAGTTAGTAATTGTTGAAATTTCAAATCTGGAAATAAACCAAGTCTTGTACTTACAAGATTAAGGAGTTTAGTGAATTTCTTTGTTTGGAAAAGATCAAGGAATCGTTTCAATTGGATGGCTGTGGTGGGTGGATAAGATTCGGTGATTTCCATTTGCTCGTAGATCATGTCAATGAAGAGTAATTGATCTTTCTGAGTGACTGGCAAGTTTGATGAAGCCAGTTGATCTTTTAATAGTTGACGTTCGATCGATGAAACCTTTGGGAGGTTCTCGAGTATCGATATGATCTTTGGATTGAACAAGCCGTTGATTGAAGACCACTTTACAATCTCCAGGTACTGTGCAGCTGACAATACAGCTTCGTATTTACTCTGAAGATAGGGTGTCACCTCCTCGGTCTTGTATTCAGTTCTATATCGATCGCAAAGACACTCAAACACCTGGAAGATATCCAACATTCTCAAATAGACATTCTCTAATCTATCTCTCAATCTTTGTCTACCACGATCCTCACTTGCTTGTGTGAATATTTCAGCAACTAAAAGTTGAAAAAAAACATATTAGTCATATATATACTCTTACTTTTTAATTTATATTTAACTTACAATTTAAATTATTATTTAATTGTTCAAAATATTCCCATGATAAATCCAGAATTAATTTTGGATTTGATAGAATATATGAAATATTATCATTTCCATTATAATCTTTTGTAACTGTTGTTGTAGATTGTATATCTGGATTATTAAAAAGAAAATAAATAAAAGGTTACTTGTTAATAAAAATGGACCAGTCCAGTAATAATTATTCCTTTTACACTAACTTACAATCATTTACAAGTGAAAACATATTATTTTCAAGGGCAAATAATATTAGTTCGTTTCTTTGTTGTGCTGGATCGCTTGATGATTTCTGTTGGTTGAATATTTGTGAGTCGAGGAATCTCTGGTAGACTGGAGTGGGATTGACGAACGAGAGGAATCCATTTCTTGACATATAGTCAATGGCACGATCCTGTGGATTGAAATAGGTGTGCGAGGTAATAGATGCACCGTCTAGCAGTAGTAGCAAGTCAAAGCTACTGTGTGCAACGGCAATCGATTGGTAGGTATCGTCTTCGTCGATGTCCATTCCCTCTTTGCCTAGAATGCGTCTGGAGATCGAGTAGGGATTGACCCAACACGCTGAAACCTGATCGTTGTGACTGAATGAATTCATCGATGCTATTGGGATGTCAAAGAGACACTTGTCAATCTCTGTTATATCTTTGGAGAGTCGTTCAAAGAGGAACAGATCAAACAGTTTGATGTTTACTCTTGGACGTCCACTGACCGGATCGATCAACTGGTAAATGAAAATCGACTTGGAACGTGGAATACTGTTGTTGTTATTGGAACTGTCGGACTCTGCGATATTCACTTCTTTTGGAGTGTGGAAATAACTCATCTGCAGGATATTGCCACTGAGATTGCCAGAGACAACATTGGTGGCAATGTCCAACTTCTCATTGGTGATGTCTTGCAGTGTAACAATGTTTTTCGGTATGTTTGAACTACTGGATTGCGCTTTGATAAAGTCAATCTTGTAGAGCATGATCGATACGGCTGTGGAGCCATCCGACGAGGAAGCGTCGACGGGAGTGGACTGCTGATGGTTACTACTGCTGTTGTTGTTCACGAGCGAGTGTGAACCTCTTCCAATCCAGAGATAGGAGGACGATGAATCGGGATCGTCTTCCAACTCTTGCAACAGGAAGTGTGTTACCGCCGGACAACGCTGTGGAAACTCTTTGATCGCCGAGCAATAGCTGAGCTCAAAAGTATCGCTCGAGAACAGCTGGAACACACCGATACTGTATCCAATGGCTATGACGCGAATCGACGAGATATAGGCGATGCTTGTCACATAGACACTGGATGCCGGCAGCTTCACCGTCGATTGATCGTCGGCGAGCAACGCACCGATATTACTGTCGCGAATGATGACGCCATCGACCGGCGATCGACTAGGATAAACGAAACGGTGTTGCTGATCAAAGTAGTTATCACCGATCGCCACGAATGGATATTGATGACGCTGTTGCAACTGTGCGAATCTGCCCTTGTCGTACTGATTGATTGCCAGCTGCTGAAGAGTGTAGATCTGGCTGTTGACCGGTGTGTTTCGCTCAAAGTGCAGATCGAGAAGCATCGCTGCCGGGCCAGCACTTCTCAGCCCGAGAGCAACCGGCACTCTAAACATCGATAGGCCATCCAAGAGTATGGGTGAATCGCCTTGTGTCAGGGGATCGAGCTGTGTGATCCTAGAGACTACTGGACCGACATGGATCGTTCTTATCAACAGTCCATTCTGACAGTCCAACACCTTCAAAATACCTTGTTGTTGATGGTTGACAACCGCTGCTACCAAATAGATTGAATCTGATAATCTTAATTCTGAAACCGCTGTAACAATCATCTAGATGTATATACATTATTTATGTTAGTAAAGAATTGAAATATATATATATACAATTGATCTGTATAGAACATGATTTCTTACCTCATATTTCTGGTCGATAAAACAAAATGTTGTCATACGAATACCAGTGTAGATATCGTAGATATAGATTTCATTTTCGTGATAGAGATATGTCCATTTACCATTGGAGGTGATACCAGATGGTATTTCTCTTGGTAAAATCTTAATGGTATTGTTATTATTGTTTTGTTGGTGTTGTAGTTGTTGTTGATGATGTTGTTGTTGATGTTGATGATGATGATGATGTGTATTTGAGGATGATTGTTGTTGTTGATCAATATCATCACTATCATTCTCCATTGAATTACTACTATCTTGTTGATCGAATAACAATTCATTGCTCCATGGTTTTTGTGGATACAACTCTACATTCTTTGATGAACTACTGCTGCTACCACCACTATGATTACGACCATTATTATATTCATTAAAAGAAGGCATATTTATATAAAAATCTATATATTTTTCATCTACCTTTTTATAATTTATATTAAATATATAAATAATTGTAAAATAAATATATCTATATATAGATATAAAATTATAATCGGTAAAAATGAACTTACTCTTTGAGTTCAGAACAACTAGAAATCATCAAATAACACACAAAAAAAAAAATTCTAAAAAAAAAAATGAAAAATATTATTTTTTTTTTAAAAAAGCGAGGGATTTGATTGTTTTAAACACACCAAGATGGGCATGATTTGCCAGTCGGTCGTGTTTTAAACAATTTTTAATTAAATTAATTTTTTTTCTTTTTCTTTTCTATTTATATAAACAGATCAATTTATTAATTAATTAGTTAACAAAGTTATGACAGATAATCAAAAAGAACAACATCAACAACTAAACTATCCAAAGAGTATACAAGTAAAAGGTACAGACTCTGAGGGTACGATTGTATATAAAAATTTAAATGAACTTTGGAGTAAAGAATTGGTAAACGATAATAATAATGATTTGAAATGGTATACTTCTGCTGGTATGTTTTTTTTTTTTTATTCACACATTTTATATTGATATTGATATCATTCATTCATTCATCATCACCAAATTTATATGTAAATAAATAAACAGCTGACTATTGGAAATCTGTAGATGCTACTGTAGATGGAATGTTGGGTGGTCTTAGCTATGTATCCGATACAGATGTAGAGTGTAGCAATAAGTTTATCACTGAAATGACATCATTGGGTAGAGGTAGAGCTTTGGATTGCGGTGCTGGCATCGGTAGAGTCACTCAACATCTGCTACTTCCACTCTTTGAGAAAGTTGATCTTCTCGAACAGAATCCACTATTCTTAGATGAAGCTAAAATTATATTTAAAGAGTAAGCTAATTTAGATATCTAAAGTAGTATTAATATTAATATATATTAATGTCTTTTCTCTCTCTTTGTTTGTTTTTGTATATAATTTTAGTGAAAAAAGAGTTGTTAATTATTTCGCAGTTGGATTACAGGATTTCGATTTTAAAGATAAGAATAATGGTGAGCCGATTAAATATGATTGTATTTGGGTGCAATGGGTTATTGGACATCTTACAGATGTAGATTTCATTACGTTCGTTAAGAAGTGTTTGGGCGCGTTGAATGAAAACGGTGTTCTTTGTATCAAAGACAATATAGCAAAGAAAGGTTTCATCATGGACAAACAAGATAGTAGTGTCACTCGTACCGATGAACACTTACGTTATCTCTTCAGTCAGGCTGATGCAACCGTCACCAAATCAATCTTACAACCAAACTTTCCTAAATCATTATTCCCAGTTAGACTTTATGCAATCAACTCAACACCAACTACAACTTCAACATCTGAAACTTCAACAACTACAACATCTGAAACTTCAAATGTTTAAATTAAAAAACTATATATTTATATATAAAATAACTCTTATTATTTAAATTATAATTTTATTGTTTTGTTTTGTTCAACAAACAAAAGACCATATTTTAATGGTTGAATCATCACCTGAAGATGCCAAAATGTTTGGTTTCTTTGGATTCCATCTAATTGAGTTGATATCGGATTTATGTGCTTTTTCATGTTTATATAATATTTCGTATTGTTCGATTTCATTTGGTGTTGTTGATGATGAAGAAGATGAATCGGATTGCTGTTGTTGTTGTTGTTGTTTTTGATGATAAATGATGATGGAATCATCACCACCACCTGTACATATCAATTGTTCAGTTGGTGACAACTCTTGGTTGTGTGACCAATCCACTGAGAAAATAGGACGACTGTGTACCGATTCCAATCGGCTGAGTAACTTCCATCGGCCGGTGGTGCTATCGAGTCGCCAGAAACAAACACTACGATCATCGCTACACGACACCAAACGATTGCCACTCGCATTGAACTGTATATCCCAAATAGTTGATTCGTGAGCACTCAGTGTATCGATACACTCCCAGTCGCCATCTGTATCCTGCCACATCTTGATGGTATCGTCGTACGACGCCGATGCCAATATCTCCAAACTCGGATGCCATCTCACACATTTCACATCTTGACTATGTCCATTGTTAATAGATATACATTCGAAATCTTGGTCGTCTTCCACTTTAATATGCGATGTTAGTTATGTTTGTTCAATATTACTTCAAAACTTGTAATGATAAGTTGTAACTACTTACTTTGCCATATCCAAATAGATTTATCACGTGAACATGTTGCCAAGAGTTGACCGGATGCATCCCATGCCACTGATTTTACTTCGAAGGAATGACCTTCGAGTGTTGATATATGGTTGAATTCACCGTTGTTCACTTCCCAAATCGATGTAGATGCATCGAATGATGCAGCGGCAAGATATTTTCCGTCGGGTGACCATGCAATACGACGAACAGTCTTCTCGTGTGCCTCTAACTTTTGAAGAACAACCCATTTATTCTCGCTTTCCTCCATCCAAATATGTATAGTTTTATCATCTCCACAACTTGCTAACAGCTTACCATCTGGTGACCACTCTATATTCCAAATCTTTGATGGTTGATCATCTTAACAATCATAACAAACAAATAATCAAGTAGTAAAAAAAAGTTGTTAGTTTAATAAAGAGATTAAACGATAAACAAACTTAAACTTAAAACTTACATGATAAAACAGATATTTCATTTAAAGACATATCTTTATATTTTATATTTATTATATATTATAAATCTAAATTAATAGATATATGTTTGTTTTGTGTGTTAAGTAATCGTTTTGATTGATTGCTAATGTGTGTGTTGATAGAGATCTAAAAATTCATTGAATTTTAAAAAAAACAAATCAAAACAAGTGTATAAAATAATGATCTTTGTTTTTTTTTTATTTTATTTAAATCATTTTTGTGTTGTAATTTTAAAATATATATATTTATATTGTATTATAATTTGTAGATAGAAGAGAAGAGAATAGAAATGTCAAATACATTAGATATAGAGAAACATGTTAAATATTTTAAGAGATGTTTAAATGCATTGCCTTCGCCCTACGCAAAAGGTCTAGCCAATCATCTATCTCTTACCTACTTTGTAATTTCAGGTCTTGATTTGTTAGGAAAGATAGATGAAATTCCAATCGCAAAGAAAGATATAATCGATTGGGTTTACTCAAGACAAATCATACCATCAGAATCAAACCCAGATGGTATGTAATTCATAACAACAACAACATAGATTCTATATGATTAAATTCTAAAAGTACAAATACTAATAGTAATTAAAATGTTATTTATTTGAAACAGATTTCATAAAGAATTGTGGATTTAGAGGAGCAAACTTTTTGGGTCAACCATATTGTGGTGGTGTAGGTTGTCGTTGTCTGTTTGATTTCGATATGCCGAGTATTGCCAACACCTATTGTGCTCTGGCCATTCTTAGAATAGTTGGCGATGACTTTGGCAGAGTGAATCGCGATGCTATCACTCGTAGTTTGAAGTTGTGTCAGCAACCCGATGGTTCTTACGTTGGCACTCCATTTGCTGGTGAGAGTGATATGCGTCATCTCTATGCTGCCTGTGTCTGCTCTTTCATGATGGACGACTGGCGTGGTATTGACCGTGACGCCGCCACCAAATATATATTGGCATCGCAAAACTACGAGTATGGATTCGCTCAGGTTCCAGGACAGGAGGCACACGGTGGTTCCACCTACTGCGCGGTGGCGTCTTTGTCGCTCATGGGCAGACTCGACCTGCTCACTGGCGAGCGTCGTGATAAACTCGTACATTGGCTTGCCAACAAGCAGATCACCGGTTACTCGGGACGTATCAATAAGGATCCAGACACTTGCTATTCGTTCTGGGTCGGTGCAACTCTTGCCATTCTCAACGAAACAAAGGTTGTCGATCAGATGTTGCTACGTGGATTCATCTACTCTGCTCAGGATCCAAACATCGGTGGAATCGCCAAAATACCTCAGAACATGCCGGATTTACTTCACTCCTATATGTCACTCTCTGGATTGACACTACTCAACGAACCAAACCTCAGACCACTCAATCCATCACTCGGTATCTCACAAAGAGCTGCCGGTGAAAATTGGAATAAAATTTTAATTAATTAATTGATTCCAAGTTAAGTTATAAATGAATAATAAAATGATATACAAATTAAAATACAACAACCAAACTTATTATGAACAATTAATAAAAAAAGTAGAATATTCTGATATTAACGATTGACAAAAGAGACATTTTCATAATATTATAACTTATATTTATTAAGTGCGAGAATACAAAAAAGCTGTGCAAACAAAACCCAACCTGTAAAATGAAATAACACAACTTCAAAAGTTAATATCAAACTAACATGTGTTTCAAGTATTGTTGTATCTGATTCACATGTTACAAGTTGGTTTGTTTAATATCCTTAATAAGTTTTATTAATGGTGATACTTGGTATATCGAAATCAAGATTATTTTTGCAAAATGCAAACAAAAGCTTTGCAAAATTTTTTCATTTTTTGGGGAGGGATAAAATGAAATTACACATCTGATCAACTAAAAAATAACACTTGAATATTTAATTAAGTAAATTAAATAAAAGATAATAATAAATAATCACATATTATATTGTAAATAAAATGTTAGATAGAACTCAAACTAAAACCAAAGAGATTGAAGGTTCATTGAAAGAATTGGTAGAGTTATACAATGAAGATATTAATGCTTTGAAGGAAGAGATCAAAAATCTTGAGATTAGAAAAGCAGCTTTTCTCGATGTGAAGAAGGCCATCGATATATCATTGATACCCGATCCAATCACACTGAACGTTGGTGGCATGAAATTCCAGACCTCAAAGTCAACATTGACAAAGATACCTGGTTCCTACTTTGATGCAATGCTCTCCGGTCAAATTGACATTCAATCTGTATCCGGTAAACCAAATAATACATTCTTTATTGACAGGTAAGTAAAATGTATCCATTTATATGTTTACACTCTTTAAATAATCATGATTACATTTAACTTAACATACAATCTAACTATTTTAATAGAGATGGAACTCACTTTAGATACATATTGAACTTCTTACGTGATGGTGACACACCTATACCCGATTCCGTCAAGCCTGAAGTCAGCAAAGAAATGAAATTTTACAAACTTGTACCGCCAACACAATCCGATTTGATAACTCATGACCAATTTAAGATTATCAATGGATGGTTAGGTGGTGAATTAAGTTATGAATTGATTTACAAGGTAACATATCTTTAGCTAAATACATATAACGTTTATTAATATTGTTTTTTTATATTATTAATAATACAACAAAACACTCAGGGTACAAAAGATGGATTCGAATCAGCTAATTTCCATACAAAATGTAATGGTAAAGGTGCAACTCTTACTGTTGTCAAATCGAGTGATGGCAATGTGTTTGGTGGTTATAATAGTCAGTCATGGAATAGTAATGGTGCATACTGTGGTGATAACAAGTGTTTCATCTACACAATGGTTAATAAAAATAATATTGTACCTACCAAGTACGCACCTATTGGCAACAACACCAACATTGTCTATGGAAACAACGGCTATGGACCAACCTTTGGTAGTGGTCATGACCTCTACATCAGCAACCAATGCAATGTAAACCAACAAAGCTATCAAAACTTTCCGCACTGTTACGCGGACACCACAGGCAAAGCTAAAGCAACATTCGCAACAACCTATAACTTTACTGTCTCTGAAATCGAGGTATTCACTGTACTTTAAATCAACATAAAAAAGCTCGTTTGACTCCCTAGGTTTTAATTTGGTTGGCTATAGTATGCTGTTACACCACCATTCAATAATTATTTTAAAGATCAAACAATTTAATTCGAGATTGCAACTCCCAATGTTAATAAGCAATAAAGAATAGTTATTAATTAAGACGGTGCACCTTTGAACTAACTTTTTTCGAAAAAATAAAATAAAATTTACATGAGGTGAACCCCAAATTTTAATTTTTCCATCTGTCACTGATTGGAATTAAACAATTGATTTAAAAAAAAGTGATTAAACCAACACTATCAGTTACTAAATTAAATCACTAAATAAAATAAAATAATAAGCTCAGATCAATAAATCACCTATCCATAAAATACCATTTAGAGATTCTTTGTATACTTTTATTAACAAATATTCTTTTAAATTTCGCTTTTAACTGTAAAAAATTGTTTAATATTAAAGTTTAGAATTTAGGTATAAAATTTTAATGATTTATCTCTTTTAATATTTAATTTGGATGATAATAAAAATTTTTTTAAATTTGAAAAAATATTTTTATTTATTTTGAGTAAAATGGTAGTCATCTGCATAACAGCACTAGACAATGGAAAAAGATAAATTTTTACAGATATTTAATAATATTGTATTAAATAAATTAATATTCAAACATGTTAGTAGCATACATGATGTTGTTTATAAAGGTTTAGAAAAATTTAGTTGGTCGGAATTAATTAAGTATCCTGATAAAATGGCTGGTAACTCTTATCTAAATGAACTTAAACTGTATTATACCGATCATTCTATCACTGGTGATATGTATCCAACAATTGAAGCGGCAATCAAAAGTGGAAGTTTTGAGATATTGAAATATCTGGTCTATCTTCTCAAACCGATATCAAGTTCGAGTTTACATCAAAAAGTATCTTTCGATGATATCTTAAAATATGCAGCGGAGCATGGTAGTTTGGAGAAAGTCAAATACATTTGTGAAGAGTTTTCAAAGAAGAGATTGAATTACTATAATGCATTGATGGTGGCACCGTTATCTGGAGACATTGAAATAGTCAAGTACTTGGCTGATAAACTGGAGAATTGTGGTTATTCACAGAGTAGAAAAGAAGGAGATATAAATACAGATGTAACTTTTGATAGTGCTGCCAAAGTCGGACGAATTGACATAATTGAGTGGTTGGCAGAACATAGATCAGAAGATAGAGCTGGTAGTAATATGTATTATGGTGCAATTAATGGTGGACATCATCATATTGTTCAATACCTACTCGATATCAACGAGCCAAGAAGAGAAGAACCACACGAGAGATATGGTACATTGTTTGACTATTCAATCTATTGCGATCAATTGGAAATAGCAAAGCTATTGCATCAACATAACATCAGAGCATCATTTGGAAATCTAATAGATGTGGCTGCATTAGATGCAAATCTTGATAAGATAAAGTGGCTCAATGATAATACAACTGTTATTGCAACTGTGGAAGCCATGGACAATGCAGCTTTTAAAAACAACATTGAAATTCTCAAATGGTTAAAACAACATCGAAATGAAGGTTGCAGTCACCATGGGTTTTTAGATGCCTGTCATAAAGGTTATATGGAAGTTGCACAATGGTTATGGTTAAATTATCATGAAACAATAATACTTGAACCTAGTGTTGCAATCGATGCAGCGATTGGAAATGGTAATCTAGAGCTCGCCAAATGGTTGTTTACAGATCTAAATCAACGACCATCTGCATTGGGAATGGATCAGGTCGCAATCAATAACTACAAACATATCCTCAAATGGCTGGTTGATAATTCATTATTCTCATTTTCAACATCAGCAATCGATAATTTATCGAGAACTGGCAATCTCGAGATGATAAAATGGCTCAATGAATATGATCCAAGTATAGGGTGTACAGAACGTGCTATACATGCAGCTGTATATCATGGTCAATTCGAAACAATGAAGTGGCTCAGAGAGAACAGAACTGAGATTTCCAGTTTGAAAACTATAAATCATAGAATTTACAGAGGAGGTGCAGAAGCTATCAATTGGGCATGGGATAACTTTGAAATCGATTTGGATGAAATGCTTAACAAAGCAATTATCATGAATAAATCAGAGGAAGTTGAAAAAATTATCAAACGGAATCCCAGCTTTATTTTGGACAATAAACATATCTCAAACACCTTTTTCAAAGCAAAACGAGATATCATCAAATTTTTCCATGACAATAATACACCGGGTGTATTCAATGACAAGTCGATGGAGAGTGCAATCAAAGGAATGCAGATTCCACTTGTTAAATGGCTCTATGAGAATAGAAGTGACTGTCAATGTACAATTGATGGATTTGTGGTTGCCATTGAAACAGGACATATGGAGATGATCGAATATCTCTTGTCTAAACATCCAGAGTTTGCCAATCAATTAACAAAACCAAAGGAACTTCTTAAACATTATTTTAAAAAGGACGATATCGAAATGATTGAATTCATTTTGGACAAGATCAACTTCTAAGAAAAAGTTCTAAATCAATATAAAAAATCGATAAAAAAAAAAAAAGTATATTCAAACATTTCAAAACAACTTCTACAAGATCACATCAAAAGAAAATATATCTCTGCAATATTAATAAACACTGATGAATAAAGTGGTAACCTTAATTATATCATACACTGTTTATTAATTTGTTTTTTATTATTACTTGGTTTTTACTGATGTTTTATAAAATTTATTAGAGAGAATTAAAGAGCACATTAGTTTGTAATAAATTATTTTATTTTTTGGTCCCGTTAATGGGTACTTTTTTTGTTTAACTATTGGCATTATTGAAAAGTAAATGATTATTAAAATAGGCAGCTTTGAAAGAATAAAAGTCATTATATCATATAAATTTTGATGTAAAATGGCAAATATTTGACATCTTGATTCTTTTTTTATAATTACATATAAAATATCAGTATGAATAGCTATTTACAGTCAAACACTTAAAGAAATGTATTCGTCAATTCAATTCAACAACAATCATCATCATCAATAGATTAAGAGATCAAAGAACTTGTACAATAAAACAGTAGGTTATTCAATTACTAATAATAGTTCAAATAATGCACTACAACACATCAATCTTTTAATCATCAGTTAGATTTTCACTACTCTCATTCAAGACACTAAAGTAGAGGATGGTGTTATTTCAATCACAGCTATCTATAACAAATTGTAAGTATAAAGAATCTAAATATAATTTTCTCTTATCAATAAATCGATTATTTTTTTCAAAAGATGATTATTTTGTTGACATCATTCCCACGAGATCTAGAGTTTCTTTGTCAAAGAGAAATTTAAAGAATTCAAAGATAGTAAAGACAATTTTAAATAATCTTTGCCAATAAAAAAAGGAATAAGATCATTCTTCAAAGTCCCCAAATTTATATTATTATATTATAAAAAAAAATAAAAAAAAAAAGTAATAAAAGGGTCATCTATTCATTCCCTTTAATCAGTTTCGAGGTGATTGATATGGATCAAAGCATCATATCATTGTAAGTAATACCAAAATATTATTATTTATTATTAATTATTTGCTTAATTTTTATCTAATATTTTTTATATTTCTATTCTTTTTTTTTTTTAAAAAAATAAATAAATTAAAAATAAATAGATGCACCCAAACTCAAACCATGTCGTATGCAAAGATAATTTATTATCTATATTTCTGTAAGACAGTTTCTGCTGGAAATTGCTGCTGTATCTTGGATCGTGGGAAGCCAGTATCAAGCTGAGATAACAAAGTCAATATTATTATACCCCGGTCTTGGAAAGACTTCGGGCAAATTTAGTTTCTGCGTTTACACAGTAAGCATTGAACTTTTTTTTTTTTTTTTTTTTTTTTTTTTTTTTTTGGAAAACAAATAGCACAGTTTATTAATTTTTTTCTGTTTTTCAAGAGAATAAACCATTTGATAATCAAAGTAACATTTCATATGATATATAGATAATTATTATGATTATAAGAAAGTGACAGTTAATTGAAAAATAGATTCTTTGTAATAAGTAAAATGAAAAAAGATTGGGCGCTAAAGTCACGATCAAAACCCTTTTTTAATTTTACAAACACGTCCACTTCTCCACCAACAAACAATAACATCAATTACACTTTATCAACTATTCACCAACTATATATATCATCAAGAGCTCTAAGACGATTAATATTAAAAAATCAATCAAAAAAAAAAAAAAAAAAAAAAAAAAAAACGTTTACGAATATGTTCATTTTTTTTATACTCTGATCACATTAACCCCTCTATTTTTGATTTTTTCATTTTTTGTAAAATTAATGCTCAGGCGAAAGTTTGGAGCCAGTTTCATTTTGTGATCAAGTTCTCATTTTTGTCAAAAAACATTTGTTTATCTATTTTAAATAACATCGTATAATTTATATATAATAATTGTTTACTATGTTGCCAGCAGGAGTGTCTTCCTTTGTAAGCTGGTAGAGGTGCGAATCAACTGCGATGTCATGAGTTATCAAATCGTAAGTGAATTTCAAACAACATTTATTTATTTAGTTATTTACTTTTATTAATTTGGACTTTTAACAGTTAATCTTTTCATATAATTTATATAAATTATATAACAAAAACAACCGTATCAGTTTCATTTCAATCAACCAGATTGTTCTTCACTATGTCTATAGTAAATATAATTTAAAAAAAGAAATAAAATACATTAAATAATATTTTTTTTATTATTGTTGTTACAAACTACCCTTCAATCTATCACCATCCTTCTCACTGATCGCCAATCTTTCCACAAATCAATCACCAGGTTACCATCCAATCGCCAGATTTCCATCCAATCAATCGCCAGGTTGCCATCCAATCAATCGCCTGTGTTTCCATCCAATCGCCAGGTTACAATCAATCTCCGGCCTTTCCATCAACGCCAGCTTTCTCACTGATCATCAATAAAAATGACATCATTTGTTATTATCAATTACAATTTAATTAATTATATTATTTATTTGTTTAAATTGAATAATTGTTTCTATATTTGAATCGAATATTTGTTTCTTTGATACCGCCAAAATATTTGATATTGAGGTCCCTAAAATAGACATCCATTGACGTTTAGATACTCAATATGTGTTTGGTTGCAATTTGTTTAATTTTTTTTGTTTGAAACTTTTTTTATTTCAGTTCAAGATTTTTGTGTTGTTTGAAAAATCAGATGGATTTTGTTGATTTGTGATTCTAATATTTGTGTTGTTTGAAACATCAGATGGATTTTGATTGTGATATTTATATTGTTTCGTTCTCAAAAAAAAACAAATATTGTTTGCATCACACAAAATAGGATTTTTTCATGTTTTTGACTTTTTTTGATAATAATTCTCATAGGATTATCAAGGTTTAATAGGAAAGTTGTGACGTGTTTGGATACCTTTGAGCAACCTGTTAACAAAAATGTTCAATCTGCTGCTGTGTAAGAAATCAAATTCAGTAAATATCTATATCAATATTGGCAAAAAAAAAATATTGAATATGAACAAGTGGATATAATAACAAGTGGAAGATGGTTATCACTTATTTGGACTTTTCAAAGTGTGTTCGATTTGTTCAAAGATTGACTCTGCTAATCAAACAAGCCCAATCTATAGGAGGTCATATTATTGGAATATTATTGGAAATCTTACAAATAATTTTCAATCAAAGACAATTGTTAATTTAATTGGACTACCCGATTTAAATCAATGTAAGCATTAATCTTGTTTATTTATTTAATCAAAAACAAAATTAATTATTGTTTATTTATGCAATCTAAAACAAAGCAAAAAAAATGTCGATACATTTTTGATCGCAACAAAAACGATCGAATCAATCAACCAAACTTAAGTTTTGCAATGATCAGTGATTATTGATTGAACGAACGATACACAAAGTGTGTTTTTCAATCTAATACTCAATATATTATTTTTAGTCAGTTTTTATATCTCTTAATAATATTGATTGCTTTTTTAGTAAAACTTTGAATCAACATACCAAAATAAAACAAAACACAAAACTTTATTCTATCTAATGAACTTTTATTATAATTATATAATTTAATTATCTTTTATATTGATCGTTTTATAATAATTGATTAAAAAATATTAATATAGAGATAGAGATAAAGATTAAAAATAATGATAAATAAACAAAAACTGCAACTACTATTGATTACAATATCATTTGTAATCAGTTTAGTCAGTGTAGTTCATGCAATAGAAATAGATTCTCATTCACAACTTAAAGCCTATGATGGTGGTAACTCTATGTATTTATCTTTTTGTTTTTTACGTTTTCATTTTCATTTTATTTTTGAAAGTTGAATGTGATCATCACTCACATGATATTGATATTTATTTTTCAATTATAATAAATTATTATAGATTCAGAGTAGTTGGTAGAAATTTTCCAAATATTCCAATACTTTCGAATACAGTTGGAACGAATCCACCTGTTGTTTTGCTTACAATGGAAACTTTGGAGATACCTACAGTTGGACTGTACCGAGAGCACCTTTAGATTCCACTTCAAAGAAACGTAAGCTAGGTTCAACCTCAGTGATATTTAATCTTCATTTCGATGTCAATGCCGCTCCATACTTTAGTGGTGCATTCGAATATGTCGAGCCGATCATCAATGACCACTCGCCACAGTCGTACTACCCCAATGCCAACGGCAGAACACTCCGTCTCCAAGGACAGTACTTTATTATCAACGACGACGATCCTCATCCCACTGCACAGATGATTCGTCACGACGGTGCTGTTCACGCGCTCACCATCAACAGTGTCGGACACAACGAAATCCAATGTGTAATACCCGATATTTCGCCGCTAGACATCGGTGGTTATGTAATTAAGGTGCGAACCTACACAGGATTGGAAGTGACTGGGCCAAACAACTTTGACTATGTCTTTCCCGTCGTTAGGTCGGTTACACCCGATCGTGGTATCGCAGGACAAACACACGTCATCGTGCTGAACGGTGACAACTTCCATGATATCTTCGGTTCTTCTGTCTCCACCATTACTGTCGGTGGACAACCATGCACCAATCCCCAAGTAGACAAAATGACAGGCGCAATCAGTTGCACGACACCCAACGTAGCGCTAGCACCAAGTCAAGCAGACCAACAAGATATCACATTAACCATCGATGTTCAACAAGCTCATTGTGACAGAAAATTCATATTCTACAGTAAGTAAAGTTAATTATCGATTCTCTATTGATAGAATCTCTTTACTAATATTAGTTTTCTAAAAGCTCCTGAAATTCTAACTATCAATCCAAAGAGAGGATTTGCAGCTGGTGGAACCAATGTTGTTATTCAAGGACACTACTTGATGGATGTAACAGCAGCTAATATTGGTGGATCGATATGTACTATCGATGTTACTACTATCACTGCCGATACTTTTACATGTAGAACTAGTGCTTTCGATTTGAATGATATCACTGGTGTCACTCATAGTCTTGTGGCAACGATTGGCGGTGGCCAATATAGTTCGCCACCCACCGAGCAATTCACTTATTACACACCGAACATCGTATCGATTTCACCTGCTAAAATCATTGACAAAGCTAACTGGGTTGTGACAATAACGGGAACTGGATTCTTTGCGAACAACTTGGTGAAGATTGCCGACCAGGTGTTTGTACCAACCGGTGCATCCACCGACATGATTCTCTATGTCGACGTCGATGCCAGCACACTCTCAGTAGGAAATGCTAATCTTATTGTAAACTCTGATGGCGGTGATTCCAACACTGTTCAGATCGCCGTTGCCAAACCAGAGATCTCTGCTATCACTCCGGCCAACGGATATGTATTCTCTGAGACCGCTGTCACTTTGACCATCAAGGATTTCCCACTTGGTATGACTCAAGACGATATCGATAAATACTTTGTAGTCAAGATTAAAGATAAACTGTGTGAGCGATTGGAACAGGTCGACGCAACCAGAATGACGTGTATGGTGCAACCAGGTGATGCCGTTCAAGCCGAAGATCTATCATTCTCCATCAAAACCATTGCATATACATCAACCGTGAAATTCACTTACTTTGAACCGACAGTAACTGCACAGGCACAATCTACAAACATCCCTAAGGGTGGAGGTAATCTTGTGATCGATGGAACCAACTTGGATCTCGTCTCAACTGTCAAGCTGGATACTGAAATCATGGATATCACAACATGTGTCATTCAAGTCGCTCAAATCACTTGCACTATTCCAGCTCATATTCCAGGTGCTTTCCCAATTGTTTTGGTTGTTGTCGATACCAACGATGTTGAACACGAATACAACACTGGTACAAACATCAATTATGTCGGTCCATCCATTACCAAAGTCAGTCCAAAGTATGGATCGAAAAAGCATGCTGCCACCATCACTCTTGAGGGAACAGGCTTTGGAAATACAGCTGGTTTGATAACTGTTACTGTGGGTGCCAATGCGTGTAACAACGTTGTAGTGGTCACCAACAACATTAAGATCACTTGTGATATTGCAGCACTCGCACCGGCAGTCTATCCAGTGGAGATTCAAGTGCAACCCAACGCACTCACCGCAGCAGTCGATTCAATGGACCAAATTACCTACACTTCAAACACACTCTCTTGTCTTGCACCCGGTGGAGCAGACGGTTCGAGTGCAGCAGTCGATTGGTGGTTTGTCTACAAACTCAGATTGGGAGCAAGCAACCCATATCTCTACATAGATTCCACTATGGATCGTCTCGAAAGAAGAATAAATCTCCAAGATCATCCAACAGCCAACACATATACCAGTCCAATAGAAGCAACTTTCTTACAACACCCAGATTACTACTATATGTTTTTCAACGATCAACCAAACTCTAGAACTACAACCGGTAAAAGACCGAAATCAGTGAGAAAAGTATCAGCACATGGTCATCTGAAAGGTATGATCTTTTGGGATGATCCTGCACCTGTGACTGGACATGTCAGTGGAATTCATATTGAGCACTCCAATCCCGCTTTCCCTTTTCTACAAACCATGCTGGTGCAGCACTGAATGGACCGGACACAGGTATTAAATTCCTTGGTGCCAGAGATTCAATCAATACTTCTTTTGCTATTCTTTCAATCAACTGGAGCATGTTTTCCGTTATATTTCATTCAATGACGGTAATCCACTTGAAAAGCGCCGTGTGTTTGCAAACATGAATACCTGGACACAAATTCAAAAGAATCAATACCCCTATTTCTATGATTATCTCTCTCAACATCTCGGTTACAGCGATCGTGTACCGTCGCTTGGAACACCAGCCAAGAAGAAGCCAAGTGAATTGATGGCCGATTGTAAAGCTGTCATCGCCGGTACCGTTGCCCTAGAGAATGTATGTTGGTGGCGAACCGGACAGATTGCAGTGGCCAACGGTAATCTCAATGCCTACTACTTTATGAAGATAGGAACCGATTTCACCGATAAAAACAGTCCATTTGGAAATGCTAATTTGCCACGTCCACCAACACTCAGCAAATACATCCTAAAGAAACAGGAAACAAGAGTTTATGATGGTATCGATATGTGGATGGTTGTAGCCGATTACTTCCAGAGAAAGATGTTCATTGAAATGTTCTATGCCATCGGTGCCAACCAGATGGAACCAACCGAACAAGTCTTGAATGTTGCATTCCTTGAACTTCCTCAACTACTTGCCACTCGAACACCAAATGGAGCAGGTGGATTCGACTACTCTGATTACCAATACTCGGAAGAAAAAATGAACATGCTAAATTTGGTCTGCCAATGTATCCAGCTTATGGTGCAAACGCAAATAATGCCAATGAAAATTATTTCTGTGTTGGTGATAGCAATAGACATAATGGTCAAGGTAATTACTATTTTAAATCAATTCTTAGTCATGATTTATTAAATTAACCATTTATTTCTTTGTTTATAACATTAAAAGGTGGTCGTGGTGGTGGAGTTGTTTGTATTCAGCATCCAACATTGGTTTATCAATTCCACAGAATGGTTAGACACTACAACACTTTGAATGCAGCCGGTGAACTGACAAATCCTTCTAATAGAGATGCAATTGAGTTTTCTTTTGCAATTAACCAACCAATCAAGCTTGACAGACCAGCCACCTGGACAAACCCAGTCAACATCGAAATCAAAGACTATATTGCCAATGTTCATTACTCAAAGTTGCCAAAGGAAGTCTACCAAGTTCTCCCAGCCACCATCCTAGCGGCACACGATGTGCTCGCCGAGTTCCAAGCACTCAGAACCACCCTTACCAATGTAGCACCAGCAGGTGGCGAGATGACATCGGTCACCCCTCCAGCGACATTCCCGGTAACCCAACCCGATATTATGAATTTCGTTGCAACGGATATCATGACTCTCCACTACCAGGCGTTCGACCAAGCCATTGGATCGGTATGTGATTACGACGCACTGAAAGTTGCATGTTTGCAAGCGGATACACGTGTCACAGAAATCGATAGAACACTTCCATTGGGTTATGCAGCACCTGACTATCCTGCCGCCCATGGATACACCTATGCCGGATTGCAACCATTGAGAACCTACAATTTGAATACCAACAAGGATTTCATTCTACTCAAATTCGTATCGGAATTTATGACCAAACTTCCAAATCCCAAGAGAAATAACTACCAATTTATGATCGATATCACAGGTACTATTTTAACAACTCGTTTCCAACCACCGTTTATTATAAGACTGACAGAAGATATGTGTCAAGAAGAAATTGCTTACTTTATGACACTTCAATACATCTACTACCAAGCTGGTGCACAGAATGAAGCAACTCTATTATACAACATCAATGCCATCAGTCCAAATTGGGCAAATGGTGTAATTTTAGCAATTTCAAAGAAACTTTATAATGTAAGTTAAACATATAATTTAATTGTTTTATATTATTATTAATTTTATTTTATTTATAATTTATAGAGTTTAGTTGTTGGAAAGAATGCAAACTTTGATCCATGTTTTGATAATATTTTTGATAATTTCCCTAATATTGAAACTTATACAGAGTATGTTATTAACAAGTTTTTTTTTTGAAAAAATAATAATACTAATTACTAATATTTTAATGAAAAGTGATAAGGCAATGGATCCACTAAGTTTAACTTTGGAAAAGATTGTAAGAAGATCAGCTGCTGCTGCTTGGGATTGGATGGGTCCATCCTATGCCGATGGTAATGGTGCCAGAGTTAATAGAGTTGATAATGCAGATGTTATTCCAGTGGATTACTTGATGAAGCTGATGATTAAGACCTTCCAAATTAGTGGTGTTCAATCAATGAATGGTTTCGCCAAATTGGTTAAGAAACAATACAAGACTGAGATCAACTTTAAGACCATTCTCATCAATAACTACATTATTAAACCACCTGCACCAAAGGTAGCTGTCGTTGCTAATAATGGTATCGTCCTTATGAATTTACCGATGAACTTCCAATCGAGAAGATTACAAGAGTTGATCGAAGATCCAATCGATTCACAAGCACCACTTCTTCAGAACGAAAGATCATTGGACTCGGGTATTCATCAACTCCTGCTTTCCTACATGAATACAATGAATGAGAGCAGTGTCACTTCACTCACTCAATATGAACAGGAAAAGTTGGAGACATCCATCGACAAGTGGATAACCATACGTAGTCAAAGCCAAGCAATTCAGACATTGTTATTGGATCCAACCAATCAGCACAGCAATCAACCGATTAAGTTTATCGATGAAATCAATCGTGACCAGAATGGCTATCAAATAGATCTTGGATACCAAACGATTGGTACCACCGGTAGTAGATACACATTGTTATCACCTCTTTCCATAGTCTCAATTACATTCGTTCTCGAGAGTATCATGATAGGTGAAGAAGCAAGCAGAGTTTCAATTGGAGATTTAGAATTTTATTATCTTCCAAAGCCAGCCAATTACAATGGTGTCATCACAAGTGATGTCGATGGTATGTTGATTGCAACAGTCAATTCACAACTCTGTGATATCCAGATGGTCAAGTCGAGTGATTTTTCAGCCAAAAGATTCGATTCTATTTGCATAGGAATCGGACCAGTTGTGACATCCATCAGCAACTCCACGGGACCAACCGTGGGTGGTAATATAATTACTCTCAATGGTATCAGATTCAATTCATCGATGACTGTCGCAGTTGGTGACTATGAATGTCAATCCACTACACTTGTCTCTTCCAACCAAATAGTGTGTACAGTTCCTAAGGGTTCAGGTACTCAACATTTGATTCAACTCTTTACCGACCAAACTTTATTCAACCTTCAGAGAACCAAATTCTTCTATTCATACAATGCACCAGCGATCAGCGATATCTCTCCAAATATTATTGAGAGCTACGGTACTGATATCATGACTATTTTCGGTTCTAACTTTGGTGATGATGTCAGCAAAGTCAAGATCATGATTGATGAGAGACTCGAATGTTCTCCAATCATTGGTATTTCATCGGATTCAATCGTTTGTGTTACACCATCTGCCATTGGTGACCATCGTACTGTGACTGTATCTGTTGCTGATCAATCTTCAAGATACACAATCGCTACTCTCGAGACCCAATCATTCAGTTTCAGCGGACCTCAAATCAACGCTTTCGCTCCGAGCTCTGGTGATCCCAATGATGTTATTATTGTACTGGGTAATGGTTTCGGTAATCCTGAAGACTCTGACTTGCCACCACTCATCTACATCGGAGATGATCTCGTTGAAATCAACAACTTCACCAATGATGAGATTACCTTTACACTGGAATTCGATACACTCACCCAACCACTCGTCATCCAAGCCGGAGATCAATCTGTCAACTCTCAGTTCACATACCTTCCACCAGTCGTTTCACTTTTCAACAATACATTTGTTCAAACCTCGGGAGGATTGATTCAAATCTTTGGATATGGATGGGGTATCTCAACGGATGAAGTTGAGTTCACAGTGGGAGCAAGCGATATTGATTGTAATGCATTCGATTACTTTGTAGAGTGCTACATTCCTCCTGGTATCGGAGCAAACCTGAGTGTTACAGCAACAGTGTCAGATCAATCGATTGATCTTGGATTAAACGATACCATTTCCTATCTTCCACCAACCATCTCCCAGTACAGGATTGGTGATGAAAATAACTTGTTATTCTATGGTACAAACTTTGTTCCAGTTGACCTTGGTGTAACATTCGACGCAGCTACAACCTATGTCAAACTTGTTTATGATAACCACATACAGACATGCACGACCTTCAAGAGTAGCAGCTATATCGAATGTGCCTATTCAAATCAGTTACCAAATACAGCTCAAGTCTTTATTGCTGGACAACCATCAAATATTCTCAATCTTTCACAAGAGTAAATAAATATATAAATAAATATAAATTGTTATATATTTAAATTACAATTTTCTTTTTTTATTATTTTATTCATCAATTCAATAATAATAATAACAATCATCTTTAAAAAAATGGTGTTTTGTAAAAATATTCGACTTTTTTTTTTGAGTATCTGGGCTTCGTGGTTGAATACTGCAATTTTGAACTGCCCAACTGAGAAAGATATTAAGTTTGAAAGACAATTGTCAATCATATATTCGAGGAAATTTAGATGTAAGACGTAATTGACAACTCAGTTTCTATACTGTACACGTATAGTATATCAATATGATGCTTAACTATTAAAGTCAAACAACTTGAAGAGATGAATTCATCAATTCAATTCAATAATAACAATCATCTTCAATACTACAAGAGATATGTTTAAACAAATATTATTATCAAAGAACTTGTTCAATAGAACATTAGGTTATTCGATTCTTAATATTCGATCAAGAACAACACCATACCAACACTTCAATCTCTTCATCATTTGTTAGATTTTCAACAACCAATCAGAATCATGATACCAATACTGATCATAATAAATCAGTTGTTGACGAAACCAAATGGGGTAATTTGTCTGTTTTAAAGTAAGCATATCTTATATAATATAAATATACCTTGAAGGGTAATTTACATGACTTTGTTGATAACAATATCATCTCATTCTCATAGAAACATCCCAGATCCTAAAGTAATTGAAAATATATCGGAACTTGGTTATTTACAAACCTATTGTAGTACTTTGAATGTACAAGATAAAGAAAAACCAAAATATATTGGCAGTGTACTTCTCCATTTTCCAGATGTTAATCGAGAGACGAATCTTTTAATAACACCACTGGTCGCTGCCTTTTACTCTTTTGACCAGTTTAATTTACTCGATCACCTTTCCTATAGATATCCTCGACTATATTTCAATATTTTCCTTCGAATGAGATTGAGCACACCAACTTGGATCGATTATCAAAGTTTCAAAGATAGTATGTAAATATAAACAATTCATTTCGAAAAAACAATTCTAATTCTAATTATTTTCTATTATTTCCAATAGATTCAAGCTTGTCTATTCTCAAGATGTTTAGATACACAATGGATAATGACATTGAATCAATCAAGAGAATATCGATTCCAGAAGCTTTGGACAATCTCTTGTCTCTCCGTGATTCATTCTTTTCATTTGAGAGTATTGCTTATCAAATTACCCTCCAGCTTATCCAACCATTCATTCAAGACACTAAAGTAGAGGATGGTGTTATTTCAATCACAGTTCTCTATTAATAGGTTGTAAGTAAAACGAATCAAACATAATTTTCTCTTATTAATAGATTATTTTTTTCAAAAGACCAATTTTTTGTTGAAATTCCCAATAGATCTGGTGTTTCTTTGCCAATCAGAAATTCAAAGGATGCAAGAATAGTTATGGCTCCACATCCTATACTTTTAAAGGTGACATGGTCATCAAAAGTAGCACATTCAATGAATGAAAATCATCTTGATTGGAAGATATCGAAACTTTATATTTGGGATTCTTTTATTGATGAAATACCACCAAAATATTATTTACACTAATCAAACTTAGAAGATCTTGCTTTAACAACCATTAATAATAATAATAATTAAAATAAAAGTCTAGTGGAGTTTATTAATAGTTTGCTATGATTGATGTATTCCTTAAGATAGATAATCATCGAGAATTCTAAGTGTTTTTTCTGAGTTTGAGTAATCTTTTTACAAGTCTATCTTTGAATTTGACAAGAGTATCGACATAGGTATGTTGAATCTTATGTTCTCTACAATAGCTAATGATTTTCATAATGGTTTCGGTGTATAGATTTTCTCTCTCATGGTAAATACCCAATCAACAATAACTTCGCGAAGATTATAGTTAAACACACCACCACTTGGTCAACTTGAAATTTTTTGATTTACTTTTTTAAAAGCTTTTAAGAAATAATAATAAGATCAAAGTCTGTCACCTTTGTCTATGACTCTATTTTAAGCTTGTTATGGCAATCTATTAATGATTATACATTATCTATTTAAGACATTAATATTTTCTATTGGAAATTTATTTGTTCGATTTCAATGAAACTATCGCTAGTTCCAGATTTTCTTGCCACTACACCTTGACCAGTAAAGTATCCACTTTCTTTCCAACTCTTCATGTCTTCACTTGAGAAACCACTATATACATTTCCATCACTAAGTTTATATTCCCACTGATTATTACCGTTGCTATTACTTTCACCAATACCATTATTATTGTTTGTTGATTGTTGTTGTTGTTGTTGTTGTTGTGACACAGGTGTAGATTTACCAATATCTTTATTTAAAACTGCTTGAACCGATTCTCTTTTATCTGAATAAATATCTATTAAAAAGTTTAGAATAATAGTTTGTTGTAAATAATTAGCTAGTGTATTTTAGATAATAGATAGAAATTAATAATAACATACTCATATATCCATTTGCCAATAAATAATTTGAAGCCTCTGTTAAATCAGAGAATTGTCGTGACTTCAATAATGCTTCATCTGTTTCCATTGAATCATTATTATTTTCTATGTTTGTGTTTGAAGTTGATGTTGTTGATGTTGTTGATGTTGTTGATGTTGTTGATGTTGTTGATGTTGTTGTCGATCTATTTTGTTTCTTTTTTATTGTTGGTTTCTTTATTCCACCACCTAATCTTCTGAGAGCGGTCAGTACAGTCTCACCGGGTTGCAATATCTTCAGTGTGGTAGTGAGTGCATGTCTACGAGTATCACGCTCCTCGATAGTCAGTCCACGACGTTTCTTCAGTGCCAACTCACGATCCTCTTTCACCCATTGATCTTCATCGTCGTCGTCACGCTCCCTCTCCGCTGCCTCAAGCTTGGCCATCTCCTTCCTGCTAACCTTTGGCAGTCGCTTCAACATCACCTCGTCGTACTCCTTGAGCCAAGGATCGTCTTCCTCGTCGTCGACATCCTCCCTCTCGTAGGTTCCATCGGCCTTGAATCTTCCCTCGGATTTCTCTTCCGCCAAATTGAAAGGCACGACATCGATGTCATCTTCAGAGTCATCGTCATCTTCGTATCGCTGCTGCTTCTTCTTCTCCATCTTATTGCCATCCAAATGATGTTTCTCAGTGTCCATCCTATCTTTTAGCAATTGTTTTTGTTCTTGTCTGTCACGTCTATAGTTGTTATTATTATTATTATCGTCATCGTCTTCGTCATCTTCTTGTTCTTCCTCACCTTCAACCGAGCGAATTACACCATCATCGTCTACCTCTTCTTTAAGACGTGTTTGTCTCTCAGAAGCAACAAACAACTTTTCTCTTTTCTTTGTTTGTGCATCTCTTTCCTTTTGTTTTTCATCTGCTCTTCTTATTTGTTCTAATATTTCATCATCATTATATAACTTTACATCATTACTACTACTATTATTACTATTTTTATTATTGTTTGACTCTATGATTCTTACATCAGGATCATTTCTAAATCTAACTTTTTTTCTGTATTTCCATTTTCATTACCACCACTACTACTACTACTACCATTTCCAAAATCATTTTCATGTTTTCTCTTATGACTGTTATTATTATTATTATTATCCATTTTAAAATGACTTAAATATATAAATATTTATTAATAATTAAAAAAAAATCTTTGAACCTCAGTCAAATTGATTAAAAATACCCCATTCATTAATAAAATTTCCAAAATCAACAATATTTTCTTTATTTTACTTATATCATGAAACTTTAACAATTTCTCAACAATCTATTCTTTCTACACTCCATAAGAAAGGATGTAAAACAAAGTAATAATAATTCAGAATTATTATTATTATTTTATTTGAGATAGATTCAAAAAAATTCTTTGATCAACTTCGAAATATATTTTAAAAATAAAATAAAATAAAATAAAAATGAAAATTAAAAAAAAAACAAATTTTGCAAAAAAACGACAAGACTCTTTCGTCTTTATAAATTTAATCAAAAATAAAAAAACAATAATTTATTTATATTTATTTATTTTATTTTAATTGTTTTATTTATTTATTTAACTTTAATAGATATATATTACAGATCTATAGATAATGGCACCTCCACCAAAAGGAAATAAAAAAACAACCACTTTGACTTCTTCGCGAGTTGTCAACAACAGCAAACAACAAACAAATAAAAAAGAAAAGTCTATTTCAGAATTATACGGTAAAAGTGATATAGATGAATGTAAGTATTATTAAAACAAAATAAATAATATATATATATAGATATTTAGTTAATGTTTTATATTAATTTATTATTATTATTATTGTTGTTGTTATTTAGTTATTGATAAAAAGAGTCAAATTAATATAACAAAGAACAAACAAGGTGGTCAAAATTCAAATATTACAAAGAAGAAGGAGATCTTACCTGTTGATGTATCCGATGAAGAAGTAGAGGATTTCGATGATGATGATGACGAAGATGTAGATGGTTTATATGAAGATGACGATGAAGAGTTATTGGATGGTGGTGATGACGATGATTTATATGAAGACGACGAAGATGAAGATGATCTCGGTTTAAAGAAAGCAAAGAATAAGAAGGATTTGGCATCGTTGGACAATCGTGTTGCATGGGGAAAGGAGCGTGATGATTTCTATGGTAATCGTGTCGACGAGGATGAAGTCGGTTCCGAAGACGAAGAGGAGGAGGAACGTGAAGCACTCGCACTCCAAGAACAAAGAAAGAAACTGATGAAAGAGGAAGACTATCAATTCGAAGATACATTCAACAACGTCATCTCCAAGAAACTTTCTGTAGACACCAAGAGATCGATTGACCCAGAAGAAAAGATCTTGGATTCAATGAACAAAGATTTATCATCGATCGACTATGGTAATAAGTAAGTGTTAACAATTAATCATTAAAACAATCGATATACTAATATATTAACTATAATTATATAAATATAGTCAAGATATTGAATTATTACAAAAGAATCTATCAAATTTCACAAAGAAAGAAAAGTTACAATATTTAATGCAAGAGTCACCAATCTTGTTGCAATTACTCGATGACTTTAAATCAAAGATTGAAGAGATTAAATATACACTCATTCCAATACTAGAGAAAGTAAAGACCGAACAATTACCAACATCCAAAGGAATAAGCTTTTTAGAGACAAAATATCGTATGTAAAACAACAACAACAACAACAATAATTAATGTTAGTCAAAATTATAGAATACTTTATTAATTTATATCTATTATAGATTTACTATTAAGTTATTGTTTAAATATTACATATTTCTTGATGTTGAAAGCATCGGGATCATCTATTAAAGATCATCCAGTGATTGACCAACTGGTAAAGATACGTACGATCTTGGAGAAGATCAAACCTCTGGACAACAAGTTGCAATATCAAGTCGAGAAGCTATTGAAGGCTGCCACTCTCGGTGTCGTTCAACAATCGAAAGACGATCCAATGCGTTTCAAACCGAATCTCAGTGAGTTGGCTGCTGGCGGTGACGATGACGACGACGACGCCGCTATGATGCGTGAAGCGAATTTGTATATGGTACCACAGACCGCTTCGGAGCGTAGCGAGAAAGAAGCATCGGCAGACAAGAAACGTCAACAACGTGATCTCGCCAAGAAGAAGAAGGCTGCCAACTCGACCATTGCCAAATTCATGGAAGATGAATACGGTGATGCACCAGAGGAACTCAACGACGACTACGACATGCTCGAGAAGGAAGACGATGAAGACAAAGAGGTCAAGGAGTACGAAGAGAACAACTTTACACGTATCACACAAACCAAGAAAGATAAAAAGAAAGAAAAACAAAGAAAGTTATCCGATGGTCTTAGTGTAAGTGTTACTTATTAACAAATCAATAACTAATCTAGATTATATAATAGATACTAACATATTTGATAATTAATATCTATATAGGATTTATCTGATTTCAATGATTTAAGTGGTATTTTGGGTGAAGAAGATGATAAAGAGGAACGTGAGAATAGAGAGTATTTGAAGAAGAAGAGAATGGAAGCTGCTTTACAAGCTGCCAGTAGTAGTAAGAGATCTAGATCGGCCGATGAAGACATTCCACTGCAAGAGAGAAAGAAGAATAAGTTGGCTCGTAACAAACCGGTTGAGGATGACGATGAGGTGATAGAGTCCGACGGTGAAGAGGAGTACGATGGTATTCCAAGAGCAGCAGGCGATTACTTTACACATGACGACGTCGCAGGTGACAAGAGAAAGATTACCAAGCAAATCGAAGTCAATCGTGGTCTCACCCGTTATCGTAGCAGAGAGCAACGTACTCCACATCTTAAGAATCGTAAGAAGTTCGACGAAGCCACAAAGAAGCGTAACAACTCAGTGTCCAAGGCAACCAGACAATCTGGAAGTTTCAAAGGTGTTAGCTCTGGTGTACCAAGATCCGTTAAGAGTACAACATATCTTCATTAAATTATATAATAATAATAATAATAATAATAATATTAATAACATATATTATAACTTTTTTAAAAATAAAATAATATATAACTTTTAAAAAGTTAAGAACAATTGTTTTGTTTTGTTTTGTTTATTTATTTTAAACAAGTACATGTAGTAGTTTAATTTAACTTACTAACTATTGAAATGAATCAATGATAGTCTGTCTTATTAATTAATTGATTATTATTTTTAAATACCAAAAACATATTCAGATATCTTTGATATCAATGATGGTTTGGTTGCATTGGATTGTGAGTTGTTATTGTAATCTGATGGGTCGTAGTTTCTTCTATATGGTGTATATGTTTCTATTTCTTTAAATGGTAGTTGTGTATTTTGTTGTTGTTGTTGATCTTCTGTTTTCTATTTGTATTATAATAATATTAGTTAAATGTAAATAACATAACATGTGATAGTTATAAAGTTATAAAGTTTATAAACTTACAATTGCTTCTTTATAAGGTGTTATACCAATCATACAATTTCCAATGATCATACCATTCTTTGCTAGTAGATCTTGTGCAATTGCTTCACTTTCAAGTTTAATGTATAACCAGTTGGAGTTACTGGATGGTGGATATTTAATTTCAACTATGTGTGCACTCGATTCTATTTCGTCTAGTACTACATCGCTTGCTGTCTGTGGGAATCCAAAGATAGTGACCCAACGTCTATCATACTTGTCGGCGTACAACGGTAGATTCTCTGTTGCCGCTGTATAATAGAGTGAGGTAGACGGCAGCATCGAATTATTGGCATTCATCATATTGGTCGATTGCAATGCCGACATTGTCATAAGTTGATTATTGCTTGCAGATGCAGGTGAAATACTATTGTTTCCAAGTGTAGAGATTGATAGCTGTTGTTGTTGTTGTTGCTGATGTTGTTGAAGAAGTTGTTGTTGTTGTTGCTGCTGTTGCGATAGCTGCGAAGATTGTGAACCAAACAACTGTTGTTGTTGTTGTAGCTGTTGTTGTTGTTGAAGTTGTAGATGTAATTGAAGTTGTTGATTCTGACTCTGTTGTTGTTGTTGTTGTTGTACTGCTGGTGAGACTGGTGTCTCAAAGAATGAAAGTGGTGGAATTTGGTTGGCTACATTACTGTTGTTGCTGACACCACCGATGTTGCTAACTGCTGTAGAGGCAGGCGATGGATCGTCGTAGATAGATGTTCTCGGTATATAGTCTTTGTCGATCATCATTGTCATCATGGAGGATTGCGATTGATTCGGTTGGTGATGTGATCTCATTGTGGTGGTCATTGGCGATGACATCATAGATGAACTATTGATATTGTCACCCCCGAATCGCGACTTTAGCGAATAGGAATATGGTGTTGTTGGTGACAGTTGTTGATGACCGTGATGGTGGAGCGAGCTATAGTGATGACCGTGATGATGATGTTGTGGCGATGTTGTAACAAGCGAATTGGAGTCACCTGGTGAAGTTTTTCGCTTGTCGGTGCTGCTTGACAAGAGGTCGGATCGCTCCTGACTGAAGATCCGACTCGGTACGTAATGTTTGTCTTGCGATGGTTGTTGTTGTTGTTGTGATTGTTGTTGTTGTTGTAGTGTCTGATATTGTTGTTGTGAAATTGAGAACGATGGATTGCTGCTATTGTTTGTATTGGTTGTACCAGTACCTATGCTAGAAATCGAATTACCACCGGCACTACTCGATTGTCCTCCCAAGGAAGACAACGAACCTCCACCGCCGCTTAAACTTTGCCCAAAACTACTATCATAATTGGTTGAATAATTTTCCAAACAAAGACATCTCTTCCCTTCTCTTTTTCTTTGTTAATTTTCGTTTTCAACTAAATTTAAAACTAATCAAAATCACACAACAAATTCATAAATAAAATTTTTTGATAAATTTTTTTTTGCAAAATAGATACGTTAAATTTTTTTGAATTCCAAAAGTGATCATCAAAAATATTTGCGCTTTAAAAGTGTTTTTTTTTTTAAACAATCATTATTCTTACTACACTTCAAAAATCATATAAACAAGCAAGATATAATAGATAACTAAAAATATTCAATTAATAGTATGTATATATAGTTTATTATTCAATGAATTGAATAGCTGTTATTTATCTTTTGAATTATCAAAATATTTATTTTTTTACTTAAATATTCTTATGTTTATTTTTTTTTTTTTTAGATATTTATTTTTAGAGGTTGTAGTTGTTCATGACGGTTTGCATCAATTCTAATATAAACATGATATCTACTCATCCACCCATTGTTTTTAATATCGGGGTATTGATCGAGATATGGGAAACCACTTTTTTGATTTAAGTGGTGATGGTAGCATCCCTTATTTTTATTTTTTTGTGTGCACCTTTTTTTTTTTTTTCAAGATTCTTTTTTTGTTGTTTTGATACCATGTTTGTTTTGTTTATTTATAAATTAAATAAATCAGTCGGAAATAAACAACACCCATTGGGGATGGTTCCCAAACCATTGTGTGAGTGTGTGGTGGTCCCCTTCATCCGACAACAAACAACACCCACTAATCCATCATTCACAACCTATTTGCTTCATTGTGTGTCACACCTAATCGTGTTTATCGCATCGAGACACTTTGAATGAGGATAAGAAGAAAGACTATAAACAATCAAATCTATAATGCATGACACACCGACACACACGCACCTCCATATTTCATCAATCAATTCAACAATTCAATTGCCTATTCAAATCGACATAACACTATAAGATTTATTCAACACTATTTCCGAATCGGTAATCATGATCTCTCTTTCCTCCATTGAAAAGCAAAATGTCTCCAACAATTTAATTAAATTAAAAAAAAAATACAAATCTAGGGGATGTTCAATGTTTCCCCATTTTGTTGAATCATTGCATTTCTATTCCTTTCAAATTCCTCCAAAGCTTTAGATTCTCTTTGATTATTTTTTAAACCAATTAATGGGCAAACACCTTTTCAATAAAGGGTTTTTTTTATTTTTTTTTTTCTTTTGATGGACCATGGTATTATTTGTGAAAATATATGTCAAGGATTAATTTTTATCGGAGCAACTACAATTTAAATTAAGATATTTTTTTAAATATTGGTAACAACCAACAACTGTTTTGTTTTTTTTCTTTTAAATAATTTAATTACGTAATAATTGATTGAGTGATTTCAATTCCCCATATTATAATATCATACAACTTGAAACCAAAATTCATTTATTATTTTTTTTGCCTCTAATTTGCAAATTTAAATAAATAAATAAAATGTCAAATTATTTAAAGCATATACAGCTTTTATGTATTATATTTATATTTTTTAACTTTGTTAATTATTCCAATGGTTTGTTTTTTTTTTTTAATATTGTATATAAAAAATAATTATATTTAATAATTAATTTATTATTTTATTTTAGGATCTCATTTTAGATATGGATCAATAACATGGTCAACATCACCAACAGATCCATTGTATTATCAATTTTCTATAAAAGTTGCATTCAGAGCATCTTTTTTCTACCCAACTCCCAGTGTTAATTCGACACTCAGCTATGGATATATCACCATTTATGAATCCTTTGATAAATTCGTATCATGCGGAAGTAGTTGCTCTCTTAAATCAATATATACAAACTTTATTGTAAATAACGTCGAGAAGGCCACCGATTGGGTCACCGCAGAGATGATTTTATATCAAACCTTCCCAAATAATGGAACTAGATATGTAAATTACTATGATAATGCACGTTTATCAAATTTAGCAAATAATGCAGATGGTAAGTAATTAATTATTATTTTCTATATTTTTTTAATTGATTTCTAATATTATTATTTATTTTTATTTTTTAACCAGGTGATTGGAATGTTGGTACTGAAATTGCTTTATCAGCAAACGGTGGATCTTCACCAGCATCCGGTTTGTTGCCAATTATGAATTCCTATGTTGGCATTCTCAAGCAATGGCAAGTTCCAGTTGCCGATCTGACACCACGTGCTCAATTCGCTTTTGAGTTGGCTTCCTATGATCTGATGAGGGGTGTTCAGCCAACCGGTATGTCAATTTCAACCAATGGACTGGTTTCTTTCAATGCCACTCAAACCGGAATGTGGTCGGCACAGTTCAAGATTAGCAAGTATGTCGACAGTAATTTCATTTCATCGGTTGTAATCGATTTCCTAGTGAATTCTACTATGCCACCTGCCAATTTGCCAAAACCACCAGTTTTTATTGCACCCACACCCGATGAGAACAAGGTAGTTGCCATTAATGCCACCACAGCATCCACATTCACCATCGTTGGAAAAGCATTCAAAACAACATCGTCAGTCACCATTTCAATTGGAAATGTTCCAGAGGGAATGGTAGTTGGACAACAAGTCGACAATCCAACCAATGTCGGAACTATCATACTTAGTTGGACACCCACTTCCTCACAGGTTGGTGTTTTTGTAATTTCACTTGGTTTGGTAGATAGTGATGGCAATCAATTGGCACAAGGTGTCTATTCCTTCTACATTGAAATTCGTATTCCAACCTGTGGAAATGGTGTCCCCGACACTGTGAATGGCGGATGTATTTGTAACACTGGATGGGCTGGTCCGAGCTGCACTGAATGTGACAATGGATACTATGGTCCCTATTGTAAGCCAAATCCTCCATGTGAACACGGAACTGTCAACAGTGGGATCAATGGTGACGGTGCTTGTATTTGTGATCAAGGTTGGATGGGTGAAACTTGCAATTCCAGTTTGTCACAGAGATGCGATCCAACCGCTCCAAGTTACATAGTAAACCAGATCAATTCACCAAGTAAATTGGTACAGCCATCAATCGCCCAAATATACTTAAACAAAGACACCAATTCTCCTGTTAAAGTTGGATTGAATATATCATCTTTGGCCACTGCCCCTACCGACATCTATTTCGTTGTCGATGTTTCCTCAGCTTCTTCCATCAATTCTAAATACCTGAAATTCCAAAGTGCCTATCGTGATTTTGAAATCAACGCTGGATTTGAAAATATAAAGTATGGATTGGGATATTATTCCGATAGTGTCGGCCAGCCAAACACATTCCAATTGAAAGCACTGCTAAAACCATCGATTTGGGACGAAATCCAACTTTTGGAATTCAAAGTTGGTGCTCCACAAGCCAACTTCCAATACCAAGCTTTGAGTCAAGCCATTTCCAATGTTCAATGGTCTGCCACTGGATCCGTCAGAATCATGATATTGGTAACCGACAATGATATTACACCGACCGACTTTACTTTGATTCCAAAGCTCCAAGTTTTGTTGGCAAAACACAATATCCTCTTGGGTGTCTATTGTATGAGTACAGTTAATTCCTACTTTTGGTTAACACCAGACCTTGGTATGTCATCGGCTTGGTTAACAACCGATTTATTCTGGTATTCTAAAATGTTGTCGAATATTATCAAGCCAATGAAGACCGTTCCACAAACTACCGTTTCAGGTGACATTATCTATATTTCCAATGGTCCAAATCGAATTACCAACGAATATTTTGAGACTACCTTCAGCTATGTCCAACCACAAAATCCAACTAGAGTACAAACTGCCACTCTCAACGTTGTTGGATTCGGTTCTCAATCTGTCCAGATTCACTATAACCATGCACCAGTCACCACATCGTCCAATTTAACATTGCTCGAGAATTCCAATGTTGTCTTCAACATCCCTGCTTCCGATGAAGACGGAAATATTCTACTCATTAAATTCAATACAATTCCAACCCAAGGAGTTTTATTTATGAATGGTTCGCAAGTATTCTCTGGTATTCTCTATCAACTACCATCCGTCCAATCCAACCTCTTCAATTATGTTCCAAATCATTTCTCATATGGTGTGGATCAATTAACCTACACCGTAGACGATGGATGTGCATCCGTTGACGGATTGGTAAACTTTACCATTACATATGTAAATGTTGCTCCAGTTTGTAACTCCACTACAATTAAAACCGATCAATACACCGAATATCTCTTCCCAATTCAATCTGTCGATTTGAATTCTGACGTTGTTACCATTTCCTTCAAGGGTTTATCATTGCTTAGTACCATCGGTAGTATATTTGCTCCGGGTAATATTCCAGTCGATGAAGGTCTTCAATATCCAAACAATACCTACTTCCAATTCGTTCCAATACAAAGCGCACCCAGCACCACTGTATCCATCCAAGTGTATGTTACCGATACCAAATTAACCTCCCAATGTTCAATCAATATCCAAATCGTTAGAAAAGCAGTCATTCCAACCATTAACATCAATACCAATCAAATTATGAGACCAGATTCAAGATTGTACATTCCATTCACTGTTTCGGATCCAGATCCAAATGAAGTCGTTGTTATTTCATTGTATTCCATCCAATTGACTAAAGGAACATTCTATGATTCCAATAATGTTCCTATTACCGGAAATTCTTACACACTTGGCACATACACAATGACTTCACAATCAACAACTATTTCCTCTACCATTTCCTATCAATCGGCCAATGAAAACTATGCTGATACAAGTTTCACCATAGGAGTTGATGATAGCTCTGGACTATCAGCTTCCACTTCAGTTTCAATTTTAGTTAATGGAATTATTTCACCATATCCACCTGTTGCCCAACAAATTGCTCAGTTGACAGTCGCCCAGAACAGTGTTACCTCAGTGTTTGTTTTGAATGGTAGTCACCCACAACAACCAAGTTATGCCGGAGGTTTCAAAATTTCATTCCTTAGTTCTCCACAACATGGAACCATATTGAGAAGCAATGGAAACACTATTCCATCGGTTTTACCAACACCATTTTCATTCACATACAAGCCAGTTTCCAACTACTTTGGAGAAGATCAATTTAGTTACTATGTTAAAGATGATTCTGGTCTGCCATCCAGTCCAGTCACAGTGGCTATCAATGTTACCAAAGTTGACTATGCACCAGTGATCTCAATCAATCCATCTCAAATAGTAACAAGCAACACTTGTCCAAGTTCACCACAATCCGTCAACATTTCATTGACTATCAACAACATCAATCCAATGACCAATTTAAGAGTTACTGTAATCCATCCACCAACTATTGGAACTCTATTCTCTGATGGACAACCAATTACTACACCATCATTAATCGATCCAACCAAGCCACTCCAATATCATCCAAGTGTTAATGGCTATGAAAACTATGATGAAACCTATGAGATCCAGGCTTGTGATGTTCTCTGTTCAAGTATTGTTGGAAGAGTAAATTCCGAGAGTATTCCAACAAAACCAACTGGAGAGGGTAAATCGTTGGTAACCATTCAGAATCAACAAGTTTCTTTCACATTGGTTGGAAATGATTGCCAAGATTCCGCAAATGTTAAATATCAATTCTCTTCACTTCCAAAGTTTGGTGTATTATTTGATGCAAGTGGATTAACAATCAATTCAACCGATCAAATATTTAAATCCAATTCATTCACCTACTCACCAAACAAAGATGAATCCGATCTCAATTCCATCGGTGGAAAAGGACCACTTGAATCATTCTCATATTTTGTCATCAACAAACACTCTATCGGTTCAATCACCTACCCAATTGATATATCAGTCAATCCAATTCCAATGTTCATTGGTGAAAGAAATCTTACCACTCACGAGAATGTCAAGCTTACAATTCCAATTAAAGCAACTGCACCAGAGGGTGATAGATACGTAATGAATATCACAAGTTTCACTGGAAATGGACAACTCTATTATTTCAAAAACGGTAACTCTCAAATCAATATTTCCTCGACTGGATTGGTATTAGATGAACAAAGCTATGTACTTTACTATATGCCACCAAACAATACCTATGGAGTCAATGTCGATAGTTTCCAATTCGCAATCAAACAAAGATATTCATCTGAAATCTATACAATCTATATCGATGTAATCCATGTCTTTAGAGCACCACGTTTAGTTCCATTAACATACACATTCAACGGAACAGTTCTCCCAATAATTAATAACAATGTCGAATTACATGTAAATACATCGAGTATCATTACATTCAATGTTACTTCAGATGATCATCCATGGACAGAGCTAAAATCAACATTTGGAAGTGGTTTGACAACTGGTGGTGTCGTTTGCCAATATGATTCAAGTGTAGAGAATGGATGTGGTTCAATTCTAACTTTTAATACTGAAATCAAACGCTCTGCCAATGATAATCTTTGGAGAGTTGTTTATATCCCAACCAAAGGTCGTTCCGGTTTGAAACTTTCACAATTCACTCTGATTGGTACCGATCCTTTGAATATGACACAATCTGAGAGATTATTCATGTCGGTCATCCGTATTAATATCCCACCGGTAGTCAATGTCAACCAACTTCAATACAATACAACAGTCAGCATCCCCATTTCACTTAGCAACATCACAGTTTTCGATCCAGACTCCGATAAGAACAACATCACATTCACCCTATCCCTACAAGAATCATCAACAAATCAACTCACCCAAAACGGTTCAATTGTAATGCCATTTGCCTCGCCATCTGCATGCAACATCTCTAGCAATCAAATTACCTGTCTCGACACCAACCCAGTGCTCAACATGTATTTAAATACACTATCACTAACACTCAACAATACTGGATCCTACCAATTGATTGTCTACGTCAACGATCTAGGTTACAACGCAATGAATAGAAGTCAATATATTCTAAGCGATAGCAAGACCATTGCTATCATAGTGTCACCCTCACAAAGCGGAGGTGGTAAGAAGAGTAACACCGTCATTCTCTCAGCAGCAATCGCAGCAGCAGCCGTAGCAGCAGCTTTGATCGCGCTTGGAGTATGGCGTATTTTGAAATCGAGAGCACCTCCAACCGATTCCTTCTTTGGAGAGTCTCCATTCAGCGAGGGTTCTGTTTCAACGAATCCATTATACAAAGAATCACCCAATTCTGGTTTTAACCCACTCTATGATAATAATCATGCTTAAAGTGTGGATAATTGTAATAAATAAATATTAACTTTAGTATTTTTTGGAAAATTAAATCTAATGATATTGCTAGTAATTTTGTATTGATTTATTTTAACCTTTTCTTATTTCATCCAATGTGTTTAACAAAGTTGCTGTTGTTTTATTCTTCTTTGTTGTGTCTAATTTTGGATTTCATTTTGTTTATATTAAAGTTAAGCATCATATCTGTAGAAGGTATAATTCGATCGAAATCGTTTTCAGTATACTGAACCGGATTATGACCTTGAAGCATTACCCAGTGTACTTTATCTTGCAAGATATCATAGATATCATATACCATAGTGTTCTCTTTCCAAGTTGGAATATATAATAGAGATAAACACAATGACACAAATCTCGTTGTTGGGTATTTATAGAAGTTATTAATGATTAAATATAATCCAGTGGTTGCCAATGATTGATTTAAATTCTAAAATATAAAAATAAAGATAATAATTAGTCTTCAAGTCTTAATCTTTGAATTTACAATAAAGCGCTTTGAAACAACTTACACCTGAACGTTTATAATTGTATAATAAAATAGTTGCTGGACTTAATAAAGTGAAGAATAAAGATCGCAACTTGTGTCCTAATAATACTCGACGTGTAATGATTTGATTGTTATCTACTGGATTGAATGGGATCGATGAGTATGGTGCTGCAGAGGCTAGAGCATTTATAGATGATATCTCATCCTCTCTTCCTGGATAGAGACAGGTAACATAGAACTGAATGAGAGGAAGACCATTGGCATCGATAATGGTTTGTATATTGCTTTTGGAAAGTGCGAATCTAGAAAGTATAATAGTACACATTCTACGAACACCAAAAGTTACCTTTGGATTGGTACCGAGTGATACTACATTTCTAATAACTTCAATAGGTGCATTTTTATCTAAAAAAAGAAGATATGGTATTATAAATATTAGACTTTTATAGCATACGATATAGTAGTCAACTTACAATCTTCTGTTAAAAATGAAAATATTCTTGTTAGAGATTCTCTTAGATTGAGAAGTTTTAGGATATCTGTAGGACACTTGTGCATATCCATATAGAAATAGACAGCGTAAAGTGGAATTGATTTTCCTTGTGAAGCTTGGAGTGATTTCTCTCTGATCAATTCATCGATGTTGGCTATGCAGTAGACCACTTTATTGTAGATCTCTGGCAATTGGAACAACTTTCTATACTCTGGTATATCTTGAATCAAATTAATGAATAATTGAACTCTTTCATTGCTATAGTAGAGCGATGACAACTTGGTACCATCGATTTCATTCTTTGGTGCTGAAGCATCATCTAGCAGATCCATTAATAGTTGATGTGATTCTTCATAGGTCATCCATCCCTTGATGTCTGTCTTTGGTTGAGGTTTATCTTTTAGAAAACCAACTATTAAATATATAATTAAAAATAAACATATTAGTGAAGGAATGAATATATATTAATCTATATTTTATAATATAAAGATAAATTACCACTTTCATATAGACCATAAGCAAAAAAGAAATAATCAAACCATGATATGTTCGAAATTCTATTAATCAAAAATTGTTTAGATGTACCAGTTGCTAATATGCTCAACAATTGTGATGATCCTTGTGCTATTATAGATTTGAAATCTGTTGCCATTTTATCTCTTTCAAAATGAAATTTATTATTATTAAAATAAAATAAAATAGGAATACTGATCAGATATTAAAAATCTGGATATTATTTTTGGAAATGGGCTTTTTTTTTTTGATCATTTTTCTGTGACACTTCACACAAGTTAACTAAATGCCCAATCTGAAGATTTAAAAGAGATAATAAAGTATTATTATTTATTTTAATAAATTTTCGAAAACAATAATAGAATTTGTTGCGTTTGGATACTTTGAAAACAATTCCTTTTTGATGGACTCTAATCTATCCTTTGAAAAAGAAATATTTTCAACCATCCATTGTACATTATTGCTGGAATCTTTGTTGAAAAGATGTTCAAAAATAATTTTGATAGATTCTATTGTCTGGAATTCGCTTCTATTTTCGTAGAGCCATTTTACCTTTGTTCGCTGATGTGATTTAATTCCGTTTCTCAAGACTTTTTCGGTGAATGGTATATCCATATTCTTGTGGAGCCACCATAATATAGACATGTCTTTTAGTTTTGCTGCTAGTTCAACTCCAGCCTCTGTACAGCCTTCCGTTCTATTTTCATGTAACCATTTGACAACTTCAAAATGATTGTTTCTAATTGCTTTGTCCATTGTCTTTGCAGAGAAACCTTGCATTACGTTATGATTTATATTCTCATGGAACCATTTCAAAACAGATAAATGGCCGTTGGAGGAAGCGCCATTAATTGCTCTCGCTGAAAAACCTTCAGTCCTATGTTCGTGAAGCCATATCAAAATTTCCAGGTGCCCATTCTCTGCAGCTTTGTTCATTGCAATCCTTGAGCATCCTTCAGTCCTATTGGAATGCAACCATTTCACAATTTCAGAGTGGCCGTTGCCAGCAGCTTTGTTCATCGATTTCAAAGTGCAACCTTCACTCCTATTGGAATGCAACCAAATCACACAATCGAAATGTCCGTTGGCAGCTGCACCGTTCATAGCCAAAGTGGATGTGCGATATCCACTCTTATTTTGGTGCAACCATTTCAGCGCTGTAAGATTACCTTCAGTCGCAGCGCTGTTCATTGCTTTACTCTTGTTCCTCCTGCCCTTATTCAAGAATCTCAAAACGTCTTGTCTCTCCTCCACGCTCAAGTTGAAACTGGTCGGTCTTTTCATTGACAAGTGTTGTTCGAAGATTGCAACCGATTCACTGGCACTCTCTAGAAATGGATACAAATAGGTTTCCATCCTCGACAACTCTGACATTGTGAACTCCATGTTTTTCAGCACCCATTCTAGATTGACGTGATCGTTGACATCGAAAAGTGGAGCCATTATACTGACTATATTGAGCTTACGAATATCTTTCTGTCGGTTGACCAATAACCATCTTAATATCTCACTATCCTGGCTGAATGACTTCTTGTAACAATGATAAGTGACTGCTTCAGTACGGTTCTCATGTAACCATGTGAGCATCTGTTGATTACCATTGCGGATAGCCCAATACATTGGACTATAGATATAGATCTCTGCCTTTTCTCTGTATCTTTTAATCCAGTCATTTCCTTTCTTCAAAGATACATCCTCTCTTTTTTCTTTTCTATTGTGTAACCATTGTAAAATACTGAAATTATTATATCGTGCAGCTGTTACACTGAATCTATAAAGATAGTCTTCATTAACATATCTAAATATATATTTACATAAATATATATTCTTAAATATTTTTAAGAATATTTGTTTATCCATTATTAAAGGTGAACAAATATAAAATTTAAATTATATCAATAAAATAGTATCATCACGATGAGAGAAACAATCATTTATTTTTCTCAAATATTTTTTCCAATAAAACCATAAAATATGTTATCGCGAGATGGTGAACTTATTCTTTTTATCATCTAATTGATTTGTTACCTTTTTAATAATATTATAGGTAGATTTATAAATAAAACACACATCCTATGCAATCACTATTATCTGTTACATGTAAAATTTAACTTTAAAATGAAACAGACTCTTTTTCATCATAGATATTTATTTTTCTTAGAAAAAGTTGTGCACAAAGCTTGAAAAAAAAAAAAAAAGGAATAATCCAAACAAAGACTTTTTTTTTATAGACAACATCATTAGTTTTATTAGTTCAATGTACCTCTACATTTAGCTGATTTACAGAGACATGGAATCTTAACATCTTCAATAGGGAACTTATAGTCATATGTTATTTCCTCACCGATCATGATATCTCTCTTTGCATAGATTACAATCTTTTTCTGATTTCCAGTTTGAATGATTTTTGCAATACAATTTGGCTGTTGTTGTTAATAGAATAGTTAGTAAACATGTTGGACCTTCGATCGAATCTATTAATTTAGTTAACACTTACATCACAACAGTGATTGATGAATCTTGCAAGATTTCCTTTGAATGTAGCATCGATAATGGTGTCGTCGTCGATTCTAAAGAGGTAGCTGCTACCGATACCTTTCTTGGTGTAACGTTTCTCACGCTCGTCTGCAACCTTTTGACGGATGACTTCACCGATATATTCGATAACCATATCTTTTGCGGTGATCGGTTCCAATGCAAACAAACCCCAGTCGTGAATGGCAGATCTTGAGAATTTGATCTTCTTCTTTCTCGAGGTCAGTACGATGTCGCCACCCATTCTGCTCTCGTAACGACTGCTTCTGGCCGATCTCGACAGATCCAGATCGATGCCGGCAGTAGTTCTTCGTACGGTAGTCGATTGCAGCTTTTTCTTTTTCTCGCTATACTTTGAGTATGGTTCTGTTCTTGCGGAACCAGATGGATTGACAGGCAGTTGACTTAATAGTTCATCTTCTTCCTCCTCTGCTTGTTGTTGTGCTTGCTCCGGTGTCAATTCGTCTTCTCCTCCAGCCTGGTTGATAACATAATCCATAAAGTATGCATCTTCTTCATCGGGAGCGAGTTGTGCCATAATTGCATCGTCTTGAAGTTGTTGTTGTTGTTGCTGTTGTTGTTGTTTCTTTGTTGACCTTGACGATTTGTTCTTACTCTCACGTTCAGCTCTAGAGGTAGATATCTTTTTCTTCTTTTTCAACTCTTGTTGTTGACGTTTCTTTCGTTCTTCCACCACCTCCAATCCATACAAATCCGACTCGGACATTGATTCCTCGGAATCATCATTGGCATGTACAGGTGAAGATAGTTCCAATTGATCTGTTGATGATTGTCTATTTCTTCTTGATCTGCTACTTGATGACTTTTCTTTCTTAACGGCTGTGGATTGTTGTTGTTGTTGTTGTTTGGATTTATGTCCACTACTACGTCTATCACGATTTCTTCTTGATCTCGAAGATGATATCTCTTGGTCGCTATCACTATCACCATGATCTATAAATTGTCCTTCCTCCTCTTCATGCTTATCGTACTTATTTGAATGTTTCTTGAACGATGGCAAAGATCCAAAGTCAATCGACTTTTTAACTCCGCTCGTTTCCGCAGACATCGATGAGAACAGTGTGTTGTCTGACGAGTTGGCAAAGTCACGTGAAATCGATGCACCCGATGATGATAGCAGCTGTTGTTGTTGTAGCTGCTGTTCGGTCAGCTCATCGTTTTCACCAAGAATGTCAATCTTTTCTCTGCTCTGTTGCTGTATCTCTATTGCTTTGATGGCAGCGGCAATCTCTGCCTCCACAATCACTTTCTGAGCATCGACAGCAGCAATCGAAATCAACTCGTCACACACTAACTTCTGACAAAGATCCCTTAGGAACTCTGAGTTCTCCAATAATAATTTCTTTCTATCTACAATTGGTTGTTGTTGTTGTTGTTGTTGTTGCTGTTGCTGCTGTTGTACAGGTGAAGTTGATGATATCTTTAGTTGCTTACTGCTATCATTCGATATATCATCCATAACTTTATCAACAATTTTTTCTTTCTTTTCATCTTTAACAATAATATTATCAATCTTTGGTTGTTGTGGTTGTACAGATGGTTGTTGTTGTTGTTGTTGTTGTTGTTTTGGTTGTAAAGATGGTGATGGATGTGGTTGTTGTGGTGGTACAATAGGTGGTTGTTGTGGCATTTGATCAAATTCTATATTTTCACTATCAAGTGGTCTTATCTGAATATTCAATTTGCAATTCTAAAATTATTTTGGTATATGAATAATCTGAACGTTGAATGAATGATTAACATTATTAACTTACTTCATAAAAAGTTCCATTATTTTTAGCGATTGCACCATCTCTAAGTTCTTTGTTACGAAAATCGACATACCAATAGACATCGTCGTAGTAAACATTGAAAGGATCGAATGGCCTGAAAAGTTTATAGAGTTTGTCACGTTGTCGTTTGTCTCGAGGCAGTGCTGGACTGAATGGTATCTGTACAGAGAATGGTGTTTGTCGACCGAATCTTGGTTTCGGTTTGAACATTGGAAGTGGTGGTTGTTGTAATAGATGTGGTGGTGGTGCTGCTCCCGCTCGTAAACTAAGAGGTGGTGGGAAATACTCTGGATAGTCTTCGGGAATTGGTGATCTCGATGAATCTGTTGGATGCAATGGGTCGTATGGCTGCTCCATGTGTAGATGGTGAAGATGATGTTGATGATTGTGATAGTGATGTTGATGCATTTGGTGCAGGTGAAACTGTTGACTCTTGGTGAGCAGCGCTGGATTGGTTGGTAGTGGAATCAAAGGTGTTTTCGGTACAAGTGGTGGAGATACCAATCCCATATGATGATGAGGTGGGATTGAATGTGGATGTGAAGTTGTTGGTAGATGAGGAGGTTGTTGTAGCTGTTGTTTAGAGTCATAATGATTGTCAAAGTAATCCATTTGATAATAATCTTGACCTGTTGATCCTGCTGAGGTTGGTGGTATTTCTTTCTCTGAAGAAATGTTTGGTGTAGATACTGCTGTTGCTGATGTTGGTGCTGTTGTTGATAATTGTGACAATGTCGATGTTGATGAAGAAGAAGAAGAAGTTGGAGTTGTTGTTGTCGATGAAGTTGGTGATGTTGTTGTTGAGCTATTTGATAAATTAATATTGCTGTTACTGCTGCTACTGTTTGATACACTTTGTTTCAATGCTTGAATTCGCGACAGTCCAAACTGAGTCATCCACTCACCAACCGGTGCGTTGGAATAGGAGTTGTTCAGGTTGATTGCAACCGATCCGTATTCAGAGATACCAAGATCTTTGATGAGTTGTCGAGATGTGGTTGCCGGTTTCTTGGACAACATCGAGTCAAACAGTGATTGAGAGAGGTGTCCGAGTGGATCGAGATTGATTCTTATGCGACTGCCGTGTATCACTGGATTCTCACTGAATTGCTTTATAGAATTGAGTGCACTCGACATCTCGTTGAAGCTAACACTGGCAATACCAGAGCTAACTTTGCTGCTGCTGTTGTTATTGACCTGCAGGTAGTATATCTTTATCCTGTCGATGGTTCCATAGCGTTGGAAGTTGTCGCGAATCACCTTCTCGTCGACGGTAGCCGGCAGTCCTGAGAGATGTATGGTTCTCGGTATTTGAATGACCTGTGTATTCTTGTCACTGATGAATATGGGAATCGGTAGATCCACTGTTGAGAGTGGTGCCGATGGAATCGATGGTAGTGTTAGTGGTGTTATCAGCGATGATGATGATGATGATGATGTGAGAGTGTTGGGTGGTGTGTTGAATAGACTGTACGGATGATACTCTCTCGGATCGATAAACTCTGAGTAGATGTTGTCGACTGCGTCACTCTCAGTGACATAACCATTGACACGGTATTGACGTTCGCCACTCCCGAGAGCACCCTCACCCAGAACAATCCAATCGCAAGCTGCACGCGATCTAATAGGAAATGGTGGTAAGTTTGGTTCATATTCAAACTTTGGTTTCAGTGATTGCTTTATCAACTTTTCCTTTTGTTCTTCACCTGAAATTACTATAGATTTTGGTAATGTTTTTGGTACTGTTGTTGTTGTTGTTATTGATTCCGATTCATTATTAATTGGACTACTATTATTATTATTATTATTATTATTACTATTACTATTATTTCTTGATGATGATAATGATGATGTATTTGTAGTTGATGGTATTGAAGTTCTTCTTTGTGTTTGTTGTGGAGGTGGTGATTTCCTGAAATTTGAAGTATTAGAAGAAGAAGAAGAAGAAGATAAAGGTGAAGGTGAAGGTGATCTTGATCTCGATGATTTCGTAGTTGTTGTTGTATTTGTATTATTAGTATTTCTTTTAGTTGGTGTTGGTGTTGTTGTTGTTGTAGGCAAAGATGAAGATGATGTTGTTGGTGTAGGTGTTACAATAGCTGATCTTGGTGGTGATGACAATCTTTTATTGTTTAGTAATGGCTGTGCAACTACTTGTTTAGGTGGATGTGTTGGTGTTGTAGGTGTTGTCGGGGCTATTGGTGGTACTGCTGTTGGTTTTAGACTTGGTGTCGTTGTCGTTGTTGCTGTTGGTGGAGTTGCTGGTGGAGGTGATCTAGACCTTGATCTACTTCTTATCTCTTTTGAAAACCTTCTATTATCAAGATGACTGCCATTAGTTCTTCTGTCTCTCTCTCTTTCTCTTTCACGTTCTCTCTCTCTTTCTCTTTCGAAAGCCAAATATCTATCTCTATCCCTTTTCTGTACAGGATTTAAATCTAATTCACCATCTTCCATGTTATATAATAAAATATAACAACTAACAAACTATATTATCTTTTTTTTAAAAAAAAAATTTTTTAAGAAGTTTGTGTTTTTTTAAAAAAAAAAATAAAAACAAAACAAAAAACAAACTGAATTTATAAATAAAAAGTTAAAACAAACATAAACTAATATATATCTATTTAAATTTGATTAACAATTTGTAAATAGAATGAATTGGATGGGCATGTATGTTTATCAATTTCCCTCCTTTCATTTCATTTTGTTTTTTTTTTTTTTAATTTTTTTAAATTTTTTGAATTTTTTGCCAAATTTTAAAAATTTAAAAACTAAATGAATAAAAATAACTTGAGCAAAAAGGGCGACAGTTTGTTTGTTTTACACCACTCTGTATGGTTATAGATTTATTATGATATCAGATTCTTTGTAAGGTTGCAATTTCTTTGGTTGTGGTGTTGGTCTATTTTTTGTGTTTTCATCAGATGTTGTTGTTGTTGTTGTTGTACGTTTCTTAAATGCGAAAAGTCGATAAATGGAAAGTGCATCCCATTCCTCTTGTGAAATTGATTGTGATCGATTCATACGCTGAAAGAGCTCTGTGTTTTCGGGTTTCGCATAGATTTCTCTCCTAATGAAACTATGAAAGTCTTCGTCTGAAACCAATTCCAAATGATATTGCGATGCCAACTCCACCAAGATATCCATATGTACCAAATACTCTTCTAAACCATCGATTGCATCCTCCAAGAAGAAATCATAAGCACATCCAAACTTTTTGACATCAATCTCATTCTCATTGTCTGCTTTCAACGACTTGAACTTTATACTATATAATTCATTACCGATTCTATTTGATTTACTATCTCTACAATTCTTACTATATATATATATATATATATATAGTTTATGTTTTCAACGAAAAATTAGTGTTATTTGTATTAAATTTTAAATGAAAATAGTGATGACCAAAAAAAAATTAGTTGCCGTCAACTTCCACACACGGAAGTCAGTTGATAATGTCGTCTCCAAACAACAAAACAAATAACTATAAATTATGATTATTTGTAGTTTGAGTTCTATAGATAGTTGGTAATTAATCGACATTCCAACTTTGGTGAGAGACGACGGCAACACTGCACTTATGGTAATGACGAAAATATATGGGTTGTTTTAACTTACACTATGTAACATGCATCTGGAATAGTACCTATAAAGTATCCACCTTCTTCTAGTAGCGATGTGACATTGTGGAGAAGTTGACGTGCCGACTCTTCGGAACGGAATGAGTAGTGCAGTGCAAACTGGCAACTGACAAGATCGACTTTTGAAGTGGCAGGTGGCAGTGATTCCAGTAGCTTTGGCGAGAAACAATCACAACAAACAAAGGTGGAATCGAATGTAATCGGCTGTTGTTGCTTTGCTATCTCGTCGTTTAGACGACCCATTCCATGTCGCAGTGAATCGAGCGCGATGTCAGCTACGAAGAGCCGACCAATCGATTGTTTCATCCATTTTTGGAGGTCACCCAGTTTGCCACCACAGATATCCAAGACACGATCACCAATACGACTATGTTTCTGAATGAGAATCGACTTGATCCAGTTGTTGATCGATCGCATCTTGATGATCTTACTGGCTTGACGATCGTTCCTACTGGTATTGGAACGATTGTTGTAATGTTCATAGATCGACTTGTTTACTTGACCGTATTGCTGGTTATTGAATCTATCATTATATTGTCCACCGATTTGTCCAACTATACCATGTTGTTGATTATGATGTTGGTGGTGATGACCTCCACCTCTTCCTCCTCCTCCTCCACCATTATATGGATTATGTCTTTGATTTTCTCTTCTTTGTTGATGTCTTTGTTCATGTTGTCTATATGGCTTATATCCATTTCCATTATTATTATTATTACTACTATTATCTATAGAATTATTATTACCTTCATGATTTTGATTATTTCTATCTTTATAAAATTGATCATTATAATTTTGTCTATTATTATTACTATTATTATTTAATTTTTCATTTTTAAAATTACCATATATTTCATTATACAATTCCTCTTGTTGTTGTTGTTGTTGATTATTATTACTCATATCTGTCTATATATACTAATTAATTACTACGATAAATAATAACTGCTGCTTTCGTTCTCTCTAAATGAATTTTTAAAATATTTTTATAAAATTTTGGGAACCTCAGATGAGGTGTGTTGTTTTTTCAAAAGTAAAACCCATGTTTTCTAAATCATATGTGATCACTCTTGCAATCATATCAAATAGTGCATTTATGGGGTACAGATTTATCTTCACACACTCATTATTTAATTTAATAATAATACATGAATAATCATAGTATAAGTTTGATAGTAACGAGTTTATCAAAAATTTAAAAGTATACTTTAAAAATATAAATACAAGTGCACTCCATACCACTAGCTATTATAATCATGGGAATAAGAGTGCGTGGAGAGTGGTATAAGTAAGTTTGTATAAGTTTATCATTGTGAATGATCAAATTGAATTAGAAATTCTTTTGTTTCTTTAAAGAAAAATAGAATATAAATAAATAGTTAGTTTACTTTAAATAATTATAATTTGTTTAGATTATAAAATATATATTTTTTATTATGTATTTAATAACGAGCACTCAACACTTGGAATATTTTGATGATGAAGTAGACGAAATAGATGAAAATGAAATAGATTCATTCGAGGAGATATCGAATCATTCGGAATGTAGTTCTTTCTTTGAGATATCAACCACGCTGAATGATGATGAAAACGAGACCGAGCAACTAGAATGCTTTCCAATTAATTATCCACCGAGAAATAGTCAATTCATTATGGAACCAATAATTTTTGAAAGCAATAAAGAAGATCAACACGGTGATATTTCAAACTTTATAAAAGATAATAATAATAATCAACCTCATTATAACAATAATGTAAATCCACAATTTATTTATAATGAATTAGATAGTTGTACATGGAATATACAACAACAACAACAACAACAACAAAAACAAAAACAACCAATTTCTCATGCTCACCCTATTCTTTTACCATCTTTAAAAGGTAATTTCAACTATAGGGTTTAACTTTTCTTTCTTTTTCTTGTCTTTTTTTTTCAATTTTATATATAAATAAATAAAATAGATATATGTATTTATTATTTTTTAAAGCTATAATAATGTGGTGCTATTTCATATAACCAACTTGGTTCGATAACAGTCAGTTCCTTCATAAATTCTTTAGTGGTAACTGTTACATCATGAAAAACAATCCATTCCGGTGAATTAATTGTACTTAAAACTGAAGTTGGGTGTATCCATAGATTCTAAAAATAAAACAGTTATCATTTATATTAGTATAATAATTATTTAAATATATTAATTATTATTTCTTTTTCTTACATGTTTATCTTTTATTGTTTGATATGAACCATCGGATTGAAGATGTGCAGCATTCGTAAAGAATCCAGTGACAATCGATTTCCTAATGGGTACTGTCACATCGATATTCTTACTATTCAAAATACAAGATACCAACTTTATACCATATTTCTTTGTGTAGGCAACCAGTTGTTTCCGAACTTGTATAGCTCTCAACATTGCCTTGTAATTCAATTGATGTTCATGACACCAATTCGAATCTGATTTTCTTTTAATGAATTGATTATAAACTATTGTTATTATTATTATCGTTAAAGTTTGTTAATATATTTTTACTTTGTTCAAACTAAATATATATATATTTTATAACTATTTACTTACTATTTAATAAAGTTAGATGATCACCTTCTTTAACTGTGAATTGATGACGTTGACTACTATGATTGTTTTGATTTACGAATAGACCTTGAATGCTAAGCATCGCTGTGATACTAACAATCTCCTCGCTACAACCATAGTCAGCGCTTGCTATGATCATTCGCGCGAATTGCGGATCCACAGGGAACTCTGACATGATATGTCCTATCGGTGTGGTGAGTCGCGCGTCGTCATCGAGCGCACCCAACGCATAGAGTATCTCGAGTGCGCGAGTCATCGCTTCGAGTGGCGGTGGCGATACAAAGTCAAAGTTCAGCACATTATCGATACCCAGTGACTTCAACTGTAGAACCAACGCGGTTAGACTCGATCGCTGTATCTCTGGTCGGGTCTGCTGTTCCAGCAGCTTCGTGTAGTCGTCCTGTGTGTAGAGACGGTAGCACTTGCCCGGCTTGTTACGACCGGCACGACCTGCCCGCTGGTTGGCCGACGCCTGACTCGTCGGCACAACCACCAACGACTCGAGTCCCGAGTGTCCGTTGTACGTCTTTATCTTTACGAATCCACTGTCGACAACATAGCTGATTCCATCGATAGTAATCGAAGTCTCTGCAATATTGGTTGCCAGCACAATCTTTCGCACGCGCATATCGAACGGCTCGAACACTCGCATCTGTTTATTCATGGGCAGTCCCGAATAGAGTGGAACTATCTTGTAGCTCCGTTTACCAGATGACAGTCGTTCGTCCAAACTATGTTTGATTCTCTCGATTTCCTCTTGACCGGTGAGGAAAACCAGAATGTCGCCGGGTGGCTGTGTATTGTGAATGTCGACGATCGTTGTTACCGTCGTCTCCAAGTAATTCAGTGTTGGTTTCGTCAGGTAGTGAATATCCACCGGGTAGTTTCTCCCATCGATTGAGATGATCGTTGCCGTATCTTTGTCGACGTCGACGTCGTTGTTTGCATGTTTCCTCTGGTTGAAAAAGTTAAACATATCTTCGGCATCTAGAGTGGCGGACGACACTATTATCTTGAGATCGGGTCGTCGCTGTTGCACCTTCTTTAGTAGACCCATGAGAACGTCGGTTGCCAGCGTGCGTTCGTGAGCTTCGTCGATCATCACCACCGGATAACGTTGCAAGAGTGGATCGATCATCATCTCGCGAATCAACATACCGTCGGTGCAGTATTTGATTTGGGTGGTTCGCGCGTTGATCGACTCCTCAAAGCGAACGGCATAGCCAACGCGCTCACCGAGCGGCGTCGACATCTCCTCGGCGACACGCGTCGCCACGCTCATTGCCGCGACACGACGTGGCTGTGTGCAGACTATCATTCGCCCGCCATCTGCCCAGCCACTCTCCACTAGGTACTGCGGCAGTTGCGTTGTCTTTCCGCAGCCGGTCTGGCCGACCACCACCAACGTCTGGTAGGTCTCCAGCAGATAGAGTATCTGACGACGCAACTGGAAGATAGGCAGCGCTATACGTTGTTGTGCAATCGATAGTTTCTGTTTCGAGGCATTTCCATACACTAAATAATCAGATAGATTATTGGAATCACTCAACTCCCTATCAAACACTGATAGTTGTTGTTTTTGTTGTTGTTGTTGTTGATTTGACATGATTCTATAAACAAAATATAACTAAATCGACATTATTATATTTTTATGTTATCAATGTCTGTCTTTTAAAAGTTTTGACATTGGAGAAAAGTAATGAATGAATTACAACTTTATTTTTATTTCTATTTTTTTTTTTTTTTGTTTTTTTTTTTATCAAAAAATGCTTGGTTTTACCAAATTTGGTAATTTAATTGATCAATCAATTTATGAACAATTGTCTTTCCAAACATTACCCATTTTGTTAACCTTATAATCTACCAACAATTACTACATTTGTCAAACACAATTATTTTTTACGTCTATGCAAAGATCATGAAAATATATTACTTCAAAAAGAAATATGTTGTTTATAAATAAATAGTTTTACAATTGTAACTGGTAATGATAACCCTTTAAACTATCATATGGTAATTGTCTGGTCATTTTTTGAAGTTCAAAAAAAAAAAAATGGTAAACCGTTACAAAAATTTAGCTGGTGAGTTTTTTATTTTTATTTTTTTTTGTTTTTAATTTTTTTTACCTCCAAATTTGAAATTTGAAAATTAATAAAAAAAAAAAAAAAAAAAAACAGCAACAACACTTAACCCAAAAACAAATAACACCTAAAAAAAAAAAAAAAAAAATAACAAAAAGAATAGAAAGACATCGACAACCATCAGCTCAGATCAGAAAAAGCATCAGTCAATCAACTGTTGTCCTATCCTATCCACACAAGTTTGTTTTCCAATCTATTTTTTTTTCACATTTTTTTTATTTTTTTATTACCAAAGAGAGAGATTAAAGAAAGTTGACAGTAACTAAACTAATAAATATTAAAGTAAAGAAAAGTAAAGTAATCGATTCAGATATATTGAACATGACAAGACAGAACTAAACAAAACAAACAGAATAATAGTAATAGTAATAGATAGATGTTATAACTTTTAATTAATTCATTTTGCATTTGACATTTTTTTTTTTTGTTTTTTTTTTTTTGTTTTTTTTTTATTTTTATGTTATTTTTATTGGTTATTCTTAACTTTCCACACCCATCTAGATGTGGAGTAATAATAATAATTAAGATATCAGCAAACTTGTATACAATACATTGATTAAATTTGTCGACAGATGATTGATTTCTACTTTCAACCACAACAACCTTTGACATTATAAATATCAACAACAGCGAAGCAGTAGCAGTGCACAGTACCAACAACACAGAGCAACAACTTAAAGTTATCGACTGCGAGTATATGCTAATAAGGCAATCACAATCTCATTTTGAAATACCAATCAATTATCGACAGTGTTTCACAATTGAATGACATCAACAAATTTAGAATACATCATCAAGTCATAAAGAGAAAAGAGTAATTAATCGATCGATCTCGATCAATAATCAAATCAATCAAGACGATATTTTAAAGTGAACGAAACTTAAAGATATTTAAACTGTTGTTGTTGTTGTTATTGATCAACAACAATCTGTTCAACCATAATTCAAACAAACAAACAAACAATTCAATTAGATTCAAGATATCAAAACTATAGTAGTTAGTTAGTTAGTTATATAACTAACGGTCATAATTAATTAAAAAAAAAAAAAAAATTTGTGTTTTATTTTAATTGTGTTTATTATTATTATTATTATAAATCAAAAAATAACAATAATATTAAGATAGGTGTTGGGTGTTTTTCTATTATTACTTTTTATGTGTTGTTGTGTTGTCATATTATTTTTTTTTTATTTTTTTAATTAAAATTTTAAATAAAATAACGTGATTTAATATCATATGATGTATTAAATCACAATCAAATCACATCACATCTAAGTGCAAATAAACAAAAACAACAAATTTCCTTAAACATTGTTCATCATCATCTTTCAAATTCATTCGCATTCTTTATATATTTATTTATATATTTTTATAATTAGTTTTTGTAGTTAGTAAACAAATAAAAACAAACAAAAAACAATGTTGTTTATTTTAGTATTATTATTATGATCATCAACCAACCAATCAATCATTCACCTCTTCAATAAATACTCAATTTCAAACAACATTTAAATTGCATGATACCATTCAAATCATCTTCTTCTTCTGTAAAATCGATCAATCAATTAATTCAAATCAATCACACCACATTTACTTTCACTGATTGTTGTTGTTTCTTATAATAAAAAACAATTTAAAAATAAAAATAAATACTTTTCTTTTTTTGTCTCTAGAGATTCGATTTAATTTAGTTGAATCGATGTTCGACAGCAATTCCCGTCATCATCTTCGATATTGACAGCCGGGAACAACTTTAATAACCTGACTATTTTTACAATTTATGATTTTTTTTGTTTTTTTTTTTTTTTTTGTTTTTTTTTGTTGTTTTTTTTATCAAAACAAACCCCCTACAATTTCATCTCCATAATTCAGTTTTATATTACCATTTTCAGTTCATTGGCATTTTATAAATATATATATATATAACATATATATATGTACATGACACTATAAATAATAATTATAGTTGGGCTAAATATTTTTCATATTTATTAACTTTTTTTTTTTATTATTCATTTTAAAGAGATAGATTGATTATATAGATAGATAGGCAAACATTTCAGTTTGATTGTAGTTTTTTTAGTTTAATTTGTTTTTTAGTTTAGATTGGATAAAATAGGTAGAGATAGATAATCTTTAGTTAGTGTAGTTTTAGGTTATATATATATTTTTGTAGATTTAGTAGTTTTAATTAGTAGTAATCACTAATCAATATTAATTGGATAATAAAAAGAAAAGGGAAAAGATAAAAAGTAAACTAAATAACTCAACATAAAACACAACACAACAACAACACACAGATATCAAACAAAAAAAAAAATACAAAACAAAAATTATATTAAAAAACGACGACGCTATCACTAACCAGAGATGGCTACGGTCGATCTGCGAAAGAGAGTGAAAGTATATCAGCTCGACAACAGTGGCAAATGGGAGGATAAAGGCACGGGATTCGTCAATTGTCTCTACATCGAGGCATTGGGATCACACTGTCTGATGGTCAAGTCCGAGGAGGACGGTTCGATCATTCTCGAGTCCAAGGTGTATAACCTCGAGATCTATCAGCGACAACAGGACACCCTAATCGTGTGGGCCGAGCCCAACACCAACATAGACCTGGCAATATCATTCCAGGACTCTGCTGGTTGCCAGGATGTCTGGGACTTTATCATCCTCAACCAACGAAGAGATTCCGATGTCGAACTGATCGATCTGCCCGAGGTCAACGCTGCCAACCTCGATTCGATTCGTGATTGTTTGGATCCCAGTCTGCCACAGCCTGTTCGTGACAGAATCGTTAATGTTATCGTTAGAGATGTATGTATTTTTAATGCGGTGATCTGTTTATTTTACATGTTTAAGCTTACATTTTCTTTGTTATCGTTTATTTTATATATTTTAGGATTATTTAAAACAACTATTGGAACTGTTTGATCAATTAGAACAATCAAATGATATTCCTAATCTACATCATCAATTTACCATATTTAAAAATTTAAGTAAGTACAATATTGTTAAATTTAATTAAAATATTAAAAGTAAAAGTTGAGGAATTTAAATAACTAATAAATGAAACTTTATTTTTTAGTATTGTTTAATGATTCATCCATTTTTGAATTATTACTCTCTGAAGAATATTTATTGAGGATGATGGGTGTATTAGAATGTAAGTAAAATTGAATAAATAAAAAAAACATGTCGTGAGATTATTAATTATTTATTTTCAACTTTATATCACATCTAGATGACCCAGAAATTTCAGAACAAAATCGAATTAGACACAGAGAATTTCTAAGTCAGCAAGTTATTTTTAAAGAGGTGGTTAAATTTTCATCGGAATCTTTAATAAGTACCATTCATCAAACCTTTAGAGTACAATATCTCAAAGACGTTGTTTTACCAAGAGTTTTGGATGATCTTACTTTTTCAACGTTAAACTCTATCATCTATTTTAATAACTCTGAGATTGTTGGACAAATTCAAAAAGATACTACATTTTTACAAAAGATGTAAGATTATATTATATTAGATTAACAATTAATTAAAACAACCAAGTAAACTAATTAAAATAATATTATATTATAGATTCACACAGATACAGCAAAGTCCATCTGGATCTTCAGAGAGAAGAGATTTATTACTCTTCTTACAGGAACTATGTGGACTTGCAAAGAATCTTCAAATTCAAAACAAATCAACCTTTTTTCTCAGTCTTTCCTCATTGGATCTATTTAAAACACTTTCAACTACACTTGACGATGATATAGCACAAACTAGAATCTCAACGTATGTTTATAAAACTATAATTATTAATAATGATGATGGAAAATAGAAAAAAGATTCATCTAACTCTCAATTATTATTTTATTATTTATTATTATAGAACTGAAATAATATTATCAACATTGTCACATGATACTAGAATGCTAAGAAATTATATAACATTAAACAGTACATTCCTATCGCAACTTATCAATGGTTTTATAAAGGATAATGATATTGGTGTAAAAAATCAAATTGTCGAAATAATTAAAGTATTACTGGAAGCAGATACCACAGAAGTAAGTAGATATGATATAGATAGAAATATATATTCACATTTATTAAAAACTAACAATCATATTATTTTTAGATGAATGAATTTTTCAAATTGTTTTATGAAAAAGGTATATATGAATTGGTATCACCGTTGTCCAGGAACCAAATGAAAGAAGGCGAGCCGATCATTCCAGGCGATCCAAGCAGTAACTTGGAGTCGTTCGTTCTGTATAATGTGATTGAATTGATAATATATTGTATAAAGCATCACTCTTTTAGAATCAAACACTTTATTGTCAACGAGAACATTGCACAAAAGATACTGTGTCTGACGTCGAGCAACGAGCGATACATGGTGTTGGGCGCAATCCGATTCTTCCGTTGCTTGGTCAGCATGAAGGACGAGCTCTACAACAACCACATGATCCAGGACAATCTGTTCGACCCGATCATCACCATCTTCAAACAGAACATCAACCGATACAACCTGCTGAATTCAGCGATAATCGAACTGCTGCAGTTTGTCTACAAGGAGAACATCAAGCCGCTGGTTGTCCACCTGGTCGAGCGATACCGCGAGCTCTTTGAGTCGATCACCTACACCGATGTCCTACACCACATGATCACCAAGTATGAGCAAATCAAAGAGTCGAATGAAAGTCCCGAGATGCCATGCAACGATAGCAGTCTGTAAGTACAAACAACCGACACTAATTTCTGTTTCTTGATTTTACTGATTATTAATATTAAAGATACGATGAACGTGACAGACTCGAGGGTTCAGACGATGCATATTTCAATGCTTCAGATGACTCTGACGATGAACGATATAATTTAGATAGTAAGTTTGAACAATCTAGCCATTCCAGTGGTGGTAATAATATTAGCAGCAACAACAACAACAACGATAGTGACTTGCAAGATAACAACAAGAGCGAGAGCAGCAGTACTACAATGAACATTGGTGGAAATGTCAAGCTTGTTGATTATGACGACGACGAAATCGATAGTGACGATGATAATCAACAACAACAACAAATGTTGAAACTACAACAACAACAAGAAGAATCAGATGAATCATCTGTTGTTTGTAATGGAAATTCAATGGAAGAGGATAAGCTTCTGCCCGACAATGAAACCGAATTAATAACTCATCAACAACAACAACAAGAAGAAGAACAAGAACAAGAACAACAACAAGAATCCAAACAACAGGAAGGAGACGAAGAGAAATCAATAGCAATCAGCACCAACACCACCACAACCACCACCTCAGAAGAAAAACCTCGAACACCCAAGAGAAAATTGGATAATGGTATGGTGGATCACCAACACAACAACAATAACAATAATAACAACAACGAGTCATCAAGCGAACATCACAGTTTCTCAGTCAACGAGAAATCAGTTCATATTGTTTTTAATTTAAATAGTGTTAATAATAATAGTAATAGAAGTAGCAATAGTAACGACGACGACGACAATAACGATAACAACAACGAAAACAACGACGACAATAACAAAGATCAAGATGAAAAAGATAATAACACAAACAGTAATCATAAGAGTAGTACGCTTAATGGAGACGAAGAAACCACCAATTTAAAACAACATCACTTAAAATCACATCACAACAACAACATTAATAATAATAATAATAATAACAATGAACAACAAACACATCATCAACAAGATAATTGTACAAATCATCATATCAACGATAAACAATCTCTTGAAAATGGAAATACTATCTCTTTGAAGAGAGTGAAAATTATGAAAGATGATTCCTCTACACTGGGCTTAGTGGATCAAGAGTAGCACAAATAAAATCATATATTAATTAATTAAAAGAAGGTACAGAGCTGGTTGGTTATAATATTATTATTATTAAAAATATATTTCATATTATCTTTTTTCTTTGTATGTCACTTTCTTTTTTTTTTTTTTTTTTGTTTTTTTATATCAAGTGTAATTCAAAAGAACATGATGTTCATTTTTTTAATGATAGAAAGAATATGATGAAGGAATTAAATGGTATTAGAGAAATAATAAAAGAATTTGCAATAGTCTATGGGGATGAAAATGAACTTTATATATTATAGATCCAATCAAATGCCAAACGAACCTCAGGATTATGTAGAGCTATTGGATATTTGTGGAAATCAAAATAAATATAGAGAATATATAACTTTTGGCTACTATATTTACTCGGTAGCCGATGTTCAAGAAAATACAGCATTTTTAGAGAAAGATGAATATAGTTTATATTTAGTAAAGAATGGAAACTATTTATTGGTTGCCCTTAAAACTATACCCTTTAATGTAAATTTATTGAATAATCTTAAAACCATCTGTAAAGTATTATTTTAATCTTCCAAAATCTTATTTTCATTTTACCAATACAAATTATTTTATATTAAACTACAGTTTCTTCAATTTTATAAAAGATCAGTAAAATCCAAGAAATAAATACCACATTAATATAAACAATCATAAAGTTAACCACTTTGTTCAACAGTGTTTTCATTAAATATTGCCTATACTTTTATTTTTCAATTAAAATCTTTTGTTTAGGAGATATATTTTCTTTTGATATGATATCTTGTAGCAGTTGTTTTGAAATTTTTGAATAATCTTTGGATTTTATCGATCGTTGATATTGATTTAGAACTTTCTTTGAGAAGTTGATCTTTTCCAAAATGAATTCAATCATTTCGATATCGTCCTTTTTAAAATAATGTTTAAGAAGTTCATTTGGTTTTGTTAATTGATTGGCAAACTCTGGATGTTTAGACAAGAGATATTCGATCATCTCCATATGTCCTGTTTCAATGGCAACAACAAAGCCAGCAATTGTACATTGACAGTCACTTCTATTCTCATAGAGCCATTTAACAAGTGGAATCTGCATTCCTTTGATTGCACTCTCCATCGACTTGTCATTGAATACACCCGGTATATTATTGTCATGGAAAAATTTGATGGTCTCTTGATTTGCATTGAAAAATGAGTCTAAGATACATATATTGTCCAAAATAAAGCTGGGATTCCGTTTGATAATTATTTCGACTTCTTCTGATTTATTCATGATAATTGCATTGTTAAGCATATGATCCAAATCGATTTCAAAGTTATCCAATGCCCAATTGATAACTTCTGCACCTCCTCTGTAAATTCCATGTTTTAGTGTTTTCATACTGGAAATCTCAGTTCTGTTCTCTCTGAGCCACTTCATTGTTTCGAATTGACCATGATATACAGCTATATATATAGCACGTTCTGTACATCCTACACTTGGATCATATTCATTGAGCCATTTTATCATCTCGAGATTGCCAGTTCTCGATAAATTTTCGATTGCTGATGTTGAAAATGAGAATAATGAATTATCAACCAGCCATTTGAGGATATGTTTGTGGTTATTCATTGCGACCTGATCCATTCCCAATGCAGATGGTCGTTGATTTAGATCTGTAAACAACCATTTGGCGAGCTCTAGATTACCATTTCCAATCGCTGCATCGATTGCAACATTAGGTTCAAGTATTATTGTTTCATGATAATTTAACCATAACCATTGTGCAACTTCCATATAACCTTTATGACAGGCATCTAAAAACCCATGGTGACTGCAACCTTCAGTTCGATGTTGTTTTAACCATTTGAGAATTTCAATGTTGTTTTTAAATGCTGCATTGTCCATGGCTTGCTGAGTTGCAGTAACAGTTGTATTATCATTGAGCCACTTTATCGTATCAAGATTTACATCTAATGCAGCTACATCTATTAGATTTTCAAATGATTCTCTGATGTTATGTTGATGCAATAGTTTTGCTATTTCCAATTGATCGCAATAGATTGAATAGTCAAACAATGTACCATATCTCTCGTGTGGTTCTTCTCTTCTTGGCTCGTTGATATCGAGTAGGTATTGAACAATATGAGGATGTCCACCATTAATTGCACCATAATACATATTACTACCAGCTCTATCTTCTGATCTATGTTCTGCCAACCACTCAATTATGTCAATTCGTCCGACTTTGGCAGCACTATCAAAAGTTACATCTGTATTTATATCTCCTTCTTTTCTACTCTGTGAATAACCACAATTCTCCAGTTTATCAGCCAAGTACTTGACTATTTCAATGTCTCCAGATAACGGTGCCACCATCAATGCATTATAGTAATTCAATCTCTTCTTTGAAAACTCTTCACAAATGTATTTGACTTTCTCCAAACTACCATGCTCCGCTGCATATTTTAAGATATCATCGAAATAAACTTTTTGATGTAAACTCGAACTTGATATCAGTTTGAGCATATCGACCAGATATTTCAATATCTCAAAACTTCCACTTTTGATTGCTGCTTCAATTGTTGGAAAATCAAAAGTGATAGAATGATCGGTATAATACAGTTTAAGTTCATTTAGATAAGAGTTACCAGCCATTATATCAGGATACTTAATTAATTCCGACCAACTAAATTTTTCTAAACCTTTATAAACAACATCATGTATGCTACTAACATGTTTGAATATTAATTTATTTAATACAATATTATTAAATATCTGTAAAAATTTATCTTTTTCCATTGTCCAGAGCTGTTTTGCAGATGACTACCATTTTACTCAAAATAAATATAAATATTTTTTAATTAATTTTAATAATTCTTTATAATTTCTTAAAAAATCAAAACAAAACTGGCTCTTGCTTGTAACTAAGATCACATTAATTAACCACTAATTTTTAATTTTTACATTTTTTTACATGCGAAAGTTGTTGGGAGCCAGTTTTGTTTTGAGGTAGTCATAATGTTAAAAACCTTTTTCATCTTTGCCCATGAAAAATTCATCTAAATTACACCGGGTATTTTTAAAAGAAGTAAATCATATGAAGTTTAATACCAAAATACTAATTTTAGTCTTATTAATCAGTTTTGATAAAAACTCATCAATTTTTATTTTATTTTATTTAGTGATTTTAATTTGGTAATTCTGTTAGTATTAGTGTAAACACATTTTTTTAAATAATTTACTAATAACATCAAGCATATCGTCATTGTATTTTCGAAAAAGAATAAAATCATTTGTTTGCCCGATGAACATCTTCTAGAAGGGTTAACCCCACCATCATTTATAGCTTATGCATAAAAAATAATACTAATTTAGAAAGTTAAAAAAGTATTATTTTTTACCCCATATTAAATAAAATGTATTTATTTATTTTTTTTATTCACTATCATCAGCTTCATAATATGTGGTGGTTCCCACTAACTAATTTTGATAATTTGCAATTTTATTATTGGAAATGACAACATGAATGATAACATAGAGCTAGTAGTTTAAGAAAACTCAATTAAAGAGGATTATAAATAGATCTCATTTTTAATATTTTAAAAAACAAAAAAATAAATTAAATATTCTAAATCATTTTCTAAAACATATATTTTTTAATATTAAATTAATTTCAAACAATATCAATTCGTTACTTTCATCAAAATGGATCCATTAAAAACATTATTTAACCTTTCTGGTGGATATGCTGATACCCAAATTCTTATGGCTATATCTCAGTTGGATATTGCCAATCACATTGCTCTTGGAAATTCAAAATCCTATCTAGAATTGGCAAAGGAATTAAGTGTTAATGAGGAAGTTTTATTGTATCTCTTGAAAAATGCTACTGGATTGGAGATTTTCCACGAGCTGGAGGAATCAGAAGGTGTTTTCAGACATACTCCATTGTCGATTGCTCTTAGAGACCAAGAGTATCGTGATTTTATCATGATGAAAGCAAGCATTTACAGTCTTAGATCTTGGGAATCTTTGTTTTCAACTTTAAAAAGTGGAAATAGTGATAACAAAACTTTAGGCTTCAATAGCATTTGGGATTTTTTGAATAATAATAAAGAAGAAAATGTATGAATAGTTTAAACTTTTAATTTAAATTAAGATATTAACATATTTCTTTTTTGAATAGGAAATTTTCAATAGATCAATGACAACATTGACCAGAAGATTGGGTCCAACAATCGTTGAGAAATCAAATTTTATGAATTTTGAAACAGTTACTGATATTGGTGGTGGACATGGATTGTAAGTTTAAAATATTTTTTGATAATTATTTAAATATTAATTATTTCTTTTTTTTTTGGTAAATAAAATTAAGTTTATTACAAGAAGTATTGAGAAAGAATCCTCATTTGAAATATGGTATCAATTTTGATATTAAGAATTCTGGAGATGGAAATACCAATGAGGTAACTTCGACCAATGTTGACAAGAGATACAAAACTATGGTTGGAAATGCAATCACTGATGAAATTCCAGAGACCGATTGTTATATACTCAAACATGTTTTACATATGTTTAAAGACGATGTTGTCATCAAAATCCTCAAGAAGATTGGTGAGAAACTCAAATCGAATGGTTCTATCTTTGTCTATGAGCTGTATGATGAAGAACTTAAGAATCAAAAATCAGCAATGTCACATTTCTACTTACGTAAGTATTGTTATTAGTAATGAATTTGGATTTTAAATATCTTCTCTAATAATTGATTATAATCTTATTATCTATTATCTTATTCAGATCTGATGTTGGTTACAGGTGGTGTTGAAAGATCCAACAAGAGATGGAGAGAAGTTGTACAAAAAGCAGGTCTTCAAATTAAAGAGATCGAACACATTCCAAATTCAGTTGAAATGCCAGTGTGCAAAATAATAATCACAAAATAAGAATATAATATAATGTTCTTTTTTTTCTCACTCACTTGATCCTATCTCTATATCTCATCTTCTTATTTCTTTTTATTTTTTTTTGAAAAAATAATAAATTAATAAAATAAATCTCAATCAATTTTTTTTCTTTTATATCTTTTTTGATCAACTATAATCATATTTTCTTTTGTCAATTTATTTGATTATAAATATTAGAAGATGAGTTGTCAAATACGTTTTACATCCTTTTCCTCGAATATATGATTGTCTTTCAAACTTAATATCTTTTTATTAACTTAATAAATAATCATTTATAAACAACAATCAATCAAGAACAACTTTAAAAAAAAATACTGAAGCTCTTCTTTTTTTTTTTTTTTTGATCAGCTTATCCTATAGGATTGTTCTTGGTAGACAAAATGTTTAATAAGAGAAACCCTTAGGTGTCAGTAACTTTTCTATGGAAGGCTATGATTGATACTTTAAATTATTTAGTTATTATATGTGATTTATTTGTACACCCCTCCACACATATCATTGTAAAATTAAATATTTAATTTGACTAATAGTTTAAAAATGAAGGTGGGTTGGTGTAGTGTAACATTTTATTTACATTAAAATTATAACATATATCTATATGAATAAAAATAATTAAGGTTGTTTATAAATAATTTTAGAAAATAAAACAGTGGCAATTATCGGATGTGGACCTTCTGGTTTGGTTAGTTGTAAGTCTGCTTTGGAGTCAAGATTGATTCCAAAGGTATTCGAAAGAATAGTGATATCGGTGGTGTTTGGTGTCTGTCGAATGGCAAAGTTTGGGATTCATTAAGTACCAATCTATCTTTGAATACAATGATGTTGGGGGAAATCAAAAAAATACCATGGGTAATGGATAAATATTTACCTAAACCACCAAACGACAGGTCATCTCCCAACGATTACAAGGAAGAACCATTAATTCTCCCGGTGGAATTGGTCTTCTAATCTAGAGAGGATGCCGACTTGGCCAAAAAGAAATTTAAATCGGTTCAACAAAACTTTATAGATACCAATGATTGGGCAGCAAAGATGTGTAGTAAACAACAAACTCATCGATCTTCAGAAACAATTGTCATCGGACAACACTCCATTTATTATCATCTCCAGGAACTATGCAGACTGTGTTCTCGCCGAAAAGATACATGTAGTTCAGCACCCAATAACAGAGATACAAGGTAAAACCGTTTGGTTTGCCAATGGAGAGTCGAGAGAGATCGATCATATCGTTTTCGCCAATGTTTACACCTATGAACTACCCTATCTATGTGAAGAGGTGCTTAGAGGTCTGGAATACAATCCAAACGACAAGCTGATGCCAATCGTTCTACATAAATCAACCATTCATCCAACGCTACCGAATATCGGGTTTGTTAGTTGGTTCTCATCTGCGATGTTCCCAATCATTGAACTTCAAGTTAGTTGGCTCGCTTTAGTATTCTCAGAGGACTTGGCACCACTGACCAAAGAACAGATCGCCGAAGGTATGAATGCAGAGAGAGCCATTCGCGATGCTCAATTCAAAAAGCAATATCCACATATAGAAATGGTTGAAAGGGTGAAGAAATCGCAACTATCATTGGTGTGATTCCCAATCTAGAAAAGATAAAATCAGAAGATCCACACCTCTATAAATTGATTTACAACAAGGGTTTCTCAACTTCATCTTACAGACTTACAGTACCACATTCAAACCCACAACTCGCTAAAAACATTCTAAATAAAATAAATGATAAATATTATTGTAAAATTTGAAAAAATCAAAATTTTTGAAAAAAATATTGGTAACCAGCCTAATTTTGAATATTCGTTTTTTCTATTTTTTTGTATTTTTTAATTTTTTATAATTATTTATTTTATCGAATGATATTATTGTTTGATAAAAGATATCTTTAATTTTGAAGATCATCAAGTATTTTCAACCTATTTATAAAAATGTAACTGCAACTATTCAAAAAACTAGTTATGAGAAAATTAAAAGGAATTTTCTTTTTAACTTTATGATACTGAACGAGCTAGCTCGAAAATTAAATGATTAAAGATTCTATTTTTTTACACCTTTGATATTTTTTGATTCAAAAAATATCTGGCTTTTGAAATCACCCACACCCAATTTTATTTTTTTCGAAACCAGTAGCCTGTAAAGATTAGTTATATTTTTATTTAATATCATTTAAATTTAATTAGATAAAACATAAAAAATTATTGTATATAAACTCAACAAATCGACAACTTTTTTTTTTTCTACAGAATAATAACAAATAATAGAACAGATAATAATGAAATATCAAAATATCATTTTAGTTTTAGCAGTTTTGGTTGCTCTCTGTGGTGTTTGCTCAAGAGCTATTGCCGTCAAGGAACAAGATAGAAAGGTTGGTGACACTGGAACCTACACCATAATCGAGTACTACAGTCAAGATGGTTGTGATGAAAATGACTATGTTTCGAACCAATCTTGGTTAAATAAATCGTGCCAACAAGGTGTCTATTACTTCTGTACCCCAAATGACGACACCATCTTCAAGTACACATTCCCAACCCAATATTGCGACAATGGAGCACCAATCATTGAATCCATTAAAGCTGGTTGTAACGGAAATGTTTCATACTCCTGTTATCATTAAAAGATCAAAACTAAAAATATATTAAATTAATAAACATGTAATCTGTGTATATATTCATATTACTTTTATTAGTTCACTTTCATATATAAAAGGTTATTTGTTTTTGAAACCAGTTCCAATTGATTTTATTGTAAAAAACATAAATTACAAGTTTTGGTTGCTTTAGATGAGAAGTGATGAGATGATTACTCCAGAGATTAGAATGAAAATAATCCAATGGTCTTTAATTTTATTGACAGCATATAGTGCAGGATTGTTTGTAAGCAACCAACTATCAACTTGTTCATCTACTGCAACAAATGTTTGCTTGAAAATCCTTCAGTTCTATTCTTTTTTAGCCAATCCAATACATTGATTTGATTGTTGAAGGAGGCACCATCGAATGCATCACAGGAACATCCTTCAGTGCGATTAAAATGGAGAAATTCAATAACAGCTATGAACCTGAAATAAGCGGCTTTGTCAATCGCTTTTACCGTACAACCTTCAGTTCTGTTGAAATGCAACCATTTTACAACAGAGAGATGTCCGTTTTTTGATGCATTGTCTAATGCCTCAGTACTAGATCCTTCAGAGCGATTTAAATGGAGCCACTCAACGACTTTCAAGAATCCATTTTCAGCAGACTTGTTCATTGCCTCCACTGAACATTCACCAATATTATTGTAGTGCATCCATTTTAGAACTTCTAGATATCCGTATTCAGCTGCCAGATCTAGTAGCTTTATCGATAGAGAGCCAGGATATACATGACGATCCTTATTCTGTGACTTTAAAAACCACTTTGATTTCTTCGTATTTTGTTCCACCCACACTAATTTATGAGTAAAAATACTCGACTTAGATTTTTTTCGAAAAAAAAAACTCATTCTAGGTTGACCACTTTAAAAATGTGTTGTTTTTCAATTTTGCCAAGGTTACCAATATTAAATTTTCGATCAAAAAAAAAAAAAAAAAATCGACTTAATATAAATCATTGAATAATAATCATATATATTGAATAATAAAATAATTTTATCGCTCCTTACATACTTATACTATTAGCTAATCTTTATATTTATATTAATAATTAAATCGTTATCATTATTAAATAAGTGTATAGTAAAAATCAATAAATAAAAATAAAATAAAAAGAATCATAATTTAATAAATAAGGTAATTTCAACGATTTTCACTTAACATTTTAATACAATATAATTTTATTTATTTATCTATAAGATATACTACATCTAACTTCACCTTTTCCATATAACTTCTTTCTTTTCCTTCTCTATACGATATAGTTCTTTTGTTATTATCATTTATTGTATAATCATCCACTACAATTTTTTCGTAGTTGTTACGAAGTTTTTACATAGTATTCAACTCAATAAATGCAAAAAAAAAAAAATTTGTATGAAAAAGCATACTACGAATGGGATTCGTTATGCCCTTTTTTACACTTTAAATTCGTAGTTGTTACGACAATTTATTTTTTAATGAGAAAAAAAAATGTTAAATAACTTTAAAAAGAACACTTGCAACGATTTTATAGATAATCTATATTATAAATGAGAATATTTATTTTTTTGTTAATCATAATTACTATATTAGTATTTATTAAGAAGATAAAGCTTTTAAATGTAAACATACCAATATTGCATTCATAGACATGTCTCATAGTTGAATCTACTATTGCAAAAGATCGTCAATGCATCATCGATCTCTACAATGTCAGTTTCATTTGTCTTTTGTATCTTTTCACCACCTTGTTTGAATTTGATACTGTTTTCAAATGAATTATTGATTATACTATACAATGTTTGTTATTGTAGCTTCCCACCAAGTGCTATATCGACACCATCTATTTTTTTTTTTTTTTGTTAGTTCACATTCTAAACATCAATTAAATATACACTGGAATGACATACTATTTGATTTAGCAAAGACCTTTTGTCCATTTTGGAATAACGATGGGCGAACATCAGATGATCGATAATTCTTCTCTCTCTTTGTGTTGTTTGTCTTTGTTGTATTTCAGAAGTTCGAACGATCGTTGTTGTTCTGTGGTTGTAGTTGCTGTAATTTGAGTTGTTGCTGCTGTTGATGTTGATATTGTTGTTGTTGGTTCGTTGGTCGCATTTGTAGTGTTTGTTGGTTTAGTAGCAATATCTGCTGAGAAAGATATTCGATCTCCATATCTTGACTCTCCAAATAACTAATAAACAATACTCCTAAATATAATAAATAAATACTCAACTCAAATATTAAATTTGAATATTTAATATTTATTATAAATATATATCAAATATATTTTAATATAAATATTAAATAAATATAAACTTTATTAAATTTATAGATCTATAAATTAAATAATTTTCTAAACCTCGATCGGTTATATCAATAAAATTATTATTAAATGTTAATATAACAACACTATGTGAATGAATTGAAGTACGATATAATTGAATTGAATTATTTAATTTTATAATAACTCTAATTAACACATTTTTCACTTTGACATACAAAAATACATATGTATATATTCATATTTGTATGATTTTTTTGAAAAATACAAATAAAACAAATTATTTTTTTTTCATATACATATAGTTCATTGACTGTTTATACCATTATAAAAGGATCAAGATATTAAATGAATGTTTAGGAGTTGAATTGATTCGTGGTGCGTTGTACTTGTACGGAATTTAATTGGTTAACTTAATCTATTTGAAAAACATACCAGTGTGTAGAAATTTCAAACTACATATGTCATACTATATGTCATACAGTCATTGACTAATTACATATATAATAAAATAGTTATATCACAGTCTGTGAGACTATATAGTAGTCGGTGTATAGTATTTAAATTGCTAATACACCAAAAAATACATAAAGTCAAGTGATTAAAATCAAAAAACGTTTTATAAACTATATATGATATATGACATACATATTCACATGTGAAATGTAGTATAAATTTTTTAATTTCAATAGTATTACTGATATTATTTGATTTATTATTTAACTCTTGTAACTATTTGAATAATATGTATTTCAAACACTAACTTTGATCATAAATTTGGTATATGTGCGATGGGGAGGTAAATTCAAGATTTTGAAAAATATTTATCAAATATTTAACAATATTTATGAATTTTTTTTAAATTTATTTTTTGATTTCACATTTATTACAATTATAAATTTTTGATTGATTCAGTGTTAGAGTTTTAGAATTTATTAATAATAATTAATTTTATAATAGTTATAAAATGAGTGAAAAATATCACCCTTATAGTTCATCTGATAAAGAAATAAAAAAAAGATCCAATAAATATAATAGTTCTATTTATGAACACTTTTTTAAATTTATAGATTCGAATGATAAGAATTTAATTAAAATGAAGTGTAAATACTGTCAAGTATTTACTTTTAAATACGATAAGGTAGACAAAAAATCAGTGTCTAGTGGTTTAGGATGGGCACATCTTGAGAGTAAGATTTTTAAATTTAACAAAATAATAACAATTTCAAGTGATCTGATTGTCCTATTATATTTCTTTCTCTATAATTTTTTTATAGATGTGAGATTATCTTGCCACAAAGAAAGTGAAATAGATTGGTCGTATGTCGCAGAACAAAAAAGGAAAAAAGCAGAAACACTTGCACTTGCTATATCAAAACCTTTTAGTCAAGGTGTATCAGAGTATGTATATATGATCTTAAATTGAATATTCAATTATTAACTATATTAAAATAGGGAATTATTAATAGATTTAGTAATCAAAAAAAATCTTCCCTTCAACTTAACAGAGGATGAGAGATTTAAAAATTTTATTTCATCGTTAAGAGCAGAGTTCAATTTAGTTGGTGGAGATACTATTAAAAATAGAATAATAAAAAGATATGATGATCAAGTTGTACAACTCAGAGAGTATTTCAAGACTATGGATTCCAAAATCAGTTTCTGTTTCGATATCTGGAGTGTCAAGGATATCTCTTTTTTGGGTGTAACTGGTCATTGGATCGATAGTCAATTTAAAGCTAGAAAGTGTTTGTTAGGAATGGAGAGCCTAAAAAGCGATAAAACAGGTAGGTATTGTAAAATGAATTTTTAATTTACAATTTATTAATTCAATCAAATATTATTTTATTAACATGATTCAGGTATAACTCTATCAAAACTTTTTTTTGATGTTATAGAAAAGTTTGATATCTCCAAAAAGATAATGTGCACCACTTCTGACAACTGCTCGAACAACCACACTACAGTGGAGAACATTGTCAAAAACCAAGATCCTTCCAATGATTACAAAGGATTCCAGGGTGGACATATTTTATGTTTGAACCATGTGATTAATTTAGGTAAGTGAATATAATAAAAATAATACATTAGCTATTCAAGTTATATAAAAATAAAAAAAATATTAAAATATTAATATTTTGTTTTAAACAAACAATTTGTTCCTATACATCATTGAATTTATTAACCCTTCTTTTTCAGCAATAAAAGCATTTATAGGAGATAAATCAACGAAATATCTTTTCGATAAAATTCACTCCTATGGTTCAAATTTAAGAAACTCCAGTAACCAAACAGATGCTTTTTTTGGGTAAGAAACACAATTATAATTTTTTTTTTACATAATTAATAAAAAAATTTTTAAAATTTTAGAATTTTTGAAATTCTAAAAACTGAAAAGAAGGACAGGTTAAAGCCAAAAGTATTGAACCCAATCCGTTGGTCATCAGCTTTTCAGATGACTAGTAGATTCATCAGGATCAAAGAGGCAGTTGAATACGACATTAAATATAAGATTACGAAACATGATATCCATCTCACTACCGATGAATGGGATATCATCAAACAAATCAATAAATTCTTGGATGGTGTGGATTTTATTACTTTGGCATTACAAGGAGCTGATGTTAATCTGTCTTGCAGTTTACCTGTGTATGGTCGGCTCTTGGACATTGGAGAGGAATGGAAAACCAATAAGATTCTCAAGACTGCTGCTGAAGCCTTTTGGAAAGAAATAGATGTATGTAATCATATTTTATTAACATTTGCATTTTCAAATTTGAAGGGTTTTTAAAAAAACTTTTTTTTTTGAAAACTATTAATCATATAAACATTCATAAACTTTTTAGGGTTACTATACAACACTTGATTATGGAATAGAACCATTTTATATCTCAACTTTTCTTGCACCATTCACCAAATTAGAGGTATTTAAAAGTGAATTTTGGAAAGATTATTGGAATAACATAAACAATTCAATTGAATCAATTTATACTAAATATGGAGGTACTAAGGGAAATAAAACCAGTATAGAATCAGTCAAACCAGAGATGGATAGAATGAAGTTTATTTTATCCACTCAAAAGATAGTAAGTTAAATTAATTTTTATATCTACACTATCAATACTCTTATTATATTTATTAATTTTTATTTTTATTTCAACAAGATTATTGTTGAACAAAATGAGAATGAATTATCAAAATATAAAAATCTACCAACTACATTCTCAAATGACTCATTGCAGTATTGGAAAGAGAATCAAATTGAGTTCCCAGTTCTATCTAGGATTGCTAGAGACTATCTCGCCATTCAATGCACATCTACACCTGCAGAGATTGAATTCCGTTACAGCTCTGACATGCTCACTAAAAATAGGTGGTCTCTTGGGAAAACAGTTATCAAATCACAAGTCTGTTCTAACAGCATTTCTAAATTAGATTTTATCAAATAATCAATTAAATAAATCAATTAAATTTAATAATATTCATCTATTAATAGTACTGAGGAGTGTTGAATAATCCAAATCACAGCACTGTGATATAACACTTAAAATATCATTCACTGTTGTATCTGTATTTATTTATTTTCTGTTTTATCATAAATATAATTGTAAATTGAGAATTATTGATTTATTTAAATTTATTTACTCACCTATTTCAACCATATATATATATATATATTCTCTCTCTTCTTTTCAATTTTTTTTTCTCAGTGTTTATAAACATTACTCACACTTCTTGTTTATTTTATATGATTTGCTTGAGTATTTGTTCACAATTTAATGTGGATATATACTTGTTTACAAAACTATTTAGAACTCTATCTCATGTTAACTTACAGAATTTTCAAAAATAACTATTTTCTGATCATTTTAATTATTTTTTGTTGTAAAACTTTATTTTTTGAATAATATATTTTGTAATCTTTTTAACTTTTTTAACTTTTTATATAATATTGTAAAATATTATTTTTTACTGTAAACTCATTCATTACTTTGATAGTATAGAATTTAATATAAATAGCAAATCATATTTTCATTTTTGTATAGAAAAAACAATTTATATTAAGAATGAAGATTATAATAGATTTGACAAAAGAAAACAAGTATACAGAAGAAATCATTGATCTCACATATGAAATCAATAACAACAGCAATAACAACAACATAAACAACAACATCATCCATATAAATCAATTCCAACTTAATTTAAAGAGGAATCTTATGATTTATATCACTGATTTGGAAGATTATATTTTCAACAAAATATTAGAAAATAAAAAAAATAAATTTTCAACATTAATTAAATATTTTACTTTTTCGCGTCTCACCAGCAGATTCGAATGTAATTTATGTGAATGTTTCACAATTTCATTATCAAACAAAAAGGTTGGACATTGTGCAACCTCTCATATTAATGGTATGTTAATTCTTTTTTTAATAAATATTTAAGCTAATTCGAATCTATTTTCTGTTTTTCTTTTTTCCATATTTAGCATGTTGCCAACAATACCCAAATATAAACCTTTGAGTATATTGACAACACCACAGATGTGCATGCACTGCCACTGAAAATAAACATTAAAATAAATAAATTTAGATTATTTAACAATTATTCTTTATAACTGTGTTTAAACATTTTATTTATTATTGAATTTTCTTTATTATTTATTTGATAAATGTTTTATTTATTATATTTGTTTGTAAATATTAATTAAATATTAAATATTTTTTAAATTAAATATTTTAAAATTATTTATTTATATTTGAGAGAATTTTGTCATATTAGGGAGTATTGCTTGAAATAAATATATCATTCTCTTTTTTCTTGAATTCATTTTCAAGACTTAATTTAAAAATAGATGATAAATATTTAATTTGCTCCTCTGGCTCTAAATTTAAATATTTCTGTAGGGTCATTCCACTTCCAAATAATCTTTCATAATTATCTAATTCTTGATCGAATTCTATATAATATAAAATATTGTTTTGTTCGGCGTTGGCGCCCATTTCTGTGTATGTTGGAATATTTAAAGTTGGTTGAAATAAATTATTATCTAGTTCCTTTAGAGATCTTTTTATATCTTGAGTGTCTGTTTCATTATTTTTATTCATTTTAGGAAGTTTTTTAAAGGGTAAATTTTCAAAATAAATACGTCGAGAACCAAAAAAAAAAAAAAAAAAAAAAAAAAAAAAAAAAAAAAAAAAAATTCAAAGGTTCAACACTAGAATTATTTATAAAAATTCCTCATTTGTTTATTTGTAAATTTTATTGATTTTGTATCTATAATATTAAAATAGTTAGATTTAGGCCATACATCTACTTTATATTGTAATTGCTCAACATTTATAATTTCTGTTGGACTATTTTCATCAACATAAAAAGGTGTATTATATTCTAGTAGTTTTTTTAGTTTTTCACGCATTGCTTTGTCACCTTTGCCTAATACATCATCTATTTCTTTTAATAAAAATCTATTGCTTTTAGGTATATATGGCTGTACCTATATTTATGTACACTGAATGTTAATATTTTTACTTTGTTAAATGTATTATTATTAATTACATACCTCTATTAACAATTTTTGTTCAAAATCGTTGTTTCTTATTAAAAAAATATTTTTAATAATTCCATATCTAATATTTTTATTATTATTATTTAAATATTTAATTGATGGTTTGGATTTATAGCACGAATATATATCATTATTTAATTGAAATGATTTAATATGTTGAGCTTTGCTTTGATCAAAAATTATATTTGTTTGTTGAGTAATGTGGTCTAATGTTTGCTGAGGAATTTTGTTATTTGTTTTAAAAGTTTTAGCATATACATAAACTACAATATTATTATTTATTTCTTCCACAAAATAATCTTCTGTTTCTCCATTAATTATAAAGTTTAATCGTCCAATTAAAAAAATAATGAAAAATTTCTCGGGATTGAAATGATTTGAACATATCTATTTATAAATATTAATAAAAATGTATACCAAAAATTAAAATAAAAGATATTGTCGATATATCACTTATACATACTGATTCCTTGTTTTTAAATACTTGGTGAGTATTTTCCATTCGATTTAGATTGATGCGTAGATTTCTATTCGGATGTCCGAATCTACGAATGTCTTCCGAAAGATGATTCAGCAAATGGTCATTTGGTGTAACTCGTACTTTCACATTTTTAAGACTTCGAGTAAGTGTATTAGATGTTGATGTTGTTGTTGTTGTTGTTGTTGTTGTTGTTGAAGTTGTAGTAGGTGCAGTTGTTGTTGTTGTTGTTGTTGTTGTAGTTGAAGTTGTAGCAGTTGTTGTAGGTGCAGTTGTTGATTCAGTAGCTTCATCATCGTCGCTACTTTCATCATAGTCGTCAGATTTGGATTGAGGTGTTGTTGTTGATTCCGTAGCTTCATCATCGTCGCTACTTTCATCATAGTTGTCAGATTTGGATTGAAGTGTTGTTGTTGATTCCGTAGCTTCATCATCGTCGCTACTTTCCTCATAGTTGTTAGTTTGTTTGGATTTGCTTAACACACGATTGATAATCTTATTATCTACTAATCTTTCTAACATTAAAAAGTAGTTTAACTGATGAATATATATTAATCTCTCCAACTCTGACATTTCTTCCTCATTTCCAACTTTCAAATCTTTTCCATTAATAAAAGAAAGAATATTTTCAAAATCTTTAATTATTCCTATAAAGTCCTATATATGATTCGAGAGAAGATTATTTATTAGAATTCTCACGTATACACCGTGTAGTACAATTTAACTTTCGCGAACTTACTCTATATAGTTCCTTTCTCTCATCTGATAATCTATTATCTAAATAAATTGTTGTAAGGAATTGTACAGCACCAAGAGAAAATGCATGGTAAAAAGCCTTGAATTCAACAGCTCGAAAGTTTTTAAACTCTTTAAAGTTTACTGTACATTTATCAATTCTCAAACTACCATATATGAATTTAGACATTTGAAGAATCAAATCCTTGTACACCATAATCTGCGCTAATTCCTCCATGTGTTTCTTTCCTATACCGAGATAGAGAAGGTGCATCGTATCTATTGAAGAGATACTAAAAATATTGTACTTTTGAAGTTCAAATAAAATTGCTATACACCATGATAAATAATATATTATAAAGTTAGTTTTATTCATGAAAAGTTTTATATATTTTAGAAACTAAACTTACATTTATATTTTACTCCACATTCTAAATGTGAACCCTCACCATATTTAAATAAGTCATCCAAAGCACCTTCATTTGTCTTTCTTTTAGATCTCACTTGACTGAGAACTCCTTCAATTAGCTTAGATTTACAACTTAACATATGTAGTTTATCCAGTCCACACTGGCATCTTCTACACCCCAACTCTGCAAGGACAGATTTCAGTCCAAGGACAGCATTTATTGCAACGCTGTCTCCTAGAATCAAACCCAGTTCAATTAATACTACTATTCTTTGATTTCCCTTCATTATCTCTATTTTATCATTCTTTTTTAAGAAAGTAATAAAATGAGAAATGATTGAATTAAATAGTCTGACTAATTCTTTGTTTTTTTAATATTGTAATCTTTATCAGTTACTACACACACTATAAATCTAATTCATTAAATATAGTGTTAATATACTTGTACTAATATTTAGAATGCAATTTCTAAGTGTTTAAATAAATAATATACCTCATCTTTTCCATTTCTTTATAGTCTATCCCATTTGTAGATAGCTGTATATAGACTCCTAATACAGAGCGACCAGATTCAGTGTATTCGAATGAGTCATTGTAGATATCTACAAATATAGTTTTATCACCACCCTTATTATGATCAAATAATATATTATAATAAAAATCAATATTCAAAAGAAATTTAATTAAATAGATTATATTAAAAAATATATAAATCTATCTTCTTGAGTGAATTGACTCTTTAAATTAATTTTGAAAATCGATTTATTTATAATAAAATTATTGTATTGAGTATCGGTGATCACTTCATCAATCTGTATTTCACTATATTCAATCTATTACACCGTGTATTTGTAGAGTTTTTATAAATATATGTTAGTTACTTTTAGGTTAATTTGAAAGATATCAGTGAACATACCTTTTCAATGTAATGATTTTCTATTTCTTTTAAGACTTTACCCCACGTAATATTTCGGTGACATCCGGTATCGGATCCATCGGCGGAGTACCAATATGAAATAGGTTGTTTATTTCTGCTATAGTTTAATCTCTCTAATATGTCATTCCTACTTTGGACTACAGTTTTGGGTAAAAATCATCTATTAATATTTTTAATTAAATTTTAATAATATATTATTACACTTACATTTAAAGAAATGCTCGTATAGCGCATTTTCTGCTGCATAGTTGAAGTTGCTATTCTTATCAAATTTAATGTTAATTTTCTTCTTTCCAGAATTACCCAAACTCTGATTTACTTTAATTTAAATATTTATCACGGCTGCGATTTCTTTTTTTTCCAAATTCCCAAAACTGTAAGGATCAGCAATTTGGGAATCTGAGCATTTTGGCAAAAAAAAGTGATTGTTTTTTTGGTAGTTTTTGCAAAAATCAAAAAAAATTTTGATGGTTTTCATTTTGAAAAAAAATTGTTTTTCTATTTGCCAAATAATATTATTTTTAATTATAATAAATTCTAAATAATGTTAAATTCTCATACAGAAGGGTATTTATACCGTAGAAATTGAAATCAATGTTTTCATTTCAACAAATAATTATTCTTCAAGTAAGTAGTTAGAAATAAATATTTTTTATAAAACTATATCTTTAACATTTTTTTCTCTTTTCATTTCACACACTTCATTTTTCATTTCACACACTTCAGTATTTTTTTTTTGTTGTGGTTTTTTTTTTTTTTTTGTGTTGTTTTTCAATTTTATTTTCACATCTTTTTTTTTGTACATCGCTCATATAAAATTAATCATGGTGCTACTCAAAAGATTGAGCGTTTTAGAAGAATATGACCCATTCATTAATTTTCAACTACCTACCCCCCTCACCAATACTAATCAAACAAATCAAACAAATCAAACAAATCAAACAAATCAAATCATCACACCACCACAACCATCTTCAACTCCTAGTAAAAATATTACTTTTTGTTTTGAGGTTGATTCATTTGACACTCCAATTTTTGAAGAAGATAACGTTATACCATTCTCATTAAAATCAATTATTCCACCTTCAACATCAACTACCTCCATACCATCCACACCACCATCCACACCACCATCCACACCACCATTCACACCACAATCCACATCAACAACACCATCCACACCATTCACACCATCCACACCATCCACACCATCCACACAACCTATATCATCTTTCATTTATAGTGCTTTAGAAGGATCTGGGGAGATTGTGAAATCCCTTATTAAAGTTCCAGAGCCAAAAGAGATGTCTCCAATCAGACCAGGTAAGCGGGTAGAGTCAAAAACCCGAATTGCCAAATTCGCGAACACTTGGTTCCAATCAATGGTTCATGAAGTCTGCCATGAGACACAATTAGCAACTGTAATCTATTCTGACTGTGGAAGTAAGGAGCGATTACCGTTTCATTCTATCAAGCCCAGGTACTTTGAAGAACAATTCCATACGACTCCATTTTCAATTGGGCAAAGAGTGATCGTCAAATCCAGCAAAGACAAGTATTTGTATGATGGGATTCTTACCAGAATAATGAGGAAAACTTCCTCATCTAAGTATAAATTTTTAAAATTCAAAGTTTATCTTGTCGATTCAGATACCGAAATAGAAGTATTATCAGAAAATACTTTTCTTCACTATACATATTAAATAAAGAATTATTTTCAATATCCGTGATGTGTTATTAATTTTAATTTGAATTTTTATTTTTTTTGATTTAGCAAGTTTTGTTTTGAATCAATTTTTTTTAATTTTTTTTTTTTGTTGTCAAGAATTCGTTTTGAATACGTTTTAACAAAGTATCAAGAATAAACATATCATTTTTTTTATCATATATATATAACACATTCTGTAGAGAATAGATTTTATATTTTATATTTTATATTTTATATTTTATATTTTATATTTTATAAACATTTTATGTTTGAATATTCAAACAAACACGGATCACCGTGATGAAAATAAGAAATGTAAGTATCTATCTTCTTATTTTGAAAAATTATATTTTTAAACTAATATTTAGTTTCAAATATTCAGCCAGCCACGGGCTTGTACCTGTCCCACGGTGCCATGTTCTCTAGGGTACACTACAGTAAGTAGTGTAAGTTTGATAGATTAAGCTGCGTGTAGTTATAAACACAAGTAAGTGATAACATTTTTTTATTCTATTCATATACACATCCACTAACATATCCATTATTTATTTTTTTATTTTTATTTTAGAAATTTATATATATATACACCGTGTAAACATGTATGTAATTATTTGTTTTTTTACATCATTCAAACAAAACAGAAACTAATATCATTTTCTATAATTTCAAGCATACAACGTGCAGTGAATTCAAAATACATCATGTACCTTATATGGAATTCTACAGTAAAGTGGTGTTTATTAAACATTGTATTTGCAGTCCAAAAGCAAGATTCTTAAATTTTATAGGTTATAAGCTGCCATTCGATAATCATGATTGGACTGTCGATAGATGTGGAAAGCAAGTTAGATATGTTATCGATTTTTATGAAGGAAAGGTTGATCCAGAGACCAACAAACCAATTGGAATCTATTAGATGTCAGTCCTGCAATCGATGATATCTCATTTTCAAATATTTATTTTTTTGATTCAATCAAATAAAATTATTTAAAATATTTAAAATATTTATTTTTTATTTCATTTAAATTAATTTATTTTATTAAAATATTTATTCATTTCCTTTTTTTTTATTTTTTAAAAAAATAAAAACTATTTATTTTGATTTTTTATTTATTTATTTTTTTTATTCATTTGATACAAATATCGATAAGAATGATCATATGTTGCGATATGTTGTTGTCTGAAAATCTAACTAGATATTTGATAGCTTGGTTTTTTTTGATGGTTAAAAGCGATGTTTGAAAGATAAAAAAGGATTTTGACAAGGAAAAGCGATGATTTATGTTTTGTTTATTTCACTCCAAATTGATGTTTTTGTTGTTGGTAATTAGGGAATTTGAGCAACTTGGGAAATTTCCTTACAGTTTTGGGAATTTGGTCAGAGAAGCTGCTCAAAATCCTCAAATTCCCAAAAGAAATCGCAGCCGTGATCTCTGAGTTCTTTGATGGCTCTAGGTTCTGTATATCTATATCCATCCCATCGTTTCCTTCCATTGTAGGTGATGTAGGTAATATTGACGGAGGAGGAATGTTGGATTCTTTATGCAAATTAGAGAATATTGTAAGAAGTGGTGATGCTATTGGTGTTGAAATCTTGGAGATATGATTTGACTGGTTGTGGTATATATTGGTTCTTTGCTTTTTTATTGTATGTTTGTACTCAAAGTCTTCTGAAACTTCTATTCTATTCTCTTTTATTGTTTGATTCAATGTAATTAAACTGTTTTTAACTTTATTATTAACAAAGTTGAAGCAATCGCAAGTTACTATTTCCCCTCTTATCGCTTTTTCTTTGTTGAATACTACATTACATTTATCACAAATTTGTCTATTTCTGAATGACATTATTTTATTAATATTATTTAATTGTTTTAAAAAAAAAAAAAAAGCTTTTACTAGTGTAGTATTGTTAAAAAAAAAAAAAAAAAAAAAGAAAAAGTGGTAAAAAAAAAGTAGGTAAAAAAAAAAGATTTTAAAAATTATTTTATTTAATAAGTAAAATATTGAAATATATATTTTTGATTAATTTCGATGTTCTTTGTTTCTGTATCGACAAGTTTGACCAAATAACATTTATCATGATCTGCTTTTGCTTGAATAACTGCTTCGAAATGTAAGTAGTTGAGAAATACCATACATTTTGTCCCTGGAACCCATTCTTCATTATCTCGTTCAACGCAGAGAGGCTTGATTCTTGACAGTGGCAGAAACTCGTATTTGTAATCTAAGTATCGGACTTTAGCCATACCATTGGAGAACTCCATCAGCCTGGCCTTATGCCATGTGTCTTCATACTTCTCAAGATATGTTTTACACTCTACATATGATCCAATTGTTGGTGTTGAGTTGGTGATCTTATAATTTATAATATCGAAACTGTCGACTGATGGTAGATTTTTATATCCTGGTGAAGTTGGTGATGGTGGTATAAACAATTTTTTTTTTGGTTGAGTTTTTTTTTGTTGATTATTTTTTTGTTTGATGGGTGTGGTTAGAACTCTTTGAGTTCTTCGAGTTGTGACATGTGGGTTAGTTGTTGTTGTTGTTGTTGATGTTGATTGTTCGATTGAAGCTGATTTTATTTTTATTTTTAAAATTAATTTCTCTTTTTGTTGTTTTTGAGGGGTGATTGGGTATTGAAAAGTTGCAATATTATTATTGTTGGTGATTAGAGAGGGTGCATCGTGTGATTTAACATCTTTAACCAACTGATCGGTCGATTCATTTTTCGGTGTTGTATTGTTTAATGGTGAGACATTGGATTGAAGTGGTGATTTTATTTTGAAAGGTGATTTTGATGTAACATTTATGTTTGGAATATTGTTGATGTCTTTGGTGGGTGTTGTTTTAATTTTTGATGGTGATTTATGTTTGATTGGTGATTTTGGTGTTATTGTTTGAGAATAAAAAAAGTGAAATTTAGATTCTTCAAAAATAGAATTTAGATTATTTGAGCGTGAAAGAAAAGAAGATTTAATTGGTTTTGTTTGTAACATATTTATATACTTATAAAAATATACTTAACAATAAATTATAACAAGAAAATGAATTATTTTAGTTGATTGTATTTTATACCTTTTATTTCAAAGGGAATTAATTTTATTTGGTTAAAAATATTGAATTTAAATTAAAATTAATAGTTTTGGTAAAAATCAGATGATTCAAAAAAAAAAAAATCGTTCATGATGATTTGAAAAAATTTCGAAAGGGGTTAGTCTAAACTCACTAAAAATAGCTGTAAATTCCTATGATCCCTAACATCATTTTAAGTTTGAAAAATACTATTAAAAATTGGCTGCCGTGCAGTAAAATACTTTATTTTTTTTTTATTTTTTTTTTTAAACCTAAATTTTGTTGAATCGTAGTAAAAAAAAAGTATATCATATATCTTTTTGTTATTTGCTGTATCATTTGTATCATTCTATACCCTGTTATTTCATCTATATCTTTTTAACTTAAAAAAAATGAATGAAAAAAAAAAATTAGAATTTTCGAATTTTTTTGAAAAAAAAAAATTTCTTGGAGATCTTGGATTTCTTGGGCGTGATGTCTTCTTCCTCCTCTTCCTCTGCCTCTTCATCCTCTTCATCCTTCTTCTTGGATTTCTTGGATTTCTTGGATTTCTTGGATTTCTTGGATTTCTTGGATTTCTTGGATTTCTTGGGCGTGATGTCTTCTTCCTCCTCCTCTTCCTCTGCCTCTTCATCCTCTTCATCCTCCTCCACAACTTGTTGTTTATCCTTCTTCTTGGATTTCTTGGATTTCTTGTCTTTCTTGGGCGTGATGTCTTCTTCCTCCTCCTCTTCCTCTGCCTCTTCATCCTCCTCCACAACTTGTTGTTTATCCTTCTTCTTGGATTTCTTGGATTTCTTGGATTTCTTGGATTTCTTGGATTTCTTGGATTTCTTGGATTTCTTGGGCGTGATGTCTTCTTCCTCCTCCTCTTCCTCTGCCTCTTCATCCTCTTCATCCTTCTTCTTGGATTTCTTGGATTTCTTGGATTTCTTGGATTTCTTGGATTTCTTGGATTTCTTGGGCGTGATGTCTTCTTCCTCCTCTTCCTCTGCCTCTTCATCCTCTTCATCCTCTTCTTCCTCCTCTTCCTCTGCCTCTTCTTCATATTCATCTTCATATTCATCTTCATATTCATTGTCGTATTCGAAACCAGCAAAAGACTCTGGAAAAATATGATATCCATCTTCATCCTCGTAGGTGATATTAATTTCGAACAAACTGCGAGCATGGTTATTCAATCTGAGAACTACTTGTACGAAGTGATGGTTTGGAGTATGATTTGCAGCGAGGCCAAGATTTTGTAGGTTTAGCGAAATAACTCGACGATCACTAACTCTGGTAAAGATTGTTGTTGTCAAGATATGATCAATGGCACCTGATCTCTGAGTATTGGTAGTAGTGAGCATGTTTGGATTGTTTTGAGGAACAAGGTTCAAGCGGTTGCCAATGTAACCCTGGGTTGTATTGTAATCGCCAGAAGAAATTGTGAGGCTCAGATTATTTAGAGTATCCAGAAACTGGTTTCTTGGAGCGATGCTGCGAGGTACATGGACAGATGCCACATCCATATCACCGATAGATGTTAATAGAGTCGATATTGCAGCTCTAATATCATGGACATGGTTCGTGTTTCCAATATCTAAAGTGGTGAGTATTGCGGAGTCACCATGGTGGTGCAAGACAACCATGTGGAGATGTACAGCAATAATCGTAGCTGCACCAGCTGATAATTCCTGAAGGAAGAGAAGGTGGCACCGCCGGACATTGGCAGGGAAGACATTTGCATTCACATATGCATTTGCCCTTTCAACGTTCAAAATTGAACTCATTCCACCAACGTTGAGGGTTCCAACAACAATTCTGTTGAGTTCATCACTAAGTAGGTGATTGATAACGAGTTCTTCAATTTGATCTTCACCAGTGAGGACAAGATAGTAAGGAAGGTCAACCATGGTGTTGTTATCTTCGTCGTCTAGCCTAATAATTTGAAACGCACCAGATCCTTCTCCACCATTGTTCTCCAGTACAGCAACTACATTGTAAATGGTCAAAAGGTTGAGGTTGTTGTTGTTGTTGTTGTTGTTGTTGTTGTTGTTTGTTGTTGAGGATGATGTACCAGATATGGTCATCTTTGAAAATTTTCTATTATTACTCATTCTCTTCTTTACTTGTTAACTTCTATTGTTATAACGATACCAAATAAATAACTTTTGTTAGCGATGATTTTCTAACTAGAAGGATAGAGAATAAATCAAGAAAAAAAAGAAGTGATATTAGTTTATATATACTGGGTTTATCACTACGATCGTTACGTAGTTGTCATGGAAATCAGTGAGTGAAAAAAGTTTTTCACTTTTGAAACGTGCATTTTGATTACAGCATCATTTTAAAAATTCAAGGTGTACTACTGTAGTTATTTTTTTACAATTTGTCGAGATTTTTACCACATTAATTTCAAAAATTCAAAAAAAAAAATTTTATTTTGATGACTTTTAACCAAAAAAAAAAAGATCAAACAATAGTTATTTAATTTGAGATAGTCAATTAATAATAATATTTAAGTTTTAATTTAAGATAGTCAATTAATAGTTATTTATTATCGATTTGCAGATTTGGTAATATAATAAATACAATCTAATTTCATCTTATCTCTCCACACAGTTTTCTTTTCCTTTTCTGTATTGGAAGAGGTGTTTGTCAATTTTGAACAAAACTCGCATGCAAGATTAGAAAACTATAGAGAAAGAATAAGACAGATTTATGGTTCAAGACGACAGCAGGTTCAACAAACCACACAAACACTACTGATATTGTAAATGAAATAGATGAATATAATGGAAATGACGAAGCGATTGCTAATATAATTTTGTCAAGTAGATTACTATCGGATGATATAATCACAAAGCGATGTATGTGATGATCAAGACACCATCGATGGAGTTTCCACAATGAAACTGTTGCAAATACAGATATTGGTGACAATGGTGGCTTTGACGATATGCTTTAAATTAATGAATGATGGTGGATTTGATGATATTAATGGATCTTATGTTGATACACTGTAGCAACAATAACAATAACAATAACAATAACTTCACTTATAGCAATAACAATATTAATTATAATAATAATAACAATAATAACAATAATTACTATAACAATAGTTTTTTTTTAATTTAAACAATCCATTTATTAGTTATTTGGAGAGTCAAGATATGGAGATCGAATATCTTTCTCATCAGATATTGCTACTAAACCAACAAACACTACAAATGCAACCAACGAACCAACAACAACAATATCAACATCAACAGCAGCAACAACTCCAATTACAGCAACTACAACCACAGCAACAATAAAAACGAATAGTGATTTAGTGATGTTTGATATACGAGTATTATCTTACATTTATTTTGTGTGTGTATGTATATGTTTATATATAAGTATTATGTATATATATATATATATATATATGTTCTGTTTCTATGTATTTGTATAAACGAACGAAAAATGATTGATCTTCGAAGCTGGAAAGTGACCCCCCTTTATACTTTTTTTGCACTTAACCACTCAATTATTTGTTTACAAAAAAAAAAAAAAAGAATAATTGATTTAAATAATATTTGAAAAAAAGCATACACATCTTGGATTTCAGCAAAATTTCGATGGTTATTAAGTAATTTCATCAAGAAAAAAAGCAAAGATTTAATTTAGGGATCTTTGCTTTTTTTTTGAAAAAATTTTTTTTTCAAGTGCTTTTTTCATTTTTTTGGAAAATTTTATTTCTCATTAGATTTCAAACAAATTTTTTCTTTATTGATTTTATCTAAATAAATTAAAGACTTAACCAAAGTTTTAGCTTTCGATTGTGCTACATTGGTACTGATTGTTTCATAATATTATCTATCATTTTCAAAAAAAAAAAACTAAACATTGATTTATTAAAACAAAACATAGTGATTGTAAACAACCATTACCTATTACAACTAAACAAGAGGGTGCAACTAATGGACGTATGCCAAGAAAGCGTGGATCAACTCAACCATCGATATCAACTATTGTCAAGACAATGACTAATCCAATCACTCCTATGCTGTCACCATTCAACGAGACAATTGTACAGAGTACATCGATATCTGATTTGCTGAAAATGGCAATAGTAATAGTGTTGATCAAAGTAAATCAAATGGTGTTACAACAACATCATCAAGTCAACAACAAGTAATAGCAACCGGAAATCAAAATATAGCGATGAAGAGAATGATGATATGGTGATAACATCCACAATTACATCATCAAATAAGAAGGATGTTAAACAATCCACTAATAGAAGTAATAATAATAATAATAATCTTAAGAAAGAAGCAAATATAGGAGTAGAACTAAATATTAAGAAAGAGGAATCGAAAAAAGATTTAAAGATTACTATTAAACTTCCTGATAAACAAAAAGCAAAGAATCAATCAACACCAACAACAACTGCAACTGCACCGGCGGCTTCTACTTCTGCATCAACAACTTTAGCAACTACAAATACAAATACATCAAATATAATAATTCCACCACCACCATTACCAGATTCAAAGAAGAGAAAACAAGTTGAATCAAATTCATCATCAACTTCAACAAACAATAACAATACTAATGCGCAAGATAAAAACGATAAAGATAAATGTTCAGATTCTCCAAGGAGAAATAGTATAGATAGTTCAAACAAGGATAATGATAAAGATAAAGAAAAGAGTGGAAAGAACATTAAGAAGGATGATAAGAGAAACAGTTCTTCTACTGCACTTGCTGATGTCAACGGTGGCGGAAGTGGAAGAGGTGACTATAGGTTTAATATAGATCCTACGAACTCACATCAGTTTATAGAATCACTTTATTACGAAAAAACAATACCACCTTGTTCTAATTTGTTAAGTGCAAATTTTTTCTCAGGTACAGATGGTGGTTGTGAAATGCAATCTTCAATAACTCCTGCCGTGCAAAGAAGATACGATTTTTCAAATCAAACACTTGTTCCTTTCACTGGTTATACATACTTTGAAAGATTCTCAGTATCTTCGTAATTATTATTTTTAATTATAAAACTATTAAGGATTGTCAACTTGTTACTCAACGGACAGATTCTAACTTAATATTTTATTAATATATAAATTAGAACATGTCAGAATGCTACCTCAAATGATAAGATTAGATATATTGCAAAGCTTGGACCTGGTGTATGCTTCCCTTCTGAACAAAATTATAACTATTATAGTAATTTTACATATAATCAGGATACCAATCAAATTTCATATAGAGTCGGACAAGAATGTGGAATCAAAACCCAAGTTAAAAATATATCAGCTCCAATTGCATGCAATATCACTGAAAATAGTGACAATTACGTAAATAGTATGACTCTTACCTCTCCGATGTCTTTTCAATTGAGTTCACCGATTTCTACATCTCCATACAAGATCGTTATACCACCAATCAACCAAAGCTGGCCTGTTTCGGATATCCAGCCTTCATATAATATCAACTATAAGCAAAAAGTTCAGTGGGGAAGTTTAATCAATACGATTGAGCAATCAATAACTTGTCCATCTTCAGGTTGTTCACTTCCTATTACAACATCACCAATATTCGGGGAGTATTGTACAAGTTCTCTTACTAACCTACCAAGCAATGTCAGCCTTACAATTACTCCCAATTATTTTGTTGGTACCAACACACAACTACTAAACTCTACATTTTTTAATGTATCGATCTCAAGTATGTTCTTTTCAACAGTAGTTAATTTTAATTTCAAATTAACTAACAACTTTTTATTTCATAGTTCCTAAAGTTAAAACTGTCACAGTTATAGCGACAGAATACACCTCAATAACTTTGAGAATCGATCTTGACAATACTAGTCTTGGCAATCTTGCAAAGTATATTGTTAAAGCTAATGATAAATGTATCACTAATCAAAATTGTATAAATTGGCCAGAGTGCACTATCGATGGTATCTCGCCAAACACAAATTTGCAAATTGTTATTCAAGCAGTTACCTATGGGTATGCTGGAGAGGCCTATACCTTGAATACTTCTACTAAGTCACTACCAATATCTACAACCACATCGGTACCTTCGACCACTACAACTTCATCTCCTACAACAACATCTTCTTCATGTCCACCCATAAATGACTCTACCAGATTGGTACAATCAAGCATTTCAATCATACTATTTTCCACAATATCAATAATCAGAATGTACTTGTAATTAATTATTTCCACTTTAATTTAATAAACTGACACTAATAATTCTCAGGTAGGTCCGCTATTGGTATACCAAAATGAACTGAGTTTAATTATATATATTTTGTAGAAAAAAAAATAATTTGGAAATTGTAAAGTATTTACACTCAAATCGCAGTGAAGGGTGTTCTAGTAAAGCGATGGAGAATGCAATTGATGCAGGAAATATTGAAATTGTGTCATGGTTGTATAACAATCGTACAGAGGATTTCAATCAACAAACAATGGATAAATTATTCGTGGTGATCTCCCAATGTCAAAATGGCTATATTCAAATTTAAATCTAGGATACACTCAGGATGCCTTGAAAAAAGCAATTAAAAGTGAAAATTTTGAAATGGTTGACTGGCTAATCAATGGTTCAAATAGAAACCATTATATATTGGATGATTTACTATTGAATTTCATTGTTTTTATTATTTCATTATATATTATCTACCTTATCTTTTCAATTAAGTAATCTCATTATAACAAATCTAAAAATAATAAAATAATTATAAAACTATATGGGTATATTTTAACGATGCTTCTTCTTCTTCTCATTATACTGTTTATATCTTTTTTGTCATCTGATCTATAAATTAGAATGCAAAAACTACATAATTATGTAGTGTTAAGTTTTATTCAAATAAATACGTTATTTTAATTTACAGATTATATTGTTGAATTAAAACAATGAGGATAAATACGAATAGATATCATTGATTAATTTAAATAGAAAAGTAATTATGTTATAGTTGGATGGTTGTGATTTTGTTTGTGATTGTAAAAGATCGATAATTTCTTGATGTCCTTTACTTTTGGCATTGGACAAAGCAGTTCTAAGATTTCCTTCGGTTCTATTCTGAATTAACCACTTTACAACATGTTTGTGAACAAAAAAGGATGCACAACTCAATGAATTTTCTGTACATCCTTCACTTCTATTATTATGTAACCAAATAATGCAGTCGAGATGTCCACTTAGAGAAGCACCATCCATAGCCTCGGTGGTACATTGGGAACTAGTATTCTCATGCAGCCATTGAATGACACTAAGATGGCCATTCTTTGCGGCAGAGTTCATTGCATAAACTGTGGATTGTTCAGTCCTATTCTTATATAACCACTTGACGATTTTTAAATGACCTGATTCCGAGGCGTAGTCAATTGCTTTGTGACTACAACCTTCACTTCTATTATTACTTAACCAAACAACACAGTCGAGATGTCCGTTTAGAGATGCTCGGTTTATAGCCTTTTTTGTACAACCTTCAGAGCGATTGGTATGAAGGAACTGAACCAATTGGAGATGTCCATTCTCTGATGCGCCATTCATAGCAACGACAGAGCAACCTTCGGTACGATTGAAATGGAGATATTCAACAATTTCAAAGAATCCTCTGGATGCTGCATAGTCAATTGCATGATAGGATGCCTTACCGATTTGATTTGAATCCAACCATTTTAGTGTTTCGAAATGTCCCATGTCAGCAGCTATATCCAGGATATGAATGTACTCGAATATATGTGAATCTTTATTCTCTCGCTTTAAATACTCGAGCACATGTATATGGTTTCCCAATACTGCTTGGCTATACATTTTATTTCCGATTCTGCACTCTGATTTCTCGGCAACTAGATACTCGATCATATCAAGTCTACCGACTCTTGCAGCACTATCGAATACAACACTACCAACACTGTCGTCTCCGATTTTCGATTATTTCAAAATCTCGATGTCTTGTGAGAACGGTGCTTTGCTGATGCAGTTTCTATATTTGAGTTTCAATCGATGTGCTTGACAGTAGCTCTCTAAATATTTGATTATATCAAATCTACCGAACCAAACGGCATAGTAGAGTAGGTCATTATATTTGGTACCAGATAGATTGCCAACTATAATACCGCTATCTATATTTTGATCTTCAATCAAATAGCGTAGGATCTCTATTGAATTTGCTCTGATTGCATTCACCAATGTCACGAATATATCGTAGGGCTTCATATTCTTGATTGAATTTGAACTTGACCACTGCTTTAACAATCCAATATAGCCATTTCCTGCCATTACTTGTGGTGATTCAATCATCTCATTCCATCTATATACTATACATTTTCCATCATATAGGAGTTCTGATAAAATAAAATTCTCATCTCTAATACATTTAATACTATTGAATATAAATCTATTAAATATTTTATTATTGCATACTGATAGAAATAATGATGTATCCATTCTTCATAGAAAAAAAAAAAATAGTAAACAACTGAAAAAAAAATGTCTTTATCTTGGTTGATTTCAACCTTCTCTCTGAGATTTTTTTTCTAAAAATTAAATTATCTACAGATATAAGATAAAATTTTTATTAAAATCCTAAAAACATCTTAAAAATCTAGATTTTATAAAAATTTAGTATGTTATTTTTATGGATAAATCAATCCTAACTTTATTCTCTCATGGTTTCTATTAATTTTGAAGATAAGCTAGTTATTTATATTCTTTGATTTGGATAATTCTAAATACACCTTTATATGTTTAGAAAGGAATGGAAAAGTGAATAGAATAAGGATTGATATCTCTTTTTTTTTTTTTTTTTTACATAATTTAAATTTTATTTTTTTATTTTATTAATTTAACTTAAATTTTAATCCAATTTAACTTGTTGTAATGGCTTGAGGTTTGGTGATACAGTGAATGGACAACCAGTGATTGTCTTGAGGTGATCGACAGTGGTACCATCAGCGATTTCAATGAGAACGAGTCCCTTGGATGGCTCGACGTCGAACACTGCCAACTCGGTAATGATACGGTTGACACAACCCTTTCCGGTCAATGGGAGAGTGCAACGCTCCAAGATCTTTGGCTTTCCGTTCTTTGATGTGTGTTCCATGGTGACGACGACACGCGATCCACTGGCGGTCAAATCCATAGCACCACCTGGTCCCTTTACCATTTGACCTGGAATTACCCAGTTGGCAAGATCACCGTTGGCCGAAACCTCCATACCACCCAAGATGGTCAAATCGACGTGTCCACCACGAATCATGGCGAATGAATCGGCCGATGAGAAAATCGATGAACCCGGAATGGTTGTGACAGTCTCCTTACCGGCGTTGATCAAATCTGGATCTTGTTGACCGGGCTTTGGGAATGGTCCCATTCCAAGCAAACCATTCTCACTTTGCAACTCGATTCTGATTCCCTTTGGAACGTAGTTACTGGCGAGTGTTGGCATTCCAATACCCAAATTGCAATACATTCCGTCTTGGAACTCGAGAGCGGCACGACGGACAATCTTCTCACGCTTCATGGCGGCTTCATTCTTTGGCTTGGCTGGTGCGTCGGTCTTTCCACCTTGGTCCAAAGTCAAACGTTCGATACGCTTCTCGTACGATGGTCCCTTAATAACACGGGCAATATAGATTCCGGACAAATGGATCTCGTCTGGCTTCAATTCACCGGCTTCGACAATCTCTTCGACCTCGGCAATCGTGATACGACCGGCAGTGGCCATTGGTGGATTGAAGTTTCTTGCGGTGTTTCTAAAGACGAGATTTCCACGGGTGTCAGCTTTCCATGCTTTGATGAGCGCAAAATCACCGGTGATCGCTTCCTCGAGGACGTAGTTACGGTTGTTGAACTTACGTGTCTCACGTGGCTGACTGGTGATCTCTACCTTTCCACTGCCGTCCTGTGCAAACTTGATGGGGAATCCACCCTCCTCGACCAAGATCGTTCCGACACCGGTTGGAGTGTAGAATGCAGGGATACCGGCACCACCGGCTCTGACACGCTCTGCCAAATTACCCTGTGGAGTCAACTCGACTTCGAGTTCACCCTTGAGATACTGTGATTCGAAAGTGGCGTTCTCTCCTACGTAGGAAGCAATCATACGTTTGATCTGACGTGTTTGCAACAACAATCCCAAACCGAAATCATCGACACCACAATTATTACTGACGACAGTGAGATTCTTGACACCCTTATCACGAACGGCTGTAATCAAATTCTCTGGAATACCACACAATCCAAATCCACCAACCAACCTATATACAAGTTAATTAGTTTAACAATGATCATTGGTTTTTCAATTCCATATATTTATATATTTTTTGAAATTTACAATTTAGAACCATCTTTGATATCGGCAACAGCTTCTTTGGCTGATCCTACAACTTTTGAAGTTGAATAATATCTAAGTGAACTCTACATAAACATTAATAAAAAAAAGTAAGAGTTATTATTGAGTAACAATATTGTGAACATGATATTTAAACAAACATACATATAATTTTACAATCGATTTGCTTGATAACATTTTTTTTGGTAAATATAAATGAATAAAATCAAACTTCAGAATTTTTGATTATCATTTTTGAAAAAATCAAAAAATTCTAAATTGAATAAAAAAATTAATTAAAAAATGAATTTAAAGGCTGTTTGGAGCATACTCTTATTCCGACAATAGAAATTTCTTGTTGTTATTAATTTTACCCCATTTGAAAAACTAACTACTCGTGTTATACACCTATAGAATTGTTCCCCTTTTTACAAACAAACTTAAATTTTTCGAAACAAATAAATAAAACTTAAATAATATTTAAAATTGGTTGTGCACTACTATTTTACATTTTACTAGTAAAAAAGAAGAAGATCATTCTATTGTGATCATGATTATGTGTGTGGAACAATCACAATAAATTGCCAAATTTGATATAAAAAATTTTAAAAAATAAAAAAATAAAAAAAACAGTTTTTGGAATAACCGATTCTTTTTTTTATATTATCTTTCAGATTTGAATCATAATTAAAGTCTTTATTATTACAAATAAGGAGAGTTAGAGAGAGAGAAAAGATGACAGAGAATACCACACCAGTTGTAGCACCAGTCGAACCAGTAGCAGCAGCTCCAAAGAAGAAGATCTGTTGTGCCTGTCCAGACACCAAGAAGCTCAGAGACGAATGTATTCTTACCAACGGTGAAGACAAGTGTTTTGAATTCATTGAGAAACACAAGATGTGTCTTAGAGCTGAAGGTTTCGATATCTAAAATAATTAGTAATAACAATAACAACAAAATAATAATATTATATATTTCAAAAAAAAAAGCGAAAAATCTTTAAATTGGTTAATCACAGTTTCATCGATATCAATAGACATACAATACAACACTTCTATCAATATTCTTCAATCAAAATTGATATTTAGTGCTAAAATAACGCAAATAACAATAATAATAATAATATTCCAATTCCCTTCTCTCCTCTTATAAGTCAGTCAAATAATAACAACTACATATATTTAATACGATGCGCATCACAAGTGATATTTAAATTTTCAATATCAAACAATAATAAAACAACTTTATTTAATTTATTAAAAAAAAAAAAGAGAATTTAACAAAATTATAATGATAATGAAACAATAATTGTGTGTTTGCAAAACAACACTTTTTTTTTGTTTAATTTATATTTTTAATTTTTAAAATATATAAGTTTGTTGACTTTGTTATTTATTCATAATCATAATAAAAATGAATAAAGTAGTTTTAATAACAGGAGCTGCAAGTGGAATTGGAAGAGATCTTTCACTTACATTTCATGACTATGGATTCAGAGTGTATGCAACCTCTAGGAATATAGATAATATGGGTGATCTCAGTGAAAAAGGTATATCTGTATTACAACTAGATGTATCAAACTTGGAATCCATCAACAACGCTGTAAACTACATCATCGACAACGAGGGTAAAATAGATATTCTCATCAATAACGCTGGACTAGTTTACTATGGTCCTTGTATTGAGCTTCCAATTGAAGATACACGTCATCTAATGGGTATGTTGTTTAAAATGTTGTATTTCATCACACAATTATTTTATATATTAATAATTGGTTTTTGTTTTTTTCTATCTTTTTTTAGAAATTAATTTCTTTGGTGTTGTAAATGTTACTATGGCAGTATCAAAGTTTATGGTTGAGAAGAGAAGTGGAATCATTGTGAATATAGGAAGTATCTCTGGTGTGATGACTTCACCGTTCACCGGAGTCTATTGTGCCAGTAAGGCTGCGCTGCACGCGTGGTCCGACGCACTGCGAATGGAGTTGGATCCCTTCAATGTGAAGGTGGTGACATCGATTCCGGGTACGATCGTTTCGAATATAGTGGATCGTGCAGTACCACAGCTTCGACAGCTACTGGCTCACTCGATCTACAAACCGATAGAGGCAGAGATACTCGGCAGACCCACAATGATCAAATCGATACAGGTATCGACACGATCGTTCTCAGAGTATCTCTTGCAAGTTATATTTCGTCGTCGTCTACCAGCAACGTTTAGATACGGACCCGGTACAATCTTCACAATGATCATGAGTGCACTACCCACACGCTTTACAGACTGGTTACTAAAGAAGAAAGCAGGTCTTGCAAAATTGAAACAAATCATAGAAGAACAAGCTGTAAAATCACAAAAACAACAACAATCATTATCAAATAATAATAATAATAATAATAATCATAACAATAATAATGATGAATAAAAATTAAATTTAATATTTATCTAAAAGAATGTTTTTTAAAAAAAAAAAAGAATTATTGTGCTAATAATTATATCATGACTAATTTAAAAATCAACAAATTGGGGGTGACTTTTAAAAATCAAACCACTTCGGAATTAATTAGTTTTTTTTCAATTATTTTTCTTTTTTTAATTTTTAATTTTTTTCAATTATTTTTTTTTTTTCTTTTGGTGGAGAACACTTCACAAACACTTCGTAAAATACACTCCGCTCTATCAAATATCAACTCTGTATAATATAATTAAAAAGGTAATTAATTAATTTAGTTTCCCAGCATATGCATTGGTTTTTTTTTTTCGTTAGATAAATAATAATAAACAATCAAAACTATTTTTGTTTTATTTTTTATTTTATTTTTTATACCTGTTTAAATAAATTAAATTATTTAATTTAAATATTTTTTTTTAACAGAATAAAATTTGTTGATGTTTGTTGGAAGTCGAACAACAGTTAAATGTGGAAGATGAAAAAAAAAATGAAGAGTAGAGAGCAGGAAAGGTGTTAGATGTTAGGTGTTAATTGTTGTTTATTTTATTTTTATTTTTATTTTTTATTTAATGATTAAATTAAATTAAATCAGATATCTAAAACAAACAAACAAACAAAACAAAAGTATTTATCTTTTTTTTTTTCTTTTTTTTTAAAATAGAAATTGATTCATTTAAAAAAAAAATGGAGAATGAATCTGATAATCTGTTAAATAACGATGCGCTTGTCGATAATCATGACCATGGAGGTCATGGACATAGCCACGGAGGTAAAGATAAAAAACATAAACATAAACATGGTCATTCTCATGAGGGAACTGTATCCGATGCCGTTGTTGGTAACAGTACTTCAGAGGCACATGGCCATTCGCACGACCACGGAGCTCATGGCCATAGCCATGATTCTCCAGCTTCACAAGAGAATTCCAGCAAGAAGAAGAGCCATGGACACAGTCACGACCACGAGCATAACTACGAGCATGACCACGACCATAATCACAACGACCACGACCACGACCATGAGCACAACCACGAACACGACCACGAACACGGACATAGCCATGAATCTCCAAGTAGTCCATCTTCGCGTGGTCTGCTGAGCGGACTCGACACCCTCAAAGAGCTGGACAAGAAGAAGAAAGCCAGATATGCACTTACGGTTTGTCTCGTCCTCACAACAGTTTTCATGGTTGGTGAAGTAGTCGGTGGTTACATGGCCAATTCACTTGCTATCATGACAGATGCAGCTCATCTCCTAACCGATATAGGTGCTATGTTTCTAAGGTAAATTATTTATTGTTTGTTTAAAAATTAGTTCATCTTTACTAATTCAATATTCTTTTATATTTCCCAGTTTATTTGCAATGTGGATATCAACACATCCACCAACTTCATCACTGAGTTTTGGATTCCATCGTGCAGAGATTCTTGGTGCTCTTGCTAGTGTTCTCATGATCTGGGCACTGACCGGTGTTTTATTGTATGAGGCTGTCCAGCGTATCACTCATCCACCCGAAGTAGACGGTAAAGTTATGTTTATTATTGCCAGTTGCGGTTTGGCTATCAATATTATCGATGCCATCATTCTACACTTTGGTGCTGGAGGTCACGGACATTCGCATGGTGGTGGCGGTCACTCACACGGTGGCGGCGGTCACTCTCATGCCAAGAAGAAAAAGAGAGTTGCCACCGAAGAGATCGACATTGAAATGGGAGGCGAAGTAAAAGAGCACAAAGAGGAAATGAATATCAATGTTTACTCTGCATATATCCATGTCATTGGTGACTGTGTACAAAGTATTGGTGTCATGATTGCCGCTCTCATCATCTGGATAAAGCCAGAGTGGAAGATTGCCGATCCCATCACCACCTTTATCTTTTCGATCATCGTCTTGTTTACTACCATCCGTTTGTTGAAGCAGAGTCTTGGTGTACTGATGGAGGGTGTTCCATCGGATGTTAGTGTCGCCGACGTAAACTCGGATCTCTCTGAACTCCCAGGTGTTACCGAGGTCCATGACTTGCACATCTGGTCGATCACCATTGGAAAGCCAGCACTCAGTGTCCATCTCACGATTGCCGACGGTGTCGACTCTGACGATACACTAAAGTCTGCATGCAGACTATTGAAATCAACCTACAACATCGAACATACTACCATCCAGATTGAACGACAAGCAGGAGATAACTCTACGGCTCTCTGTAACGATCCATGTCCACCACCAAAACAAAAGACATTGAAACGTCAAAATAGTCATTAATAATTTTATTTTTTTTTACTATAACTAATTATAATCCATCCAAATTTAATATATAGTTTATTTTTGTATAATATTTCGATTCGAAGTAAATAATATAATAATAATCAACCAATCATATAATAATTATCTTAATTTTTAATAAATAATATTCACCTTGTCGGTGTTTATTTAAAAAACAAAACCAAAAATTTATTTACAAATTTATTTACAAATTTATTTTCTGTATCAAAATAGTTTTCTTTTCACGATTTTTCATTACATCCAATAATCTTGAGTCATCAATATTCAATATTTGATTGTCCTGATTATTTGTAAAGGTTAATTTATTAGGTTAATTGTTGAAAAAAAAAAAAAACAAAAAAAAAAAAAAAAAAGAAATTGTAATACATACAAGTTCAAATCTATATTGACTTGGTTTAAATCCGAATGCTTTGCTTGTGATAGTTTGAAGATCTGTTAATGTGCTGTTTTCATTGAAATTGATTAATTTGGATTCATTTTTAAACTTTACATTAATAAGGAATTGCGATGATGTGTTTGGAGATTGTGGTTTAGGGATTGATTGGTTTACACCATTATTATTATTATTATTATTATCAAGTCTTGCTTTAGCAGCATTCTCTTTGGTAATTCTTCTTTTTTGTTGATTAACTCTAGTAGTTTCTCCAATCTCTATTGCTTTCAACAAAATAGAGATATATATTTGATCCTTAGCTGGGTCACGAGTATTATTACCATTGATGTAGGAATCACCATAAAAAATGTTCTCTTTTTCAATATTGAGCATATCAAGTTTGGTATTAAGAGTAGACTGAAGCTCCACGGGATTTAAACGATCAAGATTTGTAATCACAAGAATTGGAGAGATACCTTTTAGAATTTTAATTTAAAAATTAGAAATCATTACTTTTGATTATTAAAAAAGATAAAATAAATAATAATTACCTTGTTCAGAACAAAGTTTGAATAATAAATTATAGTACGCAATTTCTTCTTCAATCTGAAAAGCTAGAACACTCATGGCAAAAACAAATGAATGAATAGCAGATTCATCATCTCTTTCCTTTGATTCAAAGCTTGCCAGGTCAAATTTATAATCAATATCTTTTGGTAGCATTCCTCTAGAGTATAATAATTAGTTATTTTAATAGAAATAATAATAAATTTTTTTATATTTCATACCTAGCAGCAAATTTAATGAATTTATCACATGGAATCGATGTTTTAAAACCATAAGAGTCCCAAAGATTAATCTTGATATTATCGATTATATCTTGTGTAACTTGAGTTTTGTTTACAATTAGATCACGTATAATCTCTGCAATCGATGTTTTAGTATAACTTCTTGTTACATGATCACATGATCCAAAGGTATTGAACACTTTATCATTAATTTTATTTCCACCTGTGAACAAATTAAGAAATCCGTTGTTGGTTGTTGACTTACCATGACCAACCAATCCAAGAACACAAATGTTCAGAGGAAATAATGTTTTGAAAATTTTAGATAGCCATGCTATTTAAAAATAAAGTTAATATTTTTTTAGTTTATTCATTAAATATTAATACTTACCGCTATCTAAATTAAAATAACCTTTATATTTTCCTTTGTTATAGGTTAGTTCGAAAAATATTTGTGTTGAGAATTTGTTGATTGAGCTTCCAACATTGGTGTGAAGATTCATTGTTTTTCTGACAGGAACTTCATACTCTAGTGGTTTATCGAATCGTATATTGTTTCCTTTATAAAATTCATTGCTCATAAATTGTATTGCTATATCTTTTATTTCTTTACCATCATTAGTTGTACTTTGAATAATCTCAACAATCAGTGGAAGGAATCTATCTGTTGGTGAATGATATGTACTGGTTCCTTGTAAGAAACGTACAATAAACGGTAGGTCTATATCAGCAACACTCATTATTGATTTAATAGCAGTATTTACCATGCTAAAGCTTTCGATATAGTATTTCTTTTGGTTTTTGAAATGGTTTGAAAAGAATGTTTTCATAGTTTGATTGCCAATTCCAATTGTTATAACCTCGACTTTCTAATATTATATTTATAAGGTGCTAGTTAGTAGTTGAGCTTGAGTTAAAATAAATAATTAATAAAAGTAAAGTAATGTTACCTCCTTAAGGAGCCTTGTTATTTTTTCAGTTGGATCATCAGTAGGTTTTCCATCGGTTATAAGTAAAACCAAACCTGTCTTTGGATTGTTTATATCAATGCCTTCAATACATAGATTGATGGCAGGGATCATATTGGTCTCTTCTTTTTTAAATGATCTAGTGATTTTATTTATGAAGCCATCACTATAGGTATTTTCGATTTTACGAGCGAAATCTTTATTTTTATCACAAAAATTAGTAAATTATATTAATTAACACTTTCCAAATATATACTTACTTTCAACAGCAGTATGAAGTTTGGTCTTATCAGTCTCTTCAGAAATAACTATTTGAGCTTCTTTTCCAAATGAAATGATTTTCATTGGGATTGGAGGAAAAGCTGATATAAACCCTTCAATAGTTTTCTTTGTTAAAATGAAGGCTTCATTGCTGATCGAAGAACTGACATCAACCAAAAATGTGAGGGAGCCAAAATCAATTTGATCATATACCCAACGATAGAACATACCTTCATTGTGGTAATTGGTATCTTTTGGGTCGACAAAAGGTGTATTGGAAACTTCTGACATTCCTAAGAAATTTTTTTTATAAAACAAAAAGAATAATAAAAAATAAATCATTTTATGTATATTTATATGTACCAAAATAAAATAATTAAATTTTTAAACTTAACCTAAATAATAAAGTTTTTGGTTTTGTTGATTCAGATAATGTGTGTAGTTAGTTTGATGTTGTGTTTGATCTCAACTATTAATACATCTAAAAATAAATATATGTACAAATAATTTTTTATTCATTTTTCCCATTCTTTTGGTGAAGTTGCGATAAAAATCAAACACTGAACGATAAAAAATCAATTATTTTGTTGCAAATTTTAATGTAAAAAAATCAAAATAATCTCAAAAAAAAAAGAAAAGGAAATTGATTAAAAAAAAAAAATCAAAAGATTAACACTGTTTTTTTAAAACACACAACCAAATTTATTTCTTCACTTATTTTTTTGTAATATCATTGTCAACCAACATCAAATTTTTAATTTTTTTGTAAATATAGATACACAAAAACAAACATAACAGAATATATATAATTATAAAACCTATTTATTTAATTTCTTTATCAGCTTATTACCCATCACATTCATAACAAATCAACCAACCAATCACAACCTCACCTAACCAACCAACCAAATATAGATACAGATAAATTTAGAGTATAATGGAGGAATTTCACTTTAAATGCATAGTAACTGGTCCACCATGTAAGTATGGTAGATAGTGCCATCGTCAATGTCTGCTTGTCAATGAATGGCTCGCTAAAACACATTTCGTCGTTTGCTCGATATACATACTTACTTTTCACTACTTTAAAGGTGTAGGAAAGAGTTCACTATTATTACAATTTTGCGAGAAAGAGTTTTCAGCTGAATTAGATACTACCGTGGGTGTCGAGTTTCAATCAAAGACAATGGAGTTAGACAGTACATATAAAATTAAGCTTGAAATATGGGATACTGTACGTAAAATAGCTCAATCAAAAATCAACTTTACTCTGCTTCTCTATTGCTCATTTGGACAAACATCACCTCATAAACAAACAAACAAACAAACTTCTTAATCAGTAACATTATTATACATATGTTAAAAACACACATTTCAATCAGATCCCACACAACATAATTCAATCATTTTTTCAAAGCAAAATTCCACACACTTTTCTTTTTTATGGCTTGATTTTTTTTTTTTAAATCAAGGTTTGACTTTTTTAGGAATATTAATATTTATTTTTATGATAATTTTAATTTAAATAGGCAGGACAAGAATCATTTAGATCGATTACAAATAATTATTACAGAGGAGCACATATTGCTTTGTTGGTTTATGATATTACAAATCGTCAATCATTCCAGTACTTGGGAAGTTGGCTTGAGGAGATCTCACAGATGTCCGGTGAGAACATTGTCACACTGTTGATTGGTAATAAGAGCGATCATAACGATAGACGTGTTGTCAAAGTCGAGGAGGGTGAAAGGTTTGCCAGAGAGAACAATATCCTCTTCATTGAGACGAGCGCAAAGGACAACACCAACGTCGAGAAGGCATTCGAAGATGCCACCAGACAAGTTGTAAAACTAATTAAAGAAGGAAAGATGGTAGTTGTCAATAAGAAACCACAAACTGTTTCAGTAAGTAAAAAAATAGTATATCTAATAGTTATAACTATACCATCAAAATATTAATATATTCATATTTATTAGTTAAATCAAAAAGAAGATCCAAAACAGCAGCAACAACAAAAGAAGAGTGGATGTTGTTAAATTGACAACCAAACTTCTTTTAAAAAAACTTGTTTATATATATATATTTATAGGTTAAAAATTTTATTATTAAATAAATAAAAAAAATAACTTATCATTTAATTTATTATTTAAAAATAATGGCTTGTTTATTTATATTTTATAACATCTTGATATATTTCTTTTGTTTCTTTGTAAGTTTTTTCAATTTTTGTGTATTTGTAATCTAAAATGAGAAAAAAAGAATAAAGGTGAAGAATAGAGAGAGTTAATGAATGAAAAAAAAAACAAACAAACAAATAAATATGATTTGCTAATGATATATGATATACATACAACTTGATATTGTTCACTCTTCTTCTCATTTGCTTGTCTAATTTTCTTTCTTTCTTTTGCGGCGGCAGCTACCTTTTGTTTTTCCTCTTTGGTAGCACCACGGATTGCATCTTCCTTTTGTTTAATCAACTTTTTCATTTCTCTTTGTTTTTGTTTTTCTTCCCATGTAGTTTTGAAACCTTTTGATTTAATTACATTATATTTCCTATTTAAATTGATTAACATTAGTTATTTATTTATTCGTTAACGAATCATCTAGTTATAAATTATGATATTTACTTTTCTGATTTAGCTTTCCAAACTCTACCTGAAACAGGCTTTCCAACAACTCTTTCTACAGATCTTCTAACATTTGACATTTCTCCTAAACTTGATTCCTTTTTAACTTCGTTTGGTTCTTCTTTAACAACTATTGGTGTATTTTTATCATTATTATTGGTTTCTGTATTTAAAGTTGTGGTGGTGGTAGTGGTTTCTTCAATTTCATTATTTAAATCAATGGGTGTAGTAGTCATAACAGTATCCTCATTATCAGATGATGATAAAGTTGCAGCTTTCTTCTTTGTAACTCTAACTCTCTTCTTTGTTGTGAGTGAGGCACTCATCATCTCTTGAAACTTATCATTATCAATTGGCTGAGATCTATTTCTTGTTTTAATATTTGTCGACATTCTATATCTTATTATATAAAAATAAATAAATAAATAAATAAATAATTAATAATTAAATATCGATTTTGATTGACGACTCGCTTCCCAAAAAAAAATAATTGCAAAAAAATAAAAATAAAATAAAAAATAATTATTTATATTTTTCGTTTTTTGACAACAAGTTAAGATTTTATTTAAAAGTGATCACAATTAATTTGATCTCGATTTGTAATGTATTTATTTATTTAAAAATTCTTTAATATATTTTAATCGATGGTAAAATTGATAATCTAGCTTTGATAATGTTTTGAATGGATTTTCTAGAGGTTCTTTATCAAATAAATATTTTGCGATTCTAAAGTGATTGTTCCGCAATGCAAACGCTATTGCGTCTAACAGTGATCTTGATACAAAACTGTAGTTACAATTTTCAACGAGGAATTCAACGATTTCGAAATGTCCCCTTTCGGCGGCATACAGCAATGCACTATCATAGTTTTGTTCGGTTCTATTGTAGTGAAAGAACTTTACCAATTCCAGATTATTCATGATAACCGCATTGTTCATTGCATCTCTTGTGAAAGTTCCAGCGTTATTCTCATGAATATATTTTACAAACTCCAAATTGCCATTGTTCGCTACGTGGTCAACTATCTCTGATTTGGCGTTCAATGATTTTACATTTTCAAAGATGAACTGAAAGATATCGAGTCTGTCGCAGTGTATTGCAATGCCAAGTGCCAATTCACTACAACCCTCAGTACGATTCTCATAGAGATAGCGAACTGTGTCCATACTACCACAGGCTGCTGCGTTGTCCATTGCAACCTTTGAACAACCTTCACTCCTATTTTCATTCAACCATTTAACAGTCTCAAAGTGTCCATTCGAAGCAGCTGTGTCTAATACTCCTTCGAGTACGGGTTGCTTAATGTTCTGGTGTAGCCATTTGATAATGTCGAGATTTCCGTTTTTAGCTGCGTAATACATTGGTTCACCATAGTAATCAGCTTGTCCATGACTATGCAGCAGCTTTATCATCTCCAAGTTATTATCAGTGGCGGCAATATTCAGATACTGACGAGAACAACCTTCAGTGCGATTTTCAAGTAGGAAGCGAACCACCTCCATTTGTCGATTTCGAATAGCGTTATTCATAGCCATTTCCGAACAACCTTCAGTGCGATTTTCATGAAGAAATTTAACCACTGCAATAGAATGTTGACTAGCATTGTCCATAGCATCGAATGTGCATCCTTCACTTCTATTTCTATGTAGAAATTCCAATGTTTTCAAGTCACCTTTTGCAGCTATTCTGTCCATTAGCATAGTGGTACAACCTTCAGTGCGATTTTCGTGAAGAAATTCGATAATATAGAAATGTGAAGCATAATCCATAGCAGCAGTAGTGCATTTAAGTGTACTATTTTCATGTAGATATCTGAGGGAATCGAGGTGTCCACGTCTGGCCGCTTCATCCATGAGCTTCTCTGGTAGACCTTCTGTGCGATTCTCATTAAGGAATTTAATAACTTCAAATTTGATTGAGCTACTCATCGACTTTTTGTCGTATCCTTCAGTGCGGTTCTCATGCAGAAATTTCAGTAGTGTCATATCGCCGTTTGCAATTACACTATTGAATCCTTCACTACTGCAACCTTCACTACGATTTTCATGAAGAAAGTAAACCAAATCTCGGTGTCCGCGAGATAAAGCGATATCCATTGCCTCTGATGTGAATCCTTCACTACGATTTTCATGAAACCATTTGACCAGTTCGATATTGCCAAGTGAAACAGCATGATTCATTGAATGTTTGGTCCAAGGAACTTTGATTTTCTTTTCATGCAAGTACCGAATGATTGGCTGATAACCATTGGATATCGCAACATTGAAGATCGGTGTGAAATCAATGAATTGTTTGGTACCAGGCAGTTTGACGACATAGTCGATCACATCTAGTCTTCCATGTTCGGCAACGGTTTCCAGTGCACTGAGATATTGTTTTCTCATGTCATTTCGATTGTCTTTGGTGATCTTTAGATGTTGGTCTTGTGATTTATCGAATATGAATTTACAGATCTGCATGTATGCGTCAAAGTATTTGAATTTCAAAAGTTCACGTGGAAAGCAAACCAACTCTGGCCAAGTGTATCTAGGTATACGAAATAAACCATTGATACTCTTTACATGTTCAAAGATTTTTGTTCTAATAACTAATGATCCAAATACTCTCTTTATTAGATTATATTCAAATGGTTTTAAAACTATTATTATAGGTGATTGATCTTCAAAAGTATCACTTATTTCATTATCTGAATTACTTTCCATTCTATGTAATTAATAAAGTTTTGTTTCTATTTAAAATTTGATTTCTGATGCTTTTCTAACATTTAGTTTTTTAAAAAAATTTTAAAAATTTTAATATAATTTTGCAAATTGACTCGTTCAATATTAAAATCACCTAAGTCGACTATAATCAACCTTAATGTGTGGGTTACCCATTGAATTGAATTGAAATAAAATAGAAATAAGGTAATGTGTAACACATTAATCTATCAAAAGCTTACATATAAAATAATAATAATAATAAAAGAGTGTGGTTTTTTTATCAAAGATATAAAATTAGTTAGATAAAGTTAGATAAAATCAGATCATTGTTACTCATTTTAATTAATAATAAAACACACACACAACACACAACACCCACACAAAATCAAGTGAATTTTCATTACTTACTTTGCAATAACAATAACAACAACAACAACATCAACAATTAACAACTGAGACACTTTATTAAACTAAATACTAATTACTAATTTATAAACCTTTCAATTATTACAACAGATAGATATATATTCATATTTTATTTTTAAAAAAGATTGACAAAACAGAAATAATATCATAATTGTTAATTATATAAATAAAATATATATATATATGATATTAATAAAAAAGATATAAACAAAATTATAATGACCACAAATATGGTTAATAGTAGTAATAGTTTAAATACTACTGCTGCTTTAAGTAATAGTAATAGTAATCAAGATAGTAATCAAGATAATAATGAAATTAATAATCTAAGTGATAGTAATAGTAATGATAGCTTAGATAGTAATACAGATAGTGTAAAGAATGATGATACTGAACCATCTAGTTCAACAACAACAGCAGATTCTACATCACTAAGTAATCATCATTTACACAAGATCGATCCAAAGGCATTCTTACAACAGAAATCAAACAATAGTTTAAGTTTCAACACGTTCTTTCAACATAACATGGTAAAGAGTTTAAGATTACTTAAAAGATATAACAATAGAAATAGTAGTAGTAGTAATAGTAATAACAATAACGATAGTAAATTAAATTCATCAAAGACTGTTAAACCAGAAGGAAATAATCATTATTCTTCATTCTTTAATGGAAATAGTAGCAATAGTAACAATAACAGTAGAGATAACGGTTTTAGAAATGACAATACCAATAATTCAATATTTAATTACAACGGTAGTGGTAATGGTGGTGGTGTTGGTGGATCAATCAGCAGCAGCAGCAACAACAATGAACATGCTTTGGTCATACCTTTTAGAATAGATGATGACGACGATGATGATGATCCAATACTCTCAATTGATAATATTGTATTGAAAAAGAATAATAACAGTAACAATAACAACAACAACAATAATAATAGTGTTGACTATAGTGATGCAGATGATGATGACAATGATGACTCTATAGATTCATCAGATGAAGATGAGTTACTTGAAGACGATGAAGATGAACTACTAGATGAATTTGACAATGGTGCTATCGTTGGTGATGAAGATCACTATGGAGATGACGACGACGATGAAGACGAAGATGATTTAAATTCAAGTGGAAATGATATGCCAGGTAACTATTATAAATAATCATTAGCAGCAAATCAAAACAACAATAATATAAACAACTAACCAACCAATAATCTTATGAAATTAAAGAATATACTAAATCATATAGTTTGTTTGGTAGTGACAATAGTCCACATTTCTTTAAGAATCTCATTCATCCAGTGTCAGAGTTGAATGCGCATGTCTTGGTACATAACGATCGTAATAAATGGACGAGTAACAGTGGTGGTTATTTCAGGGGAAATAGTGGTAGTGCAAGAGGTCAACAACAACAACAACAACAACAACAGAGTCAACATAGTCCAAAACAACAACAAAGTCCTCAACAAAGTCAACAACAACAACAATTTAGTAGTGGTAGTGGATTCAATGGATTCATTCCATCTTTTGCCACTGCAAGTAATAATAATGGATTATTACCACAACAGCAACAGCAACAATCATTTGAGACATCATCGAGTTCTGCCGCTCAACAGATGAAACTACTTCCTTCAGAGAGTCGTTATTTCATTATAACCTATTTGAATCAAGGATTCTCATTGGAACAATGTTTGTATGCTCTGTTGATTTCCAATCACGATCACTCCATTGCTTCACAATGGTTGTTGCAATTGAAGCAGAATTTCTTTAACAACTGGCATTCTTTCTCACCGAATGTAGCTACTCAACAACAACAACAGCAATTCTCACCTACTCTTACACCTGGAGGAATAACACCAACATTATCATCATTAACATCACCTTCATTATCTGATATCAATAATATTAGTAATAATAATAATAATTCAGAACATACATTACAACAATTACCATCACCATTTACACCAATTAATCAAACAGTATCATTACCAAATTCACCAAGTTTTAATATGAATATTGATGAAACCAACAAACAAATCAACAATATCATATCGAATCTTAATCAGATATCAAACAATCAATCTAATCAACCTAAACCCAATAATAACAATGGTGTTGGTACTTCAAATAACAATTATAAGACAATGGTGTATCCACCTACAACATCATCACCACCATCAAAACAAAGTAAAGTTGAGAAATTGCAACAACAGCAACAAAAACAACAACAAGATGCACAAAAGACAACCTCAAATAATAATAATAATAATAATAATAGTAATCAAATTAAAGAAGCAAATAGATTATATTCTTTAGGTATACAATATTTAAAACAAAAAGATTATGAAAAGTAAGTTTTAAAAAACATTATATTTTATTTGGTTGTTTTTTTTATTTATTTATTAATGTTTATTTATTAATTATTTATAATAGGGCATTAGGTATGTTTGATAAATCATATGATATCAATCCAACTACTCAATCAAAGAATAAGGTATTTGAATTGGCAAATCTTATTATTAAGAATAAAAATAGTCAACAACAACAACCTCAACAAACAACGACAACAACAGCAACAACAACAACAACAACTGTCATTCCAACAAACAATCATCATCCACCACAATCGAAAAAGTCTGATACAAAGATAGCAGAGGAAAAGAAGGAAAAAGAAAAGAGAAAAGAAAAAGAAAAGGAAATAGAAAAGGAGAGGGAGAAGGAGAAATTAAAAGAGAAAGAAAAAGAAAAACAAAAGGAAAAGGAAAAACAACAAATAGGAGATGAGATGTCGATCGGTGGTGGTGGTGGAAAATCTTTAGCTTTGGTCGATGATGTAGATTCAGATTTAAATTTCAATGGTAAAGGCGAGGAACAAGAAACAAAGGAGGCAAAAGAAAAGAGAATCTCATTAAAGGCACAGAGAAAAGAAGAGAGACGAAAGGAAAGGGAGGAGCGCGAACAAAAGGTGACTATGGAACTGCGTGCCAAACAAGAGCAACACGAAAAGGAGTTGCTAAAGATGATAGAGATCGAACAACTCGAGAAGGAGAAGAAAGAGATTGAGGAAAGAGAGTTGCGCAGACAGCGTGAGATTGAGCGAGTCGAACGCGAAAAGACGTTGGAGCGTGAGAGAATCGAGTATGAAAGAGAGTTGGAGCAGCGTACTTTGCTTGAGAAACAACAGAAAGAGGATCGTGAAAGAAAGGAGCGTGAAAAGCGAAGACAACTTCGTGAGCGTAGAAAAGAGGAACAACTTCGTATTCAAATGGAAATCGAGAGAGAAAGAGTCGAGCGTGAAAAGGAAAGAGAGAAACTATTGGAGTTGGAGAAGGAACAGAAATCAAAGTTGAAACCAAAGAGAATTAAACATTCAAAAAATAAGGAACAAGATTTAATGGTATTTATTATTATTTATTTTTGATATCAATATCCAAATGCTAATAATATTTATTGTTTTTCAAATCAAAATAGAATGAATCAAAGTTTGTTAATCCAGATGGTTCAATTATTTATCTTGATGAAATTCCTGATTTAATTAGTGATGAAGATGATGAGGATGAAGATATTCAACAACAACAACAACAACAAGATCAACAACAATTAATATTACAACAATTACAACCAATGAAATCAAATAACAATAATGAAGATAAAGATCATAATAATGGTGATGTTTTATTATCAAAAGAGAAACCACAACAAGCATCAACTGCATCGTCCTCAACGCAGAGTAAATCAACAGGAGTCATCAAGAAGAAATCTTTATCAAAGTCACCAAAAGAAAGATATCCCGATATGATGGATGAGATACCTGATCTTATCAACGATGACATTGAATATAGTATCAGACCTAGAAAGGCATTGCTCACAAGACATCCAGTCAATACCGCCAATGGTCAGCCAACTGAAAGTCAATCAATCTGGAGATCAACGATCGGTTTAGTCTGGTGGCTTGTCAAGATGTTCACACTTCCTCTCATGAGTATACTTGTTAAGATATTCTTTGGATTCAACTATAAATATTGTAAATGTTGTGGTAAGTGTACAAAAAAAAAAAAAAAAAAACAATTATTAAAATTATTTTCTTTATAACTAACTTTTAATTTAATTTAGATTCGTTCCATGATATGACACCAGTTTCTGGATTTGTTTGGGGTGAAGGCAATAGAGTTTTCTTTTTAGGTCATGACCTAAAGAGAGAAGATGTTTCAAGCTATGTTGACATCTCTTCGCTAAAACAATTCGACAACCAAACTCAGCACAAGAAGAAAAAGAGTTCACAAAAGAAAAAAAATGATAATATAAATAAAGAAAAACAATAAAAAGTTTGATTTAATTTTTTTTTTTTTAAAATATAAATAGGACCAGAATTTTTCCATTTATCATGATTGATTGATTTATTTTTTGTTGTTATTTGATTATGGTTTGTAAGAAGCTCTAGCTGATGACACCAAAGACCACAAGTACAATGTGATAAGCTATAACTCATCAGACAGCATTCTTTTTTGGTTTTGACAAGTTAATATCTTGCCTGGTGTAATCTCTTTCAGGGTCCAAAAAGATTTCCAATAATAATAAAGAATGAAAATGAAATTTAAAAAATCAAATCTTATTTTTTTTACTTTGACTACTAATCTTTTTGGAAATAAAAGCGGGAAAAAGAAATTTTTACACATCAATCGTTGCTCGATTAGCTCAGTCGGCAGAGCGTGGTGCTAATAACGCCACGGTCGCAGGTTCGATCCCTGCATCGAGCAAACTTTTAATTTCGATTTAATTTTGCACCGCATGCGGTTTTATACTTTTTAAAATTAAACCTCCCTATCCGGGAATCGAACCCGGGGTTTCAGTGTGAAAGACTAATGTGTTACCACTACACCAATAAGGAATTTGGATGATATTGAATTCCTAAAATAATTTTTTAAATATTACCAACTTTTATTTCTCTAAGACAATTAGGAAATTTGGATGAGAAATATTATCTTTTTTCAACATTATTTTGATTCCCAAAGTAATTTTCATCAAATCATGATTTCCTTTGACTGTCCACATTGGCTATCAAAAAAAGATTGATAAGATACATTATTATAAAAATATAAATAAATTAAAAAAAGATAAATTAATATTTAAATACAGTATTGAAATACTTCAACAAAATTTTGCAAAAATTAGTATCTATACTAAGAATAATATATTAAAGAATATTGTAAGTAATTAAAGATTGTTATTAAATTTTGAAAAAAAGTGTTTTTTAAATAATTTTTAATCACCATTTTATTAGCAATCTAAAACAGAAAAATCATACATAATATTGTAAAATAAAAACAAAATAAAAATAACTTATAATGTCTGACAACATTGATTCTAATATTAGTAACAGTGAAAGTAGCAAAGATGTCGTAACAGCTAGTCAGAACATCAATAATAATGAAAATGATAATAGCAACAACAACCTGTCAGATGATTTAAATAATTTGAAATTAAGTGAAGCTAATAACAACAGCAACAACGTTGATAGTAGTATCATTAATAATAATAGTAGTAGTAGTATTAACAATGATAATGTCAAAATTGTTGTTAATCATGTAGATGATAACAATAGTAATCATAATAATGATTTAAATAAACCAAGATCTGGATCGACATCACCTTTACTATCTACTTCGACACCACCAACATTGGAAACCACTATAACATTCAGTGAGAGAATTCATTACTATAAAGAAGCTTTGAAACCTTCGAATCTCGATCTAACCATAATACAACATCTTGCTGAACAAGGTATACCTGAATCACAAGGCTTAAGATCTTTATATTGGAAGGTAAATAAATATTAATATTCAACATCGATTATCAATTACATTTGGTTAGACTTACTATTTATATTATATTTATTATATTTATTAGATTCTATTAAGATATTTACCGTTGGATCAAAGTCATTGGGAAACATCATTGAAAAGTAGTAGAGAGATCTATCATGATTGGGTGAATGAACTAATGATTAATCCATGGAAGGAAATGGAAGGAAGACCAAAAGATGATCATGTAAGTTGTGTTGCAACATAAATAAAATATTGATCAATAACAAACTAATGATTACTTTTTATTTTTTGTTGTTTTAGCCATTAAGTACATCACATGATAGTAAATGGAATGAATACTTTAAGGATCAGAATATTTTAGTTGATATCGAGAAGGATGTAAGGCGTACATTCCCAGCGTTACACTTTTTCAATCGACAGGAAGAGGGAAAGTCAATTCACTACGAAGCACTGCGTAGAATTCTATTCATCTATGCAAAGCTGAATCCAGGCATCAAGTACGTACAGGGTATGAATGAAGTGCTCGGTCCCATCTACTATACATTCGCTACTGATCCCGATCAAGATTGCAAAGAGAATGCCGAAGCTGACTCTTTCTATTGTTTCACCAATCTCATGAGTGAAATAAGAGACAACTTTTGTAAATCACTCGATAAATCAGAGAGTGGTGTAATCAGTAGTATTAAAAAGTTAAACTTTCTACTAAAGAAAAAAGATAGACAACTATGGAAAGATTTAGTAAGTAATTTGAATACTACAACAATCAATATACAGATTAATAATTCAAACTAACCAACAATAACAAATTGATATTACTATTCGATATTAAATAGGAAGAAAAGAAACTGCATCCACAATTCTATAGTTTCAGATGGATAACATTGTTGTTGTCACAGGAATTCGAATTACCTGATGTTCTTAGACTTTGGGATTCACTATTTTCAGATCCAAATAGATTCGATTTCCTTTATTATTTTTGTTGTGCAATGTTAATGTAGGTTATTATTACTCAACAGTAGATCTACAACAAAATAATAATAATCATTATTTATTTATTAATTATTTTTTTCAATTTTATTATTAGATGTATAAGAAATCAATTATTGGAAGCACCATTTGGAGATAATCTTAAACTATTACAATCCTATCCAAACAATATCGATTTTCATACGATTTACTCTACTGCCTTGTCATTAAAAGATGGTACATTCAATCTAAACACAGAGAATGTATGTATAATCATATTAATTAATTTTAATGAAATGTTAATATTAACAATTATAATTAAAATTCTAGCCATTAAACTCTGGACAATCATATTTAAAGTTTTTCAATCCATTCGCTAAAGCTACTTCACCACCAACACCACTTTCAGGATCACCATCCAGTACTTCACCATTGATGTCATCTATCAACAATAATAGTAATACTATAAATACAACACAACCAACAAATCAATATACTACATCTAATAATCTTCTTTCAACCAATAACAATGGCAATATTAATAACAATAATAATAGCAATCAATTAACACCACCAACAACTCAGACAACAACCTCATCTTTTTCACCACCTATTGCCGATTCACTAAAGAACTTCTTTAACAAATTTAGTTCAATAAGATAATTATTATATCTAAATAAAAAAATAACTTAAAAGATTATCATATTGATTTTATTTTATGTGTATGGGATATAGCATAGATGTAAATATCTTTGGTAGTGCTATTCGATAAATACATCGGTGTTGTAATAGCTACTTAAGTGCAATCATAGGCAACCATACCTTGCAAATGCATTATAGGATTTGGGCCCCTGAAAATATAGTCGTAGCATTCCACATTACCATTGGAACGGTGAAAAAATAAAAACAAATAGTTTATTTCTTGGTAATACTTTCACCAAGAACAAAAGGTAATAAAACTAAAAATAATTGACTAACTCTTGTTATAACAACCAAACGGAATAGTAGTAGATTCGATCAAAGATGTTGTAAAAAAAAGTTTTATTATTTTTTTCTTATTTTCAAATTTTTTCAAAATAAATCAATTACCAGGAAAGACAAAAATGTTAATTAATGATGATCAAATTATAACAAATCATTCAACTTAATTGATTCAATTTTGGAAACGTCATTATTAATTAATTTAATAACCACTCTGATGGACCAATTGTGTGTTATTTTGTTTTTTATAAATAAATTCTATTTTTATTTGCAAAAAACAAAAAAAAAAGATATTAATTTTTTTTTTAAACACACAGTAATCTTAATCAATAACTTTATAAAGAGTTTTTATGTTAATCAATTACATCTATTGATAATATTATCAAATAAATAATATTTAATTAAATAAATAATACAAAAACGAAACATGGTAATAGATAGTGAAAAAAGTTTGATATCACTACCGTTATTTATAATATTTGGTTTCATTACATTGTTTACAACATTCTCATTGTTGGAAGGATTAGAATCAAACGATGAATCAAACAAAAGAAAGCTTCAACAACTATTGAAGCAACAACAACTACTACAACAGCAACAACAACAACAACAGAATCAAATCCCATATTTTTATAGATATCTTAATGTAAATAATAATAATAACAATAGTAACAATGATAATCAATTACAATTTGAACAATTACAAAAACAATATTATCAACAACAACAACAATCACAAGAACAAAATAATCAACAACAACAACAACAAAATAAAAATGAAAGTTTTGTATATAATCTATTTAAATCTATAACATCATTATTTAGTAATTATAATAATAATCAGAATAAAACAACTTTTAATAATTCAAAAGATATATTTAATAATAGTAGAACCAAGAATAATACTATTAGTAATACAAATAATCAACAACAACAACAACAACAAAAAGTACAACAACCAGTTGTAACAAGTACAACAACTACAACAACTACAACACAAATTACATCGGTTCAACAGTTAAACTCGAGAATCGTAGAGTTGGAAGAGAGGCTAGAGGAAGAGTTACATCATAGAGCCACTGAGAGAAAAGGAAGGTTGGTAGCGGAACAGGGTTTGCAAGACGAGATGAATCATCTCAATATACTCTCAAAGAAACACAAGGAACTAGAGCAACAGCACATCGGTCTTTGGAAATTGTATACACTCTCCAACAAACGAAAGAAAGCATTGCAACTCTCGATGGATGACATCAACAGTCAGCTGCTAACACTTATGGATCAATTCCAACATTCATTGGCAGAGCAATATATGGATAGCAAAGATAGTATAGAGAGTATAGATGATTCAGACAACAACAACGATGAACAACAACCTATCTCAATGACCATAGACAAGGAATTCATTGAGCGATTCGAAACACTCGTGGAATCGATCAACAACTTAAAGTCACCGGAACAAGACGATCCGCTACAATCACAAGAAGAAGATCTCTTCCTTCAAGTCACCAAACACTCTTCACATAAATCAACAATGTTTGACAATGATAATGATATTGTTAAATTCACTGATATCTGTAGATAAATTTTAAAATATAGTTATAAAATATAAATAAAAAAATAATTTATTATAAATAAATATTAATTTTCGAAAATTATTACATAATTAATAATTTCCGTTTTAAGATTTTCACAAATTTGATTTATTTTTATTTTTTGTTTTTATTTTTTCTTAGATTACAACATTAATAAAAGTGTCAAAAAGTGTTAAAACCAACATGGAATTCACAAAAAACTACAAAGTTAAAATTTGACAAAAAACGAAGGGTTGCCAGTACTTCCACCTTGATAAACATTTCAAACAAAATGGTGATCATGGTTCTAATCAACTAACCCCCATTTCTCACAAATCTATTTTAAAAATATTTTTCAATTAAAAGTATTTAATTCAGAAAAAAAAGTAAAAAAACTATTAGATTAGATTTGTTTAATCTTTTATATATTATTATTATAATTTATATTCCTATTTGTAAAAATATAATTGTAAAAATATATATTAAAATTTATATAAGATTCAGAGATATATATATATATATAGTATAGATAGCTTGCTAAAATATGTTTAGCGTTGAAGAGAAGGCATTGTTGGCAGTGGGAGTAGTCAGTGCTGGATTTGTATTTATCTTTTTGGTAACACTACTCATTTTATATTTTAGTACTTTGAAAGCAGTCAAGAGTATAGTTAGTGGATCGAGAAGAGATGAACTGCGAATGTTAGAAAGCAAAGGAAGTGGTGGTAGAAGCGATTCAGGTGACGATAAAATCTCGAGTTCACAATCGGATCTACTGTATTTAGAGTTTGTCGATCGTAGACGTTGGTGTGTTTTGGTGGTGCTTGCAACGTTTGCCATGGTGTTTGTAGAGTTGACGCTGCTGGTGCTGGTCATGTTTGACAAGTTGCCAATTGAAGCCGGCGTTATCATTATGACACTGCTTGGCTGCACCTATTGGCTCAGTTTTGTAACACCGTCCAACTCGGCAATCGTTGCATCTACGCTGGCATCGAATCCGTTAAACGGTGCAGCGCGATGGGTCCGCCGACTCTGGTGGAAACTCCAACACAAACCACACTATTGGATTCCCGGATTTATCGGGGTTGCGATGATTGTTCTCGTGCTGAACTTGTCGCTTTGGGGCGTCTGTGAGAATAATTTGAAGATTGTTAATACGCGACTGATGCGTCGGTACATGGAACCGACCTGCAAGGCTGGCGCACCTTGTTTCGTTTATTTGACGATTGGCGATGATCCTTCGAATTCCATCATTGTAAACTATCATACTTCGCAATCGGCGTCGTCCACTCAGTGTCGTTACGACACCAAATCATTGGTTGGAACAAACAGCTCGGGATTGCTAGAAACTGGACAACAGTATACTATGCCACATCTAGAGGTGGCGAGATTCATTCATTGGGTGCATCTCACCAATCTGACACCGAATACAACCTATTATTTCTCGTGTGGATCCGATGCCCACGGATGGAGCGATGAGAGAAGATTCAAAACACAATCGAACGATCCAAATGCCAGCTATACATTTGTGGTTGGTGGCGATGTCGATACTACAGAGGTAGCAGAATCCATCTCGAAAATCGCTGCTCAACAATCGCCGATGTTTGCTCTGGTCGGTGGTGACTTGGCGTATGACCGTGCACAGTACAGCTGCTATCGTATCGTTGATAAATGGCTGGACACCTGGCAAAAGGTTATGGTGACACCGGAAGGTAACTCGATTCCTATTGTCAGCGCCGTCGGAAACCACGAAGTAATCGGTGACTATCAAGCATCGAGAGATCGTATTCCATTCTACCTTCGTTATTTCCCACAGATGTCAAAGGAAAATGACCCTGGACAAGATGTCGATAGTCGTCCTTCCTATGGAGCACTGACAATCGGTGGACCAAATGGAACTGTTATAATGCGTTTAGACAGTGGACACATAGCCGATGCCACTCTTTCTAAACAAGCCGATTACATGTCAAACGCTTTCGATAATCAATTCAAAAATTCACTCTACAGATTCGCACTCTATCACGTACCTGCCTATCCAACTATCAGAGCATACACAACCAAATACAGTGCTGACATTCGTGAAAAGTTTGTACCAGTCTTTGATAAATATAAATTCCAAATTTCATTTGAAAATCATGAGTAAGTAAATTAAATGATAATCAAGTTATAAGCATTTGGAAAGTAAACTAACTAATTATTTCTTAGTCATGCATATAAAAGATCACTTCCATTGTATGCAGATGAAATTGCTAGTACACCAACCGATGGTAAGATCAATGGAACTGTATATATGGGTGATGGTAATTGGGGTGTTTCTAGTAGAACTCTTCCATCTTCAAGATGGTATCAAGCTTTCACTGCTAAAGATAAGTATGTTATTATAAATATATAAACTTTAACAAAGTTAGTTGATTAAATTAACCTATTTTCATTTTAAATTAATAATTTAGTTATATATTAAGAGTGGATATTACACCAAAAGAAATCACATATAAAGCACTTAATGTAGAAAACAATGTATTTGATCATGGAGCTATCAACCAATCATAACACAAACAAATCCATTTTTAGAAGTGTTTTTTGTAACAATATCTTAATAATAAATATAAATTTAATCCCGAAAATAATTTGCAGATTTAAGGAAAATAATTATGATTGTCGTTATTCTGTATCATGGCGTATCATCAAAGGTGGTCGTTTTTTCGTCAACAACAATCATACTCCTTTTTTGTTAAAAAATGATGAACACCAACAATTTTTTTTTTCATATTTTTTTTGTCAGTATTCATGACACAGTGATATCATTGATTGTCAAAAAAAAATTTAAAAAAAAAAAAAAAAAAATTATAATTGATTAAAAAATAAAAAAAAGTAACATCAAACCATCATAGCTAAAGACAGAGACATTTTTTAACTTTTTTTTTATTTAATTGTTGTAAATTTCATTTCAAATTTTATAATTATTTTCTTTTATTTTTTGTAATATATATATATATTTTTATATCTAAATAAACTAACTATTTAAATATAAATATAACAAGATGTTGACAAGATCAAACAGAGTTTTCCAACCAATTTTCAGATATTACTCAAGCGGTAGATGGTCAAAGGTACAAAAGGGACCAGAAGACCCAATCTTGGGTGTCAGTGTTGCTTTCAACAAGGATACATCGCCATCAAAGATCAATCTTGGTGTCGGTGCCTACCGTGATGAGAACGGTAAGCCATTCGTTTTGGACTGCGTAAAAAAGGCCGACAAGAAGATCTTTGAAGCCGGTGTCGACCACGAGTACGCACCAATCGCAGGTGTTGCATCGTTCAACCAATTGTCCGCCCAATTGGCACTCGGTGAAGACTCTGCTCCATTGAAGGAGAAGCGTGTCGTCACTGTCCAAGCGATCTCTGGTACTGGTGCCCTCCGTATCGCCGCTGAATTCATCGCTCGTTTCCTCCCAGGTGCCACCGCCTACGTTCCAAACCCAACCTGGGGTAACCACAATGTGATTTTCGCCGACAGCGGTGTTCCAGTCAAGTCCTACACCTACTACAACCCATCGAACTGTGGATTGAACTTTGAAGGAATGTTCAAGGATATCCAAGCCGCACCAAACGGATCCGTCATTTTGTTGCACGCCTGCGCTCACAACCCAACCGGTGTCGACCCATCGTTGGAACAATGGCAAAAGCTCTCCACTCTCTGCAAGGAGAAGCAACATTTCGTACTCTTTGATTTCGCCTACCAAGGTTTCGCCTCTGGTTCACCGGAGAAGGATGCCGAGCCAATCAGATTATTCGTAAAGGACGGTCACGAGATTGGACTTTGCCAATCGTTCGCCAAGAATTTCGGTCTCTACGGAGAGCGTATCGGTGCCTTCTCATTGATTGCCGCCACCGCCGAGGAAGCCTCCAACATCGAGTCGCAATTGAAGATTTTGATTCGTCCAATGTACTCGAATCCACCAGTATACGGTGCCCGTTTGGTATCAACCATCCTTTCAAACAAGGATTTGACCAGCGAGTGGCGTTCCGAAGTCAAGTTGATGGCTGATCGTATCATCAACATGAGAGAACAATTGGTTAAATACTTGAAGCAACACGGTTCCACTCGTAACTGGGACCATATCACCAACCAAATCGGTATGTTCTGTTACACCGGTCTCACCCCAGAGCAAGTCGACCGTTTAGCCTCTGAATTCCACATCTATTTGACCAGAAACGGTCGTATCTCCATCGCCGGTATTAACTCACGTAACGTCGAATATTTGGCTAAAGCTATGCACAAGGTTACCTCTGAATCAAAGTAAATTAGAAAATTACTTTTTTTTAAAACTAAATAAATAAATTGCTAAAAATAAAAAAAAATTATAAACAAAAACATAAAAATCTAATCTTTCCAATATCTATCTTCAAATTTACATGAGATATATATCACATATTTATTTAATAGTTTTCAATATATTCTGAATATTTATCGAAAACTTCAACATCTTCACATTCTTCATCATCATAGAAATCAAAGTCATCTTCATTCAACTCTTGAAGAGCTTCAATGATAGCTTGGTCATCTGAAATAGTTTGATCAGAGAGTTCCAATTCGTGATAGATGGGGTTGGTTCTCAAGTCGATGAGTTCTTCCAATGCACTCTCCTTGTTGTTGAAATGTGTGGTAATTATCTTTTCCAATTGTTTCTTTCTGTCCAAGAGATTTGGATTGCCAGCATCGGTTGGTTGAGTGATAAACATTTCGCCATCCAACGAAACAAAGATATGTTCGGACTGAGAGATATCGTTGACCGATAGAATTTCATAGCCATCATTTGTAAAAAGTCGAATCTTTCTCAGTGTCTTTTGAGACTCTAAACTAGAGTCATTGTTGAAATTGATCTTGTTAACCAGTTTCTTATTGAGAATTCTAATGATTTCCATTTTGAATAGCACTAGACTGCTATTTACAAACATTTGGGAAACCACTTCGCTGTATCCATTCAACGAAATATCACACATCAAGGTTTTAATCCAAACATCGGTTTCACTTGATTGTATAATTGAAGAACGGAGCTTTCGGGGTTTAAACTCTTTTCCCTTTTGTAAATCCCAAAGCTCGCCAATATGAACAGAAAGTTCACCACACAATTCATTCTTTTTCTTTCCATTTGAAGTGGTGGCAATCAGTTTCAAATATTTCTTTATATGTTGGAAAACATTTTCTTCTTCTTCACTCTTGGCTTTATATTTCATGAAGGCACGTTGAAATTGCTTTATATAGAGGGAAAACTGTTAAAATCATTGAACAACAATAATTTAATAGAGATTATTAGCTATACATACAACTATAAATGGAATGTTATTTGACTTGCTCATCTTTGTTAAAATGGAACCAGAGATATCCAACGATAAAATTCTGGTTGCAATTGTGGCTGAATTAAGATTTTTTTGACCATTTGATATGACACACGTGCCTCTATGATAGTTAGATCCACAATCATAACAAAAAACGTAATTACAAAGTTTACAAACCATATGGTTGCATCCTTCCGTTCTAAAGATTGCCATATTGCACTTTGGACAAAGAGTTGTTTCCCTCAGAACTCGGGCAACAGAGGCAATATCTCTCCAGATCTCAGCTGATACGTCTCCCTCCCGACAAGGGTTAGGCCAATGAATAGCAGAGATACCACAGCACGCACACAATGTCTTATTGCAACCGCACGGTACAAACGGAATGGTTTTGCTAATGCCGGGATAGGTGTACATAATTCTATTACATTCTGGTGTCTTGCAAAACTTTGAATCGGTAATCATGAGAAACTCTTCGAATATCTTCTTTGTCCAGAGTCTCCATTGGTTGGAATTGAGTGAAGTAGCGATTGAAACGGAATCAATAAAGTTTGGACATTTGAATGATGGACAGGCGATGGGAGCAATGTTACCTCTGCCCTCAGAGAGACTGGATTGAATATGTTGTTGGAAACATTGTTGGCATGGCGAATGTCCACAGGAAAGTTGAATAGCAGACAAAGGGTCATGCTCACAAAAGCAAATCGGACATTCCAATTCATTGTTAATTTCAAATCGATACGCTCGAATATCATTCTTCTCTTTGGTTGGGGTGATATTTGGATACTGTTTCTTCAAGGCCAACATTGCATCGACAAACTTATCTTTGAAATTCAACAGTGATTTCTTACAGATCGAAATCGGTACACCTGTCTTTGAAGATAGAGAAGATTCTCTTTGATAGATATGATAGAAAATATTGGATTTGGTCATTGTCGGTGCCTCTTTAAAATCCTTTGGGAAGATCTTGATGATATCGTCGTCTAGGTATGGTGCAAAATTACCTTCTTTTTGTTGGCTGTCGATTTCAAGGATCTTTTCAAAGCAGCCCTCCATTACGCTGTCGATAAGCGATGCATCGGTGAGCGATTCCTTCAAGATATTCATTAGTGCACAGTAGATTTGAGTATTTTCAGAGTAGACAGTGTACTCTGGGCACAAACCAGGTCTATCCACCAAGTAAACCCAAGCCGCTAGATCCGTAAAGCTAGAGAAATAGATACGTGCTCTATACGGATAGGATTCACCAATCTCCACACGGCTGGGATACCTAGATTTCAAATCGTAACATTGATTTAGGAATTCGGAATCGGCAACATATTCTTTTTCCCACAAATGAAATTGGCGTTCGAACATATCATCTTCCGATTTTTGAGTATTGTTTACTGATTTCTCAGATGGTGTGATGATTTTAGCTGCAACTTCTGTTGTGTAATCGACGGCGGAATTGATTGGTTCAAACTTTAATAGTAACCTTTGATCGTTCACCAACTCTGTCAATGACTGAACAAGTTTATCATCGGTTGTAAATAAATAGAGTTGACGCTCTTTGTTTGATTCGAATACACCCTTGATAATGGGGGTTTCTTTCAAATGATCAATGACTCTATTCATTGAAACCCATTCATTTTGAATGATAATAGATTGTTTTGTAAACTACAAATGAATTAAATTTAAAAGGGTCAAAAGTTAGAAAATAGAGGCCTTTGTTAAAAAAACAACCTACTTTATCATTATATTTAAAAGTAATATGAACTTTTCTTCTGGTATCTGGATATGATAAATTAATGTAAATTGGACCACTGCTTCTAATATTGCTCATTATGATTTTTGTTTGTTTATTATTTTATTTTTAATGGCATCTTAAAATTTTAGATTAAAATTACTATTTATATCAACTTTTGATTCCAACTATTTTAATTTTTTTGACATAAGGCTTTTATGTCAAAAAAAATTGAGAAAATTAAAAAAAAAGAGAGAAATGAAGAAATAAATTTAGATAAAATATCTCTTTTTCACCACTTTAATTAAAATTTAAAAATATTGTTAAATATCTACACAATAAAGAAATTATTATCTTATATCAAATAACTTTTACTTTGGTTTAATAATCAAAGAGTTACAAACTAATCTAAAAGAATGATAAATTGATTTTATGCTGAATGTTGTTATGATTTATATATATTTATTGAATGGTTGAAACATCATCAAAAGTAATTTCACCTCTGGTTCCAACATTTGGACTGTTATCTAATTTGTTTAACTGAACTCTAATATATTTAACCATGAAATCGATTTGCGACATCGATGCATCTTCACTCATAGCCAAAAGATTCCTCCAGAGTGCATCGGCCATTATAACATCGTCAAACAAACCTTCATCATAAGCCACAACCGATCCCAAATAATTGGTATAGAACTCCTTTAAGTATTTTGCTGCAAATTTATGTTGAATCTAAAGATATGATGGAAGTTTTTTATATTAGATAAATCCTCTTCTTCAAACGAATAATGTTTTCAAATAAATATAATTGAATAACATACACCTCCTCTAACGATTCTCTTTTCAAGATCCTCCCAAAATCTGTCATAGATATCGGTTGACAACTTGTTTGCAACCTTTCCATCTTTACGTAAACGAACAAATACCATCCACATGTGTAGCAATGTCATTGCAAACCAACTTCTAACAGTTAATGGAAGACCAACACCTAATAATATGATAATAATAAAATTTATATTTTAAGTAATTAATTCAATATCAATAAGTATCAATAATATTTACTTTTATATAATGCAGGATTTGATGTATGAATGGCAATGGAGTCGTAGATAGAATGAGAAATATTCAAAAAAAGTGTATCTTTAGTGTAGAGACCCATCAATTTAAGATACCACTTCTGCTTGGCTGGGTCAACCAATTCATCGATTTTCATGATGTTCTTCTCCGATGGTTCGTATTTGAGTAATGATTCGTCTACTTTAATGCTTGGATCATTCTGTTGTTGTTGCTGCTTCAACTGTTGTTGTTGCTGTTTATATTTCTTTAAAATTTCATCACCTTCATTGCTATTCGTCTTTACAACATGTTCATTTCTATTCGAGTAATATCTAACATTTAATGACAACAACTTTGATTGTTGTTGTTGAGAATTTCTAACAACCAAGAAAGATCTATTTAATATTGTTCTAAACATATTCCTTTTATATATTTATATAAATTAATAAATAAATATAAAATAGATATATATATTTGAGAATCTGATAAGTGTTTTGAGGTGGTGTTTCTCTGATTTGGGCGGTGGTCAGATTAAAAAAAAAATGAAATTAATTTTTTAAAAATAAAAAAAAACGAATAAAACGAGTAATAAATAGGTCACACGCTTTCCTATTTTTAATTTCAGTATTAATCTTGATTAATATTAATTTCATCATCAATTATGATAGTACCAAGATTTACAGTTGAACAAAATAATGATTTCATTATTGTTGTTGCGAGAACACCTTATATCAAAGCGAATGAAGCCGATTTCTACTTGATGGATACGGTGTTCAAGTTCTACTGTAAACCATATTTCCTAAGATTGACATTCTCTCACTCGATCGTTGAGAATGGCAAGGAGAAGGCAAGCTACAATCTCGATACACAGGAATTCACTTTTCTTTTGCCAAAGGCTGTATCTGGTCAATACTTTAGCGATCTTGACATGATTACTAAACTCTTGGACAAGAAGAAGACCGTTGGCAATAAGATAGAGGTATTGAACGAAGGTACAACCATAGAACCAGATAATATCGATCAGGATCAAGAGATGGATAGTGATGACGAAGATGAAGACGATGAACTAAACTACGTTCAAGACGACGGTGGAGAAGAATGGGAATTCGAACAAAAGTTATCAGAAACACCAAGTGTAAGATAATGTTTAACATTCTTTTTTAAAGTTAATTTTCAACTAATAACTTATTTCTTTCTTAATACTATGTAGTTGGATGAAATTAGAAATAAACCACATTATGGATTCAATAATAAATATGTTGGATTCTTTGTAGATTTACAGTCAGAGATTACAGAGATCATCGATATTCCAAATATCGATGAGATTACAAAAGAAGAAAGAACAACAGTTAGAACTGAATTAGAGAATTTAAAGTTTGATCCAGATAGATATATGTATGTAATGAGCTTTATAAGTTTAAACTTTTGTTCTTTCTATTAATCAACTATACAATAGGGAAAATTATTATTTTAAAGAAAATGTTGAAGAACTTTTACATTATAAAGCATTTTGGGAAGATGCAATCGAGAAGAAGAAACAAATAAAAGAATCACTAAAGAATGAAAAGAAAGATAATATATTATCAGTAGAAGAAAAGGAAAAGACAACAGCAACAACAACAAAAGTAGAATCAGAAGTGGTAGTTACTGAAAAGAAAGAATATAATCCGTCGAATTTAGAAGAGTTTGAAGAGTTGACAAATGAAACAGAGTTTGAAGAAAATGGAATTCCAAGTGAAATAGCACAACAAATCAATTCAACACTCTCCAAAAAGATTGAAATCGTTGGAAATGAAGAGAAACAACAAAGTCGTCAACGTGACTACGATGCGCTGAGTCAATTGAAAAAGGTTGTTACATTCACCGACGAGGAGCGTGACATCATGAAGAACCTACCAAACAAAGAGTATCTGGTGGACGAAGATCAAGAGAAATCATTGCTAATGGGATTGGTGGATTTGATGTTTGCCTACGCGTACAATGTCCGTTCCAATTATGGCGATGACAACAACATCGAATCGGCTTGGACCATAACCAAAGTCAGTCCTACACTCTCTTCACTAGTTAGTTTCACTTCGCTCAAGTCGGCACTGGTTGCATGCTACCGACGTTCGTTTGCCTATCCTCTCTATAGAAGTTGGATACTCTCTGAGCGTGTTCTCAATGACACCAAAATCATCTTTCAGCTTGGAAAGCGTTGTCTGTTGAAATGTCTTTTGGCAATCCGTAAATCTTTGGAATCACACGAGTACAAATATTATCTCAATCGTTTGTACATCGATGACTATTGTGTTTGGCTGCAATACGCAAACAAGAAGAAGTTGAAATCACTCACCAAGAATCTAATGGAAATGAATATCAGCAAGTCCGACATTGAATGGCCACTCGAAGCCTACGAGAAATTGGTTGAAGAGGAAGGAATGGTTTTTGGAGGGGATGAAGATGAAGATGAAGAAATTTAATAAATAGATATAATTTTAAAAACAATTCATACTTGTTCTGCTCGTTGGAACATTGTAAAACCAAAAGTTCCATTAACTTTGAACTTTAATAGCTATTCATTAGAGAACATTAGTTTAATCATATATTTATTTTAAATAACAAGTGAATAATATTATTATAAATTTATTTAATATTTATTATAGTTTTACAGTGTTTAGATCTATTCGCTCAAGAGTTTAATGTAATTGTGGTGAAACATAAATGGATGGAGGATTTGGTACAATGTTGGCCAATTTGTAGTGAGAGACCAATTGGTTTGGAATTTCCTTTAGTGTTTCCTTGGCAATATTTCCAGATTTGAGTACCTTCATAAGTGGTACAAATTGGACGATGTCTCTGACTGGTAAATTGGTTTCCTTTGAGATAATTGGATATTTGTCGGCATCCAATTCTTTCATTCTATCAAAGCTTTCATATCCAACACCAACACTAAAGTTAAATAAATAATAAAATCAGTATTTCTGTATACGTTAAAAAAATAACTAAATCATTGAAATAATCAATTTGATTTACTTACATTACAATGGAGAATGGTAAATTGGAAGCTTTAGCGATTTCCTCTTTGGTTTCCTCCATGTCTGTGATGTCACCGTCGGTAATGATAACCAAAACCATGTACTTTTGGTTGGTTTGCGAGTAGTCTTTGACATAACTCGAGGCGTGTCTGATTATTGGAGCAAAGTTGGTGGGTCCATCAAAGTAGTACATGCCAATATTCTTTTTGTAGTACTCGTGCAGTTGCTCTGGACCCTTTGGACATGGATTACCAGAACGGTTGAAAAAGAAACAATGGTCGACCTTGTCGTAAAAGTCTCTTCTTCCATTTGGGTTGTCGGAACCGGTTGGTGTTCTGGCACCGTATCCATACATGTAGGCCTGTTGAGTTGGATTGTATGGCATTAACACACTACCCAACTCAAGAAGCGACTTCTCGTAGTGGTTGGTTTCACCCTCCTTCACGTGATGCAACGATCCCTCGTGACGAATCTCACCGTTTGAGAAAGTACAGTCAATAGCAAACATGATATCCATTTTCAAACCACCTTGCAAGAATTGGAGCATATTGAACTTGTGGGCGGTATATGGATTCTCGAATCTGACGGTACCACTGTTGGTGTACGAAGAGCTTGATTTCTTCTTTGGATTGATCAGTTGGAATTCGAATGGCGAGAGGATGGCAGCCCAGGTGGTGTCGAATTGACCGATTAAATCGTGGTCTCCAACACGATCCCAATCGTAGTATTGGAATCGGAGTGGTCTGTTTGGATCAGAGTTACAGAGGTCGTCCATCCAGATCGATTCGTCTTTCCAAGTTGGATTGAGAGTCTCCTTGATGACCTCACTCTTGTAGACCTCGGTGTGGGTACCATCCGGATTCAACTTGAGAACCTTGTAGTATGGATCAGACTTTCCAAAGACATCCTTCTTGTCAAACTTGGTACCGACCATAGTAAAGTATGCCTTCAACGATGACTTGTTGATGAATTCGGCTCCAACAATGATACTTCCGGCAAACTTTTGATTTGGATTGTTAAGATCATAGACAGCTTTCAATCCTGGTTGTGTTAACAAATGACCCAAGTTAAATCTCTACAACAACAAATAAAACATTATTAATAAAGAATGATTTAACATATTCATTTTTTTCATACATACAGTCATACCAATGATATCAGAATTTCCAAAATCTTTGTATGCTTTCTTTGATGATGAACCGTCGATATCTACAACCAATACAGTGATACTTTGGCAAACCTCAAAGAAATAGTCAATCTTTACTGAATGTTGGAATACTGGGTTAAGGTTGTTCTTGATTTTCTCGGTAGAACCTTGATAGATATTCTCTGATTCACCAACTCTTTGGAAAACAAACACTTGTGGATCTTTTTATTATAATAATAATAATAAAAATAAGTTATATTTTAAAAGTAGAAATATAAATTAATTAAAAAGACTTACCTGACTTTGATAACAAATCCTTATTAGAAAGGGCATGTCCTGTAAATTTTAACTCTATTTGTACACTAGCCATATTTATGTATTATATATGAAGTAGATATATTATTGTGTTTGTTTTTTTCAGATCAATCATAACGGTGATATTTAAAGTTGAAAAACAAATTAATTATTTTAAATAAAAGTTCGATGTAAATAAAAATCTAAAAACCGTTCTGTGAATTTCGATGGGATCAAAAAGGTGTTGGGTCATTTTTAGTTCAAACAAAAAATAAATTTCTGTGTTTTATTATTGCAGCTTTTCTGTGTTGAGAAGATATGTTATATCTTTTAAACTAAAGAAACAATTATAAGTGTCAACAATAAAAACTAAAATGATATTATTATAATAAATATTTATTAAATTTGATTTATTAATCTTGATTGCTTAAAAAAGATAATTGGATAAATAATAATATATAGTTAGTTTGTTCAATATTTATCAAATTATACTAAATTTGAGATCTAGATTATCATTGTCTTGGTTTTTGTTATTGTTGTTTGATACTTTATATTTTAGTGATTGGTTTGGTTATTTTTTAGTTTAGATGAATGGTTAATGGTTGACTGATTGATTGGTTGATTATAAAGATACAGGTGGTTCACAAATCAATGAGTAGTGTCTGATTACTTCATCGTCAAACAATTCCTGTTGTGGTTTGGAGAGGACTTTCTGGATCGATGGAACCGCACGGAACTGGTGTAGTCCACTTGCAATGAGCTGTTGAGTGAAAAGAATCTTTCGACTGAGTTGTCGGTAGTGGAAAAAGTTGACGATTCCACCTTGGAGCAGCTTTGGACTGGATGTCTCGATGAAGAACAACTCATCGAGTAGCAAACGGACATGTGGAATGGTGGGTGCCTGTGCATCCTGTAGGATCTCTCTGTACTTTTTGTAGTCATTCTCCTTTGATACGAATGTCTTGAGTTGCTCGTAGACGGCATTGGTTTTCGAGTTGAGCTGCTTGAAGGTGTCGGTGAGACGCTCCACCGAGGGATTCGCCAGTCCTTGCATTATACAAAAGACACTCGAGAAATCGCTTTGCGATAGACACTTGTCGGCGGCTTCAATGAAGCGTTCAATGGTGGCGGCACGACGCGCAACCTGGTTGTGCTTTACGATCTCCGTTGATACAAAGCGGACGAGGTCGTCGTAGTGGTCGAGGAAGTTGTGGATGTTGGCACCGGGACGATTGGGGAGCACACTGCCAACCCAAGGAGAAGGTGCCTGTGAGAGTCGCTCCCAACAGATCTCGAGGTATTCACGTGGTTGAATCTGATAAAAGTTGTGTCCACTGATGATTGTGAATTGTCGTGCCAGTTCAACTGCGTTGATGTCGGCAATGTCGAGATATTCGCTGCCGGTGGCGGGTGGTGGTGGAATGATGCTGGTGGGGAACTGGGCGTTGGCCGGTAGCGGTGTGGCTTGTGACAGTTCGTTTCGCTTCTTTGTGAGTTCGGCAACCAGTTTCGGTTCAGAGTCGGACGGTGCGCCAATGGTGGTGGTCATGAGTGAGAGCGATGCCAGCGAGTTTTGCACGACGATTCGGTCAAAGTCGGCGAGCTTCTCTTCCATTGCGTCGCCCTCTTGGAAGTCGGTGGGATAGTAATCGATCCAACGCTTAAAGAAGATAATTACACGCAGTTGGATGACACGATGCACCTTCTTCCAGTTGGCCATGTCGGCGCTATGATTCTCTGGCGACGCAGAGAGGTAACGCTGAGTCAACAACTCGAGCAATTGCATTGGTGTAGCGAAACAGCGGTATGTCAAAAGAAGATCTTGGATGTAGGAGGTGTCGTAGCAGTAGTCAGAGGTGGCACGCTCCACCATCTTTATCAAGTGATTGATCAGAGCAGTCTGAGCACCTGCAGTATTCTTACGTTTCAGTGTGTAGTATCCAGGTGGTTTCAGAGCACCGACACGCCAGTTGGAACCACCGCCAATCACCGAATCCGTTGGTTTAAACTTGACTTCCTTTTGTGTTGTCTCTCCTATATTTCCATTGATTGGTTGAGCTATTTCTTGTGATTTACGATGTTGTGATATATTACGACGTGATTGTGCAATTGTTGGTGAAAGTGTTGGATTATTATTATTATTATTATTATTTGTTGTAGTTGTATTATTATTATTATTGTTATTATTATTTGATACATTTGTTTGTTGTTGTTGTTGTGGTGGAGTTGTAACTGTTGGTGGAATTGATGGTGTTACATCTGGTGATTTTAACTCTTGAGTCGGTGGAATTACAATTGTTTTCAAAGCTGACAAAATATCTTCAAACTTTGGTCTTGACAATGGTTCATAGGTACAACATTCTTGACAGATATCAATTAACCTTATTAAAAAGAAAAAAAAAAAGAATAAGTAAATAAATTGATTTGTTTGTTGTTTCAATTGAAAATGATAAAAAAACATACTTTGATGGACATCCTGGTATTGCTTTTAGTTTCAATTCATCCGGTGCAATATCAAAACAAGTCTCTGGAGTACGTAACCATAAATCTACACCTGGTTTACGACCAGTAATTAACTCTGCTAAAACTACACCGTATGAAAAGACATCGCAAGATGTATCGTAGCTCATACCCAACAAAATCTCTGGTGCAACCCAACCTTCGGTACCACACATCGTCATATGACGTGCCTTCTTGGTTTGTTCATTCATTCTTGCAAATCCGAAATCACATAATCTAATTCTTTGATATTCATCCAACTGCAGTAAGAAAGAATTGTCAAATTAACCATTTGTCAGTAATCTATGTTTTAAAACAACAACAACATAAACCAACAAAACAACATATCAACTTACAAGAATATTCTTCGATTTCAAATCTCTATGAATGATCTTTTTAGCATGAAGAAATACCAAGACTTTGGCCAAATCGGTGGCAATCGAAAGTCTTTTGTCCCATGTGATTGGTGGACTCTGTTTGAGTAGTTGACGGACATCTCCACCCGATACAAACTCTGTAATAATATATAAACCTGTAGAATGTACACAAATACCTGAGAACTGTACAATGAATGGATGTCTTAAACTCCTACAAAAATATTATAATATATATATATATATATATAAATAAATAGTTGGTTAAACCAAAGGTATATTCAAAAGAATAAAAATGACAATGTTAAACACTTACTGTAACATAGATACTTCTCTATCGATATATTTCAAATACTCAGGATCATCTGCTTTCTCAATCTTTTTAATGGCAACCTCTAAACCCAAGTAAAGTCCACGAAACACTGAACCAAAACTACCTTTTCCAATTCTCTCTTTGAACTCCAGGTTTTCAAACGGGATATCCCAGATGGCTTGAGTTGGAAGTCCTGGATCTGTTTGTTCTGCCATGATTTATCTATCTACCTATTCTGTCAAACTAACGATACTATCTTTATTTTATATAAAAGATCTTTTACTAATACTACACTTTAATATTTTTATATTATATATAATTTTTTGTTTGTTGAACTAATTTACAAATATCTTTTTAATCTGTTTATAATATTATAAAAAATAAAATTAGTTTGGTTCAAAAAAATAAATAAAGATAAAAATCAATTTAAATTATTGATTGGGTGCAGTGCATGAGCGATATTCATTTGTACAGTTATTGTTATGAAGTTAGTTAGTTAGTTTGTTATAAAACAAAAATGACACACACCAAAGATACAATGCAGTTTTAGGAGCTATTAAACATATCTTTGTGTGTTGTGTTGTGTGTGTAGTGTTTGGTTTTTATGAGTTGAGTTGAATTCGATTCAATTCAATTCAATTTCCATTAATGTAAGTAATTGGTTGGTGTGAATCCAATCCATACACCCCTTTTTTTTTTTTTTTTGTAATTGATTGATGTTATAAAGAAAGAAATCATGATCAATACAATACAACACAAATAGAGATAATCATGATTGAATATTAAATGCGATGAGATAAACGGATCAAGTGGTGTGGATGGAATTGAAAAAAAAAAAAAAAAAGTGTTGATTGTGTGTGCTGCTTGCTGACCATGATCATGACTGAAGCTACTATTTATTATGTATAACCATACCTTCTCTTTCTTTTCCTTTTCCTTTTCCTAAGTAGAATCTATATCTCTCTCTTTGATTTGATTTGTTTTTTTTTTTTTTTTTTTTTACTAATACAATGATACACTTTTTTTCGAAAGCTAAAGTTGGATCTGTCTTTCTATTCTATTATTTACGTAATAATAATTTATAAAATAGAATGAAACTGTGTGATTAGTTGATTTGATTTGGAGTAGAAAGAGTGAAACTGTGATATAATGTAATAAATATAAACAAACAAATGATATTGTGTTTGTTTTTAGCCCTACTTTTGCTCAAAAAAAATTTAAATTGTTGGGTTTTTTTTTGTTTTTTTTTTTTTTTTTTTTTCAAAAAATTTGCATCAAGGACTAGTTTTTTTTTATCGAAATTTTCAAGTGGGTGTCTATTGGAATAGAGATGGCTCATCGCTTTGTTTTTTCGTAAAATTTTTTTTTTTTTTAATTAATAAGGAGTTATTGAGATTACTGATCGCAGATCTGACCAAAATTTTTAAACAAAAAAATTAAAAAAAAATTAATAATAAAAAATCAGATTTATTTTTTTTATATTTATCCAACCATTTTATTTAATTCTTATAAGAATCTAATTTTGGATTTTATAAAGATTGTCGATTTACTTACATTGCGATTGAATTAAAAACACAGCAACACAACAACTTGATTTCCCTTTTTAAATGTGTATTTATATTTTTCATTTTTATTGATTTGTTTATTTGTTGTTTGTTGATTATGTATGAATATGAAACCTTTATAAAAGTATAAAGGTATGTGAATGTTGAAAATATAAATATTATCTTTGATATGTTTGATAATATTTAATGAATGATGAGTTGATATTGTAAATGAAAACGTGTTATGTTATGTTATGTTAATTTAATCCCAATCAACTTCATTGTCGCTACCTGATGATTCAGCATCATCGTTATCATCGTTGTCATCGTCGTCATCGTCATCGTCGTCGTCTTCGAGGTCTGGGTTGAGATCGAGATCGAGTGACGTGAGCATCGGTCCTTGTTTGTTGAATGGCGGTGTTGAGATTGGTAGGTTGGGTGGTGGTACCAACAGTTTAGGTTGTTGCTCGCCAACTCCTGCACCTGTCGATACCGATTGGTCATCTGCTGTATTCATGCCATCGAATGAAGCGCTGTCAGCGTTGTCTCTGTCAGAGTCGAGTGCGTTGTTCGATATTGGCGAGACACCTTTGCCACCGAGGCTGGTAGTCGGTGTCGATGGCAGAGCCAGGTCTTTCTCGGCAAGACCATAGAACCGCAGCAAATTGAGCGGTAGTCTGGTGAACAACGTGGACGAACGCATCATATCCTCTTGTGGTGCGGGTGGCTTGTAAAGTGGCATCAGTGGAAGATTCGATTGATATCCATACGGTGCTGAAGTGGTTCCACTAATCTTGTGTGCATATGATATCAATTCTTCAGGTGAAATAGTTCTCTCTTTATAAAACAAAGATAAAATAGGTTAGTTTCATTCATCTATTTGAACAACACTAAAAATAATAAAACTATTTCTTTGTTTTTTACCTTTTATATCTTCATTCTTTGAAGCATCCGATATTTCATTTTCTAAAAGTATCTCTACATCTTTGAGATTCGATGCTAAAGTAGTGATTTGTTTGTCTTTCTCTTCAATCTCTTTCTGTATTGCTACTATTTCCTTTTGATATGTTTGATGTTGTTCCACTATTTAAAGTTAGAATGTAATCTATTCGATATGATTTTTAGATAGATAAATGTGATAGTTACATTGTTTAAGTGTTTTCTGTAATAGTTTATCAGCTTCGATTAACATTGACATTCTTTGTAGAATTTGTAGTTGTTGTTGTGGTGTTATGCTCATATATTGTTGTTGTTGTAATTGTTGTTGTTGTTGTTGTTGAGTCTGTACATTTGGATTAATACCATAGAGGTTAGGTGAACTTATTACATTTTGTTGCTGTTGCTGCTGTTGTTGACCTGATTGCATTGACGCTTGCACAGCGAATGATTCAAAGAGTATCTTGCATGCCTTATTAAATTCATTTATACTGATTGTAATATTCTCTTTTAGTGATCTATTGTTTGGTGTTTTTTGTGACATCTCATATCATGTTAATAATGCAGAAACTTGTTTTTTTCTGAAGATCATTCTCCCTGCAATCAATAATATTTTTAATCATAAATTTGGGTTTTTTTTAAAAATTTAAACAAACATATAATATGTTTTAAATATTTGTTATTTTTTATTAATAAAGAAAAGGATAGGAATTTAATAGTATATTAGAATTCACTAGAGCTGATTCTTTTTGTCATATGACCAAGAATTTTATGATATGCATCAGACCAATTTGAGATTGTATATATGAATTGACTTCTGGCTATTGCAAATAACAAGAATGAAGTTTCTGAGAGTCTTCGAATAAAATATGTGAGGATGACACTATATTATTATGAAATTAAAATTGAATAACACTTTTAATAAAGAATTAATCAACAATTATCTAATACCATATTATCCTAATAATTAAAAATAACAAATCTTTGATTATCTTTTTTTGTTTGTGTTCTTTATGATGTTAATATCTAATGTTGTTAACTTTTATGAATATCTAAACTCGATCTTCGATTTCTTTGTTTTTAATTTTTTTATTAATTCTAAATCTTGACTTTTTTCCTAATTGGTGATAAACCAATTTGAAACTGACTATAATTAATTAATTCATCATACTAAAGTTTAGATTTAGGTCTTAACGATGTATTCTCCTTTCGAAAGGGCTTTTCTAATTTGATAAGGACTCTGAAAGATAAATTTCCTTTTATTTAAACTGATATATCACTTCTGTATTTAGGTTTAATCGTTCTATCTAAAATAGAGATAATCGGTTTAAAAAATCCAACTCACTATTAAAAACTTTACCGTACAGGTCTATGTAGTTTGATCTATCTGGATGCTTGTACGATCTACAATATCAAGAGTTTCATCTAATTAGATGGTGCGAAGTTGTAACACGATAAGCGTCAAAGGACTATTCCAAAAAAGTCTCACATAAAACATTTTAACTCTCTGGACTGAAATGTTTTATCTTTTTGTGCTTCCCAACCCAGGATTTAAATCTATTAATAAGTGCTCTAATGAGAAGATAAAATGCATGAATGAACTTGAAAAGCGCATTGCCCTTTTTTTCAAATGGAAGTAAGTCATTATTAACATATCTTTCCGGTGCATCTATTAATCGTATTTCTAAGTCTGTTGCTTTCCTTTTCTTAGACTTATTTCTCTTCATTAGTTTATTCTCTTTAGTTTGGTTTGCCCTTATCTAGTTCAACCTGTGTGCCTTCATCCGCATAGATCATTCTCAGATTCACATTACTTTTATAATGTCTTGATTGTTTATTGTTTAAATTAGATGAGTATGGTACCAAAATTTTCTGTATAATTTTCGATGCATCAAAAAAATGGACTTTTTTTTGAAGTAGTTCTGATTTTTTTTGTAATTATTTTTTAATTATTAATTTATTTATTATTTTATTTATTATTTTATTAAATATATGTAATTATAAATATGTAATGTTCTTTATTTATATGTTTGAAAATCATCCAAAATCAAAAAAAACCCACAAAAATATAAAAATTAATTTTCACACGGAAGGTCAAAAATTCCAGTTTACTTTTGCTATGTTAAAATTATTTATTATTTTTAGGATGGATTTTACAATAGGATATTTGTTTAAGAACAAGAATATTGTGATATATATCAGACCAATTTGAAATTGTACATATGAATTTTTTTCTAGTGATTCCAAATAACAAGAATGATGTTTCTGAGAGTCTTCGAATGAAATATGTTTGTTTGTCATAATCATTGATGGTCATCGAGTTGAGTGTTGTTGGAAATTCTTTTGGAATACATTCTTTGTTTGTGGTCAATGATTTGATTGATGGATATCGTGAGATAAATTTGTCATCATAATGTTTGATGATAATTGTTTCCAATGATTGTGGAAGAGAAGGTACAACGAAATTTGTTGATGCATCTAGTGGTGGTCGTCCTACACTATTTAAATTTAATTCATTTAAATCAATTTCTTCTTGTGCGAAACATAGTGTTTTGAGTGATTCTGGTAATCTATCGACTGGGAATGAGAAATGAGTACCAAGCTCCAAGTATTGCAAGTCATTTGGAATGATAATAGATTCTGATAAAATTGAATGTTTACGCAGGGGCTCATTAAAATTATATGGTAAATAAAGTTTGGTGAGACTCGATGGTAATTCTCCAATGACACTTTTTTGAGAATAATAATAATAAAAATCCCATCGAGAGAGATCCAATGTTTCCAATTGTTTAAAACTAAAGAATAGATTCGTATCGATTGAAAAGTCTCCTTTTAGTTTTAAATATTTGATGTCTTTTGGGATGATACCTGAAGTAAACTTAAACCTAACACTAAATCTGTTGGCATAAGAGTTGATTGTAAGATGAGTGACACTCAACGGAATATCACCAATTTCAATTGGTGTGCCTTTATGTTGGTACAATTTGAGTGATTCAATTGATTCGAGATGTTTGATGAATCTCAACCAACTGGTTGGTATTGAAATATGTTTTAATGTTGATGGGAGTGGTCCTTTAAATTCAGAAAATGAAGTGTATTTTTCATAATCAGAACCGATTACCACCAGTTTCAAAACTTCAAGATTTGGTGGGAATATTCCAAAGCAAATATATTTAAAATTGTCCAATTTCACTTTGAGAACTTTGAGTGATCTTGGTAATGTTGGGATGTCAATTGATATTCTACCTTCTCGGTTTCTATACTCCAATACTTCAAGTTCCAATGGCAAGATGGATTGATAGATCTCATTAAGTGATATGATTTCTTTGATATTTGATGGTAATCTAATTTTGCTTCTATAATTAAAGATAAAAGTAATTGAATTGATTGTTGATTTCTTGATTGCATTGATTCCACTTTTATTGATTAGAGGGCAATTAATGACCATTTTGAAGCATGACGATTTGATATCATCATATTTGAAATCACCTGAATGAATATTTGAATAGGAAATTAATATCTTTTTGAAATAAATAAATATTTTAATTATCAATGTTTAGTTACCAATTTTCACTTGATAATCAATGTTAAATAAGATATCATCTTGTTTTATATAATTTATTGGAAATTTGTTTGGAACGGTTAATAGAAAAGTACAATTTGATTTATGATTGATATCTCTCTGAAATTGAAGTTTGAATGAATTCAAAGTGAAATATCGATTGTTTTGATTGTCAAAGTGATCGAATGATTGCATCAATCCAGAACAATTGAATGATAAGTATTTATCTCTTTGATAAAACCATCGTTTGCAAACTAAACTCATGCATATTCGATCGAGATCATCTTCCAATGCATTGACGATCTTTTTCATCAAAATGAATGGAAGATTAATGAATATTGAATTATTCTCATTGTTATTATTAATATTAAGATTACTTGTGTGCACTATTATATTATTAATATTATCATGTTCTGATTCTTGTTTGTTGAATAGAACTTGTTGATTCATATCTTGATAAACCTTTTTAAAAATCAAATATTTTACAAAAAAATTCGTAATGACCAAGCACACTTTTTTTTGAAAAAAAAATTTTCTTATGGAAACTGATAAAAAGTGCGACGTCGCACCTTTCATTTCATTTTGAACGTTACTTTGTTCACATTACAAATAATTTGAACAGATAATAAATAACTTTTCGAAGTTTAATTTTTTTTTATTAAAAATGATAAATAACATTAGTAATAGTAATTTTAATATCAATATTACTATCTCCATTAATTCTACTATAATTTTATTGAGTAATGCTACACACATTAATTACTATTTGTTAAATACTATAACAGCCGCATTATTTTACCTTCAGTCTTGATTGTAAACTATATATAGAGGTACAAATAGTGATAAATCACTAGAATCTCACTTGACTGATGATAAAGTAGTCAAGAGCTTTGATTTATTATATTTAATAATCCTCATAGTAATGTTTTCTTTATTTATTGTCCTATCTACCATTTATAAAAGAAAGTTGGGTGATGCAGAAGAAGATGAATATAGAACGCAGATGAAAGCAATGAAAATCACCCAAAGTAACTCAAATGGTTTTGTAAGATCGTGTTAAACTAAATGAAAAGGTAAACAAACAACTAGAGACACAACACTGCTGCGTTTTCTTTTGAGAATTTGAGTATTTTGAACAGTTTCTCTGACCAAATTCCCTAAAACTGTAACGAAATTTCCCAGGTAGCTTAAATTCCCAAATTACCATCATATAAATCAATAAATCTCATATTAAAAATTGATATATAAATTGTGATATTTTTAAAACCTTCAGTGTTTGATCAACGAATAAATACCAAAAATAAATAAAAAATTAGTTTTTTAAGTTGAGAAATGAAGAAATAAAATATATTTAATATATGTAAGAAAAAAGATTAAAAAAATAAAATAAAAAAAGGCTCAGTTTTTACAATTGCAGTCGTGAAGTAAAACCAAATCCAACAAAAAGAGAAATCAGTTACCTTAGTTAAATCAAGTTTAGATCCAGATGGAAATCAGTTCCTTAGTTAAATCAAGTTTAGAATTCAAATATCAAACCGACAAAAAGAGATTTTAATGCAGCAATTACCAAAAGAATCAACAACTAAACCAGCAACTGAATCAACAAAAGAATCAACTACAACTACTACAACTACTACAACAGACTCAATATCAGAACCATCAACAAAAACAAAAACAAACCAACAAAACCAACAGAATCAACAGCTATTTTCACCGAGAATCAATTAATTTTGGATAAAGTTTTTAAAACTGGAGGTGTTACTAGTTTACATGATTCATTAAGAAGAATTCTACAAGCTTGGCATCTTTATCTGGTGAATCTTTATGGCTAGATGATGTTGCAATTAACTACATTTTATCTAGTCCAATGTTGGCGGTAGAATATTGGATATAAAATAAATTTCACTTTGGTTATCATTGGGATAGTTGATTCTGGAATAAGTGCTATACTCTTTATTTCCATAAAAATGATCGCTGAAAGTTTGTATATTTTTAATCAATAAGGAGTCTAAAGAACAATTTACTAGCAATTTTGTTGTCCGTCTAAGGACAATAAGGTAGCCACCAAGGCAATTCCGGCACCCATCAATCAACATCAATAATATACACCAGCCAACATATAGTAATAGTCAATTATAATTAATTAAATTAATTAAATCAACTAAATAAGTAATAGTTCAAAACAACAGATCGAAATAATAATTAAATTAGAATCTGTTGCTTCTGAATTAAGTATTCAACACTCAGCCGTCAAGCTTCTCAATAATGAATATATTGAGTTTAACTCGACGTAAAAGATTCAGATTTCAAATCATTCAAGATTATTCAATTCATTCAATCTATTCAAGAATTAATTAGATTATTAGAACAAAGATAAATAAATAAATAAAAGATAAAATAAGAGTTAAATTCAGATTATAAAAAAACATTATTAAAAAAATTATTTTATATTATTATTAATTATTATTTGAATAAGAAATTTAAGATCCAACCGATCAATCAACAACAACAACCACAACAACCAGTAGTGCAGCAGCACCTACTGATACAACAACCACAATAAATGAATGATCTCGAGAGCAATAATGATAATGATTCAATCCCATCAACCTCTATGTTGTTCACGGACGTTACTCCCAACAACATTCGTCCTGATCCACTCACATCCGATCAAATCTACTCTGGCTGCTTCCAAATTACCGATCTCCTCTGTCGCTCCAAGCCAGTCGGATAACAAACAAATTTACTCTGTGACCACAGACAACAAAATTCAAATATCATAATATGACTCAATCAAAAGGAATACCTCAGACAATGTTTTAAGATTGCACCCTATTACTTAGTTCAATGCAATCCAAAATTCGCCAAACTGTTTGATATGATTCCTAAATCATCATCATTTCGGGATCTTTTTAAACCCAATTTCAAAAGAATTTCCTCCATTTGATTGATATTTGTGACAGGCCAGATTGCTGACTTCATTATTGACATATCGTGTAATTGCTCTGGAAAGTGTTCAAATGGAGATTGTGTTTGCAAAAAGAATGCTAGTTGCACATCAATATCCCACAAAAAAAATATATTATCCAAAAAATTCTTAAAAAATTTCCACCAAACCCTTTTTTCTTTATTAAAATGACGCTCTTTACAACTCCAACATTAAAAGCAGGAAACTATGTTTGAGAAACTTTGAGAGGCAATCGAGGCCAACTTTAATATGAACAAGCCAACAACCTTTTCTCCTATACCATGGCAAGGAAAGCTATGATTTGTTTATGAAACAATTAAAACCATTAGTTGATGTAATAAATAAATGGGTAAAAGAAAAGAAGATTGTTGTGGGTGGACATACGTACAAAGTTGACATAGTCTTTGTCAATGATTACAAGTGTTTCACTTATTTGCAAGGTCTAGAAGAAGTGTTCAATCCAAAGGTGTTTTTTAAATGCATGTGGTGTAATTTGGATGACATCGAATTGTTTGTGACAAATGAACAAAGGGCAATCAACATTTGGAGTCTCTTAAGAGACTACAGTTCAAATGTAGAGGTTGGCGATGTCAAGTGCAACCTCCTTTTTTGGAATGTGATTCAAAGATACAGTATCCTTGCTTTCTGCATGTGTTCATTGCCCTGTTCAAACAGATGTTTAATACTGTGTTGTATTCAACCACAGAGAGTAAACTTCGGTATGACCAAGCCAACGCTACTATAATAGAAAAGACTGGGTAGATGGTCAAGTTGATGTCTATAGACTCCTTTAACATGCAATCTAAGCATGGCTACTACCGTAACTATTGAAAGCACATTATGAAGGCTTTAAAAGAGATTGACGAACCTACAATTAGACGACTATTTGACGATAACTACAATCGTCTTAGTTTATCAAATCAGGATAAGGCCACTCTCCACGAAAAGTTCATTGCCAAATCCCAAACGAAGTTTGGAAATGTACAAACTCCAACACTTGAACCTGCACCTGCAAAACATGAAAGACCAAGAAAAACAACTACATCTACTCCCCACCTTCTCTATCTGTTACTCTTGCTCTAACTTCTTCACCTGTACCAAACTCTTCTTCAAATGCTTCAGACCTGATTAATTTACCTGACTTAACACCTGCAGTATTTCCCAACTCGACAAGTTCCAACACTACTCAACCTATGGTAGCTAAGCAAAAAAGAGTTAGAACATCTACACATGGATTACCTGCCAATTTACAAACAAACTTGCCAAATGTTACTGACAATTAATGATGATTGTACTGATAGTATACCACATGAAAATCAATGCTCATCTAACCAAGTTTTAGAAATTTATACATCTGATAGTAATAATTCAACAAGTTCATTTTCAAAAAATTCTACCAATAAACGTAAACGATAATTAACTTTTAATACAATCTATCACTTTTTGGTATTTATTTTTTCTTTTTGTTCTTGGTTTTAACCGTTGTTATTTGCAATAGCCAGAAGTCAATTCATATATACAATCTCAATTGGTCTGATGCATATCATAAAATTCTTGGTCATATGACAAAAGAATCAGCTCTAGTGTTGGAATCGTAGTTCCATGATACCAATCAACCGACTACTGCTAACCGATGAATGAACACAATGTATTTAAGCGCAAACAAAATCAATAAACAATTCATTATTATTATATTTTACAATCATCTTTAAACACATAACTATTTATTTATAATAACATTATTTCTATACTACTACACTATGTCGTTACTACCACAGTTTAACAGTGTTTCCAACATCTAGTGAATTCTAATATACTATTAAATTCCTATCCTTTTCTTTATTAATAAAAAATAACAAATATTTAAAACATACTAGATGTTTGTTAAATTTTTAAAAATGCCCAACCTATATCACAGCATTTTGGTTTTAAAAATAACAAATCTTTGATTATCTTTTTTTTGATTTGTGTTCTTTATGATGCTAATATCTAATGTTGTTAACTTTTATGAATATCTAAACTCGATCTTCTGTCTCTTTGTTTTTAATTTTTTTTATTAATTCTACATCTTGACTTGTTTCCTAATTGGTGATACAATATTTCTATAGAAACTGACTTTAATTAATTCATCATAATAAAGTTTAGATTTAGGTCTTAACGATGTATTCTCCTTTCGAAAGGGCTTTTCTAAATTGATAAGGACTCTGAAAGATAAATTTCCTTTTATTTAAACTGATATCACCTCTGTATATAGGTTTAATCGTTCTATCTAAAATAGAGATTAATCGGTTTAAAATTTATTTAAAAACTTTACTGAACAGGTCTATGTAGTTTGATCTATCTCGATGCTTGTACGATCTACAATCTCAAGAGTTTCATCTAATTAGATGGTGCGAAGTTGTAACACGACAAGTGTCAAAGGACTAGTCCAAAAAAGTCTCTCACAAAACATTTTAACTATCTGGGCAGAAATGGTTTGTCTTTTTGTGCTTCCCCGCCCTGGATTTAAATCTATTAATAAGTGCTCTAATGAGAAGATAAAATGCATGAATGAACTTGAAAAGCGCATTGCCCTTTTTTTCAAATGGAAGTAAGTCACTATTAACATATTTTTTCGGTTCATCTATTAATCGTATTTCTAACTCTCTTGCTTTCCTTTTCTTAGACTTATTTCTCTTTATTAGTTTATTCTCTTTAGTTTGGTTTGCCCTTATATAGTTCAACCTGTGTGCCTTCATCCGCATAGATCATTCTCAGATTCACATTACTTTTATAATGTCTTGATTGTTTATTGTTTAAAATAGCTGAGAATGGTACCAATTTTTTTCGATGCATCAAAAAAATGGACTTTTTTTGAAGAAGTTCAAATTTTTTTTGTAATTATTTTTTAATTATTAATTTATTTATTATTTTATTAAATATATGTAATTATAAATATGTAATGTTCTTTATTTATATGTTTGAAAATCATCCAAAATCAAAAAATCCAGTGTACTTTAACATTATTTTTTTTAGGATGGATTTTACACTCGTATATTTGTTTAAGAGCAAGAATATTGTGATATATATCAGACCAATTTGAGATTGTACATATGAATTTTTTTCTAGTGATTCCAAATAACAAGAATGATGTTTCTGAGAGTCTTCGAATGAAATATTTTTCTTTGTCATAATCTTTGATGGTCATCGAGTTGAGTGTTGTTGGAAATTCTTTTGGAATACATTCTTTGTTTGTGGTCAATGATTTGATTGATGGATATCGTGAGATAAATTTGTCATCATAATGTTTGATGATAATTGTTTCCAATGATTGTGGAAGAGAAGGTACAACGAAATTTGTTGATGCATATAGTGGTGGTCGTCCTACTCTATTAAAATTTAATTCATTTAAATCAATTTCTTCTTTTGTGAAACATAGTGTTTTGAGTGATTCTGGTAATCTATCGACTGGGAATGTGAAATGAGTACCAAGCTCCAAGTATTGCAAGTCATTTGGAATGATAATAGATTCTGATAAAACCGGATGTTTACGCAGGGGCTCATTGAAATCATATGGTAAATAAAGTTTGGTGAGACTCGATGGTAATTCTCCAATGACACTTTTTTGAAAATAACAATAATAAAAATCCCATCCAGAGAGATCCAATGTTTCCAATTGTTTAAAACTAAAGAATAGATTCGTATCGATTGAAAAGTCTCCTTTTAGTTTTAAATATTTGATGTCTTTTGGGATGATATCTGAAGTAAACTTAAACCTACCAATAAACCTGTTGGCATAAGAGTTGATTGTAAGATGAGTGACACTCAATGGAATATCACCAATTTCAATTGATGTGCCTATATGTTGGTCCAATTTGAGTGATTCAATTGATTCGAGATGTTTGATGAATCTCAACCAACTGGTTGGTATTGAAATATGTTTTAATGTTGATGGAAGTGGTCCTTTAAATTCAGAAAATGAAGTGTATTTTTCATAATCAGAACCGATTGCCACCAGTTTCAAAACTTCAAGATTTGGTGGGAATATTCCAAAACAAATAAATTTAAAATTGTCCAATTTCACTTTGAGAACTTTGAGTGATCTTGGTAATGTTGGGATGTCAATTGATATTCTACCTTTTCGGTTTCTATACTCCAATACTTCAAGTTCCAATGGCAAGATGGATTGATAGATCTCATTAAGTGATATAATTTCTTTGATATTTGATGGTAATCTAATTTTGCTTCTATAATTAAAGATAAAAGTAATTGAACTGATTGTTGATTTCTTGATTGCATTGATTCCACTTTTATTGATTAGAGGGCAATTAATGACCATTTTGAAGCATGACGATTTGATATCATCATATTTGAAATCACCTGAATGAATATTTGAATAGGAAATTAATATCTTTTTGAAATAAATAAATATTTTAATTATCAATGTTTAGTTACCAATTTCCACTTGATAATCAATGCTAAATAAGATATCATCTTGTTTTATATAATTTATTGGAAATTCGTCTGGAAGAGCGGTTAATAGAAAAGTACAATTTGATTTCTGATTGATATCTCTCTGAAATTGAAGTTTGAATGAATTCAAAGTGAAATATCGATTGTTTTGATTGTCAAAGTGATCGAATGATTGCATCAATCCAGAACAATTGAATGATAAGTATTTATCTCTTTGATAAAACCATCGTTTGCAAACTAAACTCATGCATATTCGATCGAGATCATCTTCCAATGCATTGACGATCTTTTTCATCAAAATGAATGGAAGATTAATGAATATTGAATTATTCTCATTGTTATTATTAATATTAAGATTACTTGTGTGCACTATTATATTATTAATATTATCATTTTCTGATTCTTGTTTGTTGAATAGATCTTGTTGATTCATATCTTGGTAAACCTTTAAAAATGAAATATTTTACAAGCAAAAAAATTCACAATGACCAAGCACACTTTTTTTTTAAAAAAAAAAAAAAATGTTAGAATTAATTGCAAAAAAAAAAATTTGCAAAAAAAAAATCGAAAAAAAAAATTGTAAATAGTCCATAAAAAATTTAAATTCATTGTATTCAACGTTTAATTCTTACCAGACATTTACACTTTAATAATGGAGAGTACAAAGAGTGGTGTTACTTCAAGTCAAGTCGTTCATTTCTTTATAAAGTAGAACTATTTACTACTATACCATCTGTATTATTATTGATCATAAGGACAAAATTTTCATCTCTCCAAATTATTTTTATTTTTTAAAAAATTATTTTTTTATGATATCTTCATGAAAAATAAACTAAATTACGTGATATAAGTAACCGGATAGATATTGTAATAATACTTTGACGCAACACTGAAAATAACCAAAATTTAAATCCTTTATTTCAAAAGATGACATTTTAGTAAAAAATTAGTAATTTTTATTTTATGATTTGTTGGATTCACAGAATAAACGAGCATTTTGGAACATCTTGAGCCATGGTGATGGTTGAGAGAGTCCACCGACAGCTTGTTGAATGTTTTGAGGCATGTGTGGCCATTGCCATGAGAGGAAACTACGTTCTGGATGTGGCATCATTGCGAGATGACGACCATCACGTGAAATTAGAGATGCAATACCATCAGTGGATCCGTTTGGATTGTATGGATATACATTGGTCTTTTGACCATTGTCATCGACGTATCTAACCGGTGCCAAGTTGTTTGCTTGGACATCAGCAAGAATTGACTCGTCTGGGAAGTAGGCAAGACCTTCACCATGTTGTGACCAACAACCAAGAATCGAACCTTCCATTCCAGCCAACATGATTGCATTTGATTTCTCAATGGCAACCGTTACCCAACGTGATTCGAAACGACCAGAGGCATTGTGAATGAAACGTGGTTGACGCGAAGCTTCGATTCCACGATATGGAACCCAACCGAGTAAAGCCATCAATTGACAACCGTTGCACAATCCAAGTGAGAAAGTATCGGCACGACCATAGAATGCATCGAATTGTTTGGAGACAGATGTGTTGAAACGAATGGAACCGGCCCAACCCTTGGCACTGTCGAGTACATCACCATAGGAGAATCCACCAACAAATGCAACACCCTTGAAACGCTCATCTAAAACAACAGTACCAGCAATGAGATCCGACATGGCAATATCCCATGCTTCGAAACCAGCAGTGAAGAAAGCAGCTGCCATCTCACGATCACCATTGGAACCTTCCTCACGAATGATAGCAACACGTGGATTTGGTGAAGAGAGCAACGACGACTCAATGGTTGGCGATGGTGTGAAACTCAAACGGTATTGTGGTCCACGTCCTCCACCGATGGCACGCTTCTTCAACTCGGTCATCTCAGAGTCAACAAATGCAACGTTGGCTTGCAATTGTTCCAAACGGTAGGAAGTCTCTTCCCAACGTTGAGAAAGATCTGAAAGTTCGGCATCGAGTACAACGGAACCATCGGCAGCAGCAACAACAACGAAACGATCATTTCCAGCAGTGTTGACACAAGTGTAACCAATTTCGTAAGCTGGAACGTTGTGTTGCTTGAGGATATCCATAACAACTGGCAAGTTGGTACGATGACACTCAAAGGCAGCACCAAGCTCTTCAGAGAACAACAACTTAAAGAGTGCGTCATGAGTGAAACCGGCTGGGAGCAAGCTAGTTGGTAAGGTGACATTCATACCACGATTACCACCGAGTGACATTTCAATCAAAGAGGTAATCAAACCACCATCACTACGATCGTGACCAGCAGTTAACAATCTCTGTTTGACAAGCAATTGGACAGTTTCAAATGCAGATTTCAAAAGCTTGGTATCCAAGTGTGGAGAATCATTACCTACTTGGCTGTAAACATGGGCAAGAGCGGATCCACCCAAGAAATTATTGTTGGCACCGAGGTCGATGTAAACGATGGCACTGTCTTGTTGTGAGGTGAGTTTGAGATCTGGAGTAACGGTCTTGGTGATATCATCACATGTGACATAGGTGGAAACAACCAAGGTTCCTGGTCCTTTGACGAGCTCGTCACCCGATGAACTTGGTGCCTTGGCGGCCATTGACAAACTGTCCTTTCCACCATCGATAGCAATACCCAACTCGATCATAGTGTCATGCATGGCAAGAGCAGCATCGTAGAGAGCGGCACCCTCACCCTTGAGTTTGGCAGCCCACATCCAGTTTCCAGAGCATTTGACATCTCCAAGGCTGGTAATGGATGCCCACATCAAATTGGTCAACGCTTCACCAACAGTGAGATAAGCCATGGCAGCTGGCGAGATGAATCCCTTGATTGGTTGCTCACCAATCGAAGTGGCAGCACCGGTAACACCAAAGTATCCACTGGAGATAATAGCGACGTCAGAGAGTGGAGTGTGGAGTGGACCGACACATTGTTGACGGGCGACCAAACCAGTGACAGCACGATCGACTTTGTTTGTCAAGAAACGCTTTGATCCAACGGAAAGCAAACGAAGAACACGATCCAAAGCAGAGTTTACTGTTAAATCACTTGGCAATGAAATTGGCATGAGTGTTGGTTGGATACGGTCACTGTAGAAAGTCTTTGGTGGCATCTTTTGAAGAACTTTTTCGAGTGGAAGATTGACTGGAGTTGCACCGGTACGGTCGTCAATGAGAACGGCATAACCATCTCCGGTGACATCACCAACAAATGCAACTGGGAGACGTTCACGAGCAGAGATCTTCTCCAACAATGGACGATCCTCTGAGCGCATCAAGATGGCGTCTTGCTCCTGGTATTCAGCACCCCAGATCTCCATAGCCGACAAAGTTGGGTCACCGACATGGAAGTTTTGTAAGTGGATCTTAGCACCGAGTGGATCGGCAATCTCCTTGAGTACGTTACCGGCACCACCAGCACCTTGGTCGTGAACACTAACGATTGGGTTGTGACCGGCAAACATCTCATTCTCAACGCAAGCACGAATGATACGATTCAACTTTTGACCCATTTCGGCATCACCTCTTTGGACAGCACTGAAATCGAGTTCCTGTTTGTTGTCACCACCGACCATGGAAGAGGCGGAACCACCACCCATACCGATACGGTAGGCTGGACCACCGGCTTTAACTACAACCATTCCAACTTCTGGTTGATCCTTCTTGTTGTGACGAGCATCCATGAAACCGATACCACCTGAGAACATAATTGGTTTGATCCACTCACGACGTTCACCGTTTGGCAAACGTTGTCCGTAGGATCTGGTGAAACCTGTGATGACTGGCTCACCAAACTTGTTACCGTAGTCAGAGGCACCGTTGGATGCGTCGATTTCAATCTTTAATGGGTGTGCCAAGTTGAATGGATATTGGAAGGATTGATCCTCCCATGGCAAATTGTAACCCGGAATGTTGAGATTACCGACGCAGTAACCGACTGTACCGGCAACAACAAGCGATCCTCTACCGGTGGCATGAGTATCTCTAATACGACCACCAGTTCCAGTTTCGGCACCTGGGAATGGAGCAACTCCAGATGGGAAATTGTGAGTCTCTGCAGTGAAAATGATTGGTTGATCACGGTCTCCCAATTGATAGGATGATGCTTCCGATGGATTACTTGGTACCAATACTTTTGTTTTGAAACCACTGTTTTTAAATAAAAATAAAAAATAACAAATGGTTAATACTATTATTACATAATTATAACTAATTAAATGAATTATACATACTTGATGGCACTGGAATTATCACAGAAAGCAATCAAAGAGTTGTTTGGATTGACTTTTAATGTGTTTTTAACAATTTCAAATAGTGTCTTTGGTGTTTGTTGTCCATCGATGACCAACTTTCCGTTGAAGAACCAATGACGTGAGTGCTCACTGTTTGATTGTCCAATGTCGAAACACTCTACATCCGATGGATTACGCTTGAGATGATTCATAAAGAGGTCGGTATATAATGCGAGATCGGCTTCGTCAAAGGCAAGTCCCATCTCTTTGTTGATACGCTCCAGCGCAGAACGACCCTCTTCCATCAATGGGACGTATGTAACTTGCTTTGGAACAACACCGGTCTCGAATGAGGAGATTGGCTTCTCGTAGAGACACTCTGTCATACGATCGTGTACCTCCTCCACAAACTGTTGGCGTTCGGCATCGCTCCAGACACGCTCCGACTGCACGAGGTAGCGACGACTACGTTCGATACGATCGACTATATTCAAACGGCAGCTCTGGCAGATCGATGTTGCATTGGTGGAGTAGGTGGTTGTGAAATTCATTCTTGGACCGACTTCGACCAACGTTGTCATTGAGTTGCCAGCGGCAGTTTGTTGTTGCTGCTCAGTATATAAAAACGATTGCTCCGAGTAGTAGTGTGGTTCGAATGTCTCTGAGAGCAACCAAGTCAGAGTGTTGACCTCGTCGGAAGTCAGTGTATGACTATCTGGATACTGTACATTGAAACAATACTCTGAGGAGATCGACTTGATCGCCAGATTATACTTTTCATTCAAACGTTTCTTTAAACCTGACAATACGGCATCTGACAATGCTGGTTTTCTATAAAATTGTTTAATTGTCATTGTAATGTAATGATTTGATTTGATTTGATTTATATAAAAATAAATATATTGTGAAAAAACAATGTGAAGTTGTGTGTGTGTGTGTGTGTGAGTGGGTGTGCGAGTGTATATGTTAAATGATTTGAATCTAAGTTATTTATAAATATTATAAATATTTGATTATTACTTATTTATTTATTTAAATAAAAATAAAATAATAATGAAAATGAACGAAAGAATGTTATGTTTAATGAATATTCGTTTTTTCGTTGAGTTTTTTTTGGTTTTTTTAAATTGCAAAGACTCTTATCGGTAATCGGGAGTCTTTAAAGTGCGTTGTAAAATGATGGTGGTGATGTCAAAAAAATAAAGATACGGTTTTTTTTTAAAAACAATTTTTTTGATTTTTTTTTTAAAATTTCCTCTGACAAAATAGAATGAATATGTGCAAGGAATATGAAAAATAATTATATAAATATATTAATTACAACTAGCTATTTGTAATTTAAAGATGTTTTAATATTTTTAATGGAGTATATTTTTAAAATAATGATTTTTGTTAAGATAACAAGAAATGTTTTATATATTTGTATAATAATATTAAATTTATATTATAACAATTAATAAGAGTAATGGAATACTAGGTTAAAGCAATCAACAATCATCCTATTTATTTACAACTCAATATTGAGGCGATTTACTATTACCGAAATATTTATATTAAAAAAAAACATTTTTGAAATGGCAAAACGGGAAAAATAAATAAAACCATTTGTTCCAAAAAACGAATGAAAGCTCGGCACCTGCAAATTTAACATTGTCATCATAAATTTTCCATTTAATATTAAAATGCATCTGGATCATTATTATTTAACTTTACTAACTGATCTATGTATCCATCATAATAAAATATAGCTAGTAAACTAATTTTAACATGTTTATTGTTCAACTAAAAATGTTTTAAGAAAGATTCAGATACATTTGATGAACAAAACAACAACACATATTTCAGATTTATTAATTAACACTTTTTGATCAAATTTAACTTTTAAAAAAAAAAACAATTTTTTTTATTATCATTATTTTTATTTTTTTAATCTGGTGGTTAATTATTAGTTAAAATAAAAAAACATAATAAATAGTACTAAATTGAGTTATAACTAAATAATATAATTTTGTTTACAGGTATATTTAAAACAAACCAATAAAACCATCATACCTCTTTATTTATTGAACTCGAATAGAAGCAAAACAACTTTAAAAAATTTTAAACCATACAAAAAAAAAAAATAAAAAAATAAAAAAATAAAAAATAAAAAAAATAACCAAAAAAATTACAACCAACAAACTACACAAAACTAGATTTATATAAATTAGATATATTAATATTAATATTAGATTAGATTAGAGCTAATATATTGTTGAAATCAACAACAACCATTTTAAAGAAAAAAGAAAGATACAAATTCTATCAAAAACAATAAATAAATTAATATTCATATAGATATATATATATATAGTAGAGAGAAGAGAGATTGATAGATGGCTTGGGAGATAAAGAAGAATCCAACAACATGGATCTTTGTTTTTGTTAGTGGTGGATACGTTGTGTTTGGAAATCGTGACAAAGCAACAACAAGCACATCTGAATACTGCTCGATAGAGGACTTTATCATCAAGGGTACTCTGCAACAATCAATCATTCAGGTATGTTTGTTCATTAAACAATTAAGTGTGGCAAATGATTAATTAATCATTAAATTGATAATACTAATCATAATAATAATTATTAATAATTAACTTTGTTTTGTTTTGTTTTGTTTATTTCTTTTAATAGGACTTTGGACAAGCTACTTTTAAAGAGATTTACGATAAAGTACTAAAGATTCATTCATTAAGAAATCAAAAGACATCATCGCCACAGGCCTCTTAGTAAACTATTGATGAATGAAGTCAATGAAAAAATAATATAAATCACAAATCACAAAATCAAGATCATCTCAACTAAACAAAACATATCATATCATAACAAACAATCAAAACTCCCTTCCTTTACCTCTTCCTTTTTTTTCCTTCTCTTTTTATTAATTAAACTTTAATCAATATGTGGAGCTAAATAACTTCTAGCATATTATTAAAGTAATAGTCATAGTCACTATAGTAACAACAACAACAGCAACAACAACAACAACAACAATGATTGGACAATTAATGTATTCAAATCAATATTACTGCATATGCATTGTAATAGTGTTAATACAAACAAATAAGAATAATAATAACAATAATATTAAAATTTAGCTAATACGAAGTCAAACAAACAAACAATCAATCAATCAAAACAAACACAAACAAACAAATCACATAAATTAAATTGTATATTTAAATAATTATTAATTAATTTATTATTATTTGTGTAAAGTACTTTATTTATAATTATTTGGATTCACTGCTATTACTACTTTGATTGTTATTATTGCCTTTACTATTCAAATCTTTGAACTGCATATATAATTTCTCTCTTTCTAAATTCCATTCTTTTCTTTCTTTATTGAAACTCTCAACTAATCTATCTCTCTCTTTAAATGTTATGTTATATGTCGATTAATTTGTAATGAATATTCCTATTGAACCAATATTTATAAAAATAGCTTACCTTTTGAAATATTTGAATGGTTCTCAATGAGTACAGTTATTATCTCATCTCTATATTCTTTTTCCAGTTCTTTCATTTGATAATCTCTCAACATTGTTTCAAATTCAATTCTCTTTTGATATTCTTTAAGCAAAGATAAGATTTCATAAGATATGATACATTAAAAATAAACATAAAGACAATACAATACCTTCTTCCAATCTTTTATTCAATTGCTCCAATTTTGTTTCATAATACATCTTTTGACTGTTAACTAATAGATAGATATAATGAATATTCATTAGTTTATCATTTACTTTGTTAGCAACCATCAAAGTTTAAGAACAAACTATATCTATTATTTGTATTAACAATAACTTCACATTCACTCAAATATCTTTTAATATCTCCTATGATACTATTGTTCATTTTTATCAAAAATATTAATATAAATATATTTATATCTATATATATAATCTAAGTGTTTAAAACAATTAAAATTTAAAAATAAAAAAAATAGTAATAAACAATACTATAAAAAATAAAATAAAATAAAATATTTGTTAAATTTGAACTATTATTATTTAAATTATTTTATTTGTTTCCAATGAAAGTCTTCAAGGTTTCAAAGGATTGAATGTAATCCTTCAACTTCTTGCTGTGTACGTAGTCGTGGATGAAGAAAGAGAGACCCTCGCTGACACCGTATTGTTGGAGGAAAAGTAAAATGTTGTCTTGGAAATCGGATGAGGTACCTGCAATGTCGACTGGGTTGGCTGGCTCGTTGAATGTTCCATAGTAGAATCCAGAGACGGTGTATGATCCGTCGGCAGAAGCGAAGCAACCAAAGGTGACGTGAACGTCTTTACCGTCGACCTTACGCTTGATTGAGATTTCGTATGGGTGTTCGTGTGCACCGTTACCCATGTCCTCTTCACCTTCCTCACCTTCCTCGGCTTCCTCATCGATATCCTCGTCTTGCTTCTCTTCGTCGTTCTCTGGTTCCTCTTCGTCTTCCTCACCCTCTTCACCTTCCTCTCCGTCTTCTTCCTCCTTTCCATAGTCATATGGATCGTCGGCCATGCTCTCGACCAAATCGAATCTAACTGTGATTTCCTCACCATTCTCGTTTGTCTTTTTTAAATAAGCATATTCATTATCTTTTGATAACTATTGTTTGAATTTAATCAAGTTGGTTAGTGTCATTTTCTTATTGTTATATTATATTATATTATACTATATTGTTATTTATACATACAGTGAAACCTGACTCTTCCAAGAAAGATTGGTTGTCATCGTTCTCTGGAATGAGTGAGTTGAAATCGTTGATTTCATTGTCACAGAGATCACGGAGAAGAGTGGATGGAGTTGGTGCGTTTTGAATTCCACTCGAGTATTGTCTGATGGCCTGGGTAGATGATGGTTGGGTGGCATAGAGGGTGTTGGTGATTGAGTTTCTGGCTGGTCCGCTGACTCTACGGGCAACACCGTGGTGGTGCGAGTCTGTTGGTTGAGCTTGTACGTTGGTTCCACAACATGAGAGCAATCCTCTTCTGACTCCACTTACTTGTGATGGAATCAATGATTTCTGTGAAAATGTATAGATGACTCTTGCTGACATGATTAAAATTTAAATCTCAAAACGAATAAATTTAATAATAATGATGACCAAAAAAAACAAACAAACAATGAAATATATTACCACAAAATAACGAGTAATTTGATCAATAACAAAAAAAAAAAAAAAAAATGAAAAAAAAAAAATGAAAAATTAATTCAAAATTTAAATTTAAAAACCGATTAAAACAAACACACAATCATGAGTTGTGCTTTCAACCAAATATAATAATTGAATTAAAGATAAACAAATAAGTAGTTAGTTATAAGTTCAAATTAAATAAATATTTTTTTATTTATTATTCTTTTGTTTATAGTTTGTTTTTTTTTTTTTTTTTCATAATTGACCTGGGTGGTCATTAGAAGTTTTTACTTTATATATTACTTGAATTGATCTTGCAATGACTTTATCATAACACTCTCGATCGAGTTTAATCATTGCAAGGAAAATTAGAAAAGTTTTATAACTCTATGTTCATTTTATTCTTGAAAGTATCTAGATATTTTTTTAAATCAATTCACCTGAACTCTTAAATCATGAATAGTTTTTTTAAATCGATCTGGTGATTGGGAACTTTTAATCTAGATATTTGTGTTAGTGCACTGACCAGCTTTTGACTATCAATACAATGATCATTGGTACCAAATTAAGGTCAAGAATATTATTTTAAAATAACTTATAGAGAAGTTTATTTTTTTTCAATGTGTCTCCCCATTCACACTAAAGGTCCACAAACAATCACTGCTGTTTGGGTGAACACTTACTTGAAGATATTTATTTCGATTGTACACAATGAATTGCAATAACTTAACTAGATATTTTTTAAATTAATTAAAAATTTCTTTTACACTTTTTTCATTAGAAATAAAAGTAAAAAGACCAATAAGCAGTGAGGTTTTTGGTGGTTCCTTCTCACTCGTTGTTGTGAGGATTAGTGAAGCAGGGTTATGATTATAATTCACCACTTTCGTCTTTTCAAAATTAAACCTATTAAATTCATACTCAAAAACAAAAAACATAAAAAAAAGAAATTCTTTTTACTACCAGAGTCACTTAAATTAATGAAAAAACATTCTAGATACGAAAAAATCCAAATTTTGCAACACATCTTTATGGACTCTTAAAAAAATAAAAAAAAACATTTTTAAGTGTTTTTGGGGGTTGCAAAAACATAACAATATAAATTAGTCCATCAGTTGTTTAATTTAGCCTCGTAACCCACCAAAAAATTGCTTTTTCCAGTCTTCGAAATTTTAATCTAGATTTGGGTCTCGATTGATATTTTCAGTTCTTGCTGAGTGTATTAGGCACCAATCATATAGAGGTACTTTCTCAAAACATAAAATAGTAATTTTTTTTTTTACAAAAGTTTTTAGTAATTTGCATCTGAGTGTAAACCAGATGTGGTAGTTGGGAGAAAACAAGTTTTATAATCAATATTTTAAAACATTTTAATGAGTTTTATACGGTTAATTTTTTAGAATTATTTTTTTTATTTAATTCTCTGAGGGAAAATTAAGATTACGATCAATTTTTTTGGACTAAAGAATTCTTTCACTCCTGATTGATTTACAATCATTTTATTTATTTTGTTTTTTTTTAAAAAATACGAATAACTTTACTTTTTTTTTCTTATCTATTTATTATTACTTGTAATATTACTCCAACACCATCTTTAGATTTTATCTTTTTTCAATTTTTTTTTATTTCATTTTTTTTTTTTAATATTTCTAAATATTTTTAATAAAAAATAAATAGATAATTTAGATAAATAAATAAATATAATGGCTAAAATTTTATTTTTAGTTTCATTAATTTGTATGATTGCTGCTTGTTCAGGTAAATATAAAATAATATAATTTTTCAAGTTATAATTTTTTTTTAGATTATTAATTTTTTTAAAAAAATATATTAGCCTCACATTTCCGTTTTGGTAGTATTTCATGGTCTCCAGCTTCACCTACCAATTATAATTATATCAATTTCAATATTTTACTTGGATACAAGAGAAACTACGGATCCTTCTATAATGTCACAGTCGGTGATTACGTAAAAGGTGGATCTAGATACAATCAATATAACTATACCGGATCAGATCTGGGTACCATTACTTTTGGATACAATAACCAAAGAGTAACTCCAATCTGTTATGTAAACTCCATTAATGCCAATGAGGATTGGTTCACATGTACTATGGTCGCCCAGTTCACATATCCATCTTCCAAAGGTAAATACTCTGTATCTTTCGATGGTTCCGCTCGTTTGTCCTCTTTGATCAACAACGCCAACCAAAACTACAGATGTCAAACCACCGTTACCATTACACCGCCACCAGGTATTACCTACGACTCTCCAGTTTCCGGTGTACTTCCAATTATCACCGTTAACAGAGGTGTTTTAAATACCTTCCAAATTGTCGCATCCAACCCACTGGCAAGCTTGAACCAAAATTTGACATACTCATTGGCCACTGGTTCAATGATGGGTTCCTCCTATCTCGCCAATCCCTCTGGATTGACCGTGTCCACCGGCGGTATTGTTTCATTCACACCAACACAAACCGGTCTTTATTGCGCCCAAATTATTATTGACGATGGTATCGACTATGTCGTAACCGATTTTATTTTGAACTCTGTTGTTCAACCAATTTCCCCACCATACTTCTTTGGTCTCACTCCAGGAGATGGTAGCCTCATCAGAGCCAATGTCAACCAAACCACAACCTGGACATACGAAGCCAAATCCAATAATACCAACCTTGGTGTTACAATTTACTCGGCCAACGTTCCTGCTGGTGTTGAATGTTCTAAACAAGATAATCCAAATCCAGGAAGAATCGACTGTTCATGGACTCCCTCCATCAACAATGTTGGTTCATATGTCGTCTCCCTTGGTCTTTACGATTCAGCTGGTACTCCAATGCAAGGTCAACGTTCATTCATTTTAACTGTTCGTAAGTAATATAATAACAAACCATTTAAGATTATAAATAATTTTAAATTATTTATTAATCAAAAATTTTATTTTATCTTTTTTTTTTTCCAGAACAACCACAATGTGGTAATGGTTCACCAATCCAAAATTGTGTTGGAAATGAATGCTGTAAATGTGACCCCGGATTTGATACAGCATCCAATTGCTTCGAATGTTTACCAGGTTTTTGGGGTCCAAAGTGTCAAACGAACCCACCATGTAAAAACGGTACAGTAAGTGAAGGAACTACCGGAAACGGTGCTTGCATTTGCTACAACGGTTACACAGGTGCCGCTTGTGACATTGTCCTCTCACTCTACTGTAACTCTGCGGATACTACTGGATTGACTTCTGCCGATCTCTCCCAAGGTTACTTGAATCCACAAAACATGATTGTCTATGTTTCCAATACTGGTCCATCATACACACTCCCAGTCAACTTGACTTTGCCATCGCCATTGCCATCTGTTGATGTCTATGTCCTTATCGATGCTGCTCCAACCAATACCGCCATTCAAAACGATTACAAGAATTACATTACCACATTTGTAAACTCAATCCAATCCTACTCTGACAATGTCCGTCTTGGATATGGTACCTACTCCGATGCTCTCTCTGGCTATGTATTCCAAAACAAATTGGTCATTGGGTCGACCATCAATATCGATATCCAAAATCTTCCATACGTCATCTCGACCACCTCCACCGGTAATGGTTTGGCTGCCCTCCAAAAGGCCGCTGAAACATCTGTAGGTTGGCGTGCTGCTTCATACCACTCATTGCTTATCATCACCGATTCCGATATTGTCGCACCAACCCAAGCCCTTAGCGATGCAGTAACTGATGCCTTGATCAAGAATAACATTGTTCCAGTTGTTATCGGTGTCAACAATGCCAAGCTCGACAATTGGAATGCTTTCCTCACTGCCAACAAATTTGGTAAATCTGCTGTTTCCAAGAACACCAACTCCAACGATTGGGCATTGACAGCCAACAAATTAATCCAATCCTCATTCCTTGAAATCTCTCCAGTTGCCAATATCAACCCAGAAGGATTTATATTTAACACTCTTCCAAAACAAACCATCACTTTGCCAGGAGTCATTAACCTCGGATTCCAAGTAAAGATGCCAACTACCCCAGTTGCCACCAATCAAGGACAAGCTCAAATTACCGTTCCAGGTTATGGTGATACCAATCTCATCTTCAAGTTCAACCATGCTCCAACTGCTTCACCGGGTGTTGTCACTGCTCTAAGAAACAAAGATACTCCATTCACATTCCTTGTCAGTGATCCAGATGCCAATCAATTGGATATCAAATTTGTAAGTTTACCAGACAAAGCCGTTGCAAGTATTACTGCCAATGGTGTTACAGTCGTTTTGGGAGGTTCATACCTCTCCACCTCAACATTCTTGGTCGTTCCAGCAAAGAATGCCATGGGATCCACTTCTTTCAACTATGAGGTTACTGATCGTTGTTTGACCGCTGCTTCATCTTTCAGTGTCAAGGTTATTGACGACGGCGCTGGAACTCCACCAAACGCATTCCCAACCAATGTCTCAACCATCCAAAACACACCAGTCGCATTCCAATTCAACTTTACCGATGACAACAAACCAGCATCAAAATGTGTTATCAACTTGATTACTCTTCCAAAGAACGGTCGTATTACCTATCCAAATGGTAATGCTGTACCAGTAAATACCGACATCGAAGTTGGAACCTTCACATACACTCCCAACACTGACAAATCCGATGCCGATACCAACGATGGAAATGGACCATTGGATACCATCTACTTCACCATCACAAATGACAAGGGATACTCCTCGTCATCTGCTATCGCCACCTTCTATGTATCCCCACGTAATCCACCAGTTTACACCGGACAACTCGAATTTATCACTCTCCAAAATACTCCACTTCCCATCCTTCTCACTGGAAATCCACCAGCCGGTAAGACTTTATTCAAATATGTATTCGATGAATTCAAGGGTCCAGGTAACATGAGTTATTTACAATGCGCCGAAGAACCACATTGTTACTTGCTATTCACACCACCATTCGAAACACTCTACATTGCCTCGAGAGCACAATTTCTTTATCAACCACCAAATGATGTTTGGGGTAACAAGATTTTCAACATTTCATTGCATTTGGAAACCGATGGTGTCATTTCGGAACTCATCAATATTTCCATCACTGTTGTCCACGTACCACAACCACCAAAGATCGTTTTGGAGACTCTCCAAGTTGTTGGAGAAGAACAAGAGTCTCCACTTAAGAAATCATATGAAATTGTTGTTAATCAATCTGCTATCGTTTCATGGTCATCCTACGACTTGGATACTGACAACAATACAATTGAGTGTATCATTCAAACTTTGCCACGTCGTGGTTCCCTCCACCGTTACAACGACAGCGCCGAAGACAAGCGTGGTGAACAAATTTCACTCCTCGAGAATATTGGAAAGCCAACCGATAGTGTATGGAAAGTAGTTTATGCACCAGTTCCAGGAACATCAGGTCCAGGTTATGCCACTTTCTCATTCAAAACATTCAACACTCTTCAATTGTATTCACTAACTGAACAATTGATTACCAACGTCAATCCAATCTACACACCACCAGAAATCTTTGTAGGACAATACAACTGGACATCGATGAAGGATCAAGCATTGGTTATTACCAACGTATCGTTTGTCAGTGTTGATGTAACCTACCAAAACATGACAATGCTCATCAATATTACCAACCAAGATTTGTCACCAGCCAATGTTTCCATCGATCTCTTTGGTCTCACTCCAGGCTATTGCGTATCCAATGTCACTGGAACCTTGCTCTGTCGCGCCAGTAAGACCGTATTGAACAACTATCTCTCGCAAATAAACGTTGCTTCATCGGTCGCCGGAAACTACATGCTCAACGTCTGGGTTGAAAACACTCATCTCAAATCGGTTCCAGGTCTCACCCCAGAACTCTTGACAGCCAACAATAACCTTAGCGTTGGATTCTCTGCAGCCGGTGTAAAGAATACAAACAATACCACTGTATTGTCAGCTGCCATCGCTGCATCAGTCGCTGCTGCCGCTTTGATCGCCGCCGCTGTATGGAAATTGGTTAAACGTGCTGCTCCACCAACCGATGCCTTCTTTGGTGACTCTCCATTCTCTGAAGGTGGAATTTCATCTAACCCATTATACCAAGAGTCAGCCAACTCTGGTGTCAATCCATTGTACGATGCTTCCACAAACTAAAAACAAAACAAAACAACCCAAACAAAAAAGAAAAAAAAATCTAGAAACCATACAAAACGTAATAATTCAAAAAAAAAAAAAAAAAACATTACATCAATTATTAGAATTCCAAAAATGTAGATTAGCCTAAAAAAGAAAGAAATTTGTCATACCCTTTTTTTTTTCTCAACAAATAAATAAATTTTTTAATTAAAATCTCATAAAAAAAAAAAGTGTAATATGTAATATTTAAATTATTATTTTATAGTTATTTTGGTGGATTTGCTTTAAAGTAATTGATTTAAGAAAAAAAATAGTAAATGGTTCCGATGAAAAAATTGGAATTGAACCCATCCAATTTTTTTGCACATGCGAATTACAATAATCATTGCAATGGTGTTGATGATGTGGTATGATTGTGGTCAACAATTGATATAACCTCGTTGTATAGTTTGCAGATGATGTGTTTTGGGAACCATTGCCCGTTTGCAAATGAAAAAAAAAAAAAGGTTTGGGAAAAAAAATCGAAAACAAAAAAATATTTTAATACTTTTTTATAATAATGATCTAGAAATGGGAATTAGCTCAAAAACATTAATGGAGATAAATCATTGTCGGAGTTAACAATTTTAATATAAAGTAATTATAATGATTTTTTTGTTGAATGTAATTAACATTCCTTGCCCGTTTAATGATTTTTATTTTTTTTGAACCGTTAAATTTAATTTGTGTGTGGGGTGTTTGGTGAATCGTGGTTCTTTGTGTAATTGTATCGATTTGAATGTCTGATTTATACTTTTGATTGGGATTACAACCAGTCAAACAATCATACAATAAACGGAAGTCGGTTTTTATTTAAAAATAACAAAGAAAATGATTATTATTGCCAAAAAAGTAATTTAAATAAAATTAAAAAAAATTCGAGGATTTTCGAAATTTTTTATAGAAGATTTAATTAATTAAAAAAAACCAAAATGGAGACAACCACTGTCGATTGTGCAACCCAAAAACAAAAAAAAAAAAAACCCACATCAAAAAAAAAAAATTTCTTGTGCAATTTCGAAACATTAGGGGTGATGCAAAAATACCTTTTTTTTTTTGTTTTTTGTTTCCTCTATCAAAACAAAAGGAAACTGAAAAAAAGTGGGTGTTCTTATAATAATGTGCAGTCGAATTCATCAAGAGATACGAAAATATCAAAAAATCTATTTCACAATTTTTTTGTTGATGATTTTTTTTTTTTGATGATTTCAAAAAAAGATAAGCTTGCCCCACCTGATCGCCTACTTCGCTCACAATTTTACAACAATGTTAAATTATTGCTTACAAAATTGCAACTCTCGATCAAAAAACATGTCTTTTGATAGATTGTCAGTGGTTCAACAGATATAAAGTGTGGGCAAGTGTGAGTAATGTTCATACAAATCAGGTAAAGATTTGTGGTGGATATCGCAATATTGACCTCTAGGTTTTGTTTTAATCAGTACTTAAATGAAAACTGTTGTTAATTTTCAAAAAAAAACCAAAAGAATTATTAAATTTTTTTTCAAAAGAAAAAAAGCCATCAACCAAATCCATTCTTTGTATCTTTTAAATTCGTGAGAATAACTCATCCATTCAATACCAACCAACAACATTGCAGCCAACAAAAAACAACATCTAATTTTATTTTAAAATAAAATAAATAGTATCCTGATCTGCTTCCCTCCTCGTAGAACGAGCTTTATCTTTCACAAAATTGGTTATTTTATTTTTTCCAAACAATAGATAGATAAATAACAAAACAAATAATAATTGTTATTTGTGGATATATTAGAAATAATCACTTTCTTTTTTTTTAATTTTATCAATTTTATATATTATTTATTTATTTCTGTAAAATTATTTATTTAACCACCTCGAAATTATCAATTCTCTGTAATATAAATATTATAACACATATAAAAGGATCATTTGGTGGTTTATCGAATCCTTTATTAAACATTAAATAAAAAAAAAGCCAAAAAAAATGACAAGTAAAATTTTGGCTATTTTTGCCATATTTTTTTGGATTGTTTGCTTTTTCCACAGGTAAATAAATATAATATTTTTAATTTTAGAATTTATAATTCAGATTACTAAAATAACTCTAAAAAAAAAAAATAATTTTTTTTTAGCATCTCATTTCCGTTATGGTACTGTGAACTATCAAATTTCATCGTCATCTTACAATACAGCTACAATCAAAGTGGAATTAGGTTACAGACTCGATTACTTTACTTATGATTATACCGTCCAAGTTGGAAAGTGTGTCGGTTCAAGTGGATGGTTCGGCTCCTATAATTGCTATTCCGGTAGTGATTTGGGTCAAATTAAATATGGTGATGGATACAGTGATGACAGTCCATATTGTTATGTCAATGCTGTCTTCAGTGGTGACAATTGGTTCACCTGTGTTATGACATTCACTCACACCTACCCAACCGGTTCCAATACCTACACTTTCGATCTTAAGGGTTATGCTCGTTTCCAAGATCTCATCAACAATGCCGGTGAATATTACAGAGTAACTTCAAAGATTGTCATCGATCCAACTCTTAAACAAAATTACCTTTCCCCAGTCGTTGGTTCTTCTCCAATTATTACAATCGTTCTAAACTCTCAAGCACAATTCCAAATTCTTGCTACATCCCCAGTTGGTTTACCAATCAGCTACCAACTTGCAACCCCATCACAAATGGGTGGGGATGACCTTGTCATCCCAACCGGACTGACCGTTTCCTCATCCGGTCTAGTTTCGTTCACCCCAACCCAACTCGGTTACTACACTGCTCAGGTTATCGTTTCCGATGGTAAGAGTTATGTTGCCAATGACTTCATCATCTACGTCGTCAATGCCAATCCATTAGCTCCATACTTTGTATCACCAACCCCAGAGCAAGGTGTGACCGTCAAATGCACAATCAACGTTGATTGTACATGGACATACAAGGCCGACTCAAAGAATACCCAGATTACCGGTATTACTATTGGTAACTCTGGTGGTCCAGCTGGTGGTCTTGTCCAACCAGACATCAACGTTGCCGGTGCCAAGCCAAGAACTGTTGTTACTCATTGGAAACCAACCGTTTCACAAGCAGGTAGTTACATTATCTCCCTTAACGCTTTCGATTCAGCAGGAGTATTCGTCACTGGTGCTCGTTCTTTCATTCTTCTTGCCCGTAAGTTTTATTTTTTAAATTCTATCTTGAAAGTTTAATACAATTAAGTTTACTAATTAATTTTTTAGAATCCAATCAATGTAGTAATGGACATGAATCACCAGCTGGTTGTGAAGTGGGTTCTCCAGGTTGTACATGTGTCTGTGATGGTGGTTGGTCTGGTAACCTCTGTAACCAATGTAACCAAACCACAAACCACGGTCCAGATTGTTTACCAAATCCACCATGTTACAATGGTACCTCGAACGGTGGTCAATCTGGTGACGGTACTTGCAGTTGTTTCCTCGGTTGGACTGGTCCAGCCTGTAATGTTTCTTTGGTCCAGCCTTGCAGTGCTTCCGCTTCCTCTGGTGTCACTGACTACAAGAATACCCCAGGTTACGTTTTCCCAACCTCAATGACTGTCTATATGACTGCTACTCCATTCTCTCTCCCAATCTCCGTTCAAGCCCCAGCAAGTCTTCCAAATGTCGATGCTTTCATTCTCCTCGATGTTGCTGTTACCACCACTATTGCCTCTGACTTTAAGACATACGCTAAATCATTATCCGATGGATTCAAAGTCTACTCTGAAAATGTTAGATTGGGTCTTGGTTATTATTCTGACTTCAAATCCAATACCTTTAACTTCCAAAACAAACTTCTCCTCGGTTCTTTCATTGATTTGAATATTCAACAAGCCCCATTCGTCACTCCAAGTGCTGCCGGTTCCGGAAACTCATTGCTTGCTTTGACTGAAGCTGCTCAATTCCCATCTGGATGGAGCACCAACGGTTACCACACCATTGTTATTTTCGTAGATTCCGATTGTACTGCCCCAACTCCACAACAACAAGCTACTCTCCTCGCTGCTCTTAATGCTAATTACATCTCTCCAGTCATCGTTGGTGTCGGTGGTGTTTCTCTTCCAAACTGGAATGCAGTCATTAACAGCTTCAAATTTGGAACTGTCATTGTCTCCTCCGCTAGCGGTAACGATTGGGCCCTCAAAGCCGTCTCTGGTTTCACATCTGGTACCTCCAAATTCGCACCATCTATTTTGGCTGGAACCAATACCCTCGGATTCGTCACCACCCCACCAACTGCTTTCACCAAACCTTTGGATGGTAATGCAATCAACATTACCAGTGTTAATTTGAACATGCCAAACCCAGTTCCATCTGCTCCATCCGATATAATTGTTGTTACAATCCCAGGTTATGGATACACAACTGCCACCGTCAGATTCAACCATCAACCAGTTGCTTACAGTCTTACCATTGCCGTCAAAGAGGCTGGTCAAGTTAACTTCACCGTTTCTGGTAAAGATGCTGAAAATTCAATTCAATTCAAGATCACTCAATTGCCATCAAGCGGTACACTCTCAACCACCTCCACTGGATCAAACATTGCACTCAATACCCTTTATCCGATGACTCAACTCTTATTCTTCACACCAGCCACCAGTCAAGGTAGCTCTGTCACTTTCCAATATGTCGTCAATGACGGTTGTATTGACTCTGCTCCAGGTACTTATACCATCAATGTTATCCAAGGTGACGGTAAGCCACCAGTAGCTATCTTCACCAATGTTACAACCGATGAGAATGTCTCCAAGCAATTCAGTTTTGGTTTCACCGACCCAGAGAACTTGGCTGTTGATATTATCCTTGGTAGTCTTCCAGTCAATGGTCGTTTCCAATTCACCAATCAAACATTTATTACCACTATTGGTCAACGAATTCCATCTACCATTATCTATGTTCCAAACAAAGATTTCTCCGATGAAAACAATGTCAACGGTTATGGTCCATCCGATGTAGTCCCATTCACTGCCATCAATAGCAAGAATCTCCCATCACAAGTAGCCAACGCCAACTTCTACATCAACCCACGTAATCCACCAAAATTCACAGGTCTCTACGGTTTCACCACCCTTGAGAACACACCATTGACTTTCCCATTGACTGCCACAATCCCAAGCGATGCCTCCTCTGTTTCTCTCTCCATCTCTAAGATTGAAGGTCAAGGAACACTCGCCTGGTGGGCATGTACTGAAATCACCTGTGTCCGTGATGTTTCTTTACCATTCTCCAACACAGCCAACGGTGGAAGAATGCAATTCACTTACACTCCACCACTTAATACTTACGGTCCATTCTTGATGAAGGTTTATCTCAACTTTGTCTCTTCAAACAATGTCGCATCTGAAGACGTCATGGTATACATCAATGTAACCCACGTCAAGAGACCACCAACCATCGAATTGGTTGATTACCTCAACTTGAAATTGGGTGAAGAGATCCCACGTCCATACCCAGCTCCAATTTTATCTGGTGTTCTCAACAATACACTCGACATTTGGATGAACCACTTTGTTGTTCTCAGATGGAGAGCCTATTCAAATGATGCACCAAACAATACTATCACTTCAACATTGGATTTCAAATCTTCCCCAGCTGGTGTAGTTGGAGAATACAATGAGACCTTCTCCACTTCACTTGGTCGACTACTAGGAGTAGGTAGTTTAATTGGTTTGCCAGATTCAGATGGATTCTTTAAGATGATTTATATGCCACCCAACAACAGTTCAGGTCTTAGTATGATGAGACTTACTTTCCATGCCACTGATGAGAATGGTTTATACTCCCCAGGTGAGAATTTGGTAATCAATGTTAAGAGAAATTACATTCCACCAGTTATCCACGTTCAAAAGTACAACTGGACTTCGATCACTAAACAAAATCTCGTTATTACCAATGTTTCAGTCGAAAGTGTTGAGGCTGCAGGTACACAATCCAACTACTATGTCGCCAAGAATGTCACTTTGATAGTTTCTGCTTTGGATGCCAATCGTCTCCCATTAAGTACAGCAAACATTTCACTCTTTGGTGACACCGCAGGTTTCTGTCAAAACAACAAGAGTTCAGTCATTATATGTGCTGCACCCACCGATGTTCTCAACAAATTCTTGACACAAATCAATGTTTACCATACCAAGTCTGGTGGATTCCTTCTCAATATTTATGCTGAGAACAGATTCCTCAGGGGTATCAGCTACTTGACTTCAGCCAATATCTCTGCTACCGACGACCTCACCATGGTTGTCCAATCTGCAGGTGGTAACACTGGAAACAACAAGACTGTCCTTTCCGCTGCTATTGCCGCTGCCGTAGTTGCCGCTGCCATTATCGCTCTCGGTGTTTGGAGATTAGTCAAACGTACTGCTCCACCAACCAACGCCTTCTTTGGTGATTCTCCATTCTCTGATGGTGCCATTTCATCTAACCCATTATATCAAGAATCGGCCAACACTGGTGTTAACCCATTATATGAGAACCAGGCTTAAAGAAATAATCATATTTTTTTTATACATTGATATTTATTTATATATTTATATTTTATTATTCAAAATCTTCATCTTACCACAAATCTATTTAACAAACACCCGCAATCAAAAGAATTCTTATGTAACAATTACGAAATTATAAATAATAAAAATTTATTTCATGAGATAATTTTTAATTGCGCCTAGTTCTTACCAAAGTATTATTGTTTCTTCTTTAATTCAAGGTCTCAGTCTTTAAAGAATCAAGATGATGAAATAAACTAACAAAAAGCTATCTATACGAGAATGAAGCATTAAAATCAAACCCAACCCGGTGAGTGTCATACACTAAAGCATATAAGGTAATGATGTGGAATCTTTTTTGTCGATCAATGCACTATTGATCAACAAAGTCATTATTACACCAGTAAAAAAAAGTGTATACAGAACCAACCATATCAATCAAACTTGATTTTATAATAAGAATAATATATATTTCAAAAGTAAACCAGTACATACATACTACAATCATTCTAGCACTGAAGTCTATCACTGAGATAACTATATCGATCCGAAGAGGGAATCCTTTCAAAATAAAGATTCATCTGCTTTCATCTTGAAGACATTTACATCCAATGAAGACCTCAAAGAATATGATGGCTAGTAATTAAATATTTTTTTTTCAAAAGTGTTTTTAAAGTATATTTTTTTTCATAGGTATTTGTTAGGTACCTAAAAAATCAAATCAATCAAAAAATTTTTTTTTTTATTTTTTGGTGGTTCATCCCTTTCCTTTTCCAAACAGTTCACACCCTGTCAAGGCGATTTAAAAAAAATTAATTTCACTTTACATAGTTAAGAGTTAGAAATTTAAACGAAGAGTGAAGAGAAAATGAAGATAATCATTTCGTTGTTGGTTGCTTTGACTGTTTTCATAGTTGCACACGCAGCTACTCAATGCTCATTTAGAAATGGACAAGATAAGTATGATTTTAGTGCATTAGCAAATCCAACAGGATATTCATTAAAATATTTTGTGGGCGTATGTTCTCTATTATTATTTCTTCTGATACTCAATCAATTGATCAATCAAACAATCAATTTATTTATATTGTTTTATTATTATTTTTTAGTATTTTTATTATTGGAATATCTGTGAGACTAGCCCAGGTTGTTTGACCCTTTCCCCAAATGCAGTTAGTTGTGTCACATCGCAAATTTATGGTTACCTCGATAACGTTACAATCACAGCTCTACCCGATCCAAATACACAGGGTGCTGTTATCACCTACCAAGGAGATTTATGTCCGCATGAAATAGTAAGAACAACAAGAATCTTACTCCAATGTTCGGATGGCGACACTCAATTTGTTTCCTTCCATGAGACAACAACCTGTGTCTATGAAATTGTTATGACCTCCAAGTATGCATGTCCAATTAATGGTAATAGTACAAGTACTGACGGAATGTAAAAAAAAAAAAAAAAAAATTGTTTTTTAATTTAAAAACTATCATTAAAACTCTGCACTATAAGTTGGATAGATCCATAAATAAATGCTATTTTTTATTTAACTATTTAAAAGCTTTTAGTTATTCTATTAATTATTTTTATGGTGTTATTCAAAATAAATCAAAATTCTACTGTTACTGTGTTTATATCAAATGAAAATGATGATTGTTTTAATGCAGCTTAATGATTGTTAATTTTAATGGCGCGCCTTTTTTTGAAGTTCAAAAAAATAAAAAATATATTTAATCAATTAAAACAAAACAAAGATTATCAGATTGTTTTTAATATAATTAGATTAGAATAGAAAATTTATAGGACGTATCTATTTGTTACTTTATGAGATAGCTATCTTTATAAATTATAATCAATCAGATAATGTCATCACCTGAGCACTATCAATATCATAGTCAATCACCAACATCATCACCAACACTTTCACCGTTGTCACCCACCAGTTTACATTCGGCGGTCGGTACGACTTCAACTACTTCATCATCATCATCATCATCGAGTACATTGTCAAAGAAACAACAACAATTACAACAACAACAGATCAATGCAATCGATCCAACTACACCCGAGGGTATCAAACAAAAATGTGAATCAAACTTGCAACTACCAGATTCCATCATGTCGATCGATGTCGCACAGACAATGAAAGACTATATTACCAATGGTGGTTCTCCACCTGTAAGTTATAATGAATGATATTTAATATTTAATGTAGTTTTTACTTATATAATAGTATTATTGTTATTATTTATATTTTAGGATGTAATTAGATTATTAAGCGAAAACTATAGAGGATATGCTCAGATGTGTAATCTTTTGTGTGATTGGCTATCAGTGACCGGAATGAGTAAGGACGCAATACAATCTACATTCAAAAGTCATCTAAAAGATATTATCATGGAGAAGTTTGATCCAAAGAAAGCAGATACTATATTTTCATCAGTAAGTTTTAATATCTAATCATTATATATAATTTAATTTACATATGTGTTTATTAATTGTTTTGTTATTTTATAAAACAACAGTCACCTCCACAATGGTTAGATGAAATGATAACAGACCCTGATTGGAGATCATTAATATATCAACTATCGGAAATACACAAGAATTGTTTAATGTTAAACTTTGCAATTCAAGTAAGTAACAAAATCAGATATATAATGATAGAATAGAGTTATTAATCATTATTTAAATATTATATTTTAATAATAGAAAATATCAGATGCAGGATATCAAAATGAAATAGCATCACTTAGTACTGCATCCACCTATTTTAGTGTATTTAATAAGGTTTTACTAGATTCGCTGATACAATTGATTAAGTTAGATGAAATAGAATTACAAGAATCAATATCAGAGTTTAAAGTAACTATCATTAATAGCAATTTAATAATAATTATAGAAATCTAACTTAAAACTCGACTTTAATAATATTTATATAGAAAACATGTTGTAATAGTCAACATACATATTTATATGCACAGGCATTGATACATAATCTATCACAGACCTATCCTAATCTCAAGAGAATCGCTCAAGAGTTGGAATTGGAGGTATTCGACAAGAGCAAAGTAGCAAGAAAGATATCATTAATGATGTCAAACATATCATCCTATCCTGCAATCTATGAGAGTATCAGCTCAATACTATCTAGTAATACTGCATCTACTGGTGATATTATAAAGGTAAATAGATTAGACTATTGCTATAGTAATATTCTAAATAATAACAATATAAATATATATTAACATTCAAACAAACAATCATCTTTTTAAAAGTTATATAATGAGTATAGTAAACCAAATGTACCACCAGTTGAATTCCTTAGAATACCAGCATTGCTAGAGTTACTACTGAATGACTTGTTCAATCCAACCAAGAATCTACAACAGAATAAATCAAAGTGGATCTATATCGTTGCATTCTGTGTGAGTGTACCCAACACGACAACATCACTCGACAGCATCAAAGAGGAACTTAACGAAACGATCAGAGCAATCGATAAAGTACAATCGATTTGTCAATCAAATCCTTTAGGTTCTGAACTTCAAAACGTCGTACCAATATTAAAAGAATATTTAGAGTATGTATAGATTTAGATATCTTCACAACACAATAATGTTAATCAATATTTATAAATTTAGATTACCAATTATATCAATGGGAATACTTCAATGGATACAATCAAATCTTATGAACAAAACAAATATTTCAAGTTACAATACATTATGTACACCTGTTTATTTTGAATTTTTAAGAGAAGTAAGTAAAGTACTCGTCAAAACTATGAATATTTACTAATAAAAATTAAAAAAAAAGATATGTTTAAAACATCCATTACATAGACAGGTAATTCTAAGAATTTTAGTTAACTTTTTCGAATTGGAAACTGATTTGGATGCTTTAGCTGCTGTATGTATTTATTAGCATAAAGAAAAATTGAACCATTCAATATTAATTATTTTTTTTTATTAATAGCTTGAAATGAGAAAAACCATTATAGATAATATTGTATTTATTTTTTGTTGTGGATATGTCATTCCAGTGCTGAATGTAATCAGAGATTGGGCGCCAAAGATCGATCCTTCGCTTGTTCGATATTTTATCAATCAAGTAATCGAAATGATAGAACCGCCCTATTCGAAATCCTTTATCAAGTCAATGACAAACATTATTGAAATTGTTAATCCACATCTATCGGACAACAAAGAAAATGTACAAACATTCTTGGATCAATAGTAAAAATATTCAATCATAAATAAAAAAAATGAAATCAAATCTAAACCAACCTCCTTTAATTGATTAATTATTTATTTGTATATTAATTATAATTTATTACCAAGGAGTCCAATATATATATTTATACTCATCATGAGTGGGTTTGTAATATGAAAACATTTGCTTTTCGTCGACCAAAGGTGCAGGTGTCATTTTCACACTTTCTGATTTTTTGTTCTTTGGTCTTCTCTTGGAAATAGTTTTACTGCTTGGAAACAGTAGTTTACCTATTTTATCTATTTCAATTTCCAATTTTTAAAATTAGAATAATTTTGTTGAACTTTTATTTAAAAATTAAGAGAATACCTACTTAATACCATTTTTTTATTTTAAAAACTGAAAATAAAATAGAGTTATAAAAAATAAATAAAATATAAATAAACTTCTATTACCAATTAATTTGTTCAAATTTCTATTTATTTATTTTTTTGTTATAAAAAGAATTGAATTTAAACTGGATAAATTTAAGATGAAACTTGAGATTCTTTTATAGTATGAGATATCAATTTGCATGTTGAATACATTCAAATCACTTTTACTTCCAATCCATTGTTTATCCTCTTGTCCACCCTAAAATTTTTTATTTACTTTGTAAATTTCTTATCCCACACTGATAATCCACAAAATCAACTGTGTTTAAATTTTAATGATTCGTGTGTTGTATGTCTTGAATTTTTATAAATATTGTTATCTAAATCATAGCAAAATTTAAATATTTTGTGTTTTGAATTGTGTTCGTTCTCAAACACAAACACACACACACAAAACTATCTATTTGATAATAAAACAATAGAAATTAATTTCTCAATACTTATAACCAACCAATCGTTTTTATTTTATTTTTATGTTTGTAACTTTTGTCTTTATATATAAATGGTAATTCCTTGGGAAAACCCATACGCAACACATATATTTGAACTAGTTCACACACACATTGTCACCAGTAACACTTGATCGGCTCATTCAACAAGTTGTTACAATGAATGAATGACTTAACTATAGCTTTCTAATCTAATCTAATCTCTTTTCTTTTTTTTTTTTCAACACACACTCTACAACAATGATATGCTGGAGAACGACACACAACACACAAACAACAAGCACACAAAATACAACTGTGAGAAAATCATTGTTGTTTAAATTCCATTGCTACATACATATAAAGATAATATGTACATATAAATATAAAATGTGTGTATCTTGTTTATTGTGTATATTAACAAAAAAAATAGATTATTTGAGATTTTTGGAGATTGCTTGCTTGCTCTTGTTTGACATATGTCTTTTCCTAATTCGTACATACTTTATATATTTATTACTATTGATTTATCTTAAAAGGAACTATGTAATAGTATGTCGTTTCCAGATTTAAAAGTTGTAGCAGAGCTGATAATAGTTTTCCACGTCTCGTTTGAAACTAGAGCGGATTTCTTTCCAACAATGATAAAATGATTTTTCGCTCTTGTAATGGCTACATTCAATCTCTGGTGATTATCAATGAATCCACCAGCAGAGGTTGTTCTCGAGCAACTTAGAATGATGATATCTCTTTCTGCACCTTGAAAAGCATCGACTGTACTTATCTTGATTTCATCATCTCTCTTTTTACCACCTGTACTATCTTCTTCCTCTGCCTCATCGTCGAGCTCGTTCTCCTCTGACAAGTCAAAGTCATTCTCCTCCAACCTCTCATTATCTCGATCCAGCATATCGAAATCATCAACAATTGGATCATCATTTAATATTGATCTTTGTTTCTGTTGTTGTTGTGCTTTTTGTTGTTGTAACTTTTTCTTTGCCAATTGTTCTTTATATAATACTGTTATCTTTTCAGCTTGTGCTTTATCTATATTAATTGTTAATATATAGGCATTATGAATATACATCTTATAATTACTTACATAAACAAATAACACCTATTTGTCTCTCTTGTATACCTTCATTCCTAAGTATATCAATTATACGCATAACAATACTGATCTCCTTATCATTGTAATAACTACCAAAATTATTCAAAGCTTCTACACTTCCGTCGGATTCAATAAATACAATCGGTTTCAAACTTTTAACTAATGGTGGTCTGTGTTCTGCCAAAATACCATCTTGTAAATACCCTTTATAAAACAAATTGTTTGAAAGTTTACTTATATCTGGATGACACTATAGTTATATATTATAAACATAATATTGATAATCAATAATAGCTATTAAAATTATAGTTAAGTTTTTACTTACTCTATATTGTATGCTTAATATAGTTGGTTTGACATAAGCAGATAATCTTACAAAGAGTGTTTTCTCAAGTCCACCACCTTCATCTACAAGTTTTCTTGACGCTTTCGCCTGAATGGTCGGTTCAAGTTGCATTGGATCACCGACAGCCAACAGTTTATGACATTTACTTCTGAAAATTGGTAATAGACTGAGTGGTTCTTGCATCTGACTACACTCATCAAGGAATAGAATTGGAAATTCACAATCATTTAAACTTGAAAATAATGATGAATTACATGTTACACCTATATAATAATAATTAAGAGTAACAAATATTTGTTAATAAATATGAATTTAAAACAACAAAAAGAAATAAACAAAAGTTAAAGTTATATACTTACCAACAACTCTTGCTTTCTTTATATCTTCTTTCTTTGATGAACTACTATATGTACCGTTATCCATTTGCTTGATTGTGTCGTCGATGATGTCTCTTTCCTCTTTGGAGAGATTGGAAGTCTTTAGAAATGATTTCAAATCTTTGATTGCCTCTTCGTCGAGATCGATGGAACCACCAGGACCTCCACCACCACCACCGTTCGATCCAACCTTTCTATTCTTCAATAGATAGAGTAGAATTGGTTTGGCAATCTTCTTGATACTACCGATTCGATTGAAGTTGTTATAACCGTATTGTATCAAACCCAGTAGTACACGGTCAACTGCTACGTTGGTAAGCGAAGAAACCATGATACGAATGAGATCATTCTCACCGAGCTCACAGAGATGATCTATGAACAGGATGATCACCACCAACAACGTTGATTTACCAGAGCCGAATATACCATGAACCAACAACACTGGTAGAGTAAAATTCTCCATCTCGGAATCTACAAAGTTAAACCACGCCAGACAGTCTAATAAGACACGCGACTGATGTTCATTCAACTGGTACTTGTCGATATACTCATTGGCAAGATCGGTTCCTTCTTTCATTGTCATATTAATAAAGAACTTGTCATAGGTATCTTGATTCGATGTCAACTCTAATTTCGGATCCATTAAATAACTACCAATTGGTAATGTATCGATTGGTGTTGATTTTATATTATCTTTTTTTATATAATAATAATAATAAACATATAAAGATATTATATATTATTAGTAGTCTTATCATTGATTCATACAATTATAATAATAAACATACCTATCATTGATAATTCAGTTGATGCATTGATTGCACGTATTGCTATTACTTTCTTACTGGTCAGTGACATGTTGGATACATCGCTAATCGGTTTCAATTCGATCATTCCACTTTGAGAAGGTCCATGTGATACACTTCTCATTAGAATAGCACTACTTGTAAAGTTATTTGTTGTACTAAGAATCCAAATATCATCTTTTGCATAATCTTCTTTTCTCTTTATAAACTTTAATAAATAAATCAACTTTGGTTCTCCTTGTTGTGTTTTTTGTTGACTATTATATTGACTATTGTTATTACTATGATATTGACTATTATTGTTATTATTATTATTATTATATTGACTACTATTATTATTATTATTATTATTGTTATTATTATTATTATTATTTATATCTCTTTCTTCTTTTATATATAAATTAGCTTCAGTATATAATGATATTCCTCTATATTGAAACATTTGTTCGGTTTCATACGTTAATTTATCAGATGGTATTGATACAGATCTATTATCACTATAAACAACAATGATATGTTAATACAGATACTTTTTAATGAGTCTTTAAACATACATAATTGGTTGATTCTTTGTTTCAGCATCCTCAAGGAACCTAAAGAATTTACAGTTGTCTCTCTTGGCAGCACACTTAAAGTATTCTTTTCCTTTGTTTGGTCCTTTCTTTGTAATCAATCTCACTGTTGGTCCATGTTTACATTTCGGATTACCTAATTATTGTAAACAATAATATTAGTTATTATAGATTGTTATCTTTTTAAATACGAGTGATAGTTTATGATAATTACTTGATGAATCATTTAAATTAATACAAGATTGATATAGATTATTTGCAAGTTCCATTAGCTTGATGTTCAGATCCTCTTGAATTGCCTCGCAGAATATCAGTTGGTAGGACTCTGTTGTTTCGAATCGATAAGGTATCGATGTGAATCGCTCCATGATGTTGCTGTAGATAATCTCTGAGGTCTTTGCATCTGGAAATACAATATCGTTGTGTCTCCAACTGATTGATTTCTGTTGAGTAACACCACTACCAGGTGATGAGAATCTATTGTTCTTCAATGATTTACTTTTACTATCTACAGACATACTATTATTATTATTATTGTTGTTGTTATTCAAATCTGGTTTATGTAGTGAATTCCATTTCTTTCTCTTTTCACTTAGTTTGTTTGTTTTTGTTGATATTGCTGCTGTTGTATTATTAACTATTGCTGTAGATTCTATATTGGTTGGTGATTGAAATGAAGTTGTTTTACTTATTGGTTTTAATTTATTGGTCTTATTTATGCTATTATTAATGTTAGGAGTGTCGGTAATTTCAAATGAATCATTAGATTCATTATGTGATAAATGCTGTTCTATTTCTAATGCTGTGTTGTTTGTATTATTATGATTATCATTAAAATCGAATTCAAAGTTATCATCTTGTATATCATTATTTACATTGTTGTTGTTGTTGTTGTTGTTTATATCTTCGCTAAAACTATCTACATGGTTGTTGCTATTGTTGTTGTTATCTATTAAATACAAATCATCACTACTATTATTATCATTATTTACATTTTCATTTAACATACTAAGATCTTCATCGTCATCAAATAGATAAGCATCATCGTCATCTCTAGACACTGAAGCAAGTATATTAAAAAAACTCTTCTTTTCTTGTTGTTTGATATTATTATTATTATTATTATTAGTTTGTATTGATTTATTTGGTTGTTGTATTTGTTGTTTTACTTGTGATGACTGTGTCGGTGTTGGTTGTATTGGTTGTATTGGTCGTATTGTAGGTTTTATATGTTGTACTGGTGGTACTTGATGAATAATTGTCAGTTTTGGTTGTACTGACTGTTGTCTAGGTAATAATAGTGGTCGCGTGATTTCTGTTGTTTTTGTTTTTGTTGTTGCTGTTGCTGTTGCTGTTGCTGTTGTTGATTTTTTATTGGCTGTATTAAAGCCATTTTTGCCTGGGGTTGTTGATATGTAAATACTTCTATAGCTTCATTCGAAGATGTGTCTGGTTCCTGATCATTGTTGTAATCACTATTGGCTGCTATAACTTCTTGAGTTGACTGAAGTTCTTGTGTTGGTGGTGCCTTTACTGGAACACTAAAAGATTTCTTCTTTACAATTGATGTTTTCTTATTTGTTATCTTATTATTACTTTTATTATTAATAATATTATTATTATTATTACTATTAGTAGTAGTAGTGGTAGCACTATTATTAACGATCTCTGTTATTCTTATTAGAAAACCATCGGTTTCAAACTCTGCATCCTCTTCAAAGATCATTGAAGCCGATATAAACTTTGAATCTATATTCTTGTTGGTGTCCAACTCGCAGAGAATCACTTTTCTGCCATTGACTTTGATGTAACCATCACTCCATAGTTTCGCTTTCTTTTGTTTTTGATGTGTATACTGTACATTATATCTCTTTATCTCTTCCATCTATAATAATATACAAAAATAATAAATAATTCAAATTCAATTTCATCTTATGGAACACAACTGAAAAATAATTTAAAAAACTATCTAAATTCTGTTTTCTTAGAATTTGTTCACATATATTTTTATTTTATTTTATTATTGAACTGAACAAATTAATGTTACAGTGGACAAGCTAATTTTCTAACGCAATTTTTTATTTATTTATTTGATTGAATTAAATCATTCACAACCTATTTTTTGAAAAGGCATAAAAGATGAGATAATACTTGCTCTGAATGTTGGATCACTACCAAAAACCAAAAAAGATGTTTCCGATATTCTTCTCAGTCTATATTGAGATCTATCGATTGTTATCGAATTGATTGACTTTGGTAAAGATTTCAAAGTGTTGGAAGTAAAGAATGACGATGAAACGATAATAGACGTAACATTTGCTGGCCAGAGGTTATCCATTGCAGAGGAATAGGATCGAAAATCGATAGTTTCCACAGAATTGGGAATAGAGTCTTTTGTTAAATATACCCATTCACTGAGAACAATCGACTTGATTGTATCTGGTAGTCCAATAAGAGGTTGACTGAAATTCTCTCCTAACGACAAAAATTGCAAGCTAGCAGGTAGCACCAAGTTATCTCTGATAGATCGATTGAAATATCTTGGTAGATAAAGATTGATTAGACTCGATGGAAGTTCTCCAATTTCAAAATTGTCATAATCTTTGTCGTCATCATCGGCGGAATCATCATCACTGCTATCAGCTGTGAAGTAGCTGTTGGGTTGATAGTCGTCGTCGTCACTACTATCAATGTCATCCTCATCATCATTTAGCATCGATAGATCCAATGTTTTCAATTGTTCAAATGCGGAGAAATTCATGTTTTTCAAACGATGTCGATGTTCTAGTTTAAGGTATTTGATACTCTTTGGAAGGTGGTCGGAAGAAATCGTTAGAGCTTCATCATATTCATTTCTGTGAAGAGTAAGGTGAGTGACACTCGCTGGGATATCGCCGGATTTCAATTTGAAGCCATCATAGGTAATCAATTTCAGTGACTCTAACGATGCCAGATGTTTAATGTTCTGCAGCCAACTGTTTGAAATCGCAACGTCTCTCAATGTCGATGGTAGCTGTGTTTGATCCGATTGTACTTTATCGTTATAGATCACCAATTCCTCTAGATTAGGCGGGAAAGACGACATGTCGACGGAATCACCAACAAAGTAACAGTTGAGATTAAGCGATATGAGAGTTCGCGGTAGTTTCGAAACATCGAGTGATATCGCGTATGTCTGCCAAAAGGGATCAAAAATGCCATCACTTGATCCGGTAAACTCTAGCCGCTCAAGTTCCAACGGTAACAGCGAATCTGCAACAGCCATGACACCAAATTTCTCCACAGCCAATCTGATTTCTTTAATAGTCGTCGGCAATCTTGAGTTGTTTGTAGTCAGCTTCTTGAATTCGATTGTATCGACATTCAGCTCGATAAGTTTATCATTGATTTGCTCATCAATTTCAAACGATCCATCAAACAAAACTTTTTTAATCGACTTATCATATGTTTGATTGATAAAATGATCTTTTATTGATTATTTTAGAAAAATAGTTAGTTAATTTTAAATAAATAGTATTAATTAACTTTATTTTAATAAATATCTATTATATTTACCTTTACTTGTGAAATCATCAAAGTAATAATTTTTGGAAGAAACATTCAAACTATCAACGAATCTTTGACTACAAACCAATAAACTGAAATCTTGTTTAGCATTTAATGATGTTAAAAATTGTTCGACGTATGACTTCAATGTAAATAGTTTATTCTTTTGATTGTCTAGTTGATCTTTATTAATATATAATAAAGTTTTGCAATTGAATGATAAGTAATTATCTCTTTGATAAAACAAACGTTTGCAAACCAAACTGAGACACAATCTATCCAAGTCATCTTCCAACTCTCTAACTATCTTTTTTAATAATAAATTTGATAGTTCTAAAATCATTATTATAATAATGTTTCTGTGACCATTTTTAGGTTGTAAAAATTTTTCGCTTGAAAAACAAATAAAAACTTTCCATTAAATATCTAAATAATTTATTAATAATAAATATTTGAAATCGACATTTAATAAAACAAAGATTTAATGATATCAGATTTATCAAATAATAATAATTTCTATTTTAATCTATTTAATTATTTAACCTATTTATAATTAACGTGAAGAATTAAGAATTTAATCTAACATCGAATCTATTTGTATTCTTAACATGTTTTTATTATTTTGAAATAAAAGAATTCTTTGTTCGAAAATTTAGTATCAAATTGAAAACATTTATTTTGTTTTTGTTTATGTTGAAAGTATTATTAGACATCAGCACCTTCATAGAGTGGATTGACACCAGTGTTTGCTGATTCCTGATAGAGTGGATTGCTGGATACAGTTCCTTCACTGAATGGTGAGTCACCAAAGAATGCGTCGGTTGGTGGTGCTCTGGTCTTCATTAATCTCCATACACCCAAAGAAATGATAGCTGCTGCAACAACGGCTGCGGCGATTGCGGCAGAAATGACAACAGTATTGTTCTTATTGGATCCGGTTGGTGATGCTCCAACAAGGATAGTAATATTCTTGGTGTCCGATAGATCGTTGTTTACACGATTGATTGCGTTGTAACCAAGATCGTTGACATAGACAATCAATTGGTAGGTACCGGTTTTGTTGAATGAGATTGTGATTGTATTGAGGAATCTATTGAGTGCATCGTTTCTATCCAAACATCTAACTTGATTGGATGTGGTGTTACAGGAATCCGATGATGCGAATGGAAGATTGATCAATCCATCCAAGGTAAGCTCGTTAGTAGTTGTTGAAATCAAGGAGAGAGTGAATGTAATATTGTTTTTATCGGTTGAATCTGGATCAAAGACACTGATATTGTTGAATAGAACTGGAATGGTTAAACTGGTGTTGTATTGGAGTTGGTTGGCATTGACAACAGGTGGAACATTGACTCTGAGCACTGACATGAATAATCTCTGAGAATCAGTCATATTCAATGGATCGGTACCAATCAAAGTGAATTGTGAAAGTCTCAAACCGGAACGACCTTTGTTTGGTACGTAGACAACTCTCCAAAGATTATCGGTTGCAGATCTCTTAATCTCAGAGTTGAATCTGAGAATCTCTCCAACAGCGTTTGATAGTTCATCGAATTGGTATGCTGCACCTCCTGTCATCAAACCACTTCCGAATGTTGATTTGAGTTCGGTCCATGGATGATCATCGGAAGTAACATTGAATGTAATGATAGTCGATGTATTTACGTATAGATCGACATTGTCATTAACGATTGGGTGAGATGTTCCATTGATCATATAAGTTAATGGGACAACTTTTGGAGCAATAAAGACATGGGTTACATCGATATAGATTGTATAGATTTCAGAGGAGTATCTTTGTTTGATTGCGAATTGGAAACTATCGATATTGACTCCATAGGTATCCTTTGGTGGCATGTAATAAAGAACATAATTGGATTCAGTGAATACCAATCCATTCGAAGAAATATTAACTAGATCAACTCCGTTTTGGAAATAGTAGAGTTGTCCTCTTCCAGTGAAGCTGGTGATATTCATTGTGTATCTATTACCCTCTGGTGCAGTTGCTTTGATTGGAATTGTGAGTTTAACATTTTCAAGGGTTGTAAGATTTCTCTCACCAACGAACATTGGAATTGGGTTGACTGTGATTTGAATTGGATAGGTGATGGAGCTGATCGAATGTTTGTTGATGACAAGATAGGAGAATGATTCAAGTGGTCCTTTACCTCCGATGGAATTGAGATCCGATACATCTTTGTTTGGTGCATAGGTGAATGAGTTGGATGAGAATAATTGATCGGTTGAAGTGATTGGTGCTCCGTTCGAGTCTAACAATTCACCGTGCATTGGGAGCGATGAGAATTGGTATTGGATCTTGGTTGAATCTTGACAATCGTTTCCGACAAGTGCGAATGAAACCTGTTGATTCTGGACGGTTACAAGCGATTTACCCTCTCCAGTTGGCTTCGATGGTACGCTTTCTGAGGAAATATTTGAGAAAGCACTTGAACATAACACTTCACATGCTTCAACTTTGAAATAGGTTTCGAAACTATCATAGTTATTGATGCTTGGAAGATATTGGAGTGGCTTGGTGGTATCGAGTAAAGCTGGTGCAGTGATTGGTTTACCGTCGGACAAGAGTGATCCAATGGCTGGAGAATTTAATAGATTAACTCTTAAATTGGTCATTGGATTGATATTTGTAATTGAAATCGAGATATCAATTGGCTGAGGAGTATTTGGACAAACATTTTGGATATTGATAATCGATGGAATGATGGTAATAACTGGTGCATAGTCAACTTTGGTGACGGTGATGGTAACTGTGACTGGATCGGATGAAAGTCCCGAATCATCTGTAACATAGTAACTGAATTGCTCTGTTCCAAAGAATGTGGAATATGGTTTATAGATTGCTGAGAATGGTGCTTGAATAGTAGATGGTAGGGAATTTCCATTGGCAGTTAAAATTAATCCATGCTGTGGGTTGTTGAGGAAGAAAACTTTGAAACCACCTTGGTATCCAGGTTGATTTGTATGAACTCCATCTAAAGTAAATGAATTTGTCTGATTGTTTTGAGCAATGATGAAAGGACCAACGGGTTTGGCAAATGGTGGGTATTGTGAAATACTTCCAGAGACATCGATGGTAACAGTGGATGATGAGGATAATCCAGTACTATCGGTGACAGTAATGACAAAGGAGGTGTCAGAATAAACTTCGTTTGTAGCTTGGTAGGAAATTGATGATGAAACGATACTGGAAGTTGTCAGTGGATATGTACCAAGTGTATAAGTTGTTCCGCTTATGGGGATGTTCTTGGTATCGTAGAGAGTTCCTCTAGTCTTGGTGATTGCACTTAAAGTGACTTTTAGAGTTTCGTTGGGATCTGGGTCGGATACAGTGAATTGAATTGTTAATTTGGAATCTGGTGCCATTATTTGTGCTGGATTGATGTTCAAAGTCGGTGTTACAGCAACACGGTTGACGGTGATCGAAAGAGTACATTGAGCATTAAGTTTTGTATCGGAAATAAATACGAGGACTTTGACAGTTGAAGCGGTGGCTGTAGAAATTGGAGTGAAAACAAAGTTGGAGTTACTTGGATATTGAGTACCTTCAGCGATTGGAACGGAGGCGATAGAGATACTACCAAGGGAAAGAATATTCGCTAAACCTTGGAATGAAATGGTAACAACATCTTCAGGGTCAGCATCCGATGACTTAATGGTAAATGGTGCAGGTGTGTTTTGGTCAGTGGTTACACCTACAGCATCACAAACTGGAGCATAATTTACATTCTTGATAGTAAAATCTACTTGACTGGCAGCACTTAAACAACCATCGTCAATAGTATATTTAACTTGATCGGTTCCATATTTGAATGGATTTGGAATATACTTGAAAAGATTGGCTTGGACAGAGGGAAGCTGGTAGGATTGACCAAGAACAACAGTTTGAGTATCGTTGAACTTTAATACACCGAGACTTGGAATCGAAGAGAATTGGATGTTGAGAATATTACCATCGATGTCATTTGCCGGAATGTTAAAGATGGCATTGGAATTCTCAAACAGTGTAATACTGGTTGGAGAGGTAGTTGGTGCATGATTAATGTGAATTTGAACAGTTTGTTTTCCGAATCCAACAACTCTGGTAGTAATCGATGGTTTCGAATTTATATTTGCGGGCTGAACATAAACATATTTAGTTTCAAATTCTTGTTTGGAAGCTGATAGTGTTGGACCACTTGAAATAAAAGATGTATCGCCTGATACCAATATTTGTGGTGAACTGATCATCGGTTGAATCAAATCATCAATTGCCAGTTGGTACCAATAATCTGAATTCAAACCATTTAAACTAATGAGTCCACCAATTTGTGGAGTAAGCCATGAATATGAATTGGTTTTATCTGAATAACAAATTACACCTAAGAGAATGTTTTGTTTGGCTAGTTCATTTTGTAATGTAGTGATAAGAGTGTTGTCGGTTGGTGCAAGATTGTTGTCTGTGTATAAAATCATCATTCTGATGGCTCCGTTTGCTGACCATTGAACTGTCGATGCTGCCAAGGTCAATGCTTGATATTGATAGTTTGGCTGAGGTGCTCCGTTCTTGAATGTTAAAGCTTCAACATCATCAACAATGGATTTCGAAAGTAACTTTTGAATTTGGAATGTATTTGGTTGGTTTTTGGTATCAGAGAAATATCCTAATCCAAAATTGACATTTTCAATGTTTAATGAATTTTCAAATGATGCATAGTATTCCTGGAATTCATAATAGAATAACCTTTCGGATGAAACATCAACGATGAAATACAAGTCTAGTGCAGCCGGTGTTTCAATGGTTGATTTGATGGAAAGTGGTGTAGTTACATCTTTGTTCAAATAGATTTGAGCAGTAGTTGGGTTGATAATCATATCTGAATTACTGATTTGATCTACGATGAAATTTGGTTTCTTTGGATCACATCTCTGAGTTAAACTAATACTACATTGGATACCATACCATCCTGGATCACATATACACTGACCATCTCCATTTATTCCAGAGTTAACGGTTCCATTGGCACACGGTGGATTCGGTAGGCAAAGTGGTCCATAAAATCCAGTGTCACATTCTGTACAATTCTTTCCACCCCATCCAGGTAAACAATTGCACAAACCAGTGGTTTGGTTTAGTGCTCCATTTCCACAAGGAGAAACAAGGACTCTGATATAGAATGAATGAACAGAGTAGGTCAATGTAATTCCTTGACTGTCGACCAATCCCAATGAAATTACATATGCTCCGATTTGGGTGGTGGTTGGTGACCAAGTAAGTTTGATTGTTCCATAGTTGGCAGGACCGTTGGTTTGTGGGCTAACGGTCATTCCTTGTGGAACATTTCCAATGGAGATCAATACACTTGATGTTGTTTGTGGTGACATACCAACAATGGTGACTGAATTGGCAATTGTGGAAGTGAAATTGACATATGTAGATCTAGCTGGTGTTGGATCAACAAAAACTGGTGGGTTCGGGATAACTACTGGTGCTTTGGTTACATTGATAAGGAAATCAATGATAATATAGGTGACGTAGGCATTTTGGACATATTTCTGTACTTTGATTTGAGCACTCCACATTCCTGTTTGAGTGGCAGTATAGGAAACAAGACCACTCTCTGATACCTTCAAACCAGTTGGTTGAGTTCCTGGCATCTCAGTCTCATTTGACATAGCGAATTTAAAGGTGGCTCCTGGAGTCATATCGGCAACTGGAACTTGCCATAATTTTTCGATACCATTGTAGGCATTCAAAACTGGTAGGACACCAGATGCAGGTGAACTTCCACCAATACATCCCGGGAAATTCAATTCAGTTGCAACATTCCAATATTCTAATATTTATAATAAATCTATTAAACTATTTTTCTTAATTTATTTTTTTACGGTAAAAATAACTTACTATTTGCATTATTGATAAGTGTATCCAAACGACCTGCTTCATAATAGTTAATGTAAGCGGTTCCGGTTGTCTGAGTGAATCGATATTGGAATTTCATCTCGGTGGTGAGCCAATCATTTACTTTGTCAACATGATTCACAACAAAAGCTGTTCTAATAGTTTTAATGTCACAGTATTTACAATCACTGAATGTGTAAAAAGAACTGTATATTTTTACATCATGATGGTTGATTGTGTCATTTACAGCGTATTGAGTAAAATGATTTTCTATGAAATATGAATTTCTGAAGGCAACCTTTAGTGAGAACTCAAACAGGGTTGGATCAGAAGGAGATGTAGTCCATGTTATTGTACCATATCTAAAATGAGTTCCTAAAAAAACAAATAATGAAATATTTTTTTAGAAAATAATAATAATAATTGTTAATAAATTAAAAAGAAAAATGCAAACAAATAAATACCATTAGAATAATTAATAAATAATATTAATAATATACAAATAAAATTAAATTTCAAATTCCACTATTTTTTTTATTATTATGAATTCGAAATGGTGAAAAAAATATTACAAAAAGGTATTTACGAGGTGTTATATTTTTAATAAAAATAGATTTGTTTTTTTTTTATAATTTATAAAATCTTAATAAATCTAAAAGTGATCATAGAATTTTAATGAAAATACAACCCTTTGAACCCAATACCGAAGCTAATGAAAAAAAAAACCTTCTAAAATTGGTCAAAAATCAGTCTACACACACTGAGGGATTGCAAACTATCATTCCCTCAGCCAATTACGATGAATAGGATGATTTTTTTGAAAGTGGAATAGAAAAATTTGTGTTGTTTTTTTATTTTATTCTGCAAAGACTCATGTTGTTTCGAAACAATTGTCAAGCACAATTCATGAAAATTTAAGTTTTCTTAGTTTGCTAATTGTATCGAACCAAATCTACTATGAAAACAAAGTGTGTTTTTTTTTGTGTCATTGAAAACATCGATTTGAGATGGAGTTTTGAGGTTGAAACAACGCTTCGGTTTGCAAACTAAAAAATAAAAATAAAATCGGTGTTTCAAATCGCAAACGTTGCATCGAAAAGATTTTTTTACACTTTTCTCTGTTGATGATGAGGTGGTAGATGCCTCAGAATCCACCTTATGAAGGGGGAATCAGGTCACACCTTTTTCCCACTTGCATATTTAAATTACTTTTTTTTATGATGTTGTTGGGGCAAAATGATACAACAATGATGACACTTCATACATACTCGTTTGCAATATTTATTTTTGCTTTTGCTTTGTTTTTTTTTGTTGTTTTGCAATCTTGCAATGTGGCACCCCTCCAAGACTTTTCATTCGAAAAAAACAAGAACAATTGATGTTTGGCAAAGAAAAATACTATTTGCAAATAAATATTTGTTTTGTTTTGTTTGTTGTCATAAAAAAATGATCATTTTTTTTCATTTTTTTTTAAAAAATAAAACAAATCGTTATGGCGGGAAAATCTGTGTTCACAAATATTTAATTTTATTTCTTATCATTTTATTGTTGCATTAAAATGAATAGGAATTAAATAGAATAGAATCGATTCTATTCTATTTATAATAGTAGTTATTGAATGCGAAATAAACAAAGTTGATATTTTATGATTTTTTTTTAAAATTGATTTTTATTTTTTATTATTTTTTTTACTCTTTGGTGACAAAGTTCTCTTGTTGGAATAATAGTAAATTGAAAAGAAAATTGATCGGCACTATATACTAAAAATGATTTGTCAGAGAGTCTTCTGAAATGTTTATCAGAATCCGAAATGGTTAAAGATGTTACTGAGAGAGGAAAAAAGTTTAAGTCATTCACCTCCATGAAAGAACTAGCTAACGTCAATGATCTCAATGAAGGAGGCCATTGATTAGGTTCTATTACTTTACTGTAGTTCCCAATATTGATTGACTCAATCGATTTGGGGAAGGAAGTTGGTGTTAACATTGAGGTTCCGCAGATACTAATCGACTTTAATGATGTCGGCAGTCCAACTACTTTGCCACTGAATACTTCACCTAAACTCAGATGTTGAAGGTTGACTGGAAGTGCCATACATCTCTTTATCGGTTGATTGAACTGTTTCGGTAAGTAAAGATTGATTAAACTATCTGGTAACTCTCCAATTTCAAGCGATTCATTGTCTATAGCTAGTTCGGTAAGATCCAATGTTTCCAATTGTTCGAATGTTGAGAATACATCACTTTTAAAACAAATTTTATATTCTAATTTTAAATATTTGATATTCTTGGGAATGAGCTCCTTTGTAATTGATTTCTCCATACCATGATTACATAAAGTGAGATGAGTGATATACGATGGAATATCATCTTGTCTTAGTGAAACACCATTCCGGTAGATCAATTTAAGTGTTTCAATTGATTTGAGATCACGAATGTTTTTCAACCAACTTGTTGATATCGAAAGGTGTTTCAAAGTCGATGGAAGTTGTGTGGTGTCATCAGATGGCTGGTCTTTCTCTGCGAACAAATGCAACTCTTCAAGATTCGGTGGAAAAGAGCCAATGTCAACTGCATTAAAGTGGCTAAGTACACTTGTTTTGAATACTCTAAGTGTTCTTGGTAACTCTGATGTTTCGACAGTGACAACCACTCTGGTATTAGAAGGAATTGATACACTATATCTTTCAAGCTCAAGAGGTAACAACCATGATTCTGAAATATAGCATTTGGTTATGATTTCCTTGATATTTGATGGTAATCTTATTTTAGAGTCAGTGTAAAGAACATTTGAACAGAAATGAATAGAGCTTAAATTTGACTTGGCAAGCTTTGCAATCAAACGATCACCAAGTTCAATACTATTAGCAAATTTTATTCTGCTAAATGACGGTGGAATATCAGCATTTCCTATATATCATAGTATTAATAGAAACAGAGTTTGTAAGTATTATTATTAAAAGTAAATTTAATTATTATTATCTTATAATACCTTGTAGAATTGAATCATTATATAAATTGGAAGTATGTACACCATATACTATAATGATTGAAGGATCGTTGGTATAAAATCTAATGTTTAGTGTGCAATCTGATTTAAGATCTAGTGATCTCTTATATTGTTCTCTGTAGGAGTTCATAGTGAACTCTTTATTCTTCTTTTCATCGATAAGATCATTATTTTGAGGTAAATCTCTACAATTGAACCAAAGATATTTATCTCTCTGATCGAACCATCGTTTACAAACCAAACTGAAGCACACTCTATCCAAGTCATCATTCAACTCTCTTATTATTTTGCTTAACAAAAGAAATGGTAGATTTACAAAAATATCATTATTCTTTTGTTGATTAACTTGATTATCATTGTTTTTAATCTTTTTATTTCTTGCCATTTATATTATTAATAAAATACTTGATATAATTTAAAGAATAATAGATCAAATTATATAGATATAACCATCTTTATCTTTCGAAGAAAAGCAAAAAATAAACAAAAATCTCGAGATTAATATTTAAAAATAAATAAGAATTTTTCCCAACAAACATATTTTATTTCTAAAAAAATGTTTATTATTCTGATTTTTTTAAATATAACAAAAAAGAATTTGTCGATGTTTTTATAAAATTTTCAAGGAATCTAAATGAGATATATTTGTTGGAATAATAGTAAGTTGAAAAGTAAATTGATTACCATACATTAAAAATGATTTTTCGGTGAGTCTTCTGAGCTGTTTGCCAGAATCAATAAGGGTAATCGATGTTACTGAGAGAGGCAATGTTGATAAATAATTAGGTCTCAAGAATTCTTTTTCGATTGTCAATGATTTCAATGAAGGTGGCCATTGATTAGGTGCGATCAATTTATAGTAATCTCTGAAATTGATTGATTCAATCGATTTGGGGAAGGAAGTTGGTGTTAACATTGAGGTTCCGCAGATACTAATCGACTTTAATGATTTCGGAAGTCCAACTACTTTGCCACTGAACACTTCACCTAAACTCAGATGTTGAAGGTTGACTGGAAGTGCCATACATCTCTTTATCGGTTGATTGAACTGTTTCGGTAAGTAAAGATTGATTAAACTATCTGGTAACTCTCCAATTTCAAATGATTTGTTGTCTATAGCTTTAGCTATGGTGAGATCGGTAAGATCCAATGTTTCCAATGTTCGAAAGTTGAGAATACATCACTTTTAAAACAAAATATTATATTCCAATTTCAAATATTTGATATTCTTGGGAATGAGCTCCTTTGTAAATGATTTCTCCATACCATGATTACATAAAGTGAGATGAGTGATATACGATGGAATGTCATCTTGTCTTAGTGAAACATCATTCCGGTAGATCAATTTAAGTGTTTCAATTGATTTGAGATCACAGATGTTTTTCAACCAACTTGTTGATATCGAAAGGTGTTTCAAAGTCGATGGAAGTTGTGTGGTGTCATCAGATGGCTGGTCTTTCTCTGCGAACAAATGCAACTCTTCAAGATTCGGCGGAAAAGAGCCAATGTCAACTGCATTAAAGTGTCTAAGTAAACTTGTTTTGAATACTCTAAGTGTTCTTGGTAACTCTGACGTTACGACACTAATAGAGAATTTGGTATACCAAGATATTAATTCGTATCTCTCGAGTTCAAGAGGAAACAATGATGGTTTTGGTAGATGACAACTGCTAATGATTTCCTTGATATTTGATGGTAATCCCATTTCGGTGCGAGAGTGACCAACCCATGAGTTAATATGAATCGATCTTAAATTTGACTTTGCAAGCTTTTCAATCAACCAATCTTCAAGTTCAATACCTTCAACAAACTTTATTCTGCTAAATGACGGTGGAATATCATAAAGTTGAAAATTATCTATAGATAAAAACAATTTGTTAGTATTTATACTTTATATAACATCATGTCATGTTTAACTGACTAACGAATTTATTATACCTATTAGAATAAAATCATCCCACATATCGGAGGGTTTTGTAGTTTGATATAAATTGCTTATTGCATATATTGGATATGTGATGCGTAGTGTGCAATCTTGTTTAGCATCGAGAGATCTCTGAAATTGCTCTTTGTAGGAGTTCATAGTGTAAAGATTATTGCCCACTTTGAGCAAGAAACCATTAGTTTGTGTTATACCCTTACAATTGAACCAAAGATATTTGTCTCTCTGATCGAACCATCGTTTACAAACCAAACTGAAGCACATCCTATCCAAGTCATCATTCAACTCTCTTACTATTTTACTTAACAATAGAAATGGTAGATTTACAAAAATATCATTATTCTTTTGTTGATTAACTTGATTATCATCATCATCCTTCTTAATTATTTTTCTTTATTTCTTTTCATAATTTATAAAAAAAAAGTTTAACAACAAACAAACAAACAAACAAACACGTGGTTTTAAATAATGCCAAAGAGCTTTTGGAATTATTATTGGGAAATTAGCTCTCAAAAAAATCTTTAGTAAAAAACTAAAAAATAAAAAATCTGGTTAAAAAAATAAAATAGGTTTTTTTATTAGATTTAAAAACTGGTTAAAGATAGTAACTTAAAACAAATAAGAGAGAAATAAAAATGAAAATAAGCATAATGATCTTGGCAGAAAAAAAATAATATTTTATTATGTTGTGTAAAAAAAATAAAAAATAAAAATAAAAATAAAAATGAAGGTGAACTTAAGTTTTTTTCATTAATCCGAAAATCTTTAATTTTTTTTATTATTATTAATTTAAAACTTAAAACTTTAAAAATATATATTCACAAAGAGATTTAATAATAATAATAATAATAATAATTATATAGAAAAGAAATGAGTGAAAACGAACAAGTAGAAGAATCTACCAATGTTTTAGTGACTCCAGGTAGACAACAGCAACAGTCGTCTGCAACACCACCAGCGGCAACAACAACCACCACAAGTAATACAAATGTAGTACAACCAACTTTAAGTAGTAATGGTAGTGGTGATAACTATCTTGATGAAGCCACACTCCTAATTATCAAGAAACGATTGGAACAAATCGAAATTACGAAAAACGAAGAAAAGAAACTAGCGAAACAAGTACAGAAATCAATGAAAGATTTGAGTAGCTCTCTCGCAACATTGAAAGAAGATGAAAAGGTTAAGCTATTACTATCTAAATATCAACAAAATGTAAATATTTACTTATTCATACAGAGGACTGACTATCGAAATGCTAACATACCTAAACCTTCTATTAAAACAACAAAAACAACAACAACAATTAGTTAACAGAGAGATTTAAATATGATAAGAAATTAGCACAAAATGAAGAAGCTATGAGTGTTTTGAATAAAGATAATGGCAGATGTAAGATTAGATCGAGATTGTTTTGTTTGTTCCTCATACTTATCATTTCAAACACATTTATAATAATATTTTATAGTGGCAGCAGAATTGACCAAATCAAACGTTGTAAAGGTAAGACTGGAAACATTGTTCAAAGAGGTACAGAAAAGAAACGACGAAGTCATGGAGTACAGCAAGAAAACCGCCGTCGAGGAGGATCAAAAGCGTAGAGATCTATCGGATAAATTCAATGCTACTCTCAAGGATGTCTCTAGCAAGCTGAACGATTTTAACGATCAAAACGAACGTCAAGCCAAATATATTGAAGAGTAATTAATTCAATCATATCATATCATTTAGTTTCTTAATTCATATACTAATTTCTTTTAACAACAGATTACAAGATAGAATCAAGTCGTTCGAAGAGATCTCACAGAAATCCAATGTTAAGTTCGATTCCGTATTGAAGAAGACCGAAGCTGAAACCAGTATTTTAATCTTAAAGTTACATCAACAAATTGAAATGACAAACAGAGAGAATGCAAAGGTAAATAGTTATAATTAATAATACTATTCTAATTAGAATAATAGAATTATTGACATTTTTATTTATACAATCTATCTATCTATCTGTTTATTTGTACCTATAGGCAATAAAGTTAAAGGAAGAATTAGATAGATTGACAGCAGAGAATTTAATTCAAAAAGAAAAAGTCAAGTATTACGAAGATAATTTCAGTCAGTTCCAAGATATCATTCAGAAATCCAATGAGAAATTCCTAAGCTTCAAGAACGACATGGAGAAAGTAACAAAAGCAAACAGATCATTGGAAAAAGATAATAAACAATTACATTCAAAGATTGAAGGAACCAACAAAGCTCTTATCAATACAATGACAGAGGTATGTTTATATAACATAGACTAGGCTGATGAAATTAGAATGAACATGTTATTATTAAGATATTAACTAACTAACTAATTTAACTTTTTTTATTTAAACAGTTAACACAACAAAAGAAACAGAATGAAACTTTAAAGAATCTTTGCAAGACCCTAACCACTGAACGAACTCAGATGCAAAATGAACTCAAAAAGTACACCACATCCAACAACAACACTACTTATTCAGATGACACTGCCAATGACGTTGAAAAAGAAGAAATCAATAATACTAATGACAGTAACAGTAACTCTACAGCTACTGTGGTTGATGACGATAGTAATAATAAAAATTTGAATGCCAATGTACAATCGACAGCAACAAATGACAATAACAAAAACAATCCACAACAGACCACCGATAATCAAAACAATAGTAATAATAATAATAATAACAATGATAAACACTCTGAGAAAAGCGAAAAGATCATAAACACAACAACTAAACTGTCAGATGTCGATTAACATAAATAAAATAATGATTGTGTTTATAAAAAATTTTATTTTTTTGTATTTTTTACAATGTAAGATTAGTATCTGTGACACATTCTGATTGCTACTTGCTTATGATTGATTCATAAAGGTGTTTTGATTCACAATCAAACTTACTCATCCAATTATAATTTATGTTATTTTATTATCAACAAAAATCACAAGTTTGCATGAGTTAAATAAATATTCAGAAGTGTTTGAAACTCCCACGCAAAATGAAAAAAAGATTAATTTTTCCATTTGTACCTGAACATCCTGTTGATTATTTATTCAAAGGTACACAAAACAATTCATTGATGGTGTGTCAAAAAGTTTTTCACCATTTTTGTTCATTCTTTGTTTTAGCAATAAAAACAATCAAAATTGTTTAAGATACCCCAAAAACCAATGAAAAATTAGATTTTGATTTTTTTTGGGTAAAAATGAAAGTGTGATTTTGTGTGATTCAACGCAAATCGCACACTTTGATAAAACCAGTACCCAAAGAAAGAGTGTTTCTTTTTTTTTGTTTTTTTTTGATGTTGGATGAACATCAAACTTTTTGTAATTTCGCCAAGAGATATATTAAATTTGGGAACATCAAACTAGTTAGAAAATATAAAGGGTACACCTCTAGAGAATGAGAGAGAGAGTGTGGGTGTTCAATGAATCATTAGTATCCACTAAGCCAAACAATGAAAAAGTAGAGGAAACTGAACAATGAATGTTTAAATTTAAACACTTAAGCAAAGAATATCTTGTGTGTTTTGTGTATAACCATGACCAACTTACAAAAATTTAATTAAATTAAATTAAGCTTTGACAAGTTGATTCAAAAAAAAAAAGTATAAAACGGAATAACTTCTGGATATTAAATCATCAAATCTCAAAGCAACAAATAACAACATCAACAAATTATCTCTTTCTTGTTTAGTAACTTTAATATTAATCATATAAAATGTGCACCCCAACTCCAGTCATCTCAGGTCTCATCCCAGGTAATGCCTATGGTACCTTGAGCCTTCGTTCATCATCCAACTGGTCACCAGACTGCTCCGTTGTCTACTCGCAAATCAACTACAAGAAGGGTAATGTTACTTCTGCCAACGCTTCATCCTCATGGCACGCTCTCACCGCCGACGACAAGCAATGGGTCACTTTGAGTTCACCAGTTCCAGTCGAGTTTGTTCAAATCCAAACTCAAGGTAGAGGAGATGACGATCTTTCACAATGGGTCACCTCATACAGAGTCCGTTACACTGAGGACGGTGTCAACTGGGTTGATGGTCCCACCTTCAATGCCAACACCGATCGTCACACCGTCGTCACCAACACCCTCCCAACCCCAATCATTGCCCGTTCCATTGCTCTCCACCCACTTACCTGGCAAGGATTTGTTACCATGAGATTCGATGCCCTCTACCGTCCAATCAAGCACACCATTACCGAGACCGGTCTCGTCATCGACGAAACCCAAAAGTTCAACTCTGGATTGCCAGTTGGTGACAAGTTCTCTGAGCACGTCGTCAAGTTCGACAGAGCTTTCCCAAGAATCCCAACCATCGTCTGTGGTTTGACCCAAATCGACTGTGGTGAAGACAAGAACTTGCGTATCCGTGTCTTTGCCAAGGACATCACCAAGGAAGGTTTCACCTTTGTCTTCATGACCTGGTACGACACCAAGTTATACGGATTGAGAGGTTCATACGTTGCCACCTTGGACATCTAAATAATTTAATTTATTCACTTTTTTAAAAACAAAAAAAAAAAAAAAAAAAACTAATACTTAATAAAAATATGATTTTTTTTGTTTTAATAAATATAAATTGATTAAACAAACATTTATTTTAAAAATAAATAGAATAAGAAGAATAATAAATATATAATTGCAAGTTATCTATTTTTAAAATTTTAAAAAATTAAATTAATTAAAAAAAAAATGAAACGAAAAGTAAACAATGAAAAAAACGAAAAAAAATCATTTAAACCATTGTTCATATAAATATTAGATGAATAATTTATTTTTAAAGATATTAAATAATAAAGTTTTAAGTACAAACATTTTCAAACATGTTTATTATATAAATAGCAGATTAAATCAATGGGAAATTGATCAAATAGATAAAAATTCAGTGGAATCAATCAGGATTCATGGAGAAATTGATATTTCGGTTTTGATTCCAAATATTGAAAATCTAAAGAGCTATTCATGGTCACAAATGTTAGAGGAACCTTTTGTTTTAGCTGGTAACGGCTATTATGAGCTTCTTAAACAATATTATCAACGTTTAATTAATAGTAATAATAATAGTAATATAGATATCAACTCAATAGTAAAATATCAAACCATTATAAATGCAATTAGATTCGGTAGTTTAGAGATTGTTAAATACTTTATGGAGGAATTAGATGTAAATCTAAATAGATTGGAAGCAATTCAAAATAATGAATCATATATGGAGGACGACGGCGATGAAGATGAAGATGAAGTTCAAGGTGTTACTTACTACACTCCACAAAACTTTTTGAACTACGCCGCTAGACATTCTCGTTTGGATATAGTCGAATACTTGATTACTTATGATAATAGAGTGCCGAGGAACAAGAAAAACAGTGATATTGGTTATCAGTGGGATTATTATACTGCAATGGTTGGTGCGATCATATCTGGTAATTTTGAATTGGTTCAACTCTTTCATAAACAGCTGTCATTGGAATCAATTATAAACCCACAATATATTTTTGACAACAGTGATATGGTAAAGTTATCTACTTTCAATGCAGCCGCACTCTTTGGTCGCATCGAATTCATTGAATGGCTGAAACAGAACCGATCCTCAGATAGAATTCACAACAGAATGTACTATTATGCAATCAAAGGTGGACATACCAGAGTTCTCGAATATCTCCTCAAAGAGAATCATATTAACGATCGTTCCGAGAGGTCAAGCAGTAGTAAATCAGAGATATATGGATTTCCATTGGATCATGCAGCTTCTTTTGACAGATTCGATATGATGAAGATTTTATTTGATAATGGCGATAAGAAAACAACTAAAAAGGCAATGGATTCGGCGGCTTTAAATGGAAATCTAGATATGTTGGTTTTTTTACATGAAAATACAACAAGTGGATGTTCAACAGATGCCTTGGATCAAGCTTCACAGCGCGGCCACTTCAGCGTGGTCAAATGGCTTCATCACAATAGAAATGAAGGAGGAACTACTTGGGCGATTGCTTTAGCTGCTGCCAGTGGACATTTGGAGATTTTGAAATTTTTGCACCAGAATCGTACAGAAGGCGCAACTACGGATGCCATGGACTGGACTGCATCAACAGATAAATTTGAAGTAATGAAATGGTTGAATGAGAATAGGAGTGAAGGTTGTACAACTATGGCATTTGACTATGCTGTTAATAGCAACAACATGGAAATGGTTAAGTGGCTAAATGCAAATAGAACAGAAGGTTGTAGTGCACAATCAATTATCAATGCAGTTAGAAACGAAAATATAGAGATGGTAAAGTGGTTGCACGCCAATCGGACAGAGGAAACGACATCAGAGGCAATGGACTTGGCTGCTGGAAACGGTAATTTGGAGATAATTAAATTCTTACATGAGAATAGGAGTGAAGGTTGCGAAGATGCATTGATGAGGGCATGCGAAAGTGGAAAGTTTGAAGTGGTTAAATGGTTGGCTGAGAATCGTACGGAACCAGTTTATTGGAAAGTCATGTTTGCAGTTTCTGAACAAAAAGGTTTAGAGATCTTCGATTGGCTCCATCGTAATGTCGAGAGTTGCGCTATCAAACATTTGGACCAGTATATCAGTCTATTGCGTCGAGCTTTCGCTTATGGCTCTTTAACCTTAATGCAATGGCTGTGCGATAACTGTGAGTTGCCAAACTACGTCATCGATAGAATGAAGGAATTCATCAAACCAAAGGATAAAGTACATGCTCAACTTTTAAATATATTTGCAAATAGAAATAAGAGGAGCTACGATATAGATGAAGGTGAAAAGATATCAAAGAAATCAAAAATATAAATAAACACATTTTAGGTTATGAATTACCAAATGGAACTGCTGACATTCTTGAGTGGAGCAAACGAAGTGTGTTTTGATAAATATATACTATTAATGATCGAGTTTATGTAAAATTACAGTATCCACAAATAGAGAGCTATATGAATTTTAGTTTTAAGGGAGTTATATTCATTATCTAGATTTTTTTAAAAAAAAAATTCAATAAAATGCTTACCTAGAACACCACATTAACTTAGTGGTGATAGGTTTACTGTTGTACCAGAGTTTGTTGAAGTTGTCGATGATTTGTTTAATATTCTGTTAGTATTTGAGTGCCAACTCTGAGTTGTTTTTGTCTTTCTCTAACTGCCAGATCCATGTCAAGAGTACTCACGCAAGACTAAAGCCGAAGATGTTTGGAAGTCTGACATATCCAAAAGACAGATTGTGATGCCTAGAAGCCCTCGACAGCAACACAGAACTTCTAACTACAGTCGCAAGAGTTCGGGAGTATCCACATCAACTAAAGACTAACATAAATTTTTAAAAAAAATCCGGCTGGCAATCTGATTGAATACTAAAGGAAATAAAATAATCTGGAATCACCTTTGATGTATATTTCTAAAATAGATATTTGGAAGATTATTTACATGTAAAGTCAGGATGGTGTAGTTGGTTATCACAAAACCTTAACACGGTTTGGGTCATGGGTTCGATTCCCATTCTTGATACAAATTTTACAAATTAAAACCCGTAATGCGCGCATTATAGGTTTTAATTTTTTGCGAACAAAAAAAAAAAAAAAATTGCAACGAAATTATTATTATACCAGTTGGCTATCTCAAATCTATATTGTAGTCTCACAGCAGTTCCTTTCCTTTATCAAACGTATATACCACAAGTACTGTAACTACAGACTTCGTAATTGGAAGCACTCGTGCATCAAGTTTGACGGTCCTATTTGTACTACTGTCCACTTCACCCACCTTACTGCTGCCATCGTACATTCGTTATGGCAGGCGCTGTCCTGTGAAATGTTTGGTGATGGTACCCATTACAAGCTGGAAAATACCGTCAAGAGAGCAGTCACCCATTACACCAAATTAATCGATGCCAATTACCACAAGCTTAACTTCACGATCGCTAATTCAATCTCCCAAGGAGTTACTGTCGATTGCTCTGCATTAACGCGTAAATTTAAATCTGATTGGAATCTTAATCCTTCCAACTACGTACCACCACTTTATACTGTTGTTCATCAACACGCAACTACTGTTAGATCTATTCTATCCTAATACTACTCAACTTATTAATTAATAATTTATAATAATAATAATAATAATAATAATAATATTAATAATAATAATAATAATAATAATAATAATAACATTTTATTGGCTATATTTCTCACGGCCTGTGTGAGAATGTAAATATAATATAAAACACGAACTAGCAGGTTAATATCAATACCTGCAATTTGTTGACTGATCATGAGTCAACAAATCTTTTTTGCAAAAAAAAAAAAAAAAAAAAAAAAATCAAATCTATTGCAGATCTATCACCTCGCCATATCTCAATCTATGCTACACTCTGTGGCACCAATTGGCAGTTCATCTCAAACATCTGGACAACAAGATCAAATCTGCTAAACCAATTCTGATTGATGGTCTACCACCCACTCTAAAGCAAATCTACGACCACCTATTGTTCGTCAAACATGGCATTCCACCACTAACTGATGGTCAGTTCCAACTATCGCTACCACCAACCAAATTCGACTACACATCTTACGACTGTATCTTCACCTATATTTCGCTCATCAAACACCAGCGTGGACGAAACACTGTCTTCCGGTTCTTCTCTCGTTCACTTCCTGGATTAGCTTACAACAAAAACAAAGAATGTGAACTGTGCTTCACATACTGCTCTGACCCATATTTCCATACATTCTTTAATTGTCGAGCAGTTATGCACAGATTCAACCTTAACACCATTCTTGACTCCTTACAGCTTTCAGGTGGTCAACGATTCGATTGGACTATGGAAGACGCGTATCAGTTGGTTAGAAGAAAGGACAACATCACTACTCTCGTTTCACTTGTCTTTCATCAAATCTGGAAATTCTATTGTAAATCCTATTTTGGCGGTACTCCTCTCCACGATAACAACCTACTATCTAATGAATCTATCATTAATGAATATATACAGCACTTATCAGTAATGAAATTAATTATAAATAACAGTATCAGTAACTTACAATCCAAACTTAAATAACCAATAACCAATCAAATGTCAGCCAACTATTATTTCCTCTTCTTCATTTCTTCATTTTCAAATTAACCAATTCAATCATCAGTATTCTCATCAGCTTAACAATCTATTAATATCAATAACTAAAATAATTATAATAACAATCAAAATAGCAATCAATTGCAGAATTATGAAAAAGTAAAAACTGTAAAAAAAAAAAAAAAAAAAAAAAGAAAAATTCGATGGTTTACACCATCCCCAATATATTACTTAATAAATCATTTTTTACTTCTTAAAAAAAAAAAAAAAAAAAAATGATTTATGTATGGCCATATTTTTTAATAGGCTATATTTCTCACGGCCGATGTGAGAATGTAATATAATATAAAACACGAACTAGCAGGTTAATATCAATACCTTCAATTTGTTGAATTATCATGAGTCAACAAATCTTTTTTTGCAAAAAAATAAAAACTTCACATACAAGTACTGCTCTGACCCATATGGCAACTCATTTGGTTACTTCAAAACTTGGTCATTGTTGTCCTTCTAAGGATAATAAGGTAGCCACCAAGGCAATGCTGGCACCCATCGAATAACATCAACAACATAAACACATACCATTTGAAATAGTCCATTAAAATCAATTAAATTTATTATTTCAACTAAATAAGTAAGAATAGTTGAAACAACAGATCCAAATAATAATTAACGCGACGTAAAAGAAGTCAATTAGATTATTCAGATTTTTCAATTATTATAAAAGATATTAAATTTATTAAAATTAAGATAAGAAAAGAAAGATTAAATAAAAGTTAAATTTAAAATCATAAAAAAAGGTTATTAGAAACATTTTTATTATTTTTAATCATAAAACATATGAGAGATGGCAGATCCAAACGCGCATTCAACCGATGCAACAACAACTAATGAATCAACAGCATCTACGGATCCAACAACCACCACAAACGATCTAAGAATGAGTGATCTTGAAAATAATTATAATAATAATAATCAACCTCAATCAAATACCACTTTGTTTTCTGATGTCACTCCTGCCAGTGCTCGTCCAGATCCACCCCCATCGGGATCTATTCAAATCTAGCCTGACAACATCTAAGCTCCCGATCTCCTTAACCATCACTACAGGTCAACCGGATAATAAACAGTCATCCATGCTTAATTGTGCCAAAAAATTTACTAACCCAACTTCTTCACCATCCTTAAAACTGTTCCATTAGTCTTTGAAGGATTATAGAAACAATCACTTCTCCAGAGTCATACCAAGCAATCCCATCCTTGTTGATGATAGTCTCTTTACTCAGAAAGAAATCTATTATGTCTTATTCAACCACAAGTTCAGGATATCAATTCATTGTTAAAATTATAAATCAATACCATTATTAGAAGAATAATAAAGAAGTAAGGAATTACTTCAGATATAATACAAAAAAAAACTTTTTAGACTCTTATTCATATTCAAAACTTCAAGGTTTTTAACTGATTTTACAAAACAAAAAAGTTATTGATTTTTTAAAATAGTAATTTATCAGATGAAATGAAAATAAAAGAAGGAGAGTATAGTAGTGGTAGATTCAAATTCAATCTTTACTCTCATTAATTTAATATTGAACTGGATACTTAGAAATACTATCTACAGCTCTAGATTCTCAGATTTTTTGGAAATTTTAGAGAATGATATAGATCGACTTATAAATAATTTGTTTTAGTATATTCCACAACTGTACAAGACATCTCACTTGTCATCAATATACTCCAGCCAACATATAGTAATAGTCAATTATAATTAATTAAATTTGCTACTTTTTTTTTTTAGATTATTTTAATTTTCTCAAGATTTCTTATCTTTTGATTAAAATTAATAGAGTTGTTATTTGATGAACATCAATCGATTATTTATAAAGATTTTTAATAATAGTTTGTTAGCAAGATTAATAATTCAATATGTAAAATATATTCACCAAACAATAAAACCAAAGAGTTTTGGAGGAAAAAATGAAGAGAATAAACCCATTCAAGTTTATTCATACAATGAAATGATGGAATCTCCTTTTATCATGACCGGTAATGGTTATTTAGAACTACTAAAAGAATATTTGTATCGATTAGAATATCCAATGAGTATTGACAATATCTACAATATGACCATCTGTGCAATCAAATGCGGTTCCATCAACATACTAAAATTTATTCAGGAATCGATTGGGATGAGATGGCCAAACTCGAAGAAATCATTTGACTTCCTATATTATTCTCTTAGATATGGTAAAGTTGAAATAGCCAACCATCTAATGGATTGTCCAATTGAATGGGATTACCAGACTGCACTGATATTCTCACCGTTGGCCGGCGACCTGGATCTCTTGAAACGAATATCTCAAATAGCTGGAAATAGTGTTACAACAAGACTTGGTCAAACTGTTTTCGGTTGCGCAGCACTGGTAGGTCGCGTAGATCTGTTGGAATGGCTACAAGAGAATCGACCACAAGATAGAAAGTGGGCAACACTCTATCATTGTGCAATCATAGGTAATCATCTTCATGTCATGGAATACGTATCAAAGTTGGATCTAAAAGAAGATGACATTTCCCTTGATTTCGATACATATTTTGACCTGATAGACTTTGATGTGCTGCAATAGATAATAGAAATTTAAATATTATGAAATGGTTATATGAAAATCGAAGCATTTGTTGCAATGAAAAGAAAATACTAATTAAAGCTGCATTCAATGATCAACTCGAGATAGCACAGTGGTTAGTTGAAACCTACACTGAATCACTAAACAAAGGTGTATTAGAAAAGATCATTGAATTTGATCAAAATAAAACAATCGAATGGATAAAAGAAAACAAGATTAGAGAATAGAAAAAAAAAAAACAAAAAATAAAATAAAATTTTAAAAAAAAAAAAGATTTAAAAAGAAAAAAATTAGGTTCATTTTATTTAAATAAAAACTCTTTAAATACAATATTTAGTAAGAATGAAGGAAATAGATACATTATCATATATATTAGGATCATTAGTAATGATTTTAGGTGTTGTTATACCACTGTCATACATGATTTATAAGAACAAAAAGGTTTTCTCTACAATAAAATCTTCAAAACAATAATATTGTGTATAATTATATAATTTGAATAGAGATAATGTATTTATTAGTATTAGTATAAATATAGATATATAATAGAGTAGATGATATGTAAATAAATAAGATATAGTAAAAAGAAAGAAATAAGAATAGAAAGAAGCATAAACTTGGCAACCACAACCTAAATAGAACAAAAATAGAAAAAAAAAAAAAAAAAAAAAAGAATCATTTAGCTTTTAATGTACAGAATTAATTAGTTCACTCCAACAACCGACAAATTGGCTCAATCACGACATACTATAAAGAAACCAATGGTCAGACAGAAGCTTTGGTCAAACAATAAATGTCTTTTCCCATAATTTAATAACCATATTTATACCAACCATTTTTAAAAGACCATGTCTTTTTTTTGAACTTTTTTTTTCATTTTTTCATTTATTTTTCAGTGAGTTTACTGTTTTCAGTAGTACTCGCTCAGTTGAAACTATGAGATTGGGAGATATCTAGCAAACCTCTTGACATAGAACGGTTTAGGAATTCATATAGAACCCAACTAACTTTTTTTTTTGTTCTTTTAAGGACATACTAATAAACTTTGCTTTGTTTAGATTTTACTTTTTTTTTTTTTTTCCTAAGTTTATGAATGCTATTTACTATTACAACTGACTACTATTAATTGGTTTATATGATTTACAAATGGATTGATCCAAAACTTGATCGATATGAGATTTCAAATTGTTTTCCTAAAACATTGTTAATTAAATGTTTGGTTGATTAGTCAAAATTAATTGAATATTTCGGTATTAGATGAAAAACTTACATAATGATATACCCAACTTATTGGATCAGAGATATCACCTGTTTTACTTTGAATGTTGATACGATGTTTCTGGTCTTGACTGCCTGGCTGTGAGGTGTTGAGTGGATCGTTGTTGAGTGCATGGGTGACGTTGGCGAGTTTCAATGTCTTGCCACCATTGTAACTAGCAAGTTGTTTCTGGTTGATGTTACTCTTAACGAAAGTTGGTGAGTACACTGTATTGAGTTGATGACGTACCGCCGACTCTGCCATCAGCTCTTCCAACGTGTGGAATCTCGACATCTGTAACATTGTCAACCACTGTGGTGGAGGCAAGAATATCGTACCTCGATCGTGCTCCTCGAGTGCCTCCTCCGGTGAAAACCAATCTAAATGTGTATTCTCAGTACCATCCACAACAGCTGAATATGGATATCCATAAATTGGTGCTAAATAGAAATACTACAATATATATATAATATATTTAATAATTAGTGTTATTTAAATTCACCACCATAATGATATTATATAATATACTGAAACACAATACTTACAGTGTCAAATCTATGTTTAAGATGTTCGGGTGTGATCCATCTTGACCACTCATTGATATTATCTATTCTTGGTTTAACATTACACATCTTTAGGAAATCTAGCATATTGATTCCATCTTTCTGTGGAAAGGTCAAGCGTGTGTGTAAATAGAAAAAGAAGATCTAAAGTTGAACGAGTTAGCATTCAAAAACTTACTAATACCATGTTACGAGCACTCTGAACGGTATCGACTGATTGCGATTCAAATATGGTATCGTTGACACCACCGATAAAGAAATTTGTCTCTTCGAATACCTCACGCATTGCGGTGATACGTAGACCTAGGTCAATGTTTGCAGTACCCAAGTACTGTGTCCAGAGGTGACTTGCGTCGGACTTGTCGAATGCACCACCCGGGAATACATGTGCCTGTGGGAATGATCGCAAGTCTGGTGATCTCTTCACCATCATAATACGATAATCAAAGTTCTTTGGTGGTTTAACCTTGTCGACAACAGAGAATGGTGGTGGTTTGCTAAACTCCCATTTCAAAGCAACGATTGCACTTGCTGCTTTTCTAAATGATTGTTGACTACTACTCATTCTCTATCTATCTATCTATCTATTGTTAAATATATATATATATATATGTCAAACAAGTTTATATTAATATTACAAGTTATTAATTAATTTAAATAATGACAAATTTGTTTTTTTTACAAAAATCAATCTTAAAGCATGATGATTAATTTCGTGCAATGTGGTTTAATATAAATATAAAGATATGTCAAATGAATTATTTCAATATATTAGTATTCATGATCATCAAGATAGAATAGATGATCTAATAGAATTACTAAACACACAATGGAATAGATCTGAATCATCAAGGAGAGTAATGATTGAAAAGTCATCTGAAGACCTACCTTACTATCTGTTAATGTTGGATAAAAGCAATGACAATAAATTGATAGCAAGTTGTTCAATGTCTAAAGTAATTGATTGTGCGGATGATATCACTACCATTACAAATCAAAAAAGTGAATCGATATTAATAGAAAATGGTAAATGAATTTAATAAAAATAGCTATTATAAATATATTAATGAGAGAGAGTTTGATATGATTTAGTTTTAGTTAAAAAAGAATATAGAAGAAAAGGTTATGGAAAGTTAATATTAAATGAATTAGAAAGAATTGCAATATCGTAAGTCATTTATAATTATTATTTAAATATAGATCTAAAAAACAATGTAATAACCTTTAAATTAAATTATTCAATATTATTATTTATAGAAAAGGATATAAAACATTTTATTTATCTACACTTGATCAAAAAGAGTTTTATCTAAGTAATGGATATCAATTATGTGAACCTTTGGCAGCTTCAAAGTTTACATCTTCATTTATAAATGAAGAAGGTCTAGATAAGAGAAGTTCACTCATGAGAATATTCGGTGGTGCTGGTAATCAAAAGAAAGATTCTGAAACTGTATACTGGTTAAGTAAAAATGTATAATTTAAATAAATAACTTAAATTTATTTCTTTTTTTTTTCTTTTTTTTTTGATAAATAAATAATGTTTGCTTTGTTATGTTATTTCTTTCCCCATACTCTTGTAGATCTTGGAATAGAAGAAGTAGATGACATTGTTGGTGTTGAATGGTGCGACGATAAATTGTTTGTTGACGATGAAGAGTGGTGTTGTTGGTAGTTGTTATTGCTGTTGTTATTAAATTGATTGTTTCCTGTGAGTGCTTGCATGTCGGGTTGGTAGAATAATACATTTGGTAAATCTATATATTTCGATTGGTACATTATTTCTATGGTGTGGAATCCTTGTTGTGACGAAGGTGGTGCTATGAATGATATACTCTTTCGCTGACTGCCAATCTCAATGTTGACAGGTATGCTACCTACTGTGACGAGGGGAATGGCACCAGCAACCAACGGATACTTCAAGTGCATCGTAATCTTGCCACCGGTGCATGGTGTAACCACCGGTGTAATCATTTGTATCACCAGATCGTCGAAGCTATTGCCAGTGGCTGCAATCGAATCAGACTGGCTGGTGGCGTTGTCCTGCTGCAGCATGTTCTGCTCGATATTTCCAACGATCTCTGCCAATATCTTATTCTCATTGTTCTTTTCATCCTCTTCATCCGAGTCATTAAAGTAAGAGTACTGATGTGATCCAAGTGTTGGCGACGAAGTAAAGATTGGACTTGACGACTGTGAATATTCATTGCCTGTCATACCAGACTTATTAAAGTGATCGAGCGCATAGCGATTTGAATCTTCAATGTCTTTTTCAGTTTGGAAACAAGAGTTTGTGTAGAACAATGCTTGTCTCGATAGGAGATGTTCGCCGTCTTTGATGACCAGGTCGTATTCGCCCTCTATGTTTCTAGCGGGACTGGCTATCAGCAATGCATAGCTCTTCTTTTGCAAAACCTTGACTTGATAGCCATCGATTGTAATCTGTATTGAATGTTTATCGAGATTCTCACCTTGGATTGCAATGCAACCACCTGCCAGCGGACACACTGCCGGCACCACAGAGAGAATGGTAGATTTGTCGGGTAGATCCTCGTAGGCAGGTCGATTGTAACCACCGCCGCTGCTGCTGTTATTAGATCCTGTTCTACGATGTCCATTGGGTGTGTTTGATTCGCCAAGATTAAAGACACTCGAGAAGAAAGTCGACAGACGACTGCTACTGCCGTTGCTGCCACCAGGCGATATTCCAGTGGAGCCTGGACTCTGTGAGATAGGTGAAGTGCTATCGCCAGTACTACTGGAAGTTGTGTTTTTAAGTGTATTTACAGGTGATTTGATTGTAGTAGGACTGGAGCCAGGTGGAATCTTCATCTTTGATGCCAACTCTGTAGAGTAGAGTTTGAAATCTGGTAGCACTGCATTCAAGTGTGTCAGGAATGCATGATGTACATGTAAGATTACTTGACTCTGTTTTTGTGTTGGCATTTTCAATTCCTTTAATTTAGCAACTCCCGTTTTCAATTCATTTATCATAATAGATATAGAATTCTCTAATTCTTTTGCTCTCTAAATTTTATTTGAAACAAGTAAATGTACAAATTAAATATTAATATTAATATTACAAACTAACCAACATAGTTGAATTTTAAACTAAACTATTTTACTTACCTTAATTTGAGGTGAGCCTGAATCAGTTATTGTATTAACAAGCTGTTTATAGTTTGTAATGCTTCGCCGTAGATCTAACGTATTCAAATGCATCTTCTCATAAAACTCTACAAAGACACTGGTTGAACCTTTCTCTCTCAGTGCTTGATGTTCTTTTCTCTGTAAAACAACATTTAATGTCTTGAAGCATAATGTACATACATTTACATCTGTTTAAATTGTTTTAAAAATTAATAATAAACTTTTGTTAAATATTTGTTTTGATTTGATTTGATTAATTTTGTTAACAACATACTTTGAATAGGTTTACCATTGTTATTTTGATATTTAATTTTATCGAAACTGTTGATTGGCATTGGATTGTTGTTACAGTTGGAGCAAACAAAGAAACCACATACCAGACATTTCTGTTTCTTTGAGAAGATCTTTCCAAAGAGAGTTCCGCATACACAACAGTTTCTGACTAGTTTATCTTCGATATCGACATTCGACAGCAGTGTCGATACATTAAGATTGATCTGCTTGAACTTCAACACCAGATTATCTAGATCCTGATTGATACGCGAGATATACTTTTTCCTTAGATTCCTAAACTCCAATGTTCTATCATTGGTAACAACAATCATTGAATCTAAATCTTTTCGCTCCACATGATTACTTGTTATTATAGTATCACTTTGCATTCTATACTAAGTGTTTTTTGTTTATAATTATAACAACTACTGCTACTACTATATTCTTTTTTTCCTCTTTCCTCTTTCTTCTTTCTTCTTTTTATTAATATTTACAAATATGTATATGTTTAAATTATATATCTTTTTTATTTTTTTGTATTGTTTTAAATTATAAATCAAAAATTATCTTTAATTTTAATAAAATAAAATAAAGCAAGAAGTAAAAAATTTTGTGCGAATCGGGGGTAATATAATTGTTCTACCATTACATAAAAAATACAATAAAATTTATCCTTAAAAAGAGAGAGTTTTTAATTAATTACTGTTTTTAGAAATTTTTTAACTTTATTTTTCAATTTTTGTAAATTTCCTCCGACTTCTTTGGAAGTTTACTTAAGTAAAATAATAATAAAAGAATTAAAATATTATTTGTTAAAAAAAATTAAAAAATAAAAAGAAAATAATAATTTGAAAATCTTTATTAGAATTAAAATTACTTATAAAAATTCTCAAAAGTAATATTGGCACATTACCCGCTCATAGGTAATAATCTTTAAAATTGAAAAAATAGATAAAATATAGATGCGAAAAAATATATTTAACAATATTTAAACAACCAGAGAGTTAATATGTATCTATTTAAGTTTATCTAAACTATTCAAATGTTGCTGATTGTTGTTGTTCACAACCATTACAGTTTATATGTAGTTTAAAAAAACAGATGGTGTTTGTATGTTTTGGTTAATTGAAAAACAAAAAAAAATACAGTATCACCAATTTTAGATCAAAGTGTGTAAACATCAAATTCGAATTCCAAATATTTTTATTTATTATGTATATTATTTATAAGTTTTGCTTTTCATGGTAATATATAATTAGAGAAGGGGTTTACCATATACTCCTACTCAATCGATTATTTTATTTGATTTAGTTCTTGGTAAAAGGGGAATCAATATGATAAGTTCACTTTAGAAAGAGCATAAAAAATATTTATTTGTTTTATTAAATGTTATTATTATTTAAAAAATAAAAACAAATATATTAAACAAAATGAATCCTAAAGAACCATTAACAATCCTATTAATCTTATTAATAAACTCTGTTATTTTGTTAATATTAAATATAGTTGCAATTGCAACAGATTGGTATTATATTAAAGATGAAGCTATTCTGGCTTACTATAGTCCTTCAGGAATAATACCAGCTACATTTATTTCATATCATTACAGCTTATATGGTGTCAGAAAAGATATTGTAAGAATTTATTTATTAATTAAAACAAAAAAAATTACCTACTTATTAATTACCTTTTGTTTATTAGGAGTCTCCTGAATATACAATAAATACTGAATATAGTAAATACACTGATTTTAATAACCGTCCACCATATATTCAACATTTTATGGCAATTGGAGTATTTCAATACTTTTCACTTTTCTTTGTAGTTGCCCTCATCGGATCACTTGTCTTATCACATAAAGCTCCGAAATCTTTGGCACCATCAGTCTCTGTAATTTGTATGGTATTAATAACATCATTCCAAATAATTTCATTCTTCTTAGAAGTTAGTCTACCAATAGCTTTTCGAAAAGAAAATAATTGTTTCTTATATTGGTGCAGTAAACTTGCTAGTACTGATGAAAGATCCCAATGGGGACCTAGAGCTGGATTCTTTGCCTGTGTTGTTCTTTTATTCTTTTGTATAATCGGTGTCATTCTTGTATCAAAAAGATATAAACAGTGAAAGGAAATGAAAGAGAAACCACCTGTCATACCAATGGTAAACATTCCACAAGTTAACTACCAGCCATGTGAACCAATCCAACCACCATTGTTGTTCCCTGCAGATTTGGATTTGGATCCAAGAGCTTTGTATGTAGTGGTACCTATTACATCACCTGTAGTTGGCTCCAATGGTGATGTTACTCAATATATTCAACAAAATATATTCCAAAAATATGATCCATCAAACCCAGATAGACAGGTAGTTTTAACAGGTGCTCAACAAACTCCCCCCTCTGGCCTAATAATACCAACAAATATTGAAATTAATCCAAAACTTTGGTATCAAATGGCACAAAATCAAATTCCAGTAATTGATCCAAGTGGTATTCCAACTCACTTTGTAACTCAATTTGTTTTACAAGTGACCAATGTACCATCTAAATAATAAAAAGAAAATAAAAAAAATAAAACTAAAAATATTAGAAATCCTTTAAATCTAAACTTCTGGATTCAGAGACTTTAATTTTATATCTTCATTTTTAACAACAATATTCTTTTTAAGATGATCATTATCTATTTTCTTTGTGTCATCATGAGAATTGATATTTAATTTGGTTGTAGAACTGGTTTTGGAGGTTGTTGAATCCATTGCATTGAAACTAAGGAATGCTACACAGTATAATAACAAAGTGACTCTGCTAAAATATAACCATACTACGTTCTGAGTATCACTATTTGGTGTCCAAAATGTCAATATCAACAAGGTTATAGCGAATAGGGCACCTGTGAACACAATTGAAGCTCCATAATGCATAACTTTGTTTATTGAATTATTAATGTTTGGGGCTGGACTATGAGCTGATTGAATAGTAGGTGACTCTTTTTTGATTTGTCTTGACCTCATATATAGTAGAACTAATAGGTATAGATAAGATATACTTGATGTTATACCATATATAACCATCAACAAATTAGTTGCAACATAGGGCCACCACAATGCAAATCCGATAAATAATAATAAAAATAATAATACATTAATTGCAATTAATAACCAACGTAAAATTCGTACTACTTTTAAATGTATGGATTCTTTTGGTAGAATTATAATTAAAGCTCTACACCAATATAATTGAATCCAATTGAATGAACTATAAATAATTGTACCTCCTAATTATTGTATTTTTAAAAACAAGCTATTTAATAAAAGAATTTTAAACATTTCATAATGGTTTGCTCTTACCAAATATAAGTAGGATAGCAAGTGAATAAACTTCTCTTACTTCAATAATTAACATTAAATGTCTTATTGTTATCATTGAATTTCCAATTATTTGAATAAAATATGAAATAAATAGAGTTTTTGAATTTCTATGTGAAACAGATCTATATACAGAGCCTACTGTGGCAAATAAAAAGAAGAAAAAGAAAAGATAGGCAAAAGATTTACAACCATAATAACTACAATCATATCCGAATGGTACTGTCGGGTCACAATAGCAATTTTTAGTTGACAAAGAAGAAGAAGAGGATGAAGTAATATTGTTTGACATAATACAATGATTAAACTTTTATAAATACAATAATAATAATACCAACTAATAGAGTTAAGATAAACTTAAATAAACCATTTCTACAAGATAAAACTTTTTGATAGGAGGTTAAGAAACTTTGAGATCATTAATGATTGAGTTCTATAAAATAGAGATAATTGGATTCCTTTCAAAGTAAAAAAAAACAAGTAAAATAAAAAAAAAAGGTTAGACTTCAAGAAGAATGGAATAGAGGATAAAAGAACAAAGGGTGTGACACGTGAGATTTATAAGATCTTTGATATCTTCAGACAAGCGTGTGATTTTGTTTTTTACTTATTTTTAGAAAAACTTTTTTTCTTTACCACTCTGACTATGATCACAGTTTATTAAAATTTATTTTAACCATCTATTAGTCTATTTTTAGTCGAAGTATCCAAATAACTTAGATTATACTTTTGAAAATTCCCAAAAAAAGTAAAGAAAGAAAAAAAAGATAGATAATTAATTTCTTTGATTAATTTTCAAATAATAACGACAATGTTGTTTTTGTTTTTGTTTTGAAATATATATAAAGTTTTATTTTATTCAATGAACTAACTCTTCGTCGGACTCTACCTTTTTATTTTTTGAAAAGAGTCTTTTAATGGAGTTCTTTGCTCTTATGAACAAATTCTTGATATCATTCAGTGAATAGAATCCGCCAAACATCAGACAGATGAAAGCGACTGGAATGGCAGCGAGGAAATCGACCAAGTAGTGATAACGTAGGTACATTGTTGCAATGGTAATTAAAAATGCAGCAAATGCAGAGATATATCCGTAGAGTGGTACAATCTTGTAGGATGCGAATGCTACTGCCCAACTGGTGGCGATGTGACCACTGGGGAAAGAACCAAAGCTACCCTTGGCTGCGCTCTCGATCTTGTTTCTGATGAATCCAGCCAAACCGAATCCATTCAAAGCGTTGGTGTATTTATCGTTGATGAATACTCTTGGACTTTCAGCTGGGAAAATCAAATTGATCGAAAATACAACGAAATATGTGCTGATCCATGAACAAATGAACATCTTTAACAATTGATCCCAAATTGGCATTTCTTTATTCTTCTCTGGATCCTTGGACAAATACGATTGCCACAACTTGAAAAGAACATAAACCTCCATGAAATATCCCCAGATATAATAACTAATATATGAAAGTTGGAAGATCTCTGTTGAGAGCTTTCCTACAAATGAATCTGGACCAATGGATGAACTCTTATCTATGAAAAGACCTAATTGTCCAAAAGGGAATAACCAACCTAAAATTGAACTATTTGATGTAAAAATATTATAAGTAAAATTGTTTGAGCTGAATAATAATTAGATTGTAAATACGACTTACCTATCTCCATATAATAATTGAGCATCCCATGTTGCACTAGATCTACCAGTTCCCAAAACAACTTTACCAGTTGCTTCAAAAAAGGAAGGAATTGTTAAACCAAGGCCAACCGCGCAGAATGTCATTGAAATTAAATAGGCTTTGTTGGTTTTTGCCAGACAAAGGAATGTATATGAAATAAATATTAATATCGATACAAGAAAAGCAAATACAATTTTCTAAAAGTCATGATAATAATATTTTAATAATAATAATGTTAATATAAATTGTTTGTTTGTTTAGCGTAAAATATTTTGTTTTTATTTTGAAGAAACAAATTCAAAATCATTTGATTACTTACCCATGGAAGAACTAAAAATGAATAAATGATAGAAAAAATACAGACAACCACTACCTGTATTGTAAAAGTTGTATCTGAGTATATTGGTGAATAGGGATATATAGTAGAGTCAAAAGGTTTTTGTATTGTTTTTGCGTGGAGCTTTCTTCTGGTCGTAGATCAGAGGGAAGATATGAAATGTCAATCTTGAATTCTTTTTCGGCTGCAATGTCTTCGTCGCTTTGCTCGCTGAATGAATAGTGTGGATATTCGCTTGACTGGAACGAACGGTTGTCCATCAATGTTGGTTCATTGGGTAGATCTTTCTTATACTTGAGATAAGTGAGAATATTCAGCAATGACAACTTTGGAACACCATCGTCCTTGAGCGGTGTGATTGAATCTTCAAGTGTGTTTGGCTCCTGCTGTTTCAAATAGAAATACTTGAAATCTCCAGCAGTCTGTGATTGTAATTCGATTGGTTGTGGAACTCCCATCTTTTTTTCATTGAAAAACCTTCTATTGTAATACTAAATTTATACAACTGACTGACTGACTATATAAATATATATAAATAAATATAAAATAAATAAATATAAAAAAATCTATAGTGATTTACTGGTTATACTACTATATTGATATAATAAAAACAATCACTTTTACTCCACTATTACTATAAAATATATATCGAGAATTTATCTATTTATCTTTCTTTTGACCACTGTTGTCGTTGCTATTATTGTTATTGTTGCTTATTACTAGAATTAATTAATCAAATTTTCATATTAGCAATCATTGTAAAAAGAACAAAAAAACCAACAACTAACTAAAAAAGGTCAAAAGTTTTTTATAAAAAAAATTACTTTTTGTGTTTTTAGATATACTATTATTATTATATTATTACTTGAAACCTTAATATTAAAACTGTAAAATTTCAATATTATTGATAAATTTCAATTGGTATTATTCTATTATTATTATTATTATTTAAACTATTATAGATTGGATCTAATAAAGTAAAAACACAATGATATTTTATAAAATAATAATATTTTAAAAAAAAATAAATAAAACAAGTTTAACAACGTTTGGTTTGTTGAAGGCTGGCTTATTCGTTTTGGTAATGTCCAATATGCCCACAACACAACAACAAACAACAAATAAAAAATTGTTTAAAAAAAAACAAAAAACAACAAACTAGATAATGATAATTGACAAGAAAGTGAAATATTATTGTTTTTAGAGGTGTTAAATTAAAAACATTAACAAAAATAGGTAACATATACAGCAAATATATATTTATATTAATTTGCTTACTAATTTTTTTATTGTTGTTGTCATTGTTTGACCCTGCTGCTTCTTTATAATAAAGATGTTGTTTTTGTTTTTTTTTTTTTTAAAAAAATAAAAATAAAAAAGAATTTAATAGTATATTTGCTACTTTCTTCACTATCTATATATCCAGTCGTAGCTACTATCTGTAAAGACTTATAACAATACACAAAATAATAAAAAAACACAGACAAAAACGTATTTCATTGTGTGTGTGTGGGTGTGGGTGAGCGATGATTTATATTTTTTGTTTGTTGATGAAAGACAGAGTTTTGATAGTATATAAATCCACTATTGGAGGGGTATTTGTTTGTTTTGTGGTAAATAATATTGGTTGACACTATAGGTAGGTTTTGTCTGTTGATAAAACTGTTGTGTGTTAAAGAAATGCGGTGGTGTGATAATAGCGATTCATACAACATTTTTTTATCTTTTTGGTAACCAGGAAATAATTAATTATATAACTAAATAAATAACATAATTATAATATCAAAACAAAATAAAAATAAAAAGAATAAAAAGACGATATATATTTACTTTTTTTTTTTTAATAAAAAAAAATTGAGATTTTACTACTTTACTATTGATATTAATACTATTGTTATAATTTAAAGATATATATTTATATGTACAAATAAATAAAATAGTTTTATGAAAAAAAAAATTAAAATTAAAGTAAATTAAAATGAGTAGTTGCAAAGATGGCTGGGGTTATAATTATTTTTGTGTAAATTGACTGAAATTTAAGGTTTTGCATTGCACCAAATTTTTTTTAAAAATCCAAAAAAAATAAAGTAATATATGTCTTGACTTATCGAGACAAATACTTTTTTTTTTTTTTTCATTGACAGCAACATTAATGTGTTGAAGTTGTCGTTGCTTAAAGTGTTTTTCACCATAACAATGTCAAACAAACACAATGGCCAACCATTTTTAAAAAAACTATTATTTATTTTTTTGTTATTGTCATATTTTATGACATCTAAGCAAAAACTATTTATTTTTTTTTTGTAGTGGTGGTATGTCATTCATATTTGACCCATTGTTGTACGAAAAAACAAAGTTTTGGTAGATCTATGAACTCTGCAATCTAACACCGACCAACAACCATATATTTTTAAACTTTTGACCTTTAACTAAAATATTGATGTTCCAACACCTCTAATTAGATAATAATTGGATAATTACTTACATTTAAACAATTATTATTTGATAAAGTCTTTTACTATCTAATGACGTTCTCTGAAACTGAATGAACTAAACTGTTTAAAGATCTTAAATAGAATAGTGTTGAAAATTGATTGTTTTTTGTAATGTTATAAATGACTGTAATACTAAAAGAATGTAATATTTTAAGAAAATATTGTTATTTTTTTTTAATGTAGCAATTACTAAATTAATTAATTAATTATCAGTGAATGAAGGTATAAAAAATAAAGTAGTAGTATAACTTTTTTAAAAGAAAACAAAAACAAATATGTAATTTGTTTGATTGCTTGGTGACCAAAACAAAAACAGAATTACAGGATTTAGATGTGTTTTTGAAGCTTCAAAAACTGATTCTTAAACATCCACTTTCAAATAAAAAAAATAAATAGGTGGGGTGCACAACTTTATTGACAATCCAATTTAAATTAAAAAAAAAAAAAAAAAATGAAAAAAATGATAGAACGCTTCACCAACACTCTCACTCACACGCGCTACCTAATGTCATTTACATTACGTTTTTTTTTTTTTTTTGCAATTACATAGTTTTAGTTATTTTGGATTTTTCGTGATAAAGTGTCATCCACAAAGTTTGGGAGCCCAGTGAAATGCGCCCAAATTTCGAAATTAAAGCACATTACAGATTTGTTTTTAAAAAAAATTAAAATCAACACATTTTTTTGGTTTTTAAAATTGTTCACCTTAAAAACACCATCTGTCGTCAAGTCCACCAACCTAACTTTTTTAATCTATAAAGTTGTTTGTTGGTTAAGTGTCGACAAGATGATGATAGTGACCACAATAATTGGATTGTTTTATTTTTTTTATTTTATTTTTTTTCCAAATGCTCTCAAAACATGCATTTTTTTTGCAATCATACAAGGATAAATCGCGAAACAAGTTTTTACGCAATAATAGAAGAAGTTTTTTTGGGTGGAGTAAATAAAGTTGATTTTTGTCAAACACCATATTAATGTCGAATGATGCTCAATGTTGTTATTTAATTAAAAAAAAAAACAATAAATAAAAAAATCACTAAAAATGCCAATTTGATGTTGCTTTTGATAAGAATTGATGGTGTTCAGTTCAATAAAAGGATATTATCAGTCATCAAAAAAAAAAAAGGGGGTTGAACAAATCGGTTTTACTCATATAACCACACAATCATTGTCATAAAGTGGAATTAATTATAATAAATTAAATTATGCTGAAAAATGAAATGATGATCATGAAATGCAATGATAAATGATGAAATATATATCTTTAGATAAATTGGCGTCTCTTATTGATATTCTATAAAAGGCTGTTGTCTTGATGACATCTGACAACAACAACAATAGTTAACTTCACCAATAAAGTGTCTTTTGCTAAATTTAATAAAGTTCATGTTCAAGATTTAAAACTATTCAAGTTGATTTTTTTAAAATATTAATTTAAAAGTTGTAACCCTCAAAATAAATAGATCTTTCACTTCTTGTGTACTATTTTAATTAATAGCTTAATAATTATTACTACTACTTCAGTAGTAATTAGTTTTTTTAAGTTATAGGTTTTTATTCTATTGATTTTTGAACAAAACAAACATTAATGTTTACTTTAAAAATTAATATTATTTCTGATTAACATGGGAACACGAATCAGTGTTGACAATAAAAAGTGAAAGAAATCTCCAAACCCAGTAGTTTTAATATAAAAAAACTTAATTAATTAAAATTCTTTTGTTCTCAAGAACTTGAAATCCCAAAGTTTAAATATAAAAACGATCTTTCAAAAAAAAAAAAAAAAGAAAAAAAAAGAATAAAAAAATTAAATTAAAGAGATTGTAATAAAATCTAAACATCGATATATATTTTGATACATTTTTTAAATACTACTTCATAATAATATTATTCAAAACATACACCCTACAAAAATAAATAGTTTGTTTTTTTTTTTTTTTCTCAGAGTTAGTTAATTATTATTTTTTATATTTAGTCAGTATTAAATCATATATTTAGTTATATTTTATAAATGGATGAGATAGTCCAGTCAAATACTGTTGTAACAACAAACAACGAAGAGAATGATGGTGCTACAACTATTACTACCACTACTGTGACATCTTCATCTGTCAGTGACTCTCAGAGTAACAACAATGGTAGTGACAACACCAACCAAGTAGTTAAATCTATTTCTGTAATAGAGGAAACAAGATCAAATGTTGTTGATAATCTTAATCAACAACTTGTTATAGATAGTAGTAGTAGCAGTGGTGATACTAGTAGTAATATAGTGGTGGTTAATAATGATAAAGTAGAGGAAAAGATCTATCATAAAGAAGAGGAGATAATGTATAATAATAATAATAACAATAATGATAGTAATATGGAGATTGGTAATAATATAAACTTGGGTATACCACTTGAGATTGGACCAATCATTATGGAGACAACCGTAGAGGAAAAGAAAAAAGGTGATACTGTAGTCACCAATACAACAACAACAACTGCAGAGCACACCGCAAACGGCACAGTCATCAAACAGAAAGAACAGACCTCTTGGTTTTCATCAATTTCAAACTCTGTCAAGGGTTTCAACACAAAGATAAAACAACTATTCATTTCACCTGAAACGTATGTTAAATATTTAATATCATAATATATTACACCTTTTACCTTAGTACTAATAACCAATTTATATCTATATACATACACATATGTTATGAAATAAAGTGAAGAGGCATTGGGACATATAAATACATTGTTTACAACATTCTTCAAAGATGTAAAATATTCAAAGTTTGAAATGTTAACTGGATTATTATTGTTGGACAGTAAGTTAATCTTTAAACTTTAAGTTTGAATATAAACATATACTGTTATGTGTTGTTTTGCTAATCATCTTCATGAATGAACGAACGAATGAATAGGTTATTATAAAAATGCACATATACCATCTGGAGAGATGCAGGAAGATAAGACATTCATTAGATCAGCACAACACTATATGAAGTTTGCAGCGGCAAGTCTTGGATCGAAATATGTATATTGCTATATGATGAAGAAGAATGTAGGCGATTTCATTCAGGGTGTGACAGGAACAGATAATATCAATATTAAAGTGTTGTGTGAGTACACCGGTGTCTCGAAAGAGGATGTCATTTCCTACCGATTCACCAGTACCAACTTTGATCCGGCACACTTTATCTCTGTCGACCACAGCACAGAATCAATAGTAATGTCCATCCGTGGAACATTCCATGCCCGCGATGTACTCACCGACTTGGTTGCCACCAACACCCCATTCCTCGATGGTTACGCACACACCGGTATACTTCGATCCGCTCAGAACAAGTTCAATGAACTATCACCATTATTACTTGAGCAATTAAAAGTAAGATTCAAATCAATCAATCAATCAATCAATCTCTTAGTACTATCAAAACTGATTAACTAACAACAACACAACAAATTACAATAGAAACATAAAGGATATAAACTTATTGTTACAGGACATAGTTTGGGTGCTGGAACAGCAGCATTGTTCACACTGTTGTTCAATTCAAAGTATCCAGAGATTCCTATTCACTGTTATGCATTCGCACCACCCTGTGTTACGTCATTGGAGATTGCACTCTCAAAGAACTGTAGTAATTTAATCACTAGTTTTGTACTAAATAACGATATCATTCCAAGACTGAGTTATCAATCGTTGGAGCATCTGAAGCAATTGGTTTGTTCGATTCTCGAGAACAACTCGAGTAGAGTATTCCAAATTCTTACCGCCGGAAATGCACTCGGCGAAGATCTAACAAACAAAATATCAAACTTTTTTAATGTATGTAATAATAATATTATCAATTAACACGATTAATCATTAGTGAATGAATATACTTACTTAATTACTTGTGATCTCATTAATAATATCAAATATATATATAGTTGACAAGAGAAGTTAAAATTGATTTTAAGAATAAGTTTTCGTTGAGTGAAACGACAATGTTACCACCAGGTGACATCTATAGAATCTACAAGATCACATCATTCGATAAAAACTATATTATGGAACGATCAAATCCATCTCTCTTTGGCGAAATCATTATATCTGGTAGTTTGTTGACCGATCATCTCCCAGACAACTATGAGAATTCACTCACCTCCTGTTTACAACTTTTAAATGATTTAACACCAGAGTCTGATGCTCGTATTACCGATGAATTTATATTAATAGATAATTATGAACAAAATAATATTAACAATAGTAATAACAACAACAACAACAACAATAGAAATAGTAATAGTAACAACAACAATCATAGATATAATAATAATTTTGAAAGTATAAATAATATTAATAATAATAGTAATAATGATGATGATGGTGGTGAATATTCATATAATAAGCTGAAGTTAGAAATTGATGAATAAATAAACAGCGCTCTATGAAAATGTTATTGTTAATTTAAGATTTTTATTTTATTTTATTTTTATTTTATTTCTATTTATATCTTTTTAATTAATAAATAGATACGTGCATCCAATTCTAAACCTGGGAGATAACGTGGATCACCTTGTAACAACATGAGAAGACCACCAAACGAAGCGAAAATCGAAACTTTAGAGGAGGAGTTATCCTTTTGATATTTAAAAATCTTGCCAAACATAACATAGTCAAACTTGTCTGCCAACGATGGTTTATTGCTGTCGAAACTGATATCCATTGTACCGTCCAGGCTAAGTGATGATGCCAACACCAATTTAAATTTCTCGTGTTCCATCGGATAGATATGAGTTGCTATATCGATATGTAAATCCATTTCATAACTCTCTCCATAACAGATGAATCTAGAAACTAAAATGATAATATAATATTATATTTGTTTGTTTGTTAGTATATTGAACTAATTCTATCTTTTATTATTTCAAATCGCAAAACTATTAGATTATTAAAGATATGTGTGTTTTGTGTGTGTGTATTTGATGAATGTTTTTTGAAACCTATCAAATTTAAATTGATCTTTCAATCTTGTTGACATCAATCTAATAATCTATACAATAAATTCCTATCAATCTTTATATTCTAATATGAAATGAATGGAAACATTCTTTCAATAGTAAATCTTCCGAATCAATCAATTGTCTTTATATTCATTGATTAGAAGAACTTGGTTGGCTAACCAATAGTTGATTGGTTGATGACTAGTCTTAAAGCTGTTAATGTTGATAGTGATGTTTGTTTGTTTGTTGGTGTTTATTTAGAAAAGATAATCTACCTCTATCGAATTTCTTTCCATCTGGATCGATTTCTTTGACTTCAAAAGTATCTTCAAATAGAATTGCTGACATTTTGATATATATATATAGATTATATTAAAAAAAATAAAGAAAAAAAAAGGATAATTATTAGTTTTATTACAACAACTTAATAACTATGATTTAATTTCGTCGTTATTTTTTTTTATTTAAAATTTTAAAAAAAAAATACAAAGAAATGAAAAAAAAATTACAAAAAAAAATAAAGAAAAAAATTTTTGTTATTACAATTTATAATGGCGAATCATTCGACAATGAATGAATGCTATTAACAGATATCAAATGATTCATTATGATATATTTTGAGATTGTATTAGACTATTTGTTTTTGTTTTGTTTTTAAAAGTATGTTAAATTAAAGTTTATTATAATAACAAAGTGATGTTTGTTGAGCTTTTATTGGTGGTGATGTGATGATGATTGATTTTAGTTTGAGTTGTTTTGTTTTAGGTTGAGCTAATTGAACATAGAATTTCTTTTCTTTATTTTCATTTCTTTTATCTTTTTTTTTTTTTTACTTTTTGGTTGTTGTTTTTATTTTGATTGTCATAAGTCGTCGTTATGTTTTTTATATATTTAAAAGTATTCACCCTTGAAACCTACTTCGATACCTTGATTCTCGGCATCGACGTATGCACTGGATGGATTGTGTAAACCTAAGTCTTGGTGATGACTTTGAGAGTATTTGTGATATTGTGCAGCTTGATTGTGAATATCGATCATCTCCTCATCTGTTAATTTACGAACAAACTTGGCTGGTCTACCTGCCCACAACTAAATATGAACAAATTAAATTAAAAATGCAAAGCAAATAGTTAGTTATTTACTTAATAACACCACCATCACCATCACCACCAATATCATTATTCAACTTACCTCACCAGTTGGTACTCTAGCACCCTTTGGCAACAATGAGTTTGCACCCAAAATAGAGTTTGTCTCTACGTATGATCCTGCTTCCAAAACAGATCCCATACCGATCAAACAGTTCTCTTCAACAGTGCAAGCTTCGAGTACACAGTTGTGACCTAATAAATTTATTATTTGTTAACAAAAACTATAGAATAATAATGTTATATTATATTTTAAAAACAAACATACCAATTGTACAATAATGACCAATGATAGTTGAACCGTCGTGATCCAATGATAATGGTCTGGCAGCTTCTCTTATGACAGTACCATCTTGAATATTGGTAAAGTTTCCAATATGAATTAAGTTTACATCGGCTAAATTAAAAATAAAATAAAAAAAGGTTAGTAGTTAATTTGTTAAGCTACTATCGCAGTAAATTTGATTGATTATATCTATACCTTTAATCACAGAGTTGTACCATACAGAGGAACCATAACAAAGAACAACGTTACCAATGACACTAGCAGATGGTGCAACAAAAGTACCAAGTGGAGTTCTTGGGTACAATCCAAAAACTGTTGGTAATGCTATACTGTGCTTATTATAAAATGGCATTAAAGTTTGATGTTTATTATCTATTTTAAAAAAAAAAGTATTAGTATTATTATTATTATTAATAATATAGTCATAGCAGCATAGTCATTCATTTAATTATCATATCATTGATTATAGATATATGATATAGTAATGTAATGAATGTATGAGTATGCATTTATTCTATACAACAACAACAACAACAGCAACAACATACATTTATCTAAATATTTCTCGACTTGATTTTCGTTTTCACTGTATTTCTTTAACTCTGAGATGTCGTAGTGTTGTTGATTGTCTTTAGAGTTGTAGTAGGTACAGAAGTTACGACGATTACTAACGGTCGATGATCTGCTGACCATCAAGATCTCTCTGTTCTTATTCAAAAATTGCTTGATCATTTTTGCTTGTGTGATGTAGTAATATACGAATGTCTAACAATGATTATGATAATTCCTCTTATCGATTTTTTTGATCTGAAACAGAAATGTGTGATTTTCTTGTTGGTTTCTAGATATATCTCTTCTTTGCACTGTTTTATCCTGTTACTGTGATAATACGGTTTAGTCTATCTACCAAAAATGCTAATATTAATGATTACTACAAGTAATTTATTAATATTAATTAATAAAAAAAAGAAAATAAATAAATATAAAGCTAAATCGAGTGTAGATAATGATCAATCATAAATTTTATCTATTCAGAGTGATTGTGTGTGTTGAGCCACCAAAAATTTTTTTTCAATCATCTGAACTACGAAAAATCAAAAAAAAAAAAAAAAAGCAATTAAAAAAAAAAATTGTTTGATCAAAATTATTTCTCAAAGAACCTGATATTGCATTAAAATTACAAGCATTTTGCAACATTATTGACACAATATGTCATTCAAAATAAAGTTTCATATGTCAACAGATAAAAAATATTAGGAACCCTAACATAACATAATTAGTTTATTAACTAGATTATAGTTTATTTATTGTTTTGTATAAAATAAATAAATAATTCAAAATAAATTAATTTATAATATTATAAAATTAAAAGACAGAATAATATATGTGATATTTTTTTATTTAAATCGTATTTGTGTGAAATCAAATCACCCAAAAATAGAATAAAAATGTGTGGTTTTATCATTTTTTTTTAGTTTACAGAATAGATATGAAAAAAATGATAATTATTGGGTAATATAAATATTTTACTATTAGTACAAACAACAGCAGGACAATGATACAATTTAATTAATACAAAAAAAAAAGCAAACAAAAACGGTCATTTTATTTTTGGTTTATTGAGTAACATGGGATACAGTTTTATTAAAATTTTTTTATGAATGCAAATCCGAATATTAATACATAAATAACGAACGATACCATCTTGATATCACTCCATTTATTAATTTGTATTATTAAAGTTGTTAATTCGATTAAATAATTTCGTATCTGAAACTTAAATTGGTTGTCGATTTAAAAAATTATATTTATAGATACTACCTATTATGTATTGAAAAATAAAATCGAAAGATTATTGTGTATTATACTAAAAAAACTGAATAAATAAATACGTTTGACTAATCCGAAATTAAATAAATGGTCAACCGATAATCTGATTTCAATTTCAAAATTAAAGATCACAAATTATTAAATATTGTCAACAACATAAAGTAATATTATTATTTTTATTATTTTCCAAATAAGAAACTATATAACAAAATAAATATTATATATAAATTATTTAATTAAGAAAAAGAACAAAAGAAAAAAAAAAAAAGTTATAATAACTATTAAAGAAAAAAAAAATAATAATCAAAAAAAATGTTAATTGGTACAATAGAAATCTAAATTCTAAAGCTATACTACTACTATTACTCTCTATCCTTGCTTTTATTCAATGAAAACTGTTCTATCTTACTAACACTGGTTTTAAATTTACTTTTCTTTTTTTTGTGTAGATTCCATCAAAAAATTAAGTTTGAAATCATCGACCTTAAATAATAGCAATAATGTAAAAGCTGTATCAATAAATAATATGACAATTCAAACTATAACAATTGTTGCTGCAACTCAACAACCTTTTACATCTCCCTTTTGGTGTTTCTGGTAAATTATAATCTAAAAAAAAATAAAATAAAATAAATTAAAAATTTTAAAATAATCAGACGTCTATAGAACTAGGAATAGTTACAATAATGGTATTCCTATTATTTTGATTCTTGGAACATAAAATGATTAATAACTAAAAATCTTGAACATTTATTCGTTCTTATTATTTATAGTGAATAACTAAAAATTAATCATTCGTTCTTAGTTCTCATACTAAAATCATAAAAATAAAGAATTTGAAGATCGGACACCGCAAAACATAGAATTTTCTCAAGAGAAAAAAACAAAAATCTAATCTTTACAAAAATTCGAATAATAGTGTAAAAGTGATTTATTCTCTTGAAACAGAAAAAAAAGTTAATTTTGTGCTTTCATTTTTTTTTAAACATTAATACATATCTTTTTTTAGGTTTGTAAATAGTTTTTTTCTCTCGTGTGGCTACCATGGTCCAAAAAAGAGAGGTTGGAAAGTTTTTTGATTTTTTTGATTTTGATTTTTTTTTGTCATCTAGATTTGTCAAACGGAGAAAATAAAAATTGTTTACATAAAGCTCATCATCTATTATCAATAAATATATTTTTATATCTAAGTAGATAAATATATTAGCAGAAAAAACAAAACCGAAATGAGATTTCCAAGATTATCTTGTGATTTCGCTGTTTTGTTGGTTGTTTTCGTAATTTTTTCGGTGTCTTTGGGTGTAGTTGCTGTCACAAAAGAAATATCGGACCCAAATTTACCCGGTGCTCCTAATATTACTCCCACAATGTCGAGTCTGAGTGTTACACTTGCAACAACTACAAAGGTAACTTTTGTTTATGAATCAACTCCTCCCAGCACCTTAACAAAATACAACATCGTAGTGAATGGAGTATCCGTCACAAATGACTCGTGTGTAACTGGTAATAGCTGCACAGTGACTCCTTCAAGTCCTTCCTATAGTATTTCGGTATCGGCCACCAGCGATACCTCGACATCCACACCGTTATCAGTAACCGGAGTGCTTCCACCGGTGATTAGCGTCCCAACTCTTTCATTGTCAACAACACCAACATCAATCCTTGCAACCTATTCATCTACAGGTGGTTTTGGAGCAATTCTCTATACAATTAGTTTGGGATCATCTGTTATTCCATCGTGCAATGGAATCCAAGCGACCACTTGTAATATCACTGGATTGATGACACTCTCACTCTATACAGTCATAGTGTCCGCCAGTAATGATGGAACTATGAGAAATGCTGCTTCATCCACCAAGCTTTGGGATTATATTCAGAATCCATCTGTTTCCTTTTCCAACATTAGAACAAAATCGATGGTCGTTTCTTTTAGTGCCGGAGGAGGTAATCCGATATTGACCAGGTACTCAGTGGTTGTCAATCAAACGAATATAGATGCTATTTTCTATGCTTGCCAGGATATTACTGCAACTAATTGTACCATTCCCAATTTAATTGAAAATACACTCTACGCGGTAACTGTTTTGGCAACCAACAATGGTATTACGAGAAATGTTATTGCTTATGGTCAAACATATCCAACGATTTCACCATTGCAAGTGACTGCCATCATTCAGATTACAACAATGACAATTTCCTATCAAACACAGGGTGGTGTTCCAGGTGAAACAAAATATTCGGTTACTCTCAATGGTAACCCAGTTCAAGGATGTCAGCAAACAACAACAACTTCTTGTTCGCTCACAGGATTAGCTCCTGGAACCAACCAAAGTATCGGTGTATCCGCAATCAATGATGGAAGTACAACTACCGCAACTTCAATTTTTAAAACTTGCGACCGTCCAACAATGTCATTTCTTGATATTATATCACTGACTACCCAAACAGTTTCATTCACCTATTCTAGCGCAGGTGGTGTTCCAGGTTCAACAACCTATAGTATCACTGTCAACGGCAACTCCTTAGGCAACACTGGATGTGAAAAAGTATCCCAATGTACTGTATCGAATTTGGTACCTGGTTCCGTTGTTTCTGTACAAGTAATAGCCAACAACTATGGTTTTAACTCACCATCTTTGAGCGCTATTGGAACTCTTTATTCTTTAGTGAGTGTTCCAACTGCAACATTTGTGACTACAGCCAATTCAATCACAGCAACCTATTCCACAACAGGAGGAGTACCAAATCTAACAACTTATATCGTACGGAAAGATGGTTTGGCATTCTGCACTTCAGCAAGACAATGTATTATCTCAGGATTGAATGAGAACCAAGGTTATAACATTACAATCGAAGCAACCAACGATGGAACTACAACTTCCAAATCTTCGATTGTTTACGCTTACGCTCCACTTGCAAACCCAGTTATCAATGCAATTGTAAGAACTAAATCGGTGAACCTCACATACTCTGCATCAGGAGGAAATCCAGATCTTACCTTTTACACTGTCAGTATCAATGGAACTGTATCGGATACTTGCCAAAATACTCGTACCAAGTATTGCTTAATAAACGTGCTTCCAGATACCACTTCTGTTTTCATAGTTACTGCAACCAATAATGGATCTTCCACAAATTCGCAAAAATCAGTAATATCCTATAAATGTATGTATTTCAATATCAATATTTACTTATTTATTCATTAACTGACTCTATTTATTATTATTTTTTAGCAATCAATTCACCATCAATTCAAACATCCAATGTTGCAATGAATTCAGTTGTTGTACAATATTCAGTTTCTGATGGTGTTCCAGGTGAAACTCTATATAGTGTCAGTTTCAATGGTACTGCTTATCCAAGTTGTCAGAATATTCAAAGTAATTCATGTCAATTGGATAATCTCAATTCAGGTACCACCTATATTATCAAAGTGACCATGACCAACGATAATGATGTTCAAAGCACTGAAATTTCAGTAAACACTTTGGCATATCCAGATCTCTCAGTTCCTACGGTCACATACATCCAAGATAGAAATAATCTTGTTTTCAGTTTCAATAGCACTGGTGGTGCACCTAATCTATCAGTTTATGAGATCATTGTAAACGGAACAATCATTTGTTCAAATACAAATTATCAATGTGATTTATCGGTTTCATTGACAGAACCACAATTATATAATCTCGAAGTGACAGTCAGAAACAGTGGAAAATCAGCAACCAACAAACTTTCAATCACACTATACCCAAATCCAACATCAATACAAATATCAGCCGTAACAAATACCACAAGTGTCTATGTCGAATGGAGTCAAAGTTCAGGTGGAGAGCCAGATAAAACTATTTACAACGCATCAATCTCATATAATGGAATCGATTGGGTATCGAAATGCAGTGGTAAACAATTAAATTGCACTTTTGATAATTTGGCCTCGAGTACACCTTATCATTTCCAAGTTTTAGTGATCAACTCTTATTTCAAACCTATCCCAACACAAGCCAGTACAACAACTCAATCATTACCATCTACAAACTCAACTTGCGCAATGAACAGAGGTGAACCATCTTGTTCAAACAATGGAAATTGTTTATCAGGTGTTTGTTCTTGCAATCAAGGCTGGACTGGTATTTTCTGTGAGAAACAATATACTCACACCGAAGTAACTCCAAATCCAACGACACCATCATACGACACAGCCATTCAAGGAGTTACATATTCATTCTCACTCAACAAAATCACCGAAAAAGACAATGTTGGAACCACTGTCAAAGTATTTGATCTATCGACATTGAAATGGACAATGATATCCTCCACAAATATCACAGTTAATAATACGGCCACCGGAAAAGAAGTCAGAGAATTGAAATGGGTATATTCAGCAATCAATCAAGCAGGACTCGATGGTGCTGAAATTACGATTCGATTCTCACAATACTTAAAGTTGGATAATGACAGCAGTACAACATCATTCCCAGTGGAATTTGCAGGAAAAGACATTCCAGTTCAATTGGGATCAATGAAATATTATATGAGCATCAAGAATTGGAATTTCGCAAGCAAATTAAATTACTTGGAGATTGCAAGTGTCACCACTCGACCAAAGGATGCATCATCATGCAGTTCAACAGAGAATCTTTCACAAATTGATTTCTCCAAAGATACAGATTTCACAGTTTACACAGTTGGAGATGGTGCTGGAAATTATGTTGTTGGAAGACTTGTCAATCTCGTTTTGTTGGATACGATCCCAACATTAGTTTCACACAGTTATTCGTTGAACTCAAGCAATGGAGATGTAAATATCGTTTCAAACGTTCCATATTTCTCACAACAAGTCGATGTTGATCCAGAACTTGATATGCTCGTTTCACCAACTCGTTCAAATGATAGTTGCAAGAAAGACGATAACAAATGGAAGATTATTACTGGTGCTGTCGTTGGAAGTGTTGTATTTGCTTCCGTCGTTGTTGTCTCTGCAGTTTTATTGGCAAAGAAATTTAAATATCATAGAATCTTTAGAAAGATTTCACTTTTGAATAAATAATAAATAATTGTATAATAAGAAATAATATCAAATGAGATAATAAAAAAAAATGATTTTCAATACCTCTCTTTCTTCTTTTGGCATTTCGCTGAAATTTAAACAAGGTGATGTTTAAAATAATATCTTTTTTTTTTTGCGAAATTCTTCGATTAGAAAAAAAATACAAAAAAAAACCATAGCAACAAAAAAAAAAGGATTTTTTGATCAAAAAATCTAATTCTAAAAATTAGGGGTTTCTGATCTAAAAAAACCAACAAAAGTTTTAAAACAATTATCGTAAATCATATCTCATAAACCATTTATTTATATCTTTACAAGATATATTATTTGAAAATAAACAAAAATGAGACTTCCAAGTATTTATGGAAACTCCATAGATTTGTTGGTTGTTTTAGTAATTTTTTCATTATCCTTGGGTGTTATTGCTGCCTCAAAAGAATGGAATCCAAATATTGATTTTTTAATTGCCACGAGTGCCACTAGTGGTCCTGGTGGCGGTGGTTTGGCATCTGTCACCATGACAAGTCTAGATATTACAGTTACAACAACGCAGCAAGTAACTTTTACCTACAGTTCATCTCCTGCCAGCGCTGGAACTACAACCACATACTCAATCACAGTTAATGGCGCGGTCGTCTCAACACCTTCATGTGTTAGTGGAAATACGTGCACAGTGTCCCCAGAGCAATCCTTTACAATCACAGTGGCTGCTGTTAACAATGGCATAACATCTAATTCAAAGTCAGAGTCTGGACATCTTTTACCCGTGATTGGTGCCCCAACTCTTTCATTGACATCAACCCCAACAACGATCCTGGCAAGTTTTTCAGCATCAGGTGGTTATGGAGTTATTCTCTATACTGTTCTATTGAATGGCGCTAACTATCAATCATGCGTAGGAATCCAAGCCAACAGCTGTAATATGACTGGATTGACTACTTTGGCAACCTATACAATTAATGTTAAGGCGATCAATGATGGAACCACTCAAAATAGCCAAGTATCATCCACCAAGCTTTGGGATTACATTCATAATCCAGTTATTTCCCTTTCCAGCATTAAAACTACATCTTTTATTGCTTCCTTCAGCATTCAAGGAGGAGATCCGACATTGACCAGGTACACCGTACAAGTAAATTCTGTGAATGTAGCTGATTGTACCTATACTACTTCAACGACTTGCGTGATTTCCAATTTAATTGGGAATACAGCTTACTCTGTGGATCTGTTGGCCATGAATGATGGTGTTTCAATAGTTAAGTCGGTCTCCACTATGACATATCCAACGATTTCACAATTACAAGTGACCGCCAGCATTCAGATTACAACAATGAAAATTACCTATCAAACCCAGGGTGGTGTTCCAGGTGGAACATTATATTCGGTTACTCTCAATGGTAACCCAGTTCCAGGATGTCAGCAAACAACAACAAATTATTGTTCTCTCTCAGGATTATCTGCTGGAACCAACCAAAGTATCAGTGTAGTTGCAACTAATGATGGAGGTTCAGTTTCCCAAGCCCCATTTTTCAAAACTTGCGACCTTCCAACAATGTCATCTCTTGATATTATATCACTGACTACCAAAACAGTTTCATTCATTTATTCTAGCGCAGGTGGTGTTCCAGATACACCGACAACATATAGTATCACTGTCAACGGTAGCCCCTTAGGCAACACTGGATGTGATAAAGTATCTCAATGCATGGTATCAGGTTTGGCACCTGGCTCCACAGTTTCTGTACAAGTACTAGCCAACAACTATGGTTTTAACTCAGCACCTAAGGTTGTTACTGCCATACTTTTTTCTTTAGTGAGTGTTCCAACTGCCACATTTGTGACGACAGCCAATTCAATCACAGCAATCTATTCCACAACAGGAGGTGTACCAAATCTAACAACTTATACAGTATCGAAAGATGGTGTGGCATCATGCACTTCAATAAATTCAACACAATGTGTTATTTCAGGATTGAATGAGAACCAAGGTTATAACATTACAATCGAAGCAACCAACGATGGAACTACAACTTCCAAATCTTCGATTGTTTACGCTTACGCTCCACTTGCAAACCCAGTTATCAATGCAATTGTAAGAACTAAATCAGTGAACCTCACATACTCTGCATCAGGAGGAAATCCAGATCTTACCTTTTACACTGTCAGTATCAATGGAACTGTATCGGATACTTGCCAAAATACTCGTACCAAGTATTGCTTAATAAACGTGCTTCCAGATACCACTTCTGTTTTCATAGTTACTGCAACCAATAATGGATCTTCCACAAATTCGCAAAAATCAGTAACATCCTATAAATGTATGTATTTCAATATCAATATTTACTTTTTTATTCATTAACTGACTCTATTTATTATTATTATTTAGCAATCAATTCACCATCAATTCAAGCTTCAGCTATTACAATGAATTCCGTTGTTGTACAATATTCAGTTTCTGATGGTGTTCCAGGTGAAACTCTATATAGTGTCAGTTTCAATGGTACTGCTTATCCAGGTTGTCAGAATATTCAAAGTAATTCATGTCAATTGGATAATCTCAATTCTGGTACCACCTATATTATCAAAGTGACCATGACCAACGATAATGATGTTCAAAGTGATGAAATTTCAATAGGCACATCATATCCAGATCTCTCAGTTCCTACGGTCACATACATCCAAGATAGAAATAATCTTGTTTTCCATCTCAGCAGCACTGGTGGTGCACCTAATCTATCAGTTTACGATGTATTTGTAAACGGAACAATCATTTGTTCAAATGCCAATTCCCAATGTGATTTATCGGTTTCATTGACAGAACCACAATTATATAATCTCGAAGTCACAGTCAGAAACAGTGGAAAATCAGCAACCAACAAACTTTCAATCACACTATACCCAAATCCAACATCAATACAAATATCAGCCGTAACAAATACCACAAGTGTCTATGTTGAATGGAGTCAAAGTTCAGGTGGAGAACCAGATAAAACTATTTACAATGCATCAATCTCATATAATGGAATCGATTGGGTATCGAAATGCAGTGGTAAGCAATTAAATTGCACTTTTGATAATTTGGCCTCGAGTACACCTTATCATTTCCAAGTTTTAGTGATCAACTCTTATTTCAAACCTATCCCAACACAAGCCAGTACAACAACTCAATCATTACCATCTACAAACTCAACTTGTGCAATGAACAGAGGTGAACCATCTTGTTCAAACAATGGAAATTGTTTATCAGGTGTTTGTTCTTGCAATCAAGGTTGGACTGGTATTTTCTGTGAGAAACAATATACTCACACCGAAGTAACTCCAAATCCAACGACACCATCATACGACACAGCCATTCAAGGAGTTACATATTCATTCTCACTCAACAAAATCACCGAAAAAGACAATGTTGGAACCACTGTCAAAGTATTTGATCTATCGACATTGAAATGGACAATGGTATCCTCCACAAATATCACAGTTAATAATACGGCCACCGGAAAAGAAGTCAGAGAATTGAAATGGGTATATTCAGCAATCAATCAAGCAGGACTCGATGGTGCTGAAATTACGATTCGATTCTCACAATACTTAAAGTTGGATAATGACAGCAGTACAACATCATTCCCAGTGGAATTTGCAGGAAAAGACATTCCAGTTCAATTGGGATCAATGAAATATTATATGAGCATCAAGAATTGGAATTTCGCAAGCAAATTAAATTACTTGGAGATTGCAAGTGTCACCACTCGACCAAAGGATGCATCATCATGCAGTTCAACAGAGAATCTTTCACAAATTGATTTCTCCAAAGATACAGATTTCACAGTTTACACGGTTGGAGATGGTGCTGGAAATTATGTTGTTGGAAGACTTGTCAATCTCGTTTTGTTGGATACGATCCCAACATTAGTTTCACACAGTTATTCATTGAACTCAAGCAATGGAGATGTAAATATCGTTTCAAACGTTCCATATTTCTCACAACAAGTCGATGTTGATCCAGAACTTGATATGCTCGTTTCACCAACCCGTTCAAATGATAGTTGTAAGAAAGACGATAACAAATGGAAGATTATTACTGGTGCTGTCGTTGGAAGTGTTGTATTTGTTGCCGTCGTTGTTGTATCCGCTATTCTATTGGCAAAGAAATTTAAATATCATAGAATCTTTAGAAAGATTTCACTTTTGAATAAATAATTGTATTTTTAATAAAATAATAATATAAATGAAATAAATCATAAATAAATTTTTTTTCTGTAATTTAATAAATAATAAATAAAAATTTCAAGACAAAATAATCAACAGAATTATTAGTAACACTTCCTTGCTTCTCTTACTATCGCGAAAATGTTCTATAAAAGTAATTTAAACCTGGTGACAAAAAGTCTTCAAAAAAAAAACGTGTCTCATTCCATTCTCAAACTTCTACTTCCATGACTACATGAAAATTTTTCCCGGAAATTGGATCCCCATCTATTGAAGTTGCATATATACCCACTTCTCTATTTGCAACTTATTCAGTCACAGGTGGTTATGGAATAGTCCTCTATACCGTAAAATTGAATGATACTGACTATCCATCATGCACAGCAACTCAGGCAACCTCTTGTAATATTTCTGGATTGAAAACCCTCACACCATTTCAAGAAGTAATACAAAAAGATTTGCATATGATGAAATTCAAAATCCAGTTACAATAGTCGCCATCATTACAACAAAATCGATAGACATCACCTATACTGTTAAGGGAGGAGTCTCTGGATGTTTTCACTGTTCAAGTAAATGGAACCATAGTATCATGTTGTAAATATACAAATCAAAGGAAATGTACTATTCCAAATTTATTTGGAGATACACTCTATTCTTTAAATGTAATTGTCACCAATAATGGCATTACAAAAAAAAATGTCACAGAAGTTCGAACATATCCCAAAGATTTCACAAGTTCAAGTTAGAGTCAGCATTCAGATTACAACAATGACAATATCCTAGTCACCGGTGGGTGGTGTTCCGGATGGAACAACATATTCCGTTACTCTCAATGGTGCTTCTGTTCCAACATGTCACCAAAAAACATCAATTTCTTGTGAGCTCACAGGATTAGCTCTTGGAACCAAAGACATTTTATCGATGACTACCAGGTCAGTTTCATTCAACTATTCGAGCACAAGTGGTGTTCCGAATGAAACTACAACATACAGTATCACTATCAACAATAATCTAAGAGATACCTGTGAAATCCAGATCTTACCTTTTACACTGTTAGTTTCAATGGAACTGTATCGGATACTTGCTAAAATACTCGTACCAAGTATTGCTACTAAAGTTCTTTTAGATACTACTTCTGTTTTCAATGATACTGCAACCTATGATGCATCACAAACTACAGTAGTAGTTTCACAGTTATTCATTGAACTCAAGCAATAGATGGTTGCAAGAAAACCGATAACAAATGGAAGATTATTACTGGTGCTGTAGTTGGAAGTGTTGTATTTGTTGCTGTGGTTGTTTCTGCGGTACTATTGGCAAAGAAGTATCACTCTCATAGATTCTTTAGAAAGATTTCACTAAAGTAAATAAATAAAAAGCAAATAGATCTTTTCGAAAGAAAATAAGATAACTTTCACTAGCTTTATCTTATTTAAAATTTCAAAATTATATTTTTGGACTAAAGGTATCGAATAACTTGTTTATTGTATCTATTCTTGAAATAAAACAAACTGTTTAAGTTGCTAGAGAAAGTAAAGTATTATTGTTAATTGTGATTGTGATTTTGATCATCTTATAAAAGAGAAACCTATAGTTTACCCAGTCTTCATTGAGATACCAGAGCTTTTGACCCCAGGAAGTATCAGCATTGTGCTATTATCAATATTGTTAATTCATTCTATATAAATTCAATAACTTCACTCTAACAACATGCACAAAATAGAAAATTGGCAAATGAGTTGTTTGAGATATGGCGTAGATGGTTGACGCTTAACTGATGCAAACTTAGAATAAGCTTATTTGTTTAAAATACTATTACAGTAACCAAAATCTATTAATTAAAATGGGTATCTATTTATGATGATTTCACGGTTTGAATGTGATTGGCCAATCAATTAAGATCTCAAAGATTGGTGATCATTTAAAAAGCTAGAAAGAAAAATGATGTCATGATACACAAATAACCGGTTCATTGGATTTTGGATAAATTAGTAAAACGAATTTTTTGTTTTTATGATTACCGCCTTTTTGCGAGTTCAAGAAAAGATCATGATCTTGTATAATACCATACTGTCGCAGTACAACGAAGTTTTCTAATAAACTCGAGAGTGAATAAAAAGATTTTAGAAAGCAACAACTTGTTGTTTCATGAACAAACGATCTCATTAATTGATGGAATCTAACTTGATCGAAATCTACAAAGTAAAGTAAAACAGTTTACAATCCAAGTTGTAAAACCGATTAAAAAAACAAAAAATAAAAGAAAAAAAGAAAAAAACAGAATTTTTTCTAGAAAAACTATCGTTTCGAGCATGGTTTTCCAGTTGATTTCTACATCAATCATTTGCAAAATTTGCAGTGAATTGTGGGGATTTGATTCAAGAACAGATCATTTTGATTGAATTTGGGATATGAAATTTGAATTTTTGCATGAATTTATGGTTAAACCCTGAACGTTCAAAATGATCCCACCGATATTTATTTTTCTATCTTTTAATTTGTTATTATTAAGAATTAAATCAATTTTTAATAATTTGGCGTATTAGATTTTTGATTATAAATAGATGTCTGAAAGTTATAACAAAAACCATTCGTCATTTCTGAAATAATCTACAAAATGTCTGCTAAAATCTTCTCTATCTTATTCATCATTGTTCTCTTTGTTGGAATTTCCATGGCTGCTTGTCCATCCGGATGGTATGTTATCAGATATAATCATTTTTTACCTTTTTTTCCAAAAATACTCCTATATTGATTCTTTCTATTACTATTCATTTATTATAATATTAAATAGGGATCTCTGTGGTACCAAATGTTACAACCCATTCCAATCTGACTGTAACTGCGGATCCGTTGTATGCTCAAAGGGATTATATCCATGCAAGACTTTATGTGTTCCCGCCTCGAATCCATGTGCTGGAACTTGCCCATAAACCAGCTAGCATCCTATTTATAAAATAAACAAATAGAAAATAAAGAATTCTATTATTATATTTAATTTAAAACAAAATAACCAACTTTCCGTTGCAAGAGTACATTCCCATTCTATAGACAGAAGTTTTGCTTCCTATAAGTTCCCACCAAAAAATTAATGGGAGAAAAAAACCAAAGATTTTTTTTTTTTCTTCAATTTTATTAAACAAAATAGTTGTATTTATCCATACTTAAACAGTTAGGTGATACATCTTATTTTAGATACTTTACGTTTGTTTCATTCATGAAGGTAAAGCATTTCTGGAGCGCTCACTACCTTATTAGGAGTTGGCAATGATCATCATTAATAAGTAGTTTATATGATGTCACCTGTTATCCTGGAGCAAAAGAGCTGCCTTGACTTTTCACTGCGAGGCTTAAGTCTAATCACTCGAGAACTTTCATGTTCTAGACGTAAAGAAAACAACTAGAGGGTAATTAACAATTATTTTTAGTAGATAAATAATAATTTATAAATAGATAAATTAACAAATTAACTATTCTATTATAGTTAATTACAAGTACAGTATATAGTTATTGTTTTGTCGAATATTCAGAGAAAGATTCAGCAGTTGAAGCAATCTAATTTCATTTATTTTAGTTTAAAAATAATAATGATTATCAATAACAAATAACGATCAAGATTATCATGTCATGTACGCCTGTATGGTGACTAAAAGTCCGCCTGACCGAGTAGAAGACGATTATAATTACAATAATGATAACAACAATCAACATCATTAGCAGATATAATTGTAGTAACAATGGCGGATCTAATATTTAGTTACAATCTGAGTCTCAATCACAAGAAGTCACGGTTGAACAAATATTTGGTGACTGGGGAAATCGACTAATCGATTAGCTACATAATGGATGACGATACATCTGACTTTGGGGTATTGGATTGATAATCAATTAGTCTTTCTATGAAGCAGATAATGAAGATGAGACCAACACCATAGTTAATCAATAAATCTCTTCTTTTGATGAACAGTTATCTGCCAAATACATTAAAAGAATCAAATAAACATCATTTCAAATTTCAAAAAATAATGACCTTGCAATTGGAGTTCGACCTAAAGATGTCGCCAAACATCTCACTGGCGAACCTTTATATCAACATCACCTCGATGGATGACAAGTAAAAAAAAGACTCCATCATTGAGTGTTGCTTCTGTCACAGACTCAGATCACTTATTGATCCATTATCTCTTTCCAACTGCAACCTGGACTTCCCAAGTAAGTTGGAAAGAGATAATGGATCTCAATACGAATCGTTACTTGGATTAAAAATGAAATAAAATCTTTGAATTACAAATATCTAGAATAAAAGTTTGTCTATCATATCTTTCTAATCATTTTCTTTCGGTATTTGCATAACATTTATTTACAAATAAAAACTTCAAAATTGGGAAATTCGATGTTTTGTATTGTTTTTTTTTTTTTTTTTGATGATCACACCACACTGAAATTCATATGATTTTATTTTATTTTGTTTTCTTAAATTGATTTGGTTTGATTTGAGTATCACTCATTTTATATTTTTATATTTATTTATTATAATAAAAAAAGATCAATATGTCATATAAAGTATTAGTACCAGTTAAAAGAGTTATTGACTATGCAGTAAAGATTAGAGTTAGACCCGATAAGACTGGTGTCGAGACTGCCAATGTAAAGATGTCGGTCAATCCATTCGATGAGATCGCCGTCGAAGAGGCAATCAGAATGAAGGAAGCAGGATTTGCCAGTGAGGTTGTCGCTGTATCGTTGGGTCCAAAGACCGTACAGGAGACCATTCGTAACTCGATTGCAATGGGTGCCGACAAGGGTATTCACATCGAGACAGGCACCGCCGACTTGCAACCACTCGGAGTTGCCAAAGTCCTAAAGAAGTTGGCCGAGACTGAGAAACCAAACCTAATCATCTTGGGTAAACAAGCTATCGACGACGATGCAAATCAAACAGCACAAATGTTGGCCGGTCTTTTAAATTGGCCACAAGGTAAGTACTAAGCATTTATCGTTAATATGTTTTAATAATAATAACAACAATGATAATGATAATTAATAACTAATAATAAACAAAAAAAAATATATTATATATATATATATAGCTACATTTGCATCAAAGATTGAAGTAGATAAAGCAAACAATTCAGTAAAGGTAACACGTGAGATTGATGGTGGTTTGGAGACACTCTCAATGAAGATGCCAGCAATCATTTCATGTGATCTTCGTTTGAATGAACCACGTTATGCTAAACTTCAAAATATGTAAGTAAAAACATTTAATTAATAATATATATCGTCATTCTAGATTGTTGTTTGTTACTAACAAAATATTAAAATATAAATAAAAATCATAGTATGAAATCAAAGAAAGCAGAATTAAAAGTACAAACACCACAAGATTTAGGAGTTGATATTTCAAACAAGATTAAAACAATTTCAGTCGAGGAACCAGCAAAGAGATCAGGAGGTATCAAGGTAGACTCTGTAGATCAAATCGTACAGAACCTCAAGAAACACGCTTTAATTTAAAATATGTTAAATTTTTTTCAATGATAGTGGTTGTGGCTGTTTCACAATTTATTAATAAACAGAAATATATAACCAAATTTACACAGAAAAATCATATTATTTACAAAGGTATTTTATTAAAATGTAAATCCTCCGAACCATGAATCGTCCCTGGAAGAACGCCTGACAGAGACTTGGGGTGAAATGTGGCTATCTATATCATAAATTCGGTGATAAAGAGGATGCTACACCTCTAAAAGTAAGTACAACTTAAACTTGTCACAAATTATAAATTATTTATATCCTAATCATCACCAGTTTTATGTTAAAAAAAAAACATTACATTATTCCAATATAATAACAAACATAAACTGAATTAATTAATTAAAAAAAAATAGTTAACAATTAATTTAATAAATCTAAAAAGGGAACATGAAAGATAAGTTTACAGGCTATGAGTGAGTTTATTTTTATTTTATTTCTAAGAGTAGGTGTGAAAGAAAGTAGAGTGGTGTGTTTTAAATAAATAATAATAATAACCATTCAATTAATTCTTTATATCTTAAATTTTAATGATAACAAAACCCAACAACACAACAGACCTATTTTTAGTTTTATTTTTAAAAAATTTGTGATTTTTTATTTCACATAAAAAAAATTTTAACGATTTATTAATAATCTTTAATCAATTCCACTACCTCTTTCTATCAATCAAATCCTAATAATATATCATACAATATTACTTTTTATTGTTAATATTGTTTAAACAACAATCAATCAATCATTCATTTATTTATTTATTTAATTACAATCGATCAATTCAGAATTAAGATATAAAATATAAATTTAATAATGTATGTTAAAAAAAAAACAAAACAAAACACTATATTATTAGCATAGCAAATAAATAAATTAATCTTTGCATAAAGCGAATGAATAAATGGTTATACCAGTATTTTAGAGTATAGTAATGATTAGTATATATATATATATAGTGGTTTTCACTGATCAATCAACAAATCAAATAGATATCATTGGTTTATTTTTGTTTCGAAACCAATTAATAGATTTTAATCAAAATATTAGTTTCTTTATTTAATCTCAATAAAAACACAATAATAACAAACCAATAAAAATGAATATTATTAATAATAATAGTTTGTAATATTATATCCAATAACAATCAAAAAATCAAAATAAAATATCATTACTATTTATATTATTGTTGTTGATTATTAAAGTGATGACTAATAAAATCATATCTTATATTCATCACCATCATTTTCATCATCAATTATATGATCAACACACAAACACACAAACCACAATAATGATATATGATTGCTAATTATGACAATACCATCATGCAATTTATTATTACAAAAACATTTAAACAATCTTTTTTTCCATCATCAGTAAAAATACACACAAGCACACCAAAACCATACAAAAAACAACCCGAATAAACAGTTTTGTGAAAAAAGAAAAAAAAAACTGCTGAAAGCGGAAGATAAATACTTTATTTATTTATTTTAATAATCAAAATCATAACTTCAATTGTTTTGATCATAACTGCACTTGTTGTAATATCAAGATATAACAAAAAATAACAATCATATCATAACAAATCAAATCAATCAATATTGACAACAACAATTTTATTATTGTCATCAATTTCTTATAACCATAAAAAAAAAGAAAAAGAAATAGATAGTTAGATTTATTAAATTATTTGATCATATAATCACTTCCTCTTCAATAAATTAATATCTTTTTTTTTTTTCATTTTTTTAAAATAATCTAGTTTAGTATAATAGTCAACTACCCATATTTTTGTATATATAGAAAATAGATAATAAGCAAAATAATAAGTTTAGAAAAAAAAAGATAGAAATAATAATTGAATAGTAGTAATAGTAATAATAATAATAATAATAATGAGTAAAGCCAATCATTATTTATGTCAAAAGAGGGCAGCGATCAGATGGATCGAGTTGGTGCTCGAAATGCAATTGCCAGAGACAGATTTCATAGAGACTCTGGCAGATGGTGTATTGCTGTGTCGTGTCATTCAAACGATCAGTCCAACACTGATGCCACGTATCTCCATACCGGAACCAAACGCACCACGCCGAACCGTACTCTTTAAGAACAGCGAAAATATATCATTCTTTTTACAGGCTTCCGCTGATATGGGTGTGCCTCGTCACAAGAGATTTGCGCTGGCCGACCTCCAGAATACAAATCCAAGCTACACCAACATCCGACGTATCATCGAATGTCTTGAATCCATTTGTAAAGTAAGTACTTTCTTCCAACAACAACAACAAAACCACCACGACCAACCAATAACCACCACCGTTCTTATAATATTTTTTCAAATTTCCATATTCCAATTCACCAATTCCAATATTTCATTTTTTTCTTTCCTCTTCTTCTTCTTTCCATCCATCTTTTACTCTATTCTTTTCTCTCTCTTTTTCTCTTCTTTTCTTCTATTGAAATTATTATAGATTGCCAATTCAGATTCACAATATGAATTCATGGTTGAATGGCCAGTTTTGGATCCAAGCAAAGTCAATTTCCGAGACAATGAAGTGGAGGAAGCTGAAAAGTTGTTGGCACAGTTCACCATACGTGAAACCAAGCGACAAGAAGTCATCAAGAAGAGTCAGAATCAGACAACCGACTTTTCAGTGGCTGCAACCAAGAACCAACTGTTTCAGCATGTCGCCGATCAGAAAAAGATGTATCCCGATAACTCACCAAAGGTAAACGATCACATCAATCACAATCATCATCATCATAATAACAACAACAACAACAACATAGATACTACTTCTAATTTTACAAGCGACAATAACAACAATCACAATCACACTAGCGATAATAATCTAATCAATAATATTAGTAATCTTGAGAATAATAATTATAAACACAACAGACCACATTCAAAATCATTCTTTATACCATCTTCAAATGTTAGAAGATATAATGGCACTAGCACTACTACTACTACTACTTCTCCAACAACTACGAATAATAATAATAGTGATGCAACATCAACAACAGCAACAACAACAGTCAGTAATACACCAAATAACTTTAGAGATATTTTAAATAAGTGGAAATCATCGGCGTTATCTTCTTCTTCTACTTCACTCTCTAGACAAACACTACCGGTTAATGGAGTTGTACAGCATGCTGCTAAACTTTCAAGTCGATCGAATACATCGAACAGTCTATCGAGTACAAACTCAAGCTCGTCAACTCCACAGCTATCACAGACCCAGACACAAAACTCTACACCTACATCGGGAACACCTACAATACCAACAACACCAATAAGTTCATCGCCATCAATCCAATCCGTTTCATCCGTATCAACAACACCATCAATGATATCTATTCCTCAACATCAACAGCCAACGCAACAACAAGTAAAACAAGAACAACAACAAACAACCAAGAGCGAGCAACAACCAGCAATACAAAAACCAACAGAAATACAAGAACAACCAACACAACAGGTACAAAGTCAAACTCCAACTACACAACAAATATCATCACCTATACTATTAGGAATAGATAACAACAATAACAACAACGATAATAATAATAGTAATAATAATAATAATAATAATAATAATAATAATAATAATAATAATAATAATAATGACAATACTAACGATAAACCAAAAGAACAATTTGCAAGCATTTCATTCTTTGAACCATGCTATACTGTGAGAGTATCAAGTCGTGCTTCACTTGTCAGGCCAATAACATCCCAAACATTTGTTGATCAAGCTCATTTTATAAACAATAACAATAATAATATAACTAACAGTGGTAGTAGTGGAAGTAATTCACCATCTATTAACAGTAACAATAACGCCCTCAACAAGGAGGTTGACAATCAACCTTTAGTATTACAAAATCATGTTTTAAAGAATAGAGTTAGAAGTTTTAGTAGTAGTGTAGTGCCATCTAGTAGTACTTTTAATAATGACAATAACAATAATAATAATAATAATAACTTTAATAATAACAATAGTTCAAATAATGAAAATGATAATAATATATCTACGACTTCTTTTACTAATCAACACTCTAATATACTACAACAACAACAGAGATCAACTTTGGGCTCACCTGTAAAATCAACATCCTCTACTTCCAGTAGTCCAATACCTGGCTCACCACTCACCACTTCAGCGGTAGTTCACAACAACACCAACAACACTGCTGATACAACAACAACACCAACAATAACCAAGCCTGACACTGTAAAATTAGAACAACCACTGACTACTAGCACAACAACCACCACCACAACTACAACTACTACTGCGTCCACTCCAACTGCACCTGTTGCCACCACCAAAATTGTAGAATCAACACCAACATCAACAACACCGGCACCAACATCATCAGCTGTATCAACACCAACACTTGGCGAAGCCACCAACAAAGACGAACAAAAGAGATCGTCGCTCGAGATCAGAGCTGCCATTAGAATTCAAAGAGCTACAAGAAGATGGTTAGAGAGAAATCGTCAAAGAATTAGAGGTATCTATTTTCATTTATATCAATAACCATTACAAAATATTATTGATATTCATAATCAACTAACTATTTATTTTTATTATTTAAAGAACGTGACAATGCCTACAGAGAAAGAATTGCACAGGAGATGGCAAAGACTGAGACTGAATATTTGAATCGTTTAGTATTCTTAAGAGATGTATGTTAACTATTCTATTTAATAATAATAATAGATAATTTAGTTTATTAATTAATGTTTACTTTATTATTATTATTATTATTTATTTATTTTTAGAATATATTAAAAGATTTAAGAGAAGCAATTAGAAAAGGTCAACCAATTATATCGGATGAAGAAATCAGAGCTATCTTTAGTGAGTTGGAGAGTATCATTTTGACTAACATGCAGATTCAAGATATGTTACAGGCAAGACTACAGTCATGGTCGACTGAAACTCTTATCGGTGATATCTTTGTCAAGTTTAGCTCGTTCTTGAAGATCTACTCGCAATACTCTATCAACTACGAAGTCTCGATGGAGGTATTGAATGAATGTAAGAAACAACCGAAATTCAAATCCTATCTCAACAAGATCAAAGATAAGAACGAAGAGATTAAACTGCGTGGTTTAGAAGACTATCTAATTAGACCAATTCAAAGAATACCTGTAAGTTAACTTCTATTACCATTGTTTCATAGTAGATTAACTAACTGGTTTATTATATTTGTTCATTTTATATATTTTAGAGATACAGTCTTTTGTTAAAAGATATGATTAGTCATACTTGGCCAACACATCCAGATTATCAATCGTTGGAGAAAGCATATGTATCGATGAATACAGTTGCCGAGAAGATGAATCAAGCAAAGATCTCTGCAGAGAATAGAATGAAACTAGCCGATATTCAAGAGAAGTTGGATGCTGAGCCATCCAGTACTGTGTCGGTTGTCAAGGCACACAGAAGATTCGTCAAGGAAGGTGAGTTCTACGAGGTGATGACCAAGTCAAAGAAGTCACCGCTGGTTCTCTACTTGTTCAATGATATCCTCGCGGTGACACGTCCATCGAAATCCGGTTCGTTCTTTGGCAAGACCAAGACGATTCGTCTGCAGTTCGAGTCGAGCTACAGTCTTCACAAACTGAGAATCCGAACACTCGAAGACACCAACAGCTGCACCAACGCACTGAAGATCTCGACATCCAGTGAAGATGGCATCGTTATCTGTGCGTACAGCAGTGAGATCAGAGACGAATGGGTTGCCGCTATTCTCGCTGAGAAACGTGAGGCCGAGAAGGCAGAGAAAGAGCAAGAAGAGCGTATCACATCCAAGGTCATCGAGAAGGTTGCCGACACCAAGTTGAAATTGGAACAACAGTTTGCACAGAGAACATCCGGTCAGTACTCGCCATCCGATGTTGAGGCTGCCGGCAATGCAATGGGTGGTGACACTCTCAGTGGTAGCAATGGCAGCTCCAGTGGCAGCAGTGGTGATCTCGGTATCAAATCCGGTAAGATGTCACTCAGAGAGAAGAGAATGAAACTCGTCCAAGAATCAAGAAACAACAGAATGTCATCAAGTGTATCAACATCGTCAACCTCAATCAATACCTCGGAGAAATAAAGCTAAATTATCTTACATTATTATTCAGTAAAAATTTGTTATCCACGAAACAGTAATTTTTTTTTTAGGAGAGTTTTAAATTCAATCTACATAGGAGAGTGTAGTATTACCTGTTTTATCACGATAAATGATTTTCTCCTATGTAGATTGAATTTTTAGAATTTGGAAGTAATCCATTCTCGATTATAATATCTCTACCAATAAGATATGTTAAGTCCTTTGGGAATACATTCACATGTAGAGGTCTATTCAAAATACAAGATATAAGAGATGGTGGTAGTGTGTTTGGTGGAACTTCTAACACTTGGATTAAGTAAAGACAGATGAGTTTGGTTGAATCGTTGGAATTGCTTAATTTTGTTCACATGGGCCAACATCAGACATTTTACAAGGTGTACTTCCAAACATAGAAAATAAATTATTTGTAATAAATAAAATTGATTTGCTATTTCCAAAGAATTGTTAATAGAGAAAGATCAGTTGTTGCGTTGCCAATCTTAGGAATCCTGAAAAATTAGAATAACAATAATTGTGATTCTATGCCACCATAATTGAAATGAAACGAAACGAAAAATAAAAAAATAAAAAAAAAAGTTTGTATTTGTGTGGTATGCACAGTCATCAAATACCACTTGTTTTATTACTTTACCAACTGAAAAATTGAATTGTCAAGTTGATTTGCTGACTGTCAAAATGCATTCTATTCTACTAGAAAACTAGGTGTATTCCCCATTTTCGCAGAAAACTTTTCAAAGACCATTAATTAATTGTTTTTTTAATTTTTTTTTGAAAAATTTAATTTATTTTTAATTTATTTTTAATTTTTACATTACAATTAAGATTGTTTCAATAATAAATATTGCTTTGTCAAAGACAAATATAATAATAAGATTTTTCAAAATACTCTAACAATCTTTAATATTATATATTTATTTTATTTAATTTTTTTTATTTAATTACCAATTTTTATATATATTTTTCAATATCTTTTATTATCTTTTTTTTTTTTTCAATTTTAAAATTCACCCAAACAAATTAATACTTTTTGTTTTTTTTAAATTTCTATTTTTTTTTTTATTTTCAAAAAACTCCAAACAAACCTTTTTTTAAAAGTTTTTTTGCATTATTATTAATCAAGCAAGTCGTTTTATAAATTATTTAAATTACCATTATCATTACTGTATTATTGTATTATATTATAATCACACATAGTATAATTTTTTCCCAGTTTAATTCAAAAAAAGTTTTACACATAAGTGTGAAAAGATATTTTTTTTAATATATATTTTAAATAGATATTTATTTTGTTTATATATTTTATATTTATATTTATATAACTTGTTTATTATATTTACGTTTATAAGAAGAAGAGATTATATATTATATATAGAGTTTATTAGATATGGATCAATTAATTCCTGTTATCAATAAATTACAAGATGTTTTCAATACATTGGGATCGGACCCATTGGATCTACCACAGATTGTAGTGGTCGGTAGTCAATCGTCTGGTAAGAGTTCAGTATTAGAGAATATCGTTGGTAGAGACTTCCTTCCAAGAGGTTCAGGTATTGTCACCAGAAGACCTTTGATTCTTCAATTGACTCATTTGCCACTTGCTGATGATGGTATGTAACAATAACAATAATATTCATTCAACAATTAAAACATTTAACTAATTCAATTATATTTATATTCACATTCATATTCATTCTCTTACTTTTAATATCTTTTTTCTTTTATTTTCTTTTATTATTATTAATATTGTTATTATTTACAATACAATATACTACATTATTATTGTATAACTCAAAACACAACAACACAACACTTATTTCCCAAACACACATCATAATTGAAAATTCAATTTACTTTTTTTATTTTTTTCTTGTTTTTTTTTTTTTCATTTTTTTTTAAAAACCTTGCTATTTTTAAATACAAAAATTAATAATAATGCAGGTGTTCCAACACAAGAATGGGGAGAGTTCTTACATAGACCAAATGATATGTTTTATGATTTTGCAGAGATTAGAGAAGAGATTATTAAGGACACTGACAGATTGACAGGTAAAAATAAGGGTATCTCTGCTCAACCGATCAACTTGAAGATCTACTCGCCACATGTCGTCAATTTGACTTTGGTCGATTTACCAGGTATCACCAAGGTACCGGTCGGAGATCAACCAACAGATATCGAAGTGCAAATCCGTAGAATGATTATGGCATACATTAAGAAACCAAACGCTATTATATTGGCTGTCACCCCAGCCAACACTGATCTTGCCAACTCGGACGCTCTCCAGTTGGCGCGTGAAGTCGACCCCGATGGTAAGCGTACCATTGGTGTCATTACAAAGTTGGATCTCATGGACAAGGGTACCGACGCTATGGACGTACTCACTGGTCGTGTCATCCCTCTCACTCTCGGATTCGTCGGTGTAATCAATCGTAGTCAGGAGGACATCATCTCAAAGAAATCGATCAGAGAGTCACTCAAGAGCGAAGTCCTCTACTTTAAGAATCATCCAATCTACAAGTCGATCGCCAATCGCTCGGGAACAGCATATCTCTCAAAGACTTTGAACAAACTCTTGATGTTCCACATCCGTGATTGCTTGCCAGAGTTGAAGATCAAGGTTAGCAAGATGCTCAGTGAGATGCAGACAGAGCTCTCCTCGTACGGTGATCCACTCTACGACACCAAGAACAGTCAGGGTGCTCTACTACTTCAGATCATCACCATCTTCTCGTCCAACTACAGAGACGCCATCGACGGTAAGCTCACTGAACTTTCCACCAACGAGTTGTGTGGTGGTGCTCGTATCAGCTATATCTTTGACAACATCTTTGCCTCGTGTCTCAACGGTATCGACCCAATGGACGGTATTTCACTCAACGACATTAGAACCGCCATGAAAAACGCAACCGGTCCACGTGCCGCCCTCTTCATCCCTGAGGCATCGTTTGAAATGTTGGTCAAGAAGCAAGTCGGTCGTCTTGAAGAACCATCGTCACAGTGTGTCGAGTTGGTCTACGACGAGTTGCAGCGTATCATCAGTCAGTTGGAGGCAAAGGAGTTGTCAAGATTCCAAAACCTAAAGTCGCGTGTCATTGAGGTAGTCAACAACTTGCTTCAGAAACATAGATCGCCAACCAAGACAATGATTGAACATCTCATCAAGATCGAGTTGGCCTACATCAACACTTCACATCCAGATTTCGTTGGTGGTGACGGTATCTTCCAATCGCTCATTGAGAAGAAACAAAAACAACAGGAAGCAGCCATGCAACAACAACAACAACACCAACAACAATCGAACCAACAACAGCAATCCAACCAACAAGGTTCCAATCCACCAGTCTGGTTGCCACAAACCCAATCAAAGCCAGGCTACCCAAATATTCCACCACCATCGAACGTCAAGCCACCACCCAACTTCAACCAACAAGTCCCACAACAACAACAACAACAACAACAACAAAAGTCAGCACCAAACAAATCACAAAACGAGTCGGGTTACTTCTCATCGTTCTTCAGAGGTGCCTCACCAGATCCAAACTCTGCACAACAGAGCAATGGACAATCACAAAACCAACAAAATTCAAACAACTTGTTCCCACCATACACCCCACACAAATCATCGTCCAACTACAATGACTACCATAGCAACAAGTTGTCGCAGGTTCCATCGGTGATCAAGGCAAGCGAGGACCTCTCCAACAGAGAGCAATTCGAGACAGAGTTGATTCGTGAATTGTTGTTATCATATTTCAATATTGTAAAAAAGAACATCAAAGACACTGTACCAAAGTCCATCATGCATTTCTTGGTCAACCAATCGAAAGAGCAAATTCAAAACGAACTCGTTGGTGCCCTCTACAGAGAAGAATATTTCGATGAACTCCTCGAAGAGTCCCCACAAATCTCTTCAAAGAGAAAATCATGCAAAGCAATGATCGATGTATTAAGAAAAGCCAACGAAATCATCAACGAAATCAGAGACTTTAGCATTTCAAAATAAATTAATAAATATATATTATAATTTTTTTTTTGTAATTTAAAACTATTTTATTATTATTTTTTTTAATTCTTTTGTTATTTTTTTAAATTAAATAGATAGAAGCTACTATAATCAAACAAATAATCATTTTAGATTACAGATTCATCATAATAGTGGGTTTAATTTAAAGTGACAATGTATAAATTATATTTATTTTGTTCACACACATGAACGAAACCGAATCTTTAAAAGTATATTTTTAAAATCCAACACACAGGAGAAATTAAAATCTAGAGCAATAAAGATAGCTATGACAATAATAATACATAGTACTTTATCATCATAGCATTTCTCTTGATTTTGTGACTTCACATCATCTACATAAATATTCTATGTTTAATTTCCTTATTTATATATAGAAGATAGTTAATATTTGAACTTCTCATGTTTTACTTGTCTATAAATACGCAGAGAGAATATAGTTTAAAATGTATAAAATCAAACAAATAAACAAATAATATAATATACAATTATATTATTCACATTAAATACAAACAACTTATTATTTATACAATATATATTTATACATTCATAATCAATCTATTGTAATTTTGAAACAGAATATGAATAAATCAATTATTATATTAATGTCAGCAATGATTGTTGGCATGGCCTTGGGAGGTGAAATTGATTGCAAACCTTTAATCAAGAGTGCTTTCGATAACACTGGTTGTTCCAGCAAGTGTGTTATGATTGCTGGAAGTGGATTGACATCTGGTGCAACTCATATCAGTTTCAAAGGAAATATGATGAACAACAATGGTGTTTTAGTTCAAAATGGAAAGGTAGCTTTCCTTTCTAGTGATTCCTACGCTTGTGATGCCAAAAATAGATACCAACCATTCCTCGTCAGTGGATCTACTTCCTTCGATACCTTCAACCTCTACTCCAATGGTTCGATCAGAGCTGGTGACAACATGTACAACATGAGATGTTTTGAGGAGTTTGGAAATCTCATTAGTTTCAATCATAACGATATTCATCTTTCGTTTATTGTAAGTTTAATTTTCAATAAATCTCTAATAACATAACTAACCAAATAAAACAATTAGTTGAAGATTAGCGATCAGTGTGATCAACTTCATTTCGGTGAGAGTTGCTCAACTCCATCAACTACTGGTTCAGCCACCACTGGTTCAGCCACCACTGGTTCAGCCACTACTGGATCAGCCACTACTGGATCATCGACCACTGGATCGCCAGCTACTTTTACCTTTGATTTCACTTTGATCAATACTTGGGTGATAGGTGATGATGAATTCTCACAATATAATGTCGATATTAAGAATAATGGCGCCACCGATATCAAGACATTGGTCTTCTCACATGAAAACTTTGAGCCAACAGATAAATGGAATGTAGAGTCACTTCCAAATGGTGATTTAACTTTACCTTCATGGGCTGGAATTGGTGCAGGTCAAAAATACACATTTGGATTCATCACCAAATTAGCTACCAAGCCAGTATTCACAGTAAAATCCTCTTCTTCATAAAAAATCCAACCATCTAATCATGAAATTAACACTCAACATGGCTATGCAATACACTTTAATATAAAAACATAATAACTAAATAAATAGATTTTTTATTTATTTATCTTATAAATTTAAAATATGAATTGTCAAATGGTCGAAACTTGAAAAGTTTAATAAGATTTCTTTCAAGTTGACTTAGGTTGATTATTGCTATATTTTTTTGAAATTTGGTCTTTCTGGTTCCTCACCTTTGTATTCAAAAAAGAGTTTAATGCACCTAATCGACTGGTAATCTGGATGATCTAATGTTTCAAATAAGGTGTTTATAAATTTGATACTTGTATTAGGTATTCCACTCCAATCGTTATAGATTATTTCACATTTGATTGCTAGTTTCGTGATACTGGGTATTGATTTGACTGATTCTAGAGAATTCACATCTATGATATTACAGAGAAGTTTGATATAATAGAGTTTAGGTGAATTTGCGAGCAATTCTGAGAAATCTTTTCCTTCAATGACCACCAACTTTGTTAGATTACTCCATTTTTTATATGGAACTATAAAATCATCATATTCGTAATGGTGTTTGAGTTTAGTTACGATTGGTCGGTAGACGTCTTCGAATTCATCTATCATATCGTGGCCATCGAGATTCAGTCTATTTGCAGCACAAGTTGAAAGATTACATTTGATTTGAACATTTGGTTTCATTTGTTTGAATTTCGATAATATCAAGAGTGATAGATGAACCATTGATTGAGTATTAGGTGTTTCATCATCTTCATATTCTTTTCTAGTTACAAAACGTATTGATTCCAACTGATCATTGTCAAAGTGTTTGAGGAATATTGACATAAAATGATTCTCCATTTCTTCGGAGGAGAATGGTTTGTCTCTTGTATTTCCACAAGAATCCTCCATAAAATAATTATGACAAAATATCTTATTAGAGAACTGGGGGAACTTACCATAACCATTCATGTTGTAGTCTTCAACTTCAATGAATGATATGTGTTTGAGATTCTTTGCATTGATTAGTCGCATGTTGAAAGAATTCGTAGTTGCAAACTTCAGAGAATATGAAACAAGATTGTCAAGACATGTTTGTTTGAAACCATCAGGTACGCATTTAAATTCGAGTGCAGTCAAATGTAAGGGTGGATTTCTGAACAAACAATACTTGGTGCCAATGTTGATTTTCTTTGGGAAATGGTAATCGATTTGATTGGATAACTTGATATGATGATCGAGCATATTTGGTGGATTTGTTTGGATACAGTCGAAAGCATTACAATCGATTGAGAGTTTGTATTCTTATCTAAAATTAAATATCTAAATATTTCTTTCAATATCAGAGTATTAAGTTTTGGAAGTGATACATTGTCATTGCTGGTGTTATTCTCGATCGATTGTGAAGGAAAGTATTTGTGTAAACAATCGAAACCCTTTAATGCAACGATGATATTGGTGAATGGTAGCGGTTGTATCTTGTAGAACATTTCTCTGAGAAGTTCTGGTTTGATATTTTGAACTCTTTCCAAAAGTTTATCGAGTCCTTTTTCAACAATGTTTTCAAAACTATAGATATTCCATGGTCCAGAAAACAAATGCTCAAAGTAAACTTCGATATATAATGAAAGGAATTCAATATTATCGGTTTCCAATAACAATTTGATGTTTGTATCATTGAGAGTGTACGATTGATAGAATCCTGCATTCTTCATAATCTTGTTTATTATTGCTCTCGGTGATTCTGTCAACATTATAAACTCTATCCAATATGAATTGAGATATAGCAACGAGTGCTCTTTTACAAAGATATCAAGTGAAATGTGTGGAGCAAGTGTTTTCAAGAATGAAAAGTTGTCAGCTACCTTATCTCCACTAAATAGACTTAAGAAGATCCTTGCAAAGAGTAGTTGGAATGATTTAAAAACTGAAATGACTGTTTCTTTTGGTAATGAATTAAATGCCATGAGCATTTTGAATAATTTTGATAAAAGTATATTGTCATGGTTGATGCCATAGAGATATAAAAATGATTCCAATGCTAATAGTTGATGAGTTGGTTCTAATGATTCTCCATACAATTGAAGTGTGGTGCAAAATGAATACATAATTGAATATATATTCTTTGGTAATGCCAATGATCTTGACTTGTAGATCTCTATAAAATAGAGCATCTTGATAGTTCTTGGTTTGTCAGTTACTTGATCAAATGCCAAAACAAAATCATCCGATAGTAAATCGCTATCTTCAAATATAGATGCTACTTTGACTGCAGAATCGATCTCAATAGTCGAACTTATCAATAAGAATAGCTCTATCTTTGAAGGAATGAAGCTGCTGAAACTTGAATACAAATATTCGAAATCTGCTTTAAAACCAATGGAGGAAGGTGAATTCATTTGTTTTAGTTTTGACTTTAGCCTTTGACAATCGAATTTATCTTTATCTCTTTCGAAATACTCTTTGAATAAATTAAAGATTTTCATATGGGAACCAAATCCAAATCCAAATTTCCAATCACCGTTTAAATAACTATACAATAGTTGAAAGTTAGTTTCTTTCTTAGATGAAAAGACCTAAACGATTTACTTACTTGAAGACATCAATATGATGGTGTGACAACTCTGATATTCTAGCAGGATTTGAATTGACCACTGCTGCTACAAGTTGAGGGATTGGTATTGTATGAGTTGCAAGTTCGGTACAACCACTATTGATCAAATCAACAACCTCTTGTTCGATATTGAAGCAATCATTCAATTTAGAATATACAGGGAAGAAATATCTTGCAGACTCGGTTCTGCAATGTTTCCAAGTGAGCCAGAAAAGTCGATAGAGATCATTGTGATTACAAAATGATTTCAAATAATTCATAATATTTGATTGATATATACTATCGTTATACGGGATAATAGTTTCATATTTTTCTGATTCCGGTTCCAAGTTAGTGATGAAATCGATAAACGTTGATTTCAATTGTCGTAGTTGTTCGTCACTTGGTTGTATCTCATTTCGGTTTTTTAAATCACCATTATCATATTTAAATAACATCTAAAAATGTTTGGTAGGTATAAGTATAGGTTTATTTAATAAATAAATAAAAATAAAAAGCTAAGAAATTGATTAACATACATTAAGAACTGTCGTTAGAATTGTGAAGTCATTGTACCGACAAACTACTGAATCATGTTTATGATTTTCCTTACAAATAATATCTCTAAAGATCGGTAAATAGTAACGATAACTATTCTTTGTCATTATTAATAAATTTTTGAAAAATAGATTTCTTTTTTTATTATAAAACTTGTATTTAAAGAGATTTTTGAGAAAAGTTAGACTGAACAAAACAAACGCGTTAATTAGATTTTAATTTCAAACTAATTTATTAATTTAAAATTAAAATTTTACTTCAAAGAATGAAAAGTTTTCATCTACCTTATTTTCACTGAATAGACTTAAGAAGAGCCTTGCAAAGTTGAAAAATTAGTACCCAATTAAAAGAAGTGTTGACTATCGACAGCATGGTAAATCTACTACAAGCCAGACTGTATTTGTAAGAGTTGATCTACTTTCCCACTGTTCGATAACCACCTATGTTAGGAATGTGTTCTGATCTAAAGAATTGAAGAGTGACGTTTGACTGGTAGAGTGGCTGCTTCACTACTCCGTACATTTTATTTTTTGCATCCTTTGAGAATCTTCATTGTTGTATCTATCTGGACGATCTGAATATATATATCCACTTTCTATTTTTCAACCTTGAAGTAATATATTTTAAAATAATCAAACAAAAAAATTGGTCAAAATTAATTTTTGACTTTTTTTTTTTTTTTTTTTTTGTGAACTTCTTTTCTTCAAATGAATGACTGTTTAATTTTAAAGATATAATATTATAATTTTGGTCATATATATATATATATATTTATTATTACAAAGGAAAAAAAAAAAGATAACAAGTTAGATAGTCACTTTATTTTCAAATAAATAGGGATATTTTTATATTTTATTTAATTTATTTATTAATTATGTCATATAATAAGATAATAGATTCTGATAATGATAATAATAATAATGACGATGATGATTCTAATGAAGATAGAGATGAAGCTTTAATAAGCAATAATAATAATAATAATAGTAATAATTTTATAGATGATATCGAATCGGATGAATCAGTATACAATTCTGATGATTCACATGATGATGGTGATGATCACCAATCTAGTTTCTCGAGATCGACATCTTCTCTTAATAAAAGTTTAAAAGCAATCAAACAAATAAGATCAAATAATATAAATAATAATAATAATAGCATATCTACAGCATCCTCCTCGACAAACAACAGCAATAGTAATAATAGTATCAACAATAATAATAATAACAATATCAATCAAGAACTAATATTACAACAACAGAAAAAGAAGATATTATATACACTTTGGTTCGTAGATCCAGAATGGACAGACGAGCAATTACCATCGGAAGAGGAATTAGATAATGAAGAGTATTATAATCAATATGTTTCATCTAGAAGAAAAAGTAAGTAAGAGATTACTTTGTAATAGCAATCAATTTAAATAAATATGTATATATATATATGGTTATTAATATAATTATTAAAGGATATATGAAAAGTACTATTACTTTGTTCAATTTCTTGATGAGATTACCGTTGATGAGTATTCAGTTTCTAAGCAGATCAAAGCCAAGACAGTCAAAGCTATCGCCTCTACACATTCACAATACAAGACAACCGAATGCAAAGCTATTAGTCAGTAACGATGGAACAATGCTCGCAAACACACAGAATTCATCACTGGTATTTAGAAGTTCAAATGATAACTTTTCATCTATTCAAAAGAGATGGAATTGTATGTATTATAATATTTATGATAGTAGTAGTATTAGTTATGTTAACAAACATTTTAATAATTAAATAGATTTCCAAGCAGATAAAGAATCACAATGGCAAAGACTATGTTTCAGTCCTGACAATTCAATAATGGCATTCTCAACGAGTGGATGTACAATCTATATCATATCGATTCAAGGCGAAAACACTGTTAACATTTTATCGCCAAGTATGTTAGGATTGAATCCAAAAGATGGAATAGTAGATCTTGCAATTAGATACTCAATTTGTTTACTATCGAATCAAAGATCTCTAGTTAAATGGTAAGTAAAATAATAATAATAATAGTGTAGACATATACATCCAAATATATACATATTAACAATCAATCAATTAAGTTTTGAATTGTTGGTGATGGGATATGATATGATATTAAGAAGATTCCACATACCGATGTTGAATCAAGAGTTTACGGTTCATCCGGTGAACAACTCGCAAGACTCGGTGTTGAGTGACGGTTGTAATCCAGCGACATTACCAATCGATATGAAAGGAATACATCATGAGGTTGGTTGCATGGACTATTGTCAGGCCACCGATATCTTGGCGATCGGTGGTAACAGGAAATCAAAGAAATCGAAAGGAGGCAGTTCTATCAAGCCATTCGTATCGTTCTGGAAGTTATCCGATGAGGAGCCCTATTTCCGTTTGTTAAACAAACCATCTGTAACCGGTGTTGATTTCGATACTTCTGTTGATGGAACAACTGGTAGCGGTAGCAGTAGCAGCGGCAGTGGAATGTCAAATTCTGTATCTGTATCTGAACAAATTAACTTACATAATCAACAGCAACAACAACAGAAACATAATGTAACAACAAAACTATGGAACAAACTCCAGAAATCGATATTTGGTGATTATTTCCCTGGAATTATTCTTCACAAGATTAGTTTCTCAAACGATGGATCACAGATTCTAGGATTGGATCTAAATGGAACTATCTATCTATGGAATACTCCTTTGTCGACAGCAGCTCTCGCTTCATCGACTAGCGGTAGCGGTAACCAGTCGAATGTTAAACCAATTAAAATATGGACAACCGAAACACTTTCCAAGAGAATATGGGAGCGATCATCTTCTGCACCTTCAAGTGTTACTTCCAAAAGTAAGTTTGGTTAAACAACAACACATTTTGTTAAATTCAATTCTAATATTGTTGTTTTTTATTATTTAGATGTTGTCGATATTTCATGGTGGTCTAACGATCAGATTATTGCAGCGAATAGATGTGGTGAATTTGTTATATTCTCAATGTTGACGAGTGAGAATTGTTTGCTACACGATCCAGAGACAGTGTCATCTACGCAACCACCTATTCTAACACGTTCACACAATGGAAGATTCTTTATTTTAGAGACTAGTGGATCGATTCACAAGAAGCCGTCGTTCTTTGCTCTGTCACAGGAGTATCTCCACGAGAAGATAGGACGTCCTTCAGTTGCAGCCTACAAATATATCTATAGGTATTTCTATGGTGATCATCCAGATGATCAGGATCCATTCGATTACAATATTCAACGTATTGAAGGTAATCAAAATATAAACGGCAACAACAACAACAGTAACAACAACAACAGTCAATTGAGATTGAATGATCAAGATAATAATACCCAACAGATTGAACGTAGAATCATTAGATTCCAATCGACAACACCAGAACAACTGTTCAAAGCTAAAGTCGCTCAGAAGGAATATAACAATGCCATTATTATCGCTGAGCATTATGGTTTGGATAAAGACTTGGTTCATCAAAAGCGATGGTCGAAATCACAGGTATCAAGCGATACTATCAAGTCATATCTATCGAAAGTACAAGATCTCAATTGGATACTATGGGAGTGTCATAATAGAATACCATTGAATTTCGAATCCACCAAACTCCTACTTGAATACGCATTAGAGAAATCCAGTAAAATCATCAATGAAAATTCATCTATTGAATCTTTAAAGTATGTTTATCTTATTTATTTATCTATATCTATATAAATTGTATTAACAATATTTTTTTATTTTTAAAACAACTTTAGGGAACATAAAGATTTAATTGTTCATAGAAATATTATTGTAAATTACTTGAATCGATTGATTGTTTATAAAGAGATCTATGGTACTTCATTTGATGCTTTAGATTTCTTGAGATTCAGAGGATGTAATCTTGTGTTGGCAGCGATGGAGTATGCAAACTCTGAACACTTCAAAGCTATCGAGGTGTTGTTTACCTATTACAGTAGATTTATATTGCCATATCGCTTGCAGATTCTATCGATGATTCCAGAGACGACCGATCCGGCACAATATGAAAAGTTGCTACCGGATTCCAACAACTATTGGACACCAAAGAAATCGTTTGAACAGGATTGGTGTCAGAGTGCTTCCATCTACAAGAATGTATTGGAGGGTTTCGACTATGAGAAGCATACCGATAGCAACTATCTCAAGGAGATGTTGGTCAACTCGTTGAAATCAGACTACGAGGATATCAGAGGAACCGATAAAGTCAACGATATCTATGCGATGGATTACGTACAGCTGCCATTCGACGAGACAACTTTGATTACTTCACTGCCAAGCGGTGTGCTGACAACCGAAGATATTGCCAAGTGGTATAGCGAGCGAGCGTTGGAAATCGATAGGAAATCAGGTCAGATTGACAATGCATTGTCACTCATCACCATTGGTATTAAAGAGAAGGAGGTGACCGATCAGTCACTGGACGAATTGAATCGTTTGATTCAACAGGTATCAATTATCATCTATGATACCAATGCCGATATCTCGTTGGATCGATATCAAACGTTGTCACCACAAAACAAACTAGCGTTGCTCTTGAATGATTCCAATAGTCATACCATCTACAATAATATTCGCAATCGTTTGGATACTTTCAAAGAGTTGTATCCTCCAGCGGACTTCGATGATCTACTGGAGAATTACTTTGTCGACAAAGCAAAGCACAATCATATTGGACTGGTGAGATACTACATCACGACTTTGAAGCAAAACAAACCGGATCAATGTGGTTCTGCATCGACTCTATCTATTGCACTCAACAGTATTGCCAATGTCCAGTTGATCAACGGCGATTCACTCTCTCACATGGAAGCAATCATAGCGGATCTACCCGAGCGTTCTGTTGTCGGTGGATTGTCGCCAGCCACCCAGAGACTATTGAACTTACGCTCCGATTACTCGCGCTATATTCGCGCCAATAAGATACTGCTTAAATACAATGCAACCAAATCGATTTCCTTTTTCCAAGATACCAAAGAGCGTTCCGATGAAGTTGCTTTGTCGCTTCTCCAAGAGCTATGTCGCCACGCCAAGAAATCGCAATGGAAGAATGCAAACTATCGATCGATGTTTAGCGACTTTAACGATATCAAACAAATTGTATTTTACTCTGTGGATTCAACTGTTCTCTATTGTCAGATTGTAAAGTTTGCTCTGGCCGAAGGTAAATTTTCTTTGGCGCGTGAGTATTTCGATGGCTGTGGACCGGATAAAGTGGAGCAGCTGGTTGTTGCCGCTGCTAAAGAGCTCTATAACTCTGCATCGAGTTATAACTCACCGAATATGGCAGAGGCACAGTTATGTTTGGAACTCATTAAACCACCAACTCAAAGGATTGTTCGTGAGCTCAATCTTCTGAAGGCAACCGAGATCATGACCAACAAGTTCCACTACTCCAAGATTCCACTTCAAATTCGTTTGATTCTTGATAAAGGTTTGAGTAAAACATCACCAAGAGTTGGGCAACAACAGCAGCAGCAACAACAATCTTCAACTCATTCACTAGATATTGGACAAGAGGAATCGTTGTTTGGAGAGAATCAAGGTAAATTTGAATTGATACAATCTTTGATCGATAGTTGTCAGAATGCCTATCAGGATGTCGAAGAGATTCTACACTTGTCAGCATTACTCTGCGATTGGGTCGATCGTGATTTGAGTAAGGATGTTGATACCACCGATCTTTTTATAGATGACCATATCATTGTGGAGGTAATGCTAGCAAGAAAAGCTATTCAGCTATCAGACTTCTCAGTGGCATTCCGTATCTGTAAGATGCTCATGTCCGAACCGAAAAAGAATATTCCCTCAAAGTACAAAGAGATCTATCGAGTGTGTTCAAGCTTAGCATTGGACGGACACTTTAGTCATTTGGAACCGCGTCTGGAGTTGCTCTCCTATTGTCTTGTCTACTGTGACCAAGACGATCTTACAAGATTCCTCGAAGCCTACCAAGAACTGGAGTTACGCTCCAACATTTTAGAGAGTTCACAACGATTCCAGTCGGTTGCAGACAACAGTCTGATCTCGCAATTAAAGTCGTCGGTCGATGAAAATGGTGAACAAACTAGCGTCTATGATAAGTTAATGCGCAACGAAAATGAACTTGCCAAATACATCAAACAGTTGGCAAGTGAACAACCATCGGAAATTAGATTGGAACCACCATTCTCTGAATCGCTTGAATCAATTACAACTTTGATTAACCGTATCGATTGTGATGACAAAGATGACGACGACGACAATGACGAAGCATCAGACAGACTCTACCAACAACAGAACGAGTTGATGTTCCATCTTTCACAATTGATCCAGTTCATTGGATCATCAAATCACAATACTCAAGATGACAACTTGAATGTTGTTCGTTTTGAATCAACCCAAGAGATATTGCTTTTACTCTCAAAGTATGCTATTCATCATGGATTCCTCAAGAATGCACTCTCCTATTATCTGTCGGTTGCTGATCAGTCTCATGTTGACAGAGTGTTTGGCTGCCTGGTGGAAAGCTCTCAATCGAATCCACAGTATCAGACGAGTCTGGAGCGTGTTATTCGGCTGGCTTGCTACTACTATTCGTTGCGCTTGCTTTCAGCTGTTGCCGCTCGAGACACAAGTACCACTCCCAACTCTATATGCTCGTTGTTCAATATTTCAGTCGCCAGTGTAATTGAGTCTGCATTTGGTTTGGCATCGTTACCCGGTGAAGACAGTGACAGTGCTACCAAAGACCTAGTTTCGAACGTCCAAAAGTATCACAAGATGCTTCTCGACTCTATTCAAGCCAAGGAGTTCTCAGAGGTCAACTACAATGTCGATTTCAACAGATTCAAAGAGGATCCCGTTTATAAACGCGATACTATATTCCAATTCGCAATGACAAACGACGCCAAGTCTTTCCAGACTGCATTGTCAATGGCGAGTCGATATGGTATTACAAGAGAAGAGGTTCTAGAGAAACATGTACATTGGAAGATTATCGAAGATCGATCCGGTTTCACCAATACATTGCTCACCAACGAGGACATTTCGAGCTTGTCTGCTATTAAACATCATCTGATACAGCACATTTTCGACAAGATCGATGGATGTGACTATGAACGTCTATTACTCTTCAATGAACTACTCGGTAGATTTGACACTGGAGATCAAAAGTATCAGGTTGCCAATAGAAACAAAAAGAAGTTGTTGACACTGTTGAAATCACCAAAGAACACAATCAACAAGATCTACAAACCACTCAACTTTAAGTTGTTAATCGAGAACACATCGTATGATCCATATGTAGACGGATTGAAATCACTTCTAAGTGAAGAGAATATTGCATTCTGTTGTAATCTTATTAATATTCTTCAGAATATAAGAAGTGATGTCGATTTGATACAGAATTACACTGTTAGCAAGATGTATCGTCAACTCATAAACAACATCATTCAACACGAAGAAGCTGATACAGACATTGTCTCGGTTGTACTAAAGTATCGTAAGCAACTGGATGATGTCGATCTCGTCGAAGTCTATGAGATGATTGCCTACGGTGACTATTCAAATCGTTTGACAATGGAAGAGCGTATCGATGCACTCAAACAAGTCACCAACACTGATCAAGTTACAGATAATCCAGAGTTACTCGCCAAACTTCAGCAACTGCTCAGCCATTTGGAGGTTATCAATAAGCTACAACATCTCGAGCCAAAGATCAATCTCTCGTCTTTGAATATCATTGAAAACTACAAGAATGCACTCATTGAAGCGTTCAAATACAGCTTGGATATCAAGAGTGTCAACAGCAAACAACTCGACACGATCATACCGACATTGATTCAAAAGAATCTGGAGATTACACCGAGTCAATGCGAACAAGTCTATCAGATTATCAAGGGAAGCACTGATGTCTCTGATACCATCGCTTCTCTATTGAAATACTACCAAACATCGATCTCCAACCTTCTCGAACAACTCGGACAATCGAATGACCATATTCAACAGTTGGTACTCTCAGAATCGATCAAGAGAATCATTGACAACTTCAAAGCTGGAACCAAATGGCATTCCGAACAAAAGATATTCCTTGAGGAACTGAGAGAGTTTGCCTATGACACCAACCAGCCAATGGAGTGTAGAATACTCATTTTCGAGATACTCAAATCTACACCAACACTCTACGACCGTTCTCATCAAGATTGGATGGAGCAAGATCTCATCCAAGTGAAGCAACACAAAACAAAGGAGATCATCAAGGAAACATGGAAGAGTGCAGATGTTACATTCAAGGAGATGGAGATTACCACGCCCGAATCAGCTATTCCACTATTCAACAAGTTGATTAGCAACAGTGATACATTCCAACATGTTTCATACCTGTCGGATCTTCTGGCGATGTGGAGCAACGCACAAAAGAGTGATGCGGAATCCTCTGATACCAGCATCCATGTTTTACATAACTGTTGGCTCAAGTTGTTCTTGGCATTCATCCCCTTCTTTGAGGGAAACAATAAGGCTGTAAATCAATTCTTGCGCATTCGTCTCGATCAAATCAAGCAATATCCAATGGAAAAGTCAGAGGAATTGGAGATCTTGGAGAAACTAAATAACACCCACAACATTATCTACTATAAATTTGGTATACTTTCCAACTATAGAGGAATCCAAGTTTCAACAGTAAACGATCTGCTTACGTTCACTAAGAATACTTTTGTTATTAAGACTGCCATCGATTCATCGGCAATCTCTTATTGTCCACATCACCATACACCAGAGTGTCACAACGATCTCGACCAATTCATTCAAAATAACCAACAGCTATTCCAAATTATATACTCAAGTGGATTCACCTATATGTTTGTAGACACACCACTCTACGATACATTGGTCAATCTTATTACGCTATACAACAACAACTTTAATAATGTAAATAATTATCAATCACGTGAAGTTGAATCATCCATTGAATTCACCATTGCAATGCTTTCCAAGAATCAGCACTACTATCAAGCTGCCTCTCTTTGTTTGTGGTGGCTTGGTATCCATCCAATGATGCACAGCTTGAACAACGCCATCTCCTATTTGAAGAAATATATCAAGTCGACAGCCAGCTCAATTGGAAAATCTATTGGTACCAGCACAGATGACGAAAGTTTTAATAACGATATTATAGAACTGGAAAAACCAACATGGAAAACAGTTTATATTATTTTAAATCATGTAATAACTCAGATGGATAAAGAACTAAACAAAAATAATGAGGAATAATAAATTTTTATTATAAATACTAGTATATTATTAAACTGTTGTTGCTTGCCCGCTCGATTCTCTTGGAGATTTTAATACTTTGTTGTTATTGTTTGTTGGTTGAATTTTTTCCATTTTAAAATTAAGATTGGTATTCTTGATTGATGGTCTGAATTGGTAAAGTATATAAATATAAAAGGTGGCTTCGACTGCAGTGTCAAAAACGTAGAGTGATATTTGTCTTTTATCTTTGCCAAGGAAGACAAAGAAGATTAAAGAGAGTGGAATGGCAACCCACCAAATGATTGAAACAACACCAAAGTTAAAAAAGAATGCTTTCTTAATAGTGTCTTCGTGTGCTCTGTATGACTGTCTAATAACTATTAAAAAGATTGTCATAGCCACGAGGATCAGTAAGATATGAATAAGTCCTGGGATGGTGTAGTAGTAGTATTCGTAATGGTGCATTTTCAAGAATGTAATTCTAGGAATGACATTCAAAACAAAAGTGAAAAATATCATGGCAATGTAATAACCAGCAAGGAAATACTTTTGTGCTATCCATGTTCCATATGGATAAAGTGGTGAGGTATTCCATCCACTGGCGACCAAAAGAGTTAAAAGTGCCAAAGTCCAGTAGGAAACCCAGTCAAAAAACTTGGCAGCTATGAATAGGTTGTCGTTAACCAAATCTTCTTGTTCAATGAATTTAACTATCCAATAGAAGAACAGACCAACCAGTTTGATAATGATAACCAGAGTAAGAAGTTTCACTACGCTCGGATCCAAAGATCTTCTAATGGACATGATAATACAGAAAATCGTTAGAATCAATATAACTGAATATCCTATGAAAACACCCAATTGAAATATGGATACATCATTTCTGATTGATGATTCCAATTCATTATATTTGACCTCGATGGTATAATGATTGACATCCAATTTTTCATAGTATTTCAAATTACAATTGGATATAGCTAATATATATTTCGATTGCTCTGGATTATGAACAATAGTATCTGGCAAGACAATATTTTCAATAGTATTATTTAAATCGATTTTCCAAATGGCATCATCCTCCTAATAAAAAAAAGAAAGATATGATTAGAATTGTTTGTTAAAAAAAGTTTGTTTTTAATAATAATATTTACTTTTTCCTTACAATCAGAGTAATCATCCAAAAATTGATCTTCTTTATATAATAATAATTTTGAACTTTGATCTTGTTGAATATTAATAGTAATACATTTTACAGTTTGATCAAAAGTAAAAGTTTTCAATATCTCCCATGTGGTTAATTTAAAAATTGATCCTTTATAAATATCTGACTGTGATGGGTATGAAAAAACTATTCCAACTAATAAAATAAATATAAATATATTAAATTTTGTCATTTTAATTTTACAATGTAGTTAGAAAATAAAAATGTAATAGATTGGAAGTTGATATAATGAACTTACATCTTTATTGAATACTTTAACTTCAAATTTCAAATCATTTTTTTAATTAAATAATTATTTCATCTACAAATATTTGTAAACTAGTTGAAAAAAGAAATGAAAATAATCAAAAAAAGGTTGTGTGTTAATGAAATAGTGGTATGATCAGAATTGAGAGAAAAATGGGGTGGTTTGTGGTTGTATGAATGAAATGAAATAGTGGTATGATCAGAATTTAGTGTGGAGAAAAACAATTATTTTATTTCGATTTTTGTATGAATTTATTTCTATAAATATTTGATATGATAGTTTAATACTCTAGTGATAGGAATGTCACTCTATAGTGACAAAAAGATAGAGAGAATAAATGAGCAGATTACAACTACTGGGAACTTCCATTTCAGGTCAAAGTTTGTGTTGGCACTGTTGATGTCACAGATTTCTCTATCGATTAATGTTGTTACAAAGTATGGATCGATGATTGCGTAGCTCGAGAAATTTTCAATACTGATTGCAGTCATTGCGTAAATAGCATTGGAGTTGGATGTGGTAGTGGTTGGCATCGATGGGTCGGTCGATGGTAAGATATCGATCTTGGCTGATCTGAACTTTCCTCCGTCAGATTCCATACGGTCGGCATAGTAAGATTGGAGAATAGCTGTGGCAGTGTTGATCTCTACGTATCTGGTGAAGGAGTTGTCCGCGGTTCTACCAGAGAGAACAACTTGAGAGTCGACGCAGAGTGAGCTCTTGACACCGGCATAGATAAAGACAACCTTCAAGCTGTTTGCTGGATTGACGAAATCCCATTTGCTAATGTTGATGGTGTACTTGAGAGAGTTTGGTTTGGTGTCGAAACTGTCACCCAAGAAGTTGTAGGTTCCAGCTGTAGTGATAATGTTTGCCTTGATTTCAATGTTGGCATTTCCAACACTACCCGAATATGTATTGAGATTTCCAGAGACGGTCTTTGTCCAAGTGATTTCCTTGATCAACTTTTGACTGATGATGGTACCGCTGGCATCGACTTCTCTGAGCTCGTGGATCGAAACAAAGAATGGTGAATCGTAACCACTACCCAAAACACTGTCACTATAGCTATCGAGTTGTGGAGCGAAACTTGTGGTGTTGGTAGAGATCTTGAATGAACAGACAGAACCAATCCAACCGGCATAACACTTGCAAGTACCCTTCATGGTGTCACAAGTACCTTGACCACAGTCAGTTGGACAAACAGTTGGAGCAATATAGATAAATACATCCTTGGCATCAGAGAATGAGCTAACTGTGACATTTACGGTCAAAGCAACAGTACTTTGAACAGTGGAAGCAAAGTTACAAATAACAGTAGTACCATCCGTGCTTGCTTGTGGAGCTGTACATGGTTGACCTCCAATGGTAACTGATAAATCTACATTGGCAAAATTGGTACCTGGAAATAATAATGAATTTAAATTTATATTAATAAACAGAACAATTATCTTCAATTTTATATGTTTTATATTTACCTGTAATTGTTACTAAATTGGCACGTCCGAAAATAGTTGATGATGAACTGATAACGGTTGGTTTTTGATATTGTACTGTAAAGTTGGTTGGCTCGATGTTGGTATTTGGAACATAGACAGAGAATGTTGCAATACCTACTCCACGTGGAGCGGTACATACTACGGTCTGATTTTCAGAATCACCAAATGTTGGGTTTACACAACCGTTACCGTTGATCTTGAATTCCAATACTTTGGTATTGTCGAATGAGAATGGTGCAATGCTCTTACCGGTGAGAGTAATTAAACCTCCGACGACAGGTGGACTAGTGATGCTTTCAATGACTGGTTTGAGGTTGATTCTGAATGGTTGTGAGGTCTGACCACCTGCTGAGATAGTGATATCACCACTTCTTGAAGTGTTGGCGATATTCACACTGACAGAGGTATAGCTGATGCTTGAGAATCTGGTAGCTTGAACATTGAGACCACCGATGGCTGCACCGAATGTATTGGTATTGGAACCAAAGAAATTACCTTGGAATGTGATGGTATCTCCATTTTGAGCGAAACTATTGATGGTTGGTGGCGGGAAAGCTCCATAGTAAACTTTGGATTGTTGGTTAATGTCATTGTAGAAAGTGATTGGTACATTGTTTCCAACCATTAGTGGGAGGGTGATGAAGAATGGATCGGATCCGGTGATCGATACGGTTGTCGATGGTTGGCTGAGGTAGGCCCCAAAGATAACCTTGGTGGTGGCTCCAATAAAGTATCCACTGACCGCAGAGGTTAAACTGATTGGTGAAGATGCGACTTGGAGAATTGGTTTCCAATATTGGGTTTGAGTGAATACGCTACCGAGTGCGGATGCATCGACCTTAAATTGACCGTCTTTACATTGGGCAGACAATTGGAATGTACATGTGGTGGCACTGGTGCATGCAACACTGGTTGGAGATCCACCACCAACTGTGATAATCCATGCCTGTGAGTAGAGATCAAAGTAATCACCGATCATTGTAACGGCAAGGTCGTTTTGGATGAGATTGGTAACCTTGATATTGTTGAAAGAGACATAGAGATCCATGTTTGGAATACCAGAGCTACCGTCTACACTGAAGGTGGTGACACGTAATGGCATATCTCTGAGATTTGATGGTGGAGCCGCAAGACTACAGGAGAAGGAAGTTGAGTTGATCCAAGCACCAAAGGTACAGATTACTTCATTACCTTTGACTCCAAACTTCAAAACCGGTGTTTGTGGTTGAGCACCAAAGTTCGTACCGGTGGCAATCAATGTTTGAGTAGCGGCAACCGAAAATCTATTGGGTGTGACAGAGGTTAACCATGGATAGTTTCCAGAGGTAACCAGTGATTTGGCAGCTGAAGTTTTATTTCCAACTGTAACAGTGATGGAGAGAGTCGATGCTGGTGGAAGATAAACATTGAGATTAACAGCTCTAAACTCAACAGTGTTCAGCTCGGTGTAGACTGGTTTTCCATTGACGTTCAATATAAATTGGTTACCGAGATTGAAACCTGCGATAGTCATATTAGTGGGAGAATTCATTGTAATTGAATCGATCGATGGCGCACCAAAAGAACATGACACGTTCATTGTTCTGGTCATTGATGGTCTGTCATTATTACTGAAAACAACCGAAGCAATAAAATTACTGGTGGTTGAATTGATGCTGGGAGCTCCGTTGATATTTACGTTAGTTCCTGAAATCGAATAAGAACTTGGTAGTACTGGTCCTTGTCCATTGAAATACCAAGAGGTTGTAGCGTACAACCAAGCCATTGTGTTCATATTGATATTCGCACTTCCTCCTTGTGTCCACATACTGCAATCACTATTTGGAAATTGAGTTGGTGTGAGGGTACCGTAAATTACAAAGGTAGGGAACAGACTCTTGTCAAGTGGACCAACACCAACCAGACTTGGAACGTTGGTATCGACATAGTAAACTGAACTGAAGCCAATTTGACCGGTGGTATTAGCAAAACTGTTCGAGTATGGTGACGATTGGTAGGTGAGATCAAAGGTGAGAGCATTGGTCTGAATGTTTTGCCAGATTTGCTTTGGTGAATCCGATGGCAATTGTGACTTGACGAAATTAACGAGTGCTGTGTTGTTGATGTTTGCTACATATCCTGGATCCTTGTAGACAGCAAGTGACTTAACCCATGCGGCAGAATCTGAGTATTTCAATGGTGGTAAGAAACTGTAGAGTTGCATAGTTGTCTCCTCTAGAATAGCTGGACGAGCTGAATAAACGTAGTTTCCGTACTCTTGGAGATTAATTTCAATTGGGAACAATTTCTTTGATGCCATGCTCTGGGCGAAAGTAAGGAAGGCAATGTCAGCCAAACGATTAACTTGATCTTGGTAGATTACATATGAAGCGCAACGCAAACCGTTGATTACGAATGGACATAGTGTGGTATTTTGAATCATCAGGAAATTACCACCGGTCAAAGTAACGGCGTTTGGTGTGGCGGCAAAGTAACGAACGGTAGAAACCCATGGTTGAGAGAAAGTGAAGAGATTTGGGTAATCTCTAACCACTCCATTTGTGGTTAAGGAGACCGAGAATGCACCGGCGTACGATTGCAGAGGTGCAACTTCGAAATTACAAGTAATGGAATTGGCGGTGGTTGAACTGGTACTTGTACATCCAACACGATTTCCAGAGGGATTGGTTACATCTACGGTTGTAACACCTTTGATGAATCCTGGAATATTATAGATAGAGACCCAGTAGGCACCGTTGTCCATGATAGAAACCTGTGGCGAAATACCGTTTGGTTCAATCTCAACAACCAAGTAATGGAGGTCTTTTTGGCTGGATGGCAACCACTTCATATTGTCTGGACCGGCAACAAAGTGAATTTGAGTGCTAACCAAATTACCCTCGAACTGACCACAGAATAAGGGACATCTACTCATTGGAATGCTGCTGTAGAAAGGAGAATTTCTGGTTGAACCATTGATCCACATCCAATTATAAATATCTGCTCCAACCTTAGCACCTAACCAAACTAAATTTCCAACAGGAATTTGAAGTCCTTCATTTACCTTGACAAATTCATCATAGGTTTCAAAAGCTGCAATATAACTATTTAAAAATAATTATTTTTCGAAAAGTAATTAATATTTAACATTTCTATTTTCCTTTTTTTTTTTTTACAACTTACCCACCGAGACTTTCTGCCATTTTATAGGCACCATCCCAATTATATTGAGTGTCCAATAATTTATATTGATGTGACATATATGTAAATGTTTTATCTGCATTTACATAGTTGGTAGTTAATGTTATACACACTAATAAAAGTGATAAATAGAAAATATTTATTTTCATTATTTTTTCTTTGAATCTATATATTTATATAAATAAAAAGATATAATAAATATAAAGATGTTTATATTTTAAAATTGATTATCGATCATTGTCTTTATCAGATCTTTTAAAAAGGTTTCTCGTTCATTTGGACCGTTACGTTGTTGTGGTCTTTGTAAAAACAGTAAGAATGAATGAAACAAAAATAATTTTGAATAATCTTTGAAAAACGGTTGTCACGAAAAGGTGCTGTCTCTATTCTTTTTTTGGATTTTGAGATGCCAAAACTCATCACAAAAATAAAAATAAAAAAAAAATATTTGCTCAATCTAGTTTTTGATTCGTTGAAAAAACAGAAGAGTTTTAGATCACCCCACATGATTGGTTGATTTTATTGCTGATTAACAAAAATTAAAGAATAAGCTTAATCATAAAGCATGGTAACTTTGTCAACATTCACTCTTATGAATGAATTTATCTTTATTAACTATTTGATTAGTTAATAAATTACCTGAATAGAATATATTTAACATGATATGGAAACAGAAAATATTATAAATAATGTTTAAATATAAAGAGAGATATAGATTATTGTTTTTTTAATTTACTAAGCGTCATTGAATTGAAGTTCTTTCCAACACTACTGGTCATCAAGGTGCTGAGAATGCACGTAATGTCGGTCATAACAAACTTACACAGAGAATACCATTCTCTCCTTTGTTACATATCAGAGTTAAGCTTGTCCAGATCTTGAATATCCCAAATGCAGACTTCTAGTATCGCCATACGGCAGATCTCGTTGCATGTAAGATATACTCTAGAACGAAGATCAGAACCAGCTATTACTAAGCAGTGGTAGCGTACCACCCGGCACAACATCCATCTCTGATCCGCTCAAGGAAACATTCAAGCGAGTTCCGATCGAGTCTGAATTCAATGTTGATAAAATATCTTGCTCTCATCGTTCGACCCAAACACGAATCAATATCCATCGGCATTGTAAGATGTTATTCAGCTCATTAACAAATCATTGTACACATAAAGAAAACCTTTTGCTGACGTTGAGAGGATAATACCGATTAGTTTCAAATGTTGGGTGTGAGAAAATGGTTTATCATGATGGCTATAGTAGTTGAAGATCACAACCTAACAGTTGCAAATGTTAGACCAATTGAAATCAATTCAAGAAATATATCTTTGAATGTTGTAAAGCTATGGCTAAATAAACTTTAGGTTTTAAGAATGTTTTTTATTATATATATATTGATGGCATGATAATTAGTTTTTTTTGTTTACTTTCTTCCACCTCTTCCACCTCTACCACCTTTACCTCTTCCAAACTTTGGTTGTTCATCTTCGTCATCACTGGTGACGTCACCGTGCTCCCACATACCAAGACGTTTGGAAAGAGCGTGCTTTTCTTCATCGGCGAGTTTGCTTACGACGACTGGGTTTCTCTTGGTTGCTGGATCGAGTTTAACGAGACCATTTCTCAAGAGTTCGGCGTTGAGACATCCTTGACCGTCTTGGAGCAAAACATTGAGTCTACCGTTGTCCTCCTTTGATTGGACAGACATATTCATTGAGCTACCGAGGAACTCATCTTCCAAGAAAATAATAGCATCTTCAATACGTTGTTCGGAACTGGAGCATTTGATATAGGCCAAGTTGACTGGGTAGGAGAGTTGAGCCAACGATTGGAATTTGGCAGACAGTGGTTTCAATTTGTTGATGGTGGTGGTCTCAGAGTTTCCATAGTCGTAGAATTGCACTCTGACATCCTTTCCTTCGATCGATTGTACCTTGGCACGGTACCACTTGTTGTCTGCACTGAATTGGGCATTTACAAGATCACCTACCTTTGGTGACCAGTTTGGAACTTGAGCGTCGTCCAAGTCGAGCTTCTTGAGTGACTCTTCGATATCGGTGGTGTTGCTGTTGTTTGGACGAACAAAGAGTTCGGTTGGTGAGATAACACTGGAGATGATGACTTCACTGGCTTCGTTCTTGACGGCACGCTTCTCAGCCTCGGCAGCGAGTTGTGCTTCGTATTGACGTTGCTCTGCTTCTGGATCGTAGTTCTTCCACATTCCCAACTTGCTCTTCTTGGCCTTGTCTTCGGCGTCCAAATAGGCCTTTTGATTGTAGAGACGGTTCATTGGGTCGTTAACACTGGCAAAACCATTCTCGACCAAAGTCATAGCGTAACTCTTGCTGTTGACCAACATATTACCCAAGAAATTACCACCCTTATCTACGTCTTCGATTTGAACAGAGACGTCATGTTGATGTAAATTGGCACGTGAGAACAACAAAGCGTTGTTGGAGATCTCGTCCATCTCTACGGACTCTCCACGCTTTGGTGCACGGACACCGCTCAATGAGAAGTTAATCAAACACGATTCCTTTGGAATGTAGATCTTGAAACGTTGAGCGCTAAAGACATAGTCGATAGAGGCACCGTGTAACGATCCCTTGATGTGTGGTAAAAGCTGGGTGGCCTTGGTCTTGAGATTCTTGTCGTCGGCTGCAGAGCAATCCTTGACGTTAAAGGTTGGGGTGGAGTCTTTGTTGGAGTGGAGACCGGCGTTTCTCTTCTTGGCTTTGTTCTCGGCGAGAATCAAAGCTTCGTAGTCGATCGAACGTGAGTCGGCACCCTTGTGCTCGGTGACACGAGCGAGACCAGCCTCGACGAGTCCGAGGGAGACGTTACCCTTGCCCAAGTAGACACTGTAGAATGGCTTCTCTGGAAGTTCAGAGGCAGCGATAGCTGGTCTAACAAAATCGAGCTTGGCGTTCACTTGCTTACCGATGAGGTGTTTTCTGAGCCATTCCTTGGCTTCGAATGCCCAGTAACGCTCGAATTTAATGAGTTTTTGTTCTTCCTTTGATTTCGATTGCTCGTTGTCGTTTGGACGAATGAGATTTGGTACACGAATCGAAGCGAGAGCAACTTTATGTTCGTTTTTGTTGGCATCCAAAATGGTGATGTTTCCACTGTTTCCGATTTCAACGACCTTTCCTTCGATGGCATCTGGATAGCCAGAGGTGGTGGAGGCCGACGAGGTGGAAGTGGTTGAGGTGGAAGATGCAGAAGCACCGGCACCAGTGCTCCACATTCTTAGACCGGCGGTCTTGGCAGATTGTTCGGCGGTCTTCAAGTTGTTTTGGTCGGCAGCGGAACGCGAATTGGCACTCCAACCAACAAAAGTACCGAGACCTTGACGAAGCAACTCCTCGGCAACATCCTTACCGGCACAATGTATAGATCCAAACAAATTACCTTGCTTGTCGAATGTATCCAAAGTCAATTGAATCTCACGATGGAGAACGTTATTTCCAACCAAAGTCTCTGCGTCAACAGCGAATGGCTCTGGTGCCATTTGACCGCTAGCATCCTTCTTATATGCTGGTGACTGAACACCTGACAACTGTACTTGAACAAGATGGAATGATGGTAAAATTACAACTTTATAAGTATTACTATTTCTAATATTCTCAACAAGTCCTTTAAATATGATGATGATGGTGGTGATGATGATTAAATAAATTAGTTAGATTTGTTCTTTCTCTAAGTCTATTTTTTAGATAAATTAAAAAAGTTCATACCTTGAAGTTGTTTTCCCTTTAATTTGTTAAAGAGATCAAAGTTGTTGATAGTGTGATTGGGACGAACAGCACCCTTGAGTGCAACTGGATTCTTATTATGTACACCGAGTTCTTTTGAGGCAGCCTCAGTCTCGAGTTGGAGAAGGACGGGATCTGGCTTCTTGGATTTGTAGACGGTGGCCCAACCCGACTCTACCATCTGTTTGTTGAGTGAGTTCACTGCATCGTCCACCAGGAAGGCAGTGATGTTTGATTTCTTTGAGGCTGGGTTGGTGTAATCGATCGAGAAGTTGACACGCTTTCCAATGCATTTCTTACGGAGGTAGTCACGTGAGTCCCATGCAAAGGCGTCGTCTGTAGTGGCTGGCTTGTCGTTGAGAGCTGGACGACCGAGACGAGGTGCACTGATTCCCGACAACAAGTACTCTGACTTTTGTTGGTATTCACCTCTTGGGTCGATCTCTTGGATCACCAAACTGTCACCTGAATTCACTGCACGAACGACACCACGCAATGTAGCGTTTGGTTTAATTTGTGAGGTGGTGGCGGTGGTAGTTGGTGTATTGGTTGTAGTTGTCGATGGTGTTGCTGACATCATTCTTTTTATATATATGTGAAAATAGAATAGATATTTATTTTATTAATAAAACAACAAAAATATAATATAAATATAAATATAAAATAAACAAAACAAAGTTAAATTATATAAATATAGTTAAAAAAAAAAATAATTAGAATACACAAAAATGATGATCCCCACTAATAATACATAAAAAGTTTTTTTTCAATTGATTTAGCAATGTAATTTCAAAAAAATGACAATATAAAAAAGTCAAAGTTTTTCTGCAACCCAGAGAACTTCAACATCAGAAAAAAATGAAAAATTTTGATCATGTGAAAAAACTAAGTGTGAGGAAAAGATAGAATAACTCAAAGACATTTCTTTTCACATGATTACCATTGAATATTAATTGAAGGTTCAAATATTTTTTAATTTTGTATAATATGTTGTTGAATTCATTTGAAAGTAGACAAATTTATATTATCAGATGGGAGTTCAGACATCTCTTCTTTTTCTTTTATAATTTTATTAATAATATTTTGTTCTAGTGTTCATTGTATGGTAATTTAATTTGAAAATGGATCAATTATTTATTTATTTTATTAATAATATGATGTGGAAACAAATCAGTTTTGCGAAGAGGGCCACAGAATTGATAAAATGAGAGCATTGTATGAATGCTTGATGTTACTGGAGATCTTAAGATTTGATAATTGTACTATTTTTGGTCCAAATAGATCGTCCCAGTCGAGTAACTTGATTTTTAAAAATGGTTTTATGTTGGTAGGTATGGAAGTGATCTTCTTTGGTAATATTTTCTCAAGATGTCGACATTTAAATATGAATTCGATCACTGACCACATCATTCGGTTGAAACAATTTGATGCATTACAAAACTCTTTTTTTGATTTGTTAGATAGTAATAAATGGCTCGATTTCTTTAATTACAATGTAGTCTTTGGTATGATTCTGTCAGTGCATTTCAAAAGTTGAATGCAGTTAATGGGTTGCACGTGTTGTCATAGAGCTCAAGCTGTTAATCTCTAAATGATGAGATCTCATCGGCTTCTTCTCTTCTTGTTATTTGTTTAATATTAAATATTTTAGGTCATCGCTGCGATTAATTCAAAAATAAATAACATGTTAAATAATACTATTTCCAATCTTTTATAATTATTTTTGTTTTAAAAGATGCTAGTTTCGAATATATTAGATTGTATTCAATATAACCAATAAAATTAAATTTTATCTGTTTAATAATTTTGTTGATTTTTCACCAAAAGAAAATTAAATGTTATAAAAGTTCAAATATCATGATGCTTTCACTTATAACTTTAAAGAAGTTGTTAACCAATGAACAAACAAGAATGTAATAAAAGATATGATGTCATTTTTATAAATGCAAATGGGTAAAATGTTGTTGGATATTTAAAAAAAAATATCAAAAAATCGAAAAGGATGGATTGATTGGTTTTTTGCGAACAAAAAATTTTTAAAACAAATTAAAATTAAATATTATCACTAATTGAATTTTAAAACAAACATAGAGAATATTGCTATAGATAATAGCATAATCATCATAATCTTAGTGATCATCACATCACATCACATTTAAATTACAAAACTACTAAAATATAATAATATAATATACAATACACAAACATATATATAATACGGATAAATGCAAAAACCAACAAAAACAGGATATCTATACAAGAAAGGCATTATTAATAAGAAATGGCAGAGAAGATGGTTCTCTCTTGGTGCTGACAGTAAGCTAAACTATCACAAGACACAACATGATAAGAATTATAGATCAATACCTTTAGAACAATCTATTGTAAATGTATGTAAAGTTATTAATAGCAATCATAATCATTATTAGAATATAATAGTAAACTAATAGATATATACAATACAACTTATATTACAGGTTTGCACAGATATAAATAGTATTCAGAGTGAATTTGGTTTCGTTATAATTACACCACAGAGAATCTTTTATTTGTATGCCGAGAGTAAGTTGGATCTCGACGATTGGTTGAGGAAATTGGCGACACACTCTAATTTGGATTCAGAGAATCTGTTGATGGAACAGGCAGAGAATTCAATAAGAGAGAGTATGACTAGACGTTCGAATCTCGAAGACGAACTACTGAGAAAGAAAGATAGTATATTCCAACACTTGACAATGCCTGTTTATCATCCTCTTACACCTATGACATCGTCGTCATCATCGAATACATCGACAAACAACTCATCGACAACAGCAACTACTACAACATCAACAGCAGCAGCATCTTCTTCATCCTCGACAACAAAAATAACAACAACAACAGCATCAACTACTAATGGCAGTAGCAACAACAACAACAACAACAATAATTCAACATCACCATCATCAAAGTCATCATTCACAACAGCACACCCAACACTTAAAAAGACATCACAACAACAATCGTCGTCATTATCATCATCGTATCATAGGTATTCAAGTTCTTTTATTGAAACAACATTGAAACCATCATCTTTTTCATCTTTTTCATCCGAACGAGGTAATGATAATAGTAATAATAATAATAATAATGCAACAACAACAACAACAACGACGACAACATCCACTCCAAAAACAGATGATTCATCTTCATTAGATAAAGGAAATGAAAAGCATTCTGCCAATTTAAAGTTATTTGAACAAATGAATAATACTAAATACAACATCAACAACAACAACAACACAAATATAGATAATCATATTCTAAGTATTAATAGTGACCATTCTATAAACAACGGTAATCATAGCGATACAAATAATAATAATAATCACAATATTAGTACAAAGAAATCGAGAAGTTTTAGTTTTAGTTTTAAAAAGAAAACTGTTATACCTTCATAAATAATGTATACAAACAACGATAATACACATACATAAATACAATTCTTTAGTATTCGTAAAACAAAAAAACATCATAAACTTGTATAATAATAATAATAAATACTATTGTGATTTGATTATATTCAATTAAACAATGTTATATGTTTTTATATATGTTTTTTTTTAATTATTACAAATTATTATTTATTAGGTTTTAAAAATGATTATATTTTGATTATTAATATTATTATTATTATGATTATGATTATAAAACGAATTGATTATTATAATTATTATTGTATCTAATTGATTTCATAGGAATCAACCATTAAAGTTGTTTCAGTTGAGAATTTAGTTGGTTTGTTGGTTTCTTCTTGTATTACTTCGGCGACGGTTACGAATAAACTGTTGTTTCCAACAAAGTTGACGTGTACTGGGAAGAAGTTGCTGGTTGCACCCTTTACGGTGAATACCAACGATCCGGTACGATTGGAGTTGTCGACGTGTGGTATCTTCCAGAGGATGTTCTTTGCTTTGCTGTCGTACTCGTAGAGTCCGTCGAATTGGTCGACCGATGGTGCTGCACTCGATGGATTCGGTATGGAGATTACGATATTCTTCAATGGGAATTGCACAACCGATTCATACTCCAAATTGACAGTGGTAGACTGTCCGCTTGGCGATGGCCAACAATTTACTTTCAGTGGAATCATCGAATCCTCTGGTACTCTATATCTCCACTTCAAGACACCACCCGCTGGGAATGCTTTTTGTCCATCCTTTAATCTCAAAGTTGAACTGCTAGTGAGTGCTGGTTTATCTATATTTGGATGAGTCTATTCAAAAGAGTAGAAGAGAGAGAGCGAGAGAGTTAATTAAATATCCAACTACAGCTATACTCTGAGTTTCACTGTTGTTGTTATATATGATACATTACAATACATTGGAAGTTGGAATTATTTGGCATTTGAACTGATACTTTAACACGTCCTAGATTTGGATCGTTAACATTTACATCCAATACACCTTTAATATCTAAAGTATTGATGGTTCCATCATTTTCCATAACAATTGTAACAGTTTCCTCTACAACAATATGTACTCTAAAAAATATTAAAAGGTTAGTAACCGTTTGTTTCAGATGATTTTAATATATAGTTGTTCAACTTACGCCTCAGTTGGTATAGCTGGTGTTGGTGGTGCTAAACTACCGGTGTTATCTGATGATAATAAAGCCTCTAATTCCTCTTCTTTTTCTACAACTTTCTCTTCTTTCAAGACCTGTGCAAGTGATGATTTCTTGATAGATTTCGATAATTTCATACCCTCCTTTGATGGTACTTGTGATTTGGTAGGTGGACTAATGATAAATAGATAGTTAAAAAGTTAAATAAATTGTTAACAACCTCACATCATCATTGTTTGTATTAATCATTCATTTTTATACATACGTTGATTCTCTCTTATCCATACGTGGAGATGGGTTGGAAGATGAGTAACCACTTCCACCACTGTAGTGTTGATCGCTAGAGTATGAGGGTGACATGCTACCGCTACCCATTCCACCGCCACCACCCATTCCACCACCGATACCACCACCGACACGACCGGAACCACCACGAGCGAGATCGTCTTGTCTGAGTTTCTCGATCTCCTTGATCTTTTTGTTGGCGTTCTTCTTTGCTTCGCTCTCACGCAACTCTCTGTCCATTCTGTCACGCTCTTCCTCGTGTGACTCCATTGAGATGAAGTGCTTGATCTGTTGCACGGTGACACGCTCTTTGTATCCCATGGCAATGACCTCGTCGAATGTAAAGATGATATCGAATGCCTTACGCGAGACATCGGCTTCATCGAATGAGCTGTACTCTGGCACCAGCTTTGCCAGGAGATGCAATGTCTCGAGATCCTCTAATATATTCGAATTCTTATTGGTGATCAACACCAAATAGAGTTGTTCCAATGGCTGGTAGACATATCTGATATTCTCTGTCTCAATGAATGTATGTTGTTTGCCATTACCAATCAACTTTGGGAATGCAGAGAGCAATCCTTCGATTCTGCTCTTTGTCATCTCTGAGAATTGACGTGATAACAAAGGTCTACCATTCTTTGTACAAATTGCTGCTGCTAAAACAACCTATTTATAAATATATGTACATACATTTAAATATTAATATATGTAATTCTAATTTAATAATGATGATTTGATTGAATGATGATAAAACTAAATCTAAAAGATTAAATTAAACATATCATCTCTTTATCATTATCTTGCTTGATTATAATAAATTTTAAAAAAAGAAATCTTACCATATCTATCTATCGCTTTTAATATATATATAAATATCACTCAACACTCTTAATTTTAATATTCAATAAGAAGGTATTGATCATTAAATGATTTTTAATTTTGTTTTATTTTTATAAAAAAAATTTTTGTTTGTTCACTAATAAAAAATTTATAAAGTGTTGACCACATCAGAAAAAATACTTTGCAAAAGTCAAGTGAATCATCAAATTTATTCTCAACAGTTATAATTGACATTAAATATATATATAACTTTACAATTTTTTTTTAATTAGCAAAAGATCATTTATAAATGAAAGTTGAATTAATTAATTTTATATATTTCAAAAAAAATAATTAAAAAATGGATTAGATATATAAATAATTATATTGCTGACTCACGATGTACAACAATTAAACAAAATAGAAAAAAATAATAACTTTAGATATATTAATTAATATTGACAAACGAATATCTATTTTTATTAATTATTTTAATTTTATAATTATAAAAAGAATTATTATTTTTAGTTTTTTTTAATATTTGAAATTATGTGTTTGTTTTGTGAACACACACTTTTTACAAAAATGGAATTTTTATTAGTAATACCAATGAAGTTATAATAAAAGTAAAAGTAAATTGAACTTGAACTTTATTAATAAGTTATATTTTTGCAAAGTTATTAAATTTGAATTTATTAGTTTTAAAAAGTGTGTGGTGCTACAAATGTCGAGCGCTACACTAACAACTACCCACCAATACGTAAAATATCAATAGTATTGATTAGAGATAATACTAATCAACTGACAACCATTTCCATTGGATATTTTATTATTTAGTATAAAACAATTAAAACACAAACAAGATAATTGTAAACATTTGCTGTAATGTTACCCCTCTTTTCTCTTTAAGTACTAAAAGGTATGACAACAAGAACTCATTACTTAAAAACAATAGAAAAATAATCCATCTTTTATCTCTTTGGTATGAACATACAACACACATTGTTTCTATTATTTTCAATTCACATAAGATATATATTATAAAAAAATAAACCACCTAGATTTCAATTTCTAGAAATAATAATTAATAAATATTTTTAACAACAATAATAATAATACAAATAAATTAACATTCTATACTTTTAAAAATAAATCTATCTATCTATCTATAAATTTTTTGCAAAGTTCAGAGTCCAATACCTACCACTCACACATAGAGATAAACACACAAACACACACAACACATACAAAAAATCCAAAACAACTGGTTAACCTCTCAGCGAAATTCACCCACGCACAACGCCATTTCATTCCAAAGTGGCTATAACTTCACAATAACAATCGACAGTGCAAATAGAATTACTCTGTGGTAACATCATAAAAGTAGTCTTATTTTATTTTCAAATTGAATTCGTTGGCCAAGAAGAAGCAGTGCTTCCAAAGAATATTGGTATAGTATATAAAAACAAAGACAAACATATGAAGAATTGTATTTTTATAAAAATAATCAAATATTGTAAAAACTATTTACTATCACTTCTGTTTATATCTATCAGAACCAACAATAACTTTTGTAAAACACACACACTGTTTTGTTCTTGTTAGTTCACAACATTAATTTATGTATATATATAGTTAACTAAATCTATTCAGAGTTTATCTAAATATATATTTATTTGTAAATTTTTAAATAATTCCTATAATTTCAATTATTAAAATTATTTTATCTATTTAATATTTCTATTTTTATCTTCTTTATATATAAATAACAATAAACATACTAACTTTTTACCTACTTTCTACTGTAACAACAACTTATTATAATCAAATGTTTATGGTTCTATTACTAAATTATTTACTTAAATTTTTATTCCATACATCTAAAATATATTTTTAATTATATCTATATAATTATTCATAACTATAGATCAAAAGATTTAACTATTCTACAATATCCATCGATTTTACTAAAATATACCAAAATTACTATACAAATCAAACTTGTTACATTAATTTTCAATATATATATTTATATTTATATAGAAATAATACAAAAAAGATATTTATCAATTGAAGATTTATAAAATTAAAAAAATTACTATTATAAATTTGGAAATTACTTCATAAAAATATCTGTTATCCATACTTCCTGACAATATTTATTATTACTATTTATTAAAAGAATAACTATATTGGAATATCGATACTATTATTATATGAATATTTTTAATTATATCTAAAACAATAAATATTACTATATAAAATACTATTAATTATATATTTTTTTATATTTATATATTTTACGAGAAAATGATAGGTGATTATACAAACAATCAAATATTTAGTCATTTCGATAGTTTTCACTATGAAAACTCATACGAAGAGAAACGAGAAGAAGAAGAGAAACGATTACAAGAGTTGGCAGATCTACAAAATGCACAGTCTGGAAAGAGAAAGCAAAGACTGGTCAAGTTTCTATCACACAGCAGACATGTCCTGAAGAAAACACTGAGTATCACCAACTTTATACACACTGGAAAGAAGGAAACGTTCATCTCTAGAATGCCAATGGAGCTACTGGTACATATCGTCGGATTCCTGGAGTACTCGGACATTTGGAATGTCATGTTGGTGTGTAAGGAGTGGCGTGCCATCGCACAGGATGAATTCCTCTGGAAGATTATCTATCAGAACTACTTTGTCTACTATCCAAATCGCGAGGCTTTTGCACACCAAAGAAAGACCCAGAAAGATCTGCACTGGCGTGACATCTTTAGATACGACTATATCAAGGAGACCAAGTGGAGTTCCGATGTATACAAGGAGTCCTACCTACATGGACACACCGGCACCGTCTGGACAATGTTGTACGACGACGAAAATGGATTGATTTACACTGGATCATTCGACAAGACCACCAAGGTATGGGATCTCAAGAAGAGAAAATGTCTGTACACACTCTATGGCCACTCCTATCCTGTTCAATGCTTGGATGTCGACAATGGTTTCATGGTTACTGGTTCTCTGGATAACAGTCTGAGGCTATGGGATCTTGGCAAGCGTCAATGTCACAGTATAGTATCGACCAAAGCACACAATTTCGATGTATTCTGTCTACAAATGTCTGGTGGACTGATTGCCTCTGGCTCTTCCGACTCGACTGTCAAGCTCTGGCGTGTAGACGATTTGATCAATTCCGAAGAATCACTCAATGACCGAATGGATAGAGGCGAACCCCAAGTAAATATGCAACCACTCCAAACATTCAAGCACAACTCATGCGTTACTTGCCTACAGATGACCGGAGACAGATTGATGTCTGGTGGATCCGACAAAGTAGTGCGTGTCTGGGATCTCAATGCACAAAAGGAATCGAATGTGTTGGTCGGTCACGATGAAGGTATCAGATGTCTGCAATTCAACGAGAACATACTTGTCACTGGTTCGAATGACACTACTGTCAAACTGTGGGATCTAAGAATCAAGCACGGTGCATACAGCTCACTCCGTACTCAAGGCTCAATTAGATGTCTGCAATGGGAGGGTACTTCACTGATCACAGGATCCAATGATCAAGTAGTCCGTTGGTGGAACTTGAATACCGGTGCATCTGTAGAACTATTCCAATCCGAGTCATCAGTATCCTGCTTGAAATTCAAAGACAATATGTTGATGTGCGGATTAAGTGATTCTAAAATCCAAATATTAAAATTCGTCTAAATCAACAACAAAAAAAAAGTATCATTACAACCAATAATATTATTACTACTACCTACTACTTGTATGTTATATTTAAATAAAATAATAAAACGATACCGACAAATATATTACTACCTATTTAAAAAAGCTATTATAATGTTTATATTCTATTTGTTATTGTTCTTCTATCTCTTCTTATATAAACATGGTTTTAAAATAGCTGATGAATCTATATTTCTATCATTATTGTTTTTCTGATTCTTCTTGTGGATATCTGCAACCTTTGTGAAATTAAATAAAAAGAAATATTTGTTTTTCAAATTCTTTGAAATGATGATATGTTAGTTAAAATTATAATTATAAGTTGATTAACATATTAACATACTTTGTTTGATAATTTGAATTGTAGGTTTGAAATTTCATTAACAAATAAATCATTATCGGTTATTCTCGATTCGATCTCTGCAATCATTAACTTTCCGTTGGGTTTCAAAACACGGTTAGCCTCTACGATAAAGTCCAAGAAATTGGTTCCCATCAAAGACAGACAGAATACTACAATGTCAACGGATTTGTCTGGCAATGGTACATTCTTGACATCACAAGCAACCACTCTCTCGTTCTTTGCAACCAAGTCAAACGAGTGAACCTTAAACTTTGATTCCAATGACTCTGCAAGTCTTGCCTCACCACATCCGAAATCGGCAATCACCAGATTCTTCTGAGTAAGTTTCTGTAAATCTTGAATAATCAAATCCAATGGATTGATTGGCCAATGTTCAACCTGTGCTGCAAATCCTGTATGATACTATAATGTTGATGACAAAGGTGATATAGAGTATATATATTAAGTTAAAAATCCATCTAAATTACTATTATTTCAAATTCTATATTTATAAATTACCTGGTCGAATAAAGTTGGATCACTCTTGAACTCATCAAAAGCTTTATCACTCTCACTTGTATATAATATTTCATTGAGATATCTAAATCTACTACCTCTCAAATGTTTATCCAACTTTTCAAATGCTTTCGATGATTCATCTTTGTTGGCGCTATCAGATATTGAACTGGTATCAACACTATCTCCAAATGGTTTTGGATTCTATTGATTATGATGATAAAGTAATAAATTAATAATTTGATTAGTATTCAATGACCATCTAAATTTTAGTTTGGTATCAGGATCATACCCATAAGCTTCTCTTTTCGTTATCTTCTACGGTTGTATCTATTTTCTTAATTTCTTTCTTTGGTGGTGCTGTTGTTCTTGTATCATTTCTTTTATCGACTTTTTTATTTTCTTTATATGATTTATTTGAATAAATATTATTATGAGCACTCTTTGGTTTACTATTACTACTACTATTATTATTATTCTTTTTTAAACTTTGTTTTTTGCTATTAATATTATCTTTAACTTGATTTGATTGATTATTATCTTTTTTAAAATTATTTTTATTATTCTCGTTATTCTTTTTTACACTCAGTGGCTGTTTTTTCTCACTTCCTTTAACATTGTTATTCTTTGATGGTTTCATTCTTCAAGTTATAAATAAATATAATGAAATGTTAATTTAAAATTCAATCAGAATAGAAATTAAACGAGTCGTTTGAAAACTTAAATAAAATTAAATAAAATAACAATTTTTGTTTGAATTTTTGAAAAAAAAATAATAATAAATTTATTTAAATAAAATATTAAAATTGTGTGAAGTCGATCAACTTGATCTTGTAAATTTAACACCTGTATGAAGAGCGATTATTTATAGTTAATAAAATAATTTTGATTGATTTTAATTTGTTAGTAATAATAATAATAATATCTATAGAGATAAATTGATTCTTTGGTGTATGGGTGGCTTTGAAAAAAGCCTTTGAATTAAAACAATTAAGTTTTATCCTCTAACAACATTTGTTTGGCGTTGAGAATGTTTAGAAACCTTGGGAAGCCTCAGCCTTGGTGCTCTTCTTACCCTTCTTGGATGATTTGGTTTGGAGATGAGCAGAGTTTGGAATGACACCACCATTGGCAATGGTTACATTTTGGAAGAGTTGGTTAAGCTCGAGATCGTTACCAACAGCCCAGTTGATGTGTTGTGGAGTGATACGAGTCTTACCGTAGTTGTGACAGGTATTGTAGGCAAGTTCGAGGGTTTCAATTACCAAGTATTCCAAGACGGCAGCCAAATAGACTGGAGCATTGGATTCGACACGTGGAGCATAACGACCTTCACGCAACAAACGTTCGATACGAGAGACTGGGAAGACAATGTGAGCCTTGGCGGAACGAGATTGAGCTGGCTTTGATGACTTTCCCTTTGGGATCTTACGCTTCTCTGCTGGGGCAGTGGTGCTGGCGGCTGGGGTAGCCTTTGGCTTGGCGGCTGGTTTGGTTGGGGCAGATTCAGCAGTGGACATTTTTATTGTTGTTGATTGGGTTGTTGTTAAACTTTAATTTGAATTAATGAATATAATAAACTAATGTTGATTGATTATTAAGAACACAAAGTTATACTTTTTTGTTTTTGAGACAAAGATAAATTTTTGTGAAAATGATGTTGTTGGAGGTATTGTAAAATAAATCATTAAAATTCAGTTTTCAAAATAAATAACTCAAAAAACACACTATTCTCATTGAAAAATCTGGCGCCAAACACAAAAATCAATTTTATTTTTCACCCAAAAATCCGAACATTATCAAAAAAATTATTGAAGAAAATTTTTTTTTCCAATTTTTTTCATTTTCATCAAGAATTTGATCCGTTATTCTTTACCTCCAAAAAATTTAAATTTGAATTTAACTTGATTCTTTTAGTTTTCACTTTTAGTCGTTAATTAATATAATTTTAATTTTTAAAAATTTTAAAAATAAGATAATTTACAAAAATGTTAAAAATTAAATTAATTAATTAAAAAAAAAGAAAACAAATGATTTTTTAACTTAAATTGATCATTTGAATAAATAAAATAAAAAAAAACAGATCACAACTAACTTTAGACTCTGTTTAAACTCTTTTAAATTTTGTTTGCTGTTTGTGATCTTTATGGACTAGTTCAAGATAGTAACTTAAAAATAATCTTTGCTTACTTTTGTTATTTTTTTATGGATAGATTGTTTCATTTATTACTTTACATTACATACTTATTGTTAAATATAATTATCGAAATTTCAATTTGATTGTTGTTTTTTCTTAAATTGCAACATTATTCATTTATTTTTTTTAAAATTAGATTTTATTTTTTAAGTGATCGATGTTTTGTGTTGTTGTAACTTACTATTAATGTGTTGTCTTTGGTAAAAAGAACACATCGGTTAGTCATAGTCATCTTCATAAACATCAGGTAGTTATTCTATTTCACTCTCCTAGGTAAAAGCAACAAATAGATAGATTAGATTCATAGTATCTATCTATCTTTTTTTAAATCAATATAATATGAACATATTTCGAAAGATTGAAACTCTAGAGCAGTTAGAGTTACCAGAGGACATCGTAAAGCCATTCGAAGAGTTGGAAGATGAAAGTGATAGTTACTCTGATGAATTAGATGATCTAATACAAGATGATGAAGATGAAGAAGAAGAAGAAAATAATAATAATAATAATGCTGCTGTTGTGAATAGTAAAGATATAGAGAAAGATAATAGTCAAGATAATAATAATAATAATAATGTTAAAAAACAAAAACCAGTGGCAGCTGCATCGAAATCTAAAAAAGATAATAGTAATAATAATAATGTTAAAGTACCAAAAACAAATAATCCAAGTAATGATAAAGCATCAGTAGTATCAACGACAGCATCATCGGTATCGACAGAGGTTGCCAATAAAAAGAAGAAACCACCCAATGCTTTTATTTTGTTTTCACAACAGAAGCGAAAGGAGCTGAAGAAAGCAAACCCTCAGTTCTCCAACGCTCATATATCAACACTACTAGGTCAAGAGTGGATGGCACTTCATCCAGCAGAGAAGAAGGGTTTCGCAGAGAAAGCTGCTAAAATTAAAGATGAACTACAATCTTAATAGCATTAACCAACCAACCAACCAACCAAAGAAACAAACAAACAAAGAAAAGATCGATTATTGTACAGAACAAAAACCATCCTATTAAATCAATTCAATTAACATTAAATAAACTTCACCAGTAATGACTATTTTATTCATTACATTATCAATAAATTAAACAATTAAAGACTTTTTCAATATAAATAAATAAATAACATTATTTGATTAAAAATATAATAGATATGTTTTATTAATTATTAAATAAAGAATAACTATATTCGGTATTTTCCTTTTTTTTCTTTTTTTTTTCTTTTTTCTTTTAGTAATTACTATTACAATGGTCTTGTTGCAGGTGTTGATTGTCTTTTTCATCTATTTGATGAACTAACATCATGTTTACCTCTTTCCTCTTTCATCTTCTTTCTTTTGTAAAATAGTTTACAATAACTATATATCTTCTTCATCTTTTAAAAGCTTATTTTGTTTTATTTTATTTACTGTTGTGGTTGGTTTATTGTTGTGGTTGTTCAGTAGTTGTTGTTGGTTTAGTCGATGGATTTGAAAATCTCTTTAGTCTACGATTAAGTGTTTCATCAGATTCTAATTTCGAAACGAAAAAAAAAAGAATATTAATATTAATGTTTGTATTCTATTTAATAATGATTATTAATTTAGCAAATAAGTAATCATTTACCTGGTATCAGAGGGTTAGAGTCAGCGGCACCAAACTTTTTCTTTCTCGCTAAAATATCTTGATGTGTACCTAAAAGTTCTGTTTTTTGATCGATCTTTGTAGTTTTAACTTTAGGTGTGCTGGTGCTAGTAGCTTCGGTGGTTGTGCTATTGTTGCTATTGTTATCTTTGGCAGTACCGAATCTTTCTCTTCTTTGTTTCTCTTTTTCGGCTGCCGACAATACTGGTGATGAGTTTCCAGCGGTTACACTAGTGGTTGTACTGCTACTGCTGGTGATGCTACTTGTGTTGTTGACCGACGAGACAGTTGGTGAAGTCTTAAACTTCTCAGCTCTATATATCATTCTTTCTTGTTGAGTCATCTTTGTAATGTCTACTGGTGCGGTTGTAGAGGTGGTAGTAGTTGATGTTCCATTTGCACCGTTGTCAGTTCCAACAACGGTAGCAGTTGCAGAGGCATCAGTCTTATTCTCTTCGCCAGAGGCCACGGCAGTTGGTGTGTTAGTTGTAGTAGTTGCAGCAGGTACTGTCATTGTTGTGGTTGTCTGTTGTTGTTGTTGTTGTTGTTGTGCTTGATGACTATCAATATATTCTATTAACTTTGCTTGTAACTCTGCTTTCTTCAAACCTTTGATATCTAATCCCAAGGTTGTCAACTCTTTTTTTAAATCTTCAACTTTCAATTTGTCAATTTCACTTTTTGATAGATTCATTGTTTTTTTTTTTAAATTTTCTCTTCTCTCTTTTTTTTTTTTTAAACTTTCTTTGATTGATCTTCAACAGCTAATTATTTAAATTTAAAACTAATAAAAATATAAATATATAATTTGAACGGAATTATTATTCAAAAATATAAAAAAAAAAAAAAAAAAAAAAATTCTTATGATTAAATTAAAAAAATAAAATAAAATAAAAAAATTAAACCAAGTTCAACCACAACACTACATATCAAGAAATTTATTTTTGAAATTTGCTAAACACAGTGTTTATATCAAATTCTTTCAGATGTTGTTAAGCAAAGCAAATGTGATGAAATACATTCATTCTTATAACCAAATCATTACCATAGTTATTTTATTTATAATGTTTTGTTTTGATTGTTTCTTGTTGGGCATTTATCATATGATTGACGATTTAGATACGTCCATGTGCACCCAAGAATGGTTTGGCCTGGGCAGCAGTATCACCGGTGATCGAACCAATGATGAGACGCCAGAAGTCACAGAGGATAAAGACGATCATGGCCGATCCCAATGCCTCGAGAGCGGATCTGCTGAGTGACCACTTTTGTCCGTCGTTGGTCTCGTCGATACGAGTGAACATTGGGAATGAAACGACAAAGTAGAGCATGTAGAAGGTCGATCCGATCAAGTACATCTGCTCACGATTCTCGATGTGGTAGTATGGAACCTTCTCGAGAGTCCATGCCTCCATGAATGCAGTGAAATAGGACATGGCTGCGATGATCACTATGGAACCGACGATCTTTCCGAGTGGCTGACGCTTTCCAGGCGCGGTTGGAGCGTAGCTCGACCAGAAACGACGGAGGATCGGTGTGGTAGCGGCATGGTAAGTCATAAAGTAGGCGTGGGTGATAAAGTAGAGCATCACTGGTACCTCGTTGAGACGGAAATCCACTGGGAATCGGTAGGTAGCACGTAAAAGCACAAAGAAGTAGTGTGTCCAGAAGTAGTTACCGACGAAACCAAACAATGCAATCCAGATGTTGGCTTTGACCCAGTATCTCTCGTACCATGGCTTATCGCGGTCGGCAGCACACGGGAACAACATTGGCACAATAACACATGGCAAAGAGACAATAAGTCCGAGAATAAAGAATTCTAAATCTGCCCATTTCTAGAGAGTGAAATAGTAGTGTTTTCGATTCACAATGTTAGATTTATTAAAGTTTCTAAAGAAAAGAGTAATAATAATCCTATATCTTTACCTTATATTCTTCAGTGATGACGGCAAGCGAGAAGACACCAATCCAGAATGGTGAGTAGAGAAGATAGAACTTCTCAGCCCATGCTTTGCTTGGTACTTTGGAGAACCAATGAGGTGACGCAATACTCGATTGTTTTGAAGTAGCTGTCATTCTGTCTCAGTGATATCTCTTTTTTTTTTTTATTATGATTAAATAAATGATCAATCAATCAAAACTTCAATTTTTATGAAATGCACTTGCAAAATTT